TATCTCAGCAAGTATCAAAACACATTCAATAATACTTCATAGATATGTTATCATTGACATAGTAAACATGAAATATCAATTTCATAAAGAGTAGTGAACATCATCACAACATATAAAGAGAATGTCACAATTTTTTCAACGTTTCATATCACACCAAGCACACAACAATATACAACACTTCAAAATGATAGGACTCACACTATGACATGATTACTTCATGATCATGAAAGAATATTTAATATACAAAACAAAGATGTCATCCACCACAACATCAAACTTTATTGTAATGACTGAAACATTGCTCAACAAATACAACTGATGGATCAACACAATCACTATCACGTGATCACACCATCATGACAAGCATGTTTATCAACTTGAATGAACATTCAAACAACTATGTTTCATTTCTTCACTCTTCATAAACAACTTTGAACGCTCATCGGTTGAGTGATCGCATCGAACATGATAGACGTATCCAATACGGTTGAAGGACACATCTACGATCACTACAAATGATTTCAATCATGATTCCGTCATCACAACACCAAACAACACTGATCAATCACAACAAGATTTTTTTGGAAAAATTCTAAATGCGGAAGTATAGGGTCAGTAAATTCACACAAAATTCAAAATCAAGATGACATGAACGTTGACGCATACCAACCACATACACCATACATTTCACATGCACTGATCATGAAAATCACTGAATTAATTCTTTATTTTCAATGCAGCCTTCATAAATCAACACAGGCTCTCCACGAAAAATGTCAAACATGACCTGACAGAATCCTTCCATCACACAATACATCACAACATTTCACAACATCAATAATAACACAATGGAACAAGATCAACACATGTATGATTGCAACAACTCTAGGAAAAAACCATGTCTCATACAGTAATCCACTTCATAACGAAATATTCTCAGGTGCTCAACAACAATACATTCTAGACATGAACAAATACAACAATTAATGTCAATGTGTTGAACTCCATCCCAGCAACCGTAAAAAACTGTCTGTATCACTCTCCTGACAACTCTTCAAAAATTAATTAATAATCATTTTCTTCACTTCTCAGGTGTCTCATAACAAAATCAACTCATATAGATAAATTCCACAAATTTCAAAATAACAATATCCTAGTGTGTATAATCAAATAAAGTCACTGTGATATTCTTGTAATTGTTCAATATCGTAATATCATGTGAAAAATAAAAATGAATTGAAAGAGTGAGACACCACTTCCACAAATTGATGAATCAGTGAGTACAACCAAGATGGATGTGTCATACTCATCATGATGAACATGTTGATGTGTATTGTTCATGACACAATCACTCTTGGAAGGATATGGTATCACACCTCTACAACATTCATCATGATACTCCACTAATAATGATCATATCCATCATCAATAGTCATAGAAATACTCTCCACAATGTATTATATAACATTGCAATCATTGGTTTATCGAAAAACTGAATCAATCAACTGTTATAAAATAATCATTCAATCATACAACAATACATACCAACAACAATTCATCATGATCACTTTCAACCACTCACAATCACATGAAACACTTCCACAATGATGACCACAACGTGTCATGATGATAGAATGAATGACATGAACAAGAGAGGAGAGTTGTACCCTTCCTCAAGAAATGATCATTTCCGAGAAAAGCGAAGTGCTCCCATTCCATGAAACAATCATGCCAATGAATAAAACTGATGATCTGTTGTTTGAATGATCAGAACATCCATCCATATCAATTTCATGAAGTTCTGTGAAGTGCTTGTCTCGATCGTACTTTTCAGCTCTACCATAGAGCCATCAGCACACTTCACTTGAATACCATTCATGACATGACCATCACTTTGAACTGAACCAACGATCAATTCCATGGTTTCTGATCACTGTAACAACATTCCGATCATCAGATTCATTCCATGATCATCACATCCAACGGAACCAGTTCACTACAATTCTAACCGCTACTATTTGATGATTATCATTTCCATGTGTATTCATACACACAAAATATTCCTGATGAATGTTGACCATGATGTACACATTCGATGTGATCAATATAAATATGACATGATGATGAATGGAAACATGACCCGATGTTGATGATGATCCTGTCAAAAATGCAGGGAGTTTTGGCTTCATTTTTTTTTAATTTTTTTTTGAAAAATTTTCATTTCATTTTTGACCTCGATGAAACTCCTTTAAACTTGATTTTCTCGAAAACTACCCTAAACCTGATCGAATGCTCTATCATGACCCCCATTATTTTCGTGAGATCTACAAAAAAGGTGTCGCTTAAATTCTATCAAAAATTTGACACCTGTCACCATTTGTTGAACTACTCAACCAACTTAGCTCACTATCCAATGATGTCGCTAGCACGAATGTACTACTCTTCAAAATCTATCGAATGATGTGCTTGGATCAAGCTCAACATCAAAGATGACGAAAACCCCGACCATGCACGAGAGGTCTACTTTAAGCGAGTACAGTTCAATAATTACCCATAATTAACGGATGAAAGTCATATCAACACATAGATATACCTCCATCCCCGACGATTTCATAAAAATTAAAAATCCCATGATTAAGCATGTCGAAAAATTAAGATTACAAGTCAAGGCGGTCACCTATCCAAACCCAAATTGAATTCTTCTCAGGCCCTTTCATCCATCCTTTTGGAAGCAATTTTTGATGGACAATCATCATAGCAAGAGATTTCAAATAGTCCCCATAATTTTCTAATTTCATCTCAGCTGACATTCCTCCCCGAATTACTCTTTGTGGTTCCTCATACGATGTTTCTTCTTCAATATCGTCATCAGTACTGCTAAGATTAATAAGAGGAACAGGTGATTTCTTCATCCGCTTCTTCTCTGGGGTTAACAATCCTTTTTGTTGAACAGTACTCTTTTCCTCTTGTCTACTTTCCTTAAATCCCCCAACTTTCTTATTAGGAGTCTTATTTCCTCTTAATTCTCTTCCAAAGACACCATTATTCTCTCCGTTGAAGCCATGTTTTGATGGAGTGTCTTGTTGTGCAGTAATATTGCTCTTTCTTTTAGGAGTACTGCTTCCAACATTCATAGCTTTCTCGTGAATCATTCCTTGTTCTTCAGTTGCGTTATTTCTCTGCAGAGATGAAATTTCAATTGTTGGAATATCAGTTTGATAATCATAATTATCAGAATTGGAATCGGATGAAATATTGATGATTGTGTCATCAAATGTGTTTTTTCTCTTATTAGGGGTATTATTGCTCAACATGTTACCACGATAGAACGATTTTCGGCTTTTTTTTTTAAATTGTTGGCCTTAAATAAACAGTTTTTAACGGTATCCATTTTGGAGGGAACGAATTTTGTTCGTCCATTTAAAAATCATAACAAACTCCAAGAGTTAACATCACCTACTTGGACGTACAAAATTACGGAAAATTTTTAACTCATACCACTCTACAGACGAGACTATTTGGTTTTAACAATAACAACAACAACCAAAATTCGCTCTATAATCCGAACATCAATAAGAGCTATTCAATATTACAACTTTTCGAATATAATACAACAGATGATTGTTAGTCGATGAGATGTGCAGTATTCAATTCGGAGTTTTTGGTTCATGATGATTGGAGTATGGGTTGTTGTTTGACAGGTCAAGGCATTTTTTTGATATTAATGTGTTGAACGTGTTGTAGGTGTTGTTGATGTTCACTTGCAAGTTGATATTGACGATTGTTGATGGTTGTGTGGATGTGTATTGATTGTTTTCTATTTTGGAGGGGTGAATTTTTGCTCGTCCATTTAAAAATCATAACAAACTCCAAGAGCTGACATCACCCACTTGGACGCACAAAATTGCAGCATGTGTACACTGGCTATTCATACCACTATAAAGATGAGAGCACGAAATGTTCAACAATAATAACAACGACCAAACAATCGAATTCACTAATACATGATAAAAGAGCTGTTCAAATTTCAATCAAGTATGATCCATAGGTGAGTCTGTTCAATTCCTGGTTTGTACTCATAACATTTACTGAATAAATCACCACCCTTGATGAAGCGTTGTCGAATTCAAGGCATTGTTTGGATCCAATCATATCATGATCACCTCAACATGTCTTTTCATTGAATGAAACTAAACACAGAAAAACAAGAACACACCTCCCTCTATCATGGTAAACATTTTACGATGATAATGTAGAACAGTAGCAACTCTCATCACTCACAACTACCAACATGAACTCAATATCAATAATTCAGTCATCAAAAAGACTCACTTGCATTAAGATTCCATAACAGTGTTTCGGGATAGGACTCAACAACGATAATTCCAATATTCCATCCATGATAAAAACAGTATCAATGAATTATGGCTGATTTTATTGAGGGTGTATAATCATCTATAGTGATTCACAGCAACAATTACTTTGGAGATCAATCATGGAAGCTGTTCAAGGCCAACATATCACTGAACGACTCTTCAATCAACGTTAACGGTATCCAATTTCGAGGGAATACCGACTTTTGCTAGTCCATGTTTGAGTTATGACCAACTTCAAGAGTTACATATCACCAACTTGGACGCACAAAATATATGACTTCTTTCAAGTTCAACTTGAACGAAACAGCAGCTCCTTACTTCCTTATATCTTTATTGATGGAAATATTCAAGTTTTGATCATTCAACGATAATTTTAGAGGATGGTCAACCACCACAGGACCTGATTTTTTTGGTACAAATATAGAGGCTATCTCGATATCCACTATAACAACAAGAAATCTTTCGCTTAATATCTCCTTCCTCTCTGCGTGGGACTAATTGATATTAAAAACAAATTATATATTGTTATATTGAATCTTTCTAAAAATCCTACTGAGAGGAATCCAAACCCACTTCACATCTCTTAGAAATTTCAACACCATTAGAAAGCAAATGAAAATTAGCCTAGGATTTGAGTATATCTCGTCCTCACCAGTTAACTTCGGACCGTGGACAGGACTTATTGAAATCAAAATTTTTTTTTGATAGTAAAGTCGTTAAAATGGCTCAAAAAAAAGAGTAGGTGGAGCCAAACCCTTTACTCCAAAGTTAACATTTATCAATTATCTCAGCAAGTATCAATGCACATTCAATAATACTTCATAGATATGTTATTACATACACGGCAAACATGATATATCAATTTCACAAAGAGTAGTGAACATCATCACAACATATAAAGAAAATGTTACAGTTTTTTTAAAGTTTCATATCACACCAAGCACACAACAATATACAACACTTCAAAATGATAGGACTCTCACCATGACATGAGTACTTCATGATCATGAAAGAATATTTAATACACAAAACAAAGATATCATCCACCACAACATCAAACTTTATTGTAATGACTGAAACATTGCTCAACACATACAATTGATGGATCAACACAATCACTATCAAGTGATCACACCATCATGACAAGCATGTTTATCAACTTGAATGAACATTCAAACAACCATGTTTCGTCTCATCACTCTTCATGAACAACTTTGAACACTCAAACCTTTGGTGATAACAACGAACATGGTAGACGTATCCAATACTGTTGAAGGACACATCTACAATCACTACATATGGTTTCGATCATGATTCCGTCATCACAACACCAAACAACACTGATCAGTAACAACAACATTTTTTTGGAAAAATTCTAAATGCGGAAGTATAGGGTCAGTAAATCCAGACAAAATTCAAAATCAAGGTGACATGAACACTGACGCATACCAACCACATATACCATACATTTCACATGCACTGATCATGAAAATCAATGAATTAACTCTTTATTATAAACCTAGCCATCATGAATCAACACAGAATCTCCATGAAAAAGTGTCAAACGTGACATGAGTGAATCCTTCCATCACACAATGAATCACAACACTCCACAACATCAATAATAACACAATAGAACAAGATCAACACATGAATGATTGCTACAACTCAAGGAAAGAACCATGTCTCACATTGTAATGCACTTCATGACGAAATCTTCTCAGGTGCTCAACAACAATACATTCTAGACATGAACAAATACAAGAATTAATGTCAATGTGTTGTACATCATCTCATCTACCATAAAAAACTATCTGCATCACTCTCCTGACAACTCTTCAAAAATTAATTAATAATCATTTTCTTCACTTCTCAGGTGTCTCATAACAAAATAAACTCATATAGATAAATTCCACAAATTTCAAAATAAAAATATCATACTATATACTATCATATACAGTCACTGTGATATTCTTGTAATTGTTCAGTATCGTAATATCATGTGAAAAAGAAAAATTAGCTGAAAGAGTGAAACACCACTTCCACAACTTGTTGAATCAGTGAGTAAAAACAACATGGATGTGTCACATTCATCATGACGAACATGTTGATGTGTATTGTTCATGACAAACTCACTCTCGGAAGGACATGGTATCACACCACCACAACGTTCATCATGATACTCCACCAATAATGATCACATCCATCATCAATTGTCATAGAAATACTCTACACAATGTATTATACAACATAGAAATCACTGGCTGAATCAGTCAATCTCCAAAGAACAGAAGAGTCGTATCCGATTATTTCTTCTTCCGATGCATTTTGAGCATTTTTTTATTTTTTTGTTTTGAAGAAGCCTTAGCCCTCAAAATCGTCTGTCCTGATTTAACTCGACCATGATAAAAACTTACTTCATAGTTTCCTCAACAGAGATGTGGATTACGTTCTAAAGGTCAGACTCTATCAATACGTGAAAAAAGTAATCCTTAAATCGTAATGGTTACTTTGTTATAACAACTCTCGGACTGGTGAGAAGTATTAAAGCGTAATTCAATAACTACTTAGTAACTACCAAAAATTCAACTCTCTCAATATTCTATGGATTAAAACCTAATATATGTCCAAGAAATGGAATCGTTATTTTATATATTTTGGTCGAGAGGGACATTGGACGTGATCTGACCGGGAAAGCTCATTTTGATCCTTAATATCTCAACAACTACTTCACAAATACTAAAATTTTCAAAACGTACATCTAGATAACATAATTACCTAATTGTTGATATATAGTATGTAACCTAGAAATCAAAGATCATCATGAAAAAAGCCTCTGGAGAGAAACGTTCACTTCCTCACAAGTCAGTTTCTTCAATTTAAATCTAATAACAATATTCCACACAGTTAGTTATACAACATATTCAAATAAGAGATGATATCAATCAGTATTTATCGAAATAGAGCCTCACTTCAAGTTTTTGCTTGACTTTTCTATCATTTTGAACTTTGAAATTTTTTAAAAATATTCCACCTCCAGCGAAAAACCGACTCTCCAACATAGGAGCTGATTCATTCAACAGGTACGTCATTGTTCATGTCACAAACAATACAAATACTCTACAAAGCTCTCATACACACTACACTCTACGTTTAATTATCAGGAGAATATCATGTCAAGCAACATCACCCTCACGGACACATTCAGCAGTTAGGAGTACCACATTTCGGCGTCAGGAGTCAGTCATCAGCACACAACCATAATATTAGTGTTCTACATGGTGAGTAACACTTCATATATCAATTTGAGATACAGCTGATCAGTATTTATTGAAAAAGAGCTATATTTCATATTTTCGCTAGACCTCTCTATCATTTTGAACTTGGAATTTTTGAGTCCAAAACATTTCAAAAAAAAATTTCCAAGTCCCCAAAAACCTTGTGTTCCAATGTCCTTGCTTCTCTCTGGTTTTACAGTTTGAAACACCAGTCCGATAATAAATAATCTTCCTCTCTTCATTTACAACATTAAATTTTTTTTTGGGCCAATTTACCTTCAAAATTCAGAGTGAAATAACTCAACAACCACTTCACATCTCTTAGAAATTTCAACACCATTAGAAAGCAAATGAAAATTAGCCTAGGATTTGAGTATATCTCGTCCTCAGCAGTTAACTTCGGACCGTGGACAGGACTTATTGAAAACAAAATTTTTTTTTGATAGTAAAGTCGTTAAAATGGCTCAAAAAAAAGAGTAGGTGGAGCCAAACCCAGATGTAACATATAATATACCATGATTACTTCATGATGATGACAGAATAATCAAAATTCATGTCATCTCTGTGGTGCACAACTCCATCAACTATTTAACATTTTATTGCATACTTCACAATGAACATAAAAGATGGATCCCCGAAATCAATCCCATATCATGACATCATCATGGTCAACATGTACTCCAATGAATATCAGAATTTGGAAAACATGAAATCTACCACACACATTTTCATCTTATGTTTCATCCGCCAAATGTTATGGTCAGTACAGTCTGTAGAGATTAGTCAAATGAATCAAACAACACACTTGAAACACACATAAAGATGATCGCTATCAATGTAGTTCATCATGATTTATTCAAAAGGATACAATCCATCAACTATAAACATGATCACTTGCTGAACGAAATTCAATAAATGAGATGACGACCACAAACATGAACACACCTTGCACACCATCCATGTAGTACATGCACAAATCATGAAAATCATCATATTGAACATTTGTTTCCAACAATAAATCACAGCAAACAAATGCAAAATACAACAAGGTAACTTCTTGCAATGAATCATACAACAGATGAGAGCGCTCCACCAACTCGATACAGATGACACAACAATAAACACTCAGTGATCAAGTACATCTATCATAGTTAGAATCTCATGACATACTGATGAATGTATCATTAAACATTGAATTCATTCGATGAAAGATCCAAAATAGTTGCAGACCAGGACGAATACAAGTTCAAATTGTGAAATTGTATCGATCATGATTCCATCACTTACTTGCTGAACAGTATAACACTGAACCATTCCTGCTGTTGTTTGTGAATGGTTCATCCGTAATCGTTTTGGAGGGAATGTATTAACGAATTTTTGCTCGTCCATTTAAAAATCGTAACAAACTCCAAGAGTTAACATCAACTACTTGGACGCGCAAAATTACAGGACATGTTCACCGGCTATTCATACCACTATTAAGATGAGGGCACTCAATGTTCAACAATAACAACAACTACCAAACAATCGGAGTCACTCAATAATCAATACATGAAAAAGGAACTGTTCAAATTTCAATCAGGTATGAACCAGAGGTGATTCTGTTCAATTCCTGGTTTGTACTCATGACATTTAGTGAATAAATCACCACCCTTGATGAAGCGTTGTCGAATTCAAAGCATTGTTTAGATCCAATCTCATCATGATCAATACAACCCTTTTCATTGAATGAAGCTAAACACAGAAAAACAAGAACACACCTCCCTCTATCGTCTTAAATGAATTCAATGTTCATTTGTGTCTGGTATACATTTTATGATGATAATGTAGAACAGTAGCAACTTTCATCACTCACAACTACAATAGAAACTCAACTCAATTTCAATGATTCAGTCATCAAAAAGACTCACTCGCATTAAGATTCCATAACAATGTTTCGGGATAGGACTCAACAACGATAATTCAATATTCCATCCATGATGAAAACAGCATCAATGAATTATGGCTGATTTTATTGAGGGTGTATAATCATCAAAAGTGTGGTTCACAGCAACAATTACTTTGGAGATCCATCATGGAAGCTGTTCAAGACCAACATATCACGAAACGACTCTTCAATCAACGTTAACGGTATCCAATTTCGAGGGAATACCGACTTTTGCTCATCCATATTTGAATCATGACCAACTTCAAGAGTTACATATCACCAACTTGGACGCACAAAATATTTGCTTATTTTCACATTCAGCTCGAACGAAACAGCAGCGCCTTACTTCCTTATATCTTAATTGATGGAAATATTCAAGTTTTGATCATTAAACGAAAATTTTTGAGGATGGTCAATCACCACAGGACCTGATTTTTTAGTACAAAAATAGGGGTCATCTCGATATCCACTATAACAACAAGAAATCTTTCGCTTAATACCTCCTTCCTCTCTGCGTGGGACTAATTGATATTAAAAACAAATTATATATTGTTATATTGAATCTTTTTAAAAATCCTACTGAGAGGAATCCAAACCCAAATATCTGTCCAAGAAATGGAATCGTTATTTTAGATATTTTGGTCAAGAGGGACATTTGACGTGATCTGACCGGGAAAGCTCATTTTGATCCTTAATATCTCAACAACTACTTCACAAATATTAAAATTTTCAAAACGTACATCTAGATAACATCAATACCTAATTGTTGATATATAGTATGTAACCTAGAAATCAAAGATCATCATGAAAAAAGCCTCTGGAGAGAAACGTGCACTTCCTCACAAGTCAGTTTCTGTTTCTTCAATTTAAATCTAATAACAATATTTCACCCAGTAAGTTACACAATATATTCAAATTAGAGATGATATCAATCAGTATTTATCGAAATAGAGCCTCACTTCAAGTTTTGGCTTGACTTTTCTATCATTTTGAACTTTGAAATTTTTTAAAAATATTCCACCTCCAGCGAAAAACCGACTCTCCAACACTGGAGCTGATTCATTCAACAGGTACGTCGTTGTTCATGTCACAAACAATACAAACACTCTACAAAGCTCTCATACACACTACACTCTTCGTTTAATTATCAGGAGAATATCATGTCAAGCAACATCACCCTCACGGACACACTCTGAGGTTAGGAGTACCATATTTCCGCGTCAGGAGTCAGTCATCAGCACACAACCATAATATTAGTGTTCTACATGGTGAGTAACACTTCATATATCAATTTGAGATACAGCTGATCAGTATTTATTGAAAAAGAGCTATATTTCATATTTTCGCTGGACCTCTCTATCATTTTGAACTTGGAATTTTTGAGTCCAAAATATTTTTACAAAAAATTACAAGTCCTCAAAAACCTTGTGTTCCAATTTCATTGCTTCTCTCTGGTTTTACAGTTTGAAATACCAGTCCGATAATAAATAATCATCCCCTCTTCATTTACAACATTAAATTTTTTTTTGGGCCAATTTACCTTCAAAATTCAGAGTGAAATAACTCAACAACCACTTCACATCTCTTAGAAATTTCAACACCATTAGAAAGCAAATGAAAATTAGCCTAGGATTTGAGTATATCTCGTCCTCACCAGTTAACTTCGGACCGTGGACAGGACTTATTGAAATCAAAATTTTTTTTTGATAGTAAAGTCGTTAAAATGGCTCAAAAAAAAGAGTAGGTGGAGCCAAACCCATGGAACGAAATGGCCTGTTAGTGTCCACTTCCTTTTCGGCGCCAACCGTATCGAATGGTTCTCGATTGCATCTTGCTCATACCAACGAACGATACAAACGACTCGCAACAGCACTCACCGAACGTACCATTTTGCACACATCATCATCTCAGTTGGCCTCTGGTGCCAGTAACCAACGTTTGGACAAACACTTGAGCATTACAGAATCGGTATTTTATCACGACGATAGGAGAATAAGTGTGTGGTCCATACGAGACAACGGTTTGGATTGGGTTCTAGTTGTCTCTACTGCTGAAAATGGATACATTTATACAATATTTTCTGGTAGTCCAGCGTTACTCACTATCAGTATTGTCTTGATCGTTCTCGGAACCGTTTGCATGATTGTGTTAACACAATTGGTGGCCAGATCCATCTATAAGGTCGTCAATAACAATATCAAGTTGTCAAAGATGGAAATTAGAAATGTGACTTCGAGCAAATTGTTGAACATCATTTATGAATTGTCACTGCTGCAGAAATCGACGGAAGCCATCAAGAGAGGTCTAACCACATTCATGCACTACATTCCTAGGGATCTTGTTTGTGATATTGTAAGGACAGGTCAATTTGCTCACTTGGGAATGGTTAATATACACACAAGTGTCATGTTTACAGATATTGCAAATTTCACAACCATTTCTGAAACCACTTCCATTTCCGTTTTGATTGAGGTTCTGTCCACGTATTTTTCCATTGTTTCACAAGCGGTGGAAAATCATGGTGGAGTCATTGATAAGTTCATTGGAGATGGAACCATGAGTTTATTTTCGATTCCGCACCGAGTTCTGAACTGTCATGCAAAGTGTGCCTGTGATGCAGCACTTACAGCTTTGTTCGAAATTGAAAAATTCAAAGAAAAATCACTGATGATGAATTGGCCTCTCATTGACATTCGTATTGGCATCAATACTGGAGAAGCTATGATTGGAAATATAGGTTGGGTGGAACGTTTCAACTATACAGCAATTGGTGATTGCGTTAACACGGCTAGTCGACTGGAGACGCTGGGCAAGCATTACGAATTGCCAATATTGATTGGAGAGGAAACATTTAAGAGAGTGAAAGACAGTATCATGTGTTTCTTTGTGGATACAGTTCGTTTGAAAGGAAAAGTAACATCAATAGATATCTACACCATTGAAACGATGTGGGAGTGTGCAACGGAAAGGAAGAGGCTAATTCATGACCAATTGGCGATGATTCGTGACGTGATGCATCTAAAAGATGTTAAACAGATGAATCAATTGGTGGGGGACTTGTTGCAAGAGTTACTGGTGTGGAATTTACCAAAAGCTCGACCAATTGCAAGCAGAGAAAAGATGGGCCTGGAAGAAGGTTTGTTTTCCGATATGAAATTTGTGTCTGACCTGTTGCATAGATCGGAGGGTTTGATTTCACAGCAAGATGTGGGAGAAATTTCTCTGAACATGACAGAAAAGTGAAACAAGCTCTTGCACTTATACCTTTCGACCTCATGTTTCGTTGTCGGCCAGTATTCATTATCAACAATTTTAGAGAATGTCAATAATTTTACAAAAGCAGCAAATATCATATTGAAATTTGGGCTAAAACATTCTGAACTTTTGAAGATTCCACGATCGTGGATGAAGTATATCTGGACCCGAACAGTTTACACAGTGTCAAGATAGGCGAAGCCACAAAAGGTTCAGGCTATTGCAAACATAATGGCTATAGTGGAGCTGCAGTGACAGTTGATAGTATGTTTTCTCTTTTCTCAACCTTGCGAGCTTTGGTGAAGTTTTTTGGTGTTCGTGGCTGCCTTCCTCATTGACATTTCCTTCATCTTCAGCATAAAGTCTTCTTTATGGCCTCTTTAGAGGTCTTTTGAAGTCCTACTCTATTCAAAATCCGCATATTCAACAAAGATAAATTTCCCATGTCAGCAAATGTTGTTTCAATTCTGGAACGCTGTGCGCCAGTGATACAAAATGTAGACTATTATATAAATTTGTTGCCATTTTGTCCTTAAAATTATTTCCATTCTTTTACTGCTGCTGTGGCACAGTCAATCCACATTCTTCCATCAATTCAGTGTACAAGTCAGTTTCCCCCATCGAATCTTGAACTGCCTTACATGGATCTGATCGCGGTGGAGCAAAATAGTTATGTCTCTCAAACAATAACCTGTAAAATCCCAACAGGATCTCAAAATCAAATCGATAATTCTTTGATCTATTCGTAACAGTATAGTATTGAATCGTATCCAATAATACTTGCTTGAATTTGTTTCGCTCCCTATCAAAATACGGTCCATGCTCAAAAACAAATTCAATCATTTCGTCATCCGATTCAAAAGGGTCAATATTCTGTTCAATTCTCAATCTTTCCAAAGTTTCGCGCGTGCTCTCGCATTCAACATCAGCTCTATACATGAACTGAAGGAATTGTTCAATTCTTTCCAAGTTGATTTGGTCTTGGGGTGGTGATGTATTTGTTGTTAAATGATGATCACTACTATGCTCGTCCATAACTTTATCCTTGACGAGTGAATATAAACATTTCGAATGCGAATAAAACATATTGTAAAGTGTACTCGGATCATCAGAGTAATTTTCAAAGTACTGATCGAGAATGTAAAATGTTTTGAAAAAGCCATGATTTTGTAAACATGTTGCAAGAGGCAATTTAAATTTTTCTGTTTCCTCTTCGGTAACGTTTACATATTCTTCGAATGTTGGTTTTTGACTTGATGATGCCTGTAAGTCTGTTCGCATTTTTTTGATTGCGTTCTTTGAAATGCGCCTAAGCAAATCAAAGAGACATTGAAAGGAGTAAAGTGAAGAGTTTGTCAGAGACAATCAAACAAAGCGTCAACTGATGATGAAGAAGATGCAACACTGTTAATGTACATTTTTAGACATACATCTCTCTTAAAAAACATCACCCATGTTAAGAATTCCAGCACTGCCGTTGTATCTCCATTAAAACAAATACCCTGACAGGCAAATCCAATATGTCTCTCAACCACAAAAAAAAGATTTCATCGTCATGACAATCCTATCATCCAATCCTCACGACTCTAGCAAGATAGTCCCTGTCACTGGCAATAAAAGAGGAAAAGAAGAGAATGACAATGACACGAGCGATCTTGCCTCAACAGAAATGGATTCGCCAGACAAGATTCAATTCTTTGGGTCCATCAAATTTTGGTTAATTACCATAGTTTCATCCATCTTGTTTATCAGTATCATTGGTTTATCAGGAATTTGGTTAGGAAGTTTGCTTCCATCAGTGTTCGAATATAGTGACAAAACTAGAGAGTTGGAATTTGAAGGAATCATTTCCTACACCAAGCAAGCATTGAGAGAAGTGGAGATGATTTCCGAGACCATGAAACATCAATTAATGGTCACTGCTGACTTGTCAAACTATGATTATATTGAAAAGATTATGTTTCCGTACATTAAAACTGTTTGGCAGTTTCATAAAGGATTGGTCGTGACTGTGCATATTGGTGATAATATGGGAAGGTAGGTGTTGTATTAACGTTGAATAGTATAACAAGATGGTTAATGACATTATGTATTCGTTCCCATATTTGGAACACTGCATACTTCTCTCATTTACAACCTATCAATCTCTCGATCACTGCACATCAAGACAATATGGTTACATGGACTGGGGAGGCAAGCCAACTCTATTCAACATTACTACAGTCGATCAGAAAATGTATTATTGCCAAGATTTTTACACTTTGGATTACTGCAAAAGAAATTCAACTCCCAACTTTGAATTGGGCTTCTTTGATTTAACCATTTTAATCAATCAGGGAAATACTCATCCCGGAAAACCTTCAATTACTTTGAGTTTTATTGATGCAACCACACCTCAGTATACTTTCATTACGATGGTCAATTCTATTGCCTTGCCCTCTCCAGATTCTAAGGGAAACAAATTCAAATATTATTTAGGAACAGACATGTCTTCTGAGAGTTTTTCAAATTATTTGGCTGCAGTTACTAAACGTATTGCAGGTTCTAAAAGTATGATTATTGAAACAGAGACATTATACATTATTGGCAGTAAGTACTCGAAATGTTTAGGGTCGTCCTAATGTCAATAACCACGTTTCCTTTGTCATTAAAATAGATGACAATCCAGAGGCCAAAGTTGCAAAATTCAACCCTGATGGGTCTCTGATTCGTCAGACATATCAAAAGATTGACAATGATCCTGTTGCAGCTCAAGTGGCCTCCAACCTTTATTCTGTTTTAGGAACCAATATCAAACAAATTCCTTGCAATACAGGGGACTCGTACTCATTCTCTGGAGAAACCATTTCAGTTTATCGACTCTGCACAAACACTTCCATTGATTGGTTAATGGTATTATCTGTACCTAAATGGAATTACATTGGCTCATTCGTCATTGGTGCAATGGTTGCTTTAGTTGGAGTGGTTCTACTCACCGTCCTTGGATTCAGTGTTGCAGCTCTCATTTCTGTAAAGATGACAAAGCCTTTTCATCAATTAATTGAGTATTTTGAAAGTGTAGCACATATGGATTTGGATCATTTAAACATTTCTGAAAGCAAATTCAGTGAAGTGAAATTATTGCAAAAACATTTCTTGAACATGATTGCCCGCATTAAGCTTTATCGAGCTTTCATACCTGCTCACTTGCTGCAACAATTGGATAATAATAATAATAATAATAATGGTAATCAAGATATGAACAGGAATCATACTGAAGGAGGAGATGATTCAGCATCTTCAGATCGACATGGAAGCAAGAGCTCATTCATGCACGAAAGTGGTCGTTCACTAATGAATGGAACTGAAAGAAATCTCTCACACCTCTCATCGGCTAATTCAAGGAAGAGTCATCAAAATCATCACCATTCACACAAGAAAAAGTACAATAACGGAGTGGATATGTTCTCCTTGTATTTGGAAAGAAAGACGATTACTCTTGTGTCGGTACATATTCAAGGCTTTGATAATTTATTGCGAGAAATTTCTCCAACGGAATGCGTCGAGCTTCTCAAAGATTGTTTCGATCATTTGAATGGTCAGAGTAGAGCATTGGGAGGTCATTTGGGTAATTTTGAAAATGATTGCATTTCCATAGCTTTTAACGCAAGTACTTGTCAACAAAAGCATCAAGAAAAGGCTGCTTTGATTTGTACTGTATTGAAAGAGAAATTGCAAACCATTAAGGAAAAGAAATGGTCCAACTCACATCATCTCAAAAAGAAACCATATTTATTGGATGAAGTGAAATTCATCATGGCAGTTTGTACCCAAGACAGTTTGTGTGGAAATGTTGGTTCGAACGAGAGCAAGAACTTTACAGTCATTTCTAGTGCAAGATTCAATTTGGATCAACTCATTGAGACTGCGAAGAGGTTGGAAGTGTCCACAGTGGTCACTGAAAAGGTGTTTGACTCTCTCGAATCATCCTATCTGTTGCGTTATATTGACACCAAGGAATTACAGACCGATCATTCCTATTCATCTCCTCATATGGAACCTGCAACCACAAGCCAAGCACAGAATCTGTTCACATCTATGAATTGGGTCCAAGTTCACAAATTCAAGTGATGAATGGCTCTATGAAGTTGCTCAGCAAGAGGAAAAAGGTAAATGGACCAAATACAATCAAGCGTGTCAATTGTTCTTTGATGAACAGTATGTACAAGCAAACGCATTGTGGTTAGAATTTTTGTCACAGCATCCCAAAGACAAACCTACAGAATCCATGATTCAAAGATGCTCTTTAAAAATTAATTTGTAATGAACATTTAATGGTTTCCAGTTGGAAATCAAAGTTGCATTAAATAACAATGTTACGGACAATCAAAGTCTCATGTCACAAGGTTGCGTTGTCAACACTTGCAAAAAAATGTCTATCAAAGTTACACCCTTCAAACGATGGTCACACTTTCGGTGCTTCCTGATGACGCTGATTCTTTTCTTTTTCTTCTCAATACTATTCAGCACATTGTATTTAACGTTGAAACGATTTCGGAACACTTTGGAATTATCTAATAATACACCTGTAATTTTTCGGAAAGGAACAATCAAGTCAAATGTTGCTCTTGTTTCTTTCTATACAAGTGACTATCATGATATTGGATCCATATCCACAATTAACAAATTATTTTATGCCTACAAACATGGCTATGACATGATTGTCTATCAAAAACCATTTTACAAAAAATCAATTTGGATCAAACCTGCTTGGAATAAGATTCCAATGGTTGAAGCACAACTTGAAAATTACGAATGGATAATTTGGATTGACTCTGATGCCATTATCATGAGACATGAATTAACTCTGGAAGATATCATTGAAATTTCCAAAAAAGCAGATTGGAGAAAGAAAGATCACGAAATTGATTTGATAATTTCCTATGACATTAATGCAGGTATTAATAGTGGAATTTTCTTCATGAGAAATACAGAATGGTCACGAAATGTATTGAAACAGGTTCAAACTTCATGGAAATATATACCATACTCGTTGCATTGGTATGCCGAACAAACTCCATTTGCCATGGAAATTAAATATGGACTCGATGAACATGTTCGGGTGACCTATAAGAGAGTATTGAACGCCTATTTGAAAGACTATTCAGAAGGCACTACTTATATCATGCACTTGGCTGGATGTCCAAAACAAAAACCAAAATATTGTTCTGGAATTATGCACGAATTTTATGAAAGATGGCAACGCAATAATGTGACAAGTGTGAGCGATCGTGAATTATTGAGGAGGGCTGAGAAAGACTTCGAAACATTGGAAAAGCAATAATAGGAAGGTAATTGTATGGTTGCTAGTACTAATTGAGGCATTTGCAGAGAAGATCATGCAACTGCATGTAAAACATGCTTGTCAGGCATCATGCTTAATGAAAAACTGAATTCAAAGTTAAATCAGGGTACTTTGGCAAGTGACAATAAGACAATATGACCATCACAGGTATTCAACAACAACCATAGAACCAATTCACACAAGTAGAGTGTAGAAATTGGAGAAATCTTGTCTTCAACCAAATTTTGTGTTATCGGCACAATAAATTTCGAGTTGTCAAAATTATGACTTTGCTTGGCTCCTTTCTTCCAGAGAGTAACGACAAAGAAAAATTTTTAAATAACGGATTGCTTGACGATTTTCGAGGCGCCACATCATCACATTACTCAACATCATCCGAGAATAAACACCAAACATCATCATCATAGGTGGACATACAACACCCTACAACATGACGGTACGAAGTAAGAACAACAATCGTGGAACGACTGTAAAAACCTCCGTTGAAGATTTTTCATCGAGTAGCGTGCCGGAGCAAGCATTGAAACGAAAATTGGACGAACTTTATTATGAGGACCACAAGAACGAGAGAACACTTGCCTTTTCTCCATCCTCTTCACTACGAAGGAGAGGATCATCCAACAACAAAAGCATAACAACAATAACAACGGCAAATTATAAAAACCTTCGACAAGAATACACCAACAACAACAAACCGTCAACACCACAAGCAACCTCGCATCAGCAGCACAACGGTAAGTATGGCCTCCAAAAAATTTCGCAACCACCAAAGTTTACAATGAAACGTGCTGGTTAATATTCAAAAAACAACCCATCAATGATTCCCTTATCTATGAATGAAAACAGAGGTGATAGAGATTCTTTCCTCCTCATCACCATCCTCAGAAGGTGCTGGACAGCATCACTCCATGTTCATGATGCATCATGGCAATAGCAATGACTCTTCAAGGCACCAAGCATCTCCAAATCATGCTGGGGGAGTGTACACAAGCTCTTCTTCTTCCAGTGACGAAGCAATAGTACAAACGACACCCATACACAACAGAACGTTCAGAAGTAGTTTGACCACTATATCAGCAGCGTCGCCTCCATCCACCAACCCAAAGTCAACCAGCCTTCACTCCTCTTCCCTTAATAGCACCAATGTTGACTCAATCCACACCAATATTACTAAATCCACTATCACACCAAATGAATCATACGAGACTCCACCAAGAAGAAGAAGACATTCGTTGAACAAGATGACAGCGATGAATTACCCAGTACTTCTCACAAAACTTTATCTTCTCGAGTGAGAAGTGTCACTGCCGCCTCTCATGGTGCAAGACCAGAACAACAACAAATGCCTCCTTCTTCTCCCTTACTACCAAGCACTAAAACTCCCACTACAAAACCTCCTAAAGGAATTTCTCCAGCCGGCACCATTCCCACACCATCATTCAAATCCTCCAATGCTCCAACACCTTCTTGTGCCTTGCCAACCAAAACAACTCCATTAAGGAACAACAACCATTGCTCCGACACCTCACCATTCACTCCCTCTTCCACTAACACCACAACTAGTCTTCACCAAACCCCATCATGTTCATATCAACATTCACCAACAAGCTCACACCCAACATCCAAATCTTTTCCATTTCACACCCCGCCTCTTAGTAACCAAATTTCGCCCCATGCCAGACTTTACCTATCCTCTCCAAGAGATCCTATGATTAAATCAACTCCTCCATCGTCGTCATTGGACTCATCTCTAAATCAACAACAACCTTGCCAGACTGAAAATGGTGACCAACCTCATTCGTGTAAAATTGGACCCATGCATCAAGCTACACTTCCAACACTTTGTCCAAAACCTAAGCAATTTCCCATAACGTATTCACAAAGAATTGGGCAATGTGTGTGGACTCCTCTAGAATTGATGGTGCCCTCAGTCGCTGAAACATGCTCAAGGAATGTAATTTGTGACACTCTCGAAAAGTTGGAAGCATTTGAAAAGTTTTGTTTGAAAATTGTGAAAAATCCTGACGATTATCGACAAGACAAAGCCTTAGAAATATTACACACATTTAACTTGGATATACATCAAGCAAAGAGATTTATTAAGGAACATCCCATGCAAATCACCACTCAACCTCTACTCACTTCGGAACAGTCATTGAAAGTTTTCAATGCTCTTTCCCAATTTCATCTCTACAATGGTTGTCTACGAGAATTGCATCGTCAAGTGATACCAGAAGTTCCATATTCAACACTAGTTTGTCATTTCTTTCTCAATAAGAAAAACAAATCGGCCATACCAAAGAGTTTGACAAGAATTATCAATCACGGTAGAAGATTAATGCAACAGCAAAAACTCTCAACAGCAACTACGAACTCTGACGAAAGCTCTGAAGATGATGAAGATGATGAGACCTACCATGACGGCAGCCAGTTGTCACAACCAAGTCAAAATTCAACACTGCACACAATATCTGCACACTCAACACGTGCCAATGAAGCCCTTAATCGTCATCATGCAATTCATTCAAAATCCAACAACAATAATGAGGATGAGCCGTCTTCTGGTGACGAACGAGTACCTGAAAGTAGTGACAATGAAGAATCAAATAGCAGTGGTGAAGAAGAAAATCATAACGATGCAATCAAGTATCAACCTTTGCTTCATCCAACCCATTGCCATACAAATCATTTTCTTCACAATAATAACCATCATTTTGGAACAACAACAGTCACCAATCACCAAGACGTCAATTATTTATTGAGCAGCGACAGTGAAGAAGCTGACATGTTTTCCAACGAAGGTGAAACTTATATTGGTCAAAAAGCAGCAGAAATTCATTCTGGTGGATCTTCATCTTCTGCAGAGGAAGCCATGTATATTGCCATTGAGAATGAAGACTCTTCCTCAACCACTGAGGTGTTTAACTTTGAGCATAATCAGATGTTTGAATTCCATCCTCCAACGTTTGAATGAGGGGCAATTCCGTTTCATGGAATTCAAAGTTGTTTATAAAAAATAACTTCAACATCATCATCTTTGGTCTTCACATTCTCAATGGAACACTCTTCACCAATGATTGGAGGACCATTCCAAGAGGGACCCATCGATCCTGCCACAGGAACTACCCTCTCTTTGGAAAAGCTTCAATCCTTGTTGGATTTATATTATTCTGGAACTTTGTACATTTCGACTCCATCGGGAGGAATGAATCAACAAAATCAACAGCAACAGACAAACATTGAAACCATGCTTCAGCGTTCTTTCGGTTCCGATAGAGATTGCTGGAAGAAAGGTATTCTGTTGCTGCTGTCTTCAGCATCATCCACCAATGCATCATCTTTACAACACGTTCAATGGTTTGCCTTGACTTTATTGGAAGAGAGTGTTCATCATGTATCTTATTGGCAAAATCAAATGACTATTGAGGAGAGGCAACAAGTTGGAAATGTTTTAATGACAAACATATTACCAAATTTTAGAGTAAGTAATAATAATTAAATATTATTGGATTTGTGGATTAAACCCACAAAATATTTGAATGAATCACATGCTTTGACTTTCCGTTGTTGAATATTACACTGTATATAACCAAATAATAACATGATTGTATTCAGCACTTTGCGACACCCATCTGGAGAAAAGCTTGTAAAGTTGTGGTCGAAATTGCCAAAATGGAATGGCCACAAAGTTGGCCAAATTTATTACCACAAATATTTCAAATTGGAAATAATTCGGAAACAGCTGTGGTTGCTCTAACAATTTTACAAATGTTGTCTGAAGAAATTTCAAATATGAGTGGAGAGAGTAAACAAGATAAAGATGACATTCCTGAAGATAGAAAAGAAACTCTGTATAATTCAATGTTACAAGTTGTTGACGACTTGTTAAAGTTTTTAGAAAGCATTCTATCCTCATTATATCCAGGATATTATGGAGCCATGTTACAAGCTTTCATTGGTAAGTATCAATAGATCTCTTTTCATCCATTGAAGGATTGTACATTAACAAATTGGAAAATTTGAAAATTTATTACAGAAAACAATGCACAATCATTAGAACAATTTTTCCAACAATTTAAATCCGTCTCTGAAATTACCATTTCTTCCTTGGATTGTTTGACTCATGTATTGTCATGGGTCAGTCCTATTGAAAAGTATTTATTAGCACACTCTTCTCTCTTTTCAAACATTGTGCAATACTCCTCTCTCTACTTTAATATTCATAATTGTAACTCGTCATTGGGTAAGTATTGTTAACAAGTGTTGTCAGCTATCAAATTGAAACCATTCTGCCGTGTGACTGGATTATACCAAACAGAAAAAGCAAAAGAGAACATTGAAAGCGTAGTTTCAGAAATCAGTATTAAGGCCTTAAACTGTTTTAATGAAATCATCTCCAAGCCAATGAGAACTACAGGGTTAGGCCAACAAAATGCTCAATTATTAGGAACACTCCTGAACACAATGTATGCCACCATGCTTCAACTACTTCAAAATTATATCAATTTGTTCAACATTAACGACAGTAAGTGTCATCCACAGATACGTAACTAACACCCTATCAATTTGTATGTAACATTTCGAATATCCATAGCTTCAAAAAAGGAAGATTTAGTTGAAAAATTTTCACAAGGGCAACATGAAGAATTTGTTCATAAAATGAATCTCATTCTGCAAGGCTTTTCAGAGAATCATCTTTCTAGAATTTTATTATGTGAAAGTCCAGAGAACGTTTCTTCAGATCTTGCCTGGCTTGGACTCAACTTTCCAGTCACCACATTTATTGAAATTCTCTTCTCGTACACTACATTGCAATTTACAACTGATAACTATCAAACAGCAATCACGATTTGGAACCAATTCATAGATTCAATGATGAACTCTTTTGATGATATGGCAGCATTTGCACATTTCGATTTTTTCAAAAGAGCTCTACTAAGTTTGGTTGATGATGTGTTAAGAAGAACCAATTTTAGAGACATGAAAAATTATTTTAACACCAAACTCTCTGCAAATGTTGACCTTGAATATTTAAACGAATTGGATGATGAAAAGAAAGATGTTCATAACGCCACAGAGCTTGACAATTATTTGGAAATTTGCATTGACGTGGTTGGAAATATTGCTGAGATTTTTCCAAATGAAACGGTCCAGTTGGTCATTGAAAAGTTCAACATGTTAGTTGATGTTGAGTTTTCTCAAAATTTATTTGGAAAGCTATTTCTATCCAAAATTCAACAGCAACAACTTCTCAGCTCCGAAGAAGTTGATTACACGAAAACAGTTTGCAAGGATGTTCGATCTTTAATAATTACCCTCACTCGACTATCCAACGTATTGGTTTGTCACTTTGAGACCATGTTTTCCATTGCCACTACTGTCATTTCCAAAGTACTAACCATTCAAAACATGGCTATTCGCAATATTTTCTCAGACAATAATTCTCAAATTGCTCTCTTGTTGAGGAGTTCCCATCCTCACTCGAGCACTCTTGGATTATTCAGATTAACCGGTGAAACATTTTCATTCCTGCAACAATACACAAGATGGATCTCTTTATTTGGATCGAATATTTCCCAAGGTATTCTGGATGCATTTACAAAACAAAATTCAGCCAATAACGTACCAGCTGATCTTGCTGAGATGCAATCTCAATATGGGGCGTTGGTCACAAGCATTATCGAGAATATTATACAGTCCTTAATTATATCGAGCTCAGCTACGGATTTCACCATTCCGTACGAGATTGTGTCCTCTTCGGTAAACCTCTTGCTCTTTATGACGTCTGCACTTTCACAATTAGATTACACACTTCAAACACCACCATCTTGGAACGCTATTGCCTACAAACATGTTACTTCTACTTCCATTGAAGAGATTAAATCCTTCAATGAAATTATTATTCCAAATATGCATTCAATGCTCTCCTCTCTATCTGCACGTTATCCGCCATTATTGGAAAACGCAGAAAGTATACTCTCAAAACTATATGTCTCCGTGTCCGTGAGCATTTTGAACAGAATAAGAATAATTCCATTGACTGTGGAAAATATGGATACTAAAAAAGCCCAAACTGTTGTGTATGAGATGTATAATAATGTATTGGGATCACAGCTCATCACTCCATTCGAACAAGCAATTCAAATGCTCAACACTCAACATAGCAGCGATTTGGTTCAATTCATTTCTCTATTATTCAAAATTTCTCAAAGCGTTTTGAGAAATATCAAACATCAACTTAAACAATGCAAACAAGTTGGCTTTGAGGTAATGAAGAAGGTAACCGCTCCCGATCTCATTGTAAATTTGATGAATTTTACGCTCAATCATAGCTCTGATAAGGCATACCTTGCACTCTTGGAAATAATTATTGATTTACAAATTAACTTGTTTGATGATTGGAAGGCAGAAGTTGGCCACGATTATGTAAACGGAATTATCAACACATTCATGGATATTCTGACCAGATCTTCTTCTGTGAGCGTTTTCATGAAAGAACCTATTGGTAGAAATGTGTTGATTCAATTTTTAAAACTGTTAAAAGCACTTGTGTCTGATGGTTCAGGAAAATATGCAGGCAATATTGCAAAAATTATTTATATTAGCAGAACTTTAATTTATCCTGAATTGAAAAATGTTGGAGAAGGAAAATTATCTGGCAACGTTGGCGCCATTGAAGTGTTGCCCTATTATTATGACATGCTGTTTGGAATTCTTCACTACAATTGGAAGCATTTCTTTTCAGCACAAATGGTCAATAATGCGTTCCAGGAAATGCAATGTACCAGTAATGAGGCGTTTGAAGAATTTTGTTTCATTATGGAATGCTTTTTGAATTCCTTCTTTTCTACTGATATTACTATTTTCAAGACCAATTTGGCCCATTTGGAAAGCTTGAACGATCATCACAAATTCTATGAAAGACCAATTTTCAAGCAGCGTATCCCAAATTTTGGCAACCATTCGATCATGGATAGTTTTATGAATGCCTTTTTGAATATTCTTATTGCCAAAAGTCACAACTTGTACAAGAATGACTTGTTGCTCACTATTTTTAATATGGTCAATGCAGGAAATTGGAACCATTTTGCAAATTATATTCAAGAATTTTTGAGTAGTGACAACAAGTTGGTTCAAAAATTGACCAATGAACAAAAACAACAGTTACTTGTGAGATTGGTGATGAAGCCAGATTCGTACGATGAACATGATTGGAAATCATTTCAAAACTTTTCGAGAAGACTTTCACAATTTACGAATGACCTTTCATATAGTGTGAAACAAAATACTCGATCTGGATTATCATTCTTGACCATGGTGTGAGGTTAAAATTCTTGAGGTTGTGATTCCCAATAAAAGGAATGAAGAAAGAATACATTTCTTTGATGTTTCCCCGAGTTCAACTTTGTCAAAACTGCTTAGTAACGTTTATTTTTTCTTAAACAACAATATCTGAGCCAAGAGCTTGAATAACATTGGCAACTGCATTCATCTGAGATCCTCTTTTGTTTGCGTATTGAGGGCCACTATAACCAAACCAATCCCAACAACCATTAATATTCTCAAATCCACCAGAAGTTACTTGAGGATAAACCACAATAATATTATTCTTTTCAGCAATGGCGTTCAATCCAGTGTATTGAACAAATTGTTCTTGTACATAGGAAACGCCTTGTTCGCAGCCATGGAATGCAACATGAATCTTGCATGCAGCATTTTGTTGACAAGCTGTTGGAATATATATGTATCCATGCTCATCCATATCGGTGCCTGCGAAGGATCCAGATTGATCATAGGTGAATAAATTTCGATCGACAGCTTGGGTACTATCGGTAATATTGTTGGAATAAATGGTTTGTAATACACGTAAGGCTCCACGAAGGTTGCAATTGTTAATCCAAGGACTTTGAGTGGCAGAACAATCATTTCCATAGTCTGCAGGTGCGGTGAGTGGGTTGCACAAAAGGACGTCACAATTTACATTTCATTGACAATTCATTTCACAAAAGGATATTCGTGAGCATAAAGAGTTTGTTGCGGATTCAGTCATTGGAGAAAAATTACTCTTGTCAACATACCATTGGTAATCCATGCATGACCAGCAGGAACATTAAATGTTACGTTAATATTTGAAGATGGCACTCCAAATTGTTGATATTGTTGATAGAGTGCCTTCATGACAGCAGTGTTCACAGTATTGTCTGCAGTACCACTGAACAAGAACACTTTGTGCGTTTTGACATTGGAAAGACGATCGACTTTTCCTGAACTCTCATAATCTTGTAATACTTGTTGCAAAGCGTTCAAATCAATGGGAAGAGCAGCATACATGCATTGGTCAAAAGCATTGGCAAGTTGTCCTTGGGAACAATAGTATGGTCCACCTTCGCGATTTTTAAATATGGTAAAAGAAAATCCGATTTTCAAAAAGTTCACATGTCCATGTCATCATCATTTCACAAAGAAGCAATGTTAATCACAAAGCCATTAATTCCATCATCACAAAATTCCACATGATTGGCAAATTCCAAAGACATCAACCTACCTGCAAAGATTCCTGCTCCTACAATACTTGAACTGTACGCAAATTGAAATTGAACGGCCATAAAACCTCCCGAGCTCAATCCACTCACAGACAAGGAATGAGGAATAATATTTAATTTCTTGATGGAAATATTCGGACGACCAGAAGCCTTCTTTGGAGTTGTTGAACCAGTTGTAGTAGTACTTCCTCTCATTAATGATGATGATGAGGAATGAACCATACGAATATCCAAGGCATGGAGAGAGGAGAGAGTGGCTACCAGCAGCAAACACACAGTGGTGAGAACCATCTCTGCCTTCGGAGAGAGAGAGGAAAACGACATGATGCTGTGAACGAACGAGCTTTGAATTTTTTTGAAGTGTCGTTGGAACTAGAAATTACAAAAAAAGCGAAAAATCATCTTGCGCGAAGATTCGATTCCTTGTGTGAAAATCAACAACTTTGTACTAGTATTCGTTCTGGAATGCCAACTCTTGAGCTCACTATCATCCTCCTCAAATCATGATGATTTTAGTTACAAAGGAACAAGGAGATTCAATGAAGGATTGCTTTCTTTATTTGTCGCTCATTCATCAAGGGCGAGGTTGTTGCAATAAGTTCATTTTGGGGCAGGTTTAAAAAACTTTAAACTAAAAAAACAACCAAGAAAAAAAATATTTCACAAGTATTTCGAATCGCACCCTCATAATAACACAAAATGTCTTTCTGGTATGGTACCCCAAGATGGATCCCTTCAGGTTTTCAAGTGGTAGGTTTGGAAATATTAATTGTAATGGCTAATTTTCAACGGACATTGAACCATCGTATTGATCTCGGATCTTCCTTTGGGTCATGTTGATCTTTGAAAATATTTTTGATGAAATGATCGTATAACCATCCGATCGGATTCTCGTAACTGATCGTGTTTACATCTATTATGAAATCCATGAACTTGTGGATATTCTCCCATATGATTCCGATTCAAACAGTCTCCAAATTTAATGCAAAACGGACCCATGTGGCAAAATCAAGCCACTCAAACCTATTACATGTTTGATAAGGATCGTAACGGAGTTTTAAAGAAGAAGGAATTTAAGAAGGCTTTGACTCATATGGGTGTTCATAAGCATGAGGCTAAACATCTTTTCAAAATGATGGATCGTGATAGAAATGGTGTCATTACAATGGATGAATTTATTAATGCCTACTTGTTCATCATGGCAGGTAAGTTTTATCATCTGGTTGATAAGAGATTGTGACCACACAATATTATGTCCACAAATTATGGATTCATAAATGTTCATTGAATTGGAATGATATCATTATATTCGGCCGAATGAAATAACTAACCTTTTGTTCATGTGATTGACACACAGGTGGTATGCGTTACAGTGGAACTGGTTACAGTGGTACCTATTCAAGTCTTGGACATTCCACAACCACTACCACAACAACTGTCATGGGTGGACACACTCAACCCATGTATCCTCCACAAACTGGTTATCCACCCCAAACGGGTTACCCACCTCAAACAGGCTACATGCCACAACAAACTGGATATCCTCCTCAAACAGGTTACCCACCTCAAACTGGCTACCCTCCACAACAAACAGGTTACATGCCACAACCACAACCTTACGGAACTAATCCTTATGTTCCTCAAACTTCTACCACTACCACTGGTTACATGCCACAACAAACAGGTTATCCTCCTCAAACTGGTTACCCACCACAACAAGGTGGCTATCCTCCACAACCTTATCAATAATTTTCAGTGAACCAGCAGAGTTCTGTAATTTATTTGACCACTGGTCGCTCTGTAATTTATTTGACCACTGGTTTATTGAATCGACGAATGAACATTAAAATTATTATAATTTTATGGACCTGTTGATTAGTGTTTTTACGCTCTTGAAAAAAATGCTCCGTGGTCACTTCGCGCACCTTTCCAAAAAGAACAAGTCACTCTGCGTGGAGGTGTCCAAGATGACCACCTCTTCCTTTTATTCTGTGCTATTACTACTACTCTCACTATCCATCATCATCCTAGTCGTGTCAGCATGTATTATAAAATTTTACATTTTTCAAATCCTCGATTCGATTACGCCCATAATAGCTTCATCAACAATCACAGCAAGTTTAATTCAAATGTTCGCAATAGAAGCCTTCTCTCCGAAAATATTTTGGAATTATTCGACGGACGAACAAGGACCTCTTCAAAATCCAACGCTTCCTTCGAAACCTGCAACACCATCACCGTACACACTCACGACATTGGCTGGTATGTCAAATGTCAGTGGTGATGGAGGCCCTAGCGTGAATGCTCAGCTCAATCATCCCCGTGGTTTATTCTGTCATTACAACATGATTTCGAATAATTATGAGTTATATTTTTGTGATACGAATAATATTAGAATTCGAAAAATTAATTTACAAAATGGAATTATTGAAACCGTTATTAGTGATCGTGACAATGTGTTGCCTTCAGTCAACGATGGAAGATTATCGAATTTGGCATTTCCAACAAGTTTAGCATTATCGAGTGAAAATATCACTGAAGGAAATGTGAGCATGGTGAAAACTACTGCATTTGTGAGCGATGGAACAAAGGTAGGTCATTTTGCCATTCCGTTTTAGTATTTCATTTTTGTATAATTTTAATTGAATATTCATTATTGAATATCATCTTTTGATGTCTATTGTTAAACAATTATTATTATATTCACAGATTATTAAGGCAAGTTGGAGTGAACTCGTGTCATGTTCTCCAGGTACAACGTGCAAATCGAAAATAGATCTTCGAGAAATTGAGGTACCTATCAATTTCCGTAATGCTGCCTCTGTCACTGCCTACAGAAATCCCAAACAAAAGTATCGAACTGAATGGCTTTTTGTCGATTCCTACAATGCAATCATTACAAAAAATTATTATGAATTTTCTGGACCAGAGATTGTTCCCACACGACTGACTCTCAATTTTGCTGGTTCAAGTTCAAAAGCATTTACTGGATTTGTACGACCTGAGAAAGTGTTTGCAGATGTGAACAATGATCGATTATATGTGACAGATTTAGACGCTGGAGTTGTTTATCAATTTTCATCCATTCTTTCTGGAACGACATTAACGTTGAATCATCAATTTCCAATTTCAGCACCAGGTGGAATGTCATTTACGAGAAATGGAACGATACTCATTAGTGGACGAGGAACGAGTAGACTTTATGAAATTTCAAAGAAAAACGAATTACTTTTATATATGGGTTCAAGACCTGGATTTGATGGCGACGGAGGACGAGCCAAAGATGCAAGAATTAACTCTGCAGACGATTTAAATTATTGTGACGGAAATTTATATATTGCTGATACGTTCAATTCGAGAATTAGAAAAGTCTCTTTCGATTCGAATATTATTGAAACCTTTGCAGGAAATTATGAATATTCTGAATCAGGAATTGGAACTTCTGTTGTTTTAAATGATCCCACCTCTCTGAGTTATAATCCTCAATTTCCAAATGAGGTATTAATTGCTGACACAAACAGTAATGTCATTCGATCTCTTGATTTGACCACCAACAATTTACAAACTGTGGCAGGAAACTACAATCCAGGTCGTGTCAACTCATCGAACATTATTCGACCTCAATGTGCAGTGCGAGGACCCAATCGAGAATTATATATTTGTGACACTTACAATCATCGAGTATTAGTGAAATATGAAAATGGAACGGAAGAAACAATTGCTGGAATTATTGGCAGTTCAGGATATAGTGGCGATGGATATTATGCAAAGGACGCCAAGCTCTATACTCCAACGAGTATTGCCCTTAACAAGTTGGGAGAAATATTTATTGCTGATTCAGGTAAGTTACTTTTCACCAAAGATGTCAATTTTAAATCACAACTTGTTTCTTAAAATGATATCATTCTTGTGAAACAATCCTTTTAAACATGAAATTCTCAATAGATAACAATAGAATTCGAAAAATTGACAAGGACGGTATCATTTCTACTGTGATTGGAATTGGTGATCCAAAAAATCCATGTCCTCGATCCAGTCAATACATTCAAATGCCCGTCACCACAGCATGTGTCATTCATCCAACATCGCTACAATTTGACAACGAAGGATATCTCTATTTGAGTGATGTTGGTCATCACATGATTCGAAAAGCAAGCCCTGATTTGACCACAGTATATATTATTGCAGGAAATGGGCTCACTGAATATGTCAGAGACTCGGGAATTACTGCTACCTCTGCATCTCTCTTTTCTCCAAGGTAAGTTTGACAAGTTGGATTATTTTACAAAATATTCATGAAATGTACAATTTTTGAAAACCAAATTCAAAACATTCCATAGAGGTCTATTTGTCACCAACAATGGAGATGTCTTGATTGCCGATACAAGACATCATCTCATTCGAATTGTCACAAAAAAAGATTCTTTAATTTCAACGATTATTGGAACTGGATTACGAGGAGACAGTAATTCCTTCGAAAATGCAACACTCAACAATCCATTCTCAGTCATTGTCACAAAAAATAATGACATTATATTTTGTGAAAATAGTAACAACAAGATTAAGAAACTTTCATGTACACAAGGTCTCTATGGAGTGTTGTGTGAACCTCAGATGGATCAAAAAATTGTAATATTTATTTCAGTCATTGCTGCAACTGTTGCACTTGCCATTTGTTGTGTGATTACCATTGTGGCTGTTCAATGTTATTACAACATGAAAAAACGAAAATCATTCCATCGATTACGGGAACCTCTCGTTTATCAACTCGAAGAACGTTTATTACCCATTAGTAATGTCACCATTAACAAGACCAAAAAATTAGGAAGTGGTAGTAGTGGAACTGTTTATTTGGGATATTGGGATGAAGTTTTAGTAGCAGCAAAAAAAGTTGAAAAATCAACCTTAACAGAACGAGAAGTTGAATTTTATAAGGTTAGTAGTTTTAGAAATACAATGTTCGTACCATGTTCGTACAAATTACAATTTGAAAGAAATTGCGAAATCCACATATTGTCACATTGTATGGAGTGAAAGAAGAGGAAATGAAGACTATGTTGACGATGATAGTATCTCCACGAATACGAATGGACGTGAAGGAAGCATGTATCTCATTATGGAATATATGGGAGGAGGATCTCTTCGAAAATATATTTATTCTCTTTCGAAAGGAACTGAAAAGTGTACCTTTGTTGACAAGTTATGTTTATTGAAAGGAGTTCTCATTGGATTGAAATACCTTCATGAAAACAACATTACGCATCGAGATTTAAAACCTGATAATATTTTACTCGATGAAAGACATCAAATTGCAAAAATCTGTGATTTTGGAACGACTTTAAAAACAAGTGCAAATCTGCAGGAAGAAACGACACTTGGAACTCCAGCGTATTTACCTCTCGATGGTGTCACGAGTAAAAAACCAAGTACCAAAGTCGACGTCTATGCATTTGGAAAAGTCATGTGGGAATTACTGTTCGAACGATCACTGGAACAAGCATCAAGTTCGCATGAAGCTCCCATTCCGTTCAATTCTGCAGTTTCTTGTTTTACATGGATTAGTGACAATCCGTTAGTTGGAATTCAATACAAGGATGAAAGCAATGAAGATGAATGTTTTAAACAAATTGAAGCACATTCAGAAATTGTGTGGGAATATTGTAAAGTCATGAAAGATTGTTTGAGTCAGAATGTCGAACAGAGACCAACTATTTTTAAAATTCTGAATTTGTGTAAATTATGGATTGGAAGATTGGATGAAAGTAAGAAGGTAGTATCGAATGTACATGGTACAACATTGACGTCGAGTTATGTGAATGTGGCATTGACTGAAAATTATGTTCCAATCGAGCTTTGAGATTCTTCCTCAATAATAATGAACATAATATATATGATTCATTCCAACACAATTGAATTTTTTTTGCAATTTTTTATTGAGGAAATTTTGCATCTCGTTTACAAAGAGATATCTCCATAGCACTATTCTATTGGGTCATGACATGCATTGATAATAACATCACCACCTCAATTAATACCCTCATAAACAAAATGCGTAAACGTGCTCCCACTGTGCTTTCTACGAATCAATTGCCTGCTGCCAGTACTCACTTTCAAGACGTCACCGTTCAATTGTTGTCACAGGAAACTACCTCTCCTCTTCAACTCAACATTGCTGCATACTTTTCTCGAATGAATGGTCCCGCATCTTGTCGATCCTGTGGCGAGCGTTCGAAAAAATTGTTATTTACTTTCGGAGACAATATTTATTGTAAACGTTGTGCTTCCGATATGGAACGAGTGTATTTACAGAGCTATCGACAACGTGAGGAAATGAGAGAACGAGGTAAAAGAGTGTATGACCTTTGTGTCGAAATGGAGTCGAAGAAGAATTCGGTCAATTCGAATGCAAGTTCCAGAGCTCAGTCACCTGTCATGAATTCTTCAGTTTCGACTTTGCCAGTCATGAATGTCATGAGACGTGCAAGTATCATTTCAGCGAATTTTCCAGAACTATTTCCTGGAGGTTTTGGCACAAACGGAGCATCTTCAGGTTTTCCCTCGCCAGCAACTTCGGTGGCTTCTTCATTGGTTTTGAATGCTTTGAATCAACAACAACAACAATCAAAGGGTTTGTCTCAATGATCATTGTCAACTTGTTCTTTGAAAAATGTCAAAATCAATTCTTTGGAAAGACGACAACCAAACCATTTCACATGAAATATTATTAAATAATCCTTCCCTATTGATATTATTTTCTTACAAGTTGGAATATTTTCAATATGTATAATTTCACCTTTGGATGGAACTCCACGATTGATTCAGAATATTTTGTAACAAGTCTCGATAAGTCCATCCTATTTCTCTGGCAGCAATTGCTGACAAACTATCTTGATTTTCTCGACCAACTCTGCCTCCACCTGTCATGTTGGCTTCATATTTAAATCAAACATTTTAAAATGTTGAACAGAATCCTCCGTGTGATGAGATCGACAGTCGATTCGAATAGGTGCTTTCGCTTTGACCCATTCAGCAGCTTTTTCACAGTCTCTCATAATCTTTTGAATGGCCTCATCCATAGTAAATTCCATTCGTTTTAAAGCAACACTGTTATGGATGACTGCTACAATTCCATTATAGGGAGCCACTCCATTCATGTGATTGAATCTCTTGACAGGAGGAAGAGCCCAATGTTTTGAAAATTCGACTTGTTGATGATCGATCGAGTAAGTTCCTGGTGGCATGACTGTAAGTGTCAATTCATCACCGTTTAAAAATTCCTCCACAATGAAATAATATCCATATTTGAGAACATTCAAATTGTCATTCACTTGAATTTTTTGATTCAATAATTCAAGTGATTTTTCAATCAACTGTTCGAATGTGTCAACTTTTTCCACACCTTCACTGCCACGTCCTCTGACAGGTTTGATAATGAGTGGAAATTGAATACCAAAATCGTGTAACGACTCTACCGATAACTCCTCAAGAATTTTGATATTTTCCTTGTAAATTCCAATTAATTGCATTTCCTCTAATTTTTCTCGTGTTGAAACTAGAATAGAATTTGCTACTGAAAGATTTTCCCTTCTCAACATTTGATTCGTTTCAAACTTGTCATCGAATTGTTGCACTAGTTTTGGATGCTGTCCAATAAATGTCACTTGTCTCAAATCCAATCCATTATCACTCCATTCACTATCATTCTCAATTTGAGCTTGTTGCAATTTTATCAAATCATGCAAAGGATGATCATCAAAGAGTACAGTATTGGCCCAAATTACCATTGCTCCCTTTCTCAAACAATCCTCAATTCCTTCCTTCGAATCAGGAAATACCCATTCCAAATCAGGAATAGATTTTAATTCATCATCATTATGGTTCAATATTCCTCTGTTGGGTGTTACAATGGAATAGTGTTGAGCTAATAAATTAAAAGCAATATCTGCTCCAGAATCTTTATAACCGCCAGGTTTGAAAGGCTTGATGACTCCGTCCACGATCGGAGGTTGAATGGATTGATAGAGAATGGCTATGGGTCGAGTAGTTGAAGACATTTTTTTGTAATTGAAATGTATGAAAATCATTGTTGAGTACTTTAATTTGCTAAAAGGATGGAAGGATAACCTTCCAATGATACCTCTTTCTCAACCATTCAAGAAACTCGAACTCCATTTCTCTGGGCCATCATTCATTTCTGTCAAATGCCATTTAACTTGTCAACCTTGTTCCAATTACTTCAGAGACACTCCATCGATTCGTTGGACATGAGGTTGTAACGCGTAAATCATTCCATTAAGGGTAGAAATGATTTGAGTTTGTTCACTGTCCACAAACTTTCCATTTTTCATGTTCAACACTGTTCCACTGAAAGGATCAATTGTTAACCAAGAACTGTCACATGCCACACCAATTCCATCCACGGATTGATCATTCTCATGAATTTGAGCAATTTGTAAAGAACAAACGGAAATAGATGCTTGTTTCGAAACGTCCAATGTCCATTTCTTTTCAATCTGTAAAGTTTCAGAGTTGACTTGCATTCCTAACAAGGTATATTGATTCTTACTGATATCTTGTTCGTGTTTGGTTCGACACAAAATGACCACATGATTATTCGACATGGAAATGGCATTGGAACATTCGCCAGGTCTGTCACTTGTCAAGGTAATTGATTGGGTCGACTGGGACAGATTTCTTTTCAAAAAGGCAGTAGCAAAAATCATTGATCCATCCAGTGTTCGAAATTGAGATAAGGTTATCAAAAAATCCTCCATCGAACTCACATGATAAGGAACCAAAGAAGAGTCAAAACTTGTTTCAGAAATTACTTGTCCAGTGGCAACTTCAAATTGAACCAATCCTCCATAAACCGTGGCATAGACGTATGGACTTTTACCGTCTCGAATCAATTGACCAAAATAACCCTTATTCGATTCATTGGTAATTTCATACAAGATTTTGTTTTCACTAGTTGACAAGAGACAAAGAATTTTTCGACTTGTTGAGAGAAGAATTTTCGAATCTTGGTTTTCGTCATCTTGGATTAATAACAAACTATGCATGACTTCCATTAAACCATCACTTTCGTAGAGAATGGTCCATTTGGAATGCTTTTCTGGAAAGTTGGAAGAAGTGTCAAGTTTCAATAAATAATTTCTTCCATTCAAAATGTTTTTTCGAATAATGTAGAAATTTCCAAATTGATCCAATACAGGAAGAGGCATCACGACGTCGTGGTCAAGCATTTGTAATTCGGAGGGAAGAACGTCATTCTCAAAATTTGACACGTAACGTAAAGTTTGCAAATTGAAAATTCCTAATATGGTATTCGATAAACTCTCATTCTGTTCATCCTCTTGAGATGATGGAATTGTAGTATGAAGAAAAAGTAATCGCGAACGAGCTGTATCCAATAAAAACGAAGATTCTTCGATTTGAGTTGCAACATTCGATAAGGAAATTGAAAAATCAGAAGACTGACGATTTTCATTTGAAAACCATGCAAGTCTTGATTGTTGACTGTTGACATTCACTTGATTCCAACCTTGCAATTTCTCTATTGTTGAAATTATTGGCTTCGGTATTCTATTTCCTTTCAAACTTTTCATACCATGAACAGAGGCAGAAGGCGTTCTTATTTGTGAGGAAGATGAGTCGAGTCGGAGAATCGAAAGCGCTGCTTCCGATATGTTGACATACCATGACAATGTTACAATCCATAACAGAACAAGAAGAGGTGTAATTACTTTCATTAAGGTGGTCGAAAGGAGTGTGTGTCGATGAAATGTTTCAAGTTGTTTTTTTCTAAAAAGAACGAGCAAGGTGTGGACCGTCCATCCGTACTTTTGAAGGTTGGTGTGAGCATGTATTGGGGTGAATGCAAGTTTGAAAATTTGGTCCTGGTACTTGGAATTTCAATTCTTTTAAAAATGGTAATTGAAATAAATTTGGAAGCTTTGACATATCGATGGGCTTGTACATACCACACGAGATGGCAACTTGTCAATACATGGTAATTCAATCAGCAAGGAATTTATCATACGATCACAACAAGGGTATAATATTTCTGGTCAACGTTCTTTGGAAATTTTCTTGCCGTCGTTTAATTTTCAATTCATCTCCAAACACATTCAATCACTACCTTTCTGAACACTTTACAAAAATTAAGATAGTTGAATTTACAATAAATAAGCATGTGTATTAAATTGTTCAATGATGGATGGGCATACAATTCCATTCAACTGAAATTACTTTTAATTGAATGGTTGTGGTGGATAACCATATGGCATTCCACCATAAGGCATACCACCGTATGGCATTGGTTGAGGAACTCCATACATACCACCCATCATTCCCATACGATGTCTGAATGATGGAATTGGAGTAATGTAACTGGCACCTCCAGCCATGATGAACAAGTAAGCATTGATGAATTCATCCATAGTAATCACGCCGTTACCATCACGATCCTGAAAATGTTGTGTTCAGAGCATATGTGTCATCATGGGTGGTTCAATGGGAATGCAAATGAATTGCCAAATATATCCATCATGAAAACAATGTTAAAACAAGATACATCAATGATCTAACAACAACAACAACTTTCACTAGTGTACACTTACCATCATTCTAAACAAATATTTGGCATTGACTGGTGGAATACCGAAATGAGTAGCAGCACAAAACTTGAATTCCTTCTTGGAGAGAGTTCCACTGCGGTTAAGATCGTATTGCCAAAAGAGTTGTTGAGCTGCTTGAACATAGTTGAATCGGTTGGCCATGACATGAGGAGGCTGATGTGCAACAATGAGTGGGTTGTTTGTTCATGGTTGAATATCAGGCACGGAATGAGATGATTATTATTTTGACATTTTTCAATGAACGATGATGGACAATCATCATCATGATCGTCGTGATGAGAGGATGGTAATATTACCATGTTCATCATTGGAATTAATAACGTCCATGATCTATATGATAATCACAGATTTTTGATGATACTTACGACTACGAATCCAGCAGGCATCCATGCTGGTTGTGGACCTTGCCAATAAGTAGTAACTGTGGTAGTTGTGGTACCTGGTTGCACATACATTCCTGGGTTATATCCGTACATGATGATTCTATTGTTGGTTGTTCTGGTTATTCCTTGTTGAAGGAGGAAGGCAAATAGGAATAGAATCACCGTGATGATGATCATCAACAAACACAATATCCAATCATGAATTGTACAAAAAGACATTGTACCATGTCGTGATCACGTTGAAGAAACGACCACCATAATACGAGAGGCAACATGTGAAACGATCGTTGAGTACACAATTATAGCGTGGATGAGAAACCTACTTTTGGAGCTATTTTTTAATGTTACTTTATTTGCTTCGTGAATGCATGGAATTCAAAAATAGCTCCATAATTTAGAAGAAGGGGTTACACATGAACAAAAGGAAAGGGCAGTGCCTAGGGGTGTTCCTCAGGGCTTCGTTCCGTCAACTGCTGCTGACCCTGGTCAACATCAATGGCGTCAAAGTTCGTTTGGTCATAGGGAGAAGCTTCTGAAGCAGTGGCATTACTGCGACGAGCTGAATCCAGTCGTTTTTTGAACTCTTGATATTCTCGTTGTACAGACGACTCGGAACGATCCAAATCTTCGACAGCAACCCTATTTGAAAATTTGTATATTGACAGAAAAGAGAAAAATAATATTCACACACTTACCTTAATGGAGGATATGTCCTGCTTTCAATCTCTGAGCACTTAATTTCGAATACTCGACTCGACTCAGAGAGTCCTTTGAGTGGATAAACTCCTAAATCACGAGCAGTGAATGTTCTTTCAATGGCAACCCTCTGTCGTTTCGATTTAAAGCTGTTAGTTGTTTTGGAGCTTGATGTGAAACTACCACTTGAGGGAGTGTCATGTGTTTCGCTTAGTGGGTGATGACGAGCACCATCGACACTGAGGTACATTTTTCCATCTGACGTCTCACTCATAAATTCAACGCTCGAATACAATTCTCGAGTTTTGTAAAACAATTCTTCGCTCACTAAAATTTGTCCACCATGTGCTAATGCCTCAATTCTTGCCGATTTGTTCACAACATTTCCAAAGTAGTCAAAGCGTTTCATGGTCTATCATCACAATGTTAACATTTACAATATATTGAGAAAATGAACTTTTCATGTGAAATAATCCTTACCTTGTCCCAAACACAATCTCCCTGTTGTGCATGTTGTAATCTATTCAACTCAATAAATCAATTGATTAACACTTACCTTTCCATAATGCAAACCAATACGCACTCGTAAGCCACTCCAGAAAGCTTTTCGAGTTTTTGGATCCCATTCTTGACGACAATCCCACTCATGATAAAGATCGCTTGGCCATTTAGCATTTAGTAATGCAAGTTGAACCTCCATGGCCCATGTGACAGCATCTAGCGGGTCTTTGAATACGACCTAATGTTGTTGAGAAAAAGAACAAAATAGTGAAAAATAATTCCACCTCCAATCACTAAATCACTGAAACTTACATAAAACGAATCACCGTTTGTCTTGACCTCATATCCTCTAAATTGCATCAATGTTGATCTCATGATGGTGTTATGAATTTCTAAAGCTGTCCTCATTGCCTTCTCATTGCTTTGCCAAAGTTTAGTACTGTTTTGTACGTCGGTAAATGCACAAGTTATTTTTCCTGATTTGGGTGCATGTTTGGCAGTTGGATCTCTTTTTGCAATCACTACAGCTACAATGCAAATAATCAAGGTAATGACAAAAAATAGAGTTCCTCCAATCACAATACCTGCAATACCTCCCGCTGATATACCAGGAATAATATATTCAATTCCACAAGTTTGAAAACGTAGTGAATAATTTTGAATTTTTTTCATGACAAAGGAATCTTGCAAAAAGTTGAGATAAATTTCCTTTGCTCCTTGATTACAGCTACAGAAAGCTGCTGTGGAAGAGCATGTGGAAGAGCTTGTAGAGGAAACGGATCTGGTAAAACTAGTGCCTGACGTCGTTCCGCTATTTGTGTCACAAGTATCTCCGTATGGTCCAAAATTATTGACACCAAGTTCAAATGTGGATCTGTAGAAGAGAGTTGAGACAAATGACTGCTTTGTCACGTCCAAGTTAACACTCTTCATATACTTGAGAATGTTGCTAACCATTGTACATACAGCAAATCCTTCGTAGGAAAGCATTGTCTTGTTCCTTTGAGGATAATATAGGGAAAAATATTGAATAAATTCTTTGGCCATAATATTGGTGAAAGACGTCGAATAAAATGCTTCTAAAAAAGATGCGGTAACAACATTTGTTCTTAAACCTGATAGAGTTGGACATGAGATTTCAGAAGGAATTCCAATTAATGAAGCTCCTGCACGTGCTACGAATGAACATGTGTCATATTCATTGGCCAAAACAAAAACAAAATTTCCATAATCAACCGTGTCAGTTTTGATGGTTCGTTTGGTATTTGATGGCATTAGCACGGTGGTGATCTTTACATTTTCAGCACTCTTTTCAAAGAAATCTTCTACGCTTCGTGATACAGAAGTCCAGTATTCTTGATTTGCGACAAGAATGGTTAATGACAATTGGTCTGAAACTTGAAAAAATAAGGTGCGTGCATAACGAGCAACTGCAACTACTTCTTCAACAATGGATGGTCGTAGGTTGATTATAAATCTAGAAAAAGGTGAACGCAAACTTGTATGACCGGATACTGGTCCGATTAGAGGTGTGCCGCGTGCATCAATAAGGGTACTTAACCCAGAGGCATTTCCAATGATTTTTGAACCTAAAAATCCAAAAATTTTGGTTCTTTCAATTAGATCTGTTGCCTTTTGTATCATATCTATTTCGCTGGTATAGTATTCAGTTTTGAGATGTATGGTTCTTGGCAGTTCGTGATAATCATTCATGGCTTGAATTAAGGACAATGCGCCAGCTGAAAAATCGTCCAATTGTTGAGATGAATTTTGGCCATTAGTATCTGTAAGTGGATATAATCTACCAAAAATGATTGGAGCTTGAACACTAGCTTTCAATGCATTCATATCAACTCCACACTTAGATTTGTCAAAAGTCATTGTTGTTACAGGAACAAATTGAGTGGTCGCAAATTTAACAATGTAATTTGTTCTCATTCCCAAACTGCACTTCTTTGTGGTTGAGAATTGGCCGAACGGTATCTGGTACTTGATAAATTCAGAGTCAGAAAACACAGTGTCCATAAAACTGGAGCCAGAGATTGAGGATTGTGGAGAAATATTGTCAAGAATCTCAATTATAAAACTTCCAACTAAAAAACCTTGAACAACACCTGTTGTGTTTTTGGTGGGGGTGGTTAGATACTTGTTGACGACTGATTGAAAGGTATCAATAAACGAATGCTTTGTACGAACGTAGGGGAATGGCTCCACCAAATAAAAACTAATAGACGAAAACGAGGAGTTGTTCAATAAATCAGCAATCCTTGGTTCCCACTGCAAATTCCTAAAATACAGACAAAATATGACAATTTCTTTTCTGAGCTTGATAGATGCAATGCCAGTAAGAATTTCCTGCAAAACCCTAAAGTCAATGTCATCCTTTGGTATTGATATTACAAACGCTTGAGCGTTGGCATTATCAACCGTAAGATACTCTTTGACTTGAGAGGAAGAAAGGATATTCGAAGAGGAAAACATAATCTCGCTGTCCAAATAAAGCTCATACTCTTCCAGCATTCTCATAAACTCTGAGCGAATATATTTTCCATCGGTGTCGCCTGTACTAATGAACGAGAAGCGAGACAATCCCAAAGTATTCATACTGTAATCTAGGACTGATAACAACCTCTCTCTAATAGATGTGGTTAAATGAATAATGTTACGAGAAAAAGTGTCTCGCAACTGTGGTGTGTCGAATGATGTCTCTGGATTTATAAACACCATGCTACTGAACTGTGATGCAAATTGTTCTAAAAACGAAGTGGCTGTTGGGATGCTATTAATCTTACTTCCCACAAGGCCTATGGCGTTATTGTCCACCACAAATTTTCTGCTGGCGTTAACTAGGGACTCCACAGAGACAGCAGTACCATTGATGACAATAGGTAAAATTTCCAATCTCTTTCCTCTCACACCTGATTGCTTGTCGTTTCTGTCTTTAAACACAGCAGACACTCCCGAAATGAAATCAGAGTCGTATGCGCTACCGTCTGAAATGTGACCAAACACAATGGGCAGAGAAATTTTGGTAGGGTCAAAAAAGCATGAGAAACTTGAAGAGCCAGGTAAATCCCAAACAACTGGATCTCCAATTTCTGTGAACGAAGCATCAGCGTTTTGTATGGTCTTCCACACTGATCGAAGCCCTTGATTACAAGAGCATGCAGAAGAGGAAGTGGACAATACTCTTCTAGAGGTCCAATCACTCCTAAGGCGATGACTTGTAATTTGGTCTGATTTGTACCTTCTGTGTGAAGAGGACTCATGATTTGGTGGAGTAATTTCTGTTAATATAGGATTATTGGAAGAAGATGTGTCCTCAAATACAAATGTGGATCTTCGAGAAGAGCTTGTTGTGGAGCATTTGGTATAGGGGCCAACCACTGTATTATCCATCACGTACGTTCCTGACGAATAGAGCAAATCAATGAAATTGGATCGTGTCAAATCTCCAGATACTCGTTGTGTGAGAATGTTAATAGTAAGCTTTGCAGCCATATAACCTTCCAATTCAACCAATGATGGAATGAAAGTAGGGTCGTATGCTTTCATTGCTCGTTGGTATGACAATACGATTGGATATTTCGTGTTGGTAGGAGCTGGAAACACTTGAGTGATTACAACACGATCTCTATATGGAAGAATATTTGACCCAATGAAAGAGCCTGTCACGAATAAAATTGCAGGATCATAATCTGTTCTGGCCATGACTCGATTAATGAATTCTACAGTAGGTTTGTAAGTTGACATGCAAATAATTGCCTGTGGTTTTCCTTTCACAATAGATTCGAGTGCGTTCGAAACTTCGATCGTATTTCTTTCGTACGTTCCCTTAGAAACAAGGCTCATGCCAAGAGCGGTCAGAGCAAGAGTGGATCCGTCTTTTTAAGAGAGATGTTAAAAAATTGTTGTCAAATAAAAAGTTAAAAATCCACCAATTTTGTGACCGTCCATTTTGAATGAATCATTCCACAAAAAAGCACATGAATTCATCACCATAATAAAAATCAGTAAATGCAGCATATTGGGTAAACGTGAACACATACGATGAATCGAATACAAATGAACACATACCCAATCCTGAAACTCCAAAAGCATCATTCTGATAAAAAATGGCAATCCTTCGCAACATTTTAATGTTGACCAAATATTCAACCATGGCTGCAGTTTCGTCTTGATAACTGGCTCTCACATTGATAATATTTGGATAGAAGGGCGTACGTAGAAACAATCCTCCAGTTAAGGCCCCAATATAAGGCATTTTTGATTCTATGAGTAGATTGAGAATGGCTTGACTTGTACCCGTTCCTTACGTGTTCGAATTGTGTGAAAACATGGTTTGAAAATGGTTCACACAATTCGATACCGTCAGCAAAATGTTGAATGTTCAATACCATTCGAATAACGTTGCATGAATATGATATCATGTTATTCCGTGCATGTCGACTACTTACCCATGTAACCCAATAGGCCAAATATTGTCTGATTATTCAGCAAAACGAGAGTATTATTGATGCATCGAGGAGGTTCATAGCCGTCGTCCAATGAGTAGAGACGGAGCTTTTTACCTCCCCACACACCTCCCAATTCGTTAATTTCCTTAAAGGCTGCCTGTATTCCGACCATTAGCGGGTATCCAAGTCTATCGTGGTGGGCATGCCATTTCGATAAGAGGAGGGTGGTTTGAAATCATTCACGAACAAGGAATATGTCGCGAAGATGCAACATACATGTTGGGAAATGAACACGAGAGAAATGACCATAGCAATCATGAATGTCAGATATCTGTCCGGACGTGATATAAATGCTTTCAACTTACTCCCTGGTTTGACCTGTAAGGGCAGTGGACTGTCCAAACACAATTTCGGACTCATCATTCCACTTCTTGTCGTATAATGTTTGATTAAAAGTAAAAGATGATTGAGCCTTAGCAACGTGAGTACTACAAAGTAGTAAACTACTAGCCAAGAAAATAAATATAATTCTTAATAACGCCATATAAGGGTAGTGATGATCGTTCGAGCAATAATGGTTATGATTTTGTACAAGGTAGTGGATAATAGATTTACAGACTGACTTGCTCGAGTAGAGTGGGTGGGGTTGAAGACTAGGATGGCACAGCGATTCGTTATTTTGTGGTTGTTGGTGTTGTTGTTGCTCTTGGCGTTGTTGCTATTGAGATATCCGCGTAGATACAATCGCGTGTAAGGCTTAGTGAGAAAATTTGTCGTAAATATGTTCGCGGGATTGGCTTGCGCGGATTTTTTTGGTTGTTGCAGCAATCCACAATGAACCACCACCAGGGAGCTCCTTCTTTGATTTGGATCGTTTTGGCTCTGTTACAACAGCAGCAGCAGCAGCAGCATGTTACAACAGTATGATGAGGTCAATTATTGGTGACGGGAGACTCTCAACCAATACAATAAGGAAAAAAAAATTAACAATGACTCTTCCCGTAACCGTTCAGCAAATTTCTCTTCCACGACAACCAACACAGGAAGATGACCTCCGAAGATTGTTACTGGATCACAGTGATACCAATCATAGTATTCACCACTCTCAGCCCTTATCAAATAATAGCACACGAGAGGAATTAGTTTCCTCCATACGGGTGTCGGCGCAACAACCTAATTCGCCGTCCATGATCATCTACTCGTGTCCTCACCGAGTGAACGTAAAATTTGTTTTTGCAGAAGAGAATGATAGGCAGCATATGGTTGAACATGTAAAGCTTTTTGTTTCATCGGAACACTTGTTATTGCTTTCCGATACGTTGACTGCCTACAAGATACATTTCAGAGACATTTTGATGCATGGTGTTCAACAATCTCCAACTCTGTGCATGTATTGTCAATTATCAACGATGGAAAGTGGCCAAAGCGGCCTTGCAGGATCCTCTGAAGAAGAAGATTTCAATGATGATGATGTGTGTGAAATGATTATTACCGTGGCAACAACAGCATCTCAACAACAACAAGAGGATTCATCTCTAGAATCATCACATGAGCAACAACTCAATCAAATGTATCAGGACATGTATCGAGCCTTCTCCATAGCAGCAGAAAATGTACCTCTCGATGCCAACCATACCGAAAATGAACATCTCAATTCAATGATGAATGACATTAATCTTGACGATAAATTGTGCATGAATTCGGATGGCTGGGTATACAATATTGAAGAAATGAGAAGAGCTGTCCTCGTCAGAGATCGAACAGAACGAGAGGAACATGATGGTGAATTGAACTCTGCTGATAATGACCTGGATGATGAGGATGAATGGGAAGACGTAGACGACGAAGAACTTGACAATAAAAAGAAGAAAATTCTCTAAATGTAACTCTAAAGTACCATCAGTAAATTACCTTCCTCCTCCTCAACATTCACATCAGAGAGTGTAATGTATTCCTCTGTTTTGTGCTTTTAACCCAGAGACTGAATTTTGATTGAATAAATGTTTTTTTGTTGTGTTTTTGAAAAAAATATTGATTTTCATCATCAACAATAGCATGTTAAAGCAGTGGTTGCCAATCTTGTTGCGAGCTGGAAAAAAGTCCAGTCTTAGTCAGAAGGAAAAGAGTAAGTGTTGCAATTCATGACGCAATTATGAATTTATCAACAATGAATTTATCTAATCGGATATTTGAATTCGGATTAAATGTATGATGATGATGGATTCAACAATAATAATAACAATTCATCAACAATGTGCTGATTTCCCCCTATCTCTTAATCATCATTTATACATTTGTACAATTAATCTCATCATGTTCGTTAATGTTTCCATCTTGAATTTATCATCATCATGATATTCAATTGAATATCCATGGCCATTATCATTCCATTACAATTAGACTTGTTCCTCTCAATTTTCAATCAGCATGCTTCATCGTTCTGCAACGTTATAAATTCTAAAGAACACAACACGAGAGCCTTCTCGACCACTTTTCAAAATCATTTGCGTGTTTCTTCTCCTAAACCACCTAGCGAAGAATCCGCAGAAAGTTTGAGAGAAAAGGCCGAGAGGATTAAAAGAATGAAAGCCGAAGAGAGAAAGAACAATCCTCAACCACCTCCACAAGAGGAAGAAACTAGTGAAGAAACAAATACTTCTGAAGAATCAAAACAATCAACAGAGGAGAAAACAAGTGATAAATCCGAAAAAACAAAGGCTGACGAAAAAAAGAAGAAAACAGCTGATTATGAGGATATGGGAGATAATCAAGCAAAAGAAAAGGTTCGCACCAAGCCAAACTGGCATCATTATGGTATGAAATATACATTACCAATTGTTACGGTGATAGCTCTGTATAACCTCTTCAGTGCCTTTGCAGAGAAAGGATTTAGCTTGAAAAATATGCAAGAAAGATTTGAGGAACTTATTGCTCCTTTGAAAAAGCCACAACAATCCAAATTGCTTCCAGATATTCCTCAAGGACAACCAATGAAACCAGTGCTCGTTGTACCAGTCGAAAATTTCCTTGTTTATTCCTCGTATAATTCTCGTGCTGGTTGGAAGACTCAAAAACGTCCTGGAGTGGATCAATTTTTACAAGCTCTTTCCAAACATTATGAGATTGTATTTTTCTCTGACAATTACATGACACCATCTCTGGCTCAAATGTTAGAAAAAATTGATCAGTATCAAGTGGCTCACAAGCTTTTTAAGGATGCTACCGTCACAGAAGGAACAAGAAATGTCAAAGATCTTTCACTTTTGAATCGACCTTTGGAGAGAATTATCATGATTGAACATCGCCCAGACGCTTACAGCAAACAGCCAGAAAATACTCTTAGAATAACACCTTGGAAGGGCGACACTCAAGATAGAACTCTTGTTGATTTGATCCCATTCTTGGAAATGGTTGCAACCAAATCTGGCAGAATTGATGTGAGGACAATTTTACAAGAATATGGAAACAAGGAGAAACTTGCTCCAGAAATTGCTCGTGATTTTATTAACATGTTGGAAAAGAGAAGAAAGGAACGATCTCCACAAACAGCATCTACACAACCCACTACTGATGAAAAGCCTCCAGCACAAAGCGGAGGTTGGTTTGGCTTGAGAAAGTAATAAATCATCTCTTGAATTCAACATTTCAATTATCAACACTATGGTGTGGTGTCTTTTTCGAATAATTTTGTGAGGACAGATATGAGAATGCCAAAACGCTCAAATCATTTTAATTCCAAATAAAACTCCTCTGAATAAGTATACCCTGAAACTCCATACATGAATTTTAAGGGCAAACTATTACCATTAAGCATTACATTGGTAGAGAATTCACCAATGAAAACCAATATTCCTTTCTTGAAATCGTTGGAATCAGCCTGAATCAAGAACTGTTTGCATGCGATTTTCTGACTAGTTGTGGTCACCATCAACACAGATCGAGGCGCATCTTGTAACGACCCCAAGCTCATACTAGTCCTGATTTCAAAATGAATATGTATGCAAACCCTGTACGACGTTATTTGATTAAGATTTACAGAATGCTCCTCTACCAACGAGCTATTGCATGGTTTAAAGGCATAGCTCATTTTCAACAAGTGACACTTGTAGTCTTCGTTGTATACTGAACACAAATCTGTGAGGAGTGTAAATTTCATTTGAAATAATGTTGAAAGTGACATGTAATCACCAATCCATCGATTCATAGCTTCCCAATTATCTTCAATTTGCAGTATGGTTCCTCTATGCAATGCAAGAAGATGTTCTGTTTTTACTCCTTGACAAATGACACGTAATTGAAATAATTCTTTTAAATGTACTTGTAAATTATTTCTTCTTAATTCGGAATTGTGGTGTCGATTTTTTTCGTTATTACAATCCTGACCATGACTATGGCCACCACTGCCATTCCATAAATAATATTCTTGGTAATACTTGTTGAACCATAAGCGTTGGAGATGATCCGTCAATTGTTTCCGAACATACATATTTTCATAGAATAGTTTGGGATGAATCAGAAACCACATCAACATGTTCTTGGGAGAGTCTATTTGAAATAGTGCAATGGATGGCAATAATTCGTGAGGAATTTTTGTAAAATCCATCCGATCATGAGTATTTTCGAGGGAAGGATTTGCTGGATGGAATGAAGGCAACATTTTTTTTGCGTTACAAAAAATTTATAAATTGTAAGATCATTTTCAAATTAAATTTTAATAGTAAATGTTGATACTATGGATAATCTATTTCATTGATTCACTCTCAAAATTCTTGCTGTATAATGTCATTAATTGTTTCATGGTCCATTGAAAACTCTCTCTGGATCGAATGTATTTGTGAAAATATTCAAAGCATTTGGGATGAACTGATTCTTTCAACAACATGCACGTATCTATTCCGCTCAAACAAAAACCAATACAAATATCAGCCACATCGAATTCATTTCCTAATAAATAATTCCATGATGAATCTCTTTGAGAAAGTTCCTTTTCTAAATAGGGTAAGTATTGATGTGAAATTATTTTTGCCTTTTCATCAAACTCTTCTTGTTCCTCTTGTGAAAGTACTAATTGACTTTTTGTCGACATGTTTAAATTCTTTTTTTGAACAAGTGCTTTGAATAACTTGATTGGCGCTTGAGCTTCGATTTCAAAGGAAGAATTTGTCCAAAACACATACTTGTATCGGTTGGCATTGGATTGGCTGTCTTGTAATTGTGTCAATTTAGAATGTTGTTGAAAATGGTCTAGTAAGAAGAAAATAATTGCATTCGATTCAAATAGAGCTTGTTCTTCATGATTTCCTTTCAATTTGAAAACAAGAGTTGGAACTTTGAGGAATGGATGAGGATTCATTTCTGGATGGAGATGGTCTCCCTTTTCTAAATTCAGAAAATTCACTTCGATCGTTGGAAGATGGTTTTCAGAATCTGTAATACGAGTCGTATGCGTTTCCACATGGACTGGTTGACTGTTGTATTGGAATTTCAAAGGAAGCTTCAATTCGTTCAGTACCCATAAAACCTTGATGGATCTTGTCGGAAATGAAACATATAATTTTAAATACTCGAAAGAAGTGGAAGCTTGTGGTAATGATGCTCCAAAGGTTGATTGAGACATTGAAAGTAGTATTGAAAGCTTGTTGAACTGTTTTTTGTGTTTGTTGGCAATGCGGTTTTTTTCACATGGAGACATGGAGGACAATTTGAGCATTTTGAAACGCTCCGCATTCTAGGAAAATGTCCTCAAGCGATCTATTGAAATTCAAAGTGGTTATTGAATCAATTCAAACATGAATAGTTCTTGCAAGGTCTGGAGCAACTGGGAACGAGAAAACACAATCCAAGAAGATTTGCACCAAATGACTACTGTTGTGCAAACTTATTAACGTGAATTCTCTACCAAAGTAACTCTCATCTTATTCTTATCATTTTCTGGCCATTGATATCAATCACATAAACGTCACCATCACCAATCATGTCTCGAATGTGAAACATGGGATTGAAGATGGTATTCTTGAGAGGTCGTTGGAGGAGAGAGTGAACCATAATTTCCTTAAATTGTTTTCTTCTCAAGATTGAAAGGATTTCTTTTCTTCCATTGTCAATATAGAACATGAATTGCGAAAGGTTGGGAATGGCAAAGTAGAACGAGTTTGTATCTTTGATTGTCAATGCACCAATGGTCATGAGCAATGTAATTCCGTCATCAATTTGCCTTGAGCTCTCTTCGGTAGAGTCTGGAAATAGACAATCCACCAAGTCTGTTCTGTCAATGAATGGTTCTGTCACGTTGAGAAGAACGTTTTCACAGAAATTAGAAATAACTTGTGACAATTGCTTTTTCATTGGCTCACTGAGTTTCCTTCTTGATTCTTCTTGATTTTTATGAATGAAATATGGTATTCCAGAAATAACACGAGAATCATCCTCTGGCGAGCTTTCGTGTCGTTCCAACTGTTCCAAATAACTTTCATATTGTTTCTTAATGCTAGATATATAATCTTCTGTAAATACAAATCCAAAAATATCCTTATACATTTTTCTGTCAATATAAAATCTTCTAATTTCATGACTTTGTATCATTTCATTTAGGGTTTTTTCGATTTGAGTTGGTGTTTGATTAGGTATTATATTTTCATGAAATAGGAAATGTTTAAGCACAACGGGTGGGAAAAAGAATTTCATTTTGTGCTTGCAACTTAGAATGGCACTCTGAATTTCTTGCCGAATTTTCAGTAATCCAATATGAGTATCTGAAAATTGAAAAGATTCTCCCTCTTCTAAATAATCGGCAATACTATCTAAATTTGATGACGAAGAGACATCTTTTTGAGTTTCAAAGTCATTGTGAGTATTAATTTCAGAAAGATGATTCAATTCAAAAGTTGCACTTGTTGGTGGTGTATTATTTCCGCTTGATTGCTGGCCAGCAGTTTTCGGAGACGTGGATATCCTTCGTTTGGAAGGAGACTTGAGGCTAGTTGTTGTTTTAGATGGAGATACCAGTGTTTGGTCGTTTGAAGACCCCAACAATTTCTGTGGTGGTGATCGAACGCTCCGAGATTGAATCAACTTTGGATTTAATATCTTGTTATTATCATCCGTCTTTGAATGGTTCCCATCCGTACTTCCATCACTTGTTGTTGTGCTATTGCTCTTATTAATTTTTCTCTTTTTTAATTGTGAAGAATTGGTCGTTTTTTCCGACGCAGGGCTGAAATCATCCGAACAAGCCATTCCCATCTCCATTAATTGTAATTCCTTTTCCGATAAATCTTCAACTTCCGATCTCTTCAGACCTAAATTCTTGGCAGTTTTATTAGTTTTCAATGTGGGCGTCAAGGACTTTCTTGGTGGCATTTTTTTTTTGTAATCTAGAGCTTTGTTGCTTTAGCGATGTCTTATAAAATTTATTTGGAGTTCAAATATTAGATAAGAAATACTGAAGCTATTGTGATCGTTGCTCCGCATTCGGTAGTTTGTGGTCTTTTTGCACTTCGTTTATTTAACGTGTTTGAAAAACCAATATTTTCGTTTCGATACACTTGTTTTTACAATTACGTGTTGTAAACTTTTGATTCTTTCCAACTGTAAAAAAATGCCAAAAGAACTAAACACCGCAAACAAGCAATTGCAACCCAGAATCTCCACAACCAAATCTAAAACTCAACAAGGTTCCAAGAATCACACCGAATCAACTCCTCAATTTACCGTTGCCATAGACAAGAGCCATGAAAACAAACTTCAAACAGCACAAAATGCAGTCGGTTCTGTCATGCTTTCACAACTCATGAAACAAAATTCCAACGGCGCCTCTTTGAGTAACTTGGTATTTTCTCCATTTTCTTTTTTTCATGTCATGCTGATGATCTTGATGGGATCCAAAGACGAGACACTCTCTGAATTGGTTCATGCTCTTCAATTGAAAGAAAGTATGATGGTATCATGTTCTGAGGGTTGTTCCTCAGAGCAAGAGCTCAATCCGTTGCAATATTGGAAAATGGAACACTTGGAATGTTATATGAACACTTGTATGAAATATTTCAAAATGACCTCTTCAGAAGAGACAAGTGCCAATGTGGAAAGTTCTTCCACTCCAATCTCTGTTTCTCTATCAGTGGCCAATCGATTATTCCTTGAACAATCCTTAAATGTGAAATTAGAATATTTAAGTGAGCTGAAACAATATTTCAATTCAGAGCCTGAATTATGTAATTTTAAAGAACAACCCATGGAGCAAGTTCAGAAAATCAACTCATGGATTGAATCTAAAACCAATGGTCGCATTCCAAACATGTTGTCTTCAAGTGATGTATCCGAATCAACTTCTCTAATCCTCGTCAACGCCATTCACTTTTTAGGTACTTGGATGCACAAATTCAACATCAACAGAACTAATCCTCGTGCGAGTTTTAGAACACTCATGGATCCCACTGGAGAAACGACCAAGTGTGAACGCATGTCAATGTTTTCAAGTGGTGGAATCATTCTTTCGTATGGTGAACTCGTCATCAGTACAAAATTTTACAATTATTCTATCGAGATCCCAACTATGCCATGATTGTGATCATTCCCAAAACAAGTATTCCTCTCACTGTTGAAAGTGAACAAGAGTTTGATGAATGGTTTCTTTCAAAATTGGCAAATGTGAAACAAATCACACCAACCACAAGATTGAAATTCAGGAAAGTTGAAATTCCTAAATTTAACATGGAGGTGAAAGAGAATTTAACGGATGTATTGAAATCCTCACCTCTGAACATGCAACACGCATTCAGTCCCTTGCAAGCAAATTTTACTGGAATTTCTGAAAATGTCAATGGTCAAAGAATATTCATTTCCAAAATCATTCAAAAAGTGTATATTAAGGCCGATGAAGATGGAACGGAAGCCGCAGCATGTACTATGGTTGGACTTGGAAAAGGAGGTGCCCGTAGAAGCCAAACAACAGAAAAATTATATGAATTTGTGGTGGATCGACCTTTTGCTTTTGTGTTGCATCATCTTCCAACCAAAAGTGTCTTGTTTTGTGGAAAAATTAATTCTTTTTCTTCTGGTCAATGAAATTCTATAATATTCTATTAAAATATTTTTTTTACAAAAATTAAAAAAATGACCGAGTATGGAATTTTGCCATCATCCATTCAATATGCTTCTCCGATGGATGGTTTATTAAATTCAGCACTCTCTCTTCGCGGAGTTTGGATCTTGGATGAACAACGACAAAAGATATTATTTTCAAGAAGGTTTCCGACAGTAGAAAAACGGGCATTAGAGTTGATCCGAGCACAACAACATATCGGAACAGATGAGAATCGTAGGTATTCTTCAATAATTGTGGTTGTGCAAATATATATATGAATGATCAATATTTACATCATCATTCATGGCTGGAATAGAATCAATCATGCTCTCTTCATCATCAGCTCAACCATTTGTAAAATCTTTGGCTCACCATTTATCTGCCTCCATTTCCGATTTTGGAGATGGATTTTTAGTGGAATATTTCAGCTTGGCAAAAAAACAGTATGAAACATTGGCTGCTTCAAGAAGTGGTCTATCCATGCATGCACAATTATTTAAACATTCGTCAGTTCATCCACCAAAAATTCAATCCATTTTGGAAACTGTGGAAAATGAAAATCATGAATCATTATGGAAAGTATTCTTGAAATTAATGGAAGAGAATTATGCAATGTTTTCAATGGATACAAAATTTGTTGAAAAGTATCATTTGGAAGAGCAGATCATGTTATCATCATCGATGGGATCAGACTCTATTTCAGCGGAGGATGAAGATTTGGCAATTTTACTTCCACTCGAAGTATCCACTAGCTTGAATACTCAAAATTCTCTCACTGTCAAATCTCAATCTGTTGACAGGATCAAGTCACCAACCAACAAAAAAGGATTGAAATCACCGAGTGGAAAAAAACATAACTCATCTGCTCGAGGTTTTTCTACGAAACCAAACAATAATTCACCAAATCATATTAATTTATTTGGAAATTCTGGTAACGCGACAAGTCTTCAAACTGCTGAGAGCGACAAGAATGTTCCTCCTCATATTTTCCCATTTGTTTCCATTGTCGTTGGAGGTGTCACATTTGTTGCACTCCCACTAATAGTGCCAAATGCTTCGACAACAACACCTGAATCATTTATTGACTTTTCAAAATTAGAAAACACCCTGGAATATCCATCAATATCTGGTGCTTTTAGTTTCTTGCAAGATCTTTCATCAAACTTTTTCTTGGCCAACCAAAAACATCAAAAATCTTCCGAAGTTACCAATTATATGAACATGTATATTAGTCAATGTGCGCCATTTGGAAGGCCCATTGATTCAGCACCATCCAATGTCCATCTCTTACTCACTAAGCCATTTCCAATAGATGACCCAGAGTTGTCGTCCTTGAGAAGACCCTCATGGAAAGCTCATTCACTGAAATTCGATCAGCAACGAATTCATTTCATTATTCGCGAAAATATTTTAAGTGCTCAATTTGATAAGAAGGACATTCCAGATGAAATTTCATGTTTTGGATCGATTTTGTGTAGTGCAGAAATTGACGGATTTTCTGATGTGACAGTGAGCTTGAGTGAACTACGCAATACAAGGCACATTTCAGTGCATTATTGTTGTAGAGATCATCCAGATGAAATGTCAAATCCTGGATGTGAATATGCAAGCTTGTCATTTTCTCCTCCCTCGGGTGCCTTTGTTTTGTGTAAATACAATATTGAGAATGTGAACAAACCACCCGTGCGAGGATATTATCAAATGAGAGAATTGGCAGATAATAAGGTTGAATTTTTACTGCAATTGGGAATTGATTCAGTGGATTCTCAATTCGAGTACTGTAATGTCATTATACCATTTCCAAACAGAACGGAAGTAACTGATATTTCCTATCAAGCAGTACAGGGACAATTAACAAAAGGAAAAGGGAAAAATAATTTAGTTTGGACGATTGGCAACAAGTGGAAAACGAAAGAATTATCACTTTCTGGAACTCTCACGTTTAATCAAACATCGTCATCGGATACAATGGCCATTGTGAAGGATGTTTCTGATCCATTTTTTGTGAATAAGAATTCTCTAGTTCGACTGCAGTACAAGTTGTTGAACATGTCACTGAGTGGGGTTATTATTGATCCAAAAACTGTTTCTCTCAATTCATCACTCAAGTTGGAAGCAGTGACCATCAAGAGAGAAATTGTTGCCGAAGATTGTGTCATTTACAATTCGAGAGGAGATGTTAGGCATGTTCAGTAGAGTGTGAAATTAAAATTTTGGGGAATAGTAATGAGATCATGTTCTTTTTTGGATGGATAGATTGTGAAAGTACTTGTCACTTACGCGACATTACTTGTTCAAATAAATCTTTTCCAACTTGGCAAATGCAATCTTCCATTCTGAAGACATTTCTTTTTCTGCCATGTCATTCACGTCAGTAACAATTCGAAATTCCACCTTGCTGCCATCTCCTGTAATAACATGTCGATCCTTTTCCCAAGTGAATAAACATGTTCCAGCAAATTCTGCAAGTGGATTAATTTCAACAATTTTCACTTTTCCATCCAATGTAATGACAAGATCCACAATGAAATTTGGAATATCAATCACAGAGTTGCCAATGACTTGCTCATTCAAAAATGTTGAAATCTGCTCATGAATTTCTTGCTTATTCTTTTCAATATGAGGAAAATACACATAAGGATTATATTGTGTAATACCAGTGAGTTTTCGATTGAAAACAAAAGATCTAAATTCCATTGCAACATCAAACTCATTAAACTAACCCATGCGTTCATAATTCATGAACATGTTATCGTTTCACAATTTGAAACAAGCGCTTATACTCACCTCTCTTAAAATAATTTCATTTGTTTTAGTGCTCTCATTATATTGTCCACTTGCAATTTTCACTAACTCCTGACGAGCTCGTTCCGATTCAATCAACAATTGAACTGCTTCGTGTCCACGTTTCAATCGAAGAATGGATGTACTCGCTCTGTACAAGGCATACAATTTTCGATTACTCTCCGTTTCAAAATCAATATGTAATTGTTTTTCCATTTTACAAATTTCCTTGTAATGTTCATATACTCTCTGAATAAATCCAACACGATAGATACAAGCATCTTTTGGAGACATGGTTGCTAATCGACAGAAAAATCCATGTTGTTCCCAATTAGGTAATTTTGTCACTGCACGATCAATTTTCTCAGCAATCAAGTGAAGAATTTTTCTTCGTTGATGAATTTGAATCGATTCATCATTCTGATAAGCTTGCTGCATTGTATCTTCACTCTTCCAATCTTGATATTCCATCAACAGATCCATCTCACACGAATTCATCAATTCCTGAATTTTAGAACTTTCTTTAAATGTTGAAACAAATTCCGAGTGTTCATCCAACAATGCTTGAGCTTCTTCTCTACTCAACTCGACACTCACTGATTTGAATGTATAGGGTTCTATGGCTTGATAGTAACGATCAAAACTCGTTTCTAAGAAGGACATTTTTTTTCTTGTTTTGAAACAGGTAACAAGGAACTTGGATTTAACGTTTGGAATCATGAACTGGGAACTTGTGTTTACAAAAATCCAAAAAAAAATGCCTTCATGGAACATCTTTAGCTCCTCCTCATCCAAGAATCGGAAACATCACTCTGAGGATCCACGAGAAGAGAAGCTTCCAACCGCCGATCGTGAAAAAACGTTGAAAAAACAATCTTGTTCTGATTCTAACAAGAATGAAAAAATAATTGAAATTGATCATTTGCCAGTGATGGAACAACAAGTGGGAAAAAGAAAATTAAAACTTGTTCATATGAGTGATAGTCATCAATTTCATGAGCATTTGAAAAATTTTCCTGAAGGAGATATTTTTATTCATTCGGCGATATTTCTCATAAGAGTGAATGGCAACACGTGTATGAAAATCACCATTCAGAATCAAATTTTAAATGTGCTCCAAGTGTGATTTCATTCAATAAGTGGATTGAAAAATTGCCGTATAAGGTGAAAATTGTAATATTTGGAAATCATGATATTGGATTCAACGGAATTTCTCCTGAATTTGTTCAAAACAATGTATTAACTAATGCCATCTATCTTCAAGATCAATCAGTCATTATTAAATACAAGGGAAAGCAATTACTTAAAATATATGGAACACCTTGGACGTCAAGTAGGAATATGGGGTTCAGTATGAATCGAAAAGATATTGAACAAAAGTGGAACGACATCCCCAATGATATTGATGTTTTAGTCACACATTTGCCTCCATTTGGAATCATGGATTTGGCTAGTGGCACTGAACCTCAACATTATTGTGACTATTGTAAAAAGAATCATTGTTATAAGAGACATTGGGGCAATGAAGCTCTACGAAAAAGATCTATTCAACTCAATGAACAAGCAAAATTGAAAGCACACTTGTTTGGGCATGTACACGAATATCATGGTTTGGAGTTGGAAAAGCAGTCTAATGCAACAGTTCCATTAATTTATTCGAACGGCGCCTCTGTGGCGAATCATAATGACAATGATGTTCGGGATCTTAATGTTATTGAGCTTGACCTTGGGAATGAGTAATAATAGCATGTAAAAAAAGGTTGATAAAGACAAATTCAAAATTAGATTCAAAATCAGAGTAGATAATCGAAAGAGTACTGGAAACTCATTGGGGGGTAGACCCAAATTCAATCTGCCATGATTATGACCTTGGGTCAAGAATATTTGAACGTGTTGAGGCGGTAATAATTATGATTGAAAAGTTGAAAAGTTTATTCTGTTCATTCATGATCAGAGCAGGAATCATCCAAGTCCTCGACCAAATCATCCACCACTCCTTCCTCTTCTTCTTCTTGGTTTTGTGTGAAATATTCTCCATATAAATCATCGGCAGAAACCACCTTTCCAGAAGCATCTCCTTTTTCTCTAGAATGTGCTTCCTCTTCCAACTTTTTTAAATAGTCTTGCTGCACCTTGACAACTTCAAGGCTGTTATTGCAATTTGAATAAGCTTCCAATAGATCATAATTCAATTCAATGAACGAGTGACCCCATTTAAATTTGCCAAGTAATTGCTTTGCCTCCTCTTTCAATCCACAAATGTACATGGTAGCAGCTAATGCCTCAGCACAACTCAATTTAAGTGGTCTTCCGTAATTGACAGGGTTTGCAGCTACTAGATATGGTAATAATCGATTATTCGGTGATTTGAGCTTGTGAAATGGTACCTGATCAAGCTGATTCCATGAACAGTCCACCACACATGCTCCATGCTCGAGTACAACGTCTCTATCAGCCTTTGAAACTGACTGTTTTCCTTGTGGTGTCAACACGACTCCTCTGAAATGACACGAAACTGGTAAACTTCTCAATAATCTCATTCTTTCTAATTTTTTGCCTGTGCATCTTTTCGAGTCACATTGTTGGAAATCCCACATGGCAAGGTCAATTGGAAATTTGGTCAGTTTTTTCTTGGGCTGTTCCGATAATGCTGCTTGTTGGTGAGAAGATGACGACGAAGATTCTTGTTGTTGCTGCTTTCTCAGTTTTTTCTCTGCCAATCGTTCCAAACGAATTTGTTTTTTTGTTTTTTTCTCTCTCTTTGGTTTTTCCTTGTTCTCGTCTTCAATGTGTTCTTCGTCTTGCTCTTCTTCTTCTTCATTGTGTTCCTCTTGGTTTTCTTCCTCCGAATTATTTTCGGCATCTTTTGAATTATTTTCTTCGCATCATGTTGCTCGGAGCCTTCTTCTTCTTCACTTGTTTCCTCCTCCTCCTCATCATCATCCTCTCTATATAATTTCTTTTTACTATAATTAATAGCCGATAAAGAGCTTGTATCACTCTCATCATTCAAGCCCAGAGATCCCGATTCAGAGTCCAACATGGTAGCTGCTTTATAATATCCACCATATCCGCCAGCTTTATATCCTCGATGATAACCTCCTCTTTTATTGAATCCGCCACCGCCTTTTGCAGATGCTGATGACTTGTTTCCTCGTCCTGAATTGTTGTTATTGTAATAACCGTCATCATCAAAGCCTTTTGACTTTTTTCCCATTTTTTTTTGAACTTGAAACTCACTAATCCTTTTGCTGTTTCAAACTCACGAAAACAACACCACTGTCAAAGACATCCGTTTAAAATTTGTTATTTCTTCAACAATGATATACTGATACTAACAATGGCAAAACTTGAAATGTCACAAACCCTTTTTATTCCCTTGTCTAAAATTGGGGCTATTCAAGAAGAGTGTTTATCATGGAATTAAAAAGCAAGGAAAACAAAAAATGCAACCACTACAAGTAGACCCAGGTTCCATCCATGAAAACTCGTCACTACGTCCTTCCCATCCAATGAAAGATCTTGATCATTCAAATGTACACTTCTCATTCGAAAACCTTCCAGTCACGTTGCATCTTTTTAATTTGTATTGGAGAGAACACATTCATTCCCGTTCATCCTCACAAATTCAAATACTTGTCAAAAAATTCAAACATCGCATGCGACAGTATCCGAAACCTTTTCAAATGCGTTTCACATTGATTCATTCATTGGGAACAACAGATGAGAGTGGCACCGATGACAATCACTTTTCTTATCCTTCAGATGTCAAAGTATCATATAATCATTCATGCATCATTGTTTGTGATCATATGAATGGAAGACTTCAATTATTCCATTTAAATACAAAGAAATTTATGACAAGTATTTCACATACTCTAACCCTGACTCATCCCATCACTCAAATTGTCGAACAAAGTTACAAAGGATGTTACGAAGACGCAATCATCTTTGCAGGAGTTGCCGATGCCATGTACAAGTTTGATTTGGGAGAATTAATTGAACAAGCAAAAGAACGTCCTAATGAGCCTCTTCCATACATTTGGAAACATGAAAAATTCAATTGTCCTCGCGGAATTACAGTCACAAATTGCAAAGTTTATGTCAGCGATATGTATGAGAATTTAGTGAAAATTTTGGACTCTGTGAATGGTCAACTGCTTTGCTCGATGAGTATTCAGAGTCCGACTGGCGTTGATTTTACATCGAAAGGGCTCTTATTGATTGGACAAGGAGATCCCTTGCATTGTGTGAACATGTTTCAACATGGAGAAAGTTCAGCCTTAAACGACTGGAAATCCATGAAACAATGTGGACATGGAGGAGAGCATTCAACAATATTTAAAACGCCCTATTCCGTTGTTTATGACAAGACTGCAAAGAATTTTATTGTAAGCGATACAGATAATAATCGAATACAAATTTTATCAGAGGATGGGCAGTTGTTGAGAGTTTTTGGAAGTTTTGGAACAAATTGGAGAGAATTTAAGAATCCATGTGGAATGACTTTGAATGAACAACATGGTGAATTAATGGTATGCGACACGGAAAATCATCGAATTCAAATTTTTCAATGAATCATTGGGTTAAATTTCCACTGTTGACTTTGTGGCAATTTCAACCAATTTCAACATCCATGGAATTTTATTGAACCAGTGGAAGATCTTATTGGTACGTGTCACTTGTTTCATTCATTCAATGAAGGATAGACTGATCGTGGATAGTCACCCTCAGAAAACACATTAACCGTATAGGCATGTCCATTTACAACCACATTGGATAAGGCCTTCTTGTGACCTTTCAAATGTTCCAAATGAGCAACTGTACACAAAGCCATGAAACATTCGGGTGAAATACCAACCCAAAAACTACCACAAGATTTGAATAATTGATCATTCTCACCGTGGTCATTGGTGACATCTTCATCTTGTTTGAAACGAATGCAAACATAATCAGCAGTAGTTTCCTTGTCCAATCGACCAGCAAAATTAATCATATCTTGACCTAAAAAGTTGTCATTGGAATCGTCCACCAAATACTATTTCAGTGTTGTCGTGTCCATAAATTTTCACACCATAATATATATATTATTATTATTTTTTCACAGAGATCATGCATACATTTTCGCCAATTGTCAAAACATATTGTTAGGAATACGCATCATTATGAAAATTTCACCTTCACTCACCTTAAACCAAAAATGATATCCACTCACAGTCGATGCATTCTTCTCACCAACCACACAATGTTCAAATCCACTCAAATCTCTATTTCTTCCCATATCATATTGAGTGAACCAAATTGAATACAATTTTTTCTTGATTTCACTCTTATTCGTCATTTTCAAATAGTCCTGAGCCAACACTTTCATACATTTGGTTTCAATAATGGCATCTAAAAAGTTTGAAATTTCACCTTCTTCCTGAGGAGTATTTTGTTCTCTTTTGAGTTGATCCAAATTATAATTGTCAAATAATTTATAGATCAATCCATAGGTCTTGTAGGATGATTCCGAATGGGCAGCTGTGTCAATAAATTCACGCACACTCGATACAACATATTGTTTTTTAGAGGAATCGAATTTATAGAGACGAAATAAATTGAAATTGGGATTTTGTTTTTTCTTTTGAGTACTGCACACGAGTGTGATGAATGGAGTCGAGACAGAAGTGGGTTTTGATGAGAAGGGAGTGAGACGATTCTCATCTGCTTGCCAGATCTTGTCAAAAATGTTGTTGGAAGAGGGTGCGGATGATGACATTTTTTTTTGATTGCTGTCAAATGTAAATGTTCATCGTTTGATTTTGGTTTTGGAGGCTTAATTCGAAAAAATGCGAAAATCATTTCATGATTCCTTTCACGATGATGATGATTGAACAGGTTATTGCTCGGAATCGTTGAATGGTGTAGTTTAATCTATGAAAATGTGTCCATTCATAATGATCATTTTTTTTGAGTCGTTGGATGATGATTGTTCTCGAGAAATCCAATAATGAAAGTTTTATTGGATCAAAAAAAGAAATTACTATTCTAAGCAATTTCAGATCAAAAAACAAATACAGAACAACCACCATCATTCGAATGACCAAGTCTCTACATCATCCAAGCAGCGGAATGTACTCTTCTCCATACTTATCCTCAACTTTACTGTTATTCATTCTTCTCATCACCACTCCGAGCTTGTCCCACATACGGGTTGGACTTTTTGTACTGGGTCAGGATCCTTCCATCATCATAACTCTCCCTTATTGCTCCGTTTTTTCCGTCTCTCCTAACAATGTAGTCATTCCGAGTGGCTCCTCGCTCACCCTTACTGTTTCTCATGCCAATGATTTGTACATGCCCACTCTCTCCGCGACGAGCTCAATTTCACAATTGGATGCCACCTCCTTTGCTTCTTCTGCTAAAAATTGTTTCTACCTTGTGAATACAGCGAGTCAATATGATGCACTAAGCGCATCGGATGTGAGGGCAACGAGCAGTAAAATCATGTCAGTCGTGTTTAATACAGTAGGAACGAACAAACAATATAGGTAAGTTCATCAAATGCTTAAAAGGATTGGAAATAGAGAAATGGGTAACTTGTTTGGTGACACGACGTGATAGTCTTCGAATTGGTACTTGCTTTGCATATACACGACGAGTCATGGATAGTGTGATTGAGTTTATTCCACTTCCAGTTACTGTGATTCATGGATATTCAACAGGAACGAAAGTGGCCCTCACCTATTCTCCAAGTATTTCAGCTGACACCCTTTTTGCATCGACATGCATGGCCAATATTCCAAACAAAGTGTTAAGCTATCAATCAATGATTGGTTCTGTAATTACTCCATCCAATATTGTGAATGATCCAACAATAGATATGACTTTGGGAACTCATGGCAAGCTAATCCTGGGAGGAACGTGGAATGCAGAAAATTTGGATGTCCTTCTAAATGATGTCATCTATCATGGATACAATTACAAATTCTTAAAAGGTATTCATATTGAGATGCGAAAACCCAATGTCACACTTCTAAAAATTCCTCTAAAATTTAAACGACATATTAGTGCAGCTTCTGAATGGGTGACATTGGACTCATTCGAAGTGTTACCAAGAAGAGCAGCAGATCCCTCCGAGTTAGAACTTTTATTTAACAATTATTTTGTGGATGGATCTGTTTCAGATATTCAAGTTACCATAGACCCAAACACTGCACCAGTATCCATTGCGGATGCCACTGGAGCAGCAGCTGTTACGGATGTAAATGTCTTACTGACATATAATTATTATCAAGCCACATTTTACGATGTAGACAGCAATCCAACATACCAATTTACTGTGAGCGACGGTATATTAACTAATTTTTTATTAACACAATACGCAACCTTGTTCTCGTGTGGTTTGAAGAGACGTAGAAATATGTATCAATACTATGCACCAACTGTGTACCATTTTATTGGATATTCTTCTCATCATAGAATGTTATCTTTCGATATAACAAACAAATGGTATGATCTTGGAGCTGCAATTAATACCACTTCCCAAATGTTTTCACAAAGCACAGTTATAGTTTCAGACTTTGTCAATACCAATACCAAAACTCAAGACGGAATCAAAGTAACCTTAATGGAGAGTGCTGCCACAGATTATGACGCCTCTTTTTACTCGCAAAATTATTTGGTGTCCATTCCTCATCATAAAGAAGCACTAGCAACCTCTCCGTTAGAGTTCACAATTTTGGATTCAACTGATATGGAGGCTGGAATTCTCATAACGCAAGAAGATTTTCAAATGAAATATCAAATGGACCCAACTGCTTTTTGTAACCAAGATTTCAATACGGATATTGGATATCAATTGAAATATTTCTTTGAATCCTATGACCACACAATTACCAAATTGCCAGAATACAGCCCAAGACTCAATTTTTCAACCAATAGCGTTTCGCTAGGAACTGATCACAATTCTCTAGAAATGTCATACTCCAATTTAGGTTATTTCCAAGATTTTGCTATTGAGATAGACATGACAAAGATCCAATTCATGGAACCAAGAATAACAAGCACTGATGTTTCATTTAGTGTTATTCCTGACACTACTCCATTCTTTGAAACAAATGCTACCATCGCCATCAATATCACCAACAGTGGGGATGTCGAAGGAACATTTGTCTTTGATTTAACATGTATGGATCCAATTTCCATTGTGGATGCTCAAGGAGGTCACCGAGTTCTCACCATTTCTGAAAAAGCCACATCTTCCGTATTAATACCTGTCACTAGTGCCATTATTAATTCCCTGCAGTACGTTCCTTGCTCAGTTAGCATTCAAATTAACAGAGAAGAATTATGGAGCTACTCGGACAAATCCGTTACCGTGCAACAAAATATTACCATAGATCATGGATATTTTATTCCTCGATGTCAAGCACGATACTATGAACCTTTTGTCTTTGTGGAGAATGTGGAATTAGTCAAACCAGATTTCACACGAAATTCCTCTCTCTTCTTCACCAATATCGTTAGAGTGCAGTTAAAGAGTAATGGATCGGATCCTATTTCAGCAAACGTCAAAGCAGCGTTGGCCTCTCTCGCTGACAATCCATTCCAAACCTATGATCAGTATTGGGTGAACCTTTCTCCAACACATAACCATGCATTTCTCAATTTCACCATTCATAGCGACGCTGCCACTCAGATTTTAACAGAAAGATTGAATAAGAAAATGTACACGTTTGTTTTGAATATTTCTCTATTGGACGATTACGTTTGCTGGTCACAAGTAGGAAAAGGAGGCTTATTCAATTTTTTATTTCACGTCGAGTATGACTGTCCTTCTGGATACACAGACACGTTGTGTGACATGCCCATTTGTTTCAATCACAATGCATCTGACAATGAGACATGCAGTTCACATGGACGCTGTGTGTTGCCTGATACATGTATTTGCGACGAAAATTATATTTCCGAAAATTGTTCCATTCCAGTGTGCTTTTTAATTGCAGCAAATCACTCCAATTCGTGTCACGGTCAAGGAATTTGTCAAAGCGCCAACAATTGTTCATGCTTTGATGGATTTACAGGAAATGAATGTGAAATTCCCAAATGTTTTGGAATACCTGCTGGTACACCTCTTGTCTGTTCTGGACATGGTACTTGCCTCCACAAAGATAATTGTTCATGTGATAGCGGCTATGTTTCAGAAAATTGTTCACTCCCCGTTTGTTTTGGTCATAATTCCTCATCGCCTCAAGCTTGTAGCTCTCACGGTGTGTGCCAATCTCCCAATAATTGTTCGTGCGATGAGAATTATGTTTCCTCGAATTGTTCCATTCCAGTATGTTATGGAATTAGAGCTGATAATTTTACGCATGTGTGCTCGGCAAGAGGTGAATGTCTTGATGCCAATAATTGTCAATGTAGAGAGGGCTATTTAGGAAAAAACTGCAGTCTTTCTCTATGTTTTAACGTTCCTTCCAATGACAGCTCTGTTTGTAGTTCACACGGAGTTTGTCAAGACTACAATCTCTGTCAATGCTTTGAGGGTTATGTTTCTGAAAATTGTTCAGAACCTGTCTGTTTTGGAGTTAATGCAACATCACCCTTAGTGTGCACTTATCATGGAAATTGTGTTTCTCCCAATGTTTGTGAATGTCATGAGAATTACATTTCGGAAAATTGTTCCATTCCTGTTTGTTTTGGAGTGGCTGGTAATGAGAGTCACACTTGCTCGAGACATGGTGAGTGTATGAGTGCCAATAATTGTTCGTGTGATGAAGGTTATACAGGTGAAAATTGTGAAATTCCAATTTGTTTTGGAGTACTATCCAACGACTCATTAAGGGTGTGCTCTTATCATGGTGAATGTGTGGCATTTAACAATTGTAGTTGTCATGCAGGTTATATTTCACATGATTGCTCCGAACCTGTGTGCTTTGGACATAATGCAACATCTCCATTGGTTTGTTCCACTCATGGTGAATGTATTGCACCAAATAATTGTTCATGCTTCGATGGTTATGTTTCTGAAAATTGTTCCATTCCCTTATGTTTTAACATTCGAGCTGATAATTATTCAAATGTTTGTTCTGGTCATGGACTCTGTCAAGATTTTAACAAGTGTCACTGCGACATTGGATATGTTTCACAAAATTGTTCAGAACCTGTTTGCTTTGGTGTCAATGCCACATCAACACTTGTCTGCTCCTCCCATGGACAATGCATATCCCCAAATAGTTGTGAATGTCATGAGAATTACATTTCTGAAAATTGCTCCATTCCTGTTTGTTTTGGAGTTGCTGGCAATGAGAGCCATACTTGCTCAGCACATGGTCAGTGCATGAGCCCCAACAATTGTTCATGTGATGAGGGATATACTGGAGATAATTGCGAAATTGCCATTTGTTATGGATTCTTATCCAATGATTCATTAAGGGTGTGTTCTAATCATGGTGAATGTGTTGCATTTAACAATTGCAGCTGCCGTCCAGGATACATTTCACATGACTGTTCTGAACCTGTGTGCTTTGGACACAATGCAACATCTCCATTGGTTTGTTCCACACATGGTGAATGCATTTCTCCGAATAATTGTTCATGTTTCGAGGGTTATGTTTCTGAAAATTGTTCCATTCCCTTATGTTTTAACATTCGAGCTGATAATTTCTCACATGTTTGCTCTGGTCATGGACTCTGTCAAGATTATAATGACTGTCTCTGTGCTGACGGGTATGTGTCACGCAATTGTTCAGAACCTGTATGTTTTGGATGGAATGCAACTTCAACACTTGTGTGCTCCAATCACGGTACGTGTGTGTCCCCAATTCATGTGAGTGTGACGAGAATTACATTTCTGAAAATTGTTCCATTCCTGTTTGTTTTGGAGTGGCTGGCAATGAAAGTGAAACCTGCTCAGGACATGGTGAGTGTACGAATGCCAATAATTGTTCATGTGATGAAGGTTACACAGGTGAAAATTGTCAAATTCCAATTTGCTATGGCATACTATCCAATGACACTTTGCGTGTATGTTCCAATCATGGCGATTGTGTGGCTCATGACAATTGTAGCTGCAGTCCAGGATATATTTCACATGATTGTTCTGAACCAGTATGTTTTGGACATAATGCAACATCTCCCTTGACTTGCTCGTCACATGGTGAATGTATAGCACCAAATAATTGTTCATGCTTCGATGGTTATGTTTCTGAAAATTGTTCTATACCTTTGTGCTTTGACATTCGAGCTGATAATTATTCAATTGTTTGTTCTGGTCATGGAATTTGCCAAGATTTTAACAAGTGTCACTGCGACATTGGATATGTTTCACAAAATTGTTCAGAACCTGTTTGCTTTGGTATTAATGCCACATCCCCTCATGTGTGTAGCTCTCATGGTCGGTGTGTTGCTCCAGATGAATGTCTTTGTGCTTCGAATTATACTTCTCCAAATTGTTCCATTCCCTTATGTTTTGGAAAAAGAGCAGATGATCCCTCTGTCTGTTCGTCTCATGGACAATGTTTGGAACCAAACAGCTGCTCATGCAAAATGGGAACATATGGATCTACATGTGAAATTTCAGATTGTTTCGGAATTTTAAGTAATCAATCCAATGTTTGCAATGGAAATGGAATTTGCACCGATTACAATTTTTGTGAATGTTTTTCAAATTTCACAGGACAGACTTGCACCATCTCTGCATGTTATGGTTTTGCTTCCAATGATTCTCGTGTGTGCAGTGGAGGCCGAGGAGATTGCCTTGGACCCAATCAATGCCAATGTCATCCAAAGTATCATGGCAATAATTGTGAAATTTCAACATGTTTTGGAATGTTGTCCAATCAAACTCAATTGGTTTGTTCTGGAAATGGACAATGTGTGGATACCGATATATGCAATTGTACTGCAAATTATGTGGATGCGACGTGTTCAACCCCTGTCTGTTTTGGCCTGAATGCATCTCATCCAAATGTTTGCTCTTCACATGGAGAATGTGTAGCACCGAATCGCTGCTCTTGTTCATCAGATTATTCTTCTGAAAATTGTTCCATTCCAACATGTTTTGGCATTCGAGCAGATAATTTTTCACACGTGTGCTCTGGTCATGGAATTTGTGTGGACGTGAACACTTGTCAATGTACTGAAGGATATACTTCTCAAAATTGCTCAGAACCTGTATGCTTTGGATACAATGCCACTCATGCTCAAGTTTGCAACTCACATGGTCGCTGTCTTTCTCCAGATGTATGTGAATGTGATGACAATTACATTTCAGAAAATTGTTCCATTCCAGTGTGTTTTGGAATTGCCGCAAATCATTCCAACTCGTGTCATGGTCAAGGAATTTGTCAAAGTGCCAACCATTGTTCATGCTTTGATGGATTTACCGGTATTAATTGTTCCATTCCTATTTGTTTTGGAATTCAGGCAGATCACCATTCAGAAGTGTGTTCTTCACATGGTGAATGTATAGCTCCAAATAATTGCTCATGCATGACTGGATACACTTCCAACAATTGTTCAGTTCCCATTTGTTTTGGGATTATGCGCGTGAACACATGCTCAAGTCATGGACATTGTGTAGCACCAAACCAATGCGAATGCCAACAGGGATATATTGGATTGGAATGTGAAATTGCTCTCTGTTATGGAATTCCATCCAATGATACAGCTCGTACTTGTTCAGGTCATGGCTTGTGCACATCGTTCAATCATTGCACATGTGATGCATTCTTTGAAGGAGCAAATTGTGAACAGTATAATGAAACTACAAACACAATACCATGTCCTCAAAATAATGGACTAGTTTGTTCTGGTAATGGTCAATGTCGATCAAATGGTACTTGCCAATGCCATGAAGGATATACGTCTCAAAATTGCTCAGAACCTGTATGCTTTGGATACAATGCTACTCATGCTCAAGTTTGCAACTCACATGGTCGCTGTCTTTCTCCAGATGTGTGCAAGTGTGATGACAATTACATTTCAGAAAATTGTTCCATTCCAGTATGTTTTGGAATTTCAGCAAATCATTCCAACTCGTGTCACGGTCAAGGAATTTGTGAAAGTGCCAATCATTGTCATTGTCATGATGGTTTTTATGGGCCTCAATGTGACTTGGTGACATGTTTTGGCATTCGTTCTGATCACGAATCTGAAGTGTGCAGTGGAAGAGGAAATTGTTCTCAAACCAATACATGTCAGTGTGAAAATAATTATTTCGGAGCCAACTGTAACATCACGACATGTAACGACATTTCTAGTAACAGTTCAGAAATGGTGTGCAACGGACGAGGAATTTGTTCCAGCTACGATACATGTACCTGCAAAGGTGGATACTATGGAAAGTGGTGTGAAATGGCCTTGTGCAATGCGTCCTCATGCATTCATGGACATTGTGAAGGGTCATCATTTTGTCAATGTGATTCTCATTGGATTGGTGACTCGTGTACGATACCTACTTGTTTTGGAAAATCTGCAAGCGATAGTTCCACATGCAGTGGAAATGGAAATTGTACTGATGTTGACACTTGCAATTGTACATTTAATTACAAAGGAATGCAGTGTGAAATTTTACAAATTGGAGCAGATGAATGCAATATATATCCTTTCATGACACTGAAAGAATCGGAGTGGTTCCCCAAGTCATTGAATTTTGATTTCACAACCTCACAGCCCAATATGACAAGTCATGTCATCCGAGATACCATACCATATAGTAGTCTTCTTCATTTGAATAACAAGTTTAATTATCAACTTTCTGTTGAAAATAAGGGAAAACGTCCTTTACAATTTAGAATTCAGTCATATTGTAAAGAAAGTGGATCATTTAAACAATTGGGAGTTCCGTCCATACACGAACAGAAAGAATTATCACAATACTCAACTCTTACTCTTGAAGATACAGATTCCTTTGGATTTGGATTTTATTTCACACGTTCGCAATTTAACAAATTGGAAAATATCACTTGTTACATTCATGCTGAGTTTATTCCGTCTGGAATGTTTGAATCGTGTCAGAATGCGGATCAATCTCATCAATCTTTCAAACAAATTCACAATATCTCTATAATATTTGAAAATGTGAATTCCTGTCAATTTATTGATGAAGAAGATGTGAGTTCACACTATATAGATTCAACGACTTTGGCAAAAACCTTTGAACAGTATGAACCTATTTTCAAGGAGCTTTTATTACAATCGTCCACTAACGAAAATTCCACAGCCAATAATTATCTCCAAAGTAATAGCTCATCTTCAAGTATTATTGAAATTATGAATATATTTACTCAAAAGAGAAACAATTGGGTCATTTCATCCTCCAATGAAAACAACAACTCATCCATGTTAGCAGCCAATTTACTATTAACAGTACAAGTTTCGAATATGGAAAATCAATTTGGAACGTTTCTTCCAACATTATACTGTAAAGATGAACGAATAATGTGTGGACTCGAATTTACAGAACAATATAGAAAAACTCAACCACCCATTGTGCTATACAATGATGTGAAACGAACATTTTTCCAATTCAATGTTACCATTCTCAATTTTACCGCAAGTATTGACTTTGGAAGAGTGAAAGGAGGAAAGGAAGGTATTGCTACTGTCTCTATTGATGACATGGATTTAAATTGTACACTATTTCTTATACCCAATCCGGAAGCGTGTTGGTTATCTCAAACTACAAGCCAACAAGAAATCACAAAGCGACACACTCTTTTCGAACACGACTTCAAAAAACATCTTTTTGAGAGACTCATTTCAAAGTTCAAGTTACCTATCGTTTCTGGAGAGTTTACCTTTCTTCAAGAAGTTAGACCTTTCGAAATTGGTGTGGTTGCTCTCACGTATACATGCATGAGTTTAGGATTTGCCTCCATATTGTGCGGCACGAAAATTCCAAGAGATCGAAAACATTCACTTCTCCAGTTGGTGGATTTTGTCAATGAAAAAACGAGAAAGAAATTGTTGGCCAAGTTCAACAAGGACGCACAACGTCAGAGCGAAAATGAACCCATTGTGACTGAGTTTTTGTGTGAAAATTGTGGTCATCGTACGTTGAAAAAAGCCAAATATACCATTCAAGTAGAGAGCTATCAAAAAGAAGTCTCATTTAACGTATGCGAGAATCAAATTTGCTTTGATGCACTCTCTTCCATTCACAATGTGAATTATTCGAATTGTTACAAGTGCTTTGATTGTGAGACGGGATTGGAATTGAATGAGGCACCTTTTTATGGAATTAATCTGGATCACAACAATAGTTCTGATATGATTCCTCCAATGATGTCTCAGTCTATTTTATTTTCTTCCAACAATGTTGGAGTCATACATGAAGGTGATGATCACACCATGATGCAGCAATGGAATCATGATGAAAATCAGCAAGTCATTGGCCTACTCTATGGAGGAGAGGCAGGAGAAGAGGATGACGACCATCCAATTCTCTACACTGCGTAGTTGCTCCTTAATGGTCTGGTAAATAATCCAACACAATGCTCTTCGTAACCTTTGCACCCATATAACACAAATCCATGCGTGTGTTAAAGATATAACTCTCTAAAAAAGAAGTTTCACAAAATCCTCCTTCCTTGAATGCAACATATTTCAACTCGTCGTCGTTGTGTCCAAATTTCTCTGTCACTAACAAATGTGTTAAACATGAACCATTGTATTTCAATGCCTTGATCACAAACTCCTTAGTAATGAATTGTGTTGGAATAAATTGTAGGAAATAACAACTAATTGCGATCAATTTCAACCAAAATTCTTCATCTTGATATTTTGTATAAAGTGAGCTGTTGCAAAATCTTGACACATCCGCAAATATGGCCGAGTCGTCAGAATACATCTTGCTTGCCTGATGTACTTTCTGCAACAATGTGACCTTATCTTGTGCTTGAATTATTTCTGGATATTCTTCTAAATTACAGTGACCAAATTTGGGATTACAGCCTTTCATCACTGCTTGCATTACGTCTGGATCATTTCTATGTTGAATGGCATGCTGAGATTCGAGAATAAACGAAACATGACGTGTATTCTTAATTGCTGCAATAATAATTTCCTTATCTTTCTGAAGATTTTCTGATGTGACAAGATAGATATTTGGTGAATATGATAATGCTGTTAAGGCCAATAACTTGTCACTTCTCAGCTCTTCTGAAGCGTAACAATACGGATCAGCACTTTGCTGAATTTTCATGGCTTCCAAAATCACGCTCCTATCATTTTGTAATTCATAAGAAGCATATTGCAAATCCGTAGAACGGAACGCTTGTCTCAGTGAACGTAATACGTATTGCCTGTCACTTCGTTGTGCTAGAGTAGCAAATTGTAGCGAATATGTGAGGTTATTACATGCTATAGAAAGTATTTCAGGATCCATTTGACAATCCTGTGACGCAAATTCAAGCGCATTCCCATTGATTTTCACTGCTTCTTTCATAAATTCTTTGCTCATGCGTAAGGAAGCACAACTATACGCTAACGAACGTACATTCACCTTCAATGCTTCAAGCATGAAATGAAAGTCCTGCACCAAATCAGCACAACAAGGTTCTGCAAGAATTTTGACATTATGACGCACAATCGACAAGATAAATTCCGTGTCTTGTAATAATTGACGTGGCTTCCATCTCATTCCAATATAAAACTCTGTTTGGGCATTGCTTGTAAATGCTTGAAACACAACCTCCTTATCATTTTGTAAGTCGACCGAAGCATATCTCAACGCATGAATATCGTTATGTACAGCTTCAAGAACCACATCCCGATCCTCTCGCAATGTTGTTGAAGCACAAAGTAGAGCTCGTCCATTCTTTTGAACAATCTCAAGCATTAGACCCTTGTCTGTAATTTCCAGTCTATACAACAATAATGAATGATGGAATATTCCAATGTTTAAAATAACATCCCGATCATACATAAACTCGATGGGTAAATAATCACATAATCGGTTCCGAACTCGAGTAATAAATTCTTGTTTATGACGAAACCACTTTAAAAAACCCTTTCTTTGATTTTCAAATTTTCTATAAAGTAAATGATAAGCTTCAGAATGATTTGTATCATGTAAATTAAAATCCATCAACTGAATTTTCACAGATTCTTGGTTGAAATTACCAAATGCTTCCGAATGATAAACTGTGCTGATGGAGGATGAAATATCATGACTACTATATTTCAATTTTTTCTTTTCAACACCAGTATCGTGATCATCAAAATCATGGTCATGCGTTTTTTTCATTTTTTTTAAATGAAGATTCTGAAATAATGGAGGAATACCTAAATCGATAATGATTCAGAATTTACTAAGGATTACATTCATCGAATATACTCACAAATCAAGCAAAATTGGATCGATCGACATTGACAGCCACTTATAGCTGTGACCTTCTTCCTCGGGTAAAAAGAATTCATCGATTGTAGGGTTGATCATCCTTATTCTCTCGAATAACTCAAACGAGTAGCCGGAAAATCATGTTCTCTTCAATTACACCTGATGAGCCTTCCAATCCATCATTTGAACCATTTCCATCAATTGATGCTCCCCACCCAAGGAGCACGAGCCTTCTTCAATCATCCATTGAAACTTTTCTTCCTCCATTCCCCATTGTTTCATGAACATGGGCAGATGAGGTGTTTGGAAATTGTGTTGCTGATGTTGTTGCTGAGAGTAGTTGTTTGAATCAATTTCGGAGTCCTTATTACTAGTCATCTCGAACGACTCTGTCATTGGTTTCCAACATAAAGAGGCTGGTTCGTAATGTTCTTCAATATCATCATTCGGATTAGCATTGGGATGATGAGCCATAATTAAACGATGATTTCGTACGACCATAAACTCTTCCGTATTGTTGTTAGCCTTGTTCGGGAAAGACATGAATGAATTCAAAGAAGATGAGTAGGTGAAAGGCTTGTTCATTCCATCATCTTGCTCTTCGGGATCAATTTCCATTGATAACGTAGGCTCTTTAGGCTTTCTCTTAATTTCCATAGTCATGTTATTTCTAATACCGAACATTTGTTGTTGTGGTGAGTTGTTCTTCTTGTTCTATACAGTTGATTTTGTTTTGATTTTGAAATATGAGAATGTTTGGCGAAGCACAGAGTTTTAAAGCTAGCCTATCTCAACACACTCCATATGGATAAATTGAAGAACATGCAAATTGTCAAGTTTCACCAAGTTGTTCGCCTATATTCATCATGAACCTCCATAAAATGACAATTGCACATTTTACAAAAAAGAGAATCCAAGACTTAAATATCATGGTACAATTCCATAAATAGCAAATTGCATACCATTCTTTCAGATTTCTCAGGACTATGGATCCAGAATGAGAATATCAAGCTCAAGAAGCACTGGTCACAAATAAGGGCAAAATTAAGTGTACATGTCTTCAGAAATCAGAACCACCAAGGCTTTACGTGGTTTTAACAAAATACGCAAGAACAAAGAGCCTCAACTAAAGAAATGTTTAATGTGTTCAGTTATCCACAGATTCATAAGTGTGGACAACACAAACATCCTTTGTTGGAATAACAATTACAGATTGCAATCTGCAATCCTCTCACCATTAAGGTAGAACAATGTTCACACAATCGTCTAATAATAGTTTCAATTTTCCAACAAGCAAAAAAAAATTCAAAAAAATGTCCAAGGTTAAGGAAGTGACCAGTGATGATGAATTTAGAGGTTATTTGAGAAACAGCACCGGAAAGTTGGTAGTTGTGGATTTCTTTGCTGAATGGTGTGGGTAAGTATAGAGTTCATAGGAACATGCTCTCGATATATCATCAAACACGTTGTACAACATCCGAAAATTTTATTTTGATCATGATCACTGGATGATCCATCTTGATGATCATATCTTTGCATCCATAATAATCCAACACGAACTTGTGTGTGCAACACAATTATTATTAACTGATCACTATTAATAATATTTTAAAACTCATCATGAATTTATAAAACATCCAACACAGTCCTTGTCAAATGGCAAAGCCAATTTTTGAAGAATTTGCATCCCGATATTCCAATGTGGTGTTCTTAAAAGTTGATGTCGATAAACACAATGGTATTGCACAAAAAGAGGGTGTGCAAGGTATGCCAACCTTCATCTTTTACAAAAACAATACAAAATTAACCTCCGTCGTCGGAATGGATATGCAAAAAGTTGAACGATTGATCAACGAGTATGGAGACTCCTTTCAAGCTTTCCAAGGAGGTGGTAGAACTCTCACATCATCCAGTGCTGGTAGTAGCAGCAGTGGCGGCTTAGCTGGACAAGTCTATAAAAATCCTTGGGCCGACGAGAATCGTCCTATTCGTCAACCCAAGCCACAAACCGATGATATGGATGAAGATTTGGATGATCTCGACGATGAGACTCGTAAAGCTATTGAATTATCTCTTCTTCAACAAAAGATCAAGAAGGCAGTTACCAAACCATCCTCGACTTCTGCTTCTTCAACAACACAAGCTGGTACTACTTCAACAACCGAGACTACAGAAGGATCTGCCACCACAACATCACAAGAAAATAACACAGGTGGACTCACCAATGAACAAGTCATGGCAGAAATTGAAAAAACAGTCGATACCAACATTTTGAAAGAACTCATGGAAATGGAATTTTCAAAATTGAGAGCAGTCAAGGCCTTGTTAAATTCTCCTCAACCTCCATCCAAAGAAGCATGCATTGAATGGCTTTTGGAACATCAAGAGGATGCCGATATTGATGAACCAATTCAATTCACAGTTGAAACTGAAGAAGACAAGAAGAAACGTGCCGAGCAAATGAAGGAGCTTCTCAAACAAAAGAGAATTGAAAATAAGAGAAAAATGGAAGAAGAAGAACGTAAATCTCAAAAGGAACGAGAATTAAAGCGTAGAGAACAAGGCAAACAATCCCAAGAGTTGTTAGAAAGAATGAAAGAAGAACAAGCCAAACGAGATTTGGAATTAAAGAAGAAGGAAAAGCAAGAGGAAAAGAAAGAAAAGCTTCGAATGAAACAATTATTGGAAGAGGATAAACTTCGAAGAAAGATTGAACGCTTGAGACAAGAAGGAAAGACAACTGAGCTCGCTCAGGTCGAAAAAGATCTTTTTGATTTACAGAAAATGGGATTGAAGGCCTATCTTGCTCGTGACACTGCAGGAGGAAGCGGCACTCCAACCAGTAGTACCAGCACACCAACAGAGTCATCATCATCTACTACTGCTCCAGCTCAACCCCAAGAAAGTGCCATTCGAGTTCGTTTGCTCGACGGTACAACCATCACTGCCAAATTCAAGCCAACGGATACTATCAAAGCTGTTCATGCACACATTGCTTCGCTCATTAAGGACAGTCATTTTTCATTCAACTGCCCTGGTGTGCCACCCAAGACGTATTCCCTCACTTCTGCGAATATTAACAAAACTTTGGACGAAGAGGGATTACATCCAAGAGGTCAGCTCATTTGCACACGTAAATAAATTAGTATTTACTTTTGTAATCTGAGACCTTTAACCAAATTTTGATTTTGTGAAATTGGTTTAATACAATATTACAATATTCGCACAGAAATCCTCAAGTTCAAAACACACACTACTTGGAGGTATATTTATGTAAATACTTTTTCAAACCAAGAGGATCCTTCTTCTTGTCCACTTCGACTTTCTTAACGGGAACTTCACAAAGTACCTGTATTGGGGCTTGAAAATATTCAACTCTTTTTGCTGCAAATGCATCCATCAATTTCCAATTCTTCAACTTGAAGTCTTTGGTCTCCTCAAAATATTCTCCTACAATGTTATGGAATGGCATTGAGGATGTGACAATTCCGATCACTCGAAGGCCCAACTCTTTCTCAAGCAATTGTGACATGCTTTCAAATGTAAAACCAGCTCCAAAACTATCATGTTTCGAGTTGTCCGTTCCGTGTGTGCTTATGGAAAATTCCTCAATGAGTGGTGAAAATATCAAGTTACAAAATGAGTTCAAATTATAAAATTCGGAAATTTTGTAAATAAAATCAGAAAATGGTTTCTCTTTTCGTAATAATTCACGAGCAATCAACAAGTCGTTTCTTGTTGGAGCCTTCTTTAAAGTTGGAATTCCATCAAAATCATCCTTTTCAAACACATCTCGTAAATGTGGATATAAAAAATCTCTAATATTTTTAACCATTTTCACTTGATGCACAGAAGGAAGTGAAAGCCTCACAATAGATCCCTCTCGAATGAAGGTTGTTGATGTCATGAGAGAAGTGAGAGAACTTTTAGAACTACCCAAAGCATCCACATTGATTGAAATGTAATCAAATGGATTTCTTTGAGTTTCTACATTATTGTTTGTTAAAACTTGAGTCAAATTACTAATCTGGCTCAATCGAATCATGTGCAAACTCTTTCCAAGTTCGTTTTTAAACATCTCTTTACAGAACAAGTAATTTGAATCACTTCCCAACTCCACACAAGTCAATGCACAGGGTTGTGAGCGATGTAAAAATCTTGTAATATCCGTTTCAGTAAATCCGCTTCCAATTAACAAAAATTCCAAGTTCTGTCCGCTTTCATCAAATCCTTTTGGCCAATATTCATTTGGATAATTCCATTCAATTTCTTTGTGAATTTTTAAAGTGGAGGTAATAACATTTGAACTTGGTGTGTAAAAATCGTGATCAAAGGGAATGGTTTGTGAATCATAAAATTCCTTCAACAAACGTGTTCTTTGAGTGCTGTCTTCAGCTGAAAAAGGCTCTTTCGAAATTGACTTTTCCATCTTTTTTGGAATTTTTAGGGTGTGATACAGTAATTTGCTTAATAGGTACGGATAGTCTCGATGAGAAACATGAATAACTTGTTGCAGGTTAGTGCTATCACACGTAACTTCATAAATAGGACGATACATGCTGATCAAGACCAGTAAATTGTGCAGTTCAGCAAATGTGGAGTCGCATAGATTCAGCTTTTGATGTTGCATAGTGGTATGGAGAGCCTTGACAAGATAGTTGAAGCGTGTCTCACATCTTTGTAATAATTCAACTTCTCTGTCGCTTTGTTTGCAACAATATCGTGAGTGAAAGCTTTGCAATGCAACAGCATAAAACAACGGATACAAATCAGGTTGTAAAAATCCCTTCTTTGGTTGTGAGGCCTCTCCGCTCAATGAATCTCTGCTGCTATACAATTTTTCAGTGAGTGATATTAATCCCAGTCTCACACTTCGTATAAATGACTCAATATTAGAACGTAACATTTGTCCTTCAGAAAGAGCATACAAAAAGAATTTGTCAAGACAAACTTTTGGTAATGGTAAACTTGCACTATGAAACTCGTTAAATAACTTTACGCTGAGTGTGGTCACTTCAGAATCGGAGAGAAGGACTAATCTTTGGAATTGATCAGAGGCCTCTGGTATGTGTTGCAAATACGAGAACCAAAATCGAAGACCTTCTTGAATGACTGTGATTGTGTGAGCTGCTTCTGAATACTCGGATGAGTCCAAAATAAAGAGTAACTGATACATGTCTTGCAGCAACGATTCTAAATCGGTCTTGGCAACCAATAACTCGTCACCATGAGGGCACATTTGAGTAATGAGTGAAATATAAGTCCATACTAAAATGTGCTTCACATTGCTGTCATTCGAACCCTTTTCAATTTGTCCCAATAAATTAAGAGCATTTCTGAGAAATTGTAAAGGTTTGTATGAGGTATAGTGTGCAGAGGATGCGACAGCATTCTTTTGAAATCCCTTCCAAAATAAATAAGATTGGGCCATTATCACCCATGTATGAGCTCTCTCATGAACAGTCAACTCATTGAATCTTTTAGAGTTATTCACAAGTAATTGTTTTGCCATTTTGTAAGCGACTTCAGGCCGAGCAAAATAAGTTAATGATATGCCACACAGTGACAACACCTGAATGCCCTCCTTTTTGAATTCAACTTCTCTGGTATTGAATACTTCACAAATTTTCTTACATTGAAATCTCCAATTTAACCTACTCGTAGGGAGAGATCTTTTTTGCATTTCCTGGTTGATCTTTTGTTGCTCTCCATCTCCAAGCATGACTTTGCCAGAGTTGTCATTTGTTTCTTGTTGAGAAGTTGCAAATTCCATCAAGGTTTTTTTCATGGGTCTCAAAATGTCATCCAACAAGTCAATAATTTTCACTTTTACCTCCTTACTTGATGTGAAATGGTTTAAATAATATTCCTTTCTCATTTCCATTTCAATTCTTCGTGAAGAGGAAAGCATGTTTGAATTTAAATTTGAAAATGGATTAATGAGAGGTGACTCTTGATTCTTTTCATATTTCAATTGCTCTTCGTTCAACTTTTGAATACATTTTTTCAATTCGCCTTCCAAAATTGATTTTTCCTCTTGAGGGAGAGACCATTCTTTGGTTTCACTCGTGTTTGTTTGTTGATCAGACTCATCATCACGAATATTCAAAGCTCGGCACAAGACAGAATAAGCCTTTGCGTGTTGATTCAATTCGGAATATCCTTTTGCAAGTCTAAAATAAGCCTTTGCCAACGATGGATCAATCCTAAGTGCTTCCAAAGCATCACGGATCATGTTTTTATAATCACTTAATTGCTGATAACATGCACTCCGATTGGAATAATATACGGCACCATTCGGATCATGTTGAATAGCCTTTGAATATTCCTCAATGGCTCGATCATACTTTTTCAGTTTGAAAAACTTATTTCCTTCCTCCTTGTGGTTCAAGGCCTTCGGAATGTTGGACGAAGAATGATGAACATCGGAATTCATTTTTTTTGAAATTGCAGCAGTCAATTCACACAAAAAGTCATGTGTTTTAAAGATAGATAGTGTTTTATTGAAAGGTGTACATAAAGAAATTCCGAAGAACTCCAGTGAAGGTAAAAGGGTGGATGAGCACCTGCCGATATGAGTGTGCTGGCAAAAAGTTGTCAGACAACAATCACACACTCATAAGAAGGGGTTAGAAATAGAAAAAGAAAAGAGGTATGGTGGGCTAATAAAGTCACACACACGTCATGAAACAAGTATTGTCTTGGCCACCTATTTCAGTTGGAGTGCGTGACTGTGAATGATGTAGTTGGATGTTTGTTTGGCAAAGTTTGAGCAAGTACAAGTGAAAATTATATCTAGTTCATACTGCTCTACTTCTTACACAAGCAAACCTTAATAATGTACACTGGTACGAATGAACCTTGCAAAAAACATGCAGCAACCATAGTAAAATATTAAAGCAATGCTGTTGACGGCAAAATTCAAACGAACCATAAAATTGTCTGGGAACATCTAAAAGTGAGAACAGAAATGACAACTCGAGAGTATTAATGTTCAATATCAATGTCAACAATGTTTCACTTTCAGAGACTACACGTTAGTTATATATATATGATTGCACATGGATGAAATCAAAAGAAGATATATATATAATAAACCACCATAGATATATAATTGAACTCATCCCAATAATTCCTTTTGTCTATCTACAAGTCCTTTAAGGACAAGTTGATAAACTCGTGTGGATGTGGAATAGTCTCAAAAGGTTTGACCTTGACTTTCACATTATCCACAAGCACCTCCACTTCATATTCACGATAGTAGATTCTTGCGACCTCGTTAAAGCCATAGCTCTTGTAGAGAGATTGAGAGTAGGCACCAGTGCATTCAACAAGAACTTTGGTAAATCCTTGTTGTTTGGCATGTTCGATATTCTTTTCAAGCATTCTGGTAGCCAATTTCATTCTTCTGGCAAAAGCAAAAACTCCAGCGCTGCAAATCTTGAGGATCTTTTCCTTCTTCTTCTCTCCACTCTTGGTAGTATCAGGAGATAAGGAACGAGGAGATCCTTGAGATTCACAAGAGTCTGCAGAAATGTTTTCATGCTTTTGAGAGTGATAAATTTCATGCAAACGATCGAGCAAGACTCCTTGTTGAACAACTCCAACGTCGTTACATGGTGGCTCAACCCAAGTTTCATAATCGTGACACAAATGGAAACCAACGACCATGCGAGAATTCTTATCAATAGCAAGCATTGAGTTTCCATTGGCAGCACATTGTTGAGCATAGATCAACGAATAGGCAAAGTAGTTGATTGGGTTGGTCTTGGTGGCAATACATAGAGGTTCTTCCTGGGCAAAAACGACTGAGAGAGCAACAGCCACCTGTTGAGTGTATTCTGGAGTGAAGAGAACAATATCAAATTGGTCAGCAAATGGTTGAGGAGAAATAACGGCAGCCTTTCCAATTTCGACTACATTGGTTGTTGCTGTGGTTGGAGTTGGGATTGCCTTGGCCAAAACAGCATTCTTGTTCATGGAGGATTCAACGGCTGCTGTTTGTTGGTTGTTATTATTGCTTTCGCCACTACTGCTATTCTTCTTGTTCAATTTGGTACTGGTTGCGTTTTCTACTGACGACATGATCATGAGAGACATTGCAAATGAAGTGTGTTGAGGTATGATGAATTATGGTACTTCTGGGTAATTAATGTGTTGTGGTGATGATAATAGTTGTTGTATGAGACAAGTTAGACACTATTACGATCAAATATATATGGAGAGAGAACTACGAGATGGATAGAGTTGAAAATATATAAAAAACTACTGGAGATGGATAATTTGTGTTGGTTAGTGATGAGTGCGTAAAACTACTACAAGCAATTATTCAGCATTGATTGTAATGAGCGTTTGAATGATAGGACTATAGATTGAAGCGTCTGGTTATAACGGACGACAATTATAGTAGAATAAAATTCTTGTTGTTGGTGAAGTGATTAATAAACAATGATGATTGGAAAATCACTATTGTTATGATTACTTGGATTGTGATTAAGATTCTTCTTGCAATTAATACGGAAAAACTTTTGCATCGCTTGCCTGCAAAGCCCGGTTCTTGTTATCAGTGTTGCTGGAGAAACTCCAAAGATGGATCAAGAGGGGTGGTGTATGAGAGGTGTATGTACACAACAGTGAGCAAACGAAAAACAATCGAAAAAGTTTCGGTTGGTTTACTTGAGAGCGCGTTGAGGAAGCACAAACTTTTTGAGGTTGGCGCGGTTGTAGCAAGCGAGTAGACTTCTTGAAGAGAGAAGCTTTGATTTTTTTTGATTTTAAATAAATAAAAATAGAACACTAAAATTGGTTTTTTTATTGGCCAGTACCACCCAAGTCAACATTCAAATCTCGTAACCATCAAATTAAGGCTGCACCACATAGTACCAATTCATGAAAGATAAAGAAAGCAAATGGTTGATTCATGAACATAAAACCCACCTGGGTTAGTGAGTCTTGTCTTGATTTTTCACTCACAGTTCAAGAATGGAATTAGTGTTGATAAGGAAATGTATCAAAGCTGTTTCCATCCATGAATGGTCGGACGATGGATTAGTGAATTTCACACACACACACCCAGCAAGTCATCAGTTACCCAGCTCTCTCAATAGCACTCGGAATTTACACTCGTGTTCAAAGTATTTATCGCTAACAAATGTTCCGACCTCTATCTCCTGGTACTTGGTGTGAGGTCTGTACCTTTTGTGAAACGCTGTACAATGGTGGCAGGAACATTTTTGAATACAATGAATAATGGTAGTCATGTATGAGTTTGTTGGAAAAAGATGACATCTTTTAAACATCTTTTTCGTTGTTCTTCTTCATCTTCAGTATAGTCTTTTTGACAAGATTAAAATCAATGTGTGACCACATTTCTAAATCTGTCAATGGGAAACAAGCTCGCATGGATTAGTATCATCCCCATCCCGTCTAGACCTGTCATTCAATCTTATTTCGTCACCATTGCTTGAAGTGTTGTCCCGTCATTATACTTTGTTTCATCATTCGGTGCGATGATCACCTCAACATGGTCCATCTCCACCAATAAACAATATCCTTTCTCCAACCACACACAACACACAATTTTTCTCAAACAGCTCTCCAATTCGTCACTGAAATAATTTCATGCATTGTAGAATTTCCAATCACATTCGTATTTCCACCCGAGTTGGAACTCTCACCACCCACATACAATCCCAAAAACAATCCCAATGCTAACAACATGACCAATGTGTGCAAAATGATAAATACGAAAAATCCAATCACTAAATTTCGTCTCGAGATTCGTGTTGGAACTTTAATAGGAGCATGATGATTCTGATGAGGATCCACGTGATGTGTATCTTCATGAGGATCATGACCTTGTTCTTCGTGATTGAAATGATTCATCTTGTTGATTGAATATGCATGAGAAAAATCATTTCCAACAAGAGCATCATGATGATTGCTGCTACTACTATTGTAATACGTTGCAATATCAATATGATCAAAATTTGGATTATAAAACGGTTGTTGAATGTCATTGGAATGATTCGTATTGGCCGTTTTCTGTAATTTCTGAGACGATGCATCTGCAACTTCTTCTTCGTCATCGTTTTGAGTACTGGTTGCTGTTGTGGTGTTGATCGACATGGAAGAATGAGCAGAAGAAGAGGATCCAATCACACGTGAGGCTGTTGTATGTACGGGATGTTGTGGTGGTTTTGAGGAAGCTTGACCGTGCACGATGAGGTTAAGAAAGGGTTGGTGAACTACATTCGAATCCAAAGAGGCTTGGCTTGATGACATTTTTTTAAGTGTTAGGGAACGTGCATGACAAGTGACACATTCTTTTTTGCCTTAGCAGTTACATTACAATGCGTTTATTACAATACAATCTACATTTTGACCATTAAATGAACATACCTCTTGAAAAAGTAAAAATAAGGAAACTAAGGAACTATTTCAACAACAGCTTTGAAATCGGCTCTTTCTTAAATTGAATTATGATTGAAAACCAACGTCACTGACAAACATGGTCCAAATACGGGCAAACAACCGCATGAACTTTTACCTCGAGTTCCATCACTGCATCTCTGAAACTTCTCAGAACGACAAACCGGCACTCGGTCCCAACGTTGAATCTCAGGTTCATTCGTCAAAAACCCCACGCGAATATCATCCAAAATAAAAATATGACAACAGCCCCCACTGCCAAACGTCAACATTCTCGTCGAGTCAAGATGACCACAACCAATGCTGTTGTTACTGGCTCTTCTCTCATACATCTCGTGATCATTCTTTTTCTTCTCTTACAAACTTCGACTTTTACATTACAAGATATTGTTACATCATCTTCTTCTCGACATTATGGAGGTTACGATGCAGATGTTGTCCATTCCATCTCGACCGATTCTAAAGGCAATAAATACATTCTAGGTAACTCCATCTATATCAACAATGCTTTCAACAAGTGGTACAGCGAAGGTTCGAATGGTGGATGGACTCCTCCATTGAATATCACCTTCATGGCTCAAGTGAATGGAAATCCTGGAAAAACACAATGGCGTTTTGCATGGCCACAACAATACATGAATGTATTTGCTTCGAAAAAGATTCTCGTCGATTCAGACAATGAAACACTCATGTATGTGGCATCGGTGATTGATGGCAATGTAGCAAATTTCAATTTCTTTGGAAAAGTTTTGAGTAATTCGAAAAGTTATCCACAGATTGTGTTGGCATGTTTCAGTACGTCGTATCCAGATGATGGAAATTCTGCAAATACAGCAGCTTGGGCTGCCAAAGTAATTAACACACCCATGCCATTGTCAGAAATTGTCAGCATGCACAAAAAAGGAAATTCATTGGTGTTGGCTGCCAATGTTGGAGTGCCACCCTTGAATCAAAATCAAAACATTCTCATGATTCAACAAACTATTTCGTATGCTTCCTTTCCAAACATTTTTTCATCCACTGAAAAACAATTCATCTTATCAGATCCTCGTGACATGAAAAGTACAGGAGTTGTGGTCGACTCGAATGGATTAATTAGTATGAGTGGTTATGTCATTGGAAATGGAAATGTCACTACTGGAAATATGACTGCATTATTAGGATGTCCATTACACACGAGTGGTTTGAACACTATGAAAACTTTTGTATTGAAATTTAACATTTCAAGTTCGACGTGTCTATTGGTCGCCAACTCGACAGAAAGTCCAAATATTACCATGATTACATCGATGCAATACTTGAATGATACGATTTATTTTGCAGGTTACTACAGAGGAGTGAATAATGACAAGCTGGCAGGAAATGTTCTTCCAAATTATTCGAAAGGAGCTGTGTTTTATTCTCGATTTTCAACGAATACCAATGTACTCGATTATGTGTCGACCATTCAAACAGATTCTCCTTCGAATAATGTTTTACTTGGAATTGGAGGGGCTTCCAAACATTTGGGTTATTTGGTTGGAGAATTCCAAGTTCCAATTGTTGTGACTCCATCTTCCAAGTATTTATATCCAGTGAACACAAGTTCTCTGAACAATAGCAAGTTTTTATTGAAATTTAATGGAGCTGATGGAACTTTAGAATGGGGAACCAGATGGAATTCTACATTGACATTTACAGCTGTCGCCGGATTTCCCAATGATTATCTCGTTTCAACGGCAGGAACCTTTTTCAATGAAGATATGACTTTTTACACAGCAGTGTCATCGGTGACAATTCCCATTTATGATCCAGCCTCGAGTGAAGGATTTCTTTTAACTTTTTGCAATTCAGAAGGATACACTTCAGAAGTCAATCAATGCAAAGATTATTATTGTGGAAAAATTTTATATTCACAATCAAGTGTATGCAGTGGACATGGAAATTGCGTTTCTCCAGATACCTGTTCATGTCAAACCGGTTACAATGGTACGAATTGTGAAAATATGTATTGTTTTAACATTCCTGCCTCGTCATCCTTGGTGTGTAGTGGAAATGGAACTTGTGTGAGTGGTGACAAGTGTTCCTGTAATTCGAATTATACTGGCCAACAATGTGAAATTCCAATATGTTATGGATACTTGGCCAATGACACAAAAACATGTTCAGCTCATGGACAATGTGTTGCTGCCAATACTTGTAAATGTCATTCCAACTATACTGGATCCAACTGTCAATCCTATTCCTGTTATGGAACTCTGAACACCAATTCAAGTTATGTCTGCAATGGTCATGGAATTTGTTCCTCTCCAAACAATTGTACATGTTATCCCAATTATGCAGGAGCTCAATGTGAAATTTATTTCTGTTTTGGACAAGCAGGATCTGCAGGATGTTCGAATCGAGGAAATTGCATTGGTCATGACACGTGTAGTTGTTCTCTCGGTTTCACTGGACCACAATGTGAATTTAATGTGTGTTATGGAAAGAGTTCGAATTCGTCATTGGTGTGTGATTCGCATGGAATTTGTTCTTCGTATAATCATTGTGAATGTCAATTTGGTTATTTCGGTTCCGATTGTAGTGTGAAATATTGTTATGGAATGTTAAGCAATTCCTCGAATGTGTGTAGTAATGGATTTGGAACATGTATGGATATTGACAAGTGTCAGTGTTTGAGTGGATATTATGGACAGCAATGTGAAATCAAAAATTGTTATGGAACACTTTCGAATGATTCTCGAGTGTGTAGTGGAAGAGGAATTTGTAAGGATGTGAATCAGTGCGCATGTGAAGGAGATTATCTTTTTGGAAATGAATGTGAATTCTCGATATTTACTTTGGATTACTCGAAAGGAGAATTAGTGACACGAGATCCTCAAATTGTGAATCAAAATTATTATCAATGCGAATTGGTATTTCCAAATGTGACAGTATTGGGAGATTCCAAAACTCGTACTTGTTTCACTGATGTTGTTTCAGGTGTTTTTGTCGTGAAACTGGGAGGAGGTTATTTACTAAGTAACAATGACACGACATCATTGCATCATCCACAAACTTTACGAAAATATTTAATTCAAGAAATTGCCACAAGTAAGGTATTGAACGTTGCATTGACCATCATTCCAGAAAGACCATATTTTGGAAATGTCATTATATTGAGAGCAGATTCTGCACAAGCGCCCCTTCCCAATCGAAAATTAGAGTATTCCTTCTCATGCTCGAACTGTCCTTCGACCATTTTGAATGCCTTACCTGCTCCTTCTTCTTCATTACCTGTAGTGACGTTATCAGGAGATTTATTTACTCAGGGACAAACGTACAATTTCTTTGTTGATGTTTTTGACAAGGCATTGGGTATTAGCAAGAGTGCTTCGAAATCGATCTATATTTATGCCTATCAGTCACAACTTAATTTATGGGATGCTAATGCTTCGAAATACTATGCTCAACAATGTTCGAATGGATTGGATTGTCTCATTGAGAATATTTTCGTTGGACATCCACTATTAACTTCATCCAGCAATTCAAGTTTCACATTGATTTCACACGAATATGATGGAATGGCAATATCTGCATTGAATGGAAAACAAGTGTTTAGAATTCCATCGAATTATATTACTTTCGGAAAGACCAGTGTGTTGAAAACAATGGTGTCCATTCCTACTTTGGGAACTTCAGAAACATTTTATGGAAATTTGACATTCGCAATGGATCCAAATAAGGAATTCTTTATTACAGGAGGAGACAAGAGTCAATTGATGGACAAGAAGGATTCATTGGCTTTATCAATCCAAGCGTTCGATACAAGATATTTGAATTTCATTTCTTCCATTCAATGGTCTTGTCAACATGTCACTTCCAACGCATCATGCACAAATCTTATCAATTCGACGACTTCTTCCATCATTTCCTTCACAAATAATGGAGGAATAACAAGTTCTGGATTATACAAATTGAAATGCCAGATACAGACCACTCTTGGAGTCAGTTTCACATTATTTTCATATTTACAGATGGTGGATAATTCATGGGGATCGACAGTGTCAGTAATTTCTACTCAACCAATTGCTCCTTCATATGGATACAACAGCATCATTACATTGAAATCAGTTCTCTCTCAAACATTAAGCTCTTCCATTTCCTCCATCCAGTTGACAACTGACAAGCCCACAAAAGCTTCATTCCCTGCAACCATGACTACCTTCAAAGATCAACCAGATGGAAGTACTCTCATTCAAACGTCCATCGACACTTCCCAATACCTCTTCGAGAATATCAAATATTCTTTCACCATGAATATCACTTTAACAAGTGGACATTCTTTTTCATCATTTTATTTCACGACCATTACACCTCGAACTTCAAAATTCAGTGAATGTAACATTTCTCCTTCCAATGGTATTGCCTTTGAAACTCAATTCACACTTTATTGTAGTCATTTAGGTCCGGACATGGATCGTTATTCAGTGAAAATGATTCTCTTTGATTCCTCTCAAAAACAATTCACACTTTCACATTCGAAACAAAATGTCATGTTGACACGATTACCTCTTCTTTCGAATAATGCATTTGTGAAATTTATATTACAAGATACATCTGGAGGAACGATCGAGTATCAAGTTCCAGTGAGTACAAGTCTTCCAGTGGATTTGGCAAATGTGATTTCAAAATTATCTCCAAATTATTATGCAGCTTATGTGTTTGATTATTTGGAAAAAGCACTTGTCAATAATATTGGATATGATGTGACATTGAAGCAATATATTGATATTGTGAGTGCTTTGAGTATCTTTTTGAATAGTCCTTCAGTGGATGCATCCAAAGCGTTTGCAGATATTCTTGACAAGGTGTCAAATATGATAGATCGACTCTTTACTTATTTGGAAATACTGAAAAACATGTCATTCAATGCAGATGATCAGATTGTTGAGGTACTTTCTCCACTCGTTTCGAAAACAGTGTTTTTCATACATCGAGTTGGTCAATTGAATTCATTAAGCACTGTGTATCGAAATCGATTGCTTCAAATGATCAAATTTATTCTTTCCATTAATTCTCAGGTCAATACTGAAATGTCAGATGCCATAACATTATTAAGTTCATCCGTCATTACCTCAACTCCTTCTTCACCAAACTCTTCCCAAAACATGACACAATTCTCATCCTCCATTTTAGAAATTCTCAATCTCAAACTCGGCCTGATTGATATCAAATCCTCTCAAGATGGAACCTTTGATTTAGGAGGAATGACTCTTTCATTGATGTATGGTTTGAAATTAAGCACATTTTCAAATCTTAAAATAGTTTTGAATTCTCAATTCAATGTACAACTTCCTTCCACACCATTGACGGATTCCAATTCTGGAGGAGTTGTGAGTGATTACAAATTCATGACAAGTGTGTTAAATGTTACCAATTCTCAATTTTCGATTGGAAAGAATTTGACAAGAATGTTTTTAACGGGAAATGTCATGACGGTTCGTGTGAATCGTTTGGTGGATGGATCGACTTTGAACATTAATAATTTACAAGATCCTATTGTGTTGAATTTTGTAAATTTGGCAATGAGTGCAGAGAATTTGGTGTTGTACAGAATGAATAAGGCCAATGTGACCTGTCGATATTTACAAGAGAGTACAGGAGATTGGTTACAAGATGGTGTCACGACAGTTGTCACTGTCAACTCTGACAACACGATTTCAGTCAAATGTCAAACCAACCATCTTACAACCTTCTCTGTCTTTTTAGATATTTCAAGCACATCCAATACTGGAGGAACCACAAACCCAGTCGCCTCTTCCAAAACCCAAAACCCCCTATCAAACAATGGAGGAGATTTAGCAGTGGCCATTGCAGTTCCAGTCTCGGTTGTGTCATTCCTTCTCATTCTTCTGGTCATTGTCATTGTCATCATTGTTGCTCTCATTCTACGACGAAAGAAGATGCAACAACAAAAGAAACAAGATCTCGCTTTAAATGAAAAGAAACAAGATCAAAATACTGCCAGCATGACACATGATCCAATTGTACAAAATTCTCAAAAGAATGAATCGGTGGCAAGTCTTTCGGATATTGAAATGCAAGAAGACACTGGAACGAGTTCATTATTTATTTCAGATTATCGATCGGTTCGTGAACAATTAATGACTAGTACGAATGGTGAAATTATTCCAATTTCTATTAATCAATCAGCAGTGACTTCTGGCAATAAATCGAATCGATCCAATTCCTCGACAAGTAGTGGAAGAACGGATGTGATTAACAGAAAGTATGAAATTTTGGAAAAAATTGGAGCTGGAGGATGTAAGTAGTTTTGAGGATGGTGTTACATTTGTTTTGATGACTTTTGATATCATTTTGACGTTTGACATTTCACATATAACTAGTTGGAAGTGTTTTCAAAGCAAGAAATCTCTTATATACTGGTAAACCAGGTGAAATTGAATTCTTTGCAATTAAGAAAGTTCAACTTTCAGGAATGTCTGAATTGAATGAAAAATTCAAAGAAGCTGTCAACATGTTCCGTTGTCGTCATGAAAATATTGTCTATCTGGAAGATGCAGTGGTTGATGAAAATACCATGTCACTCTATCTCATTATGAAATTCTATGGAAATGGAGATTTGGATTATTTCATTAAGAAACGAAAAAGACTCTCTGAAAAGATGTTACTGCAAGTGATTCATCAAGTATGTCGTGGATTGGATTATTTACAGAAAACCATGTCCATGATTCATAGAGATATCAAACCATCGAATATTTTTGTTGATGAAATTGATGAAGCCAACGATCGTATCAAAATTGTACTCAGTGACTTTGGATTGGCAAAGGAAAGCAATGTGTTGAATTCGTTTAGTTTTGCAGGAACTCCCTTCTTCATGTCTTGTGAATTAATTGTTGGAGGAAAATATTCATTCAACACGGATATTTTCAGCTTGGGATGTAGTATTTTCGTCATGATTACATTTGACATGAGTTTGTCTTTGGGTCAACTCATGCTGAAACATCAAACCAACCTTCAAGAAGCAAAAGATTATATGGCTCGCAAAATTAATGAGACAGACAATGTCTACTCACAACAGTTCATTGATTTGTTGTGGAGAATGGTTGAGTTTGATCCTGAAAAACGTCCGAATGCAGGTGATATTGTAGAGTGTTTGAGTCAGGATGAAAATTTCAAACAAATCTTGTCTTTGTAAAATAAAAGGTTCGTACAACATGGAGACTTCATAATACTGCTCAACCTCCATAATTGTTATGCAACGTCTAACAGATCGAAAAATGCTTAAGCCGCTTACAGGCATATGTCACGACATGTGGTCTGTTATGTTAAATTGAATGATTAGAATTTCATTCTCCAACTCTAACAATTCAGCTTAACAGAACTGATCACCGAGCTACAACCATTAAATCAGTCGTCAAGAGCAACCAACTTCAGTCAATTATCGAAATTGTCATACTGACACATCCAAAAACGATTTGGTATCATCTTCAATGAATTTAAACAAAGTTCTATCATTACTCTAATTCAACTTTAATTAATAAAATAAATATATGTATGTGAATTCAAGTCATCATGAAGTACTCACTGTGTGTATCAAGATTAAAATACATTGAGATATATTCCTAGAGAGCATATGCATTCAAAAAAACTCTTATCTTTGTTCCGAATATTGAGAGTCTAATCTTCTACCTCCATACGATTCTCTTTGTGAGGAATATGAGCTACTACTACCATAGTTCGATTGAGAGCTTCTATTGTCATTATTGTCTGTGGAATGTTTTGGTATGTCTTCGCGTGAGCCTCCAGAATATGTACTACCACTGCTTGCTCCGTACCTACCAGATTGATTATTGTAATATCTATTCGAAGTATAATATCCCTGCTGTGATTGATGAGGTCTATTATAATAATTGTGGCTTGAATGATGATGGGAATATTGATGATGTCCACCATAGTGATATTGTTGTTGTTGTTGATGGTATGGCTGGTAATGATGTCTTCTTGGAGCGTAATTGTGCATGGTTTTACCGTGCTCTTGATTTTCTAAATAGGTCTTTTTGAAAAGCTCTGGATCTTTTTCAGAGAGTTCCAATTTATCTTTGAGATTTGCAATGGCATCCGAAAGCTTCTTTTCTTCCTGAGGTGTCATCTTGACTCCAGGTTTCGTGATTGGTTTTTTCGAACGATTGACCTTAATCTCATGATCCAATAAATGATGACCTGATAAAGCCATGGCTTTGTTTGCTGCTTCAACATCCAAGAATTCAATAAATGCAAATCTCGATGGATGTTTTCCATCTCCTGCCATTCGAATATATGCAATGGGTCCACAAACACTGAAAATATCCACCAAATCATTGTGATTCGCTCGTGAATCAATATTTCCAACATAGACTGTTCGTGCAATTTCCTTATCCTTTTCTACATCACCAGTACTATATACGAGATTGTTATCAACGTTGGGATCTCCAATTTGTTGAATGAAAGGATTCAAAGCCTTTGCTGAAGATTCTTGAGAGGCTTCTAATAATAATCCAGCGGCTACACCTTGATGTGTAGTGGTGGTGGTTGGAGTTGTTGTTGATAATGTGGTAGGAGGTGCTGCTCCAACAATTTGTAACTTGAAGCCAACCATGGGTGTACCGTTAAGTTTCATTGCTTTTTGTGCGGAAGCCTCTTCAAAAAAGACAATTTCATATTTTGTTTCGGAAGAGGAGCTATGTGTGTAGTCGTTGGTAAAGATTCATATCGATTGGTTAATCATAGAATAGTTTTCAATATATTTAACCATTTTCAAGAATATCATCATCATGATCAAATAGATTAAAATTCAATTTAAAAAATAAACACAAGAACAAAATTACTTACTTGATGCTCCTCATCATTTCAATCTCTCCACAAAAATTAAAAAACTTTTGCAATGTTTCTTCATTCACCACCGGAGCAATATTCGATACATACACAGTCCTTTTCGCACTATCGTGATTGTTGCTTGATGATGACATTTTTTTGTGTTTTTTTTTATAATTCTTCCACTTCAAAAAAATCATGTCCACCTGTGTGAAATTAATTCTTCTCACAGGTCCCGGAAAGCAACAACATGCAGCTTGCAACCATCCATGTCCTTGCAATGATCATGAACCTCATCTTGATTCATTATTACTACTTTTGAAACAAAAACTTGGATTCTTCGGAAGAAGGTTCATTTCACAACCATTTTCAATGAATTTCGAATGCATTCATACATTCGGACAGAGTGGCGTTCGAGGAAATTTCAATCATCAATTTAATTTTCCAACAAGTCTTGCCATCTCGTATCAATATTCATTCGTGTTCATTTGTGATAGTTTCAATGATCGAATTTTAATATTTGACTTGTGTTCGAGAGAATTTAGAAAAAGTTTTCGAATAATGGGTAATTCGGAGCGTCCTCGATTTTTGTGCATGGAAGAGGAAAGGATGAATGGTGATGTTGCACTGATTGTGGGCTGTGGAGTTTTTGAAAATTTCACATTTTACAAATTAGATGTAAATAAGAATCTATCTTTGGAAATGAACCAATCCTCCAGTTCGAATATTAAGCCAGATTTGACACGTAGTAATCTCAACAACAACAACAAAAACTCCTCCTCATCTGGACAAGTGTGTGAAATGAACTATATATGGAAATCCATGAATCGATCAATCAAAAGTATGCAAGGAATGAGCATTTCTTCATACTACCATCAATTATTTGTGTGTGATAAATCTTCAACACCATGTGTTCATGTATTGAATTCTAACAATGGAGATTATTTAGAGCGAATTGAAATGGATTATTATCCAAGCTCTATTGAACTATTTCATCATTGGAACAATCGACATGATGAACAAGTATTAATCATTTGTGACACTCAACATGTCATTTCCATTTTTCAAAGAATTTCATTTCCAAAACGAAGGAATTATGAACCTGGTAGTGTCCAAACGAATTCATTTCGAAACCACAACCAATGGAAACGATTGAAAAAATTTAGTATTCAAAATAGTTCAAAACTAACCATTGCTTCAACAAATATGATTGTTGACAGAGCATCCAACACATTAATTATCAGTGATTTCTTGCAAAATTGCATTCGAATTTATTCATTAGAGACTGGAGAGTTGTTGAAAGAATTTGGACAAGATCATCTAATTCATCCTCAAGGACTGACCCTTAATGAACTGAATGGAGAATTGATGGTATGTGACACATCCAATCATCGAGTTCTAGTGTTTAAATGAATTCATTCCTGAGCCTCAGAAATAATGTTGAAGAGTCATCTCCAAATATTTCAAGCCACAGCTACGACACTCATAACGAAATGGTGTTTGCAGCTGTGATTCCCTGCAGTGGCACGCAAAGACTTTTTTGAAACGCGTTTCTTGAACAAGTTTCTCGAGATAATTTATTGAAATACACATCTGCGATTTAATTCAATTGCAAATCAGTGGACATATCCACAACTGTCAACCATGGAAGCATGACTGATCCAAGATACATCTTTCCCTCATGAACATCAGCCTCAGAAACTCGAGAAACAAAAGTAGCAGTTCTATCCACATAAACAGAGATGACTCTTCCATGTCTATCCAACTTTTTAACCAATCCCATGACTGGAATCATGTTCAATGTCGTCAATGGAGGAACATATTGTAAAAAGATATTCTTAATTTTGGTCGAAGATTGAATAGCAGTGACATCAGCATTGGTTTCAGCATACAATCCAACCAAAAAGTTTCCATCTTCATCAGTCTTGATATTATCAGGATATCCACCAATATCTTCAAAGACAACATTGGTTCCAGCCTTGCGACCTGTCAAGTAATATTTTCTAATTCTTCGTTCAGAACATTCATTAATGACGAGGAAGGAATGGTCCGATGACAATGCAATTCCATTTCCAAATCGTAAATCAGAAATGACCAGTTGCAACTCACCAGTTTCAACATTGAATTTGAATAATCTTGAATCAGCACTGTTAGCCAACACAATGCTTACAAATTGCATTCTCGTATAAGCCAAAGATGAATCTGTAAAGTAAATAGTCTTTCCATCGGGCATGAGGACGATAGAATTGACCATCTTGAATGGAACTCCTTGATATGAATTGACCAACACTTGTACCTGTGAGGGATTATTGAATGAAATACGTAAAATTCCCTTGTAAGCATCAGCAACAATTAAATTACGATCATTCGGGTCAAAGGCAAGACCCAACACTCGACCACAAATAGGTTCGTTCAATACACTGAGTCCACATGTCGCTCTTGTAGTGGCATTCAAAGATGGAACACTGTAAGCAAATACTGTGGATTCTCCGGAAGTAACATTTACTCTTCGAATACTTCCATCAGCAATACCAGTGTAGAGGATATCTTGGTCAACTGGATCCCAAGCAAAACTTTCAGGTCCTGTTAAGACTCCAAGACCAATCTTTCTTGAATTGATGATGGTTTTCTCTCGAATACGAGTTGCAGAGACCATCACCACTGCAAGGATGAGAAGTGAAACAAGAGTGGCGTAAATGGACTTCATTGGCAATTGAATTAATTTTTTTTTCTTGAAAATTTGTGTGGAGTGGGCGATGCACTTGAATCTTGTCTCGTAATATCGCCCGCTCTGTATATGTAAAGAGACCCATCAAATGTCTACAACTGAGGCGCAATGAATGTGGTAAAGAGTAGAGCTTGCCTTAATATGTTAGGATCTTGTTTAAATAAGCATCAGAATTTTGTTGTAAAACATTTCTAGAAGAAGACGCCAAACAACGATTGCATCTCTCTTGAAAACACTTCCTTTCAACTATGAATCTCATGACCCTGTTTGCACACGAGCTAATTCAGTAGACAGGGAATGGGGGGCAATGAAAAGGTATGTATGAATATACTTCAACTGAACATTATGAGAGATCATTGAGCCACCCGAATGATGAAGTTGTTTCTTTCAGATGATGAACCTACCTAACTGGAGTCATGAAAAAGTTCATCATCTCCAGATCGCAATAGAAACCTGAACAAGAACAAAAAAAATGCTTTCATCCTTTACTCGTGTCGACGAAGCCTTTGAAGATTTCAAACGCGTTGAAAATGGTGGCTTTCCACCTTCGGATCAAGTCCATGAAGATGTTTCTCCTTCTCCACTCGTTCTCTTGAAAACTCAAGATTATTATGATGAGTATGAATTTGGCATTGAAACCAAAGAAAGTCTCCATGCGGATCAGAAACCACTGACGCCTGTGGAATTATGGGCCTCCGATGTCATTGATTGCAGTTCGTATTGGGATGGAAGTGGTATGGGAGGAGGAAATGGAGTGAATCAAACTGTATCGTATGGACCTCGCAATGTGATTGGTCCTTCTACAATTTATCCAATGGCAGGTTCGAATGGATCTGCTTGGTGTCCCAATAACACGAGCGGGCCAGAGTTCATTACGCTCAAATATGAACAGGCGATTCAAATTCAAAAAGTTCATGTCTATGAAACGTCATGTCCTGGAGCGACTTGTAAAATTTCTGCCAAACGATTGAGTGATGGAGAATGGGTGGTATTGTATAGTGGAGCATCTGTTACGAATACTGGTGTGAGAGATTTTGCACCTGATTTGGCTGTGACGGATGTGGTTTCGGATACGATTCGACTTGATTTGAATATGCCAGGACAATGGACTGAAATTGGTAGGTTTTTTGTTTGAAAAAGTGTTGTTGGAATGTAGTGTACTGATATTTTTCTACCATTGTGACTTGTGGATCCGATTGAAATCGCGTATTGTTTTTTCGTGTTAATGATGAAACAGATGCAGTGAAAATTATTGGACTTGGAAATGGCTCCGTTGAGATTCCACCTCCACTTTCTCCACTTTGCGTGCTTTATAAGAAGCTCCTCATGGATGGCATGTACACCGATGTGGTTTTATACCATCAAGAATCGAGAAGAGAAATCAAAGCTTTGAGAGCCATTCTCGCTCAACGATCTCCGTTTTTAAGAAAACTCATTGAATCTGCTACAGAATCTCACCAAAATATTGTGACTGTGAGTTCACCCTTCCGTTATTCAGTCTTAATGGGTGCTATTGATTTTATTTATTCAAATCATGCCAACTTGAAAGCATGTCACGTCGTGGAAACATATGTCCTCTCCTCAGAATGGGGTATTCCAGAACTTGCTGAATTTTGTGTGAAACGATTCAAGGGAGTTGTGAATGTGGAAAATGTGATCATGTTCTATCGAGAAGCCAAACACCATAATTGTACTTTAATTCTCGATGCATGCTTTGATTTCATTGTCCAGAATTATAAGAAGGTATTTTTACAAGACGATCTTCATACCCTTACCAAGCAAGATTTACTTATTATTTGCAGAAAACTTGCAAAGAATGGTCTTCATTAGTGATACTTTACACAAAATGTCATTCATACCTCCGTTATTATGATCTATGGCATCATGCAGCTGTAACCATATAAATTTCTCTTTTTTAGAAAAACAAAAAAGCTGACAGCACTTGGTTTACAAAAAAATGCCACGCCTCTCGACATCATCATCATCCTCTCCATCATCCTCCTCACGCATGCTATGGTCTATACCTCCAATATTTGACTGTTTTACCCGACATCCAAAATTACTATTATTATTTCTAACAATTGTAGAAATGTTAATGTTTTTTGATCGGGGAGCAATTGCGTCTGTTTTACCTTCCATCAAGGAGCATTGGACGTTATCGGGAAAACAAGAAGGAATTATTGGAAGTGCTTTTATAATTACATTTTCAATAGGAAGTACATTATTTGCTTTTTTGGCGAATTACGTGAGAGTGAATTTAATTATGGCTTTCGGATTGTTTGTTTGGACTGTGAGGTAGGAGAATTTCTTATTTTCAAATATATTGTAACAACATCTTTTTGAAACATCATCATTTTACTAATCATCATTATCATCTCGTTACAAATACATGAATCAATATTGGACAACATGAACAATAATAATTTAGTGCCATCTTATCGGGGTTATGGGGATCAGTATCTCATGGAGTCGATCAACAATGGGGATACTACATGTTAGTGCTGTCACGAGCTCTGATTGGAATTGGAGAAGCTTCTTTTGTGCCACTCTCAGTCACTCTCATTGATGACATTGCAACAAAAGAATACAAGACGACTTACATGTATGTAGTTGTGTATTTTGTCATTGTAATTTTTACAATTTCATATATGGGTGATATGACAAATAATGTTGTTTTACTGATATTATTACTTACAACATTCAATCACAAAATATTGAATCCTATGATAATAATTGATTTCATGCTCATTTTAGGAGTTTTTTCATGTTGGGAGTACCATTAGGAGTGGCATTTGGATACAGTATTGCATCATATATTGTAAATATCAGCAATTGGACCTATTGTTTTTACATGGAATCATTATTTGGACTATTCTTTGGATGTCTCCTTCTCTTTATTCCTCTTTCCTCAGTGAAAACAAAACATTCCAAAAAAACAGATGAAAACGCTTCCGAATTTGAAAAACATAATACAAGTTTAGAAATTGATGACGAAGAGAATTATCAAGTCGATATCATTAAGGTTGAAAAAATTGAAACTACGACACCACACGAGCAACATGGAAGTGACACTATACATCCATCTACTCACTTTCATTCCGAAATGGATGATTTATCCGATGATGGAGAAGAAACAAATAGTGAATTTTCTCTACTTCACAAAAACGGAGATTCTCATGACGACGACGCTGAAGAAATTCTTTTGCATGAACCCATTGTGGAAGAAGAGTTACGACTTCATAATGAAACAACCACTCAGTCCTCTTCTTCCTCCTCACGACTGCAACATATCAAACGTGAGTCTGACAAGAATAGATATCGAGTGTTCTCATTTTGCTCAGCCATGAAATATCTGTTCTGTAATCCAGTGTATTGCTTTAGTACCTTGGGATCCTGTGGATATAACTTTGTGGCAGGTGCCATTCAATTCTATGCTCCTTCGTATGTTTTACACAAAATTAGACAATCGGATAGTGCCATTACGATAGCATCTGATTCTGCAAATTTTGCAAATATTGGATTTTCTGTGGTCATGCTGTTGGCATCTATTATTGGAACCATGTTGGGTGGTTTTATTGTCGATCGATTTGGTGGTTCCAATGGTATGCGAGGAGGTAAGTTTTACGGGAACATTTTACTGAACTTGTGTTAATATTTGTGTTGATAATGCTTCACACATATCCACTTTTCATTTTGAAAATGATTGGATTATTACGTCATGGTCACACACTTTTTACAATTTGGAATTCCAAATTTCAGCCACGAGAAGTTTGTTATTTTGTGGAATTTTCTTACTTATGGGATTTCCATGGGTCATTCCAGTATTTATTTTCAATGTGAATATTTATGTCTTGCTGATATTATTCGGAATTTCGTGCGTTTTTCTATTTTGTTCAACAAGTCCTTTCCAATGTAGTGTTGTCAACTCGGTCGAGTACAAAAATTTGAGAAATTATGGAGTGAGTTGGCAAATATTTTTATTCCACTTGTTTGGAGATTTTCCATCTGCATTCATCTTTGGTCTCATTCAAGACAGTTTTTCGATTGATGTTGCCATGAGTAGTGTGTGGATTATTCTGATACCTTCATCTTTTATTTTTATTGCTGGTTATTTTGTTTCCTATTTTTGGTTACAACGAAGACATGACAAGATGAAACTACAATTTATCACAAAGAAAAAGGTCGAACTCGATTTGGAGAGTCTAGACAATAGTGAAGAAGCAAAAGATGATGACTCTGATTCAACAGCTGCAAAAACAACACGTCATGAAGCACCCCCTGCATCCAGTCATAACTCCTCATTTGAACATCATGCATCGTCAACAAAACCACCAACGACACGAGCACGAACGAACAGCATGGATGAAAAATCTAAGAAACAATAACATTAAATGTTTTCACATCTTCTGTAAATTCAAAGTGGGCAAATTGATCGTCTGGAAGTAATGTTGTACTTGTAGAACGATCTCGAGAAAATCGTCATCCTAGAATAGATGAGAAGGAATGACTGTTCCAAAAGATTGGAACAAGCTATTTCTCACGTTTTGATTTTGAAATCCTGCAGTTTTGGGTCTTCGACAAATGTTCTTCCTGATGTGAATTTTTTTGTAGTCAATGTTGATTTCAAAATTCCAGTGATCGCTGCATCACCTGTGAAATGCCCAGCAGTAGGTAAATCGCAATTGTTTAGTTACTAAATCTTTGTTCAACCGAGTACCATGGTCTGACTTTAATTTGAAATGTTTTGGTTCTGTTCTTTGAATTTTTAGAGAGAAATGGAATGTCACGGCTGGGCTGATAACGGATATTCGAAATTCCTTTAAATCGGCCGAGTGCAGAATTAATAATCAATCAGTCGCTCATTTTTCAACTCCAATTGCCATTTTCTTCCACCATTCACTCGTGGCAAAATGTTTGACATCTTCTCTGCGAATTCTATTGTAATAAAGATCCAAAGAGGTTAAATTCTTCAACCATTCACTAGCGGCAATATATTTGACACCTTTTTTGTCAATATTATTATTGTTCAGATTCAAATAAGTCAAATTCTTCAAGGGCTCACTTGCGGCAATATATTTAACACCTTCTTTGTCAATGTTATTATTACTCAGATTCAACGAAGTCAAAATTTTCAAACATTCACTCATAGCAATATTTTTAACACCTTCATTACTAATTCCATTCCGTTCCAGATTCAAAGAAGTCAAATTCTTCAAGGACTCACTTGTGGCAATATATTTGACACCTTCACTGCCAATCTCATTGCTACGCAGATCCAAAGAAATCAAATTCTTCAAGGATTCACTTTCAGCAATATATTTGACACCTTCACTGCCAATTTCATTGCTACACAGATTCAAAGAAGTCAAATTCAAGTATTCACTTGTGGCAATATACTTGACACCTTCACTACCGATTTGATTGTCCCTCAGATTCAAAGAAGTCAAATTCTTCAAGGATTCGCTTGTGGCAATATATTTAACACCTTCACTGCCAATTTCACTGTAATACAGATCCAAATAAGTCAAATTTTTCAAGCATTCACTTGCAGCGATATATTTGACACCTTCACTACCGATTTGATTGTCACTCAGATCCAAGTAAGATACATTCTTCAACGTTGCACTTTCAGCAATATATTTAACACCTTCACTGCCAATTTCACTGTAATACAGATCCAAATAAGTCAAATTCTTCAAGGACTCGCTCGTGGCAATATATTTGACACCTTCACTGCCAATTTCATTACTACGCAGATTCAAAGAAGTTAAATTCAAGCATTCACTTGCGGCAATATACTTGACACCGTCACTACCGATTTGATTGTCGCCCAGATCCAAAGAAGTCACATTCTTCAACGTTTCACTTTCTGCAATATATTTGACACCTTCGTTACCAATTCCATTGTAATACAGATCCAAAGAAGTTAAATTTTTCAACGTTTCACTTTCAGTAATATATTTGACACCTTCAACACCAATTTGATTGACACTCAGATCCAAAGAAGTCAAATTCTTCAAGCGTTCACTTTCTGCAATATATTTGACACCTTCACTACCAAATTGATTGTCACTCAGATTCAAAGAAATCACATTCTTCAACGTTTCACTTTCAGTAATATATTTAACACCTTCACTACCAAATTGATTCAACTCCAGATTCAAAGAAGTCAAATTCTTCAAGTATTCACTTTCAGCAATATATTTAACACCTTCGTTACCAATTCCATTGAAATACAGATCCAAAGAAGTCAAATTTTTCAAAGTTGCACAATGAGCTAAAAGTTTGATTGATTTACCATCTTGTATGAAGTGATTTGGTTTGAATGATAATGAGAGAGGAATATAAAATGATACCAGTCTCCATTGTTTTGAAATTTTCATACAAATTTGAATGATAAACAATGAATCAAGGAAGTGAAGAATTTCAAAAATTATATCATCCATGAATGGTCCATTGTTGTGTTCGGTTAAACTTGTCGGAGAGAAATCATCTTTTTCAGCCGACTGATCATTGATCATTGTGGATGATGAATTTGATGCTTCAACAACAACAGAGGCTAAGAGTTTTCTCATTTCAATGGCACGGGTGAAAGAGGATAAACGTAATTTTTTTGAATAAAACTCGTAACGAGACTATTCTTTGAAAGTGGTGTTGTTTTGGCTATTGTTACAGCTGCAAACAAATGAAAGAGTGTCGCATCAGGGTTGTTCGTTTGACCAATTTTGGCTTGTTTTCAACCTTGTTCTTCTCTCCCAATTAATTTTTTCTCACAAGAGTTCGCAAAGTGTTCCCAAAATAAAGAATAAACTTGAGAGCTTGGGCTTTACAGATTTCCCTTCAGATCTTAATGTACAACATTTTGACCAAACATAAAAACACATTGGATAAATTGAAACGTGTTTAAGGTACCACTTCCATCATCAAGTTTGCAAATTTTCCAACGGTTATTGCGAAAAAGCCATAACAAATTTGCTTTTCAACAAAAAATTGCTTGCAGGATGAAATGACAGGGTTAGATCATGCAACGACGAGTCGGAGAAGGGTCATCTTCATTCTTGTCTTGTTGTTTCTATTCGTTGGAAATCTAGTTGTCATGACCATAATGATGTATCGCAAACCATTGCATAAAGAGAAGCTTCGGGAAACTGCCACTTGTCAAGACGAAATTTCTACGTTACATGATTCTCATCAATTACAAGAATTAACACAACCATTAACACACGACTCGAGTGTGACCTCATCATCATGTATACATTTCGAAAAAAACATAACTCAACAATTCTGGAATAACATTAAATTACCCCTTCGAGTGGAATGGATGAAAAACAAAATTTCACACTCCTTACCATTCTGGATTCAAACTCTTTATGGAATGATTTCACCACCACCCATCATGAAAACTGAGACCGAAACTCGTTCATTTCCTAAAAAGATTCTCCTTTTCAATTATTTACGTTCCATTGGTTTCAATGGACAAGGTTCCACTCCGAGAGGAGAATTGACACAATGGACGGATTTAGTCATGGCTCTCGCTTTACAAAACCATCATGTGTATTATGTTCATGATTTTGAAGAATTAGTGAATCAAGTTTTGCCTGAACATTCCATAGAATCGTTTCATTTGATTTTCACAGATTATTCTTCATTACACATGTACCTCTCGGAAAAACTTGGATTCATTCATCAACTTGGGCGAGAATTGAACTCTCGACCACAAAAACATCAACAACTCTCGAAATGTAGATTGAGAATTTTGGATAGTTTTGGAACACACCAAAAGTATAACTCAATGAATGCAGCAGATGTATCTGATCGTTCGTCGTCATCATGGTGTTGTTGGAATTTGAACTTGAAACAAATTTTAACATTACAACCTTTAAAAATTCCAGATCCAGTCAATCAATTTTTAGGAATTGCCATTCCTTTCGATATGGAGAGCATTCTTCATCGAGACATGTCAAGAAAGAAACGACAGGCATCATCTGGAAAATACAGAGCTTTGATTTGGGCCAAGGAATTCAAATATTTTGAACGAGTACCTTCGAGTTATTTGAAAACTATTTCTGAAAGATTCGAATTGGTAACAACATTGACTTTCAATGATTTTGAAAAAGTGAGAATCAAATTTCCAACTGTTGAATTCACAAATTTGGGAATTCTCACTCATTCATCCTATGTTAAGGTATTAAGGGAGAGCGTTATCTATGTCGGGTTAGGAGAGCCGTATATTGGTCCAAGTAGTTTAGAAGCTCTCGCGTACGGTAATGTCATTTTCAATCCGAGAATTAAGCCTTTCAAGTTGAGTGACATTGGAAAGCCATCCGATGAAATATATACAAGTCAGGTACCGTATTTGGAATCTATTGGTGCTCCAAATGTTATTACTTTGAGAATGATGGATACAAAAAGTGTAGCAAGACATGTACACGATGTGGAATTATTGTTAGATGAAAATCACGGTGTGATTCCTCCATATATTCCTAGTGAGTTCACTGTCCAGGCCTTTTTCTATCGAGTGTACAGTATTGTGAATTCGTATGACTTTTGTGACTAGAGAGAACATGTCGTGTGAATTAATCATATTGCGAATAGTAAGAGATGGGTTTTAAAGAATCACGTAAAAGCTCATTTCCAAGAGCATAGCATTTCGTCGTTTTGAAGCAATTCTTTCACTTCTTGGGAGGTTACACATGTGAGTTCAAAGGACCCAATAACATCGTTTTCGCCAGCCGAATACAATAATAATTCACCTCTCCAAGTTCCATCGGCAATTAGCTCTCCTTGTCCAAACACGTCACGAAATTCTTCTGTATCTATCAAGTAGTCCTCTAAGGACTCTGGGATATCAGGAACACTAAAAACTAATTTGCCATTTTGTGTGTTGAATTCAAAATAAAAGTCGAAATCATTGGAGTCATCTTTTTCATCTATTGCCTTTAAAATTTTCCACGTATCAAGATCGTCATGTAAACATATTGTTCTCAATTCTTTTTCATAGTGCGTTTTAAATGTTACGAAATTCTCTTTTGGAACTGGTCGAAAGGCACATCCTACAGTAACAATTGCTCTCCTAATGGGGTAATTTTCAAAATGACTCACCATGATAAAACAGTCCTGCAAATCAGTTAACTCTTTTGCAATTCGAGCGAACACAGGTTGATGTTCAGCATTCAATCCCATACTCTGTTTCATGTACCAATTGAATGGAAATGGCGTTGGGTTATTACTGTTCAAGCGTTTCAATTCGCACCATTGTTCCTCTATTTTCAATTGTTGTGTGAATCTCAACAGATGCTTTCTCGTGTTCATTCGATCCTCGGATCCATTATTACTATTGGTATATTTACAAACTCGATCGTCTATTCTCAATGAAAGTAAATAAAAATGAGGATCATGATCGAATCTAGTTGTTTCATTATTCGAGTTGACTTGTTCATTCAATGATATTCGTGGAAGAAATTTTCGGGCTCGTTCTCGGAATGACATACTCATTCTCTCATCAAATTTTAGCATTAATGGTTTCATTTCATCCTCCTCTTGATCCGTCGTGATCTGATTCATCTTTCTCTCGGGAGCTAGTTGCAAGAAATCAAACAATTGTACTCGTACAAGTGCTGAAGGCGATGAACTCTCTTCCTCATTGCAGAATCTATGGTGCATTTTTTTCTCTAAATTTGGACCTTATGAACTCCTTAATCTGAATGTTGTGCTTCTTCAAATCAACCAATTATTGTGTTATTCATCAATGAAATGCGAGAAAATTAGCAAGTATTAAAGTTTGAAGATTGATAAGGGTTGTTGTTTGATTTATTAAGAAAAATGATATTGCCTGGTCAACCACAAAAACGTTAGCGTGAGTAAATGAGAACGAAAGGTCAGAGTTAGTAGAACAAAGTGTTAGAAATACATTTTGCATCGAGAATGTTCCTTCTCGAATCATGATTCCAGAACTTGTCATTTCTTTTTCAAATTCTCCTCAATCTTTGCAAAATAAGGCGTTGTTTGTATCCAATCCATAAATGTTTCATTCACATGTCGTTTCGAAAAGTGTTGTGAAGTATGTTCCTCAAATGTGAATTGACTTTGACCAGGTGGTCGTCTTCGATTAGCTGGTTGAACAGCGAGTGGAGGTATCGTTGAAAGTGTGAGATTCAATTGGGCACTCTTCTCTGAAATGGTTCCTGTGGATTTGAAACTTTGTTTGGGAGGTCTCTTTTTTGTGAAATGATGATGAATGGATTGTTGTGAAGAATGTATGGAAGTAGAAGAATTTTGTTGTTGTTGTTGTTGTTGATGTGGTAGGAGAGTGGCAGGTACAATCACAGCATTGGTTTTATAATTCGTGGTCGTCGTTGTCGTGGTCATTAAACTTCCTGTGGATTTACTTTTCGCTCGACTTCGACTCTTACTGGATGAAACGACTGGTAATGATTTTGTACTTTTCGAAGAGAGCATTTGAAGATGTTGAGAAGGAATGACACCTTGTTGTTGTTGATCGTGTTGTTGTTGTTGTTGTTGTTGAAAATCCGAATACGTTGCTGCCACATCATGGTTAGGATCCGAAGAAGGAGGTGAAGTTGAAGTTCTCCTTCGGAATGAAAACCTCCATGAACGTGTCTTTTTCATGAAATGATTGCTACCACCCGTGGTAGATTCATTGGCCACTGTGGAAGAGTCATCTTGGTGCTGCTGATGCTGAACATTTTCGGTTTTTGAAGTGACAGGTTTGATCGCAATGGCTGGATGTTTTTTCGCAGTGAGTGTATTCGGAGAGGGAGCTGCTAGAAAACATGCGAAAATATTAGAGAGTTTCATTGGTGTTGTGTTGAGTTTCGGGAGAAAATATTTGAAATGGAAATGAGGAGTTGATATCAAAAGAGTGATGACTTCTTAAGCCTTCTTGTTGTTCTTGTTCTTTTGATTGTAATAATAATGAGAGTGTAAGGATGACACTTGATTTGTGTCAGTTCTGGTCGTCGTTGTTTTTGTATCAAAAAGTGAAAGGCTTTTTGGAATCAATCTGCGAAAAGCAAGTGAGAGTGGAGAGACAATTGTTGTTGATGTCTGTAATCTCTCAAGAGAGGTTGATGATGTGAATACTACTATTACTCGTATTTGAAAATTCGCGATCAATGTTGTTTGTGCTCGCCAAGAGATTTCTCACAATGATGAATCGTCGTGGCTTTTTTTGTATTCTTTGTAAGAATAATTATGTGGTGTATTCAGAGATATTGTGATGGGTGATGACAAATGACACAATTGTTGTTGTAGTTGTTGTATGTTATCAATAATTATAGATAGATGACAATTAACAGTATCTCAGAAAATGCGGATTTGTTAAATGGCTTTCCTGAACTTGATTTTGTATTCCAAGTTGTTGTTGTCGTCGTTGATAACAATAGTAACCGCCAGGTAATCTTCTGGTGTGTAAATTTTACAAAATAACACAAAAGTAGAATTGAGATGTCGAGAGAGAGCAGATGCAGATTATTTCTCGCCAGCTGGCGGTTAGTTTAAAAATCCACACACAAAATTCGGAAGGATGTGAAATCAATCAAAATATTTGTTCAATGATTATGAGGACCGCACCGCACCACAACAATAGCCGTTGATGAATGGTGGTTGATTAATTCGTGAGTGACTCAAGTCAAAAGTCACACAAATTGATGCAACACGTGTAATTGCAAATGAACGCTTTTTTTTGTTCGGGGAAATTTGGTTGGGATATCTTGGACGTGACATTTATAAATCGCCATGCGTCTTTTGACTCAACTTCTAAATTGTGCATTTCAGGAAATATGTGATTGCCTTCCAAATTGCATAAATGTAGAAAATGCCATGAGGGCGATAACATCATTAGTTTTACGGAATTTTCTCTCGGCGCCGAATATTCTGTGCTGCTGTGATATTTCGTTATCTAAGTGGACCTTAGCATATTCCAACCTCATCTTTTCGTCACATCCATTTCAAGAAAAGATCCGGTATTATCTTTTCCAAAATTCTCCAAGTGAAATGTTGCTCAATTCTGTTATGCCAAATATGCAAACAATGTAATATTTCAATTCCTCGGAAAACTTGTGGTTCAGAGCCTTAAATAGAATTAAAATGATGGCAATAAGTTGTGTCTGACTTTAATCGCTCAATATGGAGCTTTGTCTATCGAATTCAATAATGCAACCTTAATCTCTAAATTGGGAACCTCAATGATAATTCCATTTTTACAGGAGCCACAGTATTATTGAGGGATATTTTTCAGGTCAAATTGGGAGTGTCACAGATAAGTGAACCTCTCTGAAGGCTGTTCAGGTTCATTCGGCCATACCATTGAAGGAATCTTGTGCAATTTCAATATACACTGATTATTTCTTGTCAGGATACTGTTCCTGAAACTTCAAATCCATCCTATTTCCACACGGGTGAATAAGACATGGTAGGGCCCGTCACTATTACCATTGAAATGGTGAGGCCCGAGTATGATCTTGTTGAAATGTTCTTGTTTAGCATTGTAAATTATTATTTGATGTCACTCGAAATTGCCTTGATATTATACTTCTCTCTCAATTGTTGAACGGCAGTTCTATGTGATGAAATGTAGCTCCAATTCGTGAGAATGTTTGGAATATGCTTTTCCATTATGATAGAATCTAATCTCAAAACGTTTTGCAATATATTGTTCCTATAACAACAAGCTATGAAGATCCATTCTTGCCCATAGTTGTATGTTGTTAACGAAGGAGTAAGTCTAATAGCAAATTGTGTTGCATTCGATAGATAATCAATAATGGCGCTGCCTATTCTGGGAGTATTGCCTCGTGCTGCATTGTTGGAATAGAGAACATTCCAAAAAATCACATTTGTGGTATCTAGTGTATGTGGATGAGATTTCTTTTTTGGATTTCCAATAAATTCAACGCTTGGCAATTCGTGTGAAAGGAAATGTTTGTACTGATCCATGGAGAGAATATTTTTCAGAGAAAGATATATGTCTCGATCGCTTCCATTGAAGAATGGGGTTGAGGTTTCAAAGTACTTGTTTCTTTCTGATTCTAATAGAAAGTCTGGAGAAAATAATTTCACACGACCATTCAATGACACAATAATATCTGTGAGGGGAATGTTGCTTAGATCTAGATGCTCAAATTTGTCAAAGAGTGGCTCCAAAGTTTTGAAATATTTAAACTTGGTTTTTCTTAATTCGAGCCGCTTCAATGTTGAAAATTGAAAGACTGTGCTACTATTCCAAGTATTGTCATCGATTGGATTTCCTTCCAAGCTTAGAGTGCTCAGTTGTGACGTGTTTAAAATTGGTACCTCTTTCAATCCCATTTCTATCAACTGTACATTTGTGGCATTAGGGATTTGTAATAGACTAATAAAGAGAGGATTGTTTGGTATGGCATTACCATTCTCCTCCTCGAACATGAAACTACAGTTTTTCAATGATAAGAAGGTCAGGTTAGGCATATAAAACTGCCAATTCTCTTCATGGTCATGTCTCAAGGTTACATGACAACCCGAAAATGATAGCCTTTTCAGGGAGAAAAAATTTGGTAATACATCTAACGTAGTATAACTTGGACGTGTAAAAGTAAGACTTCTAATTTTGCTAAACGTGACAACTTCACAATTATTAGAAACCACTTTCGGAATACAAATTTTAGAAGAATAATTGCTCTCTAATTCAATATTTTTCGTTTTCAAACGAAGTGGGGATATAAAAGGAGAGTCATCGACGTAAATTTTCATGGAGGAAAATTCAGTATGATCCATAATGGGGAAAATCTTTTCAATTTCTCTACCAGCAAGAATGATACTTGAGGTACTATGTACAGTTATCTTCTTTCTTTCAAGCTCTTTAAGTTTGTAAATATCCATCAATTCTGGTACGCTAAAAGGTCCAACAACAGTCAGCTGATCAAAGTCCAAGTGACTCTCCAAAATTGAACAAAGATCTATCCTACGACAATTATAGAGCCTCAAATGTTTCACATGAGTATTCGAGAAAGGCTTTAAAATATTAGGTTTACAATAACACGCTTCATATAGCGAAAGTGTTGTAATTATAGATGTTGACTTTTTACAAGTCTCCGCAACACCGTTCAAGAGATTGTTAACAATATCATCTTGCATGTAAATCGATGGCAAATGTATGGATATAAAGAGTTCCTTCTTATTGTCAACAACTCTCTCCAAAATTACGTTTACATTTTCCATCATTTGGTTTTCAACTTTGCTGTTAAAAGGAGTTTCAACTTTCAATCCATTCGCAAAATGAATCATGGATCTGATCTTTGAACATGGCATATGAGTCTTCTTCTTCTTCTGTTGTTTGGTTTTTTCCAATGCTTTGTTATTGGTTATTTTTCGTAAATTCACTACGAAGGGATGATGATTTTGTTGTTGAACGAGCCTCGCTACGTCTTTCGAAATGAAAAACATGGTATTCAACAGAAAATTCAAATTTAAATACGGTACAATTTCATGAATAAAGAGAGATCCATTCGAGCTCTCGAATAATAATTCTCTCAAACTTGGTATTGATCCATCGTGATGATCCGAAGTTGATGACATTTTTTAATCGTTGTTGGCAATTTTCAAGTTTATTGGGATCTTGAAATTGTATTCATGACCACAATTCTAAGTCATCGCGTGTTGCCACCCGTCAACTCTTATTGATGAGGTGTGGTCATGGTTTTTTCCTCAAATGACGAGGAACCTTTCTGTTTGACAAAGTTTTCTAAACGATCAAATTCAAACTTCTTTTCAAATCCAGCTCCAACATTACTTTCCAAAGGCTGTTGTTGAGGAGAGAAGGTATATTCCTTAAAATTACCACTCGAAATGAATTGCATAATTAAGAGACATGCCAATTCAAATTTCTCCTTTTCACATCCATGATGATCGCATTGAAGAATCTTGTCTCTTAATTGAGTAATCTTACGAGCACACTCATCGATGGAACCCAATTGAGTTAATTTGTAATTCAATTTCTGAGCCACTTGTTGCAAAGAAATACATTCTCCATAAAAGGTAAATTCCTGTGTAGTGAAGGTGCTAATAGGATTGATTCGAAGAATCTTCTCAGAAGCCAATTGACAAATATCATTAATGGAAGTACACACAATTTGATAATCCTTCAAATCTCCATAACACTTGACTTGCTGATTGACAGAATCAATGAGAAACTCCACCAAAAAGTCCATTGGAAATCCAGTGAAGAAACTCATAAATGGAACACCTCCATTATCAGCTCTCAACAATTGCAAGAAGGCCTTCTTACATTCCATCCAATTCCATTCAATTTCTTCTTGCTTGGTCACTGGGGGAGTGGTGAATTTTGAAAAATCAAAGGTCCATTGACATGGTATGAAACAACGAAAATCACTATTTGGTTGCAACGCATACAAATGACATGTTTTCAATAAATTCACGTCGGTCTTGTATTGTATCATGGGATGTAATAAGGAATTTCTCAATGAAGCGGAAACAATCACATGTTGGCCATGAAGTTTCTTGACCAATTGAAGAGGTTCATCTTCCATGGCACCACCAATGACAAAATCACAGCCAATGGTCTGAGTGAGATGTTTCACATAGGTCGAAGAGGTGTGGTTGGGATGAACCAGTAGAGTGACTTTGGCTCCTTGCTTGACAAGATCTTCGGCTAACTGATGTCCCAATTCATCATTCTCACCTGAACAGATCATGACTTTGAGAGGAGCGGTTGGTAATTGTTGTTGTTGTTGTTTGATTTCAACCATGATGTTATTGTTGTTGACGTTGTTGAGAAAGAAAAAGATGCAAAAGATGAGACAAGGAAAGAGTAGTAAAGTTATTCTTTTTGAAAAGGGTGTAGTGATGTGCCCAACTGCAGTTGAATACATTTGAATTCATGCATCTAGATTTATATAGTGAATTTAAAGAACAGAAAGTGATGAAAAAGGATTATTGCCATTTTTAAAAGAACTTACAATTTTAACTATTATCGTTTACAGCAATCATTGTCAGCACTCGCAAAACCAATTCAGTCTTGAGGTGGTTTGAACATTTGATCATCTCCAAAATATAAATTAAGGCGTTACAACTGATCCACAATATTATTTTCGTTAAAAAAATGATCAAACGGAAATTTTTTCCCCTAAGTAAGCCTAGTAAGGCTTCACCGAATGATGATCAACGAAAATCGGGTTTATCGGATACGTCCCATACAGAAGGAAAGGATATGGGTGAAACATTTAAAAGAGATCTCTCACCAGGAAAGAATAGCAAAAAGAAGAATGGGCAACAGGGGTTTACCTCCTTGATGAACCTTAATAATCAGATGGTAGAGGAGGAGGTCCACCATCCAAAGGAAACTCCGAAATCAAAACCGTTGGAAGCGCTTCTTGCAAGAAGCAGGCCCTTGAAACTAGCTCAAAAACAAAATCCCAATATTCAAAAGATACTTGAGGAAAATGATTATGATTTTCAACCGATGCATTCCCCAGAAATCACAGCTCAACACCTAAAAAAAATGAAAGCTTGTCAGATTTGCAGCAGCTTTACAAGGAATCTCCCGTCATACTATTCGACAGCAGAAGGAACAGCAACAACAATGAAACTCCACCTCATGATGATGTCTCATCAAAAAATGTAACAGATTCGACAACTACAACAAGATCACCACCCGTAACAATTCCGAAACTTGATTTAACCAATTCACTCGGTATCAACAATCAATATTTACAAATGACTTCTCCAAGAGCGTCATCATCTCCTAGAAATTCACCAAGATCGTCTCTCGCTGTACAATCAAGATCCAACGTCAGTCCTCTAGTTCCTCCACTAAAGAATTTACCACAACCAACAGAGTTATCGCTGTCGCGACCAAGAACATCTTCTCCTAGGAGCGGTAGAAGCAGCGATCGAAAAAACATTATTGAAAAAATTATCAGGCAAAATACTCTTTTTGATCAAAACAATACGGAATCCTACGAGTGGAACAGTTTCTGTTTTAATATTACATCGCACAAGAGCAATTTGAAAGAATTAAGGTTAAAAAAATGTGGGTTAAAAGACGTCGAACATGCCTCACCCCTGTTTAAATGTCTTATGGCAAACCAGGTCAAGCTCAAGATTTTAGATTTAGAAGACAACAACATTACCAAAGCCAGCATGTCCCATCTGTCAGAATATTTATTGGTAGCCTCTGAATCATTACAATTTTTAAGTTTGCGAAAAAATCAAATTACTGATGAGGGAATATCTTGCTTAACCTCTTCCTTCAAAGGCCAAGAAAACATTGTTTTGAGCTTGGAAGAGATTGATCTAAGCAGTAATCACATTTCAGATGAAGGGCTGACATTCTTGACTAGCTTTGCCAAATATCACACTCCTTATTTAGCAACTATCAAATGCTTCGATAATTCTATTACAAACATTAACATTTTACGTTCTTTGATCAATGATGAAGACAAGAACTACTTGAGGAATATTGATTTGTGGAAGAATAGCATTCAACTGGAAGGATTAGCTCGTTTCACAACGATTGCTACCAAGATTACCTCTCTCAACTTGGGATGTAATTCGTTGAGCGATAAGGGAGTTATCGTAATTTCGAAATATCTTTCATTTTGCAAGTCTTTGAAATGGTGAGTAGAATACAATGAGTGGTTTTTCTCAGAATGACCAAATTATTGCTATTGAACATTTACCAGCCTGGATTTGTCTGGCAATGACATTACAGATTCTGGAGGTTTCCATATGGCAAACGCTCTCCTTGTCAACCAAGGCTTGGTAATGTTAAATATGAGTAATAACAATATGGGAGAAGAAGCATGCGTTAAATTGCTAGAGTCTATCAAGGTAAGTTGTGTTACTATTGCCATAGATCAATGCAACGTGAATCCCAATCATGAACATTCTTACACACGCAGAATCATGCAACACTTTGCAATTTTAATTTATGTAGAAACAGGCTTTCTCCAAATAGCCTTATCGATTTGACACGATTTGTTTCTGATATTAACGCTGCACGAAAGAAAACAGGCTATCCAATTTGTAAGGCTTTCATGTCACCTTTGCCAAGTATTTTGACTCCAAGGAATGAAAGCTCCCTCATCATGCATTATTCTCCACGTTTTACCCTCTCGAGTCCAAGGATTGGAGTTACTGCACCACTTGGTATGTCACCTTCTTTGCACCAAAACGAGCAATCCATGGAGTATGTTCCAAACGGTGAAGAACGCACTCCACCACACATTGTGAGAAATAATTTCCTCAACAGGGCGAGCCACGACATGAACACGTGCATACCACAACAAAGCAACAACATTATACTTGAGAATTTACACTTGGAAGCATCACCTCGCTCAACACTTAATTTTGAGACCACAACCCCTATCGCAACTCAATCTCCAAGCAGTCTCACAGCCCACATAATAGATACCACCACTAAATCCGGCTCGACACAGCACCTTAATGGCAATTCCTCTAGCATTACTTCTCCTGTTCAATTGCAGCAGCCTGGAAATACCACACCAATGTCACTAACTGGAAGCAACACACCTCAAAGTTCTGCACTTTCAAAAAACGGGCATGAACTCTCAAGGGCAAGCAATGAAAAGAAGCGAAAAAGATTCAAAGCACTCTTGCTGTATGCGCCCAAAGAGGTAGCTCTTGAGAGTAATGAAAGTCTGGATATTACTATCAAATTTTCAGGATCCAATCTCGTGATTAGAAAGCAGAAAACTCTCCTTCGTCGACGAAAAACGCTTTTTACTCTTCCTCTTGCGTCGACAACTTTGGAACAAAACATGAATCAACCCTCCATATTTTTCCTGTTTTTTAATGACAAGAAGTTTTCAATCAAGTTTGCAACTCGAGAAGAGGAATTTAGAGACATGTTTAACACGCTATCAAAAAGTTTGCAAGGTGTTGGTGCGAGCAGTCACGACAATGATTACTCGGAATCAGAGTCGAGTATATCGACTAGACAACCCTCTATTGACGTGGTTAATTGGTCGTATCGATCCTCACCAAGCACTCCAACGTTTACTAGCTCTGAAAGCGAACAACAGTCCCCCAAAAAGAAGAACCTTTCTCTAAAGACCATTTTCTCTAAAAAGAAAACACCACACAAAAAACTTCCCTCGTTCGAAGAATTTTCACAAACTCCCTAATGATGAAAACAACATTAAAGAATTATCCAATTGATGGGTGTTGTCGTTTAAATGGTGATCGTGGTAAAAACATGGTTCAACCTGTGTAATATTTGTTCAAAATTGATAGTCTTTTTACTCTGTGATTGCTCAATAAAATCATACAGGATTCAAGCTTATTTAATGAATTCCCAATTCTTAACCATGATCTTTTGACAACATTGTAAAGCGTGCTTCTTGACCTCTTCGTTTGGATGTTCCATCAATTGGATAATTCTTGCCTTGGCACCCAAATCCGTAATGACACGCTTACCACGGTTATGATAACGAACAAATTCTCCAATGTCATGGCAGCCAATTGCCAAGTTGTCGGCATTGGATTCATCTTCCAGTAACTTGATCAATTCACGAAGAATATAAAAATTGTTTTGTTCCATCTTGTCCATATTTTCCTTCCAGAACTTTTCAGAGCTGTGAACAGGTGTCCATTCCAAGTGACCACTCAAAACTTCTTGGCGATACTCATCGAAAGAGCTAATCTCATCAATATGAGCATCAAGTGTCTCAATAAGAGACTTTAGTTCTTCAGTAATGTCCTTGTCTTCGAATGAACGCTTCTGTAAATTGAGAAGAGTCTTTGGAACACTCACGTTCACCATGGATGTCACAAACTTGGAATATTTCAACAAATTCTTAAATGTGGCCAAAATTATTCGAATCACCTTCTCTTTTTGAGCGCTCTTCAAAACATCGTGCAATTTTGGAACCAATGCTTCATTCTGGAAGAAGCTGACAGCATTTTCATGAAATGTGAGCATCCACAAGCAGCAAGAAACCTCATACAAAATCTGTACGTTGGTACGATGAACACGCAACAAGTTAATCAATGGAGGAATACCCTTGACCTTATTCAAAATGGCACGACAGTCATTGCGTTTCAAGAGTCTCATCAATGCTCTGACACACATTCTGGCCTTTCTTACATCATCACCAGAGTTTTTGAGTTGAGAAGCAATACCTTCAATAAAGCTCTCGAGTTGAGATTGATGTCTGTATCCATATTCTGGGGCTTTACCACGTTGATTTTGTCTCTCCAATTGTTGTAATTGTTTGTACATTTCCACATCTTCTGGAGTGTTGTACAAGCTGGATCTAGTCTCCTTGTCGGCATCTAATTCAAACAATTTACTCAAGCAATTAAAAGCCTTCTCTGTGATGAAAATGTCGTTTCTGATGAACAATGAAAGGAAAGCGGTGAATGGGTTGTTTTGATTGTCTGTTCCGTTTTGGTCAATGTCATGGAATTGAACACAAAAGGCCTTGTCGTTTTCAAACAACAAATCAATCAAGTACAAAATGTTGATCAATGCCTCGTTTTTGTGCACTCCATTCAACAATTTAATGAAGAGTTGAATGTATTCGACGTTACCAGTTTGCCTGACGGTATCCATGACACTCTTTACATCGCTTCTCTTCATACTGATACTTTCAATACGTTGTCTTTCAAGTGGTGTCAAAATTCCGGCTTCCTGGTAGGATTCCCAGTTCACTTCTGGTAAATCATCGGCGTTGAATTCTTCGTTCATGGATGCAGCAGCATCATTTCCCATCATCAAGCGACTCATTTTTTTTGTTGGATTTGATGATTTTTTTTCAAAATATTTTTTTTAATTCATGATTTTATTTGGTGTCTTGGCGAAGAAGGAAGAAGAAAGATCTGCCTTTGAGAAAGGAATCAACAACCAGTGGATTGGAATGGAGAGGGTAAATGGACACATTCTTCTTTGTTGAATGTGTAACCAGAAAATGTGTGGATTGATTCATGTTTGTTTGGTGAACGCTGGCTAGAAGTGTTGATGAAATGTTTGTAAAACATGATAATTAAGGTACCATTAAATATCTTGGTAATTGAGAGAAATTCCCTATTGGTTCATAACAACAATGCAAGAGTACGTTGCGTTTCCAAATGCATGTTGCACATTGCACAGACGATTTTTGATTCCGAAGGACCGAAGAGGTTCATCAATATTAAAGCTAGAAGCAAACGCTCTTTCCAAGGTTTTGGTTTCGTTCTGAATGAAATGATATTGCATCCAGTTATCAATTAACACATTGATCATTTCCCATTCGACATCTTGGGTTGGTTGGATGAGAATTCTTTGTAAACAAACAGCCACTCTCGGTTTTTGGAACATTAAAAAAAAAATTCTTGCTTTGTCTATCTGTTGTTTCAAGCTCGCGTAAAAGTTTTAAAATATTGCGAATACATCAAGCAAGTTTGCTCAAAGCAGTATCAAGCATTATACGCTCTCTCTCTATTGTATTGATTGCGAACCGTTTTACTCTCATTGCACTACTCGGTTCTTTTAGCACACATTGTCGTTGTTACTAGACGTAATTTTTAATATTTATACAACAACACTCTCAATCACGACGACAAGTGAAAATATTATTTCCTTGCCCGTAGACACTATTGTTTTCTACTCTACACCGCAACATCATAATCTCTAATTGTTGCCGTGTACATACCACTACTGCTCTGAGAATTCTCTCCGCCTCTATTGTTGAATAATAACAACAACAACAACACTTTTATTACTCCTCATCATCTTGTAAATACGAAGAAGAATGAGTACAAGCACGAACAGAAGTCATCCAGTGATTCAACAACCACCATCTGATCAAAAAAGTTCAAGACCATCCTCTAAACAGGGTGGAAGAGGAGGTAAGACCAACTACAACCAATCCGCAAACAACACCAACAACAATGGTTCTAACACCACCATCGCAACCAACAACAGCACAACATCCACAAATACCAATCCAAGCAGCAATCAAAACAGCAGAAATAGAAGATACTACAACAACCAAAGTGGTAGCAACAACACTACTAGTCCTTCAAGCAGCAACGCCACCACCAACTCTTCTAACTCTTCGTCAAATCCAACCACGTCCAACCCTCAAAACAGAAGCAGCTCAAGTCAAGGTAGTGCAAGGGGAGGAAGATTTAACTCTAAACAATCATACAACCACCATCGCAATCTTTTGGAAAACATGAACAAGGTTAATGAAAATCTCCATCAAGAATCATCCACATCCTCTTCATCCACAACAGCAACAACGGCTTCTTCATCGACAACCATCCCATCCAATACTTCCACAACACCATCTTCATCAACCAACCCAATCAATCCAACACCAAAATTATCCTACTCTGCAATTGTTGGAGGACAAACAGTGACTGATGAACTCAACGAATTAGATACCCACAAGCCATCCAACTTGGCCATCGCAAAGGAATTAGTGCAAGATGAAAACTGGAAAGAAAAACTTAGTCTTCCACAACGAGATGAACGTATGCAAACTGAAGACGTTACTCTCACCAAAGGATCTGATTTCGAAGAATTTGGATTGAAACGAGAATTATTGATGGGTATCTTTGAGAAGGGTTTCGAAAGACCTTCACCCATCCAGGAACAAACAGTTCCATTGGCCCTCTTTGGTAGAGACATTTTAGCTAGAGCCAAGAACGGAACAGGAAAAACAGCAGCTTTCATCATTCCTTGTCTGGAAAAAGTTGACACATCAAAGAATGAAATTCAAATTTTACTCCTCGTTCCAACAAGAGAATTGGCCTTGCAAACAAGTCATGTTTGTAAAGAAATTGGCAAGTACCTCAACGTTGAAGTCATGGTAACCACAGGTGGTACTTCCTTGAAGGACGATATTGTGAGACTTTACAAACCAGTACACATTCTCGTCGGTACACCTGGTAGAATTATCGACCTTGCAAGCAAAGGCGTTGCCAACCTGAACAAGGTTCAAATGATGGTCATGGATGAGGCTGACAAATTGTTGAGTCCAGAGTTTGTTCCTCTCATTGAAAAGCTCATCACTTTCCTTCCTCCAAATCGTCAAATTCTCTTATTCTCTGCTACCTTCCCCATCACTGTTAAAGATTTTAGAGACAAGTACCTCAACAAGCCATACGAAATTAACTTGATGGATGAGTTAACTTTGAAGGGTGTTACTCAATACTATGCCTTTGTGGAGGAACGTCAAAAAGTGCATTGTTTGAACACTCTCTTCTCTAAGCTGCAAATCAATCAATCGATCATTTTCTGCAACTCTGTGAACCGAGTCGAGTTGTTGGCAAAGAAGATTACTGAACTTGGATATAGCTGTTTCTACATTCATGCCAAGATGCCACAAGATTTAAGAAACCGTGTATTCCATGATTTTAGAAATGGTGCTTGCAGAAACCTAGTTTCCTCTGACTTATTCACCAGAGGTATTGACATTCAAGCTGTCAATGTGGTCATTAACTTTGACTTCCCAAAGAACTCTGAAACCTACCTTCACAGAATTGGTAGATCTGGTAGATATGGACACTTGGGTTTGGCTATCAACTTTGTCACTTATGAAGACAGATTTAACTTGTACAAGATTGAGCAAGAGTTGGGCACTGAGATCAAACCTATCCCACCTAGCATTGACCCTAGCTTGTATGTGATGTAATCGCGTTTTACCTCACATACAGAGTATCTGCATTTGTTGACAATTCATTTATTACTTTTTTTTCTCAACCTCTCGTTGAGTTTTTTTGTAATAAATAATTTGTTGAAACAAGAAAGTTTCTTGATATTATTTACACTATTTCTATTTTATCCTTCGACAATTTCTAAATATTTTGATTCTGTCAAATTCCACATCTGGTCGTCCTTGAGTTAAATCAATGCACTCTATGTCATTTTGGAACCTGGTCAAGTAATTTTCAAAACTGACAGTCGTAATGATAAAAGTTTGTGTGATTCCTTTGGCAATGATACTGTTGGTATCAAGTCCAAGTCATTGTAAATCAATGGAATGAAGGAAAACAAAGTCATGACAAGTCTCTGGTTTGGAGAATCTGGATTTTTCAAATATTTGACAATATTTGACGAAGGTTTTTACGCTCGAACAGGAATCGATCCATGAGGCTTCCAATTTCAACTTCGAAATTCATTCCAAAAAACTCCTTAAAAAAAAATGAACACTCCGAATTCTACAACAACGGTTGTGCATGACCTTATTTTTGACCAACTCGAAGATCTTGGCAATGATACGTTCTCAGAGTTTGATCCGGTTGGCTTTCATGTTGGATCCTATGGTAGCACCAATTCAAGTTCTTCATTTTCATCGTGTCCTCCGAGTCCCTATCAACATTATCATTCCGCAAGTTCGGATCATTTGAGCGAGAATGGAAGTGTGGATCATGATTATTCGTTTAATTCCATGATGGACGGTAGTATGATGTCGTATCATCATGCTCCTCCTTCTCCTTCAAATTATTCAAACGATGATGATGGAATGGAAATGATGATGAATCATCATGAATTTTATTCTCAACAACATCAGCCATCTTCCAACCACCACCATCATTATACTTCAACACATCAACAACAATATCACCATCAAACACATCATCACTCACCATATCCAACTCCTAATTCAAGTTTTGATGAATACTATCCCGATGATGGTATGTCAGGTCACTACTCGACACATCATTCCACGACTCACTCAACAACAACACATCCTCATCAAATCAAGGAAAGTGTATCCATGCCCAATATGAGCTCAACAACAAGAACTTTGCATTCACAACAACCTCCACCTTCCATCCATGGGGATTTAATTGTTAAGGATTTATTTGTACAGGATCATACAGGAAAGAATATTGATTCCAGTGCATTGAGTAATTGTGTGCTGAAATGCCACCACCAATTTTTTGGAATTGTTTTTGACGATAGCTTTCATGGTCCTTCTATTTCACAGTTTTATCCAACAGATATTGTGACAGTGGTGAGACAGAGTGACCGTATTGGAGTTTATGTTCAATTTAGAAGATTTTTGACATGTAAAACAGTTTGTACAGAAACATTAGCAATGAGATATCCTACAATGAACGAACATTGGAGCAAGTATGCAGATGAACAATCTTGGTCCGATCCAAGATCACACTTTTACAAGGATTCTCCACTCAGTACATGTCTCTACACCATGATTGAGTTTTATAATGAGCAACAAATTCAATATCTTTTTGCCTATCTCGAGAACAATATTCGATTATTGGAGTGCCTGAAAATGATCTATCCTCAATGGATGTTTTGTGCACACTTTTGTACCTCCAATGATGTTCAACTAATTTATTTGGCAGTTCAAAATAAGCAATTCTCTAAGGAGGTCGACCAGTATGTGAGTGTGAGAGCTAGTGCTGATACCGATTCTATCGACATGTCACCAAGTGCTTCAATGGATCTCGAAAGCATGAAGGAAGAAATGGCCAACAGTAAACGACTCGTACCAATGTCAAGAACAGGATTTGTACCTAAATGGGCCAAGAAGGCCAATTCCACCGTACAAGTTGGAGTTTTGACCACATTGAAACAGTATCACTTTAAGAACAGAGATGGAGCATCCTCACGAAACAAGGCATCGATCATTGACTTTAAGAAAATTGAACTCATTGTTCCGCCTAATTTCTATAGTATTGCTTTGGAAGTGAGGAATTTCTGTGAAGAGTTATTGATTAGTGGTCGATTGTTACCTTATCAATTGAGTGTGGGTTTGTGTAATACACTTGCCATTGCTCAAACGGAACATGCCAAAATGAGAGCCAAGCAAGTCATTAAGGCACTCTCGAAACATCCAACTGTGCAACTTAGGAACATGTCAGCCGTTGCACGATACATCATTTCAAGTAATTTAGAGCAACCACAACCACGATCCAATCCAACTGTTGTGGATGGAAGCGCATCGATGAGTGGTGGTGCGCGCTCCTCCAATAATGCCACTGTTGGTTCTCAGCAACCCAAACCACGCAGAACTGTGAGTATGGCTCTTGACACGAGTCGATTAGTTGGCAGCAATGGCAGTGACAAACAATTAGGATCTAATTCACGTGGTTTTGAAAGAAAACGAAGTCTCTCTGCTCAAGATGAAACCTTAAATACTTTGTTCAGTAATTTAAGACTTACCAATGTTAAGGGAGGTGAATACGGAAAACACTCTTCGATGAAAACCACAAGTACGAGTGGAACAGGGTCATCAGGGACAAGCACACTCACAGGTATTAATCACACGAATGGTGGGTCAACTGCATCCTTGTCACCACTCCTTGTACCTGCATCTTCGAATCAGTCATCTGTGGACCGATGCATCATTTCATAAGAGCGTTTCAAAATTGCACTTTGCATTTTAACATAATACTACCACTGTGTTAGTAAAGCAAATTAATTTATTCAACATCATTGTCATCATCCCAAAATCTTTGCTCACACGTGTCTTGATCATTTTGGATCAATCTTTGTTTCACACCCGTTGCTGAAAAATTTCATCCACAAACGACAAACACTGCCAATAATCAGTCTTGATAGAAAGAAGGGTTGTGGTCTCATCTTTCTGACTGACTCGAATCAAGAGATGATATTTCGGTGGAAGGAATATTAAAATATAATCCTTGGGATTGACTGCGAATAATTTAAAACTTTCCATCACTTCGCTCACCAATGTGTTTTTCAAAATTTTCACACTCGACGCCATTTTACCATTCTTGTAATTCCACATGGCTTCAAAGAGTGCCTCTTTCGTAAGACCTTCAGGTAAATCTCGATCAAAAATTGGTAAAAATAAATCCTTAAATTGAATATGAATATCTGGCAATTGAGTTTGACAGAATGCTGTCATGGGTTCAATCATTTGAGAAAATTCATCATGACGCATAGATGTCATACCAACAACATGAGAGGCATTTTCTCTCTTAATTGCTGTAAACGTTGCTGAAACATGAATCACTCCTGGAAGTGGTTTCACAGGAAAGAATTTGAGTGTAAAAAGATGTTCAGAGGGTAAAGTCGACAATTGTTGTTCATCCTCATTCATCTCGACAACAACGCTCTGGTCTCTTATTGATCCTATTTTAAGATAGGGAATATTCACACCATTTTCCAAACCAATAAATCGATCCAATGAATCTCCTCCAAAAATCAATTCAATACCCACTAGCTTTTCAAAAAGACTCTTTACATTCTTCATGGAAGAATGATTATTCTCTTGTAATTGCAGAATCCGATCGTTCACAAGGGCAGAAATTTTATACTGCAATTGAATTTGATATCGAAAACTTTTCACATACTTGTCCATATAATACTGAACGAGTAAGAGAGATGAAGCTCGCTCGTGAATACCCAAATGGTCCACATGAAATTCATGAGAAGATTGTTCATGAGAAGAGAATGGAGAAGGAGCATGACCACTAGGATTACCACCAACACCACTATTCATAGTATGATTATTATTACTAGTAATATTAGTAATGCTAGTAGTAGAAGTAGTACTTGCTCCATGATGATGATGATGTCCAGCTAATGCTCTCACTCTCAATAAGGAAGAGGAAAGTAAGGACCATTCATGACCTACATTTTTCACAAATTCCAATTGTAAGAACGGTAAAGTCACTACCGTAGGAATTTCTGATAATAAAGATTCTAAAGAAGAAGTGCCAGTCGTCATCGTAGTAGTAGTAGTAGCAGTAGTAGCAGTAGCAGTGGTAGTAGTACGATTCATTGCTGTTGTAGTTGTCGTGACTTGTACATTTGAAATGAATGCATTCGAAACTAGTCCATCTTCAGCATATCCTAAAATACTTAATAATTTTCGTTTGTTCGTGGCAACTCCCAAATTCAACAGAGTCCAATAAAAATGACTTCTTTGCTTAATTTCTAAATTGTTGTAATCTTGAATGAGAAGAGAGAGAATGTTTTGAATAAGAGTCCATTGTTGTGGATCGAAATGGACTTCACTTGGATCCATGTTCATGTCCATATTTGAAGATTGCAAAGACGAGGAAAGTAGTGAGGATGGAGAGGACTCATGACAAGCTCTGTAAATGACCATTCGAATGATGGAGAGTATCGAGTCACCAAAATTCCAATCTCCAAAATTTGCTACTGGCTTGCTTCTTGCAAATTTATACAGACAGGAAAGCATTTTCTATGGTTTTGAAATTAGTATTGGACAATGTGAACGAAATACGTTCGTTTTTTTGAATTTCACACAAATATGGGTCAAACTCAAGAAATACATACCGTGACACGATCGTTTTTTAAATTGGTGATGAGAGCTTCAAAAAGTGAAAAATAATATCCAAGCTTTTCATTGGACAAGTGAATAATGTGATTGAAGAGACCTTCTACGAGGTCATTGTCTTCCTTGTGATCCAGTGATTGTATCAATGAAATGGTGTAATCCATCACTGGAGAAATGAGTAGATTCAACCCGCTCTCTCTTTCTAAAATATCAATTAAGAAACTGTATTCATGATGCAACAAAGTGTTTGAACCAATCATAAAATTCATGAACAAGGCCATTCCAATAACATCAAACTTACTCTAGAATGGGTTGGCATTGTTTTGGAGAGCTCTTATATGCATAATAAAGAACTGTGAAAATAATTTCAAAACGAATGTGGAGTTGTCTCTCCATTTTCGTCACTGCAGTTTGATTTTCTTCATGAATTTGTGGTTGCTTGAATGATTTTGAATAATACTTGGGAAGGGCTTTCATGTAATATTTGTAATCGGCAACACAATCTAATAAATGAAGAATAGATCTGTGTGAAAGGATAATACAGTAGCGTTAAATTGTGATGAATCACCACATTCCATACAATCAAGAAACATAATTATTCATTATAATAATATGTAAATTATAATAATATAATACATTTGAACAAGAACTTGACAAACTTACTCTATGGAATTTCTATTCAATGAGGTCGCCATTGTTTGTGAAATAATTTTACACTTCATCGTTTTGATTGGTAACTCATCGAAATATTTCAATTGAATCAAGGACTGGTCTTGCATCTGTTGCTGCTGCTGCAACTTCTGAAAATATATCAACTGTTCTCTTACATAAAGTGGCTGGCTATAGTCATCAACATTGAGCTGAAATAATCGATCATTTTTGGAATTTTTTGAGACAGCTTGTTTCGTAAGGCCGCCTGTGACATTGTTACAGAATAAATGTATCAGATATGGATTGATACTGTTTTTAAATTTTCCAAAAACTCTCTTCCATAAATGATCAGGATAATCCGTATCCCTAATAATTTGAATAATAATGCCAACAATGGCTGCTCTTCCCCATATTGTAAATATTTGAATATTCTCAATAAGAAAGGTTAAGCTATTGATGACTTCTCGTTTTGTTTTGTTCGACTCGAGATAAATTAAATTTGCTAACAGCGTTGAAAAGGATTGAAGAGCGTGTGAATTTTCTGCCTGACAACACTTCAACAGAGTTGGAATAAAATCAGAAACTCGAATATTATGAAAATAGAGAATTTCTTGTAGAGATTCTGCTGCCATCTGTCTCTGTAATCGAAATTGTGAGTTATTCACAGTTTTGGTAATGTATTGCAAGAGAGAAGAAATGTGATTCAACATCATGGTTGGATTTAAATCTTGTAAATTGTGAGTAATGTAAAGCGTGGTCATTGTGACCAATAATTGAGCATAGGTCATGTCATCTAATTTTCCACTATTAATGATATTTTGAATTTCTCCAAAATATTCATAGAGTCTATACACAAGTCATTTCATAATAATTCCAAACATTTAAACAGTGACAATGAAGTCGTTCAATACAGTAAATCGTTTTGAATATAAATGATATTTGTTCAAAAGTATATGCACATGGATATTATTTATCCATCATCAAAAAACTCATTCAAAACCTACTTGGGAATATTATTCCGAAACAACACAAGAGAATATTCTTGTAAAAAGACACACAAGGAGATTTTTCTTGAAATTAATTCCTGAGAAGATGAATATCGTTCCGATTCTATTTTTCCATTGGCACCACTAGAATATTCCACAATCGTTATGGATGAATGTTGAGTGGTCATTGGAAGGATGAGATTCGAAAAGGGACTTGCATCCAATGCTAAAAGATCAAGTATATATTCTAACACGAGTTTATAGACTTCGATATCGAGTGGAGTTGGATAGTTGTTGTTGCTCGTCGTCATGGAGGATCGGAGTAGTGCGGATCGTTTGATGTAGTGGAGAAGCCTCTCCGATGAAAAAAAGACACTTGTCATTTTTTTTGTTAAAATTTTTGTTTATGGAATTTCATCTGACAATTGCATTTGTTGTCATAACAAGAAGGAGTAATTACCATTCCTTTAGCTTATGACATTGTCAAATTTTTCACATTTTATAACGTCTCGACACTTTAAAAGTATACTTTTTAGTAGACACTGAACAATTTCTCAAACGTTGAGAGTTTTTCTTCTTCGTCTTGTTGTTATTAATTAATTCCAAACATGTCCAGCATGTTCCATCTTCCTCATATGGTATTCTTGTATCAGCTCCATGAGCCAACAATAATTTGACGAGTCGTGAACAATTGTTTTTGATGGCACCATGTAAGGCTGTACCAATGATCTTGATAGGTCGTGTAGGAATTTCATTTTCATCAGCGATTTCACGTGATCCTTCCACTTGATTCTCCAGTATTTCTTCTTCATCCATGGTTTTAAACATTGGAGTATTGTCATCGGATCCTCCTTCCAGTAATATTCGAATGACTTGTTCGTACCAATTTAGCTTGGGATTCTGTTCCACATCCTCACTCCTGGTACCAGGTTCTTCAGTCACTTGCTCCTGATGGGACGAGGGATTAATTGCAAGAGAACACCATTTTCGAAGTATGGTTCCACAACTCCATGAATCCTCTTCATCGGAATCGTGTTCAGGAATTATGGTGACCTTGTTTTCTTCCCTCATTTCCTCCCTCAATGTGGATTCTACTAATGAACAATACTGTTCACAAGCTGAATGGAGGGCTATTTCTTTCATAGCTCTACTATGGTATTCCACAGCACGAGCATTCGGTGAGGCTCCCTTCTCTAACAAGTACTGAATGAGATCGATGTGTTGTTGTTGTTGTGGAATCTTCCAATGGTAGTGCATTTCTCGGACCAATGAATACAAGACGGGATGCCTTCCTCGAAACACACCGATGGTGGAATTGGGATCAGCTCCATACTCGACAAGTAAACGAGTCAGTTCCAAATCGTGCTTTTTCAAGACCATCTCCAAAGTATGTCCTTTAGGTCCTGTGTGAATTAAACCATAATAACCAACAAAAGATGATGAATTGTATGAGATATCAGTATATGCAGAAAAACACACGTACCAGGTCCATTCCAACGTCTGCAATCATGTATTGCATTAGGATCGGCTCCAGAGATTAGTAATAATTCCACTCCTTGCCTTCTCAGAATTCTATCATTCCATTTCAATACCTTGTGAATGACTGAATCTTGATCGTATTCTCCCCAAGAACCTGTCTGTGTGTAAATGAAGGATGGATTGGCTCCAGCTTCTAAAGCCTCTTTCATTGTTTTCAAATCTCCGCGAACGGCAGCATTGTACAACTCCATATCAAGAGGATGCCTTGTTATATTTTGTTGATCGTTGGGTTGACTCATTTGTTTTGCATGATTTGTTTCAATTTTCACAAGTTCAACAGTTATTCCAATGTGCGATCGCGAGGTGAACCAAAAAATGGTTTCAAACAACATGCCTCACTTTGTTCACCCCACAGAACACAAAATGATGATCTTCATGGTTGGGTATTTATTCATGGCCCAATCGATGTAGTTACCAAATTTTAAAATTTCTTTCGTTCCTTAATAATTTGGTAAATAGTTTTTAAATACATTTCCTGACTGAACAAAACGATTGAGGATTCTGGTTGAAGGTCACTATCTGGGAAACTAGTTTCAGAAAGTTCTGGCTTATCCACTGATATAAAATGCTTCTTGATAGAATTTGTCTTTCTTTGGTGATGTCGAACTTCCTTGTCTTTCTGTGTAATTGTGCTTCTTATGGCGCTGTAGCTGTCGTCTGCACTTTCGTCACTCTTCTTTTTTTGAGCTGGTTCGAAAATCTCCTCTTCTTCTTCATCATCAATAACTTTGTTAGATTTTCTTCGTTTTGTTTCTGATGAAGCTGTGGAATTAGATGGCGTAGAACTAGTGTTAGACACGGATGATGAAGCTGTACTTGTTGTTCCTCCTAGTACATTTAATAATTTATCGGAACGAATTCTAGCAACTTCATTCTTAAGAGAGCCATGTAAAGAGTCGTGGCTTGATGTTGCAGGGTCGGTGCTTGCTCGTTTTCTCTTGCCACTGGCAGATGGAGATGACTTGACTGAATGTTTCGTGGATTGTGACGGAGACCTAGAATTACTGCTTGCAGTTGAATGTGTGGATGTTTGAGAATTTGATTGAGTTTCTGCATTCTTATTAAGACTTGGTTTGGTTGATGTTTCGTTTGATTTTCCTTGCACAACAGAAGAGGATGATTTAGAAGGCGTTGATGGATTTTCATTGCCATGCACACGGCTTGGGCTAGTTGTTTCTGTTGTGGGCTTAACTCCTTGAATCACAGCAGCCACACTATCGCTTGGTACCACTGTAGAAGATGTCGAAGTAGCAGCAATAGTGGCAACTTTGGATGGTGTGGTCGGAGTAAGATTTGTTGGTGTGTTAGGCCTTTTCGGAGAGAAGGCCTTCTTCAGAGGTCGGGGAGAAATCGGTTGTTGCGCCGATGTAGCAGGTGGATTGGGAGGATTTGACATGGTGATCATGTGTGAAAAAGACGAAAATTTTAGAATGATGTCGAGAGAGTTCAAAATATTTTCCCAAATAATAAAATTTCAGCTTGAATGATCTGATTTGTGTTTAAATTCAATAAAATTTGAAAAAACTCCAATCAATAGCAAGTATTTGTCGGATGATGATGATTAAAAAGTTCGTTTCTTTACAACTTGAAAATCCCGAAATCAATAAAAATTTGTATCGATCTGGCAATGATCCACAAAAGATGATGCTTCAATAATTCTTCAAAATAAAACACAAATACAACACACGTGTTCTTGTTGTAAAAAGAGCTCTTGTCAGAAGAGCAGTGTTGAATTTGAAAAATATCGGCGGTTGGTGTTGCAGATTATAGTTGCTGCAAGATGTTGTTGAGAACACACAAGGCTCGACGACGCAATATTTTTTTCAGCAGCAAAAAATGCAACAACGAGTTTCACCTTCCACTCGCCAAAATCCCTTTGATGAGGAGTGGATTGTGGTTTCATCATCGACGGGAACATCATCAACAACACAGAATACATCATCACCGGTGCAAGCCTCTTCTTCTAATAATACAGAGGAAAATTCTTCGGGAAATTCAGCAAGTAAAAAGCCAGCAATCAACGTTTTTGATTTATACTCGGTGAAGTACATGTTGGACTCTTTCGTAAGATCGGTATTGATTGAAGAAAAATCCTTTAAAGAGGATCATACTTTGAGTAATTTTAAATTGATTACAGGATTTTTAGCTTGTGGTGGAGCAATTACAGCATATTTTACAAAAACACCACTCTATGCATTGTTGTTGTGTATTGCGTATGTTGGCTTTGAATTGGTTGTAGTATTTAATAATATTGATCCTCTGGGTTTTAATTTGCATTATTTGAACAAATGTTCTATATATGATTGTTTTTAATAATGTTGAAAATTGGGGTTAATATTTCTGGATGTAAATTAACATTGCAAATACTTTGGTGTCACAGTTATGTATCAGTCATTTTAATATTGGCATTGAATAGTTACTTTTTTGAAAAAGGCACATTTGCTCTTGCTTATTCTTTGAATTATGGCTTTATTCGTGTTGAGAGCGATATTTATGATGAAGACGAAGAGGAAGCTGAAAAGAGAAACTGTCCCAAATATCAAATCATTGTACACTTCCCTTCACCCTCCTCTCTGAGCTCGAAATACAAGTCATCAAATTGCACAGTCTCTCATTCATGGTATCTTAATGACCTATTTGATGAAAATGGTAATTTTGATAAGAAGGAAGTGAGAAGAGCTGTACTTGATCTTATTAAAAAGAAAGGTCAATAAGCTCATCATTTTTAATACATTGTGTGTCATTCATATCTATTTACACCAGTCACGACAAGCTTTATGATTTTTATTCAATCACAGAATTGATTTCTTCTTCTTTTGTCCATTTCGCTGTCCAAAAAAATGCCCAAAAACAAATCAAAGAGAAGTGGAAATACCAAAACGCGTTTCCCTCTCAAAGACGAAGATGATGACACTCAAGACTCCGAGACTCTTAACCATGTTCAGGTCAAGTCCATTCCAACACTTAATGATTCAAAAAAACAAACAAAAAAACAATTCAATGCCTCTCCTTCCAATCATGGCTCAACTCTTTCCAAAAGCCATCACGACGACCACGACGACGACGACACTTTGAAATCTGAAATAGACATGATCCATACATCTTCTACCACACCTGTTCATCACGAAGAAGAAGAAGAACAAGAATTATCAAACAACAACATACTACAGTGGTCCTTTCTCTTCTCCAACAAACTCCCTATTTCATTCATGGCTCACAAGATTCTCTCGATGTTGATAAAATTTACATGTTCACTGCACGTACAATGCCCTCAAATCATAAAGAATGTTGTTTGATGTGTTTTGGTTCAAATACCAATACATTGGATGAAAATCATTCCACATCTACAATGAAGAGAGAAGGACCAATGGATGACGACCATTCAGTCAATAACAACAGTGATGTGAATTTATTTGAAATTATGGACGATCAAGCTCCAAGTTATGTGAGACGAGTATTTAGAGGATTGCCTGATGAAGTGAATAATGGACTTTTCAAAACTTTGGAATTACATTCTCAAACATTTGATCATATACAACCTATTAGGGGAATGGTGAAACGAATGATACCATTGAAATGTGTCATGACACTTCAGAATATTCTTGTGAAAATTAGAAGATGTGAAGAAGTGAGAAATGAAAGTATTTTGGCATTGAAATCGTTTGACGTGACAAGTCGAATGCAAATGTTGAAAAATTTGGATTTTACAAAAATTGTAAAACATTTGAAAACGGAAGATTTGAAATATTTGGCATTTCGGTTAAGTCAAACGGTGGCTCTCGTGGAAGGTTTAGAATTGTACACAAAAAAAGAAATGGTAGAATATGACAAGAATTTGAAAAACGTCATTTATCGATTTGAAGGAGTTGAGCATATCGAAGAAGAAAAATTACGAACAGCTGTGTTATTGAACGAATATTTAAAAAAGCTTCTCCAATACATGGAAGGTGTGAAGAGCACCAAAATGAAGAATTTTGAAATTTTGAGTGTCAAGAAGAATTGTCGTAATGATAATTTATTCTTACGGCAGTGTCATGGTTGTGTAATCAAGCAACAAATGTATTGTTGTGAAGTTTTGCATTATCCAAGAGATTATCTTGGAGACAGTACAGAACAAGATGAGCGAGCGATGAATGATTCCATTCACATGTTTGTAGATTTCGACACGGATGAATTATATATTTTCGATGACACTTTAGAAAATTCAAAAATTGTGAAAAGTGTGACGAGTTTGGTGAAGGGCAATAATGCAAATGACAATTCCAAAAAATCCAAACATGTATCTGTTCTATCATACTCTTCTGTGAAAGACCATACTTTGAAAGGACTCGATTTTTCCAAATATTTCTATGTGTTTCGATTTGATTCTAAGGCAAAACAATTGAGTGTGGAATTTATGAGAGAGAGGTGCACCAATGAGACAAGAGACACATTGTTGAATGACAATTGGAAGTTAAAATAACTAATACCTGAGAATATTGCTCTACAACAACATGGCCAACAAGATGCTACTGCAATAGCATTTGATCAAGGTTAAACATGGTACAAACGTTGATGTGAATCATTGAAGAAGCTACAACAGCAAGAGAGTCAAACAACAAGCCGGTGGAGTGACCGTACGCAACCATATCTATTGAAATTCCATTGTTGTTCAAAGTTTGGGATAATATTTCTGGAAAAACATGAAAATCAATTCAAATGTGTGAACATGAAATAGAATTGCGAAATTTATTTACTGCTCTCTTACTTCTTCTCTTCAAATTCAGCATCCATAATTCTTCCACTTGACGACGAAGTTGATTCATGTTCGCTCATGGACAAATCTTCAAAGGTCAAGAGAACCTCTGATTCTTCTGTGCCTTGATCCTCAACAACAATTTCAATTTTCTGGAAATCTTGCCACTGGCCATTGACATAGGAGGCATAAATGTCTAAATGTGCTACAAATACAAACTTGTAACCCTCAATATGCTCATTATGAATGGGAGTTTCATTACTTGGTTCAAAAGTATTCACTTCTTTTGCTTCCTTCTCTGACAATTTCTTCATAATAAATAGAGGTACTCGTCTGATGAGCCCCTCAGGCGTGGATTGAGCGTTAGCCATTTTAACATCTGTTAATAGCTTTAAATAAGAAGAATTGAGGAAGCAGAGTTTTGCAGTCGATTCAGGATTCAAATCTCGATCTGTCTTTTCCTTTGCGTCCATCAGTGTGACACTGAAAGAATCCTTCATACCACTTTGCTTTATCGTTTCCGCCTTAAGACGTTCATAAACCACATGATCATTATCAACAAATCTCAAACATTTCTCTAAAATAGGATCCACTTCAATATATTGTTGGGTAAAAGGATCCATGAATCTAGGAGGTGATGCCATGGAAGAGTCTGCTCGATAGAATGTTTTTAAAGGTGTTGCATCTTTCAATGTCATTCGTGTAAACATGAGTTCCATTTGTTTTAAATCCTTCTTTAGAACTTTTGATAGTACCAGTCGTCCAATAAAGAATACAACTCCCATGGTTGCCAATGAGATAATTTTCAAAGGAAATGTAATAATTTTCCAAGCAATCCCTAAAATACTTCCAACAAGTGTTGGCTTTCCTCCCGATAACATGGTTCGTTCTTCACGAAAATTATAAAATGATTCATTAGGGTTCCGATAGGATTTAAAATTTCGTTTCTTTCCATTATTATTATGCTCGTTATTTGATACTCCATTAAAAGTGCTAAAAGATCGTATGGATGATGCAGCAACAACAAGAGGAACACAGTCCGTTGTACAAGCACTCTTGAGAGTCAAAATATTGAATTCCGAAATTTTTCTAGGCCGATTCGACTGATGATACAACGAGCCTTGACCTCGGCTGCAGTTGTTGATTTTGTTGAACGCATTCTTCAAGGAGGGATGAGAGTTCTGAGCGAAACGAAACATTTTTTTTGAATTTATGCTTCAACTCAATGCATGAAAATGATTGGAACGATTGTTGATATTAATAACACAAAAGATGACATTCAAATTATTATTTTCTCATACAAAATCTTCGTCCTCTCAGAGCCATTCAAAATTGACATGGTCAGAGCTCATACGAAACAGTCCAACGAGAAAAAAATGTTTGGTCCTAAGGAAACCATTTCCTTCTCTCCCATTCCTGGATCTCGATCTCGTCATCATGAAAATGATTCGGAAGAAGGACATTTATCGGATTCTTCTCATGAAGAAGAGGATGATATTTTGGGGCATCATAGGCATGTGAGGCAACTTTCCATGGAACAAACCTTAATGCAAATTCAGCAACAACAACAAGTAAATGGGAGTTTAATGAGTTATCAAAATTATAATTCTAACGGACAACTTGATGCATTGTCATCAAAAAGTAGTTGCAATAATGAAATTTCCATACTCGTTGCTAAAATTCCCAATGATAAATTGAACCTCTTGTATTGGATATTTGTGTTGCAAGGAGCAGGGGTTTTATTTCCTTGGAATTCATTCATTTCTGCTCCCGATTACTTTAACAGACTTTATGGAGATTCTGCCATGATGTATTTTAGTGTTGCATATTCTGTTCCTAATTTGCTTGGATTACTTGCAATGATACAATTCGGAAATCGAATTTCTCACGGCTGGAAAGTCATACCAGCATATGTATTAACTCTATTAATCTTGATATGTGTTCCACTTCTCGGATTTTTTCATGTTGATACCAACGTTGGGTTTATTTTGACAATGACGTTGATTGTTTTGAGTGCATTATGTAATTGTGCATTACAGGCAGGAATTTTTGGACTTGCCAGCATGTTACCAACAAAGTATGTTCAGGCCGTAATGATTGGATGTGGACTTGCTGGAATTGTATGCTCCCTCATTCGTATTCTCACCAAAATCATTATTGAGCAAAATCATGCTCGTGTCTCATTGCTGAGAATGACCAATAGCACAGCGACATACTTTTTTGTGTGTGCATTTGTCGTGCTCATGTGTATTGTGACTTTTGTCATTGTGTTGAAACATCCAGTCACTCAGCATCACATGAAAATGGCCCTTAAAAAAGATCAATTGCTAATTTTGAATCCACAAGAGGAGTGTACTTCATATCATCTCTCCAAAACTCTCAAGCCCAATGTGATTATAGTTTTCAGAAAAATTTATCACCTCTGCCTATTAGTAATGTTTCTCTTCTGTGTGACAATTGCTGTTTTTCCTGGAATGGCAGTGGGAATTTCAACTTGGTATTTCAAAACACCCATGACATATTGGTTACCCATTCTAATGGGTACTTCTAATAATTTATTTGAATTTATAGGCAGATCTTTACCGAGCTTGGCAGTTGTATTCAATCACAAAACGGTCTCCATTCCAATTATCTTGAGAGTATTATTTGTGCCATTATTTCTATTTTACTACAGGCCGAAACTCTTTGGCTGGAATGACAACTCGAATATTTCTCAAATCTATGAAGGAATTGAGGCAGGTGCACTGAATGATGCCATTCCACTGCTGACCATGGCATTCTTCTCCCTTTCCAATGGTTACTTGTGCTCATTGTGTATGATGTTTGCGCCTCAACAAGTGGACAGTCATGAAAGAGAAATGGCTGGTACAATGATGACGTTTTTCTTATTGCTAGGAATTAGTTTAGGCTCATGTATTGGGTTGTTGTTCTCGTTTGTGTGAAGTGTTCACTGTGGGAGTAGTGTTATTGATTCAAATTATACATGTAACTACGAGGTTAAGCAAACAATTAAGTCTGTGGTGGCCCAAGAGAGCTGTTTCCGTGGCAACGACCATACCAGGTTCCGTTGAAACTCCACAATCTCATGGAAATATTTCAAAACATTTGGGACAAGATATAACATCTATTGGGTATAGACGAAGAATATATATTAGGTACCACAATCTAAGGAATACATATGGGTATAGACGAAGCATGGATCCATTATTGATAAAGCACAATGCTGGGATGTACCCCCTGGCAAAAGTAAAAGGTTGAAAAATTTTGGCTCGCATTGTAAAATCCAAAAATCATGGTTGTCCAAAATTTTTGGAAAATTTGATTGAAAAAAAATACGCCAAAACCCCCATAATCAACCCGCTTCAAAATGTTCATCCCAAGCGAGTCCAGAGTTGCAATTATGCAATACTTGTTCAAGGAAGGTGTTGTTGTCGCCAAGAACGACTTGAGATTGAAGACTCACCCACACATTCAAGGTGTTAAGAACTTGCATGTCGTTAAATTCTTGCAAGGATTTGCTGCTAGAGGTTTGGTCAAGCAACAATACGCTTGGAGACACTACTACTGGTTCTTGACTGGAGTCGGAGTTAACTTTTTGAGAGATTACTTGCACTTGCCAGCTACTGTTGTTCCAGCAACTCACAAGCAAACCGGAAAGAAGGTTACCATCCTCAACGAAAGACCAAAGCGTCAATTCAAGGCTGGTGAAAAGCCACAATATAGAACCGACAGAAAGACTGCACCAACAAAGACTGAAGGTGAACAACAACCAGCAGCTCAAACTGTCCCACAAGGAACCACAACTGAAAAGCCAAAGACTGGTGGTAGAGGTAAGGGATTCCAACAATAATTGGTCCGTACACACCATAAAAACTCTCAAAATAAATTATAAATTCTCAAATTGTGAGTGTTCGTTTGTTGGAATGCGTGTCGGATAAAGAAGTGATCTGTTGGAAAATTAGCTCCAATTTATTCGATCACAACCATTTCTCGCATCGCTCGTTCAAATAAATTAAAAGCTGGTCCAATTTATTCAATACAATTAAGCCTCAAAAGCAATGGAAACTGATCTAATTCCAGAGAACACCCATGTGTTGTTCATTGGAATACGTTGCTTGGTACACAACTTGATCAGTTCTTGACCTGCCACACCTCCCATCAATGAAGAAATGTTGTGAAGCTCCGAACCACCATATCTAACCATTTCAGCCACGTACTTGTCCATGTCATGACAAGTTTCTGTCACTTCGAATTCTTGCAAAAGCTCATCGACCATCTTCTTCAATTCAACAGTGTCAGAAGCAACATTCTCGTCGTCTTGACCAGGATAATTTCCGTGTTTTTCCAAAAATCTATCAGCAGCACGCAACACAATGTAGAATGGCATTGTTGAGTCCTCATTGTATTGCATATGTGATTGAATCTCTTCCTTGTTTGGATTCTTTAACTCTTGTTCGAATGATCTGTAATGAATTGCACGTAAATAACAAGCATTCTTACAAAATTCCTTGAGATCCATTTCGCTAATATCATCTTCAGATCTTCCGACTTGCTTCAAAAATTCTTTCATGTATTTCTTGACAATTTCCATGTCAGCACGAGCCTTCTTTCTAAAAAGTGATTGCATCTTGACATATCGTTCAGTGTCAGAATGCATGTCTGGAACACGTCCTTGGAGTGGCAAGAGGCCTTGACCTTCATTCTCTGTAAACTTTTTCACAGCTGCAGACATGATCCAAAAATCATCAGAATCTTTTGTGAGATTGCAGCAGAGCTTATCTTGGAAAACTGCCAACACATTATCTGGAATGGATGGCTCAGAGTAACAAAAGTGAGCCTTGTCAATGGCTTCAGCAAAGTTTGTCAAGACACTCCATGATTTGGATAATCCCTTGATTACATTTTGGAAATCTTCCTTGTCTTGTCTGCTTTGAGGTAATTGATTGTTGTGGGTGGCCATCCATTGCTTCAACGATTTGACCAACAAAATTGGATATGAAGTGTGAGCTAGGGAATTATTGTCCATGGCATCGAGATCTTGAAGATCACAGAACTTCATAAAATCAGGCCATGGTTTTGTAATACGGAGATCATCAATTTGTGTATCTAATTTTGCTTCAACAATTGTATGATGTGTTGTAACAATACGTAAATAGCCAATCATACCATAGGAACGAACACAAACAAGAACCTTGTTCTTATCATAACAATATTTGGCAAATTTCTCAACTTGATGGGTTGGCATTTGTGAAGCAATAATAAAGTTGAATTGATCAAAGAATTCTGGAGATTTCTCAATGACAACCACTGGATCTTCAGCAAGGAATTGACCTTTCACTTCAGGGTTCAACTCGGCGAGAACTTCAGAGACAGCCTCTGCTCTATTTCTATCCAAATCAGTCTTCCTCAAGTAGAAATTTCTTCCCAAGTCTCTTGGCGATACTTTTTGAGCATCAACAACAGAGAAGTTTCCAAAACCAGGCAAAACAATATTCTTCAGGACCTCGCATCCGACAGCAGTAGCATTCAACAAGCAGACTTTTGCGGAATCAATACGAGCCTGTCCGTGAACACCCCACAAACGAAGCTGACGATCATTTCTTTCCTTCCATTTGGATTCATCAGGAAATTCAACAGGTGATGGTGAGATTGGAGAGAGAATATAAGACATGATGTAATGATAGTAATAGAGTAATAGTTGGAAAAAGAAGGATGATGACGAGCGATCACACGATCTCTATTTTTTAAAGGATGATGGAACGCGAGGAAGATGATCACACCTTTTGATATTTTTTTGATGAATGTATTTTTATCGAGTTCTTTCATTTTGTAATTTGGTTCATTGCTGAGTTGACGCTTCTTTCAAAAGTTGATTTTTAATTACGTATTGTTAATATTGTGAAATAAACTAGAGGATTGTTCTCCATTCATCGTCATGATGATATCATAAATGTATACTCTTACACAGTATAATTACTCTTCCTTCTCGGATTCACCAGCAGAGGAAAGAGAAGCTTTTTGATCTTGAACTTGTTGTTGGAGTTTCTTCTTGACATCTCCTGGAAGACCCTTCTTCTTCTTTTGAACCTTCTTGGCACCACCTCCTCTAGCAAGATTAGCAGCTTCCATCAACTCCTTTCCTTCGTTCAAATACCAGAAATATCCGAATTGAACAGTGAAAATCAAAAGCCATAACATGTATGGAGTGTTGATATATCCGGCAAACTTCAAGATACTATTGAATTGACTTGTAGTGAACATGGAAACACCAATCAATGTAATGAGATTCAACAAGGCCAAACTCAAGTCCTTGACCCACCACAATGAAACGGAGAAGAGAACATTGACAATCAAGTGCAAGGCATAGACAGTCAAAGCTCTATTCCAAGTTTGTCCTCCATAAACAAAGGATAACCAAGCACCAATAGCCAATGGAATATACAATACAATCCAAACATTGAAAATGAGTGTTTCAGAGAAGTAGTATTTTCCTTTTTCTAATTTTCTGTACCATTGTGTTTTAATGCCTTGATTTCTTGCAAACCAAAAGACAAAAGCAGCTACGGCCACAGCAGCCAAGCTCAACACCAAAGGAACAAAGTTTTCAGAAACACTTTGTGGTGTAATGTACCATTGATCTGGTTGGAAAAGATATTCCCATGAGACATCAGGTTGTTGAGTTACCAAATCATCAGGAATGACTGGATCAAATGGATTATTAAATTCTTGTTCTTCTGCCATGTGTTTGTTTATATAATTTAATGAATGTTGAGTAAGAACAACAATAAATAATTGATGAACGGGAAGATGATGATTGAAGGGGATCTACAACAGTAGCGGCACTCGTGTTGTTGCAAATTTTTTTTTCTTCTTGAAAGCGAATGCTCTGAGCCAGCGCATCACTGGGATGGCTTGCGAGAGTACTTTACAAAAATTTACTCCTAAACAACGTCTTTACGAAATTAAGAGTGACACATAGTGGTTTAACCCGAGCCAAAATACTCCAGCGAGTTTGTTGGCGAGTTGGCGAGGGTCTAACACAAAAGGGGAGTTGCGTTAAACCACACTATGACCTTGCACTAAAAGCCATCAACTACTTGTTGCAGTGACAGTACCGACAGTGGTAATGTGGAAGACGTCAACGTTTCTTGATGCATCATTTGAGTGCTTTTGTTTATGTACTTTATTGCACAACAACTCTTGCCTCAATTCCAACCGAGAGGGTGTATGCCTTGTAAAGCTTTAGGCAGATCCGCCTGGAATTGCATAACGATTTTTGGCAAAATACAAATAGTACATGCAGAACATTTGCAACTCGTGAGAACAACAATATTTGGATGAAACATGATATTAAGGGACTGATAAATGGCAGCAACAACAACAACCGATGAAACTTGAAAATAAGGGACTACTCAATAACGAGCCGTGAGGGTAATATGGAACGGATCACGATTACGAGCGGGTGGGTGATGAATACAGTGATACTTCTTCTTATGAAGAGTCAGATGAGTCCTAGGAAATGGCATCATTGGTTCGGAAGGCTTGCTGTTGTTCATTATCATCACCAACCAACCCAAACGATAGAAAATATTTATTGTTATTAAGGATATTTTAAAAAAAATAATTCATCATGAACAACCAGAGTCGTGAGGAGAATAATTCAAACAACCCTCGTTTCACCTCCTCCCATCATCCATTCCTTCAACCTATATTCCCACCAAATCCCAATCTTTTCACTCAACAAAATCCATCCTCTCAACCAATTTTCCCTCCAAATCCCGCCATTTTTTCCCCAAATCTCTCTTTTCATCCTGAATTCCCTCCACCATGGATTCCTTTAAATCCCTTCTCTCCTCAATTATATCCAATCATTCCACCATTTCCTCCAAGAATTTCAGAGCAAACATCAACAAAGGACCAAGAATCACCCAAGTTGGAACATGTTGACAAGCCATCGGTTACCAATATCAACCCCATCAAATCACCCAATCCTACCAGAGAAATTGAAAAAACCTTTCAAAACTCAAAGAGAGTCTTGGCGATAAAGGGGCAACCACAAATGATATGCAAACATCCTTATCAAAAACGTTCCATGATGGAACGTATTGATAAATGGCGTAAATTGAAAGGCGTTGGTGGTTTTGGTGGTTTCTCTATCCCTCCATACATACCAATGGCGCAAATTAAATTTTCGCCATGTGAACACACTTTAAGTGATCATTATAAGTGTGAGGAAGAAAGAGCAAAGAAAAAGAAGAAGATTGCTTCTCATTGGCAGAGATTGGAAGTATTGAAAGACGTATCTACTGTTGATAAATTTGGAGACTTATTAAGGACTGCTTATTTGGAGCGTGGAATTAATATTGAACCTCTCTCTCTCGATCAAGGAAAAGCATACGCAACCCAAGAACATTACATGTTGTTATTTTTAAAACAATTCAATATGGAATGGAGTAAGATTGGTACTTTCTTTTTTGATAGATCCATCAACTCATTGAAGAAAAAGTACAAGAAATTGAAAAGAAAGATTAATCGTGCCAGATTGGAAGGAGCGTATGATGCTTCAGATGCAACAAATTTTATCATTCAATGGAGTGTCGATGATTTAACCTTTTCAGAATTCACTGATATTAGCACCCTTACCTCTACTGTATCGATAACTTTTCCAGAAACATGGACCAATTCTGATCTTTTTCACAAAATGATTATGAAAATTGGTCAATTAAGTCCATCCAAACCCTTACCGTTAAGACAAGCACAACCATCATCGAACAAGTCCAATGTACCAACGACTCCAGGAGAACCTTATTCACAGTCGGAAGAGGATTTAATTGTGACATCCTTGCGGAAGGGAATGAATTTGGAACAAATTTACCGAGATTACTTTACACACCGAACATTTCAGTCGCTGAAAAATAAGGTTCGACGGTTAAGAAAAAGGCAACTCTATCACAAACAGCAACCAACGAAGAAGAGATTGAATAAGAGAAGGATGGTTCCCAATTCCACTGTTTCAACTGATTCAAAGGAGTTAAGAAAACCGTTTTGGCATGATGATACGGTTGATCGTTTGAACAAGACTTGTCCCGTGTCATGTTTTGCCAAGAATGGTACGAAAATACTGACCCAAAGTTGGTTTACCCTCTCCGTTCGCCAACGATGTCCATCCACAAAACCACCTCCGAGCAAGAAGGAATTGGTAGAAAAAGTGTGGTGCAAATCAGAAACTTGGAAAAAGACGCCATGTAAGTGTGGAAATTCCAAGTTTAAAAGGACAGTCTGCTCGTTCAACGGACGCAAGTTTGGGTCAGAAAAGAAGAAGCTTGTTCAGGAATTCAAGCAAGTATCTGCGTTGGAGGAGTCTTTAACAATGCTTCAAGAGAACGAAGTGAGTTCATCCACGACTGCTGAGAATGAAGTGAGTTCATCTGTGACTGCTGTGAATGAAGTGAATTCATCCACTACTGCAGAGAATGAAGTGAATTCATCTACGATTGCTGAGAATGGAGTGAGTTCATCTACGACTACTGAGAATGGAGTCAATTCATCCACTACTGCTGAGAATGGAGTGAGTTCATCTACGACTGCTGAGAATGGAGTCAATTCATCCACTACTGCGGAATCAAAGGAAAAAACTGATGACACTATCGAGAAATTGCTAAAACAAATTTACACCTCCTTCTCAATCTCAAACGAAGACAATTATTTTGTGAGAACAAAGAAAGTGAGATTGAAACTCACCTCAGAACAAAAGAAGGTCTTTGAAAGATTTTTCTTCAATTCTAACCATGCTTATAACGAAGCATGTCTCCTTCATTTCATGTTAGAGCAAAACAAGGGAAAAACACTCCTTACCACCACAGAAGACGATTACTTTAAAATTTTGAAGAATCCCCAAACCAACCTGAGATTCAAACAAACTAGGTGGCTATGGGATCAAGAGTTGAAACATTGTCCAGCAGATATTAAATTGAACGCTGTGAAAGACTTTGTCAAGGCTGAGAAAATTACTAGATATAAAAACAAGCAAGCAGCAGAAAAGGAATCCAAAGAGGCTGCTCGAAAGGCCAAAAACCAATTTTTTAAAGATGTTCAAAAAGGAAAGAAGGAGATGATTACTGATGAGGAATTGAACGAAAGATTTAATCCCAAGCATTTTACTCGACAACCATGTGAATTCGAAATGAAAGGACGAAGCAATCAACATCCATATCAGTCGTTCAAGGTGACAAACATTTCATTATCACAGGAAGGAGTGTTGTTAAAACCTACCTTTTTTAAAGGGAATGAAAATGCATGTCCTTCCAAGAAATCTATGGATCATCTTTTGAAATTTTATTATCCTGCAAGAGCACGAAAGTGGTTAAAGGAAGAGATTGGTATGTATATATATGTATTTCGATTTTACTTACATGTGATTTGAATCTCTTACATGAATGTGATTGATTCATGTGATTGGAACTTTTTTGAATTCTAATTTTTCCATGATTGCCTGCCCAAACATCAAGACAACAAAAAATTTTCACACGAGACAACCTTTATACGAGAAAGAGGAAGATATTTTGTTTGCCTTCCAGTCCGTTATCACAAAGCTTTAACTCGACAAGAATTCCAACGGTTTGATAAAAGCTTCTACGAGTCCAATTCGAACAGTGGAACTGAATATGACACGAAATTTCTCAAGGACTGCCCACAACCTTCTCAAAATGAACTCAGAAAGGAATACATTGCATTGGATCCAGGTGTTCGATGCTTCATGTATGGTTATGATAGTAATGGAGACGCATTGGAGTTTGCCGCTCAAGGAGAAAACACCATACTCTTTTCCCTTTCTCTAAAGCAAGATCAGCTCAGGTCGGAAATTGCCAAGAACAAATTTCTAAAATACAATTCTCGGCAGGAACGAAAATTTTATAAGGGTTTAAGAAAAGCCTTAAAAAAGAAGATTAGAAGGCTGGAAAGCAAAATTAGAAATAAGGTGAATGATATGCATAACAAAATCATTGACTATTTAACTTTCCACTATTCTGAAATTATAATACCTGAATTTAATGTCAAGGCCATGATTGCTAGAAAACAAAAACAAAGGAAGCGTCAAGGAAAAGAAGATACCACGTGTCAAGGACAAGAAGGTTATACTAATGGCCAAACGGAGAATATGGATGTGCGAACAGAACCTCTTGTTGCATCGTCTTCACCATTCGAAGGATGGGAATCAAGGGACACCACCACAAGTGAAACCACCACCAACACTTCCGAATGGGTTGGAAGAAAAATTACTAGAAAAACTGTTCGCCAAATGTTGCGATTTCGACACTATGATTTTCGAATGAAACTCTTGCAAAAGGCAGAAATGCGTGGATGCAAGGTACATGTTGTCACAGAACAATATACATCGAAAACGTGTGGAAATTGTTCAGTGATCAAGGAAGACCTTTATGGAAGCAAATGGTTTCATTGCAATCATTGTCACTTCCACATCCCTCGTGACGGTAATGGAGCAAGAAATATTTTGATCAAGAATTACCATCATTTATTACATTGGTAAGTTGAAGAGACAACTAAAATGATTCATCATTCGGGCCATAGATCTATATAATAATAACTATGTGATTATCATTCTGTCAAGATGATAATTCCGTCTCTCGTGTGAGAGATGAGTATGTGATCGGAGCACTTTAAAACACCAAAAAATCATTGTTATCATTGATGGAGTATGGTGTGCTCTCCGAGTAAGTGTTGTTGTTGTTTATTATTTTTAACGCGTGTGACTTTTTAATTTTGTAAAGACTTTGTGCTGACGTGTCATTGAAAATCATTGAAAAAAACAAAATTTATTTATTCATCATGAAACCTATGGTTCTCTATGATTCTATCGTTCTCTCATAAAACATCATCTTACAACACATAGAGACACACAATCGTATAAATTCCGATGAGCACTGTGGTCATCAACCCCCAAAACCAAATCAAGGATCGCCACGGTTGCCACGCTCTCCAATACGCCACAAAATACAAATATCTCGACAAGGTAAAACTAAACATTAACACATTTCCAATCACAGAATCCCAAATTGCATACTGTGGTGAAGTCGTACTTGACACTTGCAAGGAGCTGACCAACACATACGGAACTGTCACTAAAAAGAAGGGCAATATATTCTCCAAATCATTGGCATGAATTCTCTTCACTCGATTGGTCATACTTTCAGGATCATCTACTGCAGCATTGGTACCTTGATCCTTGTTTTTTGCAATCACTCGAAGATCTTCTGGATTGGAATAGGCATTCTCTTTTCGTTTGTACATTCCTGTGAAGAAGGCCACAAAGAACAAACGAAGTGTGAGGAGGAAACAATTGTAAACGAAACCTTGCAGGACAGGATTCCAAAGAAGCATCAATGCCATTGTGTGATGTGTGGTTCTGAGTTGAAATCAAACTTTCGTTTTTGTTTGGCGAATGTTTTTATGTGTGTGAAACGATGATTTTCTATGAAATTTTATTGGAATGTTGAGATAAGGACGGACAAATGCACAATAACGATTGGGAGTCCACTGGACATCAGGAGGTTCAAGTATGAATCAAAGCATGCGCGCACGTGTTGGTTAGTCCTCAGCAAGAATCCATGTCAATATCCTTGTCAATGACAACACCTCTTGACTTTTAGTTCTACTTTGAATGCATTATTGCGTACGTAGGAACGAATTGCCTCAATCGTTGTCTTTCCAAAATGGCAAAAAAGCATGGGTCGATACAGCTGCATTTCTTCGATTTACTTCTGATTGAAATTCAATTTGTTGTTTTGGATATTGAGCCCGAGAGATGAAAGCGTTGCGACCGTTACGAGAACAAACTTGGCGCCAAACCGACCATGACCGTTTTACAGAAAAAAAATTGAATGACCATGTTACAACAAGTTCCCTATCCGCAACAGCAACTGCAACAACAACAACCCATCATGAATGCATCAACGGCAATGGGAGGATACATGATGCCCAGTACATATTCTGGAAATTTTGTGGCACCGACTCCGAATCAACAACAAGGCTATTACAACTTGAATTCGTCTCAATGTGTTGTTGGACAAGGCCGTCCTTCCACGCCAGTCGCCCTTCCATCATCGACGACGAGAGGATATACTGCCAATCAACCTATGGACATGCATTCTGCTCAGCAGGGTCAGGTCTTGATCAATAATTGGGTAAATTCGCAACCAAACTCAATGATGACCCGAAAACCTTGTTGTCTACCTGAGAGTGGCATTTCCAACAATCCTAAATACTTGCAAGAGCTAGAAGGAGGCGAATTTCAAGCGTACAATCCCAACAAGAAGTACAACCGAAAGAAAATTTGTTTTGAGGTTGTCAAGGAATCGAAGCCTAGACTCGAAAATCGATGGCAAACAGAGCATCGAGACAACTTTGGATACTATGCATGTTCGAATGCAATGGTGAGTGATTGTGGAGCTAGTGCAATCGATCAAAGCGTCACTATCCCTTTTACAGGAAATGTGCCGCCCTCCACCCAAATCAATTTGTAGACTCTCCAATGAATAACACGTACAATCCAGAGATTTATCAACAGGCAGCAACTGTCACAAGCACGTCGCCAGCCGGCACTCCTCAAGTAACCACCAATGAAGCAGCCGAGTTTGCCGATGTTTTTGCAGATGACAATAACAATGAACCCAAGAGTGCAAAATCTCAACAACAGAAAAAGAAAGCATCTGGTGGAAGCAATTCAACTCAGAAAAAAAGCGCTACCGAAACAATTCCCTCACAAACCAAAGCAGAAGCTCCACAATTGACAGAATCGATCGAACGAAAGAGTCGAGGTGCCTATCAAAACGATGACAGCAACGCCACAAAGAAGAAAACCAAACAAGAATTGTATGCCGATGTGTATAGCAAGACCTTGTCGAAAATTCAAGAAAAGGAATACAATCAAAAGAAACAGCTCATGTCCAAACAAGACATTGTCAAGGCCAAATTAGTAGAAGAGGAAAAACTAAGCTTGGAACGAAATCAAAAAGAATTGAGCACATACATGAATCGAGGAGAAAAAGCTCCATTTTTCCCATTTGGTTATTGTAACACAACACCTGTGAGTGATAAGAGTTACATGGTCACATACAATGTTGGTCCTCGAGATTCGACTCAAGTCGCGAAAGATATTGTAGCAAGAAGAGCCAAAACACATGAATACGATGGATGGAAAAAACTTCTCGTCGAACAGGAAGATTACAAACAATGGAGACCAAAAAGTTATTACTGGAAGACCTTTGATCGATTCGATAAGTATAATCAGCCAGAGGGTGAGGAACGAAAAGAGCGACATAGTTATGGTGTGACTGAGGCAGATCTTAAAGCCATGCAGACTGAAAATGTTGCCACTGCTTCCAAATCCAATTCGAAAAAACAATCGAAAAAAGAACAGGAATCGAAGAAGTCGTCATCAGCAGCAGTAGTCACAGAGGAACAAGCTCCAATTTCATCATCGACATCATATAACGAAGAGAAGGTTGGAAAGGGAAAATCTTCAAATGTTGATCCATCTGCACAGGCTGATGGAGTTGTCAACAAAGCGACAGGCGTTGTCTCAGGGTACGCTCCAGAGGAATATCAACAAGGAAATGCTGCTTACAATCAACCATTCTTTTATCCATCTCAACAACCATGTTTGGTACAAGGCATGAATAATGGTTATTTGGATCCGTGTCAACAACAACAATGGATGCAACAACAAATGATACGATCTTCGTATGAAGGGCCATTGTGCACGATTTACAAGGAATGCAATTCGCCAAATTTGTTCCAAAAGACTTTTCTAATTTCAATCCCAAACACTACAAGGGACTTCCTACGCATTATCTCAATTATATAAGGCCAGCAGGAAAAATCACTCCAAACAATGATGTCATTTCAGAGTGTTTCCATTTCTATGATTAGGTTTTTTGAAAGAGAATTGTGTGCTTCTTTTATGATTGCAATAAATAATAAGAAATTCTATTTATCAACACAGAGTTGTGGTCTACATTTGAATTTTAAAATATTCATACAATTTAACTCTCAAATACAACAATTCGGGGTCAACAACAATGTACAGTATGAGTAATAAAATAGACAAAAAACATAAATCCAAAAGCACTCCTAAACGACATCCACATAAGGAAGCTCCTGAAGATGAAGATTCTGAACGTCTTCGGTGCTGACATTGAGGATGATGCGTTGACTTTGTATTGCGAGATCCTAAAGACATTTTTTTGAGGTTGTATAAGAGGTTCTGGATGAACACTCAATATAATTATGCATAATTTCAAAGTATGAACGTGCATGTTACAACTAGTTTTAATTTCATTGATGGCTCACTTCTCTTCCATTTTGACTCTCTTTTGAAAAATTGCTTGTGTTTGACAATGCTGGATACATGTCTGAAATCATGTCAATACTAAAGTTTTGATTAATGACTGAAAAAGTATTATCATTTTCCACAAGAAGCTCCATATCTTGCGTGAGGATCTGAGGAGAAGAATTTGATTTTATCAAATTTCTATATTGATGCTTCAATTTTTCAATCTTGTGTGTACGAGATTCCAACTTTTTTAAAATTGCTTGATTCGTAGGTTGTTGAGAGAGAGGTGAGGAAATTTCAGAACCATTGCTACTACTACTATCATCATTGGATGGTTCAGTTTGTTTTTGAAAATTAAGGAGTTCATATGTGCAGGATAGAATAACAACAGCACGTGTAATGGTTAGTTGTAACAGTTCATTGCACTCACTTACCTGCTACTGGATGGATTGGTGTCGCAAGGGGACAATGTTGACTCGTTCGAATTTGAAGAAGAATTGGATGCAAAAAATATGTAATTAAGGCAAAATCGTGTTTTCAGGGAATTCCAAAAACTAATCCACTTATCTGTCCAATTCAATCAAATAAACCATTTCATCATGTTGCTCAATCAATGATTCAACATGTGGTTACCACGTGCTCAACTTACCTATTTTTACAATATAAAATTCTCTCTTCAATTCAATGTACAATTTGGTCACATGTTTCGTTGGAGAAGAGGATGAAAGAGAACTGCTCTCTGTAGTGGTAGTAGAGATGGTAGAGGTAATTTTTACAACTTCCTTCTCTACAAGCTGCAACTTGTTCAGCAAAATAATTTTCTCTGCATCACACTCATTAACAAGCATATCCAGTAAATGAGAATCATTCTCATTATGTTGTGACTGGCACACTTTTTTAAACTCCAAAAATCTGTTCGATAATTGGTAATAGAATGAAGAAATTTCAGTTTTGAATTTTTCAATGGCTTCCAATGTGAGATTTGGATTCTTCTCTTCAAGAATGTCATATAAACAGGAAGAACGCTCTCCCAAAAAATTCTTTTGATTTTCCAAAAAATCCTTATTGTTGCATGGTGTGTTATCAGCAGAGTTAGACGAGTCGGCTGAGGTTGAATATGGAGAAAGGTCTGGTGTACCCGAATGATGATTCGGTTGGCCACTAATGGCAATAGAATTGTGGTTAGTGGTCGAATTCGAGGTGGAAATTTGCATTTTCTTGGAGGCCCCATTATTCATGTGGTGATTGAGTGTGGGTAGGCTGTTATATTTACGAATCATTTTCGATAACGTTCTGTCAATAAGGTATTGAAATGGCCTAGTAATGGATTGTTGATTTCTGACGCTCGTGGAAAACCATGCCAGCAAACCTGAATCTCTCACGTAATTATCCAATGAATTGGAATTAATAATATGAGGTTTCATCTCGGCTTTATGAGCAAGTAGTATCGTATTGGGTATTAAATGATTTGGAATTTTCCCTCGCCATTGATCAATCGCAGACACAGATTTCACACTCGTAATATCAAAGACTATTAAAACTCCATGACAATTTTCAAAATATCGAGAAACAGTTTTCTTGGTGTGCTCGCTGTGTGGAATGTCTAAAATGTTCAATCTCACTGGGAATTGAATAGCTGTTTGCTTTTCAATGGGTGCATTTCTATATTTCCGAATTGGCTTTGAATATAAATCTACACCAATAGTAGGAATGTACAGACCATTGCTTGTCGGAGAGATCAGCAACGAGGGATGTTCATTGTTTTCATATACTTGTTAACAATGGCAGACTTTCCCACATTCGGGCCACCAATGACAATAAACTTTAAATAATATTCTGGTTGTACATTGGGCACCGTAGAATTCGTTAATGCTTGATTCGTATTGAAAATAATATTTTGAATTTCCTGATTGAGTAGGGTAGCATTTGTGGACGGTGATGATAATCTCAATGTTTTGCGTGATGCGGAAGCATGCTCAACTCCATTGAAATTATTCTGCTGTTTTGGTATGATTGGGATTGATGAAGCCTGGTCGTTTCACCATTATTATTATTACTGTGCTTATTACTGGCCACAAAAGTACTTGCTTCAGATGAATGATTTAACGTACTATTCCCGTATTTACCATCAAGTCTTTCCTCTCCGTTGGTATTACTAAAATTCGATGATGAGGTACTTGTTGTTGTGGATGATGATGCAGAGGATGGTGCTGCTCCGCTCAAGCTAAATCTTTTCCACAAGTTTTTCATTTTTATTTTGTTTGAAGGTAGGCTTTGATTTTTCAAATTCCACAAAGGTTCGAGTTGGGAGTTTAGATTCCAGTCCGAACTTGCACATACAAATGTGTGCTGACTGCATAAATCTACCCAAGTTATTTGTAAGAATTTGAATCATGTTTATTTCAACTGATGTCAAGAATCAGCTTCTTTCGTTGTCATAAACAAATAGTGAACAGTTTAATAATGTCACTTGTATCAATAACTACTTGAGAGACCACGAGACCATCCATTATCGATAAAATTGCTTACTGAATTGCACCTTGCCCAACAATTCATGTTGAGAATTCACACATCGTTTACACCAAATATTTTCCTTTCCAAACCTTAATAATTTGGTATGGGTACTACCGCAACACATACAGCAACAACTGGCTCCAGAAATATCCCTCAACCAATTCGTTATGTCTTTTTGTTGAGGATCATTGGTGGGAAGTGATAACATTTGAAAAAGTAAATGATCGTACTCTTCTTCTTGAGCGGATTCAATAAAACGACAAGGTAATGGAGAGGGTGATCGATGAGTGTGCTTCTTATTCAATTCCATATGAGTGTTATTGGTCGGACTGATTCTTGTCGAGTTGAATGTAGAGTGGGGGTTAAAGTCGAGCTGATGGAAGATCTTCGGAAGGAGAGTGGTGATCTTGATGGTGAAGAAGTAGTTGAAGAGGAAGGAGAAACAGACAATGATGAATTGGTATTGGGTGAAGTTGGAGCAAGGGATAATCTTCTCGTGGAGGTTTTGAATGAAGATTTCGGTCGGAGAGGTGATAACGAAGAGGAGGAAGTAGAAGAATGTTTCTGAGAGGGAGTAAGGGTTAATGTGGATTGAAATGCTGAAGAAGAAGTGGGCGAGGGCGAACGAGAGTGTAAGACCGAAGGAGTACTTGCTCTTCTTCTTCTCAACCGATCATGAGTAGATGTTGGAGTTGATTGGGATGACTGTGAGAAAAACATTGAGGGACATGAAGATTGTTGTTTTTTGTTGTTGGGCTCTCTTCGATTCATCACTCGCAGTGGAGTTTTAAAAACCAATGAAAACAATTTCAATTTCGCCAATGAAAGAGTGAAATGAGGGCGTACGTTTCTTCGTAAGGTTTGGTTAAGGAAACGAGCTGCCTTAAACACAACTTTTCACTAAAGACCGGATTTAGCGCATGGAGGCGGACCTTGGATTTTGAGATACTATCTTGGGAGTTTGACTATGTTTCAAATCCGTGGGGCAACAAATCATTAATGATCTCTAATAGAGATCCAGACATCCATTTCTTTTAGTAGCTATAAATGACAGCAATGAATTTGTGTTCTTTATCAGTGTGGGAGCAGAATTTATTGCCGATTGAAATGTTGACATTTTCATAGACAATCGTCATTTCAACAAAGCAAATGCTCATTACGATTCATATCATCAATCATTGTGGATATTCATATTACAAATTAACGAGACAAGCAATGTGCAAGTAGATTGAGTCGCATCGCAGCATGAGAAGCGTGAACTTTGTCGTAATTTCACATCTTATCTGCTCAGTTGTTGTGAATGGATCTTCAATTTCCATGATAGGCTCAGTTCTCTCGATCTTGATTGGAGTGAGCCTCATACATTGGTGTTATCACCGTCAACAGGTTCAAGAGTCATGTCATGCTGTGTTTATTGATTACTGGATATAATTCAACAGATCTACATACAAGTATGATCAAGCAAGCCCAAACCATCGAATAACAAATAAACACAGTTGTAGTTCCCACATTTTTATGAAGTTGTTTTTGCATGTTGGATACTTTTTTTGCATGCATGACCTGGGGCTCTCTCGTCCATGTGTTCACATAGCTGTTGAATATTCTTTTTAAAGTAGTTTTCAGTTGCTGCATTTTGGAAGTAGATTACACGTTTGGTTTTTCTTATCAGGTTTGCATTAAATAAAAAGTTGATACGTTTGTTAGAGGAAGCAATACTTGGATGGTTTTTGCCTAAAAACGATAACCAAACGTTCTCTTCAAGTGCACCTTTTGTACTATTAATCAATAGAGTTCCCAAGTCGAATATTGCATGCTGATAAGGCAATGAGAGTGCAACAAAAAAATCAAAAATGTCATCAAAAACTTCTTCCCTCAGTTGTTGGAAAAACATCTCAGTGTTGTTTGAATGTCTGAGCAACTTATAGAGAGACTTAGCTGTTTGCAAGTACATCATTTTCTGGCCAGTTATTTCTAATATCCCTTCTATCAAATCATTAGGAATTTCATCTTCTTTCAAATACTCTACACCAAATGCTTTGGATGCTTCAGTTAGCTCTATCCGTTTAACTCTACCCCCTGCTTTTGTTATCAAGCGGTGGTCTCTATCAGAAGACAAAACCACTAAAGCAACAGTTGACATTGGCTCTTTTCTTAGAAACTGAATGATTTTGTTGGTCATGTCAGGCTTTCTATTTGCTGCATCAAGAATAATAATAGGACAGTTGTGAATAAGGTCCTTTTTGTATATTGTAGTATAGTTTATCAATGTATGGTACACTAGGTTATTCAGAGAATAATTTTCGTTCAATGAAGAAATTCCTAAACCTTGAACAACATCTTTCCAAGACAATTCCGCTTCCAGATCTATGTAAATAAACGGAGTTGGCTGAAATTGGTGCAAAACAGCCTTCATTACAGTTGTTTTTCCTATTCCACTTTCTCCGAAAAACAAATACTTAGAAAAACTATTACATTGATGAAGTAGGTGAAGCGTTGAATTGAAGACATGGAACATTTCCTTTTGAACTGAAATAAGCTCCTTATTCATCATCATGCTTTTTGATGATACAAAAGAACGATTTAGCATTTCAGCCCGATTGTAATCGGGATTAAGTAGATGGAAATGCCAAGGAACAAACTGAGAGAAAGTTAAAGAACCTGTGTTTAGGGCATATCCTACAATTCCTACAATAAGGGTGATAATTACAATTCCCCAATTACTAAAATTGACTGAGCCAATACGTTGTTTAACTGACGATCTGAAAGTGTTTTGGGCAAGCTCATCATTTTCATTGCGTCTTTGTTCGGGAGAGATTTGAGACATTTTTATGAGGGTATGCTTAATACTCACAAAAAGCTCCAAAACACGGAAGTTTTCAGCACATAGTCCTGACTTTGGCTATATTTCAAATCCGTGGTCCAACAAAGAGAATTCTCAATAGACCACTAACCCAATTCATCTTTAGAACGACCACCCAAATTCAGGCAACCCAACAGAAAAAATATCTTTCGCGCGCGAGGCTAATTTTTGGAAATCAGAATTTTGAGCTTCCCACACATCGTGTGCTATTCGTTGCGATCATAGTATTTTACTTTTCGGAGATTCACTATTCTTTCAAAAATCATCATAACAACAACATGAATTCAATTCAATCAATTTTGATAACACTAATGATGATGGTCATGATGATGAGTATGGTCATCGTTTCAAATGAAATTCAATGGAATGTCTGTAATCATTATGAAGATTTTTCAATTGCTGAAAATACAAAATATATTTCACGACAAAGTTTGAATGAACAACAATTTCATCGATTTACCATGATTGACGCTGTGAATTCCATGAGTAAGTAATATTGAAATCATGTGAATATGAACATTCCGTGTATTGATCTAATCGTTGGAAATAATCATGTAATCATTTTCAAAACAACAATATTTTCACAAATTTTAATTTTCACATGATGTGAAAAATTATTGCATCCAAAATCATCATTCTTCATCATCGGAATCACCAAATCATTCAATAGATGCTCTCAAAAACCAAACATATCGAACCAAAGCTGAATGCACTCAAATCAATGTTCCTCTCGATCACTCGTCCCCTCAAAATTCCGAAACAATTAAATTATTTGTCAAACGATTGAGAGCTGACTCCACAAAGAATGCTCCTCGTGCATTATGGTTACTAGCTGGAGGTCCAGGAGAGGCCAGTAATTGTTTTGACTTGGACATGGACTTGTTAGTGAAAATGTTGGACGATCAATTTGACATTTACACAACAGATCATCGAGGAGTTGGTCGAAGTTCTCGTGTGACGTGTGTCGCAACACAAGCAGAGACTCCAGGAAGTGATGAAGGAGTTTTTATTAGTGACAAGGAATGGACAAAGAATGGATGTGCTCAAGCTTTTGAAAATGAATGGTCTGGAAAAACTCATCTCTTTTCATCAAAGGTAGGTTTGTGCACGACTTAGAGAGTTTTATTGACTTTTGTGTGGAATGGGCAATCTGAAATAATTTTACATGTATTTTCAAAAATTATTCTTCATGTCATACTTTTAAAAACTCTGTAATTACCACACATATAGCAAGCTGGAATTGACATGGTCCAACTCATTCAATCCATCAATATTCCTCAAAATCAACAAGTATTTGTCATGGGCCAATCTTACGGTACTGTTTGGGTTTCAAGAATGATTCGTTATTTAGAATTGACTGGTAATCCAAATTTAATCTCTGGTTACATTATGGATGGAGTTGTCAGTACCATTGGAAAACCAGCTCCAATGGGAATGAACGAAAATGAGAAAATTGGAAGTCTTGTCTTTAATTTATTTGATGAAGATTTCACAGCAGTTGGAAATGCTCTCATGCAACTTTGTGGAGGAAATTTCTCAGGAATTGCAACCTCTCAATTTGTTGCAGATGGTCGTGACACTTCCATTCTTCAAAACAAACAACTCTATTCAAATTTCAGAAATGAATGTAAAGAAAAATTTGAAAAAGTTCTCAAGAATGGTGGAGATTTAACCTCGTACATGCATCGAGTATTAAGAAGTGTCTATGTGAATGAAACTTGTCGACCAATTTCAGAAGGAATTTCACTTTTTGAATGGAAAGGAATTTTCACCCATTTAATTTCAAATCAATATGGACGAATGCTCATTCCTGCAATTTTTTACCGAATGGATCGATGCGATGAATATGTAGATATTCCATTTTTACTTCATATCAAAAAGATTTTCATGCCAACTCAAAGTTTGACACAACAGGTACCTCTCAGGTCATTGGTTTTAGGATATAACATTGCATTTTCAGAAATGTGGGATTCCAATGTGAAATTAGAACAATTAATGAATGAATGGAATAGCTCAGAAATTTTAATGGGTGGAATTGGAGTTAATTTTGCATCTAGATTGAATGTTACTCAATGGCCCACCTATACTCCTGACGCTGATTATTTCCAACAGAAATTCACCACCAATATTCCACTTTTAATGTTAAATGGTAATTTAGATCCCAACACTCCATTATGGTCTGCATTGTCACAAAATGCATCGATGGGTGGAAATTCACATGATCTAGTTATTATCCCATTCTCTGTTCATTGTACTTTGGAATCGAGTCCAACTGTGGCAGAATCCTTCATTCCAGTTGGAATGCAATTACTAGTCAATTTCATTACCATGGAACAACCCAATGTCTTTCTCATGAATCGAACATGTTTGGATGAAATTAATTTCAATTTCACAGGATCATATTTTTACAATCAACGAGTATTTGGAGTTTATAATTTATATGAAGATTCTTACATTTCAGATTCGAATGTGCCATACGTGAGTCTCTATCTCATGGTTGGAATATTTATTGCCATTCTAGTCGTTGCTGTAATTATTGCAAATACCTTAATTTATTGTATTGTCAAGATGAGAGATGAACAACGATTGAGAATTGAGAATTCTCGAGTGGAAGGTATTCCTGTAGTTCCTTCTTCGTTGCGCGCAGGAAGTAGCAGCTATCAATCTGTTTCAGAAAATTAAAAAGTTTTACTACAACAAGTTCGAATTCCCCAATATCAAACTTGGGTTTCACCAACCAAACCTCTCTCAACGCAATCCAAAGTGAGTGATCCTGATCCTGACCCACTCGTTCGCGAACAGAGTTTTTGAAGATCCATCCACTGAGCTGACGCATGTTCGGGAAGAGGTGTGTGTGTGAAACCGTTCACTTGTCAATGCAGTGAAGGACGGACAGGAGATTCATGCAATGTATGAGTTGCCTGTTTGCTCTCCAATCGTTCTGCTCATGGTCAATGCATCGCTCCAAATACGTGTCAATGTGACGAAGGTTGGTATGATTCTACATGTAGCTCACGTTTGCTTTGGATATGAAGCCTCATACCCTGCTGTTTGTACTAGTCATGGAAAATGTAAAGCAAATGACAAGTGTTCATGCTATGATGGGTGGAGAGGTCAAAAGTGTGCCACTAAATGTACGAGTCGAGACTCACAAAGGGTTGTGTTTATAGAATCGTTGGAGCTCTCTTAATATATTTTCCAATAACTTCCAATCACGACAACGATCAACAGGACAATATAAATCATTCCTCGTGAAAAGTGATGAAACCTGTTCAGTTCCTTTTGTTCTTTGAAATGTGAAAATACGAGAATATATTGAATCCTTAAATCACTGTTCTGAACAATTAAATATCGATTTTCATCGTTAGATGTTGTTTTCATTGCATGTTCTTGCTTTCCGACAACTTGGCATTGTGCAACGGCAGATAGATGACTACCAAGCTTTGAATTCTTCCAATGAATAACTCCTCCCTTTGAGCAGTCACGTGCCACCCTCACGTCCTCACACATGTGAATACCAAAAGCATTTCCTGTTTTCATTTCGCGTGTTCCAGACATTTGAGAGTTAGTTATATGTATGTCTTGAAGAGAGTTAGTTATTATTGAACAAAAATTCTCTATTGAGCTTGCATGAAATCCAGTGTAAAAATCATTACTAAAATCCATATTTCTATATCGTAATTCAAAAATGTGATCTGGTTTCAAGAGTACTACACCTTTGTTACTTTTCATGTATTGATGATAGGATATGTAATGTACAGAAAATTTCTGATTACATTGCTTTTTCAAAATAAATTCAAATAAATCTCTAATTTCTCCTAATTTTACTGTCTTTTCCAATTCGCTTTTCGGATTATGGAAAATGTATGTTGTCATTTCGAAAATTAATTGGGACAATTCCTCGTCATTACCCAAGTTAAATGTCATGCAATTTCCATCTGTACAAAAGGGCTCTACAAATACATCATCCGATGATGGCATGACAGATAATACATCCCTCATGCGATCATAATCTTTTCTTGAATTCTTTATAAAAGCCATAGGAAAGGGTGTAAAAATACTCTCTAATTCATGGCTCGAAGCAGCACTATTGAGTAAGCAACAGTAGAGGTCATAGGACTCTTTGCTAATGGTCAAGGAAGAACAAGTTGAATCAACAACTGCTTGATGATGAAAATGAACCATTTTTTGTTTGAGTTGAAAATGGCTGTGCGTAGCGAAATGGATGGTTCTATGAAACGGAGGTACTAGTTTGTGAAATTGAAATTCGAAAAGATCATTCTCCATTATGAATGACCATTCTTTGATTTCTAGTGTTTGCAACGGAGAACGATCTTAGCCAACAGCTGCGTGCGCATTTTTTGACAAGTGGCACTTGGGAACTCCAAGAAATGCCACCAATCAGAAATTGTTGCGAATTCGAAGTGAATGGACATTAACTCACTCTTTTAGAAGCATACTATGCGCGCTACTGGTTCCGAATGAATTTAAATACTCGAGTGCAGTCGGTCCTTCAAACGCCAATAATCCAACAAAAAATGTCATCTTCGACTGCACCCCCCATTCGAGTCTGTGTGACTGGAGCCAACGGATTTATTGCCTCACACATTATTTATCAATTATTAACCAGTTCAACCCATCACTACATGATTCAAGGAACTGTTCGTTCTTTACAAAACGGAAAACAACAAGAATTGTACAATGGACTTCTCAAATACGATTCTCAACAGCCCAACGGTCCAAAACTTTCATTATCCCTATTGCAGGAACGATTACATTTGTTTGAAGCTGATTTGAATCAAAAAGGATCTTACAAGAAGGCCATTGAAAATTGTCGATTTGTCTTGCATACTGCCTCTCCTTTCAAAATGCAAGTTCAAGATCCACAAAAAGATCTTGTCGATCCAGCAGTGAATGGAACGCTCGATATTTTACAAGAATGTGTTTCAGTGCGTTTGACTCAATCCATTCATCATGATTCTCCCGGAGACGATCGTCTTCAAAGAATTATTTTGACAAGTTCGATGGCTGCCATGTTCGACACTGCCTTTGAGGAAGATCATGCCTACAATGAAGACGATTGGAATGAAGTTTCCTCTCTCAACAAGAATGCTTATTATTACTCCAAAACTTGTGCTGAGAAGGCTGCATGGAATTATATGAATGAAGTGGAAAGCAAGTATGGAAAAGACTTTTTAGAATTGGCTGTCATTAATCCATCCACAGTGTTGGGAGAAGCCGTCTATGAAAAACAAGTGAATCAGAGTCATGAAATTATTTCACAAATTGTGAATGGCAACTTTCCAGTGATTTTCAAAATTGGTTTTGTCGTGGTGGATGTGAAAGACGTGGCACGAGCTCACATTCTGGCCATGGAACTGGACATGAATAATTCACAACGATTTTTACCTTCACGAAGAGAACGCTTCTTTATTGCAAGTGACACTATTTTGATGAAGGATTTGGTTGAATATTTGAGAAGTGATGACGTCTATGGAAATAATAAGAAAATGTTAAAGAATTTGCCAACCACGAAAATGGAAGGATGGTTTGGAAATGTGTTGTGTCGAGTTGCCACGGTGTTTGAACCTCAGGGTGTTCGTCAGTTCTTGGAGAGTAATTTGGGAAGACCACCAAAAATTGATAATTCCAAGAGTAGAAATGTACTTGGAGTAAAGTATGCGGATTGGAGAGAATTGGTGAAAGTGACCACTAAATTCTTGACTCAAGCTGGAGCCATCAAGTTGCAATAATTATTGTAAATATATCTATGAATGTGTAATCCATCATTCGATTCTCTTTTGACAATTGTCAATCTTAATCAAAACCATTGTTAGTAACAAATGAATTAATATTGCGAGTAGACAAGTTCTGATGCATTAATGGAATTTTTGATAGCTGAACTAGTTACATGACCACACATGGTCGTAACTTGTGCTTTCGTCTCGTCATCTTGTTGTTAACTCCATCATTCATTGGAAAGCAAGTTCCATCGTCAGAATTTTTTCTAGCCTCTCTAATCAAGAGTTCAAACGCTTCTTCAACATTCCATCTCGTTTTAGCAGAGGTTTCAATGACGTGTGGAATTCCCAATTCCTTTGCCAATACTCGTGCTTCTTGAATAGAAACCTCTCGTTGTAAGTGGTCCAAATCACACTTGTTACAAACAAGAACCATTGGTTTCTCCTCAACTTTGGACTCATTCACTCGCAAAATATGTTCATGAAATTCTCGAATGGCATCCATACTCTTTCGATCTGTCACGCTCAAAACTAAGAGAAAAGCAGAGGCACTTCTCATGTACGAGTCTCGCAAAATCTTGTATTCGTCTTGGCCTGAGGTATCTACAATCTCTAATAAACAGGCCTTGTTGTCGATTCGAGTTCGTTTCGTGTAAGAGTCTTCAATGGTTGGATCATACTCTTCTGTGAAGATGTGTTGAATGTATTGAATGGTGAGTGCTGATTTACCAACATTTTCTCTTCCCACAACTGCAATGTGATATTCAGTGAGTGAGGCCAACGATGATGTCATACTGGTGGTGGTTGAAAAGGAGGATGCTGAATTTGAATGTGCAGTCATGGTGTCAACAGCCAACTGGTGCACTACAAGATGAGTGTCAAATTCTTTTTTAAAGTTGAAAAATGCATTCAGATGCCAAAACTCAAATTTTTGAAGGAATCTATATTTAGCTAATCTCAGTGAACTTGTGTGTAGAAAAGAACTCGCAACATTTCTCATCTAATTCTAACATGCATGCCAAAACTCAATCTGTTCGAATCAAAAAGTTGTCTTCTTCAAAAATTGAAAAGCTCTTCTCTATGGATTTTTTGTTAGAAAAATTCAATTAACTCTTAAAGTCTGCTCAATTGAGGCTATTTTCATTCATTTTGTCAAGCACTGTTTTTGCAGCAATTCTGTCCAAGGGCCTTCTGAAAGTGACAGTGTCCATCTTTTTACAAATTTCAAAATCACAATATCCGCTCGATTGAGGTCGAAACAGCACAAGTCCAAATCGAAGCATTGAATAAAAAATGTTCATGGGAATTTGCTCAATAAATTCCACGTATGGAACTACATGATTAGGAGCATTGAGAAGCATTTTCCAAGCAGTAATGACATGTTCCTTTTCCCATAAAACAGAAGATGAAACTTGAGCTCTCATTAATTTTCCATACAATTCTGGATACAGAACTTGTGTGAATTTAGAGATGGTAGCTCCCAAGTCTGGATAATCTTCTATTTTTTGTTGCGTGGTATAGTAAAGCTCTACAAACTTGCTTAAATCATGAAGTCGGCCACCTAAAATGTTATAAACTTGTTCAAAATCAGGAGGTGGTGGAATGGAGTGTTCGTTCGAATTAAATTGACATGCAAAAGAGGCAATGAATTTTTCATAGGCACTCTTAGCCTCTTGTTTTGGTAAATCTCCCAAACCAACGATGTGTAAATTATCTCTGAATGGAATATCCATCATGAAATCATAGTAAAATAAGGGTGAACATGTCAATAATACTCTGTATAGCGTTGAAAAGGTAAATAAATGGTAAACATCACCATGATGAAATTACTACATACCTAATATTACGATGGTCACGAGTCAAATTAATTAACCACAATAGGAAATATTCCAGTGCTCTCAATCCAACGACGTCTCTGGTTAACGAAGAAAATGCTTCCATATGATTCACGAAAAACAAATGTGGCTTGTCGGCTGGAATGACAATTTCTTTAAATCTTCGAAGTGCTCTTTTAAATCGATTTAACGACTCGGATGCCTCCCGCTCGCCACCATGATTGTCGTTGGTGACCTCTTCAAGTGCATCCAATTCTCCTCTCAATGTCTTGGCCAATCCACGAATTATACTCGAAATGGCGTCATTCACATCAAAAGTCTTGTTCGAAAATCGTTCTTCCAATCCATGCACATCATCAAATGGGGAATTTCTAATATCCATGTGTGTGAGTTCGTAAGGATATGCCTCTAACACTGCCTTTGTGGCCAATTTGCTTCGTCCTGACTGTGGAATTCCCACTAACACCACAACCCGAGCGGTAGATGACTTGAGAAAATTACATAATTGTTCATACTCTCGAGGACGATCAACCCAAACCGCATAATTGCATGGTTTACTTGATCTGTATTGTAAATTTCCATGGTTATTACAAGTATTCTCACCATCCGTAAGTCCAGCACAACCATAAACTGTACTCGGATTGATTAAATCTTGTCTAGAATCCATCTCGGATTCCAACCATGCCTCTCTCTGCTTGAAATAAATTATTGAAATAAATCCTACTGTGCCCACTCCAGCAATCAAATACGCATTATCAGCCAAAAGATCATACAACTTTTTTGCTATTTCAAACATTTTTTTGTTTTTATGAACAGGCTTTCTTTCCATTCTTGAACTGGGTTTCAGCTCAAAAGATCATGTAACCCAGTTAAAACAAGATAAAAGAACGAACCCAAGTGTAGGTTCAAAAACAAACGAAAAAAATGTTCGATTACAACCTGTTTCATTCAATTGTCAACCCGAGCACAAAACAGATAAATGAGCCATCATTTCCCAAATTACATCCAACAAGAAATGAGGAAAATGTACGGATGATTATTGTTGATTTTTCAAAATTTGAAAACCATCACAATAATGAAAAATTTGACCTTTGTAGATTGGGATTATTATTGAAAAATAAATTCTCATTACAACAAGCTGGAAAGAAGAAGTGGCTTGAGAATAGAGAGTTGAAATATACAAAGTTCTTTCCAGTAGAATTTATGAATGATAAGGAATTTGTTCTTAATCACATTAAAAAGCATGGCTATAAATTAAAACATGCATCGCAACAATTGCAAGAAGACAGAGATTTTGTATTGAAAGTAGTTCAACACAACGGATTAGAAATACGATTTGCAAGTGAAGAAGTTCGCAACGATCAAGAAGTACTATTGGCAGCTATTAAGCAAAACTCAAAAGCTCTGACTTATACCCCATCCGATATTAGAACTGACAGAGAATTTATTTTGAAAGCAGTTCGAGAGAATGGTAATGCTCTAAAGCACGCAAGTGATCAGCTGAAGAGGGATAAGGAAATTGCTTTAGCTGCAGTGAAACAACATGGTGAAGCATTGCAATTTGCTTCCACAGAGGATAAGGACATTATTTTTGAAGCAATCAAACAAAACAACAAGGCATTGCGATGGGTATCAAATTCTTTACTACAAGATTCTAGTTTCATGTTACAAGCTCTCAAATTAATATTTACAGAATTTAAAATGTTAGATACTTTTAGTTATTCAAGAAAAGATATCCTGAGTCGAGTGGTTCAAGAATTTGGATGTTTACTTGAATTTGCGTCAGATGAATTGAAGAATGATCGAGACGTTGTATTAATGGCAGTCAGAAATGATGCCTATGCAATTCTTTTTGCCTCTGACTCTATGAAGAACGATAAGGAAATTGCATTGGTGGCTGTGAGTCAAGATGGAGGTGTATTGAAATACGTCTCGGAGGAGTTAAAGAATGATAGAGATGTTGTTTTAGCTGCTGTCACTGAGAGAAAAAGGAACTATTGGACATCTAATCTAATTTATGCCTCTGAGGACTTGAGGAAAGATAAAGAGATTGTACTGGCTGCAGTAAGACAATGGAAAGATGCACTCCAATATGTATCTCATGAGTTGACAGATGATAGGCAAGTCGTGTTAGAAGCTGTGAGGCATAATGGTTGGTCTCTTGCCTATGCGTCTGAGAGGTTGAGAAGTGATCAAGAAATTGTTTTTGAAGCCATTAAGCAAGACATGGATGCTTTTAAATGTGCTTCCAGAACACTTTTAAGCGACAAACAATTCCTTTTACAAATTATCAAACTTGGTTGTAGAGATGTTTTAAAACATGCACCCAAAGAATTTATTCAAGACAAGGAGTTTTTATTACAAGCCATCCAAATCAATAGTCTTGGTATTGTAGGAACGTATTATTTTCCTGACAGAGAGTTTATTTTAGAAACAGCAAAGAATAATGGGTATGCTTTACGTTATGCAAGCATGATCATGAAGAATGATCCAGAAATTGCGATAGCAGCTCTCCGAAACAACGGCTATGTGTATGAGTACAGCGATGAATTATATCAAGAAAGAATGAAGCAACGTTATCATGATGTTTATTTGGGACAATAATAATTTTAAGTATAACATCCATCACGTTCATATCTCAATAAAGTTGCCAACTTCACAGGTTCAATTCAGAACAGTTCATGCTTGCAGTTTCCTTCGAAAAAAGCACGTCGATACCACTTGGTTTCTTGCTTGGTATTATTCAGTCTTGTGAAAAACAATTTTGGTCAATGATCCAACGTAACATCATACTAATCCACAGGGGCTACAACGTGAGCTTCTTGTTGCACTGTATACACTGCTCTCCAATTCAAATATTGTTTGGTTTGTTGCATTCTTTGATAAGTATCCGAAAGGTTTTTGACAAGCTCCACAAAAAGACCCAAAATGACTTTTTCCTTCTTTTCTTTCTCTTCCTTTTCATGCAGTTCATGATTATTGAGTTGACGAATCAAATCACCCAAATCTTTTTTCACTTGAGAGGGTAAATTCACTTCAAATTTCGAGTAGGGTGACACAAATTGTTCCTCCATTTGTTTCAAGGTATTCAAATCCATACTTTTACGTCCTGCTTTGTAATCGTATAAGAATTCGAAAAAGGCAATATTTTCATAGGAAAATTCTTTAGCAGAATATTCTGAAATGAGTGCATGAAATTCCTTATTGTGTCTCAGAAGTTTTTCCAATTCTCCATTTTCGACATGTCTCTTTGAGAAAATGATTCGTTTTCCCAATTCGAAAATCATGACATTCCCACCACACACTTGAATAATGCATATGGAAATGAGCACATCCATGACGGCATAGACCACACCCACCACTGCCAATGTCACAATATAAATTATCAAAAATAACAAAATTAATACAGTACAAATGAGATCAATTCTCAAATAGAATGGATCATCGAAAAGTAAAAACTTCCAAATGCCAAATCTCTTAATATTCGATCGATTCAAAATGGCATCGACAATGAATGTTCCTGTACTCAACACGACTGCAAGAATAACCACAGCCACACCCGTATAATTAATGCCAGCATACATTCGCATCACTACAAGAGGTGTTGAAATGGGAATGAGAACCACAATGTTGAAGGCAATGGCAGCCAATACCGAAAAGATAATTCCACCCAGAGCTGAACTCAACATTTTGTGAATTTTGATGGTCCATGGACTCGAGTCAAATTTTGTTTTTGACATGATGGTGTATAAATTTCTCAAATAGAAGAAACGAATGGTAGTGACAAAATAGACAGCTAAAATGACCAAGACTGAAAATAATGCCAAAATTCTGAATACGGAAAAGCAAACATGTTCACTAAGAGTCGTATTACTCCAATTTCGAAGCATTCCAAAAATGGGTAAATACGGTAATATCAATCGACGTTGCATGGCATAATTCTTAAACATTCCAGTAGAGAAGAATATAATGTAATAGATCATTGCAATTCCAATGGAAATATAACTGGCATAGTCTTGTCCGTCGAGTGTAAAACAAATCGAATATGGACAATAGTTGCAATTCGAACGAGAAACCATCGAAGAAACGCTTTCCAACGTTTGATTGAACGTCACACCCAAATCTTGACTTGTAAACAATTGTGAAAGATATTGTTGATCGTATTCAACAGTGACGTTCCATACTTTTCCAACCACTTGCAGATCATTGGATGTGAAATTTAAAAAGGAAAATCCATAATGAATCCAAGCCGAGTCTCGATTCACAATCGTCTCAGTTCCACACTGTTGATTCGTTGTTAAATATTGTGTTTGATTCTGAATAAGACTTTTCAAATAATAAATTATTTCTGTTCCATTTTCCATCGTTCCCAATTTAGGTAAAACCAATAGAGTTCTCGGCATGAGGGGATACATCCATAAATCTTGCAAACTCGTCCATTGCCCAGTACTTTCTAACACGTGTCGATTGTTTTTAAATCTCACGAAAAACGCTGGAGAGGAGCTCTGAATAAATGCATCCACATCGACCATTGTGTTTCCAGTCAAGCAATCAATGGTCGAAGAAATTGCACTCGTTCGAATGCTGTAATTTCCAGGGAACATTGTTTTCATAAATCTTTCATTGAAAATACTAAAATAGGTCGAGTCTGAGGAAATGGACAAGACCGAAGGCAATGTTGTCGTGTCATGGGTTTGTGAAATTTTGTCGAATAATTCATGCAAAGTTTCTGGTTGTTTGACCATGATGTTTTTAAATCGTTGCATGAACTTGTCACGCCACACGTAGAAGAAGACATATTCACTCACTCCAATGACTCGGGAAGTTTTGAGAGTTTGTTGTATCGAGTTGCGGTCCGAAACGAGTAAATCAAGAGTTTGTACATTGGATGATGTGGAGGAAGAGGTTTGGAGAGGAGCGTGATTGGGTGGCGGATGAGGAAAGGATGCACAATGGATGATGAAGATATTTATTGACGACAGAAAGAAATAGAGGGTGAAGAGAAGATGAGGAAATGATCTGAGACAAGTATAAAGTGTTGGCCGGGGAGGATATGGCCACATTTTTTGTGTGTTCGTATTGACAGTTGGCAAATTCTTGGTTTGAGGAAGGACATAACCTTGTTTGGCAGAAGGATCCCATAAAGGACTGATTGTCTGGAATATAAGAACCACTCAGTTAAAATTAATGTGAAGGTGATATAGCTCAGTCGGTAGAGCGTTGGTCTAATAAGCCATTGGTCGTCGGTTCAATCCCGACTATCACCAAATGTTTTTTGTTGCGAGACTTTTTTAGATTCAAAACAAAAGCATCACTTTGCATTACCCTTTGCAAATTGTAACTCCTCAAGATTTTTACTTTCGATACTTGCATCTCCGATATTCCAATCATAAAAAAATGAAGAAATTCTTAAAAGACTTTTTCGCAGGTTCTCGGAGTGGTGACGATCAATCTCATGAGGTTCCTCCCATTGAAGAGTGGAAGAAGGAACATTTTGTCAAATGGCTCCATGAGAAGGAATTCAACGATTTTATTGTGGAATGTAAGTTACAGGTGTTTTGTTGTCAAGTATGCCGATCGGCTTACATGATCCCAACTGGTATTTTGCTTCTTCTGACCTAATCATCATCAAAATTTATTGTGTTTTATGAACGATCCAAACAATCTTCCTTGAAATTCAACAACACCATCAATGAACCAATACCACAACAGCCGTGAGAGAGAGCTCTTATTTTGATGAAGTGGTTGATTTTACAAAACTCACTCTTCATGATTTGGTTGTGGTCTTGCCCAACGATTCTGCAGTTGATGTTCTCAATGCATTGGCCGGTGATTACCCTTTGCTGTATGAATCTGTAAAAATCAGCAATAATTTTGATAATTATTTACAAAGCTCCGATTCGGTTCATGTGGTGCGTATGGACACCATGACTCAAGCTCTACAGAATTTACCAAAAAGCAACAATGTTAGCAATGGAAAATATCAACAACGAACAAGCTCGAGTGATTTGGATTTCAACAATAAGAACCCTTCTGTAGCAACCGAAAATAACATCATCACGTACGAAGAGAACAAGTCTTCTCCTCGTAACTCCGATGAAGAAGATGGATCATCTCCGACCTCAGCCCGAATCACTCATTCCAAACACGTGGAAGTGAATACTGCTCTTATTGAGAACTTTTTACAGAGAAAGAGAAACATATTTACTGACAAGACCATTTCCTTCTCAGTGGTTGGAAAGGATGCCAATCTTGCCAAGGACATTGAATTTCCAGCATGTCACAATGAAAATTTTTCATTAGCACTTCCAAAATTTACCAAGCTCTCTGCTCAAGAAGGTCACTATGTCGAGAAGGTGATTGAAAAACTGAAAGCTATGGAACTGAACTGCTCAAATGACGAGGAAAAAATTGAAGAAATTGCACAAAATTTGGCAATACCTGAAAGATTTAAATATATTTATTTGAACCCAGAAAATATTGACATCAATGCATTGGATAGCACAAGCGAAAAGCCATACATGACCATTCAACTTTTATTGAACTATAGGAGTGATCTCAAGGATGAAGAGTGCCCTGTAGGAGCCTTCTACTTTTCTGTTGCCATTGGATTGTTTTGCATTGAATGGAACGATCAAAGCGTGGCGTGTGTACGAAGAAGAGACATCACCAACTCGGAATTTATTGAAATTGAAACCATTTACACCCTTTACGAAATTGATGCTTTAATGACTACTGTGTCAAAGGTCTGCACCGAGTGGAATTCAACCAGAAAATTCGACATCAAAAAGTGCAACCAACAACACTTTGTAGTTGACATGCTCCACCGATTGAACATAATGTCTGTTATTAATCATAATCGTTTCTACGAGGCGACAGAAACAAAGAAAAAGAAGAGAACCAAGATCAAGCAAGCATTCGCTCCTTATCTTAATTATGGATATTTTGGAACATGGATATCAATTTCTGCATCTTTATGGTACAAATTACTATCAGAAAGTGAAAATAATAATATCAGTGAAGAGTTAAAGCAAGCATTACTCAATGCCATTTTCGAAGAAGAAATTGCCACTCCACCCACAGAGTAAGTACTTATCAACTCGATTAATTTTTACCAAAAATATTATCAATTTTAAGAATCGATTTGGCAAGCATCCAAAACAGTATTTCCAACGATGACAAACTTGTCATTATTTGTTTCCCAACTCCATCTTGCATTAAAGAATTTGGAACATTGACCACAAATTTCGGCATGAAAACGGAAACAGAACCAAATTTCACCTTGTCCCTTTTGAGAGTTTTTAACAAATCCATGAAAGCAGAGTCGTCTCTTGTTGGTGATGAATTATCAAGTAACAACATGATTTCTATCAAACCATCTTGCTGTTTGAATGGTTATACACTTTCTCCTCCACGTAGATGAGCATGTTTCAATCGATTCGATCAGACACTCAACATATGATATGATAATAAATTTGTTTTATTTATCTAAGGGAAGTGCTGGTACTCGTGGGAACAACATACTCAGCCAATACATCCTCCACTTGAGCCGAATTCGAATTGGAAGAGAACAATTTCGTGAACCAATTGTAATTGAGACGCAAGGAAGGAGTTGCCCTTCTTCGAGGACTTGTCAAATTGCCTCCATCAACGTTCGCAGTTGTTGGTCTTGGTGAAGTTAATCCATTGTTATTGCTCGAGTTGAGAGAACTTAATTGTACTCCTGGAACATGAGGTGGAATATTATCGAGTCGACATTTCACAGGTTGTGTGAGAACTGACCGCATGCCATCACTTGCATTGTTCTGACTGAATCGTTTCACTTCATTCTTGACAGAGAAGAAGAGACGACAAATTCTCTCTGCTTCAAATCTCTGTTCAGGAGTCAACATGATAAATGTTGAATTCTCATCGTGAAGATCTCTCGAGCCAGAACATGTCCAATCAATGTCCCTCAATGAAACCTCAATAGCTTGAATGAATTGAGGATTTTCTCGAGAATTGAAAAACAACTCGACTTGCCATGTGATGTGAAACAATTCCAAAAATTCAGAGCGAGGTAATTTCGAAGAGGCGCCACTTCGATTCCCGTTATTGGAAAATAATTTTGGATTGTTTTTCGTCAACATGCAATCCGTACGTTGATGCAACACACTCAACTTGTCTCCATAATCTCTAAAGGTTACGGTCCATGTTCCACGAATATCCTTAAATTGGTCGATGGTAACGGCAGCTTCCTTTTGAGGAAGTTGAGAAATGCTGTTTTTCAGAGTCATGATGCATTGAGCTACTTGACCTAATGTGCCAACCACAACGGATTGATCAATGAGACATAACACTTTAAGCATGGGATGTGGTTTTTCGATACAGGACAGGTTGGACGAGCTTCTTTTGTGTTGAGAGGATGACATTTGACTTGAAGCTGCTTGATGACGTTGTCTCTTCACACACAATGTTCTAAATACATTAACCAAATCATCGGGTTGAACATTTTGTGATTGGAACGTATTGGTCAAGTCTTGATAACATTCAAGAGTACAGAATTTGACAGGACCGTTCGAATTCTTATTTTCAAAGAGGTCATGAGTTGCATTAATAATTTCAATCATTCTTAGAGTGGGATCTTCGATTTGAGAAAAGTCATGAATTCTCTTGAATTTACCTGAAAGAGGGGTTTGTAACGAAAGGTTGCTTTGAGAAGCTCGAGAATTCACTTGTTGAAGTTTGACAGGTTCAAATTCATCAACACTCATACAATGAGACATTCGAAGTAAATCTCTTGTGAACTTCATATTAGAACTGGCATTCTTTAGCTCTTCTTCACCATTCGAAGCTTGAATCCAACTCTCAGTTTGCTTGTAAATCATTTCATTGAATTTCTTTCCTAATTTGGCAAGTGAGGCTTCGATACAAAAAGGTTCCAAACCCTTGTATGCCTGTGGAAAGGTTTCCAATGGATTATAATTCGTGGTAGATCCATTCGAGCGAGCGGGTGAGCATTGCTGTTGTTTCGTGGAGGTCATTGGAGAAGAAGGTAAACGAGGAGATTGTAAAGAAGAGTTTGAAGCATCTTCTCTACTTGACGGGTGATTGTTTTGAAGTTGTCCAGGAAGGAATTTTAAGGACATGGAACGACCATGGACATGTTTGGAAGAATTCATCTGGCTGGTCGACAAATTTCCAGTTTCCTTATTCTTTTGTTTGACATTTGACTCTTGAAGTCCCAATGGATTCATCATCAATGAAGAGTTTCGTTTCAAATTATGGGATCTTGAACCATTGTGTGCACTGCTGCTGCTGTTGTTGCTAACTACATTCTCTTCATGACATGCATTCGAAGAAGAAGCTCTTCTCGACATGAGTCCTCTCTCATGGGGCGGAGTCAATTTGAGTTGTTTCGATCGATCCGGAGTCGTTGGAGCTTTCAAAAGAATCTTTTCATGTCCAAGATCTTGATGATAACCTTTACCAGCTCCTCCTCTTGGAGAATATGATTCTAACATGTCATGGAGAGTGTCATCTGAATAATTTTGATTTCTCTTTCGTTTGAGTGGAGAGGAATTTGAAGGGTTGTTGTTGTTGTTCGAGTTATATTCAGAATTTGTTGGTTGTTGTTGTGAATAATCTGTGGAAAGAGAAGTGGTGGTGGTTTTGTCAATGAAGGAAGCTGCTCGTTGATGGGAAGGACGATTACGGTTGGATTGAATGGTTGAAGTGGTCGTGATGGATCCTGCTGTGGAGGTGGAGGTTGTGGTTGTGGAGGTGGAATTGGTTTTGAAGAGATTACTGAAAAAGGATTTCATGATATGGTGTGGCTAGGAGAGGATGTGATTATGGATTGGAGCTTTTGAATAGTGTGGTCTTTCACACAGACAAAGGTGTGTGATTATATTTTTTAAATGATTTTTTTAAATGACATTTGGCAGTTTTGCAAAGAACGCGGGAAAGAATCATGTAACGGCTAGCCCAACAAAATGAGAATGAAAAAAGTCAAAAGAAGAGTGTGAGAACTGATGACCAGCAACTGGTGCTTCTGCCACTGACAAGAGAGTTTGCACAATGAAAGAACCTCAAGGTCATGACAACCATGAATAACAAAATCTCCCTACCGTTGTATTTGTGCAAATTAGTGCAACGTTTATCCGTGAACATGGCCACACAACAACGTGAGAGATCCAAAATCATCACTACAGAGATGCAAAGTACAAAACCAATGAGATCCTTTCATGAACAACTGTTCTGTTCAAATACACATGGTCACAACATCAACCACTTTCATACAACAACCACAAATCAGCATGTCATGTTATCCAAGCACCAACTCCCCGCACATTCTGAACTACAAAAAAAAACAACAAGAGAGAAGAATTGGTCACAACAATAACAACAAGTACCACAACCAAAAGATTACTAAATGTCCTCTGACTCTTCTTCTCATACAACACCAGCAACAGCTATGGGCTGGAACTCAGAGTCGTCCTCAACACTCAAAGGGACGTCCTTTATGGAAGAATTATTACAATCGGCTACTACAACCAAGCCGGTCACGTTGAAAATTGTAATGCTTTTTGTGACCTTGTCCTTGTTCTTTTGTACGGTGATGGTTCTGGTTTCGAGTGGTGTGTTTGTGAATAAGTGTCAATTGCCACCAGAGCTTGCCAATAAGGATGCTTCGAATGCTGCTGGACATTCACATACATCGCAAGGTGCTCTTCCATCGTATGTGACCAGAGAAACCATGTCTAAAAGACTTTCTGTGGAAATTGATTCAGAGATGAATCGTCGAAGAAATAGGAAAAACAAGAAAGCCGTTGCATCCTCATCATGGAATACACCACAAAACTCCCAATCAAAGAAGAAGGCAGGAATTGAAACGAAGGAGGAAAAACTCAAGTCAGAAACAAAACTCTTGTTGGGTCACCATCGATGCAATCGGTATGGTAAAGTAGCTGGAATGCCAATCATGGTACCAAAAGGAGGTCCTTACATTTACACACCTCAAGATACGGTTATGGCCACTTGTCATATCAATAACTTGTGCATGACATCAACAGGAGAATTCGTCTTGTTCCAGTCTTCAGATCGACTTGCCGGCGAGGTTATGTTTGAAAAATTGAATTCAAAGCCATGGGTGTGGGTGCAAGGATCGACCATCATGACCGATCGTGGAAACTTTTTCATCAAATTGGTCGATGGAGATTTGGTGTTTAAATATTCAACAAAGAAGGACAAAACAAAGGTGTATGAACGTGCCTTTGTAAGAAAATCCATTCGAAATACCACAACCAACGCTGTTAAGGAAGAGTATGAACCTATTGCATTTGCTGAGAATTTCACAATCTATGACAAACCATTGTATGCTTTGAAGAGATTTGCATCAGGAAATGTCGGTCACGTCATGTCAGAGGCTCTCGGAATGATTACGGGTCTGATGATGAATTTCAATCCTGATGGACCATGGGAGGATAATCACATTTTGTATTTGGATGATGTTTTTGACATGTCTGGCAACAATTGGATGGGTGCCTATGAATATGATCCAAGACATGCCACTCGATATTCTATTCAAGGTGGGCATCTGATTAGCAAAAATCCAATTCTTCAGCGGTGTCATCAGAATGGAGCTTGGAAAATTCTTCCTGCTCCTTGCACTAATAATTTTGAAAAGGGCATGCCCACAGAAGGACCTGTCACTCTTCAAGCATGTTTCACAAACTTTTATGCCGGTCACACAATTTCGAATGTGGTTTCACATCCCTATGGAAAAGAAAGTCTCTATATGAATCTCAAAGGACTTGTATACAAGAATTTGGGTATTCTTCCTTTTGATAAGCAATACAGCACAGAGCAGGAAAAGGAGGAAAGAATGAAGAAATTCTTACTCGAGAAGGATGTTATTATTGCCATGAATCGAAAGCTTCCTTCAGGTCGTCACGGACAAGCCATTCACAATGTCGATGAAGTCATTGAATATCTAAAGCAGAATGTTGAAAAAGATCCATTCATTCAAAAACTCACAAACACTTTCAAGAAGAAATTAATTATCGATCCTTTGATTTTATCTGACTTCCAAACAATTAAGGATCAAATTCATTACTTTTCAAATGTGGACGTTTACATTTCCGATCCAGGAAGTGCTGCCTATTATGCCATGTTTTTCAGAGATGACACTTCACTCTTCCTTCCACCAACTTGCCATATCAAAGAAAATGGATTGAAATGCCAACACTCTCATGGTATTAAGGTGTTGCAGGCTTTCCCCAACGTTGAAATTGTGGATATTATGGAAATTAATGGAGGACCCATTCCTTGTAATTTGAGGCCAACAGTCTTGTTCCCAGATAATTGTGATGTGATCCTACCAAAAGAGCTAGTGCTTAATTCTGTCTTGCGAGCAGTCAAACGAAGATATCGAGAATTGTTGACACTTGAAGATACCTTCATGTAAATGTTGTGGAATTTCGGTTGCTTGCAAACTGGTGGCCACGTCAATATCCCAGTACCCATTCTATACGTAATTATCTTGAAAGATCATGGAGAGAGAACAGCATTTCCTTTGCTGCCTGTGATATGGAGGAACGTTCCATAATTGCTTCTGTAAATTATTTAATAATTTTCAATAAATCTTGGAACCCGAGATGAAATAAAGATGAAACATTTTTTCACGCCTGTTTTGCAATCTTGATTTGCGGTGCAAGGCCTGTTTCCTCATCAAGAGGAACGAATCAAACTGTTTCATGAACCACATGTATTGGTCGTGTTTTTGTAATGAAAAGGAATTACATGCTCCAAGTTCATTGATCTTCTGCTGTGTGAGATACTCATTCCTCAACTCAAATCAAAAAAACAATCCGTTGACATCCGTCTCTCCGTGTGTCCAAAAAGAAAGATAGAAACACAATTATTATTTATTATTCATCAACAGTTTAAATAATTTCAACAATGATGGACGAAATTGATTACGAAGAAGAAGAGCCATATTATCATGATGATGATTACTACTCGGATGATCAAGATACCGGTTCATCGAATGGCAGCCATCGAGGATTGATCGTCGAGTTACGTGAGCCCACTCCCACTGATGTTTCTTCCTTGTTGTTGTTGGGAGCTGAGTCTTCATCCAAAAAGCCTTCGTCATCATCAACGACCGGAACAGCAACAACACAAGAATCCCTCTCTCCACAAGAAACCAATGATCTACTTCAACGTTTACCTCCCATTGAAAGGCCTGTTGATGAGGAGAATCAAGACTTTTTCATGAGAGAGAAATCACTCAAGCCTCCACGTACTGCTGAGACCATTCAACAAACTTTTCCTCCTGAACAAACCTTGGAAAAACCTGAACAATTGAAACAGGAAGAGGAAGCCTTGAATGGATCCTCTCTCCGTGTATTGAGATATTTACCTGAGGGGAAAGTCGATCGATCTGTTCCTCACATTAGCATTACCTTCTCACAGCCCATGATTGAGTTGTCGAGCGTGGAGAATGTGGAGAGTGTCAATGTTTTGGAATTTATTGAAATTAGTCCAATGCCAAAGAATGGTGGTCGATTCAAGTGGATTGGCACGAAAACTGTCTTGTTTGAACCATTGTATCGATTTGACATGTCCACACGATACACGGTCACTATTAAGGCTCACAAGGCCAAGTCAGCCACTGGTGGCATATTGGAAAAGGATGTTGTTTTTGCATTCGAGACACCAAGATTGAACATGTTGAACAAACTTCCACATTCAACCGTTGCTCCTCTGAATGAATTTCCAGTTTTCTATATGGAGTTTGATCAAGAGATTGACCCTGCTGTTTTAATGAAACACATTGCAGTGAATAGTGGTTATAATACTCAATTAGTGCTTAATGATGGACGTTCAGACCAGAATGAGCAAGTGAAAAAATTCATTGAAAACTTGCTCAATGAGTACAATATGCTGAAACGAAACTCTTCAATTTATTATGCAGTGACCAACAAGTTGAGTAATGCCCCTCCAAATCGACACTTGTGGTTCATGATTGACGTCAAATCAAAGAGAGTGGAGCTTTCTGAGAGCGTACAAGTTGTGTTGAGAGCTGGAGCCACCTCATCGGAAGGTAATCTTCCAACAGAGGCTGATATTAGTTTCTCAGTGAGCAATTATCCGAGCTTCACTGTCAATAATACCTACGGTGGAACAAAGCCCTTAGAGGCCTTCCATCTCGTATTCTCAAATGGAATTGATTGTGAAGAGCTCCAAGAAGCTCACGTTAAAGTGACGCCCAGTATTGAAAGATTTGAGCTTCAACCCTCGTCAACAAGCTTGTTTGTGCGTGGAAAGATCATGGGAAGAACTGAATATGTGATCGAGTTGAGTGAAAATATTCGTGATGTTTACGGCCAGAAATTGCAAGGTAATAGAACCTTTAAATTCAATGTTGGATCTGCCGCTCAGAGCTTAAATGCCTTCCAGACCGGTCTTATTGTTTTGGATCCTACTGTGAACACAAAACCTGTGTATTCAGTATTCTCTGTGAATCTTGCTGCTATTCATGTGCAAGTATATCAAGTGACGCCTTCCAATTATAACAGCAACTTGTTCTATGTCGACAAATATTCAAATTCTGTCAAGACGTTCCCTGGAAAGAAAGTTATGGATTCCATCATTAACACCAACGGAAAACAAGACGAACCAACCGTTACTGAAATTGATTTATCCCTCTATTTGCAATATCCAAAGGAAAATCTTGGACAATTGTTGGTAGTTGTTGAACCTGATAAAAGCTCTTGGAAAGGAGACTGGAGATACAGACCCGTGTATGTTTCATGGAATCAAGTCACTAAGATTGCTCTTGATGGATTCTATGACTCAGCAGATGGTACTATTTATTGCTGGGCAAACTCGTTGAGTGATGGTTCTATTTTGAAAGAGGGTATCACTTTCAGACAGACCAAGGTATCAACCGATGTTAAACCAAGTAGCACTACAGGTGTAGCTACTATTTCACACAAGAGCTATGACGGGGCAGTAACAATGGTTGCAAATCTGGGTAATGATTGTTGTTTTGTGCCAGATTTGTATTTGAGGTGTTATAAGAAAAATGGTTGGTTGGCATACAACATGTTCAATGATAGAGGTCTCTACAAGCCCAATGAGGAGATTTTCATTAAGGGATATGCTCGTGATATTAAGATTGAGCAATATGGTCAACGCTACAAAGTGCATCTTCCAAGCAAGGGCGCTTATACATATGTAGTGACTGATTCTCGAGGTGCCAAGTACCATGAAGGCACTTTAAACATTTCAGAGAGTGGTTCATTTGATTTGAAATTTAAGATTCCAGATAATGTCAACCTTGGTACTCATATATTGACAGTGAACGGTCTCAATATGACCACAACATTTAAAGTTGAAGAATTTAGAACCCCGGAGTTTACAGTCTCTTCGTCCATTCCTCAATTGAGATATGTGGTAAATGGTGTCACTATTTGCAAGACAAAGGCTGAATATTATTCAGGAGGTTCTTTATCCGGATCCAAGTGCCAATATATTGTCAAGCAATCTGAAGCACACTACTCTCCACCTAATTTCTCTGATTATTCCTTTGGTACAACGATTAACAACCCCTTCTATAGTTATTATGGTTACAGCAGCAATGACTTCTTTGCTCCACCACCAGCTAAATTCGAAGGCATCATCGATGGGGAGGGCCAACATGAATTGGCTATTTCTTTTAAGGAAAGCGAGAGGCTCAAAAAGTGTCCAGTTAACATCACTGTCGAGTCTACAGTACAAGATATTAATCGTCAAACCATGTCGAGCACATCATCGTTTTTGGTTCATCCATGTAGATTGTATTGCGGCTTGAAGTTGGAAAAGATGTTCACCAAGCCAAAAGTTCCTGTGAACCTTTGCCTTGTATGTTGCGACATTGAAGGTAATACTGTGGAAAACGTTGACATGGAGCTTGTAGTTAAGACCAAGGTCGAGAAGAAAAAGGGCTACTCTATTGTACAGGAAGACGTTGAAGCTTTGAAAACCACTATCAAATCACAAAAGGAGCCAATCAAGTATCCTGTTAGCTTTGATAAGAGCGGAATTTATGTGTTTAATGTAAGCATCAAGGACCCTGAGACTCACTTGACAAATACTTGCGCTGGATCGCTTTACATTACTGGGGGGTCAAAGAGTAAGAAAGACGTAGTGGGAAGTCGCCTTGTACGACAGAATGTTCTCATGGTTCCTGACAAGACAGAATATCAAGTCAATGAGGAAGCTAAGATTATCATTCAATCTCCATTCGATTCAGTTGCCACTGGACTTGTCACACTTTGCTTGAACTCTGTAACAGAAACTTATCCAATTACCATTGATCCAAACGTTGGATCTCTTGAATTCATAGTTCCTATCAAGAAGGAATACATTCCCAATGTAAAGGTCACTGTTTCATTGCAAGGAAGCGAATCGAGAACAGACTCTCTTGGAAATGTCATTACCTCAATTCCTAACCTACCTGCTTATGCACGAGGTGATTGCCAATTGAACGTTTCACGCCGTCAACACTTGTTAACTGTTGAAGCTGTGCCAGAAAAGCAATTTGTGACTCCTGGAGTCTCAACATTTATTGATGTGATTGTTAGAGATGAAATGACAAAGACCCCTCAACCAAATTCTGAGGTGTGTGTCGTAGCTGTTGATGAAGCAGTGCTAGCATTGACTGGATATCGCATTAGTAATCCGATTTCCTCCTTCATTAATAATAACAGTGTAAGCTTACACGAATTTTCGTTGAGAGATCATTTATTCGTGAAGACCAATTTGGATGAAATTTATGTAGAGGCATCAAGTGATTCTTCTGAATGTGAGGGCGAGGATGAAAATTGTTGTGATGACTATGACAATGATAGTTTTGGTGGATGTATGGAATGTGCTTGCATGTCTTGTAACTCCCGAACAAATTCCATCCAAAAATGTTGCTGTAGGAGCAAAAGCGATGAAAAATGTAAGGAGTGTGAAGAAGAAGGTGGTGAGGCTCCTCGAAAACCCCAAAAACCAACCATAGCTCTTAGAAAGAACTTTAATCCTGTTGCCGTGTTCAGTCCAGTCAGCATGACTGACTCTGAGGGTAGAGCTCGAGTGAATTTCACACTGCCAGACAACTTGACAAGATATCGAGTGACTGCTGTTGCAGTTCAAAGAGAAGACCTGTTTGGTTTGGCAGAGAGTTCTATTGTGGCACAACTACCTCTAGCAATTCGGCCATCTCTTCCACGATTTTTGAATTTTGGTGACCGTGCGGAATTTACATGTGTTTTGCAAAATCAAACAATGGCTAATTTGAGTGTTCATATTGCTATCGCGTATACAGGTTTAGAATTGTTGGACACTTCAAAGAGAGGTTTGAAAGTCCTCATTCCAGCATTGCAGAGAGCAGAAATTAGATTCCCAATGCAAGCCATCCAAGTAGGTGTTGCTAAATTCCAAGTGGGTGTCTCTGTGAGCGACTCTTTCATTAACTTCTCTGATGCAGTTGAGAAGGAGGTTCGAGTTTTCACACCAGCAACTACTGAGGCCTTTGCAGTGTATGGCGAAATGGATGACACTTGCAACGTGTTTCAACCTGTCAAAACGCCAGGAAATGTCTACACACAATTTGGTGGATTGCAAATTACTACAAGTAGTACAGCTCTTGCTTCTCTCACTGATTCATTCCTCTATTTGTACAACTATCCATTTGACTGTACTGAGCAATTGTCAAGTAGAGTGCTGTCCATTGTTGCCTTGAAAGACGTTCTTTATGCTTTTAAAGTCAAGGATATGCCAAGCGAGAGCACATTGCTAAAGAAACTTGAAAACATGTTGTCCATTCTATACGGAAGACAGCATCCAAATGGAGGTTACGGTTGGTGGACTTATTCCAATGGTTGTGAAACGAGTCCATATCTTTCTTGTCACGTTGGTCATGCATTTGCTAGAGCCAAGAAAGCAGGTTTCACATTGAATGAAACATGTGTCTCCAAGCTTGTCAATGTTCTCACAAACATTCACAATTACTTTTATCATTATTATTCAGAAGAGTCTAAGAGGAGTATTCGTGCATATGCCTATTATGTTTTAGGACTTTTAGGCAACTCCAATGCAGCTCAATTAGCTGAAACTTTATACAAGGAATGTGGTGGCGTTGGTGCAATTCCACTAGATTGTTTAGCATGGATTGCCAATACCATCTTCTTGGGAAATCGTTCAAACATCACTTCAACAGTTTCTGAGATTTTGAACTACATGCTCATGAGAGTAAATGAGACTCCACAAACTGCCAACTTTGTGACCAAGTATGGAGATGATGTTACTGCCAAACAAATCATGCTTCACAGCGACAGAAAAGTGGATGGTATTTGCTTGGAGGCACTCATTACCATTGCTCCAAAGAATGATTTGATTGCCAAAGTTGTGAAAGGTTTGTTGGCTCATAAAAAGAAAGGACGATGGGGCAACACTCAAGAAAATGTATTCATCTTACTTGCCCTCAATACGTATTTCCATGTTTTTGAAGGTGTCACTCCACAATTTGTTGTGAAAATGTGGTTGGGAGATGATTTTTGTGGTGAACAACAATTCCATGGACGCAATAAGGATGAAAACATGTTGACCATCCCAATGAAACAATTAGATGAAGATGCATCCAAGACTCTTGTGATCTCCAAAGAAGGACCTGGAAGACTTTACTATCGACTTGCAATGGATTATGCACCAAAGAATTTATTATTACCACCATTGGATTATGGATTCCAAATTCAAAGAACCTATGAAGGTGTCACCAATCCATCTCATGCACAATTCGATAAGGAGCAGAATTGTTGGAAATTCAAAGCTGGAGAAATGATTCGTGTCAAGATTAATTTCACCACCACTTCAAGACGTTATCATGTTGCATTGGTAGACTTTTTACCAGGTGGTTTGGAAGCACTTAATCCTGAATTGAAGGGAGCTCCACAAGCTGCTCAACAACGTACAAGTTCATGTTGGTGGAATTGGCCATGGTATGAACATCAAAACATTAGAGATGAACGTGTGGAAGCATTCTCTAGTTTAGTTTGGGAAGGAAGTCATTCATTCAATTACATTGCACGTGCAACAAGTATTGGAAGCTTTGTCATTCCACCTACAAAGGCAGAAGAAATGTACAGTCCTGAAATATTTGGTCGTTCCTCTACCATGTTTGCACAAGTTTATGAGTAGTAGTAGTAGTAGTAGTATAATATTCGTGACGCCTATTGCTGGCCTATTCCATTTTGTGACATGTTGATAAATTTGATTCATTTCACAATTTCTTGATTTTTATTTAAAAAATTATCATCATCACTCTTGAGACGAAATGTCAATTTCACACACTCTCAATTCTCTGTTTTTTAATACCACCGATAACCACCATATCCACCATAGAAAGGCATGGCTCCATAACCTCCATAGAAAGGCATTGCTCCATATCCACCATACAATGGCATGTAATAATTTGCTCCATAATTAGAACCATAAGCAGAAGGTCCAACATAATTAGCACCATACGAAGCATAAGGTTGATAATTCACTGCACTCACTTGGTTACTATATGCTTGAGTATTCTGAGCATAGGAATTATAATTTCCTCCTTGAACTCCATAATTCTGTCCGGCACCACCTTGATAACCATAAGCTCCATTATAGGCTGAACTTGTTTGAGCATGAACGAGACAGAACGAAGTAGCAAGAACAACGACGACTGTTGCGAGAAGGGTCAATTTGAGGGATTGCATTGGTGTGTTGATTTGATTTGAATTTGTTTTTTTGAGTTGTTGAAAGTGAATGTGTTAAAGGATGACGAAATTTATGGAAATTCAGATGGAAGATCAAATTTGGAAAAATCACAAAAACGATGGGAAGAACGTGGCTTGGAAGCACCCACTGGATGACGAGTTCTGAGGTAGTGGTGTGTGTCTGGTGCAATTTTGAAAAATTAAAACAGAATTGTCGAGTGGATGATGAAAATGGTGTGTGAACTTTTATGGAAAATTGATGAGTGAAGAAGTGTGGAACGAGGAACTGTAGTCAATGAATAAAACCAATTTGTTCGGCGTTTCTTATTTGCTTAATATAATGGCCCTTGCAATACTAACTGAATATTGAAAAATTAATTTTAAAATAATTTTCGAAAATTATTTTAAAATTAATTTAAAAAAATGCAATCATCAGAAAATACTCGTTCGACTTCTTTACGACAACAAACATCGTGGACGCTGCAGGAACATGATCAATTTTTACAAGGCTTGCAACGATATGGAACGGATTGGAATAAAATTCAAAATTTAATTCCGAATCGAGAAAAAGAGGATATTAGAGAATATGCAAAGGAATTTTTCAAAAAGAATAAGAGCGTCATGAATGATGTCATGGAGGATTTTGATGACGATGATGTGGATCGGAACAAGTCATTGACAGATCGGGGATCGTTATTGTCAACACCCGAAGCACTTGCAAGTGCGTTTTTAACCAATCCCGAAAGTGTCAAACAATGGCAAAAAGAAACATTGCAAATGGCAAACAAAGAAAGGACTAATTTATTAGGAATATCGTCAACCACTTCTGAAACGACAAAATTTGACAAGATGACGCTCATCAATACACCATATGGTCAACAATGCGATTTGTTGGATTTGGAAGCTCAAACTCGAGCGTTGGATGAAGAAGTAGAATTAATGAAAAATTGTGAGGAAAACCAGTCACTGTTCGAGGCAGTTTTGAAAAATATCAAGGAGAGAGGAGATTCATGTGAAACGATGGAACATTTACTTGAACACGTTGAGCAAAATTCCGAACCATCCAATAGTATTCACGTTCATGATAATTTAACAATACCTTCGAATAAGCCAAACTTTGGAAATATTTATGCGTTTCTTGGAGCTTTATTCGAACCTGAAAGATATAACGTTGAGGAGCTGGGCGAAATGTTATCTCCTCAAGAAAAGGAAATTTTACAAATACTCATGCACAACTTGGCGATCACTCTGTCAACACAACAATTTCAGGAAGAGTACTCGACCTATGTTCATCAGCTTTCTCAATCCTCATTAGGTACTGCTGTTTCAGGCCTTCCAATCATGACGCAACAACAATACCAAAACTTCACCCAACAATTGACAGCTAGAGAGGAAAATTCAAACACGTCTACTTCTTCACATAGAGTACCTGGATCCAACCAATTACCTGAAGAACAATAATCTGAGTGCCTCAAGTGACAAACCCTGATTCTTTTGGTTTGACCTCATTCCAAACGCTTATTGGTAACTCCAATAGTTACTACCAAGCAATGAACGGAAGTAATGGATGTGATTGGATCACCTTTTTGACTTTTGATCTTTCTGATACCAGGGAGACGTCCAATCTGTTGTATCCTGGTCTTTGAGATGAGTATACTTGGATTGTCGAGCTTTACCCGGATTTTTTCGTTGGTAAAACTTTGGCATGGACTCATAATCAACCATATCTCGTCCCACAGGTTCCATATAAACAGCCTCAGCTTTTTGAGCAATCTCTTCATTATCCATAAAAAAGGCACCCTTATGGTAGTATCGTTGACCAAATCGCATCTTCTTCTTTTCCTCATCCTCTTGTTTTCTTGCATGTTCTTTTAGGGAAGATTGTTCTTCTTTTCTTTGAGCTTCTTTTTGCTCCTCTTCTCGAAGAGATTTCATAATGTTCATTCTATTGAATTCTCTGTCAAGCCATGCCATTAATTCTGCTTCTGGATCTAACGTATCAGAATCGTCAATACTGAGTAATTCTTCGTCAGCTTTGACAACTTTTCGTTTGCTTAACTCCTCATCTTGTAAAACTTTTTCCAACATTTTAACACTTGTTTCTCGTTTTTGTTCTTGTTTCTTTCGTTCAAGCTCTAGTCGTCGATTTTCCTCCTCTTCCAATTGCTCTTCAGTTTTAATAGTACTTCTTTGATTTTTTGAAATGAATACAGGTCTTATATCCTCCTCTTCGCTGCTGGAGCTTTCATCACTGCTACTTGACTCTCTTTTCACTGATGTAAATGCACTTGCTCTATTATTTGCGGAAAAACCTGTTGAAGGAGAAGTTTCGATTTTTTCTTGCTTGACCGCAGGTAATGATCGATTAGCTTCTGCGTTCTCTCTGTTAGGTTCAATGTTTGAGAATTCATTGGGTTTCACTCGTTTTCCTCTTGCAAGAGAATCCAAATCTTCATCCTCACTACTTTCTTGTTGTGGAGGTCGAATAAAGTTTCCTACAGGTTCAATTTGTGTTTGTTTAGAATTTTCAATTTTTATACCTGATGCTCCAGAAAGCAACATGGCATCCAAAGTGTTCAATGTTCCGTTGTTATTACCAATATTTTCTTCCTCCTTTTGCTTTTGAAGGAGTCGAGCCCGAAGTCTTGCTCTGCGATCTTCCATATCGCTGTCATCATTTTCTGAAGAATCAGATTCCTCCGATGATGTACTTTCATACTTTTTTGAGGGTGCCATTAGTTTTTGTTGTAATGATCCTGTTTTTACATTTTGGTTGTTTAAATGATTCATCGCTGCTGATGAAGAGGTTGGTTTGTTTTTCTGCAACACTGATGATGGAATTAATTTCGTTGTTGTACTGTTCACAGTATTATTAGTATTATTATTATTTCTTGCAAAAACTCCACCATACTCATCATCGGAATCCTCTTTCGTGGTGGTGCCCAACGGATGTTGACCTTTTCTCAATCGCTTCATTTTTTTAATTTGCCATTTAAAAGATTTGTGAATTGAAAAACATCAAAAAGCAGAATACTCAAAATACCAACATGTCACATCCTCATATTTCCAATTCTATAACATGGACTTGTGTTTATTCATCCTCGTTCGACTTGCAAGAATTCATCTATTCTTCATGACACTTCCTTATGAACTGGGCATTTTCAAATTGTAGTTTCTTCTCTATGATAATCATAGTTAAGAAAAAAACAAATTATAGTTAAGAAAAAAACAACCTGGTCTAATCATTGGTTCCTTAATTGATACCTGATTATCTGTAAAATCAATTCATGAACCTCCCGTGTCAGACAACCAAAAATTTATAACTATTTTTCGTTTTACAAAAATGATGAACTCGAATCCTCCCGCAACAGACAGCAACTCCTCGGATGAAAACACCCTCCAACATCAGGGTCACCATCCACAGTCCACCACCACACTCGAGTGTCCAGCCAACCAAATTCATACACTCGATCCACAAAATCTAACCAATTCCACCAACTCAACAAAGCAGAAGAAAACAAAGGGAAGCAAAAAACAGATCAACGACATGCTACCAACTGCTCCCGAAAATCAAAATCTTTCATCATCCTCTACATCCACGAATGATAATGACGAACGAAAGGATGATCACCAATCTTCTGAAGATTTTAATCAGTTCCAATTGGATCATCATTTGACATCAGGTAGTAGTAGTGGTAAAACAAGACCTTCATCATCAGATATATCATTATTACCACTTAAAAATGACAACCATGGTGATGATAACAGCCAGTCGGAACATTATACACCCTTGTTTCCTCATCTGGAAAATCCATATTATTGTCGATTGGCTTCGAAATTCTTAATTCTTGAAAAGCATGTCATTCACGAATCAGCAAGTGAAATCAAACAAATTTCACATGAAATTCAACAAGATCCATTGGACATGTGGACCACACAAACAAACTCCGAATTGGAATGTCTTGAAATGTTGGCGTTAGAAATTATTAAATTCAATGCCTTGTTGAAATTGAGAATGGATGTAGCCAAAGAGAGACGTGAAAAGATTGGACCAAGACGATCGTTGCAATATTTACTCGTTTCCCGAACAGACGTGTACTTGATGGATGTTTGTGTGTTACTGTATAATGTATTGCAAAGTCATCGATTTGAAGAAAAATTGCAACACGAGTTATTGGAACATGTTCGAAATGCCATGATTCATGTCTATTTTAACCTCGGAGAATTATGTTACTTTATTTGGGAAGAAACGAAATCCTCGATTTGTTTGAATCGATGTATGACATTGTTAAATGAAAAGAAACAACAAGCGAATGGAATTCTCTCCGATCAAGATCTTGCTCTGTTGCTGGAATGTCTCATTTATGGCATGGTTGACACTTTAAATAATCAAGCAGGAAGTGGTACATCCGATATGGAAACCAAATTTGTAAAACCCATGCAAGAATGCCTTTCAAAATTTTGTCACGTCGAAAATATAGATGAATGGATGAATTCAAAAACGGTTCGATGTGACATGGCAACGATTGCAAAATGCATTTTACATACTCGAGTGAATTGTATGGAATCTTTGGTCAATTACAAGTATGGACATTCGAACGATATGGAAAAATTTGTGATCAAAGCCATTCAATTTGTGAACACTCAATCGACATTTGATCGATCACATCTCGAATTGCAACAATATTTTGATATGGATGAGTTTTATTGTCGACTCGGAGCCATGTGTACTGGAAGAGGTCAATTATTTGACGCCGTCCAGAATTACAACAATTCCTTGAAAATTCGAAGAAGATTTTACATTCGATCTTTGGTCAACAAGTACATTGCTATCAGTAATCAAGCCATGGAGAGCGCTTCCTTACTCACACTTGCAGTGTATTACATTTTACTGTCACAATGGGAATGCTCGAAATTTAAAAAATTGACAGAACAGCATTGGAGCGTGGAACCTTTTTACTTTTTAAAGTCTTCCTTGATTAATCCAGAATTTGAAACGGAAAAAGTATTTGGAGAAGATGTTCAAGATCCATTGAGACTCATTCAAGAACAAGATTTGGAAGAACATTTAGTTCGAAAGTGGTTATGGAATATTGAAAAACTACTCGAACAGAAAAAACAGCATGAACCTACGTTTAAGGAATTGATCGAAAATGAATTGAAATTGATGGACAAGTTGAATGAAATTGCACAAGAAGAGGCTTATTTGAATTTGTTTATTCTCAAAATCATACAATCTCCTCATTATGTGGATGTTGAAATTAAAACTGTCATGGCATGAGGTTTTGATTAGTGGAATATTGTGTGTTCACTGTTCTTCCAATCTGTGTGTGAAAAATTACAAAAAAAAAATGTTTCAAAAGATCATCTCTTCTCCCAAAGTCGTTTCATGTTTGTTACTCGTTGGTGTCAGCACTGCTTCAGCACTCGCCTATCCTTCTTTCCGATCGTATTGCAATGGTCCCATGGTCGATCGTTCTCTCATGGATCGAACCAATCTCCAAAAACGTGTCATTGTCATCACAGGTGTGGCTCCTGGCGGAATTGGCTATGAAACTGCACGATGTCTCTATGAAAAGAATGGAACGGTGGTGTTGGCGGTTCGAGATGTGAAGAAGGGAGAAGAAACGAAACAACAAATTATTTCCAATGTCAAGAATCGTGAAAGCGATGAAAAGAATCGTGAAGGAGAGATTTGTGTCATGAAAATGGATTTAAATGATTTACAGAGTGTTTCAGATTTTGCTCACGAATTTCATCACAAATTTTCGAAATGTGACATGCTCATTAATAACGCTGGAATTTCCAATGTTCCTCATGCTCTCTCGAAACAACATGTGGAACAACAATTTGCTGTGAATCATTTGGGACACTTTTTATTGACTTTATTGTTGTTGGATAAATTGAAAGAGTCGAAGGGAAGAGTCGTCGTGGTTGCGTCGCGGGCTCATGAAAGTTACAAGCCATCTTCGTTCAAGGTTGAAGACGTATTGAATAATACAGGGTCTAACACTCATCCACACGTGTTATATAGAAGATCGAAATTTGCCAATGTCTTGTTCACAAAAAAGTTGGATCGATTGTTGAAAGAAGATGCTGCTGAGCTGAAGAATGGTGTCAACGATCTTCAACAAGACAGATGTGTGGCAGTTTGTTTACATCCTGGACTCATTGCTTCTCATATTGGACGTTACAGCACGTTGATGAATGTCATGTTATTGGTGTTGGGAACCTTGTTTGGAAAAACGCCCGTATATGGAGCACAGACCACATTGTATTGTGCTTTGGAAGATCAACAGAAATTACGTGGAGGAGCATATTATGCAGATTGTAAAGAAAAACCTTGTAATCCAGCTGCAGATTCTATTCAATTACAAGACGAATTGTGGAATACGAGTTTGAAATTGGTTGAAAGTTATTTGAACAAATAATGAGATGGAAGATCTAAATGTTCAATGTCTATCATTTAATTAATATTCATTATGAATTGTGTGAATATTATGATTTGATCCGAAATGAAAATTATGTAATATTGAATATATATTGATACCAACATTCAAAGATACAAAACTTTTTACACATAATTTTCAACCTTAAGTTTAGGTTTTTCATTCTTTAATTATTAAATCCAATGACCACATCACATAATGGATGATCCTCTCTCTTAAGAATGGTGTACAGCTGATGACCATGGAGTGCATTTGAAACTCCAAAAAATGTGAAATAGTCACCAGCATCTACGCAAGTAATGATTGATTTAGAGCATGTCATTAATCCGTACTGTTCCAATTTCAATTCCACTATTTCAGTGTACGCTTCGTCAGTTCCCAATCTTGTAAAAAATTTCAACCAAGATCAAGAAACCAGTCTGAATGCACACGTAATTTAAATACTTACTGACCATATGTATTGTCCGATCCGTTTGGGTTGATCACTGGAAAAGGACGAGCAATATTTCTACACTTGGACACTTCTCCCAAAGCGAGTTGTCCTTTAGAATTGTGTCCCATTGAAAACAAGGAACGATTTACATCTAATCTGGTATTCAATTGATAAAAATTTCTCAACTCCTCTTCCGACATGTTGTTCTGAGAGTGTTTGTAATTAATCGAGTTGCCCATTTTTTTTTGTTTATTTAAATTAAATTATCCTTTTTTTGGAAAACCATGAAAGTACAAGTTAACACTCATAAAGATTGCTTGAAACATCTTTTATTGAGGAAAAATTCTAAAACTTGAATTATTGCTTGACAATACCATTTCCTACATTGCAATAATACGAGCTCAATACACTCGCATTATTTTGATAACATGCTTGTTCTACCAACTGCAAGAGATTTCTTGTCACTCGATCATGATTATTTTCTGCCAAATAGTCCCTCACTTCGGTCACCTCTGAAAATTGTAATGATCCATTCGCATGGTTCTTTTCAAAGAGTCTTGTAAACATTTCACCATATTTTTCAAATTTGGAATTTTCTTTTTGTTGTTCGAGTTCATAGAACCATTCATCTCCATGAATGACATTCTTCTTAATGAGCTCATAAACCGTTGAAATACTAGAAGAGTCTTGTTGATTGGAGGTTGTGTTTTCACAATATCGATCAATAGGTCTACACACATAAGAATCCTTATTGGCACGGAATGAAACATTATCAATCACTACGGAACAACCTCTTTCTTGACCTATTAGCGACATGGTTTTAGCTCGATTCACGACATTTCCAACCGTGACGAAATGTCTCATTTGAGTGGTACCAACATTTCCTTGTAAGGCATCTCCACTGGCAAGACCTATATGGACACTAATGGAACTTTGTTGAGTTTTAGCAAGTTGATCATTGAGACTGGATAATTGTGTCAATAATTTCAAGCAAGTTTCTAAGGCAGTCACTGTACAATTCTTATCGGAAAATACTACTTGATATTCATTGTAGAATTTGATTTGTAAATCTCCTCTCACGGTTTTGCAGGTAGTCGAAATTCCAGAAATCAATTTTGAAATCATTCCTTGAAAGATTTCAACGTCCTCCGATGAGATTCTACCCTCTGCCATGGCACCAAAATTCACAAGAATGTGAACCACACAACATGGTTTCAATGACAAACCCAATTTGAAAAGATTGACATCGACTTGAGGTTTGTTGTCATGAGGTCGTTTAAAACTCAAGTTCGATTCAGCCCCTTTCAAACTCGATTCCCTTTCTGAGGGAACTTCTTTTTTAGAGTACATACTTTCTTGAGGAGAGGTGACCTTTTCAGTTCTAGCATTTGTTGGAACCTCTTTGGTAGGTTCTTCTTCTGAAAATTGCTCTGAAGAACTTGCTTGTAATTGATTGAGAACATAATCAGGTAAGAAAGCTCTAAATTCTGACAACCATTGAACAGTTTCAGTCAAACTCAAATAAATTCTTCTCGATTCTGTAAAGACGGAACTTCGAGGTTTGATATTCATCAAATCCAAGACTTCAATCTTTTTAAAATCTTGTTGCAATTTCACAAATGGATTGGTAATGATCCATCCCAATACAATACTCATTACCACTCCACACAAACCAACTCCCAATGAAACTCCCAAGATCACATAACTACTTGTAATAATACCCTTCTTAATTTCAGCTTCATCAAAAACGAGAGTCATTCTCCATTGTAAATTACTCAAAATATAGGGAGAACTTGATACAATGTAGCGTTGACCTTGTTCTTCAATGGTTGTAATAATTGGAGTGGTGGCATTCGATGCCTGTAATAACTTTTTAAAAACTGCACCTGCATTTCGGGTGGTGACATTGGTAGCCACAACTCGAACAAATTCCAATTCTGGAATGTTTAAGGAAGATCCAAGAATATAGTCCGAGGCATATTCTGAGAGAATAATGTAACCCTTTTCCAATACTTTGAGAGTTTGTAAAAACTGAGCAATGGCTGCCAACGTGAGATTGATCTTTGCCACTCCTGCAAAGGTTTTGTTTGAATTTGACATGGTACTTGTTCGATTATAGACATAACTACTGAAATAGAAAGTTTGAGGACCACCTGCTGGTAATTTTGAAACACTTCCAAAGAAACCATTGGGATATAGATTTAGATAGGCCTTTGATTCCCTATAAAAGAGGGTTTTTCCAACAGCATAGGGAACTTTTAAGTTGAACGTTGGATTAATGACACCTGTGACGTTATCGACTGGAAATTTCAATAAGAAGGAATCTTGTTGTCGTTTTCTCACATAATACAAGGAATTATCAGTCTCACGTCCATATCCATACAAGTGATCATTTCCTTGCTCTGCAAAACACAATGTAATGATACTCAAATTATAAGTATTGATTTTGGCAAACATGTAATTGGTAATGTTATCATTGGCATCAATGTAATTGTAATTGTAATCATCAGCCAATTCTTTCGCAAGAGACATCATGGGTTTCAATTCACCATTAATGAAATACTCAACTTTTTGGTTCATGTTGGAAATGAGAACATTCAAAGATTCGAGTGCTGTTTGTTCATTCACTAAATAAGCAGCGAGCCAAATAGAAAGAGCTGTAAACACCACGAGAAGAGTAATAACGACAATCAAGAAGAGACGAACTGAGAGAAGGGTGCTCAATACCAGAGGACGATCTTTTTTCGATTTGTTCTGAGAGGAGGGTAAGAGTGAGGACGAGGACAAGACAGATTCTAAGGGTTGATCATGTTGATGATGATGATCATCTTCGTCATGATCTTGGGGATGAACTTTTTGTTTTCCCATGTTGTTGAAAGTGTAGAGTGGTGTAATTCAACAACAACAACTGTAGTAATAGTAGGAGGTCAATGTCGAGATCAACAACAATGAACAGTAAGGATTCTTTTGCAACTCACTCTTGAACAGAAACCGGGTGTTTTTTTAGAGATGTTGATTCTATTCACGAGTATGTTCTCGGACGGGAACGCATTCAGGAGTTTTCACTATTGGCCATCTCTACGTAGAGATGAAATGCAGTATGGAAGTAGTAAAATCGTAAATTTGAAGGAGATTTCAGGCATACCATCTCTCTCTCGCTTTGTCTCTGAAGTGAGGTTTCTGACACTCAAGTTGATGGGCAATGAGGTTGCTGAACACACAACTCGACCAGTTGACGGGAAGTTGTCTGGAGACAAGAATATTTCGTCCCGCTATTGATATATCTCAAACCAGAGTTCATGGCATCATTGTAGTTTTAATGAAAAGAGAGATGGATGATAATAGGTATGAATGTTTCTTCCAACCATGTGTGTCAATAAAAGATTGTCTCCGGTCAATGGCTTTCAATTCACAATTGTTGGCAGTCATTTGAAATTATTTCAACATCCTGAAACATACAACTTGTAGAGTTGTTGTGGTCATCTCGATGTTGAGAATGAATCAACGCAAGTGTTTGGAGACGTTTCTTGAAATATTGTAAACTTGCCTTAAATTCTCTCTTTCGATAACACATGAAATGTCCATAACCAAAACTCACGGAATTGAATTCGAAAGGTTCAAGTGGAATTTTCCTTCCCGTGATATGATACTCACCAGTAGAAGGATGAAACATTTCAAAAGGTTCTACACGTACTAAATCGGTCCATTGGCAATCATTTTGCTTGTTGTTAATATTGTTCCTTACGGATGGAGTGGTAAAAGTATTCGTATGAGTATTCGTATTCGATTGAGAAGGTCCTGTATATTCTAAAATGAATTCCAATGCTGATGAATTGTAATCGAGTGGCATGCTCTTATTGAGATGTTTGACCACCTCTCCAAACACATACAGTGAAGATGAATATTTGGAAAGAAATCCAGTGGAATTGGCAGAACAATAGAGACTCTCGGGGAGGATCGATTGGTTTTGACAATGATCCTTTAAATTCAATTTGGTGAATAATAGAGAGTTTGAGGTAACATTCGAATTTCCAATATTGTTGTTGACAAGTCCTGTGACTTGTCCCGATCGATTGTCTCCACATAGATAAATTTCATGATTTTCTAACAGGACAGCTGTGTGAAACATGCCACACTTCACGTCCTTCACTTTTGAAAGAGTTTCAAAAGGCGTTTCCACATAGCAAAACGAAGTGATGCATTTGACTCCATTTTGGACGTTGAATTTGTTGTCACCCCGAACGAACATCTTGTTCGATTCTGTGAATATAATGTCAGATTTTCCAGATGTAGCAGCTAATACAATTGGACCATCGATTTCACTACTCTGAGCAGATGGCATTTGAAAGAATAAACTATCAATATTCATCAATTCATTGTCCTCTGCAAGAACATTTTGAGTTGAAATGGAAATTCATGCAAAGACATTAAAAAACCTACCAAACACCACCAACACGTGATTACTCGAAGAAGAGGTCACAAAAAGTTTGACGTTCTTTTCAAATTTCCACATGGTACTATCATGTTCATTACTTGCCAAAAAGACAGAGTCTCCCAAATCAACAAAAACTGCATAGCAAGAAGCATAAATGTTTTTGATCGCCAACATTCGATAATCTCCAACAAGGTCCTTCATTTCGGGATGGAAGGTGAGAAAACGCTTGGCAGCTTCTCTCCAATTCCATTCTCTGCAATTGAGGATGAGTTCTTCATGAATGTTGTCATCAAAGATTGTATCTTTTGACTTTCCGATGGTGAACACCTTGTCATCGCTTGCCCAAATGAACGAATTCTTAGAGGAAGATACAACATGCAAAATGTCTAAACGGCTCAAAGGAGGTAATTGAGTGACATGCCATTTGCTGAATTGTTCATCAATATCTGATTCGGGTACGGTATCGTTCATTGTTGTCAAAGTGACCTTTTCCAATAGTACAATAGACTTACCCATTGAAGAAGGAGATTGGCTTAGAAAAACAATGGATTGTTGTCCTTGTTGTGGAGACATTTTTTCAATGAAAACTCCGAATGTTTGCACAAGTTCCAAGTTCCTTGAAGATGAATTTCAAGTGAGGTCAATTTGCGGGTTTAATGGTTCATCACTCATGCAGTGGTTGTTGATGCTTGGTCTGATGAAGATGTCATGACAGTACTTGTGCTGTCTTTTTCAATTACCTTGTTGTCATCGTTGTTGTTACTTGCCGATGATGTCACTCCATCCTCTTCGTCGTGATATGAATACTCCTTACAAAAAGCAATGGCTTTTTCTACAGCTTCTCTTTGGGTTGGATTTTCAATGTGAATTCCCCAAAACAATTGGTGACACCGATTGCACATGGAATAATGATCATTGTCATCATACGTATTTTGTTCCAATAAATGTTTTACAGATTCCTTATTTTCAATTTTTCTGAGTGTTCCACTGCATGATGCACAACGAGTGAATAGCTTTTCAGGAATATATTTGATTTTGAATTGATTCACCACTTCTGAAATTTGATTATATCTTCCTTTGGTTTGTAAAAGGTAATAATCATAATGATAACTCAACAGGGAATCTGTTAAGTCCATTTCATATTGTTCAATTCGGGTCTGCAATTTTTCACGTGTATCTTTCCACTTGTCATAGGTGAGACAATTCTTGTCAACAACAATTGAGACAGAATTTCCATTTTGAACTTGTTGTTCTTCCTGGTCAATTAATGTTTGCAATCGCTTTTTCAATTCTTCGAGTCGTTCTCTCTTTTTTGCAAGATTGTTTCTAATTTGATGAATTTTTTTCTGCATTTTCAAACTGAAGGTTAGAATCATTCTTTTCTGAGTTCTTGCCAGATAGAGAATGTAATTTTGGCTGTAATTGTTGTCATGCAAAGTGTCGACTCCAAGCATTCTCAAGTGTTTGGCCACTCCTATAATCAGTTATGAATCAAAGTTGAAGAAGGACCATCATCATAAATAATCCACAATTTAGTTTTTGAAAATCAATATTATTAAAAATTAATTCTTCGTGGTTTTGACGTACCTGGAATGGTAGTGTCACAAACAAATCTTAATTCACCATTTTGTGGTTGCTCCTCTTCTTCTCCATCACACTGATGATCATAATTTTCGTCATGATGGTTGTATTTCTCGGCATTTTCATTAAACTCCAACTCGTCCGAATCTTCTTCATTCAAATGTTCCATAATTTCTCTCATTTCTAAATCATCATCTATATTTTCCTCCATACTCTCCGAAGTCTGATGATGAAAGAATTCATCTTTACGAGACGATGAAGATAAGGCTTGATCACTCTTATTGTCGATCATATTTTTGAACAATGGTGTTATTTTTTTGTTTGTTCTGATCAACAATTGCTATTGGAACTTTTATTTGGGAATTGCACCCGAACATCAATGCCTCTAATAATAACATTATCAAATTTCGGAAATGAGGAAAAGAACACGTTGCTTCCTTCAGTCAGTAGAAATCTATCACCTTTTCCTCGGCGGAACAAGAATGAATTCTTGGAAATGCAAACTTTCATTTTCTTTCCAAGTTTCGGAGTTGATTCACTCCACAACTCCACAACGATTTTTAGTTTTTTGAAAATTAAATGAATTAAAAAATGAGCCAACAACAACGCCTCACTTCCCAACACGCCATTCAATCATACTACAGTACAGAGGCTTCACCGTACGACCCTACTCAATTTCAAAATGATGATGCCAATCTTACGGAAATGACTCAGGAAGAGACTAAATCTAAGCAATCAAAAGTGAAGGAATCTATCTTGTTGTACGTGGCTACGGTGGTCATGGTGTTGGCAAGAAGCGTTGATTTTGTCTTGTATGTGAGAATGACGAAAAAGATGAGAAATTATGAGTATGTGTTGTTCTTGTGTTCATGTTGTTCGAGCCCGAGATGATGATGATGATTTTTATTCATTTTCGGATGTGATGAAAAATATCTTTGTGTGTGAAATATCCCACTATGAATTATTGTCATCTTTGAATAACCATTCATCATCATTCACAATGTCCTCAACCAATGTTACGGACATGTACAGATACATGTTGGCCGATGTTTTTCTGAGTTTAGGTTTTTGTTTTGTTTCATGGCCTGTCACTGTAAGTTTACTTGCAATAATTGCCTTCCAGTACACGAAACATGGCATTCTGTACACACAATTGGTCCTCATTTCTTTCTAATGGTTGCAAAATAACTTTCGAATGACATGACCACCTCCTCATGACCCAAATACTGTTTGCCAAACAATTATTGTAGTGGTTCAAAATGTTCAGAGGAACCATCACTAAGGAAATGCGTGCATTCCCATCTTACAAATTCATTGTCATGGGTATTATGGACAGTTTAAACGTTTTAATTTCCACCATTCCTTCTGCTCTTGTGAGTGGACCTGTCAACGTACGTACATGAAATGATTTTTATGAATTACCGAAAACTGTTGAACATTGTATCACTGCTTTTGAAAATTTTCTCATCCCAATTATTTAGGTCTTGATGAGTCAAAGTGTCGTTTTCATTAACATGGTAGCCAGTTTTGTCTTTTTACATTTCCGTTACAATGTCTATCACATTGGAGGAGTTATTCTCGTCATGATTGGTATTACTATTGACATTTTCCCATTGTTTGCCAATACCTCAGGAGGAGACGATCCAAATGCTTGGTTGTGGATTTTGCTCTTGTTTGTGAGCAACATTCCTGCTGCTGCATCAAATGGTAAGTTGTAGATATTCTCAGCCACATATTTAATGGACATTCACAAATTTTTTGTGCAATCCTTCCTTGACATGTTCCTTAATATTTGTTCCTTCTTCTCACATACACAATTCCAAAATAATTTTTCACAGTCTATAAGGAAAAGTATTTGAAAGAGGCCAACTTGGACGTTTTCTATTTGAACTCTTGGGTTGCTCTTTATCAATTTATTTTTGGTCTCATGTCCGTCTTTACTGTTTTCATCCCTCTTCCTGATAGTCCATATGTTGACCCAGCCAATCTCTATGAATACATGTGGAGTGGTATTAAGTGCTTCTTTGGATTTAACTCGGTGCTCTCTGATCAATGCGACTTTTTCTGGCTCGTATTCATGGTATTCATTTGCTTTAACATGACCTATAACATTTTATTATTGGTTGTTTTCAAGAGAGGCAGTTCCACTCTTGCGGTAGTTGCATCAGTGGCTCGTTTGGCTCTTTCGAACTTTGGATTTTTAATCAAATTCTTAGCTGGTGAAGCTTATCTTGAAGCATTGAGTCCATTCGATATTATTGCCTTGGTCATTTTGATTTTGGGTATTATTATTTATTCACTTACAAGTGAAAAGATTGCTGACAAGCATGACCCAATTAGAAAGGTCTATGCCAAGATCTTCTCCATCTTCCCTCGTTTCAACAGAAAGAAGGACCAACGAGACTACAACGACGAGGAGAATCTTTATCATGACCAATAATTGTGCGTCAAGAGTGTAGTAGATCAACTACCAAAACGCTTTTCTTGCATGCACCCTCAAGAGTATGCAAGGTCACAACCAGAAAGTTCCAAACCCTTAATTTATGTTGTTCAATAAAACATTTTATTCATTCAAGGAAGAAGGAACATTAACGTTTGGAGCTGATCAAAACAAGAACACGATTTCGATCGATTGGTTGTTCAACCATAACTTTCCTTTTTGAATGCTCAAGAATCCTGTGTCTTTAAAAAAATAGTTCACAACACACAAGATGACCTTGCATATCACGCGTGATATCACTTGCTGCGTTTCTCTTTTTTCCTTGTGTCTCATCTTTTTCATCACATCATCGTGCAACAAATACTCTGTTCACGCTTTACAAACACAATTCTTCAAGACAGCCCCATCTCCAAAACAAGGCGATTTATTTGGACTCTATTCCAAACAAAAAGTCTTACAGCTCTTCAAATTGGATCCATTACCTGCTCCAGTAGGTCCTCCAGTGTCACCCTATCCATTTGAAACTGGTACTCAATTAGCAAGTATTGATACACGAAATGAATTGTTTTATGTATTAGCTTTAAATCGAACCAATCATGCCGTGGATTTAATTGGAATTAGTTTGAGAAGTGGTCAAATGATTCGAAAAGTCACTCTCGATGGTCTGTTTTCGAATTTTGGTTATGCTCAAACCATGAGTGTGGATCCCAATACTGGTGATGTGTTTATTGTTTCTCCATTGAGTTCTCTAGAATATGCTCTTTCCTTGTTAAAAGTTTCATTTCAAGGAAATCAGTCGAATGTCACTCTGTTGAACAACAATATTTATGCTCAAGTAGGCATTTATTGTTGTTCATTGTCTGCTTTCGAGTCTAAAACTCTTATTGTTTCACTTCATGTTCCATTCTCGGGTGATTATTTATTTTCATTTGATCGTTTGACAGGAAAGCTTCTGAATAGAGTTCTCAATTCAAGACAACTTCAAACATTGGCCTATGATTCAAAAACTGGCATGATTGTTGGAATGGGATACAATGAAAAGTATAAACGTGCAATGATATATTTGGACAGCAATACATTGGAGGTGAAAAAGACCATTGATATCGAAGGAGAGTATCGAGATTTACTTTCTGGAGGAAGTATTGATGTTGTGAATAGAAAATGGTATGGTTTCATGTCCAAACAGGGAACTACACCACCTCGTTTCGATTTGGTGACCATTGATATGGATACTGGAAACGTTGTGAATGCGATCAATCTCGAACAGAGACCAGAAAGTTTGCTTGTTTTCAATGAATAAGAGAGAATGACTCAATAACAATGTGCCTTATTGATTTTTAATTCTTCTTTTCTTCAGACGGATTTTTTAAACGAAAAATGCAAACAAATCAAATTTGAAAAATAAAAAAATGAGAATTGGCAACAAGGTCGTCAACGACAAAATCATCAAGAGTATTGTTGAAAGATTGGACGCGGATCAATGCGACAATGAATTTGTTGCTTTGGATGGCTGTTTGAAGGCCAGACATCCCGACACTTGCATCGGGTTGTTCACTAAGTTTATGATTTGTATGAACAGAGCAACAGACTATTTCAAGAAGAATGAATACACAGCCTTCGGAGCTGAATTTGGAAAATTCTCTGCTCGTCATAGATAATTTAATCATCATATAGTAATTTTCTAGTAGTTACCACGAGTAATAAAGAATTATTTCGTGATGGATAAATTGGATACTAATTACAAAATAATTATTGTTTTGACAATAATTTTCTACGAGGAATCTTTCAAAGAATTGGAAACATCCCAAGACCTGAACAACCATTAACAGAACAAGGAAAAATAACCACAGAATTTCGCATCATAATCAATTTGCATTGACCCAAAGGATGAAGGAATCACAGAGGAATGTCCAAAATCAACTTTATTGCCTCATGCTGGATTTGAGTAGCTCATTTTCTTTTTGCAGCTGCAATATTTGTTGTTTGAGCATTTGATTTTCTTCACGTAATTGTTCCAAGTCTGATGGTGAATCGGTTTGTACATGGTGGACAATGTTCTCTCGTGGTGTTTGCATCTTGTTCATGGCAGACGACAACTGCTTCTCCATGGCATCAAATTCATCCAACTGTGTTCGAAGTTTGAATGATCTGGGTGAACTGCTAGAGGATGATCCTTGAGGTTGTTCTAAATTGTCACTTTCTGTCATGCTTAATCTTTCCAAATCCAAGGTCGTCAAGGATGAAGCAACCATCGCTGATTTATCACTCATCATGTTGAAACCAGTGTTGGTGGCCATCAAACTGTTTTGGTCCAAGTATTTGCTGTAAAGTCTAAAATCAAGTTTGTTCGAGCCAGTATCTCCAAAGTACATTGCATCATTGAATGTCTTTTCAATTTCGTCCATTTTGATCACATTTTCCATACTTTCATCAAATGCAGAAATATTGGGAAGTTTAGAGGTTTCATTGAGAGAGTGAGCACTGAGTAACGTCAGTATTTCATCGGCACTGGCCGGTAACTCGTTGATTTTGTCAAACAATTGAGGTGGAAGAAACTTGCCAAAGGCTCTGAAAAAGTTTTTCCTATTCTTAATTTCTTCCTCTCTCAGGTCTGAAAGAATCTCTGAAGCTTTTACAACTTCAGAATCAAATTTTCTGATGTAGGCCTTTCTTCTCATAATCTCTAAAAGGGACATGTAATAGGCTCCAGGTAGATATTTAGGTATAGATACATGATGAAATTTCGTCATAATATTCTTTAGAATGCTAACAAATGTTTGCATTTTCTTATTCAGCTTTAAGATGTTGTACTGAATGGTTGAAATTACTTTCAACTTGTCCAATTGATATTTGGTCAAAATTATTTTCGACTGTGCAATCTTCTCACAGGTCGATTTTAATGTGTTCTCATGTTCTCTCAATTGATTCAAATAATTTTGGTGAGTATCTACAAGCTGTACAATAACGGTCACATCCTTATTTTGACTGTCAGATTTAGAAGCCATCTGTAAGAGGGATTGAAAATTACGATTAATATTATTTACAAGTTCTCTTTGAGTATTTACAATGTTTTCCGACTCTGTGCATAATTTGGACAACATTGAAAAACTGTCATGGTCGTTTGATGTCATTCATAAATGAAAAATGTTGTGGATGCATAATTCATTCGTTTTAGGACTTCTTGAATAAATTACAATACTTACTTGACTGGTGGAACAACGAGCAGTAATTGAGTATCTACATCTCTGTCAATTTGCTGCGAGAGGGACAAGGTAAAAATAACCTTTTCTTTGAAACTGTTCAGTTCCTGTAAACACTTATTTCCCCAAAGTTTAATTTGTTGAATAGGTATACAGTCCTGAAGCGTCTTTCTATTTTGAGTTTGTAGTGCTGGATGAAGTTCAACAGTTCCCAGCTGTAGAAAACAATACAGAGTAATGCATATTTGTATTCGGTAATAGGTGATTAAGGAAGCTCAATCAATTGACATACCTTTTCAATATCTTCATCCAGAGTTTGCAACAAGTCTACATATTTCGATTCAATTTTGTCAAATCTAATCCAAAATATGTCTTATGGTAAATACCTTGTACAAACCCGTCGTGGACTTACCTTTCTTTGAACTTTTTTAAGGATGCAGAGCTACTTTTCGTGTGGCCATCAAGGTTGAGAAGTGCTACGCTTATTGAATCGTTTTGAGCTCGCATCTGTTCAAGTTTGGTTATACAGTAGCGTACTCTGTTGTCGCTTGATTTAAGAATATTCTAACGTTCATACATGATGTGTTTGTTCGTTCCATGTTGTTAATATTTACAAATTTTGTGGAGTATTGGTATAAATGGACAATGCAAGTATTATCATCATTGGCGTTGCCATTGGATTCATCATCACAAAATTAAAAATTAATTTTACATATATTTCATAACCATCACTCCACCTACCTCTGCCAACATTAATTGAGTATAAAACTGTTGAACATATCTGTACAGCTCATTATTCTTGATCTTCTTTTGTATATCATCAGGGAGATTAAAAACAGTAACTTCTCTTGATTCTAACAGTGCATATTCATCGGAAACAATTTTTAGTAAGGATTGAGATTTGGTCTTGGAAGAAAAGGACATTCTATCAAATAAATAGATCTGTTCGTCTTCATCTTCAATATCGCTCATATGTTGTTCATTGTCTACTTTGGCTCCTTTTGAATCCAACAAAATTTGGTTTTCCATAGCAATGCCTGCTGCTTTCTCCAAAAATTGTTTTAATTGATGTATCGTGTGTAAAGATGAAAGGGAAGGAGATGAAGGTACTGGTGTGTGTTGATGGTGGTTGCTAATATTACTATTGCTCGTTAAAGAAGATTCGGAGGTGGCAGTTGGTGTTGTTGCTGATGATGATGGTGATGGAGTTGTAGTGTGCAAATTCTGTAATTGACTCGTGTCCAGCAGAAGAGTTCCTTCTTCTGCAAGGAATACTTTCATTTTGTGTGATGGTTGTTGTTGATTCTGTTGTTTACGTGTTTGATGATGTGTTGCTGATTTTGTTTACGGACGTATGAGGATGGAAAAAATTGAAAAGGCAAGAGTGGTGTGTTGTGTAATTATTTTGAGAGGTGCTGCTAAATTGATTGTGTTATTGCCATACAACTGTTTCTTGAGAAGCGTGTTGTTGTGAAGGCATATAAATAGAGTCGGTTGAAAAAGTCTCGGGAGCAAGAGTTTGGCTTCAACCGTGTTGAAGTAAGGCTTTTCTCTTTATGAAGATAACCGTTGGTTATTTTTCGAGCGCGTTTCCTGAAGGATTTGAAACAAAATTCAATTCGTTTGATACGGCACTAAAATCAATGAATGGCGCACTGAGAACAACCACACCCACAAATACTTGTTGAGAAACGCCACCACTGGTTGCAATGGAATGAAAGGCAATGTGGTTGGTTTGCCTCTTTTTTTTGTTGAATCTTTGAATTTCCCAAAAGCCGGGATTTTGACAACAAAAACTCCCCGATGAGGAGGGGTCGTTGGGGTCAAAGTGTTATACTTGAAACGAATTGAAAGACAATGAATCAATTGTTCAATTACTTCGCACGTATTGATCCATCAACATGAATTGTTGGATGCGACATTAAAAAGATCAAGAGGTTGCTGGATTTCTTGTAATAGTAAGGACGTCACATTTCACAACGTATATTAGAAGAACATCTTTAAAGGAAGGAAAGCCTTTTGGTCAACGAAAAGAAACAAAATACCTTAACATTGATGATCAAAGTTAAACCAAATGGTGTCACTCTTCATTTCCTACAAGAAGTTGATAAAGCAAAATTTAGCGCGGTAACATTTACAAAAAAAATACAAGAGCAAATCTTCCCACAGCTCGCTTGTATTCACTCCGAAAATTGATCAACCAACATGCTGAATCCAAATGATAGTGAGGATGTACGACCATTGTCATCCTCTATTTTTTCTCCCTCCAAGATGAGTATGAGAAAACCAAAAGCAAAAATTAGCACTCTGCTCAGGCCAGGAACAGCTCCAAGTTCGTTCTATCATCAAATATTGCATCAGCCGGGAGCAGAAAATGGGGATGCCATGAGAAATAGAGGAACTTTCCTTGCTCCACAAGATGAAAATTGTAGGTGTATTATTGTGATCGTGAAGCGCTCAAAAATAATATCGCATGTCATGTTGCATTCCCTCGTTGAAATTAGTAATTGAAATTAATTCCGATTTACCATTGGCCATGCTTATTTATTTTCATACATTTTATTCCATGACATGGCTCATTGTCACTGTTGTGTTGCACATTTTCAAACAAAAAAACTATTCCATTACGTCGACCAATACGATTATATTTTCCGTTGTCATTGTGGTGTGGACAGTGATTGAGTTCCCTAGATTGCTCATTGGATACTCTGGAAATTTGAAAGAAAAAGTCCCTCGAGTGTTTGCGTTCATGATTCTTTCTACCATTCAACCCTTACTTTATATTTACTTTTTTATCTATCAACCAAAAGTCATACCTTTGGATTACATTATTTGTGCCATTCAAGTTATTTTCTATGCTTTGGAATATATTTTTGGAATTATTGCAATGCGAAATTTCACAAGAGTGAGCGGCATACGATACAAACTCTATTTCAATAAGGACGGAACTTTGGCGATGGATGATTCTGGAGAAGAGGATGAAGAAAATAACAAGAACCATGTAGAGCCATTTACAACGACCACAGGTGATGAATTGACAACATTTGCAAGCGACAATAACACCATTATTGAGCATGACTCGTAGCGGCGCTTAGTAGTGAATGGAATGAGCAAAAAATCGATGACAGATGCTACGAAATACCGTTACGAACAACAGGCCCAGTTGTATGACCAATTTCAACAAGAATATTAAATGTCTCAAATGATACAATAAAATAATATTATTTAAATTTTGTACACTTGTCACCAAATGTCATTATTGCTGTTGTTGTGACCTATCCTTCTTTTGTTTCTTACTTTCTTCTTCAAGTTTCTTTTGCTTTTCAATATCATCAACGTAGGTTCCAACCTCCTCGTCAGTCAAAAAGCGAAGAGGTTCTTTATACTTTAAAACAGCAACCTCAATATTTTTGCCTCCACTTTCAACGACTTCTAACAGAGCCTTGATAGCAAGCTTAACAGCCCTAGCTTCATCATCAGCAGGACCTTCAGTTCCCAAAATGTCATTATCATAATTCTTTTCAAGGAATTCTTTTACAGTTTTTGAGTTTCTTCCACAAGTATTGGCCTTCCAAGACGAGAAGGTTCCCGATGGGTCAGTTTGAGAAAGTGTTGGTGTTCCATTTGGTTCAAATCCAGCAACAATTGTACTAATACCGAATGGACGAACACCTCCGCTTTGAGTGTATTTCTGTTGAACTTGAGCAATGTATCGGGTAATGTAGTCAATTGAAACTTGATCTTCAAATTGTAAAGCATAACTTTGAGCATGCAATCTAGCCTTGTTGATCAAAACACGAGCGTCTGCTGTTAATCCGGCAAATGCCAAAGCACAATGATCATCTATTTTCACAATCTTTCGTACGGAACGAGTTTCTTGTAATTTTGCAGCTGCCTTTCTTTCAACAGCTAAAACAATAACATTATTTCCTTTCACTCCCACTGCTGTACTTCCCTTTCTCACAGCTTCCATAGCATATTCGACTTGGAAGAGATGGCCATTTGGCGAGAAGACTGTGATGGCTCTGTCGTAGCGGGACATGATGATGATCGAGAATTATTTTTTTAAGATTTAAAAATTCGAAAAAAAGTGCTATTTTTAATTGCTCATTCCCGAGAAAGCTCTGGATCACCAACAATTAAGGTACATGCAATTGCTTCTTGTTTTTTTATTTCAACGTGTTGAAAACCACTTCACAAAGTAGTCACAATATGTATAATCTCTGGTTCCAAACAATGAATTAAACGATGAGCTTTAAACGTACTCCAACTTTTCAACTCCATTTCATACAATCCAAAATCCACCTTTCCCATATAATGTCGGTAAATATGTTGGGACGTGCTTATTCCATTTCCTAAATTTGCTTCATTATTGGGGTCATTACTCCATGACCTAATAATGGTGTGTTTAAAGATGTAATTATTGTAGGAATCCTTAGCACCAGAAACAAAATAGGTAGAAAAAAACACTCGTTTCACATTACTTCCCTTCGCTTGTCCAGTTCTTTTGCCATGTTTTGTCATTTTGTCACACTTGTTGTACAATGTACTCGCTCTATACATGTCATTGATGGATTTGAAATGTTTGAAGTGTTCATCATCTTCGAATTTATGATAATAGTACTTGTCCAAATTCATTAAGAAACAACTCTTGTTATCGACTCTACCCATCATGTAATACGCATTTTGAGGTCGTTGTGTTCCATCCTCGAATTCCCAGTATTCAGTTTCATTGGTTGTTTTCGTGCTACTTTTTTTTGACAAGTGACGACTCTTTAAACAACTTTTAAGTGATTCTGGCATGTTCCTTTTCACTTGAATATACACATGTTTTCTATCATGATCCACATCCACAATCGAAACCAAAGAATTGAGAATTTCATAAGGACTGGTGGGCAATTGTTTGATATCCTCGATGAAATCCTTGTAAAATGCTTGAACACGAATCGTGATGGTATCCAATCGTTTTCCAGATGATATCGAACATGACTGACTCGATTCACAAGTGAAACAAATGGCAAGTTGTGTTCGATCAGGGTTGCAATGTTCAGCCAAGAAAAAATCCTCTCGGGATGGCAATGTTCTTTGCATGGCAAAATTTTGAAAATTCGCCACATGATCCGAGTTCAAAAACTCATATTCAACCCGAGTTTTAATCCCGAAGGATTCCAGTATTGCTATGAACTCACATGGTGGTTGGCTGAGAGAAGAAGACGTGGCTGAGTTCTGTTTCTTTCGAGTCATTTGTGTATTGGTGAGTGAGAAGATCAATTTTTTTTTCAAATTCAGAAATGATATTTTGTTGCTTGGAGTTCTTTTTCTCGACAGATGATCTTATGATGTAGTCCTTCCTTAATGCAATATCATCGTTTCAAGGTAACAAAAACATTTCTCACGTTTCCTCTCTACGGTTTTACGGTTTGAGGAGTACTGGTACATCCAAGTTGCCATCATGATCCAACACTCGTTCATGTAACACCTCCATCACGTTAGGCGTTGCTCTCTCTCGTTTTCACGCCCTTCTAATTATAATAAACGGCCTTCTTTAATTTCCTTTCAAAGCTTCCAACAAAGAAAAATATAACAACAGCCGTTTAGCCAACAATATCTCTCTCATCACGAAAACATGCCTACTCTTATTGTAACTGTTGTGAATGGTAGTAACTTGACCGCAAAGGACATTACTGGTACCTCGGATCCCTATGTCATTGTACGTATGGGTGGTACTAGACATAGAACTCAAACGAGGTAAGTTCAAATCGTGATGGTTGGATCCAGAAACATATTTGTTTGTATCATGATTCAAAATTCCTATATACCACGCTTGGTTTTTAACTGGAAATTCTTTCAAAATAATATTCTTGATCATGATGATGATGATGAAATAATTCGTGATTGGAAAAATTTTGCCTCTCTCATGACTGACGCCTTGATGATAATGCGACTCGTGAACACACACTCCGCACCTCATTCTTCTTGCATTTGTGATGATTTAAACTCACCATCTTCAGACGTGGAACTAATAATCCTTTCTGGGGTGAACAATTCACCTTGATGGTTATGGATCCAATGAAAGATTCGGTCACTTTTGATGTGTATGATAAAGACTTGATTACCAAGGATGACTTACTCGGATCTGCTATGGTGCAACTCAATTCTCTCAGAAGAGGAGTTCCAGAACGAATGAATTTGAACTTGATGGGTGCCAAACAAGGAACTCTTACTGTTGGTATGTAGACAAGATTTAAAATTTTAAGAAAGTGACATGCTTTGAAATTTGGTGTAATGTGTCAATTTTTTTGGCATTTTCACTCATTCATTTTCATCAAATAGAATTATTGGCTCAAGATTTTGGTTTAGTAGGACAACCCATGATGACTCAACCAATGATGACCCAACCAGTAATGAGTCAACCAATGATGGTTCAACAACCAATGATGCAAACCTATGGTGTGACTGGCTATACACCAACCATGACTACATCATACCCTTCTTATGGTGTTCCAATGCAACCTATGCAGCCAGTGATGCAACCCATGCAGCCAATGCAACCAATGCAACCAATGCAACCCATGCAACAATCTACAACATACACTACAACAACTTATCAAACAGGAGTTCCTCCACCACAAGGATATCCACCTTATGGCCAACCAGGTTATCCTCCATATGGCGGTGGTGGCTTCTATTAATTGAAAGAGTTTTCCCGTTTTATGTATTTGGCTTGTGTTCAACATGTGACACGAATTGTTATTTATTCATCTCCTTACATAAATTTACAATTTTTTGTACTCTAAACATTTCAACAAAGCATTTCGAAACTTGAAACATATTTTTATGTGCTACAACCTTTCAACAATTAACTTCCTTGCGAGATGACACCATTTACAGAACTTTGTACGTCTCGAAATGAGTGTAAAATTCAACTACCACAGTTTCAATGTTATTATTTGTTGTTATTTAACATCATAATTTACAACATTAATCATCTTGATCGTCTGACTTGTCATCAGAAATAATTCTAAAAACAAAGTTTCTGATAATTTCTGCAAAACCCAATGGATTGTTCCTTGCATACCAAATTCCGCCCTTCACCTCCTTGGTCAAGACACCATCGAGAGACAGCATGCTCTCAGGATACACATAGTAAGGATGATCGCTTGAAGAAATGACAAGAATTTTCTCTTCTTTTAACAAATCTTCGAAATCTACCTTCATGTTCGTTGGGAAGGAAAAGGTAATATTTTCTCCGACTGATCCCTTAAAATTGCTCGACAAATATTGTTTGATGATCGTAAAATGTCCAGATTCACTCCATTCACTCTTTGCAAAATTAGCAAGTTCAGTTTCATTCTTTCCATAGTATATAGAAGCCCACTGATTCAAAGCTGTAGAGGTTAACAGAGGTTTAAATAATTGTTGTTGTTTGGAGTTGTATTTCAATAGATCTGTAAATATTTTAGGATGTGGGCTATTCAATAAAACAACTCCTTCCAAATGATCATCAATCCATTCCTTTCCCTTTTCTTGTAACATTAAATAAATAAGTGTTCCTGAAAATTCTTGACCAATCAAAATGATGGACTCTTCAGGTTGTTGTTTTTCCACAATGGTTACCAACTCTTTTACCATATTTGTGAATAACGTGGTCTGATTAGAAACACCATGACCACCATTTGTATTCGTAGCCTGACGGGTATTTCCAAAACCTCTCAAATTGACACAATTAATTTTAAAATCAGCCATTAATTCATTAATAGCTGGAACAAAAGCTCCCAAACAACTCTCTGGGAATGGATTAATAAATAACAAGGTAGGTTTTGTATTTCCCAATACATCCTTTTCCAAATGCATTTGACCTTTCAGTGGTTTTCCAAGTGCTGATTTTTTTTTATCACTATTCGATAAATAATTCAATAACATTCTTCTTCTTGTTCCGACCGAGAATATTTCAACCATCAAGTTTGTAGCTCCACTCGGATCAGAAGCAGCAGAAGAAATAGACATCAACGAACTCGCATATTTTGAATCATAGGAATCCTTGAACGAGGCTTGTATGGAAAATATCAGTACCACCACGATCATGATGGCAATCATCAAACAAGCGAATCCGAATACAAGACATCCGATATATCGTTTGGTAATTAGAGATTTTGAAGAGGATGCCTCTAAATTTGCTGGAGAACGATCATGATGAGCATGATCTAATCGACCTGGTTCGTGAGGGTCATGCTGTGGAGTTTCTTCTTGGTCGTGATCCAATTCTTCATAGGCTTTTCTTCTTGAATTGGACATTTTTTTGGACGATGCTGCCAAAAAGAAGTTGCAAACGATTCAATATCCTGTTCAAATAACTGTCTTCTAATTTAGAAACAGAATATATAATATATAATTTTTAAGTGTTGGGTTGTTATTGTAAAACTGCATCTCAATAATCTCTTGCTTTCAGTTACTCGTTCATGAAACAGGTCTTTGCAGCAAAAGAGAATTGCTTGTTATCTCTCATGATATGCTTCAACAGACCCAAACGCGGACAAACAGCATCAAATGTCACTTGCCAATTAGCATTTCAAAAAAAAACAGCTTTTTCACTGTTGCGCCATTGCATTTCAGTGCACTGTTGATACTACACTTGTCATAGAGATTATCTGTTGAATCTTTGTGATCATCACACAATTTTTGTAAACTCACTCTCAACCACCATGGGTATCACACAAAACAAACTTCTCACTGTCGTCAAAGATCTCTCCCTCGAGAAATTACAATCTGGTCTCTCCTCTGAAGAAGCTGAAAAGTTATGGAACGAGGCTGACACCAACAAGGATGGAATTTTGAGTGAGAGTGAAGCCAAAGAACTTCTCAAAGATTTGAATTCCTCAGTGATGAACAAGATTAAACTATCCTTGCAAAAATTAGAAGAATATTTGCAATCGGATGAACTTTTGAAAGAATGGATGAGTGATTGTGATGAAAATAAGGATGGAAAAATTACAAAGGAAGAATTTATGAAGGTTCTTACAACAGGACATGCCATTGACAAGATTCCAAAGATTTTGTTGGAAGGTGTTCATGATATTGAAGAACAAGATAAGAAGAGAAAATTGAGTCAACGTTTGAGTGAGGATAAGGCTGCTGATGAGGAAGATGAGGACCAAAATGGAAACGTTGCTGAAGAGGATGAGCCCAATACGAAGAAGGTCAAAACTGTCTCTGAAGAAAATATGGAATCATTCATGTAACATGTTTAGCTCTAGAGATTGGTGGTTGTTATGAATGATCTAAGTGTCATCTCGATGTAAATATGCTAGTGACTTTCTAGATGAAAACAATAATAAATGCTAATTTGTTTTCAAAAGGAATTTCTGTGAATAAGAACGGAGAACGATTGAAATTAAATCAATCACCTTTTATTTCTATAATCATGGTGAGAAAATCATGAAAAATCCTTGATTTATAGTCCACAACAATTTTACTTGCTCAAATAAGTGACCAAGTCACCATAGGACATGGTAACAGGCAGCGTCTTATCCTCGGCAAGCTTTTTCAAGAATGTTCTATGGAAATCAGTGAAAAGTACCTTCTTCAACTTGTCACTATTTGGTTGGCCAGTGATATTGGTGTTGGCAATTCGAATTGGCATTTCTGTTTTAAGTTGAATTCTAAATAATTCACACAAATCAAAAACTTTGGCAAGAAGTGGATCGTCACCAAATGGTAATTCATCATTTTGATCGGCTTGCAAGGTGAATCTATTGTAGTTCAATTCGTAGACCAAATCAAAGAATTTCTCTCTGTCTGTATCCCATTGCTTTCTTCCAAGCCACAAATAAATCGCCACGCCATCACACAGTAAATAACATCCATCTTCTGGATTGATAAGTTTTCTAGAGAGAGGGAATAATTTCAAAACCTTTGGCTTGTCGGTATCAGTATCAGCACTTTCATCAGCAAGTAGATCAGTAACCGAGATCAACAAAGGATGTGACATCAATATCGATTGTTGAACAGTGCACGAAGTGAGATACAAAGATGATGCTGTTCTATTGTCTGCTCTCACCTCCTTTCCTCCTAATAACATGTTAGTTTTGCTGAGTCCACACACGAAAAGAGGTAAATATTGGAGGGAAACAGGTAAAGTCAATCCCATGCCAATTCCTACATTGGCAACGCTCTTGTAACTGTTCACAGCTGATTTGAGCCACTTATCAACGAGAGTAGATCTTGAATTGGTGACTCCTTCCTTTGCCAAGTCGGCAGCTAAAATTTTACCCATCAAGTTAATCATACCTGTTGGTTGAGTGCTGTTATAAAGAACAGACAATGAGTTAGTAATTGGCAAGAGGAGATTGCAAACACGAATCTTTCTTTGGCCTTGTTCTGAGGTGTAGAGAACAGCAACCTGAACGCTAACATTTGGAGTGGAAAGCATGGCACCAGTATGCACCATTTGGAATCCGAAAGTCTGAGTTCCAGAAATGTTTGGTAATGCCATTAAATCATGTCCTCTAATGAAGAAATTACCAAAGAAGTTCACAATTTTCATGCCACTGCTCACTCTAATTCTCATGACGCTTTCAAAACCAGTCAATTCATCAATAAGACATTGTTTCAAATCTGCAGATAATTGGTGACTTAGTTGATCTGGATATTCATATAATTTGCAAGAACCACCAGTGTATTTGGAGAGACTTGAAAGTGTTGCAATATCCAAGAACGAGTTGGTAGATTCAGGAATTGCATAACAATACAAGTCACAACAAATTTGATCCTTATTGAAAAGGAGAGCAAAATCTCTATAACTGTTATCCACTGGTTGCAAAAGTTTAGCTTCGGTCTTATCGTTTCCATAGTCGTTCAAATTCTCACGATTGGTGAGCTTATTTGGTCCAATGGTTGGCAATTGAGAAAGGAAAATGGAAACCTTTCCACCAAATCTTCCAATTAATCTACCGGCAGCATTGAGAGCAGATCCTAAACAGCATTCGACACTGGTAGATCCTCTAAACATGACTTCAAGCTTATCTAACAAAATTTCAACCAAATTGTAACTCTCTTCCAAATTAACGAGTAAATCGTTTGGCAATGGGAGAAGTGATTCGTTCAATTCACCAACAACTAATTGTTGTGGTTGAGTGAGGGTTGATCTCAAATTGAAAAAGTGAATCTTGCTATCAAAACAAACAATTCCAATCATGGTTCTTGGTGATTGATCCTTTAAGCCTTTCAAACAATTCTTAATAGCCTTGACAGATGCTTGGAACAAACCTCCATTAATGCTGTTGAAACTTGAATCTATTAAGAATAAATATGCAGGTGGTTGTGGAGGACGAGACATGTATTCTTGAGGAGCCAAATATTCGTAGACACCATTTGTGAGTTCAGGTCTTTCGAAAAAGTCCTGTCTTACTCCGTTCATATCTGTTGGGCTGTAATATCTTTTTGGAACTTCATTAATTTGCTTGCAAACGTTACATTGCCACTTATTTCCAAATTCAATGAACTGAACAAAAGGATTAATGTAGGTTCTACAATTGTTACAACGAATAATCAAGTTTCCTCCGATGGTTGGTACTTCCTTGAGATGGAAAGGCTTCAAAACACAACCAAAAGGCAATCCATATCGGTTCAAAAGCTCCAAACTTTGTGGAACTGCATTACATGACATTTTCATTGAATTTTCATCACTCTGAAGTGATTTGAATACTTCTGTTGCTGGTTTAGTATCATTCACATAGATACTTTTATAGAGATTGTAATGAGCTTGATAGAGAGGAGAAACATCGGGCTGACCTGAGACGTGGGCAGTCAATAACTCTCCAGCTTCCTTTGGTTGTGGCATATTATTTGGCATAATGTTCACGTAAGGAGCATTTTGTTGTGGATTCAAAGTGAGGGTGCCCATATGAGAAATTACATCTTGCACACTGTAGTTTTGTCCTTGTTCAAAAGCAGTCTCTGCGTGTTGTACTGGAGGAATTGCTGAAACACCACCACCTACTGTTGAAGTCATTGGAGGAGGAACACCACTTGTGCTTGGAGGGTGAGTACCGTGCTGGCTCAGAGCACCATGAAGAGCCTCACCTCCAAATTTAAGCTCGGTTGGAGGAGGTCCCACGTGGGTCTTGGATCCCGAAATACCAGATTGAAGGGCTGGATTGTAAAATTGTGAAGATGTTGTTGGTGGAGTGATAGGATTTGTTTGATAGCTTGGTGTGCCATAATTTCCGTATCCACCAGTAGGCATGGTAGGATCATAAAATCCGGTGGTGGTTGGTGTTTGTTGGCTTGTTGTAGTTGGATTGTAAAATCCTCCTCCTCCAGTTGTAGGAGATGATTGAACCATAGATGGATTATAGAATCCTCCAACTTGTGGTTGATTCATCATCATATTTTGGTGTTGATGAGGAGAAGGAGGAGATTGAATATTTTGCTGCAGATTTTGTTGCGGTGATTGCTGTTGATGAAGGAGGGGATTGTAAAATTGTTGTGGATTCATTTTTTGTGGTGCTTTTTTGTTGTTACGTGGCTTTTGTGATGCCACACACGTGGTACATAAGTATTTCATTGGTCATTGGCGTTTATGCTACCTGTCCCAATGACAATGCCAAATCAATTTTTTGAATTACCCCTTGTTTATTGAGAGGTCGAAGTCTTGGTGTGTAACAATGAATTCTTAAAGATTTCATAACTCGTGTACACAATACCACCAGCAATTCCTTCACGTAGCAAATTGGAATAATTCAAATAATGAGAACTCGAGCGATAGGTCGAGTAATTGCAACACAAATGAGTGCCGACGGAAACCACAGCTGCAGTAAGGAAATGTCCTAACAAGAGAGTACCTTCTCGTGTCGTCGTTTCAGTCTCTCCTCCAGTCACAACACCCACTTGTTGTTGCACCTGACTGGTCACACTATCTTTCAGCAAATGAAAAAGAGCATAGGTTAAAGTACTTCTTCCAATCAGTCTCAATGAAAGCATGATTGGAATATGATCTCCACACAAGTAAGCCAAAAGTCTTTCGGAAGCACCACTCACGCATCCAGCTAGAATGGGGATAAACATTCTCGGAGAGGCTTGAAATGATGATTCTGGTTGAAATAAAACATGAGAAATTAATTCTCGACTGGACCACAACACTCCTCCATATATGGCCACTTTTGAAGTCGTGATCAACTCCTTTTTGATTTCTTGCTTGTGTCGATCGGACGAGATCAATGGTGCAGTTTTGGTGGATGGTAAATGTTGTTCGTCAGTGCTACGAATGGAAGAATTCCATAATTTGCGAAATGCATAGGTTAATAAAGATGACGATGCTCCTGCTACAAAGCTGATCAATAGAGGATTGTTGATCCATTCGTTGTTCAACGCAGAAGAAGGAGACATTTTTTGTTTTCATGAAAATCTTTTTTGGAAATATCTCGATTTGCGTATGTCTTGTTGCTAGGAGCCATCACGCAGTAACAATTAAATGACAAAAAATCGCAAATTCTTCATAAAAAAAAAAGTCTTGACGACCGTTTTATTGTTTGAGCAAGGTTCCTCTCTTAGTACGATCTTTTAATCATTTGCAGTCCGAGCAAGAATTTTGTTTCATAAAATTCTTTGTTGTTGTTTGAGTGAAAGGAAGTTTGATCTGTGACCTGTAGCAAACTTGATGAGTTTTGGTTTTTGAATGTATTAATATCAATCGTTTGATTGGGATTTGTTTTGCAAAGCAAAATTTTCTTCCAAACTTCCAGATGAGTGAGATTGTTGCTTCTGTTTTAATGTGAGTCTATACTCTGTACTTCTGACTTGCCAAAACATTGCTTGACTCACGTCCTTCCTTTGTTAAATAAAAGGCCTTTTTGCATTTCTCATATCTCGAACAAAACAATTACAAATGTCTTCCTTGACAGTTTTGTTGTGGAGGGACTCATTTTTTGTCATATTCCTCTTGATGGTGGAAGAAATTACAGTCAAACACGTCCACACTAAAAAAGGCGCCAGTGGAAGCATATCATTTTCACCGCCTGCATTTGTTCACCAAGTCTCACCAATTAATACCAAACTGTAAACTGTGAATCCTATTGAATAATTCACTCGCTTTCTCTCTGTTCGGCCGGACTCAGCCGTATTGTGCTGGCAAATATGAAGGATCTACGCTTGAATTTGGCTGAGACAAATAATTTTAAAAAAATCAATAAAATATTTTTAAAGAAAGTCCCAAAGATTTGGACATACGGGTGTTGAGTATTATTTTTTCATTATTGATCAAGATTGACCATTGGAATTATCTGACGAAGGTGTGATAGTGAATATTCAAAGGAACAATACGTAATGCAATAGAGAAATGAAGAAAAAAATTTAACAGGTGAATTTGAAAGATCTTGTTGAACCCGCTCTGAAGGCAACCTCTTGATCCAACCAACCACAAACTCTTAACCAAAAAATGAGCTCATTCGAGGAACCAATAGTTGGTTATTCATCTTCGGATATTGATAGCGAAAATCATTCAGAAAATATATTTCAGAAATTACCTGATGAACTTATTGGAGTGATTTTTGAGTATTTGACTTCTGTTGAATTGATTTTTTCAGTTGCAAAAGTTTGTAAATATTGGAGCAACGAAGTTGTTTTTCCGATCATGAAAGAACAATATAAAACATTTATTGCCGAGATTTATCATCACAACAAGGAAGAGGAGAATGAATTTAAAATTTTGTCAATGATAGACTTTTATTCCAAACGTCAAGGCCAGAGATTTGTGAAACACATGCTTCGAAAATGTGTGTTTAATTATGCCGCTCAATTACAAAAACATATTCATCACGTAAATAATGATGACAGAGTTGTTGAATGTAATCCTTCATGGTTGGACAATGATCTCTCTATTTTGAAACATTATTTTTTACATTTCAGTGATGTGAGAGAAGGAACGCTGTTCAAGCCATTCAACTCCAACAATTCCAATGTTACAACCCAAACCACCAACACTAGTGGAGGCGGAATTTTCAAAGGAGTTTTGGATTATATGGCGTCGTTATTTGGAGGTAATAAGAGCAACAGCACTGTCTCATCAAATTCCACTTCTAACACAACTACCAACAAACAGTCCAATGAAAAGATAGTGTTTCGATAATGTAAACAACAAGAGTTTGGAATTAATTGGAGGAAAACTAATGGGTTTGTAACTCGCCAAACATCCATCCTTTGAAAAGGATTGGTGTTTGAGGGATTTTCTGCATAATTTGTCATTAGACTTTATTGAGCAGAGTCCCGAGCATTTGAAAAGGGGTGTAGAAGGTAAAAAACTCCAAAAACCGCTCAGCGGAAAAAAAGGAGAAAACCAGAGAATCGCAAGGAAGTAAGGAGGAAGTGATGAAGAAGAGATGGATTGTGATCAGCTCATATTATCATAAATAAACCAGGTGTCAAAGGTGGTGACAATGTCACATTAATGTAAAATTAATAATAAAATAAATTAAGGTTATAACAATAAATATTCAACTACTTGTCGAAAAGATTCGAACAAGGCAGTCCCGCACTGTCATAATGTCCTTCCTTACCACAAGAACATTAAGGATCAGCGAAAAAGGAACTTGAAAAGCTTAAGAAAGCATGATAAGGGTGGGAGTGCGATGGGTGGGAAGTCACTAAGCAAAGCAATGAGAGACGAAGCTCGAGTATGCAGAAAATTTTTTGAGCATAAAAATTTTTGAGAATGCTCAACCAAACTCATTTATTGTTTACAATCGAAACATTCCTGCCCTTCACTACGTTCAGAACAAATCATACCAAAATCAAAGACAGACATGCAAGAATACGATTATCTGTTCAAGGCATTGCTGGAAGGTATGTTTTTCAGGTATTGGTGATATCTAAACTTGCAAATTTAGGAAATTATGGAGCAGGGAAAACCTCCTTTTTGAGAGCGTCTTTGCTTGACATTCCACCAACCTCATCGCAAGCTTTTACCACTATTGGAATTGATTTTGGGTTGCGCATGTTTGTTTTGGGAGATTCTTGCAAAGTCAAACTTCAAATGTGGGATCAGTTTGGGCCTGGACGATTTCGATCTATCACAGCATCTTATTATAGAGGTGCCAGTGTCATATATTGCCTCATTGATTTGACAGACCAGAATCAGTGGTTGGAATCAAAAATTCGTTGCATATGTGAACATGCACCAGATGGAGCAGGTAAGCATCTTTTTTCACCCATATTCCTTTTATTGTAATAATTTAAATGACTCACAGAGATTATTGTTATTGGAACTAAAGCTGATCTGCATGACAAGAGGAAAATGTTGAGGAGAGATTTAGAAAAGCTCGCATTCGAAACATTCAAAGGTTCACTGTATTTAGAAATAACGAATATGAAAATTGAGGAACCACAAACTGTCGTGCTGTACTCGGTGTTGTTTCGATATCTTTTGAGCGCAAACAAGATGACCAGTGAAAAAAAATGATGAATTTGAGAGAAATTGGAACGTTATTGACCTCAGGTATCACATGTAATCACACACTGTTCCACAGTACAATAGTAGTATTACAAAATAGGTCTCAAATTCATCTTCAGCCCAGCTGTTCGCTTGTGATAATGACGTAACCGTGTCCACTGTTATAATCTTCTCTTGCTTGTTGGTTCGTTCCAGAGTTGTAAGAAACGGCACCATTGGTTGGAAATACCGCATCGCATAGATTTTGAGTCACAACACTTCCACCAACATAACCACCACCTCCTCCTCCCTCGTGTAAGGCGCTTCCCCCTCCTCTAAATCCACCGTCTGCCCCATAGTGAAAGTGTGAATGAGTACCTCCTTTACCCCCTTTCAGAAAAGAACATCCTCCTTGTGTATTGAACTGCCCATTCTTTCCCGAGCAGGTAAATCCACCACCACCTCCTCCTCGATCACTCTGGGAAGGTTTCTCAACACTGTAGTTCTCATTTGTCATAGGACCTCTTCCTCCAGGACCGTTAGTTTTCCAATTGCCATAATTGCATCCATTTCCTCCAGAAGCAACAAGTAAGGGAGTGTTGGTTGGTGATTGAACGACAAAGGTACCTCCTATATATGTGTATATATATTGGACCGAAAAGTTAGGACATTGCTCTGTTTAAAAACAATGTACACTGTGCCAATACAAACTTACCTCCGCCACCACCTGCTCCTCCATACACAGAACCTTTTGCATCTCCTCCTTTTTGTCCCACCAATATTGATAATATTGTTTCTTTAGTGAGATGGAATACACCTCTCACTTCTGCACCGTAGCCAGCACGAATCGAAGTTTTGTATGGATTGGAACCCCCTGCTGCTCCAGCAGCTGTTATTACAAAGTCTCCATCAAATGGTACTTTCCACTGCTGAATACCATCTCGGTGCGTCACCTTACCATGAAGAAATAGTTGGTCTGAGTAATGTGTCCCAATATTTGTAGGTCCTGTGGCTCCTTCTGCTCCTAAATTTGAAAATGTGACACTAAAATTATGGGCCTTGACGTTTCCAATGGATGATAGTTTCTTTTGCAATTCCTGTAAACCTTCCTCTAATCCTTCCACTTGCACTTGATGAAGCTTTTCAAAATGTCCTGAATAGTTGTTTTTCAATTTGTTGAACTGTCTTTCAACTTGAACAAATTTGGTTGTTTTTGCTTCTAGCAGTGCAAAAGATCCAAGGGATTCCATGTCTTCAAAGGTTCTTTTCAGGTCTGCTTGAGCTTCTTTTAACCCTAATATGCTTCGTAGTGCATCAGTTCCTTCCTGACACAATTCATTGATTCGTTCTTCCAATTCCTGACCTCGTTGATCAATCATTCTCTTTGCATTATCACAGAATGACTTTACTTGCTCCCTTGATGCTTTTTCTTTCTTTTCAATTTCGAAAAGTTCATAGTTCAATATCACTTCGTCACACGAGTGTTCTTGAACCCATTGAGAAATATTCTTAGCCAATAATGTCACTTGTTGTTTGAGACACCATCTCTCCTGTTCTACAACCTCTTCAATCAATTCACATGAATGTCCTTTGTGAGCTTGACTCAGTCCACACGACGAGCAGATTAACGCTTCACAAGTCCGACAATAAGTATTAGCAGGTATAAGGTGGTAAGGACATACATGAGAGAGGTTTTCGACACAAGCTCCGTACATTGAAGTCAAATCATGTTGAGGATAGCGTTCCAGATGCTTTTTTCCATGAAAGTCACAAAAAGAGTTTTGACAACTGCTGCATTGTTGAGTGGCAAGTTCGTGATCACCCAATTGCGAGCAAACGGAACAAACGATTTCACAGCGCATTTTTTTAATTTTGACAGTTGTTCCAAGTGCATCATTAGCTTGTTTAAAGTCAATAAGGAAGGTTACAGTAAGCCATTGTAAAAGGTAGTGCCATAAATGCTTTCATGAATCCGTCTGAGGTGTTTCATCAACGGAATATTGTTTGTGGCATTTACCAAAGAAAAGGGCAAACAAAACTTGGCTATCAAAGCAATGTTTGTGCAAAATTTTCATCCCAGTTTGGTTGAATGAGATCTGAGTGATGAATAGTACCAGGTATCGGAATCAGTGATCCTCTATGGTTTGAGAATTAAGGTTGATATCTTCTAGCATCAACACATTCGGGTATGTAAAGTTAGAGCATTTTCAACTCGAAAAAATGAATTTAAGCGAAACGACATCACAGTTTGAGAATTTCTTTTTTATAAAAGGACAACGATATAGAGTGAAAACGATCATTTCTCAACACGATGATGGAAAGAAGATGATACTCTCTCAAGAAATTGAACCTATTGATGTTTCTACTTTCGATAACAATGATGGATCGAAAAAGAGAAAAAGAAATCATCATCTAAATGATCGGAATGATGATAAATTAGTTAAACTTTATCATGAGCCCAATTTTGTGCCAATGGAGCAACAATTAGTAGGTCAAAAGGTTGGTTGGCATTAAATTTTGATCCATAATCATCATATTTATGAAAATGTTTTAAATGATCAAATTGAAAACATCCACAATAACAAGGAATTAATATGGGAAATTATTCAATTTTTAGAGGTACCATTTGTAGTTCTTGTGATGAGAAGCGTTTGTTCGACTTGGAACGTTTGGATTTCAAATGATTTCAACTTGAATTGGAAGAACAAATTTCATGAGCTATTATTTGAAAATACTAACCTGCAAGACATCTCTTCCACACTCTCTAAGAAATTTCTCATTCCACTCTGTATTATATCCAATGTGAAAGAGAAAGACAAGATTTTTAAGAAAAGAGAATTAACAAGCTATGAAACATCGGGATACAAATTCAGCAGCAATTATCATGACAAGCTCAGGAAAAGAATGAGCCCTTTTTTATTTGTCACACAATGCAAAAAAGGTAGTAAGGACGAGGTTTCTGTATTTAAGGGAACCGTTTTTGCCGCAAATGTAAAAGGAGATGGATCAATATTTGAATTTAATCTTCGAAGTTCAAGAGTAGCATACATCCAAGATCGGCTGGAAATCATTGTTAGAGAGGTAGGAGCTTGTGGGATGACTCAATTCACAGAGCTTTGTTCGTCTCACTGTTTTCTCGAAACACGTGAACGTGAGTGTAACATTCAACTAGAAAAATTGAAAACCATTCTTGATCGATTAGGAATATCAGAAACAAGTATGAACAGCGATAATGATGAGGAGAAAGTCAACAAAACAAAGACAAACAACAGCATTGATTGGTTATTTTTCTTGACAATGGATCAATTCGTTCACAGAAAATCAGGATTAGGAGCAAAGAACATCAAGCTCGGTCGATTTTTTTTTAATTCCAAATAATTTTATGCTGAAAAGACAAGTTGTCAGACCAATGTGTAAGGCACACCTCACTCCACTTTATTCCACATTTCATTATCATCCACAACCAGGTTTTCTACGTTCATTGATGATCAGCTAGAATCATATCCGCTGCTTTCTCAGCAATTGCAGCCACTGGTGCATTGGTATTACCTCTCACGACGCTAGGCATAATACTGGCATCGACCACTCTCAATCTCTTCACACCACGAACCCGTAGACGAGAATCCACCACTGCTTGTGGATCATCACTTCGTCCCATCTTACAGGTCGATGTGGGATGATATAATGTAGTGAACATGCTCGTAATACACTCCTTCACTTGTTCTGGTGTTGTGAATTCATCAGGATTACAGAAAATATAACTCTCAATCATTTGGCTCAAAGGCTCAGTCTTGAATGCTTTTTGTAATTCACGAACACCCTCAACCAGCACGTTGACATCATGTTCATGACCTAAATAATTTCCATGAATGAGTGGAGGAACCTTAATATCTTTGGAGATGACTTGAACATGACCACGAGCTTTTGGTTTCAATCCAACAATTCCCACACTCACACCATTCTCTCCAGGATAATCAATGGAGGCATGATGGACAAAGAATCCAGGAACTGCCACAACTTGTAAATCAAAAGGTTCATTATTTTGTTTGGCATAACTCGAACGTAAATATCCTTGAATATGAGGAGCAGCCACTGTGAACAATCGCCAACTCTCAGGTGCTGCATATGGGAAGAGTTGTTGAGCCCATTCGGATTTTAAAAATTCAAATGAAGATCCTGCAAAGTATTGCAGTAAATTGAGAATACTTTCAAACGAGTGAAGAGATTTGAAACCTTTTTTGAGTTTGGCAATGACAGCAGCAAGATTGTGATCTTGCAAGTTTTGACCCACTCCTGGAACATGACTCACGACTGGAATGTCTAATTGTTTCAAGAGATCCTTGTCAGCAATTCCAGAAACAGTCAGTAACTAGTAGGGTAGATTCAGTCATTATGACGATGAATATATGATTCGATTCATCCATTCCGTTACGTAACGAGTGAAAACAAAAAAAACTTACCTGAGGGGATCCAATAGCTCCAGCACTCACAATGACTTCCTTTCTCGCACTCACACGCACTTCCTCACCTGTCATTTCATCCAAATATTCAACTCCATGGGCGACCATTTCATTCTCAAGTCTCTGGAATAATATCTTTTTCACCAAACTATTCGTTCTCACATGAACATTTCCTCTCGACAAGGTTTCTTCATCTAAATAGGCCTCAGCCATAGAATGTCTTCTTCCATGTTCATCCACTGTATGATGATGAAAAGAGATGCTTTCTAAAATTTTATGACCTTCTCCCTTTTTTAATAATTCTTCTTCTTCAGGAGTGAGTGCATTAGGATCTTCTCGTTCAGGAATATTCATGGATTTACTCAATGTTTCAATCACGGCATGTGTTAAATTGAATCCCAATGTTTGACGAGCTGCATCCAATATGGGTTTCACAGGTTTTACTTTTAATCGACCCTCTCTTCCATGATAATTCATGTTTGCATTTTCATTGAGAATTCTTTCATTCTTTTTGAAATAGTGCAACATGTCACGATAGGACCAATCCGTTGAGGAATTGTTCTCTCTCACTAATTCATTCCATTCGTCATAATCCAATGGATGTCCACGAATATAGAGATTGGCATTCACACTCGAACAACCTCCAACAACACGTCCTCGAGGCATGTAAATGGTTCGATTTCTGAGTTGAGCATTGGGAGTAGTTTCAAAACCCCAATCGAGAGTAGTGTTCATGGTCAATTTGGGAAATCCCAATGGGAAGTGAATGGCTGTGTGGAATTGCATGATGTGAATTTATATATTGTGAAATGTGTCATCATCATATGCATCACCAAATATAGTCATGTGAAATTTTGAATCAAAAAACTTACCGAGTGGATAATTATTCGATGATCCTGCTTCGAGAATGAGCACGGAATAATTATTAGGATGTTGAGATAATCGATGACCTAGCACACTTCCTGCACTTCCACTGTTTGAATTCAAAATATTGAAAGTGGTGATCATCAGAGGGTTGAAAACGAATGATGAAAATGAATGATGAATTATCTCTCAACAGATAATGCAATGAACTTACGCTCCTACAATGATGAAATCAAACTCTTGAAATTTCTTGACATGATCAGCCGATCTAAACTTTTCAAATCGGTCCTTGAAGAAGAGTGATCTCGGTGCCATATAAACAGCAATAGCAATGGTCATAAAGATGAAAAGAAGGGAAGTTAATTTGGACATTTTTTTTTCTCAAAGCATTATGTCAAATGTCCAACTGGTAAACGAGGCCCAATGTGCCAACCACAAAACAAAGGATACTAGTATCCTCGACCCGTTATTTTCCTTTAATTATTTCCAAACTCTTGTTTACAAAATAGAAACAAAAGCAATCATGTGTAACACGTCCAGTTAAATATCTACAGTTTGGTTGGCTTTTTAAAAACGTTTTGGATTTTGAATTTCAAAAAAAAATACCTCAACCTGTCCACTACCCATGAACTACTTGAAAGTTTTAAGAGAAGAACCAACCTTCCACCGCTACCCACCAAAGTTGCTGATATAAAAACTCTTGGCATTTACAAACCAACGGAAAGCGAAATGAATACATTTTTAAAGTTTAACAAGGAATTAATGGAGAAAAAGAGAGAGGAAATTATCAATTCAAACAAGCAATTCAAACAGTTGAATCAAACAAAGTCATTCAAGTGAATGTGATCTTAACAATTATTGAGGTAGTGATATTTCAAAACCAAAAGATCAAACCCTAAATCACAAAACCTATCTTAATTGGATAAAATGATTTCAACCCTGTTTCTTTTTGATTGGTAAACAACCATACAGTTAAAGCATTTAGAAAAGCAACCCCCGGATAACTCATCCTATGAGATATTTAAATACGAAAATCAAAATACCCTTGACCTACCAAGTTCATTCATGAGTCCGATTCAGAATGCATCTTTCCACCTGCCGATTGTCATTACCAAATTTACTCTCCAAACCATACAAAAAAATGAGACAAGGCATTCTTTCAACCATCCTAACTATCTTCTGCCTCATCACTCTTCTCCTATCCTTTCATCGTCCAACACAAACTCTCTTCATCCAAGCTTACACTTGCGGTGGTTTTGCTTCTTCAGATTTTTCACACGTTTGCAGCGGTCGAGGTTTTTGTTCCAATTATGAAACATGTACCTGTCTCGATTTGAGTGCCAGTAATTCACTCACTTCGGGTACGATTCTTTATCCTGGCAACTCTCTCATTTCCTCGAATGGAATTAATCAATTAATCATGCAACAAGATGGTAACCTAGTCTTGTATGATACTTTATATGGTGTTGCTAATTGGGCAAGTGGTACTTTTAATCCAACGAAAGGTTTTTCGTATCAATTGAGACTTTATAATGATGGCTCATTGGCTGTTATTGATCCTTATGAATTGATTGTTAAAACCGTTGCTGGGTCTTGCAATGGAGGAGTTGGTCCTTTTCGATTTGTGGTTGGAAATGATCGAGATTTGGTGGTGTATGATTCATTGATGCAAGTGTGTTGGAAGACTGATATTAGAGACACTGCGAGGTCTGTATTGGGTGTGAAATATAAAGGACGACTGTGTGAAAATGCAATTTGTTTTGGAAAGGATAACTCGGATACTCATGTTTGTGGAGGATTTGGAAGATGTGTGGCACCTGACACTTGTCAGTGTCCACCTGGACATACAGGCGCCACTTGTCAACAATATTCATGCTTTGGGATTTCTTCGACAAGCAGTCAGGTATGCTCCAATGGACATGGAGTTTGTTCAGCCAACAATCGATGTACCTGTTTGAGTGGATACACCGGAACCGAATGTCAAACTTTTACTTGTTTTGGAATTGCAGCTACCGACAGCTCCATTTGTTCCGGTCATGGAAAATGCACAAACAAAGACACATGCCAATGCGAAAGTGGCTGGTCTGGCTCCAACTGCAACAATGCCACAACCAAATGTTTTGGAATTCCTTTCAATGATCCATCCGTATGCAACGGAAGAGGAACTTGTATTGCCAACGACGTTTGTGCATGTCAGGGATATTCTGGAATGGAATGTCAAGTACCAACATGTTTCTCTCGTAATTCGACGGATCCATTCGTTTGTTCTGGACATGGAAATTGTGTTAAAGCCGATACTTGTATGTGTGAAAAAGGTTATGGAGGTGCCATGTGTCAATATGTGAAATGTAACGACACCTTGTCAAGTGACAGCTCTCAGGTCTGTCATGGACACGGTCAATGTGTGCAAGTAGACACCTGTCAATGTGAATCAAGTTATGGAGGACCTTACTGCTCTATCCCTCAATGCGGTTGGTCCAAAAACAATCCCTCCAACATGAAATTCGGAGCTCCAACTCCTTTCATTCACTCCCGTTGGGTACAAATGCATCCATTACAACCATCGATCCTTCGATTTGAAGTGAGCTTTGCAAAACATCCAGAAACCAATTTTAAACATTATTTATTCATTGGAGAGAGCAATTTTCAAGCACATTCACTTTTGAATTGTAGTGTGAATGGTCCATATCCAATTACATTGAATCCATATCCTTACAGATCCGACTTGTGTTGGAAAAATTATTCATCGGTCGAATTGTCATTGAATGATTTTCTGAAAAACGAGCATGTTCAAAAAGAGTTTATTGGAAATGAAGGAGAATATTTAAAATTACAAATGCCTTTGAAAATGGTCTATTTGGATGAGAATGGATCGAGTAGTAATTTTGGTTTGTGCTCTTCCTTTGAATTTGAAACGAATCAAGTACTGTATGTGAAAAGAATTGCTTGGGTAGATTCTGGATTTACAGAAAGTGAGGAAGGTCCAAGAAATTTTAAAGCCACTCTCTATCAACAACAATTGACCACACGAAATGGAGTACTCAAAGTTCAAATGATATTACAAACCATCGATGCTACCATGGTTAACTTTTCCTTCTATAACACTTCATCGTCTCTGTATAATTTCACATTGACGAATATTTCCTTGTGGTATCAAAATGGTAATGCCAATTATTATTTAATTCAAATGAGTTCAGGTGTGGCAGTGCAAGATTTTCGAGCGAATATTTTCTTGGTGGGATCCTTTAAAAAGAATCGAGTACTGGATCAAGTTCAAGTCTATTTTCCAGTCACGATTGATTATATCATTGCCACTCCTCCCTCTTCGTATAATATCACACTCCAAGTCCAGATGGGTTTAGCAGATAGTTCATGGAGACCAAGAACGAAATTTATGGCTAATGAGAGAGCTGTTGTAACTGTTTGGTCCCCTTCTGCCACGTTATTAGTGAACGATCATCTCATTGTGAAAAAAGCGTATTTATGTTGCTTTAAGGAATTTACTCCAACTCTACAAGGTTCAAGCAATGGATGCACACAATACAATCCCAGCACGATGGATGTTTGGAAGGAAATTATTTCAGATGGTGAATCCAATGTATACAGTAGTGAGTTAGAGACGTCATTGCATCCATATCCTTATACGAATACCTTGTTTGGATTTTCATTTAAATTATTGTCATCGATATTCCCTGAAAGATATTCGAACACATCGAGTTCATGTTTTGTGCAAAGCAAGGTTGGAGTCCGTCCAATTGCGAATAGTAGAAAGTTGTCAGATGCAACATCAGAATTGGCAGATGATTCCGTGGATACCTTTTCATTGTTTGTGGTTGATTTTTCAAATATGATTATTCCAAAAACTTTATCTGCCAGCGTGTCAGTTTTTTCATTTTATGGTGTTGGATTATTGATTTGTGTTGTTTCAGCGATGGCAACAGTTTTGTGATCATAAAGATATGCATTGGGAAAGAATTCAATTATTTCAATGGAATTATTTATTAGACAATTGGTTTGGTTGTTAGGTAAATAAGAATGTATGATACATGGTATGAGTAATCCTATCCTAATCGTAGATAGTGAATTATTTAAAGAGCATCTTCTTCGTCTGGATTTTGGAATAATTGAGCTACTCGATTTACCAAAATTCTTCGTGAATCATTTCTTGACGAAGTTTTCGTAATTCCTCTTGGTGACGACAGAGTAGGTGGAACAATGGTCTTCATTGTAGACATTTCTCGTTTCACTTTTCGATATTGTCTCTTCACAGAAGGAGGTGAAGAAGGACGATTTGGTTCTGGTGTGAGACATCGTTGAGGTGACACTCTTGGCCGTAACATGTTGTGACCATTCCAAGTAGTTCTGTTAGAGTTTAAATATTGTTGTGCATGTGCGGATATTGAAGATCCTTGTTGTGAATTCGAAGGATGTTGTGAATCTAACAAATTCATTCGATTGAAAAATGCTTGAACCATAACTGTTGGAATTCCATAGCTGCTAGCAGAATATTGTGAATATAAATTAGGTAATGACTGACACATGTTAGAAGTGGTGGATGTACTTGAACTGGAGGTGGTTGGAAATGGAACAACCATCCGAGTCGTTTTTCTTGGAGATGCTCCATCATGATTCTTAAAGGCTCTATTTTCCTTATTTGGGGAATCAATTCCTCTCCGTTCTAACAATTGAGCAAAATCTCGACAAGCATCTCCTTGATCCATAATAGTACTTGTTGTGGTGGTTGTTGTTATTCTTGTCGCATTCAAATCGAACCGTTCATCCAAGAGTTCAGACACAGATGGTAGCCATTGATTCACTTGATCATCCAAATTCGAGGCTGTTGGGAATATCAGTGGCGAACACGTACCACCCAACGAGAGAGAATTTGGAGAGTTTACAATTGCATCGTTGGGTGATAAGAGGAGTGAAGAGAAGGTATAATCTTCTTTGGAATACAGTCGGACTGGAAGTTCAGGACTGTCAAGTGGCATATGAGTGGTGGGTTGTATCTTGGAAGGTTTCGAGCATGAAAGTGTGATCATCTTTTCATGGATTGAATTCATAGTTGTCATGGCTTTGCCTGGATGAGGTGAGGAGCATTGAGAGAGAGGTTGAAAAGGCTTGTCCGTACTGGCTCGAGACAAGGCTTTTCGATTCAAAGGAGAAGAAGAAGGCTTCATGTTGGTAGGTCCTGTCACAGGTATGGTATAGAGAAGTTGTTGTTTTTTTTTGAATGTCAAAATGTCAATAGCCTAGTGTGTCAGTTTGAGAAGTTGTTCGTTGTATTGGAAGAACGAGATGCAGACACTAAAATTTTCCATTCTCGACTTGTCATTCCAAATATTGCGCAAAGATAACCCAAAATAAGACAATTGTCCATTGCATATTCGATAAAATTGGAGTCGTAGCTCAAGTATGAACCACTTGGTTTCTTGAAATGTATCATGTTTTTCAGTTTGGAACGTTCTACAAATCATGATCATTTCAAGAAAGTGTTAATCTTTGTGTTTTTTTCACTTCATGATGTATTTCAAAATTTCCATAAATTGTACAATTTACATAAAAATTGAAACTCCATTATCATGTGCAATAAATAATTCTCCATTGCATGGATTTAAACAAAGTCCTGAAGGACTGACAATAACACGATCGTCTTTCAAATAGGTGCTAACAACAATACCATTCTCATCAAATACTACTATTAAATTAGAGGCACAATCAGTGACAATATAGTTATGAGTGATCCTATCGTGGATGAGAGTGTCAAATAATGGTAAACTCTCAATGTTGAATTTTTTAACATTTCCTTCTTCATATGTTTCTTGAATGAAAGGAGAATTTGATTGATCCCCTTCTTTTGCATAGAAAGCAGTTAAATAGCCTTTCCAATTAATGTCAAATCCTCTTCTGTCAACACTGTCAGAGATTAATGTCCGAATAAATTCTCCAGTCGTCGAGTTAAGCACATCAATTGCTTTAAATCCAACCGATGTATATATTAAATTTTCAACTTTACCATCATGCACCAGATGATTATATCCAATAACAGTTTCATTGAAAAACTCATGCGAACCACTTTTCCAAATTTCTGCTTCATCCATGTTTGCCATATTTAACACAAGTTCCAAGTCATACTTTCTCAAACCTTTTCCAGTAATGATTAGCGCATCTCTATTGTTTTTAAAATTGTTTTCAACACATAAATACCTGATATCACTGTGTTGACAATCGACTACTTTCTTCAGACTTCTATCGTTCAAGTTGAAAATTAAAATAGCTCCATTCGAGTTATCGGAAAGTAATATAACTCGATACCGTTGTGAAATTTTCACATCATAGAGTCGTATTGGATTTGTTAATCCAAGACTTTCATGATCATTAGTATTGATTTCATGAACAAGTCTAAATTGGCCAGAAAATCCCACTTCCTCTCGTTTTCTTAATTTCAAAATTAATTTTCTCCATACAACGTCCAAATACGATGGTTCCGTATCATTAATTGAAAATATTGGATTCAAGGTAGATGATGAAGTAATTCCGTTCCGTTCGTGCTCACTGTCGGCAATGCGGAGATGGATCAAATTCACAACGACCACATGTTCAGATTGTTGCATTTTTTTTGTTTATTGAGCTGGAATAATTTAATATTCAATAAAAATTATAATAAGTAATAATAATGATTTGGATTTGTTTTATTTATGATAAGGATAATGAACTTGTTGTACAATGATGTTTTGTAATTTCATCACATAGCAAGGGGAGAGAAGATCAAAGAGACCAGCAAGGCTCACATTTAAGTGGCTGTGAGAGCAATGCCAAAACCTGCATGCAGTATTGACACCCTTTTCGGATGTTTGATTTGGGTGCAGGTTTGGCATGGCCCTCACTGAGTGATAAGGAGGAGCCAAGATGATCCCTTTGGTACAGCTCTCCAACTTGACTATGGGATGAAAGTCGACAGTTGTCATGTCAGCACTCGGTGTAGCAAATACACAAGCAGTCAAACCTTAAAGAGTGCACGTTGTAGGAAGGCGTGTGTGTGTGATTGGACTGTTTGTGGAAATGGTACACTGAGAGGCAGACAAAACAACTCTCAAACACTGTTCTTCAAAAAGTCATGAAATCTCAATGACTAGTTTTTGAGCAATGATCGAGTATGATAAATTCATAATCATTTGGTTTTTTGGCACATGGTGAATACTTGTTCAAGCTACCTGTTCTTGAGGTAATGGTGCCACTTGAAGAAATGTTCACAACATTATGAACGCCTGGAGCTTTTCCTGTTTGGCAATACAGAAATAGGAATTGAGGCGAGTTTTCAATTCTGATCCAAGTATGGGTTTTGCGTGGTTTTCGAATTTGTTTCAACACTTCCTTCAACGAAATGTAAATGTGGTTGGACAGAATTCTGTATTCGGAAAGAGGACCAACATGGATTCTCAATGTTTGATGGTATTTCAAATCATCTAAATCTCCTTCAATTGGTCCATATTGGCGTCTTGGACTTGAATAGATATGTAGATCAATGGAATTCTTGGCTAAGGTGGAACCATTCACAAGTTCCAACTCCAAATAAGTGGCAGAGGCTGAGAGCTTATTGTACCATTGACTCGTCTGTGAATTGGTACAATGGTCTGAAGTTGTGCTCTCTTCATCACTGCTACGACGACTGCTACTACTACTACTGGCAGCTGCAGAGGAGTTTCCTTTAGCTTTCTTCTTCTTTGCAGTTTTTCTCTTCTTGGTCTTACTTTCCAAAGAGGATGCTTCTTCTTCTTCGGAAGTAGAAGCAAGAGAAGGCTGAGAAGAAGTGGTACGAGAGGTTGTTGGGTCATTACCACCTCTTCTCTTTCTCTTCTTCTTGTTATTAGCTTCATCATTCTCAGTGTTGGTATTAACGATATGATTTGGACAATCATACATTGGAGAAGGTATTTTTGGTTGTACAAAAGATACACAAGATGGACTCTCAGTATTACCATGGGTTGCTGTTGTTGTTGTTGCTGCTGCTGCACCAAGTCCTTGCTCTGATAGATAGAGCCACCACCACCACATTAATTCTTCTTGAGAACAAGTGGCTGCACCACTATCGGTAGTGGTTGTTTCAGAAGTAGAGGGAGGTGCTGGATCAACAACAACAGTAGCAACACTACCCTCATCAACCACCACCAAGTCTTGAACACCATCATCAAGAGAATTCAAGGGATCAAACAATAATTGACTCGCATCAGCAACTGCTGCTTCTTGGTTGGTAGAGGAAGTAGCAATGGTGCTCTGACCGAGAGAGGCGTGATGGATCTTGGGATTGTTTTCATCTGTGCTGATAATTGTTGGGGAAGTAGATTTGAAATCTGGAGACAATAACGGACGATTTAAATCATCATTAAAATAATCATCTTCGTTACGAAATATTTGATCATTGGCAACGAAATTGGGAGTTGAAGGATGATCAATTGGAGGATTTGATTCATCAGCAAAAAAGGAGTCGAGAGAGGAGGATCCTAAACTGAGATCTGAATCCAAGGTTTGAGTATTAGTTTCTTCTGGTTCAAAAGTCGACATAAAATCAGTGGAGGAATAATCAAGCATTTTCAAGGTGCAGCACAACTGTTTTTTTTTAAAAAACAAATTAAAAAAAGCTTACGAGTTGACAACTGACTTTACAACCGCTGTTTTGGGTCTTCATGTTGGGACCTCTCAACCGTGCCGTCATTGTTGTTATCGTTGTGGTAAAGAACTGAAGAGCAGAAATGAAATTACAAAATATCGTCTTGAAAAAGAAGCAACACAAAAAAAATGGCTCTCTCCTCGGAAGCATCCAAATCTCAAATGATGGCAATCCGTGCACAAATGAACAGTCCGTATGGCGTTTTTGTTTCATCCAACAATGAGGTGTATATTGCAGATTACTATAACCATCGGATTAGAAAAATTATGAAAACTGGAATGATCACAACCATTGCAGGAAATGGAACGAATGGATACAATGATGATAATCAAATGGCAACAGATGCACAACTCAATTATCCAAAGAGTGTATTTGTTTCATCCAACAACGAAGTTTATATTGCAGATAGCAGTAATCATAGAATTAGAAAAATTATGAAAACTGGAATGATTACAACCATTGCAGGAAATGGAACTCGAGGATACAATGATGATAATCAGTTGGCAACAAATGCTCAACTCAATCATCCATACAATGTTTTTGTTTCATCCAATAATGAGGTTTATATTGCAGATAGCAGCAATCATAGAGTTAGAAAAATAACGACAAATGGAATGATCACAACCATTGCAGGAAATGGAATTGGTGGATATAATGGTGATAATCAATTGGCAACAAGTGCTCAACTCAATAATCCATCCAGTGTTTTTGTTTCATCCAATAATGAAATTTATATTGCTGATTGCTTTAATAATAGAGTTAGAAAAATAATGACAAACGGAATGATCACAACCATTGCAGGAAATGGAACTCGAGGATATAACGGAGACAATCAGTTGGCAACAAATGCTGAACTCGCTTTTCCATCCAGCGTTTTTATTTCATCCAATAATGAAGTTTATATTGCAGATTCCTTAAATCATAGAATTAGAAAAATTATGAAAAATGGAATGATTACAACCATTGCAGGAAATGGAACTGGTGGATATAATGGTGATAATCAATTAGCAACAAGTGCTCAACTCAACCATCCATCCAGTGTTTTTATTTCATCCAATAATGAATTTTATATTGCAGATAGAGATAATCATAGAATTAGAAAAATAATGACAAATGGAATGATCACAACCTTTGCAGGAAATGGAGGTCGAGGATACAATGGAGATAGTCCCTATCAATCATCCCTTTCACGTTTCTCACCTTTCATTTCACACATTTCGAAACATGAAAGAGACATGATTCCCAACACCAAACTCATTGTTTTTCAACCACTTTTTGAAAAACTTTGTCCTCATTTTCATTCCATCATTTTGAAAGATTTGAATTTGCTGTTCTCCATGACTTGTCATGAACATGAATTGATTCAACATGTCATTGATTTTGTTTTATACGATCCAGATAAGATTGAGGAACCTACAATTACTTCTTACGTTATTGAATACTTGTACATTTTGGGTCTTGTTCAAGGTGAATTTATAGAATTGAAAAATTATTTTATTTCAGTGTTAATAGGGTACCACATTACATCTAACAATGTCATTGATACATTATTGATGATTGAACAATACTTGACAAAGCAACCCTCTCATTCCATCATGCTCAAGTTGAAGAATTATTGTTTGGAATTTATTCAAATCAAATTAAGGGAAGGACATTGTTGCATCATACGAGATCCAAGATGTATTCCTTATTATGTTGAAATTCTAGAAAAATGTTTAATTACAAAGATATCTCCCATCGTTCTTGAAGACTCAATTGAAAATGCAATACCACCAGACAAAATCATCAAGTCATTGTGGAATGACAAACGTACAAGTGACATTCGAATCAAACTCTCACACAAGAACAACAATTCATTTATTTATTCTCACCGAACCATCTTGAGTTCTCGTGGAAAACTTTTTGAAGCCATGTTTAACAGTGGATATCAATTGGAAGATCTGAAATATGATGAAAAAGATGAAATTTTGACACTCATTCCTACAACACCTCAAGATGCAATTAATTTGGAATATATTGTCAAATATTGTTATGATCAATTGGAACAAATTGAACCGGAACATGCCATTTCACTCATCTTGACAGCTTCAGCAAATGAAATGTCAGAATTAGTGTCTCTTGCATTCAAATCCATTCAAATCGATTGCAATAATTATTTTGGAATTGCCAATTCATTGGATTTTGAAAATAATTTATTTTCAGAAGTGATTCAAATCATGATTGATTTTGGAGTGAATAACAGACATGAATTATTCAAGGAAAATTCTGATCTTGATCAATTACCTGCTTCTCTTTCACACAAATTGTTGATCGAGTTTGAAAATAATGATTGTAAGTCCAAAGTGGGCTAAAAGATTTCTTCAACGTTCGTTGTACTGCGTACTAAAGGTACTTGAGTCATTGGCCATTTGCTGGAAATGGGAAATTACTTCATGGTTTTATTGAAATTCGACATTCACCTCTCGGCTATTCGTGTCATGCTTCCGTTGATAGAAGAGTAAATAAGCATTGGATGTTTTGATTTCCTTTTCTTGAACATGGGAGACAGAAGAGTCATTAAAGCAATACCACTTGTTGTCTTCACAATTTTTTGCATACGAGTAATAATGCCCACCGCCCAATCCTCCTGTATGACAACTAATTGCGAAAAGGTCATAAAGCATATGGTCCTCAGGAGCTTGAACCATATAATCACTTAAATCTAGATTGGAAATTGGAAAGTCAACAAACGTTGTGACCTTTTCTCTACCAAGGCGATTATATCCAAATCTCTTTAAATGAATAATGAGAATTTCTGGGCTAGACCAAATGCAACACTGCTTGAATGCACACACATGAGTCTTACATCGAGGGCAGTACCATTGATCTCTTTGTCCCAATTGTTCCATTTCGCTATTCACTTTCAGGCAATCATCCAAAGTAATATGACCACTTTTTGAGTGTTGCTGTTCTACGGGTGAATGTTGCAAATGTACAGTAACTGTTTCTTTCGTCTTGAGGAAAGACACATCCAACCAATCTACAGAGAAAATATACTTTTCATGCTCGAATAAATATTTTCTAACCATATCTTCTTCATCATTATACAGGATTGGTATGCCTCCACAATTAACAACCATTTCAACAGACTTATCAATAACAGAAAATTTGAAAGGAATATTTTCAGGGTCAAAGGTGGGAAAAACAGTATTTCGTAAAATTTCTAACTTTTGTTCGTTGGTATATTCTTCTCCTTCGTTTTCTGGAGTTGGGATAATGTTGGATTCTGGATCTTCTGGTGTTTTCTTGGCCACTCGTTGTAAGTGATCCCAAAGAATACCATAAAACTCTTTGGTTGTGATCTCTCTGTTCACAAACAAAACAAAAGGTATTCCAACACTCTTGTATAGCGTGTCTCCTCCATCATTTGGATAGCGTTGCCGTATGTAAATCATTAAATATTTGTCCTCAGAATAGTCGTCTGGAATATCGGCACACAAAACTTTTGGAGTTGACCTTGCATTTGGATCAATAACACCAACACTCTCGTTCAATTCAAGAGCTCTTCCAACAGAAAATCCCACCATTGTGAAGAACATGACTTTGTTTGGATCTCTACCACTCACTTTTGCAAATTGAGTTGCAAGAACTTGTACTGTTGCCTGCTTTGGGAGTTCAACTGTATATTTTGTTGCTCTGGAACCACCTTCTGTGTTCATAAGGATAACATCCATTCTAAATGGCATGCTTTTTCCAACAGGAACTGACAGATACTGAAAAGCTGTTAAACGGAAATGGTTTCATGCTCGAACACTTACCATAAATGGATCAAATTTCACAGAAATCTTATTACAAACTATACAGTTAGTTGTAGAATGAAACTGCTTCCCAAAATAAAGCATTGTAATACTTACTGTTGCAAATAAGAGTAGATTTTAGCTGTCCTTGAAATAGATCAACAATAACACTATTGTTTCGTTTTAAATGTTGATCCCATGCTTCCTTGGCAACCACTTCATCAGGTCTACCATCGCTATCTTTCATTTCAATAAATGGCTTATCTTTCACAATGTTTAAGTCTTCATGAAGGCCATCCAACAAGTAAGATATTAATTCTTGAGAATCGTGCTGATTATATCCAGAAAATTGGGGAGCAAATTGACTAATGGCGTATTTAAAATTAACGGGTGAATATACTGAGCCTCCGCTCCACATTTCCTTAATTAAAGTGGCAAAATTATTTGCCAATTTTCCTTTTGTTCCGAGAACATTACTGGTGTTAATATCCTTTGCATATCGACCGCTCAAAAAATAATTTTTCAGAGGTACAGTATTACTCAGGCATTGAATGGCACTGTTCATAAAGCAGGTATTGCCCAAGTTACGTAAACCACAGAGACCCTTTTTCTTACTCTTTCCAGTGGCACTAGTTGCAATGCCCAATGCGCTATAGGAATAGTCTTTAATACTGTCCCAAATTTCAGAGAATTTTCCTCTCTTTTCTTCTTCATCTTCTTCACTTTCATCGCTATTCTCATTCTTCTCCACAGAATCCAGTGGATATTCACCTCCTGGTTGTCTAAACTCAAAAACGACGTTTTGTCCATCGACCAATTTTGCTTTTTCAAGAGTTTGGCTATCGCTATCAGCAATACATCGTGCTGGACTTCCTTCTAAAAAACTCCACAATCTACAATTTTTGATTGCATTTTGCTTTGATCCTCTCTCAATGTCAAACAAAATATGGCCAAGTAGTTTTAAATCTCGTGTGGTCAGTTTCTTACTGACAAGAACAATTCGTTGTGTATCTTTCAAAACCTTTCCTTGCTCATTTGTCATGAATAATTTAAGAAAGAACGGATGAATCTCTACACGTTTCATTTGATTGTTCTCTAAACCATCAATGATGACCTTTCTTACAATTTTTTGGTTAGAATTGCATTCTCCATACCACGACGACAGTAAATCATAACTCTAAACGTTATAAGTTAATGAACATGACATTATTGTTAATGAATACTAACCTCTTCTGTAATAATTTCATAGTCTTGAGAGCCCATGATATGTTTCTTTAACAACAAGGTAAATAGTACTGATCCGTCTCTGCACAAATTTGTAAATTCGCTAGCATATGGATGAGACGTATCAAATCCTCTATAAATAATTATTTTATCAATCAAGTCACTGTTATCTATCGGACCTGGAGGGTTAACTTTTCTATGTTGATGGCTTTCTTTATGCTTTTTCTTCTCTTTCGGATGTTCGTCGTCAGAAAAATTGACATATTCTTTCCAAGCTCTCCACCAGGCCTGTGATATAAGAACGTTTGTAGTACCAGGTTTGAAGGGCGTCTTGTTCTCTATTAATTTGATTTTTTCTCTCTGTTTTTTAGGATCGGGTTTGATGGGCTTTTTCGCTTTACTTCTGGCTGTGATGACCAAAGAATTGCCGACAGAGATTTGTTTTGAATCTGCTTGTGTGGCTGTTTCTTCTGTTGGAGGTGTCAACTTGGCTTCATCTTGTTCATTTGTAGTTGATTTTTTACCGTGGTGATGTGTTTTACCTGTTGTCTCTCCATTTGTTTGATGTTCACTGCCTGTATGTTCCATATTGGACGATGAAGATGAAGAAGAGGATGATGTACACGGTGATTCTGTCTTATTTGAATTTTGATATTCGTACAAAGAATTCTTTGTTCCGTTCGTTGTTTCTATACTAGTATCGGAAGGAGCTGTAATAGTTGATGGCAGCGGAAATGATGAATTGGTTGATGATAAGGAGCCATTCATTTCATTGGCTCCATCTTGCTCCGAAAAATGGGTGTTGTTGTTGGTTGTTTCGGAGGTCTCCATCTTGGAAGAAGTGGACGGCGATGCAACGAGCTCGTTGTTGTTATTATTGGAACGAGCATTCTCGCGAGTTGAAATTTCGCTCATTTTTTGTTGGCTTTTTACAATTCCAACGATCAAGGTGAAAGAAAATCGAAATTAAGAGTGACACTACAAGGGAAAATGGGTGATGGATTCCGATTCAGAAGAATTGTTCATTCTTTGCAACACAGGCTCAACTGGATAAAATCCGTCCTACAGTGGCCGCAATGTAAAGCTCTAAAAGTGCTTGTTTTTAAAAGAACGTGGTGTTTATTCTTGCTTTCAATGAAAATAGTTAGACATTGTGTGAAACTCGATTCGATCATTCAAGACTCACTACATTTATTGCCTTAATCAACTTCAATGATCATTTACCACTTCTTATTCACATCATACTCACTCTCTCTTGGAATATTGGTTCCAAGTGTGGAGGTACCTGTTGTTAAGCCTGAGGAAGGAGGAACAGTGGTGCCACTCAAAGTAGAACTTGTAACAGTGCTGGTTCCTTTTACATCACTAGCACCAAGACCTGCACCGACAGTTGGCTGATTTTCGAATTGCTTCTTTTGCTCATGGGTTGGGAATGTAATGTTACTATCAGTATCGTGTCTGAAAGGGTGCTATTGGAACGAATACAGTTGTCAGTGGAGGGTTATCACAGTGATTAAATATTCATGAATTTGGAAAATGGTCAAATATAGAAGGTTAAAGGGGTGGAATGTGTTCAGAGTTGAAATGTTGTTTGCGTTGCAGCTTACTTACTTGAATCTTCTCCTTAATGTTGTGGAGAGTTCCACCAGTGGTTACGTTTGCGTTAGTATCACGTTGCATGATTGTTGTTTTGGAATGATTGTTTTTTGATGTGAAATTGAATTTAAGGTATCCAATTTATACCTTCTGAAATGGAAGTAAGAAAAAGATGAATTACCAGAGATGAGTTTTGCACTGTTTTGGTGTTTTTCTGGATCGGGGGACCAAGAATTCAACATTTTTAGTTCAAGTTGACCTGACTACATGTTTTGATTTCCTTCAAATCCGAACCATCCTTATTAATATACTTGAACTTGATAATATCCCTTAGAGACCACGTACAATTCATCATGTACGTCCTTATGAGAATTTTTGACATGACAAATCTCATTGCAATTCTGGTTGTTGGTTCATTGTTCCAAGCCTTTGTGAAATTACAAGATTTTGAAAATTCAACGCTGAAACGGATTTTAGAAGAAGTGACAAAAAAATTGAACTCACGGATTTTTGACCATGGATCAACGACAACAACAACTCGATGATTTACATCAATTGTATCATCAATATGTATTGCTCGATGAAAGTCTTCAAGGAATTTTCAAGAGAAACATGTCCGAGCAAATCACTGCAGCCACCACAAAAATTAAACAACAACAACATCAACAATCCGCCATCATTCCAGCTCATAATTTCAATAATTATTCTAATAATTCGAATCATTCTACCAATAATATTAATTCACACGAAATCATCCTTCAAACGACAGATTGGAATGTCCCAACAGAGGCCACTTCTTGGTATTCAGAAGAAGATGACGTCACATCAATACCCATTCCCATCATTCAAACCACAACAGAAGATGTTACGAATAATAATAATTTGAACAAAGATAGATTCAATTATCTCATTGATTTGCATTATGATGAATTAAAAGTTAGAAAATGCTGCTCATTGTTAGAAGCAGTTGCCAACCAGAGAGAATCCTATTCACATCGGAATCACAAATCAAAATCGCTTCGACTTTGTTTCACGAAAGAAATTATTCCATCATTGGACGCATGGTGTCAAATCAAAGTACCAGGTTGCTATCATATTGGAATTTTCAATTTTTTCATGAGGAATTGTTTGATCAAGAATCATGACAAGAATACAGCATCGACGAATAAGGACATGAATCATGGATATGAATATTGTGAGGTTCTGCCTAATGTGAACACTCGAGGAGATTATCAAACAGCATGTCAACCCTATCCTAATCATATTCCTATTAAGAGAGTTCGATTGAGTGAAGGATGTTCGTATCGTTTCATACCTCGAGACTCTGTTCAGGTCCATAGAGAGAGGGATGAATCAATGATGAATCAGGTTGAGTTGAGGCATGATTTGGATCAGAGTCGATTTATCAAATTTAAGGATGAATATGATAATGAATTAGAAGCAGAATTTTCAAGAGATGACTCGAGTTGGAGTGGTTGTGGAACAATGATTTTACCTCTTCTTGCTGAGGAAGCAATGCCTGAACAATTGCATGAGTACATGTCTGAATGCGAAGAAAAGACAAAAGCTTATGGTTGTTATGGGGTTTATTTGAGTGGAGAAGCGAATACAGTATACTCCACGGAAAACAACTCAACGAAATCATTCGAGTGGAGAGGCTCCATATATTTCTATACCGAGTCTTATGCAGAATCCATTGGTTCTTTTGAAATGAGGTTGATTCGATAATGACCTCGCAAATGTCATGGAATCTTCTTCTGCCCACCAAAGAAATTCTTTTGAAATTCTAACAGTAAAATTTTATTAACATCAAGACTTCCAAAGAAATTCATAAAATTGCAAATCTAGATTTACGCATGATAGAGTTATTGATTTCCCTTTTGAACAGCTGCCATAGTCTGATTAAAAAGCTCATCCTCTAAAGAATCGCTTGAAGTAGAAGCTGTTTCTGTTGTAACACTAGTTTCTACAGGAGCCATAGCTGGTTTCTGTAATTTGTTTTTCATGTGTTTTGTTAATTTATATTCGAATGACACTTTCTTGTTTGTTAATTGACCTCTCAGTGGTTGAACTGCAGCCACCTTGTTTCCGTTTTTTAAAATTGTGAGTAGTTTCTTTAAATGTCTCTTGCTAGCAAGAATTCCGGGATGCTTTGTATTAATTTCTTTGAACAAGTCTGATGATGTTGCTCGACCCATCTCGTTGAGAGTATTGATAACATAGTGAATGGTGTGTGTTGGTGTTCTGTTGTTAGTAACGGATTCGCTCTTATTTTCAGCCTTCAGACGGTCATAATATGGATCCAAAGCGGCAGTGAAGACATCCTTTGCGAATAAATTGGTTGAAAAATTCATTGAAACATTTTGATGAAATGATGATGAAATATTAGTGTTACTATGATTACTGAGAGAAGTAACAATCATGGGAGAAATAATTTGTTGTCGGTGATGAAGCCCCACAAAAGAACGGAAAGAGCAGCCTGGCAAGGTGATGAGAGCAAGACGTTTCATTTTTTGATGTTGAATTTTCATAACAACAAATTAAAATTCGCAATGTTGATGATAAAGCATTCATTTATTATTTTCTCTAGCCAAAATGGTCTTGTTGATTATTTAGATGAAATTATTGTTGAAATTGTTCTTGTTGTTGAATAAATCTTGATATTGAGGGAATTGTGCACTCTGCTCTCCAATGATGACAGCACTTATAATGTAGTGTTCTTTGTCTTTTCTTCCACTTCCGACATGTTGAAACTTGAAGATGATGGTTCCTCTTGTTGTTCAGCAAGTATTTCTTTAGCTCTCTGCAATACTCTCATCTTGAATAATTTATCAGCTAATTCCTTTTGCATTTGCTTCTTTTCTTCCTTCTCACTTCGTTTTTGAAGACGATGTACTTCTTGTTGTTCCAATTTGATGAGATAATAATTTATCAATTGCTCTCGTTCCGCATCAGTCCATGTAGCTTTAACAACTTCTGCAGAGTCTGTATCTTTATATGGATTACTTGGTCGTTTGAGTCTCTTCTTTGGTTCAGGTTTTGGAATGACGGCACCCGACTCTTTAGCCATTCGAACTTTGGAGCCATCATCAAGGAAACGCCAAGCAACCTTTGTAGCCTTGTCAGTTTCGGGGCAAATGAGAGAAACATTACTACAATGCACGGGTGATTCCTTCATGATGGAATAACCTGCTCTTTCTTCCGTTCTTCTAATGTTCTTTTTCACTAAATTACATCCGTCTACTACCACTCTATTGGAATCACGTAAAACCTTTTTAATGACTCCTCTTTTTCCTTTATCCTTTCCGGTTGAAATTTCTACCAAATCACCCTTGAATATTCTCCAACTAGCGTTGAGGTTTCTCTCCAAAACCTTTTTATGAAGAGCAGGCATGTTGATGTGTTATTTTTTAATTTATGTTCTTTTTTTTGATTTTTGTTGGTTTGGTATTTGTCAAGATGTTAGATGATCGCAATTAATTATCATTATTAATTCAACTGTTACTGTGATGTTCCAAAGAGAGTTAAATTAATTTTAATTAGCAAATTAAATAGCAAAATTTTGAAAGAGCTGAGAATAAAATACAAAGTGAAAATACTACTTGTCACAAACATAACAAGCATAAATTATATCAGACCAAGTTCTTTTTCCAGCTCAGCATCTTCTCGAGTTTTAGTAGAAGTTTGATTCTTATTTCCAATGCTCTTGGTTGGAACTTCTAGATCTAGGTCCAGATACGAATCGTCTTCTTGCATTTCGCCTTCAAGCATATCAAGCTCAGCCATCAATTCGTTGTCATCAACTTCCTCGGGTGTTTGATAATTTCTGGACATGACTTCTTGCAAATCATTAAAATCTTCCATGTGATCTGCAATGTCGTCATAGAGATCTTCCACTTTGTCAATATTAATTTCTTTTAACTGTTTTTTCATTGTTTTAGAGGCAGACTTCATTGCGTTTACCGTATCCAGCGAATCCTTCACAGTATTTACAGTAAAACTAGTTTGTTCTACATTCCATTGTTGACCCATTAACGACTCTTGTTGCTTTTCCAACATTTTCTTTTGTTTTAAAACTGCCATCGCTTTTTGTTTCAGTCTTTCCTGCATGGCCTTGTTCGGAGCCTTCCGAATCTGATCTCTCAATTTTGACAATTCAGCCTCCAGTTGTTTGATCTTTTTGCCCAACACTTCTTGACGATCTTGAAGCCGTTGACTCGTTTCGTCGAGTGATGGTGGTGGGGTGTTGTTCTTTGAGCCTCCGAATATGCGACGCATTTTTTCGTTTGAAAAGGTTGAAAGTTTGAGTTTCCAATTCATGAAATTGAGAGAGTGAATTCCTTTTAGAAGGTTACCTCAAGGATTGAGACCCTAGATACGAACTCGATCGTTGGCAAAGTGAAAACACAAAAGACTGACACGTTCTCTTTTTCGAGTGACCTGACTCACAAGAAGACTACACGACAAGATTGAAATTTCAATTGTGATGAATATCTTGAACACTAAAGCCACCATGAAGAGCGTTTTGAAAAAGAAAAAAATGCTCGCCAATCCATCCACAGCAAGTGCTTCATCATCCAATTCCGAATCATCACTCGAGGCTTCATCATCGTCATCCAACATCCCAAACAACAACTCAGTTCAACAAGTCTCTGTTACTCTCGGAGAGGCTATTCGTGTTGGAAAGGAGAAGAAGAAACATCTTTCCGAGCTAAACAAACTCATCACGAAAAAAACAAAAGAGCTCGCAAAGACTGTCAAACAGGCCAGTTCGGAACAAAAAGATGAAATGAAAGAACGTAGGGAACGATTGAAGGAAATCAGCAATGAAATCAAGGATCTTCAAATTGAAATTGATGAACTTACTCAAAAGATGGAAGCCATCATTGAGGGAACCACTAAAGACAAGGACGAAAAACTCAAATATATTCAATATTTGAAAAACTATGAGGCTGCTTATGAAACAGCCTTGATTCAACATCACAAGTTTGAGGACGAGAAATCTCAACTTGATGAAGAACGCTCTCAATTGGTATGTTCAACAGGGTGTAGAGCCTCATTCTAACCATCCCTTTTATTAATTTATTATTATAATTTTTTATATCAGAAATTAACTTTGGCAACTAAAAAACAAGCCTTACCTTGTTCTTATCAAGTATTTACAGAGTCTCTGGCTCAAATGGAAGCAACCTTGAATAATCCACAACAGGAGACTCCTCAATCGGAACTCAAACAAATTCGATCCAAGTACAACAAATTGAAGGATTCTCAAAGATTGTTTGATGAACACAATCGTTTGTTACAACAGCTTAATGATGTGCAAAAAAGATTCCAACAAGCGGTCAAGCAATTGGAAACCTCTAACAAAACCGTGTCAAAAGCCAAGAAAGACTTGGAGAGGGCAAAAATTCAATACGAACCACTTGTGTTGGAAAAGACCAGGACTGAAGACGCTAACAATGTCGACGAGTTGAACAAATTAATTTCAAAGAAGAGAAAAATCATTGCTCAACTTACAAAAGAAAAAAAGACAATTAAGCAAGAAATTGAGAACAACGAGAAGAAGCAGTTTGCTATCGGTTCAGAAATTAAGAGCGAATTAGCAGAGCTGACTCTCAAGAGATTACAAGTAAGGGATGAGGTGGACACTCTATCAACTCTTGTTCGTACAGAAATTATTCCATATACAAGCACACAGGAAGGCAGTACACTCGGTCGTGTTATTGGAAAAAAGGGAGCTACTCTTGAAAACATTAGAAAAACTTCAAACTGTGAAATAACCATTGTCAAGTCTGAAAATCAAATCGTCATTAAGGGGGCTCCAGAAAATGTAACCATAGCAAAAGAGGAAATTCAAAAATTGTTGGAGGAAAAGCACGAAAGTACTTCGACTTCTATTCGTTTCAAATTGGATATGTTTGTTCCACTCACTAAGCTTGTATCACACTGGAGAAAGGAGACCAGTGCGAACATTTATTTGGACAAGTTGGAGGGTGTTTGTAAAATTGTTGGATCTAATGAACAAGTTAAGAGTGCCAAGAAATTAGTCAATGATTTCCTTACAACAGGTGTTCAAGAAAGAACAATCCAAATTACAAAATTGGGACAATCTCACGAGGATATGGTGGAGTTGTTATTTGGCGTAAAAGGAGAAAATTTAAAGAGAATTCAAAACCTTCATGGTGTAATTGGAGCTCAAATTGACAAGAAAAACAATCTTGTGAAGGTTCATGGAACCAACTTTGGTGTTGAGAACGCTTCTAAACTTGTTAACTCCATGATGAAAGAGGCATCTCATACCGAAATACAATTGGAAAATGCAACATTTGCAGAGGCCCTACTAAATTCTAGTGACAAGTTACAACAGGAAACAAAAACCATTATTACTGTGGTTAAAAATAAGAATATTGTGAGAATTTCTGGTTACAAACAAGATGACGTTAAAAAGGCAAAACAAGTAATTGAACAACTTGTTGAAAAGGAGAAGGAACACCAGAGAAAAACGCAACACAAACAAACACTCTCTGTGGAAAATAAGGTTGCTCAAATTTTCAAGAAAAAGGCATCATCTCTCTCACAAGAAACCGATACCATTATCAAAATTTCTAATGGAAAACCTCCAAAAGTGACAGTATTCGCTGAAACGCCAGAGAAGGTTCAACATGTCATCCACTTGATACAACAAGAAATTGAAAAACAAGCACAAATTAAGGCTGAAAAAGAAAAGAAAAAGTTAGAGGCTGTTGCTGCCAATAGCGAGACCAAACCTCAGGAAGATAACTCTGATGAGAAGCAATTAACCGAAACCACACAAGAATCACCAGAAATTGTGAGCCATATGGATGAATCAAGTAATGAACTACAGGTTGTAACGGAGTCTGATCAATCAACGCCAGAGCTGGAGAATACAGTTTGTAAAGATGAATGCTCTGTTGAGGATATGAATTCAGCTCAAGAAGAAACAAAAGAAGATACAAGCGAATTCAAGGAGATGGCAAGTACCGATGACGTGGACGAAATCACTGTCGAAGAAAACAAGGATCAAGAAGTGCCATCAGCTCTCACTACTGAAATTCAAAATGAAGACGTTGAACAAGCTGCAGTGTTGCAATAAATTACATGACGTTTAGTGTATTATTTTACAATTCCAAATCAGTGCCAACTGTTTTTGACATTAAGAGTCGTTTTTCCATAAAAACGGTTGGGAAATCATCCTTACCACCCAGTTCTTCAAAGCCAACAATTCTATCGACTGCAACACCGTCCTTAAACAGAACAACAGATGGAAGAACTCGAACTTGAAGTTTTGTCACAAAGAATGGTGTTTTTTCGGCATCGATTTTCACAAATCTAGTTTGCCAGTACTTTTGGCATAAAATTCCTAAATGCTTGTCAACAATTTTACATCTTTCAAAATCTTTGTGGAAAAAGTGACACACACAATATTTGCTTTTAAGAACTGCGTCTAAAAAGTCGCTTTCTGCAATTTCCACATACTTGGTGTGTTGGCGCGTGTTCACTAGTTCCATTTTCTTTGAATTGGCTTCTTTTAATTTTTGAAGCCTCTTCTCCCGGAGTGATCGTAATTCTTCGTCATCCTCTTCCTCCAAAAGGTAATCGTACTCATCGTCGCTATCCTCCTTCTTCTCAACCTTTGGTTTGTCTTCCCTCAATCCCGATTTTTTATCTTTAATGAATACATCTTTTGGTTGGTCGTATTTTGGTCTATTCTTTTCCTCTTCCTTTTTCAAATTCTCTCTTGCTTTCTTTTCTACGAGTGTCTTGGTAGCATGTTCAAACGCATTGGCAGCGTTGGCCTTGTCCTGATCCGTGAAAAATCCTGTTGAATGAACAACAACATCATACACATGCTAACACTCTTCCACAACTGTTCATACAACTTACCACTTGATTTCAACATGTTGATGATTCTATTCCGATACTATGTGCGTGGTGAATATTTGTAGCAGGCAATTCAATTCGCTTATTTTTTTTACAGAATTAATCTCAAAGGTATACAACTGGCGCCAAAGTTGTATGTTGTTTTGCACTGTGTAGGGTTAGTATAAATTTTATTGTAAAAGTACCAAGTCCTTGACTTCAGAGTCTACAGAATTTGAGAATTTATTCAAAGGTCGATACGAATGAATCACACATGACAAGAAAAAAAGCTTGTACTACACTCATTCGTCATGGCTGGAAATGTTTTTCTTACAATGCTCCATCCATCGAAGAGTGGGTCGATCGGGTTCTTCCGTACCATTCGAAAACCCTTCTCCTTCATCCATTTCTTTCAAAAACGACTCAAACAATTTCAAAGCTCGTTCATAATCCTTCTGAATGAGCATGACTTCACAAGCTTCCTCATACATTCTCCATTTCATGCATTTGGTTTCTTCTCCAGAGGACGATGAAACAACACTTGTGGAAACTCGCTGAGTATACTCTTGTGGCGTGCTCATCGTTTTGACATCTCCCAATTCGTAGACAGCTTGTAGAATACGTCTCTTATCCATGTCATCTTGTGTTGAATAGCCCAATATTTGAACGACAGAAGAATATTCATTGTCAATAATGAAGGGCAGTGTTTCGAGATAACGCGTGTAAAAACCATTTCGAACTTGTTGTTGAATACTTTCACTCACAACAATTGGAATGCAGAGTTGTTGAGCTGTGTGAATCATTAATTCCAAATTGTGACTGGCACTCGAAATGCAAACGGTTGATTTTAACTCACTACTTCCAACATTTCCAACAATGCATTCCTGAGAGCAGATAGCAATGTGTAATTTCACAGAATTGAGTAAATGTTTCATCTTTTCGTAATAATTATGATTAATTTCATCCTGGGGAGGCAATGTTGTAGATTTTGATGGAATGAGATCCATTTCAGTAGAAGTAGTAGATTCTTGATTTTGAGCTTGTTGGGGAGGTTTAGAACCACTTGAAGAGGTGGTGACTTGAGAGCGACGTGAGGTCATGGCCCTAATGACATGTGAACTCCATTTCTTTTCCTTCACAAGTGTCAACTTGTCAAGAAGTAGTTTGGCAGCTTGTGCCCCTTTTTCTTGATGTTTCAATTGAGAGGTGGTCGAATTGAACGATAAGGTTATGGAATCATTTTCAAAGGAACCAATGAATCCACTCGTAGTTCGACTCACCCAAGCAATCTGTTCAAAAACATCTGTCAATAACGCCAAACAATCGTTAGGATTGGAAACATTTTTCAATAATTCAGAAAATTCCACAAGTACTAAATTCACAATGGTCACTGGTTTCTTTTCCAAAAAGAGTGAAAATAAATGATCCACCGCTTGATTCTTCTTGTGACGAGGATGATGAGAACATGATTCCTTTCCAACAAAACTACTCTTTTCGGAAATGATTTCTGCTTCCATGTCGTCCTCTTCCTCTGTTTTGTAAGCATTGGATCGATTCAGCTGCCGACTTGTTTGTAAAAGTGATAAATTATTATTGGCCACCATCGTTTCACTTTCTTCGATGGCATCTTGATAATCCAACTGAGAAAGTAAATGCGGAGGAATAAACGCTCGATATAAACGAATGTAATGTGCCATATTCATGAAATGTTGTTGCAATAATTTAACTTCTGAGAATTTGCTTGGTTGAATGTGAATATTATCTAAAATCATGTGCGAGATGGAATCAAATTGTTGAATTAAATTGTAGAATGGACTAACAATCTTCCATGAAATGAAACTAGAAAATGAAATGGCTACTATCACTAACAAGAAAGCTCCACAAACAGATGATACAATTCCAATAATGATCGAGCTCAAGAAACTCCATTTTGGAATGGCCATGACAAAAATCCAATCCACTTGTGTAGAAGTACAGAGTCGATTTACAGAAATGTAATCGGAGGAGAAGGTCAAATCGAGTGTTGTCATGGTATTGCACGGAAGAGATTTAAAATCCTTAAGAAGGGCTTGATAAACAGTGGTAGCGACTTGAGTGGTTCTATCGTCCTTGAGAGAGAAGATGGTATTTCGAACAATTTCCTTGTTTTGGTTTAAGAAGGCTGATTTTAAATTGGGGTTGTCAACTGTGAAATGGTGTCACAAATTTTTGGAAAGCATGATAAAGTTTTGAACTCTTTTGAAACTACTTCTACTTACTTGCCACTAAATAATTGGTCTCAGTTTCAAAAATAAAACTTTTCGAACTTGAAACTTGTCGAGTGGTTTCAATCAGAAACTCTGAAGCACTTGCCACGGTCAAGTCATAGGCCAAATAATATCGGAAAGGAGATTCTTGGGTATGAATGATGAATTCGAAGTATTTTCATGTCCAAAACAATAAAGCAGTGTTAAAAATGTATCTGTATCTGCTGTCGTAATATCGACATAACTTCTTGCAAAAACAAGCTTGTTGGGATTCTTCGAGCAACTGTCAGTTAACGCCGAAAGGTCCACAGGATCAAAAAAGTCAGAAGGTGTTGAACTTCGTTTACAATAGTCATACTTTTCAATATTCGAATCGCAATTGTAACTTATTTGAGCGTCCAAGGACATGTTGAGAAAGGTCGTCACTCCTCTTTCGTAGTAAATCCCGAGTGCAGCACCTGTTGGATCACCAACGTACACTGTCACTACGAGACCTTTATGATGTTGTTTTTCAGCTTTGAACGTTTGATAAGTGGCCAATTCAATTTGTTGTGCATTGGTAAAATCCATCATGCTCCATAATTGCCCCTTCATGACGTTTAATGACTGTGTGACATCAACCAAAAGGTCACTCACTGAATTGATCATTCGTTTGAATTCATAATCTCTTCCTTTTTGACTCCATTCAAAATTCGAAGGTAATAAAGCAGCCAGCCAAATACCCGAAATAATCGTGACACTTGTCAAAACGGCTACACCAATGAGTAGTATGATACAGAATTTGATCGAGTGCAAAAACGGTACACGACCATTATTCGTACTCAACGTCGTGAATACCGAAAATCCATCAATTCCTTTCTCGTGATTATTATTTGTTGCATTGGTCGTATTTTCATCATTTCCAACAGAAAAGACAATACTCCCAACTTCTTCAAATGGAGCTACAGCATTGAGTTTTGTCATATTTTGTTTTGGGTTTGAATGGTGGAGATGTTTTCGATTGGATTGGAGAGAGAGTGTGTGCATACAAGAAGAACACAATGTATCTCTGGTCCTTTCATTGAACCTCAAAATATTCTGACCCGCCAATGCAATGAGAAACTATTAGATACTTTTCGCGAAAAGTATGATCATGTTTGGTGGAACGTTGTAATCCCGAAAAGAGAGAAGGTTTTTCAAAGTTTACAATTAGTTCAAATCCCAATATGGAATAAAAAAGGTTCGGAAAAAAAAACGAGTGATGAAAAACCCAAAAACTACAATGAAGAGGTGTTGTTATTGTTATGGTTAAGAAATTGATTTTGAACAAAGATGTATACATACAACCTGAACTTGTGTGTTTGGAAGGCTCATGAAATTCCATCTCTAATAGACCAGTATAGAGACCAGGCCTACTTTTTCAAGAAGCCTTAATTCTTCTTTGGTGGTGGTAACGGAGATCGTTTGTTCATGGTCGATGTTCCAGGTGGGGGTGTGGAAGGAGGTGGTGGAATTGAAGAAGTGATGGTTGGTTTTGCTCCGATGCCTTGTGGTTTTGGCAATGGTTTATCCCTTGGCGATGCTGGTAATGGACTCGAAGTAGTAGTACCATTCACGGAGAGTGATGAGTTTGTAGTGGTGGTGGTTGCTTTTTGGAAACCTGCAATCTTCAATGAAGTAGCAGCCGAGGCACGTTCAATGATGGATGAACTAGTACTTGGACTTGTCGACAATGAAGTGGTGCTACTGGCCGATCCAAACTTGGAGGTTGTGCTTGTAGTTGAGGAATCCTTATTCGTTTTGGGTGGAGGTAACACTGTTTTAAAGGCTGGAGGAGGTGTTGGTACACTATTCGAGTTAGTGCTACTACTGCTGCTATTACTACTACCACTGCTGCTGGATGAAGAGCTATGACCACCACTACTCGTTGAAGATAATTTCGAGGGAGGTTGAATATGAGGTTTGGTAGGTGGTCGTGGAGGTGGTGTCGGATGACTGCTGCTACTGCTGCTGCTACTACTACTCGTTGTTCCCGAAAACATTTTGGAAGCACTCACTCCCAAATCACTTCCTGGAGTGATGGATTTCCTGAGTTCGGATCCAGGAGGTGGAAGAATGTGTTTGGGTCTTGCTGAGGTTGGAGTGGTTGATGATGAGGATGGTGAATTCAAATCGTCCAATTTGGCACCAGAACCACCACTGAATGCAGAAGGAGGGGATTTGAGAGGTGAGTCTACTCCACTACTACCACTACTGCTATCATCCACAAACGATTTCAAACTTACGGCATCCACTTTGGAAACTTCCTTCATAATGGCTTGAATATCAATATGTTTGTAGGAACTACTCGAATTCATGTATGAAATATTAGTGGAAGGACACTTTTTCAACTCTGCAACTGGATCGGTGAGAGTCTCTTCACCAAAGATGAGAACAAAGTCCTCGTCGACATTGTGAACCATCTTATCGAAGAGAATATCGTCACGAGTCTTAATTTCTTCCAAATGCTTCTTGAGTTGAACTTGAATGTCGGCACACACGAGTTGAATGGCTTCCATTTCCTTGATGGTATTCGCTTTTTCTTCTCGTTCTCGAGCAATTTGATCGACGAGTCGTCGCAATTCCATTTCATGATTCTGAATGCTTTGATCGAGCTTTTTCAATCGCTTCTCTGCTGTGTTAAATTGTTTACAGCTCGTTTCCAATTTTTGTTTGGTGTCTTCTCTCTTATCGGCCAATACGACTCGTTCTTTACCGACCGAGTAGCTGTCACGGTCGAGTTTTAAATTCTTGAAACTTTGACTTTCTTCAATACTTTTGATTCTTTCATCGAATAATTCATAGAGAGATTTTGCGTCCTCTTCATTACCTGCAATGACTGAAAAGTCAATTTCTTTTCCTGATGTAATATATCTCATTTGAATTTCGCAATTATTTCTTCCTAACAATTTGGTGAATGAGAAATAGACAAATGTGAATGATTTCTTTGAAAGTTGACTGAAAAGTCCACCACTTTCTTGTGATAATATCAACACATCGGTAAAGATGTATCCTCTATACTCGTCCTTGTCTGCTTTTTCTTTGGTCTTGATTTTAAAGATGTAATCCTTGATGAACTTTCTTGTTGGTTTGACCAATGCCTTGTAGTGTTTGCTAAGTTTGTTTTTCAAATCTGTGAAAACCACATTGCTATCGTCTTCTTGTCTCTTTCTTTCATTACAAAAAACAGCCACATCACTGATCGTTTTAAGAGCTGCTTCGTAGTGTTTGTATTCTACATTGTCGGAAGGAATGGTCGACAATATTTGTTCCAATAACCTGAATGAAAATTGTGAAGCAATGATCATGGAAAGAGTCATTGATGATGAAGTGAAATGATTCGTTCGAGTCCAAAGATTTGAAAAAAATTTGCATTGATCATGTTAGTCTATGGTGATGTGACACAGTTTCAACAACTTACATTTTGTATCTGGGAATACGTTGAACAGGCATGATCAATAGAGACCTCAAGCCATGTTCCGTTGGATTTTTAGTCGTTTGATCTGTCATGTATTGGAAAAATTTGTTCTTTTTCTTTTCACATCGTTCCAATAATTCAAAAGCAGCATCATAATTGTTGATATAGGTGACATAGGCCTTAAAGAAGGGAGCCATTCGATTAAATGTTTCTCCCATATCGTTCTTGGAGGGCCATTTCATCATGGATGCCTGAATCGAAGATAATACAGTTTCATTAATACCCAAAATTTGTTCAATATTCGAAAAGATAATTTTGGACTTCTTTTCGGAGAGTAATTGTGTGTTTGCTTTTGCTGGTTTTGCATACGTGTTGACAAATAGCCGAAGAGATTGAACATAGCTTTCCTCAGTTGCCAATAATTCTTTCACTAATTCAATTCTTTTACGAGAATTCTTGTGTTCTTTGAGTCCCATCCAATCTTTAAGTTTTTTTCGTTTCGAGGCACTTGTCAAGAATTTACTCACAAGATTAATGGATTCGGTTTTGGAATATTTCTAGTGTTGTTTGAATAGATCCCCAAACCAATGATTGTTGATTGTATTGTGTGTTTTGAAATTAAATGAATCATAGAGTTGTTGTTGTTGTTTGAATCATCCATTGTAAACAATATATATGTATATTGCAATAAATAACAATGTATAAAACCACAAGCAATTGTTTTACGAAACATCATGATATATCATCCAATACAGCACCATGAATTTGTTCATACATATTTTCACATTCACCAAAACATGAAATATGTACAATCCAATATGGCATGATCATCACACACTTACCACTGCACCTGTTGGAGTATACAAATTCTTCTTGCTACCACTTCCATTGTTGGATGCAAACGTTCTCACAATTTTGAAACCATTCGAAACACTGACATGTTTATCCGCACTCATTAATGATTTATCTTCAACCATCACTTCCTTTCCTCCATTCGACGATGATGATAGAGCAGATAGGAGAGAGGAGGCACTCATACCTGAGAGAGAGGTGTCATCATCACTAGTGTTGAGTACGAGTTCGCAATAATTGGTTGGAACGAGTCCTGTCTCGAGATCTTTGGAAGCTGACGACGACGACGACGTGATGACTTTACACAAACTCCATCCATCATCATAATTTTCAAGGATTTGAACATGATCGCCTTCGTGAACCGTGATCTCTCCTTCATTACTCTTTTCAAAGTCAAATATAATTTGATAACTGTGATGAAAAATTTGTTGTGAAGTGGCAACCAATGATGATGTGTTGGAGGATGATGAAAGTTTGTTTCATACAGTACAGATGCGATCGCATGATAAAGGACGGATATTGTCGTGACAATTGATGTTTGTTAAAAATTTATCATCATTTGATCGAAGAGAGAAAATTGTTGATTCGTTCATGAACAACACAACAGACACAGAGTCGTGTGGAATTTAAATTATTGGCAGACAACAAGGTTCGGCTTGATGTCAACACGGTAAAAAAACAACCTACATTTCCTTTGAAGACATTTTTTGAATTGATTGATAAAACCATCAACTGTCATCATTTATTCATGATTTCCAAAGTTACACCTTAATGGTGGTCCCCTTCTTCATTTGTTTTTGAAATGACATGAAAATTGGATCCTTGCAGTCCAACGAAACCTTACACATCTTGGAAAATATTAACAACATTAAGGAGTCCACAAGAGAATGATGAGTTAATCGTCTGTATAATTGTGAAAACGTTCTCACTAAAGTGTTGATGATTTCCACTTCAACAAATCTATTCTTTGCAAGCAATAAGGGACCTAATTCATCGGCACAGCTTGGATTCAAATCTTTGGTAAATATGATAGGTTCACTGAATACCTCGAACCAATCCAATAACAAATACACTAGAGTCGGAAAAGAATTGCATTTTCGCAGTGAGGTCCAGTCATCATGATTCAAACTCTCCTTGAAAGCTTCAATTTTTTGAAACAGTGAGTCAGGATTGAATGTAAAGAAGTTCACTAAAAATTGAGACAAGTCCTGAGTTGCGAAAATAATGTGTGACATTTTGCTACACGTTTCATGAACAAGCTTTGGAACTCGTTGTAGCAGCAAATATTCAGAGCCGCATGCTTCAGAGGTAAGATCGAGTTTAGAGTAATTCCACTAGTGTTACTTACCAATGATCCTTTGCTTGTCCATAACTGATTTCAAAGATTTGCACACAAAAACTGTTCTATTTTCCATTAGGAATGCTAAAAAATCATATACAAATTTCACTTGGGACTTGGTTTGAATGCTTCCAGGTCGTTTGCTTCTCACAAATTCTATGGCTTTCCGCGAAGAGAAAAAATGCTTGGTGTACACTAAGTAGCAACAAATGACTAGCCCCGTTCTTCCAAGGCCTGCATGACAATGAACCAAGACCTTTCCTTTTTCTCCGTCCATTTTCATTGCCTTTACAATAGCCAACATTTCATCAAAGTTTGGAATACTCATGTCTGGAAATGCAAAATTATAATATGAAACTATGGACGAGTAGCATATCCCATGAAAATATTGAACAGCTCAGCTCATAAAACCTACTCTTGTTTTTCATAAAGTCTTCCTCAGGGTCATAGGAAAAACCAGTTTTTTCCAAAATTCCGTCTCCACAATAAGGATGCTCTCCTCGTTCTTGAAGATTAACTACAGCTACAATATTCTGTTTTTTAAATTGGTCAACAATGTGATGTTTTTGAACCAATCTTGAGGACGGTCGTTGCGAGGCAATTATATTGTCAAGAACGTAATGTGAATTTAAGCCCTCAATGGCCCAATACTTTCGTCGCCGTCGTGGTGTCCCCAATAGGTTGCTTAAACTTGTTTTTTGCAATTCTTTAAGTTGACTTTCGTTTGGGGGAGTTTTTAAATAATCTTCGTATTTACAATTTTTTCCTCCACAAAACGAGCAATGCAGTTTCATAAAGAAGGTTGTTGTGTTGGTTATTGGTACAAGCGCCAGAGTTGAAGGTAACGGATGAAACTCAGTCATTATATTGTGCTTTCTTTTAGCGAGAGGGGCTCCTCTTGGTGAAGTATAATTCATTATCTCTCCCCTACTAATTACATACTTTTTCATGCTGTTGATAGAATTTGAAGTTTTAGAAAAACGCTTTTCCGATAAGGGTTTGGACGGTGCATTATTTTCAAGGAAACATTGTTGATCTTCCGAAATGATTGTGTTGCTATTCATGAATGTAATGGACTCCTCCTCAGCATTCGGAGTGGGAGCGTGGTCACTGTTTTTATTTTGTTTGTCAGCGAATGTATTTTCTTGAATTGTATCTCTTGAAAGGTGGTTGATGATACCATGAGGTGTGGTGAAAGAAGACTGTTGTTGTTGAGGTGTTGAAATTTTATAAGAGAACCCATGATGATGTTGGTGATGGACCGTAGTGGGAGAGATGAAGTAGGAAAAGTCGTTGCTGGCCGTATGATCGGAGAAGCTTGGAGGTCCCGAGAAAACAACCCTTGAGTTCCTTCGGCTTGAAAGAGAGCTTTTCATTGGATAAGGTTGGGACGGTGTTGCTGAAAATGATGACATTTTTTAAGGGCAAAAACATTCATTAACGAGTATGATACTTTGCTACCCCGTTCGGAGTACACATTGGTTCGTGCCAACCTGTTCTCATATGACAAGAAGAAATAACAATGCAGCTCAAAAAACTCAACGTGACGATATGTTTATTCCAACATACATCACATTATTACTTAGGAGCCGCATTAATGACAAAATTGTGAGTTCTCAGTTAGGGGATTGCTTATATATACAGACCACAAGCATGATAGAAATTAAATGTGTACAATCTGACAGATTAATTATCGTAACGTAAAGTCGTGGTTTGTGCACGCACTGCATGACGTTCGAATAAATTTGGTTCATCTGATCATACATTCTGTCTTCCTACCGCGCTTGTGAGCAATTTATTATGCTCAGCCAAAAAGAAATTACCATCTATTGTTGAAACCGCCACCAAATCCTCCTCGTCCACCTCTGAAGCCTCCTCGTCCACCGCCATAACCACCTCTACCACGTCCACCTCTGAAGCTTCCTCCCTTACCAGAGAAGGGATTAAAGGCTGCGTTTTCAATATAATCAGGAACTTCTTGATTTGCATCTTTCAAAATCTTCAACAAGTCTCGGCATAATTTTGAATCTTCCTCAGGATCAAATAAAGCAGTTGCTTGTCCCAAGTTACCAACACGTCCAGTTCTACCGATTCTGTGAACATATGAGTCAATTTCTTTTGGAAGATCGTAATTGACAACGTGTGTGACTTTTTCAATATCCAATCCTCTAGCAGCAACATCAGTTGCAATGAGGATTGTAGAATAACCTTCCTTAAATTGTCTCAAGGATCGTTCTCTGGTTCTTTGATCCTTATCACCGTGAATGACACAACATTTGAAACCTAGAGGTGTTAAATGTTCATAAAGTTGGTCACAAGTGCTTTTTTGTTGAACAAAGACGAGAGTTTTTTCGGTCTTGTGTTCAGACAAGACTTCGACAAGCTTGTCTTTCTTTTCTTTGGCAGAAACTTGGAAAAATTTCTGTGTAATATTCTCAGTTGTACCTCCAATGACACCAACTTGAACAAAAAGTTCATCATGTAAAAAGTCAAGAGCCAATTTTTGAGTCTCCTTTGGGAATGTGGCGCTGTATAACAATGTCAATCGTTGTCCCTTTGGTGGCATACCACTACCTTCAACAATGGAGCGAATTTGTGGTTCAAAACCCATGTCTAACATTCTATCTGCTTCATCCAAAACTAAATATTGAACACCAGACATGTCCAATTTTCCTCTCTGAATAAAGTCATTCATTCTTCCAGGTGTTCCGACAAGAATGTCAACACCACGTTCCAATTGTTTCATTTGATAGCCGCTTGAAGCTCCTCCATAAACAACAACCGTTTTCAAATAAGTTTGGAAAAGGAATTTTCTGCACTCGTCATAAATTTGTTGGCACAATTCTCTGGTTGGAGCAAGGATAACAGCCTTTGGTGTTCCCTTGTATGGATTAAATCTTTTTCTGTCTTTGTGAATACCAGCTTGCAAGAGAGAGTTGATAATAGGTAACAAGAAGGCAGCTGTTTTTCCCGAGCCGGTTTGAGCACAAGCCATCATGTCTCGTTTCGATGTAATGATAGCAGGAAGGGAGTGTTTTTGTATTGGAGTTGGTTTGGTGTAGCCACTCTTGACAATATTGTTCATCAAAAGTTCATGGAGTTGTGCTTCATCAAAAGTGGTGATTGGAGTAGGAGGGTCTCTACCGAAAACCTCGATTGGAATATTCTCGTATTTATCAAAATTAATACCGGTGTTCTTCTTTGCGAAGAGTGCTTCTTCAGGCTCATCATCTCTAACATAGTCGGATGATGTAGCAGCTACAGGAGCTTGACGAGAAGAGTCATCATATCTTCCTCTGTTATAACCACCACCGTTGCTATAGGATCCACCAGAGGAATCGCCTCGTCCGCCTTGGTAAGGCTGATAACGGCTATTGTTGGCTCTAAAGTAATTGTTTTGTTCTCTCATACTAGGGTGGAGTGTGTTGTGTGTTGTTATTTTTTTTCGAAGTCAACAAAAACCTTCCAAGCTCTTGTTGAACACAAACGAATATTCGTTCGTTGCAAGCCTTTTGTTGAACATGTTGCAACCACTTTCATCAGGCTTTTTTACCAAGTCGCAGCGATTTCTTCAGCCAAATTTCTTTGTGTATGATATGAACCAATGAAGGCAGTGTGAGATTAATTGAGAATGTAATGTATGAAGCTAAATACCGTTTCACAAAAAGCAGATTTCTCATGGAAGGTATCCTCACTTTGATAGTAACTTTAGATCAAGATTTCGAACACAGGCCTGTCTCTTATTAAAAAATATCCTCTTCTAAAAGCAAGAGGTGACCCGTTGTTACGTTACCACCCGATATATATTGTTGATATAAACAACATTTATTTAATCCAATACTGTTGTGGGGTGATAAACAGTAAATCCAAAGATGAAAGAATTGGCAGGAAATGATTGACAGAATTGCACAGGATTTTCATCATTGGATCTTTGAACACCAATTGCGCAGCATCACCAGAGATAACACATCTCTCACCAATGGAATTTTTAATTTCCATCGATTTGATAACCACACTGGACAATTTCTCATACGTTAGCATTCCGACCGCAGTGGTGGTTCTAGAACTATTATTATTGATCAACATCCATCCACCATTAATCATGTCACAATACCCAACAAACGGTTGAGTTCCTTGCACGGGATTAATCAAATAGTATCCATTACCAGACCCTCTGTAGTACTTTGAGTGATATTCTTTGCATGTGGTTGGAATATAATTACCAGTAGCCAATTTAAACACATTCATGGAGGTATCAAGCACAATGGTATTTGTTAACTCCTTACTCCTTTCACAATTCTCACCATAGTAGCCATCATCACACAAACAAACATCCATATGAATGCAACTACCATGAGAAGAGCATACATTTGATTCGTTGAATGGAATCCCAAAGCATGACTGCAATTCACATTCCAAGCCATAATATCCATTCTTGCATTGACATTTATCAACATCAACACAATCACCATTTCCCGAGCAAGGATTTTCGGATCTTCCAACAAATTTTCCGAAACATGTTGGTTGTTCACACCTTGGTCCCACTCTTTTTTTACAATATTCATCAATGATATGAATTTCCTGATACAATGAATTGATAAGAGAGGCTACATTGTACATTTTAGTTTTTCTTGCAGCGATTGATGTTGGCGTTCCATACATTTCCTCAACCTGTAACATATCCTCCATCTCCAAGTAAGTCGTGGAAAGATCTGTAATCTCTCTAACCCTCTGCATTCGAATATCAACAATGGACTTCTTATTGAGGAAAATATTCTTTGGCATTACATTCATGTAGATGGACGAAGACGACAAGAAATCAGTCATCCATCTCGAATTTTCAACTCCTTCCACACTTGTTGTACACTCTACAAGCAGAATCCAGGCAGCAGCTGCAGCCACTACATAATACACCCACCCATGCATGAACAATTTTTTCGATCTTGCCTCGAGGACCGTAAATCACGTAGAGATTTACCGTCCGTGGCCTGGCACAACGTTGTGCGGCGTATTTCAGTGTTACAGTGCCGACATCCCAGCTCTTACCATTTCAAGGTTGTTTTGAACTTCACGAGTTGAAAAATGGCCTTCTCCTCAGCTCAAAGATGTGGCCACATCATTTATTCGAGAAGTAACACTTGCACTTCAACATGTATCATCGTGGCGATGCTTTTTGTGTGGTTCATCATCGGTGTGAGTGGACACGCTTACACTTTTTGGAATACTCCTTTATTTATGAAGGAATCAAATGCTTACATGTCATCCAACAATCTCCCTCAGTGTACGGATACATATGTTGATTTAAGAGCCTCTGAAGATGGTATTGCCGGTATTGAATTAATCTCTCGTGCTGCCGAACAACATTTTACCGGTTCTTCTCATCTCTACATTCACTTTAAATTTCAAGTGAATGATCCATGTAAACCGCAAACACTCTTCTTTTGCCCAAAGTTTCAGATCAACGTACAAAACAATTGGTTGTTCTATAGATACGCTACCACCGCTGGACAGATACAAGAGAAATCAATGAGCATGAAAATCCACAAGAACCTCGTTTATGAAATTATTATTTTGAAATCATTCGAAGGGTCAGGAATATGGCTTATAGATTCGATCTCTAGAAACGTTCATTGCTTCTCAATGCTACTCGCTTCGAATTCATCTTTAGGTCTTTCAACGTATGGCATTGGCAATTTCCACTCAGCTCCAAATTTCGTTTTACCTTTTGAGGGTAAAATATTTTCAAGATCTTTGATCACTATTCCTAACACTCTCAATGATCATCAAGGTTTATTTCAGAGCTTTTTCTCATCTGAATATGAAATTTGCAAATTTTATCCCTTGATAGCAGGAGATTCTATTAGTACTACAACATTATTATTTCAACTCATCACTCAACAGCGCAATGATCATGTTGAAGTTGATGCTCATCACCAACTCAATTCCGTGTGGACTTGCTACGGATTACCCTTTAATCATGATCATGTTTGTAACTCGAGAGGGATATGTATCGCCAAGGATACTTGTATTTGCAACGAAAATGTATCCGTTCCTCTTGATGAACAATGTAATTATCGACCTTCTTTATCAAATGGAGTCGAATCAGTTTTCAGACAGAGCGTTGCTTTGAATAGTCCTAAAGTTTTTTGTGAAAAGAACATGGACTGCATCAATGGCAACTACCTTTTTGATTTAATCAGTCCAAGAGAATGGCTTTTTGAGGACGGAAACAGAGACAGTGATGAATACATTTGTGACATATCGAGTACTTTAATCAATCCACTATGTCGTCATAGTTGGTTCGTAAAAGAGCTGGCTTTGAATGTAGGATCATGGACAAGCGGATTTGTACTAAGTAACCCAATATATTTTAAGGATGGCCATGCCGGAATAAGAAGGCTTGATGGCTTCATTATCTTGAAATGCTACTATTGTCGAATTGGTACTGGCTTAAGGTTTAGGGGTAGTTTTCTTTTTTCAGCACATGCTGGATCTTTTGCTGTCATCAATGATAGAAGCATTACACGAAAGTTGGTGAACGATTTCACCTTCAGGGTTTTCTTCCATCAAAAGCATTCTGATTACACAAACGGAAGACAAACTCTCTTTGACTTTGGTTCCCACCCCTATTGGAAAGTTTTATTGGAAAACCACTATTTTATGATCGAATATTTTCCCCACAACCATCCTCTTGTCCGAGTGAATACATTTTTCAAAATTCTGCCAGACATCATGTACCAAGTTGTAATAGTGAAAAGTTCACAAGAGGGCCTTAAAGTTTTTTCTAATGGAGACTTGGTATTTGAAGATCCTACCTTGAAGGAAGATTGGATTCAAACAGAAACACCATATGTAGATGTAATTGGAAAGAGTCATAATAACTCCAACGATTACTTTACAGGAGAACTAGAAAATTTTGAAATTGATGATAGACCACTGGCGATCATTGAAGTCAAAGATGAGTTTTCACGAAACGATATTGTATGTTACGGGATACATCATTGGAATATTTCAAACGTTTGTAGTGGCCGAGGAACATGCATCAATAACGATGATTGTTCCTGTAATTCTGGATATATGGGAAACAACTGTGAATCACGATTAGCTTGTAATGGACTTTTACCAACTGATCCAAATGTGTGCTCGGCAAATGGAAAGTGTATTGCCATCGATTCGTGTGTTTGCAATGCAGACAGAACAGGAAAATTCTGTCAGTATATTTCCGACAGTAATCCCATCACTTCTACTTTCAAAGTTGTGCATCATTCATTTTATTTCAATGGAACCAAGTTAATGATGAAAAGAAGTGTGAGGTACCCATTACTCTCTTCGAGTCCTCCTTATTCTACCATTTTAATTATTGAAATTGATGTGTTATATATTAGGGAGTCCATTAAGGCTAAATATTTCTCTGATGAAGACGCACTTATATCAGACCTGATCAAATATTCCACCTTTGACGATGGAATGGGCATTGTAATTTGGATCGATCTTTCAATGACCAATAATAACTTGAAAACACCCAATCTCTATGTGTTCCAATCGCCACTCCTCGCTACACCCCAACGTTTTATCATTCCCACTACAAGATCGACCCCTGACGTTCCCTTTGGTGGGAATATTTCAGCAATATTCTACGGAGGAGACAACTCTTTTTATACCATCACATTGCTCACGAATACGACCATTGCCATTCATTGTATTGATACCAATGATTTACGTGCACATTGGATTGAGAACTGGCGTAATGATGACATCTCACTTCAATTTATTGAATTGGGCAAAATATTGTACGATGTTGGGAACACAATACGTTATGTCGTACCAATTATTAATGATACTATGCCACTGTTAGAGAAATTAGCTGTGATTTCTATTTCACCCACAAATACCACTGGTATTCCTTACATGAATTACACCACCATTACACTTCCAACCATTGCAACACATTACGACATTTTTGGAAATAATATGCGACTGTATCTATTTGTCATAATCAATAGACACAGTGAAATATATACTATGGATTTTATTTCAGAAAGATGGATTGGACCTGTTGCAATCTTTGATGACATGTTTCTTTCATATGAAGACGATTGTATTTATTCTTATGAAGTGAATCCTCTTAAACTTATTTCGTTGCCAACAGGAAAATCTTTGTTATTTACTGACGATTCATGGATGAATCATACGGTTGTAGACATTAATTTACCAATTCAACTGCCTAAGACAGTTTCCTCACGGTTAGATGATGCCCTCAACACCACGAAGAAATTGGTTAATTCTGTTGCTGTGGAAACGGATGCTAAAGAAAGAGAAAAAGTGCAGTTACGATATCACAACATTTATGTCGATGGTACACAGTTGAAACTTGTAGTAGGAGTTTATAGTTTCGCAAATGAATCTAGCTCTGTATTATTGGATACTGCTCTGACAAGAATTTTAATTCCAAGATCAATCAGAGACGAATACAAAACGGTGAATAGAGTCATCCAAAGTTTAGTTAGAGTCACAATGGATGATCTATCAGGAGACTACTTTGTTGTGGTTGATCCAAGAATTTCTTATGATCAGTTGTTGAATATCTATCGAGTAGCCTTGAATGGAGACATTTCAAGGTATCGCCCTCATTGGGGAAATGGGTCTGAACCTTTGGAAATCATTCATCGAGTGATTGCTGCAAAGCCTGATTGTGTTTATTTGGTGTCAATACATGACGAAGAGCTTGTCAGTCAAACCTCCGTCTCGGTCGGTACAGATGCGTTCATCCGTCCATCCAATGTTTCACTTGTGATCTACAGAATGAATACTTCCAATTCAGAAATTATTGAATTTGTTTATTTCCGACCCGTAAACTACAGCATTACTCTGACGGATTTACTACAAGCAACTATTACACAATTCGGTAATTTTATCTATATTGATATTTTGTCAACTGGAATTACAGAGGATGTTCGCTACATCTCTACCATCTACCTTAATAGCGATTATGAGCTGATTTCCCACGCTTTTTTCAATGCCACCAAACTTAATATGGCCCAATCCTATCAAGAAAAATTTATCAAGTTAATTCGTATCAATGGTGATGAAAGTTATTTATTATTTATCTCTAACAAAGGAACAGAAATTTTCTTAATTCCAACTGGACAAGTGGAGATTGATCTCGAGATTTCCTTCTTCTACATTGCCTTTTATATTGATGAACGACATGTTTTCATTGGATGGATATATCGCCAAAGACACTCATTCATTCTTATCAACCACCATGACTATTTGCTTGTTGTGAGACAAAATGTGACCGATCGTTTTGTGTTCGATCAACGGAGAATTCCATCCAATACCACACAGCTCTTTATACAAGAACATTGTGATGCATTTTCCAATAATAATACAGAACACTTGTGTTCAAACGGTTATTCAGGTTTCAATTGCAACACTCGAGTCATTTCCACCGCTCAAGAGATTACTGCATGTTCCAGTTTGAAAAAGAGCTCGTGTACACCATTTTACAAATTTGAACTGGTGAACGGTACATTGCTGACGCTGTATATCATGTCCAATGGCACATCATATGTTGTAGAAATACCAAACTTCATTATTCCACCTTATATGATCTATGAAAGAAATGAACACCTCCTTGCAAAATATGTAACTGTCAGTGTTGATGGTCATGGATTTCTTTATGTGGTTCTTGGTGCTCCAATCTCCTCTAAAAGAACCATAACCATTTTCCAAATTGCATACATGATTGGTAAAATTGAAAGAATAGTGGAGATAAAACAAATTACAGATATTGAAAATATTCAAATTATACACGGTTACAATGGCTCAACATGGTTTGGAGTTGGAACTGAACTTTCAACTGACTCTTTAGTTATTTGTATAGTTGACACTGTTACTGGTTATGTGATCCGAAGAAAAATACAACTCCATGTACAATTGTCGTTAATTGATTTGGAGCGAGTGACATTCCGAAATGACGTTCAAATTTCAGCTAATGATAATTTATTGACAATCATGGTTCCATTAGTTAGAGATATATTGATCGTCAATGTTGATAAGAATATTTTAATTACTCATTCGTTATTCCGTCCAGAAAACGCGTTCATTAGTAATAATACTTTTGTATTCCCTAGCGTGATCGATAACACTATTATAGTATTATCGTTTGATGATTATTTTACCACATTTATTGAAATTAGCATGAATTACTCAAATCCTAATTCATCTATTGTGAAATCGAAAAAGGAATTTTTTGATTTCATTGTACATACCAAACAGGTGTTTAAGGTATTCTTTAATTATTACTTTGTTGTCATTATTACCGAACACGATTCATTAACGTACGACATTCTGAATGGAGATATTCAAACCTTCACAGCTGAGGATGACAGAATTTCCTTTAGAGAATTTTTCTCTTATGAGTACGATGGTAAATGTTCACACAATTACTTTGGGGAACATTGTGAATATTACAATGCACACTCGAACAACTCTTTAATATCATTACCCAATTTTATCAGTGATGACGATGGTTTTTATTTGGAAATTATGACATACTATCTCAATGACTTACCATATACGATGAAAACAGCTGAAAATATTACTCTATTAACTTTTAATTCATCCACAGAAAATATAGTTTACAAGAGAAGAGCAATCTTACCTCCTCATATACCACAAGATTTGGCATTCATATTTTTGAAACAATTACCAAACAATCTATCCAATATTGTTATGGTACATATGGATCCACATTATGAAATTTCTGTCGTTACATTAATTCCAAAAGATACTAAATTTACCTCCAACATTCAACTTTTTTATACAGGTGGATTTAGTGATTTAGATTCATGGTTTGCCATTGATGTAATTGATAACGTGATTTATGTATTGATGATTGATTCAAGGACAGGTATAACTACTATATATGGCACATGGTCAAGTATGTTGATCAATAGTGAAAATATCATGCATGGAACTACCATTTCAAAAGAGGATAGCGAGGAAATCAGATTTGTTATTCCATATTTTGATGAAAAGACGAACATGATTCGCTTGACAATAATTCATTTTGACTCTCATTACATTGAATTTATTGAATATAATGTCACTATGGTACCCGCAAAAGCACCTTATATCCAAATGATGACAGCAATGGATGGAACAATGTTGTTACTGATGATAGATGTTTCATCTACATTAATATATCAAATAGAAGAGCATGATCACAGTATTGATGTCATGTTGGTTCATGAATTTTATTCCTTCACTTATTCCATTGATATATCAATTGTACAGGATATCATGAATCCCTATATTTGGAAGGTCATAGATGTCGGTAAAGACAAAATGATTACAATTAACTTGTCCTTTAACAACAGTATAACATTGGAAAAGCTGAATTCAACCATTATCTCTGTACTACCTAAGTTCAATATTCTTTCTATGACCAACACTAGTACAGTGGTCTATTTAGATACTATTACTGAATCTGAATCATATATCTATAATATTACCATTCCTTTAAAAAATTATGCAGCAGCAACAAGAGTGAACGATACAATTACAATTACTCTGAAAACTATTGCTATTCATTTTATCAAAGATCATGAGATTCAATTCAAAATCTCTCGTGAACTGTTGTTTATTATTGACGACAGTTCACAACAATTGAGAGACATTGAAGTGAGTTATTATTACCTCTCTATTGATGACATTCGAATAATTGTGATTGATAGAAAGTTATTATATTCGATTTCTGTCTTTTTATTGTATCACAATGACTCTGGTTCATTTGAGAAACGAATGGATTTGATTCCAATTGACAAACCATTTTCTTCTCGGATGAAAATAATTTCTTGTGGTGATTTGTATTGCTTTGGTATTGACATTATTGAGCTCACTTTGGAGATATATAGAATACATATTGTTTCTGGTGAAGTGTATTCATATATTTCTCTACCACTATCAACCAATTATTCACACGATTTAATTGAAAACCCAGCTGTTGTTAAGTCTATGGATAATCAAAGTTTTGTCATGTTGATTCCAATGATAGATGTTGATACTTATAAACAATCCATTCTACAGATTGTTGGTGGGGAATATTTGGAACCTAAGGTGGAATATTTATATTTGAACACAAGTAATGATATTGTATTTATTTCCAAAGTATTTGTTGTTGATTATGAAAACAGTTATTTGGTAACTATTGGACAAAATAGAACAGTCTTCTATAGAATGAAATATAATACCAATCTCAGGTCATACGAAGTTGCGATTGTAGAAACATTGGAAAAGTTTACAGTTACACAACTTGATTTAACTCTTATAGAATTCTTTAAAGATAATGATATGCATGTTTGGTATATCATCAACTACAAACATAATACTATGTTAATTGTGAATTTAATTGTAAACAATGAAACTATTTCATTAATACAAATACCGGAATCTGCAATTAACATTAGCAACTGGATAAATGAAAATATTAAGTCCAACAATAGTGATTCATTTGCCTTTAAGATATATCATGTCAACAATTCAACAACCAACAACTCAAACATGACAAGTAATAGCACATACATCATCACTTCTAATAATACTACTTCCATCAACAATGTTACAACACCAAACAATGAAACGATTTTGAACAATTATACCACTAACAACAATTCAAATCCTACCAATAACAGCATCAACGTTTCCGTTTCCAGCAATTCTACCGTCATCGCTAACACTACTATTAATAATAATGCAACACTATCACAAAATAACACAATTAACTTCACGAACAACACCAATGTGAACAATTCTTCTGATTTGAATAACTTAAACTCTACAAACAACAGCACAAACATTGACCTTTCCACTAATTCTACCATATCACCAACAACCAACTCAAACATCACCACTTTTTATATATGTGATATGTGTTCTAATCGTGGCTTATGTGGTTTGAATGATAGTTGTATTTGCAATGAAAATTACTATGGAAATAACTGCCAGATATCAAAGTGTTTTGGAATATTTAGCAATGAAACAGATGTTTGTAGCGGAAATGGTGATTGTGTGGACACTAATATTTGTGATTGCCGACCAGGATTTTCTGCACAAAAATGTCAAATCAAAGTTTTCACAGCTGAAGCTTGTAGTGGTGAATTTATTCATGCGCTTTCATTGCAAGCAAAGAATAATCAAATATATTTTGTGAGCTTATTATGGGATGGAAAATGTGACAAATCAATAATTTTAGAAGAAACACCACTTCTCCCCACCAACATCCTCGAAAGTGTGGTCTTGAATTATTCGTCCAGTGAAATATTGGACAAATTTGTTTCTTTTTTTGTCACAGACAATGGAACTTCTATTTTCTATGTGGATCCAATTATTATGCCTCCCATTGACAACGACAAACTGAAATTCACACTCGTTCAAGTGATTGAAAATAGAATTAAGGTGAGAATGTTTGGTTGTGGTATCTTAGAAAACGTTACGAATATGGGAAAGATTAAATTGGTACAAAATGAGAATGGTAATTATTTTGGAATTGGTGTGAACAAACAAAATGATACCCATATCAAAATTTTCAGCATTGATTTTGATAATGACAAGTGTAAAATTATCGCCAATATTCCTGCCAATACTACTGACGATCTAATTTCTAAAGGAACAACTGTATTCAACCCAGAAACAAATATCACCAAATTTACCTTCATTGAACAATCTACTGACGATGAAACCAAAACACTTTCAGCTCTGACACTTAACATTAACAATATTACCACCAATCATATACCACTTCCATCTAATTCATCAGGATATTTATCGATCATTGTTTCAAACAATGAAGATCAATATATGATCACTACAAGTGCCAATGGGACTCATATTAGCAGTATCATTCCAAACATTGATGTGAAGGATGTCACTTTTACCGTTTTAGCAACAGATCCTGATTTTACAGTGTCAGAAAATGATGTTCTTAAAGTAGAGGAATCAAAAACTCAAACTTCCATTATTAATACTAATACTCAACTTTCTATAACTATTCACAAGAGATTTTTGACCAAAGTTAATCCCTTAACAGCCGTGAATAAGCTAATTGTTAATGATGCGATCACAGTGACACAAACGACAGAAACTCCGGCATTGTCATTGAAAGTAGAGACTGTTTCAAATACCATTGTCCCAATAACAGGTACTACTTTTTATTTGACTGGTAATTTGGAATTAATAGGAAAACAATCTTTTTTTAAATTGACATATAAGAACATCACGATTGACATCTTGAACATCATTAAAGATGAATATGGATATCGTCGAGTAATAGTTCCAGATTTAACACCCACTTTGGATCGTATTTCAGACATTTTTAAACAAGGAAGTATTCAAATTGGTGGTACTTTAGTTCTCTCTGACAGCTCATCCTCTGATATTTTAATTCCTTCCAATATTGTGTTCACTTTATACATTTTCGAAATTCGAACAATTACACCTGCCAAAGGATGTGTTGGTGATACAATATTCATTAAGGGTACCTATTTCCCTTACACCAATATTTTGGCACGAATTACTCTATCCCATGAACGAGACAATCCAACCACTCTCATTGAAGTTCATGCAGAGTTTATCAACACAACCTTTGTGAAATTAGTGATCCCGAAAATAGAAAAAGAAACAGATACATTTTTGGACATTAGAATTTCTGTGGATGATGGTAAAACTTTCACTCCCATTACTCTTTCCTCCAGCTTTAGATACGTTGACAATAATTCCACCATTTCTCATTCTTTATCAAGTTTCAATATTTCGACCTCTCTTCCAGACACTGTGGGTACTGCTATTATCACACAAACATCTGATGGCATATTATTTTGTCCCAATATCAATGTTACTGCAATTTGTACCACAAACATCTCACGTCCAACGGTTCGTCAAGCGATAACATCTGACGAAATATATCATATAGAACGTGTCATTTCCATTGATGCAAAATTGTCCTATGTTCAAGAATTAACATCAAGCAATTTGTTTGAAGCTTGGCTCACAAATACAAATGTCTCTATTGTGGGTTCGTTGGGAATGGTGAACAGCAGAAAGATGATTGCTTTAAATATATCTACACCTGATCATTCAATGGGAAACTTGAAATATTGCTTGTTTTCTTCCAACAAAAAGTACATTATGAAATTTGTGGCAACAACTTCAAAAGTCACATTTAGTCTACTTGACGTATCGCAAGGAATTACACTCTGTTCGATATCCTACTTGAACGTGAACATTATGGATTATAATAGTGAATATACTTTATCGATAGCACAAAGCTTTAGCTGTTCAGATTTGCGTGCCACAAAAACCTTTGTCCCTCCTATATTGCAACTGTCTGCTGTCCACGAGACATGTGGAACAGAATGTCGGCTAACAGGTATTAGACCAACTCATCGCACAGGATTAGATTCCATTATTATTGGTACATCTGTTGGTGGTTTTATTTTGATCCTTCTACTGGTTGTTGTAGTGATTGCTGTGATTGTGATCATTCGAAAGAAGTATGTCAAGGGCAAAGTGGGTCACTATGTCTATTATAATGGATCCTATGAACAGAACAAGGCAACATTGCAAGATTTATTTAACAGAATTAATGAAATGAATCAAACAGATGATTCAAGCTCCAATAACGAGATTGACAACCTAAAACAGTTTAACTCGTCAAGTGATTTGATTGCTTGGACCTCCCTGAAAAATGTGTAAAACAACATCTCCACACACATTAAATTTGTGATTGAATTTTTATTTCATCCAGTACTTGAGAAAGGAAAAAAGAGTTTTCTTGTTGTCTTGAATTGAAGGTGTTTTGCACAAGAATTGCATTACCACATCTCTCTGAGGATCGTTTGTCGTGGAATAGCTGTTCGTTGAGCAGTAATCACCAACGGTTGACTTAAATTCTGAACTTATTTCGTGCAATTGTTTAAAGACTCTGGAATTTAGAATGCTATCAGATAGTGGATACGAGGAGGATGCAGGATCGAATAAGGTCCCCAGTCCATTTATAAACATCCAGCCTCCTCCCTTCATGTCACAATAAACGGGAAGTGCTTCAACTTCACGAGAAGGCTTCACAAGGTAAATACCATCTTTTCTCTCTCCGACGTTGAAATTGGAGTGGTATTCTTTGCATGTCTTTGGAATGTAATCATCGTTTAGGGCCTTTACAGTTTCATTGTTGTTTACCTTTTTTTCAACAATTTGAACGGACGGATCTGCATTCACATAGATTCGTTTGTCCTTACAAACACTTCCAGTCAAAGAATGAAAACAAATACATTTGGTTGGCTTCTCTGTGTTTCCCAGTCTTAGTCTTTCAGTTCTTTGAGCTTTGGCGCCCTTGTTTGCTTCGTTGAGAAGTAATAACGTCGAATTTAGAACCCTTTGCTTGACTGTTAAATCATACTCAAGGGCAATCATTTGGCGGAACTGTGAAATGGTATTAAACTTGATGAAATCATCCAACAAGGGATTATTGGAACCAACCACATCCAAAGCAATTTTTAGACCCAACCACAACTCTTTCGTTTTTTTAGCTGCCACAAGCTTGTTCTCGAGATGAGTATACTCGTTTTGCATTCGTTCTCGTGCAAGAACCCAGTGATGTGAGGAAGTAATGGAATTGCTCATTGGGTTAAACCCTGCTCCACAAGTCGATGCATCAATTCCTTCCGAGATCATCATCAAACCCATTACCATCATCATACATGCAAGTAAAGTTGAAAACTCCCTTCCAACACCATAAATCTTCCTACTCATCATCGAACACAAGGAAGGTTGTGGAAGTGGGCAGCTTTTTTTCAAGGTGTTCATCATCGCCGAAATCTCCTCCACCGTAATGCCACCATTGAGGTTTGTGCGGGGTTCCCATTGTCCACCCAAATGTTGAGGCACCGTTTTAGGAAGGGTTGGCTGTTATCTTTTGAGTTACCGTCTAGGTTTTACAGTGAAGTCCAAAAGCTCCAATAAAACAAAAAATGACAACCACCTTCCTTGGCAACAACCGACTGTTGCAGAAACCAGTGTGGAGTGGATGTTTGATGGACCTGTTATCTGCGATTTTAAAGTTCAGGTGGTGGTGTGTGGTGGGAGTTTTTTGGTGGCTATGGTGTGGGCAGTGGATGGTGTGGGTCCATGCAAGTGGATTGGAGAGTGCAGCCTTTGTGGACAGAAAAGGAGTGGAGAGTTATGACTTTTGGATCTTGGATCGCATGAAGCAACATTTGCAACGTATTGAAATTGAAAAGGCTTTTCATGAGGAAAAGAGGAAACATGAAAATACTATGCTAGAAAGCTTTGAAAGGGTTCGGAACATCACAATCGGTTCGTGGAGTGCATCAGACATGGATAGATACAGAACGCTGAATAAGAATCGACGTTATGTTCTAAACGAAATTGTTCAAGATTTAGAATTGAAGAAACAAGTGTTGCAAGAAGCCTTGCTGATGGTTTCTTCGAAATTGTTGGACTTGTCCTTACTGAATACATGCTCATGTATGGAGAGGACCACCCTCAATGATTGTCGAGAGGAAGACCAGGTAGTGGGTGATCAGATTCTTCAAACGACAAACTTGGAGAGCCACAATGTTTTCATACCTTCCAACAACAATTCTGCATTGCAAAATGGATATCCAAAAACCTGCAAGGAGTATCTTCAACGATTCGGAGAGAGTCCCAATGGTTTATATCTCGTCCGTCCACTAAAAGATCTCTCTCCGTTACTGGTCTACTGCGATATGGAAGATGGAGGTTGGATGTACATGAACGGTTTCAATTCAACGGAGACTCCGACTACCAACGAGAGAGAGGCCTCTCCTATATCCTTTTCGACTTTTGAAGATCCAATCTTTATGTACTTGTATTATATGGCAACGGAAGTAAGATCATCGATGGGAGATTCTTGTGTAATTGACTCCAGTGATCCAGAGCCACAACAAGACGTGATTATGCAGAAGCTGTGCGACAGATTATCACCAACAGGCCAAAATTTGAATGGTGCTGTTAAATATTGGATCAAGTAAATTTACCAATATGGTTTCAGATCAAATCATTATCACTCCACAACAGGCGTTTTCAAAGAGTGACACTTACTCTTGATTACAGTCATCGAAAATCTTTGCCACAGCGACAGTGGTTTATTAGAAAATTGGGAAACTCGTTTGGGTGAAAAAGTTGACATAGGTGGTGTCCGAGTTCATGTATAACTCATTGTGATCGTTTTGTCCAATGGAATAAATCGTATTATCTGAAAATATTAAATGGACTGCATAAGGGGTTGCACTACAAGAGACAACCTTTTTACCTTGAAACACGCTCATCAAGTAAGGTTCTGAATAGGTCGTATAAGAACTTTGACCTACACCTCCGAATAAATAAGGTTCGCCTTTTTCGTTAATGAGTACACCTCCGCAACCATGATCTTGAATGCAAATAGAAGAAGCAATAAATCCTTTTTTGGAGGGATCGATGAGACCTGGTTTGTTATTGGGATTCAAAGCATCTGGAGTTCTTTGTAAATTGTCATAGCCTTGATCACGTCCCCAAGAATAAACCTTACCGTCGTAATCGATGGCCATGAAAAATTGATAACCAGCATAAATCTTTGCAAACTTTACGTTTGACGCAACTGGCTGCCAGTTGGTATCAATGAGGCCATTAGGGTCGCACCGGTTGATGAGTGTACCATCACCACATTGTCCACTGATTGATCATTATTAAGATCATCATAATTAAAATATAAATATAAAAGGTCATGAATACCTACTTGTCACAAAATCCTGTACAGTATGTCTATGTTTGGATGATGATTTCAAATGTTACAACAACAACTTGTTTACGTTTAGAAATAACCATCTCTTACCTTTTCATCAGTCATTGAAATGGCGCAATAGGTGTGCCTGTTGTTGTAATCTCTTTTCCAAGACATTGCAAAATCTGAAATTCTGTGATTCACACCCCCTACTGTTACTTGAAAAGGAAAGACCTTGTTGGCAGTCCACCATGCACTATATCGTCCCCAAAGGTACATATTACCTTCTGTGGAGAGAAGAAGACATTTGCCATAATCATAAATGTTGACACCATTCTCTGACCAATGAATATGAGTGTAACATTTAACCTTTTGAGGAGTTACTGCCTCTGTTATTTGTCCAAAGTCGACCTTCTTCATGACCCACACAGGTCCAGTTACGCCATTTCCATAGCCATGTGCATTTCCTGGATTGGAACCCCATCCCCAAAATTCATTCTTTGCTGTCCATACATAAAAACCGGAACTTATTGGTAAAATACCGATGACTGGTGTACCTTGCAAAGGAGATAGATCCACAAGGACAGGTTCGGAAAGGACTCGTTGAGATGTATCGTAACCCGGCTCAGAACCCTGAAAGCCATTTGATGCATCACGGTAGCCAATGTATCCAACACTTCCGTTGGCCATTAGGAAGGCAGTACCCGCATGATTGGTAAAAATTAATTGCCTCTCAATGTTTGGAAACCCAATGGAGGTCAAATTGGCTAACATTAAATCCATTGACCTTTGTAAGAGGGTAAGCTTCATGGCTAAAGTACTTTCATATCGAACCAATTCCGTATATTGATCATTGGAAGTGGCATGCAAGGCATTTAGTTCATGGTGAGAGAAGCCTGGAAGGGAAACATTAACACTTTGCATCAAATCAGCGGCTTGTTTCAAACCCAAAACTCGAGTTTTCACTGACTGAACCTCAGCCATTTGCTTTTTGATTAAATTCCTTTGCATTCGAATGTTTTGGAGAGTTTTGAAAAGACTTTCAGCTGTAGATTCTGCGAAGCAACTTGAGTTGTACGCATTCAAGCACACAAACAAACACACCAAGGCCCACAAAAATCCTCCACACCAACACGACCAAAGTTTCATGATAATTTTTTTTTCAATACCGCAAAACATCCATTTACGGCTCGTCGGCAAATTAATTCTGCATCGTTTCTTTCCAAACCAAGTTCATTACGGCCTACGTTACCACCGTAATGCAGCTCAGTTCAGAAAAAAATGGCCAAAAGAGAAACTCAATGGGTGTTCGTGTTGTTGTTGATTGTAGTAACAACCAACTTGTTACTGGATGTGCATCCTTGCTTGGCAACCTTGACAGAGCTTATTGAGAAGAGGAGAAATGTCGCTTCGAGCTTGGAGGTTGTACAGGACCAACTAACACAAGTTGCTGCATCTAAACGAAGTCTTTTGGGTATGAGAGATGCTTCTATGGTTGTTATGGCAGACTCCTCCTTTGTGTCATATGCTTTATCGGATGTACTTGGAGTGAAGAGCATTTCAGACAATCAAATTCAGGTATTGAACGACCATGAGAAAGATCTCACATTGCGAATGAACGTCCTGCAGAAAAGTCTAGAACTTTTGGACATGGAAATTGCAAATGCTTACAAGAATTATCCAGCACCGTTGAAGAGATACGCCGCAGGATCTTATGGCATTTCAGTTATCAATAATAATGGAACTCTTCAATATTGGGGCTATTATCACACCAGTTATGGAATGGGCTTCACTGATCCAACTCTTGCCAACGGAGTTTCCATTTCACAACCAAGGAATGTGGACACTTCTCCAATGGGTCCTCAAGCAATTACAGAGGTTCACGTGGTGAGAGATAGGGGATTTCTTGTTCGAACGGAAAACAACACCTTATATGCATGGGGCGACAACACGAATGGAATGTTGGGAGGTTAGTGTGATATACTTTTTTGATGATGAGAACAGTTGTTTTGTTCTTATTACTTTGTATAATTTATATACATTATAATGCAATCTCTATTTTAAGTGGGATCCACAAGTGGTTATATTTCAAGAATGATGAAACTTGATTTTGGTTATCTTCAGACAGAGAGAGTAATTCCAAAGAAAATTGTTACAACAGACACGGATTTAACGGTCTTTGTTACTGAAGACGGAAGATTATACTATTCGGGAGCTTTTCGTGTCTATTCTCCAGTTCCAACTTCTAACACTCCAAAGTTGGTGTATACTATGTATAACAATCAACAGTTGAACGTCATTGAAGTTGCATTTGACTCTGGAGCCTCCTCCTTGTGTGTTATTTCCGGTAACGACTTTAAGGTAAGTCCTTTAAACAGATGTTGTTAATTCTTGTTTGAAAATGAATCATATGAAAGGTTTACTGTATTGGAGAGAATAGTCTTGGAACACTTGGAGATGGAACCACAACAGCCAGAACTGGAGCCACTTCTTTCGACAATTACTTTCAAACGAAATGGGTTCCTGTGGCTTCTGACAAAACTTTCCTTAAAATTTATGGTGGCATTAATTGCATGTTTGCAATTTCCACTGAAGGAAAACTTTATTCATGGGGTCAATCTAACAAAATCATTCGAGTCCCAGATGCCAGTAATCCACACTCAAGACCTGGCTTGGTTCCAATGCAAGCTAATATCATTGTTACCAATATTTGTATGCCACAAAACTTTTGGGCAGAAAGTAATACTTACATGGTTGTGGTGGATCAGAATAGTCAACCTTACGTATTGGGTACTTATAATGGTGAAACCTTCACCTCTCCATACGCCATTGGTCTTTTTAAAGGAAAGAAAATTACAGGATGCTCTTTCACAAACTATGTGCAAATCATGACCACAGATAACGGAATAATTCTTGCAAGTGGTTACAACAATTACTTTCAACTTTTGAGAGGGCAAGGTGATTCTATTCGTTATTGGCGAGATGTGGTCTATCCTTAATAAAATCAGGGCTGACTTGTTCGAAACCAATAACTAAAAGCATCATCAGTGATGCTTCATTAAGTTATATGAGTGTATCAAGTTTGATGTCATTTTGAACTTTCTAAGAGTATCGTCATTCTTGTCCGAGATATTTGAATTTTTGTTGGGCAAGGAGGAGGAACCAAGTTCTTTAAGCTCTTGTCAAAGCAAGGAACAAGCTTGACATTACAAGAATTGACAAGTGTGGATTAATTTATCACAGTGGAGAGAAGGTTACATATGATAAAGATCCAGTCTTGTGGAATGGTCACTATTAAACTGCTTCACTTGAAGAACTATATGGCCGTCTTTGTTTTTGAAGATTCTGAATCCGTGGAATTCCTTCATTGATTCATATCATACGCAAAGAAAGCAATCGTTGATCATTATGTAAATATATCAGCCACAGCAGTCAAGTTTTGTTGAGAAAATTTTGCCATACTGAATATATTTTTCGAAATTTCATAAATACAATGTCCTTTCTTGGTCAGGACTGCATGATCAGAGAAAATATTTGCGGTACATCATCATTATCATATTGTCAAATCCTATCACTGAGAGGAGTGTTATAGGTTTCATTTGGATGAAATAATATTCTCAACATGTTTCCTGCTTTCATAATATCAGTAATGGCTTCGTTTAAGGAATTTCTTTCATTCAGTATAATACAAATTGGAAAGATCAGTTGTAGCATAGTTTTTCTTGAATTTTAAATTGTCTCCTGTTTCCTTATTACTGCTGCAACAATTGGAATGCATAATGGAATTGTATCATCGTTAACCTTTGAAGAACGTTTTAACATTCCCAATACATCAGGACCTCATTGTGGTATGGACGGACTAAAAATTGCAGTGTATTATGTTAATGAGAAGAGATGAATTGAAGTCAGTATTCAATGAATCTTTGGAAATTTCTGAATCTTCAACATAATACTTTGCATCTAATTATCGTTTTGCAAATAAGTCCCTGGGAATTGTTGTTTAAAGAATGCAAAATGGTTCAAAGTAAATATACAGAAGTAACTTCTTTCAGAGAGAGGTGAAATATCACCAATATTACTCAATTGCTTGTGCGAATTTAAAAACCAATCACCATTAGATCCATCTGTTTGAAGAGTATTCAATAATCTCATCCTGTCTATTGGACTAACAATCTTATATATTTTGTTAGTATTATCAAAAATATAACTCAATCCACGTGTTAGCAAGAACTTGGAAGCATCTATGACAATCTCACTCAATATATCTGTTTGTGATGAGACAACACGCCAAGCTTCTGGTAAATTTGCCTCTCCAAGAAAGGCTAATCAATAAAACAAACTCTTATATAAAGGTTTGTCAATTTTTTCTTGTCCATGACCCTCTCTGTGAAAAACGAGGGTGCAAAGATTTGTATATACAAACTCTGTAAAAGATCTAAGTTGAGATGTTGAGTGTTTTTGTAACTCTAGATATAATTGTTGAAATAATTCTTCACTCGTCTGGTTGATTGTTCATAATTATTTCTATAAGCTTCTTCTACCATTTTGAAACCTCTATTCAAGATGTATTTACATAAATATAGATTGCTCTTTTTAGTGTTAACAATAATATCTACCACAATCAAGTATGACTTAATAAAATTAACACGGTATATCCTTTAGAAATTAAATGATATGCAAAGTGAGTTTTTCCAGTTCCAGGTGCTTCTATTAATGCCAACACTGGATAAATTATACCACCTGAGATGATAAATTCATAATGTTCATCATATTTGTTTGCAGGAAATGTAGGACCTAAATCGCAAGTTATGGCCCAAGAGGATAAGGTTATTTCATTATTGTTTTTTGTGTCCTCTTTCTGGTACAAATAGATTGGAGAATCAGATTTGTCGAGTTGAATCTGTTTCATTATCTCATTGAACTTGAATACAGATTCTTTTTCGTTTCTTGAATAGGTTTGGGCATGTTTATCAATTATCAATTATCAAAATCATCCAAAACTGATTGGATAAAAGTAGAGGGAACAGTAGAGATTTCCACAGAGATTTGTCCACCCAAAATACAATAGCTTGGCAAGTATCGGAAAGTGAAAGAGTCATTTGCAAACTACTGTCTTTTAAAGCGGTCTTGAGTTGATCAATGGCATACTTAATGCCCTCTATCTTGATATTCTTAATAATGTTGTGGAGAGATGGCATTTAAAACCAGACTCATATAAGGGCCTCATATCATCCGCTGAAAGCCCAGCACCACCTAAAGATTCAGGAAAAGTCAACATGGATGCCACTTGTTGGGAGTTCCAATTCTGGTAATCATTGAACTTGAGTGTTTCCCGTTGTTCGCTGGAGAACGATGAAGATAATGTTGAACGATTGTTGGCCTTATCATAAACACTACTTGGCTTTTGTTGACAGTTCTTTTCTCTTCAACCAATTTGTAGTAGTGTACGAACGTATTTGGCCAAATGTTCTAATTGTTGGTTGTTGTTGTTCGGTATCACTTCATCTTAAACATCAAATCATCATCATATTAATAATTGAAAATTAATTTGTTTGATGATGGAGTAAAATTAATATCACCATGATGATTTCTTGTCAGATATTCAACATATTTTGTTTTAATGATGCTAGCCGAACGATTGAATGTGCGCTGTTGTGGCAAATTGAGAATTTTTAAATTTCGGTTGTAGCTGCATGTAACTCCAACTGCATGAAGCTGTTTGAAGCAGTTCACAAGTAGACTCATCTTGGTCTTCTTCACAACAACAACGATTCGTCCCCAAGACCATGAATCGTACTGAGTACTTGTCATTGTATCTTTCAACACAAACTCAACAGCCTTCAGTTAATTAATCATCACCCATTCATCAATTTTGCCAATTCACCAATAAAAAATGAAGAGAACATTTGAGGATTTTGATGACGATGATGTGCCTCTAGATGAAGATGCTGTCTCCTCTTCTGAAATGGCAACTCCTTTGGACGAATTACCTCCAGCTTTAGATTTAAAAATTGAAGGAAAAGTACCTACACTCCACAAGAAAGCCAAAACTGAACAAATGCTTTATAAATACCACAAGTTTTTGCCAAAGGAACTCGTAAAGGTTATTCCGGAAGAGAGTGAAGAGTGGAGGAAGGAATTGATGCAACACTTTCGACAATACACTCCCGATGATTTAATTGTTGAAAACATTCGCTGGGAACATTTCGATTATTCTCTCATGCTATTGAAAAGATACACCGAGATTAAGTATCCTCTGTTACTTTCCGAAAAAGCCGAACTTTGCAAAATTCTATTTAATATTCTCAAGATATCAAGCAAAGATAGCTATAGCGTAGACTTTTCAACCCAGGTAAAGTGCTGTTATGGATTATCTTCACTCCTCAAGAAAAGTGAATTATTGGATGTTACATTTGATTGGAAGGTGGTTTATGACATCATTGACAAAACCTACTTCACCAAGTTTAGAAATGCCTTGTATAGCCCAAGAGAACACGGAGCCGCACTGGTTGACTTGATCAGAAAGTTAAAGAGATACTTCACCGAAGATTCCACGTATGAAATGTTGAAATTCTTCAGGCCCATGTTATGCATTAATGACCACAAGATTTTTCAAGCACAAGCTTTTCTAAGTATCATGCTACCAACCAAATTGGAAGGTCCAACATCCAAAGATCCATTGACATTCAAAAAAAATCACTACGACCAGTGGGTTGACGAGTTCTTTGGTATTTGGGATTGGATTGGGTTGTATCCTACTTGGGATTTGAGCTTTTTCACATTATTCGCAAATCTTGCGCAGGATCAAGCTGGCTATGTCGATTGGGAGCCGTATACACTGTTCATTTTCACAAAGACCATGAAATGCTTTGACTTACCCATTGGAAATACTCCTGTTGCATCGAATTACGAAGAATATCCAAATGATGAATTGAATTTATTAACTCCATTTGACATTGCAAAGAATTTACTTTTGGCAAATGCCGCCAAGCTAATAGTTTGGATGATTTCAAAGAAGTCTAACGCCCTGAAACTTCTCAACCAGCTCATCAAATCAGTTTCAAACTTTTTCCAGCCTTCCAACGAAGGACAATGGACAAGCAAATGTGCAGACTTTCTCTTAATTCTATGTACTAAATTTGGAAAACGTCTGGATATAGAAAGAGGAATGAAGGGATTCACAGAAGAAACATATTCAGCTTCAAAGAATGGAGGTTATCAATGGATCCCTGAAGAATATAGGTTGACGGAGGACGACTGTAAAGAGTTTGTTAGCATTGTTCAACCACTTGCAATGACATCATTGTTTTCCAAAAGTAATCAAATGACTACATGTGCAAACCACTCTCTAAAACATTTGGCTTATATCCTCCCGCAAGAGGTATTCCCTTCCCTTATGGAAAGAAGTTTTTATGCGTTGGAGACTCTCACAAACACACATCAAACAATCTCAGCCCTCGAAACTCTCTCTCTGGTTGTATTCCCACTCCTGAAATATTCACTTTACCCAGACGGTGCCAACTATCTTTCTAATTTATTGCAATTAACTCTTCCTGGTATTGATGTGAATGATAATGCCAAGACGTTCTCTACTTTAAAATTTTATACTTCACTTTTGGTTTGTGTACCTCTATGTACAACAGGAGCATCACAAGGCGATAGAACTCCTCCTGAGGTTGTGCGAGTATTCGAGGATTGGTCAATCGAGCTCTTGGAAAGGATTTTTAATGTACTGTCTCATCAAACAGATCCAAAAACTGCTCAAGGAGATACTGATGTTATTTCTCCAAGCATGTTTTGGGGTTTATGCGACTTACTATTCAATCAAATGTCGACAGAATTATTGGACATTTCTCTCAAGAGAATTTATAACTTTGTAGATTCTAATTTTTTATTTAACGCAAAGAAAAACATTGCTCATATGTGCTCTTCCATTGCATATGCGTATCCAGAACAAACATTGGCGCTTTTCATTCCAATGCTTTATAAAAAGCTTGTAGATAGGGATGGAAAACGTCTCAAGAATTTAACAGACATGGAAACCCAATATTATTTACAAATTCTAGGCCAAGTTTGTTATCGAACAGGTGCTCATCTTTTAAAGTATAGACAACAAATTGAGACAGTTATTTCTCTTTGCTATATTTCAGAAAAAAAGAAGGTGGTAAAGATATGCGGAAAACTATTTAGAAACGTTCTAAGGTCATTAACCAAATACTACTTGTTAGAATTGAAGTCAGTGAATGCAAGCCAATGGAGCACTGAAGAGTTTAAGAATTATCATCATTGGCAATCATGGGGAGAATTTATTTCGCTTGATGAGTTTGAAATTAATTGGCATGAACCTACTCAAGAAGAGCTACAATTTGCCATTGAGCTGTGCAACAGATACTTGACTGACTCTGTTGCCAACATTAATGCATGCGTCGCACTCATGAAAGAGAAGGGTGGTAATATACCAGATATTCAGAAATTGAAGAATCACCTTATTTTTATCAGATATGCAATGAGAGGAGGCAATACTCTTTATCCTGAGATTGAAAAGGGAGTAATGGAAGAAATGAATCAATATCCATCTTCTAGATTGATAGATGCTGGCTTGTGTGTCGCTGCAAAGTGTAAGTCAGTAACCTTGGCTTCTAGTTACGAACAAGTTTGCGACACTTTGCATGATCTTACTGAGGTTATACTTGAGCATCGATCCGATAAGGACCCTAATCTCATTGGTAAGATTTGTAAAATATTTTTCCCAATGATAGCCATGAGAGGAGGAAACACTCGTTACAGATACAAGAAAAAGAAATCTTCTCATGAGTTTGTCAAGCAACACAGCTACAAAGATGTATACTCGACTACATCAAACAAATATCCTAGATATTTATTATTGATTCAAGCCTTGCTGGAGTACAAGGTTAGATGTGTTATTCATAACGAATCTATTCCATACACCAAATATCATCAAAGGTTACTGGATGACTTACTTCGTCTTTCGCTGCATTCATACTCTGAAGTCAGAAAACGTGCACAGTCCGTACTCATGTCATGCATTAACAAATTCTCTGATAAGGTTATTAAGAGCTTCCTTCCCAGATTGATTGAAGTTTTAGTTGATAAGAAATCGACAGACGAGCAACGAACGGGTTGTATTTTCATATTGGAAAAACCTTTTGCCGTTTCTTGTGTTATTAGAGACTGGGATTTATGCTCCAAGTTTTTGCTTGCACTTTTTCAAACAAGTCATATCGAGAAACAAAGCATTCAGCAACGATTGGCTCAATTATTTGAAACGTACTTCAATGCATTCTATCACATTCAGATTGCCAACGAAAAGGACAGGCAAAAGTACGAACGTATTATTTTAGAAACAACAGAGATTGCTAAAAGTAAGGGAGGCTGGCACTGGAAATATCATACATTTGCTAGCAGTTTTTTAATGTTAATGATTAGACCTGACCAATTATTCCCAGTCGAAGCTGCCAAATTCTTTTTCAAACAGATGATAAGTGATTTGGAGAAGTCCAGAATTATTGCATGTGAAGCAATTAATTTGATTCTTTGTCAATACAAACCTGTACAAAAGAAAAAGCTCATTTCTCCTCATCCAACTACAGTCAATAACACCCTTGATTGGGGTGCGTTGGGTATAGATTTTGAATCTGAAGAGAATTGGAAGAAATCCAATTGTTATGAAAAGAATTACTTTGGATGGTACACACTCCCAGACAGAGTGGAAGTATATGATTATGAACAACCAAAAGATTGCTCCAAGCAAGCCATTATCAAGAGAGAATTGCAACCAATTCTGCTTGAGGATGATTTTGTCTCTAAATTTATTCGCTTACTGACGCATAGAGACGATGGCTTTATTGAATCCAACGCTCAGTTATTTAAGGGCTTATTTCAAGTATTTCCCTGTGAATCCGGGTCGCAAGGCTTTCTTGACCTTTGCAAGCCTCACATTGAATCAATACTCTTACCTATGGTTGGCTCTGGTGGTCCTGAAGAGGTTCACCATGTTGCATTGATATCAGAAATTGTTGGAGGCTTAATTCGAGGAATGAAACATTGGGACTATTCTCAACAGCAACGAGCCATTACAGAATTTATCATTCCAGTGTTCGACAAAGTATTGGAGCAAAGTTCTACAAATAGCGTGGGAGAAATTTCTGAAGGACTGGAGTTTGCTATTTGCGATAAGGATATAAGAAGGCTGGGATGGCTTATTCGATACATGATTGAAAAAACCAAATCTTCTCTTCAAAAGAAAGATGTTGAGGCCATTCTCCAAGCTAGATTTTTGAAATATTTATATGGTATTGTTGGAGAAATCAGTTGGAGATCTCCTTACTTACTACGCTTGTTATTGGATGAATTGTGCTCCACTACCCTTCATCATGATGCTGAACTAGTTAGGGAATATGTCGGTTTATTCGTTTCGTTCATTTACAAGTCATTATGGAATCCACCTCGACTTGAACATAACAAGTTGCCATCCTTTACATTGCTCAACATCACAAATGATGAGACGCAATACGATTATTTGAGAAAATTCAATATCAATTTATATGAACATCTTGAACAACAGGAAAAGTTGATCAAAACCATGCCACATGACAGCCCAGAATTTGACAAGAAGTATTCAGAATTTAAAAATTTAAGCAAAACTGTGTTAGCAATAATTTCAGGGTTGTTTAACTCGAGCTCTCCTCATTGTGGCTCTGGAGAAATCACCAATTATATCAAAATCATTTCCACAATTTACGAGCATACCACATCGCAAGACGATGATTTACAATCTCTATGCCAACATGATATTATATCACTCTCTGCATTCTCCTTTTCCAAACTTTTAGCCAACACAGTGATTACATTTTTGTATGACGAAATTGTCGGAAAAGATTCTGCAACTTTTGTTAATTGGTCAATTAGAAGCGCATTGCTTGAATTTCTTCAAATATTTGCATATAGACAAGAATTTTACTTGACTGACAAACTACCTAAGCTTTTCGAAATTATTACAACCATGCTTAGAGATCAACAGCTTGAAGTAAGACAAATGGCTGCAATTACACTTTCAGGATTTCTCAAAATATCCAGCACAGAATATTCTGAGAAATTAATTCCAGAATTCAAAGAAAAAGCATTCAAGAACAGAAATGCCAAGATATCATCGGACAAACTCTCTTCAAAGGAGACAACTGAACGTCATAGTGGTGTTCTTGGATTATCTGCTGTTGCTCTAGCATTCCCATACTCTGTTCCTGACTTTATTCCTGACATGCTTTGCTCACTGGCTAAATTTGCAAATGACAGTGTGCAATCGATAAGAGAGACCGTTAAGAAGACATTCCAAGAATTTGTGAAATGTCATTCAGACATGTGGCAAATTCACCAACAAAAATTTACGGAACAGCAACTTGGAACATTACATGATCTCTTCCAAACCAGCTCTCCTTCGTATTATGCGTGAGTTAATAAACTTGTGTGTCGTTATAACATTGAGATTATAGAACATGAATATTGATGGGAGTAGGAGAGATAGTGAATGTGTTTGTTGGCCATGGATTATTAAGGCAAATGGCAATTAGCACAAAAAAAAATGCTTAATCCGTTATGGATGGCTGAAGATGAGATCGATCATCCTCAAGCCGAACCAACGCACAACAACAGAAAAGAACTTCGAAATGAGGAGGATGAGGATATACTGGATCAATTCAAAAAGCTGCTGCGTTATTCAAGGAACACTAGCAAGCATAATTTTAGAAGAAATATGGCCAAGACCGAGAATTCCAGCAAGTTTTTATGGATCAAGCCCCAACAAACGTCGGAGTGGCTAAATTCAGTGGCTTCCCTAATGATCAAACGATTGAATATGGGAAAACCGGTGACCCAAATACGTCCTCACTTTTTAACGAGCTTGCTTGGTCCATCTTCGTGTTCTCATTTCTCTTCAACGAACATTCTTTATGCAGAGGTCATGACTTCTCGCATTGTTGAATCTTTGAAAAATAGCCCAAAACCACAAACGCTGGTTCTCCTCGGAAAGACGAGAGAAGAAAGAATTGATGTGATCACCCAAACTTTGGATAAACTATTCTTCGAGTGCACAGCTCAAAAGAATAGCGAAGAACTCAATAACAGCCCGAAAGCTAGAGAAACGGATGGTGGGTATCGATTTTCAAAGTGCATTCTTTCCGAACAATTGTGCCTCCTGTATAAACTCGGATCCAGTCGAGATGTTTCATCACCATACGGAATGATAAAGCCGAGTTTTGGATTTAATATTACTCTCACTTTCAAAAGGGGTACTGACACGTATCAAGTCAATCCTTCAATCATGGATTTTGATGTATTAGCGTTTTTATTTAATCGATATGAAATTGAGTACATATTAAAAAGAAAGACGAATCCATATCAAAGCTCAGTTCGTCTAATACTGGAACATTTCGAAATATTTAAAGATTTGCTTTGTGCTCCAACAAAGATGATAGAACCGCTTCTTGGTCATACGTTTATTGGATTAAAACATTTCAGTTTCATAGAGGAGCTGAAAAAAGACACTACTAACGCAGAAGCTAAATTTTATGATTTACTCAAGAATGTGAAACGAGCTCTCAAATGTTCTACTCGAGAAATTAATGCTTTTTTGAGGGGTCTTTCAATGGTATTATTACTCATCGATATTGATGACAGATCTTCCGTAGATGTATTCAAAGAAGGATTAAGAATGGATATGGAAAGGCATATTGAAACCTTTGATAGCGAATTGTTGGCACATTTGTGTGACATACTGCAAATGGAAAGATTTGAGGTGCTGAAAAACATGAACTCCATGATCAGCGGAAAAGTTTTACCAGGTACCTTCAAAAGTAGTACAGATTTTGCGTGTGTTGTGTACGAAGCAATTTTCAGATGGGTTGTAGAAAAGGGACACCTTGCTTCAAAGTCCTTCACGAACATCGAAGAAGCAGAAGACGAATTGGAGCCGGATCAGCTGTCTGCCATTCATATAATTAGTTTGCCTGAGCTCGCTCATAATAATTCGTTGCATTATTTTGGTGATTTATGGTGCAATGTTAGTAGCGAGCATTTATACTCTTGGGCTTTACAGTATCTTATTGAAGACATCTCATCCATTCATACCAGAGAGGGGTACAAGCTTACGGATCCTCTTGTGGACGTCCTAGAGAAGTCACCAAGTCGAGAAGTCATAGACTTTTTATTGGGAAGCCAAGGAATATTATGCACATTCCCCGCTTTGTCTCAACAATCAGCCTATCAAGAAAAGTATGAAGCGATTGATAGTATTATTCAATATTTTAGAAACAATTCGTACTATGGGTTAAGCTGTGTGAACATATGTAAGTCTGATGAAGACCATCTTGTTATCGACCACTCATTTGGTCGATTTGAGTACAGTATGGATGCAATCTTTCCAACGGCTGTGAACGAAGCACCGGAGTATCAAATAATTCGTAATGGAATACCCTGCGTTGATATTAGCGAAACTCATAAGGAGTTTTTGGCAAACATGAAACAATTATTGAGCTCAACGGCCTTAAATGCGGACCCTACATTTCTTACATTTTGTTATTTGAACACCTCCAGCTCAACAGACACACAATTAGCAGAGTCATCATTTTCCAATTTGACCTCACAAATTGCATGTAGCGTGCTTTCATTTGTTGCAGAAACAAATGAAAAATCTTTCGATTATGTTCTCTCTCCAACCACATTTTGGAGAACATTCAATAGCTTAACATTCAAGCTACAGTTTTTAAAGGATTCCAACACCAGCAAACGAAAAGACATGGTGTCATTAGCCACAAACGTTTTGCAGCATTATCTAGGTTCAAATCATGACTCTAACGACAAGCTGTCCTACTTTGTTGGGAAATACAACATTTTAATGAAAAAAGATGCCTATGATTTTCTCAGGAAAAGGGTTCTTCAAATAATGGAGGAAGCAGCATTAGTAATTCAGCGACAATGGAGATTAGTTATAATAAGACGACAAATTTTCAAATCTCTCAGAGAATTAATATCTAAGAGAAGAGATCCCTTAAGAAAGAACGACGTTGCAAACGAGGATTCTAAACCAAATGTAACAACAATGGTTGATGACGCACGTAACACATCACAACCAACTCCTATCAAAGAAAGAAAAAAGAAGATGCAAAAATCGTACGCCTATAGTTTAATGAAGAGAAAGGAAAACACAAAACATGGAATTGACAAATCTCAGCTACCCCAAAAAGCGCTAGTTAAGAAAAAGTCATCATTATCAATCTCGCAAAACAAACCTGTAATTTTATCACGCAACGAAAAGGTCATTGAGAGTGTAATTGTAATTCAAGCGTTCATACGTGGTGGTTTATTGAAGAGACAAATTTCTACGCTTGAGCGATTGGCTGTGATGCTTCAATCCTTGTACAGAGAGAGGAAATATTCTGAAATTGAAAAAGAGCTTCGTAAGCGAAAATTTGAAGTCATCAAACGGAAAAACGAGCAAAAGAAGAATGAATTTGATAGACAAAATCGAGCTGCACTTACCATCCAACACGCATGGAAAAAGTTTAAAACAAGATATTTCCACACACATTTGCTTGAGGCAGTAATCATCATTCAGAGGGCCTGGAGAGCGTATAAGACGCGAAGAGCAATCGATTTAGCTCTTAAAAACAACAAAGCCAAACGTCAGCAAGAAAAAAGAAGGCTAGATCTTGAAGATCGTGAAAGAAAGATTAGAGAGGCTGAATCAAGAATTGCCAAATACTCTCAGGAACTGGAAGAGAAACAAAAACTTTTGAAAGAAGAAGAGCAACGTCTCATGAAAAACCAATTCATGGAAAGAAAACAAAAGGAGGAGAAACTATGGGCAACGGTTTCTGAAATCAGTACCAGCTTGTTACTTTCGCGTGGTAGTACCTTAAATATTACTCACGGATCGTCTTCGGGCAGTGTTAGCAGTATGACATCTTCTCAAGACGATAGATGCAGTAGTGAAGGATCTCCGAAAAAGAAAACGTATTCAGACTTTTTGAAAGAAACCTATGGCAATGCTCCGGTCGTCAAGCTCAAAGAAAAAACCCCTAAAATAGCAAAACAGCATTCCTCCAATGTTTCTCCAAAGAAAGAGGTAAAAACACCGAAGAACGTGAGCTCCTTTCGAAAAAGTTTTCTCAATACTGGCGCTAGTAGCGGCGATAGACACGGAGTCACAACAAGTGCGTCGCCCAAACCTCCAACAATTCCCAAACTTGCGCTCAATAAGATTTTCCTTAACAATACAACACATGGCATGACGTCCATTAAGAAACAACAGTCAAAAACTGTATACGCCACTCCAGTACAAGAGAGCAAAAAACAGTCCGAAGATGGGTGGTTGACATGGCAGAAGGGCATAGACGAGTTGAGTCAAATTCTGCGAAAGGAATAGGTAAACCGTGTTTTTTGGCTGAATGTGAATTAAAAATTGTTTAGTTCTTAACAGTTACATAGAAGTGGATTCAACTTTACGCAACTTTTTCCGAACAGAAATTTGGATAAACTTTTCAGAGTTTTCGATAGACTGACCATTGAAGAGTTCCAAACAATCTTTCAAATCTTGATCATTGCTGATTGTCCACATCTCTTCCAACGAAGGGTCAAAATAGGTCAATACAATGCTAAAACGTTCCAATACTTGAAATTCATTCTTCACCTGTTCCTCCAGAGACCGGAATGAGTCTGACAATGGTCACTGTTGAAGTGGCCATTCCTAGTTGGTCGTCTTCAAGTTTAACCAATACTCGATGTGATGGTTGGCCATATGAAAGCAGTTTGTTCAACATTGATTTTTGTTTTTCTTTGTCCTTCTCCACTGAGCAAACACTAACGCCCGTCTTTTCAATTCTGACTACCTCGCACAAAAGCCTTATTGGTTTTTAACTCTATTGAAACGAAAGCAGATACAAGATCAGTGTAATTAAACTTGAGTAAAATTGTTTTAACATCGTCCCTTTGTGGGTCTGATGCTAAGAGTAACAGTCTTTGTTTCGCAGCTTCAAGCAACAAATGTTTGTCCTTCCTCAAATCATCTGAAGCATATCGAAATTCAAAACCATTTCCTTTGATAGCTGCTAGAACAATTTCATAATCCTTTTTCAAATACTCTGAGGCAAATTGCAGTGCACACCAATTTTGTTTCACTGCTTGCATAACAATTTCCTTGTCCTTTTTAAAATCCTCTGAGACATCTTTGAGGGCTCTCCAATTTTGTTGTAACATTTTAAGAACGATGTGCTTGTCCATTTTCAAATCCTGCAAAGCGAAATTAAATGCACACTGTTGAGCTTGACTGCTTCCATCATGAATGAACGTTTTTTTCGAATTCTCATAAACACTATGAAAGATAACTGGTGCACTGTCTAAAGTCTTGTTATTTTCGTATCTTCTCCAGTGTTGAACAACACTAATTCCTTTTGAGTGAGCGGTTTTGGAGGCTTTGATGAAGAGTTTGTTGATAACATGGTACAGAAGAACAGTACATCTCCATGTTATCAAGCAAACAGCCACATTCACTATCGTCATCATAAAAAATTAGTAAAAGACATTAAAAAATTCCTTCATGTCCGGAGAAGGTTTCGTGGTAACACCCGAAGAGGGTTCGAGTTTCATGGTTGATGATGAACAACAACAACAAATTATTATTCATGATGAACACGAAGATCAAACTCCTCCTACCAACAAGAACGATAGCGTTGTAGCTGACGTTCCACCACCCACCTCTTATGAAGAAATCAATCGGGACAACACTACGGCGGCAACAGGAGATGAAGAACTAATTTCACCACCAACAACAACAACCAATGACATGACAAATCCGAGTACTTCTTCTCTAGATGGAGCAGAACAACATGCTTCGGTAGAGGATGAAATTCATTCTTCAGAAGAAAACTCAACTCCTGAAATCGTGCTTCATCATCAAGAGAGTTCCATACCATCCTCAACAAATAATAATATCCACGAGCAACAACAAACACAAATAACAGAGGAGCAACAAGAAGAAGAAGACTCTCAACAACCGCAACATGAGATGACCACGGTTCCTCAAAAAGACCATCCAGAGGAAGTACAAACAGAGAATATTGAATCTTCCCAAACAACAACAACAGTTGAGTCGGAAGGGCAAACAAACGATTTAGAAGACACCGTTACAAACAACGACGATCAAGAAAATAATTTTACAAAATCCTCCACTATTGACGACAATATCCATCAGGAAACTACTTCTCCTTCGAATATTGACAATAATAATTTATTTAACAACACAAGCAACAACGATGATACATTGCTCACAAGTGACTCTATGAGTGAATTTAAAAATGAAACTAAGCCTCAAGAATCTGATTCTGATTTTCAAACGTTCACTCCTTCCGAGTTGGAGTCACAACATCATACATCTTCAGCAATGAATGACGAAACTGAGACAAACTCTGAATCTACATTGGAACAGAAACAAGAATCTGACCAAGAGACATCACAAGAAAATTTTGCAGCTGATTTCGGAGACTCTGAGTTTGACAAACCTGTAACAGAACCGCCATCAACTGTTGAGCAAGATGAGCCAATCAAAAATCAATTTGAAGAAGAGTTTGAGGAATCATCATTTGCAAACTCTTCCACACAACCAGCAGAATTCACACAAACTCAGAGCTCCAACCCTCAGGATTTTAATGACAATTTTGAAGCTAGTTTTGATTCATTTCCATCATCCACCTCTGAGCCTATCAATCAACAACCATCATCAACGGATGAATTCGATGCAAATTTCAATGTTGAACCGGTCGCAGAAAATTTACAAGCTAATAATTTTGACAATAGCTCATTTGAGAGCACTCCAAATTCGACCATCCAAAATAATTTATCATCTCAAGACAACCAAAATGAATCTGCAACAGATGATGACTTTGGAGATTTTAATGAGCCAATAGTCACAGAAAAAACTAATGACGACGATGACTTTGGTGATTTTACGGAGGCTAAAAATACAGAACCTCAACACAGTGGCGATGATGACGGATTTGGAGATTTTGAAGAACCAAAAGAAGAACAACAAACTGCACAATCTGAACCTCAACTAGAACCAATATTGGATCAGACAACAAAGGTCGAAGACACCTTTGAAATAGACGTTAACTCGCAGAAATACGTTATCGATTCTATTCTTGCAATTGACAAGAAAAGTGCTGAAGAGACGGCAAAGCTTAATATTTCTATTCATACTTTGCTTAATGGACTTGTACCTCCAGAGCTTCGAGTGCCTGCTCACAATGATGCAAATTCTTTCTCCTCTGAAAATCTTTCTAACAACACGCTCGAAAAATTGTTTAACATGAACTCCAACCACAATGCTGATATTTTAAGCAAAATGGCTGTTTGGCAAAATAGCTGTGTCGAAAAACATTTCCTACTTGCATTAGGATTAGAAAAAAAGAAGAACAAGAAGCAACACAAGCCATTAAGAAAAGTTGTACACAGACGAACAGCCTCTCATACCGTTTCATCCCCAATATCCAGTGATTCAAGTCAACAAGGAGAAACCTCTGAGGCTGTGGATCAACGTATGAAAATTGACGATATTGGAACGATTTCTCAAAGAATGATAGGAGGAGCAAGACATCGAAGAATGAACTCAACAGTCACAGATTTACACTTGTCTCCAAGACCACCCTTGAACATGCAATCGCCAAGATCAATCTCTCCAGTACCATCCAGCAGTTCTATTTCTCCAGCAACAACAACAACTGCAAACCAGCATCATTTTGATGAACTTATGTCATCTTACACTCCAACCAAGACCAAGAGTGCTGAGCTTGATGATATTGCAGCTCTTGTGTTTGGCTCTGATTTCACTTCTCCAAAACCACAACCCACTGTTGCTGCAAAGAAGGAAGCATCTTCCTCAACAGTGTCTACACCCATGAACAACAAAACAAGTGCCATTTCCAATGTACAACCACCTGTAACCATAATCACTACTGGCGCCTCACCAGTGTTGGAGAAGATTTCAATCCCTGTTAAATCCTCTTCTTCCCAGCAGTCATCAAAAGGTTTTGATGACGACGACAGTTGGGGGAATGACAATGACTCGTGGGGTAGTGCACCACCTTCTACTCAAGCAAGCACTACTGCTCTTTCATCAACATCTGTCAATTCAGTCACAAAAAAGCAAGAAAGTCCAGTACTCCAAAAATCACAGGAATCAAGCGACAAGTTTGAAGCGAAATTTGATGATGACGATTTTGGTAGTGGTAGTAATGATATTCCAACAACCATCAGCACATCATCAGCCTCAGTAACAACTTCTTCTCATGCTAGTGGTGGCACCTTACAAACAAACAAGTTTGAAGATGATGGATTTGGAGATTTCCCAACATCTACTAACAAGGAAGAAGTCACATTATCGACTCAGAGTTCTACTGCTGTAACATCCACAAAGACCACGACTTCCAGTGCAAACGACGAATTTGGAGATTTCCCAGAACCAAAAGAAAACACCGTTCCAAAATTTGCAGACGATGGTTGGGGTAATGACGATAGTGGATGGAATTCAAGTGACACTTTTACCTCGTCGACACCAACAGCCTCTACTCAACAAATTTCTGTTCCTGCTACTAGCCCTCTTGCTTCAAGTCAAGCAACCTCATTGAAGAATGAGGAATCGCAAAATTTTGACGACGATTTTGGTGAATTCCCTGAGCCCAAAGATGACGAGAAATCAAAAGTTCTACAACTAAATGTTTCTGAAGATTTTTCAAAAGAATCAAAGACCTTTGAAGGGGCTCCTTCAAATAGTTTGCAGTCAGTCCCGGCCAACACAGCTCAGAAGAATTCACAAGATACTTTTACTGGAGCATCCAATGATGATTTTGGAGATTTCCCAGAGGCTAAAGATGAAAAACGACACACCACTGCCACCGACGATGATTTTGGAGAATTTCCAGAACCAAAAGAAGAGACTGTTCCACAATTTGCAAGCGATGATTCATGGAGCGACAACACCTTTACATCATTACCAATTTCACAAGCAAGTACGAATTCTATTGATCAATTTTTACAACTTTCTCAACAACAAACACCACCACTTGTATCGCCACCATTTGTGGTAACAACAATGTCTTCTACAGTACCACCACCCTCATCCAATGATGATCCATTTGATTTTAAACCTGTGAATACTGTTGAAGTTAGAAAATCACCAACTTTTGTGGCACGAGAGCCAAATAATAGCCCAAGCTGGGCACAATCAACGGGTAGTCCTTCTACGTTAAAAAGTACCAACGGTATTGACAATTGGATGATGCCTTCTACTTCTCAATCTGTTTCGACCCAATCTCCAGTCGTAGTAACAAAATTTGAGGAATCATCTTGGATGAAACAAACGACAACCTCTTCTTCGAACAACCATGACGATGATTTTGGAGATTTCCCAGAAGCCAAAGAAGAAGAACCAGCTCATACTGCTAGTAGCACTCAAAACACGATGAGCTTGGCAGATTTCACACCGAGCAGCCACAACAACTCGGTTTCATCGTTCCCCACAAACATCATGACGACTTCTCAAAAAACAACTAGTCCATTTTCCAATAATTCTCCTGTTAGTAGCAACTATAGTGATTTCCCAAAACGCAACACACCTACGATGAGCAGCGGTTTCATTCAAGCAACGCCACAGTCCGTCACTAATGACCTCTTCGGTTTTAGCAGTCAGCCTCCACTCGGTATGACTCCTCTTTCATCCAACACAATGCAACAAGGTATCTCAAATCATTCAGACGATGATGGATTTGGTGATTTCCCAGAAGCGAAGGAGCATACGACCGCTTCAACACATAATAATGATGATGACTTTGGGGACTTCCAAGAACCAACAGATGAACATCCACAACAGCAGAACACCAATACTTTTGATGTACCTTGGAGAGCATCACCTGTTCTTAACAATAATTTCCCAACTGCTGCTGTCATTCCTTCTTTCAACACTCCACAAGTGGCAACAACATTTAATGATTTGGATAGCTGGTTAGGAACTAGTAGCAACAACATTTCCACTAGTAGTAACAATACTACCTCGAACAACACCAATGATTGGATGTTATCACATACTACCTCCACCACTTCTTCAAGCACTCAGCAGTCCTCAAACACCAATAATAAGGATTTATTTGAATTTTTCTAAGATGTGAAATTTGAATAAATTGCTACCCTGAGAATTTATTTGAATATTTCAACGCTGCCATTATCAAGTGAACACACAAGCAATTCACCGGATTGAATATTCAAACATAGACCTACAGGTGTCTGCAATTCGCCTTCTCCGGGTCCGTAAGAGCTGAATGTTGTCACGATTGATCCCTCCTTGTTGGTCACAAGAATAGAATTGCTCAATTCATTGGTCAATAATAAATGATTGGACACTGTGTCATAAATCACAGTACTGGGTCCATGCACATCTTTGAGATGTACAATTTTCACAACCTCCCATTCTCCATTGTCCTGTCGTGAAAGAAAATAGACGTGTGTGGTGTTTTCGAATAAACTTGTAACAATCATTTGATCGTCATTTGTGACATCCACGGATGATGGCAGACCGTTGAGAGCTGTCACTCGCCGAATGAAAACACCATTGCTAGAGTCAAGAACCTTGATGCTCTTGTCGCCAGGGTCGCAAGCAAACACTAAACCCTTGTTGACCGCTATGCCTCGCGTTGAACTTGTGATTCTGGTTGTCCACAAATGACCAGGTATATATGGCTCTATAAAGGAATCTGCTGCAGTAGAAGAATTTTTGATATTTTCATGTAACAATTTTTTCAAGTCACACTTGAAAATCTCTCGATCATAGTCGCTATTGCATATTAAAGCATCATTACTTTCTCCCATATAATTTTCTTCAATACAAATATACTTGGGATAAAGTGATCGAATAAAAAGTGAAGTTTTGAATCTGTACGAGTCCAAATCGAACACAACTAATCGGTCGTTAAAATTATCAGTCACTACAATAACACGCTGATTGTAAGATATTTTGACATCCATAGGATTTCCCAAATCTTGACATGATTTCTTCTTGTTCTTTTCTTTTTTACCTAATGAATGAACGAGTTGAAAATTCATTGAAAATGGTCGTCTGTTTCTAATTTTTGATCGCATGTGTGTGCATAATTTTTCATTCAAATGATGAATCCATAAATGTTGATCATGTTCATTTCCAAAGTGTGGATGATACAAATCGATTAATTTCAAATGAATACAATTATTCAACAATAGAGAGTTTGATTCTAATATTATTTCTTTTATATTCATTTTTCTCTTTTTCATATTGTTTGAATCATCCGAGGATGAAAAACTTGTGAAATTCTCCTCTTCTTCCTTCAATCGTTTTTGATTCATTTTTTCGCTCCAAAAATTTCAAAAAGAATTTTAAACGATTTTTTAGTGAGATGGAAATTGGAACTCTCCACACACCACACACCACACGTGTTGCGTATATATATATACTCTTACTTGTTTCCCTTTCGACCCCTTTCTTTCATGATCATCCAACACCAACTCGACACATTCGTCCATTTACTTCTCACATGATTATACCAAGTCGATACAAACGATCCAGGAACCGATTGCCACAAACACAACGCAGCCACCACATGGAACAACAAGGCAAAGGACAACAACATGGTACCATTCACTTGCATCATTTCTTGAATATAACCTTTCGATTCCACACTCTTCGAATAGAGCGTATAATACTTGATTTCACTCAAATACAACATCTCATTGGCATATTTCAAAAAACTCAAATGTGGTAGGAATGGATACGGGAGTGGCATTTCACTCATTTCCAACACACTTGGAGACGATCCTGAAAATAGATAACACACAAAGAGGACAATGGCACTGGCAATTTGAGCCAAATCACTCCGCAAACAAATCGAAATGATAAATCCGAGTGGATACGTTGCAAATGCAATCAAGAAATAGACTTGATAATATTCTGAAAAGGAAGCTTTGGGTTGAATCAATAAATACGAAGTGAGCGTATAAAAGAAGGAAGATAATGCAATGGGTATCAATGCCAATACATCCTTCACCATGAAATACACCAGAGTATTCAGACCTGTTTGAGATTCCCGTCGAAAAACGACCTTTTCCTTACCAAATGTACTCAATGCACTCAAAATGGAAGATAAACCAATGGCAAAAACACCCGTGCAGACAAAGGAGGAAATATCATCTTGATTGGCTGCAGAACAATCTTCGTAGAGAATGAGTGGACATTGTTGTGCAATGGATCGATCACTTTGACCCGTATACGACAAGTTTCCTGTAAACACTGCACCAATAAAGAGACCACTAATGGCATTGATGAGCACGTCCAAGAAAAAGGATGAAAATTCATGAAAGAGAAGTAAGAGACCTCTTGAGAAGAATGCCAATGCCTGAATATAGAATGGGACAGTAGGTACAGAGATGGAATTGGCTGTTTCACCATGTCGATAATTTCCTCGATTCAATTGAAAGGTACTGAGAGAGGGTGGGACTTTGGATAAGACTTGTCGTTGTTCATCGTTCATAATATCGAGAGCAGCAATGACATGATCTCCTGGATTATTGAAATCTGCGTGTTGATGTTGTTCATGGTGTTCAACATGTTCGAGATGAGGATCATCTTCCATGTTGACGTCATGTTTCATCGACCTGTCAAGATGAAGAATATCGTGTGCACAAATTTGTGCAATCTTTTGAGCATCACCATGAGCAATCATTCGACCATGATCGAACAAGATCAAATCATCAAACAACGAGTAAATTTCGGCAGAGGGTTGATGAATGGCACAAATAATGTTCGTTCCTTCTTGCTTTTTCTTGGCCAAAATGTTACATAATAAAAGTGCTTGTTTTGAATCCTTTTTTTGGGTGGATTCATTAAGGATTGAATTCCATGAGTGTGCGTGTCATGTATTTTCAATAATGGTTCATTGGATTGCATTAATTGTTAAACTTTACAACTTGACAATACTTACCAAACCACTTGTTGGTTCATCCAATAACAATACTGGAGAATCATTAATCATTTCAATGCCTACATTGAGTCTCTTCTTTTCACCTCCACTCAATACCTTCTTATTGACATCTCCAATGGTACTAAATAGTTTTTTCTTAATATTTAACATGTCTGCAGTTTCTTTCACACGTTTCACTAACGGATAGAAGAAGTTGGTCATACTTCGATAAATACCGCTAAACATTAAAGTTTCCCAAACTTGAAGAGAACTAATCATAATGTCATCTTGTGGAACAAATCCAATAATTTTCTTCATACTTTCTGTTAGAATTTTACCATTTAAGGTAACTGTTCCTTTTTGCACGCCGTAATACGCTCGTTTTGAGAGAACGGTCAAGAATGTGGATTTACCACTGCCTGTAGAACCCATGACTGCAGTCAATTTTCCACTTTCAATTCTTCCTGAAATGTTTTTCAAAATTTTCTGACCTTCAAAACTTGTAAAACTCAAATCTTTGAATTCAATCGTCACGTCCTTTTCATTTGTCAATGCTGAATTCTTTTTCGAAAAACATTGAAACAATGCCACCCATTCATCCAAAAAGTGTTCTCGATTCGTTGGATCATATGAAATCATGGATAAATAAATTTGATTTCCAGCAATTAAACACACTAAAAATTCCAAAAACAACAACCAAACAAGTGAAATAAAATTTCGTGAGAGAGTATACTGTTCATCTTCAACCATGGAATGCACTCGAATCGAGTATGGAAGTGAAGAATTTTCAACTTGAATCAATACAGTAAAATTCTGACGACCATTTCCTGTGGTCACGGTACTATTGTCCCATAATCTCCAACTGGTCATGATCACTCCTTCCATCGTGTCATTAATAACCTTCACATCTGAAGAGTAGTAATCTATAGAGCTCGTATTATCAAATGTTTCATACAGAGAGTATTCTTTAAAGAGAATTATTCTCATTGTGACATTGGAAGAATATAAACCAAAAAGTGCAATCGAAGTGTTCTTATCTGAAAGAAATATTAAACTCTCCACATAATGTGTAGTTCCATAAGGTTCAATCATACTTCGATTGGTGGTTTTGCTTGATGAATATTCCAAATAAAACGAACTCAATCTCTGTTCCAGATAATACACTTGATAGGTGGTGACAGCTGTCACAATAGCCACACTCAATACTGCAAATGTTCCAATCAATGCCACAACAATCAATAATGGAGCATACAACACCAACATGGGTTTGGATGCCATCGAAGGAGCTGCATGAACTGTCTTTAAACGATTCATGGACTCTAATCGTTTCATACTTGGACTCTGTTGTAACGTACTCTCATGAGAATATTCCAAACCATGTTCATCCTTCTTGGAATTATTACTTGTAGTGACACTTGTCGTTGGATGTTGTTGTTCTGTCTCTTGTTGTAATTGTTGAGAATTGGATGATTGATTGTTTTGATTCACTGAATTTCTTTCCATCGATTTCACACCATACGTAATAGCATCCCATGTCTCTTTCTGACTCGTACTGGAATCACTCGCAAATGCCACTGTCTTTCGAATCGTTTGATTAACCTTTTCCAAAATTTGTTTTCCATGATTTTTTCGAATATTAAATGTCGATGGTGGTTCCTCGAATGCATTCTCATCCAACACACCAGGAGGAAATATTCCATTCGTTGTTGTTGCTGTTCTTGTCGAGATGGTTGATGTCGACGACATTATGTTTGGAATACCATGCAATTCAACTTCATTCACTTCAGAAGATGAGACATGACTCGAAGTGGAGGTTGTGACTTGTTGTCGAATGGTTGCCAATCGATGAAGTTTTCTTCGTTGTTTTTGTCGTTTTGGAAATTGAATCATATTTCGAAATCCAACACATAATGAGAGTAATAAACCACTCACACACAAGACACACATGAAGAGAGGAATGGAGAGAAATCCGAGCCATGCTTGAGTTGAGGAAGACCACCATGTGTAGAGATTTTGATCATTCGTGGATACCGTCGAGGAGGAATTGGTGTTTGAAAAAGTGTGAACATCCATGAGGATGATGAATCCGAGTGTTGCATGTTGTTGAAAGAGTTCACACAAACAATATTTGAATGAAAACTAGTGAGAGATGGAACAAGCTCAGGTTGGTGGCTGTTTTTTTTCTAGTGTTGTTGAACCTCGGGATGATTGGAGACATTTGGATATTTCGATATCACGAATCATGCCAACTCAGAGATGGAAAATTAAAAGAGTGAATATCCATGAAGTGATTTCAGGTTGTGGTTCATTCAGTGATGAACATGGACATGACGTTGTGTTTTACTAATGCCTTTCGAGTTCTTTTCACTTACACAACCTTCTCATTGTCACTGCTAAAAGTTGTTGAAATAGTTCTAAATGACGTTTGACACCAATCCAAAGCAAGAAACTATGGTCCACCAACACAGAACACTTTGCATCTCTCTCGAAAAAAAACAACAAGATCACACATGAATCCAAGACCCTCTCCGGCAGGCACCAATTCCAATCCACAAGAGGTCATTGAAATCACAGAAGAACAGCCACCACAACAACAACCATCAACCTCTGAACTTCATTCTCCTTCCGTTCCTTCATCAGAAGTGAACCAACAACAACAAGATGCAGAAACCATCACAACCTCCATGAACCAACAAGATTCATCCTCTCATCCGAATATTGTCATTACAGATTCTTCTCCACATCCTTCTTCCAACATGAATGCAGTTTTTGAAAATCACAAAAATGTTGAGGAGGAGAAGGAAATTGAATCGATACAAAAGTTTGTGGCTCATCAAAGTTCTGAAAGTTTAGATTCCACTAATTCTACGTCTCGAATGATTAATATTCAAATTATTGGAGCTGGAATTGCACATGTGTCAACCAATAACTCACCTGCTAGTTCCATTGACAACATGTCATTGGTGAGTCATGATATTTCTGTGGTCATGGATGACCAAAATTCACCTCCTCGAATGACACCAGTGTATGGAGAACACTCGGATGAAGTGATTGATATGGGTGTGATGGAGAATGATCATCAAAATCCTTCACACCATGGAAGAGATGAATTGAAATCGTTGAAGTCAACCTCCAATGAATTAAGGAATAGAATTTGTGTCTGGCTCATGGTTGTATTCCTTTGTGTGGCGTATGTGTGTGTTGTGGGAGGATTGAGTTATTACAGTGCCTTTGCGATTGAAAAATCGGTGAATGCATTTCAATATTTTACACTGAATTTTGAAAGTAAGACGGATTGCAATTTTAATAAGGGAGCCATGTACAAGCATTACAGTTTGAATAGTACCATTGTCAAGACATGTAGCATTCAAAAAGTATTGGAAATTGATGTTACAAAGGACTCTTTTGAAAACAGTGACAAGTTGACATTTTTCTATCAATCTAGTACACCCATGGATATTTATTATTTCAAAGAATTATCCAGTTTCAAGACATATAACTCGACAGGATACCTAGATCCCACCTCTGTCAATTATTGGTTGAAATCTCAAGGTCAATATGGATTCAAACAACTAAGTCTTTCCATCATTGATAATTCCACTGATGTTGAGATTAATTCTAATTTTGGAGTTCGAGTGGTCGTGACTTTGAAAATGATGACCACAGAAACCACAGACTCTACCACTCTTTTGAATGCATTGACCACTCTTTCAAAATCTTCGATGGATGATTATCAAGATTATAACTCAACTTCATTTCCATTAACTTTCCAAGGTTCTTATTATATTGAAAGTTACATGTGTGAAATTACATTATACATGACAAGTGTGGCTCTAACTTGGATTTTCATCATATTGGCCACTCTTGTTCTTTTGACAAGATGGAAAAGAGTTGTGGATTCGAAGGAGATGAGAGTATTTATTCCCTTCTCATTGAGGAAATTGTTTTGTATTGAAAAATCAAAAAAGAAATGGAATGACACACTTTCAGACACAAAGGATCACAATATTGGTGTGAAATTAGAATATGAACACTTGACATTTCAGGACTTTTCTGGATCTACACATCTTCATTCCACTTCGGGAGAATTTCTTCCATATACACTTACAGCACTCTTGGGAGAGAGTGGATCAGGAAAGGTATGTGCTTTACCTTTCTATGAAACTATGGAATTATTATATTTCAAAATATTAATATTTTTTATTTAACATTAATTTCATCATCACTGAACGTTGGTTGTTAATGAATTGCAATTAATGAATTCAAGACAACCTTTATCAACTCACTCAGTAAGCGAACAAGTCGAGGTAAAATTGGAGGTGAAGTATTCATTGGAGGAAGAAGTCTAAATTCAGAATCCATGAAACGCTTAGTTGGTTTTGTTCCACAAGATGATACCATGATTCCAATCTTGACACCTCGAGAAACATTATTATTCAATTCCTATGTACGAAATGCAGATTTAACTTTTAAAGGTCATTCTGAACGAGTGGATAAAGTCTTGAGAGATTTGAAATTGATCAAGAAGGATTCCAATGTTTCAAACACCATTATTGGAAATGAAGAAAAGAGAGGTATTAGTGGTGGTGAGAAGAAGCGAGTGAATGTAGGTATTGAAATGGTAACACAACCTCCAATTCTCATTTTGGTAAGTATTAGAATGTTATTGATTGTAACAAATTTCACTGATACATTTATTACCACGTTAATATAAAAACATCACACATGTTATCTTGACAAATCTATCTAATATAGGATGAGCCAACTACAGGATTAGATTATCTCACTGCAAACAAGCTCTGTAAAATTCTATTAGAAATTGCAAAGACTGGAAAGACTGTCATTTGTGTCATTCATCAACCTGCCTATGAAACTTTTTGTCTGTTTACAGATCTCATGGTGTTCAAATCAAAACATGTGGTCCTCAAAGGAAAAAGAGAGGTTATATCTCATGAGATTGGTTACAATTATTTGAAATTGAATCGACATGCCAATGCTGATGAAATTTTAGACTTTGTTTCGGATACATCTTTTGAAATACTGAACGATTTGCAAGTCACAGTAGAAGCTCGTTCCAACAAGACAGAAAAGTCAACGAACTCGAATCAGAAGACTCTCCAGAAAGACAGTCGGGATCTTGAAGAAAGCAAATCTGGATCACCTACAACGCCAAACATCAAAGCTCAGAAAAGAGGTCGAGTTCTTTCAAAAGCCTCTCGACCAAAAGATGTTTCTCCTTTCTATCATCAACTGTTTGCCTTATTGGTCAGAGCATTAATTCAACTCTACAGAGAATGGTTCAATTTGATTGTTGATGCATTTCTCAATCTCTTGGGTGGATTATTGATTGGTATTCTCTTATTGAATGTTCGAGCTGATTTATTCCAAGGCCCTCTCGATAAATCCATCGTGTTGCAATGTCCCACTGAAAAGCTCTCAGTTTGTGCTCTCCCTCAAAAAGATTATGTCAGTGCCCTATCAAGTTATGTCATTCTGGGAGTGTCATTGGCAGGTGCCATGTCGTCCTTAAGAATATTTGGAAAAGAGAAGGCCAACTTTGTGAGAGAATCTCAAAGTGGTGTGAATTCATTCATGTACTTTTTAGTGAAGGACTTTCTGGCAGTGATTCAAATGTTGATTGTGTCCTTGTGCTTTACTCTCACATTTTACTATATTGTTTTACCAAGAGCGTCCTTTGGAGTGTATTTTGCTATATTCCTATTGTTGAATTTCACCGTGTTCCCAGTGGCCTATTGTGTCTCTGTATCAGTGCGGGCAGAGCTTCGACAACTGACTTGTGCCATCATTATCTTTGTGGGATATGTTTTTTGTGGAGGTGTTCCAACGTTGACAAGCATCAATGAGATGTCTGAACCTTTGCCATTCTTTCCTTTCATTTCACATGCTCGTTACGTGAGAGAGCTTATTTATCTTTCTGAGGTGATACAATATCAAGGTGATTACACCATTGTGAATAGTTTGTCTGCAGAGAAAAGTTGGTACACTCATTCAACAAAAGATGCAAGAACGATTCGGCGATTAGAATTGCCAAGTACCAGATTTTTGTCTTACTTTGTTTGTCGCGGTCAAGTTTACAGATTGGAACACGAAAAGTGTAAATGCGTTGATGCTTGAATTTTCACTTGAAGATATCGTGTCGCGAAACAGCAAGGTGAATTAGGAAACGAGGCCAATTCAATAAAAAATTGAATCGGAGCAGTAACCAGTGATGATTTGTGACGCGACTCAACCTCCGAACAATTCCATGAAACCTTGGTGACAGCATGCATTTGATTTTAAATTGTGAGATCTAGTATTCTTAACCTTCCTGTTGTAAAAGTGTCAGTGATGATTTGGAAAGTGTTTTGTTTTTCTTTCTTATGGGCTTTAAACTCACGTACTTGCTAACAGACTGTCTGTTAAATGTTACAGGAACGAACAGGATCTGCTCTCCAAGTAGATGCACCAGCAAGTGATGGATCATGTTATGGATGTCTAATTAGTTGGTGACACCTTTCACGAAGCGTGCGATTTGCAAGATTTTCTCATCTCTTCCGCGCATCATAACCATACAATAAAAAAAGCAACAAATTAATGTGCTTGCTGAAATTTTGAGAGTGCTTCCAAACGTCCAACAACCAAGAGCGTGACTCGGCAACAAATTTGTTCAACAAGCCAAGCAGAACCAAACATGAACCCTCCTTCTAGTCAGCAACAACAACAGCTGCCTTCTTTTCGTTCCTTCATCCAACAAACCGGTCAATTAACTTCATCCCACACCGACATTCCTTCATCACACAATAATTATTTTACCTCTTCACCATTTCATCATCGAAATGGCAGCAACAACACCAGCAATCATATGAATGGCCATTCAATGATGATCACTACGCCCGAGCATGAACCATCATCATCCACCAGCAACAGAAATCGGTGGTCAAGCCATCACACCTCTTACCAAAACGGAAATTCTAACACAGCCATCACATTGTCGAATGACCATGCACACCAAAATGATCATTCAAGACCCTATTCATACCCATCGCTTCGTGTTCATACGCAGAACAACCACTTGGACACCGGTTCCGTAACGCATATTCAGGGCTCATTGGATTACAATGCAATGGTTGATGATGAAGATCATTTGGTTGACGTTTCAAACCACAACGTGAATCATTATGCACCATCTGAAGCCTTCTTGCAACCACCTCCATATCCTGGACAGCATCGTGATCATCATAACCCTCCTCACCACCAACATCATCAAGAGATACCGTTCAATAGAAACCGAAGTGGAGGGATGCTTTCCAATGCACCTACAACCAGCTTTGGAGGTTATCAAGTAGATCAGAACATTCAACACAGAATGGATACGAGTTCTCATGCTGCAAGTACAGCACCTGTCGAGCACCATCATCATCCAAACAGCAGCAATGGAACTGCTCGTGCCAAACAACCACAATATCAAGCACACCGAAAAGCAGTCATCATGCCTGGAGGTTCCTTAAATTACCCTCAGCAACAACAACAGCATGAAGAACAACCTGCAAGCCTCATCATGATGCAACTCTCAGAGGAAGCAGCACGACGCAATCATCATCAGGGTCATTCCTCCTACGCTGGCGTCCCTGAACAACCATACAGCAGTAATTTTTACGGTAATCGAAATGAGCCCATGCTTCATGATGATCCGCATTCCCACCATCATCATCATCACGCTCCTACCACTTACACTCCAAATTTCGGATCACAGGTCAACAATAATGGCTTACCAACAAACATGAACCCACCCATCTCTGTAACAGCCAATTATTCGGGAAGTAATAACACGACAACCTCTGGAATGATTCCTCCACCTGTTCCCCCAAGAAAGCCTTTGCAACGACGTGGCAGTAATCATACCAATACGACCATTTCCAATTTTGATAAGGAGTCAATTTCGTTTTATTCGACAGCACCATCCTCAACAACGAGCGAGACTTTGAATACGAGCATGAATTCTGCGAGCATCACAACATCAGCAATGAGCAATAATAACAATCAAGTGAAATCATTCTCCAATTTTCAACCCAAACCACCCAAGAAAAGCCCTAAGGTTGTTTCGAGACAGTGTGAAAATCCAAAATGCAATACTACAGATACTCCGTTGTGGAGGTAAGTTTATTTATTGCTTTATGAATGTTTTGAATTTTGATTTATTGAACTTGAAATGCATTTTTGAATAATAATAATTCCTTTTCATTTGCATTCAACAATCCTTGGTTCACATGGAACAGAAAGGGATTTGCTGTAGAGGGAGGAAGACGTGCCAATCTTTGCAATGCATGTGGCTTGCATTACAGAAAGGGTCACTTTTGCAAATTTTGCAATGAGATTTACAGAGATTCTAGTGAGCTTGTGAATGCTCCAGAACCATGGGTCACTTGCCCAAAGTGTGAGAGATGGGCCCATAAGAAATGTCTCATGACTGCACTTCCAACTATTGAAAAACAATTTTTGGTATTGAATCGTGTAGTTTGTGACGAATGTATGAATGGAACAAGCTCAAATACCACAACTAGTGCAACGAATTCTACCGTTTCTACAAAGAATGTAATGACGAGCTCAACAAGCAGTAATGACACTCCTTCACCCACTGTATCTGTCACGTCCAGCAACAACAACAACAACAACAACGGTAGACTAGGAGTCGACGATAGTCAGTCTTCTTCACACAGTGGTCAAACCACCCCTGTGAGTTCAACACTTTTCCAAAACACCAGCACTGCTCTCACCAACAACAAGTCCTCTCACTCTGGAAATAATTCTCCATTGAATCATGTTGTGATTAATCCAACAAGCACAAGTACTGCATTTGCTGCCAATTCTGGCTTGGGCAGCAACCATTCTGTGGGTCGACCTCAATCCTTCCAGCATCCAACAACACCTGTTCAAGTACGTGTTGCTCAACGACCTTTCACTGTGAGTGGAGCAAGTGAAAATGTAGTTTCCCTCTTGAAGAGACACAATGACACTGCAGGAACCTTTTTGAATGATCCAAGCAATGGTACTTCAACGATTAAGAATGAACCTTTAACATTACCTTCGATTCAGAACTTGCTGAATAAAACAAATTTCTGATTATTACTTCAAACGCTCTGAACAAAACGAATAAGTTCTGCGTGCTTGTTAAATCAATTTGCACCTCGCTCACGACATTGTTAGTAATGATTCTCACACAAAGATTACACCACGCTTTCACATTCAACAAAAAATTAATTCACTCAAGCTGTGATCATAATTAAAATCAACCACACATTTATCATCAACATGGCTCTCAAACTCTATGGTCATTACTTTTCAAGCAATGTGCAACGTGTCGTCGTAGTTCTAAAAGAGAAGAATTTAGATTTTGAGCTCCTTCCAGTCGACATGATGAACGGTGAGCATAAATCGGAAGCATACCTTTCCAAACAACCTTTTGGTGTGATTCCTGTATTAGATGATGATGGCTTCCTCGTTTATGAATCTCGTGCCATTTGTCGATATTTAGAAGCAAAATTTAAAGATCGTGGAACACCACTCATTCCATCCACCGAGGATATCCAAGCATTTGGATTGTTTGAACAAGGTGCCTCCATTGAAACCTCCTATTTCGATCCAACTGTTCATGGACTTGCCATGGAATTGTTCTTCAAGAAAATGTTTCATTTGGGAGACACAGATCCAGAACGAGTGAAAATTCTTTCACAAAAACTCGTCACCTATTTGGATGCCTATGAAAGAATTTTGAGTAAGCAAGAATATATTGGTGGTAATGCATTGACTTTGGCAGATTTATTTCACTTGCCAGTTGGGAGAAGTTTATTCCATCCTCAAGTGAATATGGCACATGTGATGATGGAAAGACCTCATGTGAAAGCTTGGTGGGAGAAGATTTCCTCAAGAGAATCATGGAAACAAACCGTTCAGTTGGCAGAAGCTCAGAACTTTGAATACAAGAAGTAATTCTTTTTACATTGAAAAAGAAAGGTTGAATGTGTAATTGTCTTTCAAAAGTTTCGGCTAATATTGCCGCCATGAAACAACTCCCGCCCAACCAGTTACAAAAAAAATTTTAATATAAAAAACAAATGATTGGTGTTGCGAATCAACAACAATAACAACAACTGAATTTCGGAATCACACATAATTACAAATCATCCATGACATTTTCATCTTATTCATCCTGTTACAAGGAGAAAAAGAGGCTTAGCCATCCAACACTGATAAAATGGATCAAAGAGGAAAGAAAGAATCAATTACCTCCTCCGAAACCCAAAACAAAAAATTCACTAGGCGATGAGGACGATGATCTTTGTCGAAAATGCTTTCCGAATGGTATCGTTCCAGACGACAAGGAGAATGTCCAAGAAATTAAAGAAGAATTAAACGATTCGAAAAGGTTTGTATTTATTTCTCTACGACATGCCACATACCAACAACTCATTCGCAACAGAGTTCGATTTTCGAAAAATTCTTCTGAAGAATCATCACAACAACAAAATTTAAATAATTTAACAAATTCTACTTTGATTAATAACAAGTTGGACCTTCACAAAAAAGTAATATTCATGCACCATCCCAAGAATGAAAAATCTGATGATATGAAAGATTTATCGGATGAGCATCTTTTCGGAAAAGTGCACTCACTACTTTCATCTATTAAATCCAATAGAGTCGAGCAACATTCCAAAATTACAAACATGAGATCATCGACTGATTTTGAGGAACAACCTCGAAATTGTTTGCGTGTCTCGCCTTCCTCTCTTTTTCTGGACGGACTCCCCATCCAGACTCCTAACTTTTCCACAAATTCCCTTCCCTCCATCACCTCTACAGAACATTCCACCAATGTGACCCTTTCGGAGGCCTCTAGGCAAATACAAAGCATGTATAATCAGATTACATCAATATACGGTAGTGAACCACTAAGACAACGACAAATAATCTTCGAAAAACCAATTCAAGCCATTGAAAATGTTGAATGTGACACGTTAACAACGTTACATTATTTAAAGGAAAAACAAAAATCCTTGAGGATAACGAGATTACAAGAAATACGATACAATATCGAACTTGAGCGGTCAGAAATGATAAAAAATCAAAAAGTACAAGACCTGAAAAGGAGAATTCATGACCTTCGTAAGAAAATATCTTTAGAACGAGAAAAGGATGCTCTATTTAGAAAACAGAGGCTGAAAGAAATTAATAGACTCCGAACGACAGTTAAAAACTCCACAAGGGCTAATGAGAAGGCCAAAATGTTCATTACAGCTCTGAACGTAAATCAAGATAATTATCGATATCAGGTAGCAATTTATGAAGGAGAAATAGCGACGTGTTTGGCAAAATTATTTTTCTATTATTTGAAAATGGACTATTTGACCAGTCAATACAGACAAGAATTGATCACTAAAATGCATGACGAAGTTTATGAAGGTTTGGCACGAAACAGCTTGCTGGGACTTCGAACCTTTGCAAAGAAGAGCATTGACTTGAGAAGGCGCTTTGAAAAATTTACATCTTATGTGAGGACTGGAAAAAAAGCTGAAGTAATACATCAGTGGCGCCTAAAAACCAAGAATTGTATTGAAGATAAGAAAAAGGAGGAGATTGCTTTGACGCATTACTACAATGGCCTTCAAAAAAGGGCCTTCAATAGCTTGGTTTATGTCATTACAAAACAACTCTTTAAGCAATGTGGAAATGATCTCGCACACATGTGGAAAGACAGAATAACTCTTGGTAAGGCCTTTCATGGATGGAGACATTTGGCAGAAAAAACCAAATATCTCAAACATGGCCTACTGAAATTTGCAGTTGCTGACTCGTTTGACGATTTGGATCGTTTCAAAACTGAGAATGAACTCGAATCGTATCGGTCGTACAACATCAGGCTCAATTTTAGAACTAAAATCACAAAGAATCTGATTCAGCTATACAGAGAAAAGAAGCAACTATTGACGGAATTTGAATACCGCCCCAAACTAATCTATGTGGATAGAAACCCAGCTAAATTAATTGATTTATCAACCATCTACAAAATTGAAAAGTCTGAAGATCATACTCACTCTTTCTATCGACAGTACCATGCCTACAAAAAAGAACAAGAAGATTGTGAACGATCTCTAGATGTTAAAGCCTTCGAGAAGACATCTATACCTGATTTGACTCAAAAAGTGTGTGAATTAAGGCTCAAAAAGAAAGCATTGCAACATTGGCGAGTTATTTTCTTTGAAAAGGTACTTGACAGAAGAGCAGAAAAATTCCACAAAGATGTCTTGTTGAGAAAGGCTTTTTATTCTCTTGCCTATCATAAGGAAGACGCTCACGAGAAAATTTCTACCATTCGAGAAATGAGCAATGCAAATTTGCTTGTAAGCTTCTTTTCGAGGTGGAAAGAGGCGACCAATCGCATTATCTGTGAAAAGGATTGTATTGCTGAAGAATACCACAATATTACCATCGTTAGAAAAGTTTTCAATAGTATGAAACAATCATGCTTACCTGATTATAACACTGATTTAATTGAAAGATTAGTGGCATGGAGAATGAAAGAAAAAGAAAGAATTCTTAAAAAGTGGAAGTTAATGCTATTGGTAAAGAAGAGCAAGGAAAAATTTGAACAAGCTGTCAGTGATCAGTACAATCTGTCTCTACTTCACAAATTAATGGTTCATTGGAAACAACGGACAAAGAAGCAACAACTGCTCCGTAAGGCGTTCACTGCAGCTGTTGAAAGAATGAGAGCCAAGACTAGAGTATTCGAAAACAAAAAGTTGTTAGCCAAATACGTTTTTAAATCATTGAAAAGACACAAGGATACACAAAAAGAAAGGAAAAAACAATTGAACATGTTCATGTTAGCTAAGAAAACCTATGACTCGAGTTTAAAACAAAAAGTATTCATTCTGTGGAGACTCAAATATAACATTGAGCTCGAAAAGAGAGAAATTGCCGAAAATGAAGAGGAACAAATCAAAGGAGCTCTTGCCTCAGAACATTATCGAAAGGTCATGACAAGAAAAATTTTAACGTCATGGAAAGAATACACAATTGAAACAAAATTTGTAGACATTATTCTTCAGAGAAAAGCATTCAATCAGTGGAGACGATTTACTTTGGAATCTAAAGAACGATCCATTGAGGAGCCAAGAATGTTTTTGCGTAAAATCATGTTTAGAAGGTGGAAGTTAGCAACGATTGAGCACAAAGAGACAAGATCCTTGAATGCGCTGGCTGATCGATTCCATCATCGAAATTTGTGTAAGAAGGGCATGCAATCTCTGAAAGAGTTTATCATTCATCGCAGAATAGAACATGTACAATTGATTCGCTCGAAACAGTATTACATTGACACACTGAGAAGAAAGGTCATCATTTCCTTATTAATGAATATTAATGAAAAGAAGGAAAAACGAAGAAAGAAGGACAAGGCAGATTTATTCTATCACAAAAAGCTCATTCAATCCAATCTAAACGCTCCCTTGAGCTTGGATCGATTTCTCAAACTTCCTCCAGATTCTCCACTGAATGTCTCTTCTACTCTCAATATTGTGTATTACAAGATTTTATTTAAGGCCATTGATTCTTGGAAGATTTTTGTGAACATTGAGAAAGAAAAGAGGTTACGATTGGCACGGGCTGTTCATGCTCATTCCTCTAATTTGAAATTTAAATTCTTTGATTTGTGGAGGAGAAAGAGCAAACTTGCAAGTCACAAATTAGGATCCAAAGTGAGTATACACTCGTGGAGAGAGTCCACACCTCTATCATCACTTTCATCCCTGAATTGGCAACCATTGTCTGTGGAGAATATTGCAACAACAGCTGCAGCATCACCAATCGTGTGTAACACTGACAGGGAAAGCACGAATATCCCCAACACTTTGGCAAGTAAGGTGTTCATTCATCACCACCATTATTTAATTGCTTCAGATTCTGACTCGGATGACGTTATGGAATATTTAACAATGGCAGATCCTTAATCAAACAACACACTACATCTGTGACGACATCTGTTGAGCGTATATATTTATTGCACGCTGATCAAACAAGATGTGTGAATTAAAAGTCACGATTACTGGTAAAGATCTTGACCATTTCCAAGACATTTCTTGGCTGATCCATTGGTGACAAGTGACCGGCACCATTCACGACCAATTGAATCAAATTATCATACTGATGCACATATCCAACAACCTCATTACCAATTTTCCATGGTTTTCTTCCTGGACCTTCATCATTCAAATATCCCTTACTACCATGCCATTTCATTCCATCAATCCATTGAGCAGCTCCTACATAATTGATTATCCAATCATATTGACCATTGTATAAGAGAACTCTAATTTTTCGAGTAGGACAATCTAACAATGCCTCAATTTGATATCTAACCGATTGACAAATATCAGCATAGAGAGCATTCCACACATCTTGACTGGAATCATAATATTTCACACCAACTGTGTGCATCATTTGTTTCACATGTGGAAGTTCTACATATTTAATGTAGGCATCATTTTCAGTGTCAAAATAATTACGAATGTCATATTGATTAATTCCTCCAGTGCAATTGGTAAGGACATAATCAGTCAGAGTGTTGTAGACATCCATGGCTTGAGAGTAACGACCGGATCGAATCAAGGAAACGAGTTGATTTTGATAGTCTTGAGTCTTTCTTCGTTGTTTGTCATCCAACAAGCCAACACTGTAGGAGAATGTGTCATAGGTGTTGAATTGATCCATGGGATGTGTAAGACCATCACCTTTTTTGTACAATGATTGTTGTTGTTCATTGAGAATTAACATGGTGTTAATATTACATTCGAATGAGTTCAATCAGACCAATCGTAACTTACCAATTCCAATACCAACTAGATTGAAAGGAAATCCAGAATTCATAATGTTATAGGCAAATGCAGGAATACTAATAGTGGAATGAAATTTCATGATCATCAAATTTTCAACAATAAGGAACACTTACTATTTTCCAGCATAACTTTCTCCAAACAAATACAATGGATTTTTCTTGTATTTTGACGCAAAACTGAGTTGGAAAAATTTAGTAAGGAATATGTGTAATTCCATGGCCACACGTTGCTCACTATGAACATAACCATTGGAGTTCACATGTGAAAAACCAGTTCCTATTGGATTGTCAATCCAAATCTATATGATATCGGTTGAATATTGAATTTCTCATGACATGCATTGAACCTTACTTACCATATGATGATCTTGAAGCCAAGTATACTTGTTTTTAACCAATTCAAGAGTATTTGGATCAACAAGGTAGGGCCCATTCTCAACAAATACTTTTGGGTAGTTTTTTGTGTATCAATACAAGCACACCATCATGTTACTTACATCCAAACATGGAACTGCTTCCTGGACCTCCTTGCATCCAAATAATCAATGGAGCATTTTCATTTCCATTCAATGCTTCCATGAACACGTAATACATTTGGCCACTGTATGTGGAGTTCACTTCAATGAAACCACTGTATTTGAAAGGATTTTCAATTTCGTTGAGATTGACACGAGGAGCACCTTGTAAAGCTTGGTTGAGAGGTGAGCTCTTTCTAACACCTGAAGGGTTGGAACGACCACTGAGTCTTGACAATTCAAAAAATGACTTTGCCTCTGTGAGTGATAGGCACAGTCCAATACACAGTAAAGCAGTAAAGAGAATGTTGAATTTCAACATGATTTCAATTTTTTAAAAGAGTGTGATTTCGTGAGATCGGAATGTGTGAAATAGGGTCGTGATAGTGTGAAAAGTGTTACGTGAGAGTGTTGTGACTTTCCAAAACAAATTCTCGATTTTACTGCCAAATCAAAAATTGTAGATTTCTAGTGAAAAAAACAAAAGCTGCTCGTTGAAAATCCTGACTTGGTCATCTTTGTTTGATGATGTTCTTTTTCTTCTTGTCTGTCTTCCTTGTTCGATTGTCGTTTTCGTTTTTGTAAGTTGTCTTCAAGAGCCAAGTCGTTCTGGAACGAATATCTGTTCGAGTTGACTTTCAAAAAATCGTCAAATGACATGAATTGAGGAGCTGCAGTGCCATTTCCATACAGTGATTAGTCGTTACGGATATCGATTGAAAACACGGATCCGTGTTTGTCATGTAGTTAAAAGTACAATTGGAGGAGTGAACGAGTGACGAATTACCATTTAACTCGTCTTGTAAATAATTACAATGAGAGGAGGGAATTGGAACAACAGGGGTAGAAGGGGACAGGGATTGAAGCCTTTCATGATGTGTTTTGCTTTTCTGATCCTTGTCGATTCTAAGTACAGGAGGTGTCGACGAGAGTGTGGGAGATAACATCATGCCTTGATCATGATAATTGCATGACGATTCATTGAGGTGTGGATGACACGTGGCCATGTCATTGGTTGTATGATATACTCCTAGTGGTTGTTGTTGTTGCTGTGAACAAAGGCTTTGGTTGATTTCCATTGATGTTGTTGTTGATAGAGGCTAGTGTTGAAAAAGGCAAGTCGTGGAGAAGAAGGCTTCACTCTAATGTGTGTGTGTTGTAGAAATGCTGTACTACAATGTATGATGATGATGAAACATAAGACTAAGAACTCTCCTAAACAGCTAATTCAAGCACAATTTAATACTTCCGACTCGAGATTAGGACTCACTTGTTCTCTTGATCAACACAATGTTGTGGTGGATCGACAACTCAGATCGCCGTTGTGGAGTTTGTTTTTTTTTTGAGGTTGCTTTGATTCCATCAACAGTGCCCGCTCAATTCATTACAAGCTCTTCTTTGAAAATTTTCAAGAGCAAGCCTTCGTGTGTGAGATCCATTGGTGCGTGAGACTATGATTCGCATGTTGTTACTAAACGCCAGTTTTGTATGATCCATCTCATCTTTAAATGACCAACTCAGTCACTAGAAGAGGAATGTATGAAGTTGTGTGAAAGCTTGTGATGCAGAAGCGACAAAAATGTACCTCAATGGACAAACTTGGCGAAATTCGTGCTCATGCGTGAATGACATAAACACGTCTGATTACCCCTGCGCATCAGAGGGTATCATGTCACGCAGCTGCTCGCAAAAATTTTTAATTTCTGGTAAGAATACTTCGCGCAACCTTTTCTCAAGAAATTTGTGAAGAGTGGTTGTATTGACACGTTTCTTCACAAGAGTCACTACAATCTCATGTTGCGATTGAAATTCGTTTTAAACATTTAGAGCTAAAATAATCTTTCATTATGTATAAACGCGTTTTCATGAAAAGAAAACATTTAATTGAATAAAGGATGGAAATCTGATGATGCCAAAATGCTCTCAGTCTCAAAAGACAAACTAGTGCTCATTTGATGATTGTGGCTATGATGAGAACCAATTTCGCAGAGTGACAAGAAAAGACCAGAGTCATGACAAGAATTGTGTTGTTGAGTATCTCCATGAGTTGGGAATGCATGATGTTGATTTTGGTGAGCACAACTGAATGAATCATGCTCAATATCGTCAGCACTTCCAGCCTGAAGAATGGTGGCGTTGGAATCCTCAATTTGGTGATGATCATCAATATGAATACCACCATTCTCGTCGTGATGAGCATGATGAGACGAATGATCCATGTCACCATTTTCAGGAGAAGGCATTTGAGTCATTTGAATCCAATGTTGTTGTTGCTCCACCAAGTTTGAATAAAAGTGTGAATACAACTTTTGTTGCAATAATTCAAAAGCAATGGTCTTGTCATTGGGATCCATTTCGTCATGCAACTTGAGCAATGTATCTAAGGTATTTGAGAATTTGTCCATGAGTTTTTTCTTTTGTTTAAGGGTCTTTGGTGAGGATGAAGCAACTGGTGCATTTTCAGTGGTTGTAGCAGAAACTTGATCAGAACCATGTTGTTGAGCATTGAGGGTATCTTCACCATTGGAAGCTGTCAACAACTTGGAAGGCTCTTGTTTTTTCTCAATCTTTAATGGAACAGTAGTGTTACCAGCCATGGAAGTGGAACGTTTTCTCTTCTTCAAATCCATGTGAGCAGCCCCCTTCTTTTTCTTCTTTTTATCTCCAGATGCTTGGTTGAGTAGAGCACTGGCCACGACATGAGCTCCTGTTACTGAGCTTTCATCGTGATGAGAGGTGACATCGGTTGAACCATTGGCAGCAGCAGTACCAGAAGAAGTACTTGCGTTGGACGAAGTAGGTGCATTCATTCCCGATGTTAATAGACCATCGGAGGCTCCCCGTTCTGAGACCTTAGGTCTTCGAGCATAGACCAGGAAGCCTGCCGATTTGAGTACAACCACAGGTGTGCTAATAGAACCATGAGCATCGGAATATAATTGAAGCAAGAGTCTCCATTTGCTCTTATTATAATGGAAACTCACGTCTTTAAACTTGATTTTGTGGGTAGCTTCAAAGGAGAGAGCACCTCCAGATGAGGTTTGCTTGAGAGAGATGAGAGAATCGTCAATGATGGCCTTTCCATCCTTCTTAATTTCCTTCGCAGTATCTTCATCAATGACTGTAACACGGCACATTAAAAGTTTGGGACTCTCTTTCAAGTCATGACATGCGTCCATATTCACCGTACACTTATATTGGAGTTTATATCTGAGAGATGAGTACATTTTGCAGGGAGTATCATAGACAGGCTCGGATTCATCACGAGTCGTAATACCAACAAGGATGGAATAGGCTGCTGTTTGTTGGTTTTGGAAGGACTCATCTTTAACCCATTGTCTATTGTTGTTGAGAGAAGCTGTATTAGTTGTTTCTGAGGAGGCGTTAGTGGATGTGAGCTCGTTGTTGGTGTGGTCAGTGTCATCTTGTGGAGTAGATTCGGTCGTTGATGATGCCGAAGAAGAAGAAGCAGCTGAAGACTTTTTGAGTGGTCGTCTTTTAGAGGTCTTCTTGGTTTGTTTCTTAGTGGAAGAGGAGGCTGATGATGATGATTGTGGAGAGGAGGCCGATGACAATTCGTCCTGTTGTTGTTCTGCTTCGTGTTGTTGTGGCATGGTGCTGGATTGTTGTGGGGATTCCATCATGTGTGGTATTCTGTTTGGTTGTGAGTGAGAGAGAGATGATATTATTTTGCTGAGTTATTGTGATGAGGATTCAATGAATAACTGAACAACAAGGATTTGAATGAGAAGGTGTGAATGACGGGTGTTGATTATTGTTTTTTTTTCAATTTTCCAAAATGGAATCTTATTGACCCATATGAATATTCGCTCCGACTTGCTATTATTGATGATTCTCGCATCTAAGCCAACAAGAGAATTTTTTACAGAACGTGTTCTCAACAACATGGAAAACCTCAAACCTTACTGTAAAGTGTTAAGTCTCCAAAAAATTGTCAACCGTCTGAACAAAAAAGGGGTGATTAAAGGCCTCTAAAGGTCTTACAAGATATCAACAACAACAGCTATTTAAAAATTGTCTCAAGATGAAGCTAGTACCTCTTTCGAAGCAGTCTTTTGTTCAGTATCTCAAAAACCAATCCACCTCTACAGCAGCTGCATACCAAGCAGACGAACATGAAATAGGTATTTTGCTTGAATTCAACGATGATGAGTTTTGCGACTATTCGTCACAACAACAAATGCTTTCGGAACTGATCACTCTGACTCGAATGAATAATAAGCATATCATAGGACTCGTCTCAAGCGCAGTTAGACATCATCATGCAATTCCCTTTGGGATGTGGGTTTGGAAATATCCAAATTCTGGTCGTACGCTTGTTGTGACTTTACCAGGGGATGGAAATGAAATATGGAATTCGTTGATGAGGCTTCCCGAGCAAAAGCTGTCGAAACTTTAATAACAATTCTGACAAATTTTATTATATATGTGATTAGAATGAAATCATGGTGTAGTTGGAGTTAGGGTAAATACCTGAATGCAAAATTAATGGTGTGTGACCACTGTGATATCCAGTAGGCGGTGATTGTTGATATTTGCTGTGTTTGTGGCCTTCAGAAGTTTTTCGAAAAATAGCAAGACCAATCCTCTGCTGTAGTCGAAATAAATAACGTAACCTGAATGCTGAAGAGCAAATTTCACAATATTTCTGTAAAAATCTGCTTCTCTAGAGCGAGGAAACATTCCTTTTGAATATCGATCGAAGGGAACAACCTTTGAAATGTCAAAAAAATTGCCATTATATTGAACGCCCCTGTAATAAGAGTTTCCCACTAGATAGATCAATTTAGGATTGCAGATCGACCTTCCCATGAAGAGATCTCTTGTAAATTGAGCGTCAAAAATATTTGAAAAATTGTCAAAGACATTATTTTCTTCTCCACTGTTGCTGCTGTTGTTAAATTTGACAAGTTTGTGTTCGAGCATTGGATTTGATGTTGAAGGTGTTGAATATTCTCCAAAGTTATACTTTTTAGAACCGCAGAAATAAAAGTCTTTACACTGCTCGTTTTCTTCTGAAACATAAAGAACAGTGTTACTTCCTGAAAGCACATTGGATACACAAAGGTAGTGAATTGGAATGTTAACAAAAGGAACATTGCTCTCAAACGTTTCATTGGGGTATGATGTCAATTGATTTGAGCTATTGCTTCCAGCAACTGATACCGTATGATCATCATGCAACACGACACTATGAAAATCTCCACACTCCATTTTCAAGACACGTTGTTTGAATTGTTGAACTCTAAATTTCCATGCATGGTACGAGTTACTTGAAAGATATTCATCACTACATCTAACCCAATTCTGACCTGTAAAATGAACATCACGATCATTAATAATACACAAGCTGAACGAGTAACAACATCCACAATGAGAAATCTCTAATGTGTCGTTATTATTCGCACCAACAACTTCAGATTTAGGAGAAAACATGAGCTCCGGTGTAGACCAATGTAAACTTTCATCCTTAGAAAAACTCATACGATAGTATCCATTACTACCTATTCCATAAATGTAATTTTCTTGCGTGATCATGTCTTTAACAACAAATAAAATTGCCTCCGTGTACGATACCACTTCTTTTACTCTTAGACTTGTGGATCCATCAAACGGATGTAATTTTGAAATTCCTTCTGGAATGTTAGGATCGTCACTGCCCGACGTTTTGATCAAATAAACAATTCCAGAATGACTAACAATAAATAATGAATTATTCCATGCAGAATAATGTAATTGTTTGATGGACTCTTTTTCGTTCAATGTAAAATATTCGGGAGTACCATGAACTTGTTCTTGCTCTCCATATTTTTGGCTCGGAAAAGGGACAAACACGATGTCCATATTGTCACGATGAAACAATCTCTGTGTGAGGGAAATTGACTATTTTTTTTTGGTTACTCTATTATTATTTAATTTTCACAAAACTGTAAAAGCAACAATTCCGCATAACCTCTATACCCAATGAGACCACTAATGTTGATACACCTAGCAAGCTTAATCAATTCTCAAAATCAATCCAGAAAGAAAATTGACACTTTTCAATTTTTCATAATAAAAGCCAACAAACCATCATCTGTCATCAACAATTTCCGTTGCATGATTATTGAACTCAAAAACAACAACCCGACTCAAACTGCATCATCATCAACAACAACAAAAATGAAGGGGTTATTCTCCAGCCGAGATAACACCAATAACAAAGCCAAAGATCAATATGTTCTAGGCTCATCATCAACTTCCAAAACTAAAACCAACAACAACAATAACTCCTCTTCGAATGGATCATCCTCTTCATCCACTTCTTCACGGAGAAAGGGATCCAAACAACAACAAATGGAAATTTCTCGACCTACCAGTTTCAAACTCATTCAAAGTTTTAATACCAACGGAGCTGGAAGTGGTAACAACACTCCACTCACGATAACGTCCTCAACTCTGTTGGAAGGACAATTATTACAAAAACAAATACAAGACTTTGCTTTGGGTGAGAGTGGTGTGGGGATGGAGAATAATAGTGATCCATCATCATCCATGAGCAGTATCATGACATCGAGTAGTAGTAGTAGTGGTGGTAGCACTACAGCTACGACAACGAATGAAAATGATGCATCCTCACTCTCGATTGTAACACCAAATAACCGAATGAAAACAATGACTCATCCAAGTCCAACGATGAACAATGCTTCGATGGCTCCATCACTCACGTCAGTATTGCTACAACAAGGAGATCGAGCACATCATAAAACGAAATATACCACTCTTTCCATAAGCACGCCACGAGATAAGTCTCCTGTAAAGTCACCTGAGATGGATATGTCAGCTGACAGTTTGAAAAAGATTGATGAAAATTTTGAAAATGTTTTGAAAATGAGAGCTGTCAGACAGTTTGAGATTGAATTCATGATAAAGAACTGGACTCTGAAACAAAAGCTACTGTTGATTCAAATGAATGAAAAGTTGAATACCATGTCGCATGATAATGGTGTGAATGGTATGGATAGACTTCATTCGGAGCATTCTTCACTTTCTGACGAAATTGGAGAAATAATATCTGTGCTATTTTCATACTTGCAAGACTATGAGCATCTCATTACCAATGTTAGCAATCATCAAAAGAGATTACGAATCGTTTTAGAAGTTTTACGTCACCTTTCCGTGTCACTCCGTACACGTGAAATTAATTTCGTCATTGAATTTATCCAACAAGATGGAATCCATGCAATGAGTTTACTCTTGACAAAGGTCAATCGACCTTACAAGCTGAATCTAGGGTATGTTGTGCCTGTTTTGTAGGACATTCTTCTGTAACATCTTATTCATTGTTAATATTATGAACAGTAATGACAAGCAGCGAAAAAAGAAAGTTTCACGACAATTAGTAGAATTGGAAGTTTTGCAACAGGTAATTCTTTGCTTTCATGGAATTGTTGACACTGATGAAGGAATGGTTTCGTTCATTCAACACGCAGATGTTATTAAACATCTTTTAATGATTTGTGACTTTGAAGCATTCCTCAAAGAAATGGTGGAGTACTCAAACTTTATCAGTGACAACTCTCAAAACAACGAGACGGTAACAAGTCCTAGAGGAGCTAAACCATTCACTCATCTAACCAATCAAAATTCTAACAGTTCATCCACCTCCACCTCAACAGCTGACAACCATACAGAGGGGTCAAGTTCAGATGAAGAACCTGAAGCTGACTTACCCTCTACCATAACCAACAATCAGGTGTTGACCTCCCCAAGAAGAAAAATGACCAAGACACTGAAAGGTCTTGTCAATGAATTAATCATTCAAAAATGCAATCTTAGATCAAAGATTCTACTGTTACTTTCTGTAATAACTTATTTTCCTGGGGAAAATGGTTTTTGGGTGACATTAGAATGTGTCAACAGTTACAAGCTGATGAAGAATGAAAAGCATAGATTCCAAGAAATTATCACATGTTTAGAGTCAACTTTTTATCACGAACAAGAGCTATCTGGTCACATGTTGATGTTCATCAATGCCTTCTTGTACGGGACCAAAAATTCAAGTTTTGCTAGCCATCTCTACAGAGAGTTTACAAACATTGGACTCAAGCAATTCATCAAAACAAATTCAGAAAAGCAAGGAGAAATTACAAATTCCAAACTGGCTAATCAGTGCAAAATGTTTTTAGATTTCGAAGAGGCTGAACGACAGCTATTCCAACGTGTTTTTAAGGGAGACAATCAAATTTCCAAACAAGATGAGGAGTTATGGCTCTCAATTTCTGACCCAATCGAGATGGTGCAAGTTATGAAAATGCGATTGGGTGAATCCGTAGAGGCAAACAGCTCCATGATCAATACTCTCAAGTTACTTCTTCTCGTATCCATGCACAAAAATAAGGATAAACTTGACAGCAATTGGGATGTGATCGAAAAGATCATTTCACAAACAATTTCTCCTTCAGGAGACGTTCAAGAAAAGAGTGGAGGAGGTGGCGACCGGTTAGAAACTGTGAAATTACAAGCACTTGTCGACTCGCAACGAGAACAAATTCAAAAATTTGAAAAAGAAAAATCTAAAGCCATGAATATCCTCGACCAACTTTCAGACATTACCCTCAACAATAAGCAAAACGCCATTCTCACAGTCGATCAATTAGATTCATCTCAGCAACAAGAATATCCTCTGCTTCACAAATTAATTCAATTCTCCACAAATCCCTTATCAGAAAAATTTGCTTTCAACATTGAAGCAAAACCTCTCGAGATTGCAGCCACCAGTTCTGACATGTCAAACATACCTCCTCCACCTGGTATGGGAGGAAATATTCCTCCTCCTCCAGGAATGGGTGGAGATGCTGGTAACATTCCTCGTCCACCTGGTATGGGAGGCAATATCCCTCCTCCTCCAGGAATGAATGGCATACCTCCTCCTCCAGGTATGGGAGGTGTACCACCCCCTCCAGGTATGGGTGGAGTACCTCCTCCTCCAGGAATGGGTGGAGTACCACCTCCTCCAGGTGGCGGTATCTTTGGCATGTTCCAAACCAAGCTTCCAAAAATTCCTGATCTGAAAGCAAGTACTGATACCAGGAAAATTCACATTGCTGGTGACAAGATAAATAACAAGGAAATTGAAAAGACGGGTTGGTTCAAATTATTGGAAACTCATGCTACTTCTGCTGCAGCGTTATTAGACACTCGGCTGTTTGAGAATAACTTTTTAAAGAAGGAAACAAGAGACGCACCAACTGGAACGGATCCTAGCGCTCCTGCTCTTGTGACATTTTTGGATGCAAAAGTTGGCTATCAATTGTCACTGTTGTTGGGTTACTTAAAAAAGAGTGAACGAGAAATTAGAACGTGCATTATTGAGTTGAATGAAAAAGAATTGCAAAAACAAACCATTCACGCTCTGAAAGATTTATGCCCTGACGATGAAAAGTTTAAAGAAATTGAAGGATTTGTTCAAAAAGGAGATGGATATTTGGAACAATTGGAACCTGGTGACAAACTATTTTACTATCTGAAAGATATTCCAAGACTCAAACAACGATTTACTGCTTGGTCTGCGCAAATTTACTTTGAAGGATCGGTGAGGACCGTTGAACCAGACATTCAATCATGTATTAACGCATGCAAAGGAGTGATGGAATGTAAGAGCTTCCAAAAGATTCTTGCATTTATTGTGATTCTTGTAAACTTCTTGAATAAGGCCAAGACAGAGAAGGACAAAGTGTTTGGATTCAAGCTTAACTTTTTGACAAAACTTGGAGACATCAAATCGTCAAGTGATCCTAATCGATCAGTTATGAATTATTTGTGTGAATTAATGCTCGTAAAAGAAGACAAATTAATCCCTACCATGCTCAAAGAAATTGCAGATTATTGTGAAATTGGAAGTAGAATTGAAGTTCCAGAGCTCAAGAAGGAAATTTCAAAATTAGGTGAGTCCTTAAAGATCATCAGTGCAGAGCTTGATTATTACAAGAAGGAGAAGAAATTTGTACATGATCGATTTCCTGCTCAACTCGAAGAATTTTATCAACAAGCCAAAATTGAAATGGACAAAATTACCAAAGCTCAAGAAAAGTTGGAGAAAACTCTCAAAGATCTTGCTGTATTCTTTGGAGAAAAAGAAAAGGAAATTTGTGAAACACCTCATCTCTTCTTTTCGAGCGTATCGACCTTCTTGAAGCAAGTAGAAGTAACATTCACCAAAATTAAAGAAGAAAAAGAAAAACAAAAGGATGCTCAACTTAAGAAGGAGCTCAAGAACTTTCTTCAAAACCGAAGGACAGAAGGAAATATGGCCATACTTTCAGCAGTGGCCAATGGAGATATTAGAAAATAATATTTTCATAACAACATGTGGATCGTTTAATAAAAACATGTCATTTAATAAATAGAGTAAGGAATGGCTGTATTTTCTCGTTAGTTCTGTGCGAAATGTGTTTAAACCACCAGCGAGTTGTTAATGTCTTCTTTTTCATCCTCCAAATGGGCAAGGTTGAAATATCCCTTAAATTTGGGTGCATTCTTATTGGTTAGGATTTTTGATTTAACCTTTCGTTGACTCTCTGACAGTTGAAGCATGTTTAATTGATCTTCAAGTTGTGCTTCAATCAAGTCTCCATTCAACACTTGCTTGAAAATAATTTTCTTATTTCTTCCTTCAGAAAGATCTGGAACTTCAGAAAAATCAGTGTCACTTGAAGAACCACTGCCACTTCCACTTGCATCGGAATAAATTCCAAGCTCTATATTTTCTCCCTTTTGTTGACGCCTTGCTTCTTCACTTTCTCTTCTCTCTTTCCTTCGCTTTCGTTGCAACTCTTTGGCATCTTTCAGCTTCTCTTCAGCCATACTCATTCCTCCAAATTCTTTTGTGATTCTTCGTCCTGCTTTGATGGTACGATCTAGTTTTCCGAGTTGACTTTTCACTCGATGCAATGCTTCCTTTTTGAGTTGTTTCATTTGCAATAAACGTTGTTCTCCCTCCATGAATCCCTCAGCTCCATACTTTTTTGCCATTAATCTCTGCAAACGGAGATCATCTCGTATTTGCATAATTTCAGTTTGTAACAAGGCCATATGATCCTCTAGGTTTGACATGACGTCATCCACCTTTTTAGACCGACCATCCAATGCATTTGTTTTCTTCATAAATGATTTCGTTGATGAAGTCGGAGAAAGCAATGCATCCGAATGAGTATTCTTATGGTGGTTGGAATTATTTTTGAATGCATGGGAAAAGGAGGTAGAGATGGACGAGGAAGACAAGGAAGAGGAACCTCCTGTCCTCGAGTTGCTTGATGATGAAATATTACTAGCATCGATGGAGGAATGTAGGTTTGGTCCTCGAGGGTTCATCATTACCGAGGTGGCCATGTTATACAGTTTTTTTATTTTTTTTAAAATTGAAAAAACGTAAAATTTTGGCGGTACTTCAAATCGCTTGTCACTTGAGGCAATTTGACAGTGTCAAAAAAGCCAAGTTTCAAATTGGAATTACAAAAAAAATATGAAACGAACAAAACAAGACAATCCTAGTAGTAGTTTTGATGATCATCATCATGATGAAAAGAAAAAATTGAAATTCAGTCGTCTAGATCTGTCTCCTCACCATCATGAATGGAATAATGGAGAATCAGTGGTGAAAATTGAACTCATTGATTTTAGTCATCATTTACATCATCCACAATCGGAGACTTATCATTTACTTTATAGAAAATTTGAAAATCAAAGAAAGGGTTTTTTAAAGTGGTTTCATCATAAATTAGAATTTATGACTCGAGTTCGTAACCGATTATGTGATTATTTACCCATCGAGTTTATATATGATCGGGATGTGATTCTCAACACTGGAATTTATCATTATTCATTATTTTACTATTTACTGGAAATTACAGACAAGGCTCTAATGCTTGAGATGGTTCAAAAGAAAGGCACATCTTTGGTCTGTGCTTCAAGTGCATTGAGAAATGATCGGGATGTAGTTCTGAAAGCTGTGCAGAACGATATTAATGCTTTGAGATTTGCTTCGGAAGACTTACAAAACGATCATGAAGTTGTGTTTCAAGCATTTAGAATGAATGCAGAAAAAGAGTTTTTTATTGGACCCAAGTGGAATCCATACCGATTGATACAAGACAAGGAATTTATCTTGTCGATTGTGCGTTTTAGTACCAAAATTCTTGCAGAACCTGCTTTTGATCATTTGGTGCAGGACTTTCATTTCATGTTGGAGGCATTGAAGGTGAATGTTCATTCATTAGCATATGCTGATGATTTTTCATTACGAGCAAGCAAAGAATTTATGAGAGAAGCAGTGAAAATCAACGGAGATGCACTTGAATTTGCGTCACATGATTGTCAAAAAGATCCTGAAATACTTTCAATAGCACAAAATAACCTCACATATTCACTGCAATTTGCTACTCTAGAACAACGAAGCGACAGGCAATATGTGTTACGTTCACTAAGACATGCTTTCTATTCTACAGATGTACAATATGCCTCTGACGAGCTAAGGAGTGATGCCAATATAATTTTAGAAGCCATGAGAATTTGGAAAAGTGCAGATCCATATTTTGTTGCTTCAGAGAAACTGAGAAGTGACAAATTATTGGGCTTGACTGCACTTTCGTATTCATCTGAAGTCTATCATATCATGTCAGAAGATCTTCAGAAAGATAAGGAAATTATTATTGCTGCAATTAAGAACGAAGAACATGCTTCGTATATTCTCGAAACAAAGCATGCCATTGAATACCGTAATGATCCTGATGTCATGCGCGCTGTAGTTGAAAACATGAACCCAAAATTTGGACATTGTGATTTGACAGAATATCCAGAAATGATCAAAATACAAGATGCAAATGTAATTGTTCAAAAAGTGCGTGCAGCATGTCAACTTTTTTCTGAACCTTCAGAGTTATTGACAAATGTGTTAAGATTTTTACCTGATCCACCTCCTCCATCATGTCAAGATGAAACATTTTGGTTACAATTAATTTCCATGAGGTCCTTTTTCATTCTATTTGTTCCAAAACATTTAATTACTAAGGAATTTATTGTTAAGGCACTGAAACAAAACGGAGCTTGCTTGTCACAACAACCAGTGGAGAAGTTTGCGGAATGTGATGTGTCACTGAAAGATGTCGCCTTAAGAGACAGTGGTTTTTATGAAGATTCTATCTCAAAGCAAGAGAGCAACATCTTCAATGCACGAATTGATGGGTTTTATTACGGGGCAAAGGTTACAACAAATGCACCCTTGTGTTGGAGATTCTTGAGTTCTGTCGAAAATTTGTTTGCTTTTTATGACGAGTTTTAATTGCACTCTCTAATTTGGGGAACCATCACCACCATATCATCCCTTTCTCTCCTCCATGCTGTATTCTGGATTCCATGCTTGTCTCAGTCAAGAAATACATATTTTCAACAAGAGTGACTTTTAATTGATCTTCCGATAAAATTGATCAGTCCCTGAAACCGGTGAATGTAAAGAATTCGAGCCTTAATGTTAATACAAAAGAGGAAATGGCAAGAACGCAAACCAATTTCTCACAAATCCATACATAAAGCAGAACAACATGAAATCACTATAGTAATATGTAAATTGATCGTGATTCCAATTTCGAATATATTCTCGTAATGGAAGTGATTTGTTGTTTTGATGTGTTGTCTCTGATTGTAATTGATGGGTAGGTCTATAATTTCCAATGAGTACCGTGTAGGTAAACAACATGGTAGATCGAATCATTGTTTTGGAGAGATTCAATAATTTCAATGATTGTGGACGTTTCGCATGAATGAAAAATACAAAAGCAGAACTCAATATAAGAGCTTTCACAAACATGTGTTGATTGTTGGAATAGTTTGGATTCAGCCAAGTTCTTGTTGATGGTAATGGAGAGCCAGTTTTACCACTACTAACCATGTTCATTCTATCCTCCAATATGCGAACTTGATCTCTGAAATCATAATCTGGCATGGAGGTATTTGTTGAGGATTGAATCATGGACTTGACAAGATTGGAATGAAGCAATTGAGACACTGAGAGAGTAGTGCTGTCGGATACATTGTCCAAAGTTCGAACCATTTGATTCACACACAGTGTTGCAATGCATTTGTCCAGTGCATTTTCACTCTTGAATAGAAGAGCAAGATGATTGGCATATTGATTATTCTCATCTTCTTTAAGAATATGTTCTAATAAATTCGAGTTAGAAAAGACATTTTTGATCATTTCCAATGCCATCTTTTCCTTCTTATTCAGACGATACTTGTTGTTTGATGGCGGTAATGAATTTGTTAAAATCCATGCATCCTTGAAATTAAATTGAGAGTAATTTTCTCGCAAAATATTTAAGGCCAATTCAATTGTGTTAAATTCAGAGTTGGGTTGGGTGGATAGCGTGAAAAATTCTTCCGATAATTTGGGAGAGGATCTTTTGTGAAAAATTCGAGACAAAATTTCCAATGCACATTCACTCACTTCACTATTGTTGGATAAGAGAATAAATGTTTTTGATCAGAGTCTTTTTGAATGATGTATGAGAATGACTATGTGAGGAAAGATGAGCTTTGAAAATATTACTTACTGCATTGAAAAAATCTTCAATGTACTGATGTGCCTTGACAAGAGACAAAATTTCTTTCAACACATTCAATAACTTGTCTTGTTCATTTGGCATGCTTTCATTCAATAATAATTTCAAATTTTCATTTCTCGTCAATGACAATCTTTTGAAATAATAATAGACCAAAAACATGGCGTAGGGCAGTGAGCAATATCCAACCATGTAAAACCATGTTTTGAAATCAAATACTTTAAAGTGATCCTTTTCATTGTCTTTGGTAGATTTTTGGTCTTGCTTACTCTCTTGATCCTCTTTTTTACCAGTCATTGTTGACAAACTTGAAAATGTTCGGGATGAGGCAATTAAAATGTTCTTTCTTGTTGCATCCATGATTCGGTTGCTTTTGACCATCCGTGATGCCAGCAAAATTGGCTGTGATGACCAAAGAGCGGTCATGAGACGCTTGGATGGGATCATCAAGCCCTTTGTTGTGTTTGAAAACATTTTTTGAGATTCCGAATGAAAATAGCTGAAGGCCTTGCAACTCAATCAAAATTTTGATAAAATGATGATACTTCTTTGAGGAAGAGAGCTTTGCAATCAGTGATTATGAGTCGTCCTTGTGTTTAGAGACTCACTGCCCTAGTGCACACTGATAACGTGGCGTCTTGAATCTGAAGAGTAAGCCGAGCAGCGTGTTCTGTGTGTGCTCAACCCTTGTAGGATTCGAGGTTAACGACTTGATTCCATTGGGCCCAACAGCACGCATGCCAAATGATCCTGTCCTAGGTGTTGTTGTGATTGTGGTTCTCGAATTTAATTTTTTATTGTTGGAGATGCATCGACAATGGAATTCGGGGCACTTGATAACAAACTTTGCTACAAGATCCCACCACCGATAGATCCATGTTGCTGCTCATCGTTCCGTTGTTCTCCTCATCATCCAAGTCTAACCCCAGAAGAGATTGAAGGGAATTAGCAAAGAATTGTTTGGCGTGATGTGCGTTGTCGAATAAACGAGAGTATGTTTTACCACTGGATCCGAGATTACCAAATCTCGAGTAGACAACAAATACATTGCTGAACAAGAGATGAGTGTGCAGTTGGAGGATGACAAATTGTTCATCTTGCAACCCGTGAATGAGTACATTGAAGGCTTGATGAGTCAACAAGTTGTTGTTTGAATCACCTGCGAAAGGATGATCCAAATTCTCTGCATAAATTCTTCCTCCCGTGAGCATGAGTGTACAGTAAGGATCAATTTGCAGTGTATATTTGGATGACGGTGTTGAGGATGATGAGGAAACCCTAGATCTTGTTGTTGCAACAAGTAAACGTTTCAATCTGTTTTCAAGTTTAGCTGGTTCCTCAAGAGCAAGACACAATGATGACTCGCCCGAATTGCTATTCTCGTTTCCCTTTATCTTCCATGGACACTCGAGCACTGCGTTAGGATCATAGCTTAGAGTTGTGTTGTTGTAACTACATGAGAATAGAGAAGAGGCTTGCAAAATGTTGGAAAGAAGAAAGGCTGAATTACTCGCATACTCAATGGGTTTTGCTGATGATGGCAGTGAGGATTTGGTTCGTTTGGTGAGTTGTTGGTGGTGTGTGGTTGAGTTTTTGTCGACGTGCACGTGATGATGATTGTTGTTAGTTTGATGATGATCATTGTGGTCAGAGTTGTTGCTCACGGCTTCGGATGGATGTTCCTTTCGCTTCCTGATTCTTCTCTTATTATTCATGAGAGATGAGAAGCCATCGCTGGATGAGAGCAGCGTGTCTTTAATAAGCAACCTTCTTGGTGTTGATGATCCACTACTAGTTGTTGCAGAAATAAGACCATTGTTGTTGGTGAATGAAGTAGACGTGCTCGTATGATGATCATTCATAACACTAGTTCCGTTGTTGTTGTTGTTATTGGTCTCGCTTGCCTTGGTGTCTAGAGGTTGTTGTTCTTGTTGCGATTGGTTATTGCCCACGGTCTCTGTGGGGAGAGTAGCGTTGATCATCATTCTTGTTGTGCGATTTGTTTTCAATAATGAATTTAAAATTATTTAAAAATTTCACAATTTGATTGATCGCGTTTCACACACGTGTGTGTAGCAATAACTCATAACTTGATCATGGCCCTTATGTGTTGGTCATGAAGAACATTTCATGATGATGCTGATTCGGTTACCATTCGATTACTGTAACAGCACTACCCCATCATTACGATAATGATTTTTCAAAAACATCAAGTGCCACGCATCAACACACAAAGAAACCTTCAAACAAAAAATATGACAACAACCACGATGCCTCAAAGAGTTGTCAATGGCTCCTACTCGTTGCCAATCAATAATAACACTATCCACACACATAATTATGCCTCTTTTCGTAGGGTAGTCCCCTCTAAATTATTCTCTTCGACATTTATTTTCATTCTCTTCGTCATCATCGTCATGGTGATCACGGAATTATTTTCTCTCCATGTTATGGTGAGTGCAGCATCCCTTCCGACCTTCAAGTTAAATCCCATCGATGGAAGAATTTCAAGTCTTCAATATATTGGCAAAAATCTTATTGTGGTTCAAACCAGTGATAAATTCAGTTATGTGAGTGTCGATCAAGGTGTCAACTTTTACAATTTGAATCAATTACTCAAAACCTGTGAAGAGTACAAGTGTATTGACAGTGTGGTGAAACATCCAACCGATACCAACATGTTTGTCTTGCTATCAAGCAAGAAGAATTCACAATTTATTTGTACCAATTTAAATTCTCTCACAGGTCCTCAGGAAATTGATAAATTGAGTTGTGTTCAGAGATATTTACCGAAAAGTACACTCGATGAAGAATCCAACAGCTCTGCAAAGAATAGATATCAACAACATGCTGTTTTGAAATATATTTTCCATCCTACTATTCATGATACTCTTCTCGTTTTGATGAGTGATCATAATTTATATATTAGCTATAATTTGGGTTCAAATTTTTTCAAGTTAAAATCTGGTGTGAAATCCATTTCGTTTGCCAACAAGGAATCAAGAATGTACAGTGACACTCTTCTATTCGGAATTAAAGAAAATGAAGATGGTACGAGTTACTTCTTTAGTATGGATTCTCGTAATAGAAATGAAGAGGATAATGAAATTATTATTCATCCAAGAGATTTTATGATGTATGGGCAATTTTTATTTGTAGCCACTACGGAGGCACCAGTGACGGCGAATGGACAATCTGAATATGTTGCCAAACTCTATGTCAGTTCCGACAATGGTCACAGCTTCAATCGAGTGCGAATAACCAACAGAAATGGTGTTCTTGAAAAGTCATTTGTCATTCTAGATGGTAGTGAAGGAGCAGTGTTCATCAATGTTCAACAAGAACAAGTTGTGGCATCCTCATCGTCCTCCTCTCAATATTCACCTAGATTTGGAAAAGTCTTCCTTTCCGATTCACGAGGAGTGAAATATAAGGAATCTCTGTGGAATAATAGAAAAGAAGGAGGTCATGCAGATTTTACAAAAGTGAAATCTCTGGAAGGTGTCTATTTGGCTAATCAAATTCATACCGATGACATGTCAAGTGTTGACATTTACGACTGCAACAGCTGCAATGGTTATGAGGATTGTACAAACAAATGCAAGACCAAATCACTCATTACATTTGACAAAATGACATGGCACTATATACAACCACCAAAAGTAGATGCTCAAGGAAAGCCCATTCAATGCTCCAATTGCCATCTCAACATTCATGGCTTCACCGCTTCCTCCTCTTCCAATTATGTCAAAATCCAATCTCACAAAGATGCAGTAGGTATCATTCTAGCCAATGGAAATGTTGGACAATATTTAGACTCCAAAATTGTAAATACCTACATGAGTAGAGATGGTGGTTTGACATGGTTTGAAATTGCTAAAGGATCATACTTGTATGAAATTTTAAATCATGGAGGAGTTTTAGTCACTGTGAAAAATAATCAACCTACTGTGGAAATTAGATATACTCTCGATGAAGCAGAGACGTGGATTTCTGCAAATTTTACAGATCGAGCCAATAGTCCATATCATATTAGCAAATTATATGTCAATGAAAAACATGATCCCTTGGCCAAATATATGATTATTCATGGATCTGGAGATACTACGGGAGACATTCTCATTCGAGTTGATTTTTCTCAAGTTCAGGAACGTGAATGTAATGGAATTAACAATCCATATGATCAGAATAGTGACTATGAATACTTTAAACCTCACAGTTACTCGAATAATTGCTTCTTGGGACGAGTTGTAGAATATACACGAAGAAAACGAAGTGCCAAATGTTTTAATCCTCAACTCACCGAAGATAAGCCAATCAAAATCAAGAATTGTGAATGTACCTATGCAGACTATGACTGTGATTATGGTTATGACAAGAAATTGCTGTCACAAGACAAGACCACCTTCACTTGCACTGCACTTTCCGCACAACTCGAAGAAGAATCAAAAAGCCCATCACTCTCCTCATGTCAAACTGAGAGGTATTACAATGAATCGAGAGGGTTTGCCCGTCTTCCTGGAAATACATGTGTTGGAGGTGTGAGTTCCAAGTTAGATCCTATTCAGAGAGAATGTCCAACGGCCATGAGTGGATGGGCTATTTTCATTCTACTTTTATTCTTCTTGGTCTTGTTCATGTTCACCATTCTACTCGTTTACAAACATTCCTCTCGTTTACAAGCATTATTCAATCCCAATCGAATGAGATATCGATACAATCAACTCATTAATGATATGAGCGCCAGTGAGGGATCCATAGAACAAGACATTGAAAATAATAGAAATCAATACGAAATACATAACAATGAAGATGTTTTTGATAATCGAATTGAACAATCCGATGATGAAGATTTTGGTTTGGATGTGACTGAAGAGGAACAAGAAGCACCCGAAGAGATGGATGAGAGAGGTCTATTCAAAGCTTCCCATCAACAATAATAGGAGTAGAGTAGTTTTAAGTGTCTTCAATGATGTATTAATCGACCACAACATCTTGAAAACACCGAGTTAAACTTTCTGTACGAGAATATACTCAAAGACATATCCGATAATGATTTAGATAATGATTTCTAAAATATTTATAGATATATTGGACGACATAAAAGGAATGCTCTGTATGATTCGTGAGACAACAACGCAATCTCAATGTTAAAAAAACCTTAATAGACAAAAAACCTTCATGAGAATTATTTTCATGAAACCTTTTAAAAAATGCATCACATGGATGAGGTTATGGGTATTGAGTTTATGTGTAGGTTTATGTGTGATGCATGGATGGTGCTCGGAGCATCATAAAGAGAATAACACACGAGAGAAATGGCTTCGGAACGTGATAGATTTTGAAAGGCTTGATACCGAATGTTATCATCAGTTGGTTAAGAATTATTATTTTGAACGTACCATGAATGAGTTTAAGGTGAAGTGTTTGAGGGAGAGGAAGTGTACGACGAGCGATGATGATGAGGTTGATGCATCCTTTTCGTATGAAGAAGCAATTACCAAGCTAGATACACTCCTTAATCATCAGATCAAGAAAAGTTTGGAAAATCATTGCAAGAATTTGTTACTGGATCCAGCCTCGATATCCGTTTTCATTTCCAAAAACGAATCCAAGCAGCTTTTTATTAATGGAGAAGAACAAGTTCACGAATTTTGCTCCAATTTTCATCAAAACAACACCAAATTGTGCAAATTCCATATTTTGGAATTGAGCATTCAGAGAAAAGTCTTGTCTTTTGCAAAATCGATTCCTTCCAAGATGATAGAAAAATTTATTTGGTACTCGCTTGTGAGGAAACTAGGTCTAGATCATCAAGAGGAAGCACTTGCCTTGATTCATTCCCTTAAAATTGAATTCAATCCAAAATCAATGGAGATTCATGTTAAGGTTGAAAACAACGTTGACCCTCTTGCTGAAATTTGGAAATTAGCGGTCGTTGCTCTTTTATTCTTTTTAACTTTTGAATGGATCTACAAAAGGACCATCGAAGACAAGAAAAACCAAGAGGAACGCTACACAAATTTGGAAGCAGAGCTAAGCCTCTCGAACTCTAAAGTGTGCGACCTGACCACTAAACAAATTGAGCAAGCAGTCCAAATTCAACAATTAACTACAGAAAAAGTCCAACTTGAAAATGAAAAGGCCACTCTTGAAAGCAAGTTGTCAACATGTAAATATCAGTTAAGCGAACAACTTGACAACAATAATATTCTCATCAATAGAGAACAACTTATTATGAAAGAGCATGCTACACAGCTACACGAGGCTCTTGAGAAGCTGAAGAAAACCAATAAGATTCAACTGGAAGAGAAGAATGAAATGATAAAAAAGTTAGATGGTAGCTTGACCTTGGAAAAAAACAAGGTGAAACAATACCAAGAAGAGTGTGAAAAGGCGCGAGCTCAACTCAAGCAGATAGAGAAAGACCGAGATTTTACTACCTCTCAATTGAAAGAGTTATCCAGAATCAAAGAAAAATTAGAACAAGAAAAGAAAGAACTGACAGAGAAAATTAAGGAAGGGCACAAATTGTTAGCTCTCAAAACAAAGGAATGTGAGGATTCTATTAAAACCAATGAGATACAAGCTCAAAAGATCACAACACTAACTGTGGAGTTGGAGGACAACAAAAACACCTATGAGCATCAAACGAAAGAGCTCAATTTCATCAAAGAAGAATTGAAATCTTGCACAACAAATTTAAATAAGTTAAAAGAAACATGTAAACAACAAAGTAGTGAGATTTCCGAGTTGCAACAAGGGTTAGAAAGTTCTCAAAAAGACATTCAGGAACGGAATGATCAAATAGTAACACTTGAAAAAGAACTTGAAAAAAAAGAATGTGAACTTGAGAGAGTTTATGACCTGTTTGGTAAGGTAGAACAAGATTACCATGACCTTAGGCAGCTGCATTCTCGTTGTAAACAGGAACAACATGGGTCGTCGGGTGACGTAGAAGTAGTAACGCCAATTGAAAGTAGTACAGGAATTGAGGTCAGTGAGGAGACAACTCCAATTCAGATCAAGGAGGTAACAAACCAAAATTTGAATGAGACTACATCTGAAGTAACATTCAGTAAGAGTAGTAGCCAGGAAAAAAGCAAGGAACGATTAAAGAAATCCAAAAAGAAGAAGACGAAGCATTCAAGTGTCTCGACATCACAAATACCAAATCAGCAGGCCGAATCAACCTTAAATCAAGGGAATAGCACCATTGATTCAACCCAAACTCCTGAATATTTTCCAACACCGATAGACATGAGTTCCAACGCTGTTGCAGAAGAACAGAAAGCAAAACGAACAGCAAAAAAGAAATTGCAACGCCCTGTCAAAAAACAGCTCTTTGTCAAGACCATTGCGAAGTAAATTTACTTGTAAAGTTACACCTACTGTCACTATATTCAACTCATGTACCAACATTCTTGAAAATCTATCACTTATGTTTATTAATCTGATTTGAACTACAAAGTCATACTCTTGCCGATTTGAGCATTGTCAACCATTTGAATGACTTTTGATGCTGTTGGTCTCTTTTTAACATCCAACGCCAACATGGAGAGTACAATCGCAATCAATTCATGATCATATTCAAAGCCTTGCTTTTCAATGATCGATTTCAATGTTTTGAAGAATTCGCTTTCATATTCTGCTTCCTCATGTAGTTTTACAATATTCAAGGAAGTGTCCATCGTGAGTAATTGATAAAGGCAAACACCAAAATCGAAAATGTCAGTTGATGTGAATGTATCCGAGTAGGAACTTGTAGATTGTCTGAATGCTGTTGCGAAATTTCCAAATCGGTCATTTAAGGAAGATGAAGGTTTGAAGCTTTCTGGGTCCTCTGGAGATTTGGCAAGAGTAAGGTTCAAAGAGTGACGCGATCTTGAATTTCCAAATTCTCCTAAACATACAATCATTTTCTCATGTGAAATTTCCTTAATAAAAATATTTGATAACTTGACAGCTGTGTGGCATAAATTATGTTGATCATGAATGCAAGCCAGCGCTTGTGAAATTTGTTTTAGAATTTCCACAACTTCCCATTGTTCGAAACGAGATCCATTTTCTCTTCTAGATTCCAATAATCGTTTTAAATCTCCAAAAGGACAATAATCTAATACCATACAAATTGCCTTGTCATCCGTATCAATAAATGTTTCATACAAACGCGTCACATGAGGGTGATTCACTTTTGATAAGTTGGAATATTCTCTTGCGGAATTTGATTCATCGAATGTAATAAAGTTCACTCTCTTAATAGCAACAATTTGATTATTCACCAAATCGTTTGCCTTGTATATATTTTCAAACTCGTCTCCTGAGATGTATTCCAATAATTGATACTGTCCATTAAGGAGGGAGTGTAAATGGTGTGGTTTTTCTTGAGCAGAGGTTCCATAATGAACCACAGTTCGATCGTTGTGATTCTCTGTTGAGCTAGTATCAACCTCAATCTTATCATCTGAAGAGGAAGTAGTGGTTTGATCTGAGACTGTGGTTGGGGAGGTTTGCATTGCTGGTTTGTACGCATATCCAGTGGGTGATGAAACAGCACTTGCTCCTCTGCCAGTGGCATTTTCTCTTCTTCGTTTCAAGACAATTCTCACACCAAATATGCACATGATCAGCATACAGACTCCAATCACACAAGAGCCTGCCAATACGGTACACAAAATAACGATCAATAAGGTGTTGTCACCGCTCAAACTGGGTGGAGGTGGTTGTGGAATATTTAGCGGAATACTGGTGACATAGATACTTCCTGAGCCTAAATCGGATATCTTAATGGAGCATGTCACTTGATTAGTGCCAGCTACATGTAAAGTTGTTAAATTTTGATCTTGGTTGGATTGTACTTGATCGTAGGACGAAAATAATTTGCATTGAGGTCTATAATTGGTTGGCAAGGTAGAAAGTGCAATGTCAAACGTGATATTCACTAATGGTGCATTGCTATTCAGTATCGAAACAGGTCCCTGACCATTCTTTCTAACATTGAAGTGAAGAATTTGAGCAGTGGTTAGAGAAGCCAACAGTAATGATCTAGTCTTGGTCGTTTGTTTTTGTAATATCAATTCAACTTCATATAAACTGAATGACGAGGTATTTGTGTTGGTGTCAAAAAGAGAAGCCAAGTTAATATTAATACCTTCGGATGGAATTGATAAATAGCTAGAATTCTTGAAGGCTTCGTCTCCATACAAGTTATTCTTCAATACCAAGTAATTGTTAAAGCGAGAGGTGGTACTTGTCATTGAGGGCAATAAAGTACGAGTGGAAACTAACAATGGATTTCTCCAAAGTTCATCACTCAGGCTTTCCTTAAATAGGCCTTGTTTATACTTGATCAGGAATTGGTATTGAATTTTTGGGCTTACTAAAGGCAACAGTAAATCCAGTAGTTTTGAAATAGTGGAAATTTCAGAATCCTTAACATAGTCGGAACTTGTACTGTGTGAATTTCGAAGCACACGTACGCTCAGAGCATTATCTAAAATGTTCAACAAGTAATCAACATTGCTGGAATCTGATAGAACATTCTTAGAAGATGAAATTATTGAGTCAACCATCTTTAACACTTTGTCCATAGAATAAATTTCACTTTCTTTTGCATGTTGTACAAAGGCGCTCAATTTTGGAAGGAATACCTGAGAATATTTAGAGATGTCTGGAAGTGAGCTTGCCGCAGCATAATATGAGTTTTCAATATCCAAACCAATGGATTGTTGCGAGGCGTCTTCATTGAGAAGGCTGCTGATCAACGCATCAGGTGTACTCTTTTCGAGTGGATTTGTTAATTTGACAGGCAGCGTCATTGTTGTAAAACCATTCCATACATCCCGAATGACAATTTTCAACTTTGGATTTTCCATGTAAGGAAGTCTTGTGAAAAACGATTTCTTGGTTGAGACGGAGAGTGCAATCTCAGAGGTATCATTGGAAAGGTAAAATCCATATTGAGCTATGTTACCATCTTCATAGGAAGAGTCAGAGAAGCAAGAAATTGTGAACTCAGTTTCAAATGCAATACCTTCTTTTGGAGAAATGCCACATCGTGGAGTTGGAGGCTCCAATTGCATTGAAAATTGTCTTTCAACAAACGCAACTTGCTGGTCAGAAGTCTTGGCTTCAAATCTAATGGTATATCTCGCTCCAGTGTTGAGTTGTGAAATGTCAAGCACAGATGAAATAAACTTCATGTCTGGTGATTGGTAGTTAGTTGTAAAAAGCTTGTTGTTCACAACTTTAGACGTGCCATTTTTCCAAATGCTAAAACTAATACTTGAAATGGGTTTGAAACTTGTCACTGCAGCAGTTAATGGCAAACCTTTGCCGTATCCAAATCCTACAATATGAGGAACAACACTCAATAATTCAACATGTATCGAATTAGTGTTCGAGAATTTTACACCATTTGCATTCGTTCCATTGATTGAGGCACTCAACTGAATTACAGCATTGGTGAGCTCTGAGGATCCTGACAACCCATACACAACATTGTCGACAGTATTTCTCTGCAAGAGAGAGTCACAACTTTGACGATTCACATTATCTGTACTGTAGAAACATTTCCATAATATACTACTTGTAGAATCCAAAGTTGGATATTCCACTGTTTGTGTGATAGGATTAAATCTTACCAATCTTAAAGCGTACTTGTTGGAAAGTCCATCTCGTTTGGATTCCACATAGTACTCTGTTGGTCGTGGTGAGAAGAATCGAACACAAATGGCAGTCTTGGTGTTGCTTGAACTTCGTTGAGAGGAGGCGATGATACAGTGAGCATCATTATTTTGAATATCATTTCGAGATCTACTAAATATTCTAGATGCTTTGAACGAGTGTTGAAAAGAAGTGTTGAACTTCAAATTGTTGTTAGCTCCTTCAACAGAGTAGTCAATAATTGAACTTTTTAGGGGTGCCTCGTTCAATTCAACAAAACATGTGTCCATCAGAGAGCAAGTAATTTGATTCTTTCCATATACCAAGACAGAAGTAGGGCTTGAGGAAGTGCTTAATTGTGGTTGATAAGGCATTTTCACTGTTGTTGAAGTGTTAAATGTGAGGTCTATCACATTCAATGTGAATGGAATTGCTGAAAGTTGTTGTCTTAAACTTCTCAATCTTCTGTTCAATTTGGTTACTGGAATCTTCACAATCATTTGGTTTGTGTACGCAGAAAGGAAATTAGAGAGCTCAGTATTTTGATCAGCAGACCATCTATATTCCAAAGTAGAGAGTGGAGATAAATTCTTTGAGGTAGCTTGCAACACTACAGGGAATGAAGCGCTTGTGGGGGTGAGAACAGCAGTAGAGGTTACAATATTGGTTTCAGAATCGAGTTTGGGCACACCATCTGGATCCAACACATAGTATCTCACATTGTTAAATGCTGGAATTACGGTATCATTCTTGATCCAAGTGTTAGGTGTGTAGAGTATGAAGTCTTTTTGTTGGTTTATGAAACAACTGGATTCACCGATCAGAGGCAATGAAGTTGTGGGGAAGATATCGTTGCATGGCAACTTGGTCACCTCTGAACCTGAATTGACAACATAGGAATAAAATTGAGCATGGGAAAGAGTATTGGCCAAATTCCTATTGCTGGTCAAGATAGTCTTATCTTTGGAGGCAAATAATATTTGATTTTCACACATGGTTCCATAACTGCCATCTCTACACACACAGGTATTAAAGAGTGTACATTGTCCCTGGCCACTACAGCTCAATGGATCTGTGGAGAGCACTCCAAAACAGGTAGTTTTCTCACAATTATCTCCCAAATAATTCTTTTGGCAACTACAGGTATTTGTTTGAATGCAAACACCTCTTCCTGAACACACAGTGGATGTAGTATAATGTGGAATCGTATTACAATACATTGGATATACCTGTGCATCTGTAGTTGAGTTATTAATGACCAGTGTGCTTGCAACGACCGAGGTCACAGTATCAGGACTGGCGTTCAAAACGATTCGAGCAAACTTTCTTAATGTAGAATTCCAGTCAATGGATGGTGCTGAGCAAGTGAGTGCACTGGTAGCGCCATTCATGCTTGTTGCTCTAACCAATAGCAGATTCAAATTTCCTTCATCATAGAATTGACAATACAATCTGTCCAATAACAATTGTTCTGTTGATGAAACAATTCCACTTGGTTGAGAGAATGGTTTTTGAGTATTCACCAGTAAGGCACCGCTTGATATCACTCTCTGTGATTGGCAACTCAAAAAGGATTGTCTGAAGAGAACAATGGAAAGAGGAGCTACACTCAAATCATCATAAGGAGCATTCTTCAATACCAATGACACGTTCAGCCTCAATAAATTTCTGTTGAGGGGTAAATTCACCTGACCATATATAAGAGGGCGAGAAAGTTTTGTTGTTTTGATGATTAAGGGTGAGTTGAAATATTGCAGTGCAGTGTCACCATCTCTGATCTTGATGTTAAAATTATCTGCAGACTCAAGCGTTGGGAAGGTCTTGAATAAGGATTCTTCCATAGCAACAGCAAAGTTGTAAACAGAAATATTCCACGGAATAGATTGCACAATCACTGAGTTAGTATCTGACTGATTGTTCACTTTTAGGGCAGAATACTCAAATTCGTTACCTCCAAAAGTAATACTCTTTTTAGAAATTATTGATAAAGATGTTCTCTTGGAAATGTTTACAGAGAATGTGGTGTTCACTCCATATGTCAAGTAAATATCCACATCTCCTTCTTTCAATAGTGAAATTCCAGTACATTTGAGTGAGGTATTGCTCGAAAATACTGCTGGATAATTCGCTCCGAATACATTACAATAAACAGTCCGTGGAAATATCTGTGAATAGGGAATTTCAAAACCTTGAATAGTAACATCGAAACTTGGCAGTGTAGGCTGCTGTGGTGAATAAACTACGGTAGAACCATTACTATAACTTGCTTGAATTTGAGCTAGTGGATCGAAGAAAAATATTTTGAGGGGTTGTGTTCCCAATAATTCAAATTTTCCACTGTTGACATTGGTGTAGATCGTAAGATCCTTCCATCCAACGCTATTGGAAATTAATGGAATGTAAAACAAACCATCTGTCAATTGGTCAGGCCTTGCAAAGTATTTCACACCATTCAAATCAACCCAAATATTGTTCGTAAGTAGGGTAATTAATTGAGGACTTGGTGTTGTAATTCGTGCCATGATCACTTGATTAATTCCAGCCACACTGACGGTTTGGTCAATGAGAAATTGAACACGAGGTAGCCCACCAACACTACCACGAAGGGATACATTGTCTGTGAGCGCTTTGCCGCCTGTTGGCATTTTGTTGTAGCTCAATACCAGTTGAATGGTTGAGTTTTGTAAGGGCTCAGGATTGTTGTAGTGACATGTGAATTCTGTCAAATTATTGTTGTTGATCTTGGTGACGGGAACCAAATCTAAGTTTCTATTGTTAAAAATACAGAAAATAAAAGGTAGGAATGAGGTTGGAATTTCATATTTCATGTTCATGACCACAGAGATACTTCCGTTGGCAGCTAAAAAGTTTTGAAATCCCGCAAATTCATTATATCTCAAGTAATAGATGGTAATGTTATTTGTGAGCTCAGTAGTCTTATTGAAAGTCAACGAGAGAGTCACATTTGTAAATGGCGCAACTACATTGTTAGTAGGAATGTTAGGCATATTCACCGATGACAGTTGAAAGGTTCCTGTGGCAATACTCGAAATTGGGTTGTAAACCAAGTTAGTTTGTGGATATTGTTGTTGAATTTTTAAATCTAACTGAACAAAAGGAAGGTTATTACGATTAATTCTGCTCCATTCGTCAAGGAACAAGTTCGTGAATGGGAAGGTGGGTTGTGACGAGTATTGCTTATCAATTACGTCCAAATTCAAGCTAGAAGGTACTGAATTGGCAAATACCAGCTGTTTCTTCTCGAATGTTATAATATTACTTTGCACTTGAGTAGAGATATCAAATGCATAGGTTGCATTGAACTGATAACATAAATTCAACCTCAAATTGGCAACCTCAGCATTACTTATTGGAACAGAGCATGTAAAAATAGAGGTAGGTTTGGTAATTGAAACCGGATACACTGCTCCATTGTAACGACAGCACAGCTTGTTAGGGCTCACATAGCTTTGCAAAATCACAGGATTATTCAATTCGTTTCCAAAATCAAGTGTGAAATTCCAAAATTTTCCAACGTTATTTTCACTATTGTTATAGACCAAGACTGTTGTGGTTTGTATGGGAGAAAGAATGAGAGGACTATTGGTTGGATCAAAAAAGTAGACATTGATGGCATTGAGGGACATGTTCACGTATGAATTCGGGCCTTGTTGTAAGGCCATATTCACGCTTTGAATGCCTTTTGGTGTCGTGGAACTCGTACTTAACGGAGCAAACACTTTACCAGAGGCATCTTTTTGTAAAGGTGACATGACATTGCTAATGTTGATGTACACGTTCTGAATATCTAAATTTGGGTTATTAAGCACAACTTGTGTTAAAATGAGGTTCTGTTGATTCACAACAGACGCGTGATCTACCAAGTCAAAGCTTTGTTTGGAAATAAAAGGAATGGATAAATTGGTATACGTTGCAAAAATTGCCAAATATTGATTTGCAAAATTCCAAACCTCCACGCCAACTTTCCCTGCGCTTGCCATGTCTTTGGTAATTTTTACGTTGGCCACTGAATAGAGAGTGTCAGATGTTGTGAGAGGATATTGAGTTCGGCCAGGATAAATAAAAACCATGTTGGGATCACTGTTAATTGTGGCAGGCTTGTTCAATAGCTTTAAGTTGATTGTGGTTGTGATGTCACCACTAGATGCATCCAACGCAAGTAAACTCTTTGGGGAATCCACCTCAAAAGTAAAATTATAAACTGGTATCAAGTACGTCATAAAACTTTCTCCTCCGTTCAATGAACCTCCTGCATAGAAGACATCTATCTCTTGATTTCTCACAACAGAAAATCCATTCATGGTGGAATCTTGACTTGAAGCATACGTCACATATTGAGAAACAGAATTCAGTGATGTGGCTGGAAATTGTAAAAAGACCAAATTCATGGAAGTGGCAGATATGGTACTACCTCCAGGTAAAGTAACGCTTCCTTTAAAAGAAGCACCAATCGTTAGTACATTATTTTTAACGATCAAATCATTTGCTCTCAGTACTGCATTAGAGTCATCTCTTCCTATTGGGATTACTTGTGAAACACCACCCGTGCTCGATGTATAGAGAATCAAGTATGACCACTCACTACTCGAAACTGTATTTGTGAATCGGTTTTGAGTGTCAAAAGTGATGGCTTGTTTCGATGTACTTTTTCCAAGTACCAATAATTGGTTGTTATTAAGGTAAACTGATATTCCATCTTCATTGCCATCAATACCACCAACAGTTGTAATCCATGAAACGCCATTACTGGTGAAGGAATACTTGAAAGCGAACATGTCATTTCCTGAGCCCGTAGATTGAATAGTAACAGTATTCGTATCATTACCACCAGTTGGTGACCGGTTGAATGTAATCCTATAATTAACTGCAGCAACAAAGGTTCCAATCACATAGCATTCATTCGCAAAAGAATCGAAATAAACACTCTTTGGGATGATTTTCACATTTGCATCATTGGTGTTATCAATGACGTTTGTCATTGCATTCTGAGGATTTCCACTCGAAGGATCAAAGGTAAGAACATACAAATTTTCGGGTAGTGATGTAATTGGAGGAGTGTTCGTACCATTGCCGTTTGCAGAACCACCCAATTTTAGAGAATCCGAAACAGTAACTACTCCTTTAAAAGATCCAACGACTACAATGTTGCTTGATGAAAAAGTAACGTCTTGAACATTGAGGTAGTCCCCTCTAATCACTTTTGTCCAATCGACAACTACGGAAGAACCTGCATTGCTCGAAAACTTTACAATGAACAATCCTTCATTGTTATTAATCACACCTACAGCCACATATTGAGAGCCAGTGTCTTGCAATGATCGAATTGAAACAACCTCTGTCGATTGAAGATTCGGTATGATTTGTGAGTTAATCACTGTTGAGGGTATTTGGTACGTCCAATTCACAGTTCCATTGGCAGTGACTCTCAATAAATAGGCCTCGCTTTGAAGCGTGGTGGAAAGCTGAGCTGTTGATGGGCTGTTAAATTGGATATTTGATGTAAACTTTCCACCTAGAAACAAGCTACCTCCACTCTCATCACTTTGCACACTTTGGCATGACTGTATGTTGGGTTGTGAGAGTTTCCATTGAGGAAGGTATGATATTTGTTGTTGCTGTTGTTGCTGTGAATACACAAAGTTTTGGATGAGTAAGCTGCATAATAATATGATGAGTAGTGGTATTATGAATGTTGATGAAGTTCGTCGACGCGGAATATACGACCGAGATCGATGTAAAACCATTGCGGAATAGTTGCTGCACCGCATGCTGTTGGTTATGAAAGGAGCTATTTCGTGTTCAATTTTTTCAATATGGATGAGTTATAGATGCAGTATTGGGCACTCATAGAGCATAGTACAAATGTAAATTAGACCAATACATGTAATTTTCCATTGGCATATTAAACACTTTTTACAACTATTTCCCAAAATGGAAGGTACGTTGATATGCTTTTACAGGAAGTCATTGAAAATAACTAGATCCAATCTTCGAACTGAGCAGTTTCACAAACATCTGAAATCTTAATAGGACTGTGTAATCAATGACTGTTCATTTCACTTTGATGGTGATCCATTGGGTTTTGAAACATTGCCATTCAAAGCGATCGGGGAATTGGAAACATGTCACAATCATTAATGCAGACAGTATTTGGCACAGCACATGATTCAGTTTGGAACTATGTCTAGCTGATCATTGTTCGAGATAACAAGGTATGCGCCATTTTGTTTAACTTTCCATATCTTGATGATTTTGAAACTGTCTTTCCTTTGCATGACTTTGCCTTACCAACTGAAATACAAGTAGAAGAGCATTACTACCACTGAGATGATCATAATAAATTGAAAAATAAATTTACAACTCAAATCAAGAGTAGTGTCTTGCATGTTTCTCACTTCGTCTTCATATTGTTGCAAAATACTCATTTGTCTGTTTAGTCGCTCCTCTATCTTCTCAATTTCAATGTTGTATAATTCAATAGCTTCTTGTGAAGTTTCGTGTTGTTGCTTTTCTTTCATCTCATTCAATATTTCTTGCTGTATGAGTAATTTCTTTTTAATTTCTTGAATTTTTTCATCATTTCGCGAATTAATTTTCATGAAAGAGGAAACAATTTGAAAATACAAGGAAAATCTATTCCACACATAGTGGGACATATTTTCAAGCTGAGTGAGAAGGCTCGTTTCTTGTTCCATCCTGACGATGACGATGGTGGACACACACAATAAATATTTTTTTAAAATTTTATTAAAAATGTTGCCAAGATCCGATCTTGATAACGTCGAGGGTAAAGATCGTCGAGTCGATGAAGAAAATGCTAAATTGAAACCAACTACATGTGGAATTCATTTTGGAGCTACTCGTTGTTGTTGTTGCGTCTATCATGATTCAGATGATGGCTTTGAATTGAACAATACTTCAACAAACACCATTCAAAAATACGAAATAATTCCTAATGAATTTGGGGAGTTAACAAGCGGATGTGTTCTTTCGTTTGTCGGAGAGGATGTAGATTTTCCTCAAATAGGAAACAATTTTGTTACAAGGCCACTGGCAAAGCATTCCATCGACGATATTGTCATGGATTTGAAAAAAATTATTGGCCGCAAATTTTCAGATCCCGTTTTACAGAATAATTCAAGATTCTATCCTTTTAATGTTGTTGAAGGGCCCAATGATGAACCATATATCAATGTAAAGAGTAGAATGGATATGTTTGCTCCAGAGCTATTGACTTCGTTTATTTTTAAATATATCACACAAGCTATGTTACCTTTGTCAGGTTACGATTGCAGTGAACGTGGAACGGTTTTAAGCACGCCATGTTACTTTACTGAAACACAAAACCAGGCTCTTCGAGAAGCATGTGAATTTAACGGCGTACCTGTATTAGACATTGTAAGGGATTCTGAATGTGCATGCTTGGCCTATAATTTAGAAAAATCATGTTTCAACGAATATGTGTTAACTTTTGGCTTGGGAGGTAGTGCCTTACTGGTATGTGTGGAATATATCAATGAGCGTGGTGAGATTGAGCTGAAAGGATTTGACGGAGATAGTTTTTTGGTATGTTTATTGAAATGTGATATATTATTATATCATCATTCCAAAAAGGGAGGTGATGATTTTGATAACACCCTTGTGAAGTATGCTTGTGAAGAATTTCTTAAAACACATAGCCAATACAAAATTCCTGCAAGATCATTGCGAACTTTAAAATATGAATGTGAGAAAGCAAAAATCGATTTATCGCTTACTGAGAACACTTCTATTCATATCAAATCTCTGATAACTGAACCCAGTATTGACTTTTCCATCGATATTTCTCGCAAATTGTTTGAAGATTTGAACGCAACACTATTTAATACATGTGTTGACACCATACAGCAATTGTTGAGTGATTTAAAGCTTGGAAAGTCACAAATTAGTAAGATAGTACTTTTGGGAGGATCGTGTAATATTCCCAAAGTTAAGGAACTTTTGAGTGCCTATTTTAATATACCCTCGTGCTCACCAGAGAGCTCAAATACTTCATGCCAAAACACGGCTCTTCTTGACAGTATTCCACCCGAACATGTCATCGCAGTTGGTGCAGCTAAAAAAGCCAGCATGCTTCACAACACTAGAAAACAGTCAGCAATACCTTTGCCGACATTTGTAGATATTAATCCAATATCTATTGGAATAGAAGTTTATGGAAATTATATGACCAATATTTTAGAAAGAAACTGCTACATTCCATGTACAAGCAGCATCATGATAACTCCTTGCTGTAAGAATCAAGACAAAATATCCTTAAAGTTTTTAGCAGGTGAAAGATTATTATCGAAGGACAATATCACCTTGTTTCAAACTGATTTACAGTGTCAAGATGGCTCAGACAACAAGAGTGGCAAGGAGAATAAGGAATCTACACGGACCTTTAAAATTGAATGTGAAGTTAATATAAGCTATCAATTGCTGATAAGAGTTTATGAATGGCGTAAGGACGAGGTCAACACTCAGTGCTCAACCACTCTCAAAGTTTCACACACAATTGATAATTATTCTCAAATATTGAGCCAAGAAGATATCTTCTCCATGATCAAACAAGCTTCTCTCACACAATCTCAAGACGTGCTAGCACTTCGAATGATTCACTCCATGGTTGTTCCTTCCCTCATTGAAAATCCAAATAGTACTGCATGTCGCCGTCTTCCAAACACAAGCATCAGGTAATTCGTAACTTGGTAAATTCGAGTCGAATATCATTGCTGTTCCTATTCACAATTCCCCAGTTTCATATTGTTTTTTGAATTGTGGCAAATAAAAAAATTTGAGATTCAAAAAAAATATCGACACAAGCTTTTTCTTTGCTCTCTCTGGTTTTGTTTATCGGATCATTCATTCGTCTTTCCGATACACGTCTCAGTATCCTATCCTCTTTTCAAAATTTCCTCTTCACCAACGACTGATCCGACAAAATGCCAGCATCAAGCAAGAAGGTGAAAGTACCCAATGTACTTTCTAAAAACACTACCAAACAACAACGAAAATCTAACTCCCACTCATTGGATCAAAATCGTAAAGTGGATAAGAGTAAAATTGGTAAAGGACCTACTCAGCTTCGTTCTCGCTCAACAATTAAACGTCTTCTCATGTATACATCAAAAGTCAAGAGAAACGAAGATGGCGAAATTATTAAAGGCTATGTTACACCAAAATCACAACAAATCAAAAAGGGAGAAATGGCTCGAGTTGCTCCTGATAGAACCTTGTTCGGAAATACAAGAGTTATTGGCCAACAAGAAATGTCCAAGTTCCGACAAGCTTTGGAAAAGAAAATTCATGATCCTTACACAATTTTGTTGAAACGTTCCAAAGTTCCAATTTCGTTATTGCAAGCCAACACAAAAGATACCAGTGCAAGCTCATCAATTTCATTGGCATCATCCAATAGTACGAATAATGTGAAACCAACAAATGTTGGAGGAGAAACATTAATTCCATCCAACGACAATATTCATGCATTGCATCAAAATTCAACATTCCAAATCAAGAGACAAATTAATTTCCAAGAAACATTTGGACAAAAAGCTCAACGTAAAAAACCTACTCTCTTATTCACGGACTTGGCAGAATTATCTCATCAAGTAGAAAAGAAACAACAAGAATATCAACCCATCAAGGACAAGAAGCAAATGTATGTCCCCAATGAATACTATTATTTGCACAAGGAAGGTACAGATTCTCATGATGTTTCATCAGTTTTAGCTTCGAGCGGGTTTGTGAGATCTCAATTGTATGACCCATGTACTCAACGTGGTACCTCCAAACGTATTTGGAGCGAATTGTACAAGGTCGTTGACTCGAGTGACGTTCTATTAATTGTGTTGGATGCTAGAGATCCAATTGGTACTCGTTGCTATCATATTGAGCAATATCTCAAAAAAGAGAAGCCTCACAAACACGTGGTATTCATTCTCAATAAGTGTGATCTCGTACCTACATGGGTCACTGTTCGATGGGTTAAAATTCTCTCTCAAGAATATCCTTGTTTGGCCTTCCACGCCAGTGTTCAGAATCCATTCGGTAAAGGTGCCTTAATCCAACTATTGAGACAATATGCTCAGGTGCATCGTGATAAACCTTCCATCAGCGTGGGTCTTATCGGATATCCCAATGTTGGTAAATCTAGTGTGATTAACACATTGAGAAAAAAGAAGGTCTGTAAGGCAGCTCCAATTCCTGGTGAAACTAAAGTTTGGCAATATGTTGCTTTGATGAGAAGAATTTTCCTTATTGACTGTCCTGGTGTTGTTCACACCACAGATAATGAGGAACAATACCGATTGAAAAACCAATATAACACCTCAGAGCAAGATGAACATTATCAATATATGAACAGAGTTGCTGATAATGTACTGAAAGGAGTTGTACGTGTTGAGACAGTGACACCCGATGAGTTGATTGATGTCATTCGTGTCATTTTGCATCGTATGAAACCAGAATATGTTCAACGTACCTATCAAATCTTGACATGGAAAGATCACTATGACTTTTTAACACAATTGGCATACAGATCAGGAAAAATCAATAAGGGTGGATCTCCTGATTTGCACACAGTGGCCAAAAAGATTGTACAAGATTGGCAACGAGGTAGAATTCCATGGTTTATTGTTCCTCCATTTGAAGATGATATTGATAAGGCTGAAATGAAGAATTTGAAGAAGGAATTGGAAGACAAGAAGAAGAATCCACTGTTGAATCACAATATTAAGCAATTGTTCTACAAGTTAAAAACTGATGAACAATTATCTGCTGTTTATTCTAAGCATGATTTGAAAGGTATTGGAATTATTCCTGAAGACAAACAAGAAGCTATCATGCAAGAATTGGCCAAACCTTCAAAGGAGCAAATGAAAAAGATTGAAAAACAAAATGCAAAGAAGAAGAAGCTATTGTCAAAGGAAGGTTTAAATTCAAAGAACAATGACCAAGAAAATGATGAAGATGACGACGATGAGAATGATGAACATGCAGAGGTTCAACACGACGAAGAGGACGAAGTTGTGGATTGGGATGAAGTATATGCTCAATTTAATGATAAGGAAGTCATGGACGATGATGAGAATGATGAAGTAGATGAAGATGGTGAAGATGATGATGACCTTGAAGAGATGAACGGTTCTGAATTTATTGAGGATGAAGCTGAAGAGGATAACCATGCCGTTGAATCTGATGACGACAATGAGGATGCTGAAGAGGATGGCATTGAAGAAGAGAATGAACGTCCAGTTAAGCCTCTCGTTAATATGAAACCTGTCAAAGTGAAATCTCTCTCAAAACTTGACATTTTGAATCGTATCAAGAAGCAACGAGAATCGTCGAGCGAAAAGAAGGAAGTTCAACCTCCTGCTACCAAGTCAGACAATGTGTACATTCCAAAGGCCCTTAGAAATAAGCTGAAAAAGTAAACACCTTTTACTTGTTCGAGTTCAAGGCTGTCAATACTAAATTTTCTGGAGTCAATAAAGTGAGTAATTTGGAATTGGAAATTAAATTCTCTCCTTCCTCATCCTCTGACATTTTGAACACAGTATTTGGTCGTTCTAATTTTTCAAAACATTGCACAAAGAGTTGTGTCATTTCGTGAGTCTTGTCTAAATGGATCATCTTGGTCAATTGTCTTGATTGCTGTTCTTCTTTCTTTGTTTGACTCTTACTAGCGAAAGAATAGTATTTACATTTGCTTAGTTCCAAAATTAGAGTGTTGTGATTGCCAGTGGCACCTCCACCGTCACTGCTATCACTTGCTGATGATGATCGTCTTGAAGAAGGTGTTGAATTCTTAGAAGTAGGGGTACTAGTCGTAGTGGAAACAGCATTATGAATAGGTAAAAGTGGTACTTTCTGTGAAGTATGAAGAGAGACATTATGATTGTCACAATAGTAAATTTCATAGACATGTCTAGTATCGACAATTTCATTCCTCGCAATATCTGACGGAGAAGAAATGACATGTTTGTCCTTCTTACGAGGTGTCAATAATTTCAAAAAATTCCCAACGGCACTCGAATCGACTTCATTCTTTGGTTTGAGAATGGTTTTTGTTTTTGAAGCAACCACAATCAAGACATCATTCAACACATGAATTTCCATCGATGGAATGGATGTCACAGAGGATGAACCAGTTCGAGGAGTCAACAAACCACTATTACTGCTTGGTGAAGCTGATCCGTCATTGTCACTTCCACTGTTAATCACCAAAGGTGTGACTTTGAATGATCCAATCACTTTGCGATAAGGTTGAACCACATAGGGAATGAGTCCATCTTGTTGTTCTTGCTTAAATAATGGCACTTTCTTATTGAGCTCTTCTTGCAAGTTCACTACTAACATTTGTGATTGATATTCCTTCACAAATGCATTCACTTTGAATGTAATCTTTTCCAATTCTTTCACACATTGTTCAATTTCTTTAAATTGATGAGGTGACTCGTTTAAATTGGTGCATTTAGCAAGTTGTTTCATTAATAGAACATAACGAGGTAATCTCTGAGGAATCATGACTGAAAGCGATGCCAAATCCAGTGAATTTGCAGGTTTCAACTGAGTTTTTGCCAATCTCAAATTTGTTTGAAATTCTGGATATTGATTACTCAATTCATTGACATTCATTCGACATTGATTAAATTTTGAAATGTAAAAGGCATACATAGTGAATGCGTGCATAAACTTGTTGAAACATTTTTCAGCAATGTTGCAATCTTCACGCACTTGTTTCAAATCATATCCAAAATTTTCAACAGCACCATTATTGGTCATCAAGTCACCAGAAGATGATGATCCAGTACGGATGTGACGAGCAGGTGATCTCGTACCTGGTGGTATCGGTAATGGTCGACTCGTTGGAATGCTCTCACTATATGATGATGAAGATGTTAATAATAAACTCGAAAGTGATCCATTACTCGTATTGACACCATGAATATTACCACTTCCACTATGGCTACCATTACTACTACTAGAAGCATTGTTTGTTGACTTGTTAAATAAACTTCCAATCACATTCATGCTATATCGATAGACATTGTATAAAAATCGATCTTTGGCATGCCATCCTAAAATTTCACTTTCCAAACATTTTAACAATTCCTGATTCAATTTGTAAATATTTTCAAGTTCAGGAGGAATGAGCACCATGGTACTATCTTTGAGAGTGTGAATGGATTTGAAATCAATAATGGAACGCTCTGCTGTGGTTTTTGATTCTTGTCCTTCTTCTTCTTCTTGTGAATCCATATACTTGGTTTTCGTTCCATTTGAAGATGCAGTTGTTGTGGTTGTTGTGGTTGTTGTTGTTGACATCGTTGTAGATCCACTAGGATGATTATTATTATTGCTATTATGATTATTACTATGATGATTCAATGAACTCGTGGTTGTTGTGGTTTTCACAGTACTAGTGTGAGTACTAGTACTACGTGTAATTTCCAACTGATACGACGTCTCTCCCTTCTCCAATGGTAAATAATACTGTTCATACAATACTTTCAAATATTCACAATATTGTCTCTCACTCACAAGTATTTCATAGAGAGTGGCCAATCGTTGTTTTCGCATCGTTTCACGTTTCTCATTTTCACTCGCACGTTCCTTGTATTTTCGTTGAATGAGTGAGTAACACATCTTCACGAGCGCGAGTACAATCATGAGAGAAAGAGCATAGAGAGCCAATGACCAATGATGATGAGTGATGTTTTTCAATAATGATGATGAGAATGACCATAAGGTTGCTCCGAAACCATGATATTGATGAAACAAGGGTAAGAGGAGATTTTGATAGGCAACGAGTAGATATTCATAGAGAGAGAGGAAACATTGTGCGAGAATGGACAAGAGAGTTTGGAACAAGTCATAGAAAGAGGTACTCCATGTGTTTGTTGATGTTGAAGTATTCGTTAGTCTTGAAAACCAGGAATTGGATGATGATTCTGCTGCATGGATGAAGAAAAACGATGGACAAGTTCGTTCCGATAGGGATGATGATGATGAATGATGATCATCATTATTTTGGATAAAACTCAACAAAAAGAAGAATAAAAGAAGAAATGAAATAATGAACAAGAGGAGAGAATAATTATTGTGGAGTGAAGAATATCTGTGAGGAGAGGTTTTGGATGATTTTGGAATGAATAATGAATACTTGTTCGTTTCGGTCGTCGTCATGGAAGGGAAGAGTGAAAGGCTGTTGTGATAACAGCAGTTAGGAGCAGCATTCATGAGTTGTGGTGAATATTCTTCTCTCATGGTTGCTGATTCATTGTTTTTCTTTTATGTGATGTTTGACGTTTGAAATGCCAAGTTGGACATCTCATTTCGTTGAATTTTGTGTCCAACAATTCGTTTTTTGAGTGTATGAATAATGGAACCACACTTCAGAAGTGATGCTCTATGTTTTACTGTTGATTTATTGTGAACTGAAAATCATACAATGGTCCATTGAGAGCAAAACCTCTTTAGGGAGTGAACGTTTTTCTGCCTCGAGTTCAGTGTGAAATGTCTTTGAAAAATCTCTTCGTATTCTCTCCACTCGTTTAGTTGCCAAGAATTTTCGAACCAGCGCTTGAATTTTGGTTGCAGCATGATGTTTTAAATACTCAATTTGCTCAACTTGCATCAACTGCAACATTTCGTTTCGTAGTTGATCTTGTAATAAACGTAGTTTCCTTCGAGCCAAAACCATTCTAAAGAAAGCCTGGAGAGTTATAATGGCAGCTAATCTTTTCTTTTCTTGCATTTCTCTTGAGAATGTTGAAGCTTTTGCAGTGACAGGCCTAGATAATCTTAGAGGAGAGGAGGTACACTTGGATTCGAAATTATTATCCACTATGTGTTGTTGATCGCTCAGAATTGATGAATGAATGGACCTTGAGCTTTCACTAACGTTGGTGGTACTAGGGCGAGAAAGATTGAGCGGAGACAATTTGATGGGACTCCCTGCTTTGACAGAAGATGGTGTACTGTTGAGAGAAATAGGTACAAACATTGATGGAAAGTAATCACTCCGGCTCTCGCTACTTTCTGAAGATGCATTACTGGATTCGTTATTGTTCATGAGAGGTGAAAGAAATAATTTTGATGATTTCAATGTGTGCAAAGCATAATCGAGGGATTCTGAGATGGACTGTTTTTGAGATCGAACCATGTTTTCGTGAAGCAAAATTCTAGAATACATGGGATCGCATTTCAACAACGGAAGTATGGAAACCAATTTCTTCACCTTTAGGTATTCATCTTCATTGACGTTGGCTGATTGAAGGATTTGTTGCTTTTGACTTTCCTTAATTACGAAATGTATGGCCTTGTTCAAAGTCATGATGTAGTAGTTGTCATTTTTGAATGGACTTGTTTCCTTCTCTTTTTTTGATTCAAGCTCGTTAGATCCGTCCTCTTGCTCACAAAATTTGTTCATTAAGGAATGGATGGAGATGTTGCAATCATTCATTGGAATGGCTTCACATTTCAGAGAAACTGCTTTGAACACGTTTATCATGTGTTTTAGCCATCTTTTTTCAATGATAATGTCGTGGTGTGATGAGACGTGTTGATTCATCATGTCAACGGCTTGAAATATAAAATACCGACTCTTAATGCACCAATCATGGCTGACATCGTTTCTCATCGAACGGTCAGAGGTGCTTTTTTCATACAATGCCACCCCATAGTTAAACATATTGAAACACTTGTTGATGATTAAAAAATACTCGTTTTCACAAATAAATGTTAATATTCTGTTAAAATAGTCAAGCGTGTTGCTTTGAACGTAAACATTATCAGCCTGTTGTGCAAAAAGGTACAAATTATTTTCGTAATGTTCAATGGCCTCGTCGTACTTGTTACAATACATGCATGAAGTTGCAAGGGCCTGTAGAATATACTGAGAGTAAATGACACACCCTGTTTGACTATATTCGTGAAACGACTCCTTGCAACACGAATGGACAAGTTTGTATTTCTTTCTCTTTCTGTAGTAGTTGCTTTTTGAAACATTGATCAATGAACTGAAAAATTGAGCTAGCTGAGGATTTCGTAGTTTTCTTAACATTAGCGGTCCGACTTTAAGAAGTTCCATGCTATTGTGATAACTTTGATATTGTGTCGAAAGTATTGTTGAATAATTCAATACCACAGTTAAAAATAATGCAATTAAGGAATTGAGAATGAATAATCTATCATCACCGTCAGAGCTTGCTAATGTTTTTCTTTCAATCAATTCCTGTAAAGTGGTTAAACACTCTTTAAAATTGGCATTGGAATATTCTAAAAAAGACTGCTGCAGTAATTCGATGTTGGTAGGTGTTGTCTCCTTAGCTTGCTGCTTTTTCTCGGACGTGGTCTTTGAGATAGGCCTTCCATACACTGTTTTAACGCGTGGGATCACGACATGACGGTCCATTGCATTTGGATCCAATTGATATTCAAAATCCAATAACATTCCCCAAATTGTTTTGTCTATGGATAAATAGCTGTACCCATAAAGCCATAAAGGTTCAATAGGTGATGCTGGACCAAAATTCCAATCCTCTCGTTTCAATGTCTCATTACCATCATCAGCAAGAGGTGTAATTTGTTGGGACGAATAGGTGTGTTGTTTACTTTGATAACGTCGGAACGCTTTCTGATGCTTGCTGGTTTGATAGGAAAATGATGATTTCATTTTCGGGGTTACCTCTAGTTTCAATTTTCGATAGAGGTTCCTATGAACTTTTCATAACAGCCCTTGTTGGTCAGAGTTTTAGGTTATTTTTTGAGGTGAAAATTTTAATAAATCTATCTCTTAACACTCGTGGTGGTGGTTAGGTTGCTGTTCGAGTTCACATTAAGGGATTGAGTCTTCTCGCCTGAAGAGAGTATGTTGTTGTTGTCTTCACCATTGGTATTACTGCTACTACTATTAGATATTATGGATGAAGCATCTCCTACATTACTTCGACTAAAATCTCCACTTTGACTTCGAGAGCTTCTATTACTAGATTTTCTTTCAAAGTTGATAATAAACTCGTTTTGCACAACTCCATCGACCATTTCCTCGAGATAGTCGAACAATGGAACATAGACAGTGCTATCAATTCCATGTGAGTCCATAATGTGCCTCATATTAGCCATATCATGATAATAAACAAAGAGTCTACTACTTATATAGAACCCAATGAAAACGTCAATCGAGTAGTGTTCATGTGCAGCCAATACGAAAAAGGCACCAAAGCAATTCAACACCCATGTGATGATATGTAGACCCTTCCAATTCTTTGGTGTATATTCGTTAATGGTGTAGTTCAATAAGGTAATAATACTGACATGACCACTGAACATGTAGTCTCCACAAGTTTTGACATTCATAATACTCAATCCAAATCCTAAGGTAATTTCAATTGCTCGATTCATCTTCTCCTCAAACGTCAGTGTGATATTTGCTGCACGAGATTTCATACATTCGCTTGTTAAGTGACTACCAGGAACACTCAGTGATGTGATAAACATGGTGAGACATCTCAATAAAAATACAGTGCCAATAATCACAAATAATCTTCTCACAATAATTCCTCTGTACTTGTGGAATAATATAATAAATAGAACAATTAATGCCAATATTAGGCAAATAAGTTCTGAAATTGCAAAAGCGCTTGGAATGAGAGGAACATTATCTAAAATGATATCAGGTAGTGGAGGATAATCTTGTGGTACCTATTGAGATGTGTGCATTAGCAATTTGAAATAAAAATTTTCATTAATTCTTCTACTTACTCTTTCATGAACGACCACCATGGTCACGCTTGTGCAAAATATGGACAACATCAAGTAAAAAAAGGATACAATCACCTTGGTAATCATTGATCCCCAGCTCTCTCCCTGTGAATGTTCATCCAATATCTTGATTTCACTTGGAAGAATTTGTTTAATAAATTGAGGAATTGAGGGTGGAAGCGAAGACAGAATCTTTTTTGAGAGTGGGGTGGGTGTATACACCACTGGTGTTTCTCCTAATGTGTGTAATAAGAGAGGAGATGGAGGTGGCATGGATGGTGAAGTTGGAGTTTTGTGACTTGGACTATAGTGTGGTGTTGACGAATGATGATGGTGAGGCATCACAGAGGGTAACGTGGTTGGTGACTTGTTTCCCATCGTCGATGAGTGGGAATGGTGATGTGTAAGGAAATGATGGTGGTGTTGATGACCATGAGTTGAGGTCAACATGTGCTGAGATTTTGGTTCATCCTGATGATGACGAGCCACAACGGAAATGTGAGGCAATACTGATTTACCATTCATGGTTGGGGCTGTTGTTGACAACTCATTATCAGCACCATCCTCACTATGAGGAAGGCCAAATAACACATTCAATTCATGTTTCAAATGTACTAAATCATGTAAAGTATCAATATTCAATCGGTCATTCAATTTCAATTGTAAATCCGAACAACCATGACTCGCAACAGAATTCTGGTTTGAATACAACCACAAATAATACAGAGACAAGCCATCAACCTTCTCAGTTTCAAACGAATGCAACATGCTGCGAGGAAAATGTTTGGATTCGAGAAAGGACTGAACTTGTTCCACAGACCACTCCATCACAGCCTTGTGGTTTGAATGATTTACATCGGAAGAAGAAACATGTTGCTCCGAAGTGATTGATGTTGTTGCTGGAAATTGGCAGCCATTCTTGCTATTTACAGTCGGGATATTCAGAGATAAATTTCTCTCATCATTCTCTTTGGTTGGGATGGTGGATGCCGAGTGGATGATAGGACTCGAGTGGGACATTTGTTTTTGAGAGGGCTCTTTCAGGAAAATTCTGCACCTATTGGACGCCGCTGTGATAATTGAAACAAAGATAGACCAGGTTGCAGCTGTTCTATCTGGCTCATCATGGTTTGATGACGAAGCACGTTACCGTTTCCGACCTCATAAGGTATTAAAAAATACAAAATCACCCTCGTTGGATTAACGTTTAATTTTCTGAAAGGGTGAACAACATCATTTGCTTCATCACTCTTCCCAACATTTTTGTTTTTTGGTTTGATTTGAAACGTTATCATAAGAAAAGAGCAACCACAGTATCTCGGACGCCGTTACAAAAACTTCTCGAATTCAGCAAAATGAAACTACTTGCAATTAATGTTTTATATCGACCAAATGATAGTGGGTCATCATCATCAAGCAGCAACACTACAAAATCGATCATTCTTTCAGGCTACGATGATTTATCATCCTTTGGATTCTTTCAACGTTCTACTGTTCGTGAATATATTGTTTTTATAAGCAGAGTATTATCGGACAAGAATCCGCCTGGCACAAGACAACAAGTGATAAAGGATGAATATACTTGTTATGTACAAACTCGGATTGATTCACAATTGAGTGCTGTCATTGTTTGTGATGCCGAATATCCTTCACGAGTTGCATTTTCGTTATTATACAAAGTTTTGACCGAATTCGAAAAGAAATATCCAAAATCTGTGTATTTGAACTCTCCATCAATTCTCCAATCAGATTATCAACTTCAATTAGAGTCAATTAACGACTACCTTGTAAAATATCAAGATCCTAACAAAGCAGATGAATTACTAAAAATTAAAACGGACTTGGAGGAAACAAAAACAATCATGAATCAAGTGCTAGAGAAAATGTTCGAGCGCGAAGACGATTTGAAAAATTTGGTAGGAATGAGCGACGATTTATCCATGAGTTCTAGAGCATTCTACACAGCTGCACAAGGAGAAAATGGTGGCTGTTGCCTATTAATGTAAATATTTACCACACGTCATTTGTGTGACAACAGGAGTGCCAAAAACCAGCTTGTGCGATTTTTCACATTTTGTTCCAAGTTTACTACTGGTGATTAACTCAAATACATGTGCTCGAATTTTAATGTAAACCCTTAATTCTGTTTTGCATTCAAATATTCATAGACCATTTTGAAAATGTCAGTCAAGGACAGCAATGCAATAACTTCCATATCATCATTCATGACGAAAAGACGATGAACTCTATCTTGCAACAAGCGTTGAATGACATCTCCAACAGTATGAGTTTCAATCTTACAGAAAACAAGGGATGACACCGATGATCCATTCTTTTCCCTTGATTTTCTTTGGAATTCCAAAACAGGAGATGCCAAATGGTGATAATCTTCGTCAATGAATCCTTGCAAATCACTTGCTGATAAGCAACCAATTAATTTTCCATCCTTCTCACTCAACACACCGACTGCACTCAAACCGTTATCACTAATGACTTTGATAGCATCAATGGCCAATTGAGATTCTTTGACATTGATAACTTTTTGAGTACTAGTCCTGTTTGCTAGAACTTGTTTCAATGTTTGTTTTTTAAAATCAGTAAATAGCTGAGCATTATCTTTCAAATCAATATTCTTGAATAAATATTGGAAAAGAGTCATTTGAGAGCAAACTGCAATGACATTGTTATTTTCATCCATAATTGGAATACGGTGAACACCATTTGAAAACTCTTTCAAAAGTTGCATGAGAGAATCCGTAGTCTTCATTGGAATGTATGGATTTTTGCCTGACATGTCTATTTCCATGGAATGCATGACAACAATAGAGTTTCATTTGTAAAATATTTAGGGAAATTGATTGAAAATCATTCATTGTACTTACTGATAACGCTTCCAACTTGTTCAACATCAAAAGAAAACTGTAATAAGTAATTCTTGAATTGGGAATGGTCGCTATTATCAAAGTAGGTCTGTGTTGTAAAAGTAGCACAGTCCAATACATCAATCAGGCCAATACATGAATTGGTAGAAGGATCATATACGGGTGCGCTCAAAATATGATTATTGGCTAATATTAACAAGGCTTCCTTCAAGGAAACGTCCTTACGTAGAGAAACGATGGGACGGGATTCAAGTGTTGAAACAATGTCGGCAAGTGTGTTGGTATCAAGAGGTCGGATAGCCATTTAAAAGTGTACAAATTATGTTCGGATTAAGCTGGTATCAATGAATCAAATGCAAGAGGGTTGAAAATTTGGTATGTTGGTGCGTCGGTACCTGATTGTGTGGAGATTTTTGCGTTGAGACAGATGTTGTGGGCACTGGCGACTAATTTGTGGGCAATTTTTTCTGATTTTTTTAAATAAATTTTTTTAAAATGCACAAATTTGGACGTGAGTGGGCAAGTAAACCATTTTCGACCTTGTTGTGTTGTTGCGGGAGACATCAGTCCCTGTTCAACGATTAAGGAACATCAGCAGATTCAATCATGCTGTCGGCTGCATGTTTCTTCTTCACACATTTTTCAAAGTTTTCTCCACCTCGACATTTTCCACTCTCACAAAAATGCTGCGACTCGTTCTCTCACTTCTCTCTCTTTCGCAGCACTTGATTTTCATGGTCTCATTCCATGTGGCTGTGTTCATCTTCTCCATCTATCGTTTTGTGATTCAACTCTACCGAAAATATTTCCATCATCATCACAAAACTGCTGCAGTTGATCATGACGGAAAGCAAACATCGAATCATGCCATTGTGTGGAATAAACTCATTCGTCTCGCTGTTGGTCACAATTTAAAATCCGTGGCCTCTTTCCGACAAGCTTCGAGACGATACGTTCCATTGTTGTATCCTCCTCTTCAAGCTCCATACTTTGGATGTGCTGAGAAGGTAGAAAAGATTGACAAGTTGAGAAATTCTTATTGGATCACTATGAAGAAACATCAAAGACACCAACAACAAAATACTCTTCACTCCACACGAAAAGTAATGCTCTTCATTCATGGCGGTGGGTTCATTAGTGGACACCCCATAGGTCTTGATGCTCAGTCTGTTCTCTTTTCCATTAATGATTTTAACAAGTCTCATTCATCCTCGTCAAATACTGTGAAATGCAGCCATGTACTATCTGTCGAATATCGTTTGAATGAAGACCCAAAATCATATGCAACCATGGATCGAAATGCTTTGTGTGAATCTTTGGACGATCAATTACAAGATTGTTTTGATTGTTTCATGTATTTGATTGAAGAATTGAAAATTCCTGCCAAAGACATTATTTTAGGAGGTTATTCAGCAGGTGCCAATCATTGCATGAGTTTGATTTTACACAAGTTATTGCCCATGGTCTTGAGAAAGGACAACAGTACTCTTCATTCGAGTCCAGTAGTTTGGCCCATTCATTCAGTTTCTCTCTTTTCAGCTCCTTGCGATATTTCAAATACAATTATTAGCAATGATCAATGGAGACAAGAGAATGTTCTGGTGTTGACTAAGGGAATGGTGGATCTCATTCATATGTGTGTCACTGTACAAGACAAATTGAAATATTCCATTCTCAAGAATATTAAGGACATGGAAGAAGAATATGGCGATGATGAAGTTTGGAATGCACTATTCCAAACGAAACGATGGATCATTAACTACAGCAATCATGAAGAATTAACACCTGGAAATGAATACCTCGTCAATCTATTCCAAAAGAATGTTCAAAAGTTAGCAGACACCAATCCACATGTCATTTGCACTGTCGTGAATGAAAATCATCAAATGCATTGCTACACGACAGGATACAGTGTATTACCTGAAGCAAAACGATCCATGAAGACCATTATGAATAGTTGTTTTTAAAATTGATTTAAATTATTTTCATCATTGATGATGCACGTATCATGTTGTTCTTTCTTATTGTTGAATTCTTCATGCATTGGCAGAAAATTGGCAGAATTGAATGGTAATTTTCAAAAGACACACAGACAGTAGGTACCAAATCGGTTTGAGAGAGGAGAAACGGGACCACCCTCACACCCTTATTTACAAAATATTTTTGCCATTTCTGAAAAAAGTATCGTTGCTATTGACTGCAACAGGACCCTAGAAGGAGTGTTTCTCGTCTTCTGTCGAACCTTTGTTCTGAAGGCTTGTACGTTCGGGTCGAAAGCAAGCCTTCTTCTTGTACCATCAATACAACAAAGAGTGTTTTAACAATATTCGTACTCAACTAGTTAGATGGTGCGGAAAGATGAATACAACAACGACATCTTTTGAGAATAGAAATAATGATTCTTTTCCCCATGAGACACAAACAAGCAACCATCATCATAACCAAGACACGACCATCATCATGAGCGACGATTTTGACCCAACCACGGTCATTATTGAAGCAGAAACCATTCATCATCTACCCCTCAGAACCAGCGATCTTCCTTCTCCTGTAGAAATAAAACCTCCTCCACTGATGGTGCCGCCACATCATCCACAAGTGCAGGTTCCATCACATCATCATCATATCATCCATAATAACATCTCATCATGCTCAGAGCATTCAAATGCTGCTGATTGTACAGCAAGTCAATTAACCTTTTCTCAGGATACACATTTATTGAGCAAGCAAAAGCATTCGTTACCAGAGTGTGAACAATTTACCAGATCCTCCATTCCCTTCAATTCTTCCACACGTTCATCCAGAATAGACCCAACAATTCATGCTCGTAGCTCCGTTCGACATGAAGTTCCCATTGCTTTGAATTATTGCCAACAAAAACAGCGATCAACCACCAATGTACGTGGTTCTTCCCTTAACAACTCTCCAACCCAAACAAACTCTCAAACCCTCTCGCCTCTAATTGCTACACCATCACCAATGTTTTTGAATCCGTTCCAAGTATTCGACAAAATGAAACAAGAAGGTATAAGGAAATCAAAGTTAGCCTTCGACCAAATAATTATACTTTCGTTATTTGCTGGGTGCTTTACTGGAATTGGTGGAGCTTTATCCTTGCTGACAGCTGGCAACAGTCCAACCTTGGAAACTGAAAATCCTGGACTTCAAAAATTTTTCTTTGGAGCGTAAGTAATACTGGCTTTTGTTAAGGGCTCTTTTACATCAAGACAAAATTACAGAGTCTTCCCAATTGGAATGATTTTTACAATTTTGTTTGGAGCAGAATTATTTTCAACAAACTCCCTCACTGTTTTTATTGGACTTCTCTCTCGAAAATGGAAGAGCAAGAAATTTATTTTGCAATATTTACAATTTTCCAAGAACTTGTGCCTGTCCTACATTTTTAACATGGTAGGAGCTTTCATGGTTGCGTATTTCTTTCTTTATTTGACACAACCTTGTTGCGACGTCCCATGGATCACATTTGCTAAAAAGGTGGCCCTCTCAAAAGTTTCCAAGTCTTTTGGACAACTTGTGTTGCTGGGAGTTATTTGCAACATGATGCTCACATTAGCAATCTACATTTCGTTTGCAGCCACTACAGTAGAAGGAAAAATTATTGGAATTTGGTTTCCTGTCATGGGCTTTGTTGCCAGTGGATTTGAGCATTGTGTGGCCAATGCATTCTTCATTCCTCTTGGAATGTTGGTAAGTGTTTTTGCGTGGTTAATTGCTAACATCATGTCACAAGTTTGGTGAAGACATCTCTGTACAGGCTTTTCTTATTCAAAATTTATTACCCACAACCATTGGAAACATCATTGGTGGGTCGTTCATTGTTGGATTACTTCTGTACTATGTGCATGATTTGAGACATCGTAATAGGAGATTTCTTTTCAACACCTTCGAGAGAATTTGGCGTTACCTTAAACAACGACACTTCAATCATTCGTTGACACGCAGCAGTAGCACAACCCCTCTTTCAAGCACAACGGTAGGAACCAGCCATTTAGGTTTCAGTGACTCTTCAAAGAGAACAGATAGCCCTTCCACCCAACAACATTCTTCCTTAGAATTGCCTGACGAGGTTGAGATGGTCGATGTTGTTGGGAGTAATAACGTGTAAAAGTGCTGCAGTCAATTTTTGTTTTTTCCAAATTGAACTCGACAAGATAAAATATTCGTTGTTACATCGTTTGTGGGCAATTCGTTATTGAGTTTGGTCATGTTCCACAAGAATTTTTTGGAACTCTCAAGATAATCATGAGGACGGATGCCAACCACACAACAAATCTTGTATTCAAGCAAGAAAAAGAACAACACCGCTCGCTCCGATTAGAGTTCAGTAGAATTTGTGCCAATCATCAACTCAATTCAACCTTTGTTGTACATTCACCGTTCTCTTGTAAATAATTTTCATGCCCTCCATACCTGCAGCTTTGGCACTCCGATTCGTTTCTCGGAAAGAAACTAATTCAATTTCTTCATTGGATGACGAAGAGGAACGCCGATTCAAGAACAATCTGGACGACAATACACGATATAATCATCACGACAACAACAACACGTCTTCATCTCCCGAAAATGATTCATCATCAGCATCCTCAGCTACTTCATCCTATTGCCCGTTACTTACATCACCCTCCTGCGTTCATTACGGATATCTGTTCAAACGAGGTTTGAAAAACAAGAAATGGCAAAAGCGATTCTTTTTACTCTATGCCGATGGTTTTATGTTGTACTACAAATCTCAGCAAGATATTATTCTGAATAGTGAACATCCGAGAGGAGTCATATATTTGAAACCACAAAAGCAAGTATTCATTTCAAAACAATCGAGTGATGTTCCGAACTCGAAAACATCCAACAACACTCTGGATGAGGAAAATTCGAATAGTAATAATAGCAACAATCATTCATCATCATCACTTCATGGGTTTGTACTCACTGTATGTAGCAGAAGGTACTCCCTAGCATGTGAATACGAACAAGATAAAAACGAATGGATTGAAAAGATTACAATGGTAGCTTATAATGCGGACAACGCATCCTCAGTTATCGCAAATCAATACAGTAATGTCACAAGCACATCACCTCCCACAACTTTACCTTCTGCCAACATGAATTCTAACCACACAACAACTAACGCATTGTCTTCTTCTTCTAATACACACATAGCTCAATCAAGACGAAGGCTTTATGGAGATGCTGAACGAGTGAGTGAAAGCGTCGATCAATTGGAACGAGAAGGAATATTTAAGGTTTTGCAAGGAATTGAACGTCTTGAGAATTTAATGAAATTATTGAACAATGAACGCAATAATGAGGAACTTGACAGCGTATTTTCATCCAGGACTCTAACAGATCATTCACAGTTACCTTATTATTGTAACAATTTTTCACACCAGAGCCAACAACACACCACGAATCCATATTCAAATTATGAAGATCAAAATGCAACAGTGATAGACATAAATAGTCATCCAACAGAGAGATTACAAGTTTTAAATGAATATCTTTTAAATCAATCAAGTCAACGCTTGAAAGAGGTATACAGGTTTATGCAGTCAAATAAGAGCAACAATACTCATTCAGAAACGACAACAAAGAATGGCCGTTGTGAAGAGCAACCACACAACAAGACTCTTGAGGAAGAAAATGAAAAACTTAAGGCCAAAATTCGACAGCTCACCCTCGACAATCAACAACTTCAGGATAAAAACGATGAATTTACCAAGCATAAGCAACTACTAGTGAAGGAAGTTAAGAAATTGCGAGGAATTATCAAAGAGTGTGGTAGTAGTAACACTACAGATTCCAACCATCATCCAACGATTGACGTCACTAAAAATCATGGCCGTACATTTGCACGGTCTGATAACGAGACAGATCGTAACAACAGTACGAGCAGTAACAGCAGTACAGATGAAGATTAATAATTACAATCGGTTTTGTAATCTTTCAATACCTTGTGTGTCACGTCGACAGCAACAATTTCAAAAAAATACAACGACCACCCACACACCCAATGTCGTCGACCAACAACGCCACACTCCCATCATCTTCTTCTTCGGAGGCACAGCTAACCGACACGGATCCACTCTTTCACAACACCTTTTCATCCCAAAATTCCTATGAACATGAAATTTCCGACTTGTTTACATCTCTCAAAAACTCCACACCTAACAGCAACAACTCTTTCACAAGATCCGATTTGGACAATTATTCTAAATTGCTACAAAAATTGAGACAAAATATTCAATTGTATGAAATGAATGAATCTTCGTCATCATCGAGCAAACAAGTCAACGCTCAACAATACAAACAACAATTAAAATACTATCAAAATAGATACAATGTGTTAGAGAGACAATATTTATTAAGTCAACATGTGATTGGAGGAAGTAGTACGAGTTCAAATAATAATATTGGTAGTGACAATGATGATGAATTTGATGATGACAATATTGATTTGGAATACGGTGGTGGATTTAACATATCCAACAACAAGAATAGTAGAAATACCAATAAGCATTTCATTGAAACTCAACGATTACTCGAATCGAGTAGTGACAGTTTACAAAGATCTCTTCAAATGATGGATGAAACAGAACAATTAGGATCAGAAACATTACAAGTATTGGGTGCACAAAAATCTCAAATGCAAGAAACGAAACATAAATTGAGAGGTGTTCAAGGAGATTTGAAAATTAGTGAACAATTAATTGGTAGTATGACTTGTAGAAATTATATCATTATGGGTGTGGTTGGATTATTGGGAGTCATTGTCATTGTATTAATTGGTTTGATGATTTATGGATGGGTGAGCAAGTTGAAACAATAATAAATTTTAACCAATTGACTTGTAGAAATTATATCATCATCCTTTGATATTCAAATTCTAGCAATTGGTTAACATAATTTTCACAAATTTCAATTCGAAAAATATGAAGTCTGGAGAGTTCAAGTTCAGAGTTTAACCCTTCTTCCACAACAAAAAAATGTCATCACTAGAAATTCCACTCCCGTCTCAAGCCAACATGTTTTCACAACTCCCGACAGAGCTCATACTCGATCATGTGTGTCCCTATTTTTCTGACAATGGTTTACTACTTTATTTCAGATCGATGAACAAATTATTTGATCATGTCATTACGAGCATTCATGTAAAAACTCTACTTGTCAAGAATCATTTTGAATATCAATTGATACCTCCTGTTTCATCATTTTTAGAATTGATTCGTAAATTACAAAAATTGGAATATATTTTGACATCTAGTGTACATACGATCAATTTTCTTCAATGTCCTTTAAAAGATTATTTGGAACAAGTGTGTGAAGCTTGTCCAAATTTGAAAAAAGTTGAACCAACTCTATTTCAGCAATATAGTCATTCCAATATGCAAGTGATTACTAAATATTGTAAGAATTATGAAGTCATTGATTGTTACCATGCTCGAGATTTGCCCGAAAATTCCAATCGATTTGCAATATTCAACTTGCATCAGTGTGAAAACATAGCATTCATTAAGAATTTACATCATGTCTCGACTGTGAACATTGAATGCTGGAATGATACTGTCCCATTACAAGAATGGTTCAGTCACATCAATAATGAATTGGAATTTCGAATTTCACATAACGCATCCATTGAAAAACATTCTTTACCACTTCTTCCAGAATCCACTCATGTTGCATTCACTCGATATCCAGAACAAGTGATGATTCAAACAATATTTCAATATTCTGCGTTTTTCAATGATTCTTTGATTCATTCTAGTGACTCGTTGAATATTCATCCAAATATTTTCTTTTCCATCCATGTGGAGCACCGCATTCGATATTTGAAAATTGAAATTTTGAGACAATGTAAAACCATCATTCTCTCTGGTTCGTGTCAGGATGTTCAGGATGTTCTCAATCATGATTACTTCCTTGAACATGCTCCTCATTTAGAAGAACTCGATTTGAGTGCCTTATTTATCGACTGGTTTGAACCAAGACCACATCAAGAACATGGTGCGAAACCAATCACACACTCGAAAAAGAGGAGCACACCCATACTAGAGAGTCCTTGTATGAAACAGAATTTAGAATTAGCCATTCAGTATCGAATCAAGTTGGTGGAATTGATGACTCGATGTGAGAGCTTGCAACGCGTTCGAATTGGTATTCCAATCACTGTTTTGATCACATGTGGACCATTATTGAAAGATAGTTTGTGTCATGAAAATTTGGATCGAATGATCAAATTGGATTGGATTCCTAGAAATGAGTTTTATGCAGTGGTGAATTCTGAGAGTCGATGTCCACATGTATTGTTGAAGAGAAGAAGAAAGTAATAATTGAGATTGTATTAATTTTGTAAAGAGTTCTTGTGATACAAATCACGAAAAGATCCATAAAGCAATACAACAACAAGAAGATTTAAGTGTTCATTCAATTGATTTCAACGTTACAATGACATTTGGAACTCTTTTCAAAACTTCCCAGTGGTCATTTAACAGCAACTAATTTTCAAGGTGCATTGGTTCATGAAACATTACAACAGAGAACATTGAGCCTTTGAATTCAATTTCATCTTTGGCATTCGAATCTTCTTCTTTTTCAATGTTTGTGAGTTCTTGTCCTGTACCTTTACGACTTCCTCTTCATCGTCACTCACACCATTCATTTCATCAATTTCATATCCATCCACTAACTTGACCACCGTCTCAAAGATGGTTGTAATATTCACATTCTCTTTGGCAGAAGCTTCGACATATTTACAATATTGACCCATTTTCTTTGCAGATTCCAAACATTCTTCCTTGGAAATGGCTCTTTCACTCACTAAATCACACTTATTTCCTACAAGTACCACTGGCACGTCATCTCTATCTTTGGATCGTTGTAATTGTTCATGCATTTCAAGTGCATCTACCAATGAAGAAGGATCTGTCAAGTCAAAAACAAAAACAAATCCATCTCCAGTTCGCATATAAGAATCACGCATGGCTGAATATTCTTGTTGACCTGCCGTGTCGAGAATGTCCAAGACTCGAACTTTTTGATCGACTTCGAGATGTTTTCGATAGGAATCTTCGATGGTTGGGTCGTAACGTTGGACAAATGTGCCCTGAATGAATTGGATGGTGATGCAGCTTTTACCACAACCACCTGAACCCATCACGCAAATCTTTAAATCGCTCATTGTTATATTGTTGTGTATAATATTCAACGTGGTGTTTCGTTCGTTTTTTTTTGTTGATTGGTTGAGTTTTGGCATGTGAACAAGGAACTTGAGCAAAATTCGTGCATGAAAATGGATGAACCAGGAACATTTGGGAGTTGGATGAAAAAAGTGTCATGTTCCATGCTGGTAATGTTTGTATTTGGTTTTTTCATGGACCAACTTGTAACCACAAAGAGAAGAATCCATCAATATTTACATTTCACTCAGAACAATGCAATCAACATGGGTTTATTTTACAACAATCTTTCAATATTTACATTTTGCTCGGAAAGACGTTGTAATCAACATGGTCCTTGTTCACTTATTTGTAAATATCGACCTTTCTTGGCTTTCTTCTCTTACACACCTTCTTCTTCAATTTACAAATTCTCTTTCCGCGAGCACGTCTCTTACAAATCTTTCTTCCTTTGGTGTATTTGTAATTTTTACACACTCTTCTTCCCTTAGATCTTATTTTACAAATCTTGTAATGCTTTTTGTGCACACACTTGGCAGGATAGGTCTTTTTACGATAACAATACTTCTTCTTCTTGTGGAGACAACACTTCTTCACATACTTGTGATGCTTACAATATCTCTTGTATCCATGTTTGGCACAATACTTCTTGTACTTGTGTCTGACACATTTAGTACCATACTTGTAGTGTTTACAGTAATGACGAGTCTTCTTCTTGATGCACTTCTTCTTGTAGCCAGTGATACGGCATTTACGAACATATCTGCATTTTCTTGGAGCATAGGAATCGACATACTTGTCACACTTCTTCTTCTTGTAACACTTCTTGATTGGGTATTTCTTGTATCCTTTACAAATCTTCTTCTTACCCCAAGCAGTGCATTTCTTGTACTTTTTAGTGTAGGCACAATACTTTTTACGAGCATGTCTCTTACAGTATTTACGAGTTCCATAAGAATCACAGACTTTGTAAGATCTATGCTTGGCACAATACTTCTTGTACTTGTGTTTGACGCAACGAGTGTATGGCTTGCTGTACTTGTCACACTTCCAATACTTTTTGTACTTTTTGCAACGACCCTTTCCAACAACTGCATACTTGTCACAATACTTTTTACGACCGACAACTCTGTGCTTGAGACATTTTCCACGCAAATACTTGTGCAAGATGCACTTTTTGCGACAATACTTTTTAGGACGAGGTTTGTAAGGGTCTGGCTTGTACGTGTCTGGTTTGTAAGGATCTGGTTTGTAAGAATCAGCTCCTGCAACATAGACAGCTGCGAAGAGGAGAAGAGCACACAGCAAGATTAGAGAAAGTTTTTTCATCATGATGTTTTTGATTTTTTTCTTGTTGATCTTGGAGATGGAGTTCTGGGAATGGTCATTTATAGGTTTTGGCATTCGGTAATAGTGACCTTGAAACTGTCCATGAGGACATGAAAGGTGTTGTCGATACGTTGGTTAGTTTCCACAACAAGCATTCATTGGGAGAGTCTTGTGTCAAAAATGTCGTGGCGAGAATTTTAAATGGACTAAATTTGGAGGGAAAGGTGAATCAATGTTCATATCTTCATTCGAAGAGTGCACTCAGAATGCTTGGTTTTGCTTCCTGTCGATACTTTTTTGATTTCAGGCAAGAAGAAGATCATGTCACTTCTTTGAATCCTCGTCAAACATCCTTCCATGTTTGAAATCGATCATACATTTAACAAATCATTCACACCCATGTGTATTAAGGGAGAAATTAGGTTTTGGTGACTTTTGTGTCATGTCGTGCTCATTCATGTCTGCTTTTCAGTGGTTGGTCTGGTGGACAATGAGGTTTATGGTTCAGTAGAAGTTTGATCAGTCCTTTCTTCTCGTTTCTTAGTGAATTGTAAATGATTTGTGGTTTTGTTGAAGATCGCTCTTCTCACAGCTTTTTTAAGAATAGTTCATCATTTTACTGCATTTCACACTTGTGGACGTTGTAATATCACAATATCATATCAATGCCATTGTATTCTCGTGAGTGATTAATGATGAAGATAATCCAGAGTTCAATGAAAAATTAGTATTTAAATTCATGGATCATTTGGAAGAGTGACGTTGTGAATCTAAATGATTCCTTATCGTCATTCATACAAGACTTGCATTTGGCACATTGTACTTGATCCAAACCATGAACTTGTTATGAGAGAGAGCGCAACGAATTCCCTTGAACTCCACCAATACATGCCACAATAAAGACATGCTTGATTTTCATCGCTGAAAGGGTAGCCATGAACGGGACATCGATCTTCTTGAATGGCCTTTTCTCTGGAGGCGCTGCAATACTTGGCATGTTTTAAGGCACATGACAGACGTTGCGTGAAGCGAACGGTTTTCGTGGTGGTGGCAGTGGTGGAATCCACTTCATACAAGTGCTGAACATGTTGAAATGGCACTTCAATTTCATACGTGTAATCAACTGGGTTAGGACAGGACACACAAATTCCCTTTTCAATACGTGTCAATCTACGATTTCGCATGGCTGCATTCTCCTTTTCCACCTTTGCTTTGGTTCTCAACACGTCGAAAGTTCTTGATCAAGTGATAAACCGTCTTTTGGAAAGTGACAGCACCGTAAATACTCTCTCCCTTCTCATCCAACTGGGCAGTTAAATTGTCCACACTTGCTCGACGAGTTGCAGTGCATTGATCGTGAGGATAGATCTCTTCAAGCAACCACTGGAAAAATATTTTATATTTTTCAGCTTTATCAATGCCAAATGCTTTTGGAGGAGTGAAGGAGTGACCTTTGGGAGGTTTGGGAAGATTTTGATATTGTGGAGTGGTTGGTGCGAGGGTGAATCGACTCGACATGGATTTGAAGGGAGTGTATGAGGTGATGGATGTTGTGGGTGGAGTTTGTTTGGTTGGAGGCTTTTTTGGAGTGTTTGAGGATGGTGCAGCTCGTTTCGAGGAGGTTCCGCTTGGAGTCGAATCTTCCTTGTGAGAATGTTCTTCTTCGGAAAGGGTGGTCAAATCAATGGGAGCCTGTTCATGATGATTCATCCGAAATTGAGCTTGAAAGGTGGATGCATCCACAAGAGTATTTGGATTTTGGGGAGATTGATTCAGACATGAAGTGGAAGACACGGTAGAAGATGATGAACCCACCACCAAGGCATGTTGTTCAGATGTGGTAGAATGACTTTCATCACCCTCTTGAATGATGAAATCGTTGAGAGTGGTTGGAATCCAAGAGGTTGTGGATGCCTTCTTGTTGTTTTGATGAGAAGATGAAGATGGTTGAGTCCTTTTCTTGGACGGGCACATTGGATGAAAAACGAACAGTTGACAGATATACCAGCGGTTTTTTTGTTGTTTGAAAAGCGTGTATGTGGGGTTGTGGGAGGCTTGTTGAGGCTTATTCACACAAAATTCCCTCGCAAGTATAGATGAACAAGCCTTTGAAATTGTTGTAAGAAAATGCGAGGGAAATGTACAACAATACTATCAAGATTCAACGTCTCCCAACAAAGGCAAGTCTGAAATCTTCACCAGTCTAGATGTCAAGAATTCTGGACAGGTTGAAAAAATTCTTTTGCGGATTAGGAGAGAATGAAAAAATTCTTTTCAAAAGAATTTCAATCATGAAAAAATTGCGGATTAGGAGAATCGAACTCCTGACCTTAGGATTATGAGACCTACGCGCTGCCGACTGCGCTAAATCCGCTTTACATGAATAATAATGTAGTGGTGTTAATGATGGTAAGTGTTCTTCTTCGGTTGGAGGTTCTTGTAAGAGTTGCGTAAATGCAAAAGATCTAAAATGGAAAGGAAGACAGCAAATGAAGCATGACAAAGCAGGTGTCAACAATGGAATTACGGACAGATTTAAATAGGGAGAAAATCCAGAGAAGGCAAATTGATAAACTCCCAACGGAATCGTTACTAAAACAAATTGGAACAACTGGAAAAGCATACAACAACAACCACTATTTGCTGCACGCTTCTCACAAACAAGGCAACCCAATTTAAATCACTAAGAAGCACCAGCATTTCATTACCTCACACTAACACCCTAAAGAGCCAAAGAACTGTTTATATCAATAATTTTCGAAATGTGATTAATTTTTGGATTTGAAACTCAGGTGAAGGTCGACGATGTCAAAGATTGGACCAAATTTTTGACTGCTGTGAAGAGTGGAGAGTTGAATTACGCTTCCAATTTGGTTACTATTCACCTTGGTTTGGATGAGGTTTGGGAGAAAACAAATTCGGTGGTGGCCTGTCCAACTCCAAAATCAACGTACATCGTGAGTGGATAAATGACATCAAGGAAAAGTTAAATATACGTGGCTCCATCGTTTTAAACCATGATCTACAATTTGAAAATTGCATTAAATGCATTGTGGAATTCAGATTGTGAAACTCCTCACTTTTAAGATTTTATCGAATTGTAAAAAATTGGAGAATGAAGAAGATTTCGGAAAGTTTGTACTGAGAGTTGCGTCGATGTCAAGATATGACACTATTTTCATGATCACATTCAATTATTGGACGACAACAATGCAAGAAGACAATAGCGAAACATAGATGATCATCAACATTCCATCTTGGTCAAAGATACTGAACGTGAAGATGTAAAGTCACCAACATTTGTCATTCGGAATGTTTGACGTTGTAGTGTTCCCAACCAAAACACCAAGCGTATTACGTAATACCGACGTGATAAGTAATTCTTAGATTTATTGCAAGATCGAGAAAAAGAGAACGAGTATTGTTCCAATTGAATGCTACGCAGTTATCTTTACCGTTTCGTGTGAAAATTCTTCTGCAATAATGAATTCGTTAGGTATATCAAGTTGCAAGATTGCATCCAAGATAAGCATAGAAAACCACTGTACGATATAATGACGGCAACATGTCTACCCATTATATTCATGCACATGTCTCATTTAAACATCGGAAGTCCATGTTAAAACAAATTTCATGTTCATAACGCCAACAATTTCACATTAAGCTCCAGTTACTTTGACTTGGATTTGAGGTATGGCTACCATTGTGTTCGTAAACCTCTTCTTGATATGGTTTTGTGTATGAACAAATGGACTCTCCATTCTCCTTGCAATTTCAACGAATGGAATGGTTGCACCTACTTGGTTTCATCCAGAAAGCACTACACAGACCCTCTTCCACAACAATATCAATATCCGATTGAAAATGCACTCGCAACACTTTGGATAAATTTCTCTTCATGATTTGAAGATCCTTACTCTCAATGGTACAAATCAAACTATGACTCTGAAAGTAAGCGTGACCTTCTTGGGTCAACTTGACCACTTTTCCAAGTGTGAACTTGCTCAATTCCGTCTCCTTGGGTTGAAATTCACGGATGGTTGAAATATTCTCCTGATAACGAATGGTCATCATCTTATTATTATGGGAAGCCAATGCATGAGATGCAAAACTTGAAATACCATTCTCGGAGAAGGCCAATCCAACACTTTTCAAACATTGTGAATCATGACAGGTCAATAATACTCTCAAAGAGTCTTCGCCACAACAACATAAATCTTCAATAGGTTCACAACATTCCATTTGAATTCGTTTCATTTTCAATCCACTCACGATATAATTTACCGTTTTCCTGTCGGACATTAAACATGCGAGTGCTTTTCCCCAACATGAAATTTTTTTCACCTTACTCGAGTGGTCGTTTGTGTCTTGAATTTCATTATAAGTGTCACTCTCATGATTTCTCATCACACCGAGTATGTTCAATCGTTCAATTTTCTCAGAATACTTCTTTTCCAATGACCCAGTGTAAAAGACATTTCCATTTTCTGTCAAGTATGCAACAAATGATTGTCCACATACAATCTGTGAAATGTGCATTTCATTTCTTAATACTTGATGTGCACTTTTTGAAAACCTCAAACTTGTTAAAATTCCATAAAAGGATGGAGCATCCAACCCAATACATCTCATTGAATTATCTCCTGCAACAAATATTTCCTTATTTTTGCATTGCAAGACAATGACACGAGTGCCACATTTGATACTCTCTATTTGAAAGTGATCACTTGTCATGAAACAAGCTCCATCATCATGATGATTCTTCGGATCAAGACTGGAACGGTCTTTTGAAACTACACTCGAATGTTTGAAAACACTTTTAGGTGGTCGAAGTTGACATGCCATTCGTTTCTCGCTATAATAACCATGCCTCAAATAAATACTTCTTCCGACCAATCCGTCAATTCCAAATACATAAATATTATTCGATTCTGTGACAAATGCCATAATACTGCTTTCACCATGATGACAATCCATACATTTAATTCTCTCATTTTCAAAGATAAAACTCGGTAATAAATATCCATTGGAATAGAATGGTAATTTGGTCGTTTGTACAATTTCTAATAATTCAGCTCTTGAACCTAACAAGGAGCAAGCATCTTCATACTTGGCTGGATGGCAATATATTTTAACAAGATTAGACAAGTGATCTTGAGTGAGTGATTCAAGTGATTCACAAGCTTGGCAAGAATAATGAATGGAATGAAATGGCATGTGCATCCGATCGATACTGGTGTCATGGTTCATTGGAGATTTTTCTGTTTTCGTTACAAGGACATAATAGTGGTTTCGAAGAGCACCATCATGTATTCGAAAAGAAAATTCCCATAACGTAGAATGAAAAGGATGATGTACAGTATTCACAGGAGGACCATTCATAAAAACTTGTCCATTTGCTGTGAGTATATAGGATAGGCTAGCAATGGATATTGGACCGAAGGTAATCAACGGCGTAATGGATTGTGTTGAATTGATACTGACAATGGGAAATTGATCGATTTGCTGAGACATTTTTTTTAAAACATGATGGTCATGGAAAAACAAAAAAGACCAAATCGAGGTTGTGTTTGGGATGATGAGCTACAACCTCGATGAAAGGGAAACCATCCATGTGCTTGCCGATCACCAAAGACGAATGGAAGGACTGTACTCAAAAACTGATGAAATATACAGCCTCGTCAACGCCCTCATCGAGAAAATTCACCCAAAACAGGTCAACAGTAAGGTTAAACAACACAAAGGAAACACTCCAAAAGCCACCCCAACCAAAACAAGTTTACCAAAACTGAGCTATCTGGATGTCTTTAAATCAAAAGAAAAGATAGTCATCCAACCACCAATTAAGATAATTGCCAGAAACCCAAAGAAATTTAAACCCCACAAACGAAAGAACAATTACACAACTCAAACAAACAAAAATGTCTAAAAAGTTCAAGGAAATCAACAACAACAGTGGCATCACAATCTTCGGAATCGAAGAAATCTCCATCCCATTCGTCGAACATATTATGGGACTCGTAAGAAATCATGTTGAAAAATGGTACCCAATTAAAAGTAAACCAAAAACTCTACAACTCATTTGCCATAATCATGACGACGCTATCAAGGCACTAGCTACCTTAAGAGACGAAAACGCCAAAGTAAACAGTTCAAAGAAATTCTTCACAACCCCAATGACTTTCATACCCTCAGAACATACGGTCAAGTTCCACATAAGAAGAGGTAGAACATGATAAATACTTGAAATACCTAATTGGAAAGGCTTGGAATGCCGTAATGGACATTAAGGAAATTAATGTATCCTATATTAGAGTCCAAAACACCTTCAAACTAAGAGTAGCACTTGATAGCAAAGATGAAAAAGACAAACCTCTCCAAAGAGGATTCGAGGAATACTGTAACATGGAACAAATCATCCAAGAACGCAGCCTTAACTCATCCTGCACATTCCCTAGCTCTTTCACCGAACAAGATATCAAGAACACAATTGAGAAAGTTTTTGTCGAAGACTGTGCTAGCTGAGTTGCAGATTAATTGTGTACTTGATAACTACAAAAACTGGACAGAAATCCAAACCTCCTCCCTCACATGTTGACTTGTATTAATAGATAAACGATTGCTTCAATAGGAACTGCATGTAAAAGAGTATTGAGTTAAATATTTTGAAATTTAATAAAATGTTAAAAAGTTTTATTATTGTACACCCTCACCATTTTACACCGATTTTCGAGAAATTTACACACAAACAAAGTGTAAAAGGGAAAAATCTGTTTACGGGTGGAGTTTTTGGCAATCCTACCCTAAAATTGTGATCCCGATCTAAAACTGCTCAGCCACAAACCATTTTTGTCTGGCCCCAAATTGTTTAAGGCAAAGAACATTGTTTAACTTGCAAGGGTGAACATATTAAGCTTCCTGAAAATAGCGCTGAACAAAAATATTTTCCCTTTTTAAACACCTCTTTATTTAAACAAATTTTGCGCACTTGGTTATGATGATACATGTTGGCCAGTTGTGTTCTTGAGAGCCTTGCTTCGATTCTTGTATATACCAACACCAACACAGGCTCTCCTCTCTCTCTGTTGCATCTGATGAAGTTTTTGATATATGAAAAAACGAGGGGTGGAAGAAATCGCCCATCCTAGCTAGCTAACAATTGAATGCAACTAAGGTCACCAATAGTGATCTTCTGGAATGTTGAGAACACTACAATGTGATGAACGCAACAACATTGTTGTCGAGTATTTTAGCAATCATCCCCATCGAGCTATTAATTAGCTGGGTGTTTCTTCCGCCTCGTGTGTTGTAAACTTAATTTACAGTAAAATGTACGGCTGAATAAAAAATTTTGTTGAAAAAAAATTCAAAACACCAAGACACCATGTCGTTCCAATTTATTATTATATAAATTAACCAGTCTCTAAGTCCACAAGTTGCTTCACAACAACGTTCCTCAAGTAAGTAATTTTTCTCTTTTCAATATTATAATTTGTTGCTCCATAAATTACTTCACAACAACAAACTTCTCAACAGCATGGGTCATCACAAGTAAGTGGTTTGTTTCTTTTTGATATTATCTCATCATTATAAATCATTCTACTCTCGTAATTTTGGAACCGTATTGATTTTACCACAGGTACGTGTTCAATATTATTTCAAATTAATTATTATTATTATAAAAGACACAAGTGGCTGCATCATCATTTTGCACTCGATGCCACCAGCCACTACTGAAAAATCACAAGGCCGTCTGCAAAGGTACAGTGGTCTGTGATGGTTCTTGTAGTGGTACCCGCGCTGCAAGATAAAGATGTAGGAAGCGCAGGCCAAGAAGAAGGCTAAGACGGCGAAGCAACTCTCTTTTTGAGAATACTAATAACAATACCAAACCGCAACAGTTTCAGAAGATAAAGAGTAAGGCTGTAGAGCAAGGCTTGCAAGGTGCCGAGCTTGTAAATTTTTTAATTGAAGGGATACAAGACATCGAGGGCATTAAGGCAAGCCCGTCAAAGAAGAGCAAGAAAGTGGAGTCGGATAATGATTCCTCTGATTCCTCAGATTCAGATGATAGAATTACGGAGTTTGAAGAGAAGGTGAAGAAGATAGAGAAGAGTGTGAGGGAGTTGAAAGATATTTTCCTCTCTTTCTCAAAGAGAAGCTGATGAACAGATTGTTCTCTTTTACTCTTTATTTGTGAGCAAAACCTTTGTACAACAATAAAGTCTTATTCAGGATTTCTAAAATAATATTTCTAAATTAAGTTGTCTTTTTATATCTTTATGATTGTGTGTTTTTTTCGAAATTTTGGTGTAAAATGATGTGGGTGTACAATATTTATTTTTGGATCAATATTTAAATAATAAAAATGGGCAACTCACATCATACCAAACCTTCATCATCCCGGGAAGGCAACCACAACAATTCTTCAAACCGAACAGTAACGGCATCATCCAATACAAACAATGACAACAACAACGTTCCTCCCACTCAGCACCAACAAGATCCGATCCCAGCATCATCGGAACCACAAACCAATGACACATCTCACCAAGAAACATCCGAATCCAATGTTGAACAATCACACACATCAACACCACTTTCATGTAATAATTTTGATGCTCCACAATTACTGGGAGAATCTTCAATTCTTATCGGAGATGAAGGAAATTCCATTGCACAACAGATCAGAGCCAATTTACCATTGGAACAAAAGCTCCATAATAAATGGACCATGCTCTATAGCAATACAAAGAACGGAACATCTATTGCAACTTTTGCAGAAATTGTCATGTATCATGGTCCCATGCTCATTTTCATTAAAGATATGGCGGATAATGTATTTGGAGCTTTTTCCAGTGTTTCTTTAGAAAAGAAACCTTCGTTTTATGGAAATAGTAACTGCTTTTTATTTAAAGTGGAAACTGAAGAAAATTCAGAAGAAAACAATAACTCGGGAAAGAAAAGTGTAAAAATTTTTCCTGCCAGTGGCAGAAATGACAATTATGTATACTTCAATTATGGAAACAAGTATAATCCATACAATGGATTAGCATTTGGTGGACGAATGGGATGTTTTTCATTGTGTATTGAAGAAGATTGGCGCTTTGGAAAAACATGTGGAGATTTAATAACTTATTCCTTCAGTCCACAACTTTCTAGTGACTCAGAGTTTGAAATTAATTCTATTGAATGTTGGATTTTCCCATTAAGCGAATCTGTACAAATTGATCTGCGATACAGAGCTAAGGCAAAACAATCAAAACAAGCATTAGGAGAGGGTAACGCTGCTGAAATTTTCATCCTGAAACAAGCTGGTATCATGTCGAGTGATAACGATCACATTAGAGAGACAGCTTATCAAAAAGATACTTCAAGCAATTCAAATAACAATAACGGTGATAATTAGAGGCTCAGAGAGTTTGAAGGGTTTTGAATTTCCTGAAGGTAATTCATAGCAACACGGTGCGATGATCCTGGTCTCTTTTTTTAACTATCTTACTTGAAAGTTAGGAAAATGTTGTAGACATACCCCAAAGAGAACATTTATAGACGATTACTTGTGACTTCTTTGTCGATAGTTCATACTTTGTACTAAGATTAGTGAGTATCTAAAATAAAGGGTTATATCAGCGTGATCACCAGAAACGTTGAGGATATGAACAAGTTCCTCCAATACCGAGTGGTGTTTTGACCAAAAGTTTTTCGTCAACAAGCAACCAAAATGAGGAATTTGTTCCATGAGAGCTCTTAATACTGTTTCGTCATGGAGTAGATGTTGTGGCATACAGTGAAACGCAAACTTGTTCAGGGATCGCTTTGAAATTTCTGGTTGCTGTGTAAATATGGGAATTATTGTTTGTAATAATATTTCTCGTGAAAACAATTCTTTTCGAATTCCCCTAATAAATTCTTTTGCCAATTCAAACTTTTTAGGTCCTTGCCAAAATTTCAAAAAGTATGAAAAGAAAGTCATTTTGATAGCTGTATCGGTGTGATCATCATTGGAATGTCTATTCTTCCTGAAATAGTCCAAAGCTTGCTTTACAAATACAAGTTGATGTTGATGCTTGAAGAAAAAACGATTAATATTTGTATGTGTCAGTAAGTTTTCAAGGAGTGAAGAACGAAGCTGAGCTTCAAGCGGAGCTGTGAAATAACACTCTACATTTAAATCAGAATAATTATAATGGTAATGGCCTCTCCTGGTCAATGTGTGAAACAATACTCTCTCGTTTCTTTTGAATTTTTCGGGCAAATTAGTCCATACTTTTTTGGCATGAGTGGTTGCTCGCATAATTTCAATGACCATTTCGTCATCCACTTGGCAAGGAAGTTTGTAATTCCACTTTTCAATAAAATAGTTCCAACAAAACAATAGTCTAATATTTCTCAATATTCGAATGTTTTTTGTCTTAACAACAAAATCAAAAAGTAACTCTTTAAATCCGGTGTTCACGGAAACAATACTTGGGTAGTGTCTTGTAACAACCAAAAAGAATTCTTTTGTATTATCATGACAATAAACGAGAGGGTCATAACAAAAGGGAGCACGAATAACACTACAGTGAGGCTGTACAAGCGAGCTCACAGAAAAAGAGCCAGCACATGTTTTCTTTTGGCCTTGAATTGCAGCTCTACAAAACGCAAGACCCTTTAACCACTCTGATTTCACACAAGTCATGTACACATTATTTTCTTCAATCAATATCAAGGCCAACAGTTTCATAATGTCCTCATTCCTCTCCTCACTCTGTGATTGAATTAAAATAGATTTTTCAATTGCACCTCTCCATAAATTTTTCACATCCAATTCCGTTGCCTCTTGTGAAACGGAACGTTGAGGACTGCTTTTTAAGACAATTTCAATTTTAAGGGCCACACAAAATAATTTTGAAACTAGAGCAAAATTTAAATAATGACTTTCAACGTGAACAGAATTGACTCCATCATCCTTTTCATCGTCCTCCGCACCATGAATATATTGAATATGAATGAAGGAAAATATTCTTCTCAACAACTGGATGGTCATTAACGATTGTTCGTACATACAATCTCGCAAATACCAGTAAGAAGCGAGAGAATTTTTGAAATTGAAGTGATCATCATCATGACTCTTCTCTTGCTGTTGTTGTTCAAATACTTGTTGTAGCCGCTCCACTTCCTTCTTATGATGCTCATGATCTCGCTCAAGCAAGGTATCCAGCGGAAGTTGAAAGAGGCTTTTCATATTTTTAATTGTAAAGAAAAATGATTCGTTGAACAGCATCACAGGGTGCTTTTGATGTTGATTTGGAGATGAAAATATAATACTGTAGTATTCTTTATTTACAAAATAACATGTGGAGGTTGTAACGATTTGGAAATTTTCTTCTTGCCTCGGAGCATCAACAAAATTGAAAGGTTTGGTTGGATCCTTCCTTTAATTCCGGAAGCCAAGAAGTAGCAACGTAATAAGATCTTGCTTGCCAAAGCTCATCAAAAATTCTCATACCCAATGTATCGTTGAGATACTTCAATCCGAGTCCTCCTGTTCCAATCTTGGTACCCATATAGTTCTCGACTAGTTTGACGTGTCTATTTCTCCATAGCAACAATTGCTCCTCAAAAGAAAGAAGACTATCAATGAGCTTGGATAAATGTGAAATTCCTGGAATGTGTCTGTAGCACATGATAAACAAAATGGCGAGTCTTCTTTTCTTTGAAGAATCAGCAGAACCATTCTCATTAGTAACAGCAATGTCATGACGATTTTGAACTTGATTCTGAGTCATTGCCATCATTGGACACTTGTCTAAGACATGATGAGAAGTTGTTGCAGTGTTTCCATTGATCCAATTTTTGACCTTTTCCTTTTCTAATTCCATGGCCTTTTCATCATAGTCATGCCATTCTTTTGTGTCACGCCAACGCAATCTTTGGAATTTGAAACATTGACATACTGATTGTAGGAACTTTTCTTCAAAATTCTCTGGAACCATTGGATGGATACATTTTTCCAGCCATGAATGAATTAGACTCTTAACAGTGGTGGATTCTGAATGATATCTTTCAGAGAGCTTTTTCATTTGAGCAGTCATGTTTTCATCAATGACACTTTCATCGTCATGATTGCTTGCTCCATAACCGAGAGGGCACTGAGAAGCCATTTTCATTTCTTTTGGAATATGAACACGATCTTCATGACGAACACCAAGTGTAGTTTCAATCTCTCTCATTTGAATGGATTGCATACCAGATCCAGGACCTTTTGAATCATTAGAGATTGGTTAAGTAGTAATACATGCAACAAAGTTTACGTACCAAGAAAATCCCTAAACTCAAGAAAGCTTAATGGATGCATGGTCTCCATAACATCAAAAAATGGTATGATCGTCTTCATGATGAGACCAGCCCTTGTTATTTTCTCATGAACACTTTCAATGGCCAATTGTTCAACGAAAAGAGTTGGATCTTTCATGATCGAAACAGCAGAGTCGATTTCAAAGAGAATTTGCTTAAACCATATTTCAAAACCTTGATGAATGACAATGAATAGATGCTCATCGTGATGGTTGAGGCCGCCTTTAAATTCTGGATATTGGAATTGAATCAATTCTGGAGCACGAATATAATTATCGTACGTCAGTGGAACGGCATGGTTGACATCAACATTTCTGTTAATGGAATAGACCTTTCTACGGATTTGATCGTGGCTGATATTGGCTTGAGATTGCATTCTATTGTCTAGAGCTATTGTTTACAATGAAGATTTGGTTTCAATTTTTTTAGTTGTCAAAAGACTCTGGATAATTTGGTGTCATTTTCAAGCTAGAAATCTTCACAAGTACAGAACGCTGATCATTATTGGATGGCCGCACGTTCGAATAGAATATGAATTATTATTAACTCACTGTTGAAACGTATCGTGATCGATCAAAACACTCTATACAATCAAGCCATTGTATAATGAACGTTCACGAATTCATGTTTCCAGAATAGGTCCATGTCACAAATTTCGAATAACAGTGATGAACTCGGTTATTCTTGTCCATCACGGTGAATCGTGTCATACAATTCGAATTTGTCTGCATCCTTTAAATTTACACCCTTGGAGTGTCACTTCCCTATTCACCATGCTAAAAAAATTCACACATTGCATTATTAACGTATCCACAAGACGAGGTCAACAAATTCTCTATCGAAAAAGATCCAAAATGAGTGCTCAACATACCACCGCTACTAACATTGATCAAGCCATCCTCCAAGAAGACAATGTCACCCCTTGGGAGGTTGAGGCTGAAAATGAAAAAGGCGTCGATTACAACAAGCTCATCGATCGCTTCGGTTCCAAAGAGATCACCGAAGAGGATATCAAAAGAGTGGAAAGATTGACTGGTAAGCCTGCTCATCCCTTCCTCAAGAGAGGTATTTTCTTTTCTCATCGTGATTTAAACATTGTGTTAGATCATTTCGAACAAGGAAAACCCTTCTATCTCTACACAGGTAGAGGTCCATCCAGTGAGAGTATGCACTTGGGGCACTTGATTCCATTCATGTTCACTAAATATCTTCAAGATGCTTTCAATGTTCCACTTGTGATTCAAATGACTGACGACGAAAAGTTTTTGTGGAAAGACTTGGAATTGGAAGAAACTCATCGATTGGCCTATGAAAATGGAAAGGATATTATTGCGTGTGGATTTGATATGGACAAGACTTTTATCTTCTCCAACCTCGACTACATGTCTCACTTGTATCCAGTCGTTTGCAAAATTCAAAAAGAAGTGACATGCAGTCAAGTGAAGGGTGTTTTCGGCTTGTGTGACAGCGACAATATTGGAAAGATGTCATTCCCAGCTATTCAAGCAGCTCCATCCTTCTATCAAGCGTTTCCTCACCTATTTCCTGAGAAGGAATTTGGGAAAGATGGGGTTGCTTGTTTGATTCCATGCGCCATTGATCAAGATCCCTATTTCCGTGTCACACGTGACGTGGCAAGAAAATTGAAATGGAAAACTCCAAGTGTCATTCATTCCAAATTCTTTCCTGCATTGCAAGGAGCATCTAAAAAGATGTCTGCTTCCTCTGAAACTTCATCAATTTATCTTACTGACACTCCAAAACAAATTGAGGAGAAAATCAAAAAACATGCTTTCAGTGGTGGGCGTGCTACCAAGGAAGAGCAAATGCAATTTGGAGCTGATCTTGAGATTGATGTTTCATTCAGATATTTAGAATTCTTCTTAGAGGATGATCAAAAGTTGGAAGAGATTAGAGAAAAGTACAGCACCGGAAAGATGTTAACTGGAGAAGTGAAGGCCATTTTGATTGAGACACTTCAAAAGTTGGTTGGAGAGCATCAAAAGAATAGAGCTGCAATTTCAGACGAGACTTTAAAGGAATTTTTCTCCGTTCGTCCATTAAAATTTGGACACAAAGGGGAATAAGATGTTCATTCCAGTGACAATGGTTGCAACAGGCTGTATTTGTGTAAATAAATTGATGTCTGATCGAATTCGAGTCGAGCTTGAAATCGTACGATCTCTGTTGGATCTGACACTAAAGTCCATCCACTAACACTTTGTTCATAACCGATTGAATTTCACAATTTCAAAACCCTTGCTCAATCTCCACATCAACATGTCGAGCCATATCAATCTTTTTTGCAAGTGCAAGCGCTGCAGTCTTCTTCTTCATGACAACAGCAATCACGGAAGAGACGATCAGTGCAGCGGCCCAACGGCAAAAAGAGGTGCACCCACGCCAACTGCAATTCCAATAATCAAGGAGTTGTTTGGGTCTTGAGGAGGTGCTGGTGGAACGTCAGTGACTCTCAAACTCAGTCGTGAAGAGATCCTTTCAGATATGACGAGTTGAGTTTTCACATCCATTAAGACGACATGTGCCGTGATATTTCCAATCTCTGTTAGGGAAGGGAGCTGGAACGTGATGCTTGTATCAAAAGCACTGTTTGAAAATTGAATTGTCTTTTCCGCTTTGTGAATAGATTCGTGTGTACTTTCCTTCGTCATTTCCCACGTAATTTTAACATTTCTTCCTGCATAATATTGTAAAAACCTTGAATCCAAAATTGAGAGCTGAGAAGTGACATTTTGCGTGTTTTCTCCAATAGTAGTTTGTTCTTTCGAAAATACCAGTAACAATCTATCAGAACGTAAAAACAACAACGAGCAATCGAAATGCATGGTATCATTCCTACATGAACATTGATCCAACTCGACACAAACACCATGTTGATGACATACAGAGGAATTGGTTGCAGCAATTCCATAACATGAATGAATGGAACAGTCAGGACCTGAAAACTTATCATTACAAACACATTCATTGGGAGCAGTACAATTTCCGTGTCCACTGCAAACCTCCAAAGTCGAATTTGAGAGTTTTCCAAAACAATAAGATTCCATACATTTGGGTCCTGCCCATCCCAGGTGACATTCACATGTGTTGAAATCTCTGCAAATTCCACCTCCGTTGTTACAAACAGTGCTGTTGTTGGAGGGAATTCCATAACATGTCGTGAATTCACAATCCGGACCAAAGTAATTGGTGTTACATTGACAAGTGTCAGGTGAAATACATTGACCTCTCTTTCCAGTGCACACTCGAGAGTCATTGGACAAAATTCCATAACATGAAGGATATTGACATTCGCTTCCAAAATATTTTTCTCTGCATTGACACTTGTCATAATCCACACAAGTACCATTTCGAAAATTACACACAACACTGCTGTTCGATTCCAATCCATAACATGTGGTAAATTGACACTCCTCTCCATGATACCCGAAATGACAGGTACAATTATTGAGGGAAGAACATTTACCTCTTCCACCACTGCATACCAATGATGTGAAATTTGCAAGAATTCCATAACAAGAAGGATACTGACATTGATCTCCTCCAAACCCTGAATGACATTGACACTGATTCACATTCATGCATTCTCCATGTCCACTACAGACTTGAGAACGATTCGAGGAAATTCCAAAACATTTGTAAAATTGACATTCCGGTCCATCGTATTTCAATATATCACAACTACATGTGTTGTTGGAAATACATTGTCCTCGAGAAGAACAAACATTTGGATTGGTAGAAGGTATGTGAAAACAATCTGGAATGGAGCAATTCGCACCTCTCCAATCGTTAAAGCATTGACAGGTATCTTTTCGGATACAAGAGCCATGAGCATTACACACTTGAGAAGGAAGGTCACCTCGAATTCCAAAACATACAGGAATTTCACAAGTGTTTCCCATATACCCTGCTTGACATGTACAGTTATTAAAGGATGAGCAAGTTCCATTATTGAAATTGCACACGAGAGAGGTATTACTAAAAATTCCACTACATGTCGTGACATTGCAAATTGGTCCATAATAATTGGGTGAACATTGACACACATTCGTATCCAAACAAGTGCCATGAGAAGAGCACGCAATGGATTCGTTTGAAAAGACTCCGAAACACTTGCTGACTTCACACTGGGAAGAGAAATAATTCGATTGGCATTGACACTTGTTAAAATCGACACAACTACCTCGACCAGAGCAAACCTTCAGAGTGTCGTTACTCCATTGTCCAAAACAACGCGTTACTTCACATTGACTTCCAAAATAATTGGCTGAACATTGACATTGATCTGGATTTACACACATGCCTCTCCCTCCTCCACTACATACATGTGTTGTATTGGTTGCGGCAATTCCAAAACAATACGGAATGGAGCATGTGGATCCTGTATAATTACTCGTACATTGACATTGATTGGGAGCTACACATGAACCATGTTGTGGACCTCCACAAGCGTTGCTTAATACATGACCATAACATATTGGAGTACAATTAAATGTATTGGGATCAAAACGATAGTCAGTATGGTCACAGTAAGGAGATAATTTTCGAATTCTATTGTTGTTGAAATCTGTGAAATAAATTTCACCACTCGTCGAGTTCACAACCACACTACTTGGATCATACATGGTTGCAGAAAGAGCATTTGAGAAATCTCCAGAAAATCCAGAAGATCCATTGCCAGCCACTGTCGAAACTATTCCTTGTAGGGAAACTTTACGAATTCTCTGATTCGAATAATCAGAAATGAAAATTTCTCCAATTGGTGAAATGTGAAAACCTGTTGGATTTGAGAATTGGGCATTGGTAGCCACGTCTTGATCTCCACTATATCCAATCGTTGTTCCTACTATGGTTGAAATGATTCCAAGTGTATTGATACGACGAAGTCTATGATTCAATCGATCCATAATGTATACTTCTCCATTAGATGTGACATGAACTTGACTTGGATGAAATAAATGTGCACTTGTGGCAGGTCCTCCATCTCCAAATAGTCCTGCATCTCCTGTTCCTGCAATGGTTGAAATGATTCCAGATGTTGAAATCTTTCGAACTTTATGACTGTAAGAGTCACAAATATAAACATCTCCATTGGTGTGAGCATACACACATATTGGAGAATTAATTTGAGCAAAAGTGGCTGGTCCAGAATCTCCATTCGATCCAGCAGTACCCGTACCTTTGGTTAAGAACAATGCGCTCACAATCCAAGTTTCTTGAAATGGGTGTGTGAAAACTTACCTGCAATGGTTGTAATTATTCCATCGGTATCAATCTTTCTAATTCGATGACCTCCGAATTCTGCAATATAGATTTGCCCACTTGATGAAACAAATACACCAATCGGACTATTGAGATTAGTGGAGGTGGCTGATTGATTGTCACCATTGTAATCTGTTGAACCTGTGCCAGCTATTGTTGAAATCAAACCTGTTTGTGAATCAATTTTTCTAATTCTATGATTTTGGAAATCTGCAAATATAACATCCCCAGAGGGTGACACCTGGCAGCTGAAAGGTTTCATTCCACTGTTTGTTGCTAAAATTCCATCTGAACTAAACGAAGGACTTCCATTACCTCCAACAGTTGAAATATTAAACATGACCACAACAGTAGCCACAACTCGGTATTCGTTCAAAGCAAGATGTATTGCTGTGAGAATGGCAACGAGGAGCATCAGCTTGCTCGAAATCAGTTGTTGTGGTTTCTTCATCTCGTTTTTTACTCGTTGTCAGTGATTGCAGTCCATTCTTTCTTCATGTTTGGACATTCTCATTTCGTCCTTTTGATCTTCTCAAGGGAAATTATATATCCTTCCTGGTTCTTACCTAAAAACAAATTAATTGACAGTATCCATATTTGAATGTACATATACCTGGCAATATGACCGAAGTGCTATTCCCTTTTAATTGCTCTTTATATGAAGTAATTTCACTTTCGTCTATCTTATCGATCAGCTCTGAGGTGATTTGGAATTGACAAACAACAAACGAAAAAAGTTTCATGCAAACTACAATGCAGATGGTCTTTCGAAATAAATTAACTCCCCAAACACGATTTTATCTGACTGAAAGTGTCTATATCCAAGGCAACATCTGTGACTTCAATGAACGAATAACAAAACCGTCACAAGCAACAGTAAATTGTCATTCTGAACGTGTGAGCTAAACGCACACCACAACTTTAAATACGATACTAGAACGGCTCTGTGATTGACCTTGATATCATGAGTCGATGAGGATTGATCCAAAGAACTGCCCTTTCCTTCTTCACCACTGAATTTGTATTTCCACTCATGAACAAAGCCTCGTACATAACTTGCCTCAATTAATTCCTTAATGCTCATGGTATCTAATACTTGATGAATGAACATGTCATCTTCACGAATAAGATGTACATAATATTTCAACAATTTACGTTTGTATCGCTGGGGCAACATGCTTCGAATAAATTCAATGCTTGTTGCAGACGCTCCCATGAATAGATGGTTCATCATGTACTTGAGAGAATGCATTCCTGATTCCAATCCTCCAGATCTACTCCCGATGATAGAACCACTATTTGTCAATTTGAACACTCCACTAATTCCGTTAAAAATCAAACGAGCAACAAAGCTATATCTACACAAGCTATCAATGATGTTGTCTGACAATTTGTCAATCGTCAAATGTTGTGTGAACAATTCTGATTGATCTAATTGCTTTAGTTCTTTCAATAGTGTATCCAAATTTGGTAAAATCTTAAGTGGCAACGGATGAGATTTGAGAGCATTAATTTTTTGAATGACTGATAGCAAGAGTGATATTTGGTCGTTGAGAATTTTCTCGGATTCATCACCATTCTGCAATGCCTTTGAGTTATTACTTCCAAAAGAAAGTAAAGATACCTGTCTCAACACTTCTTGAATAATCACATCGCGTTGCTCCTTTCTCATTTGGTGTGAATTATCTCTAATAGCTTTTTTTAATTTTTCGCTTTGATAGTACGAGGGTCTAATACTTGGGTAATAATAACACAAGGGTAAATAAGCCAACAATAACTTGGGATACAAGAGCAAAATAAGTCCAGTTGGAATTAATAATTTCACACAATCAAATCTAAATCCGTTCATAAATAAAAGTTCCTTTCTAGAAGCTACTCGGAAAGGTCGATATGAAATTTCTTTTCTCATTTCTCTGTATTTGATAAAATCACCAAAGAAGTGAAAGGTGGAGCCAATGAGGAATTGTTTGTATTCAAGAAAGACGGAGAGAACAGATCGAGATTGTTCATAAAATTGTTTTTTTGAATCATAGTTAGGATCCGAGTGCTGTGATGATTGTTGTTCTGAAGAATTGAGGAGTGAAGAATGAAAGGAAGATTTTTTCAAACCATTGATGTGATTGCTCCCATTCCGAGCCAACAGCAGCCAAGTGGAAGATGAAAGAGTGTTGGACTTTTGTGGCCATAATAAACACGTTCGTAATGAGCGCAACATTTTTTATATCTTGGCAAGCACAATCTTAGGATATTTAGTGAGCTCTAATAATTTATTGTTCGTGCAAAATTTACTTTGATCTCTTCTCAATGAAGGCCTTTTGTTCCTTTTCTAAATCTACATTAATATTTCCAATCACATTATCAACAAGGAATCCCACAACTGCTGACTTTTTCATTTGTGTGTTTTGTTGGATGTTGTTAATAATTTGATTCTTTTTTTGTTGGAGAGCAGTGTTGGATCCACCTACTTCAATTTGTTCCTTCACGAACTTTTGGAAGTACTTTTCTTTATCTTGTCTGAATTTTTGGAGTTCCTTCTCTGCTTCATCCTTAGCTTCCTTCAATTTAAGTAATCTCTCTATTGTTGATGTTGTTGTGAACGAATCAAAGATGATGGAATAAAGTAGAAGATGATTGTACGTCAGAATGTTGGGGCGTGTTCATCGAAAACGCATTGTTGTGTGTGATGTTTCAACAAAAAAATCCATCAAAACAGACCGTGAACGTGATGAAGACGAATATTTATAACTTTACACTCATCGGATGAGTCCTATACTTACGCTTCTTTGCTTCTTTCACAATTTCAGTGGCTTCTTGTTCGGCCTGCAACAATTGTTGGATGCTTCCTGATTTTTTGGTGGCCATGTTGGGATATTTTTTGTGATGAATGTTGGATAATTATTTTTTAATTTATTTTAATTTTATTTTGTTTGTATTCCATATTTATCTTTCTGAATGGCAGAACAAGTAAACTTTCAAATGTTGCATTCATAGTCTTGATCAGTAAGTAAATCTAACCAAATGTTCTTCATTAACCAAGTTTGAGTTGAGCTCGACTTCTTTCGCGCCATGATTTACAAACAGCACAAGACACTAAAAAAATGACGCAAAATACAACCTCAGAAGAAAAAAACAATCTCACCAACGTGAATTGTCCAACCCAGATCATCATGATGGGTCAAACGATGGAAAGAGACGCTCCGAATATGGATGCTCCACTTGAAAACATTGACGTCAATCAAATAAGCGATGGTTTGGAAGACATTACGAATTTTCAACATCAAGAATTAAATTCATCACAACATACAACCATCCCAAACCAAGGGCGAGATAGTAAGGAAACACCTGGCTCTGTCAAGCTACAACCCGTACAGGTTAAAAACGAGTTCTTTCAAGGTTCAAATACGAAAGCTCTTTCAAAGAAATCAGAGCCCTATCAACCAACTCCTCGGCAACTAAAATCGCTAGATAAACTCTCGGTACTTCCGCAATGGAGAGTTGATTTACAAAATAAGAACAAGGAAGAAATTGAGTTTAGAAATCGTTTAAAGGAGAAGTACAAAACTGAGATGTATGGATCATGCGACGGCTATTTGAAGAAACTTCAAGAAATCCACGAAACAAAGAAAAGCATTTCAAAATCTTTCACAGCTTCAAAAAAACCAGCGTATGTACCTGAGGGAAAGTATGTACCACCTCCAAAACCAAAGAAGACAATCGAGGAAGACAAACTGGTATTTAAGAAACGATTTGAATACAATCAAAAGGTAGCTAAGGTGATTTTGGAAGATAATTTGAAAAAATCAGAACGCATTAAAATAGAAAAACAAAAAGAGCAAGAAAGATTGAAGGAAGAGGAGAGAAAAAAGAAGGAGATGGAAACCGAGAGAAAGAAAAAAGAAACTGAGGAGAGAAGAAAGCAATTGGCTCAGATGAAGGAGAAGAAGCCACCTGTGTCAGGAGAAGAGCTGCACAAAGCAAGAATGGAGAAATTAAGACAAGAGAAGTTAAAAGTGCTGGCCAAGAAAAAAGTGGACATTCAGTATCCAGTAATGAAAAAACTTGCAAGCAAGAAGAAATTGGACACAACAAACACTACCGAACAAAAAGAGCGTGTCGAGGAAAAGAAGAACCAACTTGGATCCTCGGAGCTAATGGTTTCGAGCTCCGAACTCACTGCCAAAAGCTCCATTCAAAACAATGAGGCAGAACAAACTGTCAAAGATCTTGAAATGCCAAATTGTGAACAACCAGAGCAGCAAGAGCTCAATCAACCTGTACATAATATTGAGGAAGATAATGAGGTAGAGTACGAATCGTTGGATGAGGAAGAGACAGAGGAATTACATGATGTCCATGAGGTTGAGAATGATGAAACCAAGGAAAGCAACCTGGATCACACCTCTATTCCCCAGCAAGAAGACAAACCTCAAACAGTAATTTCAGATAATGTTAACGGTAACAACGTTTGGGAAGCTGACCATAATATATCTTTGAATTTGTCAGATGACGACTTGAGCGAGGATGAATGTGATGATGGTTCTGAGCACGGGAATGATGAGGATATTCAATCTCCAAGCCATACCAAAGAGCCAAACGATATTTCAGGTGACAGACCACTTGACGAAACTGACTTGATTGCTAAAAAGATAATTTCAGAGTTAGTGAGTCATTACGAAGAAATCCAAGGACACATACAAAAATGTTTTGCAACTTATGCTAATGATATATTTGATCAAGGCTTGCTTAGTAGTGATGAATACAGCAACGTGTTCTCAGGCTTGGGAACTGTTCGTAGTGCGGTTGCCAACATGGTTAGTGACTTAAAAACAGCCATGGACTCGTGTGACAACTCGTGTGATATTTGGGAGAGTTCCAATATTGAAACAATGAAGGAAGTGTATATTACGTACATTAGATCTCTACCCTTGGCTCTGGAAACCAGTTTAACAGCATTCCGACAAACCCCTAAATTCCAATCTCTGGTTAGCTCTAAATCAAATGATTTGGTAAGTAATGTTTCTGTACCCATATGGCGTGTGTTTACCACGTCATATTTTTTAGTTTTTCTATTTAATGATTCCTGTTGAAATGATATTTTCACTCTCTAAAACTGTGCAAGACCTTGTACGCTACCGACCATATGATGAATCCGTGAAGTCAATGCTGGCATGTATTGAAGATTTACAAACCATTCGAATCGAGATTACAGACAGTAATTACTCCACTTTCAAGGTTTTGGAGCTTTATAACAAACTTAAGACGACAGAAATATTATCCAAAAAGCGAAACCTCCTTAAAGAGGGAGTGTTATCGACGGAAGCTGATTCCCATTCAGTTTTCTTATTTTCTGACAGCTTAGTTGTACTGACTCCATCCAAGCATTGGTTTATTCCATTTAAAATTACAGATGACATTACTGGAGAGTACAATGTGGTTGTAACGAAAGATTCCGATGAAAATACTCTTGAAATTGATGAGCATGAGGTTTCATTCCATGTGCGCTATAAATTCGATAGCTATGCTCAGGTGAAAGAGTGGAACAAAGCATTCAAAGCTTGTCTCGAGTAAAAGTTTTGCATGAATCATTTCTTCCAGTTCCGTCTGGAATAAAATCATAAAAAAACTGAACATGACTACTGCATCAGCAACTCCATCGGGCCTGCTCATCACATCAGCAGCCAATTATTTGAATTCTCACTTATACATTATCGATAAATCAACACCAGATATAACTGGGCATTCTTACAACTTCCCCAACACTGAAGACACCATCGAGCCTTATGATTCCGAAGAGGAAGATTGCCAAGATCCGTTCGAAGAAACAGATGTACTGGAGAGCGCAGAGAGGGATCCTTTCCTTCCGAGTAGCGAAGATTTAGCTGTCCATTCTCAAGATCCCTTTGAAATAGGAGAATTAGATCCATTTCTTGTTGGGGATGTTGATGTCTTTGATGCTGCAGACATGAAGTTGGAAAATGAGGTATCCGGTGAGCTTGCTCCAGATTTAAAGGATCCCTTCGAAGAGCATGATGAATTTCTAGATAACAATAAGGATGTATTCGAAGAGAGAGATGAGTTTTTACAAGAAGATCAAGACATATTCGAGTACGAAGAAGATGTTTTTAATGTTCAAGATATTGACCCTTTCTTATTGGATGCTCGTGATGAATTTGAATCGAGCGAAAAAGGTATGAGAGGTGTAATATCAGTTGATACTGTTAAAAAGTTGTGGAGAGAAATTATTATTCTTGTGTGTGTTTTGATTTTTGTGGGACAATTTTTCAGAGTTATTTAAGGTGGCAGTTTTGAATACTAAACATCTTTTTAGTTGCACGATTTGTAAATGAAATGGCTACTTCTAGGACTTGTAATATTATCCATACACAAGAATTAATGATTAAATGTAGTATTCTGATTCACAATTGCATCATAAAGCTCATTCTCCTTGTCAATGGCAACTGCTGGATCATTTGGGTCAATGGTCTCAAAATACAAGTGAGGTTCCAACAACTCCAATTCACAAATTCTGATATTGTTGGTTTGCCAATCAATAACAACGTCTAATCTGCAATACAGTATCAAATGATTTGGAGATTTCTCTTTTTTAATCTTTTCAAATAAGCGTTGACCATTCGCAATGATCGTTTCATTAAATCGGCTCAAGTCAGCATAGGTATTGGATCCTCCAAATTCGCCTTGCACCCTGAGAATTATTAAGAAATAAATGATTAAATAGACAGACATAAATATATAACTCACCTAAAGTCTCCATCCTTTGGTCTCTTTTGTAACATGTGTGAAAGTTTTTCATTTACATAAATAAAACTATACTCTCCATCATTTACAATGCAATCCAAAAATGGCTGAACGATATATAACTTTCTGTCTTTGTATTTACATTGATTTGATTCAGAGAGATCCTGTCGAATGATTTTCAATTTTTCCGCTCTATTTGTTAAATATTCAATACTTTGGCATGACCCTTCATCGGTACTCTCTCTTGAATTACCAATCACAAAAGTGTTGAAAGAACCAGCCGATATTAACGGTTTGAAAACCAACTTGTCACAACTCTTAAACATGAAACAATATTTTCTCACTAATTCATCATCATTTAAATGTTTCACGGTATCAAAATCCACTATTTGCGAGGGAACAATTTCACACTCATTCCACTCGTCTTGAATTTCAAACAAATATCTCTTACTCGAATTCCAAATCATGAGCGAGGGATCATTAAATACTCGAATCATCACACGATGGTCTAGACCTTGACACTCTTTCTGCAACTGTTCCAAAGTACGTAACCATTCCATAAATTCATCATAGTAATCCACATAATTCCAAGTCGTACGAATGACAATATTAATCGTCATCTTTCTCGAATCGAGAGCAGAAAAATCATCAGATTCCTTCTTGGTATCACTTGTTATTTTGTTCATCAAATATTCGTACAAGCCCTCACAGGAGAGAAGTTCCGAAGGAGAGGTTTGCTTTTTCATTTCTTTGAAACTCTCCAACCAATCAAACACAACAAATCTTCTCTCAATTCTTTTCATCGTTTCATCCTGTTGATGATTATTTGCAAATTTAGAAAGAGGTTCATGTCGTCGGAGTGTAATTTCTAAATACTCTTCACAAGAGGCGATGAAAAAGTATTGAACCTCTCGATCAATGGAAAGAGAACTTTCATGAGAAGCCATTTTTTCTTCTTCTGCACGAAAATTTTTCAAAGTTCAATGTTCGATACGATAGAAGCTTTAGAGGAAAATTCATGTGTTTATTGTTTTTCATTCATGAACACCTTTCACAACAACATACGTTCTACATGTTAATGTAATGACTCTTTCTTGGTCTTCTCAAACAATAAACAAGAAGTGCAATCACCAAAGCAAAAACTACCAGCATGGAACACACTGTAATTCCAAAAGCAATTCCAATACTTTGAGCATCGCTTAATTGTCCATTAGAGTTGTTGCTATTTCCTGTGATGGAATAAGCTCCAATGGTGTAGTCAAAATGATCTTGTGGGGACTCTACGACATGCTCCACAGCAACGTAATACACAACCTCATTGTTCTGATCATTAGAAATGACAAGTGACTTTTGGAAATTGTTGTTGAAAGTAAGGAAATCATCTGCACTGTTGGGGGATGGAATCTCGTCTTTTCGAATATAAAGTTTTCCATTAGGAGAGGACTTGGATTGTATGGAAATTGCAACATTCGATTTTGCACCGACTTTCAACTTGTAATAATTCATTCCCTTTAAATATGAAAGAGACCCATCTTGAACTTTCATTTCTTGTTGTGAGGAAGCAATCGAAATATCATTAACAGATGAAGGTTTGGCAACAATGGCTATCACTTGACATAAATTTCCCATCAAACAATAAATAGTAGTATTGCTTAAAGTAATTGCAGTGGTAGAAACAGAGATTGGTTTACCTTCCTGACCACAGGCACACGATAATGTGGAAGGATCAATGGCTGCCATCTTCTTGGTCAAAACATCTTGAAATCCTAATTGAGTGTTATAATTAAACCTCCAATCCCATAAATCAATAATAGGAGATGGTTGTGAAGGCACATATTTCACAGCTGTAACAAGTACATAACCTTGTGGAACTTTGTCCAGAGTCGGTGTCTCTAATTGTAATGCAAAATAAGAAGGATTGATGTTATTACTTGGCAATGCAAGTTCCCATGATTGCGCCAACTCGGATGGAGGAAGAGAAAATTTAAATTTGCTTTGATATTGAACCAAAATATTCTCACCAAATTGAGGTTGAAATGAAGTTGCAAATAACCCAAAGGTTAACACATTGCCAATTTGTAAATTTGTAAATTCGAGTCGATCAGTGTCATGTGTGAAAGTATCAACAAATTGAGAGCCATTGAAATAAGCCATTTGAATAGAATCTCTGTAAATATTGACAAGACCTTCTTGGATTCGGTATAAACACTTCAATTCAATATTCACTGGATGAGCATTGATTTGCTCACTCTGGATTGTATTTTCGTTGGCTGGATCAAAACTTTGAAGGAAAATTTGAAACACGGCCAATAATTGCTGAGAGGGATATTGTGAATTTTGAGGAGATGGATAAGCATCATACTTTTCAGTATTCAATTCAAAAGCAGTAAATTTAAAAGGAGCAAATTCATCAGATGCAGCATGTGTTTCATTGAAAATGAGTAACAAATCATCGTCTTGGAAGACATTGAAATAAAATCTGCTACGGTCTTGAACAGAAATCATTTCTCCAAATTGCTGATCATTCACTATTGTTGGAGAGGAAGAATGCATCATCAACAAGAGAAGCGTGAGTGAGAGGGCCAAGCACGCAACGCTTGTGAAAGAGCAACGGTGGGTAGTGTTGAGCATTTGTTTGTTTTTTTTGGAGCGACAATGCCTTCCTTGTCTTCATTATTCAAGTTTTAAGATGAATTATTCACCCAAGTCCGGAAATGCTCCAATCAAAATCCACGAGGCAAATCGACGAATTAGAGCTCCGTTGGAAAGGCCACCCTCGCAAATTGATGTTTTAACATTTTAATCGCAAGGGTATATTGAATCAACAAGCACGTTCCAACCATGATCTAGCCTCACCACAATAATTATTGATTGGATCTGTGTTGGACAATGGATTCAAAGGCACTGAATGGACAGAAATGTTGAAATGGTGTAAGAGCGTCATGTTTGCAATTCCTTTTGCTTTTGTCTTGTTTTCGATGGACACAACGTTTTGCAATCACAAGGAATGAAAAATTCCTGAAACGGGAATTCTTCATCACGCTCAACATAAGTCAAACCACTTTCTCGTGTTTCAAATTTTTTTAATTGAAAAAAAAATGTTCTCATACGTTGCAAGCTGGTTTGGTGGGGGAAAGAAGTCTTCATCCTCATCGGGTTATAACGACTCGATACGTGTTCATGGATCATTGATTGAATTTTATAAAAAACCATCATCGGGAAGCCAACAAAAGCCAAAAGTGGTCTTGATGCATGCGGAGCTCTCTATCGATAAGAATGATAGAAAAGGTTATGATACCATGATGGTGATCAAGAATGAAGAGTTGGAAAAAGACGTTAGATCGTTTTTGCTGGAGGAGAGTATGATGTTTTCATATGTTGTGGAAGAACACGATGATGATGAAGAGGAGCCTGTAATTGCTTTCTCTTGGACCGATGTTACGGACAAGAACAAGATTTGGGTCTTCAGATTTTCCGAAGATAAAGAGGCTCAAACATTATCAAAATGTTTATCAAGACTTGTTTATGAATGTGTGTTTGAAAACTCGTACGAAAGAGATTTTGAAGGAACTGAAGACGACGAAGAAGAGCTAAAAGCACTTACTGGAGAGACCACATTACCATTCAAAGTTGAAACTCTTGAAATGATCAAAACAAGCACTGCCCCTTTGTCTAGACCAAGCGTGGGAGGAGTCTCCAGCAGTGGCTCTTCTCCACAAAAGCCAACTGCAGCCTCCTCATCAACACCTGTACAAAATACTAAAATTTACCCATCATTTAAGAAAGGAGACACTCAGTCAAGAAAAAAAGAATATGAAGAAAAGAATAACTGCTTACTCTCTGAATTGTGTTCTGCCAAGTGTGATCTGTATTTATTGAACGAATCAACTCATATTTATGAATGCAAGCAACTAGCCGTTATTGCTACCGTTTATATGGTAGAAGATGAAGAAGGCAACTCCAACTTTGAGTATATTTTAGATATTTCTCATGGCGATGAGCAATTAATAAGTCAAAACATTTCAAGCGAAATGAACTTACAATGTTACAATGAATTCCATTCTATCACTTGGAATTTCTTGAATCCCTTCTCTTCTTGGAGTTTGATTTTCTATGACAAGGACGAAGAAGCTGAATTCAAGACATGTATGAATAGATGTATTTACGAATCCAATACTTGCAGTCAATTTGACAAGTTGGCTATTGACGATCAAGAAATGCTGGTAAAAGCTTCTACTATTGATCAAGCCATCGATGAACAATCAAAATACCTCAAAGATCTCGATTATGAAGATGAAGATTATGTGGACTTTATTAGCGACTCTGAAGGAGAAAGTGAACAATACGAAGAAGAAGAAGATAGCGATGAAGATGACCTTCCAGCACAAGTCAAGAAGGGACCCACACCAAAATATTCCAACACTTTAATGATTGATAATCCTCAACGCGAGAGGACTTTTGTTGTAAGAGGAACAGATATCGGTGTGTTTAAGAGAGACGACGACACAGACCAACCAATATTTGACACTCAAATCAAAAACGTTAGTACTCCAGAGGGAGAACTTTTCATTCCGTATAAGGCTATGCTTCACAATCAAGATCGTGATCTTTTATTCCTTCACAAAGATCAAGAAGAGCATTGCGGAAAAGTGTACAGAATGGATCTCACACGTGGTGAGGTTGTTGAAACGTGGAATAGCTATCAAGACTTGGTACCAATTGACGAAATTAGACCAACTGAAAAGTTTGGAGATCAATTACCAACTGCAGTGTTTGGTGCATTGAATCAGAATACCATGTTTGCTATGGATCCTCGTATCTTTGGATCGGATAAGGTTGTTGGAAATATTAACGCAATTACTTCCAAGTCTAATCCTCAATTCTCATGTTTTGCAACTACCAGAGATGGTCGTCTTGTTGTTGGAAGCAGTAAGGGAGAGATTCGATTATACAGTGGAATTCCAAATCTTGACAAGACCGGAAAGAAGGGTACTCATCCAAAGACTGCTAAAACATTGCTTCCTGGTTTTGGAGATCCAATTATTGGCATTGACGTTACAGCTAATGGAGAGTGGGTTGTTGCAACTTGTAAAAATTATCTCATGGTCATCAAGACAACCATGCCTGATAGCGACAGTACTGGTTTTACAGAGAGAATGGGTAAAAAGAAACCAATCCCAAGAATTATTCAGCTTCTCCCTGAAGACGTTAAAACTGTTGGTGGTAAGGTCTCATTCAAACCAGCCAAATTCAACACTGGTTGTGATGGAGAGTTGTGGATTGTCACCTCAACAGGCCCATTCCTGATTACATGGAACTTCAAGAGAATTACTCAAAACAGTTTATTCGATTACACAATGAAAAAGATTTACAACAATGAGAATGTGGTAATGAGCGAATTCAAGAACGTGAAGATCAATGAAGAAGGAAGACACGCTCCAATTATTGTAACCACTCCAAACGATGTGCTACTTGAAAAGAAAAAGAAAACAAAGGATTTGCCTTATAAGAAGCGTACAACACAATACAAAAAGAACTAACAAAGCTCTATTTATTTGGTGATTGCATGTGTAAATAAACAAACCTGTAATAAACAAATGATTTATTGATAAAGAAAAAGTACGTTCGTGTTGTAAGGCTACACAGAAATAAACTGCTCCGAGTCGAAAAGGAAAAGCTTTGGTTGTTGGAGCTCGTCGATGTCTAGGTCTTCATCATCGCTTTGGGCATCGTCTTCTTGAGAGGAAGGAACGGCGTTGAGAATGGAGTCCAATGTTTTGTTCTTTTCCTCTCGTTTCTTTGTAAGGAAGCCATCTGCAACGTTGGACGTCAAATCGAGTTGAATCTGGCTCACCGTTAAAGAATCTCTGGAAACATTTCTTCCCTTAGTTCCAATTTGATCAACCTCCAACCCTTCAATAACTTGTACATCATATCCTGACTTGTCTTCTGTTGTTTGGGCATACCATGGATCATCCACAGGTGGTTTTGAAACCGAATCATCATCAGCAACAACAGTTGTGGTTTTTGTGATTGAATCTCCTGTGAACGTCTTTTTCACAATCTTTGTAACGCCAGCAACATCACCATAGGTTTCTTTCAACGTTTCAATCTTGCACAATAGCTCACAAACCTTATCTTGAGACACTAGCTCAATCTTGTCAATGTTGGCAGCTCCTGTTACGAGAGAATTAAGCGATGCAAAAGATGTGGTATATTCTTTGAGCTTTTCGTCTTCACTAATAGCTCCTTTCATTGTTTCAAGAGAATTTCCACTGTTGTGTCTCTTTTCAAAAGTAGACATCACATGCTTTGTGAGTAAACCTTGCTTAATTCTTGATTCCATAATAGACTTGATATATTGTTCGAGCTCTCTCGAATTGTAGAGTTCACCCAAACATAATAAATAAATAACAATGAGCGTGTGAATCATTAATTTGTTTCTGATGGACATTGTTGGTTGTTGTCTTTCAGGAACGTCGTTATGTTCTTCATCTATTGAATCTGAAACCGAGGTTGATGTTGTTGATTGTACTTCAGTCGGCGTGGCAGTTGCAACTTCTTGTAGTTTGAAAAGCATTGGAAGTGCATTTTCAATTTCCTTATTTCTATGTTGCTTGAGCATGTTTCTCATGATTCTTGCAATACATGCATAGCTCTCTGGTAAATTGTCATTGAGAAATACTCCCTTATAAAGATAAAAATAAATCTTTGAGCGTTGGCTCTTTGAAATGGTCACACGAGTCTTGATGGCTGTACTGTTGGTGTCTGCTTCTTCCATTATGGCAGGAGAAGCAGTGGACTTCTTAACATTATTGCTTGTTTCAATGATGTTCGGAGAAATACTTGTTTGATCTTCAACATTGGTTTTCATAGAGGATTCCTTTGTGGAAAGTAATGAAAGGAAAACTGTCAAATATTTAAATCTAACATAAACAGAGTTGCTTGGTCGAACACTAGACTCCAATAATGCGTTAATTAAATGTGAGGGATAGAACGATTCGCTTGTGCTGCCACTGGAGCTATTATTTTGTCCTGTAGTTCCATTTACGGAGCTACCAACAGTTGATCCATTTGTTACAGATGTGTTAGGATTAGAACCACCAGAGCTACCATTGTTGGATGATGAGCTTTGAGGTGGCTGATTAGATAATACGTAAGCTCCAACTTTTGCCACACAATTAAGGCATTCTACAAGTAATAAATGTTGAACGGCCTGTTGCGACAGTTGCTCAAATTCAATTTGTCCTTGAGTATTACGAGTTTGTTCCGATGAAGCGAGTTTTGTTTCCTGCTGTTTGATGAGTTGCTGAATAGATTCCATTAAGGATATGTTTTGTTGAGTGAACTTTCCACGTTGAGCAATGACAGAAAGGCACTCCAATACAGATGATATCAGTACATCGTTTTTAAGAACATCTTCATATTGGAGAGGTGTGAGCTGATTGTTGGAAGTGAATGGGAAATTTCCTTTGAGAGTATTAACCAGTTGAGCCACTGCTTCAAAGGCACGAGCACCACTAGTTGCTCCCTTCTTAGATTGGATTGAAATAATAAATATGTTGGCACGAATCATTCCTGCCTTTTGATTTCTATCAAGAATTTCATCAAAATGTTGCATGTTGGTAGAAACAATGGCATAGCCTTTGCTGGACCATTCAATAGAGGATGCCACAATAATTCTCATGATTGATCTAACAAATTCTTGCTTGGAATACCATCTGTTTTGGTCATCGAGGAAGTCCCAAATTGGTTTCATCACATGTCTTATTGTTCCATCATTGGCTTGTCTAGCGATGGCGCTTAAACATTCCACAGAAATTTTAGCAGCACTTTCGGAGCTGAGTTTTGTGAAATCGACGTTTGGAATTCTGAAAATCAATGTATCATCATAAGCAGTATTCAACTTCTCCAAATATTGATAAATAGTTGCCAATAGTCCTGGAATGATAGGAGTGACACTTAATGATTCTAATTTAGGAATCATTTTCGTGATGGCATTAATGCTGTTCACTTTGAGCCTATTAAAACATAAAATTCATCATCCATATTATTACTTCTTTCCAATAATACTTACTCTAAATCCTCTCCTTTCGACAATTCCACCAATTTAGACTCATATTTGTTGAATGTTCTAATCGCTGGACCGGAAGCATTATCGACCGAGCTTGTCAGCAAGCTAATAGCTCGCTTCTTTAGCTCGGTGTTTCTTCCATCTATCAGCAAAGCAATGACATTATCTACGTTCACAACAAAGTAACTCAAATCTGATCGGGTATGAATGAGTTCATCGAAGATATCACATCCAACACCAACATTGCTGATGTGTTAGTTGTGAAGTAATGGCACAATGAATAATTTGTGAGATGACAATGATGAAAGTTGTAATGTCATCACCATTGGTAGCAAAGACATGAATCACTATAGAATAACAATTGTTATAATAACAAAACGTACAACTGGTTTCCTTTGGTATAATCGCTCTTAATTCTTGCTTCCAGTGTACCACCAATGCTAGGTAGCTGATCTGGATATGTTACTGCTCGGAGAGTTAAATTCGTTAAAAGGGTCTTGTTAGTCTCTCCTCTCTGAATGGCATCCAAGTAAATATCATTAATTCTCTTTCTGTAACTCGGCTCCTTGCTTCCACAACAAATTCCCATTGTTTTTGAAGGAAAATAAATTATTGTTTTTGTATAATAATTTAATATCACGGATCAGTTTGTGTCCGAGTGATGGATTCGGCCACAAGAGGATGATGCTGTTGTTGTGCAAGAAGCTGAATTTTTTTAATTCATCACCCAAAAATTATTTGTGATCAATCTCACTGTTGTTCTTTGAAAAATACACTGGAGATGATCATGAAGAAGAATTCCTTGTACAAGAATTTCGTCTGATGCAACCCACAACTTTCCTTCACTTGTTTATTCCTGTAATCAAAAAAAATTAAGGAGCATGTCCTTTAAACCACCAACAACCTTCTTGCCAATTGTCGTCAAAGAAAACAACGTGGAAGTCAAGTTTTATTCTTTCACTAAACAAGAGGAGTTAAAGCAAGGATCATTCGAAGAATGGAGATGGGAATATTACAAACAACTCTATCAGTTTGATTTTGGTGGATTCAACAACAACGAGAAACCCGACACTTCTTTTTCATGGGATCAATCAACGTTTGGTGAGGAGCAGTCACAAGAGAATTCTACTATTGTAATTTCCCCTCCAAGCACGTTCAGTAAGAGCTTTTTCAACAAGAAAGAATTTTCAGATGTGACCTGCAAGTTCATCCACGGGAATGATCAAGTGGTCGATGTGTTACATCTCAACAAGCTTATCATTTGCTCCCACAGTGACTATTTCAAAGCCATGTTTTCAGAGCACATCTCGATGATTGAGGCTCATTCGAATGAGTTCATTGTAGATGCGCAAGAGGATGATGTTCGAATGTTTAAGCTCATGATGCAATCCGTTTATGAAATGGAAGCTTTGAACAATTTATCTCTTGACGTTCTTATGGACATTTATTTATTGTATGACAAGTACGGATTTATTGGCCATAAAACCTATCTCATTGACACAATCATTGGAAAGATTGGACACTTTTCAAACGCAGTGGCAATGGTCTCCATTATTTTCAGCAAATTTTCAGACATTTCCTCAGCGATTGAAATGTTATCTTGGAGAGTTGTGCAGAAACTGATATGTATGTCTCGAGCATTTTGGTTGCTCGGTGACCATAACTCTGAATGTCTCGAGATGTTTGTCGACCAATGCAGTCTCTTTGACTTTAGTGCCTGTCTCGTTCATGAGTGGATTTACTACTCGGTGAAATTTAAAGGTCTTCCAATACAGAATTTGAAAGCAATTTTAGAGAAAATCAATTCAAAATTTACTTCATTCAAGACTGATATGAAAGTAACCCATGTTCGATGTGCTTGTTCAGACCCTGTTTATCAGTATATTTTAGAAATCATTTATCAAATCATGTATTGAAAATCGAAACTGAGTCCTATTATTGTTCCTCATGAATAGGAATGACCTTTGACTCTTTTGGAGGTTTCTCTGGTTGTTCTCTCTTTGGAATTGTCACCGTTAATTTTCCATGCTTAATATTTGCTTTAATTTTCTCCCAATCAATTTCAGAAGGATTTTTTAGAGTTACCTTTCTTTCAAATTCAGGCATTAACGCTCGTTCTTGAATTAAATAAGTTCCGAACACTTCCTCCTCCTCACGTTTTTGTTTTTCTTCCAAGTCCACCAAATCTCCCTTAATGACAATCTCGCCTTTTTCCTCATCGGTGACAATAATTGAAATGTTGTTTTTGTGAAATCCTGGAATATCAGCATGAATTGTAAAGTTTTGTTTTTCTTCAATCAAATCAATTGGTGGCTCAAACACAAACAAAGTTTTTGGTAAATGTTGTGCGAATTTCATTGCATCTTCTCGCAACAATTCCCGAACAGCAGGATGAGCATATTTCAAATCTCCTCCCGACATTAAATTTTCAAAATGTGGTGATCGCATCAATTGCGAATAATAGGGAGGAAGATTGAGAGAGTTTCCGCTTAACAGTGATTTAAGAAATCGTTGAAGGCGTGTCATGTTGGTAATCAATTGTGGCTGCAGTTATTTTTTTTTTGGATTGACTATTTTGATGGTCTTGGAATCGGTCCTTTTTTAGTGTTTATTTGTTTTAGTGTGCAATAGTTAAAGAACGTTACTTGTTGGAATAGGGAGTTTATCCACAGCGTGAAATGAAATGGCGTTGGTTATGAACAGTTGTTGTGCTCTTGAGACAAACGAAACAGTAAAGCCAAACGTTCAGACAAATTCCCTCTATTTTTGTGCGCTCTCGAATTTTCCACTTTCCGATAGCATTTCTCACTCTTGAGAATTCAGGAAGAGATGAGAAATTGAACAACTACTAGCAGGGCAATTTCATCATCCACACACAGGAAAGAAATCAAACCACACACAGCGCACTCTCTTTTCCGAACCTCATTCATAATATTACGTCATCAAGATGAATCAACAAGAAGATTCCATGCGTGTTGGAATCTCCTCAATCTCCTCAACCACCACCACCACTGTTCACACCACGGAAAACAACCACACTCCACAATTGTACCATAACCATCCTCACTTCCTTCCGTTCCTTCCCGATCTTGTTCCTTTTTGTACCACGATTGAAATTCATCATCATCATCACGACGAAGCACATCATGATCCTCTCCACAAGTTCTCTTCTCAATTTTCATCATTGCCCTCTTCCTCTTCAATTTTCATTCCAACAATAAAACACTTCAACAAGGCTACATGTATTTTACTCGTCATTTTGGCATTGGTCATTGGTTCAGTCTATTTGGTGCCATTAGCCATTCATCATTCATTCGCAACAAGTCAACAAGTACCATCAACAACTACTAACACTCACCCAGGACCATATTTGTGGATCGATACCGATGTGGGTATGGATGATTTATTTGCTATTCAATTACTAGTCTTGGAAAACAAGAGCAAGATTAAGAATGCGTTTCAACTCTCGTTAGTGTCGTCCGTGTATGGAATGACTTCAAATTCGACATTGGGCGCTGAAATTGTTCGTGCTCTGCTCTCTCATGATGAATCAATGATGGAAAATTCCATGATCCCAGCAACCACAAGAAAGGTCATGGTTGGCTCTGATTTTGGTCTTCCTTCCAATATTCAACGATTTCGTTTTGAAGATTCTGATTTTTATGACTCGGTGGAGAGAAAACAATTGGAATTCTTAAATGCCATGAAATGGAAGATGAGTTCAGATCCTCAACAACGCTCTTTAAATGGAAATGCATATGTGAGTGGTTTTGAACCTCGATTTTTCAATGTTGAAAAAGACGCTGCTGTCAAGCTCCAATCATTGCCTGACAATTCTCTGACCATTCTTGCGTTGGGTCCATTAACAAACCTTGCAAGATGGATCACCCAAAGTAAGGACAACCATCAACTTGAATTATTATTACAACGCAAGGTAAAGCAAGTTGTGGTCATGGGAGGAAATGCCATTTTCAACAGCAATGACATGGACATGGAATGGAATTTTCATTGTGATGCTTTGAGTGTCCAACAAGTCATGCAATTCTTTGGAGACAAATTCTTCATGATTGGACTCGATGTGGCCAATGATCGAGCAGTCACTCCACAACAAGTGGAATTTTTGAAAACTATTTTACGAGAGAAAATACAAGTCAAGAAATCGGACAACAAATTATCTGAACTGTTTTACAAATTATTGGATATTAATCCTGCTGCATGTACCTATGATCCAATTACCGCTTCTTATTTGATCATGCCAGAAATGTTTGAGTTTGAAAAGATTCATGCGAAAGTTGTGCTGTCAAGTAGCAATAGTGATGGTGGCAATAATTATGCTGGCAGAGTTGTAAAGGATGGTAGTGAAGGTATTCGTGTGAATGTGGCCAAGAATTTTCACTCGCGTCTGTATTATGATTATTTGGTTCGTGTTTTTTCAGAGCTATGAATGAGGTCAATCTCTGTCGACGATTTTAGATGTGCACTATTGAATTGAAATATCTCACAAACAAACACATTGCACAAAAGGTGAATTGAAAAAGAATGAAATTCATCAAAGTATTTCCATGAATATTGCATATACTTATTTGATGGACCTCAAAGTATGTTGATGGCAAGCCAACCAAAGAAAAAGTTATTTCAGAGTTGATGAATGAATCATCGTTGAATAAATGCAATGTATTTTCTGAATCAGACGTAAATTCACATGCAGTGGTACATTAAAGAAATTTATCATATACATGAAAGTGGTTTCTTTTACTTTCTTTATGAAAATGGTGTTTGCTCTTACAAATATGGCCCTCTATAAGTGGTCTGATTTTTTTGAGCTAGTGAATCCAATGAGGGAAGTTGCAATCCTGGTTGAGAAGGTAGGTTTGAATTGGGCATGGGAAGAGAAGTAGTTGGTTGCGGCAATGGATACATTGAATTGTGATTTTGTAGTGTGGGTCCTCCGAGTAATTGAGGCGATCCCATTAAATCATGATATGGTTGTACAGATATTGGAACATTATTGCTGAAATAAATACTTTGGTTATTTTGATAATGGTTCGTGTAAGAATTGAAAGAGTTAACGGGAGGGAGTGAAGTGTTGGGTTGAAGAGTAGAAATGTTTGGAAGGTTGTAAGATGGTTGTGACGGTGTGCCACCTGATGTTAATGTTCCAAAGTTGGGTAAATTCGATACGTTAGATGACGAAGTATTTGTGTTGTTTGCAGCGCCTTTAGGAGGCTGTTTTGATTCAGCATTCTGCTGTTCCTGCTGTTGCATTAAAATAAAGCTTGGAACCGAGTCCAAATTTCCATACATTTTCTTGGCAATTTCACGCTCCGATTTTGTCACAGTGGATGAATCCAATACTTGCAAATTCGGTAGTCTACTCACAACAAACAATCTATACTGCTCATATTGTTCCGCCGATCCTCCTGTGAAAAAGTTTGGACATGCCTCGTTTTTCAACATGGAAAATATTTTCAAGTTGGGAAAGTGAATTGCTACCTTTTCTAAAAACTGTTTGAGGTCCTTAATTTTGTTTGAATTGACCCATCTTGGATCGAAAATGTTACCAATGAGAAATTTAAGATTGTGATAGTATATCGATGACGATTTCGTGATATCCATGGATGTAATCGAATTGATTTTGAATTGTTGTTCCGGGTTCATGTTTACACGCCATAATAAACAGTTCCAAAAATTAAAATTCAAAATTTGTCATCATCATCCATGACATGAAACTTACAATAATGTAATTTTGGGCATTGGTTTTCCTCCATTAAAAGTAGATCCAGAATGTATTCTATTATGATCCAGAACCAAGCTCGTTAAATTTTCCAAGCAGTTAACATTCTCCGATACATCCGTAAGATTGTTATGAGAAAGATCCAATTCTATCACTTTGGGAGCAAGTGCTTGAAAGACCATTTGAGAGGGAACATCTCTCAGCTGCTTGAAAGCAAGGCTACACTTTCCGTTGGCATCAACTTTTACTGATGATGGAGCAAGCATATGAAAAGATTTTTTTAATTTAAATTTAAGTCTTCGTGGTAAGCCCAACAATCCATTATTACGGTGATTCAATAGAGGAATAACAATAACACAAGAACGAGTGAAACAGAAACATAATCTTATACTTATCGCTTCTCATAAGATGCAGCTGATAGAACCAAAGTGCAAATTCAGTATTCAAAAAAATTCATATCTCTTGGCACGCTCCATTCGATTTCAACTGCAACATTTCAGTTGCGTAATAGAAGTCTTTCGGGCATTCACATTTTGATAGTGGTGCTACTTTGGAAAATTGTTTGAATAATTATCAAATATTTATTTTGGATTTTGTAATTATAGCCGATCTTCTTTTCATCATACAAGTTTTTCGGAGGAAACATCATCATTCTTTTCATCAAACTTCTCAAGCCAATTCCAACAACAACAATGGTTTCTCCACACAACAACAAGCCTTCTTCTGCTATTATCTCTTCATTTCCAGAAACAATAATTTATTCTTCTCCATCATCAAAACCCCCCTTCCATCATACGTTACCGATGCAGGTTTTGACACAGCCTAACATAAACCATTCCTCACGTGATCTCAACTCGTCCTCTAAAACACATCATCCATGTTCCTACTACGTTCCTTCTTTCCCATCGCTGCCCAAAGAATTTTTACAATGGATGAACTCCCTCAACAGGCCAGATTTTGGAAAACACCGAATAACGCCTCAACGCTCAAGCCAAACAACCATCTATCTTTCCAAAATTGTTTTATGCTTCTGGTTGACGCTGTTTGTATTGTTGATATATTCTATTTTCAATAATTTTCATTTATCGTCTTCAACCCAACAAGAGTGTCATCATGGCTTTGTATTGGGACAGACTTCGCAATGCTCAGTGCGAAAATTTTACAAACGATTTTTCAATTCTTCACAAGCAAAACATTTACCCACGAATCTAACCTGCAAAGTGTACAAAAGAAACGTAACGCAACCGAATGAAAATCAATCAGAAGGCCATCCAAAATACATTGTAATGTTTCATGAATACATGAATGCCACAAGGCATGAAGAATACATAAGAATCTTACTGGATGGTGTTCGCTCTGGGTACAAAGTTATTCACAGAGATAATGCAGCTACAAGGTTTTTTGACACAGATTTTGCTCTTGTCGAGTTTGAAAACATTACACTGAAAGAAAAGCTCGAAAACAAAACCAAGTTTGTAAAGTACATTGTGAAACAACACGAATATCATAACATGATCAACAATGAACGGAAATTACTGTCGACACATCATGATGAAATAGAAAGTATTCACGAGGATGAAGAAGAATCGAGTTCTCTTCTAAATACTATTGGAAAACTCTTTACTCACTGGACTACGGAGGATGCGTATGCAGAACATCACCACAAAAGAAAGCTTTGCAACCATCCTAATCGCCACTATACTGATGTGACAGACAAATTGAATGCCCACGTATTATGGGAAAAAGGAATTTTAGGCCAAAATGTACGTGTGGCCGTGTTTGATACTGGATTAAGCACTAAGCGATCTGAGTCTTTCTCTCATATTGAAGATATGATTAATTATACAACAGAGGATTCTGTGAATGATGAACTTGGTCACGGAACATTTATTAGTGGAGTTATTGGTGCCAAACACTCACAAAGCTCCAAAGCCATTCCACAGAACGTTAACACTACGAATATTCCAGATACAACCACTACTGGAGCGAAAAACCCCTCACAGTCAGGATGTCAGGGCTTAGCACCTGAAGCATCATTATTCGTTTTTAAAGTATTCACCAGCAAACAAGTGTCATATACATCATGGTTCCTTGATGCCTTCAATTATGCAATGAAATCTGGAATTCAGATTTTAAATCTGAGTATTGGCGGACCAGATTACTTGGATATTCCTTTTATTGACAAAGTGAGAGAACTTACAGCCAATGGTATCATCATAATCTCTGCAATCGGTAATGATGGCCCATTATACGGCACTTTAAACAATCCTGCTGATCTGGCAAACGTGATTGGTGTTGGAGGAATCGACGATAATGACAACATTGCAAAATTTAGCAGTAGGGGTGTGACTACATACGAATTGCGATTTAAAAACGGCTATGGAAGAGTTAAACCCGATATAGTCACCATGTCTTTCAAGCTTAGAGGTCTTGGTCTAAATCATGTTGGCACATTTGGGTCATGCCATTCAATACTATCAGGAACCAGTGTAGCTAGTCCCGTTGTTGCTGGAGCTGTAACATTGCTAGCCAGCAGCGCCTTAGCCGACAACAAACTAGAACTGCCATCTAACACTGACAGCAATGACTTAACTATTCGGGCCAACCTTGACAAATTTTCCCTTCCTAAAAATTCCTTATTACCTTTGATTAATCCAGCAAGCATCAAACAGATCCTTATAGAATCGGCTCAACCTGTTCATCATGCCAACATTTTTGAACAAGGAGCTGGAAAATTAAATTTGGAAAAAGCATACGAGCTCTTACAAGATTACTTACAGAAAGGTAAACCAAAGGCAACATTTTATCCAAATGAACTCGATCTTACGGCGTGCCCATATATGTGGCCATTCTGCTCTCAGCCTCTCTACCATACAGCAATGCCTTTGGTTTTTAACGTTACAATTTTGAATGCAATGAGTGCTTCAGGAAGAGTTATGGGTGACCCTGTATTCGTTCCAGGTAGATATGGTGAATTTCTTGACGTAACCTTTACATATCCCAAAGTTATGTGGCCTTATTCTGGTTGGCTTGGCGTCCATATCAGTGTTAGAAGTTCTGCTAGATTTTTCAATGGCTATTGTGAAGGTACTATCAAAATGAAAATCATGTCTCCACCTCTCGGTATTGGAAAAGACGGAGATGAAATGCAGATTAGCGAAATGGAGTTGAAAGTTAAGGTTAAAGTTATTCAACCTCCTTTACGTCAACAAAGAATACTTTGGGACCAATATCATAATTTACAATATCCACCAGGTTATGTTCCAAGGGATAATCTTGCAAACAAGGATGAAATTTTAGATTGGAACGGAGATCACATTCATACAAACTTTAGAGACATGTACATTTATTTGAGAAATAAGGGATATTATGTGGAAATTTTAACAAATGATCTCACAGAGTTTGATGCAAGCAAGTATGGTACATTGATGATCGTTGATCCAGAAGAAGAGTTTACTGAAACTGAGAGAGAAAAGCTCAAGGATGATGTTCAACTACACGGCTTGTCTGTTGTGGTTTTTGCTGATTGGTACAGCGTACCTATTATGAAACACATCAAGTTCTTTGATGACAATACTAATACTGTTTGGACTCCAATTACTGGTGGATCAAATTTACCAGCACTTAACGCATTATTAGATCCTTTCAATATTGTTTTTGGTACAAGAGTGTATGAAGGTGAAATTACAGTTGGCAAAGAAAAAGCCACCTACGCCTCTGGTGCAAGTATAATTAAATTCCCAGAGGAGGGCATGTTAGCATCATTCCAACTCAAGGACCAAGGAATTGAAATTCTCAGTGGAAATAAGCAAAATGGAAGGAAACATTTATTGAGTGATTTAAGTGGAGGCAACTCTATACATAAGGTACCAGTGCTCGGATTTACGCAGTCTGGTAAAGGCAGGCTTGCAGTGTTTGGTGATTCCAATTGTCTAGACTCTGCAGGAAATCCTCACTATAATTGTTTCTGGCTTCTCGATCAAATGCTGCAATTTACTTCACAAAATAAGATGAGCGAAGAATTTAAAAAGGATGCAAATTTGAAGACCTTGTCTCATCTCTTTGTATCACAAAGCAGTGCACTTCCTGAGAGAATGACAGGAAATGAATTGCACTTGTATTCGAAGGTGCCACTTGAACAATACATTGATGCTAGACCAATCAATGGCAGCAATACCTATATTGGTAGAAGAGTTAGAAATTCCAATTATGACGAAGAGAGTCAAATGATTATTGATGAAGATCAAGACACCAGTCCATTTATTGCAAATCTTCATCTTAGAGTTATTCTTCCAATATTCTTCATGATTGTTTGCTTGGTATTCTTAATCTATTTATCAGTTTCGAGAAGAAAGACCATGAATTCTGTTGTTTTCAATGATAAAAGACATACCGTGTAATTTTCGAAGAAATGTGTGTATCCAATTGTAAATTGCCCATAGAAGTAGTAACACAGAATTTTTATGAACAGAAGATAACCATAGTTGTTGATTACCTAAAAGCAGAATGCCCTTTTATGTAACACAACAATGCACACGCCCTGAGAGATCCATTCATTTACTTGAGGCCCTAAGGTTTCTCAACTAAAAAACCATTTAACATCATTCAAATGCCAGATTATTCAACACAAGCCACTCAGGAAATCCATTTTCCTGCAACTGAGTACAAGAAGCATCCATCAGAGACCATGCACGCACTACAATGGATGGGAAAGAGCAAGGTGAAAGTAAATGAAGTTCCTCGTCCAGTGATCACTGAACCAACAGACGTCATTGTGAGAGTGACCACTTCTACCATTTGTGGTAGCGATCTTCACTTGTACTTTGGAGAGTTTGAAGGAATGGAAAAGGGTGACATTCTTGGGCATGAAACCGTAGGAATTGTTGAAGAGGTTGGATCAGGGTATGTATTTCTTAACGAATTGCAATGTTACGCTTAATGAAATCCAGAGTGAAAAATGTAAAGAAGGGAGACAAGGTTGTTGTTTCAGCTGTCATTAGCTGCGGCCAATGTGAATATTGTCAAAAACAACAATTCAGTTGTTGCGATAGAACTAACCCAAGCAGGGCCATGGAGATGATGTATGGCCATCGAACTGCAGGTACGTAGTTGGTGTCGAACAAACCAACGGTATAACCAACGTTTTATTGACCTTCTCAGCATTGTTCGGATACTCACATTTAACAGGTGCTTATTCGGGCGGGCAAGCTGAGTTTTTAAGGGTCCCCTATGCTGATCAAAACGTGCTTGTTGTCTCCAATCCCAATATTAAGGATGAAACTCTCATCTTGCTCGCTGACATTGCTTGTACAGGCTTCCATGCCACTGAACTTGGTAAGGTCACCTTTAATGATAAGGTTTGTATATGGGGTGCTGGACCAGTGGGCCTGATGGCTTGCATGTGGAGTTTCTATCGTGGTGCATCTCATGTTGTTCTCATCGATGGTGAAGAGTATAGACTGCAGAAGGCAAGACAGGTCTTTGGAGGCTTGAATGAACTTGGAGGAATTAGAAACAAGAGTCAGTCAGTGAAGGAATCTTTGAAGAATGCCTTTGGATTTGGAACCACTAGTGGTATTTCTTCATCCTCTGAGGAACATATTCCCAAGTTCTTTAGAAAGACATTTGGTGGGCCATCTTTCACAGAGGAAGAATATACAAGCTCTACAAGTAATGTGAAATTCAACACCATTAACTTCCATAACTGGTCGAACGTCGATGGAGGTGTTGTCAAGGCCATTCAAGAACTAATTCCAGGAGGTCCTGATGTCTGCATTGATTGTGTTGGTTTCAGATTTGAGAGAGGCCTTCTTCATACAATTGAAAGAAAGATTGGCCTTGAAACAGATTCACCACAAATTCTAAATGAAATGATCATTGCTTGCAAGAAGGCTGGTCGTCTCTCCGTGGTTGGAGATTATATGGGCTATTGTAACCATTTCGCTGTTGGTGCCTTGATGGAAAAGTCGTTGAAATGGAAAGGAGGACAGGTCTTTGTTCAAAAGTATTGGAAACACTTGTTGAAGATATTCGAGAGTGGGGAATTGAACATTGACCCCACATTTGTGATTACTCATCAAGTACCACTTTCCCAAGCAGCCCAGGCATATGACATGTTTGCCAATTACAAGGACGACTGTATTAAGGTTCTACTGAAACCAGAACTTAAGAATATTGATGTAAATATTTGAAAGGCTTATTACAATGTTTGTGAATAATAACATTTCTTTAATTTAAAAGAAACCGCCTTTTTTTTGCCAAAACAAAAAAATGCACCATTTCACAAGCAGTAATCCGTTCCAACCGCCGCTGCATCATCATCACAACGAAATGATCATGCTTGCATCGAATCAGCATCACCAGCCATCTGTCCAATACACATCAGCTCCTCCTTCAACCATCATACAGCAACCACCACAACCTATTTATTCTGTAATTCCGAACACAGCATCACATAATTTCTCAACGGATCATCACCAACAACAGCATTTAGGTATGATCCCTCAACAGCAAGGAATGATCATGAGAGACGTTTTACCGCAGCCACCTGTACAAAACCCTCCATTATATTCACTACCATCCAGCAATATTAATTTAAATTATTCAACTAGCAATCAACCAAGCACTTCTCATAACGCTCCATTCGCATCCGGACAATCCACAGCAGCGATCAACAAACGAATACGAAGACAAGACACGGATAACATTCCTAAAAACCATGTCTTTCGAAAGTTAAAACCGATCGTACGAGCTGCCACACCATCACCCATCGTTGCAACTCATCAAACAACACACGAAATCATCTCAAACAATGCTGTAATGTACAATCAACAACCAACATATTCGGAGCAGTTTATAAACGGAAATATAATGGCAGTTCAGACTGAATCCATTCCAATGAACCATCCTCTACCATCCAATGTACAAAATACACCTCAATCTATTGAAGGAGCATTTGTAAATCATCACTCTCTTCAGCCTGTACCAAGCCATATCATGCATCATCAAGAGCAAGATCCATATCACCATCAACAATTTCATTCTCTACAGCCTGTTCATCATCAACCTGTTGTCAACGCAAATTCAAGCCCTCACAACATTCTACAACAGCCTCCCATGGAGCTCAACCAAAATCCTTCATCAAATCAAGCTTTGGATATCCGTCAACAATTTCATGCAGTATTTGAAAATCAACCATTGCCTAAAGCTTTGCTAAGAAAATTACCAAGTCATGTCATTGATGAAATGGTCAAAAAAGATCCCAAAATAGCTCAACAACTACGAGAACTACAAGAGGAGTCTATTTTACCACAAATTCACACGCCCTTCCGAAAAACTCAAGAATTGGACTTGAAAGATCCTAATGCTGGAAACAATATTAGCTCTCCAGTCACAATTGACGATGAAGACACCTTTATGAGCAATCAAGGTGTTATCGAGGAGTCTGTCAATCCTTCCATTTTAAAATTGGACGAGGCATCTTTTGAGCTGATAAAGTCAAAACGAAGTGATGCTCATAGTACGACAAATACTAATGGAGATGTTGTCTATATTGTAGAGGATGATGATGAAGATGAGGAGCATGAAGAAATTGAACATAAAACCGAGGAGAAACATGAGCATCCTGAACAACTTAAACAACCAGAAGAGGAAGAATCAGAATCTTCTGATCATTTAATTTCCGATCATGGAGTCCCTCAAAAAATTACTTCAGAGATTGTACAACCCCATTCCCCGGTGCAAATTCAAAGTACTCTCGAAAGCGAGCAACATTTATCGAAGATTGATCTATATTCTTGGAGTTTTGTTTTTAAGCATGTTCCTAACGACAAACTTTATGTTCATTTGATGGGTAAAACGAGCTCAGAATCAGATATAATTTACAAATCATCATTTATAGTACATCGTATCAATTCAAAGACTGTGCTTTCATCAACAGGAACCAAATACGTTCTAGCTTCCGAGATGAATCATGAACGAAACTCTGAAAACTTAAATGTAGTAGGAAAAGAATTTTTAGAAAAATTTTGCAACAGCAGTGATGGTCCATTTCCTAAGGAATGGGATGACCTGTTAAAAAAAGAGTTTTTAAGGTTGGAAACACCGCTAACGAGCTCCACATCCAAAAATCACACTTCTATGATACAAGGTGACTATAGCCTGGAAAAGGTATCAGCCAGTAATCAAAGACATTTCTCACCTCAGACTGATGAATTTATGGATGTAGGAGAAGGTTTTGCCAATACTGATCCTTTTCAACCATCTCAACACGAGGATGATGAGGAAACTCACCATGCCGACGAACCATCAGCGACACCTAAGCGACAAGCCACTACACCCGCTACCAAGAAGCATAAATATATCTCATATGACGATGAACAAAGTGAAGAAGAGGATATTCCAAGTGACACACCAAAAAAGAAAACACGAACAAGGAAAAACAATACACCCAAGAAACCTCCAACAAAGAAGAAAAAAAAGAAATTGGACAGAAGTACTGACGAGGACACTGATGAGGAAGACTATGTGCCTGAAGAGGAAGAGGATGAAAAGCCAAAGCGAAAGAAGAAAAAGAATGAGACTCCACTCTCCACAAAAAAATCAACTTCCAAAAGGCTTTCTCAAACCTCAATCACTGCCTATAGCAAGTCAAAGAAATCTAAATACGACACCGATGAAGAAGAAATTCCCTCACTGGATGTTGAAACAGAAGGAAAATTAATGAGCTGGAGAAAACAACCAACATCACACACTCCTCCCACTAAGAAGACTCTAAATCCTCACCAAGATATACCTATTGTGCACAAATATTATTATACACCTCCTGCGGGGTTGTCAAAAGAATCCGAAGAAGAAAGTCCACAACCCGAGAACACCTCAGATCAATATGTCGAACCAACTCCTCCAAAACCTAGGAAGATGGCCACTAACAAACGAAAATCTTCCAAATTTTCAACTAAATCTAATGCTTCCCTCTCAAACGACCAAGAAGGTAGAGGTGCCAAAACTGAAGAGCGTAACATTTTCAGCTCAAAAGAATTAGTTGTCGTAATACCAAGAAAACCCAAAAATCTCCAACGAAGAAAGAAAAGATCTGAATTGGACCTTTTGGCAAAAATGGCTGGTCGTTCTCACATTAACTATCTAACAGAAACCAACAAGGAGTAAGATTATTTTGATTCAATAAATCATAATGTTGAGAGAATTCTGGAAAACAATCAAAATAATGCTAAAGATTGCAAAAAAAAAATGTCCAACAACAAGCAACAAACACAGTCATCGGAAGGGTCTTCCTTCAATGAAGAAGATAATTACCTTGCGAGAATACTCTTCAAAACTCTCTTTGCCTCTCTTTTTGATTCCTTCGATTGTAATAAACAAATTTTAGCAGCTGAAAAGGCGGCTGCTCAAGATCCTTCCAACAAGCTCAAACACAACATTCTCACTTCATTATATAATACTTGCATGGGAAATTTAGTAAATAGAGAATTCTATGGCCCTCTGAAAACTTCAAAATCAATTCCGAAATTTTACAAAGACTCCCCACAAACCAATCAAAGTTTTGATTTGGATATGCAACAACTCGACTTGATAACAGATGAAATATTAAAAACCAATAATGAATCGGAAACAAAACAGAAAATGAATGAATTATTCGGTGGAGCTGACCCCAATAAGTTAGAAGAGAGTTTGAAAGAAAAACCTTCACGTGCTGTGGGATTCTTTCTGGCAAGAAATCATCAAGCAATTTCAGTGATGGGACAACGAATTCAACAATTATTACAAATTGATCCTAAAACTTCACTTGAAAAATGGTATCAACTTTCTCAGTTCAGTCGGCAACAATATGGTTCAAAGCTTAGCTTTGATAACAGCAAAGATTCAAAGCCCATTGTGCTAGAAAAGGATTTGGCTCAAAAGTTGAACAACCTTATTAGAAAGGAATGTTTACCAGAATATCAATTAGACAAATGGAATGAAGGGGATGGTGCTGTGAATGAGATGTGCTTCAGTACTTGCGCTGCATCTGTCATGTGCTCCGAACAAATTCAAAAATGTTTTGACAAATCTGATGGTGTAGAGTTTTATAATTGCTTGGTCACAGATCCTGATTTATTGGACTGCACCACAAAGGTAATCATGCCCAATCTGGAGATTCCAAAAAAGTAGGACATTGAATAATCAATAGAACGATAAATTCCATTGTCATTTCTGCAAATTATATGGCATTTGGCGATAACAATTTTTATTGGAACACACATGACCAAAACAATCGTTGACAAATTATTTCAATGAAATAATGTCAGACTGAGAAAGCTTTTTGTAGCCAGTTGGCATTTGATACTGATCTTGGGGAACTGGACCTCCTCGCTTTTCAAAAACAAAGGCTCTGTATAAATAGATAGCTGTCCAAAGATCTTCCGTCATGCCCTCCAACTTTAGTTCTGGCTTAACATTGACCTTAGTTTCCTGATTGCTTCCATACTTTTCATAAAAATCATGGAAGTTCAAATGCTCTACAATATGTAAATTAAATTCTCTAGCCAAGTCAATGAATTGTTTTGGAGGGACAAGATATTCAGGACATAGGTCTACAGCATCTATCAATTGAAAATCGTAGCGATTACCAAAAACGTTAGGAAAAGATTTGTCAGGGGCGCAATGGAATGTAGCTTCAAAAACATCATTCTTGAGCGTATATCCTTGGACGTTTCTGAGCATTTTAACAAGCACATAGGCATCGGAGGTGGTTAGAATAAATTTACCACCATTTTTCAAGCGATCAGTAACATTTCTAAGAAGCATTCTTGCATGTTCTTCGGCATCAAACATGTAGTGGGCAGCAAACTGACAGCTGACAGCGTCAAAAAGCAACCCTCTTGGTAGAGCAGGATCAATATGCGTCTTTAAGGTTTGGCCACAGAAATAGAGAAAACATTGTTTATCATTCATCATATAAAAATAATATGGTAAATAAAACTTACCTTGCCAACATCAGCATGTATAAGTGTGATTGGGAATTTAAACTGAGCAGAATTTTCATTATATCTAGTACTACAATCCACAAGTGAAGCATGAGCAATATCTGCGCCGACATAATATTTGATATTACGAAAATGGTACTTGAAGAGATCACCTCCTTTTCCACAACTGATATCTAATACCACTGACTGCATAGGCACATATTTATAAATCAATACTCCCTTTACCCAGTTATTAAAATTTCTCAACGGAATAATCGGGGAAGCATTCCTAGTATCTCTATCTTGATTGGTTCTGCTATTATACATTTCTTCTACTCTAGTTTTAGATAAAGTTGATGTTGTTGGTCTGTATGATGATGCGCTGCCAGATCCTTCCACTCTTTTCTCTTGATTTTGACTCAATCTCTTTGGATATTTATGTTGCTTTTTTTGAGCACCTGTAGCGGTGGTGTTGGATCCACCTCCGTTTCCACTACTACCCGATGATGATCCGGTTGCTGCTGATTGAGAAGGGTTAATGGTACCAGCTGATCTAAAGTTGATGGGATTTTGCATTTTTTTTGATGTTGGCAAATTTAATTAAATTTTCAAAATGAATTCTTGCCACGACCCAAAGAAATTTAATCAAACGGTTGTGGCGTCAAAGAGCTTGGCAATTTTCTCCGATTCTGTCAGAAAATCCTTGATTGGTTTCGTTCGAAATAGTTCAGGGAATTTGGTATGTAAAATTTTGAGCACACGAAGGTCGCTCTTTGTTCGCCTTAACAATATTGAGTCCGGTTGCAACTCTGACTTGATTTCGAACTGTTTCAGCATGTCAATATGAACCTTGCACGATACAAATACTGCCATTACGAGCAAGCTTATATACTGTATGGTATAATCTGGAAGTGAGGCAAAAAGATCGCTTAATCGATCTGCGAATCCATTACGATAATTTTCTAACCTTGCTATTTGCTCTGGAGTAATTTTCGAGGGTTGAGTAACGTTGATTGGATTCAAAATCAGAGGGTTTGTGGAATTTAGCACTGTCTCATGTAAAACGAGCATGCTATAACTCGCCATAAAAATGGTTCGAAATATTCCTAGAAGTTTGTAATAATCATGCACTTCAGTAATGGTGTGGGTACTCACTTCACTCTGCTCTATTAGCCGCAAACTTTCAGGAGTAGTTTGTGGAAATTTGGTTAAAGTTTGTCGCTCAAGTTGGGTATTTTGAAAATCTAATATACTCATAATGGAAAAAGGGGAGGTATCTGATAGCACAATTGGCGCAGAAAGCAGCTCTAGTATTTCTGATGCTACAGTTCCTGTTATAAATAAGTACGTGCCAAAAATGTATCTATTTACAAAAGATTTAAATAAAAATTTCTTATCATCTCCAAGGACAGAGCTTGTTCTAGTGTACGATTTAAAGGTTGTTACAACTCTCTCAAATTCTATGTATTCTATCCCTTTTTCAATTAAAAATCTAATATCGTCAAGCTTTACGCCACAAATGAGTCTGTATCTCAATACAGAAATCTCGTCAGGTTGTAAGCCATCATACAGAGAGTTGATTCGAACGTCTCCATTCTCATAAATAAATATAGGTAAAAAGGACTTGTCAGCATATACTTTGAACCTTCGTCCTAACATGAGATCCGCCTCACTCAGAAAAAAAGAAGCAATTTCCACCTTTCCCAAGCACAGGCTATATTGAGCTAGAATAAGTCTGGTGCCAATAAGAAATAAAGATGATTCATCTCTATTCGTATTAGTAAAATACATGGATGGTACTTGAGTGGCGGAATCTGATAAACACAACAAATTGACACTCGATTCCAACCCTGTGAATAACCCAGTGGAGTATAAAATGTTCTCAATCGATGAAGAGTCATATTGCAACAATTCAAGACACCTTTGAAAGCTACTCGTTGAAATTTCGGTCTTCTGAAAGGTAAAACAGTTCAATGCATGAATGGCATACAATAAAGCCATGACATCATCGGGATATAATATCATTCGAAAGGGCATGCCATTATCCCTATTTTGAGAAAAAACATTCTCGATCGTTTCAAGTGATATAAATGTTGTTCCAAAGCTGTATAATGATAATTTAGGCTAAGCATCATATAAAAATTGTGAAACATACGCAATATAGCATGAATAGTATTCGTAAATCCCTGTCCTCAAACTCTTCAAAAGCATGTGAATATCAGAATCAGAAAACTTCACTGACAACGATGATAAATGAGACCTATCAACTTTTTCCAAATGGGTTGGACTTGGATTGCTTGTAACGCTTTCACTGTTGTTACCACTACTGACACGACTGGAAGCTGTTGTACTTGTTATGGATCCTGAGATGGCATTGATTTTCTGTTTTTTCTGTCTTGATTTTTTGCCATGTAAACTAAATTTGTAGACTTTAAACTTTGATTGAGGATGTCCATGTGTTGTTGATGAGGATTGAATGGGTGTGGGAAGAGCCATCAGCGAGCTATTCACATCGCCATCATCTAAATGATTTAAATCTACACTTTCTGAAATATAATTTTTCCTCAATTTCTTTGGTGTCGAATAAATGCATTGCAAATCATTGGACTTGCAATAGGTGCAGACAGGTAGAATTTTGTCACATTTAGTGTGCCTTTGTCTACACCTTTCACATGAAATGGGGTGTCTCAAAATTTCCTCAACCATTGATGTTTCTTGATTTGCACTGTTTTGAAGATTTTTTTCCATGCTGCCTGCTGAAGATTCTTTTGTGTGGGGCAGTGTTCCTGAATTTACTTGCTCCGTAATATCGGCTTGCGTGGCAAATGTATGGTTCATATCTTCATCGGACAAGAGTAAAATTTCCTCCACTATTGGCTCTTTCTTGCATGTAATATTAATTTGTTGTTGCCGAGTATTGGCTGATTCGTTTAGTCCGTGAGGTTGTTGTAGTTTGGTTTCCGACATGTTACTCTCCGCACAATGTTGGGGTGCCGTTGTGAAAGGATCCGATACTTGATTTTGAATGTTATGTGCTGATAAGATGGGCATGATGGAGCTGTTAGAAAAGAAACGGCAAGTTAGCTGGTCAAAATTCGATAATTGTTGTATTGGAGAATTCAGGTGTTTGTTGTGAGATGGCTCCGAAGACCTCTGAATGTCACCAACCAGCATAGGTTTGCTGCCAATGTTTAAATTTGGGTTCACAGCTGTTGTTTCCGAATGTATGGTGTTATGATTGGTTTGAATATTATTGTGGACTAGTTGGCTTTTGAAGGTAGTTGGATCTTCCGATTGCTCGAACAGTCTGTTACGGGTAAAAGTGAGTTCTTCCTCTCCGTCTTTGCGGGTGCTCATTTTTTTGCTATTTATTTAGTTACAAGACTGTTGGGTATTAAATGATTTTTGCTAAATTTCAAAAACGACATGCATTTTAACAATGATTATCTCTACTACCTTTCAAAAACTAATGTCCACGTTAATAATGACCCTTTTATTTCACAATAGATGGTTCTCAATGGTTTGCTGAGGTTCCAGTATTGGTTGAAGAGGACGGAGTAACTGTTGGTATCTCGGTAATTGTTTTTGGAGGAGTAATGGTCAAAACGTTAATTCGTAAATAACCCGCAACTGTGTGACAAACGCTCAACACAAAATTGAAGTAAATTAAAGCAGTAACCACCGTGTAAAATGCCAGTCCCCACACTCCTGCAAACACACTGCACAATTGAAGAGCAAAAATAATAACATATCTAATATTGAGGACGTTTGGAAGCTTTCTTTTCAACAAATGAGCTAAAGTAATGTTACTAGAGAGATATCCAAATTGGAAGCAAAAGCCCAACAGTGCAACAAGAGGAATTGTGTTAAGTGCTTGGGTATTAATTAAGAATGCGAGAATGATAAAGGTAGTAAAGCAAATAAATGGGAACAGCTCAATAATTGGTTTGATAGACCTCTCTTTGAAACACACTTTTTTGATATTCATGATGGCAGAAACTATTGCAAGAGAAAATGATCCAAGAATGCAAATTAAATGAACTGGTGGACAGTACTCCCAAACAAAACCTAGAGGTTGCCATTGGAAAATCCAAGCACCAGCACATAACCCAATTATTTGAGAAAATACAATTGATAAAACGCCCTCGATTGGACCATTAACATAGCCCAAATATAAATATCCAATATGTGACTCCTCCCATGTTGCTGTAATAAAGGGTAAATCCCCTGAAAATAGGAGTAGCAGTAAATAAAACCATTTCACGTCAATGCTGAAAGTGTCTAATAAAAATGGAAATTTGTTATCGCAATGATACACGATAAAGACTACTCTTGTATGTGAATACCAATGTTACTCACCTGACAATGTCCAAACTCCATAATTTCCGGCTGCTGCAGTAGCTAAAAAGGCCATTCCTCCCAATGTGCAAGTTAATGCATCAACACCATGGTCAAACATTTCACCGAGAGGGGAACTTTGTTTCATATTTCTAGCTTGTTTTCCATCCAAGTTATCAAAAGTTTGGTAAAGGAAAATGCAAAGAGCATTAATAAAAAATACCCAACGGGGTAAGTAGCCCATCAAGAAAGTATTTGTGACATAGTTTTTGTCGAAATTTTCCAGTTGTGTAAGTGAGGCGTTAAACGGAGATGTTAAATTTCTCTCTAAAAAGAAATCAACTTGTTCCGAAACACATGAAGTAGCAATTTGGTGGTAAGTAGTATTTGGAATGATGGATTTCATTCCTCCAACTTCACCAAGAAAATGTACATGCTGACAATAGTACATATGAAACCCTCCCCAAGCATAAATGTATGAAAAGAAAAAGCTAATGCAAACAAAGCAAAATCCAGTTAATGTAATCATATTTGGAGCAATCCAATTTGGGAATAATTTGATACTTGTTTCATAAATGTAAGGATTTAGAATGTACTTTCTCAACAATGAGTCGTCAACACCATTGGATTTGTAACCATCAAGATGTTGTAATTCCGAACGAGTAGCATTCACGTCATCATATACTGGAGGAATTGTTTTTCCCACACTGCTCGGAATGACGCTCGTGTTGTGGATTGGTGCTGTTGTAGTGGAAGTTTGCTCATTCGCTTGTGTTTCTGGAGGATTATTTGTTGTGGTGTGATTATCCGTAGCAACAACGTTATCGCTGCTAACAGGGGACTCAACGAATGTTTGCTCTTCTTCTTTACCAAGGGAATGTCTTCTCTCATCGGAAGTGTTAGAGCCTTCAGTGGGTGTTGGTGATTTTCTATCTTGTGATTTTCTCATTCTTTGCTCGTTGTGATTGCTAGCGTTTAAAGAGGAATGATGAGATTACTCGAGATGAAAAACTTAGAGAGTGCTGCAGTAACAATCGATTCAATTTTTTCTCGAGAGCAGCGGCCTTCCATGAACACTCCGCAGATAATCAGCTTGAAGGTTCACAAGAGCATCACGGAAAAAATTGACTGGAAGCAAACCCGCTGCCTGTTGTTTCAATGGCTGAGCTCCCCGCGAGACTGAGTTTAGCTCTACATGTGCTCTTCAACAGGGAACTTTACCGAGTTTGAGTTGAGCCAGATTTTCAGGCCACCCTAAAAAAATACCCTCATTCAAACCAGCCTTACCAAACACATTGTTCCATCCCCAACCTGCTGTAAATTATAATGCCCTTCTGAACAAGGGACCGATAATAAGATGACCTCTTCACGATCAAACGTAACTTCCACCCCTAACAAATCAAGCCTCCCATCCAAGACATCACCAGTTTCCTCGAACAACAGTGGTTCTGTACTCACCCCTAGCGTTGCTCTCAACCGAATTCAACCATCGGCCACTTCAAGACCGTCCTCGTCTCAATCAAACTCATCTTCGACGGTAACCTCAATCACATCCAAGGTAAAATCGCCTACAACATCAAAAACCCCACTAAACAACACTGGATCAACAAACAGCAATGCATCAAACATCTCAACCAACGTTGGCCAGGGAAGTTTGAAAAGAACTCCATCCAAGCAAGAGAACTCAAAGATCTCAGCCTCAAGTTCTTCGATCAACGCTACACCAATCACATCACCTCCTCCACTTGTTAGAAGCGACTCCAATTCTTCCTTAAAGAGTTCTACCTCAACCACCTCTAATACCTCTTTGAATACAATGCCTTCAAATAGAAACGATGAAAAGGAAGCAACAATTCTTGTCAAGCAAATGGAAGGGCTAAAGTCCAGACTAGAGAGGGAGAAGCAAGAACTGGATCGTCTTGTTGCTGAGAAGGAGCTGGAAATAAGATCTCATATTTCAGCTCATCAAGACAAGGCAGATGATATAAAGGCAGAGCTGTTCAAGTTGGAGAGGACGAAAGAAGTCCACGAAAAAACAGTTGAAATGCTCACAAAAGAGAAGATGGAATTAGAACACAATATGGACAGCCTTAAATCGGAATTGAAAAGGACTTTGGCCTCCTTACACAGTGCTCAAATTGAAAATTCCACTCTCAAGAACGAGCTTGACGCTGTGGAAGAAAGGTGTACCTCTCAGGTTGAGATTCTAAACAACGATCTAAAACGCAAGCAGCAACAAGTAGGTCAGCTGCAAGCTGAAAAGGAGCAACTTGAGTACAGGGTGCAGGCTCTTCAATCAGAATTATTGCATCAGCTTTCAAGCGAAACTGATCAAGAAAAGATGGCTATCTTGGAGAATACGATATCCCTTCTTGAAAACGAGAAAAAAAGCTTAAAATCCCAATTTGAAACTCTGAGAAACAGTTACGATGCCGATACACGGAACCTCGCTAACGAGCGTGACTCTATCATGAAAGAACTTGTTTTTTCAAACAACCAAATAGCCTTGAACATTGAAGAAATTGAAAAAGCCAAGCATAGATACACACTCCTAGAGCAAGAACTTTTCAACTCCAAGCAGGAATCCTCGTCCATGATTGACTTGCTAAAAGATGAAATTAGGACCAAATCGGAACAAATTGAAGAATTAAGTAATGAACTATCCTCTCTCAAGAACTTATCTTTGGAAGGAGAAGAAAGATCAAACGAGATGTCATCTTTACTTTCAACAATAAGCACGCTCACAATTGAAAACAATGCTATTCAGCAGCAATTACACGAGCTGAAAGAGAGGAACATGGACATGGCCAAACAGCTGGAGTTCAAAGAAGAGATTATTGAGGAGGAAAAAACCACCGTTCAAAGATTGACAGCAAATATTGAAGAACTGAAAACGATGTTGAAAGAGCTGGAAGGGTCATTGAGAATTGAGAATAATTTGAAGGAACAACTAGCGTTTACTCTCGCAACAGAACAAAAGAGTAGAGAAATAACGGAAGCAAGTGTCCGAGAATCAGCACAATATATATCAGACCTCGAAGAGAAATTGTCTCAAGAAATCAGCTCAAAGCAATCCCTGATAGAATTTTATGAAGTTCGTATTGCTCAGTTACAGAACGATTTTGACCGTTTGGATACTTTAAAAAGAGAATCAGAAAATCAAGTTGCAAAAACACAATCCGAAAACAACATTCTGCAGGAACAATTATTGAATGAAATTGAAGGCTCTGCTCTGCTGAAAATCAACATGGAAAAATCAGAAGAAAGGATATTGTTACTGGAGCAGACTTTTAAGAGTCAGTTAGAAGTGATTAGCCACAACGAGAAGCTCTTGAAACAAGAAGTTGAGACCCTTAATGAAACTCTTCGTAGAGAGCGATCAACTGTAGAATCTCTCAGAAACTCTTTGGTAACAGAGGTTTCTGCTCAAAAGTACTATCCCAAAAAATTTTGGATTTAGAGAGTGCCTTATCTGCAGAAGAAAAGGAAAAGATGAATGCAATTCGACGAGTGGATGACATGATTATTGAAAATGAAAGCCTTATTAACCACATTTCAGAAAATAAGAAAAAGATGAAATACTTGGAGGAATTAGTAAACCAAGAAAAATCATCCATAAGCTCGAAAGAGGCTGAGATCAGGATAGTACTTGAGAAGAGAATACAAGAATTAGAGCTACATTCCTTATCTTTGAATAATGAAATCACGAAACTCAAAGAAGCAGCACAATCTGAAAAGGAACTGAGAGTCCAATCAGAAAAAACTCTAAAAGATGATTTCCAGAAACAAAGGAAAAATTTGGAAGGCAAAATTAATGATTTGTCCTCAACAAAAGAACACTTAGAACAGTTGCTTTCTTCCGAAAAGGAGCAACTTGCTGCTCTGGACCAATCTTCAAAGAGAGAAATCAAAAAGTTACAAGCGTCGTTATTGGAAGAAAAAGATTTTATCATCACATTGGAAAAGAGGTTAAAAGAAGAGCAAGACAATAATGTAGAGCTTTCAAAACGCCTTGATGCCCTTCAGTCTTCTGTAATATCAACAACTGATATCTCCAATTTCCCAGAGGAAACGAGCAGCGCAGTATCAGTTGAAGATGAAGTTGCTGCAAATCCAAAGGAAAGCACAGCTCAGCAAAAAGATAAATCAGCAGTTGGTGGCGTGTCATTGATCATGGGTGTCTTCGGTTTGGGAGTGGGAGTTGTTCTTCCTGCGTTACTGCGTAAATACGAATTGCTTCCTTCTTCGTTTGGCTTGTAAATATTGGGAAATGAAATAAAAGTGCCTCAGACCTCCAACAAGAACTGACTATTTACAAAAGAAGAATGTTAATTAAATAGAATAAACGATGACCTTACAGATGCACAGCTTACATACGAGTGATTTACACTCCCGACACCATGCAGAAACAGTGGATCGCATGTTCCACTCTATTTGCATGATTAAGAACTGCTTTGTTTAGCGTTTCGTTCGCTTACTAAAACCATGAATATTCAGTGCAGAGAGAATTACTAGTACTGAACCATATGTGCAAAAAAGTGCTGAAAGGGGTTGATGTAGTGTTCAGAGTCCAATCATCCATTTAAATTAATACCGTCGTTGTTGTGGTTGTTTGTTTTTGTTTTTCGTTGTTGTTCGTTGTTTTGTGTTGCCAGTTGTTGTTTTTTGTGCGTTTTTCATTTTTAAAACGACGAAAAAAATTTCACACTTTAATGCAATCTACAATACCACCCGTGCAAAAAAAATAAATTGTTTTTTTAAATTGTGATTAGGATTTTGACAAATCGACGGTCTGTTGGAAAGTGAATATTGATTTATTGCTTTGGCAATCTAGAGAGATCCGATTCACCTGAATACACGTCTGATTCAAATCCACATTCATCATTGCCTCTCTTAATCCAGAAGAATCCATTCAAACCCCAATCAGCACTCCAGCTGTTAGCAACAATCCAATATGGGGTATTTTGACCGTCATTGGTGACACCCCAACCAACAATCTTTACAGCATGGCCACCCAAAAAGCTTCCTGTTTGGTGAGTGTAAACTCCAGACTTGTAGTTAATAAAGTCTCTGTTATTTCAGAACGGCATACCAGTTCGAATAAAATAACATCATGTTACAAGTGAAAGAGGTCAATAAGAGTTCATGCAAAGCAATATTATAATAATTGGATGAAAAAAATGTAACCAATTACATCATATTCAAAAACCTACTGATAAACAGAAAATCCTGTTTGAACAGGTCCATTATCAAAAATGTCTTGTTGAATTTCTTCCACCTTCTTCCACCACATCCATGGCGAAATGTGTTGATAGGACTTGGCATAATAAAGCTTGGATGAAATTGGAACATTAGTGCCGTTGCAAGTAGTTGGGCAAGGAGCAGTGACACCATTTCCTGAAATGTATGGCTGAAAAGTGTTGGGATAAAACAACAGTCTTCAAAGACGAAGATAAACATACCATGCAGCTATCAGGGACAATACCCTTATTCTTTAACCACCACCAAGCTTTGGTAAACAAAATTTCAATTTGAAATTATAAACATCAAAGAACAAAATTTTGAAAACGCACCATTATCAAGATTTCCACCATCACAACCCATGTCGTTGTAGTCGCAGCTGACCATGTCTTGTGGAGACAAGACAACATCAACAGCTCCCTTGGAGGCAATACAGAAACGATCAGACAAGACTTCAGAGGCGGAGAAAGCCCAACAAGAACCGCATTGTTCTTGATTTCTGTTGGTAGCCATGATCGAATATAGTTGTGGAATAGTGTCAAGTAATCATTTAAAGCACGGTTGATTTGAAATAATTTACATCATCATGTCAACACGAGTCATCAAGAATTAATTTCAGTCTAGATACATACCTGATTGGGTGAATACTGTTTGAACAAATTATTGATAAATAATGAAAATCACAAATGTTCCGCTCACTCATTCCAACAACAACAACACTTACCACTTGCCTGGTGTGTACAAACCATCATCGTCATCACGAATTATTAGAACATGTTTCAATTTCGAAAACTAACTTTCAACTCACCCCATTGTTGTCTTGCATCAAAATTATCTGGCAAAGCCAAACTCTTGAATTCCTTGGCAGCTTCCTTGATACCAACTTCATCAACAGCCTTCATCTTTGCTTGATGATAGTGGTTGATAGTGATCATTTCTTCTTCAGTATATCTGATCTTTCCTTCTTTCTTTGGGAAGCCCAACAATCTCTTGATTTCAGCAAGAGTCTTTCCAGCAAAGTTTCTATTAACACCAGCCTTCCATGTAGATTGAGGATTGGTATTTACTTGCTTGATGATATCAAAATCAATGGCCAAAGTATGATGGTCCTCTTCGGTGATGATGGCAGCATGTACCAAAGCAACACTGAGAGCGAGAGTCACGAGTAAAAGAGAAACGAGAGTTTTCATTTTTTTTTGGAACGGAGAGAAGTGCACCGATTGCAGCGGAGTCAATAAATGAGAAACGAAAATCTTATCTGGCTCAAGTTGTTTTCCCAGTCCTAAAACTCAACATCTGGACCTTGAACTCTTCTCATGGTTCCAACATTCCTGGCTAAGGAGTGAAAGTAAGTTAAGGACGGCACTTGCTTTTGTGATCCACACTTGTCACAGCAGATGAAACTCATGCGAAGTGCAGAGTCTCTCCTTAACCTGGTGTCCATGCCAAAACAAGTTGGGCACAACACAAAGGTTCTAATGTAATCGATCATTTTTCTTTTGATCAAGCTCGATCGACAGGCTCTTTTGATTATCAATGCCCTGGTAGAATCCAAGTAAATATCGGCCATCAATGAAGAGCATAGATAAGTGTACACATGAGTAACACATCTCTTGAGCTGTTCGCAAGTTGAAATAAAATTCCCGTACACGGTTCTTCTTCTATGCTGAATAATCAAGGGATATTGAATGACATGCTTGGAGGGAATTCGATTTTCTTTTTTACATATTCTTAAGAGCTCTATATAACATGATTGGTGGATTGCAGGTTCTTTCTCGCTCCATGACTTTTTGATTTCGTTAGGCTTCCAACCTCGCTTGAGTTTGTCAATGATGTACGTTACTGTTTCGTCGTCCTCACCACATTCCGAATAGAGAGCTTGTTCTTCTTCAATCTCTAGCTTGGAATGAAAGACAGCAGATTCCGGTACGTTCAAAGGGTTAATGTGGTAATTAGTATAACGATTATGTATTGCGTCCAATGCGTTTTTTAGATGAAAAGACTGAGAGAAATATTAACAAAACCAGTATTATGATGACGTACCGCCTTGATGAATATTTCGTTTAATTCCTTTTGAAATGCTTCTTCTATTATTCTTTCCTTTTTACTTTGAGTTGGGATTTTCAGTTCCAGCCCGAGAGCCTTTTCATCAACTAATAACGATGAGTTGATCATAATTGAAATTTCTTTTGGTCCTATGACAAGTGGCCCTTTTTAAATCCCATTTTCAAATTGAGAATTGACCAAGCCTAATAATAATAAGTGGCTCGAGGGTTATCTTCTAGATTAGAAAGGCCATGAACTGTCAAATGGAGTTGATCATTGCAAGCTCACTTATGGAACAAATGCATGGTTCTGTACCGGAATCAAGTAAGACATTCTTCGGTGCTAAAAAGGAAACTGCTTTTTAAGTCATGATTGAAACAAATGACACCAAGACGCTTCCCCTCACGATTCCATACTAAACATCATAGATTCATGATATTTCTTCTAGTAGTGCAACAAATAATATCTTTTATATTTCTGATCCACTCGATATGGGACCACATCCCCTCACACATTAATAGTTATTTATTTATGAGCCATAACAAAAGCCGGCATGATTTTGTATTAAGCTTTTCATCCTCATCACTATTTCCCTCATTTCTCTTCCTTCAAGCTTCATCAGTTAGCACATCATATTCCATTGACCTTTGTGATTCCTCACTTTCATCATCTTCAACAGCCAGCTCAACAGCTAATGTCAGTGATTCATCGTCCTCATGTATTCCTTCCATGCAAGTTGTAGTCACTCTTGATGACACTTCACCCCCTCTTGTTGGATTTCAACTTCCAAAAAATAAGATCATTACAGACTCACAGGGACGACAATGGTCCGTTGGAGAGAATGTTTTACTAGAGATTGAGAGAAGTCCCATAACTGTGAATTATGATTTAACTTTTGGAGGTTTTGCCTATAATGCATATGAACAAGTGTACGCTCCATCTTGGAATTGCGTAGCAATGCCCAATCAAATGTGTTGCCCATTCACAACAAGTGCTGGAAATAACTTGTATTTTTTGAGGGAAATGAAACAAAATGTGACAAGGTATAATTATTATTACGCATCCATGAATAGTCCACAAGTAAGTCTTTCATCGTGTACCAAAGATGATTGTTGACCCTTCAACCATAGTATTCGATCCAAGTAAGAGCTGTTCAAAGTTCAAAAACTGAAACACTAACTTTAACCAACACTGTGAAAAAACAAACAGGTTTGGGTATTACTGCTTGGGTGGTTGCAGATTTGATTGACGTGACCAGGTACATGTTTTTTTCAAATGACTTCGTAGTGATTCCAGAAAATTATGCAACAACACAAGAAGGGTTTTTAGCAGGACGGTATTACTTTGGAGATGCTATCAATAGAATTGGAATTTCACAATCAACCTACATGAGGAATGTGAAGTGTACAGACAAACAAGGATTATTGACATCTGTGAGTGGATCGTCCCTGATGGATCAGTTTGAAAAGTTTCGAAAGGATACTATTTCGAATGCTGTGGGTTGTACTTTTTCTCCAAGCTTGACCACAGTCAGCACCTTCAAACGCTCCTATCAATATATTTGTCAAAAAATTGTTTCCACACAAATAGTATTACGTATTCCAACGGACGGTTCAGGCGTGAAAATTATTCGACTCTTTGGAAATCCTGTTATCACAAAGAGTGGGGTGAATGTCAATGATGACACTGCGAGCATGGAAATGTTTATCGATGTATTTAACAATGCAGATACCTCAGGAAGCTTTGATGTTATCCCAACATCATGCTGTGTTGCAAACTTACCCTCTTCCAATGAGCCATTTTGGGATTGTAGCTCTGTAACGTTTTCAAGAGCAGTATCACAAACTGTTGAATCGTACAAGGCACATCGATTTATATTTTCCATGCTATTGGATCAAGTAGTTAAAAAGTATGGCTATTGTACCTTCTCCGTCATGCAATATGGAAAAACAGATGTGACGCATTCCATCAACTTTACCACTCAGAGTATTTCATCAAATCCGATCTATAATGAAAGTCCAGCTGTACAAGATGATTGCATTCCACCCTATGGAAAGAAAATTTTTGGAGTGGGAAATAAGGTACTTTGCATTACTGAATGTCCTTCACAGGATTTAATGTATGATTCTGTGAAATTTTTATGCAAACCTGTCGACTGCAAGATCAAATACAATGCAACTCGAAACTTTTTTAATCCAGAGACACAATTATGTGAAATGGTCAAGACATGTTTGGAATGGAAAGAGGATTATAATGCCATTACAAACACGTGCCAGGTTAAAGAATCGTTTAGATCCAATCAAACACAACCCACTGGTCAAGATTTGGATTTAATGAACGAAGTGAACATTGTAACGGGGCTGCAATGTGGTCAGAAGGGAGATTCCTCTCAGGACAAAACCAGATGTATGTGCAAGTTGGACTCTCACATCACAGCATTTGACTACAAATCATGGAATCCAATGTTTTCAAATTCTCAATCGGATTCACAATTTTGCATGGTGGATACTTTGAGCCTTAATAATCCCCCAAACTCTGACAATGTTTCATCCAGTATTCTGGACATGGTCATCATGTTAGACGTGTGGGTACAACTGGTCATTGCCATTTCTTCATGTGTATTTGCGATTATTCTATATCTCATCACATCCATATGTTGTCCATGTTGTTGTATTCAAAGGATGAACATGCGAATGGAAGTTCAAAAAAGAGAGTATGGAGAATACAAGCGTAAAACTCTCTGTGAAATCATTTCCTCAGTACTTTGTTATGGAGATTGTTCCATGAATTCTTATCATTTATCTGAGGAGAGAGCCAACGAAATTATGAAAGAGCAATTTGAGCTTAATTTGTGGAGAAAAAAGAGACTCAAACACGCTCAAGTCATGATGGAAAAAGGATCACTTGTGGTCGATTCCGATATTGCTGTTCAAATTCAAATGGATCTTGAAATGGATCAACTTGAGGATTTACTACGAGATAAAAAGCAAGACATGCGGATGGAAGAAAAGTTGAATGAGCTGTCTGAAGAGCATGACTCGACCAAAGACGACGATTCGAGTTGTGACTCACAACACGACCAAGATGATGAAACTGAACAAGATGAAGAGTATTACTCAGAATAGAGCACCTTTGAGAAAAGGATGGCAACACTTCGAATTGCTTCTCAACATAAAAATGTGTCGAGTGAATCGCACGCCTGTCCTATTGGTGTGGATCATTGTCTCAATCATTACGGAATTTTGTAAAGCCACTCTCTCTATAAGAAGCAACCTTTCAAAATAACCAACGAGTTCACAAGCTCCTACAATGAATAATGATCGTTGGATTGACAACAAGATTCATCATCTGCGTCATGAAAATAATCTCATCAACACAACCATCGTAGCAACCATTTATGGAGAGAATAAAATTGTGTACGGAGTGAAAGACTTACAAAATGGTCTTGCTACCATTGAATTTACAAATTCACAACTACAAGTCGGATTTGACACTCTTCGCTTGGAAACCACTCAATCAAAAACTTTGCAACAAGATTTTGAAATTGCAAGTGCATCAGGTTATATTGAAGGATTTGTGACCATGCAAAAGATTTATAATCACTGGATGAATATGAACATCTATTCTTGGTGGTATACGAACGAGAATCGAACCAATGGAATGCCACAACAAGTTCGAACATTCTTTCATGATCAATTGACTTGGATGGTCCAAAAATGTAATACACATCTGAATGGAAAAACAGAAGAGGATTTATATTGGCAACAAGTTTATTTAATTTATTTGCAACAACTTGGTCTTGTTAAGGGATACAATGACGCAGTACAGCTCAAGTGCTGTCACCGCCAAACCCATTGATATAATTGATTTACAAACAATTAACAGTTTTGGAGATATTTGGGATATTGATGGAAAAGTATTTGGTTTGGATTTTTCGAAAATGAGCCTACCTGAATTACTGAGCTATATGAAAACTCATTCTCATTGCTCTGCATTGTTTAAACTCACTGCAGATCGAAGAGATATTTTCTTTAGTCATACAGTATGGGGATCTTTTAGCACCATGACACGAATGCTCAAGACTTATACCATGAACTATTTGAATCCTCTCACAAAATCCAAGACTGTGACATTTTCTTCATATCCTGGTACTCTTGGATCCAATGATGATTATTATATGACCGATCAGGGACTCGTCATTATTGAAACAACGATCAACATTTTTAACAAGTCACTTTATAATCATACCAATCCTCAATCCTTATTATGTTGGATGAGAGTCATATTGGCAAATAGAATGTCCTCCAATGGACCAGAATGGTACTCTCTATTCAAGCAAAATAACGGAGGCACCTATAACAATGAATGGATGATTCTCGACGTTAAGAAATTTACTCCAGGATCACCAACTCTTCAACCTGATTTATTTTGGGTCATTGATCAAATACCAGGTAGTGTGTTGGGTCGAGATCAAACACAAGTACTCTCTCAAAATGGATACTTTGCGTCCTACAATGTACCTTTCTATTCTGAAATTTTTGCCCTGACTGGATATTTAGATCTTCTCAACAAGAAACCAAGCATGTATCATCATGATTGGAGTCATGAAACGTGTGCGAGAGCAGAAATTTTCAAAAGAGATCAACATTTAGTGAATGATTTGACAAGCATGAAAAGAATCATGCAATACGACAATTATCAACACGATGAATATTCTTTCAACAACCCAGATTTAATTATTTCTGCAAGAGATGATCTATTTCCTGGTCCAGCCTCAACACGAAGTTGTGCAGGTGGTTATGATAGTAAGATTTCTTCCATCACTCATTGGAAAAAGGTTTATTTTCGAAGTGGACCCTCTCATGAATACACTCCAATTTTCACATGGTCCAACCAATGCAATGTCAGACATTCACATATTGGCATGCCCAAGACTTGGAACTTTCCTTGGGTGGAGCTGGAGAGTAGAGTTTAGTGAAATGTGTGTGCCTGCTTTATGTTTGTCCTGTTCACGAATTCGAACCAGATCAAGAACTTGACAAAATTAAATAATTAAAAAAAATGAAACTCTCGATCAGTAAATACTTTGCATGTTCAATGAGTCATAGAGATGACGATTTCTTTGAACTACAAAATAATACTACAACAACAACAACAACAACAATACCGTCACATCCAGGTTACAACGATCGTCAGATCGGAAATGAGAATCATCCGCAAAACTTCTTTGAACAACAATCTGAATGTGGTCAAATGAATGATCATCATCATCATCACTCTAATCAAGAATCCACACACATGCAAAAGAAAAACGATGAGGAAATTATTTTCGGGATATTCCAACAAATTCCACTTGAAATCATTGAATCTCATATTTTTCAATATTTGGAATTTACATGGTTGCATCGAGTGGCATATTCAGTCTGTAAAGAATGGATGCAAGTTATTCGAAATTCAACACGATCAAGTATTCGATTTTTATTCGACTCTCAAGCATGTGTCGAGAGTTTCGTTGCTGCGTGTCGTCATGGAAGATTTTCCAATGTGACATCTTTTGTGTTGGGTGGAAAACTACTAGGTCAATATTTACCAGAAATTGTCAATTGTGATTGTCTAAATTCACTAAAAGAGTTGGATTTGGGATATAGCATTGGACTTCGTGGAGGATATCTGATTGCAACTAGTGTGGTCATGAAACAACTTGAAAAGATTGATTTTACTGGAAATTGTATACACGATGAAGGAATAACTGTACTTGCAAAATCTGAACACTCCTTAAATCTGCAAAGCTTGTGTGCTCGTGACAATGGTATTCGAGGAGGTATCATACCTCTCTCTCAAGGAAATTTAAGAAATTTGACCTTTCTTGATTTGAGCGGAAATAATCTTTTTTCGAACGATACACTCAAACATTTCTGTCACAGTAATTTAACCAATCTCAAGACATTGTATTTACAACGATGCTCTCTTACAAAGGATCTAGCAAGAACCTTTGCCGGTGCCATTTTCCCAAGCTTGACTGATTTGGATCTCGAGCAAAATTGGTTACAGAACGAGGGAGCTCTCTCCATTTCAAAAGGAGAAACATTCAAAAAGCTCATCCGATTGAATGTGATGCAAAATCGTATCAACAGAAAAACTGCAGAAATTGTGTATTGCAATATTGTCACACTTATCGAGTTCCATTGGCAATAATCAGTACTGAACCTCAGAAAAATGCTCAAAAACCTTCTTCGGAACTTGCGTCTGTATGATGAAAAACCAACCAATGCATTTCAATGGGACCTCTGGAGTAATAAGAAGAGTAATATTCATCAATACTCGCATGGATTAATCATTCGAAAATTTCAATTACATCCATGCATGGGTAGAACATTTCATAGAGATCATCATTCCAATCATCATGATTCAAATTTGCAAAATAATTATCGGAAAGGAGAGGAAGAACCTTGTAATGAATCATCAACGTCTTCAGAAGCCTCGTTGAAACGATTTCAAAGATTTCTATTTGAATGGTATGCTCATTCTCACAATCCGTTGAGTATGCAAGCCTCTTCATCACTCTTTGATATATTTAATTATGAGCATTTGACTGAAGCTGAAATTATCAACAAAATGCAAGCGAAAAAGAAAGTGACCGATATTAAACAAGTTGAAGAATTAATGTTGAATCCAAAATCAGAAATGTATGAGTTTTTAAATCATCGCAGATTTGAACCTAGAGATCGATTCGATCGGTGGGCTGAATGGTGGGCCAAGAAATGTGTTGCTCGAATTTTGAAATTCTTGTTTGGAAGGAATATGATCCGATATGTTGTGTTTTTAGAAACCATGTCAGCAACTCCTGGAATGGTGAGTTTGTTTAATACGATAAAATATCAATTAATTTTAAATACACCAAAAAGGTTGGAGGAATGTGGCGTCATTTTGCATCGTTGAGAAGAAAACCCAATCAACGAAAGAAACACGAACACCTTCGTGTTGGTGCTTTACTCGAAGAGGCAGAAAATCATCGAGAACATTTGCTGGTGTTACTTGAAATGTGCCATCAAAACTTGTTGGAACGATTCATCATGGTACTGGCACAAATCACCTTTTCACAATACTACTTTTATATTTACACACTGTTTGGACAGCGTTTTTCACATCGATTTGTGGGCTATTTGGCCGAGAGTGCAGTGACAAGTTACGGTGAGTTATTGAAACAAATCGATGAGAACAAGATTGAAAACAAGAAAGCAGTAAGTATGAGTCGCATGATCATTCTGAGAATAACAATGGAGCGTCATTGAAATTGTTGGGAACGTTCAAACAGCCTGAAATTGCCATCTCTTACTATCATCTGAGCGAGGAATCAACAATCCGTGATGTACTACTAGCCATGCGAATGGATGAGGCTAAACATCGAGAATTTAATCATCTCATTGCTGATGATATTTACTTCAACAAGAAAGAATCGGGAGTGAAAAAGTAAAAAACATGTGTGATGATACACACCACTCTCTGTGAGATTTAATTGCTGCAGCAAACAATTTTAATAATTATATGGTTGTTGATAGACACCTTGTTGTGGAGCATTTGAAGTAGCATATGTGGTCGTTGTTGTAGTGTGATATACAGTGTTTGAAGCATTGTTGCATCTCTCCACCATTCCAGGAATCAAACAAAGATCAATCTATAACGCCGCCATGAATCATGGAGAATTTATGAGAAAATGATTTGCAAATGATGAGAAAATTATAATCAAAATTACTGATACCTACCAGCCATCCAATTCCACACAATGCTCCTGTCAAGAAATAGATCACAAACCACAATGGTTGGTCCAAGTACAATCGGTGGACTCCAGGAAGCCAAGGAAAAACCACAAAATATAAGCAACAAGAACGTCTTTTTGAGCCATTTTTTTTTGAATTTCGAAATTCACATTATTCTTGCCCTCAGAGTTTCTTCGAGATTGAATCGAGGTTACCACATGCAGCTTCTTTTTGGAAATGGATTGGAATCAAAAAAGTAGAGCAGAATTTTAAATCCAAGTGGAATGCATATGATCTGTATTTTTGATTGAATGACCGTTATCGAAAGTATTTTAATTTTATTACCATAGCTAAGGAAGTGTCGTCAAGATAATCTCCTTTTATCAAAAACGGAAAATTGCAAAAAACGAACAGTGAATACCCGCGTACATTGTCATGCACCAATTAATGATCGATGCATGACCAGTTATATACTGTTAATGTACTGTGGCGTAAACATTGTGCAATCTTCATGATCTTTTAACATCACCGCGTACTTTGGAAGGAAGGATTAAACTTTTCAAAAAAAAATTCCGTAAACACCATGACTCACAAACATATTCTTATTGTCTCTGGATTGTGTGAAATTTGTTTTGCCATTTCTCTCGGATGGTATTTGGCCATGAGCATTGCCAATCGATCCAAAAAGACTGCCTCTCCACCACTTTTCAACTTTCGTCGAGTGGTTCAAGCTCACATTGATTTCATTCTCATGGGAATGTTGCAAATGATTGTTGCTAGCGTTACGAGCGAGCTCTCCATTCCAAATTGGGTGGTGTACATTTATGTATTTGGTTCTTGGGCCAATGCATTTTCGTTTTTAATTTTTGCAGTTTCTGAGAGTTATGTGCAATACATGAGTGTGAAAATTTATTCAGTGATTAGTTTCTTAAGCTTGACCATTGCATACCCTTTTTTTGCTTATCAATATATCCATCAATACTTGTTGTAAATGATGGAACTGTATTAGATTTACTGTTCCAATAAAATTAATACTTGTGTTAAAACAATCATGATGAACATAAACCCAAATCTCAATGGATGGTAATCCCAAGTTGTAAATGCAGCTTGAGAGACTCTTTTAGAATCTTTGGGTTTAAACGAAGATTGTTTTGGAGGCGAAGGTGAAGAATTGATCATACTTTTGGAAAATGAAAATTTGGCCACTCGAAACGTCGTGTGAACATTCACAGTTACTCGATTCAAATCTTCGACAATTCCATTAGCTTCCAATACGTTCTCAATAGGATCATATACTGAAAATGTAACCACAATTGATGTGGATGAAGTATTCATAGTTTGATTCAAAATATCCTTAATGAGTGACGTGTCAAGAGTCATGGATTGATTATTCGAAGAATTCATACTTGTCCAATACATCCATAATACATCTCCATTTGAATTCTGCACTGTGAAAGAATGCATATTTCCAGGATCGTTCACTTTTGGAATGATTAATTTTGGAGTGGAGTGCAATGAGTTGTGCGGATGTTGATTTCCAATAAAATTGAGAAAATTTCTCAATGCATAGAATGAGGGTTTCCCTGGAAGAGAATTTGGCATTGCACTTGTGGAAGCATTGAATATTCCATAATAGGTATCTCTTGTGCTAAACCCTTAATATCATTTGTATGGAAAAATGAATATTTAACAATTATATTATTGACTTTCTGAACATGTATGGAAATCATTGTTTCACTTACCCACAGGTGGAAAATCAAATAAGGCAAATTGATACACTCGATCAAAGCACAAATACATTAACATGATTAATCTCTTCAAAATATAATCTGCTTGTTGTGTGAGAGTAATGAATGGTTGCTCAGAAAAATCACTCGCATACGTGGACCATCCCCATTCTGTCGCATAAATCTTTTTCCCAAATTTAGATAAAAATTGTTGAGCCAATTGTGCTTTGATTTCAAAATCATAAACATTTTGTTGTGGAATATTTCCTTCAGGAGTATTGTAATAGGGATGATACGAAACAATATCACAATAATTAAAAGCTCCCAATGGTTCCAAACTATAAAACATGGGATTCATGTCGTGATAGGGCATTTCACTGAAATAGGCCATTCCTGACATGGCAATTTGGATGACATGACTCGAGAATGATGAATGAGTGAAATTTCTGAGCTCTGTAAACGTTGCATTCAATAAATGAGTATACGCTTGTGGATCTTCCATTGGGGCCCAAAACGATGGTAGATTCACTTCATTCCAAATTTGAATAATTTCTAAACCTTTCATGGCATATCGTTCTAATAACCATTTCACTCTTAAAATAAAAGGTTCAACACTCGTTGGAGGATACTGATCATAGTTGGAGGCAGAAGGATTCGAACTGATCCATTTCGGTGAACCTGCAATAAAAAACAAACTCGAAATATTGGCCTTACTTAATTTGTCCATGGTGAAATCCAATCGTGACACATAAGTCGGCTCTAAAATTCCATTTTGAGGCTCTAATACAGACCAATGAATTGGAATTCTGACATGAGAAATATTTAATTGTTTCATTCCTTCAATAAACACATCATAATTATATTGAGAAGGATCATAAAAGATGAATGGTAAATTCGTTCCAAACCATTCCGAAAAGGAAATGGAATTATTGAACGATGGACATGAAAGTGTGTAGTGTCCAAGTGACGCTGCATGACCATTGGTTGAAATGTAACATGATATTCCAAGGTACAGGAAGAAGATGAAAAATATTGAACAAGAATTATGGAGCATGATGATGATGAGAGACTGTTGTTTCTTCTGCATTTTTTTGTTGACACTTGGCATGAGTGATCTCTGTTTCCAAAAGGAAGATCACTTGTTGATTGAATCCAGCACGCGTGGAAACTTTCACATTCAAAAAATTGGGATTATAAGATGTTCTCTCTGTTAATGGCTGCCTTGTTCGGATCCAACTATTCGCGACAAGTGGAAAGCAACAATGCTCAATATTTCGGATACGAACAACAATCATCTCATTCCCGTCATCAGAATCCTCCACAGCCTCAACCACAGCCACAGCCACAACAATATCATTATGTTTCTTCTCAGCCACAACCACAAATCCCGCACAGACCTTCCATTGTCGTTGCTGCCAATAATTATCACCAAAATCATCATCAGGTGCCAACCACAATGAATCCAACTGTATCTTCCAACACAACGTTGAGTCATCATGATGATCCTCTACTCATTCAAAAACAACATGCGCGATCACAACAACCTGTACATTCCAATAATAATAATAACGGATTGCAACAAGACACCATCATGATGATGATGAATGATCCTTCTGCTCCTCCACCTTCTCTTTCAATGACCTCTCCCATTAGTAATAATGAAATAGTTCAGCAAGAACAACAACACCAAATGATAGCGTCCAATGAAGAGAGAGATTCATATTCTTCCCAACCACCATCAAGCTCCGATGAGCCTCATCATCATGGACAACATCCGAGCTTGATCCATGCTCAACCACTTGCCACTGATGTACATGATTCATCGGTACAACAGCATCAACATTCCTATCATGTTGGTCAAATCATGAATCATCACCATGCTCAACAATTTCAGCAACAACAACAACAACCACCCTCTCAACCTCAACAACCACTTCCGACATTTAATCCTCAATCGGCGTCATCCACCTCCTCTCAAAATCCTTTCGTTCCACAACACCATGCAAGACCTTCATGGAATTCAGCTTTTGGAAATTCACCTTTTGGTGTCAATTATTCGTATCAACAATCGGAACGGAATGGCATTCGAGTCAATTCAAGAGTGCCCACTTTTGGTAAATTATGGCAACATTCCCATGAGTATGCCACGAATTATTTGTGTTTTAAACTGGATGTCCATCCACATTCTAACATGTTCGGAATGAATCTCATTGTGATGGTAGAAGGAAAGCAAGATCATAGACCTCCTCCCAATCATACCAATTATATTGTATTTAATAATCAACAATTGAGAATTGAGAAGAGATCTTACCCAAATGATTGCTCACCTTCATCTCCCTCCTCACGATACCTTTTAATGGAACATTGTATCATTCCGTATGATTTGATTCAATCGTTTGAAGTAGATGTCAATGGCGCACGTATTAATGGACAATCAAGCTCGACTGTGGTTTGTGTCTTGTCGAATGGTACTCGTATGCCATTAAATAAGGAAGAATTTGAAACAGTGAACATGTCTACGGAGAAGGCACACTTGTTGATTCAGGCTTTAAAGTATTGCTATGAAGTAGTTGTGCAACAACAACAGCAACAACCACAGCAACAACAACAACCACAAGAACAACCGAATGGGCACACCATGACCAATTCGAATCCGCAATTGTGACCCAATGGAAGATGATGACCTTGAATGAACTCATTCAAGTTATTGTTTGAAGATTTCAAAAAATTAAAAAAAATTGTTGAAAAAAAATTTAACACTACCTGCTCTCTACTCTCATCATCCCTTTTCCATCTCAAATTCAAAATGGCAAAGAAGAAGACTATGAAAAAGTCATCCTCGTCATCCTCCGTATCATCTTCCACAAATTCCGAAAATAATACACCTTCGTATGATAGTGATGACGAAAATAGTGAAATTCAACAAGACGCCTCCACTTCGACAGTGCATATTGCTGCAACAGGAAACTTGTCATCTCATCCTCTCTCCATGGACCTTAAATTTGATCACTTTTCTGTGAGCGTTTCTTCGCCGTTTTCCTCACAATCTATTGATTTGATTGATGACACAGATTTATGTTTGAACCGTGGAACAAGATATGGTCTTATTGGATTGAATGGTTCAGGCAAGGTATGTATTTATTATTATTATTTCTTGATTCATAATAATTTTATTCAACCATGGGACAATCGATACGACATTGTGACCAAAAATCGGGCTCGGCACTGTGAATTCACACAGTCCACTCTATTAAAAGTTTTGGGTAGAAGAATGATTCCAATTCCAAAACAAATTTCAGTTCATCTTTTACATGGAGAAGCAAAACCAACCGATAAGAGTGCTCTCGATTATGTTCTCTCCAGTGTTGACAAGGAAAGAGAAAGATTGAATCGAGAATTAAATGATCCAAAAACTTCTCATCAAAGACAAGAAACCATTATGGACCGTTTGGAAGAATTAGATCCTGAATGGGCCAAACCCAAAGCATCCAAATTATTGCACGGTTTAGGATTTACCAGTGAAATGCAAAAGAAAGCCACAAAGGATTTTTCTGGAGGTTGGAGAATGAGAATTTCATTGGCAGAAGCATTATTTATTGAACCTGATTTGCTACTTTTGGATGAACCTTCCAATCACTTGGATTTGGAAACAGTTGTTTGGTTAGAAGAATATTTGAAAGAATATGAAAAATCTTTGATTATTATTTCACATTCTCAAGATTTCCTTAATAATGTTTGTACTTCCATTATTCATTTGAAGGATCAAAGATTGAGTTATTATGGAGGAAATTACGATACTTATGTGAAAACTCGTGAAGAATTGGAACTAATCAAATGAAGCGTTATCAATCCGAACAAGATGATATTCAGAAAATGAAAGACTTTATCAACAAGTTTGGTCAAACTTCGATCAAATTGTCTCGTCAGGCTAAATCCAGAGAGAAATTACTAGACAAAATGTTGGAGAAAGGTCTCACTGAAAAAGTGACTCAAGACAAGATATTTAGATTCAAATTCCCAGAAGTAACCAAATTACCAACACCAATTTTACAATTCCAAGATGTCAAATTCCATTATCCTGCCACTGACATTATTCCAGAACCTAAAATATTATTTAAGGGATTGAATTTGGGTGTAGATATGGATAGTCGTATTGCCCTTGTAGGTCCAAATGGAGCAGGCAAGTCCACTCTACTCAAACTCATGGTCAAACAATTGAAACCAGTCTATGGTGACGTTTGCGTTCATTCTCATTTACGAATTGGTCATTTCCATCAACATTTAACTGAACAATTGGATGAGAATTTAACACCACTCGAATGGATGTTTAAAGAATTTCCAGACACATTCGAAAATAATTCAAATGGTACTGAAATTATGAGATCTCAACTTGGACAATATGGAATTTCTGGAGGACGACAAACGAGTCCCATTAAATTCCTCTCAGACGGCTTAAAATCAAGATTGATTTTTGCATGGCTTGCATTCAAGCAACCTCATATTCTCTTCTTGGATGAACCTTCTAACCACTTGGATATTGAAACAATTGATTCATTGGCTGAAGCCATTAATGCATTCAGTGGAGGCTTGGTATTAGTTTCACACGATTTTAGATTAATTGATCAAGTTGCAAAAGAGATTTGGGAAGTGAAAGATGGAGCTGTGAAACAATACAAGGATGGTATTCAAGCTTACAAGAAGATGATTGCTAAAGAATTGAGAAATTCTAAAAATTAAGTAGTAAAAACCCTTTTTGGATTTTTATTAAGATGAGAGAGAACACGTGTTTTTCATGTCATGTCGTGTGGGCGTGAATGGTCTTGTTTGGTTTATCAGGTCATGTCGTGTGAACATGAATGGTCTTGGTTCGTTCCAGGCTAATGAAAAGTTTTGAAAAAAATGTATGCACAATACGTGAAAGTCATCATCACGCTAGAACGTCTTGCCAAAGTCCGAAACGATCCCTATCCAAAATTATTACTTCTCTTATTTGTGGTCTTTATATTCCTTCATGCTTTGGAAATGTACCTAGCCAACAAACTTACTCTCTACGATCGTTTTGAAAATATGTTTGCGAATAGTGTGTTCATTTCGTTTGTGTGGCCGAATTTTCTTCCGGCACAATTAAAGAAAGTAGCAAGCTTACTCTATCAAATTACACGATGGAACGTGTGGTTGAATTTTCAAAGACTATTTGAAGAAATGGATCGATTTGCAGAGAAATATATTGCACCTATCACGAGAGTGGTCTTGTTTTTATTAATGTCTTACACGATCATCAAGATCATTCAAGCACATTTTCTGAGCATTCAGGAAAATTTGGAGAATGAAGTTCTTGTATCTACAGAGTCGTAGATGTCTTGAACTAGTATTACGTTTTAATTTATAATTATTTATTAATCATTATTTATTAATTATTTTTGAGCAATAGTATGTATGGATCATTGTAACTGAGATTGGAAGGTACCACCATGTTCTCTCTAATATGTATTTCTGATATGAATAATGGAAATATCAGAAATGAAATCGTTCAAATTTTGAATTGGACTTTTAGATGTGAATCTAATCTTCTCCTCTCTACCTTTCAACAAGGTAATGGCATTTCTATCAAATCTGCCTTGATATTTCAATACATCAAACCAAACATAGAACGCCACGTTATCTGAAAGAACGGTAACTTCAACAGTATTGCTATTTACAAACGTAGCTCCTGTAATTTTCACATTGGATTGAGGTAAGTCCACTTGAGCGAGTGGTGAAAGGAAATGAACATTCTCAGCAATGGTTCTATTTGTCACAGAGTCTTGTAAATTCATATGAACAAAGCAATTATGGGCTAGAAAACAGAAACTCTCTAATATGACAAGTTCTGTCATTTTCACGAATATCATAGTGCCTGATAACGGAGCAACAACAATATTGGGAATTCTAATAGATTGCTTAATGTATCCATCCGAGTAGGTGACAAAATTGATGGTAGCTGTGAGAGATTGCTGCATCAAACTGTCACTTGTCACCACTACCTTAAACCAACCTCCTTGTTCATACGAAAGAATAATAGTCTGTGCAAAAAACTCCTTCACAAAATAATGCATCACTTTCCATTTACCTCCGTATTCTAATGAAGCCCAATCTACTGTTTGCCATATTGAATTTAGTTGCCAATAGAGAGCTCCATGAGTTTGTACATTTGTATCATCTCTCATAGCTCTATAATATTCTGATTGAGCTTTCATGCAGAGTGCTTGTGAACATTGCGAAAGATACACAAAATTCTTAAAATTTCCATACAAGTTATTCATATTGGCTTTGAAATGAACTCCAATTTGAAACAATATTTGTTCAGTGCCTAGAGGATGATGTTGCCGATGATTCATGAGTGTAGAATTGAAAAACCAATCTTGAGGTTGTGTCACTGGTTTGAATGTTTCCAATGAAGCGAACGATTGATGACCATATTCTGACATGAATCTTGCTCTTGGAAAATTATCAACGTTCGTACATATCGTACTATAATCATAATAATGAACATCTCCCAGTTGAGTTCCATAAGGATTGGTCCAATATCCAACGTAGGGATTTTCACTAATAACTCCTTTCGAAGGTGAAGAAGGCCAGAAATTTCTCGATCTATCCACACTTAAAAGCGTTTCTCGAACTGTATCAAAATATAAAACTCCATAATCTACAATATATCTCATCTTGTTCGAGGAAGAAATGATCGGCCCATACCATGTATCACCCCACAAGGATGCCTCATTTTCATTACTTCCACTCCACAAGATAATGGAAGGATGATGCATTAAGCGTGTCACTTGTTGTTCAATTTCTGTTCTCACACTCGAAAGGAATGCATCATCTCTTGGATAGACACTACATGCAAACATGAATTCTTGCCATACCAAAATTCCCTTCTCATCACAATAATCATAAAGAGCATCTCTTTCAAAATTGCCTCCACCCCAAATTCGAAGAGTATTCTGATTAGATTCTAGAAATGAATCTAATACGTTGAATATATCTTGATCTTTCACTCGATCAAGGAATGAATCTGGTGGAATGTAATTGGATCCTTTTGCGAAAATTGGAATTCCATTCACTTGGAAATAAAATGATTTGCTTGGATTGTTCACTGGATCGTCTTTTCCAATTGATTTTTGAATGATTTTAAATTCTCTAAATCCAATTCGCTTACTGAGTGTACTCGTTGCAGCTGATTGAGTGGTTACGGATGCATGAACACTGTAGAGAGGCTGAGATCCATATCCAACTGGATACCACAATTGAACTTGATTGCACTGCAAAGACAATGTGAGCTTATTAGGGCCAGGTGACATTAATGAAATTACTTGAGAGGTCGTACAAGCCACTTGTTCATCCTTTTCAATAGAGACACTTAATTTGACATTTGAAAGTACTGCAATATTGGGAGTTATGACATCTACCAAAAACGTTGAATTGACCACAAAATTGCTGGTCAACAGTGGTTTTAAATTCTTACTCGATGAGGTCGGCATGGATTTTTTCAATTCTACTTCCAAATCTGACGTTGGAAAAATTTCTACTAGAATATCTTTCAAATTGAATGCATTAGAAATGGTAATTAAATTGACATTTTTCCAAATTCCACTATTTCAATTGTTGAATATGAATTTCAATTTCAAATTGGAAGGATAATTTTTGGTCATTCAACTCAAAGATGTAAATTTCTGAATATAAACATACGTTGGTACAAAACACGGACCCCAATCCCATGAAAAGCTGCTTTGTGTTTTTCTAATAAAATTTCTAAATACTTCTCCATGTTGAACCTCTTCATTGTCACTCGAAGGAATTGGATATAAACTTTTTGCAGCTTGATTTTTAACATACTTGACTGGTGATTGAAAATTCAATACCAATACATTATTGGACATGGATCGAATGAATGAAGTTACATCCACAACAAGCTCATGAAACATGTTCACATTAGATCCTATCCATTGATCATTGAGAAAAATGTCACACACAGTATCCAATCCTTTAAATTGTAAATACACTCGATCTCCATTATTTACACTCGTAATAAATTCATTTCGGAATGTCCAATCTTCATACGCGATCCATCTCTGTAACACATCATTGAAACGAAAATATGGATCCCCAATGATATTTCTTTGAAAAAGAATTGTATTCACATAGGCAGGAATTTCAACTTGACATTCATGAATCGACTTGTTTCTATTTTGAATACACCATCCTTTTGAGAGTGAGGTCAATGATGTTGTGGCATCATGATCGGACCACACGTGTGGACGATCCAGTGCATGTTGTTGAATGGTCATTGCGCATGAATGTATGGTGAATGCCATGATCATCATCATTGTAAACAAAACCATCATGATGGCAACAAGTGCATGGTTGTGATGAATGTGTTGTAGCAAACGATGGCCAGCGAACATTTTTTGTGAGATTTACCCGTTGCTGAAAAAAACAAGAATCAAACACTGTTGTATCTGAATCCCTCGCTTGCATTGGGTGAAATAAAATCATGTTGTTGATTCTGTTGATTGAGATCAAAATTTTGACAGACACATTTGCGCAAGAAAAATCCAGTTTTGTAAAACCGACGCTAATTTTTCGAGTGGAGCGAAACGATAAACATGGACCAAAAGTTTTTTCCCTCCTATCAGCAGCGCTGGTGTTGCTAATAAAATGACTCCAAATTTTTCGTAACAACAAAAAAAACTTCCAACACGTGCTCTACTAAAAAAATTTACACACACACTAATACCAAAAAACAACATGCTTCCAACTCGTGCTGACAGCAACAGTACCTCTTCATCTCCTCAAGACGCTGCTGCTCATGCCCTCTCTCACTTGAAAGTCTACAACTGGGACGCATTCGTTCAACAAATGATCTTGTCCGTCGAATCATTGTCCACACAACAACAACAACCACTAACATCCAACACTACTGACAGCACCAAACATCCAACCACCACCATCATTGAAATGATCACTCCTGATCTTGCCACTCTCTCCATGCACTTCACTTTACTCATTCAAATTCGTCGCTACACACGTCATGGTGGATGTGGTTTTTGCACTCGTAGAAATGTTCAGGTGGCAGAAGGTTATAAAAGCTTGTTGCAACTCGGTATTCTTCCCATTATTGTTCATGCTGAGAGTGAAGAGGAAGCGAATCAATTCTTTGCTCAATTCACAACAAATCCTCTATTGGTGAACATGCTTAGAGTCTCAGATTCAGAGTATCAATGGGTCGAACAATTGGTGAGCCATTCTTCTGAAATTTGTCGTCCACTCCGATTGGAAGCCTTGGAGGACATGGGCACTTGGGCCAAACTGCAAATGATCTCTCCATATATGAAGGCCACTCAAGAAGGTTATCAATTTAACAGAGATACAGAAGGAAAGGAATATGCCAAAAACTCAAATCTTCTCGTTCCTAAATTCCTTCTTGTTAAGAACAAGCAAGTGGTGTATGAGTGGGATCAAGCGCTCGGTGATGAAGCACCAGAAATCTTTAAGGATGTCTTGTTTCATCCACACACCACAGTGTGGATTCACATGAATTTGCTTGAGGAATGCAACGAGACGACATTTCCCTACGATCAAATGAAATCAGTTCCACGTTATAGAAAGGTTCCTAAAACATTAGATTTTGAGTTGGTAACCAAGGAACAACAAGAGAAGGAATTTCTAGAAATTCCAAATGTCAAGAAGGATCCTCAGTTGATCAGGGAAAAGCTTGATGCTCTCTTGAAAGATGACACGGATAGAATTCATTTGAAAATATTTGCATGTCAAGAATTCACATTGGAATACTTGTTATTGTGGGAGAATATCCAAGAATACAAGTCACTAGTCTCAACCATGAAAGATGAGAATAGAACCATCACACTCACCAAAGTTGCTCTTCACATCTATAAGAAATTCATTGGCACCGATAATAATTTGTATAATGTCACTCCACTCTATCCCGAGTTAAAGAAGAAGGCTGAAATGATACCAAATGTAGTCTCTCATCCACAATATTTCATGAGTGATGAGTGTGTTAATCTCTTCCTCGAAATTGAGCAATACTTGTTGGATTCTGTATTGTCAGCCATGTATGTGAGATTTTTGAACTCGTCAAGAAACAAGTCCACAAGTTGTAACTTGCAATGATCTTGATGATCAATAAAAATGTTTCTCCTTTTTGTGTTTGCAACTAAATGTTACAACGGTCTCAATAATTATAGATGTCATGAATTTGCATTCTTTGAAGGATCGTAAACGGTATAATCAAGGGTGTTGTGCCACCACAGGAGATGGACTTTATGAAGCTTTGGATTGGATAATCGATGGTTGTAAGGATGACTTTCATCACATCTCCATGCAACCATCCAAGATTGTGGATACAACCAAAGAAAATGCACTTGATACAAGTTAGGCAGAAAAACCATCTCCTCATTTTGGAAAACTGGATTTGGGTCGCCATTTGTAATCCACATGATTATTGTCGTTGGCGCTCTAAATGAATAATCATTTTCAGATAAAAGTTGAAACTCTTCTTGTGTAAGTAGAGAGACTAGACAGGAGGAGGTTGTCACATGTTTTTCATAATTGTTAAAAATATAGTCTGCAGCTATTCCTGGTAAATTCTTAGCGAACACTTGACAGGCGTTAGGAATAATGATATTCTTGGTATCTTCAGATAGTTCCAAACGCGTAAATGCAATCGTGGAAGCGTTGAGATCTGTGTGACGACACATCATTGCCACGCACACACACGTTGTAAACGTTGTTGAGTGACCAAGAAGGCACAGCAATTTATTCATCCGCAAGGACATGGGCCTCATTAATTCCCAACTCTTTGCTAACAATCTTGAACATTTCTAACAAAACGGTTGATATGGCCTCACTGTTTCCGTGGTATGAAATGAATTCACATAAAACCGGGAATAACCTTACAACAAGACCTTGATATCCGTTAAGAGCTGGAGTTTGATGAGTAGAATCAGAGAGCTTGTTAAGCTCACAATAGAGAAGTGGATTCACTCGTATGGCTTTCAATTCGATAAGAGTATTATAAACCTCTTGTCTCCTTGGTTTAGGAAGAGGACAATTTCCACTCCTCTTGTCATCTTGGATAAATTGCGTCAGAATAGATTTACATCTCTTGAACAAAATTGGTAACACTATTTTTCCTAAATCCACCTCAAGTTTTTCCTTCTTTCCAAGTTCGTCTTCTTTCGAATGAACTTGCTCCAATCTTTCAGTAGCTTTAGAAACAAACGAGAATAATGTTTTTAGGGAATGTTTGGCTACCGGTTTTGGAGTTAAATGTGTTGCCTTTTCCAGTATCATCAAAAATCTTCGTTTTACAGAGCTAGAGGCGTTGCTATCTATATTCACCAGAATAAAGTTGGAAATCAAGTTAGTGAGTAAAATACTCTCATCAACATGTTCTTCCTGATCTTCATCACTATCATACTCGTCGTCATCATCATCATCATCATCGTCATCATTTGATTTCAAGTACTTTTCATGGAAAAGGAATGACTCAATGGCTTGGCAAACATCATTCCAGGTGTCTTCGTCGATATCAATAGAAAAACTGCCTTCTGTTTCATCCATACATGATTTGATTACTTTTTCAAAATATTTAACCGATGACTTCCACAAGTAATAGCTCTTTTGATTGTTAAGCTGTTTAACAAACTTGGTTTGCATCATGTCTCCTAACAGTTGAATGCTCGAATGGAACGTCACACGCTTGACCGCAACTGGAGCGTCCAAACAACAGACTTCAATAATTACCTTCTGGAGTAAAACTGCAAACTTAACAGGAGTCTCAATTTGGCCTTTGCGTATAGATTCCTTCGATGGAAGATGATTACGAAGTATCTTGAAAATATGTTCTCTAGTTTGATCTGAAAAGTCAGCGATTTTGTGAACTAATTCCATACATGCTCTTTGAACATGAGATGGAAATATAAGAACGTTCACAGCTGCTTGGCAAGTAAGGAATGGATCAATTAAATAATCAATAACCTTCTCAATATCTTCTTGGGTGAAAATAACATTGTCCAAATTGTCATCATCGATCGTTTGTTTTTTTAGTTGACATTCTTGCTCGTACAGTTTTCCAATTCCCTCAAGGAGAGACGTAATAGTGTCAACGTTAACAAATGATTCCTTCTTCTCTGTTGAAGTTACAAACTTAGAAAAATCAGCAAGTGTGTGCCATACTTCCCAAGCGCCTTTCCAAAGAGATTTCTTAATTTCTCCTCTTGTTGAGCTTATCATATCATACAGGTTTTTAACGGCTGTCATTGCAATTTCTGAGGTTTTGGACAGAACTGACTTGTGAATAAATAACGTAATTTCGTTGCATGCCTTATTGACAAAAAGAGGAATCTCGCTTAAAATATTGTTTCCATGCTCAGAAACAACGCGTGATAAAAAATCGATAACTAAAGCTCGTGTTTCGCTCCATTGTTTTGCTGCTGTATTTCTGCTGTGGTGTACCACAATTTGTTTTTTCTTCTTTTTTGGATCTTCGATTCCCAAATCTAGAGGGCTCGATGTGTTATCTTTCCCTGCTGTGGGTAACTCGGGGTCCTCCAAATTTGTCTCTGCAGACGTTGCAGCCTCATGGGTAAGATCTAAAATTTTGAGAATGATATCTGAGATGCATTTCTCCCATGTCTTTTTCGTGAGTTGATTTCCATGAGAAACGATCACGAATGTAAGGGTTTTAAGAGCTGAATGCCTAACATCTGGCCGACTATCAATAGTTGAATCACGCAACTGTTCATACAGAGTCAACCACAACTCATCAACCCGACTCATGTCTCCTTCATTTTCACCAGCCTCCTTGTCGTCTTGATAAGTGTCTTCGTTTTTAACCTTTGGATATCTTTCTGTTAAAAACTCTGCACTGTTCATAAATAAATTAATTGCTACGAAACTGAGATTCAAGTCTGATGCATCTCTCTGCTTCACATATGCACTGACAACAGTAAAGAATTCAGTAAGGCATTCAAATCCTAAAGTCGGCAACAGCTCTTTGGTTCCAATGGTTTGGACGCATTTAAAACCGAATGGAATAAGTTTAGCTCTGTTGATGTTCGAGTTTGGAGCTGACTTCTTTTTAGAGGTGGGCATTGCTGCGCACTCTTTCAATAAAGGCAGCAGAACCGTCCAGGCAGTAGAAAATTTGTATCCACATTTTTGTAAAATTGTGTTCAGGGTGTTTAAAAGATATTCTCGTGTATCCATAAAATCTGATGATGACTGGAAAATGTCCATAAATATTGTAAACGCAACTCTTTCAAGGTCTGAAGAAACAATGTTTGGATTCTCTAATTCTCCATCTTTGTTTCCAAACCTTGAGCTGAACTTATTATACTCTGGTCGGTACATGGATATTATAACTTCAGAGACACTCGACACAGCAAATTTACGAATTTGTTCGTCCTCATTCTCTATAAGCCATAATATATGAGGAGAAAATACTTGCCATGTTTTGTCCACTCTGTTGATGTTAACTTGAACTGTTTCTACAATTTTCTGTGCAGCAAATAGCCTACTGTTGTCTCCCAACAGTTGGTTGTTGACAGTGTCTTTAGATAATCTACAAAGAGCTTTCAGCATTACCAATAAGGAATCATCGCTTAAATGAGAGGTGCTCATAAATAAGTTTTGCAATGCTGCAAATAAAATATTCAAATCTTCTTGCTCAGTTTCAGAAGCAGAGGTAAATGGTAGTCGTTGTGTTAACAGCTTGTCAATCACCAGGAAGTTTTTCAAAAGCAAATACCAACTACTGCCTAACAATCCGCCCAAACAGTGGGCAATATTGAATAAAATTTTCATCACTAGAACTGATTTTCTATTGAGCTCATCCATTTTGATGATATTCGAATCTGAGCCGCTTGCACTATTGGTGTTCACTTCTGGGGTAGTATAGAAAAGATCACTGGTATTAGAAAAGTTTGAACTGGAATATGTTCGCTTTGAAAGTTTGATTTTTGGAGTAAATTTGCAAAGATTGGTTAAAAAAGCGTCTCTTGGAGCTGAAAGTCCAGTCACTCCGCATGTATGTGTAAATAGCAAGTAATTTCTCAAAATTGACTGAATGTTCTCATCACCATCGCATACTTCAAGTAAAATAAAGAGAGTAGTTAAAGTGGGAGCCCATACAATATCGACAAATACGGAGCAAATCGCTCTATTTTCCATCAACTCATGACTCACATCTTCATTTTCTTCGGTTTCGTTTCGTTTCGTCACTCCCGATAATTTCTGTATTCCTGCCATAGTACTCAATGAAATGATAAGACCAGAAATGCATTCTAGACATACTCCAACACTTTCCGATAAAGCAGGAGTATAACTTGATTTATCTAGAAGCGTATCTAATCTGGTTGTATGTTTTTGATTAAGGTCAAGTGATAATTTTGCGGACAAGCTACTAATTCCAGGATTGTTTTGAGAAGGTGATCTCTCGGCACTAATTAAGTCTTGAGGAGTGCCAGGAGTGGAAGTTGAATTATAATTTAGTAATTGTTGGACATAAAGTGTTACTGAGCTAGCAAGTTTGGCAATAATATGGTTTTCAGAAGTAATGATGTTGAGTGTAGAGGTAATGTATCTGTGAATGTACAAGAGGAGATCATAGTCATAGAAAATTGTTTTAACGACTTCCAAAGCAAGGAGCTTGTTGCAAGCGTTATTACTTGGTTTCTCTATTGTTTCTTTTAAATGTAGGCAAACCATCATTAAAAAGCTGTCATACGGTAATACTGCTCCCAATGCGTGCAAAACGGAGCAAGTGATTTTATAAACTCGTAACGAATGTGAAAATGAGATAGAGTTTGTTCCGGATAAAATGTTGCTTAAATTGTTGGAAATGTAAGGACAAATTAATTGATCAATCATTTTCTTAAATTGTGTGAGCTATGTTGATCCATGAGAGATCATTTTGAATAAAATTAAATAAAAAACTTACATTTCGGAACATTTTTCCATAATTTGCAATAATTGAGTCCAGTAGCTCTAAAGTGAAATTATTGTCAACACCAGATATTCCTAACCATTGACCTGGCTCCCCGTCCATCATTGTACACAAATCCTTGAAATAAAGCACAGAATTTTTGAAGGAGTTTGATTCTTCATCGATTTTTTCTTGGTCATTATTATTGTCTTCTGTTTTGGGCCGAAGAAATTCAAATATTGCACTTGTAGCTTGTCTTATCGTTGCCTTTGCTGTCATGTCAACATTGAGACTTTTTGATCCATTCAATGAATAACATAATTTTAGTAACTTGGATAGAGTGGCTTGGCTTATTTCATAGCCTCCTCGTGCCGTAAAAATCGCCAAAACCAGTTGTAAGATTTTTAGTAGTACTGATTCTTCTGTGCTTGTTTGATGCCCGAGACGTGATACCGTTTCCACAATGATATTTAGCCCGGCCTGCATTGACAAGAAATGAAGTTATTGGTAATAACGAAGGAGTTCGTGAATATTGACACCATCCATTTTGAATGACTTGACATACCTCTGGTACTGCATTGTGAAGAAGTATTTGGTGTAGAGAAGAAAGTGCAATGACGATGAGTTTAGTGTTTTTGCTTTCACATGCAATTAGAAATGGTTTTACGATTTCCTCGTTGCTGCTCTTGATATCTGTTGATGATATTCCGATTGAGTTTTTTCATGAATATGAGTAACAGGACCGTTCAACAACAACAAGAGTACCTACATTGCACAACCTGATCCGAAGAAATTGTCTGCTCCTCCAAGCGTTCTTGAATCGAGCGTAGCTGCCTCACTCCACGGTCAGCAGCTTCCTTTATAACAGGAAATTTGTGTTGAGCCTCCACGGAAAGAGATCGCAACTCGCTTTGAAGAACTTTCAGCAGTGGGTTGCTCATGATGATATTTTTTAAAATATGGGTGATTTTATTATTAAATTTAATAATCACGAAATAATTTTAGTTAATTAATTTATTGTTTGTGTCAAAATTGTTGTTTCAATCACTGAATGAAAGATGTACCTCTTTTGTGCTACAAAAAAAACCCATCGGTTTCTAGTAATTTCTTGAGCGACATGCACACATTGATGAGCGTATTGTATTTACAAGATAAGGTCTCATAGATACCAATCAAATTGGAATTGGGGTTTGGTACGATCAAAAGTCCTTCATCCATCAAATGGCTCATGCCTTGTGATGAATTGTTTTCCAATTGTGTAAGGATGGAAATGGCTTGTTTGGGTGAATTCAAGAATGAAATGATCATCGAGTCACTACGTTTGAGTTGCATCAATGTTTCACGGTGATTGCAATGGTGTTTGTTGGGAATTAAGTTTTCAATCAGTTTTACACATACGGCTTCATAAGTGTCAATCAGCATGTCAAGAAAAGAGTCTATCTCGTGCATTCCTCTCATCTTAAAATTTGTCTTGATGCATTGAAGCAAACTCGAAAGTTTGTTTTCAAAGTAGCATCCTCCAGAAATGATTGCAATGGTTGGCAGGTTAGAATCTTGTGTTAGGAATTTGAACGAGTTGGTAAGATAGCGTAGTAATTTGAAAAATAAGTATCGGTAAGTCTCTGCTAGTGACTCCATTGGTGCTCGAATTAATACAGAATGTGAAAAGGGAGAAATCGGGTCATTGGGTTCTAAAAACAGCACATGTTTCATGGGACCGAGTGCCAATTGTTTGATGGATTGGCAAGTAAAAATATGGTCTGTCAAATCCAAATGAGAGTACTTTCCCAAGCTTAATAGTTCATGTCGTCTTGAGTCATTGTTGTATCTCGTAATGGAATGTATCAACAAAGGAATCACTTTAAATGTCTCACATATTCGATCAATATCTGTAACATGATGAGCACAGAGAATGTTTCTCTTTGCCAAAGCCAACACGAGCATTTCATCTAGAATATCTTCAGACAATACTACGTTAATGTTATTCCTTTCAAGTATATCAATGAAATTCTCAATGTCATGCGATAAAGATGTTTTCAAGGATATGTAATCAATTTGAATGTCAATTTCAACATTCTTATTGGAGAGCTCAACTTGCTTCAAAGAGAGGCATTTGATACCGTTCTTTGCAAAGGAAAACGTCTTTGAATGGATAACAGATGATTCTCCAATAAGAATTCCCGGTAATATTTTGCAAGAGCTTTCTGTACTGGCAAAAGGAATTGCATGAACGAAAAACTCGAACCTTTCTCGGCTCGCTGAAATCTTGTAAATTTCAGGCATGTCCATGGTGCTCAACCAGTTAATCATCAAACAAGATAAAGTGTGAGCAATAGAAGAACTAACATGAGGAATTAAATAGGTATAGCAAATATTGTACAAGGTGTCCTCTGGATTTTCAAATGGATCTACACATTCACACGAATTAATCAATTCAGGTAAAATAATTTCTGGTAGTAATATTTGTACAAAATATGAGATGGACTTGGAAAGACCTCTTTGAAATTTCATCCATGCACATGGATTTTGAAAATTGCTCTTTTCTCTCTGTACTCTTGTGACGAGAGAGTATAGACATGTTGTGAAAATGCCACAATGATCGTTCACATCAGTAAGATGTTGTTGAATTAAATTTTGAATGAGTAAATAGTAATATTCTTCACTCCCTGTTAAATTTCCAAAATTAACAAAACCTTTTCCTCCTTTCGGTTGAGTGCTTATAATTTCTTGTTTCTTTGTTTCAATCCTCTCCTTAAATGTTTCAAATAAAAAGTATGGACTCTTGGTAAAATGAAATTGATTGGGAAATCGAGGATGTTGTATCATTTTCGAATTACTGAGAACAGGTCCAATAATATGCTCTAATTGTTGTTGTAGTAGCCTGAATAGAGACATGTTGATATTTTCCTCAAATCGTGATACAATTTGTTGATCCAGTAAATAATTAGATTTCATCATGTATTCATTCCAATCCAGTGGATCACATTTCCTTTTTGCTACATGATCCTCTTCACTTTCATCGTGACTGCCTTCCGATTCTTCGGAGGTTTCCTCCCTCGTACCAGTACACTGGGTGTTGTATGCTGTTGTTGCAAGCATGTCATCCATTTTTTTTTGATACAACTGAATGCTTTTATATTTATTTCATCATTGATTAGTTATATCTACTGCAGTTTCATTTGCATAAATGGCTTGAAATTACCACTCAAAAAGAGCTTCCACGTGATTAGGATTCATTGTGAGTCTCTTCTTCTTTTCCTCAATTAAAGTTTCAATGTCTGAAATGGATCTCTGAGGAGATGCTTTTCGAGGCGATGATAACAACGGAGAGGAAGTCATAAATATTGGAGTTTCAGGGAGAGGACGTTCCTTAAGTGGTTTTCCAACCAATTGAAATTGCGAGGTTGTAGTCAACTCTTTGGTTTGATCTTGTTGTAAGGTTTGCTCAATCGATTCCTTCTTTTCATGTTTAATCTTTTGTAATATGAGGTCTGTGTGAATGTTTTTCAAGTTAGTGTGATTGTCATTCGAAGAATTCTTGGAAAGATTTGGTGAGGATTGTGAAAATGGAGATGTTGTCAGTCTCATCGATTGTCGTTCTTGTTTGATCATACTCTCTAACTGTTCTAATTGTTTCATTTCTTCCTCTCTCAATAATTTCAATAATTGTTGTAATCGATTTTCTTCTGTGTCTGTCCAAGACATGGATTCTGCCATGTCCTTATATGTAGGAGTCACCATGATACTCTTTCTCTTATGTAGCTCAAAAGCTTCCTTAAACAAATCTGTTTGTTTCATGTCACTTTCCATTTTGAGAAGAATCCTTTGGAATCGCTTATTAAAATCAGCGTGTTGGGAGTGATGGTGGAGTTTAAAATGTCGTTTCACATGCCGTGTGTTGTGTTGAGAAGGAGATGTTGACTTGTCATTGGATTGCAAATCTTCAAAGCTCTTGATGGTTTTTCGGACTTCATGTTTCATGGTTGAATGATTTTTCACAGAAGCAGGAGGAGGATTTTGAAAAGATGGAGAAGACGCTTTTTGAGTCGAAGCTTGAGGTATGCTCGATTGTTTTTCAAAGAGAGCAATTTTGTTCTTTGCTGTATTAACATTGGAAGAGTAGGAAACTGTATGGCGTTTGTTGTTGTGCTGAGCTGAGGAGAGAGACTTCGAATTGGTGACAGTGAATGACTCATTCTGGGTTGGACTAGAGTCGAATTTCTTGGACAAATGGGCCACTCGTGTTGATGATGGTGATGATGAATTATTCGTACGAATATCGCGCTGAGGAATCATCTTGTGGTTAATTTTTTGAAAATAACCATGATCACTTTTTAAGCGGAGTCATGTTTCACTTTTCCGACAATCGAGAATCCTTGAAAACGCCATGACTTGGTGTGGATGAAGAAGCGGCCAGCAACACCTTCACAAGCTCTCCTGGCCATTCTTGTCAATGCAGTTCCACCTATTCCTCATCTGCCTCTTCTTCTTCTTGTGTTTCCGATGGCCATAGCGTTAAGCCATCTCTCAACAATTGCATGATGAGAGTGGTGTCTTTATAGGAATCTTCTGTGAGTGTATCCAACTCATTCAGAGCCTCATCAAACGCTTCTTTTGCAATATTGCATGCTTGATGTGGCATGTTCATAATCTCATAATAAAACACAGAAAGGTTGAGAGCTAATCCCAACCTCAGAGGATGACTTGCTGGAATGCTCTTTGTTGAAATTGCTTTCTTGTATGATTCCAAGGCGAGTTGAGAGTGGTATGAAAATTCATCTCCTCTTTTAGTTTCTGCCAAATATCGATGATAATCTCCTTTCATTTTGTAATAGAATATCATGGCTTCTCCGTCTTCTTCATCATTACGTGTAGCACTTGGTATTAAATAACGATCCAACAAGTCAAATAATTCATGACAAATTTCCTTAATTTCATTCTCAATGTTTTGTTGATAGAGTTGTGCTAATTCCAACTGATGGAATTCCTTCTTGTCTGTTAATTTCTCACAGATACTATTCGTGATTCTCCATGATAAACGTTTTGAACCCATCACGTTTTTATAGGCAATGGAAAACATGTTTCTTTCTTCCGTAGATAATTCGGAATCAAGTTCAATAATTTTTTTCATAATCACTCGCATATCTAGAGTTGATGAATTGAACGAATATAACAACATTCATGGATCCGTTAACATGGTATTTGTTTTTTGAAAATATAATTTGAATGAATATAAAAACACACCATCATAACATTCTGCCAATTCCAATAATTTTGCTTCATAAATTAATTCTTCTCTGGATTCTTCTTGACGAATGGTAACCGAACCGAAAGACCAATCATGGTCACTCCACTCTTCCGAGATCATTTTTATCATCATGATGTCGTGCGTGTCCACTCATTCCAATCATAAAAAATGATTAGAGGTCAACTCAAACATCTCACCCTCTCTCATCAGCAACAACCATCATCCGATGATGATGACCATAGCGGTAGTAGTGGTTCTGATCAATCCAACCACTCATTGTATGTTTCAACCTTCAAACCATTACCAACCATGATGACATCATCGGGAGAGAGTTCTACTGCTACGACTACTTCTTCACTTTTCAAATTTTCACAACCATCACCTACTTCTTCTCCGACAACGAGTTCGGGTGGACCTTTCTCTTCAAATTTTGGAAAATCATCCATCATGAATATGCATCAAAATTCTACAAAATCATATCTTGGTAAAACAAACACGAACCAGCAACAAGCATCATTATCGTTTTTTACAAGTTCTTCTTCTCCTTCTCAAAATGCCATTAACAGAAAAAACAATTCGTCACACTCGTCGTCATCCTCCTCCTCGTCGCTCAATTTACCAATTAATTTTTCAATTCCTCCCATTCGTGGAGCCAATGTTTTTAGAAGAAATTGGAGAAGTTCTAGTGGTGGATTTCTTTGTAATTTATCCTATATTGTGTTGGGAATTGTGTTTATTCTTTCATTGTTTACATTTTTTGTATTTATTTACTATACCATGACAAGAAATAGAAGTGTGAATAGAACCATGGACATGTCCAATGCAGGAGTCACAGGTGATATTCAAGGAAAATTATATCAACTCGAAAAACATTCCGTGTTGCGGGGTGTGGACGAGTTCTTTAAATTGCTGCACAAAAAAAATTCACACCATTTAGGATCAGTGCCATTGGAGGAAGGATACAACAAGTTATTTGAGCATGAACAAGCAGATATAAAGACATCAAAAGTAGATAAGCTTAGTATTGCCATGCAAAAGGAAATGGAAAATGTTAGAATTTTCTATACTGAAAATCCAATTCAGAAAGTATTTGTGGGAATTGTGAATGACCATACTCAACTATTGAGCACATTGATACTTGCAAAGCAAGAGAAATTAATTCCACAACATATGGCTCTTCCAATTCTGCATTTGGATTCTCATTCTGGTCACAAAATTTTACAAAGCTCTAAACTTTTAAAATTGACCTTAAAATCGAAAAAGAGAACAATTTCAAAGATTGAAAAATTGTTGAATGCAGAAAATTTCATCTCAACATGCCAATACTATAATCTCATTGGAGGTCATGTCATTTGGGTTCACAACGATTGGACAGGAACTAAATTTGCTTTACCACGTGGAAGACATATCGCAGTTATGGGACGAAGAGGAGATCCAAAGAGAGGCAAATCCAAAATTTGTTACAAGAAAATGAGAGGAATCTTTTGGGATGGAACTCTTAGCGATTTAACATTTGAAACAACAATGAATTCAGAGGGGAAAATTTATGTGAATGAAAAAACGACTTGCACGCGTACTGAATTACTCGTTAAGCCCAAACATGTACGATGGGATGTTTACTCTATTGATCAAATAGCAAGATTGAACACTCGAATTTTCAACAATACTCCATATATTCTTCATGTGAACGAAGATTTTTTCACAGCACAAGATCCACTCATTAACACTCTCTTACCTCATGCTGAATATGGTCATTTATTTGACATGCTTGCTAAATTGGTGTCACCAAAGAAAATTTGTTATCAAAAAGCAATACCAATTCCAACAAAAGAAGACGAAAACACTCAACTCACGAATGAGGAGCAAAATAGAGATTGGATTTCAAAAATTTTAGATGAAATGTTTTTCAGAGGTCTCGTATTCGAATCAGATGGAATTCGAGCTCCACAAAATTCTCTTTACAGTCCTAATTTGTTAGATATGTGGTGTGAAGGTCCACATGCAGCTCTCGAAGAGTTACGAAAACTTAACAAACTTGTTCTAATCATGCTTGACAATATTCCTTATTATGTCTTGTCACTATTGAGATACGAATATGAATTTCCATCAGTTCGACCATATTGTGCTGTGAATAATTTATTTGGAATTTGTCCTTCTGCAAGTGTAAGTATATCATGTTGGAAAAATTTTAATTAACAATTTTATTATAGACACCATCTCACCCATCCACAGATGTGGAAATTAGAAGATCCTCTAATTATTTGAAAGATATTGTTGTTAGAGAAGGTCGACCAGCTATTATTATTATTTCTAGATCGAACAGAGATAAACTCGTAGATGTTGATAAATTTTACGATACTGAGCACATGTTGTTGAGTGCTATTGAACGAGCATTGAGTCCGACACCTCCACTGATTCACTATTTGAGTGGAGCTATTCCAGCTCAAGAACCAGAGAAACAAAATGATCAAACAGGAGTTTATCAACAAGAAATGGCTATTTTAGAAAATATTGTTGAAAATGAAATGACTGATTTCACACCATATTACAATTTAATTATTGACAGGATGCAGAAATTTAGCCAGCTGAAGAAGTTTATCAAAGATAAGGACCTCACAGTGAATGAGCTTTTTACAGAAGGCCAAGAGTTATTGCATGAGTTTATACAACAAACCAAAGACAAAATTGGGTTTGAAAATCCAATTATGAAAACTCCATATCAACCAAAAAAGTCACGAGTGAAAATTTGCATGAATTTGATTGGAGTTAAAAAATTGATTCCCAATTTATTGAAATGTTTATTACCCAGATCGCGACAAGAAAAGCGGGTAGTCTTCTTGGTCTCAGAACATTTGGTAGAAACTCAGGAAGAATTTAGACAGGTTATTTCTACGGATACTCAAATTTCAAAAGTCAGCGATCAAGTGAAACAAAATACTTTTGTGTTATTAATGGACTTGGGTTGTGACAACCTCAATAGAGTTTTGATTCAATCGGAGAAGGGCCTCGCCAAGTATTTCAGCAACATGCAACAGACTGTAGACGGTAAAATTGTTAATGACATTGCACAGGGCCACCTAAACATTTGTTCTTCGAAAGCAAAGTAAAAGAATTGTTATCTTCTGACCATGGCATGATTTTGTGACAGTTTCAGTTTGGCTTTCAGTTTGGCATCCTTTAGCTTTTTGGTTTTGATCCTTTTCAATCTACAAAACTCTTCTCTTTCTTGTTCAGCGAGCTCCTCAAGTACATAAGCAATCGTATTTTGAATTTTGGGTTGAACAACCATCTGAATTGCGTTCATACGACGATTAGTTGCTTTGATAGTCCTATCAAGGATGAGAAATCTACTTTGTAATGAAGCTAGTACAATAAGCTTTTCCAATGTTTGATGAAATACATTTTTGCAATTTTCAATTTCAAAACAACCTCGTGAAATGATTGGCCTATTCTTGGTTTTGTTACGATCTTCAGGTTTGCTGAGAGCAATGCATGGTTGTTCCTTTTCAAATTGTGGGATCTGACATCCTAAAACGTTCTCCATGTTCACTTGAACTCTAGAAGCACTCTTTCTAATACTCGCCATCACCGCTAAAGAAATGTCTCCTCCAGCAGCATATTTAGCTTCAGTAAGTGAAAAAAAGCTCGTTCTAAATAAGTTTGGAAGATTCTCTTTGCATTCCTTGATTTCCTTGAGGGTAGCTTGGAATTTGTCCGTCAGTCCTTGTGATTTTTGTTTCAATAAAGAGTGACCTTTCTTGACCAGCTCCAATCTCTTTTGCATTTGTTCCAATGATAGTCTACTTGGTAGAACTGGCAGTCTGTTGTTGCTTTGGTTTGACATTGACCTTTTTTTTGTTGTTTGGGAACATGAACGTTCTACAGAGTTCTTTTTATAGTTTGAGCTAGGCTTCTTTGCAACCACCAAAAAACGGATCTTTGTGTCAAAGTAGTAGCTGTTCCTTGTATGGAAGTTTATCCAAACACATGAATGGGAAAGTTCTGCAACAATCATGGCCATGAATCATAAAGAGAGAAAAGCAACTGGCTATTCCTTTTTCTTCTTCTTTCTTGCCACTCTTGCCGTGATACCATCGTCATCTTCATCTTTCTTTCTCTTCTTTTCATCTTCATTGCTTTCTTTCTTCTTTGATTTTTCTTTCTTCTTTTCCTTCTTCTCTTTTTTTTCCTTTTTTTCTTTCTTGTCGCTTGTTTTCTCTGGTTGCTTGTCGCTAGACGCTGCTTTAGAAGGTTCTGTTGTGTCAGAAGAGGGTTTCGACGAGCTTGTTGCAGCAGAAGTGGACGTTGTTGTTGTTGTTGATGATGAAGATGATGCGGCTGGTTTTGGTGGTTCCAGCTCGGGGCATAAAGATCTAACCTTTTTCATCAAATCTGTTTTTGTAGGCCATATTGACTTCAATTCCTTCAAGAAGGTATCCACTTCCTTCTTTTTATCACTTTCTTCCTCGGCTTTTTTCTTGCCCGCTGTCTCACCGTTTGGTTTCAAAATCTTTCTAATAATTGTTCGCATTAAATCGTTAGTTTCTTGTGAATTGATTAATCGAGCCCCTTCTAAATCTCTGACCTTTTCCCGAAGTGTAATATAATTCTCGGCTGAATAAGAAAGTGCCTCCCCTTTTTGGCCCTTTCTTTCTAAACATTCATTCATATCCTTGAATAAACTCTTTTTTAGCCTATCCTTCAATGTTTGTATCTCAACAGGATGTTGACCAGCTTCATATTCCTGAATCAGTGCTTTCATTCTCTCCTTAATCGTTTTTGGCCCAAAATTAAGCGGCGGTATCTTTTGCAACCGTCTCAGCAATGTGTTGGGAACACCTTTCTTGTAATACTTCATTCTTTCCATGGCCAACTTTTTAAGGCCCTCATTAAGCTCTATTGGTATTGTTTTGTATGTTTTTGTATTATCAAAACCTTTTTCTGTGGCTAAATCTTGTAATTCTTGGATAGCTTTTTCAATATCTTCAGGGAATTTTTTGGTTGCGGAGTCGTCTTCTGATAGAGATTCTTCACCACCAGAGTCGTCAGAGCTATCCTCCTCCTCGTCTTCAATTTTCTTTTTGTCTCCTTTCTTTTTGAGAGTAAAACTTGGTGCTGTTGCTTGATATTCTGATGGAGGTAGCATTGGAATGTCTGTCATCAAGTCATACTCAGTGTCATCAATCCATGAATCGTCACTGTCGTATTCATCGTCACGTTTTTTTCGTTCTTTTTCAGGTTTTTTCTTCTTGCTAGATTCAGAGCTGGTTTTTCTCGTCTGTTCATGCATTGTCAACTGATTTTTAAGCATTCTTTCTCTCTGTGTAATGCTGTGAATAACAGAATTCAACTTGGAGAATGGTGCTCCTGAATCATCTAACCAATCTAAATCCTCAGCAATTCTTCTTCTTCCTTCCTCATCACCAAATGATACTTGTTTTAGTTTCTCTTCAAGAAGGGTGTTCTTTTTGAGCCTTTTCCTTGTCTTTTCAACTGCATCTTCATCCTCAGTGCTAGAGTCCTCTGTTGCAAATACTACTTCTTCTTCACTATCATCGTCAATGGTTCGTTGTTTAGTAATATCTTCTCCATCAGCTTCGTTTGGTTTCAATTTTGGCTGTAGCGATTTCATTGTAGAGTCTGCTGCTCCGTTTGTTTGATCCGCATTTTCTACAGCTCCTCCTTTTGATAGTTCCGATCCTGACAATGCTACTTCATCTTCACTATCATCAATCACTTTCTTGTCATTATTGGGTTTTTTCTTTTTTATACCAAGCACTTTCTTTGTTTTGGCCATCAATTCCTCAAAATTAACAACACATGTTTGAAAAGCACTCGCTCTCGGATCCTCATAAGACTCAAAATCAATAGGTTGAAGAGGAACATAAAATCGCAAGGAAGTCACTGGCCGTTCTTTGGTTTGATTGCCAAAAGACATTTTTTTCAAAATTTAAAAAAGCGCACTTTGCTGTGTAACGAATTTTTTGGGTGTTGTTGTGGTTGAACTTTTTGGATTGATCTTTCCAAGGTCATTATGGAAACCTGGACCGTCCATCGACATTGGTTGGCTTTGACTTGGTCAATGAATAAAGGGATGTTTTGAAAATGTGAAAGGAATTGGAAGGAACATTCCAACAAAAGAAAAAATGCAGACATCATTGTTGCTGTTTCATTCAAGCGTATTTTGGCTAGCTTTCCTAATTTTATCGGTGTCGAACAGTTTTCTCCGTAGTAATGTGTATGAGCCTCTGGCAGGTGAATTATGGTCTCATATCTTTGCTACCATTTCTTTCATTCTCATCAATTTGATGATCATTTATTACTTTTTTGTACAAAAGAGGAAATTTAAAAATCAAGCTTTAAAACAAGAGGAAGCCAATACATCCCATCAGGTGTTTTCCTTTGAGAGGAAGCGAAATATGTTTTTGATCGGCATTTGGTGGTTATTATTATCAGTCTTATTTGAGTTGTTCATTGGGTGGCTGCGAGGATTGGATGGCTTGTCTCAGTCGGAGAGATTTTCTTGGCTGAGTTTTCTCTCGGTTTACCGATGGGCTAAGAGTCATGTTGTTATTTTGCTTATTGTAGTTCAATTAATTTTCCCTGTATTAATTGGTACATTGGTTTTGAGAATGGATCATAAGAGGGAACTCATCGCTAGAGATTTAAGAGCAAACAAGACAAAGTAATATTTCACACTAATTTATTTGAGCCACATATTACAAAGAATTATTCGTATGAATGCAAAAATTCATCATAATTTTGTTTTTGAGGAGGAACATTCATGGTGGCCAAAGAAAATAATCGCATAATTTAATTCATTTTGTCCATAAAGATACAACACTCATTTACGCTTCAATTGTTGATAATAATCTGGAAAGAATAGCTCTTTGAGGTGATGGAGTGTGAAATCGATACCCAATGTTGAAACTAGACACAGTAAATGGGTAAACCAAAATACTGGTGATTGAGCACACGAGTACCAAATGTTATAGAGCGGAGCAGTTTCAGCTGCCGCATACAACAAATTAAATCCATAAAATGTCGCAAAGGAAAAGGCCATTGCGAAATGGTGAAATGGTGTCACATACTCAAATTCAAGATAACATTTCAAATTCATAACCATGAAACTACACGAGTTGACAAGAACTGTCTTCATCCAAAGCCCATCATCTTTGCCATTTGTCAAAATGCTTCGCTCTGTTCCATATATGCACACGAAAAAAATGATAATGACATGAATAATTCCTCCTCCTATCCATTTCACAAATGTATAAAGGTTAAATACATTTTCCTTTCTTAGAGATGACAGTAGTTTTGGTCCAACTTTTGAATCTTGTAAATAACTCTCGGAAATATCTTTTTCAAATAATCCAAAACTTAGAGGATTAAGTTGTTGAAAAAACAGCGTCGTAAAAATTACAACAAAATCTTCAGTGAGTGCTTGTCCTGAAAATCTTGTAAAGAATGAATATAGGACCTGAATAAAAACAATTCCTAAATTCATGTAAATGTAGTAATTGATGAAAGTTGCAATTCTCTTCAAAGAGTATCTTCCATGAACTGCAATTAATCGTTTTAACATTCGAAATTTAGGAACTGCAAAGTCTGAAGACATCTTGGCTTGATTTCCTTCTTTGCCAATAACTCCAACGCCTACATTTGCTTTTTGAATCATTGGAACTACAACAAATGTTACCACTGTTAGCCAAAAAAACAATACGTACCATCATTTGCTCCATCACCAATTGCGAGAACTCTCTTTTTCAATTCTCTTCGTGCAAAAGTGACTAGTTGCGATTTTTGTTTTGGTGTTGATCGGCAAAAAATGACATTAGTGCACTTCTTGATTAGCTCTTTGAAAAGAGCAAGTGGTTCGTCTAAACAATGTGAAAACGCTTTCCCATCCAATACTAACGTCACATTCTTGGTTTGATGTTGCGATAGTTTTGCTATTTCTGCCAAATATTCGGATATAACCTTTGCACACACTTCGCTCCCGGAAATCAGCCCATTGTCTCCGTCAAGAGTGAATGTCACGGAATTCTCGTTCAGCATACCTGCCATTCCTGCCGTCTTGACCGCAGTCTCTCGTTTATCACCTGTAAGCATCCAAATTTGAATACCAGAATCCATAAAGAATTTTATGGTGGATGGAACTTCATCTTGTAAAATGTCCTCAATTGCAGTGCATCCCACAAATATCAAATCTTTTTCAAGGTCTTTTTCACACTTGTCCATTGCTTGTTTTCTAGCGGTATCTAGAACTAAAGATTTTGCTGCATTATATCTTATATTCCATTCTTGGAATGTCTCCTTAGACAAGAGCTTATAGCACAGCAGCAAGGTTCGAAGGCCTTCGCTTGCAAAAGTTGATGACTGTTCATCAATGTTCGACTGAATTGGCTGTCTATTGGCCTGTTCAAGAAGTGGATATAAAAAAGAATCTGCTCCTTTGGTGAAACAAGCAATGACGCCATCATTGTCAGCACAAATATCTTCTTCACATTGGCCAATGCAAATTCTCTCGAATATTGGAAAGTCTTTAAGGAACTCCTGCGAAATTTTGAATACCGTCGTCATTCTCTTTCGTTCTGGAGTAAATGGTATCTCTGATAATCTTTCAAAAGAATATTCCTTATTGAATACTTTTAACACAGTTTTCTTGTCTGACATGAAAACAAGAGAAAATTGGTTATTCAAGGCTCCCAATACAAGTGCCACTTCATCCACACTCTCGCCTTCGAAAGTAACTTCATGTGTTTTCTCTCCATTGTCACGAGTATGTTTGACAGGTCTAACAGAAACATTATGACATAAAGACATAGTTAGTAACGTCATAATTGAGAAGAAGAATTGTTCTTCAGTCATAGGGGGCCTTTCAGTGAGTCCATTATCAGTGTAATCGAGTGGTTTTTCCTGACAGATTGGGATGTGGTTTTTAAAAGACTCTATCGTTTCCCCTAAGCTTCCTTTTTCATTATTACTATCACAAAATACTTGCAAATCCCTTCCTATGGCAGCCTTTTTGAACACCATCAAATTTTCGGTCAATGTTCCGGTCTTATCTGAAAATATCATGTCGATTTTAGAGAGGTCACAGTTCAAATCGCTAGAAATGGCAATAGAGGAAATAAATTTTGAATCTGCATTTTCCTTGTTGATACTTTCCACATTGGAATCGTTAGACCGTTCAACAATAGCCATTTCATTGTCCATTGAAATAAACCAAGCGTGTAGGGCCTTTACCAATTCAAAAGAGACAAGTAATGACACTGGAATAAAGTGAGCAAAACTAATGATATACGTGAGAAATGACATGATGGCAACTACGGCAATACTTTCGCTTCCAGACTTTGGTGTACCTAGATAATAATATGGATTTGAAAACTCTAGATATGTTTTAGCAATCGTGTAGGCCAAGCAAAATGAAATTTGCACGCCAAACATAATGCCAACCGTAACGTTCAGCATTTTGTTGACATAACTGAATTTCACGATCGATTTGTTCATATTTTTCATTGCCTTCGTATCTTCTCCTGTGTAAACAACGAGACCAAATATCCATTCTGTTTTCAATTTGCATCCCTTCAACAGTAAATTAAGATGCGATAATGGAATCTCTTGTTTTTCATTCTCTAAGTAAATGGCTCCGCTGAATTTGTACAAGTGTTCATTAGGTTTTTGACACTTGATCTGGCCTTTCAAATTTAAAAGAGATTCTATCGAATTGTAAACCTGTGACCACTTGGGAGAATATCTAGACTTTAACGAAGACTCTCCATCGAGGTTGGCGGTCTCAATTTTACAGCTTGAATCTTCTTGACTTGAGCCTACTAAAAGAATATCTGCAGGTAATATATCGTCTTGCTCCACTTTTACAATGTCACCAACCTTGACGTCACAAGTATGTATTTTACAAAATATTCCTTCTCTCAACGCATAGGTGTGACGAAAATTCACCCTGCGATCATTTAGGTAGCGAAGAAAGTCCTCTCCTCCTTCTCGTATCATATTCACAGAGATGATAAAAATTACAGGAAGAATGATGAGAGGGACTGGTATCGTGACCACACCCGGAATCAGAGAAATAATCATCTGGAAAACGAAATAAATGGTTCCGACTCTTGTGTTTTTTGAGCAATCAAGTGGTCATGAAATACAAACCTTCTACATTGATGAAATAGATTTAACACTGGAAAATTCCACCAAGTGTACTGTATGTTAAATTTCATGTCAACAACCCATACATAGATGCAAATAATTTCACTGAAACACAAACCTTCGTTGTTTTTACAGTGTTGGAAGGAAATCTCTTCACTTTAAATCCAAGATACCCCTTTTTAGTTTGTTTGGAATTCCAGTTCCAATCATTAATTCTCACCTGATGTTCATCTTGAGCAAACTCGTTTACCTCTTTCATAACATCTCGCTCTTCACTGATATTTAAAAGCTCAGTAGAAGACCCCTCTCTTGGCATGCTCAACAAGGACACATCCGAGATGCTTGTTTGCACAACGGTTGAAGCTGAAATGGAATGAGAAAGCATCTGACCCAATTTTTTGTTGCTTTCGTATGATCATTTTGAGAAAAACCATTTCGTCATTTGAAAATGGATCCTAGTGGAAATGATCAGTTCTCGAAATTGTCTAGACATTGCTCCATCATCAATTTCCATTTCATCAACATGAACCGTAATTCCTAACGACCCAATATATTACTTTTTAAATGATAACATCAAGTGTAATGTCCATTAACCATGACGCTAGGCATCTTTCATATGATGGCTTTTGTTCAAAAAGGAGCCTAAAAAATATCTATTTTTTTACTCTGCCGTTTTCTTGTCTAATTCGGTTCGGGTTGAACGAGATCACTGGTTCATTAACTCCATTCATTTGCTCATAGCTGGATATCAATCCAACTATTTCTTCTTGTTAAATATATTCCAACGAAAGAAAATTGTGAATCTCTAAAAAGATGAATAAGAACACAGAAATGTCATCAACCCATGGCATTAATACATCATCTCCGCCATCCTCATCATCGCTAATTCCAACATCACTTCGCGAAGAATTTGTGAACAACAATGATGAATTTGTTGGTGATGATGATGGAGGTGATATTTCTCCCCCACCTCTCGCTTCTAATCCCACAACCATGATGGAACATACAACTTGTGATACTTCCTGTAATAATAATAATACTAACAAACATCAACATCCACAACTATCACTTTTTACTTCAAGCGTTCGTCATGTCAATGCCTCTCCTTGTTACAGTGGTAACGGAAACAACATCAACAATATCGGCTCTAATATCACCATCAACACAAGCAATGGAGGAAGTCGATCCTCATCAACAGTGGCATCTCCACAACAAGAAAATTGGTATTGGATTGAAAGTGTCGATTTCACAGTTGGTGAACAACTACCAGTGGATGAAGGAAATACTGTAGATTACAAATTGACTGTTTTTAGTGATTATATGAATTTCAAAACAACAAGCAAGGAAGAATCACAAAAATTAGAGAAAGAGCTCATCTCCGACGCAATAGGATCGTTTGATAAATCTCCAACTCCTACTGCAGAGCACAAACATGCGCACTTCTCTCCATCTACTTCTACTACCGCCGCAACTACAGCTGTGGATGGTGTTGTGGATTATGCCAAGCTTGGTGAAAGATTAACGGAGTATTTATTAGCTTTTTTAAATTCGAATGGAGGAGCCCTTGTATTTGGTGTTAGAGATGATGGAGTAGTTTTTGGAATGAAACTGAGCGAGAAACAACGCGACAAAATACGACTTCTTTTTGACAACTGCATTAGGAATTTTCAGATCACTCCTACACCTAGAGTTGGCATTCATTATAGACTTGAATTTAAGAAAGCAACCAATTTTCCTAATTTATGGATTTTAATTTTGGAGGTGAAAAAATCAGAATGTTTTCATTATGCGCACATTAGAAGTCATTTGAAGAGCTGGGAAAGACTATCAGCTTCCAATTTATGCCTCTGTGATCGCCCTCAACGTTTTGTAGAACGTTTACGGGAGCTCAGAAACACTCCTGAATATCAGAATGAACTTCAATCTTCCATTAATCCACCACAAATGTCAAGAAGAAACTCAATATCAACAAATAATCTTCAACAAGCAAAAGAAAATTCGAGAGGGTCATCAAGTCCAAAAAGAATATATGAAGGCTATTTTATTCTCGTATTTTCTGATATTCAGTTAACAGTCAGTGAGCTGATACTTGCAAGAGCTGGTTTTGATAAGAGAATTTATAGATTAGAATCTTATGGTAATATGGACGATCAAGGTAGATTTTTGATCGATAGACCTTCCAAATATTTCAATTTAATTTATCAATTCCTGCAAGTTGGATATGTTTCAGTCAAGTTGCACGATTGGCCTGTTTTTTTACTTGAAGCTGAATTTTATGGACTTGCAGAAATGATCCACAACGAAAATCAAACTTCGATAGAGGCACACAACTCCTTCGTGTTGGTAAAATCCATCTCTAAACCGTTGAAAATGCATCCATCCATCTCTCAAGCCAATTTTTCAAACAAAGTTGGAAATTATTTATTGAATGTTGATAATGGAACATCTCAACAAAATAAGGACACCAATTAACAATAACACTGCAATAACAACTCGAAATATTTTATAGTTTCTAATTCGATGAACAAGGAAATAGTGACGTGTTGGGAAATGGGAATGAGAATGGTGGACAAATGACACAACAAGGCTATTTTTCATTAGAAAAGGAAATGGGTGATGGAGAATATTCTCGAATCGACAAGAAATGACAAATGAAACCCCAACTCCAAGAATATATCTCTCTACATCACCATAAACACTAAATAACTCAAACGTTGACAAAGAAGAGCGTGTTGTATGAAAGAGTGCTGTCTCATTGTTCAATTTGGAATCCTAAACTACTTCAAAAGGAGTATTTTCCCTATGGTGGATCTTCTATTTTCAGTTCCTATCACGAAACAAATTTTTACATGTGGAATATTGTTATTTTTATCAAGATACGCCACAAAAATACATTTTATTGGACTACATTTCATCGTAATTGCTAACAGACAGCTCTGATGTGAGATGCATCGTTACGAATTATATAAGCATCAAGTGAACAACCACTCTCAGTACAAGAATCTCCACAAAACAAATACCTCAAACAAACAACAATGATTCAACAACCACCACAACAACGTGCACAAAAAGTAACATCCAAGGTCTCTTCGAAATCACAACAACCAACAAACACTGTTTCCTTTCCCAAGAGCAGCACATCTACAATGACATTACCACCTCGGAGCGTAGCACACTACAACAAAATTCAAAAACCTCACAAAACAACTCCCAAAACCACCTCAGAGTTTTTCTTTCATAGCCCGTTCACCATTCACGAGGCGAACTGTTTCATGTGTGTTTCGAGAAAAGCAAGGAAAGTTCAAACCATGCCCTATGAACAAGTGTTATTGGATTTTGTACAGACCACCAATAACCAAGAATTGACACCCATTCGATCCAGAAAGACCAATGGTAAACCAAAAGAGAGCACACCAATACCCTCATTCACCATGAAGAATGATATTCCTTCCAACATGTTTACCTCTCGATCGAATGCTGATGGTTTTTCTGAAGCAGTTAACACCTCCATTCCACGTCGACAACAACCTCAGACCACCACCACTCAATGTTCAACCAGTACAGGTGAAGCATCCCAAAGACGAAGAAGTTTCCTTTTGACTCATTGTTGTATGGACGATGATTTGCTGTGTCATGATGAAGAATTGCAAAAACAATCACCGTTAAAGGCAACAAAGTCAGAAGAAGTGAGGCCTATCTTGAGGCATTCTACAATACCCTCTGCAATGCAAAGACCTCAAAGACGAATGTTGTCAATAAACGAGCTTTTGAATTAATCACGTTGTGTAAACTATCTCACGGATCATGACCTCTCATCCATTTCGATCTTCATCAAACTTTCGGACAAAAAAAAATGGCACAAGTACCAACCTCTGTTGACGCGACGACACCCACGATCGAGGAGAGCTCGACTCCAAGTCTTATTCATAGCGACTCCATAGACTCATCAACGATCAGTAATACTCCTCTTTTAAATTTATCTGAAGCAACCATTGATGGTAAGAAGAAGCGGCATAAACAAGATCAATCTCTATCGGCTTGGATGTGCCGAATGTGGTTCGGACTTGGGCTTTTATTAGTATGGCCTATTGCCTGGCTCTTTACTGTTCCTGTTTATTTGGGTCATAAATATTTCGGATGGGACAAGAAGAAGACACTCCTTGGAAAGATTTTCCGTGGAGCCACTGCTTCAGTAGTCAAATCAAATCCATATTGGAAACTTAAAACCAAATTCACGGATAAGAGCAAACTTCCAAAGTCTGAAAAGAAGATGATTTTTGTTTGCAACCATCAATCGAATATGGATCCTTTTGTGCTTATCAGTGGACCTTTACCAATCGAGACCAAATGGGTGTCAAAGAGCGATTTGTTTTCAATTCCTTTTGCTGGACGTATGATGAAACAAGCTGGTGACGTGCCAATTGTCTTCAAAAGTAAGGTAAGTTTATTTATGAGAGAAATTGTAATGCTTCAATGATTGACATGTATTTTCTCAAAGCAAATGGATGACATGTCCACAGATAGAGATTCAGTCAAGACCTCAATGAACAAACTTAAAGAACATTTGAAAAATGATACTGCTGTATTCTTCTTCCCAGAAGGCAGAAGAAACGACACTCCTGATGAATTGAGGGAGTGGAAGAAAGGAGCCTTTATTATGGCTCTTGAAACTGGAGCTGACATAGTACCTATTGGCTTGTATGGAACATTTTCAATGTGGCCTGTCCATGATGCTTTACCAAAACCAGGTAAAGCTTGTATTGTGGTTGGAACTCCAATTAGTGTTACTGGAATGACTTTGGAAAAAGATGTTGATACATTGACAGAACAAACCAAGGTAGCTGTTAATGATTTAATGTTGCAAGCTCGTGAAGAATATTTCAAGATGTAAGATAACCCATAAATTATTAATAATTTATTAGATTTTCATTACCACGAAAGAATAATTACTAATTTAGGCTACTAAAGCTCCCCTCAACTAAAAATGTCGTTTACTCGAGTGCTGTTTAGAAAAGAAAATGATGAATCAACACAATATTCACTACAACAATTCAGAAGAAGCATCCGATGCAGTCAAAATTATCTTAGACTCATCATGTCAAACTCTTTCTTTTGAATTTTACAACAATAATCCACACTATTTAAAGTTAAAGGAAGCTCGACGAAAGGAACAGAAAATTTATGTGCATCTGTTGGCCCTAAAAGACTTTTGCAAACACTTCTCAATAGGAAGTATTCACTGCTTTTTTTCTAGACATCCTTTCCCTTCAGTGACGATCCTGGAGCCGTTTTAAAAGCAATTTCCATTCATCCTGGTTCTATTTATTACGCTCACAAAGATTTGAAATTTGACGAAGCATTTGTGATTAAGGCAGTAAAGGCAAACTTTAAGGTCCTTGAATATGCACCTAAACGATTTAGAACCGTTCCTACACTTGTGGACTTGGTGGAAAAGGAAAGAAAACTGGAAAAGAGTCATTTGATAAATCAATTTAGAAGAATCATAGAGTCTCAAGTTTCCTCGCCACCGTTTACCACCTCCGTTCGACCAATCTATGGACTCAACGCAACGTTAACTGCTTCCAACAACACCGACACTGTCGTCACTCTCAAGACTAAAAGAAAATCTAGTTCGGATCCGACCTTGGCTTTGCAGCTTAACATGACAAAGAGAAAGAAATTAAATGGACATTCAGTTTGTCATTGACCTTATTAAATTCTCTTCGTTTGGAAACTCTCCAATTAAAAACCTCCAAAAAAAAGATGGACGACAATTGTTTCGACAGGGTTGTAGTTTTGTTGGATGAAATGAATATGAGAGATGAATTTCCTTTCAAGCAAATGACAATGACGAGAAGCAATGAAACTCTGTTCTCAAAAAGAATGGCTTTGACTCGACAATTTTTCCTTTTCATGTCAAGAAAATTGGAATTATCAAACTCCTCTGTTTGGAATGAGAGATAAATGTTGTATTTTTCGTTTGTTGACATGCAGGTCGTTGAACCGAAAATCAATGCTTTAAGCTCTTTAATTAAACCAAGTACCAAAGCATGTTTAATTCAAATAAGGTGACTTTTGTTTTTTGACTTTTTCTTTCGAAGGTGATTGGTAGGGTGGTATCGAAGAAAGATAAGGGCTTACTTTCAGAATTGAATTACTTGTTTTTGTAGCACCTTCTTGTTTAACCACTGCTGAGCCTGCTGACTTTTGTGGAGACGACGAGGTTAGAACGTCCACTTTAGTGTGATTCTGTGAAGCTGCTATCGAGGATGAAGGAATTGGCTTGTCTTGTTTGGTTGTTCCTTTCGAAGGACTGTTGGTAGGTTTGGTAGGTGATTTTGACTCGTAAACTTTCTTAATCGGCGACGGGGCTGATGAAGTGCCAGTCTGCTTTCCTGGTGATGGTTTTGTTGGTGACTTATTGACCGTTGTTTTAGTTTTCGATGTACCTATTTTAGAAGATATCAAATCCTTAATCCCAGTCTCTAGCATCGTCAAATTAAACCCTTCTAATTTTTTTATCTCCTTTCCTTGTGCGAACAATTTAAAGGTTGGTAACGAAGAAATACCTTCCTTGCTACATATTTCTGAGGCATTGTCAGAGTTGACCATCATAAATTGAACCTTTGGGTTTTGACTTGCCAATTTGCTAAACTTAGGGGCTGCCTGTTGGCATGAGCCACACCAATCTGCAAAAAAATCTACAACCACCCTTGGGTGTTGAGATAATAATCTTTCGTACTCATTCAAGTTGTCAACATGCATAACAAATTTGTCATCCACTGCCACTTCCATCAGATCCTTTTTCTTATATTCTTCTGTGGTTAGTGAAAAGTCCTCAATAGCTTTTTTCACTAACTGAATCGATCCTCCTTCTATTCGTTCCTTCATTTTTCCGTTTTTAAATACACAGAAAGTTGGCATGCATGTGACACGGCACTTGGTCATTAAATTTCGCAGTTGGTCCACATTCACTTTCATGAATAGCACATCTGTTGTATTTTTTGCCAACTCTTCAAACGACGGTGATATCATTTTACAGGGTTGACACCAATCCGCATAAAAATCCACAATACAATTTGAGTGATTGTGTAAAGATTCAGTAAAGTCTTTTTCCTTGACAATATGTAAAATTCCATTCTCCATATATGACGGCTGTTTTTGTAATATTAAAGTGTCCGTATAGTTTTGGAGCATTTGTTCGCTTGCTCCATCAATTCTACTGAACTCTTTTCCGTCGAGCAAAAATACAAAGGTTGGCATTGCTTTTGCTTTCAATTCTTTCGGAATCGTTGGATATTTATCCACATCAACAACTAAAAACAGCACCTTTTCTTTTTCCTTAGAGACTTTTTCTACAATTGGTCCGAATCGAGTGCACACCTTATTAAAATTCGGGAATGAGAAATAATTAAACGAATATATCTACAATATACTCACCCCACACCATTCCGCTTTCAAATAAACCACCACTAATTCATTCTTCTTCACCAGATCATGAAACTGTTTTTCGGATTGAACCTGCATCAATGAAGAACTCATCTCTTCCTCAATTTTTTTTTAAATTTGGAATATTTACAGCTATCTCCACACCACTGCAACAACCAATCGCAAGCAAGGCCTCTCAAAGCAAGTTTTTTTCATGAATCGCACCGAACTCTAAAATGTTCAGCCTTTCAAGCAGTTCTGCTCCATCGTGGAAGTATGTCTTTTATGGAAATATCCTTGCATCACGAATGTACGTGGTGATTTTGAAGTTAAGAACGTTGAAAGCATGAACAGATACCATCAAGAACAGTAAAAAATGTCTACAAACCAACGTCTTAAATTGATGGTAGTCGCCACACTTGTGGTTGTTGCCATGATTATTATAACCAACCACTGTCATGCCCTTGCTTCCTCACAAAGAATACATGGTTGTCCTTTGTATAAATGTTCGCCTTGTAAATATGGGTATGTGGTTTGATGAATAGTTTTGATTAACATCATCTTCGTATAATTGAAACACATGTACATTCTAAAAGATTCAAAAGAGATCGTTTTGGCTGCCAAAAGGGATGTGAATGCAAACCTCGAAGAGACTGTCCACAAATTTACTGTCTGATTGGATGCAAGTACGGCTACAAGAAGGATCGTTATGGTTGTCAGCAAGCATGTGATTGCAATCCAGCTCCAAGTTGTCCACAAATCTACTGTTTAGTACCATGCGAGTATGGATACAAGAAGGATCGTTACGGTTGTCAAATTGCATGTGATTGTAACGAAGCACCCGTTTCATATTAAAAGCGTTTCGGTTGTAAACAATCATGAATTAAAAAATGAATGATTTCTTAAAGGAAATGATTCTGCACAAACATACCCTTCATGAATCATTGAATATGATAAATATCTTCTTCCGAATCATCACTTTTTTCAAACGAGTGATGAGCCATCACTTTGTGCACGAATCATCCCCGAGGACTTGAGAAAATATTTTTCGTATTTTTGATGTGATTGCAACCGAAATTGGAAAGAAGAGCTTGCGTGCGTGCTGTACTACTCGAGGTCATGTCTCAAAAAATGTCTTTAGACCTACTACTCAAGCGTAGCATGGCAATGATGCTACTGACTTGGTTTTTGGTTGTTTGTTGTGTGTCAAGTCAGCAACAACAATACCAGCACGCTGTCATGGACGACATGCTGAATCGACATGCATCTCTTTCTCGTGATCAAGCACCACGTAGTGTCATTGTGGATTGTCCAAAAGGCAAGAGCTTGATCTATCGTTTCAAATCAACCACTTTGATCGGCTCCAAATTGTCATCCTTACATGGACGAAGAGTTGGAGGTCAAGAAAATCAACTCGTTGGTTTAGTCATGCTCACATGTGGAAGCGAACATGTGCATGAGCGTGATCTGAATGTAGTAATGGTTTCATTCCCAAAAGTTTACTTTTCTCAATTCCAAAATGTGGGCAATGAGACCATATTTTCAAGAAGAAAATACAGAAGAATTTCTTCAACAACTGACATGACAAAAGAAATGAACAAGAATCCTATCATTTTCATTCAGAGAAAGAGTGGGCACATTCAAAAGCTAATTTTTAGAAAATCAGAACAACGATGGATTAGATCTATCAAAAAGGGAATTATTAGAATGTTTACTACTGAGACTAGAAAGACTTCTCGTTCACAAACAGATGGTGTTGGAGGAAAGTATGTTCAACAATATGAGAGATCCATTTACACCAACAAGGAAAACAAGAAATCAATCTTGTTCATCTCGCAAGCATTCAATCAAGATGACGTCAGCAAGTTATCATATCACAAGAGAAATCTGAAATTTTCTGCTGTTCATTTGGTGAGAGTGGACATGCAAAACTCTATCATTAAGAACACTGGAATTAAGTTTAAGTTAAGTTTTGACGATGCAAGAAATCATCATGCATTTAGAGAATTTGAAAAGTTGAGTTTGAAAGCCAAGAAAGACAGAGTCCCACCACAATCCGGTGCTTCCCCATACATGGAAACTGTTTCTGTGGGATCTGCCATTTTGGACCAAGTGATCGATAATAAGGCAAGCAATGGGCATAGAATTTCTACAATTTTCTTTAGAGATGCAGTGAAGGAATTGGAAAAGAATGGGCGTCACATAAAACTTGGTGCTGAGTTTGAATTTGAAAATACTTTCATGGTATTGAAGAAAGACAGAACGAGCACAAGAAAATTGCAACAAAGGCACTTCAATCCTCGTGAAATGTTCAAACTGTTGAGAGCTCTCAAACGAGATCCAAGTGGTTCATCAGATGTTTCGAAACTAATAACAAGTATTTCTCGACAAGTTAGATTTCATCCAATTCGTGCAGCTACACTATTAATTCACGAGTTGTTTCAATGCATGAACGAGCTGGAAAAGGTTAACAATGCACAACATGCATTCGAAATTAAGAGATATATGGAAGCCGTTCAAGGTATTATTTCCACTGTTCACAACTCCAAAATTCAAGATTCTCTCGTAGACATTTCTTCACAACACCCAGATTTGGCCTCCAATTACGTTTACACTTCTATTGTGATTCCAAAACCAACAAGAAAGGTGTATGATTTTTTAAACAAGCTACAAAAAGAAGGTTATGATGCAACCTTACACAAGAATGATGATATTCGTGAAAATGCTTATATGGCCTTTGCTGACTTGGCTTCACGTTTAACCGATGACCATTTGAAACATCACATTGTGGAAGATATTTTGACAAGAATTGGTAACAGCAACACCGAAAATGATTTGATCAAATACTTTCATGCTTTAAATAATGCAGGTTCGGCTGTTGACATTGGTATTTTGGAACACTTCTTCCTGCATCCTAACATTCCTGTACGAGTTAAAGTGTTATTAAGCGACAATATTAAGAAGAGAGTCAAAGATGATCCGACACTCGATAAGATGATTCACAACTTGATCAATAACAATGTTGAATTAGAGTCAGTGGTCAAGACTGCCATAATTAATGCTCAAACTGAGAGGGAAAAAACTTTGAAAGTTGGTGCTAGTATCCAAGATTTTGTGAAAGCATACTACCAATGCAATCATGAAGACATCAGGAGTGCCATTCGACATTATCTTTATACTGTTGGAACTAGACAAGCTGGAGATGCATTAGCCCGCTTAATGGATCTCAACAATTTATCTCGTCACACCTCAAAGCACTTGTATTCTCAATTTAGTTTATCTTCAGACGACATGGAACTATTAACGCTCTATGACAATGAATTCCTCTCAGATAGCATATTCTTTGGTAATTTCTTCCAACGTATTGGAGATGCTGTCAGAAACATTGGAAATGGAATTAGAAACGTTGTTCATCATGTGGGTCAAGGTGTCTCACGTGTTGCCCATGCTGTTGGAAGTGGAATTAGAAATGCTGCAAATTGGGTCAAAGATCGAGTGGAAGGAGCTGTAAATGCTGTGAGGAGAGTTTTCGATCAAATCAAATCTTACTTCCAATCGGCCACTTGGAACAACCAACAAGCTTGTGTTCCTGCTAATGATAATCCAACAGACCAAATTTGTCTCTACAATCCTACTATCGTTTCATTTGTTCAAAACCAAGGAGATTTATCAAGTATTAAGGCTTCCAAACATTATGAGTTTGAAAAGTTAGTTGGAACTAATTCCGTTCACATGTATATGGGTCTTGCTGTTTACGCAGGCACCAGTTTTGAATGTTCTCCAAAAGTTGACTCCACTACAGGTTTTGAAGTGGTATTGTATGGAATGGCTGACTCTTATGTGAAATTCTTCTCCAACACATGGAATATTATTGCTGCCTCAGTGGAATTGCAAAAACGATATGAAAATCCAATCAAAGATAAGATTTATGTAAAGATATTCCAGACCACGTTCGTGGATGGAACGTTTATTCCTGACAAGGTTCGACAAGTGATTGATGCATGTTTCTCTGAAACAAAACCAATTTTAGAAAAGAGACTGCCTAAACTTGTAGATCATAGTTTTCTAGTTCATGTTGGTCCTATTCCCATATCATTCTCATTCAATGTTGCATTGAACTTTGGTATTGTTTTGAGATATGGAGTTTGTGTTGGAAAACTTGAAGCATCTGCATCCATTGAGCCATACATTTCGATTTCAGTTCAAGCAGATGGTGGAATTGGTGTACCAGTGGCCAAAGCTTCAGTGTATGTTCGTGCTGGTCTCTCCTATCGTATCATTCCAAGATTGGCATTTGAAAAGTGTAATTTATGTGCAGCTTTGACACATCGTTTAGATGATTGTGGGTATGATGCTGGTCTTTCTGCATCGCTCATGACTTGGTCCAAGGATTTTAAACTCTTCTCGAAACAAGATACACCCTATATCAAAACCTTATTCGAGAAGTGTATTGGAAGAGGAGAATATAGACCTTCACAAAATGACTCTCCAGGTTCTTGGACTGTTGGAAGTAATAATTCGAGCAGCAACAATGATGGAAGCACAAGTGAAACCAATCCAAACACCAATAATTGCATCACAAATGATATGGCAGCAGCAAGTGATGGTTCTCAGTCGTTTGCATTGAACGAGCGAGTGTGGAATGAACATTCTCCTCGAATTCACAATTATAGACCAATGTTTGGCAAGAACTCTTGGAATATTCCATTCGAGAAAGCTCCTCCCAAGCCAAGTGTAGAGACGTTGAGATCACCTCTTCTTCTTTCACCCTCCATTCGATTGAAGAGAAGTTTCCTTACAAGAGTGTTGACATTCGAAATTCTTCAAAAGGTTCCAATCAAATACCTTCGAAGATTGCCTTCTAAATTCTTTACCCTCACACGACAAGCCATGAACAAAATTCCATACCCTATTTTAACTCTTCCTTCTGAAACTATTATAGAGTTTTTGAAGAGACTTCCTCCAAGATATTATCATCGTGTCAATGATTTACCCAAACCTTCTGATTATACTGTAGTCTGGCCTATGAGAGTATTAAAAAAAAGATTTCCAGAGTCTGTATTGAAACAAGTGCCAACCAAATATTTGAGACACTTACATGAAGAAATTTTGAGAATTAGAAAGCGAGTGTTGCAAAGAATTCCCATTCAGGTTTATACAACAGGAGAAAAAGCCATTGTGAAATGGGTGTGTGAAAATTATCGACAATTGTGTTTGAGAATGTACAAGGAAATGAAATAAACCTCCTGTAAGTGTTGTCATTACTTTTGAAGTAAATTTAGAAGATTCAAGAACAGTTATCTTGCTTCTTTCTAAAAATGGTAATACATTGTTTTTGACCTTTCTCTAAAGAAATTAGATGATCAAAATCAACAATTATTCAAAACAACACTTTTATCATGAGGATATCGAAAGATAATATTCATTCATACTTTTTTAAAAACAAATGGATTTTTTGTGGCTTCTGATCATATTGCTGCTCATTGTTGGTTGTAGCAATATTTATTCTCTTTCATTAGACACCACACAACTACAACCCAAGAGTGAAACAACTATTACAACATCATTCACCTCCATCTCTTACTCTAATATCATTCAAGGTGCGCAACTCTATAAAAACGGTGTGGCCCAACCGCTGACAACAAAGCCGCTCACGGATCTTAATCTGATGATCAAGGGCGAAAAGATTCCAGCCTATGAGGACGCTCTTGGAAGACCCTTCTATATGTCCAAGGATAATCAGGTGATGTACTTTGATCCCAACAACCCAGAAACTCCCAACATACCAAATTTAGAAGATCCAAGTTCCACAACTGGACAGGCTCTCTATGACAGCAAGAAACGACGATACTTTGTGGATGCAATTGGAAGAGCATTTTACATGGATCAGAAAACTGGTCTTCCTTTCTTCATTGATAACAACAATAAGGATTACTTTATCGACAAGTACAATCGAATTTACTTTCGAGACGAGCTCGGCAGGTATTACTACATTGACATTAGTACAGGAAGGCAAATTTTCTTTTTACCTCCAAACACTGTTCAAGACATTCCTGGCTTGGATCTGTCCAAGAAACCACAAAAACCACCACCCATTGTTGTCACGGTACCTACTCCTCCTCCTCAAACAACAACAACAATACCACCCACTCCAAAACCTCAAAAATCCACAAAGCCTCCAGTCGTGGTCGTACCTGTACCTCCAAAACCACCCATTCAACAGCAACCAACACCACCCATTGTGGTAACCGTTCCTCCTCCACCACCTCAAACAGTGCCTACTCAACCTCCCGTTTCACAACCAAAGCCTCCAGTCGTGGTAGTCACTCAACCATCTACTCAACAACCACCGACACAATCTTCGTCAATCTATGTGAACACTCTTTCTTCTCGTTATGCGGATGTTGTGAATCCTAATGTGTTGGCAGGTGGTCCATTTGTGGATTCCAATGGAAGAGTCTATTATAAGGATCAAAATGGTCAGACCACCTATCATGATGCAAATGGTCAACCTTATTATATTGATCCAATTACTAATCAGTGTTATGTTCTGAACAAATTGGGAGAGAAGGTGGATTGTGGTGTTGATTCTTCGTCGTTGACTCAAGCAAATTCAGGCAACTCGAAGAGAACCTACTTGTATGGCAATGATGGAACCATTTATATGGTCAACAGTAATGGTGAATTGATAGAAACTAGCAAATCAAGAGCAGATCTAGACTCACAAGTGAGTGGGGTTGGTGCTGCTACTACCAATGGTGCTTCAACATCCTTAGCTCCTGCTAAGGGATATGTCTTGGTGGACGGAAAGGTGTATTGGGTTGATACGAGCGGTGATACAGTGCCATTCAAAGACGCACCCAAAGCAACGGAACGTGTACGATAATTGGAATGATCCCAAACTTCTGAACATTTTCGAAATTTTGTTTGCGACTTTGTGATGCAGTCAGTGTTAATAACATTTACTTTCTTGGCTGTACTTGTAATGAGAGCTCATAGAGGTAATCTTCACTCTTCTCCTTGTCATTAAAAGCAATCATTTCTCTAATAAAGTCTGTGTTAGGTTCAATGTCAAAAAGTCTTCCTTGGAACCTCAATATTTGGTGCATCACATTGTAGGTATTGATACATTTGGAAAAGTTAATTTTACCATCCATGATTGTTGGATTTCCATCATCTGTAAAGACCAAGTCTCTCAAATAGATGCCAATATATGGCGAGCAGAGCTTTCCACTACTATAGCAATCATTCATGGCCATTCTAAAGTTTTTGTTGTTGCCCTTGGTTGAAGCCAATTCCGCGCATTGTTGTTGAATCTCAAGAGTCTTTTCATCCATTTCATCCCACAAATTGGACAATCTGTGAATTGAAGTCCCTCCCAATACTCCCATTATTGCCATGAACATGTTGAAGCTGTTCATATCTTTAAGAATTCCAAGAACCTGAATTACCTTTTTAAGCATCTTGACTCTCTTGGGATGTGAATCTTCAGACAGAACTTTCCAAGTGAACCATGTGCTCACCTTGTTTAAAAAGTTAATGTTAGCCATTACATTTGGAGCTTGATGTCGTCTCTTGTCCTTGTTCCAAGATTGGTCAAGAATCTCAGTAAAATAAATCTCGTTGTAGATAGTGTAGTCCATGTAAGTGAGCTGATCAGCAATTTCTTTTGGACTCATTTCAGAAATATCAAGAGAGGATTGAGTATTTGTTGCTCCTGCAAATTTTGCCTTCTTATTCTCCCTCAACTGAAACAAGGTTGGCATATCTTTTGCTTTTTGCCATGGTTGCTTTCTGTCTTGTTTGGACATCATTTCTCGAATGTGATTTATGGTAGACGACAAACCAAAATCTAAATTGGTAACTGCCTTTGGTGTTTCTCCATTATTACTCAGGGACTGTTCAGCCGAATTTAAAAACTCCTGAAGATGTATCACCATATCATGATCGAAATCAAACATTCCACTCTTAACAAATGTAAGAATTAAATTCAAACATTTCTTCTTGATACCTGTACAGACAAATGTGGTGAAAAATGTTTTCTCAACATCATTGAATATCAGGTCCTGGTCGGTAGGCTCTGGTACAAAATATCGTTGATAAATCTTTTCCAGTACTACTTTAGGCTTAATGGAATATCTGAACGTATACCAAAAGACGTCAGTTAAAAATTTTGGTGAATATACGTCGGTAAGTAGCAGCAGTAATCTATTAATTCCAACGACTTTTGGTACTTCTCCATTAAATAGTTCAGGTGCGCTACACTTTTGCATGACAATGGAGTCTTCACAGGCCTCAGGCTCCTCATAAATTGCTAGTTTGATTTGCTCTTCCATGCTAAATCGATCTGAAGCCACTTGTTTTCTTCCAAACTCCATCATCTTATCACCATTTGGAAAATTAATAATTTTTTGCAAGAAAATTGGTCCTGGTGGTTTCTTGCTGTACAATTTGTCGCTATAATACATGTCCACAATTTTCTGGTAATGGTGAGTCTGCAGTCCAAAGTAAAGCCTTAAAACAAACGGAGACATGCCTGATATTTTGACAAATAGCCTCATTGTTTTTGTTTCGTTTTCGCTACTTGCGTCTTTAGGATCATTCATTTGTGCTTGATACAACTCGTCAAACACTTCTTCTAGTTCTTCATCCAAGTACATATCATACTCATTGATATCGTGTAAAAAGACTATAATGTAGCCTTGTTGCGTTTCAACTTGTGAGGAGAGCATTACAATCTTTCTACTTTTATCGGAGGTAGTTACGTGTGCTTCCTTTGGAACGGCACCTAAGGTTGAAGATTTTCCTGTTTTCGACTGAGGTCCCTCGATACGGATCATGTTGGATAAAGAGAAATTCTTAATTTCTTCATTCTTCAGCCCAGTGATGGCCTGACATGGAAAATTAAGGCTTTGTACTATTCGGTTCTTGTCGGAAATGATACAGGGAACGGGAATAGCCTCAACCGCATCAATGATCAAAGGAGTATTGGATTTGAATTTTTCAGTCTTGATGAGTGAGAGCCTGTTCAGTGCCGATAACCACCGTTGATGCTCAACAGAATCTTTAGCCTTAAGTAGCATGGGTGCTCTGTCATAGAGTAGAATCATAATGGTAAATGGTTGGTTCAACAAGGGATCTGCGTTTACAATTTGCACGACATATCCAGAGTTCAACATTAATGTTTCTTTAAGAATTTCTTCGGGGTACAGCTGTGGATTCCTCCCGAATTGATGTAACGATCCATCATCCTTGAGTATCATGTACATCTTTCTCCATGTAGAGAATAAGCTTCTTCTCTGAACTTCTCCCTCCATGACCATTCTCTCTCCACCTCCCAATAAACTCGAACCTCCCGAAACAGATGATGAGGGCATGTTGATAATTTTTTTTGTAACGGCCGAGAGCATATCTTTACGAAATTAAGAGTGACACACAGTGGTTTAACCCGAGCCAAAATACTCCAGCGAGTTTGTTGGCGAGTTGGCGAGGGTCAACGTTTCTTGATGCATCATTTCTTTTGTTTATGTACTTTATTGCACAACAACTCTTGCCTCAGTTCCAACCGAGAGGGTGTATGCCTTGTAAAGCTTTAGGCAGATCCGCCCGGAATTGCATAACGATTTTTGGCAAAATACAAATAGTACATGCAGAACATTTGCAACTCGTGAGAACAACAATATTTGGATGAAACATGATAATAAGGGACTAATAAATGGCAGCAACAACAACAACCGATAAAACTTGAAAATAACCCTAAGGGACTACTCAATAACGAGCCGTGAGGGGCAGAAGTATGGACGGATCACGATTACGAGCGGGTGGGTGATGAATATAGTGATACTTCTTCTGATGAAGAGTCTGATGAGTCCTAGGAAATGACATCATTGGTTCGTATTGAATCTCTCAAAAGGGCATCATTGGTTCGGAAGGCTTGCTGTTGTTCATTATCATCACCACCCTACCCGAACGATAGAAAATATTTATTATTATTAAGGATATTTTTTTGAGTGTTCGAATTCTTGCTAGATATTGAGTTGGAGAACAATCATGCGAAATGCACTCAACACCTGGCCACCCACTCCGATGTTCAAGTCCATTGATCATCATGGTTGTTTCTATTTTGAATAATTATCATTGCGTATTAAAACGATTGTTGAACCAATAATAAACAAAAACAACACGGTTATTCATCAACACTTTAAAACAGTAACCGAAAAACAGGTCCTGCCATCAAAATCATCAAAAATAACCTTCTCCTTGATGCCATCTCGTTGAAGCTGTTGTGGTGAGAGTACAAGCGGTGGGTATGATTATCAATGAACAACCTTCAAGCGGAGCATTCTCCATGTATAAACATGGACGACAACCCTGTTTCTCCCTCACGAGAGTTCTCCATACTACTGGATACAGTAGATCAGCGAGAAGGTATTGCCAGTGTAAAAACGATGAAAGGGTTGCAATGATTACAATTAAACAAAATCATCAAAATTGTGGGTTTTGAAAAATATGTTTGAAAAGCAATTTTTAACAATTAATCATCATTTACAACATACAACCAACATCCACCACGCTTATTTCAATCACGAGAGTCTTTTGACTTTGTCTTCATCTATTCTACTCAATTAGAAATTGATTTTCCAAGTTTTTATCAACGCGAGGGTGTTGTATGTTTGATTGTATTTAAAACTAAGGCGCGATGAATGTAAATAATTTGTGTCTTGTGAAAAAGAATCTGGTACAAGTATAGGGATTACAAAAAATTACCAAACAAAGATTTTTAATTAGCGAAAGGAATTTGTCACCCTATCTCGAATACACGTGCAAGTATGGATGTCATGGCTTCCATTTTCGGTGAAATCATAAATATTACTTGATCCTACAGATACCCCTAAATAAGGAATTTATGAAATGGGTAAAAATTAATGCAATTTCGAAATTGGTACAACAAATTTCTCGAATTGAATTATTAAACGTTGAAAATGGTAATTTAAAACGTAATGGTAGGACATTAAGAATACAATAAATACATGCTGAATTTTAGTTGTGTTATTGAATCATCATTAAAAAAAACAATTCATCATGAACAACCAGAGTCGTGAGGAGAATAATTCAAACAACCCTCGTTTCACCTCCTCCCATCATCCATTCCTTCAACCTATATTCCCACCAAATCCCAATCTTTTCACTCAACAAAATCCATCCTCTCAACCAATTTTCCCTCCAAATCCCGCCATTTTCTCCCCAAATCTCTCTTTTCAACCTGGATTCCCTCCACCATGGATTCCTTTAAATCCCTTCTCTCCTCAATTATATCCAATCATTCCACCATTTCCTCCAAGAACTTCAGAGCAAACATCAACAAAGGACCAAAAATCACCCAAGTTGGAACATGTTGACAAGTCATCGGTTACCAATATCAACCCCATCAAATCACCCAATCCTACCAGAGAAATTGAAAAAACCTTTCAAAACTCAAAGAGAGTCTTGGCGATAAAAGAGCAACCACAAATGATATACAAACATCCTTATCAAAAACGTTCCATGATGGAACGTATTGATAAATGGCGTAAATTGAAAGGCGTTGGTGGTTTTGGTGGTTTCTCTATCCCTCCATACATACCAATGGCGCAAATTAAATTTTCGCCATGTGAACACACTTTGAGTGATCATTATAAGTGTGAGGAAGAAAGAGCAAAGAAAAAGAAGAAGATTGCTTCTCATTGGCAGAGATTGGAAGTATTGAAAGACGTATCTACTGTTGATAAATTTGGAGACTTATTAAGGACTGCTTATTTGGAGCGTGGAATTAGTATTGAACCTCTCTCTCTCGATCAAGGAAAAGCATATGCAACCCAAGAACATTACATGTTGTTATTTTTAAAACAATTCAATATGGAATGGAGCAAGATTGGTACTTTCTTTTTTGATAGATCCATCAACTCATTGAAGAAAAAGTACAAGAAATTGAAAAGAAAGATTAATCGTGCCAGATTGGAAGGAGCGTATGATGCTTCAGATGCAACAAATTTTATCATTCAATGGAGTGTCGATGATTTAACCTTTTCAGAAATCACTAATATTAGCACCCTTACCTCTACTGTATCGATAACTTTTCCAGAAACATGGACCAATTCTGATCTTTTTCACAAAATGATTATGAAACTTGGTCAATTAAGTCCATCCAAACCCTTACCGTTAAGACAAGCACAACCATCATCGAACAAGTCTAATGTACCAACGACTCCAGGAGAACCTTATTCACAGTCGGAAGAGGATTTAATTGTGACATCCTTGCGGAAGGGAATGAATTTGGAACAAATTTACCGAGATTACTTTACACACCGAACATTTCAGTCGCTGAAAAATAAGGTTCGACGGTTAAGAAAAAGGCAACTCTATCACAAACAGCAACCAACGAAGAAGAGATTGAATAAGAGAAGGATGGTTCCCAATTCCACTGTTTCAACTGATTCAAAGGAGTTAAGAAAACCGTTTTGGCATGATGATACGGTTGATCGTTTGAACAAGATTTGTCCTGTGTCTTGTTTTACCAAGAATGGTTTGAAAATACCGACCCAAAGTTGGTTTACCCTCTCCGTTCGCCAAAGATGTCCATCCACAAAACCACCTCCGAGCAAGAAGGAATTGGTAGAAAAAGTGTGGAGCAAATTAGAAACTTGGAAAAAGACGCCATGTAAGTGTGGAAATTCCAAGTTTAAAAGGACAGTCTGCTCATTCAACGGACGCAAGTTTGGGTTAGAAAAGAAGAAGCTTGTTCAGGAATTCAAGGAAGTATCTGCGTTGGAGGAGTCTTTAATAATGCTTCAAGAGAACGAAGTGAGTTCATCCACGACTGCTGAGAATGAAGTGAGTTCATCTGCGACTGCTGTGAACGAAGTGAATTCATCCACTACTGCAGAGAATGAAGTGAATTCATCTACGATTGCTGAGAATGGAGTGAGTTCATCTACGACTGCTGAGAATGGAGTCAATTCCTCCACTACTGCGGAATCAAAGGAAAAAGCTGATGACACTATCGAGAAATTGCTAAAACAAATTTACACCTCCTTCTCAATCTCAAACGAAGACAATTATTTTGTGAGAACAAAGAAAGTGAGATTGAAACTCACCTCAGAACAAAAGAAGGTCTTTGAAAGATTTTTCTTCAATTCTAACCATGCTTATAACGAAGCATGTCTCCTTTATTTCATGTTAGAGCAAAACAAGGGAAAAACACTCCTTACCACCACAGAAGACGATTACTTTAAAATTTTGAAGAATCCCCAAACCAACCTGAGATTCAAACAAACTAGGTGGCTATGGGATCAAGAGTTGAAACATTGTCCAGCAGATATTAAATTGAACGCTGTGAAGGATTTTGTCAAGGCTGAGAAAATTACTAGATATAAAAACAAGCAAGCAGCAGAAAAGGAATCCAAAGAGGCTGCTCGAAAGGCCAAAAACCAATTTTTTAAAGATGTTCAAAAAGGAAAGAAGGAGATGATTACTGATGAGGAATTGAACGAAAGATTTAATCCCAAGCATTTTACTCGACAACCTCGTGAATTCGAAATGAAAGGACGAAGCAATCAACATCCATATCAGTCGTTCAAGGTGAGAGATATTTCATTATCACAGGAAGGAGTGTTGTTAAAACCTACCTTTTTTAAAGGGAAGGAAAATGCATGTCCTTCCAAGAAATCTAAGGATCATCTTTTGAAATTTTATTATCCTGCAAGAGCACGAAAGTGGTTAAAGGAAGAGATTGGTATGTATATATATGTATTTCGATTTTACTTACATGTGATTTGAATCCCTTACATGAATGTGATTGATTCATATGATTGGAACTTTTCTGAATTCTAATTTTTCCATGATCCGTCTGCCCATCGCCTACCCAAACAACAAGACAACAAAAAATTTTCACACGAGACAACCTTTATACGAGAAAGAGGAAGATATTTTGTTTGCCTTCCAGTCCGTTATCACAAAGCTTTAACTCGACAAGAATACCAACGGTTTGATAAAAGCTTCTACGAGTCCAATTCGAACAGTGGAATTGAATATGACAAGATATTTCTCAAGGGCTGCCCACAACCTTCTCAAGATGAACTCAGAAAGGAATACATTGCATTGGATCCAGGTGTTCGATGCTTCATGTATGGTTATGATAGTAATGGAGACGCATTGGAGTTTGCCGCTCAAGGAGAAAACACCATACTCTTTTCCCTTTCTCTAAAGCAAGATCAGCTTAGGTCGGAAATTGCCAAGAACAAATTTCTAAAATACAATTCTCGGCAGGAACGAAAATTTTATAAGGGTTTAAGAAAAGCCCTAAAAAAGAAGATTAGAAGGCTGGAAAGCAAAATTAGAAATAAGGTGAATGATATGCATAACAAAATCATTGACTATTTAACTTTCCACTATTCTGAAATTATAATACCTGAATTTAATGTCAAGGCCATGATTGCTAGAAAACAAAAACAAAGGAAGCGTCAAGGAAAAGAAGATACCACGTGTCAAGGACAAGAAGGTTATACTAATGGCCAAACGGAGAATATGGATGTGCGAACAGAACCTCTTGTTGCATCGTCTTCACCATTCGAAGGATGGGAATCAAGGGACACCACCACAAGTGAAACCACCACCAACACTTCCGAATGGGTTGGAAGAAAAATTACTAGAAAAACTGTTCGCCAAATGTTGCGATTTAGACACTATGATTTTCGAATGAAACTCTTGCAAAAGGCAGAAATGCGTGGATGCAAGGTACATGTTGTCACAGAACAATATACATCGAAAACGTGTGGAAATTGTTCAGTGATCAAGGAAGACCTTTATGGAAGCAAATGGTTTCATTGCAATCATTGTCACTTCCACATCCCTCGTGACGGTAATGGAGCAAGAAATATTTTGATCAAGAATTACCATCATTTATTACATTGGTAAGTTGAAGAGACAACTAAAATGATTCATCATTCGGGCCATAGATCTATATAATAATAACTATGTGATTATCATTCTGTCAAGATGATAATTCCGTCTCTCGTGTGAGAGATGAGTATGTGATCGGAGCACTTTAAAACACCAAAAAATCATTGTTCTCATTGATGGAGTATGGTGTGCTCTCCGAGAGTAAGTTGTTGTTGTTGTTGTTCATTATTTTTAACGCGTGTGACTTTTTAATTTTGTAAAGGGTTGCTTGACAAATTCTTTGCCAATATTAATCTATTGCCATTGTTAGCTCGAGCCTGTTGTTTTCGTTGAAGTTTTGCACGATTAAGTTTGTCAATTTTCATCGATCTTTGAAATGCTAAACTCTCTTTGAAGCGATGATGTGTGTCCAACAAGACAATGCAAATCTCTTGCTCAACGGTGTCAAATAAATAATCTGGTAATACATCAATGGTTCCCTTGGCGTAGCTATCCATTTGCTCCTTAACTTGCTCAGAAATCTTCTTATTAATGTTCACACTTTTGTCTCCATGGACATCAAGGTATTCTGTATAAATTTCAAAAGCAACCTCATACTTTTCGGATTCGACCTTGTCCATGTCTTTTTCATTGTATTGCCTTTTGAACATGAAATTTCTTAATCGCTTGGAATCTCGATCACCAGCATTACCACCATTTCTTCTGCCTCGAAATGAAGGCGATGGAGAGTCATCAAACGCAAATGTATGTGCGGCTGTAATAGTCTTTCTTTTCGTGGTGGAAGACGTTTCTCCTTCGTTGTTGTTATTGTTGTCTGGATCATAGATTTGTAGTTGTATTTCCAAACTCTTTTCACATAACTTTTTGTATTCACTAATTTTCTCGAGAATGGTAAAATTTTCAGAGGCATATTCTTGTTCACAATGCTTTCTAAATAACTCACGAAGAGTTTCGTTTTGCATCGTATCTAATAGCATGACAGCATTCGCCTGTTTTTCATTTATGACCACCAAATATTGTTCGTATGAAACCATTCGAAATTATTACGAAACCTCAATACGAGCATGTCACATACCTTATTCAATCGATTCAAGTAAAGAGAATCTCTATTCACTGCACAAACAATTATTGCAATGATTAGAGGTACAAGAAAGGCAGAAACAGCCAAAACAACCACGAGTCCCATCAATGAAAGGAGTAGCATTTGAGATGTTTCGTGCTGATCAATTTGATAAAAGTATCCAATCATTGGCTTAATTAGAGTCATGGTTAGATCTTGAATGTTTTTGGTATAATTGGTGCTCTCAAGAAATTGTAAGGCGTTTAGTGGTGTTCCTTGTTTCACCATTTCCATTGCTTGTTGTTCCGATTGTAAAAACATGGATTGGTTATATGTTTTTACCAAATAATCTGGTAAGCTCGGTAGTAATAAATCCATTCGTTTGGTCAATATTTCATAATGGGATTCAAATTTTTCCAAATAATTCTTGGTTTGATTTTGTAAAGTAAAATTAACATGTTGTGTCATGAAGGGTGAGCAACTAGCAGAAAGTGCAGTAAGCTTGGCATAATGTTCCATACGTTCTCGATGGAGATCCAAATTTTGTGCAGTGTTCGAAAGAAGGGATCCACTCATCTCTTGTCTCTCATTGATGTAAATCATGGACAATAAAACAGCTAGCCAAATAAACGCAGCAATGTTCACAATTAAAGAAATCAAGGCGATTAACCTAAAGCAAGAAAACTCAATGGTTCCACAACAGGTGTGAAGTTGTACTTGTCGTTTCTTTTTGTGTGTTGAAGTCACAGATTTTCCTTCCATGTCATTTCCAGCACTAACTCTGGTCGAAAATATTTTCATACCTGGCACAATCGTGGAAAGATCAGAAGTGGAATAGATATGTGTAGGAGTAGTCTCTAAATTATTGTGTTTGGTCATGGATGATAAAAGCTCCATACCAGTTGGTGGAGATTGGCAACAACTTGATAAATTATTGGAATCATCCGAATTTCCCATATCATCGTTTTTGAAAGGAGCTAAATAACTAGGACTCAAAGATATGGCTGTATTGTCATAGCGATTGTTAGAATCTTCTGAGGTCTGTAGTTGATGAGACTTGTTAATCATGGATGCAATTTCTTCAATATTGATATCTGAAATATTGGACACATTTAAAATAGATTCTCCATCTGAACTTGATTTCACAATATTCAAAGGTTGATATTGCTGATCGTTTGAATCAACTGAGACACCAACAATAGAATTTGATGTTGTCAATGATGAGTCCAACTGTTGAAAATGGTTATTCTTTAAATCTCCACTATCCACATAGACATGATGTCCTTTCAAATTGGTATCCTCCATTTCTTGGTTTGATAAATCCGTAGCTTCCTCTTCCTCATCGACAAGTCCAGTAAATTCGTCCGTCGTATTTGAAATGTTTAACATGTTTCCCCGTGGAGACAGTTTGCTTTTAATTGTTGCTGCAACTTGTACCAATTTTCTTGGCGTTAATCCACCCGGTGATTTTGTTGTTTGTTTTTCAAGTGCTTCCACTCGTGATTCTAGATCATTGGTATGACGTACTGCCAAGACTCTAGAAGGAGAAGGTAATGAGTACACATGAAACGCATGTGAATTAAGGTTCGTTCGAATTGGAGTTGGAAAGGCTCTTGGACTTTCCGTTTCGTCCTTTGAATAATTAAGAATTGCATTGGCAGATATTGGAGAAGGGTTCGAGGGCACGACTGATGAATTTTCTGGCTCATAACTGCTGTTAAATTCTGCGAACGTGACTTGTCTGGGAGTGGTAGCAGAACGAGGAATCATCATGTTCGTTGTCACGTTGGTGGTTGATCGACCACGTACGATATTATCACGGCCAACAACAACATTTTCATTACCTCCGAAAGTATTAGCCACTCCAAAACTACTAGTATTATTTTCAATGTTATGTGCAGACCTAGGTGTTTTGACTGTAACAGCACTGTTCAATGTTGTCGTTTGTGGTGTGACAGTATATGGTCGAGCAGAAAGAGAGCCATGTGCGGAAGGAAGTGCTGAGACACTTCTTCCTCGAGGAGTAAAAGATGATGATGAAATATGAGAGGAGGACTCCATTGATTGTTGATGATACATGGATGGAGGGTTTGAGTTGTTAACTGAATGAGTCAACTTTTGAAGATTTAAATGAAATACATGGTTACTGAAAGAAGGAGTTTGAGTGGATGAACTTGCCGAGTTATCTTGCAGGTGATGAGACTGATGTAGCTGAATATTTGATTTACATTCTGTTTCTCCATTCATCATGGAATTGTTCAACAATGAATGAACAAGAAGGGTCGGGCTGTCATAATCGAAATTATTGACAACTTGTTTTCTATTCGTACTGACATCATTGTTTGAATGATGAAGCGGGATTTGAAGAGCTGGTGGTGCACGAAACATTCTAGAAAGTCTTTTCGCTTTGTTAGATGTTTTTAAAGTAGATGAATGTGTTGTGGGTGAATCAAATTGTTGATCATGAGAAAAAGATGACTCAAGAGTGTCATTGTTAAATGTTGTTGTTGTTGTTGTTGGTGGTGATGTTTGTGAAGGAGGATCCAAACGATTGTCGCTCGCTTTGATTTCGTCATGTTGATTTGTTGGTGATGTTTGAGAATGATTGATGCTTGTTGTAATAGAGGTTGTTGCATGACTCGAAAAATCACCTTCTTGTTTGTTGTTGTCGTTGTTGGATGGAGAAAGTTGATGATGAGACTGCTGCATTTTTATTCTCTATTGAAACGATCGTCATCATTTCGAATCATCACTTTTCATGTTCCTGCAGTAGAAAAGGATAAAAGTGTTCAGAAAAGAAAATCTTTATTACAAAAAGAAAATAGGAAGAGTATTTTAGCTAGTTCTCAACAACTGGTATAGCACTCAGTGGAATTAACAAAATCAAAAACAACGGTCAAAAAAAGCGCAAAAACCTCAGACCAACATTTTGACCACCTGCATCAACATGTCTTTCAGTCTCTGAACGATTTCCCGACTCAACTCCAAGTCTCGTATCGGGATGGCTACTCTTCTAGAATCTGATCCAGTCTCTAAAACACCCTCAACATTGTAAGACAGTAACTCATTGAGTGCTAATTCTAATTGTTGCTCTGCTTGCTGCAGTACTCGGATTTCTGTGCTGAACAAACAGTGATCCTTCAAATAATTGGAAAGGAATCTCACAATTTTAACGGCAATCTGAAGGTAATGTCTCAGTAGAATTCTCTTATTGGGTATTCTATTGGAGTCAATAGGATGCAAATCAGGTGGTATCCTTTCGAGACTCATTTCAGTATATGGTTGAGGTGCATCTTCCAATGCTGCTGCACATGGGTTCTTATAAACATTACCGTTCGCAGCAAGTATTGGTTTGTTTTGATTTTTGCTGTTTGCATCACAGGAGAGAAGTAGTAGTGCATTTTCGCTCTTGTAATTTGGAATGCTCTTGGATAAGACAGTCTCAATCTTTTCAAACGCAGTATTAATGGGAGATTTTCCATTGGGAACATCCAACAAGAAGGTTTCTTGGTTGAGATACCCGATCAGGACATTCAACTCTTGCTTGCAATAAGTGTACATGCATTCTGTTAACTTTCTGCATTGCGCATATCCTTGGGTACTTTTGTCAAAAATTGTTGCATCCAAGTTGTTGATCACTGTTGAACACTCTACACTTCTGGCTTCAAAATCTGCTGAAACATGAGGTGGCGGTGTCTTGGTGATAAATATTTTACCAAGTTCTTCGGGATCTTCCACCGGAGCGTTATTGAAAATTATCCTTCCTTGATGATAGTATGGATCTTCCTCATCTCTGACTTGATGGAATTGCAATGAAATTCCTAAAGGGTTCTCACGTTGGTGTGCTGTTTGTGCAACAACAAGAATTAGCAAGAAAGCAATGAGTATCGTTCCATAGAGTTGCATTTTGTTATAATTGACTACAAAATAGAAAAGCTTGAAAAGGAATTAAATTTTTTCAGTTTCGTAATCAGTTGTCATGCCTTAATTGTGTTCTATATCGGTGCGATTGAGAGCTCTTTTATTGTCTATCTCTTACTTCAATCTTTCTCATCAATGGATGCGTGAGAGATTTTGTTCTCAAGCTCGAGAATTTCTTTGTATTCATCGTAGGTATCGGTCAATGATCGTTCATTGGTAATAATTGTCACGTCACACAAATCAATCTTTTCATTAAATTTGAAAATAAAGTGATTCTGAATGGTGGAATCCAAATCTACGTAGAAAAATAGGTAGAAATTCGTCGCACCACTTCGGTTCTTGGGATATACTCGATACTTTACATCTTTACGAGATTCTACATTTACATTAAATTTGAATGAAGATAAAGGATGAGTCACAGAACCAGATCCGATAATTGTGAATGAATCTTTAAATTGGTAGGAATGCCAAGTTACCTCGTATGGAAATGCAATCAAAAGTACAAACCTTGCGATAATAAATATACAACATTTTGAACAATGTAAGCATCAAATAATGAGTTACTGGGAATACCGTGTTTTTGTAAATCAATTTTTGTCCATCCTGCGTACTGGACTTCGGAAGCCACTTTGCCTGTTACAAATACTTCATTCGCCTCAGTAAGAGCTAGAGACACCCATCTATTATAGGAGTTGTAGTGGCACGAAAATATAATATTATACATTAAATACCGAGTGAAAAAGAATACTTTAGAAACTTACTGTCCTGCGCTCAATCCCTTGATAGGAGCATCTGATGGAACATTAAGAGGCAATGGTTCGAAGATTTTGGCTGGAGTGGCATATCCACATTGTTGATAATCATTTGATCCAAAAACATATCCTTGGTTATCAGTTAACACCAACAAGCAATAGGCATAGCCTGAAGCAATGATCTTGACAGATTTTCCCTTAAAATCTTTCAATTCTACAGGTATGAAAAAATCTCTGTCAGTGCTCTCATTCCGACCCATTTGTGCCAATCCCGTGTTACCTATTGTTGTAAAAGCATTTAAGATAGCTCATAATTATGCTTACCTGCAGCGAATAATCTTCGGTCTGGGACTGTTAAGAAATAGGTGTGACCATAGCCCGAGTAGGCGCTACCAAAAAGAACTCCTTCTGAAGTGGGAACCTTTTGGGCGGAAATAAGATTCTGCGAAGAAAGTGTTTGAGACTGACTTGACCCTGTTCCAGTTTGTCCCCAGCTATTATAAGTAGAAAATGCATACATGCCATTTGCTGAAATGCAAAATACATTCACTTCTGATACTTCCAAATCAACAATATAATTTCCTCCTACATCAACGTCCAACCACTTATTTTCGGAAGGGCGAAAGACATGGACTGAGCCACTATACGTTAAAACCACTATATCACATTCCAAAATAGCAGCCTTGTAAATGCCATGATTCGGTAACTTGTTGTACTTTTGTGATTGTACTATCAGTTCATTAAACTCTGAATTATGATGTTCTTGAAATAACAATTTTGATTCTAACGGAGATAAATCATAAGGAATTTCTTTGGGAACAATCGATTGCAGCACTACGCTCCGAGAAGAATACACTCCATGATTTTTAGAATGGTGCCCTTTCGTTACTCGACGTTTGTTCGTAACAAGTGAACCTAGATCATCGTCGGCTGTTTGTTGATCACAACCAGATTGACTCAAAGTTTTCTTTCCTTGTTTGTTGCCCATTTTTTTTTTACAAGGGACTGTTTATGAAATTCAGTTCTACACTCTGTGGTTTAACAAGAACCAAAATTCATCAGCCATGTTTAGATAAACATGAAATATTACATGTAATATTTCCTCCATTCCAACCAACAAACTACTGTTCTCTGCGATCGATTTCTGTTCAAAATGTTTTCGTGAACAAAAAAATGGCTTTTCTTTCATCACTTGTTTCAGTTCGGGTCGTGTTTTATGTGTTGCGGTTGTTGGTTGTGTGGGCTATTCGCAAAGGAAAATTCACATCTCCGAATTCAGTATTACCTCATGGCTTGCAAATGTTAGACACACCTGCATTAACAAGCGAGAAAGATGAAATTAAACGAACATCCATTCAAGCGCTTGAAAAATTGGCCGGATTAAATATTAATTCGAATGATCCTAGCCACACAACATTGTTGGTGGAAGAAATCTTTCCAAAGCAAAAGACGATTTTAAAATCGTCACAATTGAAATGCGTATGTTTTGAATTAATTTATGGTCACACAATTCTTTGATTCACACGACCGTCTCAATATTTTCACAACAAATGTTTGTAACACTTTCCAACAAAACAGAAAAAGTGTGGATATGATCAATTACACAAAGGACAAGTTCGTGAGTCTGGAGGACTACTTTCCAAGCTATTTAATATTCAAAATAGGATGTTTATTACTATTACCTGCTCAAGATGCAGTTTCACAGAATATTACGAAACCTCTCAAAGTGTCGTCTCTGATGTTGTGGAAATGATGTTAAAATAATCAAGTATCTAAGCGATTCAGAACGAAAGAAATAAGAAGGAAAATTCCGCCAAAATTTGTTACAAATGGCGGCGCGCCAACTACAAAAAAAATGCAACAAATGCCACCTGCTTCAGTCGGAGAGAAATATCCAACCCAACCCATTCCTTCGGCAGAGGTGGACCCTATACATGAAGAAGATAGTTTTTTCGTAGACAATGTCTATGAAGATAAACATCAAGCATCATCATCGGCAGATACAAAGAAAGTTTCTTCATCTCCAACAAATCCTCATTCCCAACAACACATCATTTCCGCTAACGTTTTAAACATTAGTCCAATCATGCCAACCAATACAACCTCGGTACCAACTCCATCCCGAAAGAATAATCCTTCGTCGAAAAACGAGGCTTCGCTTCCGTAAGTACTTGCATAACCTGATTCGTAGTTGATCATACAACCATTCTAATTAGAAAACTGTCATCCCTAACACAAAAACCAAAGTCACCCTATGAAACTAGACCTCAAACAGCCCCTCCAAAGAAGCCTGTACTACAAAAAACACCGTCTAAACCAAAGCCGGAGGAACCTACAATTGTAAAACCATATTATATCGACAGAAAGAAACCATATGATGAGAGTAAGGTAAAAGAGTTTATGAAAAAGAAACAGCAAGAGCTTATACAGCAAAAGGTTGAATCTAAGAAAGCAAAGGAGGAAGCAAAGATAAAGAAAGAGCAAGTGTTGCAAAAGCTTGAAGCATATGTGCAAAAAGTAATTGTAAAGCCTAAGAAGAAGTCAGTGTCTCCGAAAAAGAAATCAAAGAAGATAGAAGTTCATCAAACTGTCACAACTGTTGAAAACCTGCTTAAAAAACGAAGCAAAACACCTCCTTCAACCGCAATACCTCCATCTTCTATCAGAAAAGAAGACAAGCCAAAGAAAAAGAAGACCAAAAAGATTGGGTCTGACAAAAAACAGCACTTCGAAGTGGAGAACGAAGAGCACACTAGGCCTTTTTCAGTTCCTTTAAATGATCAGGAAATGAATGTTTTTCACAGAACAACGCAAAGAGAATTCTTATATGACAACGAAATTCAACAGCACAGAAACATTTTCATCCCAAGCAACAACTTTCAACAACAGATTCATCCTCCCCCATCTCACAAGGAATCAAAACTTGTAATAGTTAATACTCAGCCACAAGGAAATACTCCTGATGTTCAAATACATCATCCAGCACACCGATTTGCATGGATTGAGCAACAACAACAACCAAGAGTGTTAAATGACCATCCAGAGGACGTTGACGTGGCTGCTGAGAGCTACCAACACAAATCTCAATCCACACCTCCAATAATTCAACAGTCTGTTGAAACCAATGAATCATCAGCACCATTATTTATTATGAATAAGAACAGATCTCCTCAAAACACGGAAACCCGTCTTGTACATTCAATTTCTTCAATTTCATCTTCAACTCACACACAAAATCCAGCAATTGAAAGCGATGAAGAGATATTACAAGAGACCGAGACTGAAACCTTCAAAAGTAGATATAATTTCCTTGGCTTAGAGCCAACACAACCTCTTTCAGCTGCACATTTACAATCTTCACCTTCTCCTTCCAAAGACACACCTCAAAGCAAAAACTCGAATTCTAAAGTACCTTCTCCCATTGAAATTTCACACCACAAAACATCCCCTCAAAACATTATTGAAAGATTGGATTTAAGCAGACTCCATAACAATGGCAATCTTTCACCTAGGTCTTCCTTATCTCCTCGACTAATGCAACCCAAGAGTCCGACAGAATCAGAAATTTTATTTGTAATTAACGCACTAGCAAGAAAAAGTCGAAAATTACAAGAAGCAGCCGCTAAAAAGCATGAAACTAAAGATGTTAGCGTTCAAGGAGTGAGCGAAGAAATATCTGTACATAAACTGAAAGATGCTCAGGTAAACACCACACCTCAACAAACTAAGAACCTAGAGATGGATAGGCAAAGAACCATAATGTTAGAAAAGAAGCTGGAAATGGAAATCAAGCAAGAAGAAGAGTCTCTATCGTTGTTGGGAAAGAAAGCAGAAATGTTAATAACTTCAAGCCAACAACTTTATGAAGATTCATTTGGGGATTGTACTTCTTCTGAGGATGTCATCAGCATTTCCACTGAGTATGAAGAAAGGGAGAGAAAAATTGAAGCTATGAAAATGGAGCTTAAAGCTCTCCGCATTAAGAAAAAGAAGCAAGAAGCAAAGTTGCAACAATTGATTAGATCCAAAAGAATTGAACAAAAACTTAGAGAGGTTAAAAATGAGTTAATTATGCAAGACAAGAAACTTGGTGTTTCATACGACAGCGAAACAACTTCCACGGACAATGACTCAATTCTTCTTTCAAACTCAGGTAGAAGAAGAAAGCTCAAGAAACAACAAGAACAACAAGTAGATGGCACTCCTCAACCGAATATTGACGAAGAAGGTCTAAAGAAACGAATAGAGAGCGAATTAAAAGAGCAACTCACAAAAAAGATGGAAGAAGACCTTGTTAAAAAGAGAAAAGAGGAGGAAGAGATTATACGTAGAAAATTAGAAGAAATTGAAGCTGATAGAAGACGAAAAGATGAAGAAATGAAACGTAAAATGGAGGAAGAGTTGGCACGTAAACATGAAGAAATCAAACGATTGGAAGAGCAAAATAATTTGAAAAAGAGGTTAGAGGAAGAATCTCTCAGAATGAAAATGGAAGAATTGAAAAAGCAAGAGGAGCTACTTAAACAGAAAGAACGAGACCTATTGCTTCGAAAGCAAGAAGAAGATTTGCGACGACAAAAAGAAGAAGCTGAACACAAAAAAGAAATAGAACGACAGATACGACAAGCCCTGGAACAAGAAATGAAGATGAAAAAAGAACATGAAGAAGCACTTCTTAAACAGCTTGAAGAAGAGCAAAACCTTAGAAGAAAGCATGAACAAGCTCTCCAACAGAAAATTCAAGAAGAAGCCAATCTTAAAAAACAACTTGAAGAAAATATTCTTTGCAGAAAAAAGATGGATGATGAAACTCTCTTGAGACAAAAAGCACTCGAACAAGAAGAGTTACTGAGAAGGAACGCAGAGAAAGAAGAAGCCCTGAAGAAAAAGCTTGCACAGGAAGAAATTTTAAGAAAGCAAATTGAACTCGAACTAGAGATATCTAAAAAGAAGGAACTAGAGCTACAGCGACAACAAGAGGATCAAACAAAGATGCAACAGCTGATGCTCGAAGAAGAAAAACTTAGATCTATGTTAGAAAATGAAGAGAAAAAACGAAAAACGCTCGAACAATTAGCACAAAAGCAAAAAGAGGATGAAGAACATCTAAAATCGTTGCTTGAAACTGAACGGTTAACAAGCAAGAGACTAGAGCAACAAGTTAATGAGAGCAGGATGAGACTCGAAGAGCAAGAGCGATTAGTGAAGCTAAAAGAAGAGCAAATGAAACATAAGCAATTGGAGCAAGACGAAAAGCTTCGCAAAGAAATCGAACAGGCGACTAAACAAAAGGAACAAGAATTAAAACGCAAAATTGAGGAAGAATTCAAGCAAAGAGAGGAGCATTATCGACAGCAGCTGTTCAAGAAGCCTGAAAATAAGGAAGCTTCTGTTGAGACTGAAACTGTGTACGAAGATGTAAAGAACAACAAATGGAGCACAGAAGAAATTACTGATGAGGATCAGCAAAATTTATCAGAAATCGAGGATCATCAGCCAGTAGATGATGCAGAGGTCGTAAATGAGGAAGTGGTGGAGGAAGTAGACACATCTGTAACTCTCTCAACAGAATTAAGCAGCACTGTCGACGACAAACAGAATGACCATAATATCAGTATCTCCAGCAATGAATTTGAGAAAGAAGAATTCACAACTGAGCATGACGTTGTATCCAACAAGCTTACAAACGTCTTTGACGATACAGTCCCAACGCCTCCATCACGTAATATTGAAGATGATCTTGCATCGTTAGATTCTCTCAATTCTTCTTTCAATTCGTCTTTTAATTCACCAGAACAAAACACTGACGTTTTACCTGCTCATTCTGTGTTGTTAAAAGAGTTTGACAATTCTGAGCATGGAGAAGAAGAGGAAAGCTTTGACGACCACTATATAGACAATCATGATATTCATCTTATTGACAAAGAGTTAGATCATATCGACGGAGATGATGATAACATTTTTGCTTCTAACATTGAACCAAAAGATGACGACACAAACTTCCAAGTTTTCACAAAACTTGGGTCAGCTCCTGTGTTGAAGGAAGCCCAAAAATCCACAAGTGTTATTCAAACGAAAGAGTATATTGAAACATTGGTGAACTCGTTTGTGAACGCAAGCGGAGTTGAAGCTTTTAAGACTGTGGGAGCTGTCTGTCCTCTTATTGAAAGATCTATCCTTGAAAGTAGTGCAAAGCCCAACCAAGACGCTTTTGATTTATTGATACTTGAAACATTTAACACGTACATCACGGAGTACAACTCCATCATACAATCAGAACATGCTGCTAATGCCTTTAAGGGTCACATATTTGGAAGAGTGGAAGAAAGCACCAGAAAACGAAAAACCATCTACAACAAAGTGCCTGACATGTCACCTTTGGACTTTGCTTTTGAACGCTTGATGATTGCTTATGAATTTTCAAAGAACGAAAAATTTGTCGATCATACACTTCTTGACATTGAAAATGAATATTTGCCAAAACACTCAATACCCCTAATTCCCGGCGTTGTGCAACCTCTAGAAAAGTGGAAATCTACCAATTATGAAGAAGAGTTTGTTAAAACATTTATCACTGACCAGCTGTTTGACGAACTGTTACTGGACACAGCTCAAAGTCTCTTTAACGTTTTTGAATAAATTATTCCTGGACATACTTTGGTAATTTTATGCTTTTAATAATTAATCTTTCAAAAATTCTCTAACTTAGTTATTCAAAATAGTGGTGTTTGAGTGTATCTTTTTGTTGACTCTCTTCTCAACACCATACAAAATACGATCAAGTAGAGCGCTTACTGTGAAAACACCTCCAATGATTGCGCATAGACTGGTGAGGAATTGAATGAATGACTTTCTATCTTCCTTCATGTGCACCATAATTGGTGACAAATCGTAAATGAAAAATACTCCTGGCACAACATTTGGGTGTAATCTATTCTTTGGTCTTACGTGCTGAGTCACAGAGTATTGATTTGTGATGATAGGATTGGCAGCTCCATATTTTTCAAAAATGGTTGGAACTACTTTAACAAAGTATTGGAAAAGAGCAGATTCCCCTTCAACAGCTTGTCCAGTCTCTGGATTAAACCCAATAATTTTACGGGTACCATCAAGTGGATTAACAAGACCAGGAATTTGTTCACCAAAGCCTAACGAGTGAATAAAATGGCTAGTATTGTAGTGATCAACTTCATAATTGGTATAGTCATGCATGTGTTGTTGAGCTTTAACAAATGATTTTCCTGGAGCAAAATGGAAATTACCAGCCACCTTATTCACTAAAAAGTAACCATGTAAATTACAACCTTCTTGCTTTGAGTATTTCATTTTACGGTCCATAATTTCCTCATAACATTGCTCGATATCTTCATTTGGTGTGAAAGCCCATCCCACTCTACGATACGCTTCACGGACATCATCACAAGTATTGCAACATTGAGTAGCATCTCTATTAGCTCCATAGCAACTACCACAATAATTTGGATCTTTAACTTTCTTAGCCTTTTCAGCACGTTCACGATCCTTTTCAGATGAATTAACTAAATCATGTTTAACAGCTCCTTCAGCAGCCTTGATAGGAGATGGTTTTTCATCTTTTGGCTCATTGGGTGAAATTTGTTCAGCTGGTTGGTCAATAATAGGTTTTCCATCCAATGTTAATCTCATTTTGTAAATTGTGTGATAATCCAAATGAACATGATGCTCTCCACTCACATCCATAACATCCAAACTTAGAGCATCACAAGAGATTGCAGGAAATGTAATATTAATGTATATTGGTATTTTACGTTCTTGTTGTGTATCAACATATAATTGATCATATCGCTCCACTTGCATGTACAAGTAAAGTTCTCCGAATACCAATATAAAAATTACAACAAGCGAAATGATTGAAACTAGTGATCATTTAGAAAAGATACAACATTCCAACCATAAAATGATCATAACGTAAATAATAATTATGATGAATATTATTACATCATAATCCGATCAAGTGATATTATGATCAATTAATTCCTCATTCCAATCACATAAATTACTATTCAAATATATATACTTACTCAACCCTCCTCCTAGAGTTTTCACCCGAAAGTCATCTTGAGTTTTAGGATAGAAATCAAAATTACGCAATCCTTGCATTTTTTCTTTCCTCTTCAACGTCATCATCTCGCAAGTCATCATATTCTGCTCAAGCCCCACATGATTTATCAAATATTCTCAAAAAGCTGATTCAAACACCCTCTCACAGTGTACGATAAGCGTAAACAACAACTTCCTCATTGAATTCAATCAATTCAGAGGATTCTCATGAGCAATTTTCATCAAAAAAATCATCCTCATGAGCACCACAACGACAACAAACGGAACGACTCCTCTGGTCCAGGGACCTACCACACAACAAACCTCATCATTCATTTCAACAAAACATGCATCACCTTCGGAATTCACTCCATTGCAACAACGATACAAGGGACTCAACACCATGATTTCTGGAGTGTTTTCTGGAGCCATGGCTAATTTTGTGCTTCATCCATTGGATTGCATCAAGATTAGAATGCAGGCCAATGATCGTGGAGTGAAGAGAACGACATTTGTTGGTCTCAAAGATTCTATTAAGGTCACAAAAGCAATTTATTTGGAAGATGGATGGAAGGGATATTATAGAGGGTTGAGCAGTGCAATGATAGGGGCTGGTTTGGCATGGGGATTATATTTTACAATGTACGTATTGGTGTGAGATGATACTATTATTTATTTGGAAATTATTTGCATTATTGATGAATCATGATATTAATCAACATATTCTTGTTAAAATTATTTCAAAAAGATATAATTCAAAAAAGTACGATTATGAGAAAGAATATGGAGTCAATCAAGTTCCAACTCTTCAATTAACTTTTTGTGGATTACAAGCTGGTGTTGTGACAAATCTATTGACACATCCCATTTGGCTGATAAAAACACGATTACAACTTCAAAATTCAGTAGATACTCTCCCATCAGTGGGAACCTCTCATCACTTACAAAATATTAAATATAATGGTAATTGGGATTGCTTTCGAAAGATTATCAAATATGAAGGTGTTAAATCACTATATATAGGACTCACACCAAGCATGTTACTCATTTCACATGGTATTATTCATTTTGTGTGCTATGACCGAATGAAATCGATTTATCTCAATTATAAGAATGAAAAACGTCATGAATCGCAAGAGACTCTTTATCACCTTAATGGAACTGAATCTTTTATTTTGGGATTTTTAGGAAAAGGAATTGCTGGATTTGTGACCTATCCTCTTCAAGTGGTTAAAACTCGTCTGCAAGATAAGAGTAATTATTATCATCAAGAACGATACAAGAGTTTCTCAGATGCTCTTGTTAAAATATACAAACATGAAGGATATAAGGCATTCTTTAGAGGAATTGTTCCACACGTGCTGAAAGTGTCGCCGAATGGAGCCATTGTGCTGATGTTGAACGAACAAATAATGAAATTGTTATATTTGGCAGAAGAGAAAAAATTCAAACAAAATCATTAATTATTTTACAGATTTCGGAATTTGTTTTTAATATTGTTGCTTGTTCTAAAAAAGTACTTTTTAAAAAAAATACCCTAAAATTGATTACCTTGTCTTTGGCAGCATGAACTCATCTTCAAATAATAACCGTGAGAACCACAACGGATCGGATCATCAACCTGGTGTTCCAATAGTTACCGTTAGTAATGAGAACACTAACGCACATTCTTCCAACCATAGTTCTAGAACATCCTCTCCGAATACCAATGCCGAGAGTTCTCAACAACAATCATTGTTATCCACCTCTTCGTCGACCAGCTCTTTGGGAGGAATGAAGAGAGTTAAATCTATAGAATTCTTACATCTCGGGTACGAGCATCATGATCCTGGTGAATTTGTAAATTCTTCTTTGAGAAGAAAAAAGAATCAAAATTCAGAATCAATGACACGAGTAGTTTCTCATGCAACACTCAATTCACTTCCTCCTCATTCTGAGACTTCATCATGGGTTGTCTCTCTACAACCACTTTTTGAAAATTATTTTAATGCAGAGTTGCATTCTATTAAAGATCAACAAACACATTTGAATAATACTGTAAGAAGAATTGTGAAGAAAATCACAGAAAAGAAACAGCCGTTGGAGTCATTCTTTGTGGTAGACTTGTCACATATTGTGCGACAGATTGAAAGATGGAAAAAGGCAATGACTTTTACGACTCATGGTCCATGTGTTGCGAATTATGGTGGAATGGTCAGACCCATGTACGCCGTAAAATGTAACCCTAACGAGAATATTATTAAGATTGTGTACCTAATGGGAGGAGGTTTTGATTGTGCTTCACAACAAGAAATCTCCTGGTGTGTAGACTGTGCAGAGAAATGGACACATGGCTTGAAAATAATCCTCAATATTATGATTCTCTCACTGTTGTGAACCCTGAGCTGACATTGGAACAAATCAAAAATAGACGTTTTAATCCAAGCACTGAGATAATATTTGCACATCCCTGCAAACCTGTTTCACACATTTTATATGCTAGCCAGCACGCCGGAGTCGAATGGACGACATTAGATTCTGTTTGTGAAGTTGAAAAACTTGCCGAGCATTGGAAACATTGCAAAGGTATTATTCGTATTAAAACGGATGATGCCCATTCTGCGATTGGATTTTCTGAGAAGTTTGGAGCTACCAAACATGGAGCGATAGAAATAATGGAAAGAGCAAAGGAATTGGGAATTAATTTAGTGGGAGTCAGTTTCCATGTTGGAACGAATTGTGAAGATGTCCAATCGTATGTTAAGGCTCTTCGTGACACAGCTGAACTTTGTAAAACCGCAAAGGACCATTTTGGGTTTACTTTTAACTTGATTGATATTGGAGGAGGATTTATGAGCAGATTGAAGAGTGCTTTACCAATGGAAACTGTTGCAAATGAGATTATTCCTCTAATCACGGAATCCTTTGCTCGATCTGAAATCACTTCGCAAAACGATCTTGTTGATAGAAGCACTGTCAGAATTATTGCTGAGCCAGGGCGCTATGTTGTATCAAGATCCCATACCTTGGGTAAGTAGTTGTTCCCTGTCACAAAGTCATGATACTATATTCCCTATGTAGTTTGTCATATTCACACAAAGAAAGATTTACGTGAAGAAAATGCCATTCGTGTGGCTGAACTTCTTCAGCAAGGCGTTGACGTTGATTCATTACCACTCCTTGACGATTTTCATTATTACATTGATGATGGTATTTATGGTAGCTTTAACAATGTGGTCTATGATCATGTTCAGTTGGTGGTTAATACTGTAATGACCAAAAAGGCCAACAAGAATCAAGAAAAGCATCCCTCAACATTGTGGGGCACAACCTGTGATTCTCTTGACATTTTATTTAAGGGTTATCCTTTACCGGAATTGTCATTGGGTGATCATTTGTTTTTCCATAACTTTGGGGCCTATACTACCGCCTCTTCTTCAGAATTTAATGGTTTTAAAAACAATAGGCTGCATTACATTTGGAGAAATTAATTTATTGGTGAAGTTGGCTTCACTTGATAGTGTATGTTTAGTATTGTTGACCTAAGTTCATGCAAAATGACACTTCAATATATTTCAACATTTATTCCAACTCTTCGCTTAAAGGTTGAATTTCAGTATTTGTTGTTGATCTTGGAGATTGTTTTTTTCGTACAATGATGATAAAAACAATATTTGTCACTAAAGAAATGGCCAAAATCAACCCCATCAATACCAACACAACCATCAATGTTGTCCTTTCACCAGAGTTAGAGTCAACTTTAGCAATCTTCACAGTATTTCTCTTCAAATAATTCACAGCTAATGCGTCTTGTGCAATTAAAGGTTCGAGCTTTTCTCTGACCTGTCTATTGTATTCATTCACCCATTCAATTTCTTTTTCGCTAAGAATAGAGATATCAATAAGGGATGGTTGAATAGGGCAAAATGTGATCTGCTCAAACTCCAAATACGTCTTGTTGTTGAAATGATGTGGAGTTTGACTTTCCCTCACCAAATATAAATTTTCAATTCGAACTCCAAAATTTCCTTCTTCGTAGTATCCTTTGAATCGCGACACCACAAATATATCACAGTATTAGTGTATTCATGGTGTGAGTGGTATGGTATTAATCATGACATCATCTCATCTAATAACACCTACCTGGCTCAATTGTCACATCATAGGTTTTCATAAATCCAAACACTGGAATACCAATTCCATGAGGACCTTCATGCACATCCAAACAATGTCCAACACCGTGTCCTGATCCATGATCATAATTTAATCCATCAGCCCATAACGCCTTTCTTGCAAATACATCCATCTTATCTCCAGGAAATCCCTCTGGAAATATTAATGAACTTAATGCAATCTGTCCCTGCAAGACTCGTGTGAAACTTTTCTTGACATGATCTGTTGGAGTACCAAAATGTACGGTTCGTGTCATATCTGTCGTTCCATCCAAATATTGACCCCCACTATCTAAAAGATAGACATTATTCGTAGATATTTCTGAATGTACTTGTTCAGTAGGTGAATAATGAATAATTGCTGCATTTTCTCCATAACAACTAATGGTTGGAAAACTTGGACGAAGGAAATATTCACCTTCAGCTCTGAATTTTTCTAATATTTGAGCTCCTTCATATTCATTAATTTTCTGTTGTTGATTCAAGAGAGCATCTTCGAGAAATGCCAAATAACGAACCACAGCTGCTCCATCACGTAAATGACAATTTTTAAATCCCTCTCGTTCAATATCGTTTTTGTAAGCTTTTTCTAAACGAATGAAACTATTTCCTGTTTTGATGATGGATTGAATGGAAGAAAAGGTTGCATAATTACAAAATTGAGGATCAATAAAGGTGGTTATAGAGGGAATATCGATCGTTTGATTTTGCTCAGTAATGGCAATTACAAATTCCATATAGGAAGAATAAGGCTTGACGGTTACACCCATGATTTCAAGATTCAATGAAATGTTGGAATTTTCAAACTTTTTCGCATCTACAAATAAATACACTTGTTTCATGGTTACAATCAAATAACTAAAGAATACAGTATTGTACTCAATATCATAACCACGTAAATTGAGAAACCATGCAATTTCATCCAAAGCAGTCACAATATAAATATCCACTTTTGAAGCAAGCATTGATTTTCGAATGGAAAGAAGTTTATCACTTGCTGTTCGACCTGAAAATTTCTCATCCAAATGAAATATCTTTCCATTGGGAGGTGATGGTCTTGAAGTCCAAATCAAATCGATTAAATTTTGATAAATTAATTTAATTTGAACATTGGTATTCTGTAATTCTTTAAATTGATCTATCGCATACATGTAATCATGATAATGTTCATAATGTTACATATCCAATTGTTTAAAAAATAAAATATTCAATAAATCCATCATGAAAACTCACTCACAGAATATAAAGAAGGATCTACACCAACACTCTCATTTCCAATCGCATTCAAAGATAACCATCGAGTCATTGAAATATCAACTCCATCTTTCATGAGTTTCCAATATCGAAAATCTAATTGTTTTTGAGCTTGTTGCCAATATCTTCCATCTGTCCACAACAATGCAGAATCCAATGTCACCACTGCAGTTCCTGCACTTCCATCAAATCCAGAAATGTATGCTCTTCGTTGATCACTCGAGGCAACATATTCACTCATGTGAGAATCAGAGGTAGGAATGATATAAGCCCAAATAGAGTATTGTTTCATGAGTTGACGTAATTGATCGAGTTTTTGAGAGGGAGTTAAATCATTGAGAAATGAATGTTTGGAAGTGGTGATGGAGAATCTCGTAGATATGGATGGAGACACTGTGAATAGAACAAGAATCATGATGGTTGTGAATAAAAGCAACAATCGAGAGCAAGGTCTCTTTGCTTTGGACCAACGATCAATCATGATGATGGGAATAGGTGTGATATTTTGTGACATTTTTTTTAAAAACGAAAATATTGTTGTGCTCAAGTTCGTGCGAATCAACTACCTCTTTTTAAAACTTGCCATTCTCTGTAATTATAACATGAAAACGGAATGAATCATGATGGTAGTGAATCGTGACTATTAGTTTGTGATGTAATTGCAAAGTTACTATGAAGGTATGGCATCTTTCGAGTATTCACCTTCTTCAAAATTGTTGAATGAGGTTCGTTCATATATTCAAATAATAATTGTCCATAATGACTTCAACATGAGCAAACTGATAGCAATTGCCATATGATTCATTGAACGTTAGACCATGAGTGATAACTCTCTTCCAAAAAATAAGGTTTTGGTTCTCCATCCTTACTTAATCGAATATCTCCTGACCAAGACTCGGGAAGTTTGCAATTCGAATAAATGTCACATGCCTGTGAATAAAATCGACACATGGCAAGTACAAAAGGATTGCTTGTGGTACTGTCATTTCTAATTTGTTTGGTTAATTCAAGACATTGATCGAACTTTCTAGATTGAAATAACGAAACCACTTGAGATATTGTAGATTTTTCGAACAGATCTGCATTTTGGATAATGGTCTTCCATTTCTTGCCTTTGACAGCATATAAATCACGAGCAATGTGTTTGCCCTTCAAAATAAATTTTCCAATATAAATAATGTAAGCATCTTGATGGGGTATCTGACTCGAACCATTAATAACACTCTCCGTAACAATGATTCTTGATTTAAATGATCTTGAGAGTGATTCACAGCGCGAGGCAACATTGGTGCTATCAGAAATAACGGTAGCATCGAGTCTGTCCTTGTATCCAATGGTTCCAAGACTCACCTTTATGCAAGGTTTGATACGAGTTCAAAATAATCGCGTTCACAATAATAAATACAACAAACCTACCACGCCATTTGAAACGCCAATTCCCATTGTTACACTGTACACATTCTCAGTGTTGAATTTTTCTAATTCGGATATCATTTCCAATGAAGCTTTCACTGCAGACAATGGGTCAGGAAACAATGCCATAATACCATCACCTGAATTGGTTTGAATCATCATCAATAAACATTTCATCAATACATTTCAAGGTAAGAGCTAGGTCGACTTCTTTTACATACCTAATATCTTATCGATGAACCCACCATACTTGCTTATAGGAGGTGCTGTCTATGATGGTAGAAAATGTGTGAAAATGAATCAATATTGTGGAATTTCAAAACTTACCCTAAATAGCAGTCGATTCATGAAACTAAACCCTTCTTTGGCTGAAAGAGACTCCATCAATTCTGTAAAGCCATAAATATCTGAAAAAAGAACAGTCATTTCTCGCGAGATGGCGTCACCCGGTCTCACTTTGGTCACATGGCTCTTTCCAAGGAGCTTTAAAAATTCTGATGGAAGAAATCGAGCATAGGAGTTGTTGATCGAGCTGAAAATTTTAGCATTGTCAATACTAATAGAAATGATTAACTTGGCAGTGTTGAGCTTTTCGACTGTGAAAGAGTCTTCGATTTCTCTATTTTCGAGATAGATGCATCCAATCACGCTTTTTTCACGAATAATTGGTAAACATAATGCAGAGGCAATGTGAGAATTCTCAAAGTATGGGTCAATTTCCTTAGATTGAGAAAAAACTTGCTCATATCTCGTTCGTATTGTCCTGTATATCATTTTCCGAGGTAATCTATCAGCGATTTTGTCAATAGACGCTTCTTCAAGATTCAGGTGTGGCAATATACTCTCTTTTGGGTTTAATTCGTCAATAAGCTCTGCATCTAGATATATGTTACTATTTCTTTTGAGTAGTAGGCAACATCGGTTTGAGTCAGTTTTCTCATTCAACAAAGGTAAAATAGAAATAAATATCTCTTTGAAGTCAACTTGGTTGATTTCTGCAAATCTGGTCTTTGTAATGGTCGTCAATGCAAATTCTTGTTGAATGGTGGAGGAAGAGCTCATCGACGAAGCAACAGATGTACCCATTTCTCGTTCATAGGTATCTATTTGATTCTTATATTTCTCGCAAATATGGTTTACCATAAGAGATGCTCCCATTTCATTGAATTGCTCGTACGCGTTGAAAAAATACTTTCCAGAAATGCTGTCGAATAGATTAAGATCTTTGAATAACTCTCCCAATTTCAGGTTGCATAACTTCACCATAAAGTGGTTTCTTTCTTGAGTGGCAAGTGTCAAACTTTGTGTCATCAAATTGATAATGCTCCTGGTGTTGTCATGTCCAAACCGTAAATAGTCACAGAATAACTTTTCTGCTTTGATCAATGCAAATGGACTTGGGAAAATCAATGAATTACATTGACAGAGCCTTTCTAATCGTTGCAGGACGTCCTCAATGATTTTGTCACTTTTTTGAAGTCTCTCCTCTTGGTTGGCTATGTGATTCAATAGAATATACTTTTGAACAGCACAACAAATTAAACCCTGTGAAATAACCATAACCCACTCAACACACATTCCTAACGCTTCTTCTTTAAAATCAAACGTCTGTTCAATGCATGCAAACGATTCTTCCAATTGCTGTTGAAAGTAGAGTGAAATTGCTTTAAACAAGAAGTGCATACATCTAAAAACAGGATAGTGAACAATGTCACAAGTGTATGCAGGGTCAAAACTCTCCGCCTCACCACAAATGACTCTCTTCATCTCAAGGATCATGTTACTGGTATCTAAAAGGACACAGTTTCCAATGTCCTTAATAACGGCAATGCACTGCTTGCTGAGCTCAATAGAAGTTTTGATGTCAGAATTAGCAAAAAAGAAATGGTAGAAGGGGTAATAGGTTATGGTGAACACTCCGTAACCTCTATTGTTGTTACACTTGACTGTCAATAGAAAAGCTTCCTCCATCAAATTCCAAACTTCCAAGGCATTGATGTTTGGAAATAAAGCAAAGTCCATAATTTTCAGCAAGAGGCACGAGGACCAATGCTGCTGATTCTTGTATCGATTTCGTGAGATTTCTATCGAAGCTTCGATAAATATCGTCATCCTAGGCCAAATGTCATACGTACTCCAAAAATGAGAGCAGAGGGCGAGTAAAATAGGAGCATCAAGACACATTCCATTCGTGAGTACTTTTTCCATGCCTATCAACATGCAGGTCATAAAAATAAACCTGCTGTTTGGAGTATGCATGGTGTCTAGTGATTTCATATGGAAGATTGCTGGGCTACCCTGAGAAAGCATTTGTATAAAATACATATTCTCTGGATCTGTCATGTCAGGCAATTCTAGAACGTCCTTTTTGGTAAATTTAGGAATTAGATTCTTTTTCATGTCTTTCATCTTGTTGTCGATCCATTCTCGCAACACATCGACATTTCGATTCGAAGGGACTGTTAAAAACTTCAATTCTTCAAACGCTGGAAAAAAATGAGTCGTCAACAATTCAAACACGGCTTCGAACTTTCCTTGGGTCAAATAACACATCTCGAGATTATAACAAGCTTCAAAAATATGTAATCTGGTTTTTGCTTTTTTCAAGGCCGTATTGAAGATAGAGATTGCAGATTCAACATTGGTCACATATTCACAATTTCCATGTATCATAAAGAGTTCAAAAGTCGTCTGATACAGTGGTTCCATCCAAACATCTTTCTCAAGTCGTAAAATTTCTAACGACGTATTTGCGAACACCTTTGCTTGCTCTATTGCGCAGCAACTACTGATTGCTTTCTTGGCAGCCATTTTGTTCAATTCTAACAGGCGTCTACGTTTCTTGGGAGAATTAAGCATTTTGGGGTCTTTAGATCTGTGGTTTAAATGAACTACAATGTCAAATATTGCCTCTTCTAGAGCCATTTCACCAGCCTTAACCTTTTGTAACAAATACTTTCCGTATGTGTAATGGATTTTGGTTTTTTCTTTTTCTGATAATGACGAATTTGCTGCGTATTGTAATCGATCATGGTTGAATTGTAAAGTATGAGAGTTAATGTAGCTGATCCATCCTTCTTGAACTCCGTGTTCGAGACTTTCTTTCAGCCCTAAAGTAGAATATTCATCGTTCGTAAGGTTCATTAAGTGAAATAAATGTGGTAATAAGGCTTTGCATCCAATACATGAAGCATATGCTAGTGCTTTTTTAGTATCTGGTGGCATGTAATCAAATCGAATCAATAAAAAGTCAACAACATTTTGTGAATATTTCACTTGACCTATTTCTTCCAAATTCCATGAGATTGCCTGTAAGGTTCGGTTAAAAAATATTTTTTCTTCCTTGAAAAGTGTTACAAGCATTTGTTTCAAGAAGAATGGATTTCCTTTGGTCTTGGAATACAGTACTTTCGTGAGGTTTTCAGTGTCTCGTGGAGTTCGGTGTAGTGACACTGAGACCAAATTATTGCAGTCTTCTTCAGTCAGTTCTGGGACCTCAATGTCAGTTACTGGACCTCGAATGGATCGAGCTGATTTTAGAAAAATATTCAACGGGTGGTAATTGTTGTCCTTCACTTCATTATCTCTGTATGCAAATATCAAAAGCAAAGGAAATACTTCACAGGTTCCCAATCCCATCATTTCCTTTAATAACTTTATCGATTCGAAATCTATCCTCTGCACGTTATCTATGAAAATGGTTATTGGCTTGTGCTGCATTTGATTATATGCTTTTAACAGGAAAATGACTGATGTGAAATGTGAGGGTTTGATTAGAATAAACACTTGCTAAAAGATACGTACCTCCTTGAGAAAACCACTTGACTGCTTCCTGGTGTTCCTCCAAAACGAATGCGCTAGATCTGCTTTGATACGAAGGAAATAATAAACTAAAATTAGTAATTACTTCAGAAAGCATCTCAAGCTGTGTAATATTAAGCCATGCAAGAACATAGCTTTTAAATTCGGAAATAAACTCTTCTGTTTCTCCAAGTACAGTCTCGATGATCGTGCTAATGATTGAGGTAAAAGCAAAAAATGGCACGTTTTGATTTTGATCATACTTTGCTTCCAAGTACACAATTTTGTCCTTACATCGATTTCTAAACTCTTGCACAATACTTGTTTTTCCTATTATATTGTGTTATACAAAGCTATTAAGTTTCAAATGAATCTTACCGACACCACTATATCCTCGTACCATGATTAAGGTTGGTACTTGCATGTCAATCATGGTTTGCAAACGAGTATTCATTTCATCAATAATTGAATCCCTTCCATACACAACGAAAGGAATAGAAATCGTTGTTTGAACATCGTGTTGTCCTGGAATAAAGTTATGGAGGCAAGAATTGTCTTCTTTTTGGATGCATTTCAATATAATATCAAGATCAGCAATAACACCCTCCATGCAAAAGTATCTCTTGTCAAAGGATTTTTGAACCATCTTGTTAACAACTAGCGCGATCGCATGAACCACTGTTGCGAATGTGGAGTTTTCATCCTTAATGATTTCTCTTCGTTTTAAATTTTGATACAACGACTCTGGCTGCTTTGTGATGTGAGAGAATATATAATCTGAGCTTTTCACACAGTTATTGAACGGATGGTCTTTTGCAATCATTTCGAACAAGACAAATCCAAGGCTATAAATGTCACTATAAAACCCTAAGGGTTTTGGAAGGCGGCCAGTTGCTTCTGGAGACATGTATCGAACGTTTCCCTTTGGATTTGAGGTATATACATAAGGAGTGGACAATGGTAATAGCTCGCTCAGGCCAAAGTCAATAATTGTAACAGTTGATTGGCCCCAAATAATATTTTCAGGGGATAGATCGCAATGAACTACTCTCATCATGTGAAGTTGGTCAACACCTGAACATAATTTGATAGCTACTTCTAGAGTCTTTTGGAGTGTATCCAGGTCTGCTGTTGGTTTTTCCATAGTCAAACGTTTCAACGATGATCCAGATATATATTCCTTCACAATAATGAAATAGTCTTTAAGATAGGCATGAATTGAGGGAGCTACATGATTAGCTTTCAGACTCTTTTCTAGATATCTGGATATAGAAGCATCGTTTTCTAACTGAGATACAGATGACGGAGTTAATGACATCTTTACAATGTACACTGTGTCGCTGTCCAAAGGAAGAGACGAAGAGCCTTGATATTCTTGTGGTACGTACTTGCATGTGATCACAAGAGTTGTGTTACGATCGTAGTGAATAATTGGAGAAGTAAAATTATCCACTACAACCGGTAGAAAGAATGGAGGCAGTCCTAGGCTTAATGTAAAGTATTGATCATGTTTGGGAGTCAATTTCACAGAGACGTTGCTTCCATAAAAGTGACTTGCATCAACAATAAACGGTGCCTCTGATTGTGTGTCGTGTGCAGCAAAATCATGTTGGCTTTCAGAATAATCAGCGATTCGGGGAATCATTTTTCTGTAAGTTAACAATAATTCAAAAGTCAACCACTGTGTGGTACTACAAGCGCAACACAACTTCGAAATAAAGGTTTGGGTCTTCTTTTGGAGAAATTGAATTTGTGGACAATTGATCTACGCACTAGTTTCGGAAATTTTCTTTGATTACATTAACTGTTCCCTAATTGAACCAGTATATTGCATGCAGGGTTAACGAAAATCCGGTTGTATGCATTTGTATTTGCCAATCTATTTGTATTTACCCAAATTTGGATCCAGATTACATGAATAATGTTGTTGATGCAAAGTTCTTCATCAACTCAATAAATGATGATCAACGTTTGTAATTGCTTTAAATTTAAACCATTCTTAATAAATCTCAATTTGAAAGCAACCAATACGTTACGTTGCTCAAACTTGTTACCCTCTCCTTCTCCTCGAAGACAATCCTCATTCGGAGGGAAGAACAATAATACAAGTAATGCCTTGAATATGCAGCGTCTAGTGTTACGGCTCAAGTGAACATCTTCTTAATGGAATCCGAGAAGGTTGGTAAAACAACATTCCAACCACTACATACACTATCAGCATCTAAGAGCAATGGGAAATATGAACATGATGAATTTTCCAGAGTCAACCACGAATGACTTTTTAAAAGGAGGGCGTGCTTTCAATGATTTCATGGTTGTTTCTGCAGAATCAAAAATGAAACCAACCCGAATTCGATGCAATAGGATTAGTGGTGATCAAAGGTTGATTGAGGTTGCTAAACACCTCGAAGGTGTACAACGAAACTAAGAATCGTCTCTAGACCTATCGCTCATTCACCTTGCTTGGTAATTCCAACTCACTTTCGGAATCATGGAGCTGAATAGAGGAATACAATAACCAACTCGTTGCAAAGGCACAAACACAGGCTTCTAAAAGATTTTCCAAATCTAGTAGACATGGAGACGCTGTGAATAGAATCATGATGGTTGTGCAATGTAAGCAACAAAAGAGAGAACGGGTGCAACCTGTTGTGGCCTTTTAAAATTTTGTGGTCAACTTCACCTTTCAAACTTGGCTTCTGTAATGAACATGAAACGGAATGAGTCAAGACATGATGGTAGTAAATCAATTACCAGTAATTTTGCGAAGAACAACAATTTTAAATTAAACACGTCCTCACCACTGTCAAGTGGGAGTCTCTCAGTAATAAAATTTTTTTTATCCAATCAAAAAAATTTCCGAATTCATTTTTATTTTCGTTTTGAAAAAAATATTCAACAATGTCCACCACAACCACTACCCCAAAGCCAACTGGTGTTGATTTGTACGCTCGTTATGCCTTGTCTGGCGCTCTTTGTTGCTCCATCACTCACGGTGTTCTCACACCAGTAGACGTGGTGAAGACCCGTAAACAATTGGATCCTGTTGTTTATAACAGAGGTATGATTGCCTCGTTCCGTCAAATCATCCAAGCCGAAGGTCCAGCTGCTATCTGGACTGGTGTTGGACCAACTTTTGCTGGATACTTCTTACAAGGAGCTTTCAAGTTTGGTGGTTATGAATTCTTCAAGAAGCAATTCGTTAATGGTTTGGGAGTTGAAAAGGCTACTGAAAACCGTACTGCTATCTATTTGGCTTCATCTGCTTTGGCTGAATTCTTTGCCGATATTGCTTTGTGCCCATTGGAAGCTACTCGTATTCGTTTGGTCTCTCAACCAACATTTGCAAATGGATTATTAGGAGGTTTCACTCGTTTGTTGAAGGAAGAAGGTGTTATCCGTGGTTTCTACTCTGGATTCTTCCCAATCTTGTTGAAGCAAATTCCATACACAATGGCTAAATTCGTCGTTTACGAATTGTGTGTAGAACAAATTGTTAACATGATCGGAAAGCCAAAGAGTGATTTGTCCAAGTCTGGTCAAATGGGAGTTGATTTGACAAGTGGTTTGATTGCTGGTGCTTGTGCTGCTATTATTTCTCAACCTGCTGACACATTGTTATCTAAGATTAACAAGCAAAAGGGAGCAGAAGGAGCTTCGATTTCATCTCGTTTGATGGCTTTGGCTAAGGAATTGGGTCCACGTGGTTTGTTCTTGGGTCTCGGACCAAGAATTGTCATGGTTGGTGCTTTGACTGCTGGTCAATTCGCCATCTATTCAAGTATTAAGGCTGCATTAAATGCAACAGGTGGAACTGAGCTTCAAAAGATTAAAAAGTAAACATCAACTCGGTATTTATAATTAAGGAGTAATAAAGTTTTGGTCAAGCTTTCTTTCAAACGACGGAACAATTATTATGCTTCCATACTTTGCTTTAATTTTATTCATCACAACAGTTTGGTTCATCAATTATTCTTGTAGCTTGGCTTGAATTTTGGAAACAAACGACTCAATGGTCACAGCGTCAGGAAGTACAATGACGTTGTTTCTAGATGATGTATGGGTTGCAAATTCTTGAAGGGGTCTAGGAATGTCAATATCTCTATAAGCTTCCAAAAGCACCATTGGCAATATCCATAAAGTCGATACATTTTTGTTTTGTGACACCATCCGCATTAAACCAGACAAGGGCTGTCTTGATGAAGGAGTACCAATGACTATAATCATGTCACATTGTTCTGAAATATCACGCTCTCCGTTTTCACGAACTACCTTAGGAAAAGAGTCGTTTTCCAATATGATATTTGGTAGTAATCCACATTCTTTCTTGCTCATCATTTCGCATTTACCCTTACGAACATTACGGTCTGGAGAGTCTTTGTTTGGAAATTGTGCAAGTCCAGACGTAAAATCAAACTCTTTTCCACATACGTCACAATGAAATCCGTTTAAGATTCCCAAACAATTTACTACAATATCATCTCCTAACATCTTTTGTTCCAGTCCATCTATGTTCTCAGTATACACTCGTAATAACTTATTCTCCTTCTTGAGCTTGAGTAAAAAATCATGAATCATTGTTCCTTTGTTGTAAGCTTTGTTGAAGGTATTACGTAATTTTTGTAAATAATGTAATGTTGGAGCGGGGTTTGACATATATTGAGCCCAATTAAACAGATCGTCTACAGTATTCTCTTTGAAATCTTGGAGTTGTAAAGCTTCCATGGAGCGTCTCGAATTTGGTTTTTGTGGCTCGACTTGTATAGCTTCGTGTATGTTATCTTCCGCCGTCATTGGAGTGTTGGTGGTTGCTTTGTTGTCAATGTTGTACAAAATGTGTAAATCTCCGTAAACATGGCTTGTCAGAGCGTTGTTTTGTTGGTAATACTGAGAAGTAGCTTTCTCAAAAATGTCTTTGGGTAGTTTTGATTGTGTTGATGCAACAGGACCGATCATTGCTACAATACTCTTCTTTCCGGATATTAACTTTGTTGAAATGTTGATAGCTTCTTCCAAAGATAATTGATTTTCCAAAGCTCGTTGTTTCAGCCTCTCCGATAGGGAGACCTTTTCTATTATTCTTGATTGATTTTCTAATTTTGAATAACCCATATCATTGTCATCATCATTGTCATTTATTTCTTCATTGTTATTTATATGCACAATGGAACTGTATTTTCTCGTAATATTTGGAGAAAGAAAATTAAATTGTTGAAAATCATAATTCTTTTGAACCCTTCCGTTATGATGATGATGAAATAATTTCAACAAGACCCCACCACATGATTTTTGGTTGGTGTGGATGGCAAGGCTTTGCACGAGCTTGTTCATTTTTTAATTTCTTTCGTTTGGGCTGAAACAACTCTAGATTGTAAAAACATTCAATCTGGATCATGTTGTTTCAACAAGAAGGCAACTGTTTAATGCCTTTGTTCATATCGAAAGACAGAGTTTTGGTATAAATTCTACGTGTTTGAAAAGATCAACAACAATGATCGTCATTACAGTTTTTCCTCGTCCTTATGGTTTGAAACCCACTCAACAATTTTCAACCCCAAATTGTAAGCTGTAGAATTGATACGGCAAGATTGGAGATTCGTGTTGAGCGAATATGGAACGTGCTAGGTGAACACGTTGTATACAGCAATTACACTCCAACAATGGAAACATTGCAACTCTTTAATGCCACTTGACTATTAATTATTGAAATTGTTATTTAATCACCGAAATCGCAATTTATAGCCGTCGTAAAGCCCATTTGCTATTGTGTCCCTTCCTAGTTGCCTTTTGCCCAAACCTTTTTCCATGGTCACACATAACCTCTGCTTAATTCTTAACAAATACCCTCAGATTAAGCCTTCTTATTTTGTGTATTTTTTCGCCTTATTATGTGATGCACTTTCTCCACACAAATACAAATTAACATTTTGAAAGTAGACATGATTCTCCAATATATCCATTATTTTCCAAAATTCATTTATGAAAGGTGATTTTGAGATAGCACCTTTTTTCGTCCTTGTCAATGTGCGATGAAAGACGTTGAATGACGGTGAAGAGAGGAATATGAACACACAAAGTTTGGCTCAACGTGTCAAATGTTGGTGTGGCGCAAGATCATTTCAGGCCCTTTTTCTCATTTCATAATGTATCAGCGACAACACCACAAACTACGCCATAAGAAAACTACCAGCGAAAAAATTCGACTCAAAAAGGCAAAAATTTTTTGACAACGAAATGCAGAAACTCCGGGATTGGTTCAGAATCTTGTAAAGTTTTATTCAGTAGTGCTGACGTTCGTTCATTAAAAGTGAACCTCCTCCTGATTATGACCACACCTATTGTACCAAAGCCAGTTACTAACGTTTCGAAAGCAATTCTCTTCAGCCTTTCGTTATACAAGGATTGGTTGATTGTTGATGATAATACTCACATTCACCGTCATTACACCGTTCAACAAGTTTCTCGTTACACGATAAAAATCCATCTTTTGTACTGATCACTTGGTATCTAAGTTACATCAAAGTTGTTCCACGTTGTTGCTGTGTAATCGTAGTTTAGGTGTGTGATTTAAAATACTCGACCTCATCTTTTGGTGAAGGCATTTTTTTTGGAGTGAAAATTAATGTCAACTTGAAAAATTAAATTACAACAAAAAGCAAAAACTCTTGTTCTTTAATTTAATAACAGCATCTCCTTGGAGCTTAACTGAGAGAAATTGAGATCAGTATTATCAATAATATTATTAATTATTTTCAATTTGTTTTCTGTGCTCGGTGGACCTCCTCGCTTTTGTTTTATGCGAGTGAAGCTAGCTTATCGACAAAGTAATTGTTGTATTTTGTTGTGTGTTTGAATGTTGGTTTGATTGGTTTCATGTTGTGAAGGTTGAGATGATAATGTGTTCGGATTGTCAAGGTTATGTTGGATTGTGGAGAAATTATGAGAAGATTGTGGATAATAGGATTGATGATTTTGAAATAAATGTTCACATCCTCCATATTGAATAGGGATATTCTGATAGCTCATTGAATTGGATTGGTTTGGTTGTATCAGATCTTCATAAATTCTTTCGAAAGATGGTGTGATGTTCTTGGTGAATCAAAAGAGCCGGGATTAATGCTACTGAAACCGGTAGATGACGGTGATTGCACATTGAAAGAAGATAATGGAGAGGAACACCATGTGTGGTGATTTTGATTTGAAAGTCCATATGATTGACCTTCAAAAAAGTTGTTGTTAGATGTGGTTTGGTTTGTGGACGGTGATGAAAAGTTTCAATTTGATTACATTTTTTGTGATTTAGAGTGTATTGAGGATTGAATTTAATTGTTTTATTGTACAAACTCGAATTCTTTGTCAAACTTGAACGATGTCCACACTTGATTAGTTTCCACATTACATGTGAGAGAAATGTATACAATTTTCATCTTGTGTTTCGTAATCTTCTTTCCGAATTTACGTGTAAGACGTGAGTGAGTAATTTCCAACTCAGACCAATGCTTGCATTTGTCTAAAGGAGGAACACTGTCAGTAAATCTGAATTGAATGCACTTCTGTCTCTTCTTTAGGCCATTCCACAAAATGTCTTGATACCATTGGTAATATTTAGCCTTTGTTCCCCTCAGAGCAAGATAAAACACGTTTGGGTTGCAACATCCAACCGTTTCATGGCTGATGGAGTTTGAACATCTCATCTGTAGATGTTGATAAATAATATTTCTTGCACATTTGGCGAACTGTTCCCATATAATTCCATAAATTTGTTTCTTCTCATCTGGTACTTCTTTAAAGGAATTATATTTTGGTACAAATTCAAACAGTCCTTTCTCTAAAGTGAATTGATATTCCTTGTGAGTGTCTTCAGCAGCTTCATCTGTGGTTCTTGATTTTCGTTTTTTGCTCTGTTGGGAAATATTGTCATCATCACATTTGTTGTTTGGTGTTATCGTACATTGTGTCTCATCAACAATACCAGAGAAGCTGCTTGTGCTAGGCAACAGACAGCAAGGTGGAAATGATATAGTTTCGTCTGTGAAGATCCATTCCTGAACAAGTTAAGCAAACACATTGTAACAAATTTGAAACATACTGTAGAGGTAGTCATTACTGGTGATGATGGGTGAGAAGGGTTCATTTCGATGCTTGATGATGAAGGAATCTTGTGAAATATGTTACTGCTGAATACTGGACAAACATAATACTTACATTGTTCGTACTCTGGTTCGTTGTGGATTGGCTATCCAATGCTGGTGATTCATTGGCCTTGATAATTGAGATCAATACAAGGTGAACGATATTCACTAGTACTTACGTGATTAGTATTTGTTTCGCAACTCGAATCACAATCAGAAACACCAAGCTGAGGTAAAGATTAGTGTAGGTGTTGAAATTGTTGTTTGATGATGTTGTTGTTGTGGTAATAATCAATTACTTACACAGTATAGAGGCACAGTGCCCTCTTCAATGACCACTAATTCAGCTTCCATGTTGTGTGTGTTGTTGGCAGGGAGGGTGAGCCAGATAGAAAAAGCTTCGTAGGCAACCAGCCTATACCCAACCATTCTTGGCGACGTTGACGAACTCAAGTGTCATCACGAAAATAAACATCTCCAACCAAAAAAAATGCCTACAGCAAACAAAACGTTCTGGCAGAAGCTGAGTGATCAACACAACCACAATGCTCCCGATATTCGTTCAACTGCTTCAATAATGCCGTCAGTAAAGAAAAGAGTTTATTTTGAAGATCAACCGTTCATGGTTGAAAATATTACACCAGCTACTAATGTTAGTTATGAAGAGTGCTATTCCGAACTGAAATACGTTTGCAGAGGTATAAATCGGAACAATTATTCTAAATTATTAACAGGAAAACAAATTTATAATTGCGATTATGACATAATTGGCGTTATTCGAGACGAACTCACCTTAGAATCAGCATGTTGTTCAAAATATTGTAGTATTTTTCAAAATCAGTGTCGTCAATGTAGTGAATTGGAAAAACACCTAGTTTCAATCATGGAAAATAGGCATGATATATTTGAAATGCTATTGAAAGGAATTTTACCACAACCCAAGCAATTAATATCATTTCCATTATTGATGTATGAGTTATTGTGTAAACTTGTGCCATTTATACCAGTCAGCCAAGATGAACACAAACTTTTAACAGTGTTTAGAAAAGCTCAAACTTCATACAATGAAGCATTGTCGACACAATACAACAACAAACAAATTACGAACAATGAACACCGTGATACACAAGCTTTGAAGGTTCCAAGGTCAAGCTTTACTCCATTCTTAGAGACATTTTTTGGATCCTTTATATTCAATCAGTTGCAAAATTATACAAAGAATCCATTTCATCACAAATATTCAGAGGTTGAAAGAAGATATTGGGTTGTGATGAAATATTATTGTGGAAAACAATTTTTCATCAGAATGGGAGGAGAGCGCAATCAAAATATTGAACGGAATAATTTTAATCATTTAAAATATAATCTAATTATACCAAGTTGGAATACTGTTAAACAATGGACACCTGCTGGTTGTTATGGTATGATTCCCGACATCACACTTACCCTAAAGAACATGTTACTGCCTGACTCTTGTAAAGATACATGTATCTCGTTTGATGGAATGAAAGTGTTTAAACATTTTGATGTTTTGGGAGATCAAATTGTTGGAAGTGAAAAATATTGTTACACTGTTGAAGACGTGAAACAATTTGGTGTTAAACATCTAATAGACCAAATGATTTTATTTTCTATTAATGCCATCGATAATTCATGGCATTTACCGCTGGGTTGGTTTGGAGTTAGTTCTGAAACAGACGTACTTGAATTTGTCACTAGCAAAATACTTTATTTCAAAGAGTTGCTCCAAGAATCTGTAACAATTGTGTGTGGATGTTCTGATGCAGAAATTGATGCACATGCTGTGCAAACAATTATTAGAAAAAAACACAAAGACTTCATTTTCGTCAATGATTACGTTCACAATTTCAAAAATCAACGAAATGTATTATTTAATGGAACAATATTGCACGAGAAAATCTCAATGCAGACCATAATTTATTACATGATACAACATAGGACATTGTATCGATTACTCGACAGAGAAGAAGTTGATCCTACGGATATTATGAATTTGAAATCATGTCTAAATTTAACAGAACGACCTGTATTGCAAGAATTACGTAAAATTGGCACTATAGAGGCAAATAGTGTTGCTGGTTACCTTGAATTAATTCGTGATATTTATGACTGCATTAATGATAACAGTCCGGATATAATTGATATTTTGAGTGAAAGCAAAACAATTTTCGAAAAATTACCCAATTATCCCAAAAAAACGAAGAAAATATGTGTTCACACACTTGAAGGATTTCTTGCATTAGCGTCTCGGTTTCCAAATTTCAAACCCAGTTGCATTACAACAAATTATGAAGAGCTACTCTTTTCAATAATTCGAGGAATGTTTCCCAAGCCAACAACCAAACAATTTTGCCAAAGCGCACTATTTTCATTCTATATATTTTTAATATTACATTCCACTGACGATGTTCGTGGGTTCTCACTCCCAGATATTCCATTAACTGATCATTATTTTGGTATGAAATTGGTTATCAAGATTTTACCAACTCTTCCTGGTCGAATTGTACTTGATAGAAATGTCAAGAAAAAAACTTGCAAAGAATTACAAATTATTAATCAAAACGTAGCCACTTACTCAAGAAAAACTACGTTGAGGGCTGAAGTGTGTGCTCCTAAATGTATATATTTATGCTGCCCTGTTTCTGGATGTAAAAAACAAAAACCATATATTATCAAAGGGTCTTTTACAAATCATTTGAAAGCTAAACATCAATTTTCAGACGAAGAAGCAGAAGCAACAGTTGCTCAATTAGAATGTTTGCAATTTTCTGCTCAATTAGAAAAAGATGTTGCTTTTAGGAAACAAAGTTGCAAAAACAATGAGAATATTATTGTACAACACAAACCACCTTACCTGATTTCAAAATTCAAAAACAGGTTGACTATTCAATATAATTTTGCACCTCTTAAATCAATTCCCACGCCTCACTGTATCAATCAAGAGACAAGACGACCATTGAACTTCTTTGTGCTAGATTTAGAAACAACAGGATTTTCTCCAAAATGCAACTCCATAATTCAATTTGCAATGTTATCATTATTTAGTAATGAATTACATTCCATATTTGTATCCCCTAGTGGTGTGTGGAGTTCTATTGCATTACAAATGCACGAAACTAAATTTCAGATTTTGGATGAAAGTGAAACATTGCAAAACATGATTCCTAAAATTTGTAATTATTTGACTAGGAATGACACTGCTGATGTGATGTTGTTGGTTCATTCAACTGGTTTGGACAAGGCTTTCTTTAGTGCTGCAATTGCACCACTTAAACTCCGATCAACAATTTACTATTGTTCTACTATGCAAAAAAACTTGCTTGGAAAAAAGGGATTAGAAAACCACTTTAGAGAAAAAGTATGTGACTCTCTTCCCGGAATAGCACATAATGCCGTTGTGGATGTGCTTATGTTGTATGATTTGCTGTTGTCGAAGTTTGGGAACGATCAAGAAATTGTGAAGGCCATCGGAAAAGCAGAATGTACAACAATAGACGACTAGGAATTCCACTGATGGTTTGTTCAGTTCGATGAATTGTTTTCTCTGTTTCCTACTCTGGTTTGCGTGTTGTTTTGTTGAAGTGAAGAAACTTGCTGATGTGGTTGTGTTGATCACTCAGCTTCTGCCAGAACGTTTTGTTTGCTGTAGGCATTTTTTTTGGTTGGAGATGTTTATTTTCGTGATGACACTTGAGTTCGTCAACGTCGCCAAGAATGGTTGGGTATAGGCTGGTTGCCTACGCTTTGGCTCACCCTCCCTGGTTGTTGGTGTGTTTTTTTGTGTGAGAAGCAGAAAACAACACCACAGACCAATCACTCCATTTTTTTTGACTCCGGGACTTACTAAAACGAGCCGAATTTTTTCTTCGTCAGTTTTTGCACTTTACGCTCAGGCGTAGTTTGTGGTGGCCACTTGGTTACATACAACAAAAAAAGCACTCTCTTCCTTTGGCTTGAGTCACCCAATACTCTCTTCAGCGTCTTGGCCTTGAATACCTTGCAATCCACACCAAGAACCTTTTGTTCGCACTCCACTCCCCACTGCTATCGGCGAACTGGCGTTGATTCTTTCTCACTGCCTCCAATTGTAAAATTATTATTATTATTCTTGACCACTCCCTTCAACATCATCAAGTTGTTGTTTTTTGTGCAAAAAAGATCTTCAACATCAAACCCTCCAACCACTGCTGCTTCTGCCCTGTTCAACGATTCTTTTTGATTCCAACTCCAGAAACACATAATGAGTTCATCAACAACTACCACCACCACAACGACACTCATGACTCAACCACCCTCTTCTCCAACAACCAAGAACAATGGAGGAACCATGCCCGATACCATGACTCCAACTCTCTCGCCCAAGCTCTATGGCTCACCACTTCCATCCACAAAAGTGGTACCATTCGCAACCATCCACTCCTCCACTGAAAAGATTGGGACTTCTTCTGAACTGTATTTGCCATCGTTACAACAACGGCCTTCACGATATGTTCAATATTTACAACAGAGCGTGATCCGTTTCATGTTTGCCTTGATCACTCTGTTCACGATCGCATGTATTTGTTTAGGACGATTCACAATGGCACAAGGCTTATTATTTGAATTTGTTGTTTGTGTGGGCATGTTAATGATGGATCCATATGTCATGATGCAAAGACGATGGAGAAGAGAAATGAGTCATCAATTGCCATCACCAAAACAGTAAGCTGCTGTTCAGTTCTTCATCACACACGACAATGATTTTGCTGTCGATTCGTTTAGTGTGAATCAATTTTGTTCCACAACTTGCGAACCCAATTTTGAAATCATCCAACAATTTTGAGAGGAATACCACTCCTCATGCGGTCTTTTTGCTCCACTATCTTGAGAGAGAATAAACAACAACACTTCATCAAGCAAACAACATTGTTTACCGGTTATCACAATCCAAACAAATCAATGTCAGTCGGCTTCTTTGACACAAATGGAAATGTTCATTTTTGCAATTAGTGCGCGACAGAACCATAGTCAATAAATTCAAAAGGTGGAGTAAGTCAAAAAGCAAAACAAGAAATGCAAAGTCTGTGCACGCTGTGATTTACAACCATCTATTTACCAGTTCAGTTTGAATTCTTTAACCATTCACTGTTAGCAATGTACTTGGAGCCAATTCGATTGTCACTCAGATCCAAAAAGATCAAATTCTTCAGACATTCACTGTTAGCAATATATTTGACGCCTATGTTGCCAATTTCATTGTCAAACAAATTCAAAGAAGTCAAATTCTTCAAACACTCACAATCAGCTAAAAGTTTGATTGATTTACAAACTTGTTGGAAGTAATTTCCATGTACATGGAAATGATAATGAGAGAGGAACTTATCGATAGTTGTTGGAGATGAATTTTTAAATATGGTCCACCATCCTAGACTTGGAATAGGCTTTTCTTCCAAACTTTCAAACTTCCTTCTGCACCTGGAAAAAGAGCATCGTTCCCGCTTTCAAAATATTAAAAAAAATATTCCAACATGAACGCAGAACCTGTTCAACAACATCAACTCCTCTCTCATCCCTACGTGAATGGCAGTACCATCCCAAACTACATCGGAAAGGATGTAACTCTCATCGGAAATTGTGCCTCTGAAGTTAATGGGGACACTTTTGCTGTACTAGCAAGCGACTCGTCAATGATCACAGTTTACTTGAACAGTATTTTTGTAGCCAGCAGCGATGAATTAGTGATGGTTCGAGGACAAGTGGAAGGTGGAGATGGGTCATTCGCTATCCGAGCCAACTATGTCCACAAAATTCCATCAAGCCAGGTTTTTGACAAGAATGTTTTTAATGAGTTTATTAATTTAGCAGAAAATAGTTTCAAACATCTCTTTTATGATTAGAGCGAAATGTCTTGAACTAAGTTTAATGTTATGAGCTCTAGTCTGTAAATATTTTATAAATTATTTTCAATTTTACTCTTCAAGAATATTTGTTCATTAAATTCAAGAACAACATTAATTGAAGTTTTCCCAAATGGCCCTCAAAGATTTAGCATGAACTGCGTATGGAATTTCCAGAACTCCTCTCAGCACTTTTAAGACATCAATTCCCATAAAAATTCCAACAATTCCCGCAATTTCTCCAAACAAGCCTTCCAACGAACTTGTAAGTATTTCAGTAATTTGATTTTCATTCAGAGAGTCATACGAAAATGATATAACCACTACAGATGGGTCGTTTTGGGTGAGCTGCACTGTTGACAGCTTTGAGTCCCATCGTAGCTCAATACCACTCGGATTTTCTGCTCTTGGTTTCAATCTCTTTGTTACAAATTTCGTTAAGGTATAAAAGTTGTCTACTCCTGAGGTTGCGAAATTCGTTTCACTAAACACGTTTGGAATCGTTCCGATTTCATGAAAAGTTACTTGAAGCCCGAATCTGGCATCACGGTCGTCTGGAACAGGAGGAGCTTTAAAGAACAAGCTTATGGAACCACCATATCCTGTGTAATTGGCAACCAGTGGTTTGTTTTGGTTATAATTGAATCCATAGCACTTAAAGTATTGACCGTTTTGCTCGAGTTCAAAATATTCGTGTGGAAGCTCCACAGTTTCAATTATTCCAAGAATGTTGTTGGGAGTAGTGGCTTGCAGCAACGTGATATTACAATAATCACAACTAGGATCAACAGCATTCCAATTACAAACTGTAACAGATGGAAATTGGAGAGGTATCGTTTCATGTAATGAAAGAGAGGTTGTGGGAGAGTTTTGTGCTTCGTGAAAGTTCATGGCAGAGAAGTATATATACCAAATGCAGAATGCAATTGCAGCCAGCCATGAAAGGATCATTATGGCCTCTTTTACATTAACGGGAGATTTGCATTTCTTCTTTTCTTTGAAACCTGTTTCATTCAAATTTGAAGGTTTTGTCTTGATTTCCGAGACATCCTCAGGTTTGAGGGTCGATAATTCAAGTGATGAAAAAGCTACCTGCAATTCAATGTTGTGATGTATTGGCAGAGGTTCTTCCTTTTTTTCTTCCATGTCTGCACTATTAGATAATATATATTTTGATTCCACCGCCGTAGTACTCGCTGGCGCGTCTGTGATGTTGGTGTTACTAGTTGTAGTTTGTGGAGGCGTAGTAATTTCCTCTTGCGGACTCATTTTTTTGTTAAGGCTTTTTACAGATGAGGGAATTTTGATGAACATGATCTGGCGGGTGTTAACCATTCACCATATATTTTCTGAACCACATTCTTTGAGTAGTAGAATGTTTCGACCAATCACATGTGATCACAAGGTCGTGGTAATTGAGATTGAAAAAAAATGTTCTTGAAACGAGTGTTGGCTCATGCCACTTCAGTTGCTGTTGGTGTTTGGATTGGCTCGCAATACATACGAGGTACCACACATGATCCATCAAGAATGAAGCATTTACTACAAGATAATTCTCGTCCTTCACATATTCTGATCGGACCTGTCAATACTCAACCAGAAATTAATTCACACGTTCAACAACAACCATCATCACCACAACAGAATGAATCCTCCAAACGAGAAGTGTCATTGACTGAAAAAATTTATCATTATTTAGAGGAACAAAGAGATGATCATCGTTGGCCAAAATTTAATATTCATGTTGAAGAGCCTACCAAGGAACAAGATCAAACCTTTGAACTCTTTAAAACATTTAATGAGTTCGGCTTACCAACACATGTAGGTCGACTTAACGTATTTTCCCGTTTTTTATCTGTGACAGATAGCAACTTAAAAATTCCACTGTATGTGTGCTGGTCGATACCAAGATTCGAAGAGAATTATGTTGAGAAATCAGATAGAAAATTCTCCAAGTTTATGAAAAGCCCAATTTTTGAACAATTATCAAGCTTTAATCCTGATAATACTGATTACTTTGGAAGTAACTATTCTAGAGGTCATTTAGTGAACTGTGGTGATTTAACAAGATTTGATCAAGTGGCAATGGTAAGTTGAAGCTCAAACATCCATACTCTTTTCAAGCCGCTGATTAACGAACCAGAATGAAACACATCTTTTAGCTAATAACATTGTTCCTCAAGACTTTGACAACAATGCTAATTATTGGTTGAGAATGGAAAGATTTACAAGATCACTAGCTGACCGCTTTCATGCGGTGCATGTCATTGCAGGACCTGTCTTTATGCCAACACTGTATGAGCAACAAAACAAGATAGAGCCAGATGCCACAGGAAAACCACCCAAAGGTCCAAAAGGGGAAGTGAAACACTTGATCATTGGTAACAACCATGTAGCAGTTCCAACTCACTTATTTAGAATAATTATTGCCGAGAAAAGACAAACAGAGACAGCAAACGAACAAGACGCAGTATCACCTCAATATTATGCTCAAGCATTTATTGTACCCAATAGACCAATTGATAAGCTCGATCATTTAACCAAATATTCAGTCTCTCTGAAAGAAGTTGAGTATCTTACTGGCATGCGTTTTTTGGACAAGTTGGAAAAGAGTGGCAACATGAATCCCTTGTGCTGCAACACGCTTGATATCGATGCCAACTTAATTGATCAAGAAGTGAGTCATCCTGAGAAGAGTAGTTCAGAAAAAACAAAGTGTGCTTGTAGTTGTGATCTTCCGCCTTGGCAAGACATTGAATTTCAAACACTATTATGGAATAAGAACATAACAGAGAGGGAATTAACTGAGAAATGGGACTCTTTGTTAAGTGAAACTAGTTGGAAGCCTTCCAAAGATATCATTAGAAGACGAGACTCCAAGCTAGAAGAGCTCAGAAAGAAGTAAAGTTCAATATTACCTATGTATCGACATGCACATGAAGTTCTTACATACCTAAAATTCCGCCTTCACTGAAAATATCAACAAATTCAAACGTTCCACGTTGTCAAGAGAATTAAATCGAAATAAATCAAATTATTCTCCTTGTTGTTTCAATAACTTCTTTTTTGCTTCCTCCCATCTCTGAATACCATCGCTAGTTAAATGATCCACTCTTGGGTCTAAAGCAATTTTTGTTGCAAAATTAGAAGATAAATTTCTCAAATAACAAAATACTCCTAGAAACGATGTGGTCAGAGTTAACATTGTAGCCTTTGCGTGTTGTGGAGGAACTCTTCGTTTTCTCAACACTCCACCCATGTATGCAGCTCCAAGTGCAATATTGAAAACAATAAAATTGAATACTTTAGGAGCGTTAAGTCTTGTTTCATAAATACTTCTTTCTAACCCCAACAATATGCTTTTATCATCCGGACCAAGTGGTTGATCTCCTCGTGTTTGTTTTAAAAGCTTCTCCGGACTTGCAGGTAAGACGGAAGCATTGTTTCGCTCCATGCTCGAATTTAATCGAGGTGATGATGACTCTTCTGAATTGATGCTCATTTTTTATGAAATTGTTTCGATACAACCAGAGTATTGTTATTATTTACTGTTGAATTGTTGTTTTCATGGTTTTAGCTCAACCAATAAGTTCACATTCATTAAATCTTTCAAGGAGAGTAATATCAATTGTTGGCCCAAGAATCTTTCAAGGAGAGTAATATCAATTGTTGTTGGGATTTTTGCGAAATTTCTCACAACGTAATTGTGTTTCTTTCTTCACTAAATTTCACAGTGACGTTTTTGTCAGTTAAATACTCGCAAAGATCATTGTAAAATATTAAAGCCCCCAATCAGTGACATGTCTTCAATATTCAATGCATTTCACGTTTTCCATGTCAGCACAATAATTCGACATCGCTAAATCTATACAGGAAATATTTTCCAATATGTAACTCTTTATTTGGTGTTAAACCAATTTTCTTTCCTCAATTCGCAAAGTCTTGCCAAATAATAGTTCGTAGATTTTCAGGGTTTCCAGAAAGATAACCAGCACGTTTTTGAAAAATAAATGTTTGACAATCTCACACAGCTTGTTGTGGCAGGATAACCGATTGAAAAGGCCACGCTCTAGACGACCACAGGCAAGGCACAATTACAACAGTTTAAAAAACAATAATAATTGATCGCTTTCATTCTGCGTATCTCAGAGCCTGAGTGGTCGATTTTAGCACTATCTGTCATCGTTTGCCTTCCGAAAATTTAACACGTTCCAAAACAATCGGTTCACACTCTACTGTGTTACGAGATATCACTTCCACCTTCCGTGTTTTTCAAAACAAACAATTATTTCAATAGCTTCCTTCTTACCACTACACATGGGAACCCAACAAAGCAAAAGTACGCATAATTCTAAATTTTTGACAATTCCAAAAATGTCAAACTATGATTGTGGTGTTGAAAACCACCCATTGGACAATTATGAAGCAAACAATTTTCACATTATTTCTAACGATGCCACTCAATTCACTAATGACCACCTCTCACTTGACTTCAAGATCTTCTCTCAACACCAACCATTTTCTCTCAACATGCGAGGCAGCTCCAATCTAAGGAGCAACACTCATTTAACTATTAAAGACGAAAATGACAACATGTTGAGAATGAGACTCATTGGATCGTCATTTGTGCTCACACAACAAGGCGAATCTCCAACAAAATATTTCAACATCCAGAATGAGACTCATGACGAGGAGTGCTTCGTACAGAAAGGAATATTTGATGTGGAAGTGAAATCACCACAACCATTTGTTTACAATCAAAATTTAAAGCTGGTGGTTAGCAAAATTGCAAAGAAGACAGCCAGGCACATCTCGAAATATATTACCTTCCTGATTGAGGTTGAAGGAGTGGGATGTTTTATATTGAGCTTTGGCCACAAGAAGTGTATGAAGACATCCGTTGTGTTTGCCACTTGTGTGTATGTGAGCAAGTTCTTCATTCAAGAGGGCAGTAATCAAAGTGATGACAATCAGTCAGACACGGTCGTTGTCAGTTGTCAAAGAAGATCCATTCAGTACTCTTCTGACCAACCCTCTCCTGTATTGAGTCAATCCTCTGGACAATATCCACAAAGCTCTTCATCCTCTCCCTACTCTTCCTCAGGATCGCCCTCATTTCAAACAGCCTCTCCTTTACTCATAAACATTCCATCTCATGAGAAGAGACGAAGCACAAGCTTCAACCAAATCGATAGCCCTTTCTTCATGAAACCTCTCTTATACCAATCTGAATCTAACTGCTTTGCAAAAACGTCATTCCATTCCAGCACTTACTCCACAAGCCCTTTAACCACTACGAAGCAAGCCTCTCGTGAATATGTAACACAAAGATACACTTCTAATTCTTTTGACAACTCTCCTTCTACACCAACACCTCTTTCTGGCCTCACACAAAAGAGCACATTATTCAAATGCGACCTGTCTTTTTGTGAGTTTCAAACATGCCCTCTTGCAACCATTTTCAACCACAGTTCTGAAGGATTTGATCCACAGGACAGAATATCAGTTGTATTTGTTGCTTGTGAGCCCGAACATGTTGTCATCCATCCAGGTTTAATCGTTTCAGTTGCATCCGACCGAATCACATTCCGATTACCAGCTATTCCTCTTGATTATTGCAACTTGCATCACATCAAAGCCAAAATGTATGTCAGAATCAATGATAGAGTTGTGTTTGTGAATCATTTTGAGTTTAGAAACAGTGAACATGACTTTGCTTTCGAGCCGTTAGGCTATCTCTTTTCTGCAACATCCAACTCACAAGCTCTTTCTATGATCTTTGAGAGCCACAACCACCATAGCCCAGGAAAATCAAGCCCACCACAACCCAATCTGTATCAACCATATCAGTCTTCCACTTCCTCTGGTCCGTATATTAAGCATCATTTCTTTTACTAAAGGCGTCCTTGTAAATCTCTACGGCAATTAAAAGACAATAATAACCATATCGGAACACGTGTTCAAATACAAGATGATCCTTTTCATCGGAACGAGTACAATGAAAGCCTTACTGCTTTGTGGTTTTTAAGGAATTTTTATTTTGAAAAAATAACCCTCAACGGACTCTCAAAGAACAATGATTCAAGGGAGATATTCCTTAACATTGGTCCTAATCCTTACCTTAATTTTACTGTCGTTAGCGACATTGAAAGGAGAGCACATACTAGAGAGGCAGAAAATTGGAAAGTTGGATTGTGCTGTTCTTTCCCCTCCTTCGCCGGAAGTTGATTCCGTGCTAATTTGGCTTCACGGTTTAGGGGACAGTCATGATGGTTTTATCGGAATCTTAAAATCGATACTTCCTTCCAACACCGTTGCAATAATTCCCACTGCTCCAAAAAGAGCAATTACGTTGTACAGAGGAAGAGAAACGAACGCATGGTTTGACATAAAATCTCAAAATCGGATTGCAAACGTTCAAGAAGATACGGAAGGCATGATGGAATCGAAAACCCTGATCGACGAAATTATTTCCGCTCAGATGCAGAAGTTTAAGTCCCATAGAATTGTCATTGGAGGTTTCTCGCAGGGAGCTGCCATGAGTATTTTGGTGGCAAGTCGATCCTCTCAAACATTGGGAGGTATAATTAGCGTATCAGGATTTGTTCCAATGAGATCAAAATTCAATACTGCCACTGACATGGTGTTAAGGCAAAACGCACAAACACCATTCTATATTTTACATGGAGATGATGACATTGTTGTAAATTATAGCTTGATTGCGAAGAGATCGTATGATTGGTTAGAAGAGGCTAAAACAATAACAGCTAGGAAGATTTACAAACATGTTGGGCACTTTATTTCAGATCAGGAAAAGAAGGACCTTAAAGATATACTGGCACAACTGTTTGTAAAATCCATCGATGTCAGTGAGCAATGTCCTCATTGTAACTTCTAAATTAAATACCATGAATACTATTTAATTCTGTATTGCAATTCTTTTAATGATAAGGTTGTCAAGCAATCGTGTGCCTCCCACTCTAATCGTTCCTGAAAGACATAACTCTCTGTTTTGATCGGCACTTTCAATCTTGAAGTTTGGAACGCTGTATTCCTTATTGGTTGAGATTGTACCGTAAACGTGACCATTCTCCCAATCACAAATGCTCAAATAATCAATGCAATACTTTGACGAGGCCATTGATGAAAGATCTTGACCAGAATAATGTTCTTTCAAATTCTTGTTAAATAATTGCTCTAAATATTCATATGAATCTTCTAACCATTTTTGAAGTATTTGGTTGGTGAGAGGACTCACAGAATTTGTTAATTTTGATAATTCTTCTTCTGCTCTTCGAAGTGTTTGATTTAAAATTGGAGCAATAAATGTACGATCTATGGAGGATAAATATTGATTTCTTGAGGACATTGCCAAGCCATCCTTTTCACGACATGTTTCACCAATAATTACCTTCTCAATATCCACATAATTTAAATCTCTCACAAGTTGTTTCACTACCATACATTGAACAGCATCTTTTTGACCAAACACAACCACTTGTGGTCTCACAATATTAAACAATTTAACAAGAATAGTCGAGACACCATCAAAAAATCCAGGACGACATTGTGCTTCTGGTTGATCTTCCAACCAATTGACAAATATTTTCGATTCTTGATTCAAACTAGTACCACCACCCTGAGTATTTCTTAAGGGATGTGTTTCTGCTGCAGTTTGTGTTGAAATCTTACTCATAAACACTCGTGTCATGTATTCTTTTGGATAAATTTCAGTAATATTTTGTGGAGCAAGAACCAAGTCAACACCAATTTCTTTCATCTTATTTAAATCATTTTCAAGAGTTCGGGGATACTTGTCAAAATCTTCATGAGCAGCAAATTGTGCTGGATTTACAAAAATGGATGTCACAACTGATCATCATTTTCAATATGAAATATATTTTAATTACATCAAGTAGCATGCTTACCAATATCGGAATGACGTTTGGCAGTCTTCATCAACTCCAAGTGCCCATCATGTAAATTTCCCATGGTTGGTACAAATCCAATCAACTTGTTACCTCCCGAACCCAATAACTGTTTTCTCATCACATTGAATTCCGATAAACTTTTTGCGACAAGCATTTGAGTGCTTTTCATTGTTGTGTTATATTTTTTTGTAATAAATTATATGGATTCCTCTCTTACAGCATCAGCTGAGGTCAAATTATCATCTGGCTCCTTACTTGAGAAATCGGAACTCTTCGCTGTGTACGATTCAATTGAAGGTTTAAGGGTGTTTCGGAGCGGATATGAAAGCTCAAAAAAAATTCTCCGTATTTCTCAATTCTCAGCCAAGTTTCAGTATGCTGACACCATGCGTTGTGCATGGACAACAGGTTTTATCGTTCTGCCTGCAACCCACGTGGGACCATTCTGCAACAATCCATTGAATATGGAAAATAGTTGGCAATGGAAACGGATGATTGCACTTCATGTTCCAAGTACCTTTTGGCAGTTAGTGTCATCTCTCCGAAACTAGGTAAAATTCCAATAGTACCACATTGAAGTAGTAGACACTGCACGTGTGGTACATGCACGGAAGAGGAGGAGGAGTATTAAAGGATTTGTGCGAATGGAATGGCAAACCTCACTTCACAAACAACACTGAAAAAAATGAAACCATCTCCTCTCTTGAAAGGTGTCACTACCCGAAGAGTCATCATCTCTTTGAGGTCCAGATTTGCTTCTCATTCTTGTGTGAACGAGACCAGCCAATTTCAAAAAGGAAATATGGTGACAATATCTAAAAAAGGGAACATTGCTTGGATTATGGACATTGTGAGGGAAGGAAGAAGAGAGTATTCTGTACATCCATCTCATTCTAATGGAAAGACTTCAGAAGTACCAGAACAAACCATGTTAAGAACGGAATTAATTCCTGTCACATTGAATTGCATTAAATACAAGTATGAAAACAAAATTCCACTGACCATGCTTACTGCCACAGACTATCCTTCAGCAAGTGTTATTGACCAAACTAATTGTGACATGATTTTAGTTGGAGACTCATTGTCCATGACTGCTTTGGGACATTCCAATACAACAAGTGTCACAATGGATGAAATGATTCATCATGCAAAAGCAGTTAAGAGAGGGTCCAAGTATTCCTTTTTAATTGGAGACATGCCATTTGGATCTTACACCACCGATGAAAGTGCAGTCCATAATGCAGTAAGATTTATTAAGGAAGCAGAAATGCATGCTGTAAAATTAGGTATGTCAACTATTTTCTTGAATTGTGTTAATATTTTTCAAAACAATTTAAAGAGGGTGGACAACGAGTGGCATCAAAAATTAAGGCAATTGTAGATGCAGGAATTGTAGTAGTGGGACACGTTGGATTAACACCTCAATCTTCAAATCAATTGGGTGGATTTCGAGTCGTTGGCTCAAAGAGCTGTGATGAAGCAATTCAAGTCTGGAAGGATGCTCTTGCTGTGAAAGAGGCAGGAGCAAGCTTGATCGTGTTAGAATGTGTTCCTCAAAAATTAGCTTCTTTAATTACAAAAGAGCTTGGAATTCCTGTGATTGGAATTGGAAGTGGATTGTGTTCAGGACAAGTCTTGGTGTATCATGATATTTTAGGATTGTACAGCAAATTTACTCCAAAATTTTGTAAAAAGTATTTGGACTTGAATCCCACGTTGATCAATGCATGTGAACAATACGTTCGAGATGTGACTGTTCAAGAATTCCCAGAAAAATCTCACACATTTGTGATTAAGGAAGATGTCTACAAATATGTTTCTGAATACATTGAAAAAGAGGCAAAAGAGCTTCGAGAAAAGAATCCAGTTTATCCTCATCCCATTCTAAAGAAGAAAGATGAGATCAATACCATGCCTCAACCAACCTTCTCGATGGGAACAAGGAGAGTGGTAGTATTAGGAAGTGGTTCTGTTGGATCCTTAATTGCCACGTGCTTACAACACTGTGAAGAAAACCAAATTCGTATGGTAAATGGTCGTACGAATTGCACACTTACAACCTCGAATGTGCTTGTGGAGCGAACGGTCAAGGAAAATGAACACTCTCCGAGCACACTTATCGCATCGAGTACGGTTCGATATTTAACTTTAGATCAGCTTCAACACGAGTGGAACAATGAGATTGATCTCTTAATTGTTGCTGTGAAAACTCATTCTACTTTGGAAGCGATTCAGAATTTCATGAAAACTTTCCCAACCTTAAACACATTCGAAACGTGGTGACTGTTCAGAATGGATTCAATAACAGTGATGTCATTAGAAAGGCATTCGTTAATCACATCATTGATGTTCCCAAAGTTATTCCTCCAATTTTTGTATATAGTGGAGTGAAACGAAGAATAGAAGAACATGACAAGAAGGACTCTCCTAACAAGATTATTTTGGAGCAATCGGTGTCACCAACCATTTCCATTAGCTTACCTAAAATTCTATCAGGAACAGAATTAGGAAAATTATTTAGCGACAATTCACAATTTCATGTCGCTTCTCACCTCTCTCCAACTCTGATCAATGGAGAAGAAGTTTACGTGGATTGGATGAAACTTATTGTCAACTCGACCGTTAATCCTGTGGCTTCACTTTTTCAAATTGAAAACGGAGGTCTTAGCCACAATTCTCACCTACAACAAGTGATGAAGCAATTAATTCGAGAACAATTAGATATTCTCAAGCTAATTCCTGGCGCAATTCATTCTCTTGGTGTAACATGTCAAGAATTGAAAGAGAAATCTTTTGAAGAGTGTATATTTTCAAAGGTGATGCAAGTAATTGAGAAAACAAAAACCAATACTTGCAGCATGTATCATGATGTCAGAAATGGAACCTTGACTGAAGTTGATCATCTAAATGGTGCCTTTGTGGAATTGGCAAAACGTTTAAATCTTCCTCCAAGTTCTTATTCTGTAAATAGTATGATCAGTGAAATTGTTAAGGCAAAGTCAACACATGTGAATAATCAATGTAAATAAATATAAGATATCACTCATTGTGAATGTTCAACATCTACACACATGTAATAATACTTACCAAAGACTCACGAGGTTTCATAAATTACTTCTGAGAGAAAGAAGAGAATGATTGCTGGAACTCCCTCAAACCCAACGTGACAAAAAAAATGAAACGAAATTCTCATGAAGATGAAACATCGTTCTCGGAACCAGAGAAAAAACACACCCGAACTGTGTCATCATCAAGTAGCACTTCATCACTTCTCGATGGATTTGAATTTTATATAGTCACACGATTGATCAATGACACTTCCGATGAGAGTGATGAAAAAAATTGGAAGAAAATTCAATGCACCGAACTACAAACACAATCCACACCATCATTCAACAAAATAATTTGTCACATGGATGATTTAGATAAACCAAATATAAATAGTATTCGAGTTGGATTTATTGTTAAAAATCGTTGTGGGGTGGATTTGGGATTGAAATTTTCGCTGGATGGTAAACATTATTCGTTCATGACAGTGACAGTGATGAAAAACGAAGAAAGGATCATCAAGAGATTAATTGATAAACAATCGAAAGAATCGACATGTATCCTTGTGAAAAAGAATGATATTGCTGAAGATGAAGATGATATTGTCACTAAAGAGGTACTCGATCGTTTAGGAACAATCTCTGTCTCAATATTTAGAGTCGAAGTGAGAAAAACGACCTATGAAACAACTACCACAGCTAACTCAATAACAAACACTCAAGTTAAAATTAAGGAGTCCATGACCAAAACTAAAGACCTATCGATAGGTTTGGGAAAGGGTCAATCAAAACCATTCGAGAAAACTCAATTTGTGTATCATGAAACTCTCAAAACTATAGAATTTGTGTACCATACAAAATTGGGCTATCTATTCGAATTGAGCAAGGCTGGAGCGTCTATCCAACAGAACGAGCCAACTAAAGAGCAAAGCAATCATCACACCTCTCATGAAAGCAATTTGCCAAAAGTCAAATCGGAAAAGTAGTAAGGCTGCCAATAATTCCCTGACACAAATAGTGACACAAGTTTGAACGCAATCAAAAATTATTTATTGCTCGGAAATCTTGCAGAGAATTTCGTCTTCTCTATACATATCGTATTGTTCACCATCGAACTTGACCTTTCCTCCTTCATATTCTGGAAGTAAAACTTTATCACCAACCTTCAAGGAAGCCTTGTCTCCGACAGCTACAACTTGACCCTCTGGATTTTGCTTTGTTTTAGCAGTCTCTGGAACATAAATACCTTGAATTTGAGTGGCTTCTGGAACTTTAATTCTCTTAATGAGAACTCTGTCGAACAATGGGATTAATTTACGGATTTTCTGTTTGTTTAGATTGTTGAGTGTACATGATTGCAAATTCCGACATTTTAATAATTGTTTTTAATTGATGATGATTAATTTTTTCAATTAAAACAAGAAGAAAAACAACAACGATAGGGTCATCCTCACACCATGTGCGGAACTTCTACATACCGATGACATGATGAATGAGTGTGCTGAGAATTTTTTTCTTCAACATTTTGCTTCAATCAATTTCGCAAGCGCGTTTTCATATTCCGAAACAAACGATCAACAGAGAAGGCTGTTTCCGTTCCTTAAACCACAACCCCTCCTCATGAAATGCTGGTAGTAAACCTCATTAAAAACGAAGCATGGAGATTCTAATCATCCATACATTTCAGTACGGAATTTAAATTCCACAATTCCGAGACGAGCGGAGGCAAGACCAGAACAAACAGATCCAATCAATCGATAGCCATGTTCAACAAGACCTACACATTCACGTTATCCGTGAAATGGTTGAACATGTTTTCTTCGAGAGAGAAGCTGCTCGTTATCCTCCTTGCGGAAAGCCGGAACTGTTGTAGCCATTACAAAACACAAAATTCCTGGCTTCCAAGCTTGCGCCTTTTACTTCGAAAAAATAGACGACGAAAAAAAAAGACAACACATCCCAACGAATAACGTCTTTTCCAACTTCCGAATAACAATGGCAGACTATTATGAAATTTTGGGTGTTACTAAAACAGCCTCTACACAAGAAATCCGTTCAGCCTATAAGAAACTTGCATTGAAATATCACCCTGACAGAGCACCAGAAGATAAAAAACAAGAATATGAAGAAAAGTTCAAAGATATTGCTCACGCATATGAAGTACTAACTGATGACCAAAAGAGAAAAATTTATGATCAGTACGGAGAAGAAGGCTTGAAAGGCGGTGCAGGTGGTGGTTTCCACGATGCTGCCGACATCTTTAGCCATATCTTCGGTGCTGATGAAGGATTTGGAGGATTCTTTGGTGGTGGTGGACGACGACAAACCGGACCAAAGAAGGGTAAAACAATTGCTCATGAAATTCAAGTATCACTCGAAGATTTGTATAATGGAGCCACTAGAAAAATTAGAGTTACAAGAACCCGTATTTGTACACACTGTAAAGGAACTGGTGCCACAAAGGATGATGCTGTTATCACTTGTAAATCATGTCAAGGAAAGGGAAAAAAGGTCGTTACCAAGAGTATGGGACCTGGTTTTGTTCAACAATATGTTACACCTTGTGAAGTTTGTGATGGTACCGGAAAGAGTATTGACAAGAAATTCATTTGTAAGGAATGTCAAGGAAACAAAGTTACCAATGATGTCAAAGTTTTGGAGGTCCATATTGACCCTGGTATGAAAGAACAACAACAAATCGTTTTTGAAGGAGAGGCTGATGAGAGACCTGATGTCCTTCCTGGAGATATTGTATTTATTGTTCAACAAAAACCTCACCCATTTTTAACAAGACAGGGAAACAATTTGCATATGAAGAAGAAGATCAACTTGTTGGAAGCCTTAACAGGCGTAGAATTTTCTGTGAAACACTTGGACGGAAGAACTCTTGTAGTCCGATCGAAGAAAAGTCAAGTTATCAAACCAGGAATGGTCATGCAAATTTCCAAAGAAGGCTTCCCAATTCACAAGTCTCCTTTCCAGAAGGGTAATCTCTACATTGAATTTGAAGTTGAATTCCCAGATCAAATTCCTGAAAAACTCCATCAAGAGCTTTCCAAGATTTTACCAATGAAAACCAATAAGGCTGACGTTATGGATGAGTCTTCCGATAACGTCGAAGAAGTGTTTTTAACTGAAGCTGACCTCTCTCAGAACAATGGCGACAGCAGGAATCAATATGACAGTGACGACGAATATGAAGGTCGTCGTGGACAAAGCGTTCAATGTGGAACTCAATAAATACGCTTCCTTGGCACAATCAAGAAATGGTCAACACCTCCATACAACTTCACTCCTTAAAAAAAAATTTCTCCCTGACCTCAAACCATGTATTCAAGAAAAGCACTGGGTGCTAATGGCAGAATGTCCTCGATCCCAACTCTATCGAGTAGAACAAGCACTCCTTCAGGAATGTATGATGAAGAAAAAGAGGGTTGTAATTCCGAGTTTTCGTTCAGTGAGTACATACCGATAGCATACAAAACCTCCTCCATAGCGGGTGATGAAGAATATTCGTACACAAAAAGAGCCAAATTCAATCCCGCACACCACTCGTTATCGAATAGATCTAGGTCTGATAGGAACGATATTGAGACTTTGAGAGAAAGTTCGTTGGCAGCCATTAGGGAAAGCCAGTTAACGAGGATGGAGTCTGAAATTGGACTAATTCAGTTTAATCTCAATGAATTAAAGAGGGAAATGATGAGACTCACCGATTCATCGCAACAAGACCGAAAAACCACTCAACAACTTCAACAAGAGTTAAGAAATGCTGACCGGCTGCTGAAACAGCTTGAAGAGGATGAAGAGATCCTCTCTATTGAGCACAGCAAATCCACTCCCAACAAAAAGAAAACTCCAATCAAAACAGTAAAACAATCCCACGATGGTTCCAATCTTGATGAATACGGAGAGACAGAAAGGCTTATCCAGGACGAGTTAGAAATTTTAAAGAGAATTTATGCTGACAACTTGGAGTTCTTACTTGTTGTACTCAAAGAGATGAAATTTATTTCCAGTAACTCAGCCCGAATGGAGTGTTTAGATTTTCTATCACAGATTAGAAAAAGAGAAGAATGTGAAATTGAAAGGTTGAAATCACCAAAGAAGAACATTAGTTTTTGTGGAAGAGAAGGAAATACCAGCTGCTCCAAAGGAAATATAACTTCAGGAGATGCGGTGTCGGTAACAACTTCTTTAAGGGTTGGAACTAGCTCAGACGCTGGTAACGACGATCTAGAGAGTGTTTATTCGGAATTTGATGATAACAGAAGTGTCAATGAGTTGATGACATTAATGAACGCGAACGTAGAAGAATTAGTCAATAAGTTGGCAGCAGAAAAATCAATCGAGGAAATTGAGAGCCCTGTTTCTAAAGGAGATGTTATTCATTTGTGCAGGGAAATATATTCTCTTTTGAACGACATGAGCGTTGAGTCTGACATTGAGATAATCAATTCCTGCTTTGATGTCCTTGAGCTTTATATTGGAAAAGCGTTGGACGAATTAGTTCAAGAGGACATGGTCACCGACCTCATGGACATTTTAACAACCTTTTTATTCTTCTACAGAGCAGTAGGACGACTTTTAAATCAGGCTGAATTTGTGGATGAAAATCTCCAAAGAGAATTCGTTGAGCAAAGGTTTGAAAAATTAAGAGAAAAGAAAGATCGTGATATAGATGGAATTGTAAGAAATAGAGCTCACTGCTTGGCAAGAAATGAACCAAGGGAAAAGATTGACAAACAAGATTTAGTTAAAGAAGATGGAACGAGAAGCGACGATCAAGATCGAGATGACAAATCCAACAGGGAACTTGAGGAGGAACGAGAAAATTTGCTTGACAATCTCATGACAATTGAGGAGTTGATGTTTAGAGATAGCTTAGAAAACGATGACAACGATACCATTGAAACCAAAGAAGACCCAGATGATGAAGAAGAGAAGCAAGAAAACAGCACTGAAGCCATTGTATCAGATGCAGGAATTGTTTACACAAGCCCAAAGACAAGCTCTCAACTTCAATCAACTCCCCCAAAAACCAGCTCTTCTCCTTCCCAACAGCATAAGACCCAATCGTTGAGACCTCTGGGAATCACTGTTAACGAGGAGAAGCTGAGGGAAATGATGGAGAAAGAAGCGGAAGAGTTGGACATGCAATTTCTATTGAAAGCTGGTTCTATTAAGAGTGCAGACAACAACAATCGAGATTATACTGAGTATGCATCGAATTACTTTAATACCAATTAATCGTGTATATTAAATTCTGTTAATTTCAACAAGGTCTATTCAAATAATTGCCGTCTTCTTTGTTGAGTAACATAGTATTCATAGTTCGGCAACAAAGGCGATAAGGACTTTGCTCTGGTTTCCAGCTCCATCTCTCTAAGTAGAATATATTGTTCTTCTTCTTGAGTAAATTTGGATTGATAATTTTCGTACTTTTGAAGTTCTGATTCAATTTCTTCATCGTATTTTGTATGATCTTGAAGAATGCCTTTTTCCCTTAGGAATCCTTTTGTGTCGTCTATTCTTTGGTTGGTATTGGAAAGTATGTTGTTGTTGTCGTATTTCTCAACTAGTTGAGCAAACAAGCTCCTTTCTTCATCAGTCTTACAAATAAACTTGTTGATATAATGATGAGCAGCCTTTCGTACAACATCTGTCCTTGTTTTTTCAAAATAAGAACTCAAATTTTCACTTTCCGAGACATGTGTAACGAGAGACGGGTCAGAATAATGAGATTCGTATTCTAAAGTTTGTTCAAGAGAATGGAGATAGTTAAGTATAAAATTATAGCCTTCATATGGTGCATGGTTTGTTTCATTCTTCAAAATGCTTGTCACACAATAATCTCTTACCAACTCTAACCTCTCACTCATTTTGTAGGGAATGTACAATGCAACCTGTTGCTTGGTATTGACTGGAACTGTTGAGAGCAGTATAAAGTTACTGATCTCGTTAACAATTATTGAAATTAACGATGGATTTGTCACATCTTTTTGGTCATGAATGAGTTTCTTAAGAATAGATTCTTCAGTGTGGCCTTGAAATATCCACTCAAAAAGCAAAGACGCTGCCTCTAAATCCTTGTCAGCTTTGTTCAAGTATGGAGAAATATGTTTGAATGACTCGTGATTGTCAATGTAATCATTTGCTTTTTTGAGCAGACTTTGAACAAGTGGAAGGTTGTGTAAAGGACCATCTGAGGCAATCAATGTTTGAAACTCGAGCAACGACATTTCTCCAATTTCTTCTCTAAAAGCTTTTAGAAATTGATATGACCTAATTTGAATTTGCTCCATTTGTCGATATTCTGTAGATTGTTCAAATAAAAACCGAGAAATATCGTTGTTGGTAATGGAGCCAATTTTGTGTAAAAAATCTGGAAATGTGACCATCTTATGTTCCCCTATAAGTTCTTCAAACTTTTCTCTGTTCGAAGCATTGTTATCAATATCAATTTTTGTTAGATACACTTTGATACGGTCATCTAACAATTTTGTGTACTCTTTTGTTAGATTGTGAGGCAGAATATACGCTTCTTCTTGTCGATCAGATCCCATAAACTGTTGCGCAATCAGTTTTTCCACAATAGACTTCTTTTTCTTAGCTTGGTAATATTGTAGTTTCTTTAGAAGCGATTTAGAGACGTGTTGACTGATGACTGTTTGTATTTTTGAATCTGATGAATTCCACACATGTTCTAACTTTTCAATAAACCGAAATCGGCTTCTCAGCTCATTTTCCTTTTCCTTAATATATTTCTCCAATTCTTTGATCTTATTTGTTGGATGTCTATAGAGTGGAATTTTGACATGTAATGGTCCAATAATATCTCGATATTGATTCATCCAGTTTTCAATCTCTCTTGATACAGAGGATGAAGCAATCCGTGCTCCACTACTACCGACCCTATTCTGATACGAGCTATTGCTCCAATATGTAGAATTGGATAAATCGGAATGATTATCTGACAGAGTTATATATAAATCTTTCTTTGATATTTCAAGGTTCCTCTTATTGGTTAAATAATTAACATAGACCTTCTTTGAGAAGTCAACAACGCCTCTGTATTTGGTGCGATTTTTTTGATGTAACACCATAGAGGTTTTGTCGTCCAACATTTCAATTGTTGGTATTGGAATTAGCCTTCTTTCAAGAAGTTTCATGATAGTCATGGATATCACTCTGATTGCTCTTTTAGACGCATTTTGAGGCTGAATTTGTTCGTTCTTATCAATGTTCTCGTTAACAAATTTCGAAGAAATGGTCTCAGTTTCTCTTTTCAAACGTTTAAGCTCTGAGATAATAAATTGAACCAAAGATCTTCCACTTTGTGCGTTGGGAATGAATTGATCGATTAGCATTTCAAGTAATTCTTTTGGAATTCTTCTGTACTCTCTCTCTTTAAGTTGGAGTTGATATAACGCAGTTCTAAGAGCATGTCTGAATTCGTACATGGTGATACTAGCATCACCTAAAATTCCAAGCAGTATTTCGAACAATTCTGCCTTTATCTGTTCCCAAATTAACTCTCTATTTGAGGTATGCAATGCTGGAGTGGCATTCTCTTCACGCTGATCAACCTTTTCGTTGTATAATGTGTTTCTCTTAAGCCATTCATTTTGATCATTGAAAAAGTCAACTACTTCTTCATGTTGCCACATCAAGCTATCTATCATTGATTTGATAGATTGAACAATATCATCTTCGCGACAATTATGGTTAATTTTCTTTTGAATATATTTTGTCAAATTTCCATACATGTTCTTAAACTTTGGATGAACTTTGAGAGCGTTCTCTTCGTTTTCATTTCGTTCTTTGGTTTGCTCTTTCCCACTAGAAAACAAAAAAGGACACACTTCTAGCAGTATTCTATTTGTCCTTTGTTGATCCCTCAACCCCACACTATCATGTTTACCATCATACGCGAATAATTGTTTCGAATCATCTAACACTGCTTTTTCTACTATGTTTTCTATATAACTTGATTTCTGAGTAACAGTAGCACCAACTGTATCGGTAGGTGAATTTATTATTTCTCGGTCTAGATGCGCGTCCATGAGATGACAAGAACACCCGTTTCAAAGCAATTGGTGAACGATCTAACGTTTGTTGTTAATCATCAAGAAAAAGACGAATTTTTGGTTGTTGATGCGAGAAAATTGTCGTCTGATCCGAAGATTGAATGTCCTCTTAGAGCAATTTTTGCATTTTTTTAATTTTTGTTTCAACTGTTACGATCTTCTTAGTTTCATCTTTTCATCGTTTTTTAAATGTAAGCACTTCAACACCACAGGACTGAATAATGGTTTGGCCACACTTCAAGATACTACACAACATGGCGAAAAGCCATCTTTTTCTTAACTCTTTTTAACCATTCTAACATTTCATCGTTGTCTGTACTCTCTTCAACACTGTCCGAATAAATTATGAAAGAAATCCCTAATGGGGAGCGATCAGTAGCAATAACTTATTGTTTATTCTTTGACAATAATAAATCACTCGTATTACTTGTAGATAATTTTCGTTTGGGTGGTGTTCCAATTCCATCATGATGACTGGTCATACTAGTACTACTACTACTTTGTTCTTCAAATATTTCCACGAGGTTTTGCAAGCGAGGTGAGAGAGTCATAGCCACTCGTGGAGAAGTACTACTGGTTGGACTCGAAACAGTATTCACTGGTGCTGCTGCTGCTACTAAGGATGATGAATGATTGGGTGTATTTGAACCTTCAAATAAGGCAGCTAATAAACTGATTTTAGAGACTCTACGTTCAGTGATTGGAGGACCAGTGGAAGAACTCGAATGTCGATGATGGTGTGATGATGTTTGAAAGGATGTTGAAAAGGCTGTCGTTGGAGAATATGAGCCAGAGTCAAAGGAGGAATTAGGAGAGGATGTTCCTGAAGTGGTAGTAGTGGTAGGACTATGATTGGAATGGATGGAATAAGTGTTATTGAGAGTGGTGCTGATGCTGGTGGTCATCAAGAGTGAATCCAAAGCACTGTTACTATTACTACTATTCGTATTAGTAGTATTAGTAGTAGCACCAGCAGCAGTAGCATCTGAGTGTCTGTTCGTTCTACTAATGAGCACAGCTGATGACAATAGAGTTTTACGTTCTCGTCTCGAATTGATCACTAATTGTTGATAAGAATCTGTGTTGGTGAATCGACAAAATGTATCAAATAACACCATTTCAACTTCCTTATTGAGTCGATCAAATAAATCCAGAGGTAATTTCACAAAAGTGTCTTGTTCATCTTTGGTTCTAAAGATTTGTCGACGTGCTGTGGAAATTAACTTCTTGTTCACATTGACTTCTGAAGGGGAATCTGTGACGAGGAATTTGTCAAATATTTTCTTTGCAAATTTCCATCGTTCTTCAACGTCTGTAATGGTTTTGTACTTTTCTACATGTTCGTAAAATTCAATATTTTCAGTACTGCATTCAATTTCTGCATATGCTCTAAAGTAAGATCTGTACGATTGATTTCGTAAAATTTCATCAAAGGTAATGGGCTTGGAGTTTTCACTGTCAATAAAATCACCGAATATTCTGCAATTGGATGTGTAGTCAATGGGTTTGTAAATGATTTGAAATTGAAGAGGAGGAAATTGATATTCTTGTTGATGAGTAATAGTTGCATACGTTTCTACTTGTTCTTCCGAAATGTTGGATTGGTTCAACAACTCTATGAATTCTTGTTGTTTGTTTTTTCTCAAAAATTTGTAAATGAAATTCAAGACTCCAAAAAGAGACGAGTTGTGTGGAGAAAAGTCAGATCGATATTTTCTGAAAAGATCTGACATTTCAATGGTATCATTGGTAATATTAATGTCATCGTTCACAAATCGTCGTACAGCTTGGTCAATTATTCTTTCGTAATTAATCTGATCAACAGCAACAGGTAAAGGACTTCCTCTTTTACCGTCACACAAAACAAAATGAATCCTGGGATCGAAACGTTGAGATTTTGAATCTATCGAATGTTGATCCTCTAAAAAGTTCACTCGATATTCATTCAAATAAAACTTCCATTCCGGTAATGGTTCATTTCTCAGAATGTATTGTGAAATGTCATTCATACTGAGTTTGTATCGTCCAACCAAGTAATTGGGTTGATTCAAAAACTTCATACATTCTTCTTCAGTTGGTAAATATCGTTTCGAGCAAAAGGAATGCATCAACATTAAATTATGGAGATTAATGAAAAATGTCTTCTTCTGGTTCTGATCTAGCTTTAAAGGATCAAAGTGTCGTAGTAAGCTTGTATATTTTACAGTTAATTTAAAATGTTCTGATTGTAAATACGTATTGTAATCAATAACTTTCTCTGTCAAAATGATGTAATCTTTTTGAATTAAGGTCATTAGATTTTCCAATGCAATAAGCAACTTGATTGTGTAATTTGGAAAGTCCAATAAAAACACAGATCCTTCAGAAAATTCGGTCGAGTAGGTTGCATCTTTAGGAACAGCTCCCTTGTGAAAAAGTTTTGACATTAATTCATGTTCTGAGATCATCGAATTGGTCTTTTTCAGTGGAATGATGTTAATAATTTGATCATTGTAAAACACTGGATTATCGTCATCGCTATAACGATAGATATTTTGTGGAGAAAATTCAATAAGTTGTTGTGGGTCATAGGGAACTGGATTCAGTAGTACGATATTGCTCGTGAGATCTCTATTCACACCGTCACATGATCTTCTCTGTGTATCAATCAGGTAATTCAAAAACATGTGAACGTCTGCTGGTGTGAAATACAATTGAGCCTTTTTTGAAATGTAATCAAAAAGCTGTGAACCATAAACTGTGAGTTTTTGCTTTTCCACGTTGATAATTGATCCAATATCTTCGTCTCTTCGATCATCTAGAGAGTATTCAGAAAATCTTCGATTAAAGGAATCCTGTCGAGATTCTCGATCAAAAAGATCTGACTTGGATCCGGTGTTACTGCCACTACTCGAAACTGTGCGTTGATGTCTTATGGAGAGTATTCTATTCAGTCTCGATCGAACATCAGAAATATCAGGCTTTTCATAAATGTTACATCGATTATAAATCAATTTGTTGGTCGTGGGAGGACATTCTGTTTTCATTTGATTCATAAAGGAAATTAAATCAGAGTGTTTGAAACCATCAGGTAACAGCACATTATGAGTTTCATGTTCAAAAAGAGGATTACAAAATTCTTCATATTCTGTTTCGAGTGAAACGTGAATGTTGAATTCCTCGTGCAGTAGAGATTGTTGCCATTCATTACTTGTTTGTATCGATATTGCATTGTTCACACTATCTGATGAAATACTTCCACTAGATCTATTCGATTGTTTTCTAGCTATACTTTTCCGTTTCTTTGACAAAGTGTCTTTTCTTTTTTGTGCAGAAGGAGTAGCATTGGCTGTGAAAATGACAGAGCTACTTCTTAATTTGGAAATTTTTGTTTTTAACACTCGTCCAAATGCTCGATCTGCAGCTTCTGTTCGTACAAGTCCATACAAGCTAATAGGATTCACAATTTCAATCCATTCTTCATTTGGAGTCACACTCTCTAAATGTTTCATATATGGATTTCTATTCATAGAGAGAGGATTTTCCAAGGACGAGACATGTTCGTCATTCAAACAACATTGTTCATCACCACTCGTATCATGTTCACTACTATTCTCACCACCTTCTTCATAGTGACATGTATGATAAAACATGACTTGTTGAGGAGTCAAAGGTTGTTTCTCGTAAAATAAGGGATTCATAAAACATGCATCAATATTGTCTTGTTCATAGAGAGGATTTGTACGTTCAATCCAATTCGATAAATCTTCAACAAGATCTTTTCTTTGAATAGTATTTTGTTGTTGTCTGTTAATAATCACTTTTCCAGAGGTTGTGTCATAATAGTCATTTTGTGTTGAATCAAATAAATCTTTGACATCCAAATCAATTTCTCTTTTTGCAAACTCATGATCATCATCTAAACTTTCACGATATCGTACAATGAAAACTGCACAACCTCCAGAGGGATCTCTTTTCATAATTTTACATTTTGAAAAGTGACATGGCATGGGTAATACTCGATGTGAAATGCATTCGAGTCGATTATACTGTTTTATAATACCATATTGATTAAATTGCAAAAGCAAAGACATGGAAGAGTCGGAAAGTCTAGGAGAGGGTGAACTAAAATTCAACGTTGATGTTTCCAAATTTGTCAATTCATCGATGCTGTCAGTCTCCCCTCCCACGCTTGACACTTCTGATAAATCGTTAAACGAAATTACATGTTGACCAAAGCTGTTGTTTTCCATACTGCCTATTGTAAAGTCATCATGATTCGATGCAGTTATTGTTGGTGTAGAGATATTCGGATGGTTGATCGTTTGTGAAATGTGAGAGGACGATGATGATTCTGTGATGGTCAATTCACTCTCCATCTTGGTGTTGTTGTGATGATGATGAAAGGATGTGAGGAGAGGTATGGAGGGAGAAGAATTTATTTGTGTCGCAGCTGCACTCAACGCATGATGTTCAGCTGCAGTGGATGACATGAAATATTCTTCTGATGATTGTTGATAGAAGGAATCAAAATTATTGTTTAAAATACAAAGAGTTAAGCTCTCAATGTGGATCGTTGTGACTCAACAAGCCACCAATTGACAATTTTTCTATGGAAGTATTTTTCAGAGAGCTCGCCTGCCAATCAGAGAGGTCGGATGTGAATTTTTTTTTCGTCAGTGATATTGGCCTGTTGGTGATGGTGAATCGTATCTGTGTTATCAAATTTCAAAAAGGCAATCCAACACGCCACGAATGTGAATCTTGTCAATAAAACTTTGGGCCAACCATGCACTCCCACATCTATTGACTCTCACCAAGTACTCTAGTCTCTATAGTAAAACGAACCTCTATTCTTTTCTTGCTCTCGGGTGACTGCATTACCTTCTTCAAATGAATGATCTGGAACGGGACGTCCTGGTTTGGAAAGTTTTTTCTTCAAGTACACCACAAACACAACGACAAGAACCACACAAGCAACCAGCGTCAATGCAATCACAACAATTGCCACACGTACATTTCGAGGAATATCCCATGTTGGAGAAATATCACTGCTACTACTACTGCTGTTTGCACTACTTGTCGAGGGCACGGATGGGCTCAGTGTCGAAATAGATTGCAATGTAGACTTGGATACAGAAGGTACTGCTGGAAATGTATGACCTCCTCCCTGTAGAGTTAAAGATGCTGCAGTAAGAAGTGACACTCCTTCATTGGTAGTATAGATAGACATGGTCCATTGTCCTGCACTGGTTTCATTCCAAAACTGTACTGAAGTGAAAGGTTGATTTTCAATGTTGGGTGATCGATCATTACGTCTTCCTCTTCCCATTACACTGATGGTTCCTGATGGAGAACGTAATGCAAAGTAAACCATACCTCGCTGAGAAGTTGTTACTGAGAGAGTTAAAACAGCATATTCCACTTGAAAACTATGGTCTACTGTGAAAGTGATGAGACTTGGATTGGATTGGAGAGTAGAAATGGTTAATCCACTTCCAAGAGATGTTTGAGGTTTAAAGTCAAGGATTCGATACTCAGAAGTGAGTAAGGTCCATGATTTGGCAGCAGTTACAGCTTCATAGGCGTCAATTCTTCCAAATCTTTCAACATGCAATACAGATTCATAACACAAGGGTTAACAAATTGTTACAAAGATGCATTGTTAAAACATACCCATAGTCAATAGAGTGATAGAGCCCAGCTCCATTTCTCAACCATGTTGGATTATTCACATCAGTTCTTTTAGATGTCATGACGAGAATATGTTGTACATCTCTCCATGTTAATTCTGGACGTGCCTGTAATATTAGAGCAATAATACCTGCTGCTAAAGGGCAGGAAGAGCTTGTACCACCGAATTCACTAACACAATCTCCATCGACATAACCTTGTTGTCCTCTTCGGTCTGTGGTCACAATTTTGCTTGTTGATGGTCCATTCGATGCAACAAAATTACTCGAAGGTGCATTAATTAAGGTACTTGTTCCTGATTCACTATAAATGCTAGCTTGGCCTTTCCAATCCGTTGCAGAGACACAAATGGTGTATGGACTATTTGCCAATTCATCCCAATCCGAGGTGTCCCCATAGCTTGCTCCGTTTCCACTCGCCCAAACATAAATATTTCCCAATCCACTTCTGCCTTTGGTCACACCATTCCTCAGTGCTTGCGCAGAAAGAGGATATCTTTCAAGAGAAACACCATCATCAGGTGGACCATAAGAATTGCTGTAAATATGAATTCTATCATTGTAGTGAGATAAAGCATTTGCAACGATGGCATCTGAATACAAGTCACCCAATGTTCTTATAGAAACAATATTGGATTCAAACGCTGCACCAACACCACACTTGTTATTACTCGCTCTACCACAACACACTCCAGCACAAGCAGTACCATGATTATCAGTAGACAAAACAGGTGTTCCATAAGGAGAAGCATTTTCTCCAGAACTAATATCAGCACTCAATTCATTCTTTTCAAATCCACAAGAAATATCTTCGTGAGGATAGTCCACTCCGTCATCGACAATTGCAACAGTAACATTTCTTCCTGCTAATCTATAATCATTCCAAACTCGAAATATATTCACATCATTTCCGGCAACACCTTGGTCTTGTCCTCCATTGGACATGATTTGTTTTTGACCTGTGTTCAGCAAGTGCCATTGCAGTGGATAGAGAGGATCCAAACTCAAAATCTCTTGTATAGATGCTGATTGATTGTTGGATAATTGGTAATAAGCTTGACAATGTTGAGAAGAAGAGATTGAGAAAGGTATTGGTGTTGTTGTTGCTGTCATTGGCTCACAACACACTCCGAATAATGTAACGAACACAGAAAAGAATGTTATCATAACTCCGACAGTCCTAAAAACGTTTTTGTGTATTGAGAATGTTCCATTTCTACTTGTATCCGAATTGACAATATGAGGAGTTGAAATACTTGTGATTGATGCTGCAGGTTGCAGTCGCTGTAAAGGCTGCTTCTTCATTGGTATTTTTTGATTGATTTTTTTTGAACTGTCGCTCCGAACACAGTGTTTGGGTGACAACTTGCGTGCTTTGGAAACTGGCTGATGATGGGAGGTTTTTCAATTGGTGCATGTAGATCATGCCATTTGAACACAAATATCTGACTGAAAGCCAAAGTTTGGAGCGTTTTTGATCAAACTCACCAAATTCTGTTTCATATATTGAATGTCCTTTGTATCAATACCATTGATTAAGCTATCAAATTGGCGATAAACTTGTGAGTAGAGGCAGAGTCTCAATGATTTGTGAGAATCAGAGAAATTTGAATAGAGAGAACACACCGCATCATCACCGTTAACATTTTCATCATGAAGAGATGAAGGGGGAGACAACCCCAGTCCATAAATTGAAGTGCTGTTACAGTTGTGATATTTCACCTCCACTCCATGTTGTTCTGGCTTTTGTGACATAACAATGTCTGTGAGCGAGTGAATGGATTGTAGTGCCCTCTCCGAAAAAACAACAGTATATACATTCAGCAACCTAGGTTGATCAGATTCACATCGCGTAAGAACTTGCAATATATCATCCCCACAACACAAATCAACTATCTCTTCAGGAAATTCCAAGACAATTTCTTTGAATGTCAATCCGCTGATCATGTGACACAGAGTTCTATGGTCATCCAACAAAAAAGTAGCCGATTTTCCGTAAGCTGCAATTTTAACAATTTTCTGATTTTCATAGTTCGAGATTAAAATTGGCTCAATGCGTTCTGGACATCTTTTGACAAGAGTACCTGAATAAAAGGCATGTCCACTCGATGTTAAGTAACATATGAAAGAGAATCCACTCGCCATGTCAATAACGTTATCATTTCTATTTTTTTCATCCTCAATAAGTTGATTAAATCTCAATGGTGTCAAAATTCCATAAAACGATGGTGAAGGTAACCCAATAGTCCGTATTGAGTTATCACCAGCAATTACTATTTCATGGTTTCTACACAAGCAGGCTATGAAATTATTTCCACATTTCACATTTTCAATTTGGAATTGATTACATGTAAAGAATTTTCCTTCGTTAAATTCTACATGTTGAAAAGCGCTTTTAGGAGGCCTTATTTGAATGGCAAATGGTCTATTCGTGAAGCTGATCGTATCAGTGACAAATACTTTTTTTCCTGAAAATCCCTCCATTCCATAGACATAAACGCTGTTGGATTCTGTGACAATTGCCATTTTACTTCCGTCATTGGTGGCAATGCATTTCACGTTTTCATTTCCGAACATCCATTTTGGAAGAATATAACAATCTCCAAAGGGAGTGGTAATTGTTTCAAGAATTTGAAAATAGGACTGTGTTTGTTCTTTTTCTTTTCCACTGAAATTGATTGATTCAAGAGCTTTCATGGCCAGTCTGTACGAATCCTTACGACAATAAATCGTCACAATCTCAGTCTTGGCATGGTTTGTCTTGTTCACTCGCATTTCAGCAAGATAGGCCAATAATCTGGAAAGCTCAAAGAACGAGTACTTGAAAAATACAGATTCAAATTCGGAAAAGAAATGACTTTTCATCACTGTTGTATCTACACCACGTATGACATGAGTTTCTTCCAAAACTATAAAAGAATTTTCATTTTCTTCTTCGCAGTGATCATGAAATTCTCTCAGGAGAGAAAGTAGTGAATTGCTCCGAGCCATTGAATCGGAAACGAGTACTGTGCCATTCGTAGTAAGAATGATATATACTGGTGATGGAGTTTGGAGTATTGAAATAATTTGATGAATGGGAGGATGAAAGAGGCTTGGTTCTCCCGTGAACATTTTTTTCTGACCGTGCAACTGCAAAGGGTTCTTTGTTCTTGAGATTTCTCTTTGTGTGGCAGGTGTTCATCCTCTCCAGAAATCTCATGTCTTAAAGATATATCTACAGTGGTTTATTATGGAGAGGTATTCGTAACGAATAAGGTAAGTTTTTAATGTTACACGTGTGCCAAGTTAGTCTCTTGATCGACTGTGGCAACATTGGAAACAACAGTTGATTCTGACACTTTGGAATCTGTTTGAGTCTTTCGTCTATTGTTCAAAAGTTGAGCACAATTCTTCAAGCCAACGTCTCTTTTGAATAATTCTTTCATAAATTGCTTAATGTCTTCTCCTTTGTCTCCAATCTTATCTTCCATTCTGAGATCTCCAAGAACCTTAAGAATTTGAGTTCTACTGACATCACCTCGCTTAGAGAATTCTGCAAAAACTTCAGTAACTAATTCCACAATTTCAGAATTCTCAGGATGTGCTGATTTAACATTGAACATGGCCTTAAGATGAGAATCGTCATGATTCAACATGTCAATAATGACATGATTGTTCTTGACAAGTTGATGTTTGATGACAGTCAAAGCTACAACTAGCTCAAAAACAACATTCATCTTTGGATATACGTTATAAATAGTAACAGCTTCTAGCATGACACTGAAAAATTCTTTCGTTGAAAGTTCCTTATGAGCCAACACATTTTGTTTGATTTGTGGAGTGACAGTGACTGGTGTTACAGGGCTAGTTGGAGAGGAGGATGCAGAGTCATCAATGGATTCAACAGTTAGTTTGGAAGAAGCATCAGATGAGCCTGTTCCAAGTGATTCCAAGAACTCGTAAATTATCCTAGAGTTAGTGAGTCCCTTGATGGATCGAATTTGTAAAAAGAATCGATAGGCTCGTACAAGAGGATGTTCAGATAAATCATTCACTCCAATTCTTACTTTCGGATCTGGATGAATCATCTTCATGATGAGCTCTTTCATACTTGCTAATTTGACACTATTAAATAATTCCATGACTCGGTGTGGTTCCTCAACCACAATCTCACTAAATTCATCATGTGAATATGAACAAGCAAGTTCTAAAATTGTAACACCCAGAGAATAGACATCTACAGCACTTGTATAACCTGTTCGATTGTAAATTTCAGGTGCTGCATAGAGTGGAGAGCCACACATGGTGTTTGCCATTTGTTTGGCCATGAGCGCTTTTGAAAGACCAAAATCTGCTAACCTAATCACCATTCGTCCATCTACAGCTTCAATCAACATGTTTGAAGGTTTGATATCTCTATGAATGACTCCACGGGCAGAACAGAATTTAATGGACTCAATCATGTCTACAAACCAACCAGTAATTGTCCAAACAGGGAAATTAATCTTTTCATTGTTCACTACTGCTTCTAAATAGTCAGCAATTGAACCTAATTCACAATATTCTGATACAATGACAATACAATCTGTGTTTTTTTCATCCTTCATTTCAAATGTATCTAATAAATGCAATACATTGGGATGAACGAGTGACTTCATAATTTCAATTTCGTTTTGAATCTTTTCTAAATCTCTCAACTTTTCTGGTTTAATCAATATCTTTAAAGCAAGATCTTTACCAGTGTTTGTTTGTTTGACATGATAGACTTCTCCAAATGTACCTCGACCCACTAATTTGATGACTTCATAACCAATTTTCTCAGAGTGAGCTTGTCCGGAAACATCGCTTCCTCTTCTTGATGTTGGAGAGGTTGGCGTTAAGAGTTTAGAAGGAGTGGACGGAGTAGATGAGTGATTGCTGGCGGTTTGTGTGGTCGTTGGATTTTGAGGATTTGGGTTGTAGTAAATCTCTCCATCATACAACCGATTGTTATTGGGTGCTTTACGGACAGATTTACGTCTGAATTGTTGGATTTCTGGCAATTCTTGAAATGCCATTCTTGATTTACTTGTACTCACTCCAATTCCCATTTTGTTGTTGTTGTTATTGATGTGGTGGTGGTGTTTGAAAAGTTTTATAATATTATTATTGTGGTGCTGATGATGATAATAATGGAATTATTGGAACGTGACTGAAGAGCCTCTTTGAATACAAGTCGTAGAAGTAGTGATAAAGGAAGTGTGTGGTTGAAAGGGTTTATACTTTTCAATGAGAGTTGTATTGACGATGATGACTTGCTGAACTTGTCAGTGATGATGACAGTCCGTGATTGTATACGACACAACTGGTGTTGCGACAATTATTGAAAATACAGGAAGTAACACAAAATATGATAAACTCAATATGAACCGCAAAGAGATAATTGACTGGTTGACTTGGTTTCGCAACAACAATACGGACCCAATGCAAAGGTGGCCAATTTTTTTGTCTTCTCCTTTACAGATTGTGATGAAGCTGCATCTACAGAGAAATGCGGTACAAGCGTGTAAAGCACTAACTAATTATTTAGGAAAAAGATGGAGAATGATGGGCAGTTGATGGTTGCGGAGAACAGTCAAGCACAGATGGGATCTGTGTTTTCTTCATGAAGAAAAGTATTGACGTTGAAAGGAGAGCGCTCGAGAGCATACGCTCAACCCTAAAATCACTTGAATCGAATATAATCTATTTGTGAGGGTCACATAAAGCTCTTTCAATATTTCCTTTCGTTCCATGCTCCAACAACCTCGTCTTGAAATGCTCTCTCTCAAAGGACCAACGAATTGCTTCAAATTTCTGAGGAAGCTTAAAAATAAACCCGCTACTCGCGGTTGACGTTAATTTTTAACGTTTTTTCGTCAAAAATTACAATCAAAAAGTTAACGAAAAAAATTTTATTCTCGCTTGAAAAGCGTTAATTATTGACGAAAAAACGTCAATAAAAAGCGTTAATTTCCCACATTAACGATTTCATTATTCACGCGTCAAATTAACGTCAATTATTATGATGTTTCATAATAAAAATAATTGACGAAAAATTAACGCTCCTTATTTCTCAAATTTCTCTTTCATTCTCGTTCAACCAATCGTTCACTAATTCAATCTCTTCAAACCACTCCAAATCTTCAAATCTTGTATGTTTATCCATTTTCCTCACATTCATTCATCCAAATTCTCTAATTTATATCCAACAACAAAGCTAAAGTAGCCAATTTAATGAATATAAATGGTAAATGAAAGATGAATTGGATTGACATTACTTACTTTTGAATAATTTAAGCTATCGGGTTGAAATATCATCTAATTCAATACTTGTATTTCATATCATCTTTTCATTTGTTTATCATGATGTTGGTTTTGCATTCAGTTAAAATATTTTTCAGTTGCGGCATAATAATCATAGTGATCAATAGTTCAATCAAAACACACTTCAAATTCATATAAATGATATATCAATTTGTCATTTGTTTTGATATCTCTATTGCACTGACATTATTATTCACAACAAGTCATATTTTAACATCAATCAAACCAATCCCTATTCATGACAAACAAATGCCTCGATGATCTAAATACATTCCAGGCTTAAAATGTAAAAACATCAAACTCTAAAGCATTGAAAGCTCTGTTAATCAATCCATAATACAAACAATCCTTCATAATACCAAGCAAATTCAGCTTGAAATTCCATAACTCGATAATATAACATCTTTTTCAGTTCTACCATTGACAAATGTTAAGAAAGCGGTTGTTTGGTTATTGTTGCAACTACAATCCTTTAACTCTCAATGCATAGTGGGACAAGAGGGTACGAATAATCAAACAACCAACTGTGGATCAAATATACTTGAAGTCTTATCATCCCTATCCTCAATTGATTATCATTAAATTCAATCCCTACCTCAAGATATCCCTTCATTATCTGGATGTTAGAACTTGCTTCAATATCCTCAACCAATCTCTACCAACGCATTCTATGTACAGAGTGTAATGATGGATATTCAAAACAACAACTAATAAAGAAGAAGCAACTAAAACATTTTGAATAAACAAAAATCTGCTCAGCAAATCTAACAACCTACCGATCATGTTACTCTAAAAGGAAATAAATAAACAACGAATAATGTTGTTGATATTAGTACATGGTTGGATATACTTACCGGTTTAACAGGTGAACAAGTTTAATCATCCTCCACAACAATAACAATGGCCGTAAATGAAACGAATTACCTTTTCAAACAGCACGAACAGAATTACTTTCAAATCAAGCAATAACTACAAACCCTATCTGTTTGTTCAACAATATCTTCTCCTATCATCAACATAACATTCATTCGTCTTGCCAAAATGTTTGATGATGCTAAAGGTCCTTTGTAGCATCTATCGTTGATCAGATTCAAGAAATTCACAACAACTTCGTGAAAAAGAGCTTACCGTAGAAGACTTTGTCAATAAAAGCCAGCTTTGTCCTTTATAAGAGACAAAAGGCAAATGATAGCAAAGACAGTCCTCCATTTCGAGCAAACATGAAACGTGTCGATATCTTTGGATGATTTGGAGATCATACCTGTATCAATGAAACACGTACACTTACGCAAAGCAAGCTCTAGCAGCGTATAAGATGAACAAGCGGCATCTGTTGATGAATGAATGTGATTGTTGAACGTGGAAGCTGCTACAAGCTTTTGAGAATTTTTTTATAAAACAAATTTTTTATGTAATTCAAGATTTTACAATGATTGCTTGCTCTTGGTTTTGGATTCGTGCTCTTTCTTTGATGCGTTGTGTTTTAAAGTTCGACTTAAATTCATCAATAATATTCGTTCCGCTTTCCACTTATCCAATGGCACTTCAGTACATTCTAAAATGCAATCAATTACAATATCTTTCTGATCATCTTTCAAAAGAACATAACCCTTATCAAACAAATAATTGCTAACAATGCCAAGCCGAGCCGTCTTGTTGCTGTTGATAATTCTTGACACCAAATTTGGGGGTATTTGTTTCACATTAGCACGATATGTGACAGAAATTGTTTTGCTTGGAAGAATATTCGGGTATTGTAATTGAAGAGCAATTAATGCGTTCAATGGCTTATTCAATTTGATGATTAATTCTTTTAGCTGTTTGTTTTCCAATGATAAGGCCTCGTTTTTCTCTCTGAGGTCTTTGACTTGCTGAAGGAAAAAGATATCACTAGCGAAATTCTTATGATCAGTAGGTTCCGTAGACTTGGGCTCATTTTGCAAAGGAGAATCACTCTCTTCAACATTTGAATTTGAGTTTGTTCTTGAATCCGAAATTTCCGGTGGAGTTATAGAGAGAACTTCATTGTCATCAATCTTGTCATCATCGACTTCAGTGTCATAATTCATGGAAAATAAGGAGACGGGAGTACATCCTTGCTGAACCGTAGAAAAAGCATTTTGAATCATAGGAGCATGATTGGTTCGATCTTCAATTAATGAAAGGCATGAAATATCAAAATCGTCTTCTTTTGATCTTGAACGAAGGATGGAACGTGAAATATAATGTCATTTAAACTGCAATTAGTTGAAGTGAGTGATTGAACTCTTCCTTTACCAATCTTGTAGTAACAATTCTCTCCCTTTTCAATAATTTCAACTAAATCTCCAACTTTGAGATTTGAACGGATGATGAAGAAGTTCTCTCTTCCCATTCATTTTCAAGCATTGTGAATGATAATGTTAATGTAAATGTTGATACGTTGATGAAAAAAATTCTCAAGTTTGCAGTAACAAGTTCTCTCTCTGAAAATTGTCTCAAAATGGTTTTGAATCTAATTCGAGAAGCCATTCAACTCATTCATGAGAGTGATAAACAAGAACTTTCAGATAAGCTGACATTAACAGGGTTCTATAAGTATTTCCTTTTGTCTTCAAAGACAAAGAAAATTCCAATGTGCACTGATTGTCAGACGTATCAAAAAAATCCAGACCAAAAATCCTGTCCTAAATGTGGGAAATTATGGAAAGATATCAAAACTCATTGCTTTTTACGCCCATTAAAATTCCAATTCGAGGAAAGGATATTCAGAGAGCCACAATTTTTGGATCAATTTAAACTTGATAATCGTGATCCCCAACTTATCCAAGATCGCTGTGACGGAGACATCTACAAAAACATTCACAAAAAATTCGTAGATGAAGGAGGAAAAACTATGACGTTATTTGGTGACGGTGTTGCTCCGTTTAAATCTAGTCAGCAAAGCTTTTACGAATTCTCTATCACATTCAATAAGATGAAACCAAATGTAAGAAAGAAGCGCAAGAATAACTTTTTGTGGCTACTATTTCCTAACAAACCATCTCAAGAAGAAATCAATTTGTGTTTGAAAATCATGATGGATGATTTGAATGTGTTCAATGATCAATTTAAACAAATATCATTGAGATTAGAAAGAGTAATTGCTGACTTACCTGCAAGGTCTGAAATTCTCTTATTTCAAAAATCAGGGTATTATTTTTGCCATTTATGCAAGATTCGAGGGAAACCTGTTCAGTTATCAGGAGAAACTACTCAAGTTAGATATCCACTTAGGAGAGACATTTCTAGCAATCAACGAATTGTTTTTGGTTTGAGAGATCGACATTTTTGGAATAATGTTTCGGGAAAAGAGTTGTCATGGGGTGTTCGTGGATATTCTCCAATATTAGACCAGAGTTGAAAACCAACTCCCACTACAATATGCTCCTATGATTCAATGCATAACTTGTATGAAAGAATTATGCGTGACATGATGGAGATGATTCCACTTCAATATTGGGACGAGTTCGACAAGGAATATCTCAAGCAAAAATTTCCTTCGTTCTTACATAGACACCCGAGATCAGTTTCCAAAAATTTAGTACACCTTAAGGCAATGGAGATATATATGATTATTCACTATTGTCTAGATCTACTTCAGGATGTTAAGAATTTCAGTATGATTGAGTTGAAGTATAAAATTATTAAGAGAATGGTTGTTGTAATTGACAAGTTAACAGATGCCATTAATATAGCTGATTTGAATTCAATTAATGAGGAATTAAGAGGTATTTTGGAGGATTATCAAGAGATGGTAGGCATTGCAAAGGCTACAATGAACTTCCATGTAGCTAGTGATATGGTGCGAAATGCAAGCCTATATGGTCCATTGGCACATAATACAGCCTTTGTTGGGGAAAATCTAAACTTCACATTGACCAAGCCGTTCATTTCATCAAATTCTGCAAGGTATTCTATTATGTTTTTTGATATGGCGCAGTTATGCGATATATTTGGTTTAAGTGAACTCAAACCTTCGGAATGTGTGTGTGGTCATTTCGTATTGAAGAAAGAGAGAGATGTTGTGGCTGATACTTCTTGTACTCCTGCAAAATACTTCAAGATCAAATCATTCACGGATTCCACAGTGACTTTGCAGAATTTGTCAGACAGGTCTGTGATTGAAGTGTCCTACAAAGAGCCTCTGGTTCCTTGTGTTACTGTTACTAGAAAGGGGAAGAGTTATTTCATTCCGATGCACAAGAACGTAAATCAATATATTTAATGAAGCCGTGATGAAAAATAAACCTTGCTTTGTTTCGAAATTTTTTTTTTTGCAGGTGCGCAATTTTTGCGTTGTTTTTTTAACGCAAAAGCGTCAACTTTGCGAAGAGGGTTGCGGGTCCATGAGAAGCGGGAAAGTTTCCAATTCAAAAAAATGCAAAATTATCCTCGCCCTCCTCCTGTTGTTCAACAACAGCCACCACAACAAGGATACGGAGGATACAATCATCCACCACAGCCACCCACTTATCAGCAACCTCCATCATATGGAGGATATAATCATCCACCTCCACAGCAGCCACAATATGGAGGATACCATCAACCCCAACAACAACAATATGGACAATATGGATATGGAAGCCAAATGTATCAACCACAACACATAAATCATCCTTTAAAACCATTTTTTGATGCTGTAGATACAGATCGGAGTGGTAAAATTACTTGGATAGAGCTTCAGAAGGCTCTCACTCAACCAGGTGGAGAGTTTACAGGCCGAGTCTTTGGAGAGAGATGTATGTGTTGATTTGTGCGTTTTATTAATTTTATTATTTGATGATAAACAGGTGCAAGAAGATTAATTAAAATGTTTGATAAAAACGGAAATGGAGAGATTGATTTCGAAGAATTTGTCCAATTACATCAATTTTTACTTCAAATGAAGCAAGGATTTGAATTCGTAGACAAAGACAAATCAGGAACATTATCCTTCCAAGAAGTATCAACAGCATTAATGCAATCAGGTTACCGAATTGGAATGAATGTTGTTCAAAAAATGTTCAATATGGTGGACACACAGAGAAAAGGATTTCTTAATTTCGATGGTTATATTGAGCTATGTGTTTTCGTTGGCTCTATCAGAAACGCATTCCAACCTAGAGACATTTATAGAAATGGAACAGCAATGTTCACATTCGACCAATTCTTAGAAGCTTGCACAGAGTTTTATGTTTAATCTTGATAATACAACTTCACATTGTGTTAAATCATTTCAAACAGTTATTGTTGACTTTTTTTTAACCCAAATTGAGCCATATTTTCTTTGGTTAGCAAGCTCAATTTGTGACGATAGGTTGTAGCACTGTCCATGATGTACGAATAGCAAGCGTAGATCAGAGGATACAAAAAATCTGTACGACCTGTTAAAATTTCAAATAAGAGTTCAGGTAATTCCTCTAGCTCTGTTTGATTTTGCAACGCCCTTGTTAAAAAATCCAATTAAAAATCATGAGTACCTCATTGCAACATGCAACGATTTGAGTGTTGTGGAAATAATTGCTGGAATCCATGAGTTGCTTTTAAAATAACTGATCGAAACATGAGTGTAGTCAAGTCATCCAAGCCATTATTGTACAACGAAGATGTTTCTGCATATGATAAGCAATGACATGCCTTTGCAAGACTTTCTCCCATGGAGGGAGTGATGGGTGTTCGAAAATGTTGTTCTCTCAATCGTTGTAACATGCTTGTATCGTTCCTTAAATCAGTTTTGCATCCAATTAACAAGATGGGAATGTTATATTGAGAAAAATTTCGAATTTCAGGAATCCATCGTTCATGTACTTTCCAAAAACTCTCTAAATTGGCCACATCAAAGCACACAAGAAATACATCTGTCTCTGGATATGAAAGAACTCGTAATTTGTCATAATCCACTTGGCCTGCAGTATCCCATAGAGATAATTCCATCTTGATATTATTGTCAAGTGTTTTGTTTAACATGGCTCCATCTGTTCTAAACATCCAATAGTCTGGAAACGTTCCATAACTAATAGTATAAATTAAGGAGCTTTTTCCAACAGCACCTTCTCCATTGAACACTGCTTTAAATTTGAGTGGTGAATGAAGTAATTGAGTTGCATATTGGTTAATTATCTGATCTTTAAGATTTACCAGTTGTGATTGATCAATAAAAGGTGACTCTTTAGATTTTGACGATTTTTGAAGTGAAGTTAATTGTTTCATCACATTCTTCATATTATTCTCTACTTTTATATTCATTTGGGTTTGTAAATGAATGAGACAGAGCTTGAAATCTTTTTGAATTGCATGTCCGTGATTCATGTATGGAAGATAAAAATCGTCAATTGTTGTACTTGTTTTAAAACCATCAAGAGATGGTAGTTTATATTGAGCTCGTTGAACCAATGCATTGATGGTTTTCAAAGTATAATTTTTCCACAGACAATCTTCGGTTGCTAATTGTGCCATCCTAAAAGTTTTACTTGTTTCATGAACTCGGTTTAATTCCGAAATGGAAAGAAACGAGAGAACCAAGCGATAAATGTCATCGTTGAGCATCGATAATGACATTTATGTGGTATGTAAACGAAGCAACAAATGACAATTATTTTTTTAAAAATTAATAAAAAAAAATGTTTCTCTGCAAAAAGTATTTCTTGCTGGTCGTCATTGTCTTACTTTTCACTGTCAATATTTTAGCTGCAATCAATGATGATCTAGAAGAATTAAATGTCAAAGAATTTGTTGATCGTGAAGTATCTGGTCATAGCATTACAGTCTTCTCAAAAAGTTATTGTCCCTATTGCAGAAGATGTATTACCTTGCTAAAGAAATTGAATATTTCCGATCTTCGAGTGATTCAGTTGGATGAAATGGCAGAAGGGGCAGAAATTCAAGATGAGTTGATGAAGAGAACAGGAAGAAGAACAGTTCCTTCCGTTTGGATTGCCAAACAATTTATTGGAGGTTCAGATGACGTGCATCATGCTCACAGGGAGGGTCGATTACAAAAATTGTTGCAAGAAAAAGGAATTTCCTTCACAGACTTCAAAGATGAGCTTTAAAGAGAGCAATCAAAACAGCAAAGTTGTGACAATAAATCATCTCTTTTCCTCTTACCTTAACTGAGGCGTATTAACTACAGTAGCGATGTGGAAAAGTGGTACATTTACTCTTGATCTGCTCTGGTTATCTCCTCGAGTGATTGTTGTAATTCTGGAGTTAACTTGACATTGTAGTTTTCAATATCATAAAACCTTTCAACACCGTTTTTGAAATCGTTATACCACGTTGGTTCTACAAACTGATCATCCATTGGTTTTTTAAATAATAAAGAATCTGTAAGTTCATTAGCGTTAACAGATTTCTTGCCATTGTCAGTTTTTCCGTTTAGTAGGTCCATATAAGTCTTTCTATACAATTTAGCTCTCTTTGAAAGTATGAATCAGATCATTCATTGAAGCAAGTAAGGTCATTGTGGCCATATGAACAAATTCGAATACTTACTCGTTTCCAAATGTTCCTGAAGAGTTTTCCTGACAGAAAAGGAATATCCATGTCAAGATAACAAATATGAACATATTTCGTATGGTTGTTTCCAACACGAATAAAAATGTGATAAAAGAGCCCAGTGGTGAGAATATACTTTTTGTGCTTTTGTCTGTCTTCTTCAGACAAGTGGCCTTCCAAAATATCATCAACAACGTCTGGATTGACTGAGTGACCTAAATTCATAATAGTGTCACAACCATTTGGACCTACATCTCGAATAGTTGTCATGGAATAGTTAAAACATCTCTTTTGTAGCACTGGTACGTTGGTATTAATGATCGATCTTCCAAGAACAAAGCCAAATCTATGAGATCCATCTTCAGACACTTTGTTTTTGGAAGGAGGTTGGTAATGAACACAATAATTTTCTGTAAATGCTTGTGAATCAAGAATTTTATGGTCATCACCTGACCAATAAACGCTCCAAACATCCTCCAATGGAAATTTAAAATCAATAACCATCTTGACCAGCTTCATTCCTTTAAAATTTCGTGAAGGGTCAAGTACATATTTTTTCTTAGAGATGTAACATTGTAAACCCACATCCTCACTAGAGTCTAATGCCAATTGTTCCCAGTGCTCAGAATCTTCTTCTAATGCATAACCTATGAAAGTGAAAGTAGGATGATTTGTTTGAGGTGCAACAGAGAAGTGGTTCAGCAAAGACACAGTACCGTGCAATTACAATATGTTTGTAAAGATCCATTCAGAATTAGAAAAATAATGAGATGTTTTTGGTGTGTCAAATTAAAAGCCAACTTACCCAAATGAATATGACGTTCTTTAAATTTAGGATTTCTCAAATCAGATTCTTGTAAATCGAGCCCTGTTCTATTCAATAATAAACTCTCTTTGAAATCTTTTCCTCTCTTCTCAATGTGCTGCTCAAACTCGTTCCTGTTATTGATCACAAAGCTGTGAAATTCGAGAGCCAAGTCATAATGCACTCCACTCGCATAGTGAATCAACAAGTGAACAGGATGTAATTTCCTGAATATTTCGCTCAACATAATAGGTGTTCTGAGGTCGTTGGTAGATGCTTGTGGTGACGTCGTATCGTTTAGCATTGTGTCGTGTGGGTGATCGTCTCTCAAAATCTGCTTTGACATATCATCAGCGTATTTTTCCAATGGCTTACATCTGTTAATGATCTCGGTCATTTGTTCTTCTTGTCCTGCAACAAGTAAATCATTCTTTTTTACAAGATAAAACAACTCAACGAAAGCGTGTAACGAGGGAGCTGATACAGTATAGTTTTGACTCAAATTTGCCAAACCAAACGTAAATATATCAATCACTTGTTTAAACAAGATTTTGATGATGGACTCCATGTTAGGATGTGTAATCACGACCTCTGTTATACTCTTTTGAATGGATTGTCGTGTATTTATATCATGTTGGTTGATGAAAACGGAAGAATCACTGAATAACCAAGCGCGTTTGCTCTTCTTTTGGGATCCTTTTACAACTGTTTGTTGCAATTTATGGTTATTTGATTCAGCCTTGTTATTATTTAGTTTCATCAGAGAATTATTAACAAATCGATACATGGCTCTGTACATATCGAGCCTGTCGATGAATTCTAACGGTTCCTGTCCGAAATTATTATTTAAATAATTCATGAACATGGAACGAATGGCTCCATCCCGAATAGCTTGTTGGTAGTTGTATCGATTGGGAGAGGGATGGGAGGAAGAGGCAGTGCTGTTATGGTTGGATCCTGTTGAGGACGAGCTAGATCCGAAGGAAGATGATGAAATCATTGTTGAAATGTACTCTACAAAGAAAATTGTAATAGTTGATGATGTGATCACAGGTGTAGGACCATAACACAACAACAAAAACAGCTTGAAAGCAGTTGGCCAACTCGGCACAATTCGATGATCTCACAAATATCCCTCGCTCGCTGGCGTTTACGATGAATTTTTATGATATTGGCCAATTTTCAAGCGAAAGCTAACAGGATGCCTTTCCGAGAAAAAAAACCTAAAAGCGGTTTGAGCCTCTTAAAAAAAATGGCCTTGTTGAATGGTAGGTGGTGTCTAGTAGGCAAAATCAAGTTGTTAATGGCTCATTTCATTGAAAAAAGCTGATTGCACCCAAGTGATTTGTAGTTTCTTGTACATGAGAGAATATATTCCTCTTCAATTGGTAAACTCTGTTTTCTATCGTGGAGTAAAACAGCATTGTGCACTACAGAACTCATTTTACATGACCAAACATTTGAAATTTCTCATTGAAACGGCTGGCAAAGATCGTGAGATTTGTTTATCAAAACTACGACAAGGAGTTTTCTATGAAAGGGCAAGCAAACTCTGTATATCCAAACAATTGAAAAATTTGATTACGAGTTTATTTGTCAATGCACAAAATATTTACTTTTCCGATGTAGAATTATCCATGGATTTTATTACACTCATGTTTTGTGATGTCAAAAGGAAAAAAAAACAATCTCAATCAACAACGGATGAAGAATTATCCTTTAAAAATCAAAGTGTATTTGATTTGGTGAACAAGTTAACATTTGTTGGATGTCGATTCAATGCTGGAGTGATGGAATGGATTTCTAAAAAATTCAGGGCATTGGAAAGTCTTTGTGTATCGAATTGTACGTTTGACAATTATCCTTCTCGTACCTCTTTTCCCATTGCAGAGCTGTATTATTTTGTCAATGAAAGAAAATGCTCTTGTTATGACTCTTTGAGATTTATTTGGTTGGACTCACTATTTCTAAACGCTTCTATTTGTATTAATTTATCTAAAGCGTCTGAAACAGAGAAAGTTTATCTCAACCAATTCCTAGACATGTCTGAAAATAGTATCAAACAATATGAAGATTATAGTAATGCTTCACCGAGAGACTTTGAAGATTTGAAAGCCTTTGAAAGCCTCATTCCAGATCACATTAAGGTTATTTCTTACAAACGCTGTACTGGTTTTGAAAAATATTCTAAATTTAGTTATCAGACTGTACCTTCTTTTTCATGTCTGAGAGATTGGAAAAATGTCTCAATATGTTTGGAATATTTCATGAAGCTTATGTAGATTTATGTCAATGTTTTGGGTTGGTGAAGGGTCATGGATTTACTGATGTCATGACATATGAAGAGCCTAAAGTAGCGAATATTGAATATGTATTGAATATGGGACTTCACTTGTTTGATGTTGAAATTCCTCCTCAATTAATGGCTGTTATTATTGTGTTTCATTATGACAATTCAGACATGTTGCATCTATTGAAGAGCTTTGATATTACAAGTCCATTACTTGATATGGACTCATATGACATGAATCACTTGGTGTATTTGACTCAAGTTGCGGGTAATGTTATAGCATTGGCCAAGCATTTCAATGTTCTCACTAATGGATTCAAAGCTTTCTTTACTGAGTTTTTTGTCACTAGAAATTTAGCAATGGCAGACGTGTTTGTGAATTCTTGCTCTTTCTGGTATAACTTTAATCATGGCTCCATTCCACACGGCATTCAAGAAGTGATAGATTTTGTTTGTGAAAGCAAGAAATTAAGTTCTAGTGCTGCGCACACTGTCAATTCTTGGAAGCAAAGAACCACAATACTCAACGCTTCAACATGTGCAGAGGACGAGCAGGATGTAAACCCTGCTCTAAAAAAGAGAAAACAAGAATGAGCAAAACTGAACGTGATGACCCATTGTCGCTCTTTTTTGGTAGGACCTGACATGTTGTACGCATCACGTTCATTACAAAAACCAACATCCAATCGGGTGTGAGGATTCCAAAAATTTTTTTGCCAACACCTCACAAATTGTTGAATGAGAGAGCAGCTCATTCAACAGACAACACAAAAAAAATGGCCAACATTCTCTTTCCTTTCATTGTGTGCATGGTTGCTCTCGCTGAATTGACTCTTGCTCAAAATGTTTATCTCAACACCAATACACAAATCACTCTTAGCTATTCCTCCTATACTGTTACCATTCCTCGAAATGGTCGAGTGGTGGGTACCCTCACCTTGTCTGCTTCCTCTGCGTCATGTACCATTTCCTTTTACACACCACGCTACAAGTATCAGCCCTTCAACTTGAAAAAAGTTAGCTCATCCGACCGAACTTTTGAACTCTCATTGATTCCAGATCCAGCAGACTCGAATCAAGATTTTACCTTTAATACTGGATTGTTTGAATCATGTACATTGAATGTGATCTTTAGAACTCAATCTCAACTACAAATTGGAGATAGACCTTCGTATTATACCACCTTGGCTTATAATTTTCAACAAAGTCTTGATCTTAATAGTCTTGTCAATCCATCGAGAAGACTGGAAGCTCTCATTCCACCAGGTATGTATTTTTAACTAGTCTGTTCTGAATGGAACCTTTGAACTTCTTTAATGACTCTAACCAAAAAAAAGGATATAAGGCCGAAGGTTCCTTCTCAGCTTTGAGTACAACCAAAGACTCTTGTCGAGTGACACTGGTTTCTAAAGAAACTCAATTTGCTCAATTCTCAACTAATCCAACGTATGAATTTAGTTTCAAGCTCGTACCAGATTCAGCCGATTCCTCTCAACAATTTTACATCACCACTGAAACTACATCCTCAGTCTCGACTTGTTATGGTACATTCCTTGTTCAATTACAACCTGTAACCAGCAGTGATGTTCCTTCTCTGAGAGGAGCTGTAACTTCTGGTGGTGTCAATGTTGGAGGTATTGTGGGAGGTATCGTTGGAGGAATTGTGATGTGTATTTGTTTGACAGCCATTGTGATTGGAATTATTGTGTTCTTATGTGGAGGTTGTTGCTGTGCTTTGGGTGCTGCAGGAGCTGCTGCTGGTGCCGGTGTTGGAGTTGCTGCTGCTGCTGCTACCAAGGTATAATTAGGTTACACGATATAGTGGTCATGATCAACTCGTTGTTCTTCTTTATATTTATCTTAAAAACCTTAATCATTATTTTTATAAGATTCAACATTTATTAACATATTTGATTGCACATTTTATTGATGATGATGATTCAACAAGTGGTGGAGATCCATGGTTGATGAATAAAGTATAATTTGTTTGTGGTCAATGATGATACTGAAGAGCATTCAACAAGTTCAACATGGATTGATCTGTTTCAATTTGAAGTGAGAGATATTCAAGCAAGTCTTGTTGTAATTCATGTTCTCTTGGGTTCATCATTGTACTTTGCTTCACATGGTCATGCATTTTAAAAATTACATGATTGACTTCCTTATTGATATTTACACAAACTGCTTTTCTATGCTTCAATACATTTTCGGCAAACGTTGAAGGTATCACAATGATATTTTCTGGAAGATGATCAATGATGGTGGTGAGAACCAAAATCATATTTTCTATTGTGTCACTCAAAACATCACAAATAAGAGTACTCTCTGTGCAAGTTGTTAATTCATAGTTAATCATTGCTTTGTAAAATAAGGGTGAAATATATCCTTTTGAGGAGGAACAGTATTCATAGTCGTTATTGTTTGTTGTTGTCATACAGAGTCGATCCACCCATATTTCACTCAAAATGTTTTTCAATGACTTTTCCACCGAGTCATGTTTCATGATAAATATTAATTGTGTAGTTTGAATGTCTGCAAAGTTGCTCTTGATCGGTTGCTTGAGACCAAATAGCTTGTCTGTTACAGATGGCTGCAAAACTCCCATATATTCAAATAATGGTTCTGAATTGGGTTTTCTCTTAATTAATAGACACTTTACAGAAAAATCGTCGTCTGCATAGTGAAGTGGAGTTTCAATTCGTGTTGTCAAGTGAATACATTTAGAGGAATTAGAAATTTCAGTTTTTTTAAATATTTCAGCTTGCAATGGGCAATGATTCGATATTGGCAATAAAATAACATCCATATCATTTTTCGTAATGAAACAACTTCTTATATCCCAATATTTGGTGTTTAAGGCCTGTGAAGCTGACTTTAAAGTAATATCTGTGTCTGAGAGAGAATGCATTGATTCCACATTTGTTGTATCTTGTACATGATGATCATAGAAAAGATTATTCTCGAGTGATTTGTTGTTTTCAAAAGAAACACTAATACCCTTTCCATAGGATGGATCTTGTGGTTGAATCTCATTATTTTGCTCAGTACTGTTTTGATATTTATCATCACAACGTTTTTGAAAGTCTATCAAAATTTCTTGGGTCACTCTATTTTGATGTCTCAAAAGGTTTTGTTTATCTTGTTTGATATTGTCCAAGTTCTTAATATGGTTGTTCGTGTTTTCGATTTGTGTGGCTAGTGCTCTCATTACTGAGTACAAATGAATCGATCTTTCTGATAATTCATCATGAATTATTCCATTAATTATGGTAGTATTAAGATTAGGAATGAGAGTGTAGTGTAATTTTCCGTAATAATATTCTGTGTGAATACATAATAATTGCATAGTTCCAACATTGAAAAAATCGTGTACTAGAAAGTCATATACTTTTTCAATTTCTAACAAGGTTGAACCAATTGGGTTCAAAGTGTTCACAGTGAATATAAATTTTCACTTACCTCTTACAATAGAGAAATCGACAAGAGAAATTATTTGTAATGATCGATCAGAGGTATGTACGAGAATATATTCTTCATGAACAGGTCTAGCATTCAAATGTAGATAATGTAACTTCACAGGAATAGATGAAAGTTTGAGACATCTAGTGATAGAGTCTGCATTGAAAAATAAAAGCTCCTTTTCCAACGTTCCAAATACTCCTGATTTTTCTGAATTGACATAGGTTAAGCAAGTACATATTGAAGAATAACTAGAAGGTGGTAGTGGATAACTATTGCCCAATGATGCACATATTTCTAATGAACACTCTCCATTGGAAGGGTCTATTGGAATTTTCAACACACTGAATTGATTTTGGTTTGTAGAGAATACAGTGTACCAGAACTTGGTATCCATTCCAGCATATCCTGAAAAAATTATTCTATTCTTGGTTTCATCATTGGATAACTGAAGATACATAACTTCAAATTGAAGAGTAGATGTTAATATATCTGTAATCCAATACAGTTGAGAATCTTGCTTAATGATGAAAGATGGGCCGTCAAATCCAACAAGATCAATAGTGCATGATGAATTCAGAGAAAATTTGGATAATTTCAATTCTAAACATTTAGTCCATTCTTCATTCAATTTCCCACAAACTTTCACAAACAATGTCAATTCTAAAGTCGAGTTTATGATCAATAGAAATATTTGGCGCCTGAGAATGATCCAAAAATGGTTCATTTAAAATTCAATATTTCCAATCAACAAATTGTACATACAATCCTAATGACACATTGGCCAAATCAAAAATTCTAAATGTTTTACAATTTGAAGGGTAAACTTGTTTTAAATTGAAATTTTCAGAAAGAACAAAATCATTCTCTCCATTCCATTCCAGCCATTCCTCTTCAATGAGTCCTATTTCTTGCTTGTCTGATGCAACAATTACTTCATTCCGACGATCATGAAAACAAAAAAGCTTTCCTCTCACAATTTGATGACATCTCATTTTTTTGATTGCAGCCAATCCAGTGGATGATGACCACTAACTTCATTGATGTTTTGTTTAAAGGCTTCGGGTCATCATCCACTGGATTGGCTGCTTAACACTAAAGGATGACATGCAACTGCTTTAAACAATTGAAGAAAAAAAATGCAACGATTCGTTTTTTCCCATCGGCCATCCTTCTTATTGAAGAAGAGCGTGGTTAATGGAAATACCAGCATCAGTTCATTCCGAAATACATGTGGAAGAGTAATACCAACAACTACAACAACAGAGCGTTCTTTTTCTACATCCATTCTTTGCCAGGGAAAGAGTTTTGAAAAATTATTATCATCGATCGAAAAGGACTCGGGAATGAAAAAGTCTTCAAAGAAACATCAACGTAGTACCAAAATTGAAGAATCCAAAACCTCGTCTAAAGGAGAGCTGAAGCAGGCAACATCTAAAAAACAAGACAGCCAATCAGAACCAACAACTCCCGTAGAGATTGAACGAAAAAAACAAACAACACATTACAAACAGCAAGAATTGGAAGCTCCATCAAAAACTGCCAAAAAATCATCTGAGCCAACATTCAAAATTATTGACAAATCACAAAAACGGAATGAAATTAATGATGAATCTCTGACAGCTCCGATAGCAGATTATACAGCATCTAAATTACACAACAAAGAACTTACCTCAAAACTTCAAAAAGTTGTAAATACTGAAGATGACGTAGAGAGCGTTATTGAATGGGGAAAGAAGCATGATCTTAGATTGAACTATGACCAACTGTTAACTCCAACAACATCCAAAACTCAAGAAGAAATAGAAAAGGCCAGACAACGTCTCAAGAAATCATATGAAGAATATGTACAAAACGTATCCATACAAGAAGAGGAAAACAAAATTGAAGATGAACAATCTTTGAAACTCTACAGTGAACAAATTACTAATGATGTACCTAAGGGGTTTGAAGTATTTGACAGTAGTCAATTATCAACAAAACCTCACAAAAAAACTGATATGGAGAAACTAGCAAAACAATTAGCAAGCATGAGAAAGAAAATTTCTCCTGAAGAAGCAATGAAAAGACAACTCGTTGGAAAATCTCAACATTTTACGGAATCTCTTAGAGAAGAAAAGAAACAAACAGATTCACCGACCACATCTGCACCAACAACCACGGTATTAAATTTAACAGACGAGCAGTACAATAATGCCATGAATTCTCTACAAGAATTTACCAATGGTTGGAAAGAAAAAGGATATGACCCTGTCCTTCAAAACAATTTTGGACGAAAGATATTGATTTTGTATCCAACCAGTAAAAAGAAGCAACAAAAAAAGCAACTAAAGGAAGCACAACAAGCATCAAATGATAAGAAACTGCACGACTTGTTAGATGAGGTTTCAATGGATGAAGAACAAACGAATACTTTTGAAAAAACGATGAGTCAAAAACTGGTGGATGTCAAGCAGTACTTTTCACAGTATGGGTATGACATTTCAGATTTAAAATCACTTCTCAAAACTGACTCAAAGAAACAAACTCAAGAGAAAACAAAATCTATGGAACCTACAAGATATTCTGAAGAGATTCAAAGAGAAATTGAAAACCATGTCACAGATGATGGACTTGATTCATCCATACTCTTGGACGAGTATCTTGGTGATGATGATCCCAATCAAGTATTTCAAACTGTGGATCAGAAAAATTTACTCGTGTCTGAATACGAAGAACAAACACAACATTCCATGTTTTCTCCTGATATTCAACCCTATTTGAAAAGAAGTTCAAAAGAAAATGAAGAACGACTTCGACAAGAAATTGCCAATATGAGCATTGGTTCCATTCAATTACCTCGATCATTAGTGGAGGGTGTTACAGAAATCATTTCAGAATATCCTAAAAATCTCATTCAACGAACTGCTGAATTATTAAGTGCTGCTTTCAGAATTAGAACTAGTGGATTTGAAAAAAACGCAAGTTCTTCAACATTTTCCAAACTTGATGAAGAGAAGAAGCTTAACAAGCCCAATCACCAAGACGAACTATTTAAAGAACAATTGGACATTCTCAAAAAATTGAGAAGTTTCCAAAGAACTTCAAAGAAAAAAAAGAGACCTATTGATATTGAAATGATGAAGAAAGAAAGCGAAGCAGAAATGAATCGATCGTATAATCCACAAATTATTTATAAGGAATTAGAAGCTGCTGCCTACATTGCACACAGACTTCCTGCCATCTATGGTACTTCTTATCGAGTCTTCTCAGAATCTGTTATGAGAATGCCAGATTTTGAACCAAAAACTATGTTAGACTTTGGAACAGGTCCAGGTACAACTATTTGGGCTGCCATGGAAGCTTTTGGAAGTCTTAAAGAGGTGATGGCTGTTGAACCTTCAACAGCAATGATGGATGTAGCTACTCGCTTATTTGATTATATGGAAGAAAAACCACAAATTACATGGAGACGTTTCTTGAACGAAAATTCATCGAAACAATACGATCTAGTCGTTGCTTCATTTGTTTTGAATGAACTTGCGAATGCACAAGAAAGAGAACGAATTGTTAAAGCCCTTTGGAAAGCAACATCGGGTTTATTGGTCATTATTGAACCTGGAACACCTGTAGGATTTAATTTTATACGAGAAGCTCGATCCACAGTATTGTCACAAAAGAGTCATGAAAACGACAAGCCCATAATTTTAGCTCCATGTCCGCATGATTCTGTATGTCCAATGAGTGGCACTCCAAAATGGTGTCACTTTGCCCAGAGAATTGACAGAGAAGCTTTCCAAAAACTTACAAAACAAGCAAAAAAACATTATGAAAATGAGAATTATTCGTTTATTGCCATTAAGAGAGAGAGCCTCAAAGGATTTGAGTATAGTGAGCAAGTTGAAAAAGAAGAAGAAGAAGCAATGAGAGCCAAACAAATTGAAGAACAATTGCCCGACAGCGTGGTGACTAAGGAAATATCTCTTAGAAGAGAATTAAGATCTTATTCTCGAGAATTTTCACAACAGTCGTTCCGATGGCCACGCATCATTGACACACCTCTGAAGAGAGGAGGACATGCCATTACATCCATGTGTCTTCCGGAGGGTACTCTTTCAAAGATTGTGATTAGCAAAGCAGATAGTAGAAAGGGTTACAAGTATTTAAGAAAGTGTCTGAAAGGTGACTTGTATCCATACCCACTCCGAGCTCGTAGTTTGAAAAAGAATACTGAACTGGAAAAGTATTTCCAAGAGGATGAACCATAGAAAGAGATTAATTTATTGAGAGAGATACATACTTGTGCCTATCGTTGAGGGCTATCACTATTCGACATGGATGATGGACTTCTACTGGCTCGTTCCTCCGATATTTCGTTCATTTTCTTGAGGAATAAATTGAAACTGGTCAGTTTAGGTAGCAAATTTCTTTTTGTTGAATAATTTTGATCCTCATTCTCAGAATTCTGATGAGAAGGATATAAGCAAACTACTTGCTTTGGAGTTTGAATCAACACTTGTTGGTGTTGTTTTGTTTGATGCGCAACGGAAGACTGCTCGGGATCAACTTGAGGTTTCTCTTTTGCGATTTTCGGTTTTAACAATTGCTTTGTCGCTTCCTTAATTGCTTCTTCATCTCGCATCACCTGTTCAACGGCAAATCGTGACATTTTTTGAATGGGTCTTAAGTTCAAATATTTTCAATATCTCGTGTGATAGAGAAATATTGTAAGGAGCAAAACACAAGAAGTTGATGAAATCACACTTTATTGGACATTTACTTCTTTGCAGAAATTTCCTTCTTCTCAACCTTCTTGATGATACCGACAGCAACAGTTTGTCTCATGTCTCTGACAGCGAATCTTCCCAAAGGTGGATAATCAGTGTAAGCTTCAACACACATTGGCTTGGTTGGAACACACTTAACCATAGCAGATTCACCTCTCTTAATCTTTTCTGGGTTCTCTTCAACAGTTTGGTTAGTTCTCTTATCAATCAAAGCCATCAACTTTTCGAATTTACAAGCAATGTGAGAAGTGTGACAATCCAAAACTGGAGTATATCCGTTTCTAATTTCACCAGGGTGGTTCATAATGATAACTTGAGCTTCGAATGAGGCTGTTTCCTTAGCTGGGTCGTTCTTAGAGTCAGAAGCAACATAACCTCTCTTGATATCAGTTGTGGACAACCCCTTAACGTTGAAACCAACATTGTCACCTGGCTTAGCTTCTGGGACAGATTGGTGGTGCATTTCAACAGACTTGACTTCAGAATCTGCAGCTTGACCTGGAGCAAAGTGAACAACCATTCCTGGTCTCAAGACACCAGTTTCAACTCTACCGACTGGGACAGTACCAATACCACCAATCTTGTAAACGTCTTGGAGTGGCAATCTGAGTGGCTTATCAACAGGTCTGACTGGTGGCTTCAAGTCATCCAAAGTGTCCAACAAACACTTTCCCTTGTACCATGGCATCTTGTCAGACTTTTCAATCATGTTATCACCAGTCCAACCAGAGATTGGGACGAATGGAATATCATCAACCTTGTAACCCAACTTCTTCAAGTAGTCAGCAACTTCCTTCTTGATTTCATCGTATCTGGCTTGATTGTAATTGACAGTCTTATCATCAAACTTGTTCATACAGACGATCAATTGTTGGATACCCAAAGTCTTGGCCAACAAGGCATGTTCTCTGGTTTGACCATCCTTGGAGATACCAGCTTCGAAACCACCAGTTGTAGAGTCAATGACCAAGATGGCAACATCAGCTTGAGAAGTACCAGTAATCATGTTCTTGATGAAATCTCTGTGTCCTGGAGCATCAATAATGGTAAAGACAAAGTTCTTGGATTCGAATTTCCACAAGGCAATATCAATGGTAATACCTCTTTCTCTTTCAGCCTTCAACTTGTCCAAAACCCAAGCATACTTGAAGGAACCCTTACCCATTTCTTGGGCCTCCTTTTCGAACTTTTCAATGGTTCTCTTATCGATACCACCGCACTTGTAGATCAAATGTCCAGTGGTGGTGGACTTGCCAGAATCGACGTGACCAATGACGACAACGTTAATATGTTCCTTCTCTTTACCCATCTTGATCTATCGAGTATGGAGTGGAGGGCATGAGCAATGAACTAAGCCTAAGCAGGCCATGCTGAAACTTACTGTTGTTGAGTGTGTGTTTTTTTTCGACAAAATTTTTGCCTCAATACAGCAGCCTCAATTACTTATGCGGTTGTTCGTTGCGTTGACTACGGATTGTAAACAGCGCCAACAAGCGACCAATGGCAACCCATTGCAGGGGGTTGATTGAAGTTTACAAAATGAATCATGCCGAAAGTCGGGCTCTAGTCCTTCCAACTACTGTCTAGAGCCGATAGTCCCAACCGTACCACCGAGTCAAACATCGCGCAATAACAGTTATAACTTGTTTATTCATTGTAAATAATGCTGCTTAATGATGGATCTATTTGTTCTTGCTGTTCAATGAGACCAGGAAACCAAAATTCATCTCCTTCACCTTTTGTGGATTGGGAGTCAATCCAAGCAAAGCCTTCTTTGAGAAGTGGTCTTAATGCGTTTTCTACTCGTTCTCTCGACCAACATAATTCCCTTTCGAGCTCAGGTATTGTCATTCCTTCAAGGCCCTTTCTAGAAAGTGCACATGATAGAATTGCAGTTTGATCGGCATTCATCTCACATGGCACGGATTGAACAAAGTATCTTCCTCCACCAAGCATGACTAGCTGAAATCCATTCCCAAGAACTTTTAGGTGTTTGATTGATCGTTTCACATCCTCTGCTGTTATATCATAATCTTTTTGTGAATATTTGTTTCTTGTTTTTTTAACCCGTTCCGTCAATTCAGTCAATTCAATCAGTCCACCGTTTTGATTTCTAGTTTTCAAACAAATTTCAATAATTTGTATTCCCAACTCATAATAAAAATCACCCACTCCTAACAACTCAGCCCAAAAACCCTTGTTCGATGCAAGAGGGTCAACACCAATTTTTGAGCACATTTGTTGAAATTGATGACGAAATTCTGCATTCTTGTTAATATCTTTTTTGTGTTTAATTGCAAATTCCTCTAAACTTTGTCGGAATATATCCAAGCGCTCCTTCATTTGAGACATTTGCATATTATTTACATCCTCTCCTTTTTCTTTGAATTTTTGTTGTCTCAATTTATCATTCTGGAGAGCTCCGATTCCTATTCCTCTTCTCATTTGATGATGGTGGTTGGTGACGGTATTTTTATTTGGTTGGTGACTCTACGACCTTTGGTCACAACCGACTTCCGCTTTGAGTTGTTGATTCAATTGAAAAGTGAATATTAATTTAATAGAGTGACATTCCTTGATTCAATACAAATGCCCTTGATGTTGTCCAATGGTTCTTCTTACTTGTTTCTGAGTGAAATTTTGTATAATAATTCTAATAGAACTGATCTCACAGGCGACGGAGAGAATTTCATAACAGCATCGTAGGCCATCCTCGTATGTGTGTCAGCTAAATCTTTTGTGGACTGAACAGCATTGCTCTTGACCACAAGCTCCATGGCTTTTTCAATATCACCTTCTCCAGAGAATTTTCTTTCAATGATTGGAGCCATTTCCTCAGGGAATGCTTTGGTTGCAAATAAAATAGGGCAAGTAGTTAAACCTAATTTCATGTCTGCTCCTTGAGAAGGTTTTCCTAGAGTAGATTGTGACTGTGTAAAATCAAGGCTATCATCTGTTAATTGATATGCAATACCAACATGTTTACCAAATGTATAAGCTGCCTCAATAAAGTCATGATTTGTTGTTCCGCTCAAAACTGCTGATGCTTTACAGCTATTTGCAATTAATGAAGAAGTTTTAAAGAAGATTGTTTTCATGTAATAATCAAAGTCTCTCTTTCCCTTTCCAGCCATTTGTAAAACTTCGCCATAAGCCAAATGTTCAATGACAGTTGATATTAAATCTATTGCTTCGATATTTCCAATTCTTGCTAAATTAATTGAAGCTCTAGCAAGCAAAAAATCTCCAGCTAACACTGCAACCTTGTTCCCAATGAACTTGTTAAGTGCTGGAATTCCTCTTCTTGTATCTGCGTCGTCGACAATGTCATCATGAATTAAACTTGCAACGTGAATTAGTTCTGTTGTTTCAGCTAATTTCCTTTGCTTTTTCATAATAATTTCCAAATCTTTAACGTCCATGTGCTGCTCTTCATTGACAGCTCTACCAGTCATGAGAACAAGCATGGGTCTAAAAAGTTTTCCAGGTGTATTGAAAAAGTATTTTGCAGCAGCATCAAGAACTGGGTGGTCCGATTTCACACTGTCCAAAATTTCTTCTCCAATCAGTTTCAAATCGCCTTCAACTTGACGTGATATTGTTTGAGATGTTCTGTTTGGATCAGATTTGACAGCAAGCTCTCTGTCTTTTAAAATTGTTTCTTGTATGAGATGGGCAAGTGAGCCTTTTGAAACGCTTTCATCAATAATCATATCTGTTGTTGTTATGATTGAATCAATGTTTTCGGTTGAGACGAGTTTTGGGATTTTGATGTTCGTAAGGGAAGGAATTACTTTGGATGTTAAACTTGAAAGAATTCCATAGTTTCTATTGTGAGAGTGTTGGTTATGATGATGAATTCCGTTGTTGTTTGATGAAGAAGAGGGTGGATGAGAATTTAAACCATCAGAGTGGAGGCTTGTTGGAAATAATTTTCGTGAATAGGAACGGGTTGTAGACACCATATAAAGAGCCTTTTGGCTGGTATATAATGATTCTCCTACAACATTACTATGGGTTCTTTTTGAACTTGCTTTCAAGAGATGCAATATACTTTTCTTGGCACTGTGATGACTCATGATGAAAGATGGATTTATTTCCTATGAGAAGGTGAAATTGCGAATTGGCTAAACAACAGCAAGAAGAATCAAAACTCCTTCTCTATCTCAACTGTACCGTTTTGAATTTTTTCTTTCAACAATAAATCACCGAGCAGCGGAGGGAGAATTTTGATTGAAGCAAAGGGTTCATCTCTAAAAATTGATTGTTGTGAGGAAACAAGTCAATTTGATGAAGTATTGATGATGCCATCTCGAAAATATGGAGTCGTTCATTAAGATTGCCAAACAATGCACAAAAAAATGGAGCCTTCTTCCTCTTCTTCCTCTACTGATATGAATAATAGCAATGCGGAACAATCACAACTCAAATCGGCAAAGCACAACGACAACTTTTCAGAATATCAGTATTATTATTTCTGTCAATCGGTTGACGCAATTTTCGGGAGATGGGCAGCCTTGATACTAGCAAAGCAGCATCATGCTTCAGGGGATGATACGGAAGTTTTATTAGATGAATTTAGAGACAATGTCAAAGAATGGATTTCAAATGATGGAGACCAATTGGAATTAGATGAAATTGTACAGTACATGAATGACGTTCTATCGGAGGATTTGGGAATTGACGTACTTGATGGATCAATTCCGTCTGTTGCCAAACATTTGCTTTTAGTTTTTCAACAAGTGACTCAAAACAATTTTGAGCAAGTAACCAAATTACTAACCGAGAAAAAGGAGGAACCTGTTGTAATTCCGAGTGAATCAGAATTTGTACAATCCAAACAACAGCAAGCCGTTGTGCAACAAAATATTCAAAATGATATGGAAGACAGCAGCTGCAACGAGAAAAAGGAAATTGAAGTGGACGAAGATGGCTTTCAAATGGTGAAGAAGAAATCATCTACTCGCAGGAAGTAAACCTTTTCTAATACTATTTGTGTGTCAACAATTAAGTTTGACCGATTTCTACCTTAGCACACGTTTGTGACACGTCATGGTTGCGAAGGGTGGGCGAATAAAAGCTGAAGATAAAAAATAATAATTGGCAAACACTCTAAAAAATTCTCGTCATCAAAACAATAACTCACCAACTGTGTGTGGTTCGAGCCGTCCTGTCCGATTTATAACTCACGATTCATCATCATTGAATTCTTTGGTGTTTTCAAAATTTTGGAACTTTTCTCATCATTCCTCAGACAAATTAACTCAACAGAATATTTAAAATACAAAAATCATGGATTTTACTCAAAGTGAAAACTCGAACGGTATTCGTCATTCGTGGAACATTCTTCCTGCCAACAGGCTCGATCAATCTCGTTGTATTGTTCCTGTTGGATCTTTGTATACTCCATTGAAGGAAATACCCAATCTTGTTACGCTCCCCTACGAACCCGTTGTTTGTAAAACTTGTAGAGGCATTCTCAACCCATTCGCTAAAGTAGACTACAGAACTAAATCATGGGTGTGTCCGTTGTGTATGGATATGAACATGTTTCCGCAAGCTTATAGCGGTATTACTGAGACTCAACCCCCAGCTGAACTCCATACTGCTTTTACCACTATTGAATACAAACTCGTTCATAAGCCTCCAGCACCTGCTCCAGTATTTTTGTTATTGGTCGATACTTGCCTTCCCGAAGATGAGATGAGATTCTTGAAAGACTCAATTTTACAAAGTCTCAATATCATTCCAGATAACTCACTGGTTGGTTTAATTACATATGGTGCAACTGTTCAAGTTTTTGAATTAGGATTTAAGGAATGCAGCAAGGCTTATGTTTTTAGAGGAGACAAAGAGACACCATTCGAACAAGTTCAGGATCAATTGGGTTTGAAATTGGTAGGAGTCCAACAATTTGGACAAAATAGATTGCCCAATCAACAAATGCCTTCCAATGCAACATCAAAGTTCTTGTGCCCAATTTCTGAATGTCCACAATTGATGGATATTATTGAAGAGCTTCAACCAGATCCATGGCCTGTAAAGAGTGGACGACGTCCTCGTCGTTGTACAGGTGTGGCTCTTTCTGTGGCTACATCATTACTCGAGTCCACATTCAAGGGTTATGGTGCGAGAATTATTAATTTCATAGGAGGTCCATGTACATTTGGTGACGGCCAGGTTGTTGGATTGGATCTAATTGAACAAATTAGATTACACAATGATTTGAGAAATGGAAAGGCCCCTCACTTCAAAAAAGCTACCGAGTTTTACAAGAAAATTGCTCAACGATTGGTTCAAAACGGTCACGTTTTAGACATTTTTGCTGCCAATCTTGACCAAGTTGGAGTTTTGGAAATGAAGGCATGTTGTGAAAATGCAGGAGGAGTTATGGTTTTAACTGACACATTCGACAATCCAATATTTAAGGAATCATATATGAGATACTTTGAAACTGATGCCAATGATCAGCTCAAGATGGCTCTCAATGCTACTATAGAATTACAATGTTCTAATGAGGTAAAAATTTGTGGTGTTATTGGCCCGGTAACATCCATGAATAGAAAAGGAAACAACGTAACAGAAAATATCATTGGTGAAGGAAATACCAATGCATGGAAGATCAATGCCATTCATCCAAATACTACTCTTGCTTTTTATTTCGACGTTGTTAACCAACAAAATCCAGCTAGCATGAATACTCCAGCTATTAGATGTTTCCAATATATCACTGCATATCAACATCCTTCAGGTGAATATAGATTAAGAGTTACAACTCAAGCTTTGGGATGCGCTCAACCAAATAGATTTGATGAGATTGCTCAAGGGTTTGACCAAGAGGCAGCAACTGCTTTGGTTGCCAGATTATCTGTGTTTAAGGCAGAGTCAGAGTATTTGTTTGACGTATTGAGATGGTTGGACAGATCTCTTATCAAATTGGTATCAAAATTTGGATCTTATCAACCAAACGATCCAAATTCTTTGATTCTTTCTCCACAATTTTCAATTTTCCCTCAATTCCTTTACCATTTGAGAAGAAGTCAATTTTTAAGAGTTTTCAACAGCAGTCCAGATGAAACTGCTTGGTTTAGATTAATTTTGAATAGAGAAACAACCACCAACTCTATCACAATGATTCAACCTACTTTGTACTCTTACTCATTTACTGAGCCTCCTCACCCTGTTGAATTGGACTCTAACTCTGTTAAACCAGATGTCATCCTTCTTTTAGATACATTCTTTGCTGTATTAATTCACTATGGAGAGACCATTGCTTCATGGAGAGAGGCTGGTTATCATACTCAACCAAAATATGAAAACTTTGCCAAGTTGTTAGAACTACCAAAGGAAGATGCCAAGCTTATTATCAAAGATCGTTTTCCATATCCAAGATATATCGAGTGCGATCAAGGATCAAGTCAAGCTAGATTCCTTATTGCTAAAATCAATCCTTCTACAACTCACAAGGATCAAGCCTATGGACAAAATAGCACTGTTGTATTAACAGATGATGCTGCCATGCAGGTGTTTATGGATGGATTGAGGAAGTTGGCTGTCCAATCACAATAAGTCACACGCATATCAATACACGTCTTTGAAACCTCATCTACAATTGTTAGGCTAAATTTATTCTTCATCAGCAACAAAAAATCTCTACAGGCGTTATAATTGTGATGGCATGTGTCGGAACAACATCTGCATCTACAAACATCAGAGTTTGTGTGAGATGTAGACCATTCATTGCTAATGAATTGAAAGACAACTCCTGCCCAAAGACTCTTCCATTTAATATTGAGGCAAAATCTATCGAAATTCCGAATATTGATCCAACTCAAACCAAAGTTTTCCCCTTTGGTAGGTTATAAAACGCTTGCTCAATTTCTCATTAGTATCAATCATGAATAAGATTTTGTTTTTGATGAGAAATCCGAAAACAACGATCTTTACAGAGAAATGATTTCCGACATGATTCCGTCTGTTGTAAATGGAGTAAACGTTACCACCTTTGCCTACGGTCAAACATCATCAGGAAAGACCTATACGTAAGTAAAAAATCGATTTCAATTCTAGTGAGCTAATTCCAAACCAGCATGAGGGGAGGAGAAGAAAATCCAGGTTTAATTAGGCTAGCGATTAGAGAGATTTTCAACCAAATTAAAAATTCAGTAGGTAATTTTGTAATGGTCACTAGTTCTTGATTTACTCATGGTACTTTCGACGAAAGGAATGCGAAAACAGAACATTCCTTATTAGAGTATCTTACTTGGAAATTTACAACGAAAAGGTGAGAGATCTTCTCTCTCCCGAACAAAGATTTATCAACATTTTTGTTGACAAAAACGTAAGTCACAAGCAATTTGATGAGTTATGTCATGATCATTTCCGAAATGGGCTATAGAAAAACTTATCATTTGATCATCTTACTGAAGAAATTGTTAGAAGTGAAAACGAAGCAATGGATGTTCTTGCACGAGGCTCATCTCATGTAATCATAGCAAAAACGGTTGCGAACGATGCGTCATCCAGATCTCACACAATTTTTAGAATGATAGTGGAAAGAAAAGATGAAATCGCTTTGGATAATTCAACTACTGCCCAAACAAAAAAGCTCAACCCCAAGCAGATTTTGAGAATTGGAACTTTAACTCTTGTTGATTTGGCAGGATCAGAAAATGCCAGCCTTCAAGTTGATGACAACAGAAAACGTGAGGGTCAGAACATTAATCTTAGTCTGCTGCATTTAAAGGAAATAATATCAAAACTTGCGAATGGAGAAAAAGTATCTTCCTTTCGTAATTCAAAGCTCACTCGTATTTTAGGAGATAGTTTATCTGGAAATGCAAGGTATGTTCATGACGTCAGTCCAGCATATTTTTCTTTACTTTTTGAAAGAGTTGCAGTAATTTGCTGCATATCACCAGAGGAAGCCAAATTCAGAGAAACCAAAAGGACGCTTGAATTTGGATCGAATGCCAGACGAATAGTGATAAAACCTACGGTAAATAGCGAATGTGACAATGCTCTCATTATGAAATATCAAACCGAGCTGGAATCGCTGCAAAATGAGCTCGCATTGTTGAGAGAGAAATTAAAGAACCAAAAAGATGACGTTGACAAGGAAGAAACTGAAGAAGAGGTTAAGAATTTAGAGAACGTTGTGAAAGAATTAACAGACTCAATGATTACAAACAAATCCCTTCTCATTAAATTGGAGGATGTGGAGAAAGAAAAACGTGATAGAGATGCCAAAATAATTGAGATCGAAAAAGAAAAACAAAGGCTGGAGCTCATGTTAAAATTAGAAGAAGAAAAACAGAGGATTCAAGAGGAAGAATCAAGAAACAAAGATCAAGTACTGCTTCAGCTTCAACAAGAAACGTTGGCTATGAATATTAGGCTCGAAGAAATATCTTTATCTAAAAAAGAATGGGAGTCCCAATCGCAACGAAAGGAAATACAAATCAAAGAGCTCATGGATTATAATAGAATTATTGAAGAAAAGATGATCAACGAAGAAAACTCGAGAAAAAAAGCAGAACATTTGGTTCAAGATCAAATTGCTCAAATAGAGCTGTTTAAGCAAAAGAATGAATTGATAGCTAATGAATATGCTAAAGAAAAGAAAGCAAAAGAAGAGGCCTGTAACTTGGTTCAAGAAAAGCTCCATGAGATGCAGAACATCCAACATTTACTGCGAGAAAGTGAGAACGAAAAAGCCAATTATGAATCACAGTTAAAAATTCTTAATGACAACATGTCAACCATGTACAGTATGTGGAAGGAAGACTTTGAAAATGAGATGCGCTTGAAGGACAAAGAAAAAAGTCAATTGGACGAACAAATAGCTCGCTTAACCCGCATCTTTGATGAAAAAGAGTTAGAAATTCGTGAACTGCAGGAACAGCTCAAAACTTCTCAATTATTGCAACAAAATATTTTAAGTTTTGAAAGAGAAGCACAACTTTACAAGAAACTACTTCAAGAGAGTGAAAATGAAAAAGAGATGATAAAGAAAAAATCACTCGAATCATTTAAAGAGAACTTGGAGCTGAAGAAGATGGTTTCTTCTCTCGAAAAAGAGTTGCAGATGCTTAAGGGTAGAAGAAATGATTTGTATCAACCTCAACAATCGAATTCTTCAGAATCAGCACACTTTGGAAGATCAAGACCTACTTCACCTGTTGTGGCTCATAATTTTCCCTCCTCTGTTCAAGGCGACCAGTCGTGCGGTACCATTGAGCCACCATCATCTCTTTCTAATAAGCAATACGAAGGTGACATGGTATTCAATCTCTATGGCTACAATACCACACCATCACAGAATTACCAACCAAATCCATACAACCAGGCATATCAACAACCTGCTGCTGGCAACTCTCAGAATAATCCCTTCAATCATTCCATTCACGGAATGAGAGATGATAGCTACCAACCCATTCATCACAATCCTTATGAATCTCATCAATTTTATCCTCCAACAAATCCAAGCTATGGAAGTAACAGTTCCAACCAACTTTCATTTACCAGCAATGGCGAAAATCAAACCTACAGCATATACAACGGACCAAACGTTTCGGCTAACTCTAGAAGGCCTTCTCCGCTCACCAACAGGTCTGCTCTTTCTATGCCTCAACAAGACTTACCAAGTACGAATGCCATATCAGGAAGGGCTAGACCCAAATTGTTTCATCAACAAAGCCACCAATCTCAACCCCAGACCCAAGCTAAGGTCATAATGGCTTCAAGTCCTCAAACAAGTAATCAACCAATAAGAAACCCTTCACCCAGCCGGATTATCAGAATAACAGGAGAAAGAGCTTCTCCTAAAGAAACAGCTGCCTCCGAAGAAAGTTCGTCATTCGTAGAGCCAGAACAGGAAAAGGTGAAATTGAAAAAAAGAAGATCTTCATTGAGCAATCTGTTCGGTTTGTTTAAAAGCGAGGACAAAGCTAACTTGTTAAAGTAGACTATTGGTAAATAAATTGTAAGCATCTTTCAACAATACGCTTTATTTTCTTCTCTTTGAGGTAGATTCCTCTTCACTCGATTCTTCATATTCAGCTTCGCTCTCTTCACTGTCAGCGCTTTCTTCCTCTTCTTCATATAACCTTCTCTTATTACTTGATTTTCTTAGAGTGTTTCTCTTAATTTTTCTCACGTTACCTTCTTCATCAGAAGATGATTCTGCTCCTTCTTCTAGAGATGCATTGGATAAGGTTAAATTTTGTTGATATTGTTGCTGTTTCTTTTGTTGTTTCTTCTTAATGTTTAGTGCCTCTTCCATCACCTTTTTGTTTTCTTCAGATTCAGGTCTTTTCATTGTCAGTACCGTCTTTTTCTTTTTTGAACTTGCGTTTACCTTGCTGATTTGAAGTGCAATGTCTCTTCCTTTGGTCTGCGTTGAGGTAGCCTTTGTGTTGAGCCTATGTGTGAAAATACCATGTCCATAATAGCAAAATGGGTTAGCTTTTTCAAACAAATGCAAGTTACTCCAATTCTGAAACGCTTTAGCTTCTAGTTGGAGAATAACCTCATTTCCAACAAATACTTGGTAAGTTCCATCTGCATATTGTACAACACGAGTATTACTTTCCAATTCACCGGTTTCCTCATTCCTCCTCCAACGAATTGTATATAAATCATTCTTGGATAACTGAGTATCTTCTGTATATTCTTTTTCGTCAGTATTAAACTGAACAGGTGTACGTAGGAAATATAACTCGTTGATGTGTTTTGGAGTTGGTCTTGGTTTGTGTTCAATTTCCAAAACAGGCTTACTATTATCATTATCATGGCTTTCATAATTATACAACAACGATTCACACAATTCCGCTTGTGAACGTAAAATTTGATTTTGTAAATTTCGTTGTTCTTCTTCCAGTCTTTCTTTTTCTTTTAATTCACTTTGTCTGGTTTGTCTTCTCTCGATCACAACTTCATTTTCTTTATCGGATGATGATTGAGCTTCCTCTTGTGCTTGGCGTTCCTCTTCTTCCTCTTCCGATTCTTCAAAATCAGAACCAAAAATTTCTTCCATGGTGGCCTTTTGGTCTTTGCCTTCTTCTTGTGTATTGTCGCTCATGATGATGATGTGAGAGATGTGTGATGATGACGATCGTTATTTTTTCTTTCGGTTTTTTAAAAAAACTACAGAAAAAAATGCTTGCCATGGCCTCAACAGAACATGGTGCTGATCTTCAAACAGCATTGGGAATTTCCTCAATGAAAATTACTCTTTCTCCGAGAGGAGGAGATAAAGGAGAGGATGAAGAAGAGGAGTTTGCAGAGCCAATCATCATGAAAGAAGAGATTCTTGATGATCCAAACAATGATATTTCTTTTATAGGGAGCGAGATGCAAGCATCTCTTGAACCATTTGGATTTCAGTTTCGAAGAAGAATGATTGGAGGGCAACATGTTCCAGCAAAATCAATCGAGTTAAAAGGAGTTGATAACCGCAAATTGAGCAACGGAGTTGACAAGCTAAACAACATTAAAAAAAACCACCAAAGATTGAAAGCATTTTCTCCTGTTCGGACTCGAATATCCGACTTCAATGGAGTTGCACCTGCTCCCACAAAGACAGTGGTTCATGTCCCGTTAGAAGAGTTTTCATCAAGAAAGGTAGAAACGAATGCAACAATTACTTCACAAGTTCAGAAAAAAGTCACAAAGCAGAGCGACCTTGTCGATGATTCCCAATTAAATATTGAAATAACAAAAGAAAGAACTTTTGATGAAAGTCCCATACCAGATCACACCAACGAAATTATTGTTAACGTAATTAGACAAGAACCATCTGATTTTTCCGACAACTGCCAGTCTGATGGATTAGATGTCATCAAAACTAAGGTCATTGTTCCTGATGAGTTATTAGACATCACGCTTGAAACGAAACGAATGATGGAGGAAGATGTTTCTAACATGAAAAATAATGTAAAGAAGGTCTCACTGTCAACCCAACTGGACTATTTTAAACGAAAGAGCAGAGAAGTAGTATCTGAGCCTTACAAAAATCATTTTTTTGCTCTTGACAGGAGGAAGCAATCACAAGCTGTTCCCAAAAAAAGTATTTCATCTGGAGAAGAAGTTGAGTTAGAGAAAAAAGATGACTCCTTTATTTCTTTGAAACTTCCTCAGATAGACAAAAGGAAGAAGAAAAGGAAAACGATTAAAGATCTGTCCCCAGAAAAATACCTGGAGAGCGCAACAAACGATTCATATATAAATCGGAATGGATCAATAGAAATAATGGATTTGCAAGAAATGGATTTTTATGACGGATCTGAAGAGTTAGGAATTGTGGATGACGTCATTAAAATTGCAAGTGCAAGAGGAGTTCCACAAATACCTAGGTCAAAAATTCCAAAGAAATACCATATCATCGAAAGGTCACCAATTGTCACAAAAGAAGAACTTGAAAAGCAAGCTGTATATAACGGAGACAGAAGAGTTTGGGAAACTACTGTATTTCCTTCAAATAAGCCAGCATCAAGAATGGAAGTAGTTCAGCTAGCTCGAACGTTTGAGTTAATGCTAGAAGAAATGAATGAAAATTCAAAAGAAATGCTTGTGGAGGAAGAAATGAAAGTATTGGATACAATATCTTCTGAAATATCAAGACAAATTAGCGTGCAATGTGCCGAAAGAGGCATTCTCCTTGATAGAGTCATTCATAGATTTAAACAGTTAGTTAAAAAATCAGTGCAAGCAACAGAGGAAGTTTCTCAAAAGATTGAAGGAATCGCCTCTTCCAATGAACACAAAACTTCAGCATTAATAGAATTCTATACAGACTCGATAAAGTCAAAAGAAGAAATTGTAAAGAAAAAGGAGGATGAGAACGCAGATCTGATAAAACAGGTAGCCAAGCTGAAGGAGCAGTTACGTCAGACTCGAAAGGGAATTAAGGCGATTACCTCCAATTTCTTTGCTGAAAAATTAATGCAAGAGATGGTGACAAAGAGTTTGCAAGTTACTCCAAGAGATTCCACTCCAAGAAACACTGACAAATTATTTACGGAAGAGGATTTGAAACAAAAACTCGAGGAAATGATGTCAAAGGAGGCGGATTTATCTATTACAACCGTAGATAGAGGAGTGAACACGTCATTAATGGAGGGAGTCAGCTTGGAGAGTGTAAGAGCAATTGAAAGATATAATTCACTTTTTGCAACAGACTACACGGTTGAGGTAGTTGAAGAATCAACCCAATTAATGGAAGCCTCTGTTGTGACAGAAGAGACGCAGACTGAAAAGAAAGAAGAGCAACCTGTAGAAGAAAAGAAAGTAGAACAACCTGTTGACATTATTTACAAAGACAAGGATGGAAATATTATTTCTAAACAAAGATATGAATATCTTCAGAAACTCAGCTATGGATTTGTTAAGGACGTGTCTGTTCAGTTTATTACTGTTTCTAAACCACCAATGAAGCCCTCGAACTCAATTGCAACACAAACTGAAAATAGGACTAAAGATGAAATAGATAGGACTAGTCCAAACTCCCCTTTAGAAAACACCAATTCTAGGAGTGACATAATTTCAAAAAGAACTGAAGAATATAACAGTAGAGGAACAGATTCGCAAAATGGGGTGAGAAGCTCAAACTCAAAACGTGCTCTTACCAGTGAAGATTTTAAACATCGAATGAAACTGGTGAAGCCAGAAGATATATTCCTCTTGTTCAAAGAAATTTTAGAATCCAGCAAGAAAACAAGAAAGCAAAGTTTGAGATGGCTAAATCGAGTAATTTTAGAAGTGTTTAACGAGTTAGCAGTGAGTGACTTCCTATACAATACGAACGGAATTATCATGACTAGGAAATTTGTCTATGACTACTTTTTGTTGAAGTTTGGATTACCATCAATAGCATTGACAGTAAGTAATCCTTAAAATAGAGCTGTGTATATATTTTCATTGATTATCACATGTTCATTAGCATTTATCGGAATTTCTCATTAACATCAAACTAAAATTTAAGGAAAGTATTCGAGTTCAAATGTTCTGCCAATTTTGTCCCATCACAGAATGGATTGGTCAAACCTCATACCCCGAATATACCATTCAAACCCTTCAATTCTACCTGTAAGTAGTTATCACTCGATTCTATTCTTTATATAACAATTGGTCGGATTGAAATCATTCTCTGGCTAACAGTAAAATCATTGGTATTACCAAATCTGTATTAAATAAGCGAGCATTGCATGAACTTGAAGATGGTTCATTATTTGTATCTCTTGCGTTTGTAAATAACTTGATGGAGAGACTTCAGCTTCCATTACTTCTCGAAGAATTACAAGAGTTTATTCTCAACATCAAGGAACAATCCTCTGATAATTTGTAAGTTGTCACGACAGCTGTTTTGACCGATTGGATCAACAACTCATACCACAATCACAGCATTTACTATGATTACTTGTTGAAATTGCTCATCGAGTTGTACTATAACAAGATTGTTTTAAAAAAACGAAGAGTCACCCAACAGGAAAACAGGAATGTAATGGCCAAACCATCTGGTCAACAAATCTCAATTACCATCACCTCATTCAAGAAAATGCTCAAAACCTTTTTCAAGAATCTTTATGTTGTTAGGGATAAGATGAATGGCCCTCATGAATTTGTAAGCAAAAGTGACAAGGTTTCAAAATCATATCTATTGGAAGTCTATCATGTAACAACATCAGTTTTTTATGAACTCATCGACAGCCAAGTCTCAGATTCAGAGAAACAAAAGCATCTCAAGCAATTGCATTCTTTACTTTTTTCATCGATGGAAAGGCAAAATCTTGAGGATGGAATGAACTCCTATCGAGCATTTGTGATTGAGGTTCTCTCCTCAGTGGTCGATGAGACTCACAAAATATTTGCCATCATGATCCAAAAGCTTGTTCCACTCGTGACAAGAAACGTATGATAATATGTGAACATTTGTCAAAATAAAATTGGTCATCATTGTATTATTTAAGCTTAAATTCTCATTCGATTTTAATCTTTCCTTTTGCTATTTGAAACAAAGTCCACAGCATCATCCATGCAACCTAAGGAACTAAAGATACCTGAAAACCATGATCCTCCAGAAGAGGAACCATTTGAGTCATTGTTTGGCTTGACAAGTTTTTTAGCATTTTCTTTCAATTCTTTCACTAACAAACGCAAATGTTTAGGAGAAATATCAGACAATGTGATTTTCAAAGGTAATTGATATCCTAATTCACCTCCTGTTTTAGATTTTGAGAACATTTTCAAGAATACTTGTTGCACTTCGTCTTTCTGTTGTGAAGTTAATTCCAATGATTCATCATAAGAACTCCAATCAATCTCCAATAATGTCACATGAATACTGTGAATATGATCCAATTGGTAGGAATCATACACAATTTCAACCTAATGACCATACGAATATTAAAAATATCAATAAATTTAGGAGGACCATACACGATCATGGTGGTGGTATACCACACCATCATTATTGATGAAATAATGCATGAATCCAATATTTGTGTCCCAAATATCCATCGATGCATCGTATTCACACACACACATGGTGCATGAAAAAAAAACAACAACGACATACCTGCCATGAAAATTGAAACAAATTCTTGAGCATGGTATTTCCTAATGGTTTCATCATTTGTTCTGTCCTTCTATGAACCATTGAAATGTAATTTGGATACATTCTAATGTCAATTCTCCATGTTCCACGAATATCTTTAAATCGAATTGGTATTTTCGTAAAGAATAAACTCTCTGCAAAGTGACCCAATAATGAAACCACAAATGCTTGATCGACCAATGTTAAGAATTTCACTATTGGATGTCCATCACCATAGTGTCCTTCCATTAATGTACTGACATAATTTGGTACAGATTTACTCACAACAATCTTTTTAAATTCTTGTAATGTGAGTAATGGTTTGCATTCTTGTATGGATTCCTTTTGATGAAATAATCTTGTTAAAGTATTTAAAATATCAACAAAAATTTGATCTCCTCGATCTTCCTTTTCCATTTCATTGAGATTTCGAGAGAGATGTGAAAATTTTTCAAATTCATTGTGTTCCACTTGTTGATATACGAATTGAGTGATACGTTCATGATCGATGGGTCTCTCTGTTGTTGTTGTTGTTGTTGAGGATGAGAGTACAGTAATGATCGAACCATCATCGATGGTATGATTGGTGCAGTGTGTACTCTTAGAGGTGTGAGTCGTGGTCATGGTAGTAGTATTAGTAGTAGCAGTAGTAGTATTGCAAGTCGAATGATTAGTAGTATTGCAAGTCGAATGATTAGTCGAATGACTCGTGTCATTATCACGATTCGTATCCACACGTGTGCATTGAGAAGGAGGATGACTCTCAGAATTCTCATTTGATGAGAATGTTGGTAATTGCTCTACTACTTGTAGTTCTGATTCGGAAGAACTTGGTTTGTTACCATGATCATTATTGGTTATGACATTTTCATCATGATGATGAATATTATCATTTTCTTGTTGAGAAACAGTCATCGGAGACAATTCAAAGTCTTTTTGTCTATAAAAAGTAATTTTATCATACATTCGAACAAGGTCACGAGCAAGGAATGAAGATTGAATGGGTTTACGCTATGCATGTATTAATAATTGTATATATACTTTACAATGACACTTACAGAGATGGCATCGAATTCTGTGGCAACAATCGCCAACAGCTCTTCAAGACTTTGGTCAACAAAAACCTCTTCTTGAGGTCTAGAACTCATTTTTTTTGTGTGATTTTTTGTTTGACAGATGACACTCGGGCCGTTGGGGATTGAAGGTATGGTCACTGACGTTTTATTCAAGAAGTTTGCTCTACACTTTCTAACCATGTTCCAAGTTCTCACCTTAGTTTTTTTATTCACTGAATGTTCAGAGCTCACTCCTCTGAAGATTCATTCTACTTCAATTTAATGATTCACAAAATATAAAGTACTCCCAATATCATTTGGTTGGAAAATATACTTTGCCAAATTTCTTACAATTTATACTTTTGGCGGGTCAACCCACAAAAAAATGAACTCGACCAACGATGATCCATTTCCATCCCTTTTGAGAGCAATTTTATTCCGAAATGAAGATTGTCTTGGAGTGTTCAGTGATCGTACTGCTATTTTGTTGTGCGAAGAGGCGTCAACTTTTTACTATTTTAGCAACATCAGTAGGTCGGAGGATGAGAAAGAAATCAATGAGATACTCGGGGAGAAATCGTCATCATTTGAATTTCAACTCACGGCGTTTGTTCAGAACAAAGGAAAAGAGCAAATCAAATTCAAGCTGAATCAAATCTTAATGTTTTTTAATTGTCATGTTGAGAGCCCTTACCTTTCTGATCAAGTGCTTATACAAAATGGAATCAATCGACGTACTTTTAATTCGCAAGTAATGATGTCCACAGTTCAATGGAAATATAATTCTGATTATGTCTCATTTAACAGAGATGGATCTGTAACATTGAGGTGTGTTACATATCCCGATTATGTTTATATTACAGTAGCTCCGAATGGTGTGCTGTTCAAAGTCACGTTTCCTGCTCTTGTTCATTCAAGGTATGTGTGTAGGTTAAAGATTGAGCTTTTCAGTATCCTCTTCTTAGAAATCAAGACCTGTATCAATATATACTTCAAGATCAATTGTTCTCAATTCATTATTATCCTAGTGAATGGGAGGACGCTTTAAAAATTGCACTGTTTTACTTTAAGCAACGAACGAATAGAGATGACACTCCTGTCAACAACGAGCACACAACTACAATGAGCGTTCCTAAAACAAAACCTCCTTTTAGAAAAAAGGACAGTACTCCCACCGGTATTAATATTTCTTCACTAGCTTGTGTGGTTGGCACTATTGCATCTCATCCTCTCCACCAAAGTTGTGTCTCATTTCTTACATGCTGTCTTGGTAAAAATAACAACGTATTGATAGAATTTAATGAATACATGACAATGAAATATTTACGAAAAGTTACTGAACTAATTTTAAATAAGGAGGAATATTGTTTTCTTTCAGACAATACTACTTTTCTAAAATATTGGACCTATGACCACTCGTTCCAAAAACCCATATCAAAAGTTTATGATATCAATTTATTACCTCAAGAAATATATCGGTTTTGTGATAACAATGTTGGTGGTGTAAAAATTGAGTCATCCATTCCAATTAAGGACCTACTTGCTGTGATGCATTATTTCTACCACTCATGCTCTAAAGTTGACGACAATACAAAGCAAGTAGATGCTAACAACACCTCGGACAAATATTCTTCAGTTCTACTTGCCAAGAAAACATTCAATAATATTGGATCTTTTGAGATGTATGCAGACAAAAGAGTTAGAGCAAAATTTGATGACAGAACTATTGTGGAAATTCAAGAAAAAGACTCCAATTCGTCGTTATTGGTTTCGATATTATCCTCGACAGCAGAAATCTCTCATTTCTTTCTTGATAAAGATTCCAAGGTCCCAATGTTGTTTAGACGGTATATCGATGTTGCATTAGAGTTCAGAAAAGAATGTCTTAAAACAGAACAAGAAAAACAACAAGAAAAGAAACAAGAGATTGAGCTCGAGAAAATTATTCAAGATTGCTATCAATCCAATTCCCTCTTCTTGGCCATTAACCAGTTCAAAAGGAATCAAGCAAACTTTGAACGTATGAAAATATAAGCTCTTCTGTTTCAATGTTCTATTTTGTTTTTACGTGGTCCAGAGTCAAACAGCGTCCATGTAAGGAACATGTTCGATAGCAGCACGTGGCTGCGCGACGCTTATCTCTCATGAAAACTCCTCACACTTGCCAACAACTTGTTCTTGTCTTGTTGGTGATGTGGGAAGGAGATAAACACAACAAAAAAATTCAAATCAACGTACCGACATCTCAGAGTCTGTCTTTGGAGCGACAATTACGTCTGAGTCATCATCATCAAAAGACTACTACTCACGTTGAAAGAATTCGAGTACCATCATCACTACGAGTGTAGAAGGAATCACTCCTACATCAAAAATAGTTTCAAGGTTGAAACTCTTGACTTAGCAATTCATCATAACCGATAACAACAACAACTCTTCTTAGGAAAGCACTCTTTTCCGCATCATAATTAGTTCTACAAATCATCATGGGTCAGAATAACAAGAGGCTCAACGGAGCTCCAGGTCCAACCAATGTCTCTACAAGTATGAACGGAGGTGGACATATGAATGGTGGTGGACATATGCACGTCATGAACACTTCGAGTTTTTCAAATCAACAAGTTGCGCAAAACCAAATGTCATACCAACACACCGATCATAGCAATGGATTTCAGTTTGAACAAAATAGTCAATCGAATATGATTTACAGCAGCGATTCCCACAAAGTAACGTTGGATGATTTTGAATTACTGAAAGTTATCGGACAAGGTAATTTTGCAAAAGTGATGCAAGTGAGGTGAGTATACTTTGGCATCTTGTTGATGATTTAATCGCTTTATTGTTTGAACATGTATCACTCCTCGATCTCACAACAACCTTTGTTGAACTGCTGCTGGCTGCCACGTTAATCGTATTGTGCAAATCCATTGTACATGGAACTTTTTATCTCTCTCTATTGAACCCAAAACACAATAGAAAAAAAGACACACAAAAAGTTTATGCCATCAAAATTCTGAACAAAAAGAGACTGGAAGAGAGTGATCAATTAGAACATATAAAGACAGAAAGAGCTGTTCTACAATATGTAGAGCACCCATTTATTGTAAGGCTGGTTTATGCCTTCCAAACAACAGAAAAATTATACATGGTGATGGATTTTATTAATGGAGGCGAATTATTTTTCCATTTGAAGAAATTGAAGCGATTTCCAGAAGATCTTGTCAAGCTTTATGCAGCAGAGCTATTCCTATCTTTAGATCACTTACATCGACACAATGTTGTTTTTCGTGATTTGAAACCAGAAAACGTGTTGATGGATCGAGATGGACACGTCATGTTGACTGATTTTGGACTTGCCAAATTCCTTTCAAATCAAGATAGAACTCATACTTTTTGTGGAACACCAGAATACTTGGCGTACGTATTTCTATTGGATTGAATTTGTATTGTTTTCATTCAAATTTATAGCCCTGAAGTATTATTACAAAAGGGACATGGAAAGCCAGTGGATTGGTGGTCTTATGGAACTCTGATTTATGAAATGCTTGTGGGTATACCTCCTTTCTATTGCGACAATGTACAGGAAATGTATGATAGAATTCTCAATGGAGAGTTGATACTTCCAGATGAATTTATTTCTTTAGAATGTCAAGATTTACTAGCAAGATTACTGGAGCGTGATCCTCGAAGAAGGTTGGGAAGCGGTCCAACAGGAAGTGATGAGATTAGAAATCATCCATGGTTCAGCGATATTAATTGGGAAGACGTCTACTACAGAAGATACAAACCAAGATATAAACCAAACGTAAAGAGTGACGAGGACACCAGCTATTTTGATGATGAATTCACAAAACAAGCACCAGTTGACAGTGTTTGTCAAAACGGTGTACTGGATGATAAGCTTCAACGAGAGTTTGAGGGCTTTACATATACTGAAGGAGGATATATGATGAACAATAATGGAGAAAGAATTATTTCGAACTATTAGTGTACAACATTCTATGTACAGTATTGTTGTAATTTACATCAACTCTTTTTAATACAAAATTGCGTTCTCAAACTGCACCGTTAATGTTGGGAAGAGACCCTATTTTGGGAAGATTCAAAATCTCACACATGTACTCAAAAAGTTGACATCTTGTGAGAGATGTTTTCAATTCGAGAAGAGAAGGGCTTAATGGTTGTTGGATCGTTTCAGAGAGTACTTGTGGTGGCTGCTGAGAAGCATTTAGCAGAGCTTGGTCTTGTACGCCTGGTTCATGGTGACTCTTGTCTGCAACAGTAATTGGCAGGTTGTCGATTGGAGGGAACGAGGCTTCTTGGACCTCCAACGCGTTGTTGGAAGTTGCATTTTGAACTTGTTGTGTTTCGTTTAGAAAGCTTGAGAGTTCATTCATCCTCAACAGGCTTTGATACTTTCGTTGATAACTATCTGCACGTCTGGGAGCGTTGGTTGCAACGCAGTATTGTTTAAACATTGCATATGACGGACATTTTGAAAAGTCTGATACATTTTCCTTCATATAGTTCACTAAATGAACAATTTCCTCTCTCCCAAAATTCTTGCTTATCTTCTTTTTGAGGATGGTTGGATTCTCGTGTGTCGCTGACGAAGGTATATATAAAAAGTTTTCAGCTTCTAACCACCTACGAGATGAATAGGATTGATGAACGTATGAACATGTTACAACTGGTGCGTCTGACAGGAACGTTGTTGCACCTGAGCAAGAGACAATAAGGCTTGCATTTTCTGGTTCTTCTTCTATCAATGCTCCGAGTTCAAGAACCTTAGAAATAACAACGTCTAGCTCTTCGCATTCAATTTGATCTCGATGAATGAAAACTCTTTTTTTCGCTTTCGCCCTTCGACAGCCTTCGTTTCATGTCTCTTGCTTATGAATTTCGAATTGACTCAACTTACATTTTAGGGGATTTCTTTGTTGCTGCACTCGAGGCTGTTTTGGCATTTTTGTTTTTTCAAAAAATAAAGAAAAAATGAAAAGGCTTTTAGGCAAATTACTTTCCCCATCAAATTTCGAAAATACTCCTCTTCTGCTCTTGGAGTGTGCACTCGTCGAGAGGCGATTGTTCTCTACTTGCGGCCGATTTAACTCAGCAAATAATAGTAATACAACATCATCCAAGAGGCAGAACCAAACCATCGGATCCACACAAAATTCGGCACAAGATAAACTTGAAAAGAAGTTGAGCAAAATTGAAAGACTCTTCGGAAAGAGTTCATCAAAAGCAAAGGATGGTAAAAAGCAAGTTCAATCAGTTGCAGAGAAGGAAGTAAAAAATACATCATCTCCTTCGCCCATTACTTCTCCATCAAACAACCAAATTCCAAAAAAGAATGATCGCATGGACAACCTCTTGAACCAATTTCTTGATTCTAGAACTATGAGCGACCTTTCTTCTGAAGAAATTGAAAAATTCAAAGAAACACTCAACCCTGCGAAGAAAAAGAGCACAATCTTGTCACCAGTGTTGGGAAGTAAGCCTATCGTTGAAGGAGAGCAAGATGAATCGCTTTTGGAGAAATTGAAAGCTCCATTCTATTATAAAACAATTTTGAGACTTATAGAAAAACAAACATATTTAACACCAGAGGACATACATTCCATGAAAGAATATGTTAAAAAGGAATTTAGAGATAGAAGTAAAAACGTTGAAGAGCAATACCAAATAGCAGATAATTTTGTTCATATTATGAGAGCTAAAGACCTAAAGAGTGCAAAATTAGCTCTCGATATTTCGGAAGATTCAAACGTATTAGAAGATTCAGAAGAATTGAACTATTGGAATAATTACTATCAACAACATGGATTTATGGATGAGTGGTATGGTGATTGGGATTTAGTGAAAAATTTTCTCCCTGAATCCATTCAAAAATTAAAGACGGCTCCAACAAAGGAAACGTTAAAGATTCTTGACGTGGGTTGTGGATTCTCCACTGTTTCTTTGAAGTTGTGCGATTATTTCAATAAGCAAAGATTTTCCATAACCTCTATTGACATTAGTAACGTTTTGATTGGTCTAATGAAAGAGCAATATGCTGATATCCCAGATATTATTGGATTTTCACAAGTAGATGTTAGAGACATGGAGAAATTCTTTGAAGATGATTCTTTTGATATTATTTTTGATAAGGGAACATTTGATAGTATCATGTCTTTTGATTCATCATCCATTGAAGATATCACAGCTTATGAATCTGAAATATTTAGAGTTCTCAAACCTGGAGGCGTATTGATGCTATGTAGTGTTACACCTCTGGAAGGAATTGAAGGATTCTTCTCTGGTGAAGGTTGGTCGAGTGTTAAACTCGCAGGTAAAAAGAATCTTCTTGAAGATCACAACAAGAGTCGAAAACTACAGCTCTCACAAGATAGTGCCATACATGATGCCCATGTTTACTTTTACCATATTAAAAAACCTAGTCAATAAATTGAAGTTTTCAATTGGGTGTACACCCTCGATCCATGATGATGATGGTCCCTTCTCGACACGTCGAAGAGTCATCTTGAGAGAAACGAGAACGTGTTTTGAATTGTTCAATGCATGATGTCAAGAGCCAATGCGTATAACGCCTCAAGAAAAATGCCCAAACGATCGACCAAGAAGAATATTTTCAAGTAAGTGAATCATCATTCAGTGACTAATGAATTCGGAACCATGATGAAATAGAAAGAACCAACCATCAAATGAATGTATTGATGATGAACCTATTACAATTCAACAACAAAACAATCCAATCATCATCACTACCAACAATTCCGATACGACGTCGGACATGAACGCTGCTCTCTCTCCTTCCAATCATCAAAATTCTTCAAGCATGAAATCATCTCAACAAAAACGAAAAAGAAATTCTTTTCTTAATGATGATAGCTGTACACTGGAAGACTGTCCAAATCCAATTCTGAGCAAAATTTCTCAAAATATTCATCCCATTACTCATTGTGTATCATCATCAAACAATATACCACCTCTCTTACAAGATGCTCATCAAACTCTATCATCTTTCCTTTCACATTCTTTTAAAACATTTTCAAATGATTCAGTCATGATTGTTGGTCCAGGTAAATCTGGAAAAAAACATTTAGTGAAATATACTTTAAATAATCTCAAAGAAAGTGGTGAATATTCATTTAGAACAGTCTATGTGAATGGAATTCATATTGCTTCAGATTCTCAATTACTGGCATGTGTATTGGATGCATTGGCACGAGAAAAAGAAGATACACAATTGAGTGTTATTAATAGTAGTAATAATAATAGAAATAGCAATTTACAACTCATTGAGTCTACCGTTAGTGATGAGAATCATCATCGCAATGACAATACTGAAGAAGATGATCACTTTGATGAACAAGCAACCTATGTTGAATTTTTAAATGCTTTAAAAGATTTCACCAATCAAAGTATTGTTTTTATTTTGGATCATTTTGAAAATTTATGTCGAAAATCTGGAAAAATGCTTTATACCATCACCGATACATGTCATGAACATAGATTAAGCATTATAATTATTGGACTTACTGTCAATGCACATATTGGAACATGTATGGATAGAAGAGTGAGAAGTAGATTCTCATCACGAAGAATTTACACACTTCTACCAAGAAATGCATTTCAAGTTTCTCAAATTATGCATCACTATTTGTCTCTACCATGTAACGAAAACGATCCTTCTATTGAAATGTATAATCATCAACTCAAAAATTGTCTATTAGATCCAGATGTTGTACAACTACTTGAAGAATGTGTGATACATAGTAGTTGTAAATTTATTTATAATTATTCATTGAAAGTTTTTGAACTCATTCAATGCCATCTCGAACACTATCCATTGTCAGAGAATTCAATGATTTTTACTCCTAATATTTTTGTTAAGGCATTTCATGCATTGGTGAATCATCGAGTGAATTCCAAGTAAGTTCAACATTTGAATATGGCTTGTACCTCATGCCTGAACTTTGATCATCGGATATTTGATATTGTACCATCATATATATATATATATATATGGTTGACATTCTGTGGTTCCTACCTACCACTCGTTCATTCATGATGTCAATGTAAATAATGTGATTCATGGTGACCTCGATGGAAATAATGTTTTCCATTATGGCAATGTCAATGTACATATTGTGATCCATTGATTCTTGTATTCAATCAATACTAACAATAGATTGTCATTCATTCAAAGACTCAATCAATGTCAACTCATCCTTTTATGTGCCATCAAGAAAATGGAATCTCTTTATTCCTCTAACAGAGGAAATTCTTCCATTGATATTAACTTTGAAACTGTATTCAATGTTTATATGAAATTTGCCACAGGTGGAGCACAATCTTCAAACATTAGACAAGAACATGTGTATACAGAAGGAAGAACACAAATTCAATTAGACAAACAAGTAATATTTCAATCATTTCTCTCACTCATTGATTTGAAAGTCATACATTTCGTGAGTCAGAAACAAATTCCATCGACTAGAAAAGATCAATCCATTACCAAAGTGAGATTGAACAATATTCATCCTTCTCAAATTGATAATGAAATTGAAAGATTATTTCAAGAGAATAGATTGTATTCAATGAATTCTGAAATGTTAGAATGGTGCAAGTCGACTTCATTGTGAACCAAGTTTCAGAAGAATGATGAATTCAAACTTGATTGTGAGCACAATAACCAATTTTCAGAAGAATGATGATTGGTTGAATTCAATTCTCTCTAGGGTATTATTTTAATAGTATTTACTTGATGATTCGTTGGAACAGGACATTAGAATAATACACAGAGGAGACTTGTAAATTATTTGTAAAATCGTTTGCACAGAGGAGACCTCTTTGGAATTTTCAATGAGAATTTAACATGAGGATGACCCAAATTCTCTCTCCAACTCTCACTATGATTATTCATTCTTTTCGTTTAATATGAATTGTAAAGATAAGGGATATATTTTGGCAAATAATGTAGTGTCCATCAACTCAAAGTAATCTTTAGGCCACTTGTGTATCCCAATTTCATTCTTTAAATCATAAAATCGTCGTTTCACTGTTGATAAACTACATCCAAGCACTTGACATGCCTGATGTTGTGATAAATGTAACACGGAGAGCATTTCTTCCTTAGTGATGGATGAACTGGTTCTTCTACGAATGACTTTTCGTTCTCCTTTGAAATCAAACGGTTGAAAAATAAATTGAGTGGCAGGAGTTTGGGTTGGAAGGGTTTCAGATACCGAGTTGGAAGCTTGGGAAGATGTTGTCCCTGAGGAGGAGGAGTTTGGTAGGGTATGGTGGTATGACTGTGTTACTGAGGAGGAGGAGGAGGAGGATGGTATTAATAACATATTTGAGGACGGAGAGGTATGCATGGATGAAGGAGTCGAAAGAGTCGACAACTGGTTGGTTGTCATGGAAGAATGGCCGTTGGTTGAGTCAGCCACCAGATTGTATTTTCTCTTCTTTGTGTCGTTCAATGGATCGACATAGGACACAGCAATATTTCCAACAGAAGAATAGACTCCTCTTGTTCGCTTTTTGGAAAAAGTGTCATGCTGGGTGAGTTGCGAGTTGTTGCTTGTAAAACAGCATGCTGCAGTGATGTCTGAATCATCTTCGGTGCATGATCCAATATGATGAAGAGAGGTTGATACATGAACAGGTCTCTGTGTTCCTTCGAAGAGAGCTAGGTAATCTTTTGGTCCACAAACACCACTATTCGTTTCAACAACAACGTTATTTCTGGCAAGTTCATGCATCACCTCTCTTGTAAGTATCTCGTTAGTACAGATGGACATGTCAACATGAAATTTTCAAACGTCTAGATGTTATTTGTTTTTTAATTGTGTTGTATGGTTAAATATCATTTAAAACATGTCCATGTCTTCCACATGAGAGATCTCTGTTTGCGAAAAGATTGGATAGCTCCACCCTTTAGAAATGGAAACTCACCTTGTCGCATACAACGCTACTAACCATCTGTCAGATTCAGATAAGGTGTGATTCTCTCCATTTATGTGAATTTATTCTATCGTATTTCATGATCATGACTTGATCGTTTTTAGTTGTTGTTTTGGTAAGTTGTGTAGCAACTGATCAGAGCATTAACTTTAGAGAGAAGGTCAGTTACAATGTTTTTCAAATATTTTCATACATTCTTCAACTTGTGCTAAACGTTCATGCTCATTCCAACCAAGTTCTTGTGCCATTAATTTTGATATTTTTGGAATACTTTCTATGGATGCTTGGGTATCAATAAAGTACAATCTAGTTCTACGTTCAATAATATCCATAATTTTCAAAGCATATTCATTTCGAATACTATAAATCACTATTGACAATGTTGAGAGAGTGAAATATTATTTTTTCATTTCCATAGAGAAGTATATATATTTGAATATCATTTCAATATTAAGGTGTCCTTTCAATGAAATATATACTTCACATACCTTCTGCTTCAATGTAAGGATATTGAGGATGAATTCTTGATGATAAATTCTCTTCAAGTGCAATCTTTTCAACAAGATATCCCTGATCACCATATGCTTGATTGATGTGTTGTGAAATGTCTCTTTCAAATTTCATGAATTGATGATAGGTAGAATTAAACTCAAGTGATCCATATAGAGAAAGAGTTCGAGTTGAGGATTTTAACTCGTGTGTGGATGATGATTTAAATTCTTTCAATTCTTGTACAATTCGATGCATGATATCGGATGCCATGGATCGATAGGTGGTCCATTTACCTCCAATAATTGTGTATAAACCACTTTTGAGAGCATGTTGTTGTTTGCATTTCACAAGTGTATGTACAACATTAGCAACAACAACATGAAAATACATGGTATTCAGTCAGTGTGTATGTATATGTTTCAAATAGGTTAAGCATTCCGTAAGTAGAGTATCCGTGTGTGTGTGTGTGTATACAATGGCACAATAAGGGTTAAAAAAATTAAATACAATCAAAAGTAAGGTTGAAAAAAATAAATAACAAGGGTTTACAAAAATAAATTAATACAATAACAAGGGTTTAAAAAAATAAATACAAAACCATTATGGCCAACCTACCTTGGAGAAGTATAAATGGCATGTTCTCTTGAAATGGATGCAGTCTGATCACCAATGGATGGAAATTGTGGTTTCTTCAATGGTCTTATTCCTGCCCATGCTGATTTCACATCACTTCTTCTCACTTGAACATTAAAATATTCATTGACATGATCCAACAAGTATTGAATATCTTCTTCACGAGGTGTTGGATGATTGGTTAAATAGGATGATGATTCATTAAATTTAGAATCTGTCGTTCCAACCAATGTCTTGTTTTGCCATGGTAATAAAAAGATGACTCTCTTGTCTTTTGTTTTTGAAATTAATAATCCTTCATGAGATGGACAAAATGTACCATTTAACACAATATGAATACCAACAGATGCTTGTAATACTTGTTGAGAATTCTCATCATCCATGAATCGAATATCATCTGCAAAATGTCCAGCAGCATTGATCACAACTCGAGATTTCACAGTATAGACTTGTTGTGTTAATTCATCTCTTACCATGACACCTTGGATGGAACGAGTCGTTGCTTGATTCTTTATATTATTATCTATATATTGAGAAGGATTCAATTCTTGATTCTTTATATTATTATTAATAATTTCATTATTATCTATATATTTAGAAGGATTCAATTCTTGATTCTTCTTTTCTTCATTCTCCCTCCAATCCTCATTATTGGAATGTAATAACTTGATAACTTTAAATCGATTCAATGCAACCACTTGATGTGAATGTATGGCAGTTTGAATCAATGCCAAATTCAATCGTGCATCATCAAATTGACCATCATGATACACCATGGCTCCTTTCAAATTATGTTTCTTAATCATTGGAAATAATTCAAGAGCACGTTCAGCACTCACAAAATAACTTGGTGCAACATGAAAAGATGATGTGGACATCCAATCATAGAGTTTCAATTGTATCATGGTTGGAATGAATTCACTCCATTCATAGATGGGTGTTATAATAGGTAGAGTATTCGTTAAATGAGGTGCTAAATGATTCAATATATAAAATCGTTCTTCGAGTGCTTCTCGAACAAGTTTGAATTGAGCGAGATCGAATTGATGGAATGCTTTTCGAAGATATCGAACTCCTCCATGTAATAATTTTGTCGATCTTGAACTCGTTCCACTCCCAAAGTCTTCCTTTTCAAAAAGTGCAACTTTGAGTGAATGAGAATGTGCAGCATCTAAGGCAATTCCACTTCCAACACATCCACCTCCAATGACAATGACATCAAAGATTGGTTTTTCCTCCACATTGATGGATGTTGAGTTGAATGTTGTGTTGGAATGAGACAATTGAGCAATGAGTTGAGATCGAGTTGGGAGTGAAGTGGAATAGATATGATAACCTTTACGTTCAACATTGGATGAATGATCATGGTGTGGATTTTTGTTGAAAGCATGGATATTTGTGGACCCATGATGATGGAATAGCAAGTCCAGTATCCATGATGGGGATGGTTGGCTCCATAAAGTGGTGATGGCACTCGTGGAGGATGTCATCCAAAGTATATAGGAGGATGGAGTATTGAACATGATAAAGGTCAGCATCATGGCCGACACGACCACCACCACCACCACTTGGATCGATGTAAAAAAACGAACGTATCGAAGAATACTTGACTGCATTTTTTATGTTTCAAATAATGTCAGTGTGAGGACCATTTAAGGAATTTTTTAGGTGGTCATCTCAAGTACTCAACTCTGACAGTCTGGACCTCTCTGAAAAAAATCAAGTTATTTATTAAAGGAAACAGCTGAGAATCGATCTTTCACAAAACATGCCGTATCAGACTGAATGAGGGTTGGTTGTTTAGAAGTACCGTGTGAAATAATAAAATTGCATGGATATTGAAGGCATGGCAAGTCAGAAGGAGAGGGAAGATATGCCTTATTTTCTGAAGAAATGTGCAACAAGTCATCCCATTTCAATAATCCATAGGGTACATTCTCATATCCAAGCACTTGTTTGGCTTTGTTGTTCCACAATAAGAGTCTTCCACCAAAATCCAGGGAATAAAAGGCAATACAAGTTCCACATAAGTCTAAGATTCCTTTGATGTACATTTCAGATGCTTCACTGAAATCTCCATTGTCATTAACAGAATTTACAGGATGGTGATTAGACGGTAACAAGCCGGTGGCACGATTCATATCTTGAATTTCATTAGAAATAGAATGATAACCAACAGGACATTTCGTGAATGGACTGTGTTGGGAGCTTCCAAACGTATTGTCAAGATTGAGGATGGTTTTCAAACTTGGAAGAGAAATGTTTGTAATGGAGGGAAGAGTCTCAAGCTGTGGAGGAGGTGTTGGTAATGGATCACTTTGTTCTTTTCTGAGAATAAGGAAAGGACATTTTGAAGTCCCAATAGAAATGTATAAACTTTCTAATTGTTCAATAGCCTCCTTATTTGTCTTACTTCTTGTGAAATCGTCTATGGATTTACCGTTTTCAATTTGCTTTAAACTGTAAATAATATATTCGTCAAGAAGAGCCCAGAACTGATAGTTAACGTCATCATCTGTCATTAACTTGTGAATAATGTATGCCTTTCCATCCGCAGCATTGGGCGATGGTTGAATTTCTGAAGTTGAAAGCCATTTTCGCAGAAGAGCAATTTTTGAGTCTCGTGTCGATTCCCCAATGTTTTTGTTGTCTACAATAGGATTTAATGGAGCAAGTCTCAAATGATTATCAAGAGGAGGTTGTTCCATAGTCATCTTTGTTCGTTTGAAAGCCATTGCTTCCGTTGGAGTAAAATTACCAAGATTTGCCGATGAGTGGTTAAATGGACAACGTTTAGATGTTTGAACAAGATCATTCTGAACAGAAATTTCAGAAATTGATGTTGGTAGAATTACTGGATGAGCATGTGGTAAAGATGAAACAACCATGGATGACCTATTTGTTGGTTGTTGTTGCTGTTGCTGATGAAAAGGACAGCCAGTAGCGCTTCTTGAAGTATGAAGGCTTTGTATGGGTTGAGTAGCAACCTTTGAGGTTGGTTGATGACCGCTAGGATGCCCTACAAAACTAGCAACTGGACAATGATGATAGGATGGAAGTGGATATATACTGGAAGAAGAGATGGTTGGTGGTGGATGAATAAAAGAGGTGGTGGCGTGATGAACGGCAGGCTTATTGTTGGCCAATACTCGCTTCCCCAAGTTGCTTGGAGCAATTGGTTTGTAATTAAAAGATGAAATAATAGGACCGTGATTGATAGCTGATACAGGCTTCTTATTGACTTGAGATGTTTTTGGTTGAATATGGATGTGAGGTGTTGTTTGATGAGGTGGTAGAATTAGAACGGATTGTTGTTGAGATTGAGTAGTGGCCGATGGCGTTGTTGTTGGCTGCACGAATTTTCGTTTACGTCCTCTCTTTTTGCTGGGTAAGTCGTAACATTCCAGTCCGAGTGATGTGCTGTTGTCTCGAATTCGTTAATAAACAAGAATATATTTCAAATCATCATCACTTACCATCTACAAGAAATTGATCTTCTGTGTTACTGTAATGATGAAAAAGCTTACCTTTTGCATGGTCTCTTATCTAAAATTCAATATTGAATTTTGTAGAATTATAATTGATGATTCATCATGATCCGAGTAACAATAGAGACAACAAACCTTCACAACAAGCATGACTTTTTTTGCAGTGCTCGCAAGCTTTTTTAGATATTGAACGTTTCTTTGTTTTATCATCACTGCTCGAGTCACAATCGTCATGTTCCTCTTCTTGTGTTGGTTGTGTGCTGTTGTTGCTGAGGGCAGTGGAATTTTCTGGATCGGTCATTTTTTGCTTCTTGATAATCTCCTGCCTGAGCATGTCTTTGAAAAAGCTTCGACACGGTAAATTTTGTTTTAAATCCATCCAGTTGTTTTTATTGAGGTCATGGATCTGAACATTTACAAGGGGTTATAGGAGTATCTTGTTCAAGATGTTGTTGTTATTGGACACCTGAAGGCCTCCAAATGAAAATTCCTCCCTCCTCTCCAACACTGCATATAAACCTTCCACAAGGACTGAACTTTACCTTAGTTACAGTATCGGCATGTCCAAATCCTTGTTGGATGACTTCTCCATGGTCGTAATGCCAAACATTTACCGATTTGTGCTTTCCTGCCGAAACAAAGTATTGGCCCTCAGGGTCAATGTCAAGCGTATTGATTTCATCGTCCTCCGCTTCTCTTAATTCTCTAATAGCTGTGCAGTCATAGGCATCCCAATAAGTGATCTGCTTGTCAGACCCACAAGTCAGCATCTGAGACTCATCGTTGAGGTAGCATATTTGTCTAAAGTACGTTTGGGCATAAATAATATTTGCTCTGACAAACTTATCTAAATTCCATACAATACATGTTCCGTCATCGCTGGCACTAATACACTCTGAATCATCCTTCTTGATTTGAATGGCATTTACAGTAGCTTTGTGTTCATTCATTGAGGCAACCAAAATTTGAGATGTTTTTGTTATTTGCCATACTCGGACTTGACCATCACTTCCTCCACTGACAATTCTTTCAGAGTCATGGCTCATGGCAATTGCAGTCACTCCTATCAGTCTTCCTGAAACCTTCTTTTGTCCCAAAATTTTATGAGCGTCATTGATAACGTATAAAAGCTTTCCGCTTTGGGGACCAAAGGCTCGAATTTTTCCATCACTCCAACCACTAATGATGGCATTTCCAGTGGGACTAAAGATGATACAATTACATTCAAGATTAGGAACTTGAATTCTCAATAGCTCTTTGGATTTTTGAATGTTCCAAACCCTAATGTCATTGACCGAACATGTGGCAATAATTTCGCTGGCTTCTCTTGGGTAGCATACATCGTTGATTCTGTGGTTGTGACAAGTTGCAATCAAGCTGGCTTCAAGCTTTCCTGAGCCTTTCATTGAATAAATGACGGATTGGTTTGTTCCACATATGAAAGAGTTATCACTTTCCTTGCAACAAATAGAGGTGACACCTCCCATTAACAGGGTTGAAGCAACTTTCAGTAAATTCTCCTTATTGACAACTGTTACGCTTCCATCACCACCTCCAACAAAAATTGATTTACCTGAAGGTGAAAAACACAAACTGAGAACCCCTTGCATGATTTTGTCTTTTGGTCCTAAAAATTTATAATTCTTTGGTCCCTTAAGTTGAACACAAAGAATATCTCCAGACGAACTTCCAACGTAGGCATGACTGTCATCTATATCAATTAAAAGACTCGTAAAAATTCTCTTGATTTGTCCTAAATTACAGTCAACAAAATCTAATCTCTTATTAACAAAATCAATGGTGTAGACTCTACAAATTTGTTTACCAGCCATCATAAAAGTGCTTCTGTCGTTATGGAAGAACTGAACACAAGTTCCGAGAGCAGTTGTGTTGGTACCACAAATTGGTTTACCACTCTGAACGTTCCATACAGTAATACAATTGTCATCCTTTCCTCCTACGCTGACAAGTAGTTCTTCGTCGTCGCTGAAGGCAAGACATTCTACTTTGGCATGATGCAAATTCAACCTGTGCATTAATTTTCGTCCTTCAAAGTCCCAAACAATGATATCTGCCTTGAATCCCATATGAGTAGATTGTCCTGTGGCAATATATTGACCGGATTTTGAAACTGCAATACAACTGATTGGACCTGAATGACCAGCTAAGAATTCATCTACACCCATGTTAGAGTACTCCTTAATGACAACGGTGGATCCCAATGGATAAATAATATGCTTTTGATTCGGATGCAGATGAAGCCCATCTGGAACTAACCCGTTAAACCCAATCACAGTGTCCAGATATAATTGAGATACTTGAGAGGAAGGCATGAGTTTGTGTTTTTGATTTTTTTTGTAAATTAAAGTTGGCGCCAACTTTTCCCCGCTCACTTTCCAACTGCCAACTTCAAATTTGAATGTGATGGAGAGAGTTGGAAACAAAAATGTCATCATTCCGAAATCATGATTCCACAACACGGAACAACACTGCAGCAGCTCTTCCGTCATCATCAACCCAGCCTTCTCTGAGTGAAAAATTGAGTCTAGTGAATGAATGGCTTACCTATGATTTACTTCAACAAGATATTCCTCCATTTGAAAAGAATGAAACGACGATCAATTTACTCTATCAATTAGTACTCTACAGTAGAAAGCAATCTCTTCAATCCAACACTCTGATGAATCATTACAAACAAAAAATTGTGGAATATCAATCGGAAAGAAATAGAATGGAATATCTTTTAAAGTCTTTGCATTTAAACAAAAGTGTTTTGGATCCTACCTTTCAAAAAGCACATCAGGTCATCCCCAATCAGACACACCACATGCTCTTACGAAATGACCGAATGCATGGGAGTGATGGTAGAGATGTTCATCATCCTCTTCATCATCGTGTGAGTAATATTTTTACAAACCAAAGGGAGCCTGAAATCATTCAGAACGATGAGCCTGAAACATCGACTCACCAACTTTCAAAGAAAGAAAATACTAGTCTCCATCAATTAGCTGAATTGGCATCTCTACTCAAACTCAACAAACCTTCACAATCATACTTGATGGATGCTCTCTATGATTTATCCAATGAACATTCTCAAACATTACAAGAATCACATGAATTGAAAATGATCATTCAAGATTTATCTAAAAAAACGATTGAGATCATTCAAAAGACACACTATCTCAATGAAATTTATCAACAATTTAATGAAGAAATTCAACAGCGAGAGGTTGAGGATAGTCTACAAGAACGGTTATCAACCATTGAGTACTTGAAAAGAAAATCTCAAGAATATCAAATTCAAATCACTCAATTGCAACAAGAACTTTCTGAATCTCTATTACTTGCAAATCATATGGATGTTTCTCAATCATTCTTAATAGACATGTACAACAAGATACAGAATTTAAAGAAAGAGATGACTCCTAAACTTGCGATCATTGAAAAGTATCATCACTTGCCACCCGATGTACATCAAGTCCAATTAAGAATTTCTCATGCCAAACAAGAATTGAAACAATTGGAAGATATTTTCAATAGAAAGGCTCAACATATTTGGTTTGATTAATATGAGAGAGTTGTTTCCGAGTGTGTACGGTGGTGGATCTTGTATACACTTTCTGTAGCATGAGTTGTGCGTTCCTCAGTATTATATTCCCTTACGAGATGGTCCAACGTTGCGGATCGTAAGAGTTGTTGGCGCCACTTTCGCAACAGAAAAAATTTCAATGGACAACAGTTGGGACCTTTCATCTCCTCAACAAGGAAGATATACCTTATCCACTCATATCAACCATGAAATAATACCACCTATTACGTCTTCAAAAACAATACCAAACCACAGAGTGGATAAGTTCCGAAACAAAAAACTTTCTGCTGAGGAAATCAAGCCTATTACAAGATCAGAATCGGCATCATCATTTGGAATATCTCTTAAAGTGGCAAATTACGGTAGAAATTCTGTACAATCATTTTCTTCATCAGGCAGTGTTGGTGCAACTTCCAAATCCTTCTCTTCATCCTCCGAAAAACGACCCAACACAGCACCAACACGACAACCAGTATATGAAAAGAAAGTTTCTTTTACTGAAGCACAGAGCGATGGTAGAAACCATAGCAGTACGAGTAGACCTACAACCACAACTTCAGCACAAAAAAAAGGAAGAAGAACACCAACAATCTCTCCCAACTTTGTAGACTATAAGAGATTTGTTAAACCTTTTTCTGAATCCAAATCAACAACCACTGCCTCTAGTAATAATACTCCTCAAGGACAATATGTATCTAATGGAACGATGAGTAGTGGAAAAATGAAAGCCCTTTCTGTGGAAATGGAAGTACATCTTTTGGAAAATATTGAACGATTGAAAGAAATAGAAGAGAATGAATTTGTTTTAAGACAACGATACAAACAATTATATTCTGATACATTTGACGAAATTATTAAAGTTTGTCCATTTGGAAAATTATTACGAGTAATTAAGGATGCCTATGACAAGGATGCACTCATTGCGGACAAGGCACAGTAAGTATGCAAATTCAAACTCAAATGATCATTTTGGTGTCAAGAGAAAAGCAACATTATGACGAGCTTGTGATATTATACACCAATGCACAAAATAACTTGTCACAAATTGAAAAGGAATTCAAATTATTACAAAAAGAAAATATTCAATTGAAGAGTGAACTCAAAAAACAAAAGAGTGATTGCCAAAGATACAAAACTGAGATTGAAAGACTTACACAATTACAAGCTGATATTGTATCCAATGTCAAACCAGAGTTGAGAAATTTATTGAACAAGAAAGAAAAGACACAAAACACTTCAAGGTCTTCAATACAAGGCTTAACCTCACTAAAACGAAATAACACATCACCCAAATCATTGAGACCAGAGACATCTGCTAAATCGAGATTATTCAATCAAGACAAGGAGTAAGTTATTGCATGATTAGAAATTTGCTGCATACATCATGTTTATAAATCCTAACACAATGAAAATATCACACACTACAGCACCATGGAGAGCGATACAAAAGAATTGAAAGAAAGAGATAGATTATTTGAACTTGAAAGTGAATTGACAAAAACCATTTTAAAAGAAAGAGAGTTGACGAGAGAAATTGCCCTGATCAACCTTGAGAGAGAAAAAGATGAAGTAAAACTTGTAGAAAAGAAAGAAGAGAAATCAGATAGCACATCACTCGAGTTCAACGAAGAAAACAACATGGATGGCTTTTCACAAGGAATTTCCAGACAATCATCCATGAACAATATGCAACCAACATCTCAAGGAGACCAAAAGGAAGGCTCGAGTATTACGAGCTCAATAGAAGACGAGGAAAGCTCTAGCTCATTGCGAGAAAAGCTCTTGCGAACGGCAAGACAACAACGATTGCAGGAGAGTGTGGCTCAAGATCTTGACTATACTGATCCATCTATTGCGAAGAAGCAAAATCATGGAGTGCCGCCCATTATTACATCCACTACCAGTGGAAACACGATCATCAGCATGAAAGACCTTAAAGAAAATCTCTCAACCAACACACAATCAATGGAGCCCATTAATTTAATGTTCCGTTCTGATTCGATGGACTCTTTTTCCTTGGATTATGAGGACATGTAAATCAGCATGGGAAATGCTTCAACTGTTTTGGGGAAACATTTCTCCAAATGCACAGCACAATCTCATACATCAATATGTTTTGATTTTAATACCTCACAGGTGAGAGATGGTTATTGCAAAATTCAGAAAGAGCATTGGTTATTCATAAGAATGAACTCATGTTATTGAGTATTTAACTCGACTTCGGTACAATCATGCAAATACACAAAATCTAATATCAAATATTTTGCATTGGGTGAAACGAGATTTGGATTTCTTCCTACTCGTCTCTTAAAATAGAAGCCTTCAACAAACCAATCAAAGACATCATCAACAAGAAATCCAAACTTGTCACAAAGTTCAAATAATGTATGAGGCTGAGGATGAGCAAACAACAACTTGGTATTCTTACAAATAGCTCTTGCTTCTGACACCTTATCAAAAAGAGAATAAAATTGAATTCTATCAGGTTCAGTCATGCTACATTGGATATTAATCGAAATTTTGTTACATATTCTGTCATTATATTCATCCGTATCCATGAATTGACTCTCTTCTCGAATCACATGAATTTGTAAATGTGTAATTGAAGTTTTGATATTTTCAATTCTTAATGAATGTCGTTGTTGATATAAATAAATATCCTTTTGACGTTCAAATAATGATTTTGGAATAAAATCAATCGTTGGTATTTCGTCTCTATAAATAATAAATTCTTTGTGAGTTGTAAAAATAGGTAAACTTAGATCCATAAGTGATGAGTAGGCTGCTGATGATGTTGAGGTCTTGTTCATTCGTTTAGAACTTCCATAAATTTGAGACATAATTTGTTGGGAAGTAGTAGTTCCAATATTTTTGAAATTGTTTTCCAATAATTTACACCATTCTCTTCTCTTTTCTGCTTGAGTTTGATCAAACTTAGGATTTGATTCCAATTGAACCTTAATCTTTGAACCATTTTCAATAGGTGTAAGTTTTACAATAATTTCATGATACACGTTTTCAGTGTCATCGGTGACAATAGCTGTTGATTCATCATCTCTATTTTCTGAAAAGCATGATGATTCTAAATATTGCTTTACATGATTCTTCTTTTTAAGTGTTATTGGTGGAATGGTAATTCTGTGACTTGTTGTTGGTTCCATTGTACTTTTCACTCTTGTTGAAGGAGCAGTAGATTCAGTGGTAGCAGTTTCAGTGGTTAAAAATCCATCTTCAGTGAATCCATGTCCTACATCCATCATGGTATCTAATGGTTTCGTTTGTGAAATGTCCACTTGAGGTGGTATAGTTTCATGATTCTCAAGAGTTATATTATTACTCTTGCTATCCCATTGACCTGGTGTTGATACGACATCAGTAGTACATGTGAACTCCTTCTTTTTGGGTATTTTCATTGATGATGTATCGGGTAGTTGTGTGGTAGCAGGTGCTGTGAGAGAGGATAGTGCTGTTGTTGTTGTTGTTGTTGTTGGATCCAACATGGTCGTAGGTAGTGGTGGTTGTAGTACTCCACTGGTAGAAGAATATGCAGCACTCGGGGTTGGTTCATTGTCGAGTTTGATTTTAATCTTGAATGGTTCTGCATTGTTAGTACTAGTTGTAGTAGTAGTACTAGTACTAATTGTCTTTTTCTTCTTTTTATCTTGACTCTCTTCATGTTTCTTTTTTTGACTCTTTTTCTTCTTTTTTTCTAGAGTCGTCTCTTCGTGTTTCGTTTTTTGTGATTCTTCAGTAGTCGATTTCTTCTTTTGAATGGTTGGTAAATCTTTTAGAGAGTGTAGTGGTGGTGGTGGTGGTGGTTGAATAGTATTGGTAGTAGTACTAGCTGTGGTCATATCACTCATAGTAGGAATATTGGTCATCATACTCGTATTTCCAATCATTTCTTGTTTTCTCGTATTTCCAATCATTTCTTGTTTTTTAGATGCAATTTTTGGAATATCTGGAAGATAGTTTTGACTAGTTCCTAAATAAGATTGAATATGATCATTAATAGTCTTTGTAGTGTCAACATTACCAGTTGTTGTATTAGTAATACTACTACTATTACTACTCGTACTACTACTATTATTATTATGACTGAGAGCACTAGTGTTGAGTAAAGGAACACTCATAGTAGTGTGACGAGTGCTAGTATTACTACTACTATTACTACTCGTACTCAATTTTAGAGTCATTTCTTCATCAGAGGAATCTGTTTCTTCATCATCTTTCATATTGGTTGACATTGGTCTTGCAATGTTGTTCAATGCATGTGGTTGTTGAAGAGAGATTGATGTTTCTACTGGTGTTCCTCCTTGTTGCTTTGATTTCATTTCTTTCTGAATACTACCACCACCAATTGTTGATTTTTCTTCATTCGTGCCACTGATGGTGATCAGTGAGGATTCAGTGCTCTTCTTCTTTGGAGACTTTTCTGCCATTTTATGGACTTGTTTCTTTGGAGTGTTGGTGGTAAGAGTGGTGGTATGAGTACTGGTGGTGGTACTGGTGGTGGTATTGGTCTGTACGGATGATGGTTGTGCCAATTCTTTCATGTCCTTATGACTAGTTGTTGTTTTAGCCTTCTTTTTTGAAACATCCAATTTAGTCGAGTCGAGAAGAGGAGGAGCAGAAGCAGTCGTACCAGTTGTGGTGGTGGTTGTGGATGTTTTTGTGGATGGTTTGACAGGAATAGTAGTAGTAGTAATACCACCACCACTCAATACACTACTTGGAGGAATAGTTGCAGTACCAGTCGAACCAGTACCAGTCGAACCAGTCGAACCAATACCACTACTACTACTACTACTACCCGTACGACGAGTGGTGGTGGTGTTCACTGAATCATCCATAGAAGAAGCAACAGTAGTAGTAGTAGAAGCACTTGTATGTTGTGATTGCAGTGATTGCAGTTGTGATTGCAGTTGTGATGGAACAGATCCTACACTCTCACTCTTGACAATCTCTTCAATCACAAGTGCTGTTTTCATCATTTGTTTCACTGCAGTACTATTCTTTGATGATGTTTCTCGTTTCACACACTCCACAACATGTTTAAAATCAAATAAAAAGGCATTTGAATTTCGATAAAATCCTTTCAATAATCGTTCCAAGAGAGTAGTGAATAGCATTGGATAGGGTGATTTGGTCAGATAGGGCAATGAACGATGGGATGGATGTTTCGTAAATTCACTCAATGTCAGTGTCAATTTCTTATTCACTGCATTGGAAATGTGTGGAAGAGTGGACATGAATGGAGTTTTTTCTTCAATATCTTTCAATTCCCAAACACTAATTTTATCCAATGCAGATTCTTCTGGCCATTGGACTTTGATGGCTTCATACATACATTTAGGTTCTTTCAATGAAATGGGTTCAATACTCGCGATGGTTCCATCATAGGTAACAAATTCTGAATGTTCAAAGAAATCTAATTTGACCACTTGTCCAATTTTGAGTGTTTTAAAGTAACGTGCAGCACATTGATAATGTTGTAATGTGATAATAAATGGTTTACAAAATGAACTTTCAATTACATCAATTTTAAAAGTATCACCAGTATGAAATGAACTATAAGATCCTTCCAAGACTTCCTCATTCATGATTGTCTTTTTTGTTAGAGTAAGAGTAAATAATGTAATTCGAATATTCTCTTTAAGTACAATACTCTTAAATTCTACTTGAGAAACGGTACAATTAATCGATGGAGGAAATTGATCAACATTTGGAATGTTTTCAAAAACAGGAATGATAAAAGTCAAAGTAGAAATATCTTCTTTGATTTGTTCCATATAAGCCTTGTATCCTTCTCTAATAAAAACAACATCATCATTGAGTTGAGGAGCATAGAATAAGAGTGGACGATACGAGGTTTCGCTATGTAATGATTGATTATTAGCGTAAAGAGTTAACGAATGTTCCGATTCAGTATCAAGGTTGACTTTACGAACAATGGTATTTCCGTTTTTAATCTCTCCGATGGTGTTGGATGATGATCGGGTTGTTTTCTTTTTTTTTGTTTCTCTAGAGGAGGGTTGTTTTGGCATGACTCTGATGTTGTTGTTGGTTGAATGATGATCGTCGTCATCGAACGAGGAATCACTTTCGTCGGTGGCAGAGTCATCCTCACGAATCGTAGAAGGGTTTTGCTTTCGTTTCATTTTTTTTTGAATTATTAAAATTTAATTTTAAGAGGTTCAATTTACACCATCTCACCCAGAATTTTTGATCAAATCATTTTTTTATAAAATGGTGTTCAATTCATCTGATTTGATCTCTTTCTTCTCTTTTAATTGCAATAACTTGAATCGAGATTGTTGAACTTGCTCTGTCAATTGTTTCAACTCATCCAATGATTGTGAAAAATATTTCTCTAATTGTTGAACACTTGTTTGAGAGGCAAGAATAACACTCTTCTTTGTTTCATCATCCTTCACTTGATTCATGACGAGTGTAAAAGATGATGTTTCTGGGGGCGTCGTGGTAGGTTTGTTTTCTTCATCATGATGTACAACAGTATCCCCCAACATGGTATGAGTCTCTTCTCGAGTCGTAGTAGAAGTAATAACTGTAGGAGTAGTAGTAGTAGACGTAGAAATAAAAGTAGAAGTAGTATTATTAGTGCTATTATTATTACCACTATTACTACTACTACTAGTGAGTGACTTGTATTTCAAATTTTGAGTAGAGGATGATGTACTTATTAAATTCTCAATTTTTACATGAATAGGATTTGATAATACTATTGGTAATAAATTGGATTGTAATTCTTCAAATGTTTTACAATAATTTACAGTTCTAAAAACATAACAATGTTCAATGGTAGTATTTGTTGACATGTGATCAGTGTCAATATTCTCAGAATTTAATAACAACATGGATTGATTAGAAATCATTCTTTCTGTAAATAATGCAAAGATCATTCCAACATCGACTCTTTGAACAATATTATTTAAAATATAATAAAGTATATTCATTTCATTCAATGTAATACTATTTAAACTAGTGTTATATCTATACTTGAAATATCCAATGATTGTATATTTAGATTCATCAATTTTAATATTTGCAGAGAGTTCCTCCACTGCATCCGTCACGGAAGGAAAAATAATAAAATTTGTGATTGGCCATGTCGATCCAGAGATGGAAAGATCGAATGACCTAGGCCCCAATAACAATCCATGAACATCACTTGGAGATTCTAAAATAGATTTGAATAAATTTGCGAGAGTGAATCGATGAATTGAAATTTGAGAAGGATGATGATGCAGATGGGTGAATGGCTGTGATAAAATCATTTTTTTTTGAAAGGATTTTCATGAAAAGCAAGGGTTTTCATTTGATGCGAAGCAATGCAATGTACATTGTGCAGCTGTCCAAATCAAGACACATTTGATAACAACTATTTTGAAATGTTCAACCATTGCAACCCTTGTTGGAGATGCTGCACATTACTTTTTATTTCTCTGAAGCAATTCTTGAAGTTGGTGTTGCAGTTTAAATTCTTCTTTTTCTTTTTGAGAGAGAAATCTCCATCTCTGCAACTCAAGTTCTTGTTCCTTAAATTCATGAAACTCTCGATGCTGTTTATCGTATTCTAGAAATAAATCCTTTGAAATAATCTTGTCTTTAAATGATTGATCTGCTTTCTTGGCCTTGATAATATCCAGCTGTCCTTTGTAACTAGAAAAGGTGGTAATTCTATGGTCAGGTACACTTGCATTATGAAATATAAAAAACTTACAAATTGGTGAGTGAATCTTTTCGATCTTGTAGTTTACATTTCATTTCTTTTTCCTTTTTCTTGAGCTGAGCAACCATTTGAATTAAATGGTCCTTCTCAATTCGTTGACTCTGAGAAAGAAACTCTCTCAATAGTTGTTCCTCACGAGCTTGAGCACGAATCATTGAGCCTTTAATAAAAGCTTCATGTTCTCTGGACAGCTTATCTCTTTGTAATTGAAATTGTCGTTTTCGATGTTTGAGAGTATGTTCAACATCCATTGCGTTTCCCAAACTGAATTTGGAATTCAGGCTCTTTGATGTCTTTGATTTCTTCTCATAATTCTCATCATCAAGGTGTGGCACATAAGGATGAACTCTTTGATTTTCTAACTGAATCAGCCAATCTAATAACTTGATCAATTCAAAGGTGTCTCTTTCCAATAATTTCCTTTCATCGACGTTCCTCAAAATAAAAGAATGTTTAAATCGTTTCCTTAAATAACTCATTAATTCGAAGAGATTATATTGATTTTGAGAGAATGTCAATTTCTTCTCTCGGATGAATTTTGGATATTCTTCTGGATTGGTGAGAGGATTATCTTTTGAAATAGCCTCATACAATATGATCAGTAGAGAAGGTGAGCATTCAGAGAGATGAGATATTCTCTTTGAAACGTTGTTGGTGTACTTGCTGAGCCATTGATTGACAAGTTGAGGATAGTAGATGTTTGGATCTTGATCCGTTGGGGGATATATGGTACTTTGAGAGTGAACATGTTCGCCAAACCTCACCGTTGTGGATGGTGCGTGCTCACTTGCCGTTGCCATTTATTTACAATTTTTTTAAAAGGCAAAACAAACGGTTGAAAAGGGCGGTTGGGAAAAGGCTGATGATGGGTCCTAGAAACATCTCATGGCAACTTCTTGGATTCCAAAACAATAAAAAAATATCATCATTTCCCCACACTCCAAGACGCACACGACTAATGGCCACTCCTCACCATCACTCCTCATCTCCCGTCATGACTCTATCGGAAGAAGAAATTGCTGACATTCCCGAACCAACAACAACAACAAGTCATACCACTCAGTCTTTATTCAATCCTTCTCTGGATCGATATCCATATTGTATTGTATGGACTCCAATTCCTCTCATCACATGGCTACTTCCATTTATAGGTCATATGGGTATTGCTACTTCACAAGGTGTTATTCATGATTTTGCAGGTCCATATTACATTAGTGTTGATGATTTTGCTTTTGGTAAACCTACTCGATATCTTGCTCTTGAATCAAATTTAAATTCAGAACAATTATCAAGATTTGATTCAGTGATTAAGAATGGAGCGAAATGTTATCGATCCAAAATGTATAATTTCTTTTGTCAAAATTGTCATCATTATACTGTACATTGTTTAAATGATTTGAAATTTAGAAGAAATAGAAATATTGGTATTGTTGAAATAGCCTTTTTAATGTTTATTTATGGAAAGTATGTGAATGGACCTGTTGGATTTCTCAAAACATGGCTACCCTTTTTCATTGTGTTTGGATTGGTAGGTGTCATGATTTGTATCATTGTGGTCATTACAATACTGACGGTGTGATGTGTGTGTAATGTATATGTAATATGTTTGTGCAATATATCTATTGGTGTGTGTAATCTATTGGTGTGTGTAATCTATTGGTGTGTGTAATATGTGCATGATGAATAATCGATACATGATTTAGATATTATTCATCTTTTTAAAATTGACTCGATTATTTTAATTCTCTCAACCTCACTCAGGTTTCATACCATCAATACCACTCTTACCCATACCATCAATGCCAATACCACCCTTCTCACCCATACCCATACCCATACCAATACCACTCACACCCACTCGTTGATGATCATCCAATACCACTCTCACCCATACCCATACCAATAACACTCCCACTCGTTAACAAGTATTGTTGAGTTTTTTTCACAGGTTGAGAATGATAAAATACACCTCCAAACACATACATTCCAATCTTTCCACTCACTTCAATTCCAATATAAATATTACGAGCAAATAAATCTAATAATTGAATAAAATTAGGATTATTTCCAATATATATCTTAGAAGAAAATGAAATGGGTTGTGAAGTGGAAAGTGAATCAATCATGGTGATGTTTTGAAAAGTAAATGAAAGAGGTGTTTCAATATCATAATAAACACTCTTTTGACTATCAAATAATTTAATATTTAACAAGATTGAATAAATATCAATGGATAATATACTTGGATTATTAGCATTAAGAATGATATTAAATCCTACAGTTCGATCTATAATTGGTAATTGATTAATTTGTATTTGATTAATATAGACATAGGGTTGAGAAAATAATAAATTATATAATAATAAAATTGAAAATGATATTGACATCATAATCACAACGGTACTTGTTAAACAAAATGACCATTTCCATTTCCGAATTGATGTGACTTGTGAAAGTAATAATTGAGTTTGATTACTATTTGAATGAAGATTGTTGTGATTTAAATGTTGTCCAGAGTTGAGAGCATGTTGTTGTTGTTGTGAAGATGGAGCAAAGAGAGGTCCACAATGATCATCATCCAGAAGTGTCGTAATATTCAATGAATGACTGGGATGAGAGGTTTGATGTGAAGGATGATAATGAAAATGATTCGTAGTGGTAGTAGTGGCGGTGGTATGAGTAGTGGTTGTATGGTTGTTGTTGGTATGATTGGTGGTGGTGGTCATTGGATGATGATTATTGTTTGGATGATGTGAATATGAATTCATAGAATGAGACTTGATCAGAAGACAAGAGGTTTCATCCATAACTGTATTCGGTTGATTCGGTTGATTCGGTTGTTGAAGGAATACGCCTTGACTTTTCGTGCTGGGTAGTGAAGATGATGAGGATAATGATGAAGATATGGAATTCATCATGGATGGATGGTGGTGTGATGATGATGGATGTGATGGATCATCCACCACTGTACTATTTCTTCGATTCGTGATGATGGAAGAGAATTCTCTTGAGAGAGGTATTTGATGGTGTTGTTGATGTTGAGAAGAAGATGAAAGGAAAAGAAAATCTTCATCATCATCCATTTGATGCAATGTATTTGAAACATTCATCATGTTGTTGGATGATGATGATGGTTGGACAAGGGATGTATGTTGTTGATTCATGTGGTTAGGATGCCACTCCGATCTTTCATAATTTTTTAAAATAAAAAAAAACAATTAAAAAATCTTTTCACTTGGATCCAAGCTTGAACCCATAATATTTATCGCATCCAAGAAATCTCTCATCACAAGAGAATCTCGATTTCTACCACATGATGATTAAAAAAGCTTATGCAATTTCACTGAGTAATATAAGAAAGTATTGATTCATTATATTATACAGATACGGTTGCTAGATTTTTATCATCTTTCCGAGAGAGAGACGAGTGTGTGTGTATATCATGAGAGGACCACGACGACGACGACAACATGTTTCATCAAGTCAAGTCATCCTCTCCTTTCATCATTTCACGACAACATCATGGTAGTACTGTTCACAAGCAGTTTCTATTATGTCAATACTTGAATCATTTAAATACTCTCATTCAATATTGTTCTACCATTCGTGGTGACGTTGATCATTCTTTGATGCTCTCATCATCATCAAAACAACAACATGACACAATGACTTCATCATCACAACAACAACAACAACAACACACTGAACCAATTCTTCTCCGTGTGTATATTGAATCATCCAATCACTTGGTCAACTGGAGTGGAGATTTTGAAAGTATTGATTCTCATTTGAATATTGAATTGAGAAATGTTCGAACATTGAATTCATCATCAAATTCATTCAATAATAATATAAAAAGAAGACCCAATAATGTCTCTTCATTGGATCGAATGGCCACCTTCAGCACATCATCAACTACTGAATTCTCTCATTTGAGATTGAGTGGAAAATTCATCAAATACATTGCAGTGATGAATATTGAAGAAATTATTTCACATCTCAATACACATAGCATGTTTGAATCGATCATGGTCAATAATGGTAGCCATGTGGAATGTTGTCAAGTGAGACATGTTTTCAATAGAAAGGTACGTTTCAATAGAGACGAGTCGTGTCTTAATTATTTCAGCAACAACTACAAAATTACTACTCAGCTCAATCCAAACGAAAAAAGAGAAGTGCTTCTCAAAGGCCATCAAGGAAAGTGATTGAGTCGGACCTGCCCATCGTTCGAGATTTTTAGAAAGAAAAAAAAAATTGTGTGTTTGTGGCTATTGGAGAGTGAAGCTTTACTTCTCAGAGAAATGAAGACCGTGATCCAACGCTCTTGTGGAGCCTTCAACTACAGTTGTACCAACACCATCAAACTTCTTTCAATGAATCAAAAGATGAACACTACCAATCATCATCAGCACCCCATTCAATCGTTATTATTCAATCATCATCACTGTTCCGAGTTTTCAATGTCTCTCCGAACCAATCATGCCATCATACCATCAGATAGTTCATTGATGGATACACCTTCATCCACAACAACACCAACAGCCATGAACATCCAAACCACTTCAAGTATTGATCCCAATGAAGTCAACAAATTCTCACTTCTTGCCAGAATGAATGAATGGTGGAATCCTAATGGCTCTCTCAAAACTCTTCATCATATTAATCCAGCTCGAATGGAATACATTCGATCACGAGTAGTGAATCATTTCAATTTACTACACGATGATTATAAGCCTTTTAAAGGTCTCACGTTTTTAGATGTTGGATGTGGAGGTGGATTGGTGAGTGAATGTTTGGCTCGCTTGGGTGCATCGTCTGTGATTGGATTGGACGCATCAAGTGATAATATTATGATTGCCAAAGAACATGGAAAGTCTATTGAGAATTTGGAATATATTCACTCGACTGTTGAGGGTTTAATTTACAAAATGACGACATTGCACAACACTAGTCTCAATCATTCAACCATGTGCAGTAATACTCAAAACCACACTAGTGGAACTAGTGTATATACTCACACTTCATTCGATTGCATTGTATGTCTTGAAGTGATTGAACATGTGGCTCATGCTGAATCATTCATACAATCTCTTTCTCAATTATTGAAACCAAATGGATTGTTAATTATGAGCACAATGAATAGAACTCCCAAGTCCTATCTTCAGACTATTGTAATGGCAGAATATTTGCTAGGAATTGTACCTCGTGGTACTCATGATTGGAGAAAATATGTGACTCCCCAAGAAATGTGCATTTTTATGAAGAAGGCGAATATTGAGCTTGTAGATGTTGAAAGTATGGAATACAATCCATTCACACATAGAACTACTATTGGTGGTGATGGCAATGTTGATGTGAATTACTTTGTAGTGGGACGTAAAAGACCTTAAGATAAAACCGTTGATCTCGGTGATGGAAATTTCGTTTGCCGCTTCAACTTTTTACAAAAAAAATGAAGCTCTCCAACAAACCTCTTTCCGCATCAAATGCCAACAACATTGCTGCTTCATTCCAATACGAAGCGACCATGGCCTCGGTGGATGATGAGAACGCTCTTTATGAAATGATGACCAAAGGCTCTCTCTGCAAACGAAAAGACTTTCTGGATAAGGAAGATGAAGCAAAGAGTCATCCTCATAGGACTTTCTATTACCGAAAGAATGTAAATTTGGATAAGGTGATTGAGTCTTGCACAAACAAGGTTTGTATTCTTGGAATACTGCAGTGTTATGGATTCAATTTCATTTGTTAGCTCATTGCGGACCCATCAAATGTTAAGGCTTTACATGCTCGTGCTCAATCCTATGCAAAGAAGGAAGAGTTCGAGAAGGCCATTCAAGACTTTACATCAATTATTCAAATACTCGGAACGTCATCCCCAAGCGGAGCTAACAGCGTAAATTCATCGTTTAATACAAGCAAAGTGAGCAGTACTTCATTCCTTATGGGTCCAACGAACTCTTCCCTTGTAAATGCTTACTTTAATAGAGGCCAATGTCATGAAAAATTAGATCAACTGGAAAAGGCTCTTGAAGACTATTCTATGGTATTGAAAATTGATCCCAATCATGTCAATGCAGGTTATAGCAAGGCTGCTTGTCAAAACAGAAGAGGAAATTTTCAAGCTGCCATTCTTGATTATGAATTTGCGTTAGAAAGGGATCAAGAAAAAAGCCAAATCAATGCTTCTCCAAAACGAAGGAGAAGAGTTCCTCGTTATATCGCAGAGGGGCACAATACCTTCGAAGAGTATATGAAGAAAAAGGAAGAAACAGTGAAAGCCAATATCATGAAAGATTATTCCAAAGACGCTCTTTCTTCATTGGAAAAGTCCACTAACAATTCTCAAATAATGAACAATAGTGGTATGAGCGATATATCTATCAGCAACGGTGTTAAGAGTTTACAACTTGGAGATCAACCATCATCTGTAACCAAATATCAACCACAACTGACTATCAAGATTGGGTCCAAACCATCTGATCAAAATCTTGAAGAGATTTCTCCTCAGGTTGTCCCAATATCACCAGCTATGAGCTTTAGACCTAGATCACATTCCAATTCACAAAATTCTTTACGTTCATCCACATCAAACGTGTCCCCAACATTTGAAGATGAAAATAATTATGACATGAATTATGAGTTCAATTCCAACGAAGGTACTGGTAATGCTCAAGATGATGATGCTAGCGTGAAGAATGCTGACTTTTATCATTCTAGAGGCTTCTCACATAGAAAGAAGGGAGATTTCCTTTCTGCTATTAGGGACTACACAAAGGCCATTGAACTCAATCCAAAACACTTTAAGGCTTATTTTAATAGAGGTTTCTCATACGACAAGCTTGGTCAATATCAAAAGGCGATTGAAAATTACACAATGGCGTTGAGCATTGAACCAAGAAACTCGTATACGTATTATAATCGAGGAATTTCTTATGATAGACTTCAACAGTACAACAAGGCTATTGAAAATTTCACCAAAGCCATAGAAATTGATCCATCCAATGCTGATTTTTTCCATAATCGAGGATTTTCCTATCGTAAGCTTGGACATTTTGATAATGCCATTCAAGATTATTCCAAGGCGATTCAAATCAATCCAAAACACTTCAAAGCTTTTTACAATAGAGCATTTTGCTATGATAAAATTGCAAATTTTCAAAAGGCAATTGAGGATTATACCATGGCAATATCTATTGATCCAAAGAATATTAATGCTTATCATAACCGAGGAAGTAGTTATGAGAAAGCAGAACTGTATGAAGAGGCTATCAGTGATTGGTCCACCGCCATCAAATTAGATCCAAACAATGTACCATCTTTCATTTCAAGAGGTCTATTGCTCGATCGTTTGGGAAGGCCCGAAGAGGCCATTCAAGATTTTACGACAGTCATTTCTATTGAGAGCAATCCAAGCGCATCCATGTACATTAATAGAGCTAGTGCTTTTAAGAATATGGGACAATACGATAAGGCTATTCTCGACTATACCAAAGCCATTGAACTCAATCCAAATAATACTCAAGTGTACATTGATAGAGGATTTTCCTATCGTAAACTTGGAAAGTATGATGAAGCCATTAAGGACTATACAACAACATTGCAATTTGAGCCTGATAATATTAAAACGCTCAATAACAGAGGTTATTCGTATGCCAAACGATCGCAATACGAGTTAGCCATTACTGATTATGATAGAGTCATTAAGATTGATCCAAAGAACGTTCATGCCTATCACAATAGAGGTATTTCATATGAAAAACTCAAGAATTATTCTCGTTCCATTCAAGATTTTACAAAGGTCATTGAGTTGGATCCCCAAAATGCAAATGCTTATTTCAATCGAGGAAGTGCCTATGATTCTATGGGAGATTTTGATAATGCCATTCAGGACTATACAAAGGCATTAGAATTGGAGAATCAAGCAGCAAGTAATCAACAACCTCAACCAGTGAATGAATGAATACATGTATTGTTGTACACTACATGAATTTTGTAATGATGTGATCGATGGAGGAGGAAATAAATGTTCTTTTGTATAACAAGTCGTGCGCCCAACATGGTTTCAAGTGTGTGTGAGTGTGTATACACCGGTTCCCAGCACTTAGTTGTATGAAAAGGCGGTTGAGAGCAACAACTCTCAAGAAAATGTCTCAATCTTTACCTTCCTCTTCAGCATCAAGTCGTAGACCTATCGGAATGATGACTCCAACAACGTCAGCATACCATACCAGCAACCACACCTCTCCAACAGCAACGTCCTTACATGATACGAGACCATCCAGTAGCAGTAGTGCATGTACGAGATCGTTCAGTGGGCATAACCCTCATCATTCTCATCATCAACATTCAACAAGTACATCCTTCGCATCATTCTTTCATCATGAAGGTGAAGAATATTTGAAACGATATCAGGTGCATTTCTACTTGAATGATGTTCTCTCTCAATTACTGTTCCTTCGAGAGGAAGATCCAATGCAATATTTGGCACAATAGTAAGTAGTTTTGAAACAAGTGTATGGTAAGAACATTTCAAACACAATATAGTTTCAGATCTGTAGTGAGTGGAACGAATATTATTCATAAATCCTTTTCATACATTTTTGCAAATCCAAGAAATCGATTGAGCTTTGCAGATTATTTCGAACAAATTTATTCAAAAATTAGTAATGAACAAAGTAGGTGAAAATTTGAATTGACATTCAATGACAACATTAATGAAACACAATATAACGATGGTCTCTATGGTTCTTTTGGGATATGTGTCTATCAATGGAATCTTTAAGAAATGAATTTTTCAGAATATTATCAATTAACCACATTATTATGTGAAGATTTTCCTGAGAATATAATGACTAGTATTTATAAAAGTGTCATCATGTATCCAACACTCATGAAACACAAAGAAATATTTAAAGATTTTTCTGAAGATGTAACGAAACATCCTACCATTCTCTCTTTCTATCAATCCATTGATGAATCGATCGAGTTGTGTGAAGAAAAGAAAATGATTGAATTACCTCCATTTCAAACATTTATTGTTGCCATGAGAGTGTATTTATTTTTTTATGAATTTTTTGAACAGGTATTGGAAAATGTTTTTGAGAATTCTTATTCGACTCTGATTTCAAGTGGAGTTTTGAAAAAGATGGTACATCCAATCCTAACAATGAAATCTACACAATGTGTTCCATCCATGCAAGTATTTGATATTCTAGTAGAGAAGAGCATTCAGTTGAGAAGAAATTTAGTGAATTCTTCTTCAAACTTGGGAATTCCTGCTCCAAAGCTATCGTTCTGTGAATTGTGTGAAGCTTTTTATCAGCATGTCGTTGAAGTGAGTACAAACACTGCGTCAAGTATTAGCACACAAACTTCCACTGCTTCTACAACCATCAATGCAGATGTACTATCCTTGATGGATTCTTCACAATTACCAATTTCGGTGAGTTGTGCTGAAAGACAAAAATTGAGGTTGAGAAAGGAAATTCTCAAAGTTTATTCGGGTGTGAAAGAGAATAATATTGTTACGTCCAATAAATAACATTGAATACGTTCTAGTTTCTCAACATGGTTCATATCAATTTCTTGCTTAAAATTTAATTGAGCTAACCTTTTTTATGATCACTTGTCGTAGACAAGTCTGAATGTTCGTAATATATTTCAGTTTTTGGATGATTAGAATGAATAATATCTAACAATTTATTTATATGATATGTTCGTCCCAGAGCTATCATCCATTCAATGGTTTCTCAAAGCAATTTGAGTTTTTTCATCACATTCTAGCATCCATTTCTCAGGACAACTGTACATCGTAAAGGTTGATACTCCATCTCCAAAGAAGAGGCATGGTAAATTTGTTGTTAACTTTAGCTGTTCTTTTTAATAACTTGGGGTTTTCTATAATTTGATACTGTTAGAACAGTGATTGCTTTGTGCTTACGGTTTATTACACAATGCTTACATTTTTCTGATGTTTCTGCCCTCCTAGTGAATAAAATGTTGTTTCGCATATTTAACTTGATATATTTCTGGATACATAAATATGAAGTGTACAACATGTAATAATCACAGCCTCGATTAGCATGTAAAATATAACCAAAGTGTTATATACATATCATTACATCTTGTATCAACTAACAAGATTACAATAGGTGAACACTTTGTTGAATAAGAGCAGTATAATCATAATCAACTTATAATAACTGAATTACATATCTAATGTTTTCTGTTTACACTTTGATGCATTCCACAAGAAATTAATTATATGTTCGTTAAGAAATTGTTCGCTCAATTACATATCCTTATTATTAATGCAAGGTTCTCAAGAACCATTTAACAAGATTAGGTTACAGGAAGTGAAGGACCAAGCTCGACAATGATATCGTTATCTCTGAACCTTATTTAAATGGTTTAAAATGTTATGCTTGTTATACAAACAGTTAACCTAATTCTATGCAAAAGCATTGACTAGGTTATACCTAACATTTAAGGTTACCTTCTGATTTTAGAGATTACCGAGGCCATGTACCAAGGAGATTCAACCATTTTTGTCCATCCTATTCCAAACGAAACTGTGTTTATCTTATAAATTTTTGTTAAACAACAATCATTTTGTGGTAGACAAATTGTCATCAATTCGTTCTTGGATATTGCTCCAAGTGAATTTCCAAAAAGCATCCAAATTGTTCTTTATGGAAAGAGCAAAGGTAGTCTGTTATGTAACTTCAAACAATAATAGATTAATACCAATGGGTTAGTTGCTGTCTCCTCTCCAGGAAGTGTCGCTTCTTTGGAGATGGAGTGTCAACCAACAACCTTTATTGTTGTACAGTTGTCCCGAGAAATGGATACTAGAATGTGATGAAAAAACTCAAATTGCTCTGAGAAAAACCACATTGAATGGATAATAGCGAGTGCCAATTTCTGAGCAAATTTTTTGGAAACATTATTGTCCTTTTGGATATCCTTAGTAAGATTGGATACCAAATTGCGGTGGGCCAGATAGGAGCGATAAATGTTGCCTTTACTTTGCTCCGAATAACATGAAGCAAGGACTGAGACATCAGCCCAAGAGGGGGAGCACAATAACTTCTTTGATCCTCGGAAGCGTCCCACAGTTCCATAAGAGCGTCGTTTTCCTTCGTAAAGGAGTTGAATATAGTCGTATGTGAATTCTTGGGACTTGCGAAGCGATCGACGACGTGGTGGCCAAAGTTCTTCTCCACGAGATTGAAAAGTTCTGGAGAGGTTTCCCATTGGCCGAGTCTTGACAACTGATCGGCGATTTGATTTCTTTCTGACGGAATGTAGGAAACCTTGGGAATTGACCATTTTTGTTTCAGTAGGAGAGTCCAAATTGCTCTTGCAATGTTCGCCAAGTGAGGGACTCGACCATAACCCTTGCGTATGTAATGAAGAGCTGTCATGTTGTCGATTCGAAGATGGAACTGAGTCCCTGGTGGATACGCATGACGAGTCATGGCAGTCTGAAAGAACATGAGGACTGCTTTCAATTCTAGACTGTTGATGTGGTGAGTTTTCATGTCTTCGTTCCACGTTCCTGAGAGAGTGAGCTCTTTTGAATGGGCTCCATAACCGAGTGGACTTGCGTCTGTGTTGACGGCCACTAGATTCCATTCCATTTCGAAGAGTGTTCCTTTGTTCTCCTGAATTAGAGACAGTAATTGAGTCAGATCTTTCATTGCTCCTCTCATGATTAGCATCGAGTGATTCCATCCGTTTTGAAGGACTACACTCATCATGTTGGTTCGAAGACGACAAAGGAACACTGGGATGGCTGGGAGAGCAATCGAAAGGAATTGAAGTTTGCCAATCACTTGGGAGATCCATTTTAGTGAGAGATGGGATCTTTGGTGGTATGCTGTTTGTATTTTGGTGATGGATTGGATTGCAATCAGTTGTTTGTCCTCCGGAATTTTGAACAATCCTTGTTGGAAATCCAAATGAATTCCCAGAAATGTGATTTGTTGAGTCGGTATCAGTACACATTTCTTCCTTGATTAGGAAGCCTAACCATTTTAAGTCTTGAATGACTCTTGAGGTAATTTCCATACATTCTTCTTGAGAACATCCGAGCACCAAAATGTCGTCGATGTAGATAAAGATGATCATTCCTTCTGAACGCCACTTTTTGGCAACTTGTTTCATCACCTTTGTGAAGATCCATGGTGCTTGATTGAGTCCGAATGGAAGGACTGTATATTGGAATATTTGTCCTTTCCAAATGAACCCTAACAACCTTCTTGAACTTGGATGGATGGGGATATGAAAATAGCCTTCTGCGAGGTCTATTTTGGTTGCCCAAAACCCTTTCTTCAAGAATTTCGCCACCGCCTCGAGTGTTTCCATCTTGAAGTGATCGGTTTCCACTCCAAGATTGACCTTCCTCAAGTCCGTTATTTGTCGGTACTCTCCACTCTTCTTGGGTACCAAATGGACTGCGTTGAGGATGGTGGTTGAGTCTCCTTCTTCGAGGTGGCCATTGCTGGTCATTACTGCAATCTTGTGGTCGAACCATTCGACCTCCTCCTTCTTGCGAATTGTGTTTCCACCAAATTCTTGCCATTTCTGGGGGTCGCTTTCGATGATAAAGCCTTCTCGCAATGATTGAACGATATGAGGTGAAGCACCCCATTCTGCCCAACGATCGGCGAAGTATTGCAAGCGGCCCCCTTTCAAGTCAGAATTTTCGACTGGATTTGTTGTTGTTATTGAAGTTGGAGGTGTAATTGTTGTTGTTGTTGTTGTTGTTGTTATTGTTGAAGGTGGACTTTTGAAAGTCTTCGTGATGGTCATTGTTGTTATTGCCGTATCTGAAATTTCGATTGTTTCTCTTGTAGTAGTTGTTGTTTCTCATCTTGGTAGGCTTGGAGATGGACTTGTTAGAGACTTCTTTGTGTAGCTTGTTTGTGAGAATTCTTTCTGATTCCTTCTTGATTATTGGGGAAAGAAGGTCATAGTTGGATGAAGGAGTGATCATTCGACGTGAAACATTCTCCATGGTTTCAAAGTTGGTGTCTAATCCACCTGTGATCACAGTGTTCATAAAAATAGATAGCATTGAAATGAGTTCATTCACTTCGATATTCTCTCCTGTGTGAATGTTGGAGGTTACATGACGAGAAAGCTTACAAATGATGTTGTTGATTTGAATGATAATAGGTAAACTTTTTGATACAATTCTCTTATCGTTCTCGTTGAGGAGCTCACTGATATGTTGTTCTTTCAAAATATAATTATATTTTGAGAGTAGTGCTTTCATTCGTGTTTGAAAGCTTTTACTGGAGGAGTGTTCCAAATCCTTCAATCTCTCTGCTCTGAAGAGTTCTTCAATTTCAATAGGATCTTTTGACCGAAGGTTCTTAATTCCTTTCTTCTTCAAATACATTCGCACATCTTCGATATCACCAAGATCTATTTCTTGAAAGTTTGGAAGGTTATCTTTGGGAGTAGTACCACTGGTAACACGATCAGATTCTTCAACGAATTCATCTTCATCAGTAGTAGAGTCTTCGTCGCGAGAGGAGTGTTGTGAGGAATCTCTAAAAGGACCTGGTTTCTTATGATAGACGACTTTGTTATCATCGTCATCATTTCTTGAATTGGTTTTTGCTTGAGCTTCTGCAGCATGTTGAGCACTACTACCAACGTTGGAGGAAGCAGCAGTAGGTGTCAATGAATGAACAATTTCAGAAAGTTTATTCATCATTGTTTCTTGTTGGGCCATCCATATCTGTGCCCAATCTGGTGGTACTGAGTGTGTTGCTTGTGGTTCTCTATGTTGAGTTGTTGTTGTGGTGCCAGACTGTTGGGAAGCTGCAGTAGTGGTATTAGTTTGCTCTTTAGAGAGCTGTTTTGGTTGTGGATTTGTTGACATTTTTTAGCCATACTTTTAGTCAACCTTATTGTTTTCGTTACAAAACACTTCCGTTCTTTTCAGAACATTCAATGTCGTTCGAGGGGAAATTGAAAAAAATGCAACAAATAGCACACCCTATCATTCGTCGTCATGTCGCGAAAAACTCTTTCTTTTCAATGTTACTACACAAATACGCGGCCAATCTTGAGATGCCTGGGCACATACATACTCTAAACCTGTCATCCCGAAAGAATTCATTCCTTGTACACTCAACGAGTTCATCTTGTTGCTTTCACACCACTCGTCATGTTCGCGACGATTCATCCAAGTCCTCCTCCAATTCTTCTTCTTCTCAATTATTCGATCAGTCACCACACATCAAGAAACAAATTAGAAAAATTTACAAATTCACTCATCCTGATTTATTCATTAATGAACACTTTAAAAAAGTCAATTCTCAATCTCTCTCGACTTTTCAAAATTTTATTGATGAATATAAAGGATATTTAAAGAATGATAGTTCTTCTTCGAATAATCAATACCAAAACAACCCTCACAATAGATTTCAACACTACAACAAGTATGAATTACAATTTTATGTAAAACAATCTGAACAAGTGAAAAAAATTACTCTCTTTGGATTACCTCAAAATATTCAATTATCTACCACTCAACAACATGAATGTTTTGTAAAGAATGTTGAATATTTATTTTCTCAATTATTTAACTCTAAGAATTCTACAGAAGCATCATCATCATTGAATCCATCAACACCACCATCCAACAATTCTACACCATCCAATAATCTGTCATCGAGGACAGAACATGATCCAAACTCATCATCACTACACTCTTCTCTTGAAGAATATTATCAAACTAATTTTAAAAGTCATCGAACGAACCTGAAAGATTCTTTTTGGTTTGAAGAAAAATATGGACAACAACAAGAACAACACACATCCAATCTCAATCCACACCATGTGATTCATATTGTCAATGAATTTAACAAAACATCAAATTTAGATTTTGAAATTTTATATATTCGTAGATTTGAAATTCTATCTCATTTAATTAGAAACAAATTATGTGAATGTTTGAATGCCAAATCCATTCGATTTTATAATTATTATAATTCTATCGATTTATTTGAAAAACAATATGAAACTATTATGAAATTTACAAATTTATTACATGATCAATATGGAATTGATACTTCTCAATGGGGTAAAAAAGAAATGAAACATGAAATTATTGCAAATTTAAAAAGACATGAAGATCCTTATCATTGGTCAAAGAACAGTGAGAGTATGACATGGAATTCTCATAACACCTTGGATGATGAATCGTTTCATGACATGTTATCTAATAGGATGAATCATACTACTACTATAAATACTAGTACTACTGGCTCTCAACGTCCTACGACGAATACAAATACTACTACTACAAATAACACAAATACTTGTAGTAGTAGTAGTACTACAAATAATACTACTAATACGAGTATAACATCCCACATGTATCCCTATGAAATTTCACTTATTAGAAGAAAATTAAATCAACACATTCAAATTAAATTTGGAAGTGGACATACTGGTATTAACAAGTTGGGATGGATTAATTTAAATCCACATGATTCTGCTCAACATTGGATGAATTATTTACTATATGAATTGAATGATCAAGATATTCAAAGAGTGTTAAATTATGAACACTATACAGATATGGTATTGAGAATGGAAAAGAGAGTGAGTCAACAACAACAACCATGGTATCCAAATGATCATGATCATGAACAACAACACCACCACCATCACACCCATTCTTCTTCACATCACCAAACCAATTCTTCATATAAGAATCATTCATTCTCTTCTTCATATAAGAACCATTCATTCTCTCATTCATCCTCTCCTCAATATATTAAATATTATTATCATCCATTGAATCGTCATGAATCTCATCTCGCAATGAAATACATTCAAATTCAACAAATTACATGTCTCAATGATGAATTAATACATGATGAAAGATATTTAACATTATTAAGTGAATTGATTCGAATTGGAAAGAGTGAAGATGTGAACAATCATTCATCATCTTCACATCAACACTCTCATTTATTTAATATCATTGTCTATAAGAGTGAAGGTGATGAATCATTGGATGAAATTCAAATCGATGATCAATGGAATTATATTTATTTACCATTAAGTTATGTGAACAAGTATCAAATTGTGGATGTAGCTAATCCTTCTACATCTAATACTTTAAATAATACTTTTAATCCTTCAAATAATAATACTTCTACTGCTTCTACTACTCCTTCTACATCTAATACTTCAAATAATAATACTACTACTACTCACACCCATCTATTGTTGGGTATTCATCTCTTATTGAATCAAATCATTCTCAAAAGTCATGATCATCAAAATACCAACAATGAACAACAATTACAACATGATATTCAACAAATGCTCAATGAAACCAGACATTATTTGAATTTAAGAAATTTAACATGTATTCATTCACTCTCTCTCAATGATATTTATATTGCATGTATGAAATTAGTGAAATTTAGAGATGTCTTGTATCCTTATTTGAAACATCGAAATGTATTAATTGTGAATAGTAATGATCCATGTATGGTTCGAGTAAGAAATGGAGAATTGAATATTGAAATACCTTTTAATTTTTAAAGAGAGTTTCTATGAACGATCACACCCTCGTTTTTCACAATACTAGTATTTTACAACGTCATTGTTGTTGCTGTTGAATAATAGTTTTCTGCAATTGCTTGGTTAAAACCAACGCTGCTGTGCGTAGACTCTTTTGAAATAAAAAAAAAATGAATTCTTCGGATTCGCACAACAACCATACAACAACAACAACACAATTAACGGACAAGAACACTTTGAATGATGACGACGACTCATCCAAACAACATTCATCGAATCCACTGTATTTAAAATTAAATGTATCACTCTCTCAAGTGATGGATCAATTAATTTTTAATCATGAATTTTTAAAACAATTTCATCAATCCCAACAAAATACTCATTTAAAAATAATTCAAGAATGGACCATGATTCAAAATGAGTCAATCTCATCCATTCCATCCTCTTCATCATTTACTTTTCAATCCTCATTCATTCCATCCTCATTCATTCCATCCTCATCCATTCCACCCTCATCCATTCCATCCTCATCCATTCCATCAATCTCTCCAATCCCATCAACAACAACAACACCCATTACCATTCATAATTATTCACAATTAATTTCACATATGAAATTTATTCATTCTTCACAACCCATTACTCTTGAAAGAATTATTCAATATAATCAAAATATTATTGGAAATAGTTACATTTCATATTTAGGAATACCATCTCAATTACCATGTCAATCCAATGAAAAATTAATTTTATATTTTAACAAGTGTGAATATATTGTAAATGTTGATATTTTAGAAACATTTTTAAAAGATACATCAAAAACATGTATTAAATATATCATTCAATATGATGATCAGGATCAAATGATGGTCATTGATGGAATGGTTCAATGTACATTTGAATCTAAATTAATGTGGGGATTAAAAAGTAAAATTGAGAATTACATGTCATCCATGGCTACAATGAAATTAGCAGAATGGTTTGAAATGGCACGAATAGAATTGATGAATCGTTGTTGTTATGATGATACTACTACTACTACTACTACTACTACCACGCGAGAATTTGATTCAAGTCGTCGACATGCTTCTTCCAATGATCCTGTCTTTGAATCTACAGAAGATGCAGCAGTGAAATTTAATTTACCATCATCACCCAACAACTCTGAAGATGAGAGGAGGGCATTGAGCTTTTCATCTCCTGTTGAGGATGATGAAGAAGACTCGACAACAACAACAACAACAGATTCGTACTATTCTACTAAAAGTACAACAATGGCATCCTCTTCATCTCCTACAACAACTACACAAGTACCCACAACAAGCTCACAACTCATTGATCATTCCTATCATCTAGTCAAGTTGAAAAATGAAATCATTCAATTGAAAGCACTCTCGAATCAACTCGAATTGAAAATCAAGAATTTAGAACATCATTTAATGGCAGAAAATCAATTGAACCTTCTCATTCAAAGATACTATTCAAAAATATCACAATTCATTCATTCTCAAAAAACTACTCGATTTAGGTTAAAGAATCGATTGAAATTACTATCATTGGTTTGGTTTATTATTGGATTGTTTTTAACTCCACTCCTCTATGGTTTGTATCGATTTTATCGTTATAGACTGCTGGTTCGTAAATGATGTGTATAATATTCATCATAATTAAATGTTGTAATTAAATACATGAACATTTGATTCAAATCAGTCACATTGTTGAATAATTCAAGCGATCTTCTCAATATCATTGTTGAATCTAATTTTTCATAGACATGTCTATACAAGTACGATTGTTCTTTCGAGAGATGGGTCCATATTTCTCCAAATTTAGGTTCACTCTTTTTACATTCCTCTTCAATTGCCAAGAGTGATTGTTGTTGTTGTGAGGATGATGATGAGCTGGATGATGTTGTCAATGATACATTATGTAATTCCAATTCCATTCGATATAAAAATATCCATAAATCTCCATTCGTTGGATCGACAGTGAGTGCCTTTCTCAACCATTCTTTTGCTTTTTCAAATCTTCGTTCTCTATAAAAATCCAATGCAATTTGTAAAATAACATATGGATCACGATCACAGTGTTTAAGTGCATTGGCAATAGCAGCCTTTCTTTTCTGTACAATTTCTAATGGAATGGTGAATGACCATAAAATACCACTACTACCACTACTACTACTACTTGGATTCTTTGTTTTTTTGTGTGAAGAGACTGAGAGATTCATGGATTGAATACCTTTGGAAAGTGTAGCGAGACATGTTGAGAGAAGTGTGAGTGGAGGAGGAGGAGGAGGAGGTGTATGGATCTTATCACTACTACCAGAATTATTACCTGTAATACTACCACTACCAATACTACTATTACCAATACTATTACCAATACTACACGTATGATAATATTCCAATTTCACCAATGCCAACCATAGAGATGCGCTAGAAGGATTCTTCAATAATGCTCGATCCAATAATGCTCTTGCTTTGGTAATATTCATCATGTAGGGTGATTTTACAAGAGGATTAAAATATAATCTAAATAGAGATAACCATAATGGAATGGAATTTGGACAATGTTTTAAACCATCTTCATAGATTTTACATGTCTTGAGATGTAATAATGATATGTCATCTTGTGTGTTCATAGAATTGTTGGTTGTGTTCATAGAATTGTTGGTTGTATGGATGGAACAAGACACTTCCAATGAACAACGATATAATTGTTCTTCTTCATATTGTCCTCTCATGAGCCATAATTTGTCTTGTTTTGGATACTTTTCAAGTGCTTGAGTGAGAATGGATTCTTCCATACTTGTGATTTGAAGTGCAAGTGGAGAAGAATCTTGTTGTTGTTGTTCTTTTTGATACATTTCAATTTGTGAAAGAAGAATTTGTTTCATGGATTCATGATGGAATACTCTTCTCTCAAATTGAATCGATCGAATCCATACATGAATGCCATGATCATTATGATGATGATGACTATGACTACTACTACTATGACTAATATTGCTACTACTACTATGACTACTACTACTACTGCTACTACCAACAACAACAACACTCGTACCAGCATCATGACTACTACTACTACTACTAATAGAATTTACATAATCTCGATCAAAATGACTTCTCGCATGTTCCAATAATAATCTTGCTCTCAAATATTCTTCATTTTCAAATTCCAACTTGACAAATGCTAACCAAATATTTTCATTGTTTTGATTGATTTCATTTTTAAATGCTTCTTCTAATACTTGTCGAGCATTTTCAATGTTATTAAATACTTTCCATTCATATTTAGCTCTAATTAACCATAAATCTTCACAATTAGGACAATTCAAAGTTGCTTGTGAAAGTAATTGACGAAGACGAGAGGTTTGAGAAGAGTTTGAGTCTTCTGAAGAGGTCATGGGAGTTGTAGAGGTCATGGAAGGAGTGGTAGAGGTCATACAAAGAGTTGAATGTTCCATTCTTGCATTATCTTGACATTTCGATTCAAATTCATAAATATTCAACCACACAGATTTCTTGTTTGGAAATTCTAGTCTTGCACAATCATAAATTGCTCTTGCAGTCTCAATATAACCTTGTGATGCACACGTATGAGCATCATTTAAATATACATGTTTCTTTTCTTTCAAATGTTCAACATCCTTCGTATCATTCAATCCAAAAGAAATAATTTCTTGAATGATAGCTCTACAAGTGAGAAGGTGTTGAGTCTTTTCAGCTTGTTTGGCATATTCCATCCATTCCTCACGTGAAAGAGAAGAGGAATGATGATTTGAGATGTTATTTGTCGTCGTCGTAAGAGTTGTCATGTTATTTTTCATATCATTCATGGTATTACTTTCCATATGATTCACAGTCTTATTCATCATGGTTAACTTTTTCAAAGTATCAATAGCCTTCTTAATTAAATTTCTTACTGAACTCTCATGATTGGAATGTTCTTCTTCTAAATATGCACCTGCAATCCATATTTGTGGTTCTTTTGGTAATTTACTCACTGCTCTTGATAGAATCTTTTTAGCATTAGTATAATCATTTAATTTAGCCAATGCTAACCATAATTCAACACTTGTTGGAATACATTCAATAGCACGTTCTAATAGAGTCTTGGCATTACTTTCATCTTGTTCTAATTCAATGGCTTCTTTCCATAATTGAATACTTTGAGGTTGAGTAGAAATGGCTTTTCTTAATATTTTCTTTTTCTTTTCCAAATCAGATTCTAATTCACATGCTTTGAGCCATAATTTAACAGAATGAGGTAAATGTTCAATGGCTTCACAACAAATAGATTGTACAAGAGTGGGTGATGTGGTGCCATGGCTTTGATTAGTATTATGACTAGTATTACTATTACGACTAGTATTACTATTATGACTACCAATAATATCAATACTAATAGTACTTGCACCACCACTCCCATAATACTGTAAATGTAAACGTATAGATTCTAACCACAATTCTTCTGAATTCTTAACGACATGACATCCCTTGGCAATGACATGACAAGCCTTTTTCAAATCACCTGCTAACTCTTCTAAACGAGCACGTCCAATCCAACTACTAGCATTCATTGGTTTGACTTGAATTGCCTTTTTAAATAACTTTCTATATCTCTTAATATCTGCATATTGATCTGTTCCTAATACAATTTGAGATTCAAGTCCACTCATATAATTTTTAGGATCAATGGTAGATTTACCACCGACAGAATCTTCTAAGGATTGTAATTTGGAATTCATAATACTTTCTCTCATTTCACCCAATGCTCTCAAATCGGTGAGAGTACCTGATTGACCTTGAAGATTCTTTGGAATGGTTGTTGTTGTTGTCGAGGAGGATATGGATGAGGAGGATATGGATGAGGATATGGATGAGGATGAGGATATGGATGGATCCATTCGTACTCTCGTTCCACCACTCATCTGTGCATTGAATTGATCCATCAATAAATGATCAGGAGTGGGTGTATATCTTTCATACATTTGTTGATTCATTCGATTTGGATTTTTCAATGTACTTGCAGTGGATCCACTCACTTCTGGAATATTGGCCCATTCTTGTTTGCTTAGATATTTTAATTGTTCTTTAATGTCTGAAAATGTTGAAGCAATCATTGGTTTTTGAGAATCTAGAGATTGAGTTAACATGGAATATTTTGAATATTTCGAGGATGTTTGTGAGGATGGAGTTTCAAAAGTTGGAGTCATTGGAGTTATTGGAGTTATTGGAGTCATGGTATCATGATTCGTCGTCATGTTGTCATCATGATTCAATTTTTTCTTTTTTCTTTTCGATTCTAATCGTTGTGCCACATGATCCCAAACAGCATCAGCCTCTCGATCTTCTTCATCTTCAAGTCCTGTCACACGTCCTAATGTATTATCACCATATCCACTCCATTCATCAAAGGATGAAGAATTGATCATGGCATCTTGATCATCTTCCATAGTATTGGATTCATTGAATGTTGATGATGCATTGATAAAATCATGAATACCACCACCACTAGTAGTACTACCACCACTTGTAGCATCATCGCTCTGACTTGCTCTCGAATCAAATCGAGATGATGGTATTCTTGCAGGTCCAATATCACTCCGAGTGGTAAATCCTGTTGCACCACGACCTGCACCTGGGATGTAACCTGGTGGAGGTTCACCAAAGAGAGCATCTGCACTCACAAATTTACGTTCAGGTGCACCTGATGTGGTTGTTGTTGTTGTTGAGGAGGAGGATGAGAGTGCAGATCGGATGGCTGCTGCTGTTCGCTTTGGATTATTGAATTTAAAAGATTGTGATGGAGGTGGAAGCATTTTTTTTAAGTGTGGGTTGGTTGAAGTTGGTGTGTGGTTGTCACTATTTGTGTCTACTATTGTTGTTTCGAATGAATCATGATGTATGAATAGTAGCATCTCACTATTTGGTCGTTTTATCGCACATGCAAGTCATGGTTGAATTCCCCCGTTCATGCATACAAGTTGTTTACAACTTTAACAGGTCGAGACAGCCTCAATATCGTAAAAAATGAGTCAATCGAACCTTCTCGCTACTACCACCTCTTCCAACCACCACCATCAACAACACCGAAAGAAAATCTATACCGTGGATGGAACTGTATTTGAGGTGGATGATCACTACTCAATTATAAAACCCATCGGATATGGTGCCTATGGATTTGTATGTTCAGGAATTGATAAGAATACAAACGAAAAAGTGGCTATCAAGAAGGTTCCTAAGGTGTTTCAAGATTTGGTAGATGGAAAGAGAATACTTCGCGAAATTGAATTACTCAAAACGTTCCGTCATGCCAATATCATTTCTGTCAAAGATGTAATGACCATTCCCGATAAAAACACCTTTAATGATGTGTAAGTAGCAAAAATTCCGAATGTATTTCAATAGCTCCATTCCTGATATTGTATTTTATGCTCAGTTATATTGTCAATGAACTGATGGACACTGACCTTTATCAAGTGATCAAATCGAAACAAGAACTATCAACAGAACACATTCAATACTTTGCTTATCAAATTCTGAGAGGGTTGAAATATATTCATTCATCAAATGTGCTTCATAGAGATTTGGTAAGTGTTATGAGTAGTATTCCACTGATTTCTAATTGGAACTTGTAAAGAAACCAAGTAATATTTTGGTCAATGAAAACTGTGATGTCAAAATTTGTGATTTAGGCCTTGCACGAGGATTTGATGATCACAGTGAAATGACAGAATACGTTGTAACAAGATGGTACAGAGCTCCCGAACTCGTACTCATGTGTAAGGAATACAATTACGCAAGTAAGTGTTTAACATTCACTGTTCAGAACCTAAACCAAAAAAGTCGACATTTGGAGTGTTGGATGCATTTTGGCAGAATTAATTGAACGAAGACCAATATTTCCTGGCAAAGATTGTAAGTAGGATGCTGCTAGATATTGTCTAACTCTCTTTCTGTTCTTAGATATTGATCAAATCAATTTAATTACTGATGCTTTAGGTACTCCAAACGAAGAAGACATGGAACACGTGAAACATTCTGAAGCTCGTCGATACATTCGAAATCTACCAAAGAAAAAACCCATCCCATTCAAACAATTATTCCCCAAAGCTAAAAAGGAAGAATTAGATATTCTTTCCAAGATGTTACAATTCAATCCAAAAAAGAGAATCTCAGCTGAGGAAGCTCTTGCTCATCCTTATTTTGCATCGTTACATGATCCTAAAGATGAACCATCTTCAAACATTTCTTTTTCATTTAAATATGAAAATGTAGATATTACTGAACCAGAATTGAGAGATTCATTGTATGCTTTGGCTTGTTATTATCATCCAGAGATGTTGCAACGCAAGTAAAAAACCTTTCAACAAATCTTTGTCGTTTCTTTTCGGTTCATTTAAAAAAAATTCTCTGACGGATCGCCATGCGGGATGTTGTGCTTTAAAGATGGCTCCTCGTTGTTAAGAAGAAACTATGTGAGAATTGAAAACCACTTGGATATGACGCCATTCAGCGATAATGATGAACATGGGTTTCACTTCATTGAAGAAAGAATCATTTGTGATGGTGCACCGATTCAAGAGTCCCATCCAGGGACAGTGATCACTCCGAACGCGAAACAATATTTCCTCACTGGCCTCAACGAAGAGCAACAATTAGCAGAATTACTCATCTGCCGTCGAAAGAAAAATCCGAACATTACAAATCATTTACTTGTGGACAATTCAAAATGTTTATTTGAATGTTTGAACATCGAGAGTGGATCATCGACCACCAACCCACCATACACCTCTCTTGTGAACAAAGGCGTCACCATTCGAAAACATCCTTTAAAAAATTGGTGTGTTTATTCCAATGAAGTTATTTCAAAAGGACAATTTATTGCTGAATATGTCGGAGTTGTTCAACCCATCATGATGATTCACAACAGTACTGTCGCTCTGAACACATTCCCTAACAATCATGATTATACTTTCATATTGAAAAATATAGACGAGTCAGCTGATGGCGACACTCATGAAATTTGTGGAAAATATCATGGAAATTTTACTTCATTTATTAATCATTCATGTAATCCTAATCTCATTGCATTCCATGTATTGAAAGTTGAAAGAGAGGAAAGGAAAGAAAATCATCCTATGAACACATTTTTGATTAAGGAAGATGTTCACATGCCTCATGTTTACTTGTTCGCCAAGCGCAATATCGAACAGGATGAAGAACTCACACTCGACTATGGCCATGAATATGTACAGCATGTCATGAATGGAGAGTGTTTTTGTGAATCCAAATATTGCAGATATCACCAAGATCCATGATTGTTACAATATCGGTGTCATGAATCCGTGATTGAATACCTTTGATCATGGATGATAAAACTCAAATCAGCAAAGAATTTATTCATGTTCCTAATTACATCATTCCATATTGTTGCATCATTTGGAAGTACAATTGTTGAATGTCATTTGGTGACATGGTACTCAAAATGTGTGGAGGTATGTCAATACCCATTTGACGCATACTTTGAATCATCTTTTTAACTTTTTCTTCTTGTTCCATCTTGATTCGTTGTTTCACAGCAGTTTCCAAGAGAGAGAATGTATCAGCTTGAGATGTATAGCTTGGTTGAGTGAATAATTGAGTGAATACTCTTGCTGGATCTCTAATTTGAGCATTCTCTGCCTCTGCCAATCTGAACAAATATTCACATTGTTCTTTCAATTCTAATAATTGACTTGCAATATTATCTCTCATTGCCATTTGTTTAGTTGCAAAATGTTGAGCAAGTGCGGACATGTATTCCAAGACTGCAATCTTTTGTGGTAATTTTGTTTGATTATTCAAAGTTTTGAGAATGGACCTCAAACCAGTAACTAAACAATCTTCATGTTGTTCAAAATTAACTTTGGCAATATTAGCAAGAGTAATCACTGCATTCTTGCTAATATTATCAACATGAGAAGTTAATAAAGGCAATAGAGAAGAAACAACACTATCTTGTTCAGCCAAAACCATTGCACCATCTTGTGAATGAGAAATGTGTGATAAAATGCTTGTAACACCTCTCAAAATTTCAGTATTTTCTTGACCATTTAGCATGGATGCCAATCTAAATAAATCCTCAGATTCAATAGATTTTAATAAAATAGCACCTCCTTCAGAACCTCTTGGTACATCATCCTCTAATTCCTTCTTAAATACTTCAAAGGTTGTACCTGACTTTAAAGCACGTAATGCAGGTAAAACAACTTTTTCATTATCGGACAAACAACATTGAAAGAGTGTTGGTAAGCCTTTGAGAGACATGTTGAAATGACGTCTTCTTTCAATTGAGGCAGGACCACAAATTAATTCACGAATGATAATCAAAGCACATTGATTAGTCTTGTCCGTGTTGGTATCAAAGTAGGTTGTTAGTAACTTTAAACACTTTCTAAGAGTATTATGCTCGTAAAGAATATCTTTCTTTTCTTCTGCTGGGTCTTTTTTCTCTACTTGTTCCTTGTTATGTATATAATCGAAAATAAAGAGAATACCTTGTTCTCTAGTCTCGGGATTTGAATCATTCAAATTTTGAAGAGCCTTATATAATTCAACTCGATTATATTTGGTGATGAGAAATTCTTCAATAGCAAAATAACTCAAGAGAGCAAGACCTCCACCGACCAGGCAAAGAGGACCGTAGCTAATGTCTTTTAATAAATGGCTCATGTTGTTGTTGTAAAAAGTTGTTGATTGAAAGCAAGCCTTGCTGCGAATGAGCTTTTCAGAGAAGATGAAAAAAAACAAGGCTGTTGTGATGATGTATTTTTTTCAGCTGGTGATGCAAACATGTTGAAGGCAATTTGATTGGATTTACAAATTTGGTCTCTTTCGTGGAGGTGCTTGGCATGCGAGAGAATTTCTGAAGATACGAGCACAGGAACATGTTCCTCTCGAGCTCTCCACAATAAAACATGACAAGTGGAACATCTCCACCAGTCGTAACACCATCACCACCACGTTACGTGATATCCACCAAGACGAAACAAGTATTAGATTGGAATGAAACGATGAAAAGCGAATGTGCCACAACAATTCCGAAAGAATATTGCACAAGAACATTCGCAACACTCTTTCCAACTAATATGATTGACAACAACAACAACAACTCGACCACACAATCACAACAACAACAATGGAACAAAACAACTCCTCTTTTCATGACATGTGGTGATCTTTTGGATATTCCAAATGATGATGATGATGATAACCATAAGGATGAGAATTTCTCAAAACAAACAACATTACCACCACTCTTTTGTTGTAATTATGTGATTGGTCTCAATGAACCTTTTATTCGAATCGATCGTTCATTGACTCGAGTCTCTAACGAGGAACGTGAAATATCAAGAATGGAATTTCTGTCAAATGCATATGATTCATTTGAAAATCATCATAGTTATTCCATGATTGAAAATAACATGTCAATGATTGATTGGTTTCTTGTGAATACCACACGAATTGAATCAGGTCATTCTTTACTTGTACAATGTGATCTAGGTGGTGGTATTACAGGTGGTGGTATTACTGGTGGTGGTTATGGTTATGGTACTACTGGTGGTCGTGAAGATGATCAATCAAGATCTTCTTTGACATCTTCACCACATCATCATCATTTAGAATATGTGGAATGTGCTGGAGAAATTCGATTAAGACCTGTCAAGAACAACAACTACTATTGTACTGTGGAACAATGTCATGACTTGTTGCAACACGAGTGTTCTATCGCTGAATCATTCTTGTTTTTTGAAATTGTTTCTATTAATTTACAAACATCATTCTTTGCCTTTCCAGATGTAAAAGTATTAGAAAATTGGAAGAGATTTGGAATTGATGGATTTTCATTGTATCGACCCAATCCATGGGAAATGAAGGGAAGAATGGAACGATATAAATATATTGGTGAATGTGACAAACAATGATTGTCTCATGAATCAACTCAACTTGGTGTTCTCTCTTTTGACAAGAATATTAAACATTCATGATGAACTCTTGAATATTTATGATAGACATGTAATGACATTCAAAACCATCTATCCATTTAGGTATACAAAAAAGGACAAGTTCATTACAATGACACAATGTGACTCATTGAGGTGGTCCTTCAACAAATTTATGATTCTTCCAATTTCCAACCATGGTGTGAATGACTGAGAGAATTTGATGTTTGTAATCACTGGATGCACTCTCAATTTGAATTGGAATGAATTTATCACTATTGAGAACACATGGTTTGAATAATCCATCGACACCTGATCTCATTGCATAAATACCTGTGTGTGAATATGTGAATGGTGGTTCATTCATGGCAGTGATGATTGTTGTTGAAATGAAATTTACATGGTACAAGTTTAGAAACAATGATCAGCAACAACACATTTAGAAATAACAGTCCAACTCGCTCGACCATACTTACCTTCTCCACATTGAGAACTGAATCGACATCCATTACAATAGTCAGTCTATTGAAAAGTATTGAGAGGATTGAAATTTTCAAAAATACCAAAAAATTATATCATTATATTCAATAAACTCGCCATTTAAAAAAAACCACACAATGAAACACTTACTCTCAATCTTCCACGTCCAATATTCTTAATTTCAACTCGATGATCTGAATCTGATGATGTTTTATAAATTTTCACTCGACCACCAAATCCTTCACGAGTTCCACAAATTTCCACTCCATTCGATTCCAATAAATCTTCTAACCATTTAGGATTGGACCATCCAGCTGAAACCACTGAAGAAACATTCTCACCTCTATCTTCTTCTTTACCACTTGTGACATGATGAATCTCTTCCATTTCACCATATTGATTCTTATTTAAATTGGAACGAATTAAGGAAATGACTTTCAAATCAATCTTATTGGGGAGTGCAAATTTTAGAACATTTTCAAATTCATTTCTATTGTATTCTCCCAAACTGTAGTTAATTTGAACTCGATAGCCATGATCTTTTAAACGAATCATATTTCTCATGACTTGAGAAGCACCACCTCCAATTCCTATTGTGTGAATAATATTGGAGTGTGTGTGAGTGTATGGGTATGTGAATATTGGAGTGTGTGTGTGTCATATGGTTGTATGTGTGAGTATGTATGTGTGAGTTTGTGTGAATGGGTATGTATACAATGATATGAATGTTGTGTGTATGTTAATGATAAATGAATGAGATTTTAAAAACACAACATACCTAAATACTTTTTAAAATCAGTTTCACGTGTGGTATGAAGTGAAGCATAGATGGCATCGACTTGTTCAATTTTTTCACTCTCTTTCAACAATCGATCAGCCAATAATACATTTGAATTCAACACGACACGCGTATTTTGCTTATTAATACTCTTGAGAACACTCACAATGTCTTTACGTGCCAATGGTTCACCACCTATGTTCAATATGAAATGTGTGTGGGTGTATGGGTGTGGGTGTGTGTGAGTGTGCGTGAGTGTGAATGGATCAAATAAATATATATATACGAATGTATGAACCAGTCACATTTGATCATGTCAAAATAAAACAACAACAAGAAATTCCAATCCATCCACCTACCTGTAATATTCAATTGAGTTCCACCCAAATCACAAAAATCGTTACATAAACGAATGATTTCCTGAATGGGAAATGGTTCAGGTCCTTGTTTTTTTAATGGAATTGGATCTCCAGGTGATCGAGGATTCTTCATTCCTTCGTTATGACAAAAGAAACAATTCATGTTACAGGTATTGGTAATGGCAACACGGAACTTGGCATTCAACTTGTTATACGTATGGAAGGATTCCAACCATTCGGAGGGATAGAGACTTTCAAGAGAGTTGGTAAAGTTCGCTAATGAAGAATAGTAGTGAGTGGATGATGGTGGTGGTGTTTGCAATGAGCATGCTACCATTGTCATACGGTTCGAATGATGACCAATCTGTGTAGAGAAGGAATGATCCTTGGCATCTTTCATGAGAGAAGATCCCAAACCGTTGCGTGGAGCGGTTGTAGATTTCAACACGTGAAATCCAAAACATGTTGGAGTGGTGGAGATGAACCTTTTCATATTTTTTGTAAGAGTAAAAAGTTCATCCAGTTGTGATGAACATGAAGCCTTTCTAGGCCTTAAACGAACATTCATTTCCAAAACAGTTATTGGACCACTACTGCCTTAATTCAAGACGAGTAGTCACAACGTGCTTTTACATATGGGCCTTTTTGCTTGTTCTTTGGTTTCCTCTTTATTCAAGAAGCTTTAACTTAACTGCACACCTCGAAAGCAGAAAATAGAAGGACGATCAAAAAACAACACCAAAAATAAATCCCCAAAGCAATAGCACCTTGCCCTTTGTAAAATAGTTTCATCATCAAGAATAATTACAAGTGAGTGAATTACATCATCATTATCCGATTAGTATTCCTTCGTGTCCTCTAATTCATCAATACTCTTGTACAATACCCTTTTACAGTACTCTTTCAATTTATTACGGCATCGGTTGTGAGCACTTAACTGAAGAATTCTCTCTACTTGTAAATACTCTCTAAATTGTAATCATATTAGCCTCACTTCTAGTAGTACTTTGAAATCATCAACTTGTAAATTTACTTCATCCCGATTCATCATCAACAATTATCACTCACTGTAATTTGCAAATCATCATTAGAAATCATCGCTACTGACACTACTACTCAACAAGATGACTTCACCAGGAAAGTTTATTGGTTCTCCAACAAAGAGAAGAGAAATGGATGTCATGAAACTGTAAGTGTTCAAATTCATCACTCACTGATATTTATCAATTATTCTTTAACAAATTATGAACACATTACTCTCAGCATGATGAGCGATTATAAGGTCCAAATGGAAGGAGATAGCACCAATGAATTCTATGTAAAATTCAATGGACCAAAAGAAACGAATTATGAAGGTAAGTGTGGATTTTGAGAAGAATTACTTTTAACCACCGTCATTTATATGGTCCGTTCATTCAACTCTCGGATACTTGTTGATTTACTTTTTGTGATTGTGTGTTTGTGTAAATATATTCATCTTCTTCATATACAGGCGGTGTATGGAAAATACGAGTATTAATTCCAGAAAATTATCCTTTCAAATCTCCATCCATTGGATTCGCTAACACCATCTTTCATCCAAACGTCGATGAAGCGAGTGGAACTGTGTGTCTAGATGTCATTAACCAAACTTGGTCTCCAATGTTTGATCTCATCAACATTTTTGATGTATTTCTACCTCAATTATTGACCTATCCAAATCCGTCAGATCCATTGAATTCTGAAGCAGCAGGATTAATGATTCGAGAACCTGAGAGATTTAAAAAGAAAGTGAGAGATTACATTGAAAGATACGCCAAGGAAGAACATGTGAAATTTAAGGACGAACAAGATGAAGAACAAGAAGATGATGCATCGCTTTCCAGTGCTTCTGATCATGGAGATGAAGATGATTTGGCAGAATTTGAATTGTAATGTGTGAAAACCTCAACACAACTTGAATCAAGTGTTCAAGTTGGCCAATAAATTTAGCCTTATTCAACCGTTACGTTGAAACCAAACACATAACAATGAGAAATATCATGGAGTTTATTTCCATTGATGGTTTTGAATTTGTCAATATGAAGGTTTTGTGACAAGGATGTTACAAGAAATAGGAATGAGTTCTTGTTGTTGTGTTATTACATTGTAATCTAAATATGAACACGTATTTACAACAATTGGCACTTCTTCTTTTGGGAACGAGCGTTTGGAGTTGGTGGAGCATCTTTCAATTTTTGTTTCATTGCAATATCAATGGCCATATTGAAAGCCTCAGTTAAATTCTCCATAGTCTTTGCACTACATTCAATATAACCACATGCTTTGATTTTATCTTTCATTTCTTGACCTTGTTCCGTAGTGACTGGAGAAATTTTCTTTTCCTTTAATTTCTTGACATATTCTTCATCTTTCTTTAAATCCAATTTAGTACCAACTAATACGATAGGAGTATCTGGATTGTAGTGTTTTAATTCCTCTGCCCATTTGGAATGACAATTCTCAAGTGAGTTTGGATTTTCTAATGAAAAGCATACAAGAAAGACATCGGTACTGTGAGGAGTTGTAAAGATGATGTTGTTGTTGAGTGCAATGTTGTTGTTAAAGATGTTGTTGTTAAAGAGGATGTTGTTGTTGAGTGCAATGTTGAGTGTGTATAGTTTTTGAGTGCAATGTTGTTGGGTTCGTGTTGTTGGAATGTCGAGTTGAAGGGGTGTACATTTGTGCATAGATGGTGGATGAGCGGTGCAAATAATATCATTGAACAACAATTATTGAAATGTATCATCATTATGGATCCATATGACACACAAATGATTACATACTCTGGATATGAGAGAGGTCTCAAACGACTATCATAGTGATGACCACCACAACGACAACAAATTGAATTCATTGTTATCAAATAAACTCTCTAATGAATCATACATACTCGTAACTACACAAGTTCACACATCCTGAGTCACAAACATTTGACTCTGTACCATGACTACTACTTACTCTTCTTGACCTGCAGTATCGTATAAAGCAATACTGACAATACCATCTCCATATGGAATGTTCTTGTTGTAGTTATCAAAGACGGTTGGAACGTAGTCTATTGGATCACACAAAACATGAGAGTAGTATCATTATTGTTGTTCGTAGAGAAACGTTTGAATAATAATAATAATAATTTCATCATCAAATTCGTATGGAAATTTGTCATCAATGTGAGATGAATGGATTTTAAATGATGAAAAATCGCAGCACCATAGCGATGAAGAAACCAAATGTTTTTATCAATAGCATCATCAATGTATATATCGTGGTCAATGTGTGATTTTCATCCAACAAACAAAACACATACCCTCTGGGAAACATCCTGAAGAGTAGGCAATTAAAAGTGCAGTCTTACCCACAGCACCGTCGCCTACTACGACACATTTAATTGATTCCATGGTTGTTGAAGATCAGAACAAGATGATGAGTGTTTCTTAGATTTGAAATTTTTTTAAAGAGCAAATAGCCATCAATCACTTGTCATGCAGGTTGCGATGGGGAGAACAAGGAACATGAAGGTTAATGGTAATGGATTTTGACGATGAAATATTTGCAGCAAGAGAGAAGGGTCGGTTCCAAAAGAACACTTTTAAGTTTTAAAAACACTGTAGACACAAGACCCTAAATGTACTCTTTATTCAAATTTATTTGGCTTTTGCTGGTGGAATAACCCGTCTGGGCTGTTAGTTTTCGTTGTGGAAAAATGTTCAACAAAATCATGAACCCGTGTGTTTCTCTTTAAAAAAAAATTCAAAAAATATTTGGTCGAGTGTTGCACCCTTCTGCCTCTGTGGATCAATAGCAGCTGCTCGGAATTCAATAGTTCGGCAAGACATTTGTTTGAATTTTATTCGATCATCATTGATTTCAAGTGTAAAACTTTTCTTCAATAATTTTTGCTATCATCATCATGATTCGTAAAAACGCTCGCCTCCGCAGAGAATTTCTCTATAAAAAATCCCTCCAAAAAGAAGAACGTGAAAGGCTTGATCGTAAAATTCGTATTCGTGAAGCCTTAGAGAAGGGTATTCCAATCAGCGAGGAAGACATCCGAAAAGAAGCAGAAGAAAATGAATTCGGAGTTAAAGAATATCTCAATATATTATCGAACAAGAAGGAAGAGAATGATCCTAAAGCTCAACTTTCAAACATGATTGATAATGAATATGCCAACGCTGGTTCTCAAGATCCTAAAATACTTATTACTACTGCTTTGGATCCTTCCGATAGGCTGAAACGATTTATGAAAGAATTAAGATTTCTATTTCCGAATTGTCAAAGAATGAATCGTGGTAGACAACAAAATCAAGAAATTGTTGATGTTGCCATCCAAAATGGATTTACAGATTTGATTATGGTACACGAAAACAAGGGAGAACCTGATACGCTAATTGTTTCTCATTTACCTCATGGCCCAACAGCATACTTTACCATGTTCAATGTTGTGATGAGACATGAAGTATTAAATCTAAAAGAAGAAAAGATGCCACAACAATATCCACATTTAATATTTCATAATTTTAAAACGAAATTGGGTGAAAGAGTGGCAACCATTTTGAAAAATGTATTTCCTGTGCCAAAACAAGAATCAAACCGTATAGTCACATTTGCAAACGACAATGATTTTATTTCATTTAGACATCATGTGTATATGAAGAATTCACCTGGTGTTGTTCCTCCCATTCAATTGAAAGAGGTTGGACCTAGATTTGAGTTACAATTGTTCCAAATTCGATTGGGTACTCTTGCAGATAAAGAAGCAGAATTGGAATGGGTATTACGACCATACATGAATACAGCATCAAAGCGTCAAGCATTAGGAGCTAGTAAAAGTGAGCTCACCCAAGAAGAAAGTAACAAGTTAACAGCAATAAAATAAGTGCGAAAAGCAATTTCATTGAACATGTTTCATAAAATCAAGTTAAGGTGAACATGTGAAATATTAAGAAAATATTCTTGAACTATTCAGTCACAATCTCCAATGTTATTCAGTGCTGGTTTTTGGCAAATCTAATTCTCTGAGTTGTGTACTACTCAATTTGAGGTCACTCAGCACCATCGATCCATTTGACTTTGGCAAGAGCAATGGAATGCACACAATATCATACGGTTTAAAGTTTTTTTCATTCACACGAAGGTCGTTGCCCTTCTTGGCTCCATTGAGAGTCTCTTCACTCACGACCAATACTTCCAATTCGGGATCTGTTGCGATAGGTCCCCATGGTTCATACAATTCAAAGATCTATTTGATAATTTGTTGATTCACTTCAAATAATTATTACGCTCACACAACTTACATTTACAAAATCCAGATTCAATGCAGGATTAATCTCTTTCATACACTTCAGTACTTTATCTCGTCTCACTTCAAACGATTGTATCAACTCTTTGTACTTTTTGTTTTTCAATAAATTATCTACAGAGACACCAATTTCAATTTCTCTTCTTTTTTCACAATTGGAATCATTATTGTTAAATAATAGCAATGTTTGAGTCAATAGAATTTTATGACCTAAATGTAAACGATCAAATGTTCCACCCACACAAACAACATGATATTTGGCATACTGTTCAATAGTTCCCAATGATTTTGAATCTTGATCTCCTTGCTCGTTAAATAGATAGGAATATTTATCATCATGATTTTTGTCTTCTTCTGCATTTAAAATTTCAATTGTTTCAAAAATAGAATCAAAATTATTTCTGTAAATGGAGCATGAAATCGATGAATGGTTTTTGTGTTCATAGTCACGCTTAATCCAATAGCAATCAAATTGTTGTGAAATATTATTGAGAGAACAAATGCTGTGATTGACGTGATCAATTAAATCCTTGTCATTATCAAATGTTGGCATCATGACATTAAAATTATATTTATAATAATCTTGAACTCGAGATAATATTTCCGAATAATATTCCTTATAAAGATGAATCTAAAAATGAAATAGTTCATGATTCATTTTCATGAGCATCATGATCACTAAAACATACACTCTTGAATAATTGAGACTGTTCATTCTTTTGTACCACAACATGAAACTCTAATGAATGATATTGGGACTTTTTGTCATTGAATAATTTTAGGCAAGATGCGAGAAGAGAAATATTTTCATGGACTTGATGAGTATTTTCAGGACATGAAGTGAGAACAATGAAACACCCGAATGATGGAGAGCAAGAGGAGAGTGATTGCATTTTTTTACAAACAACAATAATTTCGACGCACCCAAGTCGTTGCGAAATTAAGAGTGAATACAGAGCGTTTAACTCCAGCCAAAATTTGCCATGTGTCATTTTGTAAAGAAGTTAAATTCGGTGGTAAAGTTTCACTCAATGTGTCATCTTCTTAACATTGACACTTGAAATAAATTAAAATATTTAATTAACAATCAAGAGATATTGTACATGATGATTATTCAACCTTCAAAAAACTCTTTTCTTTCATCTTTTTGTAATAACACACTCCAATAATTGTTACCAAAATAGAAATCACAATAATAGATCCAAATGGAACAACAAGTCCAATAATAAGACTTGTATAGTTCACATATTCTGGTACTTTTCGATCTTCAAAATCAATAAATATTTTGATAAATTTCATGGCTTGCAATCCATCAACTTCATTCGGTAAATATCCTACTTCACCATACAATCTCTGTCCAGCAAAGAATTCAGAAGGTAATGTTGAAGGTTGGAATAATGGAAAATGAATGGTTTCGTTTCCAACATAATATTCACCTCGATCGAGTATTTTCTTGACCATTCCTCTCGAGTCGCTCAATCGATTGAAATTAAAGAATTTGATCGTAAAGTTTTTAGAAATTGGAGTATAGAGAACAAACGATGGATTCTTTTCATCGGACGTGATCATACTATCATTAAGCAAACTAGTACTCTTAAAAAAGTATTGAAAATTCTTTCTAATTTCACCAATTGTTGTCGTTTGATTGGTACTAATAATAGTAACATTCATGGAATCTGTAAGATTGGCATTGGTGGTTAAAAAGTCAGGCTTTTCTATAAATTGACATTTCATTCGGAATGAAAAGGCTAATGAATCTGTACTATTGACAATCAAGCATGGAAAATCTCCATCCAACGATAACCCTCCATATTGAATCGTAGATTTTGTACAATTCAGAATGGGAGTAAGCATGGTGGCCACACATTGAAATTTTCGAGTGCTCTTGCAATCCACTCCGACCTTATCCAATGGACAAATACATGCATAGGATGCAGTGGTATTGGTATAACAAGTGGTTGTAATATTATTGGTAGGGTCTGACGTAATATTTTCATAGACTTGTTTGGAGACTATGGTTCCATTACAAATATAAATGGTAGAGTCATAGCCTACATAGACCGATCTCTTATCACAGTTATTGGCAGGAGCTGAGGAATTGGAGAGTAGAATTGCACGTGAAGACATTATAGAATGAACTTGATCTAAAAGAGTATGAATGGTTTCTTCAGAGGCACCTAGATGATGTAAATCATTCCTCAATTTCTCTTCATGTTGAAAAAGAGTTTGATCCAATGATGAGAACTCTTCGTTTAGAGCTATTTGTGAATTCAATGGAGTTTGTTGCAACTGCTCATTCAATCTCTCACTATTCATCTTTCCATATAAAAATAAATCCAGCATGTTCTGAACTGATACTGGAATGGATGGATTGTATTTGTATGTTCCTGGATTTTCTAAATCCTCTTCATGAATATTATAATTTTCTAATAATTGATGAATGAGAGGTTTCTTAAAGTTTTGTAAAGAATCACTAAATAATGAAAATACATTGATCCAAGAGTTGAGTGTATTTTCTGATGGTAGTAAAGTTGTGTAATCCCTATTTGCTAATTGACTCTTTGGGTATTTTTCAATTAAATATTTGATATGCTCTTCTCTTTGAATTTGAGCAATTCGTTCTTTCATTTCATTCGTTTGTCTCAGTGATGAAGAGTGGTGAGTGGATTGTGGAAATAGTGGTAACTGGTCATTATGGTCTGTGGTGGTGATGGTTGTATCAAGTCCGAGTGTCGTTCCAATAGGCAATGTGGTGGTTATCAGTGTTATGACCAGTAACAATAGTGTGATCGAAACAATTGAATGTTGGACGTATCGGAGCCTGAAGAACGGCGAGTACTTCAAAAACGGACGTTCGTGATTAGCGCTCATTTTTTAGTGGTTGGAGCGGATATACCAGCTTCAAATTGACTTCTGTTTTTTGGGTGTCAATTTCGGCGAGTATGTATTACAAATAAATGTATTTTATTATTATTATTATTGGGATAATATTACTGACAAGGTTCATTTCTATATTACTTGGAGGATGAAGCATCAAAACCTAATTGTTTCATTCTCACTGCAGCCTCAAACAAGTAATGATAAACTTCAGCATGAGTTTTAGCTTCAACCCAATCTTTACCCCAAATATAAACACCATGTCTCTTGACCAACACTGCAAACGTATTTGGATACTTTTCAAGAGCTTCCTTCAATGAATCAGCCAATTCATTCTCATAGGCTGTGTTTTCAATAATTGGTACGACCAATTCATCATAGAATCCAAATCCACGAATTCCTTTAATCATTTCCAAATGAGTAACTTTAAACTCTTTATCATAAATAAGAGTCGCTAACATGCAAGAGAGAGCATGAGAGTGAATCACAGCACCAGCACCTCTGACATCATAACACAATTGGAAAAGTGGTTGGCAAGCAGAAATTTTGAAATTATATCCGTGGTCATTTGGAGAATAAACTGTTTTCAAATGTTGGCATGATTGAATGTCTTTGACTTGAACGTTAGGATCTTCTTCCATCACAAAGATTTGATCCTCTTTGATTCGTTCTTTATGAATTCCGGAAGGAGCAATATAAATCTTGCCATCCTTCTTGATGGAAATACCACCACCAGTTCCGGAGACCCATCCTTGCGTGTAGTATAATTTCATCAATTCAACAATGACTTGTTGTGGGGTGTGTTTCTTTTCATCGAGTTGAGTGTGGTCAAAATTCAGTGCTGCTGTCGAGCTCATTTTTTTTTGTTTCGCACAAAATTTTGTTGAAGAAATGGTAATTTTCATTCGGCAGACCCCGTCCATTCCATTTGGTAGGGTCATATGCAGTACTGGTCTATTGTTCTGAATGTTCTTTCAGGTTCTTTCAGAGGTTGGTTTATTAATTCTCTACTCATATGGACATCTGTCGTTGGTATCTAGAATTGGGCTCAAATCAATTTTTTAGCCTTCTTAAAGACATAATTGACTGTTCCAAATGGTGTATGAACGAGAGTATTGTTGAGGTTTTTGGCTGTATTTGATAGCTCTCTGTCACGAGTAATGACACAAATCTTTGGAGGACTGTTATGCGTTGAGAACTTGTTGCACAGAAATTCTAATGTTGCCAGAATTGCCAAATCTGCAGATTGAGGCTGTAAATTGGATTGTGACATTTGTAAATTGCCCACTGAATCAAAAGATCCCAAAATTGTGTGCTGGTGATGCTTTCTTAATTCCTTATATTGTTCTTTTACCTTAATTTCTTCTTCTGATTGGTTTGAGCCATCGTTTTCCATTATAAAATTGTAGCAATCAAATACGTTTTTAGAGTTCTCTTTTTTCATACCCTTCTCATAGATGTATCCGTTATAAAAGCACCATAAATACATTTGTGAAATGTCTTCATCAGTAATTCCAATATTCTTTAACTTTTGAAAATCTAAACTCAATTCATCAGTAGCCCAACTATCATAATCTACTAACAGTATGACCCTCACACGCGTGGGATCAAATCGCTTTTCAAATCTCTCAAACTCGCAGTCATGACATCTACATGGCATCACCTTTTCCACATTGAAATCCATCCACTTCGAAAATTGGCCCCATCCAGCCATCTTGTTTTTAATGTGGTCCATCTTTTTCTTTTCTTTTTTACCTCTGTTATGACCAAAAGGATTGTTCATTGTGTAGTTTTCCTTTTGTTTTGATGTGCCAATGTTTTGAGAGGTGAGTTTCTTTTTACATTGAGAAGAAAAGAAATACCCAATAGGGTTTTCGGTTTCATATTCAATGATGTTTTTTGAAAGTTGGTTACTGTAAAAATCTGATACTTGAATAAATTTGGGAGTATTAGATGATGTCGTTTCATTGCGCTCCTGTAATTCATGAGCTACCTCTACATCATCGTAGTTATTTGTATTGTCATTATTTAATTTTAAATCATCCAAGTGTAATTTCTTTCTAGCCTTGATTGAATTAATTAATAATTTCATTTTAGTATTCTTTTTAATCTTTTCATCAAAAGGAGCCACTTCAAACTTGGTATTTTCCTTCTTGTTTTTATCGGAACCAGCAGAGACTAAATCCAATTCAGCAAGGAGCGAGGCATCATGTGCAACCTTGAGGTGTTTGTGTTTCATTTTATTCCTGGTTCAACTTTAACCCACCAGTCCAACAAACAAATATTTTTAAAAAAAATTGTATCGCTCATTGTTGAATTGGAGCCTAACACTGCTGGCACGATCATCATCATTGCTGGCGCAAAGCAGTGTAAATAATAGCTGTGGTAGTAAAATATCTGTCAAGAATCAAGTGCCATTGATCAATACAACCTTCTACAAAATGCTCACCCGAAAACGAAAGAAATCAATGAAAATTGAAAAAGCTGAAAGTGATGACCATACCACTTTCCATAAATCCGATGAAATCATTGCTATTGAGGATTTATATATAACATCATCGTCAAGCGTTTGTTCATCAAGTTGTAAAAAGAATAATTCAGAATTTATGAAACAATTCAAAATGGAATATAATTTAATTAAAGAGTATAGAATGGCAAATTTAAATGCACCTGTGGATACAATGGGTTGTGCTTCTCTTTCGGATAAAGATGCTGATGAAAAAGTTCAAAGATTTCAAATTTTAGTATCACTCATGTTAAGCTCACAAACAAAAGATGAAATTACGGCAAAAGCAATCAAGAAATTGAAGGATAATAATGCACTCTCTGTGTCTCAAATGGATGAACTGTCAGAACAAGAAATTCAAAATTTAATTTATCCAGTTGGATTTTACAAACGGAAAGCAACTTATTTAAAGAAAGTTTGTAAAATTTTAAAAGAAAAGTATGATAGTGACATTCCCAATGATGTGAAGGGTTTGCAAAGCTTGCCCGGTGTTGGTCCAAAAATGGCATACCTTTGTATGAGCACAGCTTGGAAACAAGGTTTGTTTTTTAACTATTGCGATATTGAAAAATTCATCAAAATCTTCTAGTGGAGGGTATTGGCGTTGACACACACGTACATAGAATTTCGAACAGATTAGGTTGGGTACACACAGAAACACCAGAACAAACACGTAAAGAATTAGAATCGTTTCTTGAGAGAGACGAATGGGATGTCATCAATCACATGTTGGTTGGATTTGGTCAAACCATTTGTAAGTGTTAATTCATTTTTTGAACAACACTGCTCTCTCTAACAATAATTACTCGTCTTTATATTAGGTAAACCAATTGGACCTAAATGTCTTGATTGTATTGTCAACAAAACATGTCAATACTATCACAGTAATAAGGATAAAAAGTCTCCCAAAAAGAAAGTGAAAAAAGAAGAGGAAGACTTGAATTCTCAAGACGATCAAGAATAATTCAAACTGTGATGATGCTAGTTTATTTTCTCTTTCCTCACAGAATCGTCATGACTTATTGTTGTAATAATTATTTTCGACCATGCATAGTGCAAACCGAGGGAGCAGTAAAAGGAAATCATCATCAAAGGCAGAAAAGGAAGTCTGTCTTGAAAAATCAAATTGTGAATGCAAGATTGATAGAGCTCAATAAAAATCAAACCATACAGAAATAGTGCTTCAGTAAGTGAAAATAATGACGGAGCTTTTGAATCTATAGTGCTGGTAGGTCTCGTAGTTGCATTCCAAATGTACCTGATGATTTGGAAAAAACTAATTAATAGGAACCATCGTACCAGTAATTCTCTTGGTTGGAACAATAAAGGGAAAAGGGAGTATGTTCCAACAATGGATGTGAAAGCAAATAATTTAAAATGATTTTCGAAATTGTGAGTCGAGATGGTCACGAGTATAGCTAGAGGAATCAAGGCGCTCAGAATGGCCTTCTCATGGACATGCCAGCCAAACATAAAGAATGCAAAAACTGAATTTGTTATGGCCAGTAACATGGTCTGTATATTACTTCTTCTCCGTCTCTGATTGAATCTTGCTTCTATGAAACAATAGGCACAAAGCTTAAGAAAGTTGTTAAAAGACATGATGGATATGTGACATGAGAGTTGTACGTACTGTGAATGAAAATAAAAGACAAAGTACAATGGTAATGCGCGGACTGATAGTTGGAAGAATGGTGTGAGTACCTTGGTTGAGTCCAACAAGGCCTCCAGTGAGTGAAGCAGTTTGTCCTTCTTCAAGCTTTACCATTTTCAGTACTTTTCCAAAGAGTACTGCTAACATCTTATCAGCAGTGTTGTAGAGTGCCCAAAAATTAGGTGCCCAATAGGCATGTGTTAAACCCCTTTCAAAAGGAAATAGTCTCGAGAGAATTTGATTCAATTCCATCTTCATGGCTACCAATGGATCCATGGTCGTGCTCCTTGCTGAGCTTAACAAAAATGGTCCAAAACTCAACACAAATATTCCAATAACACTCAGTCCCAATCGGCTAATTCTGCTTAGGAAACCAATGATTGATCCACGACTTTCCAAACAATAATTCAAAAGGAGGAATAGAAAATATGCTGGAGCCATATATAAATTTAAATGTTTCATATTCAGTAATACCGAGTAAAGAATTCCAGATAGAATATATCGTTCATTTCTTAAAGCTAACAATGAAAACAAAAATATTCCAAATAATATTCCATTATACTGGAAATGAATGTTATCAACAATGATTAATCCTGGACAACCATACAATAAAATTAATTGAAAATGTTTTTTCAAGAATTCATTCTCGTTGCCTGAAACCCAGCAAACACAAGCAAGGAAATAAATGAAATCACTAATAAATATAACAGTCAATCGTTGAAAAATTATTAATGGAAGTGTTTGTACATGGACACCTCTTTGTACATGGCACCATATGGGTTCATTTCCAAAGAATGTAGAAGTAGTAGTGGTAGAATTATCATTGATACCATGCTCGAACTTTGCCCAAAATGAATTACATCCAATGAAACTTAGTAATTTTTCAAAGAATGCAAAAAAAGGAGGATAATCCAATGTTGCATTCTCCGAGCTTGTATCATGATACCATTGAGTTAACGGAAGACTATGAGTGATGGCCAACCAATTCCGATGCACTTCAAAATCCGTACTAAAACTATTATCATTCAATCGATTCATGAATTGCGCTTGATTTTAATCAAACGTACTAACTAGGAATGAGCAATATCTTGATCGCCATCATCACGACAAAGATGATGAGGCATCGAGTTGGTGCCATTTTTAAAACCACAGTTATTATTAATAAAAAAAATGAACGAATCGGTTCCCTCATCATCTTCAACTCGGAATGAGCAGCAGGATCATCATCCAACACAACAAGAGAACGACTTCCGAACTTCCTTCGTAACTTGCAACGACATTGAGAGTAGTCCCTCGTCATTGCCTGCATCATCTCTTTCATGCTCTCTTCAGCCACTCCTTGAGGAAATTCGGAAAGATTTAATTCAAACCTCTTCAACACAAGATGATTCATCATGCATGCATCATGATCACGTCAATAATATGTGGCAATACGTTGAAAAAATTTGTCAAGTCATGAAAAACGAAAAAGAACACGAAGTATATGCCATTTCATCTCTAAAAATTGGATTAGAATTAATTGTCGTATGGGGAATCGTACCTCGACTATTGAAAGGAGTTGGAATTTCTCTTTCCAAAAGAATTGAATCACTCTCACAACAAAGTAAAATATCGATCAATAAGCAAAGTGAATTTAGTGAAAATGAAAAGATTTCGCGAACCGAATTGCAAAAGTTGGTCAAGTGTGTGAAAATTTTATATGAAATTTCAAACTGGGATGAATTTTATCATCAACTCGTGCTACAAAATTACTTGACTGATATTTATTCTGCTCTCTTTCAAATCCTTTATTTATGTAACAATCTGAAAAAAGCAATTGAGCAAAAACAACATTGTCCTTCCTCTGTCATTGCAAATCTCTCTCAACAATTTGGAATTGAAGAGTCAGATCGATTATATTGCTCAGAATTACTCTACAAGTTACTAACTCAAACTCATGAATCAATGGTTGTGCATTGTTTAGTCACATTACTTTCTCAATCAACATTACCTCAATGGCTTAAAAATAGATGCACGATTTGGCTCTCAAAAACAATATTAAGGCCAAAAGGAGTATTTGCCATCATTTCAGTAATGCTTGACAATGTACCAGAATCTAACTTGCGACATTATGAAAAAATTGTAGATTTGATTATTGCCATTCCAAAAGAAATGAATGCTCAAGATTATTTCAAAATTATTTGTCCTCAAATTATCAAACTCTTTCGATTACGAGGAAAGAATAGTCATCACTTATTGAAAACAACAACACTTGCTGTGGAAAAATTATTGAAAAATATCCATGTATTGCACAAGAATTAATTCTAGAACCCATACTTTCTCCTCTTAAAAAGTTTGTGAAATTTCAAAAGATGGCAGATGAAGAAATTCAAAAATATCAATCTACTATCATTACTAGTGGTAGTGGTAGTGGTGGTAATAACACGAATGGCAGTAGTATTATCAGCAGTGCTAGTATTAGCAGTAGTACTAGTACTAGTAGTGGTAATCATAATAATCATAACTCGAATACTAGTAGTGACATCCGAAACACTACTGAACAACCATCAAAACTAAAAACAGATTCTTCACTCCTTTCTCTAGAAGATGAATTACCCCAAACAGAACAAGTCTTGTGTGATGAAAGTGAAATTGGTCAATGTGTCGAAGATATTCATCGATTACTATTTGGAAATACTCCAGCAAGTTTCATGTTCAATTCCATTTCTCCAATCATTCCAGCACTATTTCAATTATACTGTTTTGTAAGCAAAACCAAACTCTATCTCAAATCTGCATGTGAAGAAATTATGACGAGTTACTTTAAAATTAGTGATGATGCACTTGAAGTTACAAAAAGACTTTTAATATTCGATACAAAAACAATTGCATCGAGTCATTACGTGACGTTCTGTCCAGGTGAAAGTGGAGGTGTTTCCATCAAGTTAGTATCTCAATTGAAAAGAGATTATCTTTGGGAAGCGAATTGTATGATTCAACTTTTCAAGCTTTTGAAAAATCATAATGTGGCTGGAGATTTATTTGTTCATTTAATTACTCAATTCACTGTCATGAAACAGCATGGAGAGATGATGCAAATAATCATGGATGAAATACATTCATCATCCTCACCTTCTCTTTATGTATTTCCACACTCAGAGTCACAACCACTTCCAGAAAATGCAATCATTCTTCTTCAAGTAATTCAATTACTCATTAATGAAATGGGAGCATCGATTATGAAGAACACTTCACAAGCCATTGCTTTTGTGAAATTTTTACTATTAAATCATGAAAATAGATTGGATGAAGAATCATTGGAATCAGTGGTCATGGCTCTTGGAATTCTATCTGCAATTTTATGTGGTGGAATTTCAGTCAAAACACTCGATGAAGAACAAAAACTTGAAGATTTAAAACCCATTCTCGATCGATACAAAGTCTATGAACATCAACAAATTTCAGAAATGGCCTCATCTGCTTTATTGAGCATTGACACAAAACAATATAAGGAATTTCATGGCAATTTTGAAGAAGAATATACCGAAGAACAAGTCATCAAAATCAAATTTGATCACATTTTGCAAGATTTAAGAGATCCATTGTTGCCAGTGAGAGCACATGGAGTCATTGCATTGAGAGATCTCGTGTTAGAAAAAAAGAACAATACTCTCATTGAGAAACAGATCAAAAACATTTTTGATATTTTACAGTCTCAATTGAAAGATGAAGATACATATGTGTATTTAGGTGCTATCAGTGGGTTGACAGCATTGGGAGATGTATATCCTGATACCATCATTCCAATTCTTGTGGATACATTTAGTGATAAGAGACAAGCCATAGAACAGAGACTGAAAATCGGTGAAAGTTTGGTAGATTTGGCAGAACGATGTGGCCAAATGCTTCCCAAATATGCTCACTATTTTGTGTATTGCTTTTTGAATTGTGGAAAAGAAAATGACAAGGATTATGAATGGGTTCGGGCAAGCTCAATCTCCAATTTGGCTACATTGGTCCAAATCTTGAGATTTGGTGTTCATCCCTTTGTACAGGATATTATCGATTGTGCATCGTACGTTCTCAATTTTGACCAGAGCGAGCATGTAAGACGTGCAGCTGTGTTGATTTTTGATCGATTCGCAAAAACTTTTCAAACAGATCTGTTCGAAGTTTTTACGGAATCAACGCTGGATCAATTCAAGACAATTCTAAACAACACTGCGTTTTATGATAAGGACGAAATTGTGAGAGTGAACGCAAAGGCAGTGATATGTGAAATGAACGATTTTCAAGACGAGCGATTGTACCCAAGCACCTACATTCCAGGGGCTGACAAAAAGCACTTTCTTAACGATTTCCTTAAATTCATGAATCATTAAGTATTTAATGTACATCCATATTCTAGAAGCTACACTATTCACTAGTACTGATGGTATTTTTACCATCCACACCTGTATTGTCAGATGTTTTATCATCAGCTGACTTCATTACCATATCCCCGTTAATGGTGTCAAAAGAAAATTCAGGTTCAGAGAGGCTGCGTTGCAAAACAATGTCCTTGTTGCGCTTTACCCCTTCTTCGATTGCCTTAATAAATTCTTGCGCACACACATGAGTGTCCTCTTGTTCAAAACCTGTTGAAGTAATAATGAAATAGCGTTCAGTATCTTCGTTTTTCATCTTTAGAGATACCATGTCTTTGTGAATGGTAGGCTTTTCTGGTTGTTTTGCTTTTTCTGCAATTGTAGAAGCAGCTCCTGTAAATGATGAAGAAGACAGGAGGGTCAGTAGATCCGTCTCTTCTTCGTCCTTATCAAAGTTTGTCAGTGATGATAAAACACCACTACACATTCTGCAATATTCTATTCCAATGAATGGAAATTCATTCTTAATAGTTCTGCCTGACACCTCCAGTATTGAATCTGCTGTAAGTTTGAGCAGTCTCTTTGCCTTTTTGGAAGTGCCTTTGTAAAGAAGCGCACTAAACGATTGATATGTTGTACAATATTGAGATCTAACAACAGTCTCAAATATCTCCTCTAGTACTGCCTCTCTCTCTTGCTCGCTATTCACAATATATCTTCTAAATCCAACCTCGAATTTTTTCTTTTTCTTTACAGCTACATCATTGGAGTCATCATCTGTTTCCTCATCTTCCATATTATCTGGGAAATATGGAATTGGTTGATCTGTTTTTGGCGTAATAGGTCTAAATCTCATGTGAATCTCAAGATTTGAGGGAGGAGCAGAGATTTCCTCAATTTCCGAAAGTAATCTCTCGTTCTTAACAATCTTACTCTTTGGATCGATATTCAATAAAGACATCATGGTAATTTTGAGAAGTCTTTCTTGGTGCTTTCCTTTTGGATTCACTTTGATAATTTTGTATGTTTTTGGTACATTGAACTTGGAAATTTCAGGAAGTAAAATGTCTTCCTCTCTTTTGAAGCCATGCGAGATCAACCTTGAATAATCATCCATCAGTACAATCTTTTTGAGATAGTCTTTTTGTTTCTTTGCAGAGACAGCCAGTTTCGTTTTTGCAAAGAATTTAACAATTGATGTTGGAAGGTAAGTCATGTTTGGAGCGTGAAGAACTACTGTTTGATACAGTTGCTTTTGTTGAGCCAGTGTTAGTAGTCGGGAAAACCTGTTAAGGATGAGTCCCAATGCATCTTTTTGAGCATCATTGAGACAAACATAACTCAGATCAAGAATAAGCATAAACTTCTTGGAGTATTTGTCCAGTTCAGTTTTTGCAGAAGGTGGTCTGATATTTTCAAAAGATGGCCTCAATACTTTGATAAAATGGAACAGTACTTCTCCAAATCCTTCGTTAAAGTCGACATCTTTAAGACGAGTTCCTATCAGATAATAGACCATTAACTTCTCTTCAAATGATGTTAGGATATTATTTCCTCTATAAAAGAAGTATTTGCTCTCAGTTGCTGTTCCATCGATCTTGGTAGAGTGTTTCCATATCTGAGTGCAAAGTTTCGAGAAGATTTTTTCCATTTGAATCGTGCAAGCATCAAGAGGGTCGTCGTCACTATCTTCGGACTGTGGTGTTGGTGTTTGTGGAGTTGAATTGAAGCCAACTGGCTCTCCTAATTTCTCTACGAGTTCTATCACCTCTAAACAAGAGTTCATAATTTCTCTGATAGGCTTTATCTCCTTTGTTATTCCCTCTTCTGTCATAAATTCAACTATTTGAGGAGAATATTCAAAAAATAGTTTGTAAAACTTATCCAAATCCCGTTTGTCGAACTTAGATAAATCAATGCTCTTAGGATCAACTGCAACATTTAGCTCACTCTTTTCAAATGGAAGAATGTTTCTGTCTGATGTATCAACTTGTTCCGAGTAATCAATAATAGACATTAAATACTCTCTCATGACATCCTTCTTCTGTGTAAGGAAGTCGTTCATACAAATCATAAACCTTTCCTTATTTCCGAACAAAACATTATTAGCTAAGTTTTGTATTACCTTAGTGATTAAAATAAAGTTTCTTTGAGAAACCTTGGTCTTTTTCTTTGTTGTCAAGTTCATGGCATCTGGAGTAGCAATTGCTGGGTTGAAAAAACGCAACATGATATAGCCACCAATTAATACTGGCGTATCTAGTTGCAATGAATCACTCACTTGCCCAATAAAACGAGCAATTAATCTCAGCTCTTTTGGCATCATGTCTATCACTTCTGGAGACATCATTTTGTCTAAAAACCTTCCACACCATTCCGTAAGTTTCTCAATATTTTGAGGCAACTTTTTATCACCTTCTTTTTCTTCTTCAAGAGCTTTTGGATCAATCTCAAGGCTTCGGTTCTCAAGTATGAGCTCATCACAAAGCAAACCAATTGTGCTTTTCAAGTATTGGTAGCCCACATCTCGTACATACAGACCCAAAGCCTTGCTAATTATTTCAAGAATTGATTATCCATAAATTAATTTTTCAGTCGTAGAATATTGTTTCCAACACGTATTACGGAAGACGATTGTTGTATCATTTTGTGGGCGATCACCCTCATTAAAATTGAGAACATACCTAGCAAGAGAATTACTTCTGAAAATTGTTGTGGGCATGTGTTGATATTTACTAATTTCAAAATAGATGAGTTCTTTGATGAGCTGTTGGCTCTTATTTGTGGCATTAGCGATATCAAGAAGAACCTTGGCTGTGCCAAAATCAATCAATAAAACAAAATCACACAAAACACAAACCTAAGAAGTCTATATCAGAGGAGGAGGAAACTTCCGATAGAGCTCTTGCATAAGAAGCGCTAGATATCAGAGAAGCAAGTAGCTCTCTGTATCTTTCGGTTTCGGTAGTGTTGTTGGACATTTTTGCTAGCAGCAACAGTTAGTTGGAAAGCAAATTATTACACCTGAATCACAACTGAATGTGTTGTAGAGATGTGTGATGAACCGCTGTGTGATGAGGTTGTTGGGATGACAAAATTCTGGGGTGAACACAAATTTTTTGTTTGGTTTGATGACGAGTCTAAAAGCTTTTAAAAGAGTGTGCTTAATCTGTTCGAGGCAATTCAAATGTGCCATTATTATTATTGAATCACCAGATACAAGATAGCTTTCGCTTTTGAAGGATATGATTGAGCCACTCCGCAAGGATCAATATGTTCACGGCGTAGCATGCATGGACCTTCATATTGGTTTCCGTTCGGAAAATCCAACGATCATGGGTGTTGGTCATTTATGTTGAGAATGAAAATTTGTGGGTTGAATTTATTCCTGATAGGAGCTAAATTACATTGGTTGTAGTCCTGTCTTGGTCTTGAATCTAAACTCCAAAGCTGTGTTGCTTGATTAATTCCTTCAATGTACACGTTTTTATTCGTCATCAAGGAGCATTATCAAAATCACCACAAACTACGCCTGAGCGTAAAGTGCAAAAACTGACGAAGAAAAAATTCGGCTCGTTTTAGTAAGTCCCGGAGTCAAAAAAAATGGAGTGATTGGTCTGTGGTGTTGTTTTCTGCTTCTCACACAAAAAAACACACCAACAACACACAACAACATGGAAGCTGAATTAGTGGTCATTGAAGAGGGTACTGTGCCTCTATACTGTGTAAGTAATTGATTATCCATATTACCACAACAACAACAACATCAAACAACAATTTCAACACCGACACTAATCTTTACCTCAGCTTGGTGTTTCTGATTGTGATTCGAGTTGCGAAACAAATAGTAATCACGTAAGTACTAGTGAATATCGTTCACCTTGTATTGATCTCAATTATATCAAGGCCTATGAATCACCAGCATTGGATAGCCAATCCACAACGAACCAGAGTACGAACAATGTAAGTATTATGTTTGTCCATTATTCAGTAGTAACACATTTCAAGATTCCTTCATCATCAAGCATCGAGATGAACACTTCTCAGCCATCATCACCAGTAATAACTACTACCTCTACAGTATGTTTCAAATTTGTTGCAATGTGTTTGCTTAACTTGTTCAGGAATGGATCTTCACAGACGAAACTATGTCATTTCCACCTTGCTGTCTATTGCCTAGCACAAGCAGCTTCTCTGGTATTGTTGATGAGACACAATGTACGATAACACCAAACAACAAATGTGATGATGACAATATTTCCCAACAGAGCAAAAAACGAAAATCAAGAACCACAGATGAAGCTGCTGAAGACACTCACAAGGAATATCAATTCACTTTAGAGAAAGGACTGTTTGAATTTGTACCAAAATATAATTCCTTTAAAGAAGTACCAGATGAGAAGAAACAAATTTATGGAATTATATGGGAACAGTTCGCCAAATGTGCAAGAAATATTATTTATCAACATCTACAGATGAGATGTTCAAACTCCATCAGCCATGAAACGGTTGGATGTTGCAACCCAAACGTGTTTTATCTTGCTCTGAGGGGAACAAAGGCTAAATATTACCAATGGTATCAAGACATTTTGTGGAATGGCCTAAAGAAGAGACAGAAGTGCATTCAATTCAGATTTACTGACAGTGTTCCTCCTTTAGACAAATGCAAGCATTGGTCTGAGTTGGAAATTACTCACTCACGTCTTACACGTAAATTCGGAAAGAAGATTACGAAACACAAGATGAAAATTGTATACATTTCTCTCACATGTAATGTGGAAACTAATCAAGTGTGGACATCGTTCAAGTTTGACAAAGAATTCGAGTTTGTACAATAAAACAATTGAATTCAATCCTCAATACTCTAAATCACAAAAAATGTCATCAAATTGGAACTTTTCATCACCATCCACAAACCAAACCACATCTAACAACAACTTTTTTGAAGGTCAATCATATGGACTTTCAAATCAAAATCACCACATATGGTGTTCCTCTCCATTATCTTCTTTCAATGTGCAATCATCGTCATCTACTGGTTTCAGTAGCATTAATCCGGGATCTTTTCAATTTGATTCACCAAGAACATCCACACTATCTTTCGAAAGAATTTATGAAGATCTAATACAACCAAACCAATCCAATTCAATGAGCTATCAGAATATCCCTATTCAATATGGAGGATGTGAACATTTATTTCAAAATCATCAATCCTATTATCCACAATTCAATCAGCAATACATCACACAATCTTCTCATAATTTCTCCACAACCCAACATAACCTTGACAATCCGAACACATTATCATCTCAACCTTCACAACATGAAACCAATCAATCAAACCAACATTCAAACACACAACAAAATACAACAATTACTTTTGTCGATGGCTTCACTCGCATAAAACAAAAGCGAGGAAGACCACCGAGCACAGAAAACAAATTGAAAAATATTATTGATAATGCTGATCTCAATTTCTCTCAGTATAAGCTCCAAGGAGATGCTGTTATTAAATTAAAGAACAAGAGTTTTGCGATATGTAACTCATTACATTTTAATATTGCAAATCCATCTATTGACAAGATGCAGAAAGAATTTCATCAATTCGAAAAAGAGACGAAATCTAATGGGAAGTTGTTGTTGACATGTAAAAAAGGCAGTGAAAAAACAACCAAAAGTATGATTGAACAAGACAAATCTCAATATACAAAAAGCAAGCTCGGATCATTACTTTGCGGAATCGAACTTTTGCTGTATAATAATGGAATTTCAAATTTCTCTGAATTTTTCGATCTATTGATTGACATGTTTCCCGATATTGTTTATCGAACATTAAGCAAACGAAAGGATTATGATGACATTGACACGAAAGTTCGAAAATTAGTCACAAACAAAAAAATACCAGAATATGACTCATATATCGAAATGTATCTAAACAAACAAGAAAAAACAAACCCTATTGCCATTAATGATTACCCAAATGATCTCGATGATCCTGTTTCATCTGAAATTAGTTCTGAAATCGATGAAAATTTTGATGAATATGAAGAACATCAATCAAGTGAAGCAATTAATGAAACAACATCAACAATCTCACAAGAAGAACCTGTAAGCAGTAGTGTAGCTCTACAAACAAGCTCAAATGACGATGATGAAATGGATTGGGAGGACGATGATTATTCGCAAAGTGATGCTTCTTCATCGAGTGAAGAGACAAATCAAAGAAAAAAAGTGACAAAACGAAAGTTGCGAGTAGTACGGAAAAAGTTACTTGATATCCAAGCGAAAGACAAAGCCAAAATCAGTAACACTCAATATAAGGAACTGGTGTCATCTTCAAGCTCCAAAACCACTCCTCTCTCAAGTATGTCATCAGTTCAATCTGTAGTTAGTATTAAGGCCTTAATTGAATTTAAAGGGACACATGAGAAGAATGAAAATATTTTTTTCATCAGCCTTTATTCTTTAGTTAAATATATGATTGAATTATATGTACAATGGGTAAAACAAATATCAACAGACAAGGAATTAGCTGCTCATCTCAACGAAGAGGATAAAAATTGGAAAACAAAAATTAAGTGGTTCAAACTCAATCTCGATGGATCTAAAGGCCGTGTTACATTCGCATGCGCTCCATTAAATATGAAAAATTTTGGGAGTCCTCAATCAAGAGAAGCAGTCCATCCTGTGGCTGTTTGGAAGGGAAAAGAAAATCAACTTCGAGCAATAACTGGAATTATTCGAGTAATGATTGAATCGATGACATGTCATGGGGTGGATGTTGATGGAGTAAATCACAAGGTGGATTTTTGTGTCACAACAGATCTTCTTTCGTTAAAGCGTATCTCTAATCTTAAATTTTCACAAATGTGTCCATATTGCAATACATTGAATACTTTTTGTGACCATTTTCACCTCGCTAGAAGCAAAGAACAGTTGGGTTGTCTGCTCGGAGTTAGTCCATTCAAAATTGTCATCTGTTTGCTCCATATGAAAGAACGAATAATGGAAAGAATATTAATTGATGCAATAATGACGAGCAACAAACGAGAAACTATTGTCAGGATCATTCGCAAGATTCCAAATCTCAATAATTTCAAAATAACTGAGAAAGGACAAAAGTTGAAGTGTTACTTAACCGGAAAACAAGTTAATTCCATTTTAAGCAATTTGAGAAGATTACGTAAGGTAATCGTTCCTCAATATATCACATTAATGAGCAAATTTAGAAATGTGTTGAAATTACTTCAAAATGAATCCTTTTCTGAATCCGAACTTAATAACCTTCAACTCAAGCTAAATGAGATGGAAGAAGTGGTTCAATCTCTTTATACTGATAGTGGTTCTCAAAGTTGGTATATGCATATTCTATTCCATCATGTAATTCCTTTAATCAAAGTATACGGAAATTTGGTTCACTTTGAAACACAGGGATTCGAAGGAGCACACATTGATGATGAAAGGCGTATGAAAAACACATCCAACAATGGAGGAAAGTATAATTATTTGGACAGAATGTTTCCGACATGTAAAGATCAAAGTTTGATCCAGTTCATGCTTCCGAAAATTAGGAGACTCATGGTATGTAGAGATTTGAAAATTCCCTTTCAAAACAGGCAACGAAACAATGAGAAGTACAAGCAATTTCTTGCAATACCCTACCCGATCTTCTCATTCCAAGAGGAAAATGTTGCCTTGTTGTCTTTTGTACCAGGGAAATCTCTCTCCGAAGTGTGTACCCGATGCGAAGATCACGAAGAACATGAAATAACCTCCAAATATGATCCAATTTCAAACGTTCAATATGGCAAGGACAATGCAAATGACAACGACGATGAAAGCGATGCCATGAACATGTTTTCCCAAAGTTGTGATGTGTAATAAATTTTTTGTTAAAAATTAAATTAAATTTTTTACTTTTTGTTGTAATTTAATTTTTCAAGTTGACATCGATTTTCACTCGAAAAAAAATGCCTTCACCTAAAGATGAGGTCGAGTATTTTAAATCACACACCTAAACTAAGATGACACAGCAACTTTGATGTAACTTAGACACCAAGTGATCAGTACAACAAAAGATGGATTTTTATCGTGTAACGAGAAACTTGTTGAACGGAGTAATTACTGTGAATGTGAGTATTATCACCAACAATCAACTAATCCTTGTATAGGACAGTTCTTCTGTGGGAAGAGAACGAGAGATGAGCGCTGAAGAGAATTGCTTTCGAAACTTTAGTAACTGGCTTTGTACAATAGGTGTGGTCTTAATCAGGAGGACACTTTTAATGAACGAACGTCAGCACTGAATAAAACTTTACAAGATTCTGAACCAATCCCGGAGTTTCTGCATTTCGTTGTCAAAAAATTTTTGCCTTTTTGAGTCGAATTTTTTCGCTGGCAGTTTTCTTATGGCGTAGTTTGTGGTGTGATAGGATGCAAAAAGTGATTGAAAAAATGAATAGAGCCTCTTCGTCGTTGTACTCTTTCCTCTCGCACCATCTTCCTCGAGTAGTGAAAGCTTCTTCGGCAAGAACGAAAAAACACCAATTCATCTTCTTTTTCCCGTTCAGAAATTCATCATCATCATCATTTCATACTAGTAACAACAAATGTCGTGAAGGTCCAAAAGGAATGACTGACTTGTTCAAAGAACATTTAAAAAGACAAATTCAAAGCAATGAATCGGTACAGGCAGCTATCCGCAGTTATCAAGAAACATTTCTGGCAAAAGGTGTAGAAAAGCTCAAACCTACTCTGTCAAAAAGCAAAGAAGCTCTCGCTAAAGGTTCGACCTCGTTGGATGAAACTACCGAGAAAATTCTACAATCGGAAACCATGTCTCGAGTTGGAAAAGCTGTAGATTCTGCATATGACCTTTTGAATCAAAAGGTTGGGCTCAAGTATATTACTGGAGAATCTGCCGGGAACAGAATTTCGGATCTGAAACGTGCTCCAGTTTTCTTTTTCCGAACTAAATATGCCAGAGAGTTGGATTTATCCAAAGGATATGTTTACAATCCTTTCACACGTACTTTGGTTAATATTACAGACATTATTTCTCAGGAAGAGTTAGAGGCAGTGATAAAAGAAATTAAAGAAAAACCTGACTTGGGCAAGATGGGAGAACAAAGCGAAGAAGATCTTCATCATGAAGCTGAACGTCAAGAACAAGAAAGAGAGGAACTTGTAAAAATGTTAACTGCAAGAATGCAAGAACAAAGAGTACAGGAGGCAGAGGCAGGAAAACCAAAAGTTAATCCAACCTCAGCTGAAGAATTGAAGTTGACAAAAGAAAACTCTCCTGTTATTTCGGAGCTCATTGAACCATATTACACTACTCGAGGATTAATATGGAAAACTCAAGTTCTTTTACAAGAAATTCAACACAAACAAACAGGAAAACAACCAAGTTTACTTTTCAGAATTCCTGGAATGGTGGATATATTGAATGAGTCATTACGTTTCATCACTGCAAGAATTACTCCACCTCAAAAGGTTAAAAAAGCAGAACAAGAACCGCCTGCAGAAGAGGAATTATCTAAATCTTCAGAACAGGCTTTGGCTATTAGTGAGTTAAAGAAACGTGATCCTAGATTCGCTTTGGACCTGTTCCTTGTCACAATAGAGGCTATCGTTATTCCAGAAGTATTATCTGCTTATTTCGCTGATGACACTCATACTATCAAGAAGTTTGTTTCCGAGTCTTGTTATCGTCAAATCTTCTTCCCAAGAATTCAGGAAAGGGTTCATGCAAAGAACAAACTTGATTCCAAGATTTTGCATGTTGGAGACATGCACCTTTTAACAACTAGATATGATGCTGGTAATCCTGCTCTTGTTATTAGCTGTTCCGTTCAATACACACATTGTATTAAGAATGAAGCTGGTGAAATAATAGAAGGAGGACCAAAAGATATCAGACAAGAGACTCAAATGTGGGTTTTGAGACAAGACGAATCACATGAAACTGATGATTGGTACATTTCAGAAGTGAGCATGATGATTGATCCTGTGAAAAGTAAGTACATTGACCTTTCGTTCGATTGTTTAACCTCAATTGCGCATAGTTGTCTAAGCAAATTTTTTAACACAATTCGCTCGAGCAGAGTTGAAGCCAATAAAATTGCGTCGTGGAATGTTACCATCCTTAAAATTTTGTTGATTTCAAAGTACCGTTATGTGTATCAATTGTTTGTTTGTTCAAAGTGTAGATTTAAATAAAGGGGTTTTATTCACACCAGGACTCATCCGTTGGTTGGCGCCATTTTCAAATTTAAATTCAAAAAAAATATTTATTTCAAAACTCGCAAATGGTCCAGTCGTTAAAGTCCAAAAAGCACACATCAAAGCTTCATGCAGGACGTAACAAGGGTCACATTCCCATCGGGTCGTTATCTTCAAGTAGTGATACACCCTATCAAAATCACAGCTGGAAGAGCATGTATCATTTACCTCCAACAGGAGAAATAACATTGGAGCAATTTGAAGAGTATTCGTTTCAACGATTGAAATTACTCAAAATGATAGACACATGGAAGGCAAGAAACATTTCCGGAAAAGCATTACAAGACAATATTATAGAGGAATCAAACAAAATATTTGATTTGAGAATTGCTCAAGATTTGGATCATTGTGAACCTGATTGGATTTCTCATCACATTCTGAGATTAGCCTTTGCTAAAAAGTAAGTAATGGAATGATGTTAAATATCACAAGAATCAATTTCATGGTGTAGTGAGCAATTGAAACAATGGTTTTTGACCACAGAGTGTGCACTGTTTGAAAGTAGACTCATGTATGATTCTTCACAAGACTCTTATATCGACATTTTACAAAGAAATGGTATCATTGCTGAACGAGTATCTGTTGAGGAAAAGAGAAAACTAGAATCACCACTCTCCAAAATGTTCACAAAATACTATTTCCATTTACAATATCAACAAAAGGAAAACACTGAAAATGATGGCCCAATATTAGTTACACACAAATCTCACTCAAATATGGAAAGATTTAATGTCGAAGATACTTTGGTTTTTAAAGTAGATTTTGTTTCGGTTTTACAATTGGTTGGAAATCGAAGCGTTTATATTCAAAATGGAAAAGCCTATTTGTTCTTACATGATCTCACTTCGTTGATAAAGCAACACTATAGAGCTAATTTAGCTGTAGCACTAGCAAAGATTCAATCTCTCTATCCAGAATATTTGAAAGAAGAAGAAAAGGATAGATTACTTCCTTTCCTTAGAGATGTTATTCCCGCAGCCAGTGAAGGAAAATCTCTCTTCTCCAATACAACGTCTTTCATGAGCACTGGAGAAGTGAAACCAGAACAAATTGATGCTTTGAGCAAACAGAGCTTCCCACTTTGTATGAGAGTATTGTACAAGGAGCTGAAAGAAAAACACCATTTGAAGCACTATGGCAGAATGCAGTTTGGTCTTTTCCTTAAAGGAATTGGCCTTAAACTAGAGGACGCTTTACAATTTTGGAAAGATCACTTTACTGCAGACAATACCATGACCTCGGACTCATTTGACAAGCAATATGCATATAATATTAGGCACAACTATGGTAAGGAAGGTAAAAAGACCAACTATTCTCCATATGGATGCACCAAAATTATTAACAACCCTGAATATGTATGCCCTTTTAAAGTTTTCAAACCAGAAGAATTGAGAAATGAAATTCGATCTTATGGGGGTGGATCGTCTTTTGATGAAAAAGAAGTTCAGGAGGTTGTTGATCTTGCCAAGGATCATCACTATCAGTTGGCGTGTAGACGATTCTTTGAGTTGAGTCATGGAATTCAGAAGAAGGCAAACAATATGCAGCTCATTGATAAGGAAGACGATGGTGTACCATTTAGTCATCCTAATTCTTATTTCTCCAAATCAGTTAAATGGCTGCGAGAGAAGAACTCGGCTCATAGTGCACAGCCAGCCGCAGCCTCTTCCTCTTCTGACCAAGAACCAGCCACAGCTACTGATTTAAACGAAACCAACTCAATGCAAGATGAATAGTAACATGTATTTATAGTTAATGGAGCTTGTTGTCAATTTCGAAATAAGGAAGTAATTGCTCCTTATCTTCTTGACTGGCATTGGTCCTAATAAATGCAATACTCTTTTCCAGAATGTCTCTAGCTTCTGAAACAAAGGAGTATGATGTGTTTGGATATCTTGCACATTCCTTTAAGAACAAGGCTGTCTTTTCCATCAAGTCCATTCTGTCGAAATCAGAAATTACTTTTTCAACAAAACTCTTTAGAGATCGTTCTTGCTTCGTCCAACAGTGCTCTATTTCTTCTCCAAGAATTGACGTCTTATGGTCGGCAAACATGAAACTTAACAGTGAAAGCATAAATTTGGAAAGGATGTTATCGTCATTTTCATAGTGCAAAATGTTGGTAATCGATTCAATTACATGATGATGAGCAAAATTCTCTAATGTTTTGGGCTGGTTTGAGCTCAAAGCAACAAATGCTGTTCCTAGTTTTTTCAAAAGCGCCTTGCTTTGTTTGTCGTAGTGCTTCAACTTATCTTCCAAATATGCAAAAAATCGTACTTGGTATAAATCCTCCACTTGTACAATAGGATTATTGTGTAAGCATGTACATAAAAGTTGCAGTGCAGATAAAACAATTTCTGGGTCATCTGCTCTTGGATCAGGATGTAATCGAGAAAGAAAATGTTCAAACACGTATTCGGTTCCCCCATTTTGTGGAAATCTATTGCAAAATCAATTTTGCTTGTGATATCGTCTATCGTTTCCATGGCTTCTAGCGTTTCATCTACTGACGAATTGGTATTTTGCAATATTTCATTCGCTTTTTTCATCACTGTAAAAGGATCACTGCTTTTCATTTGTGATGCAATGTACTCTAAAACTTCTCGTTGTTGTGGAGTTAACGACACTGTTGTTCCTTGCTGTTGATGATGAGCAGCTTGACTTCTTAACAATTCCGGTGAGGAATTTGCTACTGCCCAGTCAAAGAGTTGTTTCATTGGGTCTCCGTTGTTTGGCATCATTTTTGTTGTTTTTTTTGTTTGAAGCAGTGTTGTTGAGAGAATTTTGCAATTTTAAATTGGTTCTTTCGGAAAACTTCTTCCTTCAGAAATCCGACGATTCCGATTTCCTTCATCATTTAAAAATGACAACGTTTGACACTTTCACTCGCTGTGTGTAAACTTTTGTTATAATTATTATTTAAAACAACCAATTTGACAGAACTAAATACGCAACAAGAGTAGTCAACGGTGATCAACATACGCTAACAAATTTTATTTGGTATTTCTTAAAAAAAATATCGTGCTCGTTTATCATGGACAAGGTGAAAGAAATTCGTAATAATTTTCCTGATACCACAGAGGTATCATTGGAAAGTTGTGGATTGAGCTCTCTAGATGATGTTTTAAATGTCTTGGGAGAGTTGGTAAATTTGAGGGTATTGAGACTAAGCAACAATAGGCTAACCAAACTCCCGACAGACATGAGCAGACTAAGCAAAGTGGAATACCTTGATTTAACTGGCAATCATTTTGATAGCATTGATGATATTTTGCCTGGTCTTTGCTCCCTACCCATGCTTAAACATTTGGACATTACCATGGCTGAGGCAGATGAAGACGAACTTATTATAAATCTGGCAAATCTTCTTACGTTCAACGGTACTCCTCTGACAGATATTCCTGATCAGAAATATGAGTACAATGAGGAGAGTGTATCCCCAATTAAAGCTACTGATGAAAAGGACTCGGTACAAAATCCAATGTTTATTGAGGTGAATGACTCAGATTTTGACAGTAAGTAATACTTGTGCTTGTGTTTCTCTACGTAATCAACAATACTTTAAGGCTCACGAAAATTGTTTGAGGCAACTCAGCTTTATCTAGGTCTTCGAGAAAGCTTTGTTCATCATACAGCTGATGTAGTATCTGAGCTCAAGCAAAGGACAAAAACTGAAACCGATCCTATAAGATACCACAATGAAGTAACAAACGCCAATAGAATTATTTTCGACAGATGCTTTGAATCCATCATCGCTCAAGTTTCCAGGAACGACAAAAAGCTTGCTTCTATTATGATGATTCTGAAGAATTCATACAGTGGATTGCTAGAAGACTCATACAACTTTATGGATCAGTCCATTCAAGAGTTCGGAAAAAGAGTCAGATCAATGCAAAAAGATTTGGATGGTGCAGGTAAGTATTTCATCCTCATCACTGTTATTCATCTCACCTCAAATAGATCAAGAGATTGGCCAACTTCTAGAAGCTGCAGAAGCTTTGCAACAAACAGCGTCCGACAGCGAAAGTGCAAAGAGAAAGATTTTAGTTGGTTGGGAGAAAGAAAGAGAGCAGTTGGGAGAGGAAATTGGATTCCTTAAGAACGAGCTTGAAAGTAAGTGTTTGAAATGGCAGTTTTAATATTTACGTTCTCCAGAATACAAGAATAGATTGACGCAATTCCAGCTCAACAAACAAAAGATTGCAACTCAAATAACCACATCACCTTCAAAGATTCTCAAAAGCGTTTCACCATCTAACAATTCATTCAAGATTTCGCAATTGACAATCAACACAAACACAAAATCGCTAACACTTCGTCAACTAAAGGACACAATTGAGGAGATTTATGCTTCCAAACAAAAGTTTGACGAAAAGTGTTCAGAAAACAAGTTGCCACGAGAAACAATGGAGCAGTATTTGTATACTTTCCTTAACCAAAAATATGGGCTTAAAAACTTAATTTTGGAGTATGCATCTTCAATAATTCAAGGAGTGAAAAGATACAGCCATGAGGACAATGATGTAGCTGTATTTGGAAAGATTATCAGAAATGAGATAGATGAAGAATTCAGATTTGTTCAGAAGCAGCTCAAAGAAACGGTATCTGAACTGCTAAAAGTATTCCTTAGAGGAAAGTACGCTAAAAAGCTTGATTCAGAAATTTCAGCTATGCATCAACAAAGAATGAATGGAGAGTTAAATGAAGAGGAATGGGTAGACATTGTAAAGTATATGTACAACAAAGAGGACTCACTGAACATAATAATGAAGGTAACTGAAGCAGTTCAAGCTATTCAAACAAAGCTGAACAGAGGTAACAGTAGAATATCATCTCCATCAAAATCAATTGGTGTTTCCAACAAGATTCCATTCAAGATCTTTATGAAGGTATTGCTAACCTATCAGCTCAGAGGCCATGAACAATTTTTGTACAAGTTTGTTAAGCTTTTTAGACAAGTTGATTCTGACAAGAATGGAGTATTGAGCGAGAGTGAGTTCAAACAACTCTTAGCAACCATCAATCCGAATAGAACCGAAACAGAGTACAACCAGTGGCTCAACTACGTGGATCCATGGAACAATCAGCAAATTACATTCTCTGAATGTGTCACATTCTTGTCAGCTGAGTTGTTGAAATTGGTAAATGAAAAGACCTCCCAAGGCACAAACGAATCTGATGCAATAGAAGAACAGGAAGAGTACGACTTTGAATCCAATGCAAATGAAGAAATGTAAGACTGTACAAAAGTGAAGGTAGAACGATTTACTCATCCAAATCCTCTATTTTCTTTTTCTTTTCTTTTTTCTCTTTCTTTTCTTTTCTCTTTCTCTTCTTTTCAGATTCTGTGGAGGCTGTTGTGTTAATTGTTGGTGAGCTTGTTTCTCCCAAATCCAAATTTTTCTTAGTCTTTTCGTTCGACTTGGTTTCGCTAGTTAAAGGGCTTTTTCCTAGAATTGCAGCCAAGTCCTCTTGTGAATAATTGCTTGTCATTTTCGATCGTGCTCTTCTGTGATGGTGAATTCTGTTTGTTTTTGTCTTTGGTTCTTCTTCTGTTTTGGATTTCTCAGTTGATTCATCTTCACTGCTCGAAGAATCTTGTTTTGTGGTTGTCTTTAATCGTTCTAATACTTCCGAGAAGGAAGACATCTTTTGACACACTGTACGTTCCTTCTTGGCTTCTTCATGTGCACCAATTCCTGCTGTATCTGTTTTAAACGCAACTTTTACATGCTCTGTCATTCCATCTCTCTTTTTTCCAAGTCCATCACCTTCTTTCCACCCCATCTTTTCCAACAGTTTAAATCCGAGACGTGATTTATCTTCGGCCCATCGCTTGTTGTTTGGGTCGTCCTTGAACATGAATTTTGCACTCTTGTATTTTGGCATTTTTTATTATTTGATCCTCCAACAAAAATTTGATGTTCTGCAGACCAACATTCTAAAATGAAGAAAAACTCAGCGTAAAATTATGTGATGAAAAACTCACTATTCATCGCTTGCTGTCACAATTTTGAGTGTCATGTTTGGTATAAATACTCGTTCAATTTCACGCTCTTGCTTCTCTTCATTGTCAGAATCAGAGATCTCTGTTTCTTGACGATTAAATCTTGCACTATGATACTCTTCTTCGTCTATGAAATTACCGAAACACATTCTTTCAACAAATTCATTCCATTCTCGACAGACACATCGAGGTGGAGGAACATCATTTTCATATTCATCAACTTCTAACAGATAAATTTCTTGAGGTTTTTCGCAATGCCATGCATAGTAAAGAGTTTCTTCGATGGAATCTCTCCCAAAAACAATCATCTTACTGAATTGTGAATCATAATATTGACGGAGAAGAGTTTGTTTGATTTCATTTGATTCATCAAGTGGATCTAAATCACTATTTTCTTCCAAATCATCATTTGTAATTTCTTCTTGTTGTGGATTCAACATTCTGTGAAATACATTTTGAATTCGTTTGGTGTGAAATCGGATATCAAATTGATGAAAAGTAGATCCAGGGTAAAGACCGTAGATATGAACTCTTCCTAATTTTCCACTTCCGAATGTTTTCATGAAATTAATGTACTCCTTTAAATCATCATTTGGGTGTAGTAAATTCAGAGATTTGACTTGCTCCCATAATTCATCTTCCGATGGAATGTTAACTTGTGTGAGCGTTGGAATATTACGGAGTCTAACTTCGAATTGAGACATTTTTTGGGATCATGATTCACCAAAGAAATCTATCTCAAATCTTCTTTCAGAGTCAACAACCAATGTCCATGCTTTAGAAATAAGTCTCTCTTGTGATCTCTCTCAGCAATCCACTTGTCGAGTTGATGTTGGAATGCATGGATCTTTTGTTGAAGCAGTCTTCTTCTCTTTTCTGTTTGTTTGAAATAACAAGTCCATTTGTGAAATATTGAGGACTGATAACTTGTCTCATTTAGAGATATGTTGTCATCAATTTCGATCAATGGCTTGACCTTTTCAGCTTCAAGAGACTGCTTATTTTGCATTTCTAGTTTCTTGTGAATTTGTGCTAATTCATCTTCTATCCTGTTAAGCACAGTAGAAATAGTCTTTTTCCCAAAATCCTGAGATGAGCTGCTACTACTTGTGCTTGAAATGCTTGCAGGTGAGTCCAAAATTTCACACGAAATTTCGAAATGGTTGGGTTCTACAATACTGTCCTCCAATAACTTGATTTTTTGTTTCCTCAATTTGATCATGTTTTGAATCTCGTTCACTCGCTTCACATCATTGTTAAGACTATGGGCTTGTTTTTCCAAATGGTGTTTGACGCTTTTCAAAATTCTGCTTGTGTATGGTTGTGACCCATCATCGATAGTGCTCGAGTTAATAACATCGGATTTCCACTCTTGTCTTGCTTGTTCAAGAGCTGCTTGACGAGATCGAATGGTTTCTTTCTCTTGTTCACAAAATTCCTTAACCTTCTTAAGTTTTGTTTTTTCTTCAGAAATTTTCTTTTCAACCTTCTCCTTATAGATATAATATTCTGAACTATGTTTCTTGTTAATTTGAGGGGGTGTATTTTCTTTCATTGGAATAGGACTTAGGAGAGGACTGTCGATCTTGGGAGTATCGCCACTCTTATGTTTGACAAGAATAGGTTTAAGAGGCGTTTTAACTGTGTTGTTACTCTTGTTCTCTGGAGACTTGTCTTTTGTAGGTTCACACTGCGTACCCATTTCAGCTTTTGTGGAAGAGCTGTGTTCAACAGTTTGAGAAGTACTCTCTCGCGTCTGTACTTGTGTGGTTTGAGTGAATCGGTCGAAGGATTGTGTCGTTGGGTGTTCTCTTTGCACTGCGTATTGTGCATTTGTTTGAGTGGTAGAATCTTTGAGGGACACACTATGGCCAGCATTGCAACCTGTTGAAACCAACTGTACTTTCAAAGTTTGTGATTCTATGGATATTACTCGAGGAGTGTCAGTTTGTGCCCATGCCGACTTAGTGGAGCATGTGCTAACAGGAGTTAGAACTGTCTGTACAGCAGCAGAACAAGAGCTAATTCTAATACTTTCTTCAAAATCAGTTTGAGATTCCATTGTGTTTCTCTCCTTTGGGATTGTCTTGTTATTTTTCAGTTTCATGTTCTCTTCGTAAAGCTCATCTGCCTCTTGTCTTGCAAGAGCAATTTGTTTTCTGTTCTCGATAAACATATCTTGAACTATTAGTTTGTGTTTGTTTGTAAGCTCCTCCTCTTTTTCAGCAAGCGATTTCTCTAACTTCTTTGAAAATTCGTCGTCTAATCTTGATTTTTGTTCTTCCAATTCCTTCTCAAGCTGTTCATGAACAACATGAAGCGTGTTAATTTTTCTCTGTAGTTCAAGTTTCTCCTTAGTCGAAGATTCCAATTGCTGTTCTAGCAGGGATATTTTCTCTTGAAGTTTTTGAAGCTCCATTGGTGACGTGTTTCGTGAAGAAGCGCTCGACATTGAACTAGAATCATCGTTAAGCTTTTTTTTCGACAATAAATCTCCTTCCGATTGCCTCATCAACGGCTCCAGCTTTCCTAATTGCTTCTTTTTTGTTTTCGATTTTGGTTTTTTAGAGGCAGTTTTCTTCATTCTCTCTTCCTTTACTTTTTGCTTGTAATAAGCGTCCAATGGATGATCCCATATCGACTCTCCAGTGTGAAAATTAAAGTAATAGAGTTGACCATCGCTTTGACATGGTCTCCATCCATCTGGAAGTGGTGCCTTTATCCCCTCTCTTGCAATGTCCAACAATTCGGGCTCCAATTGTGGATCAATTCCTAAAAATTCTGCGTATTTAAGAACATCTTCTTCCGTTGGCTCCTCTTGTTCAATCAAAACGTCGTCCCCTTCTGCCAAGTCATCGTCCATTTTTTTTAACTTGCCAACGCCCAGTTTTAATGGCGGTAGAAATACGCGCTAAATTTTTTACAATTTTTAGATATTTTTGAAATCTCCACCTCAAGGTTTGAACTCAATAAAACAACAACTTTGAAAGTTTAAACTTTGGCAATTTCATTCATTTCTAAATCATTAGGAGAAGAAGGAGAGGTATTCATGGCAATTGACGGAGAGGAAGAGCTTTCAGGTAGGCTTAGCATCTCTTTCGAGAATGGAGGATGGTGTGATTGAGACAACGTACTCTGTTGTTTTGATATAGAATCTTCATTTCCTTCTTGATCATCTCTTTCGGTAGTGACCATAGTTGCTGAACTATGGTTGGATTCTTCAAGTAATGGATTAAACAATAACAATACAAAAATTGCAAATATTAAAATTCCAAAACATTGTAAAAAGTAATCAATCATATGTAAATCACTCGCAAAGAGAGAGGTAAGAGCACTCACAACACCAGCAACCAATTGTATCCAAGCGCTTGAGGTCATTCCGATCAAAAGTCCGACAATCTTGGCATATGGTTTTTGCAACACGTTTTTCAATGCGCTGTTGTTGATCTTCTTCATTTGCGTGATGGAGAGTGAATGCGATCGCACTAGCACAATTAATTTAATTCCAATTCCCAAGAACATGACTGTTTGTACAATGAGCATGAACAGAGTGATAAAAAAGAGGCATAATATTAAAGGTATGATGTTAATCTTGTCTTGTGTTCTAATTCGAGTGTATAAATTGAAATAAAATATTGTTGAGTAAAATCAGTATCGCTGCTACAATGCAGAAAATGATGGTTATGATGTTCACGAAATATTTGAGAATTTTGAACGCTTTTTTTGTCATTGCGCCTGCTAAAAGTACAGTTTTTAAACTTGCATTCACAACAGTAAGCTTCTTTTAGAGATCTATGTCATCTCTTTTAGCGAAAATCTCTCCCATTAACAAGTATTTAGTCTGGGGATAAAATACCGACTCTCATATATGGTCTGAATTACCGGACACTTCACAGGCTCCTGTTTCCATGTCTGTGAAGTCAAGTCCAATATCGACCACTACAAACATGACAAAACATTGACCTTGCGAGATACTTGTGAGAAATCCACGAACAATTTCTGATTCTAATTCGAAGTCGTCCCATTTCTATGTCCATAACTCGGTTTCCTATCTCCAGATAGTTATGCCACAAGGCACCCCAGCTATTGAAAGGAATTGGCCTCAAATCCAAGCTGTATTATTGACGGCAGACGCCACAAATACTTCCACCTTGACAAGATGGAAGACCAATGACTAACTTTGTTAGAATCACAACTGGATTAGGTGTACTTATTACATAGATAAATTTTGTTCTTGTTAATTCAAGTAAAACAAAACAATCATGACTTCAACAAAAACGGTAGGTTTTTTTTAACCTGTTGTTGTAGTTGGACGAAAAAATAACTCTCCCCCAAGTGGGCTCGAACCACTGACCTGCAGATTAACAGTCTGACGCTCTACCGACTGAGCTATGGGGGATGATGATCATTAGTTTTTTGTTCTTCTTTTAACACAAACAACAACAGCTGAAATTACATTTTGCAAGCAAAATAAAACCACAACAACGTGTTCTTTTCAAACCGTCATACTGAGCTACCTGTTGCTATGGATAAAGCCCTCTTTGAGTTAAGTGGGATTTTACTCCTAACCCATTTGAAGAAGCTATGGGAGTTCGATCTTAAATGTTAATACCGACTGAGCTATGGGGATTGTTGTTGCTAAAGATATTTGTAAAATGCTGACAACATTCCAAGCCCTTAATTATGGATGGTCTATCAGGTCCAACAGTACTGGCAATCATGACGGTTTTCGCTTTAGTACCGATTCTCATTCATAAATTTCATGCTGTAATGAGAGTTCAGTTTTCGAACATTGATTGTGCTACCAATGATTCTTAATGAAATTAACAAGCCTTGGAGATGTATTAATTTGGAGCGATTCTTGTTGATACTGTCTGTTCGCGAAATGAACTCTGGTTCAGCGGGAACCGTTCAGTTCTTTGAGGGCTGTTTTTTGTATCGATTCAAAAAAAAAAAACTCTCAATACACTGCTTGAATTGTTTGACCAACAAACTGTACAGGAACCGTTTCACCACTTCTCTCTGTTAGGTAACATGCTTAAAGGTGCAAATACCAGTCCTCCTGCAACAAATAACTGCTCCTCAACATATTTGCAATCGGGTGAAAATTCGATCGACCTTAATGACCACCCTGGTTGCAGAGTCGAATCGTCTCAGGTCGGGCAGTCATTGCCTGCGACTATCACCCCTTCTGCGGTCAATCCTGGGGTCGTGATTTTACCACCACCAGCGGAGCATCACGAGTCCGAGCATAGCCCCTCCAACTTTGTACAATTCACTCCATCCTTTTATGGTGTTACCTTTGCTGAAGGAGTTAGTTGTCCTGCGATCGTGTTGGATCAACAACAACATCAAGTACCCAACATGCTCACGCTACCCACGCCGCACAGCTCGTTCGACCATCATCATGCTGAGCCATCTCAATTAGTACCTCAAGACTTGCCCAAAACGACCCAAAAGGAAAATTTAGCTATCATCTCCCTTAATAAGATATCCTCACTTCCTAATTACACAAGCAACCAACAGCATCCAACAACAACAAATTCTACAAACCAAAAACAATATTCCTCATCGGTGGCAGTAAAAGAGAACCTTTCAGGCGTGAATAACCACAACATTGGCCAAAACATGGTGATTGAATGCCACGGAAATGAAAAACCCTTAGTATTGAATTCAGAGCAACACAATTCTCCCGTTCAACATGATGGAACGAGTCAATATCGAGAGCCTTGCTATGCACATCACCATCCTCCTCCTCTTCTTCATGGATGTTATAGTTCCATGGCACCACATACTGCATACACGATGATCGACCAGGCTGGTTCCACTCCATTTCAGCATCACCAACAGATCAATTGTACCATGCACCCAAGATATACTACAGAAGGTATAGTACACTCACAGCATTCGCCTTTCAGAATGGTAGAATCTTCTTTCAACAACGAAAGCAACAACGAAAATATCCATGGCATGTATGATGCAACTACCCTATCCATGGATGGCAACATGCACAAAGAAAGCCTTTCTCATACTTACAATTTGCAGCAAATTCACTATCCTTCTCCTCTCTCACTAGCACAACCAACCAGTATATCATCTTTGCAACGTAATGCTTCATCATTGCTTCCTTTAGGAAATTCAACCAATCTTGCGAGCGATAATTTCTCAAAAGAGAATGGTATGAATCTTAGAGAGCTGCCACACCATTATTCGGAAGAATCCAAGTTGCCACAACATTTAGAAGAATCAACTTCCAAAGTCAAGCAAACATCATCAATTCCTCCAATTGGCATGCTTAAGGCAACGTCCATAGGGAAGAAAGTCAATGGCAGATATACCAAGCTTCGGAAGCAATTAAGATCATTTGGAGGAGACTTTACGGATAATTACTTTGTGTTGGATATTGCAGCAACAACAGCATCGGCATCAAATGTTACTTTCAAGAATGCTGCAAATGATGGCACCACTATGCCATCCATGCCTCCATCTAAAATTACAAAGAAACACAAGTATGATCTATCCAATACAGCCTCACACCACATATTAAGTACTGAACCACAACAACGTGAGAGAAAAACATCATCGCGTAGTGTTGCTGCTGGTCGTTCAAAACAAAAGTCCAACCCAACAACATTAATGAACAATTTTGAACTCACAACACATTCCATTCAACAGCAGCAACACATTCCAATCATACCATCCTCTCCTCAACATCATGATTCATCTTCAAGAAAGATCTTCTCTCATGCATCGAGTGATATCATGAATGAAATGTGTCCTTCTCCCTCAACATCTAGTTACTTGTATCATAGTCAAAGTTTACATCAAATTCCTCCTTTTATATCATCTCCACAACAGTCCAATCCTTCACAGCCATTTTCTTCATCAACTCCTCAACCGTACGTTCCATATTCTTCGATGCCTGCGGCTGACTTGGTCAATAGACCACCAACATCGATATTGCCTGATGTACATGGTTCCTTAAAGGATGCCACCCATTCTGAATCAATTCAGACTACAATGGAAAGTCAGCATCAGCATCTGCAACCATCGATGTCATCAACAATAAGGCAACAAGTTGTACCCATACATCATTCAATCTATCGACTCAATGAAACAGTTGCCACACAGTATGATGAAAATCACCATCGGCATATGTCTGATTATTACAGTTCTATTCGAACGCAGAACAGAACATCTTGTGTAAACACAACCTTTGAATCCAATGAGCGTCATGAGGAAACATCTCAAGCGTTACTGAACTTTTTGGTAACCCTTAATTCTTCAAATGCTACAACACAGGTGATGGATGAACAATTAGGTATTTCCTCAATGCTCATGTCTCAGAAAGAAAGTAATCATCCTCAACAACAATCAAGTACTAATTCAGCACTCACTTTAGTTGATCACCCTCGTAATCCTTCTCGTACGTCTTCATCACTGATTGAACAGATAGACCTCATGCCACCTGAAGACAAATCCTTATATCTTAGTATGCTTTTGAATGAATTAAAGGAGCAAAACAGCAACAAGTAAAACAATGCTTTTCAAACTATCAAAAGCGAAAAGACATCACTCTTCACTTGTCAATTCAAAAAAATCATCAAAATGAACGACACAGAGAAGTTAATTATGATCATATTCTGCATCTTTTTGCCTCCCGTAGCAGTGGCATGTGTAAGTATTTAATGATTAGATGATCACTCATTATTCCTTGTAATAATATTTAAACTTCACAACTTTTCACACAATTATTAATCAATTCTTTCCAACTGTCAAAAGTCTCGAGGTCTTCATCTTCATTTATACCTCAACATTCTCCTCACGTTGCTTGGATTGATTCCAGGTATTATTCACGCTTTCTGTGTTGTATTTTCCATCTTTTAAATGGTTTCGTTCAATGTGTAGAATCCGCATCAACAATAAACACCATCCACAAGTGTCCGCACACCTTTCATTTTTCATGTAATTTTTAATCGATTCAACTGTTTCATCATGACAATTCTTGAAAAGAATGAAAGAGGTGAAATTGTTTTATTGATCGAATATTTTTAAAAAAAAATCAACAAAAATGCTGCAAGCCTCCCACACATCATCAAAGAAAGTTACTTTCGGATCGGAATTGAATGACGATCAGCCTCAAGATCTTGAGGAATGGAATCAGGAAAAGAAACCTCTAAATACACAAGTAAAGAAAAGAAGTACGAGATTTAAAAATGTAAAGGGAGGAAAATCACAAACAAGAGCATTGGAAATTAAAAATCAAAAGGCTATACTTATTTACAACAAGTTGATAGATGATGCCATCCAAAAGATTATTTTCTCTCTCATTGACCAAGAGGAAGTCTCAGAGTTATATTTGGATTTTGTTTGCCAACTATTACAACCTTTACATTTTGAAAATGTTTTGGAAGAGAGAAATGCTTCGGGATGGTGCGGAAACCCTCTATGCCCAAACGAGATTGACCAAGAAGAGCTTGGAAAAAATCCAAAATATTACATTGACATGAAGAGTCTCAAGCTTGTTGACGTTTCAGACTTTTCGCGGAGATTGTTTTGTTGTGAAAATTGTAAAAAAGTTGCTTTTAACAAAATGAACGCTTGTAGCACTACCATTCCTTACACAAGAAATTGCAGCAAGCTTTTATCAATGTTATTTCCTGAAATTGGAGAGGACAAACTTAATTTAATGATTAATAAGGCAAAGCAATTGGCTCTAGAAGATAAAACAGCCACTATAGCATTGAATGTCAAGGAAAATTCAAACCCAAAAAAACCAAGCATTGGAGCTCACGATCCTCTAAACTGTGAAAGTGATTCAATAGAAGGATTTAAACCTAAAATTAATAGCCAAACACAACTTGAGGAGAATAATAAGACCCCTAATATTAAGAAAATTGGATATTTCTTCGAATCGTGTAGCGAAAGTGATGGTGAAGAAGAATTCGATATGAGTGAGATCAAATTAGATGACTTTCAAGAGTTATGGACTTTATTTTCTCGTCTAGTAACAAAAAGCACAATAAGATTTTTTCAAGATTTCGACATTGGAACGTCACATGAACCAGTTCCACAGCACGGTACTAGCACCTCCGACAGCAAAAAAGAGAAGGCGAACGAATTGAGTGGTCTTAGTTACGAAGAAATGAAAATATATCAGGAACTGTACAAAGAAGTTGGTATCGACATTTCCGAAGATGTTGAGTCAGTAAAACCAACTGCCACCTACGAAATTTATAGCGAAGATGGAGCAACCATTAAGGAGGAAGTTCATCTAGAGCGATTTCAAGTGTTGTCTCAGTCTTTGATAGATATTGTACCAAAAATATGCGATTCCATAGGGCACACAAACTACGGTAAAATTAGAAAGCAATTCAACGATCTACTCTCAACATTTAGCTATGAATATTCGTTACCCTCCCTAGATGGAAAGAAGCTCAAAATTATTGGATACATTTTTCTCAAGTTGCTGGCCATAAAAGATAAGGATTTTATGGAAAATTTGGTGAACCTCAAAGACAAACAAACACCCGAGTTATTCGCTCCAAACCAGATTCCCCATAAAAGCAGCTCAAAGGTGAAAAGACCCCAAAAAAGATTATCTTTGGAGGAGCAACTGAATCTGCTGGAGGAATGCAAAGCAAACTTGACCGAGCATATGGAAAGCTATGGAATCAAAGAGTCACAACAAGGTCTATTGACAGATGTTATACTTTTTGGAGTGTATTAAATGATTGTTTGCTTCTCAAAATCTAGTTTAAATTTTTAAGTTTACATACTTTACGCATTATTCATGTAACAACAGCTCTGTTGCCAAGTGGATATCATTATTTGCTTGTCGCAATGCAATTTCACATTGAGTACGAGAAAATCCCATGTTCATTAATTGCTGGATATTATCTTCGGATACATTGCTGTGCAAATTCGATAAATGGTCATCGTGAGAGAAATTGTCATGCATAATATTTTGGGGCTGTTGTTGATTTCCTTGATTGCTGGAAGTTATGTTTCTATTTACAGTTGAGATAGATCTGGTTGATGAAGACTGGTAATTGGTTGCTTGAATTAAAGGCTTCACAACCTCAGATGCAAACTTTACAAGAAATGCAGGGAATTTAAATTTTCTATCCAGCTTGAAAATATTACATAACAGGTATTGGTACACAGTACCTGAAATAATACCACTGACTGCTGGTAATAGAGAATGAGGAAAGTTGGTCAACAGAAATTGGATAACCAACAAATAAATTGTTTGCTTGTCACTGATAGGGACAATGTTGAATATTTTCATATGTGCCGTCGGTGGAATTTCGAAAATATAAACAATCAATGCGGCAAACATAAATCCATAGGGTCCACTTATCAGAGGTTTTCTATTTTGATTTAGGGTCCAGTTCAATAAATAATTAAGAATTAACGAAGAGTAAGTGGAAAATAAAAAGAATTTCTGTTCATATTGAACGGTAATGATGAACCAAGACATTATTACTGCTTTTTCAACTTACTACACGAAAATAATAATCTCGATGAATAATTCAACACAAAGCCTGCAACATACCTGCAAATTTCTGTGTTCCCCAATGTCTTTCAAACAATCGGAAAAAGTAAATCACAATACAACCAAGCAACAATTCAATAGTTGATGAAAAAACAAAATGTCCGCTGAACCCGTATTGTATGGTCGATAGTACAAGAGATGATTTTTGAGAAAATTCCAATTTATCCCTTCCGATAATTGCTTTCATGAAATTCATTAGCAAGATCAGGCCCAGCAATGCTTTGGAAAACGGTGCATTCACGAAACCTGTCCTACTGGATTGCATCATTTTTTTGTGCTATTTTTGTTGGCAAGTACCATTGAAACTATGGTATTGCATTATTTACAACTCTATTTAATAATGTTTTGAATGGGAAATGATCATTGCAATGATGCCAGATGCTTAAAAAGAGTCTGCTGGACAGGTCAAACCTGCTTTTAGTTTTTCCACTTTCACTTTGTAAAGATTAAGGCAGTAAGAGTACCACAGCGAACTTGCAGCAATAATGAATGCATGCCAAATGTTGTGAGATGAGAGGAATAAATCAAATTTGCCTGGAAATAAGCGCTCTGGCATTTTGGTCAGCCAAAATAAAAGACCAATTCCATACAATGATACTGTTATGATAATTCCAATGAAAAATTCTTGATTGAATTCTGAATGAAATCCACCTGTATACTCTTGTTTGAGTGGAAGAATAAATAATAGAAAGTGGCTAATAGGAATAATAGCACTCAATACCATCGAGATAAATAATACAGTTCTTACAATTCTAAATATTTTGAGAGCTCTTGGGCTTTTGAAGGGCAAACAGGGGAAAATCATTCCTACAATAGCAAACAATCCTATTGAGCTGATATAGACAATTTGCCATCCAACATAGCAATAAAGATTGAAGTAAAGAGCAGGAATAATACTGCTTCCAATTAGTCCGCTAATTGCAGAAATGTCACAACGATAAGAAATACTCCAAATCTTCTTTGAGTGACAGCTTAATGTATGATACATGGTTGAACAGAAAAAACAATTAATAGCCATTCCGAGATAAATCATAATTATGAACATATCTAAAATATTTTGCGCATTGGCACCTGTGTTGTGAACAATAACCATAAAATAAATAGTATAAAAAACAAGAGCTAAAAATCCAAAAATTGGTACTAAATGGGTCCAAATATTCACTGTCTCATTGTGAAATTTAAAGATGCTCTGTAAACATAATTTGAGAGAGAAGTACTTTCGGTAGTGTCCTCTTATGTAGGGATTATTACGTAAAAAATCTATCAATGAAAGTGTACCTGTCATCCTGAGAGAATTGCCATACTTACCTGGTGTTTCATCAAAGGTACATAGACAAAATTGAGTCTGAAATTTGATTGGCTTTCCTGAATCTTCTTGGTTGTGAGGGTTCTTTGGAGTAGCATCATGAGCATGATCATGTGATTCGCTTATCGAGTCATGCTCAATGAGTTTGTCTTGTTGCTCTTCGGTGTGTTGTGTCACAGCTTCGTGCATCTCATGGTGGCTGTCAATTTCTTGTTCAGTGTTAATATCCTCTCGTGAGCCAGTCCTTGAATGACTTTGTCTTTGAGGTTCTGACGGTTGTTCATCCTCTTCTTGTTCTTCTTCTTCCATAATCTCCTTGAATACATTGAAAGGTGTCACTGTGATGAGTTTTAATGCTTTTTTGCTCTTCTTCTTGGTTGCATGAGCAAATCTCTCTGCAACCTCTTCAATCTTATTGATAGTTCCTTCTTCTGTATGATTTGACGCTCCAAAACTGTGGTCAGTAACTTCATCACCGGTTGAAGTAAAATCTGTGGTACTGGTCTCTTCATGAAACGCATGATGTAGTTCTTGATGTATGTATTTTGGAAGATGATGTTTTTGTGTGGTTGTGTTTGGGTAATGATCAACATGTTGATTTTCGTTCAATTTTTCATCCTTATGCAACAATATTGTTGCGTGATGATCTTTTTCGTTATTTTCCGAAGATGAGGCTTTTGGAGAAAGAAGAGGAAGGATTGTTTCTTGGCTTTCTTTGGAAGAACATTCTTCTGTGTGTGGTTGAGTGCTCTCCTCGTTTGTTGTGTTCATCTTGTTGATGTATTGATCTTTAGAAAACAAGAGCGTTAGTGTGTTGTCAGTGCCATCAACCGGGCAAGGAATATATTTTTTATGAATTTGGAAGATTGAATATTCACTTTTTCCTTTGTTTGATTCGATGATGGAAGGTGATATCTTTATTGGTTTAAATAATGATTTGTTGTATTGAATACAACTCTTGTCTTTGTGCTGTGCTGGTTGCCACCAGTTATTGCATTATTAAAAAATGACAACAATCCCACCAACGTTACCGTCCACGAGTGGCGGTTTCGATTCATCATCGGGTGCAAGTGAAAACGCAACATCTCCCTTCGTGGATTCGACTCATCGGAAGAATTGGATATTTAGCAAGGATCAATTAAACGAAATTAGAAATAAATCGTTGGAAAAAGTTAGACAACAAATATTGGACCTCCAAGAAAAGTATTCAGAAAAGCTGAGTGAAAATGATTTACTATCACCGGAAGAGGAATCGTTGATTGTATTAAGATTTTCGGAAACGTTGTTACACATTTCTACGAAATTAATGTATCCCTTGCACGTGAAAGCCACCGCTCTAACTTATTTGAAACGTTTTTATTTAAAACACTCAATTATGGAATATGACATTGTTTTTATGATGCTCACCTGTATATTTCTCGCTACAAAGACAGAAGAAAAGTTTGTAGCTCTCGCACAGTTTCTTGAGAACGTAAACGCGGTTGTGTCTGATGCTGGAACCTTAACATCTCAATTTATTTTTAAGAATGAATTGATTCTATTACAAGGATTGGATTTTAACTTGATGGTCTATCATCCATATCGTTCGTTGTTTGCTTATGCTCATGATTTACATGATATGTATGGCAATGACGCAGATGTGCTTTATGAAGGAGCTCAGCAAAAAATTACAGAGCTCATCAAATCAACAGATACAATCTTTTTATACACGCCATCGGTGATTGCTCTCGCCAGTCTGTACATTGTTAGTACTGATGTTGCAAAGAACTTTATTTCAAAAATGTTCCCAACTCAAGAGGCACAATTATTGAGACAAGTAGAAGAAATTAAGACCATTTACCATTCATCAACACCAGAAAAATCTAAATTAAAAGCTGCTGACAAGAAGCTGAAAAAGGTTAGAAAAATTCTCAAGCCTCAACTTGAAGAATTAGAAGAACGCTATTTAGCTCAAATTGCAGAGGAACAACGTGTGAAAAGAGAAGAAAAGTATCGCAAAAGAGATCTACAACAGCAGCTTGAACAAAAGAAATTCTTGTAACTCTAGAACAACGTTAGACAGTGTCTACTTTTTAGAACACATTTTACAACTGTATGTTGGCTCTCGAATACAAACACCCATGCATAAAAGGGTATTTTTCTCAGATGCGATCCAATTTTGGAAAAAAACAAGTGTCATTAAAAAAAATTCAAAACACGACTTTTGGCAGTCCACCATGCCCTTTCCAAAAGAAATTCTTCGGTACACCGTTTGCAAAGTAAAAACAACGTTTGATGACAAATGGTCCGAGAGAGTGGTTGCTGTGACTAAAGAAGAAGTTTTGAACGTCGCTCATGGTGGTATTGGCTCCCGATTATTGTCTTCAAAAGCGAACCATAGTTTTGGCAGCAGTAGTATCTTTGGAGCTTCTTCTTCTTCGCTCGCTAATACAAGTGTTATCTATTCACTTGAAATTTATCATACAAAACACGAATCACAGATTAGAAATGCAATGGCTGCTTCTGCTACCAATTCCACTCATGTGCCATCGACACAACACTCTTCTCACAAAAACTCAAAACCAACACTAGAGCCAAAGAAAAAAGGAATACTCCATCGAGAAATTAGAATCATGTCTGGAAAAGAGTTTACCAATAGATTGAACACATTAATACTATTTTTTGAGCAACCTCTTTATTTAAATTTTAAAAAGGAATCTGATTATAAGGAATGGTTTGAATATTTAACAAAATTAATCAATGTTGAAGAGTCAGAAATGAAAGAAGGTATTGGTGCAATTATCGAGAGTATTACAGATGCTTGTGTGGTGAGTGACGCTGATGGAATTATTACAGGATTTAATGCACAAGCAGAAAAATTATTTGGTTATTCAAAAGAAGAAGTGGTCGATAAGAACGTTAATGTTTCAATTTTAATGCCAGACAGTTATGCAAAATATCATCAACAAATTTTGAATCGATACAACAAGCACAGAAATCGAGTTATTATTGGCAAACCTAGAAATTTTCTTGCCAAACATAAATTAGGTCACAAATTACCAATTACCATTAATCTCGGGGAAGTTCAAGACTCAAATCCTCAATCCAAGTTTAGATATATTGCCATGTTTAGAGATTCAATGGCCAAAGTATTAAATTATTCAGCAACAAGTGACTCGACTGCTCATGATACTCAACGATGTACTGACAAGCTCAAAATTCAAATTCAAAGAAAGACAAAAACTGAAATTTCAAAATTTGATCAAGACACATTGAGAATGGTAGAAGACTTGTTGAAAATGTTGCAATCTTTGGCAACCACCATTAACATTTTAGAAACTGAGAATGAACGTTTGGATCAATTGGCTCTCGAGTTACAAGAAAGAGAAGCCGTTGCAGAGAATCAGTTACGAGAAACTCAGAAAATCTCTCCAATCTATCAAATTTACAAGTATCTCACTGATAACATGTGCAATATTGAATCTTTAACATTTAAGGCTCAAGATCAACTCACACATGATTGTATTCTATGTTGGAAACACATTCAAATGTACAAAAAAGCAAGTCGAGCCTGTGACCAATTTAACAAATTTAAGAGTATCATGTCAAACGCTGGAGAATTAACCACACGAAGAGCACGATCAGGTTCTATTGTATCCTCCCACACAGAAGGAGGGTTAAACGAAAGTGAACAACAACTTTTTGAATCCATCACAAAATCAGAAGTGGTTTCGATGGCTGTTCAACTCTTTGATCGATTTTTAGTGAATTATGAAAAAGGAGAAGCACCCATCTCGAAGAACCGTTCGACCTCTCTCTCTCATAACAACACAGTGCTCAGAATTGTTACTCGTGAAGTGATTCCAGTCATCAAGAATGCTCTCATCAAATGGTCCAATACGAGCATGGAAAATCTTCCTTGTACCATCTCGTCAGAATTGTTTTATTTTGTGGAGAAGGATATTTTGGAATTCCTGAAAAACGATCCTATCAAAAACCAAGTATAAAGTTTTAACACCATGTTAAGTAGGGTTGAAAATTCAGTGATTATTATTACATCATTCGAAGTGTCCTCTTGAATTTTTGCCACGTTGAAACTCTTCCATGAAGTTGGTGAATTAAAAAAACAAATCACTCTGAAAAAAATGCTCAACAATCATCACCACACTCACCAATGCAGCCACGAAGGATGCGGACATCATCATGAGGAATTTGAACATGTATCGGATGAAGAAATGCACGATGAAGAAAATATTGAAGAGAACACACCAACAGTGGTGAAAGCCAAGCCTCAAGTGAAGCCTTCCACACTCGAATTAAAGTCGGAATTAGTCTCCAGAGAACCTCTCCCTTTACAACAACGCCCTATTGCCTGTATTGTGGTCGGAATGGCCGGATCGGGAAAAACAACTCTCATGCAACGAATTAACGCATACGTTTATGAAAAACAACATCCATCATATATTATTAATTTGGATCCTGCAGTATTGGACGTACCTTATGGTGCTAATATTGATATTAGAGATACAGTCAATTATAAGGAAGTCATGAAACAGTATAATCTAGGACCTAACGGAGGAATTTTAACATCTCTTAATTTATTTGCTACTCGTTTTGATCAGGTGATTGATTTAATTGATAGAAAATCGAGAACAGGTTTTGATGCAGGAATGTCTATGACTTCCAACTCTTTAGAAAAGAAGAAAAATCTTGAATATGTCTTCATTGATACTCCAGGACAAATTGAAATTTTCACTTGGTCGGCAAGTGGTCAAATCATTTCCGAAGGTTTAGCATCGTCTTTTCCAACATGTATCATTTACGTGATAGATACTAGCCGTAACACAAGCCCAATTACGTTCATGTCAAACATGTTATACGCATGTAGCATTCTTTACAAGACTCGTTTACCATTCTTGATTGTTTTCAACAAGATTGACGTTGTGAGACATGAATTTGTAAAGGAATGGATGAAAGATTATGAGGCTTTCCAAGACGCTCTTTCGAAGGACGAGAGTTACAGTAGCTCTTTGGCTCATTCCATGTCTCTTGTCTTGGATGAATTTTATGAAAATATTGATACTGTTGGTGTAAGTGCCATGACTGGAGAAGGAATGGATGAATTCTTCAAAATTATTAATGAAAAATCCAAAGAATATGAAGAAACATACTATCAAGATTTATTGGAACAGGAGAAACTCAAACAAGCTGAAAAACTCAAGCAACAAGAGGAAGATATGCGTCGTCTCGAACAAGACTTTAAACGATTCAATACTGCTTCCAAAAAAGCCCCAACAGAGGATGAGCAATTGCAAGATTTTCTACAAAACCTTAAAGAAGAGCAACACAAGTAACCTGTCCACCATGTTTTGACTTTCTGTATGCATGACCTTGTTTTTCAATCAACAATTAAAAAATACTCAACATTCAATCATCACAACAAACAACCTTCACACACACATGAGAGCCATCATTCAACGTGTAAACTCTGCCAGTGTTTCTGTATCCAATCAACTCATTAGTCAAATTCAAAAAGGACTCATGGTTCTCGTCGGAATTGAAAGATCCGACACTCAAGAAGATATGGATTACATTGTAAAAAAGATAATCAATACCAAAGTTTGGGATGATGAAAATATGAAACCATGGAATGCAAGTGTAAAAGATAAGGATTATGAAATTCTCCTCGTTTCTCAATTTACATTGTATCACAAATTTAAAGGAAACAAATTAGATTTTCACACAGCCATGAAAACCGAAGATGCAAAATATTTCTTTTCACAAACAGTGAAACAAGTTCAAGAACAATATAAAGCTGAAAAAGTGAAAGAAGGAGCATTTGGTGAATATATGAATGTGGCTTTGGAGAATGATGGACCTGTAACGATTATTGTAGATTCGAGAAATAGAAATACTGTTTAAATTTGTTATGATAACGATAAATTGAAATGTTTCAATAATTTATCAATGATTTTAACAAGGAATCGGTTCAGAACCTACTCGAGATATTTCCAAGCGTCGAAGATACCACACATGTTCATCATCCTGCTTGCATCTTCGAATCGAGTTTTGCACCTAGATCCAAATGGTATTCGATTAAGGAATTGTTGAGGTTTCAATGTCATTTGAATCTCATTCTGCATGATATATGAACACAACCTTTAAGACCAAAATGTCGAATAGATCACACAGTGAGTGAGGGTCACATTCAATCGTTTCGTGTTGCCCACGATGTCCACTTTTCCATTTTTGTACAAATTAAGAACATTGGAATTTTCGCGTTTTTTTAAAGTGGTTTAATCGCCAAATTTTTCTTCGGGCAGTTAACTGAGGGACATGCCAATGGTACGTGCATCTTTGTGGATGACGGCATCAAGACTCAAAAGCGTTGGAAGAAAGTCACACAACCATCCACACACAAAAAAAACAAGAATTACATCTATCACAACACCAAGCAATTAGCAAGATATTCCTCCAACTAGGTAATCCAGTGTCATCCTCATTCACAATTTTGCATAAACTCCCAAACTGCAACATCTAATTTGATTCTAAGCGAATTGTCGATTGAATCCTAAAATTAAATCAAATAATTGTTTCCTAACAATACCACAACAACAAACACACACAAGGAATGAATCATTCTCTTCATAACAATCACGTTCTTAGAAACCTCATGAACACCGCAGCTACCATGAAGCACCTCAAATCAGCGCTTTACAAATCGAACATGAATTATTGTTCTCAACAATTCCGATCCTCCACTTTACGATATTATCATACAAGCACACATTCCGATTTGCATCATTTTGCAGAAGTGAATCAGAAGGAAAAGTCACAACATGAAATTCTCGAAAAATTGCAACATCAACGTTCGCAGCAGCAATCACACAACAATATGTTCGGAAAATTGAAAGTTGATAAAGAAGGAGTTAAATACGAAATGACGGACAAGACGAATGAACCACAGCAGCAGCCACAGAATAAGGAACAACAATCAAACAAGTTTAAGAAGAGTTTGGAAAATTCTAGAGATTTGATGTGTAATAAGAAACGACATGATGTCTTGTTGCAACAAAAGTCAGAATATTTCTTGTATTTGTAAAATAATTTTATTAAACTGGACAGTGATCTTAATCCTTATCCTTGTTGGTAAGCTTGCTAAGGTATCGATTCACTCTGGTGAGTTCGTTGAGGTATACACTGTGAAGCCGGTTGAGATCACCAATACTCATGTCTCCAAGTTGAACGTCACTCAACGCTAGCTCTATTTGATCAATGTAGTCGCTGTTTTTCTGTTGAAAACTTTTACTATTTGACTCAAGCTGGTCCTTTTGTTTTCTCAAATGTAACGCTTGCTTCTCCACAGAGTCGAAACTCTTCACCAAAGAAGCATTGAAGGTTTTTGCTTCTTGCAACTCTTGTTGAAGACTCTGATAACGATTAGATGCAGCACTGGTTTTCTCGCGTTCTTCTTGTAGTTGTTGAACCAACTGTTCTACAGTAAAGTTATTCATCTTTTTTTCTTTAAAACTCCAAAACAAGAAAATTCTTAATTGGGCAAGCTAAAAAATGCACAAAATTATAATATTTCTACTTTGCTTGATAATTAGTCGAAATTTCGTCTCAGCTATTTCATCAAAGATTAGGACCTGCACGTCCGAAGAAAATTGTTCCTCTCTTCTTGAAATTCAATTAGCATTATCATTTGGAAATAACGAACAGTTGGAGTTCACAGTTGACTCCAGTGTAAACTCTAAGGGCGAAGTTATTCCTCATCTAGCAGTAAAGGGTAGTATCAAAAAGTCGCCCCCTGTCGCAATATATCCTTTGATCTACCAGAAGACTTTCAACGGGAAGCCTTCAGAAAGTATTATTTACAAGACAGATTTTCTGATCCCCAGCTGTGACGATTCTCCCAAAAGCAAGTCGCCCACCTGTGGTTGGACAAAAAACCAAAAGGGAGAAAATATAGAAGGCAGTCAAGGATTTTGCTGCTCTTGCAGCGCAGCCCAAATGGTGGGTATTGATAATGAAAGAAGCAGAGGGAACCTTAATTGTGGATTTTTACAAATGAAATCATCGGCTCATTGCATGAGGTTGCATGAAGTGGACTGGGACGGATATGAAATAGAACCGTTTACAACCAAATTCGAAATTACTGTCGACCTTGGAATTTTGGGTAAAGCAAAGGTGTCTCCTTTCACAAAGGTGGCCACATTAAACTCGGGAGGAAGCGTAGCTCTCAATGGAGATTTTTCGCAATACAAAGCGTTACCCACTTTTGAGTCCAAGATGCTTTTCGTGCCAGCATATCCGAAGAACCATCCAATTGTTCTCGAAGGGTCAAAGAACTGGATGCTGGTTGATAAAAATATGGTAACAATGAGTGGCTCGGAGTGTGATAAAATCGGAGTTAGTTTTTCTGCGTTCAGGAATCAACCAAATGCTTGTTCTCAGTTGCCGTTATCTTGCCTTGGTAACCAACTTGAAGATTTAAGACAAACAGACATTGCACTTATGAAGGAAGGGTCAAGATCTGGAAAATATATAATATCAAACTTTGGGTCCTTTTTGATGAATTCAACAGGAGCCCAGAAAACCTTAATCATGGATACATCAGAAGATACAAACTCAGTTCTGACAATTTTTGTAAACGCTGCCAGTGTACAGTTCCTATCTCAAAAAAGTGCAGGTCATATTGTGTCCGCTTTTGTTAAGCCATTTGTAGCCATGTCAAAGGAAGGGGAGATGCAAATAACTGTGTCAAACACTGGCACAAGTGAGTGTTCTTACATTATTACTATTACAGATTGTAGTGAAAATATTTTACCTATCTTGCAACAAAGGGTTGTCATCACACCAGCCGAAACAGTGACAGAACACTTTGAAATAAGAACGTCACACGAATTTGCAACATCCAACAGATGTAAAGTGACCTTGTTGTATTCTGATGGAGAAAAAATTCAAGACATTATTGTGGTGTTTGATTCTAAGGACTATGCGTTTGAGAAAGCTATTGATGGATCGATTGATCAGACAGGAAAAGTGAATATAGAAGGTGATCACTCAAATAGTCAATGCAAATGCAATTCTCCCTTTGATGTCATTTGCATTGTCCTACACAGTTGCATTGATTACATCATTGGATGGGTTGCTGCCATTGTTGGTATTATCACCATTCCAATCATTTTTGTTTTCATGTGGCGTTGTGGTCTCTTTGGTCTTCTCTTCCAATCGTGTAAATGTTGTGCGTGTTGTTGCTCTCTACTTCCAAGAGGTATTATGAAATGCTTAATTGGACCTTACAAGAAGAAGAAACATCGAAGGAAATCTAAAAAGTCTAAAAAGAAGAGAAACTCTTCAGAGAATAGTGAAAGAAAGTCCAAGAAAAAGAAGAAGCAACGAAAGAATAGATATAGAAATTCGATGAGAATGAATGATTCATTACCTTATCATCCTTCTTCGTATGTCATGATGAATCCGCAATCAATGGCAAGATATTTCAAACCAAGTCCATCCTATGAAATGAAAGAAATTGAATATGAGCCTGTGGCTAGATATTACAAGTAATATATATACACTTGTGATCAGAAATATTTCAAAAGATGTGAAAAATTTTCCATATTTCCAGAATTCATGTAAATATATATCAATATTACCATCCATGTACATATATTCCAACATGTATGTCATTCTACAGTTCATCATAACTATAAAATAATACATAAACTAGGACCTTCTGATGTATCGTCTTGATTTCGTCGATTTCGTTTTTGTGGCTTGTTCATAATGTTTTGACAAGCTTCTGGTGGAATTTGAGATGAATCAATTACTATGAAATCATTAAATTCGTCTTCTATCTGATTTTCAGAAGAAATGTGAGCCTCTACTGATGGTTGTTGTTGCTGCTGCATTTCTGTAGTGTGTTGAAGAGTGATAGTTCCAAGTTCAAATTTAGCATAAACCAATGATGCATTTTGCCAAATAGTATGAGGCTCTGGAAATTCAAATTCTTCAACATGTCCCAATTCTTTTGACTCGAGTACTTGTGGAACTGTTTCAGGTATCGTCTGATGATAAACCATTGTATTCTCGAGAGCATATTTCTCTTTAAATCGATTCAACTCGCTTTCCAAATAATTGAATTGATTTTCAAGATGGGTTTTGTCTTTGTTATCAAATAACATTTTCATGTATTCTTTTTTGATCGATTTTGATAAGCTGTCAAACATTTTCATTGCTTCATCTATTAATTTGATAGCTTTTCCATTTTCATCATTCTTGTTGTAATGAAATGCACTATACATGTGAGACATGATATCATACAATCTCACTTTCAAAAGTAAATAACTTTTCAACTTGGTCACACATGATTCATTTTGTGGAATTAATTTCAAAGCGTTTGAATACTTTTCAAACACAAATCGACATAATTTTGCAAGCGAGTCCAATTGAGTAATACCTTTCTCAGTGGCAATCTTAATGGCTACTTCCTGAGCTTGAGCTCTACTCAAGAGACTCATAAGTTTACACATATTCACAGAATTGCTTTGAACAAATTTCATGTTTGTTGGATTGGAGTGGTGAAATTGAGGAGATACATGACATTCACAGAATTTCCAAATAGAAGTTGCTTTCATCAACAATTGGAGACTTGTCTTGTAATCTGATTTCTCAGTGGCTGCCTGTGTTAAAGATACAGCAGCTGTAGAGAGCATCATGAGCATTTCGTAGAGAGCATCATTCGTTTCAACCTTTCCAAATGATTCATTCCACCAATCATAAATTGCAATATATTGTAAATGACTGAGAGTAGGCAATGCGTGAGTGTATTGCTCTGACTCAGTTAATGTATGAATTTGTTCTAAGGTTTTCACTTCCATGATGTCATCCTCTTCAGCAATTTCTTCCCGAATGAGAACCGCAGAGTCACCGTTTCCACTTGCACTCGCCTGGTATGGTTGAATTTCTGATGAGTTGTGATCATTAGCAAGATCGTTCGTGGAAGAATGAGCAACAACAACAACTGGTGAATCGGAGTTGCTTGTTCGAGGTGAAATGGACAAATTCCAAGCCAATCCACAAAATACAGAAAGGTAGTCCATAATTTTGTTACATAATTCTTCATTGTCTGTATGAATGGTTTTAAAAGGTATTGATGATGAATAATTATATGTTCGAATATAATAATCGGATGGTCATAATATTCAATTTATCTCTCAACAACAACACTTTTCAAAGTATCATCATCACAACCTACACTTCTTCTCTTTCATCATACCAATAACTGTGTTTCTCTTTTCCGATAACAGCTCAGCCAAATGCTCGTCGAATTTGGAGCAAAATTTGGAGAAGAGTTTGGTAAAGGAAATTTCTCTTGTTGTTCTCAACTGATGGACGCCATCTAGTGATGACTTCTTTCCTTCCGACGAGAATTCCACAAGCAAATAAAGTTGTGACATGATTTTTATGTGATGATTTTTTGAAATTAGAATACAAGCATAAGTTTAGAAATTAAAATGGATTGTTTAATTAGAACCACCTCTTAATCTCAACACAAGGTGGAGAGTGGATTCCTTTTGGATGTTATAATCAGAGAGGGTTCTTCCGTCTTCTAATTGTTTACCAGCGAAAATCAATCTTTGTTGATCTGGAGGAATACCTTCCTTGTCTTGAATCTTGCTCTTCACGTTCTCGATGGTATCGTTAGACTCAACTTCCAAAGTAATGGTTTTACCAGTGAGAGTTTTGACGAAAATTTGCATACCACCTCTCAATCTCAAAACCAAGTGCAAGGTTGATTCCTTTTGAATGTTATAATCGGACAAGGTTCTACCATCTTCGAGCTGCTTTCCTGCAAAGATAAGTCTTTGTTGGTCAGGTGGGATTCCTTCCTTATCTTGGATCTTAGACTTGACATTTTCAATAGTATCATTGGATTCAACTTCCAATGTGATGGTCTTTCCAGTCAAAGTCTTGACGAAAATTTGCATACCACCTCTGAGTCTGAGCACAAGGTGGAGAGTGGATTCCTTTTGAATGTTGTAATCAGAGAGGGTTCTTCCGTCTTCTAATTGTTTACCAGCGAAAATTAAACGTTGTTGATCAGGTGGAATACCTTCCTTGTCTTGAATCTTGGATTTAACGTTTTCAATGGTATCATTGGACTCAACCTCAAGAGTAATAGTCTTTCCGGTCAAGGTTTTAACGAAGATTTGCATACCTCCTCTCAATCTCAAGACCAAGTGGAGAGTGGATTCCTTTTGAATGTTGTAGTCGGATAATGTTCTTCCGTCTTCCAATTGCTTTCCTGCAAAGATCAAACGTTGTTGATCAGGAGGGATTCCTTCCTTGTCTTGGATCTTGCTCTTCACGTTCTCGATGGTGTCGTTGGATTCGACTTCAAGAGTGATAGTCTTACCAGTGAGAGTCTTGACGAAGATTTGCATCTTGGTAGTATTTTACAGTTGTTGTTGTTTGGATTGTTTTTTTTGATTTGTTTAGAAGCTGCTTTTAGAACAAGGCTTTATGAAGGTTTGACGATCATGTCTTGTATGAACTCGTCACTCTAAAAATAAATAATTGAGGGAAATACACAATGCGAGCGCTTCCGTTTACAAAAACACATCACCGAATCTGTTGTTGAAATTGGGAAAGTTGGTAATTGAAGCAACCTGCTTGAATGGATCATAATTAAACACGTTTTTACGCAAGAAGGAAAGATGGCAACACGTTATCTTTCTCATCAATTTTGTTCCTTCAATATTAGAGACCTCAACAAATGATCACGAGTTCTTAATTGTTTGAAACATGGGGAGATCAATATGAGTAGACGAGGTCACATCTTTGATGTGTGGTCCAATTTAATCCATCGTCCAGTCTGAATGATTGTGTTTGTCATCATCTCCTATCTCAATCACTTGTCATTTAAAATTCAAACAACTCCAAAAAATGAGCAAAAAACCAAAGAAGAGTGTATTTGGAGGCTTTTTTGGCTTCAGGAGTAGGTATTTCAACAATTGTTGTTATTGTTGAGAAGTAACTTGTTCAAATTGACAACCAACTTTTCATGTTCGTTCATTTCATTTGTTCATCATCATATCCAATGTGTGTGATATTCATCTTCTTCTCGAATCCGATACATGAAATGTATTTATCATCTCTCTCTCGCATATCTCTCTTTATTTTTCAACGATCATGACAACACAATCTGACAATCATCATTGTTTGCAAACATCTAACAACACGATAGGTGAAAATGAAAGTGTAAATTTAGAAGACTATCCTCTGAGTCAATGGTCCACACCAATGGTCGTGATGTGGCTTAAAAATCAGGGACATGACAAGAAGGTATGAAGATTTATATCATCGACATATGTTTAACATTTCATGGTTCACACACACACATGTTCATTATTTTTGAAACACCACTTCACCCAACAACAACAACAACCTCTACCACAACTATTCATGAAAAACCTCATCTCTCGAAACTCTTCACATATACACACCCGAACACACCCTCACCCACACACACAGGTCTACAAAATATTCGAAAAGAACAAAATCAATGGTACTTTCTTTTGTCAAAATGTAACAAAAGCAGACATTGTGCGATTAGGTTTCACACCTGGAATGGCCATCACTCTTCACAATCAAATTGAAAAACTCATCGAACGTATGAAAACAATCAATCCCTACAATGTGGTTCTCAGCAGTCGACCACACTACAACTCTTCAAACAAGAGAGCAAGTTCGAACATGTCAAATTTAAGTGACTCGATGTCTCAATTAATGACACCTCCTCGTGCCTTTGGTTCTACAGCATCGGCTTCGACCATTTCTCTCATTTCACAATCGTCACCTGGATTTGCAGAACATCAAATTCCTCTCTTTGCTCAACATCAACGAAAATTTTCAGTATTGACTGATAAATACATGATGGAATCAGAAGAGGCATCTTCATCCTCTCTTTCTGATCAGAGTGTGTCAAATGTCACAACATCGTCATTGAATAATAATCCAGGAGGTATTACAATTTCTGAAGTAGAAGTTGAAGATGATTATTTTCTCAAAATGGAAATGGAATCCTTCACAGTTCAAGATAAAGCAGAAGAAGACAAGGAATTACAAGAATATCTCGCAGAAACTCTCATCATGAATGAAGTATCTTCATTGTCTTCTCAACCATCATCATCTTCACAACCTTCTTCTCCTTCTGGAAGTTCGATTAGTGACACAAATTCTACAGCGACTTCCACAACAGCGAATACATCCAGTCCATGTTTGACATCTTGTTCCAATTTAAATTCCTCTTCCAATAACAATAAGTATTTGTTAGTTCCTGTGGCTCCATATTCCACACTTCCTGATGAATATTTCTCTTCTTATCAATCATGTTTAAGTAATGTGAATTTATTACCATTCCAAGTTCACAATTTACAAAGTATTGTTCAAGATTTGATCATTCCAGAACGTTTCATGTTTAAATATTTTAACATCAAACATTACATGCCCGATGATGATGAAGATGACACAGCACCAAGTGGTAGTAGTAATAGTGGTAATAGTAGTGGTAGTACAAACTCTTCAAAGAATGCAGTGAGAAGTATGAAAAAAACATTCCTCAAAATTCAATTCGTTTTTAATGCTTTGGATCGCGGAGTTTGGTTCAAGATGCAAAAACAAAACAAGTCACAACTCAAAGGATTTAAACCTCACAAATTTGGAGTATTTTATCCTGCACTTCTCATTGGTCCATTTCTTGTGGAATACACACATCATGGAATTGCGTTAGTGAGAATTTCCAAGTCAAAGAGAGTCGTTGGACATGAAATTACAACTATTACAGGTGCAGACAAAGTGAAGGAGGTTTTGCAAAAAGTGTCACAAGTTTGTTGTGAATTTAATGGATCTAGAAAGTTTGATATTCAAAAGAATAATCCAATGCATTTCGTGTATGCCGTTTTAGACAAACTCAAAATGAGGAAACAATGTGAAAATCATCTCAATAAGGGATGTGTAAAATCATATATTCAAAATTTGGAACGTTTTGGCTACTATAGCATGACCATTAATTTACCCAAACAGATTGCTACATTAATTGGAAAAGAAGAATACATTGTTGACAGTCACAAAGACTTGGATGAGCTCCATATCAGCATTCAAACAAATTTCCCAGATTACTTTAACGATGAAGGTAAAACAGATGAAACCTTACTCCAGTCATTCGATATTGCGTTCTGGTATTGGCATTTTGAAAACAAGTCGTTTGAAGATTTTCGACCTGCCTACAGCAGCAAGATTTGCAAGTGCCCCTTCAACATGCTTGAAAAACACCCCATCGACATGATTGAAAGTGCCTCAAAAACAAGCTACAGAGGTCCTTCATATCATATTGCTCAGGTATTACCACCAAGACCTGGTGATGCTCCAAGTACAGTTTCATCACCTAACACCACTGACTGAACCAATACGAACGCTCAATGATTAAAAACTGTTTAATAATTTATCTGTAATCCTTCTTTCCTATCGTTGTCTTACCGCTGAACAAGTGCTTTGGTTTCATGTTGAAGATGACATGATCTGCCTCGGTACGTTTGCCACTTGCTTGCAATGTCTTAATCTTCTTCAGACCTAACTTGACAGCTGAAACTTGTTTCTTGGCATCTTTGATACCTGCAAATCTACCAATCTTTTCAGTAAGAGGATTGTGAGGTGTTAAGGATCTCTTCTTGCTGAGAGCGGTCTTATCAATATCAACAGACTCATATTCGGCAGCTGCTCTCTTCTCACTAGCACTTCTGTTTTTGGCCATTTTACTCTCACTTCTAGCTCTTGGTCCAACACTGGATGTTGCGAGTTTGTGACCTCTACCAACCGATGAAGTTCTAGCAACTGAAGATGATCTAGCTTTATCCAAAGCTTCTTGTGGAACACCTCTGTCTTTCAATTCAGAAACAATAGAGTTCAAATCAATAGGCTTATCTTTTCTGGTAAGTTTAGGATGGTTAGTATTCTTATTGATTCTATTCGTTTGAATAATTACAGATTTCTTATCCATAATTTTCTGGAAATCTTCTTCTTCTTCAGAGTCAACATAGAATTCGTCATCAGCATAGTTTACACCGCCTTCAAATCCACCTTCTTCTCGAAGTCTTTCATCTTCTTCTCTTTCAAGTTCTTCCAATCTTTTGTCAATTTCTGGGTCAACAAAATCAGCAATGTTCTTGCCATCCATAATTTCTGGAATAATATCATTTTTCCATTCGTCGTTTTTCAACAGGTAGTGCTTCTTGTAATCTGGAGTATAAACACCAGCTCCTCCTCCAAGATTTTCGAGATGCTTTTCCGTAATTCTTGGTTCATCTTCCATATCTCCAGATTCGTCATCCATTCCAGCTCTCTTTCGAAGAACGCTGTCAGGAATTTGTGGTTCTCTTATTTTGTCGTCTCTCTTCTTTGGCTGAGCCAAGTGAACTCTATTGAGGATGGATTCTACCGATTTCTTACCGTGATTAATCTTGGCTTCAACTCTGTTTTGGAGCAGAAGATCACAAGCTCTTGTTTTTACATCATTCAGTCCTGATTGGTTAAGATTGCTAATTCCGATCATATCACTGCACATATCTGCAATTTCTTGTAACATTTTCTTATGCTCATCACTCAAATCTTCATATCTAACCAAATCAATCTTTGTTAAGACCAATAAAACTGGTTTTCCTGCAAAGAGAGGTTTGATATTCTTGAAAAGATCACATTGCTGTTTGATGTTGTATCCACAAGTTTCACTCACATCACATAAATATAAAATAGTAGAGCGCAAGTGAGCCATAGCTGTAATACTTTGCATTTCAATTGTGTTACGTTGTTCAAGAGGATGATCAAGAATACCTGGCGTATCAATTAATTGCCACTTCAAATAACGATATTCCATGTGACCAACAAATAATGATTTAGTTGTGAAAGGATAGGGCTGAACATCAACTTGGGCTCGGGTCATGTTATTCATAAAGCTATCATGTTGGTATAATTAGTTGAGAGGAAAGACACGATGCCAATAATAATTCAAAAGTTAAACACTCATAAATTGAACTAATTATAACATACCTAGACTTTCCGACGTTTGGATATCCCACAAGAATCAATGTACGGGATGATGGATCAATGGAAGGCAAACGAGCCAAGTGCTGTCTGACTTGTTCTAGATATACCAATGACGAGTTTTGCTTCGTTAATACAGTTATCATTCTACCCAAAGCAGCTCTCTTCAATTGTTTGCAACGATATAAAGAATCGCCATACTTCAAAAGACGGACGTAATCTCTACCAATGGCATCCACAACGTTTCTACAAGTGCTCAATTGACCCAATGCAAGTTTATAGTGGTCTTTATCATAGAGAACGTTCATCAGATCTTCATAGAAGGGATGAATATCTCCCAATCGTGGAAATTCGTCCAGAATGAGAGTAATTCGGTCGTGAATAGCTTGTTGGCAAAACTTTACTTTTCTCATATAGAATCTACGGATACGATTGATGGCATATTGTGGGTGAATTTCTGTTGGAGTTTTTCGTTGAGTCTTTGAGAGAACAATATCCATAAATTCCTTTCCGTTAGGAACGGGTGTAATTTTCTTGAAATTATAGACTACCATGTTGTTATGATGATATTAGTTGTGTGGTTGAGGAATAAAAAAAGGCGTTGATGATGGAGAGCGAGGGTGCAAAGAGGGATAATTTTTTTCTCGATTCAATTTTTTGAATATCAACAAATTGCATGAAGTCTCTGTGGCTTGATAATTAAATATATATTTAATGTTGTCAATATACATAGGGAATAATTTTGTAAGGTACAAGAGAACAATACCTCTCAAATGATTTTCCATACTTTTGTTTCATCTTTTTGTGATCTCTTTCGTATCTAGTGAACAGCAAAACCCAGATGAATATACTATAACTGTATGGGAAAATACCCTTATCAAAACCACACATGAGACCAAAACTGAGAGAGTTCGCCAACTCACCAAAGTAATTTGGATGGCGAGAAAGACTCCAAAAGCCATTCACCAATACTTTTCTTCCTTGCTCTGTCTCGATATATTTTGGTTTAATTCCAAGGAAAGGAGCATTTGGATCTCTCTTAAATTTGTCTTTTTGTGCATTGGACAATCTTGCAACCACATAACCAAAGATCCACAATACTGATACAGCAATGACACCCCACAATGGAAGGTCACTCCATTCAATGAGGTAATAAGCTTGAGCAGTGCACACAAATGGCATCCTTCAATGGGACAAGTTAAATTGTGTCATCATTACATCATGTTGCAAACATATCATTCATGAATATTCAAATTAAATTGTAATGATACTTTACCACACGAAATTTCCCCAACTCAACATGAATCCAAATCTTTCTTGATAAATTTCAAAGCCAGTGATAAACTGGTCTTCAGTGACAAAGAAGTCAAGCATGTACAGGAACGAAAATATCAAATACATTGCCATTGGTGTACTAATGGTACCATACTTTTCATACTGTACAGAAGCATATGAAAATGCAACAACAACCCATGTCAATAAGCTTGGTCTTCCATCAAAAAATAATTTACAATCGACTCCAAGAATTCGAGGGTTTCTTTCAGCTCCCAACCAAATTTCTCTCAATAATCCGTCATTATATTCTCTCTTTTTTAACATTCTTCCTTTAATAAATACAATTAGCCAATAACACCAATGGAAAATGCTTGTTATCGCAACAAATTCAAGTAAGTGATCATAGACAATTGAATATCTCCACCAACCCAAATGACCACCTGTAAAAAACAATACTAGTGTGATCAAATATGCTTGCAACCCATTACAATTATATTCTAATACAGTTCCATCTTCTAAAGGCAAACCTTTCACTATTTTACCTGGCAAGAATCTTGCCATAGCATATTGAAACACAAAATATATTAAATAAGCTTTGAATACATAAATACTTGGTAATGGAAGATAGAGATGAATAAGAATGGAGAAGCTCATAAAACCAAACACAACAAAATACTCTCCGATGGATTTTTGATCAAGACTTTCACTGGAGGGATTTTGCATTTTTTTTTCGGCGACTGCTCTCTTGCATGCACTAGCGCTCTGAAACCTGACCAAACGTCATTGATTATCATTGAAGTGCGACATGTATGATATCTATCATGTGACTCTATTGCTCGCTTCTATAATAAGGGGTCAGAGGTGCCATGTGATCTTCCAGTTCCAAAATATCATCACTGCCTGGTTGTTTAGCTAAGAATGGTTCATTTAGAGTTGAATCTTTTCTTCTCAATGTTGAAGCAGAGGTTGTCGAAGTGAGGACAACATTGGTTCCAGTTATATTCAAAGGCAGTGGAGGTTCATACTGTTCACTCATATCAAAATAAGTCTCTGCAGAAGGAGGTTGAGAAGATATACGAGCAGCATTGTTGGATTCAATAAGCTCTTCATCTTCGAGAGCATTTGGTGGAATGAATACGACATTTCTTCGAGTTCCTTTCTTGTGATAAATTTTAGCTACTGTCACATCATCATAAAAGTCATCATCTTGTGCTTTAAGATCTGCCTTCATTCTCTTAAATGTTGTTCCTTGTAAAATTACTTCATCTAGTATTTCACCTGGTGCATATCTCTTAACGCTATGCTTTTGTCTAAAGCTGATTAAATTTGTCATAATTCTCTTGTAGTGGAAGATGACAAACTCTGTACATGACATGCATAGAGCTGTCAATGAGAAAATACCAGAAAGAGAAGCTAATAAATCAGTCAAGAAGACAAGGACTATTTTCTTTTCTGACAAGACGACTTCTAGAGTTGTGGAGGCCTTTTCAAATTCAATTTTTAAATAAACTCCATTTTCATGACTAAATGTCTTAAAGTCTACTTGATCTCCTTGTGTTTCTGAAGTGTATTCGATAACGTAACCAGTTCGTTTTGTGTTATCAATTGGAATTGTGTACTTGTTTTGGAGTAGCTGAAGAGAGACAACTGTTGGATTGGTCGTTCCTCTATACAATTGATCTACTTCTGAAAAGACAGAGCCCGTAATGATCTTTCAAATATTTTGTAATAATTAAATTTTCACAATTAAAAATTCACATATTAACACATATTGTGACTTATTAATAACAAAAATGTGGTATTGTAATAAAAAAAAACTTACAGATCTTTGAGGTGGTTTTTGTGGTGCATATACATCAACATAGGCTGAAGAAACATTCACCAAAAAGTCATACCCGTTTGAAAATACATTTGGACCTCCAACTTTAAAGTGCAGAGCAGCAAGCTTCTTATCCTTTGCAATGGTACATTTAGAGCAAGAGACAGCAATCACACAGGCACTAATTTCATTTTCAGATAATTCATCTCTACATGTGATGGATGTAATAGTATCATTGAACATGTCTACAGATTCCATAACAATGGAAATTTTGTCTTGACACTTGGTAGGAATTGTTGATAGAGTCGATCCAAACGTGCAATCTCCTTTGAAACCTAAAATTCGAACTTCTACCGAAATATCACCATAAAATTCCTCAGATACAGCCAAGTTGGGAATTAAACTTCTATTCTCCACATAGTTTCCATAATTGCTTTAAAAAGTGAATGAAATAATGAAATATATATATATACATCATAAATCTCCAAAAATACTTACTAGTACGGAACAATGGTACCAATCAAATAGGCCAAGAATGCAACTAAGACTACAAAGCTGTAACATGCTCCCACAATGGTTCTTCTCTTAATCATGGTTCCCATCAATCGATTGTGTCTCTCAGTAAAGAAAAAGTCCATTCGTTTCAACCATTCGGTTCTTGGGAAATTAAATACTCTCCAAGCAATAAATGCAATCAAGATGATGGCAGCTGTGATTGAGGCCAATACACTTGCTTCAATCTTAATGACTTGTGAATTTTCCATCTCTCTCGATGAATATGAAACAGGTTGTTGAGAAGTTCTTTTCACAATTCTTGAATTGTTGAAAATGGGTTCAATAGATCCCAATTGACAAATGGAACCTTCAGGGCAAGGTAAACATTTGGCTTGCCCTGTAAAATTATTATACGTTCCATAGGCACACGGAAGACAGAATTGAATATGATTGGCTCCACTCAAACTATTGAAAAAACCTTTCGGACAATCCATACATTGTCCTGAGGCTCCAAATTTTTCATAATAAGTACCGGGAGGACACAATTCACAAGCCTTATTCACTTGATAAGTTCCTGGACCACACAAGTAGCATCTCGTACTACCTTGTTGATATCCCTTATCATCACACACATTTTCAACATTGTATTTGTATAAATCTCCATATCGAATCGAAGGAAGTAAATATCGAGTGCCATAGGGTGATCCTACTCCTCCAAAAACATAAATACTATTTCCTACCAAGGAATAGGAATGATATACTCTTGGTTGAGGTAATGTGTGTTCCGTGTAGGGAGGATCAATTTTTGTGAGAGACTTTGTTTTTGCATCAAATAAAAGAACATCGTTATGGAGCTCACTGCCCACACGTCCTCCAAATATGATGGCACCAAATCCTGATACCTTGATGGCAATTGACCCAGAACGAGGGAGTATGGACCCATTTGAGAAATTTCCTGCAATTGAATACTTGACCATGTCATTATTCTTATCTGTAAATTCTAATTTGTAAATATTGGTGGTTGGTGTTTCGGAAAAATCATGACATCCAAAAAGTAAAATTGTTTGGAAGGATCCAGTCTCTGATTCATCATAAAATTTTGCAGTACATCCTATCGTGTATGATGTTGGAATTTGCGTTTTGATTTTGGTCCACATTTTGCTTTCTGCTTCATAGGTCCATAAATCTGTATATTGATTCGATTGTGTTCTTCCTCCAAATACAAACAAATGAGTTGTGTTCTTGGTCATGGCATGTTTATATCTGGGTCCAGGAGATAGAGATCCTTTCGTTGGAGTCACCAATGTCCATACTGTGTCATCAATGGAATACGTCCATAAATCGGAATATGATTTAGCAGTGGAATCAGAACCACCAAATACCCATATTCTGTCACCTAATGTAATTTGTGAATGAAATGCTCGTGCATGTGGTCGAATGGAAGTATCCACAAAAGTCCAACCTTCTTTTGAAATAGAATATCGATAGAGAGCATCCGATGCAGTATCATCACTCGTAAAGCCTCCAAATAAATACACAGAATCACCAAGTGTGGACATGGAATGTGCATACAAGGAAGGTGGAGATCTAAAATCTCGATTCACCTTCACAAGACTAGTACTCAAAACATTGAAAGAATACAAATCATTGAAATCATAATCCAAACCAAATCCTCCAAAATAAATAATATAGTTAGAGAAGGAAACCACTTGAGAGTTGGATCTAGGATTGGGAAGATTGTCGTTAATGACTTTCCATCGTACTGTATTTGAATTTAGAGGAAGATCTACTCGAATAATTTTCTTAAAGAGAGATTGTTGGTTGAGTCTGGAAGTTTTACCATGAAAGACATATAAATACTTGTCTGTAGTTGCACATCCCATATCCTAAAGACATTATGAAAAGGGCATGATAAAGTAGTAGTGGTGTCACATGTGTCACGATTTCATAAATGAATGCGATTAAAAGGTGATGCACCATTTGTGAAAATTTGTCAATAAATGTAGTCACTTACAAATATTGGGCCTTGAACTTCTCCAGTTTGATTCAATAATGTCCAAGTTTGAGAAGCAATGTTAAAGCTCCAAAGATCAGCCAAAACTTCTCCATTTTCTCCCATTCCTCCAAAAAGTAAAATATTCGTCTTTCCATTCACAACATATGGTTGCATGCAATGAGCATATCGCGCTGGAGGCCATGGAGTGGTATATGTCACCTTTCTCCATTCATATCGATCATTATTAAAAATCCATAAATCATCTCTCACACCACTATATGTTAAGCCTCCAAACATGTATACTTCATTCTTGTACTCGGAAATTCGTGCATCAAATCGAGCAAATGGTTTGTTTGTAATATTCAAGAGCTTCCATTGAGATCTTAGTATTGAAAATTCATACATTTCATCAGAATAGCTTGCAGACCTTCCTCCGAAAATGACAAGTTTTTCCTCAGATGTTTGTGTGGCTGATATGGTCCACATGACATGACCATGACGTCCCTTTGGAGAGAATCCATCCAATGGATCTGTCCGGTGCCATTGACCTGTAATAAAATCATAGGACCACAAATCTGAGAAGTATCCAGTGCTTAATTGTGAATTTCCACCATACACGTATAATTTGTTCGAAGCAAGAGCAAGAGCATGTGCAAAACGTTCTGGTGGTACTCGTGCCACGTTTGGAATGCTGAACCATCGATTGCCTGTGAGTGGACTATTGGAAAATATTTGAACTTGATTCAAATAACCTCCTGGTACTCGAAGCGTTCGATTATAGAAAAATTCTTCATCCCAAACAATGGAATCTAATTGACTCCATTTGGCCACTGATTTAACATCATGGTCACTAATACTATTGATTGAATAAAACACTCCGAGACGATCTCCCAAACTATCAAAGGAAACTCTTCCACTGGCTCCAATGAATGAAGTTCGTTGAATGGTTGCCAAGAGGTAGGAACCTTTGGTGGGATCGAGACCTGCCTTACACATGGTTCGAATGGCATATCCAAAACTGAGAGCAGAATCGTAGGCAAATCTCTAAAATGTTTGTTTTTGATTATTCATACGTAACAATTATGAGTAATATGTAGTAATCGTGTGTGTGTGTATTTGCGTGTGTGCATGCATGTGCATGTGCGTGTGTAAATGATATTCTTGTATACATCATCACAACTTACATCAAATGCTTGAATTTGTGAATAGGTTTCTTCAATTGTAGAATACTTGTAAGTGGACATGAATCGTGTGATAAAATACAAATCTGTAGACCATAGACCAGAATTCAACTCCACATACATCATTCCATTCAATAGAACCGATAGTGTAATATTCTTATCACTGAGTCCAGGTTGATATGCAAAACTTTCATCAAATATCCAAATATATCCAAGTTGTGCCATTCCAGCCTCGTGAATCGTCTGAATTACAGCATCTGCATCACCATTGGAAGATACAGAAACACAGACAAATTTTTTGGTATTGCTTTCTTTTGCTAAATAGATTTGACGTTTGATGTCTGTTATGTTTCCAGTTTTGAAATAATAAGCATTTGTGACATTAAGGCCCAACGAGTTGGCATTTCTGATCACATTTTCAGATGCATCTCTTCCATACACTTCATCTGAAGCCAAAATTGCAATTTCATTAAACTCAAGAGAATAAAAAAATTCTACCATTGCAGCTGTCATTGAAAAGGAAGATGGAATTCTGTTATTAACACGAAATGTCAAAAATTGTGTGTTTGCAATTTTAGATTTTTCACACTTACACTCTGTAGAACCATCGATTATAGGATAAGGTTGAAGTGGAAGATCCATAAGAAATCATTGGTATTCCAAATGGCTCAGCAATATTATTTGCAATGGCCAGTGATTCATAGCTGTAATATCTGTTGTTTGGAAGTAATAATTTTTGAGCCAAAAAATTCATTCACACACACACGTCAAGTGATTATAATAATGATTCCAAATACGCTCCAATGTGTGATGTCATCACTTACCCTCCAATAATTCCCACATAACCCTCCTCAACTGTTCCATTCACTAAAATTAATTGTTTCATTCTATCAATGGCTTGGTCAACATTTCCTCTCGTAACAACAAAATCATTTTGAATCGTGACACCTGGCGGAATGATTCCAGCTATTTTCATAAATTCCAATCCACTTGAAATGGATGTTTTTAATTTATCACCACTGAATGGTTTGGTAGCATCGTCTTCATCGGGAATGACGCTCACAAATTTAAATGTTCTCCCAGTGCAATCAAATGATTGTGCTGAGCACATGGGACATGACAGGAAAATATAAAATAAAAGAACAATTAGAGCAATGAATAAACTAGTGTAGTGTTTTAGAGAGACAGCAATATATTGTTTGTGTGCTTGTCGTCGTAGTCGAGGATGAGATGTATTGAATTGTTGTGGAGTGATGCAAGTACATGACAGAGAGCAATGCGTGATCCGACCATGATGATGATTTGGTTCGCTCATGCCAAGTGTCAGTAAATCCATTTTTTTGATGGATTCCTTGTCTGCTGCAATTTGATGGAGTCAAACGTTCAACACAATTTTAATGTTGTTTTGCTTTCAACTCTTGTTGTTCAATAAATGAATCACAACGTTTCTGTATCCGTAGAAGAGATTCTTGAAGTTCCTCCAAATTTTCCTTAATTTCAGGAACAACATTGAGGATGAGAGATTCATCGTCAATTCTGTTTTGGAGTGACAGCATACTTTTTGCAACTTTGATGAGTAATTGAGAAAGAGAAATGAAAAAGCTTGTCTTTTTTTCACACTCCTCCGTTGCAATCTCGAATCGTTCTTTAAGCTTTTCTTGCTTGTCTCGTTCTTTTCTTGTTTCTAGTTGGTTCCATATATTGGTCACAACATGTTGATATTTACTTTGAGGTTCATCGTTCGATTGAGGATCTATAGAGTCATTCAGTGCGAAACTAATGTACGAAAATTCATCTTCATAACCAGTGGCTCTGTTAACAAATGCAGAATTGTACTCCATGGCTTTTGAGAAAAAATCACTATTTAAATCGATCGCTGTCAATAAAATATCATTAGATCTAAATTTTACATTCACTCCCAAAAGCACAAGAGAAAGGTAAATATCGTTATAGGTTTTTTCATCCAAACTTCTTTTAGAAATTATTTTCCACATTGGCTCAAAGAAGTCTTTGGTGAGAGTATTTTTCAGCTCTGTGGCTTCATCCAAAGATGCTGTACATTGATGAATGATATCGTTAATGCACTGTGATTGTTCTTCTTCTTCTTCCATATTCAGTAAGAGTTTGATCAATGTACCAACACTGAGAGCCATATTATGCATTTTCAATACAAATCCATTAACAAAGGTTTGTGATCTGGAATAAAACGAGTTCTGACCAAGTGAATCATTCAATTCAGAGATGGATTGAAGAACCACAGACTCTGCATCTTGATCTAATTTGCAATTACCACCAGTGACACTGGAAATTGTTAGCCTTCCATGTCGAAAAAGTGCACAAAATGGAAGCCAATAACATTCCGAATCATTCAACAAGAGTTGCAAGTGTGTCATTTCCTTATAACACTTTTCTTCTTGTGAATTTTCAACGATGCTAAATGTCTTTTTGGGTGAGTTCTCAATAGCGTCCGAATGAAAGAACTTGAGAATTTCATCACGCAGGTCATTCAAATTTTCTTGATCAATGATGGATACCAAAGTCTGTAAATATTTCTCCAATTGGACAAGTCTCTTTTCAATCACATCCTTCTTCATGTTTCCGAACACAATTTTTGAAGGAAATTTCAGCAACGATTGTTTGTCTTTACTTAGAATTGTGCAAACGACACTTGTGTGAAACTCTCGTAAATTGGAATATCTCTTTTTTGATGTATAGACTTCAGTTGAACTGACAGTCACATTGATGTTGTACACGACATAATCGTTTCGGACTTGATACGATGGAATGCTCAGAAGCAACATTTTTTTGTGATGGCCTTTGGCTGTCAAATATTACTCGTGCATCTTAGTCTAAATTCAAAAAAAATCAACAAAATCATCAATTTTCCTGCATAATGACTGTCTGTATTTACGTATGACCCGAGTTCGACACCAAACCGGTGCTCTTTTCCATATCATCAACCCAACAATTAACACTGATACGTTCAACATGTTGAATGGCCAATGCTTTGGCGCCATTTTTGCGAAACAATCAAATTTACAATTATTATACTTCAAATGAATACAAATTTAAAAAATGTCCAAAACACCCTCTCAAACCTCCAGAAAGACTGGAAAGGGAGGAAAAAAGAATGAGAAAGTTGAGGTTACGTTGTTGTCGGATCTGATTTATAGTAACAATGAAAATATGGAAAAGATGTTTCCGGAGTGGGATGAAGAAGTATTAAAAGCGCTGATGGAACGAGACAAGCAATTATATGGAGAAGAGGGAACTAATGCTAAGCGACCTACAACAAATAATGCTAACAAAAAGAAAGAGTCTTCTTTGGACGAGATTTTAAAAAACGTGCATGCAGTAGATTCAAACAAAATTTCATTCGATGTTGTCACTTGTACAGATTTTACTAAAAATGTGAAGGAATGGAAATCATTGAAATCTAAATGGGAACCCAGAATGTCACGAGATTTATTTCCATCACATCCTTATTTTGGAAGATTTTACAAAATGAAAGAAGATGCTCAAAAACAAGTGGTTGAACCTGTCGACAAAAAGAAACAACCACAAAAAAAAGTTGCTGAGGAACCAGAGGTAGTGTCATTTACGCCTATTACTTTGGAGTCATCAGACGAAGAGGAGTTAATTATCGAAGATTTTGAAAAATATACTCAGGTTCTTGACATCTCAAACAAAGGGCAATGGACAAAGGCCTTTGTGTCAGCTCTTTATCATATTGAGGAATGCAAAGAATATATTCCTTTCGGCTCATATTTGTGGGAAAGAATTTGGCCAAAAAAAGAAAACAGTCAACTACCAACAGTATCCTCTTGGGGAAGATATTATTTAAAACTGTTTTTCAAAGGAAAAGATCGTATTGTGATTGTCGACGACAAATTGCCTCATGACATTAGTGGCAAGAATCTTTTCCCGATTTCTCCTTATGATGAATTTTGGCCCTCTATTCTCTTAAAAGGAATCATTGCAATTTCTGTTGGAAATGAGCATCTTGCCTTCTCTAATCCTTTATGGTGCTTCTCTGCGTTGTTTTCCAATTTTGGGTCTCAGTCTCTCTGTTGTACCAACTCTCTTGACATTATTTCTCCTATCACATGTTCGCTTAAGTCATGTCAAGAATGGAAGAATTCGTTTGATTTAGTGAAATTTTTATGCAATACCCCTATTGATGGAGACAATACCAAGAAAAAGATTCTATTACTGACATGTAGAAAAGACCTTGACGTAGAATCATATGGGTTAAGAAAAGATAATCTATACCGAGTGGAGGATGTAAAAGTGTATAAGGGAGAAACCATCTTGAAGGTGGTCTCAAACGATGTATCTTGGAATGGAAAGTATTCATACAAAAATGCTTCTGTTTGGAACGCCTACTTTGAAGAAGAACTAGGTTTTTGTTATCAGGATAGAAGAATTCAAAAAAGAATGAAAGATTTTTGGGTCGAAATAACAGATCTTCAAAATTATTTCGATGGAGTACATATACTGCATGAAATTTCCAATTTCTCTGTTAGAGCATCCCTTGGAAGTCATGCTACTCAAATAAGCCCAATTGTATTCTACATTACTGAGACCACAAAATTATTTATTAGAGTCCTTGGAGAAAAACAGTCCAGCCCAAGGATTGTTGTTAAAAAAGCTAGTAATTGGAAAAAGCTGACTCCCAGTAAGGTAATTCATGAATTCTCGATATGTAGCTACGACAGCATTATTCCATTAACCCTCCCCTGTAAAGACGATTTTGACATCTATGAGATACGGTTTTCTAATATTGAGAACCAATATATTGAGTTTTTGAGCGAGAAAAATTTAGTATTTGGAAAACAAGAGGACATATATTCGACAAAATTAAGTCAATCGATCCAAAGAACAGATACTCTGATCTCTCCTCCTCATGAAATGGAAGAATGGAAAATTTGGAACATGTAAGTAAGGAATATGTTTGTTCGTGTGAATTAATATGCACATGAAAAAGTCAACATTTTAATATTGATAAGGAGGGCGTTTTTAGTGCACGTCTACTCGTTGACGATATTTCAATACTTCCATTCACACATCTTGTTCTTATCAACAATGAAAACTTGTCTGTTGTGAAATCTATTAACGGAAGAATTTTTCCTGTTAAATTACTCCCTTGCTCGCATCAATATTCACTGGTGTGCTTTGCATGTCCAAACAGAAGTCTAGAGAGTACAAAGTACACACTTGAAACAATTTCTGAGAATGATGTCTTTGATTTGGAGGCTGCAAAATCTCTAACGTGCTATCCAGTTTCAATTAAAGGACGATACTACACTAATCCTGAGAGAGAACTTTTCAGATTTAGAGTAGATGTTGGAGAAAAAGCAAACATTTGCTTCAGATTGAAATTGAGCGAAGCCACCCCAGTTAAAGTAATTGTAAATAAGGTAGAGAACTTTGAGAACAGTGTTTCCATTTTGGAGTTTGAGAATTTTGAATCAGAAAGCGTAATTACGGTACCAAACTTGGTTGTTTACCCTAGCTCCAAAATGCAAAGTATTAGTTACAACATTGTTTGCACGATAGATGAGAAGAAAGCTCTGGAGATTTTATCTAATAGAGTCAGTGTTGCCGAGAATGAGTTTCTCCAGTATCTCAAAGAAAAGAGTGAGACCACCTCTCTGCAAGAATTGAACGCTGACGAATCGAAATCAACAGACCTCAAATCACCAAAGAAAAACGACAAAAACGCCAAAAAGCCAGCATCTGCTGTTAAGAAACCTGTGACCAATCAAAAAGCGAAAAAAGACCAAGCCAGAATTCCTTCAAAGCAAGACAAACCTCAAGTGCTAAGCAGTCAATATATTGAGGGTACAGAGAATAGCTCAGTTTCTTGCTTGACATACTCTCTGGACATTTTTTCAACAACACCCAATGTTATTTATGAAGAAGTTAATGTAAAGAAACAAGCAATTGACCAATTAGTAGAAGAATGGGAATCAAACTCACCCCAGCATGGAGAAAATGGCTTAGTAGCAAGAGAGAAATTTATCAAACAACGACTCAAGCAACTACTTTCTGCAACTGACAACTCACCCAGAGCTGAACTACAAGCCCAAAGTAATAATGAGACTGAAACAGAACGAAAAGACAGACTAGCTCGAGAGAAACAACAAAATGCAACCAAGATTAAACAGCTTAGAGAGCTAAGAGACAACGAAATGAAAAAGCTTGATGTTGTGGTCAATGATAATGTGGAAAGATCTCTTCAAACTTGTTCGTCCATAATGAAAGAAAAATTCATTGAAACTCAAAAACAAGTTCTGTCTCTTAAGGAGCAAAAGCTGGAAGAAGAAAAACGAATTGAGCTTGAACGGCTGAATGAAGAAAAAAGCGCAAAAAAGGGAGCGAGTGGAGCCAATACAGCCCGAAAATCTACTAAATAATTGTATGACAATCTATTTGTGATGATCATAATAAAAATTATATTTTAAATCTTAGTAGTAAATATGATTGTAAAATAAATAATCTGTCATGAGAACAATTGCAAAATATTCAATATCAAGTAGTAGAAGAAGACAGTCGTGTAATATTATTATCTATTTTGTCCACCGCCTCTACCACCACCTCCTCTACCGCCACCTCTAGCTTGGAGCCGTCCACGTCCAACTCCAAATCCTAATCCGACGCCCGATCCTCTATTAACTTTAGTTTGTGATCCGTAACCTCTACCTTGACCTTTAACAGCAGAGTCAACAACCTTGAACATCGGAGCTTTTTGTAAAATATCTGGCAATACAAAGAACCGAATTTTACTTCCTCGTATGTAAACAGTATTCATGGATGATTGTTGTCCGTTTCTATGTGTTACAGTTACATCGGTAAGCTGAACATTCATACTATCTTCAGCTTCCACTAAATTTCCTCGATAGATTTCACCAGATTTTGTTTCGAGTGATATGATGTGTGATTCTGCTTCATGAAGTAACTTGATGGGTATGCCAATGTTGCTGCTCATTTTTTTTTCTTTGAACATGTGGTGATTTCAAGGGTGCCTGCCAAGCGATCTTGATTCGTGCCAGAACCCTTGTCTTTTTCTTTCGGCGCTTATATCGTTTCAAAAACCATTCATGCATTGCCCAAGAAATTATTTTGATGTGTGGCGTGAGTTTGGTGAGTTTGGTGAGTTTGGAAGATTAGTTGTGTTACGGATTGTGGAAATAATTAAAGGCGCCAAAAAATGCAGCAAAGTGTTTCCGAGATGTTGGATAGGCTCTGTCGAGCACTCATACTCGGACCAAAAACTTCATCATCATCAATTAGTAGTACTGTCATCTCCTCATACGGATCAGATCCCTTTTCCATGCCATCATTTGCATATCCAGGTTCAAACAGTCATACAACAACAATGCCATCCAACAATTCATCGGAAATGACTGAGAAACTGCTGAAGAAAATTAAAATGAATTGCTTTTCGTATTTGTTAGATAAGAACGACAACGTACGTACTCATTTAGCTTCCTCATAGATTGTTTATTTTTCAAAATTAAAAAAGTATACCCCTCCTCTGCATTATACTGAGGCTTCATTTTCGTCCAAGGCTGCAGAACTGAATTATAGAGCCAATACATTTCTTTGTAATTTAAGGATGCACGGTTTGGAATCACTGGCAGCTAGTCTCGAAATTTTATTTGACAAATTAATTTATTTGTACGTACTTTGGAATATTAAATTTGATCTAATTTGTCTACAGAAATGAGGCGGTGACATCCATATTACTGATACTTTGTGAAAATATACCAATAGGAGAGATTTGCTTAACCCAAAAAGAAAACAATTCTATATATGATTTTTCATCAACTACAAGTCACTTTTCCGTAACACCTAGTTTTTCTAACTCTCAATTTAGTTTGGAAATGCAAACCGAATTTTTCCCTAATTTATTGACCTGTAACTCTGGGTCTAGCCAGTTCAATGTAATACCTACTAATCATACTTCCAACGCTTTTGTTGATGTAAATAATATTTCACAGACTACAGATATCACTAGTCTCAAGAGGCCCTTAAGCGACTTTACAACAATTCTGCACTCAACACCTGAGAAAAAAAAGAGATCTATTTATTTTACTGAACTAAAACCTGATAAGCTTGACGAATACAAACAGTATTTTGAACGAATGTGTTTTGGGTTAAATACTCGTACAATGCGAGAAGAAGACATTGTCAAAGACTGTCTACTACTTTTTCAAGGAATTTCTTCAGGAGTATTTGTTTGGGATGCAAAAAAATTTATTTTCAAAGTCCAACCAGTGCGATTGAAAACTTTGTCCTTTCTTGGATTGCGTGAATTACTTCAACAAATTGCTCAAGTTGGATCTATGTACAAACGACTTGAAGTTGTTGCAGAGTTTTGCCAAAACAACATCACTCTTACTGGAAAGTGTTTACAGAGCTGTGGAGCTGGACTTATTGAAATTTTAAAGTGGTACAAATCATGTGTTTTGGAATTACACAAAATATTGCAGAGATTGGTCACAGACTATTCCAATCAGAAAAGTCGGCTGACGTTACTAAACGTTATTCATCACATCAATCCTCTAAGGCAGAGATTGAACATTGTATGCGAAATTTTTGAGTGCGATATTCAAGAACTAAACCCAGATGATGAATATACTCTATTACTAAATGGTCACTATATCTCAAACAGAATTAGAAGCATTCCTACTGGTGCAAAGCTAATCTCTGTTCTATACGAAAAGATTCAATTTTTAGAGTCCAGCTGTATTCCTGAAGTGATGAACATCTTACTTCTCCTTTTTTCTTACTCTGTCACACCTTACTTGGCATGGATAAAACAATGGATATTTTGTGGTGAGATTATGGATGACAATTATGGAGAATTTTTTGTCAAGGCAACCAACAATTTGCAGGAGCCATGGTACAGTTTTCAAATTGAGGCTCAAAATATTCCTCTTCCCATTACGTCATGTGCTCATGATATATTTCTTATTGGAAATACTCTTGATACAATACGAAGATGTAATCCCTATCATTTTATTTTGAATGACACAGTTACTAATACTATTCGGAATATTAGTATTTTATTTACCGAAAAAGACTTGAAAAGATATGAAATTCTGTGCTCTAGATTGCAAATTATTCAGCATAATGAGTCATTGATGGAAATGCACAGACAATTATCAGAATTGGAAAAAAAGATACAAAGTCAGGAAGAAAAACTAAAATTTGGTGAAGACGTTTTGGATAGATTTCAAGAGGAGGAAACAAAACTCAAAGACAAGATGAAACGAGACATTTTGGATAGCTATAGAAAGAAAATGAACATTACAGAATTTGAACAAGCTTTACAAAAGGATGATCCTAATAGTGATACCACTCTCAATGATGAAGTGCGCTCAGAAAACACGATGGTCGATGAAATTCCTATTGCCGAACCTGTTTTATTGCAAGATGAGACAAATGGTAATCTCAAGCTAGATCAATTTGATGCTATAAGATTTTTAGAAAGCAGCTCTTCAATACTAGAGCTTCCAATAGAAATAGTGAAAAATCGTAGTCTGGTATCACTCTTCTATCAGCAAAAACAAATGGTGGATAGCATATTTATCAAGATGCTATTTCATGACTATAAGATCAACGAGCATCTTGGTGCGATCAATAACTACTTTTTGTTTAAGGCAGGAGATTTACATGATTGCTTTGCTAATCTAATATATGATGGTATGAAGAAAGGAATTAACTATTCAGATCTATATATAATTAATAGAACGTTTAAGGAAGCATTCAAAATTTCTAATCATGCAGAACAAGACAATGACTTGCTCACATCTAATTTGTTCTTTGATATCAACCCTAATTCCACACAATCCATTTTTGACCCAAACACTATTCACTCATTGGATCACATAGTTTTGAGATATCAAGTTACATATCCAGTGAATATTGTTCTCACTACTAGTGCTATGGACAAGTATTCGCAGGTACATTCATTGTTGTTGAAATTGAAAATTGTGGATATGGCCCTGCATGAGATTTGGTCTAATCTTAAAGTACACTCAAAACGAACGATTAGTCAACAAATGCGTTATCTCCACATGTTTAGACAAGAAGTTCAGCACTTTGTGAGCGTATTCAAAACCTTCATTTTTGTTGAAGTTATTGAATCAAGTTTTTCCAACTTTGTTAACGAACTATTTCGAGAGAAAACAAGCGATAATCTCAATATTGAAAAGCTACTGATATTGCATAACAAGTTTGTTGAGTCTTTGCACAAACAATGCTTACTTGGGCAATCAGCCAAACCTGTAATGGACATTATTATCAAGATGTTTGGACTAATTTTAAAATTCAAAGGACAAATGCAAGCCAATAGTTTTAACAACGAAGAAGACATTCCAGAGTTGTCGTTCAAATTGATGTCACACACAAGAAAAGAGTTTGTAGATTGTGCCTTGTTTTTGGATTCGTTAATGGATCGGTTAGCTCAACAATCATCAACATCAAAATTTGGTCAATTCAGAATGAACTACAAATTTACGTATTGATTTTGAATAAAACATAGTTTTAATATAATTTTTCACAAATTATTGTTGTTGATTATTTGATGCTGATTCCTCTTCCAACATGTCAAAGAAAGAAACCTGTTGATTCTTGTCTGACTGAGGAGGTTGAATTGGTGTACCAGGTGTTGGCACATTTCCAATACTCGTCACGCTAGAATCAAGCTCAGAAGGTATTTTTGTTTCACTGAGAGTTGTTGGAGTGGTTGATGACTTGTCGCTCAATGACTTTCGTAATTCTCTCATACGAAGCTCTCCAAATAAAACACAACCATCTATCGGCTTGGCATACTGATCCAGCATTGGAATACTTCGACATCCTCTCTTTAATTTCTTAACTGGCAGATAGTTTTCACACAAAAATTCATCGGCCGTTCTATTCTTGTCATAAACAGAAATACGAATGACTGCAAGCTCAGGACAAGTAATATTGAATGCAAAGCGCTTATTGAATACTGGATTAAATCCATTGTCGGTCACACTCTCTGATTTTTCATCATATTCATCTTGTGGAATTCCCAAGACTTGAAGTCGAACAAACGGATCTACAATTTCACCTCGATCAGCCATTCCAGGTTTTGGTAATTGTTCACCACATACAATCTGTTGAATGATCATAATATCAATACAATCCATAATCCATGTATTCATCGTTGTGTCGTTGAATGGTCATCATTAAATTCGAAAGTCATCATTGAAATTCATTCGAAAGTCATCATTGAAATTCATTCTTTCAACACGTCTTGTTATCAAATCAAACTTACAGAGAAAACAATCGATAGTACTGGAGAAGAACCTACAGCAAATGGACTTGCTTGTACACCCTCCAATCTCAAAAAATCAGGTTTCAACACATATCCACATTTTCCATTTTCTTCAAACATGACTTCATTAAATCTCATATGCTCGTCATAGGTTTGATAATTGAGAGCAACCATTTGACATCCCAATGCCCACCCAATCATTGGATTATAATTACTGGAAGAAATTCTTGTGCCCTTGGGATAAATTCTCGAAATGTGATTCTTGTTATATTTGATAATTGCTTCTGGATCTTTTTTGAGAAGTTTTTCTAATTTTCCTTCTGAAAAACTATGCATTTTCCAACATGGCTCAGCAAACTCTCCCTTAAATGAAACAGCACACAATGCAATAATATCTGACAATGCTTTGGCTACTTTTTTTTTGGTTTTCGAGTCCTTCTCCTTTTTCGAAGATGGTTTTTCTTTGGAAGAGGAAGGAGTGCTTGGTTCAGTGGAATTGGTCGTGGTCGTTGTCGTCGTCGTGGTAGTAGTAGTTGTGGCTGAATCTTCTTCATCGTCATCAGAATCACCTCCCTCATCGTCATCATCACTTCCACTGACTAATCTCTTTCCTTTCAATAGAATTTTTCTTCTCAATTCATGAGGAGAAGGATAACTTGTAATACTTTCAGGAGGTGGTAAATAGAGTGCATCTCCAAAGATTTGAACCATTATTTTAGCCATCATTTCTTGTTGAGGTTCACTACAATGGACTTCTAAACTGAGAATGACTGGATATTCAGATGCTTTGAAAGCATTTTCAGCAATGGTTTGAATGACATCTCGGAATTTAATCTTACTGACAAGAGTGTGACCATGGAAAATGATAGGTTCTTCTTTTCCATCCCAACAATCTAATTCTACGCATCGACAGCCAGTAAGTAATACTTCCTTATATTTTTCAACAGAACTTTCACCTTTGAGTTGATGTCCTGTCAGATACGTATTGTGTGACGAAGAAATGTAATAGTGAGATAATGGAAGTGTCATGTCTTGATGTAATTTTTTAAAATCTGATTTTAGAATTGAATTGGATGAAGAAAATAAAAATCTTGTAAAGTCATAACTTGTCAATCCAAGTCCCATATCTGTTTTGATAGCTCCATGTTGAAGCATTAATTTCTCTGCATCTTGTTCAGTTTTAATATCATCTTCTTCTTGTTGACTTTGAATAAATTCAAAAAATTGAGGAGCCAAGACCAATTGATGTTTCTTTGAATATTTTGCGAAAATTGTACTTTCAATTTCAGGTCGTCTCATCATGGATTTGTAAAATTCTACAAATTCTTGATATTCAATGTATCCACTTCCGTCAGTGTCAAATTGTTTGTATTTTCTAAAAGAGTTGTGTTGATGAATGAACTTGTTGTGTGAACACTTACTGTTTCATGGATTTGCTAGACATGTCAATGTTCAATTTTTGACATAGTTTGACAACTTCCTATGAAATTGGTCAATTCATGTTCGTAACTAGTTTCAAAGAACAACATCGTACGGCTACAAACCTTGTAATCTAATTGTCCATCATTATTGGCATCTGCTTTCATCCAATGTTTTAGAATCAACAATTTGGTAGGATCCCGATCATAACTAATTCTTGATTCTCTGATCAAATAATTAAATACACAAATACATTCATTAAACTCGCTATTCGAGTCACAGTAAACTGTCACTTGATCCTCTTTCTGTCCAAAGACAATAACAAATCCAGAGCCTGAATCTGAAGGAGATGTCTTTTTTGAAAATAGTTTGGTCACACCAAGAGCTTTGGCTCCTTTGACGGTGGCTTCTGTTGCAAAGAGTTGTTTGATGTCTCTCAAAAAGACTGGTTTCCATTGTTGATGGATGACATTATTGAAACAACAAGTATGATGGCCATCAAAAAAGTCACACACTCAGAACATGATCATCATCATCATACAAATACATACTATGTAATTTCGATTCCTTCTTTCTTGAATCCTTCACCTCTACAAATGTTTCATCATCATCCAATACAAAATAATATTCTTTTGGTGGCGTGAGAGAATTTGTTTTTTTCTTTTCTAAAATACATTTCAATTTCTTTCCCGATTTAAATTCATGAAGTATCTTGTTGATGAACGCAGGTTCTGAAAATCGAAAGGTATCGAGTAGTGAAAGATCAATCACAATTTGTTCACATAATTCATTGTTAATGGATTTTGAAGAATTGTGTTGTGGAGAGAGTTCGGAATGATGGAAAGTACAAGCAGAAGAAGAAGAGCTGATGTTGATGAAGGCTGATGACGGGTCATTGCCCTCGTCTTGCGGTGTGGAGGGAGTTGCTGACATTTTTTTGAAAGTTGACATTACAGGGTCATGACTGCGCCGCTTTGGGCACAACCGTTCGGTCATGTAGCCCACAAACGACAAAAAAATTACTACAACTGCTTTCAACACGTTTTTTCTCGTCACAACATTTGCCTGCTCGCAGTTTCATCCTCTCTATATCAAATTCTTTGAATCATGAGTATTGGGTTATTCAACAACGCGACACGTTCGATGAAATGTCCACCACGCGATGTTCTTCTTTTCGAATCGAAGGAAACTCCATATTGTAATTCATACGGACATGTCATTCTAGTATTGGACTATCCGTTGTTGAGCACACCTACAATGTTTGTTAAACTCAAAGATAAGATGAGAAATGTGAAACCTCAAAGATTGAAATCGAAAGGATTCTCATTGGACTTTGAATTTGTGTCATCACTTAATACAACACCATTCTCAACAGTGTCCCATTCAAAAACAAGTAGAAGTTTCAGTTTTCCAATTGATATTAAAATCTCCTATCATCATGAATGTATTCTTGTCAACGATGGAGATCAACAATTGATTCATGTTTTTGATTTAAACACAAAAAATTTTAAAGCTTCAATACCTTCTCCTGTGGATTCACTGTGGTACATGTGTGTTGAAGAAAATTTTGATGGACCTCACACACGACGAGATGCTTTGATTGTAGCAAGTGACAACGGAGTGGCAAAGTATGAATTAGGAAAGTTATTGAATGAAAAACGACAAGATGATGGAATGAATGATTTTATGTGGAAATTTCAAGACTGTAAGACGTACGGATGCCTCACAGTATTGTATTCACACTCTTTGAATGAACCTAATCATGTCTATGTTTGTGACCAAAGACAACATTCCATTTTGGTGCTTAATGCCAAGACTGGATTGTTTCATCAGAGAATTGAATTAAGTGAAAAGAACTTGAAATTATCAGGAATTGACTTTTCTCCTCACGGTGATATGATTCTTTCCGAAACGCATCCATCACATCGAATTCACATGTTGAGAAAGAATGATAAGGGACAATGGCACACCATTAAGACATTTGGAAAGAGAGGACATAATTTTGGAGAATTTCATTTCCCTTATTGTGTCCTTGTAGACAAGGTTTCTCAACATCTCATTGTGTGCAATTCTAGTAATTGTAGAATTTGTGTCTTTACCTTTGAAGGAGAACTTGTTAAATCTTTTGGAAGCAGTGGACAGTCAAACAAACAATTTTGTGACCCCAATAGTATGTGTCTGAATGAAGAAAGTGGAGAGCTGTATGTGTGTGACAGGTATGTAGTTGGCAATGTCGGTAGAATATGAATATACTAAAGGTGATGACTTTCATCTAATGAAACAGTGGAAATAAGAGAGTTCAAATCTTCCAATGATGAGAATTGAGAACGGTTGATTTAAACCCTTTGCAATCATCCGCCAATTGTTGAGAACAGTAACTTTCCAATATTAATCAATTACAACAAAGAGATTCTCAAAATTCAGAGCAACTACTCAGTAAACTGCACAGAGTTGAATCTCTTATGCTAGGTCGCTGGTAGCATCATATTCCGCTCTAGGTTGCTTATGGACACGGATTGTAGAGTGTTAGAAGTGTTACTCAGAATGTTGCTCACTATGAGAATCGTTAGTATTGGAGATGCCTTTATTGAAATATTGAGAAAATTGGAAAAAAGCAACGGGCTAGAGTTAGCATCCCAAAAAAGCTCCCAAACAGAAAAACATGGGTGATGCGTCTTGTGTCTCTACTTGAATCGAACAATTAGGTTTTCTACAAGGGATACATCACCCGTGCTCTTCTTGATTTTGCCCCTCTTATAGAACATAAGGCAAAAAAATATTAGAACATACTTCAGCTCCTCCGTGATTGCTTTCATTAAACAACAGGAGGTGATACTAGTGGTCAAGATTAGGTAGAATTTCTATTGTACATGCGTTATTGTGTTTGATGTAATTTTTATCGTTTCGGAGTATAGAGTTTTCAAGACAGTATGGATGTTGTTGTATTTGATCAAAAAATTATGTGTGCTGATGAGAGAAAAGAGTTAAGCTATTTCAATAGACTTTACTTTGATCTTTACGTAAAGGATAACGGTTCGATAGACAGTACAGCATGGACTGTGCAAAAGCGTGGACAAAATTCGAAACCACATGTAAGTGCTGTTTTTTGCATAGAGGATCAAAGTCGTGGTCTAATTTTCCTTTTTAATAGAAATCAGTTCTAAAACGAAAAAACAACGAGAAACAGGAAGGTTCCGTTCTGAAGAAAAAGAAACAGCAGCTGGATGAGCCAATGGCAAAAGGGCTTAAGGTAAATCTTGCTAAGCTCTTTGATTCAGGTATCCTCAAAGTTGGCGACGACATTGCTTATAAAAACGATGAAATAGTGGTGAATATGAAGATAGGCAACAAAGGAACCATTGCATTCACTGATCCTAAAACGAACAAAACTGAAATTTTCACTCTTTTGAAACCTCTCATGAGAAGGATTGAGGAGTCCTATTCGGTCGTACGAAAACCCAAGATGTGGAATGCCTTTTTCAAGGTTGAAAAGATTAAAAATCGGGTTGTAGAAACGAGACTGAAAGAAATAAGGGAGCAATATCTACGTCAAATGAACCAGGCAAGTCAACATGATTCTCAACAGCAGCCCACAAACGAGCAAAAAATAGGAACGTCAAGAAATGTTAGAGTAACGATTGGAGATCTAGTTAAAGGAGGTTTTCTCAATCAAGGAGATGTAGTTGTGTTCAAAGGTTCTAGACCCCATTACGCAACAATAGCTGAAGGAAGACTAAAGTACCAGGACCCAACAGGCACATTCGAGTATTTCGAAACGGTTACCACTTTTAAAGCTCACATTAAGGAAACAGGAAATGCCTGGGCTTCCATGGTCTTGAGAAAGGCTGATCAAGAAGTTTGTTTGCAGTCATTGCGAGATTCTTATATTGAAAAAAAGAAGTAACCAAAAGAATACAAACCAAGTTTACTGGTCAGGAGGATTGATATAATTCTTTGCTTAATCTTTGTCGGCCGCATAGTCACAAAGGTCGTTTGTGATAATGATCAAGTCAATATTCGGATTGTTTTTCATGGCGTGTTGGAATTTTACAATTCTTGCTCGCGCTGCTGCGCTCAACTTTGAATAACTTTCAATTAAAGCCTGCGATTCTTTACAATGATTTTGTGCGTCCATTAAAGGTGTCACTCCACTATGATTTACAATGTCCCAAACAGCGTTTTTTTCAAGAAGCATTTTGGTTGCCTGTGGATTTCTAACAAAAACAACGTTTGATAACATGAGGTCAACAAAAAGACTTACCTGTAATAAGCAGCCCAATGCAATGCAGTGTCGCAATAAGGTCTGTCAATGGATATTCAATGAATCACGATTTAATGATCTAGTATTCAAAGTTTTGTACATACGGTTGATTAATGTAATCATAATCTGCTCCCATGTTCAGTAAATATCTAACAATATCGTTATTGTGCTTGTGAATGGCAATCATCAATGCATTTACTCGCTTTGTGTGTCATTTAATTATTAGTGTAGTCCAACAATTAATTGAATGGTTCACAAATTGATCATTAAAAAAATGAATTTAGTTTTTCAAAATCATTTTTGCGATCATCATGATTAGTGATCTCACTCTCGGAACATACCCCCTTGTCGATGGTTTCGTTGATATTACATTGCCCACTCTCAATCAAAGATTTTACCGTGTTCAGCTCGCCCGATTGTGCTGCCGCAACAAGTGGACTTCTGTCAAGACTGGGGTATTTATTTTGTTTAGCGAGTAATTGTCGTAAAGTTCTATGATGGGGTTTGTCATCATCGAAGGACATTTTTTAAAGTGATGAAGCATTCATGACATTTCGAGTGATTATTTTTGGTTTTTGGGTGATGAAAGCACTGACATAATTTCATCTTGTCAATGAATGCGATTGAAACAAAAATGACCAGCTCGCAATGATTGGCACAGTTTCGGAACCGAGATGGAGATGAAGGACTAGCCGCGCCCACACGTTCTACAGTTTAACTTCAAAAAATAACAAAATGAGCTTGTCGGTTTCGGTTCCGAAGGTTCTGTTGGAATACGGCTCAACTTCATCAGCAACCAATCAACAACAACTCAACAATACAGATCATGAAGAAGAGGATGAAGAGGCCTTTTCGGATATTGAAGACGAAGATGACATTGGAGAAGACGATGATCTCTCGCTTTCGGATGATGAAAATAGAGAAAAAACTCAAGAAATGATTGAAAAAGAAAACGAGGAACTGGACAAAATTCTACAACTATTCAATAATGAGAACATATTTGAAAAGAATGACGCATTCATGTTGAGAAGCGAGATGGATAAAAAATACATCTCTAAAGAGGCTGAAGCTAAAGTGAGGAACATGTATGAAGATTTATACGTTGGACATTTAAATCGAAAAACCCTCCATCAAATTGAGCCTATTGAACTTTTATTCTTTTTGACAAACTATAAGAATTTAAATTGGAATGAAATACTCATCCGTGCGCAAGAAAATAAGAGATTGGAAGTGGTGAGAAATGCAATCCAAGCAAAACTGGATGAGCAAAAACAACAGGAAGAGGAAGAAGAACAGAATAGTGTGGAAGGATTTATTTTACGAAAGGTAAAAAATTATAGGGATAAGGTTGTCACGTCTATGGATGCTAGAGTGGAAGAAACAATTAAGCATATATTAAGCGTATTATATTTTCCTGTAAAAAAAGGAAACACTGTAAAACCTTTGATTGATTTTGGTCCCAAACGTCTCAAACCTCGACTGAGAAGCATTGTAAAGTCTATATTTTATTCTGATTACATGTATATTGAGGGGCAAGAGGATCCATTGCCTGGAGAAGAAGAAAGCGATCCAATGGAAGTTAACGGCTCAGACATTGCTCAAAAAGAGCTTGAAAATATGTGTGCCGAGCTGTTAGCACTTAGGGCTGAAAAACGAGCCTTCACGGAGGAGGAAGAGCTAATTATTGACGTTACAAGAGATAAATATTATGAAAGTTTAAATGAGAATAGAAGACAAGCATTTGAAATACGCAACCTCAAAGAGCAGCTTGAAGGAAGATTAAATTTAATTGCGAAAATGAATGAAGTTTATGTAAATGAATTTCAAAAGCTGAAGATGAGCATAATTGAAAAGTTGGAACAAAAGAAAAGTTTTAGTGACGACATCATGCTCTTATCCACAATGGGAGGCTCGTTAATTGCTGACTTTTCGTCTTTACTCGAAGAGGAACGAAAGAAAGCACAAGATCTCTTAAAAACAGTGAGAATTACGTTTGGAAAGGAAAAGAAAATTATGGAAAACCAAAAACTAAAAGAAATGCAACTTTGGAAGCAAAAATTAGAATCTTTAGTGCAAGATAGAAACACCACCATTGAAATTATGAAAAAAACATATGAAGAAGAGAAGCAAACGCTTATTCATGAGCTATCCAACGAAAAAAAGAAAAAGACAAAGGAAGCCAAAAAGTCCACAAAATCTCACGCCCTTAAGCGAGAGTTGTCTGCTACAACAGTAGCAACCAAGGAAAAACCGAAAAAATACCTTGTACTCCACCACTCAAAAGGAGTGAGCATAGAGCCAAGGCCACAATTGACAACGGCAAAACCATATTACAGCCATCACGGAAACAAGGATCAGCACAGCAGTGACGACGAAGATAATTCAGATGAAGAGAGAAAAGTTAAACCAATTCCACAAAAGAAATCTGAAAACATCCCAAAGAAGCCTGTTAAAGACGTACAACCTTTTCAAATTAATATCTTAGACCAGAAACGTGTGAAATTCTTAAGAAGTGCTCAGAAATCAACCAGAGACTCGTTTGAATCAAACACTGATGAAGAGGCGCTGTTAAAAGATGAGTCTTTCAGTCAAAAGGATAAGTCTCAATATCAATACGTTAAATTGGAAAACGAGTTGTCAGGTCACAAAAAACAAAATAGGTTGCTAAAAGCTGCTCTGAAAGATAGAACTGAAAAGCTTAAGGCGATCATTATAAAGCTTAAGCAAGTTAGACAAAAACGAGAAGCTGCTCTTGATGAGCTGGACAAGTTTAGAGAAATGTTGAAAGAAGAAATGGATACCAATACCATGCTGAGAATACAAATTAAGAATTTAACTGAGCAAATCCGAAGATATTCCAAAGCCGATAGACTTCACAGGAAAAATACTTCTTCTCAATTACTAGAAAATGAAGTAACAAATCCTGTAGCTGTTGAAAGCCCTTCAACACAAAAAGAAGACAAACAAAAGGTCAGTCGTATCAAGGAACACTTTGGGCATTTTAGAAATCAACTCAAACACTGGCCCAACAATGAAAAAGCTGAATTGAATCAAATCATCGACATTGACGCAGTGGAACAATTACAAACAGCTGTAGCAGAAGCAGGAGCAATAGATTCTACGTTTTCTAAAAAGCTCCACAAGTGGGACAGCTACGTACGAAGAACAGCCCTCAAAAAATTTAAAAGCACACCAAATATTGACATGATTTCTGAGTTTGGAATAGGTGAGTTGAACGAAAGAAACATTAATTGTATTAACCACTTCAGACGTATCTCTGGAAAGACGACGAAAACAATTTGTTTCTTGTGAAAGAATGGTTCAAACAGATATCAGCTGTTTTTCAACAGATACAAGCAAAGAATCCTTTATGGCTCCAAGCATTGCCGTTCCACGAGAATTAAACTCAGCGTTTGATACAATAGAAGAGCAAAATGACTTGTTGGATGAATTGATTGGCGATATAGAACAGTCTTGTGAGCTCACGGATATGGAAAAGACGAACTTCACAAGGATAAAAGCTAAGAAAAATGAACTTGTAAGAGAGAGGCAAGAGCGATGGGGAAAGGTTGTTCACATTGCTCAACAATTAACAAACTTTAGTTTGGGTAAGGGCCAAGTTCCTCTCAGCATCTCTACGATTGATCAGGTTGTAGGCTTAGAGAACGAATTACGGAATAAGGCAAACATTTTTAGAATACTCCCCTCAACCTTTGCAAGGTCGACGTCACCTATGAGAGAAAATACCCCATCCACATCTTCATCTTCCAAAAACGAATCAATAGTTGCCAACAGAACTGAATTTCCTTATGGTATCAACAGAAGGTCTGAATCAGTAGGTACATGTTTAGTGGAGCTTGATGATGACAATTCGGATGTACACCTCTCTGAAATGATCTCTGGAATGAACAATAGCATCATTCAAAACAATTCTCTCACCAAAAATCTTCCAAGACTCTACCCTCAAAACAACAATCCCAACACCCGCTCTCCAATCTCTTTTTATGGCCGTCAAAGTGCTCCCTTAGTAAGAACAAAAAAGAAAAAGGAGCAACTTGCATCAGATGATTACAGACAATTCCTCAACGCTTACAAATCCCCAACCAAAAAACCTTTTCTGTAAATTATTTGGTTTCTCTCACACACAAAAGCCATCATCCTTCACGTCCATCAACGAAACCCAAATTCAAAAATAAAAAATGTCTCAACAGCTGTCGTATGTAACCGGAGTCGATACCAGCACAGTTTACCAGAAATTGGAATTATTAGGAGAAGGGTAAGTGAGTATGATGAGAGACTCGTCCTTGTTGTTTCAAAACCGAAACCTACTGTGTTTTGTTGATATTGATGATAACAAAATTTTCAATCATTTTTTTCGTTTGGGTGATACAATGAACTCACTCGAATCCATCATCATCATCGCTACGGACCTATCATCATAAATTCTAAAACCACCATCATCCGAACATCCTCCATGTTATCAACAACAATAGATCTTATGGTATCGTCTGGAAAGTACTCAACAAGAATGACGGTAAAATCTATGCTCTCAAATGCGTTCCAGTTGAGAATGATATAACTGAAGTAGAGAAGGAAATCAATATTCTCAAGGCTTGTGACTCGCCATCAATTGTAAAGTATTATGGAGCCTACAAACAAGATCAAGAGCTTCAAATAGCAATCGAATATTGCGGAGGAGGTTCTGTTCAAGACTTGCTCACTGTACTCGGACCTGTTTTGAACGAACAGCAAATTGCAGCAATTTGTGCCTCCACACTGAAAGGACTTGTGTATCTGCATTCACAAAAGAAGATCCATCGTGATATCAAAGCAGGAAATATTCTTCTCACAGATGAAGGAGATGTAAAATTAGCTGATTTTGTAAGTAGAGTGTTGTGTTTGAGTTGGAGATACATGCTGTTGGTTGTGGTGGTGATCGTGGTATCATTGAACCGCAACGATAATGACGATTTTCTTAACACAGGGTGTGAGCGCTCAACTGAACAATACAATTTCCAAAAGGCGTACAGTCATTGGAACACCCTACGTAAGTGATAATGCTAGCTTTCATTTTGGTCGTGACAACTGCTGTCAAATTTATGATCTTCACATGTCGCTCATCAATTCAATATTTGACATCATCATACAATAGTGGATGGCTCCAGAAGTTATTCAAGAAACTGAATATGACGGAACTGCAGATGTTTGGTCATTAGGAATTACTGCCATTGAAATGGCGGAAGGAAAACCTCCTCTTCATGGTATTCACCCCATGCGTGCAATTTTCATGATTCCAAACCGACCTCCTCCAACACTTGCAAATCCTGACAAGTGGTCAGAAGAATTTAAAGATTTTCTTGCATATTGTCTTGTTAAAGATCCAGCAGAACGACCATCATCCAAAACTCTATTGAAACACAAATTTATTCAAAAGGCTAAAACAACAAAAATTTTGCAGGAATTAATCGATAAGATGAATGAAATATTTGCAGAAGCAGGAGGCAGATTTAATTATTTCAAAAAGAGAGCTGAAAAGGAGAAGGAGTCTGACTCTGAAGATGATGAGACAGATTCTTCCTCAGAAGAAGAGTCTGAAGAGGACGGCGATTCATATGACACGCTCGTCCAGCGTAAACCCAAGTTAGCAACAGGAACAACTAAAATTACTACAAAAAAGAAACAAGAGTCTTCGTCTTCAGAGAGTGAAGGGAGTGACAATGAAGATAGTGACGATGATTGTGGAACTATGGTGAAACATCAACCAATCAAGAAAGAAAATAACAACTCTTCGCAAAACAATTTAATTCAAAGTGAAGAGATGGAACAGCTTAAAAAACTTTTCTCGGCTCTAAATGTAGATGAACTTAAAAGACAACTCAAAAATATGGATGAAGAAGAACAAAAACAGATTCAGGAAATTAAGGAAATGTTTAAAAAGCGGAGACAAGTTGTGCAGGCCCTAATAGATCAAAAATAAAGTTGTAATTATCACCTCCAATTCCAATAGTTTTTATGTAGAAACTTTGGTCCAAGCAGCTTGTTCTTCGTTGGCGAGAGGATAAAAATACATCAAACCAAAAAACTAGCTCCGCTGCCGGGAATCGAACCCGGATCTCAAGGGTGAGAGCCTTGTGTCCTAACCATTAGACTACAGCGGATTACATGATTGCTTGTTTCGTTAAAGAATCAGTGTCTTGCGTTCAGTAGGACGGCAAGATAAAATGACTTAGCTTGACCAATAACGTTCTGTAAACGGCAAGCACAAACATGACACATTGCATTGAATTGAGAAGACATTTACTCTTGAAGAGCGCTTTCCACTTTGGATACATCTTCTTTCTGTTCCATAGTTTTTGGTTGATCTGACAGATCCTCCAATACTAAATCTTCTTCATGAGTTATTGATGTGTCATGTGATGGCTCTGAATTTGGCTCCTCGTTAAACATGTTGTATTTTCCTTCGAGGTATGAAATTGCCTTGTCTCTTGACTTTAAAGGAAATCTATTCTCAAATTGGAATCTAGGATGAGGAACATTGAATTTGTTTCTTAGATTTGTATCTTTTTTAAGCGCCTCCACCTCTTGCTCAATAAATTGTACGAGAATGAGTACATTCATTTCTTGTTTTAGAATTTCTCTATTTGTATCGTTTTCAAAGACTGCACAGATTAGTGTCGGTAAGAGAATTTGTCTGTTTTGAGGATCAGTATAATATCTCTCAGGTAGTGAGATGAGTCTTTGAAGAAGTGTTGGGTTTCTTCCGTTGTGATAATGAAGCATGTCTTGATTGGACGGACATTCTAAACAAAAGTATCCAATTTCCAAAATAATCTCGTTCAATAGATCTGGAACAGTAATTTTGGTATTGGGAGCTGTGAAACCATCATATACTACAATGGATGGGTCGTAATTTACAGATTCAATGTATGCTAAAAGATAACCAATAATATGAAATAATTCAGTTTGAAATGTTTCTCCCAATGTTTTCTGTACAAAGTCAAGATCAATACAGGATAGATTATTCAAAATTCTAAATGTCAAGAATGTAATCTTGAGTGCTAAATCATTCATTTCTGGTTTGATATTTCCTCTAAGTGGACCATTTGCAAGTATCATGGTACTGAGAACAGGTAATACGTCAATAATGTTTGTCTTTCTAAACTTGTCGATTAGATTTTCAATTTCAGTACCCTTTTTTTGTACATAAACAGGTAAATGTCTCACTTTAGCATACGGGAATGTTGTCATCACTCTAACCAGCTCCAAGCTCTTTAAAATGAATGACGATCTTTCTTGAAGTGAAATTTCATCAACATATTTCACTTGAGCTTTGATAGTATCTAAAAGTTTAGTGTTGACAATAAAATCAATAAAATAGTCCTTAAACATGACCTCTGTTTCTACTGCCTCTGCAGTTGGTGTTTGTAAAAGCTTGGTAATGATAACAATCATCATTTCCAATTCAGGAAGTGATGATGGCTGATTACCAACGTCGATTGCTGTTTGTAATATTGAACATATTAACGAGTTAGTGGTATTGATATAAATTAAGTTCTCCTTATTCTTGCAGAGTGTGTTGAGAGCATGAATATACGCAGATCTCTCTTCTGCATCTTTGCATTGGCTCATTTGTAAACAAACACAGTCCAAAGCACCTTCATCTCTCAAGGTCTCTAAACTATCGTTTCTGGTAATCCTAGATATGGAGAGTAGCGCAGAAATGAGAACTTCAGACTTGGTCGGGTCCTTGATATGTTGAACAGTCTTTTTGAATAAGGTGGTTTTAGGTTTTGTTTTTGGTCTAATTTGAAGTAATTTCTTTTCCATGGACTCGAATGCCTTTAAGAACTTTTGTTTTGCTTTTTTGAATTTCTTGTTAGCTTTTTTGGTATTATGAGAAGGATCTTCTTCACTGATGGGCAAAATGACCACTGAATTTTCAGTTTTAGGAGGGGAGACAGCTCTTTTTCGTGCTTCTTCAACTTTTTTAAGATCTATTGATGCTTTCGCTTTTTTTGTCTCGATAGTCTTCGTTTTTCTGTCTTCAGCAGCTTCTAACTTTTTTTCTAATTTTTCAGAGAGTAAATGAGTTGTTAACTCAGTTTCTTTCTTTGTTTTTTGTATCTTTTTTTCATACTCAACTTTCTTGTTAATTCGTTCTGCTGACTCCTTTTCTTTTTTTTCCTTGATCAATTCTCCTTTCTTTTCTTTGGCCTTGATGCTTTCATAAATTTCTTTTTGTCGTTCGGCCTCTAATTGTTCACGTCTTAATTTTGCAGCTTTTTCTTTTTCCAAATCCTTTGTGCACTTAACTTTGATTTTGTGTTGTTCTCTCTCTCGTCTTTCTTGTGATGCAGACAGTTTTTGATCAAGTTGAAATTTGTTCTTTTCTTCCTCAAGGGTCTTTATAAATTTTACTTCCTCTACTTTTTCGCTTTCTTTTCTTGCCTCTTCCATAACTTTCTTAATGTGAATTTGATTATTTTTTCTTGCCCTCTCATGCTTCTCTTCTTGCCTCTTTTTTGTTTCTTCTAACTCCTTCTCTCTCTTCTTCAACACCTCCTTTTGCTTTTCAGCTTCTCTCAAAAATTTGACTTCTTGTTGGATCTGTTTTGTCTGTCTATTCCATGCAGATCTGGCCATTTTTTCTTCTTGTCGTCTTCGAATGTCATCAGGAGAGAGTTTTCTTCTGCTTGGCGACGAGAGTCTTTCTCGAACAGACATAATATCAGGAGAGCTGGGCGGTGAGATGTCAGGTGAGACATCTCCCCAGCATCTTCCTTGGGTTCCAAAGCTAGGACTATTGAACAATTCTTCAAATGATGTATTGTACTGGATTTGTCCAAAATTCGAAGGTGATGGAATGACATCATTCAAAAGCGAACCTGAAACTAGGTCTGCCATGGAAGGACTATTACTGCTAGATAAATTTGTAGATGATCGTTGTTCTGTTTGTCGTTGTAAAAGCTGAAAATTGTTAATTAATTGATGTCAAATTGTTAACTAAATTCATCACTTACCTCCGAAAGCTCATTACATGTCGAGGACAAAATGTTGACAACCTCCATCGTAAAATCTTGGCCATTTACTTCACATTCTCTATGTAATTCTTCGATATATCTTTTCAAATCGTCTTTCATTTCTTGTGAACAATCACCTCTGGGCGAAGTCAATGCCACAGATGACAAGGCTGAATTTTTTGGGGTTTCGTCTTGTGAAGAAGACGATTGGATCTCGGAGGAAGGTTTTCTTGTAAAAGTGGAGGATCCAGGTTTAGGACTTTTAACATTACTAGAGGAAGAAACATTCACAACTCTGAAAGAATGAAGGTTTTTCTGAGAATAGGTATTTCCTTTGCTTTTAGTGTCTCTCAAATTGATCTTAAGCTCTTGTGGTGATGTGTTGACAGAAGGAGATACTGCATCATTTCGCCAAGCTTGTGTTGTAGAACTCTTCTTTGTGGGAGCGTTCGTGCACGATGATGATGCAGGCTTGCTCCATGCTGATGAAATTCCCGATGACGATGATGAAACAACCATCGATCTACTACTCTCGCTGTTGTTGTTATTCGTTTCAACCGATGATAATTGTTGAGTGCCACTGCCTCTAGGTGTTGTATGATTGAAATTATGGTGAGTGTGGTTCGCACTGCTGGCCGTAAAATCACCTTGCGACATTTTTATTTTTTGAAATTTGAACAAGTGCGGTTAGAAAAGGCGCCAAAACCGGTTGTGTCCAAGTGTGCTCAGTTCTCCACCAAAGCTCTTCGATTTGGAATCTAAAATCTTTAAAATCTTGAGAACTCTCTGTTTTATTTCTCTTTGGATACCGTAATAAGATTGGGGTGGAAGTCTGAATTAAATTGATAACACAAAAAAATGAGCAAAATAATATCCTCTCTTCCCAATCAATTTCAAAATGATGCACCAAGCAAGCCTCCTTCGGAACCATCACCATTTCGAAAGAATATTTGGGTGGTGTCTGGAGTGATGAAGGCTTATTTAATTGCTTTTGATTCTCTGAAGGGTGTTGTTAGGAATATTGTTCATCAATTTAAAGAAGCGATGAAGAAGGAAGAAGATCATTTAGTATACAAACGGGTAGACCAAATGTTACGAAAGACATCCGATAATCCAAATTATTATTCAATCACTCGAGCAATTGAACAAATTACCTTATATTCCAACCACGCGGAGGCTTTATTTAAATTCTTCTCAAGCGAGCTTAAAATTCCTGTCGTTTATGGGTTTCAACCTGTTTCACAAGCGACAAACTATCCTATTGAGCCATCAACAAGAATGGGATGTGCATTCCTCAACAACTTTAAAATTCATTGTGTTGAACAACCTGCTCTCAATACTTTGAGATCTTATTTAAGCGTTATTTTTACCATGTTATTTGGAGATAGAATTGTTGGACGATATTTTAACTCCAATGCTGAACAGAATGATGAACAACTGAATACTGATAAGAGTATATCTACGCCCGACTATTCATCCCAACAAATACATACATTTGGACTGTTAGGAATTTCTTTGTTTTCAGAAGTATCAGAATCAAGACTTTTAAAGTCTAGAAATATTGTCTATACCAAACAGTTTAAATCTCTTTATGAATATATCATCACTAAACGAATGCTTTCGAAAATCAAGATGGACAAGAATGAAAGAGTCACCATTTTCAAACAAACCTTTTTATTTGGCTCAATATGGGAATTTTTTAGAAAATACTTTTACAAAAACGACCCTTTGAAAAATCATGGCATGTACATAATTCAATATCACCCATACTTTGACCTGATGGTAAAATTAGTGGGTGATAAACATTTGAAAGTTGTGAGAAAGGACGATTTAAAGAGAGGGAGCTCTTGGAATTTAAAATGTCTTCCATTAGGAGTGTTAAAGATCAAAACCTGTAAAGAAATTGAATTCCATACTACTGCTATTAGAGAAGACGTAGATGGTCTTCTTACGTTTATCAAATTGTTTGGCTCTCAATGTGTTGAAGTCATTGAGCCCTATCGTCACTACATTTGGGATTTCTCCAAACTGCCTCATCCACCAAATGCGCCTTCATCTCCTAATCTTAGAGTCATTTGCATAGACAGGAGTGAAATGTGTGAAATGAATCGAGTGTATGGCATCAGCCGGCTCGTGTTCGAGGTGGAATCGTTGGACCATTGTCAATATCAGCTGCAATCAAAAGGAATTCCTTTCAGACTGGAATCCGCAAGTATTATCATTCTTCATCCTCTTCTTCAAAATATTCAAATAAATTTGGTGGAATAGAATCATTATTAACACTTAACCAACACTTTATTTCCTTAATAACCTAGCCCTAGCAAAGAATTTAGCGTTAAGCGGATGATGTTGACTCTTAATGATGGCATTATCACAAGGCACTTGGCCTACTGATGATGATGTTCTTTCCTTTTTAACAATGCCCACAGGACCGGATGCTCCTTTTTTAAGTTTCTTCTTGCTCGATGTTGATTTACTATTTCTCTTTTTCTTTCTTGTTGGTGTATATTCTTCGTCATCAAGTTCTTCCTCTTCAAGAGGCTGTTCAGAGGGTGCTGTAGTTATTCGTATGGTTAAGCACTTGGGATTGTGAGAAACAACCTTCATTTGATCAGGTAATTCAAACTCGGATTTAACAACATTAGGATCTTCGATCTCTTGATTTGTATAAACCTTCGTATGGTTATTATAAGGATAGTTATAGGATGCATTAATTTCATCATAATATTTAGAAATGATTGCTTGATCTGAAGGTTGTAGTTGGTGGGGTACTATACCAAGGTCATTATGCAAAAGTAAGGCACGGTATGATTCGGCAGCATTGCTAATCGAGAATTGATTGGTGGAGGTGTCAAAAGGAGCAACATTAAGATCCGTAGTCGAACAGCTCAATGGATCAACATCAATGTCATCTAGTGGAACATCGAGATTGATTCTTACCGTGTCAGGATCACATTGACATCGCTCACAAACTTTTCCAATGGGCAGCCAACGTTTTGTTGCAAAGTTAACTGCCTCGTTTACATTGATATCCCAGTTAAAGCCTTGATGATAGCTTCCTGGAAGCGTGATTATAAACTCTCCAGGTAATTGTGTCACACGAGTAACCTTAATACCATGCTCTTTCAACGTGAAAGGAGAAATCAAGGTTGTCTTGTGTCTCAAGAACTGAGAGCACTGTTTGAATTGCTCAGGAAATGTTTTTTTGACTAACTCTTCAAACTTGGTCTTGTAAGGGAATGGAATCGTGTACCAAACCTTAGGGCTTCCAAAATGCATATAATTAATGCTGTATAGATCTAAATCTTCACAGTGCCAAGCGAAAAATGATTTGTACGATCCCACATACAGATAGGGTGAGTTAATTCCTGGCAATGTGATTCCTTGCTTCTTTAAAATCCTAGATAAGACTGAATCTAAAGTATTCAAATTCCATGGTGTCTTTGGATCTACAAACAATGTACCATATAAATCGCTTCCATAAAGTGGAGCTTGGAAGGCAACATTCTTCCATACTTTTCTTTCCATCCAGTCCACCTGTTCCTCCAAGGTTGTTAAGCTCGGAAGAGGTGGTGCTTTCTCGGTAACAACTTTGGGCCACTTCTTGAATGTGGTTGGTTTTGATTCTTCCAAGTACAATTGAAAGATTCCCTTCACTCCATCCACAAACTGCTTCACTGGAGTTGCAATTTCGAAATCAATTTGGTCCATAGTAAAGTGATGAGGTTTCCATTCCTTGGGAGGTATGACTTTACAAATACCACCATAGGAGCAGGCCGGATCGACTACTCTGTCGATATAACCTTGAAAGTCAGCCATCTCCTCCATGGTAGGAGTGAGTACAGGCACCGAATCATAACCGGAAGTGTGGGATAAGTTGAGGCTCATGTTATTGGTTTCTACTAGTAGAGAATAGAAAGGAAAAATATTATAACGGCCGCTGCTACTATTACAATATTTAATGTTTTAAACAAGCTAGTAATAATAGCAGTGATGTCTTTGAAACCGCTTGATGATGTCGTTTGTCTGCTTCAACAGGAAGCCAGATCGCAAGATAATTTTTGATGATGATCAAAAAAAAGCAAGACGTTTGTTACTCGCTCAAGTGTTGCGAGTAGACGTGATTGTGTTGGAAGGTAGTTCCGATTATCGGTTGATTAATATCAGCCGACTGGTTGAGGACTATTTATGTGAAGAGAATGAGTTTGTTTGTAAAACGAAGCAGCGTTTAGCAAACAGTCAACTGTTGACTTTCTTTTTTTTATTCCTTTTTTGCTTGAGCCAACAGCATCTCTCGAAACACACATCGACGAGCAAATTTAATTTCCACAACTGGATTGAACATCAGTAGGGCTGACCTGGCGTGACCGTTTGAAACAAGCTCTGAATCATCGTGCTTGATGATCGGGCAAGTGATGGCTCCTTTGATGCAGAACATGGCAGAACATTTACAGCATACATTCATTTCAGCATTCACTTGTAGAATCATATCCCATGGGTGTGACGCCAATCTCATTCTCTCAGAGAGAAAAATTGCGCCTGTCCCCCCAAGCTAAACGCGCGTTGTTGATCAACAGTGTATGGCAGTTGTAAAACAATATTTGTTGGCGCCATTTTGCTAGTATTTGTAGAGGCTCAATACCTGCTCATCATTTCAACACCATACAAAAAATTCAGCAACAACTACAACCTTTCATTCTCCTCATCACCACTACATACAATGTCGGACAGTAAGAAGGCAGTGATTAAAAACGCTGATATGGAGGAAAACATGCAAAGAGATGCTGTTGATATTGCATCTCAAGCATTAGATAAGTTCAATATTGAAAAGGATATTGCCGCTCACATAAAGAAGGAGTTTGATAAGAAATACAACCCAACATGGCATTGTGTTGTCGGCAGAAACTTTGGCAGTTATGTTACACACGAAAGTAAGTGTTATCTATTGGATCGAGTTCGTTCGTTGACATCAATTGTTTCCGAACATTGGGCTGACCACATTCCTTAATCACAATTATTTAGCTAAACACTTCATATACTTTTATCTTGGACAAGTGGCCGTGCTACTTTTCAAATCTGGATAAATATAACAAATTGCTTTGTATTTTTGTTTCATATTGTTTGCTACAAGTGTACATATCCCTTATGTGGATCATCAATGTTTGATCGTTTTAAACTCTACATAAAATCATTGTTAGAAATCTACAAGTTTGCTTGTTCTCTGCTGAAGCCTACGTCTCGTAGACATAATCTGTAGGCTGTGATTAAATATTTGCATTCGGCATTATCTTCTCCGTTTGTGATGAGACAACTGTCTCTAATCTTTTTAATATCGGGGCAGGAGCAACAGATTTTCTTTGCTGGAGTTCTCGGAGCCTCTGACAAGCTTTTTTCAATCAAAGACAACTCATTTTCCAGAGTTGTCTGTTTGGTACATAACTGAAGAGCCTTTTCAGCCCATTTGCATTTGCTGACATCATCAGCATTATTCTGCTGGCACTCAGAAAGAAGCGATTTGATTGTTTCGCAGGACATTTTTTTGTTGAGCACGTACTTTTTGATTGAAACCACAAAAGGAAGAATAATTACGCAATACAAATTTGGATTATTAACCACACATAATGTAAAAACAATAATTTAATTCATTTACATCTTCTTGAGACGTTCAATTGTTTCATCAATCTTGAGTAATTCAGAGTTATAACTTTCAAGTTTGATTTGGTCGTTATCTTTGACTTCTTGAGGTGTGTTTGTCTTGTACTTCTCAGTTTGAGTTCTCTCAAACAAAGCGTCACGGACCTTTTGAAGCTTCTCCTTATTCTTTTCTTGCTTCTTAACCTCTTGGTCAATGTCAATAAGTCCCTTAAGCATCATGTGAACTTCGCAAAATTCATTTACAACTTCAACACCACAACCCGATGGTATTTCTTCAACCTTCAAATCAAAAACAAGACTTCCACAAATAGCCAACATTTCAATATAACCTTTTACGCTCTTTAAAAGGTTGGCATGAGTTGGTGAAGAACAAATGATATAAACCTCAGGTGTTTGTTTAGATGTCAACTTGTATGCTCCCTTCAAAGATCTAATGTGGTGAACAACATCTAATACAAATTGCATGTCTGTTTCAATAGCGTCATTGCTCCATGATGATACTGGTTGAGGATATGGGCAAATCATAATGGATTCTCTGTTAGCTGGGAAAGAAGAATGGCCTGGAAGTCTTTGCCAAAGCTCCTCAGTAATAAATGGCATGGCTGGATGCAACAATCTCAAACATTGTTCGATACATGTGTACAATACCAATTGAGTAGTTCTTTTTCTGTTCAAATCTTCAGACTTGATATCATTCTTAATCATTTCCAGGTATTGATCACACAAATCCTTCAACCAAAAATCATAGCATGATTGGGTGTAAGACATAAAATCATAATTTCCTTTTTCAAATGATGCATTACAAGCAATAATTGTCTTGTTCAATCTACTAAGAATCCATTTGTCATTCATAGTTAAATTGCTAAGATCACGTGGATAATTATCAATACCATCAGATTTGAAGTCAGACCAGTTCATCAAAGCAAATTTAGTGGTTTGCCACATCTTGTTGCAGAAGGTACGATAACCAAACACACGCATAATGTCTAAAGCAATATCACGTCCTTGAGCGGTATAATTCAACAATGTAAATCTGAGAGCGTCAGTACCACATTCTGGAATTCCTTCTGGGAATTGCTTCCTTTGACCCTCACTAGCTTTTTCAACTTCTCTCTTTGGTAAGTTACCTGTCTTTAACTTTTCAAACATTTCTTCAAGAGTAATTCCATGAATAACGTCAATAGGGTCAATTACGTTGCCCAAGCTCTTTGACATCTTTCTGTTATCTTTATCTCTAACCATAGCGTGAAGCAAAACTTCGGTGAATGGAAGTTGTCCAGTTAGACACAAACTCATCATGACCATCTTAGATACCCAGAAGAACAAAATGTCAAGTCCAGTCTCAAGCATTTGAGTTGGGAAGAAGGTCTTGTAGTCATCTGATTCGGTATTTGGCCAACCTAATGGAGAGAATGGGAATAGACCAGAAGAAAACCATGTATCTAATACGTCTTCGTCTTGTTGCAAAATAAGCTCAGACTCTGAGGATACCAAATCTTTGAATTTTTCGTAGGCCTTCTTTTTGGCTTCCTCTTCAGATCCAGCTACAATCCACCATTTTTCGTCACCGTCTTGTGTTAACTCTTCCTTTCCTTGAATTTTAACAAGATAAGCAGGAATTCTGTGACCCCACCATAACTGTCTGGAAATGCACCAATCTTGAACGTTTGCTGCGCCCAAAAAGTGGAACCAAGTTGTTTTTTCTCTTTCTGGAACGAGCTTCAATTCACCTCTTTCCACTGCTTCACAAGCTTGTCTTGCTAAATCATCCATCTTGACATACCATTGTGGTTTAAGCATTGGTTCAATAATATCTTTTGAACGCGAACAGGTTTTGAGAACAAGCTTGTTAGGTTTTTCTTCTCTGTATAATTGCCTCTTTTTCAGCTCTTCGATGATAGCATAACGAGCATCAAATCTCATCATGCCTTGGAATTGACCACCATTTTCATTAATTTTACCGTCGTCCGTAAAGACACAAATCATTTCCAATCCGTGTCTCAAGCCACACTCAAAGTCATTACCATCATGAGCAGGAGTAATCTTAACAGCACCGGTACCAAAATTCATGTCAACCAAAGTTGCATCTGTAATAACCTTCAATTTTCTATCAAGGAATGGGTGTACCAATGTTTTACCATGGAATTTCTTATATCTTGGATCATCAGGATGTACAGCAACAGCTACGTCTCCTAGCATTGTTTCTGGACGAGTTGTTGCAATGACAATTTCATCATTGGCAAATTCTGGGTCTTCAAATTTGTAAGCGAATGACCACAATTTACCAAATTCATACTTCTTTGTTTCTGAATGCCCAGGTACGAAACGTTTGACACCTTCTATCTCTTCGCTGTCTACTTCAATATTACTGATGGCTGATTTTAAAACACAACTCCAGTTTACCAATCTATTCTTTCGGTAAATGACTCCCTTCTCGTACATTCGGATGAAAGCTTCCTTGACAGCAGCACTCAACTTTTCATCCATTGTGAAGCACTCTCGGGTCCAATCCAAAGAAGCACCAATTCTTTTGAGTTGTGTCAAAATACGTTGACCATACTCGTCCTTCCATTTGAAAACCTCTTCTACAAATTTTTCTCTTCCGAGGTCATGTCTTGAAACTGGTGGGTTTTGGTTCATTAATTTCTTCTCGACTACTACTTGCGTAGAAATACCGGCATGATCAACACCAGGAATGTACAAGACATTCTTGCCGGTCATTCTATGATATCTAACAATAGCATCTTGGATAGCTACAGTGAGAGCGTGTCCAATATGGAGTGATCCTGTTACGTTTGGAGGAGGAAGAGCAATAGTAAATTTTTCTCTTGTTGTATCCTTCTCATCAGCTTTGAAATATCCTTGTTTATTCCACCAATCATACCAAGCCATTTCTACGAACTCTGGGTGGTATTGAGCAGGCATTTCGATTGCGCGTATGTCTTTCTTCTCTCCGATTGGAGTATCATTCTTAAAGACTACCTTCTCCAACTCGGTCTTCTTTTTTGTGTTGCTCTTGTTGGATGATGGAGTGGCTTGTTGGCTCATTTTTTTAATGGTTGTGTCTTCTTCGCTGCTGTTCGGGTCGTCATGAAAAGAAGCTTGGGTAACTAGATGATGGAAATTGATTTTCTAATAATACAAAGGCTAATTGTGGACGAACGGTTCGAACTGCTTGAAGATTTTCAAGGATAATGCAGTAATTGTAAAAGTTAAATTTGCACACAAACCTCTTACTCGAATTACATCTTTAATTTTGTTGTAATCTCATGGCATCTCAAGAGTGACAGGAACATGTCCTGCTCGTTGTATCATCAGCATCATTTTCAGCCTCGGGATCGTCGGAAGTTCCTCTCAATTTCTATGACCTTCAGTGAGTTTCCACTCTGTCCAGAGTCATGAACATCTCCGAACAAAAAAACGCTTTTCATCACAACACACACATTCCATCACTCCTTGACTCCACACACTCGCTACTGACCTTTGGAGTGCCATTGATTCATCATCATACGACATTCATTATTTGACGCAACGACATTGTTTATGATCCGAAATTATACTAGTAAAATATTGCACGCACACACTTCTGAGACACAAAAATGATAAAGCCGTCATCATCACCAACAACAACCTCGAACAACGTTGTTAACAATGCAGAACCACAAATAACATCGGATGGTCAAGACTTCGTGGACTTTTTCTCAAAATTGAGGATGCGTCATTCAGCAAGTCATGCACGTACTCGAGAGTTTAGAGATGAATTTGAGGCGTGGCTAGAGACCAATAGAGAACTTGCATCGAATTTCTTTTTTAGCAACACCAAACATCATCTCATAATGGAAGACTTGATTGAAGAATTAAGGATCAAGTTAGCAGATGTGCACAACAATCCTACGAAAGAAGAAAACTATGCCATGACAGTTTATTCTTTAGAGACAGCCATTCAATCTTTTGAATCAGTTGCCAATAGTGCCATGATGTTGTTTCGAGAATTGCACTCGTTGAATTTGGTGATCACACAAATGAGAATGGGAAAATCATTTTCGGTTTGTTGCATCCATAACTCCTTTATTGCATCCAAACCATACACCATTGAGGAACTGTTGGAAAAGGCACGTGTGAGAGCGAGTGCCTTCTTTTCCAAGTTTCCTGAAGAGCATGGAGACTTGTCGACCATATTTTCATGTATTGTTTCATTCTGGAAAGGATTTACCTTCTTAACTGCCAATGATTTTGTTAATTGTATCTCAGAACAAGTATTAAGGTCTATTCTGAAAGCCACAATACTTTCAGAGACTTTTTCTAGCACAGTTTGTCATCCCATTGTGAAAGACTTTTGTTTTATGCTTGAAAGAGTTGCAGAGGGCGAGCCTAAAGGATTTCATAAGGCTTATTACCATCTTCTCTATGAAGAAGAGCATGTATTGACAAATCCTTATTGTGAATCCACTTACGGCTCTTGGGTGCTAATGTTCTTGTCCATTTCAAGTATTAATCCTGACTCTTGCCTCAAAACGCTTCTAGACAGCTTTCGAGTCGTTTCAGACAGTGAATGGTCAGTTGCAAAGAAGAGTGTTTATGCAACAAACCTTTTAGATGGAGTTTTTTTCATTGTTCGACGTCACGGAAAGGAATTTGTGGAACGAAATTTACAATTGTTGAATGAACTTTCAGATCCAACTTTTTTTAAAAACACTCCAATTAGAAATCAAAGACAAATATTCACAATTCAAACTGAGCTGGAAAGAATCATGTATGGTAATAACAAGTCAGCACTTGTGACATATATGGAGACTCTCCAAAAAACATCCAGTAGATGTGTGGTACTGCTAGTTGAATTAGAAGGAAAGAAGAAGAAGATTTCTCTTGATGAAGCTTACAATGAAGAAAACATCATTCCCATTTTTGAAGAAAAGTTATCCATTTCAATGAACTCTTATTCTATTGACATTTTTGATGACGATTGTGAAGATTGGGTAGTATTCGACCCATCAGAGCACAATTTTCGTAAAATGAAACAACCTGTCAAGATGAGACTCGAAGAAAAGGTTGACGAAAACGTAACAGAGACAACAACTATCAAGGCTATTGATAATTACAAAATTATCAAGCAATTGCAATCAGAAACAACGGAACAATATGTTTCAATAACATTCCTTGCTGAAGAAAAACAGCTTAACAAGGAAAATCGAAAAATAATTCTGAAATATTTGAACTTTAAAGGTAATAATGCAGAAGAGAGACTTTCAGAAATGATTATCACTCTCAAGAAAGCAAAGGATTTTGAAAAGTCCAACATTATTCCAATATTTGATATTTTGAAACCAGAGACCATCAATAATCAGAAAATTAAGAAGGTTCAACATTTGGCATTCACTACACCTTACTATTCACATGGAAGTTTAGACAACGTCACCAAAGAGAGAATACACCTCAATACTAGAATGATACTATCGCTTATCAAGTATTCATTGGAAGCATTCAACTCTCTTGAAGAAGCACGTTTAGACTATGGAAATATTAAGACACAAAACATTCTTGTTGAACAATTGGATCTTGTAACAAGTGCTCTCAAGATAAGAGTCACTGATTGGTGGATTGCTTCAAAAAGCAAAACACCTGCTATTTGCAACTTGGGTCTACTATTGTACAATTTTCTAACATTTGAAAAAACAGATTTGAAACATCTCATGTCAGAGACAGTTACAAGTCAAATGATTTCAGATGAAATTTTCAAAAAGCAAAACAAGTCATCAAGCTCTTCATTAGCAATTGCAGGAGAAGTGATTGCATTTTTGTTGGGAAAGTTTGATTCTAGAATTGCAATTTCTGCTAGACAAGCCTTAAAGTTGTTGTACAAACGAGTGAAAGAATCGAAAGAGAGTAGTCCAAGTAAATGAAAATTTAAACAAGCGTTTTTAAAAATAGTTGCTCACTTCAAAAAAAAATGTCCAACAACAATTCGTCAACAACACCTCCAGCACAACAAAATCTTGTGGGGCTGTATCGACACGGAACACTCGGAGTACAATTGCAAAAAGCTTTGGATCAACTAAAAGACCAAGATAAAGTATCGGACACTGTAGTTGAAAGAGTAATGAAGGTTTTTGACAAGAGTATTTGTAATGCACTGGCAACAAAACTTAACAACAAAATGACCCTGAAAGCCGATCAATGTATTACATTTAATTTTAATAATAATGTTTATGTTTGGACTCTAAAAGATGTTCAAGTCAAATTGGGAAATCATAAATGTAGTACACTCGATTACGTGAAAATTGTGGCTTGTGATGGCACCACAGCTGCAGCCAAAAAAACTACAACATCAAAAAAGAGAAAGAAGTAATGATAGCGATAGTATTCAGAAGCCGATTCGATTCAATTTATTACTTTCAAGCAAGATCTTTGCAAGTACCTCAATTAGGAATTCAGGTCTAGCGCAGTCATTGTTTCGCTGGTTTAGCTAACTCTGTTGAGGCAATACAAAACGAACATGTATCCTGAGATAATAAATACCACTCTCAATTTGTTCACACGACACCAATCTTCCAAAACCAATGAAGTGCTTGCGATGAATGAAATGATTGACCAGAACAGAATATCGAAGTCCTCAAACTTCGTGCAACTGAAACATTGAAAAGCGTTTTAAGACTGATAAAAATACTAATTTCATTTGTTGATTATTGATCCTCAAATAATGATGCTTACAATTTCTTAACTGAGATATCTTTGCAAAATTAAGAAAACACCACGCTGAGTGTGCTTTGTGGTTTCAATGGCGTTTCTTAATTTTGTAAATAGTGTGTTATTCATTTTTCGTCATTCGTTTTTCCATTTCTTGCTTTTTCTTTGCTAATTTCAAACGTTGAATTTCAGCTTGCACAGCACGGTCGTTTTGCACCGAGCGAAGACCCTTTTGTTCAAGATCATTGTAGCACTTCTTGAGGTTTAAAACAGCAGCTTGACAAGCAGACCATGAATGGTTGTGGGCTTCCAAACACTTGTCCATTTCCCAATATTGCTTTGCACAAGATCCGAGTCCTTCAATTATCGTATCAATATCACTACTCTCCTTTTTGAATGTATTTCATGAATTAATACATGTACAAATGATTCCGAATTTCATGAAACGTTTAATTTTTAAATAATTCCGAGTTTCCATAAATTAAATCCAATCACGATCACGAACAAAAATATTGTTGGAAATATTTGTTGCATCAAACCCACCTCCTCGCTAAAGGGCTGTTGAGACATTTTTGTATTTAATTAATTTCTCAAAATTAATTTAACCTCATCAAAAAAATGTCTCTCAATTCATCAATCAATGGACATGTCAATTATTTAATGGAGAATTATACAATCATTGAAAAGATTGGGGAAGGAACATTTGGAGTCGTTTTAAAAGCAAAGAGGTGTGTATTGATCGGCTGTATTGAAACTCGTTTAATTTGAATTTGATATAGAAAGGCAGATGGTAAAGTTGTGGCCTTAAAGAAAATAAGGATTCGGAAGCAGGAATATGAAGATTTTCCAAAGAATGTGATTCGGGAAGCAAAGAGTTTGCAGCATGTTAATCATAATAACGTAGGTTAAAATTGTTGTTGTATGATGAGTGATGACTGCAGCATCTCAGGTGCTGAGGTTGTATGAAGTGTTTGTGAATGGGTCTTCGCTTGTGCTATCGTTGGAATACATGAAAACTGATTTAGCTAAGATAATTAAGTCTCAAAAAACGCCTTTTCAAGAGTCACACATTAAATGTATCATGTTAATGTTGCTGAAAGGGTTAAACAACTGTCACACAAATAATATTATGCATAGAGTATGTTGTTTCAGAAAGTCTCTTGAAAATTAATTGACATTGGACTGAAGGATATTAAACCAGCCAACTTATTGTTCAACTCTTTGGGAGAGTTAAAACTAGGAGGTAAGTGAAAATCTACACGTATTTATTATTTGTTATTGAGCTGCATTTTGGAATAGATTTTGGATTGGCAACGTTGTATCTTGGTAACGATCAGTCATATTCACATCAAGTGGCTACACGATGGTATAGGTAAGGTTGTCGTTGATTTTTCATAGCTTCATATTTTACGCTTGCTGTAGAGCTCCAGAATTGTTGTATGGTAGCAGATCCTACAATTATAAAGTAGACATTTGGGCAGCAGGTTGCGTCATGGCAGAGTTATATAACTTATCTCCTCTTTTTACAGGAGAGAATGATATTGATCAATTGTATAAAGTGTTGACATTGCTTGGAGTGCCATCTGAAACCACTTGGCCAGGAGTTTCGAAATTACCTGATTTTGGAAAAATTACATTTTCAAAGGTGAAGGTTAGAGCTCTAAGTGAGCTCATCCCAAATGCACCAGAAATTGCAATTGATCTTATGACGCACCTTCTTCAATTTGATGCCAGCAAGAGATACAGTGCTCAAGAAGCTCTCAGACACCCTTACTTTTTTACGTCTCCGCTTCCTGCTGATTATTCAGAGCTTAATATCAGTGGCAAATGTTAATTTTGTAATTTAATGTACATACATCAATCAATATTTGCAACATATTTGTCTGTGGGAGCTTCATTAATATTCTCTGAGCCAGAGCAATTCCAATCAAACTTTAAGCTCATGTACACTCCCTTATTTGTGCACAGTAGTATTGAGTCATCTGTTGATTCAAATGCACAAACAGATATTCCTTCTATATTTTTGTATCTAAACACGCTCTTAGGAGTAGCTTCCAACGAGCTTGTAATTGAAGATGGAACATAATCCCATAGAGTGCTTGTCCAACTCGAGTCTGTTTGACCTTGTGCTAACAGTCGCTGTTTTTTCCAAGCTTCATAATCTACAACAAATATATGCAACGTCCCGTTTGAGGACATACATGCAAGGAAGGCTCCGTCATGACTGAAACATAACGAATAGACGTCGCTTGTAAGAGCTCCTCTTTTGAATTCTATCTTCTTGTCTCCACTATCCGTGTTAAAAACCCTTACAATTGTACCTTTCTCAGAAGTGGTAGATAACATTGTTCCGTCGTCACTTAAGGAAAAGCAGCGAATGGAAGATTCGTGGGCGTGAATAACAGATTCTTGAAGAATTTTGTGAGTTGATGAACATAACCATATGAGCTTGATATTCCCCAAAGGGCCGTCGCTGCATGTTTCATCAGGGTAAGCCATTAAAAATTGTTTACGGTCCTTCAGATACACCATAGCAAATAGACCATGATGGTTGATAGCTGTTTTCAAAGCATGTATTGGTTGTCTATTTCTGATGTCATAAATAAATATCATGTCTTCTGCTACGGCTACAAAAATATCCTTTTTGGAATGGACAGAAATGACATTTCTAGAGCAAATTAGCTCATTTGTTACTCTTCTTTCCTTGTAGTTGTAAAATACAATTTTGTTCATTGAAAATGCAGGTCTAGATCCGCCTCCAACTAGTGCCACTGAATCCTTGTCTTTGTCCATAAAAGAAACAAATGAAATTCCTCCATCAATAAATTCTAAATGAAATATTTTCAAGTATTAATCATCAATTTCCAACTATTTACAACTTGATATTTTGTACAAATAATACTCACTCAAATCAAATTCTTTCCGAAAGTGGCCATAAGCGCATGAAAATATTTTAAAACCTTGTTCTGTTCCGATCGCGACCATTGAAGCATGTAAATTAAACCCAGTAAACAACACATTATTAGATTTTGATAAATTAGCAGTGCTGTGGTCTCGAGTCAATGACGTATTGCTTGGTGCTAAAATATCTGAAAGGCTTTCCGAGCGGGGAGGAGGAATAATGACGAAGGACATTTTTTTCCCGTGCATGTATCGAATTTGGAATGAAAATTGAATAAATTGTTGAAAGAACAAAGATAGTTTTTAATACTTGTTACTAATAACAAATAACTGGCCTTTGACGCTGAATTAATTGAGATGAATCAAAAAAAGAAAAGAAATTAAAAAAAAAATGATGAGAGTTGTGTTATTGATTTCTTTTCTTCTTGGCTCATTGGTGCTCATATCAAACCAAGTGAACAAATTGGTGCCCGAACCGTATATGGATGAAATATTTCATATTCCACAAGCGATGAAATATGTTCAAAACAAATTCACGGAATGGGATGACAAGATCACAACACTTCCAGGCTTATATTTATTTTCATACATTTATGAACATGCAGGAATGAGTGTTGGATTTTTCAAAGAGTTCATGGGAACGAGTGGTTCTTTTCGAAGTATAAACGGGCTGTTTTTGATTGGCTTGTTTTTATTGTTTGGAAAAATTTTGCATGATGACTTGAGAGCTTTCCGATTAGTATTGTTTCCTCTCTTATACTTTTTTGCATTTCTCTATTATACAGATGTTGGATCATGTTTATTTGTATGCATGTCTTTTTACTTCTCAAGAAAAGAGCAAATAACAGCGAGCGGAGTTTGTGCCCTTGTTGCTGTTCTCTTTCGACAAAGTAATATTATATGGGCATTTTGGATTGTAATGTCATACTTGGTAGAGGTATTGGAAAATAGAGAAAATTTTGAAACAGAAAGCCTATTTTCTCAGATTTCGACATTTATCAACACGTTTTTTGAGAATTTTACTAGAATATTAATTCAATTTTGGAGTTTTGTGCTGTTAGCAATACTTTTTATTTTATTTGTTGTGTGGAATGGGGGTCTAACTGTGGGAGATAAGTCTAATCATATTGCGATTGCTCATATTTCTCAGATCTTTTACTTTCTAGTGTTTGCTTGTGTTATGGACCCAGGTTTACTAATCTACAGATTTATGAATTGGAAACAAGAAGTCAGAAATTGGAAAGGTATTACTATAAGTTTGATAATTCTCATTCCTTGCTTTGCAGTCCTTTCTTACTATTTTAGCTACGTGCACATTTTCATGTTGAGTGATAACAGACACTACATTTTCTATTTGTGGAGAAAGCTTTTTAAAATTCATATTAGTTCCATCATTCCCTGGAAATATTGCATCATATATTCTCCAATTTATGCAATATGTCTATTATTGATCTATTCAGAGATAAGAAAACAGAGATCCTTGCTGTGGACCATAGTATTTCTTGGTTGTACTGCTCTTAACCTTATACCTCTTCCACTAGTAGAATTTAGGTACTTTATAGTACCATTCCTGCTTATTCATTTGAATCTCAAGCATAATAGTTCATCGGAAGAATCAAAGCGCATGTATACTCGAGTGGATATCATCAACATAATTTGGTATATTCTAATCAATAGCATTACCATATACATATTCCTTTTCAAACCATTTACAGGACCTGATGGAAATGAAGCCAGATTTATGTGGTGACCCAATCAACTCTACAGCTCGTCAGCAAGTGGGTCGTCCTCATCTTCCAATCCATCATCAACATCCATAGATGACATTCTTTTCTTTTTATCATTAGCTTCTGTTTCCTCAAGCAATTTGAGTTTGTTCACGTTTGGACTTGCTCCAGGGTGTATTGGATTTTCTTCATAGAATCTCGAAAGGAAATGAGTGGGAATTTCACTTGGATGTTTTGGAGGAATATCATCACTCACTTGTATTGCATACTTTTCCATATTCTCTGGGGAAAATTCTTTCAACTTGGTTTTATCTGCTTTAGTTGCAAGATAATGATCTGATTTCAAATGATGACACTCTCTACACAATTCTGATTCTGGGTTAACAATCTTGGGATTATATACATAGAGCTCATTTCCTTGCTCTCCAACTGGCCATGATTGAAACATTTGGCAAGCACAGCTACTGACTGAACATGCTCCTCTATATGGATCACAGTCTATGTCAGGAATAAATCTTTCAGGTTCCCTCCAACCTGGATGCCAATTAAGATTAAATCTTGATAAATTGTCACCAAACATGGCTAACTTTTCGGGGAATGCTTTTGAAACCTTCATTTTCGCTTCTACAGCTTGATCCAATAAAATTAATAATTTTCGTTTTTTTTCTTCGAATTCTTCTTTGCTCTCTTGGCGTTCTTGTGTTGTTTCGGAATTTAAAATATCCAATAATTCATCATCTTGAATGTCATTATGATCGACATTATCATCATTCAGAAATAAATTAATATTTTCAACATCTCCTCTCTGCATCAATGGTTCAGGATTCTTTATGTAAACATGAGATGATGTACGATCAAGAAAGAAGTAATTATTCAAGGCTCTATCCTGTCCGACACGTGTAGAATTTTGCAAAATTGTTGGTTGCTGATCCATTGAAAGCGTTGAAACAAGCTCTCCTCCATGCTCTCTGCAAAAATTAAACGGCACAGAGAACACATGTCTCGAGAGTGCATGCAATCGTCTCGAGATTCGATCATCCGTGTTTCTATGCATTCATAATTTTTTTGTTTTTTTCACCTGATGGAACTAGTTACCCCGCAAACTACAGTTTTTAATGTTGGCTTAGATGGTTAAAATTTCATTATTGAATACTTCACACAGTGTGTACACTCTTAGAATCCTTCGACCAATTCAACATTTGTGTGTTGAGCAACAGAAATTTCTCTTGCAGCAGCTGCAGCAGCTTTCTTCTTCATAAAAACAACCACTGAGACAATAGTAGCTGTGAGACCAGTAACACCTCCAATCACAACCAAAGGAACAATGACACCAGCTGCAATAGCTCCGCCATTTCCTCCATCGGTATTACGAGGGGAAGAGGTGATAACGCTTGGCTTTGGTCGAACTTGAATTGCAACAGCACTCGATGATACGCGATCTGAAATGGTCACTGAGGTGGTACGATCCACCAACACTACATAAGCCTTCAGAGAACCAGTATTGGAGTATGATGGAGCAATTATTTGTACATTGGTTGTTGATGAGGATGGAACAACATCATACGTTTGATTGGAAGTAACTTGTCCATTAAATTCAAAATCAAAGGCAATTCTCACAGTTCTACCAATATAAGTGGCTGCAAAGGTTGGATGACTGAGAGAGAGAGTGAGTGATGTCGAGGCCTCATTCACATAAGCTGTGGTGCTATTGAATTGTAAAGTAATGCCTGAAGCAGGAACATAAAACAGAGAACAATCTGAGTAAAGGTATCCACTACTCGAACAACGACATACATTCGGAGCATCACAAGATCCATGTCCACTACAAACACCAGTAACGTCTGATAAAATACCAAAACATTTTGGAAGACATGTCGATCCACCATAATAGCTGGAATTACGACATGTGCATGAGTCTGGCAACTGGCAAATACCATTTCCATTACAAACAGAGCTATCATTAGAGAAAGTTCCATAGCAAGAGGTAATTTCACAATCATTTCCAGTCCATTGAGAATTACAGACACACTTGTTATAGGCAGCACAAGTACCATTCTTATAATTACAAACATCAGTACTATCTGAGGCAATTCCATTGCAGGTGGTATATTCACAATTCGAACCATAGTATCCACTATTACATTGACACTTATTCACACCAATACATTGACCATTTCCACTACACACAGAGGAATCTTGTGCTGATTTTCCTGAACACATGACAATGTCACACTTAGAACCAGTATAATTTGCGAAACAACTACAAGAATCTACACCAATACATGTACCATTTCCGCTACAGACATTTGAACTTGTTTGAGAAATTCCATAACACTTGTAGTTTTCACATTGGGTGCCATCGTATTTTGCAGGATCACAGATACAATTGTCCTTACTGACACAACTACCTCTTCCTGAACACACTTGAGATGAATTTCCAGGTGTTCCATAACAAATTGGTATACTACAATCTGGACCCGTGTAACCTGTGTAGCAAGAGCATGGACCTGGTGTGGTACAGGTACCATTCTTGAAATTACAAACCTCAGGAGAGGTTGCCAATTTTCCAGCACACATGGGTATCTCACAATTCTTACCATACCATCCACTGTTACAGGCACAATAATTCACAGAAGCACAAGTACCATGTGCACTACACACCAACGAATCATTAAAGTTTTTGCCATTACATTTCCAGAATTGACAAACATTGCCGTAATAACTAGGGTTACAAAGACATTCATCCCAGTCAATACAAGTACCATTTCCACTGCAAACAGTCGATACATTCTTTGCTTTTCCATAACATACAGGATCTAGAGGTGAGCACTTTTCTGGCAATGTACAAATTCCACGAGAATCATTGCAGACTCTAGTGTCATTGGCCAACAATCCTCCACATATTGGATATTGACAAGTACTCGATGGACCATAACCACTATGACACGTACAATTGTTAAAGGAGGAACATGTTCCATGTCCATAACAAACATTCACATCATCTGAAGCAAGACCATTACAAGTTGTTTTTTCACACCTCTCCCCATAATAATTGGTATGACAATTACACGAGTCAGGACCATTGCAAGAACCTCGTCCACTGCAAACAGTTGAAGATTGATTCGCTAAAATACCATAACAAATTGGAATATTACAGGATGGACCTGTCCAACCTGAATCACACCGACACGCATCTGGTGCATCACATGAACCATGTCCGTTACAAACACTGAAAGTTACATTTTGTAAAATTCCAAAACATTTGGGAATGGAACAAGTTGGCCCACCCCATTGAGTACTGCATCGACACGTATCAGGAGCGTCACATAAACCATGTCCACCGCACACAGTTCCTGTCAAATTTTGTCTCACTCCAAAACAAATGGGCATGTCACAAAGTTGTCCAGTCCATCCAGCACTACATCGACACATGTCTGGGCCGTCGCATGAACCATGACCACTACACACGGTGGACGTTTGATTCTGTAAAAAGCTGCCACACTTGGGTAAGGCACAAGCAGAGCCACCCCATCCAGCATTGCATCGACACACATCGGGAGCATCACAGGAACCATGACCATTACAAACACTCAAAGTCACGTTCTGAAAAACGCCAAAGCATTTTGGTATGGAACAGCTTGGACCACCCCATTGAGCATTACACACACAAACATCTGGAGCATCACACAAACCATGTCCATTGCAAACATTCAAAGTTACATTTTGTAAAATTCCAAAACATTTTGGTATGGCACAAGTTGGACCACCCCACTGAGAATTACAGGCACAGAGATCAGGACCGTTACAAGTTCCACGACCATTGCAAACACTACTCGTTTCATTTTGATTAATTCCATAACAGGTAGGCATGGCACATGCTGGTCCTGTCCATCCAGCATTACATCGACACACGTCTGGAGCGTCGCATGAACCATGACCACTACACACCGTAGATGCCATTGTTTGAAGAATGCCAAAACACTTGGGATATTCACAGTCGTTTCCACCAAATTTGGCTGGGTCAGTACAAGTACAAGTATTGGGTGATGAGCAAGTTCCTCTGGCATTACAGACTCCAGTCTCGTTAGAGAGCTTGTTGTTGCATTTAGGGAGTTCACAATATTGTCCACCGTACAAGGAAGGTTGTGTGCAGGCACATGTATCAGGTGCATTACAACTTCCTCTTCCTGTACACACCGTACCCGTTTGATTTGAGAGAATTCCATTACATTTTGCGAGTTGACACCATTGTCCTCCATATTGATTGGTGTCAGTACATACACAAACATCCACATCATTGCAAGATCCTCGACCACTACATACTGTAGCTGTTTGGTTTGCAATAATTCCATTGCACTTGGCGAATTCACAGAATTTTCCTCCGTAATTGGATGTACAAGCACAAACATCCACATCATTGCATGATCCTCTTCCGTTACAAACATTGGCAGTGTCATTGGCAGGGATGCCATTACAATACGCATACTCACAATCGTTTCCAGCATAGTTGGCGTTACACTGGCATTGATTCACATTCACACAAGTTCCACGACCTCTACACACAGAGGCTGTATTTTCTCCACTAATACCATTACATTTGGGATATTGACATTGAGAACCAGCATAATTGGAAGAGCACGAACAAGTGTCCTTATCGATACAAGTACCTTTACCATTACAAACATTTGCAGTATCATCACTATTGAATCCAAAACAGGTAGTAATTTGACATTCAGAACCGCTCCAATTCGCTGTGCATGAACAAGTGCCTGGAGTTGTACATGAACCTTTGGTAGGCCCACCACATGCATCATTTCCTGTTGTGAAAAATGTTGAATTCGTTCATGTTCATTGGAAGGCAACAAAACGAATTCGTCATGGAAAATATACACAAAGAAATCATTACATACCTGATTTGCCATAACATATTGGCATTGAACATTCAGCTCCACTCCAAGATGAAGTACAGGTGCAATTATCTGGTGACGAGCATGAACCTTGTGAAGGTCCTCCACAAGCAGCATTGTTAGATTTTCCATAGCACACAGGATCACATTTGGATCCATCTGAGCTTAATGCATATCCTGAATCACAAGAAGGAGTAATCTTTCTCACTCGGTTTCCAGTTTTTTCGGATACATAAATAATACCATCTGTGGTAACAAAGATGCCAGAAGGTGCATTAAAGGATGCTGATGATGCTGCACCGTTTGAACTGCCAGAGGAACCTGTACCAGCAAGGGTGTAAATGTATCCGTTTGAAATTTTTCTAATTTTGTGTGCCTCTTGTTCTGTAATGAGGAGTTCATTGTTCGTAGAAAAAAAGACTCCAGCAGGCTGTTGTTGTTAGGGCACAATGTAGGTCATGCAAATATATAGAACACACAAACATATAATGCGTCTTACCTTGTTAAGCTGAGCACTCGTTGCTAAGGTTCCATCCGCAGATGATGAAGTTCCTTCAGTAATCGAACACTTTGAGTAAATCATATTAGAATAGAATTTCTAAAACATACCTCCAGTTCCTGCAACTGTTGAAATCTCTCCATTCGTTGCAATTTTTCTAATTCTATGATTTCCAGTATCTTTTTTCAAGAACATTGTTACATAATTCTTTAAATAGTATTTGGTCTAACACAAACCTGCAAAAAAAAGTTCCCCACTTGAAGACATGACCATTCCCCAAGGATAACTGATTTCAGCACTAGTCGCTGCTCCATTATCTCCACTGAATCCTGATGTTCCAGTTCCAGCAACAAGTGAAATAACACCACCACTGATCTGTCAATATGGTGTCAAATGAATGCTTGATTCTCTTTCTATCGTTTGACTTACCTTTTTGATTCGGTGGCCATCATACTCTGAAAAGTAAATGTCGCCACTCGAAGACACATAGATAAACCATGGATGAGTGATTTGAGAGGAAGTTGCGGTACCGTCTGAGAAAAGATTCGTAATCACCAATCTCTTAACAAAATGTTTAACAACATTACTTACAAGAGCTACCAGCTGTTCCTGTACCTGCAATTGTACTAATGTCGCCATTCGTATCAACTTTTCTTATTTTATGGTTGTTGTAATCGCAAATGTATAGCTCGTTATTATACATGTATACTCCTGAAGGATTGCGTAGTCTTGCTGATGTTGCTGCTCCTCCGTCTCCACTATTTCCACCTGTACCTGTACCAGCGAACGTAGTAGTTGAACCACCTGATGTAACTTTTCTATCAACAGATGACGGTGAGAAGTTAAGCTTTTTACTCAACACTTGAAGTTAACTACTTACAGGACGGTGTGGTCTGAATACTCTGAAACATAAACATCTCCATTCGATGAATCAGTGTATAAACAATAGGGTGCATTGAGACTCGACGCAAGTGTGGATACTGTGTAGGTCACTTGTCCTGCAGCAGCATTCACTTGTTGAATCATGTCCAACGAAGCAAAGTAGGTTACGAATCCTATGGTGGCTACCAAGAGCAACAACAAAGAATGTTGAGCCATGACAGAAGACGGTTTTAAGGTATTGTTTTGAAAAAGTGTGTGAGAGAAATAATCCCTTCGAAATCGGAAGAGCGGATATGAGAGCCACTGAAGATACCTTTTCACACAAATTGTGGCAAGTTTAACATCCGACATCAGATCCATCATGCTGTCGGCTGGTAGAGCGCATTGACGGAAATCCTAATGTCGCAAGGGTTTCACACTTTTAAAATTATTTGCTCATGCACATGCAAGTCTCTCCAACCAACTCGAACCCAAGCTCAATGTAAAAGTGGTCAGCGGTGTTGGTGAACAAATCCAAACACTTGAGACGCAGCTCATCCTTGCAGTCTTGAAAAAGAAGATCAAAGGTACATCGAGCAAGACCTTTTCTTCTCATGTCAGGAATTGTGTAAACAAACCCAATGGTTGCATGTGAATCGCTCCAAGAATTCAAGCTGGCTGTTGAACAAAGCTTTTCTCCATAAAAAGTTCCATACGTGATGGTTGTCTTAAATGTGTATGAAAGAGATTCCAGTGAGGAAGCAGTGAGACCCATTTCCTTCTCAAACATTCCTTTCAGCTCAACATATTGAGAAAAGTCTGAATCCATTAACTTTCTCGAGGTAATATTGGATGATGAATCACACAATGTTGAATGTGTTTTGGGAATGAACTTGTCCAAGGTGAAAGAGTAGAGATTTTCCTTTTCTTGTAGGGCCATTTCATCTTGTTTCCAAACACCAAGCCTGAATAACTTGTCTACAATAGTAGAGCCCACCTTATACTCTCCAATTACTCTAAAGATTTAAAATGAATGTAAGCAATTGTTCATGTGAATAATTATGTTGTCACAATACTGACCCTTTGATAGAGCCTCCATATTTGGAAATTGTTTCGTCTGAGATTTGTTTGTACATTCTTTCAATCATTCCATCAAAGACCACTTGAGCAGTATTTTCATCCAAGTCAAGCAATCCTTTTAATTCCTCTACCGTTTCTATTTCGAAAAGCAAAGTCCCAGACACTGTGAGACAATACATTCCTATTGTTTTGGCTCCAAATATATGACCATAAGCTTCATCTCCGACGAAATGTTTAACATCTTCTTCATGATCGTGTTTGATAAAAGCCATGAAATCTCCAGAGAAGAGTTGATCTTGAAGCCTTTCATTTGAATAATTCAAAATAAATTCATGAAATTAGTACTTAACATAATTACATCATGAAAATATTTTTTGTTTACCTTGAAGGACCATATTTGGTGTAATTTCCAACCAACAACCCACAAAAACTTTCTCTCTTTTTCATAAAAGAAACTGCTTCGGAGTGCATTCCTTTTCCCAACTTTGCAAGGGGAATCAGTGAGACAAAGGGAAGTCTACTATGCGTACAATTTGATTTCATTTTTTCGAACGATTGTAAAGTAGACTTCTTTACAATTTTGATTCAAACCTTCAAAGAATGAATTGTTAAACCCAAGAAATCTTCGAAATTATCCAATCGCAAATCCGGATTTACAACCAACGTTTTGATTTGATGGCTCAAATTTTCTCTAATTTATCATTGTTTTTGTAAAACAAAGTCAATTATAAATTGGAATCTCTTCACACGGGTGAATTTCTTCCAAGATTTCGCGAAAAAAATGTCCCGTTATGTTGAACGTGAATAACAATAGCACAAGTCACAACCGAGCTGGTAAAGCAGCCCTCACTGGTACAGGAATTTCTTTGTAATCATCACAGCAACTCTTGCTGCTGCCATTGCTAGTGCTGTGTTGAGTGGTTTAATTTACAAATCCGTGTCATCATCCAATCCTTTCAATCCCATTCATCCAGAAGATGCCGTGATCAAAACCTTTACTGTTGGAGAGGCCACAATTTCGAAAGGATCACCTGTTTCACTTTGTGCATCTTCTTTAGGTGACAATAATTCAGTGTGTAGCGTTGATAATTTGTCATTAACTAGCTCAATTATGGAATCTCCCAAATTGAATGACACTTTCACGTTACTGGTTTCGTATGTGAGTGATTTGTCTGATTATTCCACTCTATGTTTGGTTCAACATGTGAGAAATCCAACAACCAAACAAGATGCTTTTATTTTCTATGGATTGGTCATGTATTCTCCAGTGTTGTACTTTACCACTCATTCCTTTGATGTGTTGAATGCGATTGAAAACCCAGCCAATGATGGATCGAGCTACTTGCTGTTGGGCGTGAAATTATTTTACAAACAAACAAATGGTGCGAAAGTGAATGCAAAGTTTTTACTGACCTATGTTCGTTCCACACCTAACACACCACCTGCTTTTGTCAATCATTTGAAATCTGTGGTTGTCAACTTGGTGGTCGATGGAATGACTTTGGTTGAATTGAGTGTGAACGCCAACAATGTGGTCGGTCCACAACTTGTTCAAAATGGAAATTCAGCACAAAATTTCTATGCAAACCAATTTACAATTGCAATGGCAAACTCTGGAAGAGCATCTGAGAAGACCTTATTTGCCTTATATTTCAACTCTATTCTCAATGACAAGTGTCAATTCATAACCATGTCCTACGATAACTCGACCGAAACGTTGTCTCTACTGACCGCATTAACTGATGGTCCTACTGGTATTGGATGTAGTGTTGGTTTAACAAGTTTCACCAATGATGCATCTACTGTTTTACTCTTTGAATTCTTTAGCAGCTGTGACCATTGATTCCAACACTGGAGCCATGACTGTAAAATCCAAGATAATATTCAATCTCAATTATCGTGATATTTTGAGTAGTGCAAATCCTGGTGCTCTCTTCGCTGGAAATGATAATGCTGCAGAATCCAAACGTTCAACCCAGTTTTTCGCTCTCTATATCAGCAAGGACTCGAACTATGCATCTCTCTCGAGAATTACTTGGAAATGAATTCTCGACCCATAGATTAATTCCATTGAGAAATGCCATGAAGAACCCTAGGATTAGCTTTATAGATGACAAATTCTGTCAAATCACGTATGAAGATTCCGCAAGAAATGTCTATCGTACCGTTATGGTAGCATTCACTTCTGAAAGTGATTACACCATTTCAACTGCTGTGGAAGGAATTCATTTTGCTATTGGACCATTGTCTCCCTCTTCGTGGAATGTTATGACTCCAAATAATTGCTTGTTTGTGCATTCCTCTTTTGCAGAGTCCTAACAGTTTGTCTTTCGATATGGCTGTTCTGTCATCTCCAACCAATTCGTTTGGAGTTATTGGAATTGCAGCAGAAGATGGTAAAAACGGAGCTGAAAGTTGTCACTGTTGGAGTTACTCCTTTGGGAACCTTTGGTGACAAATTTATTCCTGGTATGAAATATTATGCTATGAGTAAGGGAAGTGGCTCTCGATTGACCATTAGCCCTCCTTTTGAAACCTTTGGATTATATGTCGGTAGAGCTATTAGTAAGAATCAATTATATATCGAGTTGTCAGAAAGAGAATTTTAAAAAGTGTCAGGTTGACAATATCCATAGAATTTTTAGGTCTTACTGTGGCCATTAGTTATTAAAATCACAAGTGCTTTTCCTTACTTACCAACAAAGTACCTGCATTTTCTTTTTTGATTCATCTGCCAACTGTCATGTAAATGTCACCAACAAATTTTCAACAGTTTTCATAAAAAAAATAATCACCCGTCGAGTATGGCCATGAAGCTAACTGTCTCCATTATTGAATGCAAGAATCTAATCGTGGGAGACTTGATTAGCGGATTGGCCGATCCCTATGTTGTAAGTATTTACACAATAAGCATGAGTCATGATGTTATATGTTCTCTCTCGGAATGTGTATTTCAACACTGGCACTGTCGTCACATTATGATACTGCCATGGTGCACTACTACAATTATTTCATTATTAATAATTTCATTTTGACAACTTTGAAATTTGATTTGAACATGTCATCATCATCATGATAATTATTTCTTCACCAAAAAATACTTTTAGATTGCCACCATCAATGCTCCTGCCAAAGAAATCCGAGAAAGTGAAGAAAAACTCTTTCCTTCTCCATCAGCCATCATTCGAGATCATAAATCCATTCTAGCTCAACCCTCTGTGAACTTGCAGATTACAGATTCCACAAATTCTTCATTTACATCACAACAACCTCTTGTTCCAAATATGGTCATGACCACAACAACACGAAGAGTTTCATCCGCTTCAACATCACCTACTGTGAACACGGCCAATGTTCGAGGAAGATTATCCATTGTGAGCAGTAAAAGTTATTTGAATCATAATCAATCACCAAGTCCTACAACGAATAATGCAATGAATGGATCTGTGGTATCATCGGTGAATGATTCTTCTTCTCCTTCACAAATCAATGAAATGACAAATGTCACTTCGACATCGACCAGTTCAAACTTGGAGTGTGACACTACTCATCGACAGGAAGAAGAGAATATTGGAAAAACTAAATCGTCATCAGCAAATACGCCCTATGTGAACAAGGCTCCGTGTGACTTTAAGAATCGAAAAATTATTGCACAAAAAAAGACTGAAATTATTTATAATACTTTAAATCCAATATTTACGAATGAGTTTTTGACTGTGGATAATATTAGAGATGTTTTAGTGATAAAAAATTGGTTGTTGACTTTGGAAGTGTATGATTATGATTATGTGAAATATGATGATTGTAAGTTTTTTGTGAATTATTATTGATGATTGAAACAATGATTCATTATTGAACAACACTGTATTCTGTGAATTTTCAATTTCAAAAAAATTTACACTTGGTGCAACACCAAATTTCACTCCATTGTTTTCATTAATCACACTTATTGTGAAAATATAGACCTGGGAAGTGTTGAAATTTCATTGGATCAAGTCCAAGTACTTGAACCCATGATATTAACCATACCACTCGAAGGAGTTCCTCACGGAGAAATAACCATTGATATTAATCTTGGAGAAGAATCACAAATATTTGGAGTGGATATTGAAAAAGTCATGTCACGCCATCGTGAAAAATTACATGGGAAAGGTCTTCCAAAAGTTGTGCATGACATGTTTGTTTTTCTTTCAGATGATTTATCGACTGTAGAGGAGGGTATTTTCAGAATACCAGGAAAAGTAGACAGTGTGCTAGCTCTTAAGAAACTCTATGACAAGTGTGAAGATCGAGAAATTAGAAATTTTATTTTGGAACAAGAGAAAATCATGCTTCAAGATATAGAGCAAAAACAGCGTTCAAGTGGAATGGTGAAAATTGTAGCCTCTCTTTTAAAGGATTACCTTAGATCACTACCTGTACCTCTCTTGACCTATGCTTTGTATGATGAATTTGTAAATTTGAGTGGCGACCATGATGAAGCCATTCTGGAAACTGTACAAAAGCTTCCACCATTGAATCAGCATTTACTGTACTGGCTCTTGGCTCTCATTGACCTGATCATTGCCAAGACGCAACAAAACAAAATGACTGCTTCAAGTTTAGCAAGCGTCATTTCTCTCAATGTGTTGAAAAGAAAGGAAGACAAAGCCAACCAATCTGCACTTAATTTGGAATCTGTCAGACTGGAAACAGACAAAGTCATTAGAAGTTTAGAAATACTCATTACCAAGTACAAGACTGTGCTGTACCCTTACTTTTCAAAGACATTCACGTTTTTCAAGTGACCCTCCCACACCTAATGTGGTGTTCATTCACCATTTGACCATAATTACTTTACAATTTGTATTAAATAAACTATTGCCCACAAGCAATATCCCAAATTGGGTTTTTATATGTTATGTCTTTTTCTTCTCTCCTCATTGATTTATTCATCCATCTTCAAAACGACCTTTCTCTCGCGACTTTCCTCAAAGCTCTTCTCCAAAGCATAGTTGAATTCAGAGAATTTGAATGTTTCCATAAATGCCAACAACTTCTTGTCAACAACAAGTTTGGACAATTCATCAATCATCTTCTTTCTCTCTTCCTTGGAATGTGTTTCAACCCATTTGGTCATCCAGAAACCTTTAAGTGTAATATTATTAAAAATGAAAGGTCCAGTTGGAAGTGTAATTGGTTGTTTTGACATTCCTCCATATGTCACCATGACACCGTCGTCAGCCAAATATTTGGCAACAACACGAGCAGCCTCTCCACCAACACAGTTCAATGCCAATTTTGGTTTTGGCATGTCCGATAATAAACGGTTCATTGAAGTGTTGTTATTAGAAAATGAATAAGGCATGACAATATCAGCTCCTAAGTCCTTCAATCTTTGTACGGTTAATTCATAGTTTGGTCTTTGTCTTATTAAGTTAATCGTTTGAATGCCACGCATTTTAGCCAATTGAATGACCAAAAGTCCGACCATGCTGTTGGCTCCGTTTTGAATAATAACATCACCTTGCTTCAAGTCAACAAAATCATTGAGAAGTCTATAAGCAGTACAAGGGTTAACAGAGAGAATTGAAGCATATTCAACTGGTAAATCTTTGGAAACGGTGGTAAGATTATCAGCTTTACACACAAGATGAGTTCTCCAGGTTCCCAATCCTGCACTGGATGGAATAACATGATCACCCTTTTTGATACCAGTTACATTTGATCCCACTTCTTCAACAATACCAACACCTTCGTTACCAGGAATCGCTGGGAAGGTATTTGGTCTTCTACCATAAACTCCTTGAACTGTGTTAATATCTGCTTGATTGATTGGAGCAGCCAACATTTTGACAACAACTTCGTCGCCTTTAACGGAAGTATCAATGTTAACATCATCAACTCTGAAATTCAAAATGTTGTCAGGATTGATGAAAGAGATTTAATTTTTGTGTTAATAAGTTTGATGATGATGCGAGTGGGCAAGATGAAAGCATTGGGCAAGTTCATGTAAAAAAGATGATAGTGATGATTTGGTGATGAAAATAATTTTCATTTTGGATATTCAAAAACAACAAATTAATACTCGCGGATGTGCATCAATGTCCAACACTTACTTCAAAACTTCCAAAGGATTACCAAACTTTTCAAAACGAACAGCCTTTGATTGTATTGTTGCATAGAAACAGGCTTGTTGTTTTGAGAGAACAGAAAAGTTGTTGTTGTTGAAACGGGAGAGAAGTTGAAGAGAATTTTTCATTTTTTTTAAATTCCTTACAAAAAAATTGTTCTTTCCTTTTGATCGTGATTATATTATTATTAATTATTATTTTCCACCTATTACATTTGCCGAATGAGATCTTTGAAGAGGTTCAATTATCATATAGAAATGAAGAGAAATTTGTTTTTGATTGGGAATGGTTATTTTTCATCAGCACCAATGAGCTCTTTCGCAGCATCTCGTCTTCACCAAATCTCGTATTCCAATCATAGACACAACAACAACACAATGAACTGCGTATATTCCAATCAGCAAGTACGATTATTTTCAAAAAAGAGTAAAGATATTGTGATGGATTCAACTTCTAACAAACAGCAAAACGCAGAAAAGTTTGACCCTTCTTCTCTGTGGTACAAGCTTCTCATTCCTGTTGCTGTCGGAGCCATCTATTGGTACATTAAGAGATGGGAGAACGACAAGGCAAGAAAGGATTTCGGCCATCTCCGATCCTATCTAGAAAAGTATCAAGACCAGATCACAGAACAGGCTTTTAATGCTGGGGTTGAATCATTGATGCACGAAGAGCATCGGGATATCATGTATGAAATCATTGGTCATTCCAGTGAAACTGGCAAGTATTTGGTAGAGTCTTCTTTGGCATCTATTCCACTCTTTGAAATGAACATTCGAAAAATGGAGAATGTGAAATTGTTAAGACCTCACCCAACTGTTGATGGTTATGTAAAATATGCATTATTTGGTGAACTTTGGACGCTGGCAGAGCAAGAATCGTCCACAAAGTTGAAAGCTTCAGGAAAGAAATGTTTAGATTCTCGAGATATTACTCTTAATCTTCATTTTCCAATCAAAGTTTTGCCTAAAACAAAGAATGGATCTGTTTTGGGCCATTTAGAGGATAAACCACTAGTTTATTTGAGCCTTAATGTCAGGATGAAGGCGATTGACAGAGACTTTTCGGTTGAACACAGGCCAGAGCTTGTAATTTCAAGAATTTCTATTTCTCCAATCACAACATATTTCCCAACAATACAGGGGCTAAGAGAACAACGCGTTTTCGACGAGATTGAAATTGAAAAAGCAATTGCACCAAATGGTATTCATCATGCCTCAGATGGTCTTCATAATATCACGTTTCAATTTAATTTTTACGAGTAATCGGAAAAGTGTTTTTTCATGGTTTTAATAATTTAGGCGGACAGCATTATTGTCGTTTAACATGAATGGGGTAATGTCAATTGTGGAGTGGGTGGAAGTAATTGGTTGAGACCACTCTGGGAGTAACCTGGCCAGCTCAGTAAGAGAAGAAGTTGATGAAAAGAAGGTACTACGTATGTCTAACTTAATTCGAAGACTTTCTGCATTTTCCTGTTGCTGGGTATCAAATTTTAACCAAAATGAAAAGATTTTGGATTTTTCTTTCATCAACTGTTCATCTCTGTTATAACCAAACACACCTGTTACGATATATTCATTCTTAAATTCACTTCTTGAAGAGGGCACTATGGAATGATTGATTGGAGTTTGGAATGACGAGCCAACAATGGTAACATTTGTGAAAATATGAACGCTCGAATGAAAAACCTGCTCGTCCAAAACTATATTCACATGCACGCTGCCATTGATCTTGAAGTAATTTTCAATGCCAATTTTTGGAAGAACATTGGCTGGATAGCTTTCATGAGAGGTCATTCGTGTGAGAAATGGACCTGGATATTTGGTTGGTGTAATGACACCCTTCACAGCATGCGGTAAAATTGGATGATTCGACTCTTCATTCGCTCTCGAAAAAGGAGGAGAAATATTCAAGCCTTTCAACAATACTTCTTCCTTACTTGTGGAAGGGCTGATAATAAGCTGATAGGAGTGAGTACTTTTCAACGGAGAATTCACACCATTGGTATTAAAATGGAAAATGTGTTGAAGTGAGGCACGCTTTGGATGCAATTTTGTGAAAGCCTCTCCTCCATTACCATACAATAACACTGTAATGAGGGACAAACACACAACAAAGAGTACAACAGAAGTTTGAGACATGTCTCTCTTCTCATCCAAAAATAATAAGGGTAACACCAGACACAACATTAAGAACACGGTCACTGTTACCAAAACTGCCACACCATAGTCTGCTTCGAGTGCTTTTCCCATTCTACCGCTCATTGGTATGAACATGTCATACATTTGATTGAGAATACCACATAAAAACGCTAACCCGCCCAAAGAGAAGACGATGGAGAGTCGTGGAATGACATAGTAAGCCAAAAGTAGGCATGTAGTGGTCACTGTGAAAATATATCCTGATGGAATATTGAAATAGGTGAGAAGTGCCAGAAACGCAACGAATACACATGTCACTGCATCTCTCATTCCTTGCGAGCTGAGTTCATAAATGAATTTTCTTGTAATTTCGATGGAAGTGGTGTAAATGAAAAGTAAAATACATCCAAACAATGCAACGCTAAACATGGGGTGGAAGGCAAAGAACAACATTCTCTTCTGGTTCAACACTAACAAAATTGAGAGACCCATATTGGCTGCTAGTCCAATGAGTAATACCAAGAATAGGAAAAGGAGTGAGACTAGTCGATCAAACAGAGAATATACACCCCTAGAAAACATGGAAAACGCCAATACAGTAGCAGCCAAAACAAGAATGGAAATGTTCATGACCTTGGCTGTTTCCATACCATAGGTTGCAAAGAACAATCCAAAGACATCAAAATAGACAAATCTTTGAATGTTGGCCTCTTTGGTCATTTCTTTCTCGTCAAAATGAGCGCTTGCAAAATGAGAAACAAAACTCTGAACATTGTCTCCCATGTGTTGAATTCCACCTGACTCATAAGCACTCTCTGCATCCAAAGAAGTGTGATACACATATCCATTTTTGTAAAACGAAATATCAATTCCAGTTAAATTGTGATTATTATAAATGTAATAATCAGTAGCTGATGGAATGATATTTGCTTGAAAGACATCTTGACCAACAACGTTTCCACTTGCTCGTTTCACAGACTTGGCAAATTGTTTTGCCAAAAACAAATTCTTAATTTGAAATGCAACTTCTTTCGAGGCAGATCCAGCAGCTTCTAAATTCAAAAAGTATTTCACATCTTGTGACCATGCATGTTGAAAGAATAATTCAGCTCCCAACAATCCAACTTCCTCAGCTCCGTTAAACAAAAATATGACACTTCGTTCAAGTTTCAACTTGCCATCTCGTATTAAACTCAATAAATTGTGAAATGTTTCAACCATACAAGTGACAGGAATTCCATCATCATAAAAACCTGGAGAAGTCGATCCAGAATCAAAATGACTCGAAATTAATAAACCATCTTTTGCTGCTTGATGTGGAGGATCAATTCTCACTAAAATATTTGACAAATTCGAATAATGTGTAAATAATTTACGTCCAATGATTTCAATATAACAATCACCAGATCCGAACTGTTCTTCCAATCGTACAACATGTCCATTCACTTCAATCATCCCATTTCTTGATAGATGGCTCGTGTCAGTAATGGTAAGATTATTGTCAAAAGAACCTTGTTTCATCATCAAGTTCAATAATTCTGTTTTCAAAAAATTGAAACTGATCTGTTCTTGAATGGTTCCAACGACACGTGGTCCGAGTTGAGTGGAAAATTGTTGTAAGAATTTGAGAGCACGATCTTCACGAAAGGCATAATACTGAGTGGTCGAATCATTGGCTCTTGGAAGAAGACCTTGATACACATAGGCAAGTGACACCACAAACACTGCAAGAAGGAGAGTGAAAAGAGGATTCGAGAAAGTGTGATTCCATGTGCGCTGATGAGGCGAGGACATTTTTTTGTGATCGATAATGATTGTTGGAAATGCTTGTTCTTTCCATTCTAATCCATTAAACGTATTACCAAATGACAAACTGTGAGGCAAAGAGGTAATTGGATGAACATCTTCGAGTCTGAAAGTGAGGACAATCATTCAGGATACTTTACAATTTGGAGGTTTGTCTATTGATTTGAACCATAAGCATGACCCTTTCCAAGCGTCGACTATGAAAGAATTTGCAAGAAGGACCCTCCGTTCTTTCAACCAACAAACATCATCACTCATTCGTTTCCTTACTGACACTGCAGAAGCAAAGCATTCAATGTCTTTTGTGCAGCTCACATGGGAAACCATAGAAATTCATTCCCGTCTTTCACACAGTTGCTGGATCCAAAGAAACGAGAATCTTGCACTGTACCAAGACTGGATACACGCGTTTGTAATTCGCAACACTAGAAATTTCATGAACAACAATAAAAAAATGAAACGATCAAAATCCTATTCCTCTGTGTTTAATTTGGAGAATGAGGAGCAAATTCAAGGACTCTATGAGTTATCGGAGGAAGAGAAACTAAATATTCAGCGTAGAAAACAAATTGAACATTTTAAAAAGGAAGTAAAACAGCTTAGAAGATATGTGGAGGAAATTAAAACTTTTCGGGATCAATGGGTGTGGGTCAAATATGCGAGAAGAGTTGTGATGATCACTCACTTGATAACGGCAGTGTATATTATTGCAGAAAAAACGTTGAGAGTTTTAAATATTTCTTTGTATCGAACAGTTTCTCATCAATTATCGTTTAGTCAATTGATGAAGTCTTGGATGCAAAACAAATTTGAACAAAGTAATTCACTACAAAATTTAAAGGATACATTACAAAAATATCATGAAAATGTTTCAAGACAATATCAAGAACAGAAGCAACGAAGATCAGAGTATTTACAATATTTAGCCTCTCTACCACCAGAGTCGTTAAACAACCAAGTGTCATCCACACAAGGAGGATTGATAAATTATATTTCAAGTCTATTTGGAAGTGGTAGTAGCACCAGAAAAGTGTCAACCAATATTTTGGATTTTATGGACCCATCCGATGGATTGACATATTTTGGAGAGGACGGAGTTTTTGCTTCGTATTTAAAAGAGGCTGATAGTAACACATCTGCTTTCAATTCGTTCACATCACTAAAGAATGGGCATTTTACCAACACCATGGCACGAAGTATATTTGCTTCCCAAGGCTTTCGAGCTATTGCAAGATTATTTTGGAAGGAAACATTGCAAAGTAGTTCTCTCATTTTCCTTGTATATTGGTTTGGTAAACAGAACATTCAAAAGGTAAGATCTTTCATGTGACACCATGTGAAATTAACTTGCTACCGAAGAGAGTATTTGCAACCATTTTACTCTTTCTATTTAATGTTTATGTGTTGGTATTTGACATGCATTCTGGATCCTCAGCAAGATTTAGAACCATTTTGCGCTGGAATGTGATTTTTAATATTTTGTCACTCATAACCTTCTTGCTCTTTAAACAACATTTGAATATTACTACTGAATATTTTGACCAAAGATATCTGAAAGATTAGACTTTATTCATTTGGGATTAAAAGTAAGGCGAACATGGTTCATTCCTCTGAAAGTAACGAAGGCTCTAGTCTTGATCCTCTTGAATGCCAAACCATTTCTTATAGTCATAGAGTCTCACTTCATTGAAACGAAGAGCTTCATACACCAATGGGGCATCATCATTACCGCTTGCATTCCAACCACAGTCATTTGGTGGATACATAAAATAATCATCCACACTAACAGTTTGGAATTCTTTTTGGTTCAATAATAATTCTTTTCCTCTGCTCTTCAAAGGAACAAATGTTTCATTTCTGAATGATGCATACTTTCCACCAAGAGGTACATCTCCAAAGGCGCATCCGTTGTTTCTAACACCAGCATTTTCTAACAATTCTTCAGCAACTTGAATCCATTTACGGAAAAATATGAGTGGTTCTTCATGCTTTTTTTCTAATTCAAACATTTCAAACGGATGCATGTGTTGATATTCCATAAAGTGTGACTTGTAGTAGGGATTGTGTTCTGTTTTGATATGCACTGGATATTCCTTAAATATTCCACCTTCACCATATTCCCTTATGGTGTGCTGTTTTTCCAAATCATAATATCGATAAATATAAACAGTAATTTCTCGTCCTTTCATGTGCTCAGGCCATCCACTATCGATAGATAATGAAGACACTCTTGGTTGATCCTCTGATTTTACATTCAACAGTATTGAATTTTCTACACTTGATCTTTCCACACTCAACTCTGAAGCCGTATCGTCACTATATTCAAGAATTTCTGATGAATGCTTTTCTTTCCAGTCTTTCAACATGTATGCTTTCATTCCAAATTTACAACGGCTCAAAAAGAAGTGCTTTGCAAGAATATCAAATGCTTTTGGAACGTCATCGATGTCAACAGAAAAATGTACTTTGAAATCTGGTGCGCGATGAGTGGTCATTGCTGTTGATATGATGAACAAGAATTATATCAAAATTACATGTATGCTTACTTACCCTGAGCTAACCAATATTTATGTCCCTCCGCTGATCTCTCGAAATATATTCATATTGGAATTAAAAATTTTTTCCAATTGAATAAATTACAAACCCGTATAAACTCTTACGAATCCATTTGATGCCCCAGCATAATAATTCTTCAATTGATACATTTTACTGGTATCCGATAAAAGGCGACCATAATTAAAAACATTATCCACATCATCTGGCTTATCTTCTTCTTCCTCTTCTCCTCTCGCCATACGAAGTTTATATTCATCATCAATGAAGAATGGAGTTTGTTCAATAGACGTTGGTCCATGATCATCGCGTGTCGAGTTCGTGCTGGCAATCATTTTTTCGTTTAGAAATTGAACTTTAACAAAAAAATGAGCAAAAAGAGAAGCAAATCAAAGGATGCTGGTTCATCCTTGGCTGATTTGAACCTGATTAGAAAAGCTAAATATTTGAAGGAGAAGGAAATGCTGCAAGATTTAGAGAATGCGAAAAAACGAGATGTTCCGATTCAATATATCACTTTGATCAAACAATATGATGATGGATCTGATGATGAAGAGATTTACATCTCATTAGATTGCATGTTGCAAATTTTCAGCTATTTGACTCCTTCTGAATTGTTGTTACATGTTGGTCTTGTTTGCAAATCATGGTATTTTCTTTCGATAAGAACTAACTTTTTGTGGCAAAATTTGTACTACTCAGAATTTGGAGACGAATCTTCCAGACCAGTCTATGATGCCATTATTGATGAGAATGATGATTCAGAATTTGATGGACAATGGAAAAAAGTTTATGGCTATAGAGTCGACTTGAGGAATAAGTGGTACAATAATCATCCTGATCGAATCGGATATTTGGACATTTTACATTCCGAATATGCAAGAAACAAGAATAAGAATACTAATAAGGGAGAGTTATTCAAGAAAGATGCTCATTTAGCTTGTATTTCAGAAGAAGATCTTGTAACAGAAGACGCAAGTGACAAGAAACTTTATCGTATTGATCCTGCGGATAGAGCGCAAATTTCAACACTTTGTCTTGTTGGAAGTGACAGACTTTTGAGCGGTGACGCAAGAGGAGTGATCAAATTATTCAATCTTAGGTCGTATCAACAAGTGAAGAAGTTCGTAGGAGCTCATGATACATCCATTTCCAATATTGTGTGCATACTCCCAGAGCAACAACTATCAGAATCACCAAGCCAGGTTACCTCACCAAGCAAGTTCAAGCTAGACCCAAATTGTACATACTTTTTATCAACAAGCTTGCATTCGTGTGATATAAACGTCTGGCAACTTGAGACAGGACTCCTCTTGAAGAAGCTCAGAGGAGAACATGTTGTTGAAACATGCTTTGGAGCAACCACCAAAATGAGACATCCCGTCGTTGGCATGAAAGTTTCCAAGTTTTGTGGACAATACGTGTTGGTGGTAGTTTCTCTTAAAACAATTGAAATTTATGATCTTACCACGTTTGTGCTTCTGAAAATTATCAAACCTTTTTACAAGCCAAAACAAAAGGGAATATTACAAAAGAAACTCATCGATGCAGCCATTGAAAAATTAAGAGGTGAATACGACAGTGACGAGGAAGAACAGGGAGATGACGAATTTGATGATGATACAATGCATGATGCAGGCCACGCTCCAGCAACGACTATCACCAAGTTCGAAGTTCTCGATGATAACAACATTGCTATTGTCTCTGGAGATCAAGTAATTCGTATCTATAACATGAGTCTGTCTTTATGCATCAAAGCAATTGATATGAAGAAGACAAAGGTATTGGACATTGAAAACTACAATAGACCAACTTCATTGGAGAGCTTTAAAAAATTGTATCGCAAGTTCAGCGCCCATGAACAGATTATTGTGACTGGCATTTACAAAACGAACATAGATGGACAATTTTGTGCTACTGTGGTTATAGGCTCAAACAGTGATCCTTACAATTATGCTGCCTCTAACACCAAAACATTTATCAAGTATTTTGATTACAGATTTGGAATTGAAAATCCAGTAAGAAGTGTAAAATTAGAAACTGTGAAGAATAGTTACGATTATTATGGATATGGATATAGTAGTCATTCAAACTATTTCGATGACGACAAGATAATTATCAGCACCTATTCTGACATTTGCATAGTTGGTAGAAAAGATGGTATTGTCAAACAATCGATTCAGTATCCATTGAACCTCACATACAACGTATCCACTTATTATGCAGATGAACGCTTTTTGATTATTGGAACATCCTTTGGCGGAATCATTGCCTTAGATTTTGGTGGCAATTTGCTATATTGGAGTAATCTAAAAGGAAGAACTTTGCTTGACGAGACTGTGACCACCTCTTCAGCAGAACAACCGGTGCAGGTCATGGACGAGTCTCAAGATTAGCATTCCAAAAAAAATACTCGATCATCTTGTAGACAGAGCTTTTCCGAATTTATGATCAGAATCCGATCTTGCTAATATCATTAATTTCTTTTTATTAAATAATTGCTGATCCAAGTAGTTGATTTTTGAGTTTTTATTGAGATCATCATTTCTACGAAATATTGCAATTCGATCATCAGTTCAAACTTGAAGACTTTACATCGTTCCATAATCAGCTGTATGGGAAACAAACAAGCTAAAAGTAAACATAGAACCATCATAGAGTCAACATCATCAGCCGTTAATTGTGCAAGAATGTATCAAGTATACTGTGCAGGAAGCAAAGCTTCGAATGAATATCCTCCAACAATAAGTAAGTGATTATTATTCAAAGCGTTGTCCGGAAGCAATTACTTGGTGGTATGAATAGATCCTGAAAGTACGGATTTTGATCCCATCAGCCCCATGACTTTTGGAAATGAAACAATTAGAAATGTAGCCTGCGGTTATCGGTATGTTTTGATTCAACTCCTCTATTTATTCTCATCTTTTGACAGATGTTCGTTCTTTCTTACTGAATCAGATCACCTTTACTCCTGCGGCCAAAACAGCTCAGGAGAGCTCGGATGGGGATTTTCGACAGAATCGTATCAAGAATTAGCCAAAGACAAAACAATAATTCCATCATATGCCATGATCGACTACATTTTAAGCGGTGATACATTCACTTTCTTTGTCATGAAAGGTTAGTTTGAATGTAATGACAATTTATTGAACTCAAGTTAATTAGATGGAACTTTTTTGAGATGTGGATCAAACTCAGAGGGATATATTGGAGCAGGAACAGTGTCATCATTACCAACTCCCACAGCTGTTGCAAATCCTCCATGGAAGTCAAATCGTGTGGACAAAATTTCTTTTGGATATTATCATTCAGTGGTATTATCAAATAATGTTCTGTATCAAACAGGAAAAGTTCCTGGCTCTGAAGTTTGTAATGAGTACAAGCCCGTTGAATCTTCACATTTGGCAACTATAGGAAAAATTGTCGATGTTGCTTGTGGTGTGTTCAATACTTTTTGTATCAATGGTGAGTAGCTATTGTCATCACAATTGTGGTGTTGATAACCATTGAAACATTTTCTCAATTTTGATTTAGATAAGGGAGAGCTTTTTGGAATTGGACAAACGACACATTATGGAGAATCTCGTGTATGGACAAAAATGAATGTTAGTAGACCTATTGCTAAAATTTTCAGCGGTTCTCTTTCTGCCCTTGCACTCACTTATAACGATGAAGTGATGTGCTTCGGTGACAATGGAAGTCAGGAGCTGGGATTTGGAAGTGAAGCAATTCATGATTGGACGTTACATCCAGAGTTAAGTGGAATTGGAGTGCGAACTATTGGAATTTATACATACCAGACAATTTTTATAACAAAAACAAATGAAGTTTACGTGGCAGGAAATAACACAAGCCAACAGTTAGGTAAGTCTTTATCAGAGAATTTGAAAAAAGATCATTGAGCACCTTGGTTTTTGGCCATTTAGGTCAAATTGAAAAGAAAAATTTGCAGCGTCATCCAACATTAGAAAAATATTGCCGAGAACATGTTGGTATGATACCTCATGTGACAGGAGGTTTTCAACACATGATTGTTTATTTCGCAAAAGACAGTAAGTGTTCAATTTTTACAGAGTTCATAACCTTTAATTTTGTTAAATAGCAAGAAAATCTCTTCGGTTCCAAGTACTTCTCCACAAGGCTGTTATTAATCATTCGCTCTCAGATATTCTCATTGAATGTGGACAATAAGACTAAAAGAAATAAACGAAGAAAATTATGGCTCCTTAACGTTTTTTCATGTTCTACATCTACACTTTTGTATTCTCGATAACCTTAAAAATGTTTGACAAAAAGCCCCGCCATCATTGTTTGTAAAGTCATCAACATGGTTAAAAAATGTCACAACCAACTCCTCTCATTCATGACACCAATGAATTTATTGACATCTTTCACTACATTTTTCAATTCATGGAAATTCGAGATATTTACCCTCTCCGCAATGTCTCGTTGTTTTTTCTCAGGTAAGATGTTGTACGATTTTAACCAATGAAATTTTGAATAATTATTATTATCGCACTGTGCAGACTCATCGAACAATTAAAAAAGTATTACATTCGTCCTGGTATGTATAAGATGTCCAATTGATAATGGTCTAATGATTTAAAATGATGATTGAAACAGTGTATGAAATCGGAGTGGTGTCTTGTCATCAAGATCAATTACAAAGTTTTGTTCGACAAATTCTCCAATCAAAATCTGGTTTAATTCCATCCATGACTGATGAAGATCGTCAAGCAATGCAACGTGAAGTATTTATTGAATTGAATGATGGAGATCGATTGGTGGACATTCGTAGTAATGATTCGACATCTATTCAAATTTTCGAAAGAATTGAAAAACAATTAATTTTTAAACAGGATCGATTTCGAGTCATCTTTTTTCCCATGTTATGTAAATCGGAGGCGACTTTAGCTGTGGATGAGTTGAATCGATTAGAGGGATTTATTTTTCTAAAACAGGAAACTTTGGATGCATACAAACAAATGCCAACAGGATGTCAATTTTGTGCTACCTTTCTCAATGATGGGTTTACATTTGAAATGCAAGAACCAATTCTTGTGACCACAGGAAATGCTACTTTGAAAACTAACGAAAGTCTTGCTGTGAAAAAACGAGATCAGGACATTATTTCTCTCATCAAAATGCCAGTCAAGTCATTTGGATATTTCCGAATGGAAAAAGGTGCAAATTCAGAGCAAGTTCAAAAAACCTTACTTGACTGTACCATGTATATCATGCAACATTCAAATAGATGCCTTCAATTAGACCATTCTCAATATTCGAATCGTATTTCCGAACAAGACACGAAAAATAATTCAACGATGAAACTCATTGAGATATTAACCTATATAGCAACATCAAAGATGAAACATCCACAATTGGTTGAATTTGTCACTAAATTATTTCAGAACCGATATTCCTATTATAATTTACTCATGACCAATGATACCAAGTATTTCACAAAACGAATTTGTTTCTTCCATTTACCTTACAACTTACAATTTAAATTATTGAAAGAGTTTTATGGAGCTTTAATGCATAGTCATGGCTCTCTTCTAATCAACAAGGGAAAATGTCAAGTTTCACATGTGACTTTAGAACCAGGACAAGATTGTCTTGAAGTTTATTTCTTGCAAGAATGTGCTGAACAAGTACCAGGTCGATACAGCTATGTCTATAACATAGTGATGAAACCCTACGCGACTCGAGTGAGGTTTTATTTATCAAGTGAAAAAGTAGAATTTATTTCACAACGTGCCACAAGTGTGGAATTGAAAGAATGGGGACAACACCCAACGAAGAGTTCCAATGTTTGTTTGTTGGCATGATCATTTCTAGAGAAATACAAGCTGTCATTTGCCAAAGTGTTTTTAACAAAAAACATCTCAAGGTTGTGATTTACAACATTTTTCATCTCTTTATTAAAACTTGCCAGTTGTAAATCATTGAAAGACATTTACACAACAGAAGTGGAAGGAACAGTGTTGATACCACATCTTCCCTTATTTCGGATGATACGGAACTGTTTTTTCATGAAAGGAACAATGCAATGATTTAAGTGAACCACCGATGTTAACGATCAATGATATATCATCTATAACAGTACTTACATATCCCCTATTGAATAACATTCACACATCCAAGTCGTCATTACAGATCATATCCATTCATCCAATTCGTCATTACATTTCCATTCATCATTTGACGGATTAAAAGCATTTTCAAATATGAACAATCATCATCATCATCGTTGCATTCCCATTAAACTTACATTTCACCCCAATCTTCACCCCATGAATTCTTAACAATCCAATAAGGTTCTGGAGATCCAAACCAAAAAGTCTCCACTCCATATCCCACTAACAAGACACCATGATCCAATTGCGTTGGATCACACCATGCTGGATCACCAATTCCATTATTATAATTTTGTAACCAATCTGCATTCAATGCAACAGCAATTGGTCCATTTTCAGCCAACCAAGCTGCAAGTTCAGTTTCATTGGTTGATAACATGGTCCAATTTTGAAGTTTTGCAACAAATTGAGAGTTTTTCACAGTACACTTGTAAGATTCAGCATAATAAGGATAAGCATCTTCAGAGGCAATACCACCTGCTTGAATGATGTATTGATAGGCACTCCATTGAAGTCCACCATTGCATCCATCGTCACATGATTGTTGATTTTCGAAAATGACACAATTATGATCACAATCCACAAGTTGTTGTTCTATTGTTGTTGTTGTTGTGTGAAAGTGAGAAGAGTGAGAATTTCATGGTTCAATAATGGTTCCATGTCATGGGATTGGAGAGATCATGGTGCTGTGACCTATGTCAAGAATCAAGGTCAATGTGGAAGGTAAGTACTTCTTGATGATCATTCAGAGTGTGAATAACAGCAAAATTTCACTTCCATGTCGGAACGTCAATCAATCGAAACTGTTTTTCCACCACGTTGAGAGATGTCAGAAATACACAATCATTTTCACAGACCATTATTAAATTAGAAAATCATTTTCAAGGAAAATCATCATCATGAACAAACCAATACCTACCTTTGGAGCATCACGAACTTGTTGTTGTGAAACTTTAGAAATTGGCAATACTCCATTTCGATTCATTAATTGTCGAACTTGTTGTGGAGTTTTTGGTTTCATCAAGTAATACTTGGAAAATTCTTCAGGTGAGAGATCACTGAATTTAGTGACTCCATACGTGTTGCGGCCCTCCAAAATGTTCATTTGACGACTCTTTTCAACATTTTGAGAAAAGATTTCAAAACGTTGTTGATATTCTTTTGGTCCTTGATAGAACTTGTTGTGTTTGTGAGTGAATTGAGTGAAGAGAGATTTCATTTCATCCTCTGAGAGAGGTTGATATTGAGAAGTACCGGAGGAAACCAGAGTTGCCAAAATGCAGAGCATCATGCCAAGTACTGTTGCCAAAAGCACGGGGGTGAAAGTGAGCTTGTGAGCCATTTTTTTTTGTAAAATGATTGATGGTAAAGTTGGAAGGTTACAGAGCTGTTCCAGTGAGATCAAATTTGTAGTTCTCAATATCGTTGGACAATAAGTATGCAGACCAGAAATTGCAATTGATTTAGCCAGACCATAAAACACCTTGGACAACTATTTCTTATTGATATGCATCTGTGTGTTGATAGGGTTGTCAGCAGAATGAAAATGAGTCAAAGAATGGTGAAGAGAGGACGGTCATGGAAAATATAGTAGGGAATTCTCATGAGTTGATGCAAGGTTTGAACGTAAACGTTACTTCGTCCAAGACAATACTTTCTCACACTGAAAAAAGTTGTTTGCAAAAAAATGTCGCGGTCTGCAGGACTCGAACCTGCGCGGGTCGCCCCATTTGATTTCTAGTCAAACGCTTTAACCACTCAGCCAAGACCGCTTCATTTATAAGCAGTTGGTTTCATATTTTATTGGGTTTTCTTTTGACTAAAAAAACAGCAAATGTGTTGGTTAATTGCTCCACTGACACAACAAAAGAAAGTCATTCCTTGTTCACAGTCGGATCTCTTCATTGCCAACTAGTTGAACGAAGATAGTGTTGTGGAAATGTGAATACATCCTCATACAAACGACTTTCCACTGATTATTTGCCTCTTCACAAATAGAATGAATTTGGTTTCAATTCAAAATACACATGTTTATTCATGATACAATTGCAATTATTGACCTGCCAACTTTAAAGCTTGAATCCAAGAATCTCTCTTGGTAATCTTTTCCCACCATGCCTTCACATGAGGACGATCGTTAATCAAGTGACCCAAATTGACTTGAGGATGGAACAAGTAATTACCATAAGGCAAGTGATAAATATCAGCCAAAGTGAATTGATTACCACCAATATATTCTTGCTTGGATAAGATCTTTTCATAGACATCCAAAGCAGAAGTGAGTTTTTGTGTCAATAACTTGACACGAGCTTCATCAGGAGCACCAGCTCCGAACATGGCCTTAAATACCAATTCAAAAGCAAGACCACTGGCATTGGCATCAAAGTAAGAAGTTTCAATAGAAGCACCTTGCTCAAAGAGACCCAAAGCCTTCAAATCTGTTGGGATCAATTGAGTTCCTTGATTCTTGAACTTTTGTTCCAAATATCTACAAATGGCACGAGACTCATAGATCAAGAAACCATCGTCTTCGAGGACTGGAATGACTCCGAAAGGTTGCTTCTCGAGGAATGCAGCTTGTTTATGTTCACCTTTGGAAAGATCGACTGGGACCAATTCAAATTCGACATTCTTTTCTTTGAGAGTGGTCACGACACGTTGAACACAAGTGGAAAAGTAAAGACCATAGAGTTTGAGAACCATTTTCAAGTGTTAGTTTGTTATTGTTATTGTTGTTGAATAATTTGTTTGATGTTTCATTCCGAGAGAGCGAGTGAAAATGGGTTTTTATCAGATTTTCATTTTAGAAGTGCGGAAGCATTTTTCCATCGGTAGAAATGAGCTGAGTAGAAATTCGAAAGAAAGAACGCACTCAGGGGTCGGATGAAGCTCGAGCTCTTGAGAGAAAGGTAGCGGCTTCTCGTTGGAAGGAGGACAAACATATTTCTTGAATTGGAGAAGGAGAGTCGTGATGACACCTGGCAAAAAGCAAAGTTCAATTATGAATGTTCATTACAACTTTAGTTCACAGAAAATGAAAGGTAGCTATTGGGATTCATCAACACTTCACTTACAGTTTCTTATCCAGTCCACGTTGAAAGAAGATGTAGGCACAACAATCACTGTAACGCGCCAAAACTAGCCGATTCACAAACAAGAATTCAAAAAAAACAAATCCACTCACAGCAGATTCTGCTTTCGGTTTCATCAATCCATCGCTTCAAACAAAAACCAATTGTTGATGAATAATCAGAGAGCACACTTTCTTTCCCCTCCTCCCTGCACCAAAACATTATCAACTCATTCTCGGATGAACACTAACAACAATAGCATGCTTCCTCCTCCTCCTTCTCTCTCCAAAGATGATAGCGTCCTCGGAATGAACCGAACCGAACGACTCCGAAGACAACACCAACAAATGCAACGTCCCAATATGCCAGTTACACCCACACTCCCAAAAACCTCTCACTTTCAAACCTCCTCTTCCTCTCATTTGGAAAATAGAAATCCACAACAATTAACTCCTCAAATACAAGTCTCTCAAGTACACAACACACAACAAGGAACCTCCTTTACCATTGAACTCGATACAGCAGTACCGAAAAAGACTCTTCCTCCTCACTTGGCAGAACGTTTGAGTAAACGTACAAGTGTTCCTAAAACGGTTAAAGATTCAGAGATGGGTGGAATGGAAGATCAACAGAATACTGCCATGCAAACAACAACATCTGCACCCACTACAACAAGAAAATCCATGAGTGCTGTTACTACGTCCAACGTTTCATCCACCGCGAACTCTTCAAAATCAACAAACATTATAGAATTTCAGAAAAGAAAGAGTCTTGGATTGAGGCAAACGAGTCTCTTCAACAAGGCGAATGCATCATTGTCGGCCTCGAATGGAGCCATGACGACGAATCAACAAGGTTCTACGACTCTGACGTATACGACCTTTGATATGCCCTCGACCGCATCAGCAACAGCCAATCATGGACTCACTCTCGATGATGACTTGGAAATTGGATTTGAATCGAATAGTAATGGATCTCCCTTACTTGCAATGCCTAATGCAATGACTCAACAACCAACATCCGTTGCATCAACACAGCACGGCTCGTTTGGAATGATGGCACCACTTTCACAACAACAAGTGAATCCTTCATGTCAATTCTCTCAAACCAATATGAACGCTTGTGTCACACAACCTTCTCAAATGAATTTTGGGTTTTCTTCTCAACACGAACCTCAACAACAATTTGGTGGCTTCTCCTTTACTCAATCACAACCAGTGGCTCCTTCTCAACAAGCATCATTTACTTTTGGTCAACAACAACAGCAAGAACAACCACAACAACAAACCTTTTCTGCAAACTCAATGAATGAAAGTGTCAACCTTGGCAATTCTCAAAGTCAACAACAACAGCAAGAACAAGAGAAACTCAAACAACAACTAGCAATGGAACAACAACGACTTTGCGAGCAACAACAACAACAACAATTAATGGATCAACAACAAATGTGGCAACAAGCACAAGAACCCTCCCAACAACAGCAACAGCAAAATCCTCAACTATATCCCTCTGTAAGTCCTCCAAATTTCTCTCCTCTTGTAATGTCTGGCCAACTCTCTGAAGAAAGTCAAAGGTTGTATTATGAGATGCAAATGCAAAGAGCAGAGATGGAAAGAGAGCGTCAGGCCCATATGGAAATGATATTAAGAGAGAGAGCAGAGATTGAGATGACTCGAGAAGTACTCCATCGACAACAAATGGAGCTACAAGCAAAGATGCAAGAAATGGAACAATTGAAACAAGGAAGTACCCAAAAGAATGGACGTACTATGTCTCCTGATGATGACGAACGTAAGAAGGAAGTTGAGTCAAGAAGAAATGAAAAGAGACACATTCAAAGAACAGAAATTTTGAAGTCAAAACGTGAACTTAATTTGTTAAATGTTGACAAGCTGTCAAGAGCTTCCAGGGAAAAGCAAAGAGCAGAACGAGAGGAAGAAAAGAAGAGAGTGAAATCATTTTTACCTGCAAATATCTTCTCTCCTCCCAAACACAAACCATCCTTTGATATCCTTAACAAAAGAGCATCCATGTATAGTGCAGGAACCAGCATGAGAAGTCCTCCTTCATCCTCATCTACCAGAGCCATTGCCTCACGAGAATCTATTGCAAGAATTTCACAACCATCTTCCAACAGAATGTCATCAAGCGGGCCTTATCTTGGTCATGGGCTAACGAACAGATTAGAAACTCCACAGAGTGCAACCAGCTCTGTTCGTTCCTTTGCATCCAAGTCAAGCAGCATTAGAAGTACTGAGGCGTCTCCTGGAATTAGCAAGAGAAAGCAAGTCGTTTTGGAAAAAACAAGACGAAAAGCAGAAGAATTTACTAGAAAGAAATTATCACATCGTCATAACGACAACACCCCATGTCAACATTAATTTATTGACATGATTAAATTTAAGATACTCTGTTGTTACTAATTCTTATATGGGTTGTATCCTTTTCCTGATCGAGGAATAGAGCTGGCAACAACTTTTGGATGATATTCAAGAAAACGTAAGAAATTATTCTTATCCACAAACGCGTCATCAGCAGTGATATCCATGATATGATTCCATTTGCGACCCTTCAGTCCAACAAAAACGTAATCTCCCTTTCGTTTTAAGGCTTTCACTTGTGCTTCTGAAAGTTGTTGAGCTGCAACATTATCCGTCAGAAATAAATTATACTTGAGATTTTCAACCGAGTTTTGAGGAATTTTGATTTGATCAATTGGAATTCTATTGTCCTTATAATTGGCCCATCCAAATTTAGCTGTGACAATTCTTACTGTTTTGTCATCAATTCTTCCAAATTCTAAAATATTATGTTTTGCATAATAAGCTACACCAGCAATTACTGCTACTGCTGCCAAGGCATAACCTAAACCTATTAAGATTTTGGAAGTTAAAGAGGCCTCTTTTCTATTTCCAAGCTCGTCAAACTTGACCATTGTTATTGTGAAATATGCCAAAATCGTGAGAGTAATGGCATTCGCGATTGATGCAATGAAAGCAAATTTGAAGAATCTAGCTTTTGGATTGCGGTACAATAACACATAATCTTCGGGAAGAGGAGGTTGATTTTTAGAAGGCGTAATTAATTTTTCAATGTCTATATATTCTTCCTCTGCTGGTAGGTTTTGAGATGTTGCAGCAATAGGCATTCGGTAATATTTCTTGTTTTGATGAAAAGCTCTTTTCATCATCACAGCACTCAAACAGGCCTGTGTATGGCTATTACCATGAAGTAGCCAATGAGTTGTACGATTCATGCTTTCTTCTGATGTAATCACAGCATTACTTTTTGCCATCACCAAGGAAATGCCTCCGAGGGCGAGATGGCTTCTTTTATCGGAACGCACCAGATATTGTTTCAACATTTTTTTAATGACTTTATTTGGAATTAATTTAGAGTTTGCAATAAGGCTCTTGTTGAGCTCATCATCAGAGGATCATAGACCAACATTTTTGTACATTCAATTTAGATTACAGTGTGTTGATTAGAGCTGTTTCAGCTTGTTTGCTTCGTTTTTAATTTCCTTGACACAAGCGGCAAGAGCTTCGGGATTGATTCCCATCTCACACAAATTCATAATTATTGAAAGACTTTCACGATCGAGTCCCGCGTTTAAAATGTTATTAATTTCGTATGCAACTGTTATAAATCAACATAATTATAAATCAGTGGTTCTCGGGATAGAGCAGATACGAAACGTACTTTCAAGTGTTTCTTGTGTTTCTTTGATAATGTTGCTTCCCGATGATGAGTTTGTTGAAGATAAGGAAGCCGTTGTACTCGTCGTGTGTGGAGTTTGAAATGAATTGGTTGTTGTTGAATTTGACATTTTTTGTATGTAGTTTTGTTGATTTCAGACCGAAATCAAATTACAATTTTTCTTTTTGCTTTATTTTGCGTTGTAAGGATATCAGCTTTCTTCGAAGTAACAGAACATCGTTGTTAAAGCCTTCAATGTCCAAATTTCGTCTCTTTGCAAGATCTTTGTATTTCTTTTGAAGTTTATGCATGCTCAGTTCCATTTGTTTCATTTTGAGGTTATACTCTTCCTTCTTTGCTGCCAGCTGGTCTTGTAAATGCATAATGTCATTTTCTTTCATGATCGTCTGTTCTCTGAAATATCGAGCGTATTCTTCTGTCTGTTCTCTTGCATTGTTTATAAGGAGGCGAGCTTCCTCTTGCGAACGTTCTTTCAGCTTTTCGATTTGTTTTCTAAGGAACACATTTTCTTGTGAGAGCTTATCTATCGTTTCTCCTTGCTTTCTTAACTCTAATTTTAAGTTATGTGAAGTAACAAAGTATTCCCTATTGCTTACTTGAAGTTTTTTGTGGGCGTCCTCGTAATCTCTTTGAAGTTTCATTATTGTTTGTCTGTCTCTCTCTCGTCGTTTCTCTTCCTCTTCCATTAATATTTGTCGCTCCTTTAATAATGCCTCTTCTTTATCTTTGGAGAGTTTAACATGTTCTTCCAACCGTGTCTGAAGAGATTCTACTTGAAGAAGCAACGTATCCGTTTTTTCATTGGGCATTATTATAGTTCGTAATATTCTTGAGGGCTGTTGTTGTTGATTTTGAATGTTGTTGGAACAAACTTTGGGTTTAACTTGCGTAAATTTAGAAGAGGTGTTTTTCGTCTCGCCTCCAGATTTAATATATTCCTCCATACATATTTCTTTGTTATCTTTCCTTGGATCGTTTACTACCACCTTATTTGTTTTAGTATTCAACATATATCTGGTGACTTGATCTGGTCTGCAGTCTTTGAAATAGGTGACTTCCTGAGTGACTGGTTGAGTGAGAGCAAGTAAATCCCTAATTTTCTTTCGATCTTCCATTTCTTGGACTATACAAGAATTAATTGTATATCTTAAATGATATAACTTACTTTTCAAAGCATCGTTTTGATGCTGCAAATGCATGGAATGTTCTCGCTCATCAAATATATGAAGTTGAGCATCAGCTAGGGCTTTTTTTAAAGAGTCAATCTCATCCTCTCTTCGCCTTAGCTCCCATTCTTGGTCATGAAACTTTTGATATTGAAGTTGGATATCGGTAACTTTTTTCAGCATTTCCTCTCGCTCCTTCTCCAATTCGCCTGTTGATTTGGAATGTCAACCATTTTCTTCAAAACACAAAGGTTACTTACCCACTTTCTTCTTATAATAGTCAATGCTTCCTTCAACGGCTGGGTCATCGGATGATGTATTCATGTTTTGATTCATTTTTTTTAATAATTGATTTTGATGTAAAAAATGGGCGGCATTCCCAGAACGGCGGGAATAACCAGAACTTGCACGTTGGCGCCTCGTTTTTACATTTTTACCTCTAAAAAATGCAGAGATCCAAATTATCACCCACATCGTCCTCCACTAATCACAACATACGATTGAGTCATACCTCGACAAAGAAAACTGCTTCGGAAAAGAAATCTGTGTTGTATCGACCAACCTCAACTACACCCAAGAAAAAGAAAGAATGGGATGTAAGTACCGTTTACAAGGACTGATTGTGAAGGATTTTGTGCAAGTAGAGCACTATTTCTAATTTGAATGTTTACAAATTATCGAAACAAGAAATGGAGGCAAAAAAGAAGTCACGCATTTCTAAAAATCAAGAGTATTTCAAGAATCATAGTCCCGAATCATATCACCCAATAAGGCTCTTGAATTATGAGGAAAGACCATGTTCAGCTCCTCCAACAAGGAACAAACCTCTAACTACACCAACAAAACAATCTTCTAACTTTAAGGCTCCAAGAACAGTTCCTGTATCTACAAAATCGAAATCATTTTCAAAAAGCTCAAAGTTACCCTCTAATAACACTCTTCCGTCCTTTAACATTGACCTCAACAATACTCAGTTCTTGAACCCTTCTAAATTTAAGCAGCACATGGAATTTCCCCAACTTGACTTACTTCCTTTAACCTCGCGAATTCTTCAACAAGAAAATTCTGAAACCTCCAGCGAAAGTGACAAAGATAAAAGCTTGACAAATGTCGGTGATATCTTTCAAGAAGACGATTTTCACAGGTTTGGGGAATGGAGCAGTAACCTTCAAGGAGAAGGTCAGGTTCAAACGTCAAATGGTGGATTAGTCTTTGATGCCACCAGTAATAGGGTGTCTGATATTGATTTTATTAAGAACGAACTTCTGGATCTAAGATCAAATATGATGTTTAAAATAGACAGTGGATCCAGAGTTTTCGAGACCTTACTTGAGGAAAAAACCAAAAAGGAATGCGAATTAGAGGAGAAAGCTAAATATCTTGAACAAGAACTTGATCAATCTCGTCGTTCCTATGAAGAGCTTGATTTAAGATTTTCTCTGTATCGAAAGGACAGCGAAGAACGAACGTTATCTCTGCTGCAAAGAATTGATGAGCTTGAAAGAGAGATGGCCTCAAAAAGCAACGGTTTGTCATCAAGTTCTGATCCCTCTCTTAGTATGGACCATCATGGTGATCCTGCAAGTGATTACGTAATCAATGGAAGGAAGGTTCTTAAAACCATTGATGATTCTTTAATGGTAACTACTCCAAAGAATAATCAAATGACTCCTCCCCTGCCCGTCCTGCAATTTGATACGAAACCTTTTTGCAAAAAAACCTCTCCCACACAACAAAACAACAATCGCTTCTCTGACGATAATAAGGAGAATATTGAAATTGTGAAAAATGGAGAAGAATGTTCACCTTTTTCAACGTACAGATATCCTGTGCAATTCAATGATAACACCATTGAAATTCATAGACCATTAATAATTGGGAGAGACTTTTCGAACACAATTCAAAGAAATCAACTCCCTTCAAGGCAAAACAAGGATTTTTCACCTCCATCCTCAACGGGAAGTAACAACGTGCAAGCGGTTCTTTCAAACAAAGTGAAGAAATTCAATATTCGTGAAAAACATTAAATTAATTTTCCTTGTTGCGCGTAGCCAGGGTATTAAAGGAAGAAAAAATGCCGCAATGTCAGGGCTAAATTTTGTCAAATCCAATAGCAGCATCGAATCTATGCTCGCCAGTAATCCAACATCGTCAATACCTACAAACACAGATGCTGATATTTCGGCTAAGAATACTGTTACAAACAAAGATTCTTTTAAACCTTCTCCGATGAACCTTTCAATGGACATTCCGATCGACGAAACCTCGGGAGAGAAGTATAACAATAGTCATTCAACAAAATTGATAACTCCTCCTCATCCAATTGCGTCTCAACATTACTACAGAAAATTATTCTCGGAAGGAAGCAAGAGCTCATCATCCCGAGAAGATGCTTCGTCTCAAAATCCGATTCATCAAAGCTCAAGCCATTTATTGCCTACATATACAGCACACCCATCATCATCATCATTAGTGCTGGCTCCACCTCCGTTGATGTATCCTGCCAATAGCTATCCAATTGTTATGCTTCCATCGCAATACGCTTCATCTTCGTTTTCTTCAACGATTTCTGACGCTTTATTTTCTCTGATCAAATATATCATCATGTTCTTGATCTCTATTGGAATTTTTAAATTCGGAAAGAGATGGTTTAAAGCATATTTTAATAATTACTTTACAAAAAAGAAGATATTTGAAAATCCTAAACTTCCAACAGTCTCCTTGCCTGATAACAACGAAAATAGTATTTTAACTGACTCAAAAGAAGGAGAAACTGTTCACAACCATCAAGAATATCAACATATTGCCAGATCCAAGTGGCAACCTCCACAAAAAGAGCCTATCAACGATATTGGAACGATTTTATTCTTTCAGCGAGAATTGAACGATTTGAAATTGTGTATGAATGAATTGAAGTCCAAAATTAGTGACGTTCCTTCAAATTCCTCTTTTTCGGCCACGCTTTTGAAGCAATTCGAAATGCAACACGAACAACAAAAGTTAATACTCTCTCAGAACAAAAACACTGATAATTCACTGAATGTAATGGAAATGCAACGAGAAATTAGTAATTTACGAAGCGATATTTCCCAGCTCAAAGGAATGATTACTATGACACCCACAATTTTATCTTCCAGCGTTTCCTCTCAACAAGGATTGTATCAATTATCCCAATATTCAGAAACCGCCGACACTGCTCAGAAACATCATCCTGTAATCCATAATCCTACTACAACCTACCAACCCAAATTTTTGCAACAAAATTTAACAAGCCATTCAGTGAGTAGAAACGGATCACAAGCCCATTCCAGTGAAATTTCTTCTGACAACAACATTGAACGATCCTCATCCCCATTACTCAACATGTCGCTCAACAAATCAAAGGATGAGCCAACAACATACATCAGCGGTATTAACAAACGTTCATCAACCAATCAACCTATTTCTGTCAATACAAATGGAGCTAGAACGGAAGACACTATTCACGATAAGCAACCATCTCCAGCACTTTCTTCGTCATCAGAAAAGTCCATTAAGGAAAAAAACAATCAACAACATAACATCACTGAAAAATATGAACAAGCTGAACCAATTTCTAATAGTAGCACCAACGAAAATATAGATTATTATGCAGAATATGGAGAAAAGATTGAACCTATTAGTGAAGAGGAATATAACCAAGTTTACGACGATTATTTGAGCTCACTTGGTAAGCGATTCGAAAATCAATTCAACTTTCATACTGGAGTTGATGTTGAGCATAAAGAGAATAGTGTTACCGAGGTCAACAACGAAGAACCCAAATCTTCCATCTCCCTTCAAGACACTGCGGCATCAAATGAAGAAGCAATGCAAGGTGTGGAGAATACTAAAGAGCAGCCTCTCGAGAATCTCAATTCGTATAATGAGCAAGTAGACGGTGGCATTACGCCTTCAGCTGAAAGAAAAACAATTTCTGATTTTGATGCATCGACTGCAGTCTCTCCACTGGACACCGACGTTTTCAATATTCTAAAAACACCAAGTCTTTCGTTTGACGAATTATTTGTTAAGGCTGCCCCCAAAACAGAGAGTACAGAAAATTTTAGCGATAATCAATTCAATAGTATTCACATGTACGAGGCTGATAGCATTATTTCATCTGGCAGCAACTCTGTCAATCAAGGCTCATCAATGACTCCTTCATTGAAGGAGGCAACTAAGGAACTTCGAAAAACTCAGTTAACTGCTAAGCAAAAGAAATCTAAAATATTTGGTATGTTGTTAGCCCCAGAAAAGAAGAAGAAAAAGAAAAAAGACGCTGTGCCAAAAGAGGAGGCACAATTAGAAAAAGAAAAGCACCAAACATCTCAAGAAGTAGTACCTTCCCCAACCAAAGCAGCAGCACAAACGACGCCGCCACCTACTGAAAGCGACGTAAATAACATTGAATTTGTCACACTAACAGAAAAACAAGAAACAATTTCATCCCAAGACATGCCCAACAATCAAGAGATGTTCACAAGGTTTGAAAACTATCCATTTGATTCCGATGAAAGATTTCAAAGAATGCTATCATTAACTGCCGATGACGACGAATGTCCTGTCGACAAAACCAATCCAAACTTTTTAACAATTCAAAAAGGAATTTACTTCAAACAACTGTTGGGAAATGATGAATTTGATTTGGAGGAATATTTCAAATATAAAGGAATAGAGGTTGCAAGCTCTGCAGCAGTGAATAATTGAAGCAGGAACTAAGGAAGATTCCCTTACATCGAATAAATTTTGACAAAATATGGCTTCTTATTCACGGTGGAACGATTCATCGCGTTGCTGTTTATATTGTGTGTTGTTTCATTACTAATAGATCTAGCTTTTTCGTTCAGGAAAAGTTTAGATGCGAGTAAGAGAAATTCTTGAAAAAAGATTCTTGAAATGAGTGTTTGAAATTTGTTTAAATCCAATTTCATGTTCATGCATAAATTCATCCTCAATCGATTTCACAAAAAACATCAACCATCGAACCAAATAAGCCTGTACTGTTGATGACAACAAAGTATGAACCACTGGATACAACAACACATAAAAAAGCATACGTGCGTCCTGGTCTTCGTCATCAACCCACAACTCAATTTGTGCGTGCGACAGTACTTGTCTTTTAAATCTTTGGCTCAGTGGGAAAGGACAATTTTCAGTGCGCACTCTTTTCATAGAGAATTTAATCAAAAAAACACGCCAACAACTATACTCTCTTTCACGCTAGAGCACATTCAAGAACCTCTATCTCTCGTTTTGCAACAATATTTTTCTCTCAGCACTCTTGTTAAAGTTCAACGATAGTAGTAGCCATTTTAATTCTTGTCATCCGCTCCTAACATTCAATATCGTGAATTTCAAATTTTGAAAAATGATGATCGTCACTACTTCCACTATGGAAAGTCAAAACAACACTACAAGTACATCCACAGCAGCAGTAACAACAGTACCTACCTCTCCTTCTTCATCATCATGTTGCTCCGCAGCTGCTATCATTCTAAAAGCAAGTAATTTGAGTCAGCATGAAGCTCTCTCCACTCCGGAACAATATGAAACCTTCTTGGATGAAACCTTGTTGACAGCATCGAGCAATGTGGTGTGCAACAAGCCATCCATTGAACGGTCAGCAGGAATTTTGAAAAATGTACTCGTTGAACAATTCCAACAATATCAAGCCAGTGATGATGAATATTCGTTGAGTGTACAATTATTTCTAGATGCATCCACTCCAATGAACAACAAGAAGGATGATTCATGCTCCTTCTCGAATAATGAACTCGCAGTAATTTCAGCAGTCATTAACACACTTCAAGAATTGAAGAGAGCTCACATTGACATGTTACTAATCAAAGCAACCTCACCACAGCAAGTATTGAATTATTGGTCCGATGTGGAATTGTTAGTGGAATATGGTCTAGTCAAACAAATTGGTGTTTGTGATTTTAGTGTGAATGAATTGCAAACATTCATGTCCAGCAGTCAAATTAAAATTCAACCTCAAATCGTGCAAGTGAATTTGGCCTCATACGAAACATTAGAGTCATTGAATGATTTGACACAATTCTGTGCCTCGAGAAATATTAAAGTCTTGACAGGCTCTAGAGGAAGTTTGAATGATTTCAGGAAAGCAGGTGCCAAAGCATTGGGCTCTTCTCAGGTTTCTCTTGACTATGTTGTAAGATATTCACTCGTGTCAAGACCAACATCTGTGGTGAAAGATATGGGATTTATTGTTAAGGTTAATGGAAATGAAAAATGTGAATGCATTTCAGGACAATGTTTGTAAATAAATTTAAAAGTTTGTGTTCGAGTTGATTTTGAACACGCACGAAGCTTCGTGAAGAAAAATGTTGAGGAATTGTTCATCGCCCTTAGCAATGGTAAAGCTGTTTGGCATTGTAAAGTGCAAAAATAACTGAGCGATGCCGCCCAACAAGCTGCAAGTTCCTCTCAGAAATTGAAAGAAAAAATTCCACACACATCATGAGCGTATGTATTTTTTTGATTAGCTTTTAGATCATTCTCCAGTTATATGACCATCCAATCATCATCATCTTGATATGAATTCATTATTTTCATACTTCGGTGAATTTCATATGATGCTGATGATCTTGTTTCGTACACAATATCTTTTCAAAATTTTATTCAAATGATGATCTCAAATAATAATAACGAACGAAAACAATTATCATTTTTGAACACTTTTCAATGTGATCATTTACGCTTTCACCTTCATATTTTCTGGCTCTGTTAAATTCGTTTCAAAAATCTTGACCAATATTAATTGTACGTATTATAATACTTTTTGCAATCCGAGTATTTGTAACAGACTTGTTCTTATATCATTGCTGCGGCTACATGGATTTCAACTTGGTTTCTATTCTGATGATTGAATGAACCACAAAATACTCATGATAGGCTCCAACCTCCTCTCCAACATTGACACAAACAGACCAAACTCACCTCCTCCCAAAAGAGTGTCGTTCAGCAATTCCGCAACATTACTTCAACTTCAGAGAAGGTTGCTACTGAATATCTCAAAAAGTCAAACTGGGAATTGGATAGAGCTGTCGATGATTATTACAATAGCACAGGTGGAAGCTTGAGCAGTTCAGCAAGCACATCCAAGGAAATGGAACAGGCTTTTGATAAATACAAACAACTCAGTAATAACACCAATGAAGAGACCATCAATAATATCACTTTGGATGGTATTTTGGCACTTGCTAAAGATTTGGATACTGATCCAGAGTCTGACCCACTCCTTTTCGTTCTCTTTTATAAACTTGGTTGTAAAACAGCCTATAATATTACACCAGATGAATGGAAACAAGGAATGAGCGAATTGAAGATTACCAAGTTTGATCAATTGAAGAAGAAGATTCAACAAGTGAAACAAGACATTTACAATGATGCTAATCAATTCAAAGAATTTTATGAATATGTTTTTGATTATTCTTTGGAAGAGGGAGCCAAGACCGTTCCTCCAGATGTTGCTATCGGTCAATGGAAACTTGTGTTAAAGGGAAAGTACAAGTTTTTGGACGTTTGGTGTGAATATATTGAAAAAGTTTTCAAGAAGGCCATCACTGCTGACACTTGGAAACTCTTTTTAGATTTCACAAAGAATTATCCTAGCGGCGACTACAAGGACTACGATGCTGATGCTGGTGCTTGGCCAGTGGCCATTGATGATTTTTGTGTGTACCATCAAGAAAAGTTGAAAAAGTAAAGGGTGTGGACTCACAATTCTTTTTTAATAAGCAAGCATTGAATGGATTACTTCAAGTGGAGAATCACAGGACGCTGAAGGCGACTTTTTATGCTCCCAATCTTTTTATCACACTATTACGTCTCCATTGTCTTTACTCATTAAGGGTTGAAAAGGATAGTTACTACGACTTTATGAATGGCTACGGCAAATTTTGATCTACCAGTTTTAAGATTTCCTGTTTAAATATTTATAAATATCACGAACAAGAGTTAATCATGCCAAAAGCCAAATTCTTATTATAAGGATTTTATTTCACTATTTACAAGATATCTAAAAGTGCATGATCCTTTTCATTGAATCGATTCTCATTGCTCAACACTACCTCCTCCACGTAATCTCAACTCGAGATGAATGGTTGAATCTTTTTGCAAGTTATAATCAGAAACAGTTCTTCCGTCTTCCAATTGCTTTCCAGCATAGATTAAACATTGTTGATCTACTGGAATTTTTCCTTATCTGTGATTTTTTCAATCGAGTCGTTGGACTCGACCTCCAATGTGATGGTTCTACCAGTGAGTGTCTTGACGAATAATTGCATGAATTTTTCTTTTTTGTTGTGACAAAGGATGGAGTGAATGGTTTAATAATGAATTTTTTTCACATGCACGAACCTTAGGTTACTAAAAATATCACTTGGTCAGTAAAGAACTTTTCTACAGTTTTAACAGATTATTCCATTAATTTAATGAAGAAAGATGTTGCACACGTCAATATTTGTCACATGTTCAAAATCAAAGGTATTTCAATCCCTTTATCCAGATTTTACGTTGGTAACCTATCCAAACATAATACACATTTGTTATAGATGCAGGTGCTCTAGTCACCAACAAATTTGAGTGCTGCTATATATTCTCCTAAACTAAAGTTTGCCTCTTTGAGATCTCTTTCTTGGCTGCACTGATCTGTAGATAAAGTTGGCAAGTCTCTACTGCCCTTTCCAAATAAAAATGCTTTGTAATAAGGTACCAAATTTGCAGGAAAGTATTTCTCTTGTGCGGATTTATGATGAATCAATATCACTCGTTCATAGTGTTTGTGTTTGGTTAATGCTTCCATATCTGTTTCTCTGATTGTTGTGGTCGTTATCATTACGAAATATACTTCCACTTTTTCTTGACCAAACTGTTCAACTGCCTTATCTGCAAACTGGTTGTGGTTCAACCAATCAACAACGCTCAGTTTACTTTGGAGATCATAATTCCTGTGCTGGAGAAGGAAAATGCAAGTTTGTCCAGTAGTGGTGATTAAAGAAAAATGAGCATCAACAGAAGGATGCGTGTTTGAAATATCCTCTACGCGACGGCAACTTTAGCTGGCAAGTAATACATAAACCTACTTCTGTTCTCTCCTTATGTGATATCATTCTCTTCTATTGTTTGCTAAGATATCGTTTATGCATTTGTTGTGGACTTTTAATGTGATTGGATGGCAATAAAAGGAAAATGCCGCCAACACCCCTTTTTTACCGTTATCAAAAAAAAGTCAACATCATTAAGTAGAGGTATTATAATTCAACAACCGCACCCTATGACCGATAAACAACCTTCTGATGTCACCATAGACTTGATAAACCAGGTGATAGAAACAAACTCTGGTAGAGGGTTTGGTCCTGGACATTTTGAAGGCTTTCAAAACGATTCCGAACACAATTCTTTTGGGTGTCAAGGACATGGAAACCACTTGAACAGTCTTACACCTCTTCGTTGTGTTGAGCAATACTTGCCTGATCATTTGATAAAACATATTATTCACTTGTCCAATGATCCTACTATTCCTTGTACTACTGAAGATCCTGAACCCTCAGACCATATCAAAGCTTGGTACACCTCGCCACCAGCTGATAATGAGCACAATGATGATGATTCACATGATGACGAAGACACTATCATTCCATGTTCGAGTCAAGAATCTGAAGATGAACAGGATGACTCTTCCTCTGCAACACACACAGCAAATATCACCGTGTCTGACCTATACCTATATTTGGCAACTGTTATTGCCATCATGCTTGCTCCTCAACCTGAGCTCACAGATTACTTCTCAACAAGTGTATTCTTTGGTAACGAATTCATAAAAAGTATTTGGAGTGGCAGAGATCATTTCCTTTCAGTTCATAGAAGTATTCGTGTCAACCCTCACTATTTTACCAGAGTGTTCAATCAAATTTCTTTGATAATTTGGAAACCCTTCCCGAACGTCACAGTTGATGAAACATTGATACAATTCACGGGCAGATTTAAATTTAAACAACACATCAAAGGAAAACCTGAAGACACTGGTATTAAGTTTTATATGATGGCCGACGACTTGTGGTTCGTGATAAGGTTGTGGCCTTACACAGGTCATCAACCACAAGTTCATATCTTAGTGATGGATTTTGTTTCCTTCTTACCTTCTCATGAGTACAATATTTGCACTGATTCCTACTTTGGCCACCACAAGACGGCCCTACTATTGAATTACCACAAATTCCGGTTTACGATGATTTGTCCCAAAAACAGATTAGAAGAAGAATGCAAAAACTTACTCTCAAGGTATACATTATCAAAAGGTGAATGGATTGGTGTCACTAATGGAGATTATGTCGCAATTCATTACAAAGACAAAAAACAAATTACTTTTCTTTCCAACATGGTTACTTTGAAGAAAAGCAAGAACAAGAAGAAAGGAGCTCCTAAAGTAAAAGAGCTCTATGAGAAGAAGCATGTGAACGTAGATGTGGCTGATAGATATGCACATATGTATCCCGGTTGCCATCGGGTCAACAAGTGGACTCAAGCAGCATGGATGGGAATTTTCCGAATTGTACTCGCAAATTCATGGATTTTCTATAAGAAAGCCAAAAACACTGATATTGATTACAAATCATTCCTGATGAGAGTGGCTGTCGGATTTGCCCAAAAAGCAGGTGCTGATCTTGATGATGAAGGAAAAAAACTATATGATGTTCATATGATTCAAAGAGTGCATGATCGTCATGGCCATCATTGCCATCATTGCAATAAGTATCCAACACACACAAAGTGCTCACAATGTGATGAGTGGGTATGTGAGCAATGTGTTAATTGTGGTTGCCAGAATCCAAAACGATCACACACAAAATAACACCAATAAATTCGTTTTTACATATTTTTTTTCATCCGTCGCGTAGAGGATATGAGTACACTTCTGCTGGTTGTCTCTTGCATTTAGAGCAGTCAACTGTTACATAATCTGTTTCTCTTAATTTTGTAATAAATGTTCCGTGGTCTACGATTTTGAACAGGTCTGTTGGCAACTCAAACGCGAAACCATTCTTATCTCCTGTTTCACATGACGGAAACAAGCTTTCAATTTCAACAGAATTTCCAAGTTGCTGCAATATTTGCAGTCTGTAACAAAGGCATTTTAAGTCAATTCTCTCAAAATTTCTTGGATCAAGTTCAGTTATATTTTTCGGTAATCTTTTTGATAAATATGTATCTCCTTTGATAAGTTGCCGAAAATAGAATGGAGCAATGTATAAATGTCCTTCTGCATTTTCATCGTAAGTGAGATATATCTTCCCTGCTGAGGGCCCTTTCAAACCTGCAGCCGCAGCAAACAGCCGAAAAGGACGGCTGCCAGCTCCTGCTGACTTCCCAAACTTTGTGGAAATCCAGAATCCTCCAGAATCCGGATGTTTGTGGATTTTGGCGGTTGTTTTTGGCTTTAAAACGAAAAAAATTTTGAACAATAAAAAAATGCAAAACAACAACAGCAACAACAACAATTCCGAACAAGCTTTGGCATGTTATCCTTGAACGAAATGAATTCAAATGTGGAGCTAGACAACCAATCCACATCAACTTACACCCACGAAATGAATTCTGATCTTCATCTTCTCTATGACTATCTTACCGATATAAAATTCACACCATCAGACATCAATTCAGTAATTCGTATTTTTGAAGAAAATGCTATCAGAAGTATTGCTGTTCTAAATTTATTTGATGATGAAGAGATCATGTCATTTGCACTTCCAAAATCCATCATCAAAGCAGTGATTTCTTTCCGAATGCAATCCGAAAATGATAAATCCAAACCAAAGATTTCACGTAAAAACAAGATTATGACTGAAGATGATGTCAAACAAATGTTCATAACAAAAGAGCTTGAATGGAATCAAAAATTCGCAAAACATAACATTGAAGTGAAATTTTTCTCCACAAAGGGCAAATATTACTGCCCCATTCGTGATAACTATTTTACACTACCACCTAATGCAAAAATTAGTAATGCATCGAGTACATATAAGGGTTTATCACGAAAAACTTCATCTATTTCAATTGAAAAATCCAAAATAATTGCTCGTCTAGCTAAATTTTATGAAGCAACTAAATCTTTGAATGAAAAGCAAGCAAAATCTGTAGCAGAAAAAGCATTATTGAATTATGATTTAATTGAGGAACTAAAGAAATGGGAGAGCTCTCCTGAAGGTAAAAAACGAAAATTTGTGGAATCGTTCGCATCTTCCTCAAAGAAAAAGAAACAAATCAATGATGAAGACAACGATAACAATACCGACATCGAAGATGATAATGAGTCAATTTATACTTCGACTTCAAGGTAGATAAATTGTCAATTTATCCATTATTGTTGTTATTAACTATCATTCAATAACTCATTATAGAACCCAATTACACGCGCACAAATATGAAGTATTGCAGAGCCTGGTATTAGAAAAAGATGATAATACTTCTCATGAAATTCTTAATAATATCACAGATCTATTGAACACTCCTATTCAATCTCTCTCGACAATACAACTAACAAAAATTGAAATGATTGAAAATATTCTCAAACAGCGACCAAGATTCTCTCAAGAAGTGACAGCTGCTTTAAATTTTGCTCACCATCACCAAAATCCATCAAAAGCATTTAAAACGATAGGAATCCCTCTCCCGAGTACACAGACCTTGAAAAGAAATAGAATGGTGTTGATGAATAGTTTTTTGGATGATTTATTGGATGATGCATTAACCTTTTTCAATATTCAAAATAATTGTCATATTGGGTGTTTAAGTATTGACGCTACCGCCATTAATCAAGAAATCACCATTAATCACCAAAAAAACATGATTTTTGGATTTGAAGAACACATTTCAATAACACACATAGAAGACTGGCAAGAATTTCTGAAAGGTATTGGAGAAAATCGCTTCACCTATGCTTCAAATATGGTTACCATACACCTCTCATCGTGCACGGATTGGAAAAACACCAATGCCTTTATTTTGAAAGCTATACCACGGTCTAATTATACATCCTTAAACATCCAAGCATGGATTGATCCAATTGTGGATTATTTGAAACAGAGGAATTTTGAAATTTATAATATTTCAGCAGATTTTGCTGCAGAACATGCCACTTTTTTTGGTCAACAATTTGAGCTAATGTTTGGATTTTCTCAGACTGTATTTAAACCATTACCATTCTTAAACATTGGTGACCAATATTTGAAAGAAGTGTTGATCCCTATTCCAGATATACGTCACCTCCAAAGAAACCTGACGAATCAATTAATTTCTCCCAAAAGATTGATTACAGTTGGTACATTCGCATGCTGCTTCAATGACATTTCTGATTTACATTCTAATGATATTTCAACAACTCGAATCTCTTTTCCAAATGATTTTTTTAATCTCAACAATAAGCAAAACCAAGAAAGAGCAGATTTTTTAATATCAGATTTATGTATTACTGCTTTGAAAAAGAACATGGATGCTTTTGGTATGGTGTATATCTTGCAAGCCATTCAAGATGTTACAATGTCCATCAAAAGAAAAGATTTGAACTCATTTCAACGTTTGAGGCTTGTATGTAGAGGTGGTTGGTTTCTCTTGCTTCAAGCACATTTCGCAATTTTTCAAAACAATTATGGATCCGATCATACATTTAGTAGACAATCTATTAATGCTGTGTGCTATTTAATGATCGGTTTGTGTTTGACAATGTATAGAGTTCAATCATCATCCAACAACAGAGTATTTTTGCCTTTTCAACTGCAAGAATATATGATCGAGAATTTTTATGGAGTGGCTCGACAACATTGTGGCTCTAACACCAATCTGAACGCTGAAAATTTCTTGAATGCTCTCAATAATTTTTTAAGTGCCTTAATTGTTGGATTACAATTCAACAAAGAGAAAGATCAATCCACAAGATTACCATATGAGTATTATTGTTGCTTCCCATCACCAGAACATATTAATTATATTGTTATTGGTGAATTTGAAAGAGCATGTCGTACTTTTGCCATGCTTGCAGACTGTTGTGAATGAAGCAGATTGCAGATTGATAGACGTTTCTAAAGATTTTACACAATATTATGAGGAATTTCCAAGAACCGTCATTGTGGAGAACGGTTTTTTAGTAAGCAAAATAAACTGATCACCTGATCGAAATCCTATCTCAGCCGCAAAAATCCTGTTTCAACCGGATGCCAAAGGATTCTGTTGATTGCATCTGAAAATAATTTCGGCAGCGAGGACTATCCTGGCTGAATGGCTGTTTGCTGTGGCTGCAGGTTTGAAAGGGCCCTCCCCATGATCTAATTTCCACATTGGCCAGCTCTTCTCCATTTGTTTCAAGTGCAGTTTTTAGTAACTCTCTCAAAGTTTTTGCTCCTCCATTCCAGAAAAATTTCAAGAGATTGATCATGATCAGGTTTGGAGAAAGAACTTTTGCAATATTGAGATAGGTAAGTAAAAATTGTGTAAACAACTTGTCCCTCCCATCTTTTAGGATAACGTATTCTTGATATTTTAACGAAAAGTGCTTTGCAAATTTTAGATGTGATTGGCAGAACCATTTTCTTGAGACTTGCAAGATGATAGCATATGTGAGTTTTACCTTTTTTGAGAATAATCTAACATTAGTATTACAAAAAACGATTGACCTCCCAACTTACCTGTTCCAGGGGCTTCAATTAAAACGGCCACGTTTTTATGGATCTTGACTTTTAAATAATGAGTTGGCAATACCATCATACTTGTCACTCGGAAATGTTGCAGCTAGATCACAAGAAATGTACTGCGAGGATTTTGATTCTTCTAAACAGCTATTGTCCATGTCCAACACCAAAATAGGAGAAGATAAGTTCTCACAACCAATACTTCTCATTCTTTCATTGAATAAATCCAGGTTAAGTTTCCTATTCAATTCTAATGACTGTCATGATTCCTGAAAAATTAAGGTTAATGGGAAAAGGACTTGAACCAGTTCATCTGGGATATGAATAGTGGATTACAGATAATCAATATTGCTTTCAGTACTGAAATCATTGTTAATTCTCTTGTTTTCATGGACGGGATGCCTGTCAGGAATATGACGACTCTCCCGCTACAACCTTTGGTTAGTGAGGTACAAGAAATCAGGACGATTCTTGAAGTTCTGGTTGGGGGTTTCAAGTCTAGCTCAGCCCAGTTTTGTTTTATGGCTCCTGTGCAAGTCGTTTGAATCTCAAAATGTTGTGGTTCGGGCAACATTAATTAAAATCATATATTGAAAGTTCATTTGGTTGTCAACCAAACAACTTGCCACTGCAAGACTCAAAAAATGATGAAGCGAATCAAAGACAAGGGTTGTGAAGGGCAATTTTCGACCAGTCCAAGTTGTTTCGATCAATCATATCAATTCCTCCCGGATCATGTGAAATCCGAACTATCAATTGAGGATTTTCATGAAACTAGTCAAATCAGCGCTTCAACACAAAAAGAAACGAAAATTGAACATGCATTCACACACACCACGAATTTCATGTGATATTATTCAAGCTCATATTTTACCACTTCTTCCGTTGGAATACATTTTGGAAGGATCCCTCTTTCTCGTGTGTCAAGAATTTTATGAACAATTATTTCATAATGAGCAAGTGTGGTCTGAATTGTTTGCAAGATTATGTCTTGGTATGATGGAACATGGAACTTGTAATGCTTTCAAAACAACCATGACTCATGATTTTAATAGCTGTGATTGCACCATGACCGTGAAAATACCATCGAGCAATTCGGATGAAAAGAAGAAAAAACACCATGCCAAACAGGATTTCAAACAGAATTCTTCATCCAAAATTAGAACAATTACTCATGATGAAAAGATTGGCAAGTTGTTGAACAAGTTGAACGTGGACTGGAAATATCTGAGAACGTTTTGTTTATTGAAATTTCACTCATTCCACCAAAGCCAACAAGACTCAAAGAATGGATATCCCTTTTCATATATGGTCATGACGTATACAGTGAATGATGCCGATGTACCAATAATATGACATTTCTACAACAACAGCCATCAACACTTAATGATCAAATTTATTGTCGTTACACAAATTCCAAGCAAACACCTCAGTATTATGGTCAGTGTTGTGAATCAGAGCGTGGAGCTACCTTAAAATTTGCAGCGATTGATTTTGAGATGGATTACTTTTTTGTAAAAGGACTTCAAGAAGATTGTAATTATTCCATTGGTTGTTTGACATTTCATTTTCAAGGTTCGGCCCAGGCAAAAACGAAATCCAGAACACATTCACTTACGATTACTGCCAAGAACAGCTTGTTGTTAGAGCATGACTCAAAACAATCACACATTGAAAATCGCAGTAGACACACCTCAAAAGAGATTGTACTCACTCAATGTAAAGACTCTGAGTATTCTCGACATGAGCAAATTGCAACGTGGATGGATTGGATGGGAGAAGAACATGACAATGATCCAGAATTTGATTATTCGTACTGGTTCTGGGAATTTTTGGACACATTGATTTCGGATCATCAACTTCTCCCTCTAGCTATCGATGATCCTGATTTTGAAATGAATCAACAGTTTGAGCAGTAATGTCGCTCAAGCCAATGAAGAAGGAACCATTTAAAAATAAAAGGCAAGAAGATTCTACCATTTATCTCGTGTTAAGGTTATGTAGATGTGCTTAAATATTTCAAAAGCTCTATTTTAACAAGACAAAAAAGGCTACAGCACTGCAGGTTCCCAAGTTGTCTCCAACCTCAGTACTGATGCAGCTCGACGATGCTTAACTTCTCAAATCGGACGGGATGAGGTGCATTCATCGTGATATGGCCGTAGCCATTCGTTTAGGGTTAAGCATAGTTACGGACCTTAAACTATGTAACTTAGAACAACACAAACGCTACCAAGTTCTTCATACTCGAACCGTCGTGTAATGATTTACCACATGAGTTTTTAAGGACTTTCACAAAAAGATGGATTTACCACGCATCAATTTTTATTCACTACTTTCTTTTCTTTCTTGAGGATGATGATGAAGAAGAAGCTGGAGAGGTTTTTCTTTTTTGACTCGATGGAGCTCTTTCAATTTCATATTTGAATCCAAAATGCAAGAATCCTCCCACACCATTGGCCAACAAGTTGGTTCTAAAGTTAACCAATTTGGGATCATTAAACCCATACTCTATGGTTTCGTAATGTTGTGGAAGGTCACTTGTAAATTTATCATCTGCTACTGGCAAAATCTTGTCAACGGCTTGCATAAAGTAAGTCTCAATTGCTGTTGCATAATTGGAAACAATATAATTATATCCATCCCGTGAATAAATCTTATTCTTATCGATCACACTGGTCTTGCCATCCCAACAACCCACTCTTCCCTTATTCTTCGAAAAGAATTCGACTTTGAACTGACTTTCGAAATTGGAATTTGCAGAAGGATTCTTCTTATTAATCTCATGGTCAATGGTTCTGAGTGATTCGATAAAACGTTCGACATCTTCAACACATACATCGACACTTTCATGGTCGAGAATGTCTTGTATGTGTTCAAGCTCACTAATGTCGTGTTTGTAAATGGCCTTTCTTCTCTCTTGGATGAATTTTTTGATCACTTGGGTCATTTGCTCTTCGTCAAGAGCATTAATTTCATTGTAGATAATGGATTCAGCACTTCTCAAATATCGAATAAGAGTCCACTCGTTCGAAACATACTCTTTCAATGGGTAACTCACATATTCATAAACTCTCTTCAATTGTTGTCTAACCACATGGATCATTGGAAATTTCATATAATTTGCCAAGTGAAACATGGCATTCATGAGAGAGCCTTCAGAGTACAAACCATTCTCAACATGGACTCTCAAAATTCTCACCTGATGGTGAGGCTTGTCGTAATTTTTGACAGAGTCAATGATCATACATTCAAGTTGAACTGGTGCTACAATAATGACTAAGGACTCTGAGGAATATTGTTCCCAAATGTTACTCAACGCAAAGTGTGAAACAATTCCATCCAGAGAGATGAAAAAGACTGGAGCCACTCTTGTTTTTTGATTGTGATCAAGCAACACTTTGGAAGGTTTCAAATTCTTGAATGTCTCGAATTCATCTTGCTGAACGTTACTAATATCCACTTGAAGGTTTTTCTTGAGAGAGATTTGAATCACTGAAGAAACCACAGGCAAACCATTGGTTACATTACGAATAGTAACCGCTGACTTGTCTCTTCTATACTGATACCTATTCTTGACAACGCTGTCCGAGTAGGTGACAATCCTGTCAGAAACCATGGCATTGACATTCACATAATTATTAACCTTTGGCAACTTGAGAACGTTTGAACTGATGAGATCTCGTTTCACGGCGCAGAAGTTGTTATTGAACTTTTCTTCATAATGGGTGTGTCTAGTATTAATAAACGAGAAAAAGAGGTCTTTTAACTCTTCCTTAATCTCTGACGCAAGAACAATATGATCTGGATGATTCAAGTCAAACAGAGGAAGGACTGCATCTGAAAATCTGTTCACATCTGTTGTTTGGTTGCCTGTAGATTCTACATTTAAATACTTCCTGGCAATTGCCTTAATATATTCTTCCAAGAGGCGTAAGTGAGTGATGATCAGTTTTGTACGTTTTTCATTGCCGTCAATATCAACTTTTGAAACTAAAAATTCATCTTTGAGCAATTTTCCTATGGCTCTCTTTGGACTTTGATTCTTTTTCGCCTTCTGTTTAAAACCCTTGACAATGTTGTTCACAACTTGGTGACACTCATTCATAATTTCATCAACTTCGTCTTTCTTGTTCATGGTCGTTTGGTATTTTGTTTTGGCCATGATTCTTGGAATGCAGATTAAAGCCAATTCTCTAATATTCTGTGTCAATCTGTTCATGTAAATGAGTCGATCTTTCTTTAACATCAATTTGAAACATTGTTTGGTATATTCGAATTCCTGTTTGACATTTTTAGAGTTCATGTTTGGAATTGGAAAAGTCATGAACTGTTCCACCAAAAACTCGAGCACATTCTTCTTGGATTCCACAAAGTGAATTTGGCCATTCACTGGTTTCTCATGAGTCCCTCTTGGAAGATCATCAAACTTGTAATCAAAGAAATCAGAGAGATAGTTCTTGAAAGTTCTATTAATTGGTTCCTTTGTTTTTGCTGATAGACATTCTAAAAATTCATTGGTTGCATTCTTTTCAGAGATGGATCGTCCTCCATAGCAATAACAGAAAGTTTTTGGATTTCTTTGAATGTCTGGATCTGAGAAGATTTTCCCCATCAACTCAAAGTAATCCGTTGGAAGTTCTGCTCGTAAGCCGTTTGGAAAGATCAAGATACGATCGGCGAGTGTTCCTGCCTCAATGGCCAATCTCTCAAATAGCTTGCTATGGGCACCACTGTTGAGACCAGGAGCGTCAATCAACTCAAAGTTCCAGTCTTTCATAATTGGAATTGGTGCAGTAACTTTGATCATCTTGACACGATACATGTCATTGTCGGTCATTGCTTTCAGTTTGTTGCTCATCTCTTTGACTAGCTTGTCCAAACTTGGAAAAGTCTTTGTTTCAGCAACAACAACACCAGCACAGGAGAGGCCAACAACAGGATCCACATGCATGACTCGACAACGTTGTTCAAATTCATCGTCATTGCACAAGACCGTTTCCATCGAAAAAGAGTCTCCATGACGCAATTGAAACAACACTGTCGTCACATGCTCCAAGCCAGAAGCACTTGGAAGAATGTCAAGTCCTACCAAACGGTTGATGAAAGTACTCTTTCCCATACCAGCATTGCCAACAAAGGTAACAATGGTTGGTCTTGGTTTGAGCTGCTCTTTGCTGATGAGATCTTGCATGGAGGCTACAGCTTGTAAAACATTCACATGGCAAGTTTTTTGATTCACATCTTCGAGAGTTTGTTTCAAGGAAACAATTTCTTGAACGTTCTTGACTTGTTGATCAAAGAGAGTGTTGATGGCTTGATCAAGCTCGTTCACTTGTTTCTTTGTGGTTTCAACGTGATGAGAGAGTGTCATGGTGTGAGATGATTGGTGATGATTATTATGATTTACAAAGTTGTTGTTGTTGTTGTTGTTTTTTTTTTGAATTGGTTTCGGTACACCCCTTGCAAAAGCGACTCTTTATCGTTTCAGAGGGAAGAACGTGCAATTTGACAAAAATTTTTGCAAAATGGATACAAACGAGGTTTGCAAGTGTAACATTCGAACTCGAGTTCCAATGTATCATGGTCGAAGGAAACGTCTATCAAAAAATTATGAAACAGCTAGAATGGAGGTACAATGTTGATATATTATATGACCTATCTATACAAAGCAACAGTGAAGCTGCTTTTAATTGTGTTGATGAATGGACAGCCCAACCAACAAGCTCGATTATTGCTCATAAATTATTCATCGACACTTTTGTTCGATACCACAAATCGAGCTCGTTCTTTCAATATTCGAACCTTTTCTTCATGGCTGAATTGGTTTCTTGTCAACTGCTTGTTCTCACTACCATCCGTTATTGTGAATTCCTCTCCCTCGTCCCAACATTCTGCAATCGCATCAAAATTTCCCAATAAGAGCCAAATCAATAATTGCGCTTCCACACAATTTTTAAAGACACTTCCCAATCGATACAATTCCTTATTCTTTTCATAATGAGAATGAGCATCTTTCCAATGAATTTGACGATAATTGAAATGATGAATCACGTGGTAATCTTCTCCCCATACGTTGTCAGTACTATTCACAATGGTTATGGAATTAACATGAGGATTGGTGGGATCTTTTGGATCCACAAACGCATGCCAAATGAATGCATTTGTTCCAACAAAGTAAATGGCTTCGATTTGTGGCATGATCATAAACCAATAAGTGAATGAAAATCCCATCCAATACCAACACGTGGCAGTCCAAAAATAGTAATAGACGAAACCAATGACAAGATGGAATACTTTTCGATAATCTTGTCGTTTCATGAAATAGATCATTGGTGTGAGATTATTCCAAAACAATGCAAATCGAGTCATGTAAATGAGAATACTGAGCCATAGAGTTCGATCCAAATCCATCGTTGTGTGAACATCCTCCAATGAATTGTGATGCACATGATGAATCTTGTTGTGTGAAATGAAATACGATCCAGGAATGTGACCATTGAAAATTCCCAGAAACCATTGTCCAATGTTGTGATTGAACAGTGATGCGATGGGAATGTATGAAAATAATTGTTCTTTGGTCCATTTCTGCTGAGAAGAGTGATTGTCCCGTGATGAGGAATTGGATAAAGCAGGTTTGTTGCTCGATGAAATACTCTCTTGATCAACACATGAAGAATCATCATCTCGAGTAAAGTTTTTGAAAAAACCACCTTTGGGACAGTGACCTTCTTTGTGTAAAAACACATGCAAATGAGTCAATAATCGAAAGGAAGGACCAATTCGACACCAATGATACAGAACCACTGTGGTCCAATCCAATCCATAATGATAGCTTGTCAAGTGGTCATCGACGTTGTGAGTGAGGCATGTGGATGACAAGAGTCATTTCGTGAAAAACATGAAACCTACCATCGATAAGCTGCGGCAATAAAGATCAACGGATACCAAATACATGTGGCCACTACGAATATAAAGTAGCCAAAATCTCTTGGATCTCTCAAAAAGTGTTTCGTTACATATGCATCCAGTTGATGATACATGGACATGATACGATTGTGTATCTTGTTGCATGTTGGACTCGACACACAACAGTAGCTCCATGCTATATCTACACACCAATAGGAGAGGAAAGAAATACCGAGAATGAACAAGCTTGGAAGACTTTGAATGGCCAATACAAGACCAACAGCAGCAACCAAGTATGAATTTCCATGTGGATATGAAAAGGTGGCCATGGCCATGGCTAATGTGTGTGTTTGTTTTCTTTAAAGAGAATAATTTAATACAGGCTGTTTTAACAATGATAAACTTCAAGTGGGAATTTCATCGTATAACGTGGTTCTAATGAACCTGGTTTGTTCTACTGTGACTCGGGTTAGTAGTACCATGTACTCGTAGGCTTTCCACGATTGAATTAGAATTTAAATCAAGCAGAATTTCATTGGTTATATTTGATAACGTTGAGAACCCACACAATCCATGTGATGGAAACAGTCATGTTCTAAACTCAAAGCGTAAGGCCGACTTGACGGGATTCTAAATCAGTCCTTGTACTGCTGGGCGAAATGGAAGTGACCGTGGTTCCTATCTTTCCTGATTCAGTGACCACTGACGGCTATCGATCAAAAGTTTAATGACAGTTCACGGAAGCAGAAACATTCATGATCTATGTTAGCCCACTACAGAAACTCGTTGCTGTGGTGGAAATTTCATCACCCCTTATCTTTGTTTAAGGCTGTTTTTTTCGAAAAGTGTTTTTTCATGATTTACAGGTGGAAAATTGAAAACGGTTAAAAACCTCGTTACAAAAAAAATGGTTTGGAAACAAAAGGTGATTTCCATCACAGCTCCAAAACGAGGCTTTCATCTTGTAACAGAAAAAGTACTCTCGCATATTCAATCGGAATTATCGAATATAAAAATTGGATTGTGTAATCTTTTCATTCAACATACTTCGGCTTCATTGACTGTTAATGAAAATTATGATCCATCTGTTCGGCATGATCTAGAGGAATCATTTAATCGATTGGTAAGCTTATTGGAGATGTAAAATTCACCCGAACGAGAGATGAAAATTTACTTTCGATTCTCTGATGTATATAAATTTACGAAATTTCTAATTTTTCTCATTATTGAAAATCATTTACTAATAATAATTTTCGCATGATGTTATGCAATGGCTCCTGAAAATCAACCCTATTATCAACACACATTGGAAGGAAGCGATGATATGCCTGCTCATTTGAAAACAGTGCTCATAGGTCCATCCATTACGATACCAATAACCAATGGAAAATTATCACTAGGAACATGGCAAGGGATTTATTTATGTGAACACCGAAATGAGCCTACTGCAAGAAAAATTGTTGTTACCATTCAAGGCGAATAAGATTGCCTGTGTTTGGTTGTATTAGTAACAAATTAATTTATTTACACAAGTAAGCTTAATAGTTCAATTCAAATTGGTTTACATAATACTTTTGAACGAATTCTTTTGGATTATCCCCGAGAACAGAGTGTCCAGCATTGTCAATTTCAATCAATGTACATAAATGCAACGAAGAATTCGAGAGAACTTGATACAATTTTTCTAATTGCTCTCTTGTTGTGACCTGACTTTGAGCTCCTTTTACAATGCAAATACTTAATGGAATACTTGCTTGTGCTGTGTAAATTCTCAAATTTTCCCAAAGCTCTTGTCTCATATTTACCTGTGGATTCTCGTCTGCAATTCTGTCGATGCTAAACGTTGGATCATATTTCCATGTCCACTTTCGGGTGATTTGATTTTGTTTTAACGAATATTGCAATCTCTTTCTAAGATTTTCAACACTTCTTCGGGGATTATATTTTTGTGCCCAATTAAGAAACTCTTCAAACGTATCAAATTCAAGCGTTGCTTGTACTTGTTGCGTCACATGAGAGGTTCCTGTTGCGTTCTTGTTCGAATTTTCTTCAGCCTGTTTCACAGGTATTTGATCTGGTGAAATATCTATCAAGGATAAGTTGTGGAGTTTGTTAGAAAATTTTACATAAAATTCATCATTGGGAGATGTATAAAGAGATGTTAAAAACGTATTCATCAAAATAATTCCTCCCAAACTCATTCCAATAAATGATATTTTGAACTCGTCCTTGGAAAGATCCATCTTTTCAAAATACTTGGAGACGAATTGTTTCAAGTCGCTCACAAATCCTTTCATCACATATTGGTTTGGGGTGTGTTGAGTATCACCGTGACCTCTCAAATCCATTGCAATAAATCGTATATTGAAGGGTGTTTTCAAATTTTGGAATGACTCTTTACATTCTTCTACAAAGTCGTCAAATGTATGACATGTTTGAAAGGATCCATGCAACATGAATATATAATGATCATAAATCTTTTCATGATTTAATTTCAAACTCGATGACTCTCCGTAACATGAATTCCATTCAATATAATGTACTTGAAGCGGAGAAGAATCGATTGAATTTTCAATCATCATGACATGATCCGTCGGTTCATTCACACTCTCGGTTGGTTCATGAATGGACATTTTTTTTCTTATCAGTTCCTACTAACGGAAATCTTCATCAACGTTGATTACAGAAATATTGTGGTCAAGTGTACGATGATCATCACGATTGCAATCATTATCATGTCGTGATTTTCCTTTTTGCTCACGCCATGATTTTTCAGTAACGGTAACGGAGGCTCACCCATCGCAGCTCTCAAATATTGTTCAATCCAGCTCCTATAAGGTAAAATATTCGTATAGACACTCCTCTTTGTTCTATTCCCACACATATTGGCCAATCCAAAGCTAGTAACTCCAATCAATATAGGTGTCATCCTTCTACTTCTGTTGCTACTCTGAACATTTTTTTCACTTGAATAGGCAATTAAGGGACCTCCTGAATCTCCCTTACTGTTGTGTTTCCGTTGAAAAGTACACAGCAATGGAAACAACGAAAGAATTACATTGTTTGGTTGTTCATATGTCATTGGAATTTCACTTACCATGAAGAAATACCGTTGCCGTCACCAACACAAAATTGATGATGAGGCTCCCGAATGGTGAGTCCACTCCGATTACAGAATTCACTTCTTGTTACGTTGACTTGGGCTTTTCTAAGTTGATAATTCCTTCGGAACGATCCATTAATACGACCATAGCCAACAATTTCAAGTATATTGGCATTCCAGTGTGAAATGTTTGAAGCTGATATTTGTTGATCTTGCCAGTCTTGATCCATTTCAATAACGTTCACTTTTGAATTTGCTGAGGATGTCAAATCCAGTGGTTCTTTCAAAAACAACAGAGCTAAATCATTGGTCATTTTCGTGACAGAGAATGAGGGATGCACTTGCATTCTCTCAATTTCCGCTTCCATACATGGAGACGGTGATGTGTTTTGTTTTCCCTTCTTGAGTAAAGTCGAAATAGAATCATGAGAAGATGATTGTGATGGAGGCGCCAAAGACGGTTCTCCATTCGATTCAGGAAAAGAAATTGGTGGGATGATTGGTATTTGAGGTGGAACTGGTGGTTGTATGGAAATTGGTGGAGACGTAGGTGGTTCCTGAGGAGGAGAAGTCGATGGAGAATCGTCCAAACATTTTCGTAAATCATCTTGTCCAAACACTGCTCGAATTCTACTAAGATCCAACGGTGTTTCCAAATCATCGTAAAAACAGCAATGAGCTGCAGTGAGAATGACTCGAGAGTTGAGAAGCGAACCGCCACAGAAATGACGACCCTGACTTTGTAATGAAACCATAAAGGGATAGTTTTGAATGGACGCTAATTCACCACCCATGATGAGCGAGGAGCATGAAATGAAATTCATTTCTGTTTTCAACGAGCACATCAGCAACATCAAGGTAGTTACCGAAAATATCAAGATTATGGTATCATTCTCTCTCTGTCTGGCACGAGTGGTGAGGTGATGCATTTTATTGTGTGTGAGTTGAGTGTGTATATCAGTGAATTAAAGATGATACGCGTTGGGTGTTGGAAGATATATCCCAATTAATGGAAAAGGTAAATGACTAAAATTGTGTTCAGATTAGGAACAACCCATAAATGTATAATTTCCATTGCAATGGATATGTACTTGTTTTATTTTACATTGTTCTTGTAGAATCCATTGAGTTCTTCTTGTATTCGCTCCCTATCCATGTCCATTTGTTGAAGTAACACTTGCATACGTTGAATTTCATGCTTCAAATTCTTTTCACGTTGCCTCAGACGAGTTTGGGTTTCGCTTTCATGAAGTAACAACTGTTCTTTTTCTTCCAATCGTTTCCTTAGAATATGTATTTCGTGATCCATTTCTATCATCCTCTTTTCTGTTTCTGCACTTTGATTTCTTTTCACTTGTTCGTTAGCGAGGGCCTTAGCCAATTGTTCCTTCGTGAGTTGAAGTTCCGATAACTGTTTCTTGTAGTGTTCATTTTCTGTCTGCAACACACCCACTTGTCTTCTCATGGTTGTGTTCAGATCTTGCAGGTCAATCGTCACGTGTTGAGCTGTTGAGAGTTTTTTCAATAGCATTTCCTTCTCTCGATCAAGCTCTACAAGTGAAACAGTCTTTGAGTGCAACTGGCTTGAGAGTTGATCGATTTGTTGCTGAGCGTTTTTCAATTGGATCAAGAATTTTTGATTTTCATCGTCTAGTTTTTTTGATCTATTTGACAGGTGAGCCATTTCATTGTTTTTAAGATCTAATTTCGTTCTTGCGTCTCCTAACTCTCTAGATAATTCTTCGAATTTATCTTTGATCATTAGATGCTCCTTATTGAGAGACTTGTAATTGAATAAAATGTCTTCGAGTTCATGGTCTTTGGCTTTCAAACGGTGTTCCATATTTACAAATTCTGACGTCACCTCCTCCAATTTCAGTCGTAGTTTATCTCTTTCCTCGATTGCCTTATTTAACTGTCCATGAAGATATTGGTTCTCTCCCGTAATTTGTTTAATATCTTCACCTGCGTGAACAATCTCTTTCGATTTAAATTCAAAATCCGTTTTGATCCTATTATATTCTTTCTGAAGGAGTTCTGTTTGTTCCTTCATATTTGTGACAGCTCTCTCTTTTTCTTTGAGCTGTTGTAATTGTTGTTGAACAGTTAGATCCAATTGGTTAGATTTTGCTTTGTATTCTGCTAGCTCGTTAGTAACATCAGACAACTTCTTTTGGAGAGATGAAATAAGCTCATCCTTTTCATCAAGTTCCATACTTAACGAATCTTTGTTCGAGTCCATATCTTTGATAATACTTCTAAGTTTACCAATATGTTCTTCATGTTGAGATATTGTCTTCTCAAGGTTTGCAATTTTCAGTCGTTGTTCCTGCTCCAAAGAGGTGGCCTCGTTGGTTCTTCCGTTTAATTTTTGAACTTCTTGTTGCAAAGAGTCGATGGTGCTGCTTAAATTCTTTGCCAATATTTTCAACTTGGAAATGTCTCCTTCCTTTTGAGCTATCATTTGTTGAGATTGTGTGAGTTGGTCTTTAAGGGATTGTACTGCTTCATCGTTATGTCGCGTATGCTTGCTTATATCCACAAAGGTTCTCTTAGTTTCTCCTAGATCTTGAAGCAATGCGTTCCTTTCTGAGGTTAATTGATTGATTTGATTCCGCAGATCCTTGTTCTCCTTTTCCAGTTTCATGAGCTTCTCGTTTTCAAGCCTAATGTCATGAGCTGTCTCTAGTTGTGACCTTAAAAATTCAATTTGTTCCGTTAAGTTTTCAATTGTATTCATACCCGACTCGTATTCTCTTTCTGATTTGATAACGTCAACAGTCCTTCCTCCTCGTTCGTTGACCAGTTTTGATAACCTATCTATTTCTCTCAGAAGTCTATCGTTTTCCTGTGTTAGGGTATTCACTTTTGTTTCTTGTAATTGTTTTAAAGCTTGGTTGAGTTTATCGTTTTCCCTTCGCAACTGCTCATTCTGTGTTTCAGTAATCTTCATTAGATCAAACATTTGAGATTTTAATCCATTCGTTTGGAATTGAGGCATCTCAACTTGTTTGAGATATTCCGAGAATTTACTCTCCATTCGTTCTCGTCGATAGGCGGAATCTGTTTCTTTGTTTGAAGTTCCCGAATGAGAATACCATACATTTGTTTTAGCTAAATAGTTCTCCAATCGTTCTTTCAAATCATCACAAGTTTGTTCAATTTCCATATTCCGAGCCTCTACTTGTTGTTTAGCAAACAATATGTTTTGATTTTGTTGTTGAAGATTTCGAATTTGTTCCATGAGCTGTTGAGATTGGCTTCTGTAGGTCTCTTCTCGTTTAATCATCATTTGATGGAGCTCATTGTTTTCCCTCATGAGCCTCTTCTTCTCTTCAATCATGAGCTTGTATTCGTCCATTGCTGCAGATCTGTTGTTTTGATGTATTTTTTTGTTAGTGAATGCAGAGTCTTTCCCGCCAACTTTTAGTACAAACTAAACAATTGGCGGGTTGTGCTCGTTCCTTCCAGCCGACAATTCTTTCTTTACAAGATGGATTCAGATCTCTGTTGGTTTTAAAGCTGCATGCTTGTTCACGCTGACCTCATCAAAAAAAATGAAAGACACTTCACCTCCAATTCTTCCTCTTCAAGTTGTTCGTAATGGCACGCCTTCTCGGAAGGATCAACTCTCCGAAGAAGAAGAAGTAAATCTTCAACTTTATGGATGTCAATTAATTCAGGATGCTGGAATTTTATTGGAATTACCACAGACCACGATATCTAACGGTCAGATTATATTTCATCGGTTTTATATGAAGAAATCCATGAAAGAATTTTGTGTGAGACATGTAGCTATGGCTAGTCTTTTTATTAGTTGCAAAATTCAAGAAACTCATCGCTCCTTGTTTCATTATCTTCAAGTTTTCATTGATTTAATTTATCCCGAACTCTACTATATATCACCAGAGATTGTGGATTTGTTAAAATCACACTTGATTAGAACTGAAAGATATATTCTGGTTGAATTAGGATTTACATTCTATAACATTGAACTTCCTCATCAGTATATTTTGTTTGTCATGCACATTTTGGAAGGTCATGAAGATTTAACTCAAACTGCTTGGAATTATTGTAACGATGCATTGAGATCTTCTGTTTTGAGTCTCTCTACAAAACCACAAGTGATTGCATGCGGAGCTGTTTTCATGAGTGCAAAAGATCACACAAGAGCACTTCCCGAAAATCCACCTTGGTGGCAACTATTTAACACCACTCGTGAAGACTTGGAATTTGTTGAAACACATTTAAAAGAAATGTATTCAAGGCCAAAAGCTAGCTACAAGGATGTACTGAGAGAAAATTCTCCATCTCGCGTTGGGCTTGCTGACATTGAGAGTCAAATTGATAATAACAAAAAACTGAAAATAACAGAAGAAGCAAGAGAATCAAAAAGAAGAGGATATGAAGATCAAGGAATTCGCAATTATTACAATGCTGGGTCAAGCAGCGGATACAGCAGTAGCAGTAGTAGTAGCTATTCTGGACAAAGACCTCCACCCTCAAGCTCTAGAGGAGGGCATCGATACCAAAAACATGTCAGTGACCATAAGAGAAGATAAATAGCTTGTATTTGAATGGATATAATCGCTCCAACGAATCATTTCTACATACACCACTGTGAGTATCATCAAAGGATTTGCTGCCAACTATTATAATTTCTTTTTACAAATGAAATATTCAAATCCTGTATTATTCACCTTTCCTCTTTCTCCACATTAAATTGTGAATTCTCAATAGATTTATCTGTTTCACGAACCATGGAAGCACCAACGAGTGGCATTGTAATCAGTGTTACCAGACGTAAAAGCAAGTCATACCAGAAATGACCTGTCTTGAAATGCTCTACAAATATTGCTTTACCTCCTCGCTTTGGATGACAGTCTTCCAAATGATAATAACTAACGAATAAGTACTTACTTTTAACACTCGATAGGCCTCATCAAGTGTTTTCTTTTGGTCATCCACGCTACACATGACATCAATGCTTAGAATAACGTCAAATTGCTCATCGTTGAAAGGCATGGATTCACATGGACCTTGCACAAGATCAAATTTTTCGCTCTGTGATTTCAAATTTTCATCATTTTCAATTTTCTCTCTAGCCTTACTCAACATTCCATTTGACAAATCTATCATGCACACTTTTGAAATCTGATGAATATTCCAAATTTTTAACATGGTCATCATCCATAACATGGATCCGAATTTGATTGAATGGTACAACGTACCTTGTGTAGGGGATAAAAGGTTAAATTATGACCTGTTCCGACGGCCAAATCCAATACCTCTCCTTCTACCATGGGCACAAAACGCCTTCTCAATTGCGAAAGTGTATTCTTCTCGATAAAGGACAAGACATTGTCATAAAACGGAGCAATCAGATCGAATTTTTTAACACCAAATAACCATTCGATTAACGACATTTTTTATTGAAGTAATAAACCTTTTGTGAACAACATTTTTCCTCTTCCCAAGTAGAACAAGCACACAACTGAAACATAGTAAGGATATGGAGCCCAACAACCACTACAGTTGATCAAAAAGTCATTGACAGAATACAGCAGTATTTGAGGAAACTTTGGCGGTTAAAAATCGTTGCCAATTAAAAAAAATTGAACAACCTCAAAGAGATTAATTGGCTCTACAACAGTTGTGGAGATACTCATTAATTTTTACTGAACAATCGTATCACGATCACTAGGAAATAATTTGCAATGGCTCAAACATTTTCGGAGATGAACGGCCTTGCTGGAATTGACGGATCATCACCTAATCATTGGTGGTTTGGACAAAAGAAGAGCATTCGGGACGAAAGTGCTGCAACCACGGAAACGTTAGGACGAGGATTTCCATCGTTTTATACGAGCGAATTTCCTCCCATTGTTCACGGAGATACCACGAAAAAACATTTTTCTAGAAAATCTTCATCAGAAGAGATGACACAGAAACCTCAAATTAAAGTGATTGAAGAGCCTCAACCAAACTATAGAACCGTGAGAAAGAAGCTGGTTCCAGAGCCAGCTAATCCTGATGGTCAAAAAATCAAACGAAAAGCGAGAAATGAAGGTAAGTGAAAGATAATGTCTGTTGTCAACCACAATTTGATACCCATTGATCTCAGAAAACATTAATTGCAAATCTGATATTCAACAGCTCTTTGGTGTGCCTAAACCTAAGAAAATATATGATGACACTGGTCAGAGAATGTCGGAAAAAAGAGGCGATGAAATGTCACTAGAGTATTTTATTGGACGAAAAAACAATTCCTCAAATCCCTTAAAAGAAAGAACGACCATGTTAGAGTTTACAGGGAAGTCAGCAACGGTCATGTATCCATCTGTTCTTAATGTGCATTCCGATCATCCAAAGTATATACACCCAAGGTAAGTTGAATGTATAATAATGTATTGACAAGCTCACAATTGCACTGTAATTCCGTTACGTAAAGTGGAGAGCGAATTTGTGAAACCTTAAGTAAAACTACACGAAGCCTCATGGACAACAATGAAGAATTTTATCGAAGAATGAGAATGCAAGAAATTGAAGCAGAAAGAAAAAAGGATATTGAGCTAGTGCTTGAGCTAGACAAGTGGCTACCTCCATCTGTGAAAAGCAAACTGGATGAAGAGGAGCAAAAAGAAGCCCTTAGAGATCAACAACTCGAACAACGAAGGAAAAAGGTTTTGGGAATGCAACAAAAACAACCATCAAAGAATTCATCAGCAGCCAATACCCGACCTCAGAGTAGCAAGAAGAAGAAGTAAATACCATGTAAAAAACCTAGGAAAATATGTATTACTTTCTAAATAAAATCAAGCCATGCTCTGTAATTGACTTTCTTTGACACAGAATGCTTTGAACTGTTGTTGTGATTCTGTTGTTGTTCCTTTGTTGTTGTAGATTGTACAGGCAAAGATGGAGAGGCTGAGGATGTGGTGGTAGGAGTGACGATCAAGGAATTGGATGCTGTGGCTACATGATCGACTGGTTTAGCAAATTGAGGAAGCGATGGAGATGGTAATGGAGCTATGTTTTCCTTTTGAGACGAGTTGAGAGGACTCATCTTGATCTTCTTAGACGGAGTTTCCTCAATAACGTTTTCTGAGGTTGTCTCGGCTTGTTTAGAAACGTTTTCTGTATGAGAGGCATTATTGTGTACCGTTTGGCTTTTTCTTCTCTCTTCGGCTGGTTCTGTTTGCAAGTAATCAATCATTTCCTCATTTGTTATTGGTCGGTGTGAGGCCACTCTTTTTGCAGATTTCATTTCCTTGTTTTTTCTTTCTATAATCTCTCTCATGCTCTGAAAGCTTTCAGTTCGTTGCTTGACATTTTGTATCGCAAAGTTTTCAAGTAAGAGAGGATCTTTCATAAATAGAGATCGAGGAAATCCTTCATCTTCATCAAGTGCCTCATCGGACGATTCGTTGGCTACGTCGTTTAAGTACGTCTTCACTCTTCTGAAGAGTCGTCGCTTATTTGGGAGCTTAGTTGTTTGGGGTAGCTGAGTGAGTGGTAAATCATCCGATTTTTGGGATGCGGCTTGAGTGTGCAAAAAAACATTAGGAGACGCCATATTTCTGTATCTTGAAGCTGATGGAGAAAAAACTGAGCTAGCCTTTTGAGAAAATGCAATTTCTGCTTGATTTTCATCATCAAGAACATCGCTGCTATCGCCATCGCTAATTACTTGAGATTGTATGATGGAGGCCTCCGCAGAAGACGTTGAAGTTTTAATTTCGCTATCAGCAGGAGTTGGTGGAAGAGGTTGAGTGTTGACGGGATATTGATTAATGCGCATAGGCGTGAGTGACTGAGATTGAGAAGTAAAAACAATGGTTCCTTCAGATGCATCGTTGGCTCCAAAGTGTTTAAGGGTTGAGACAGACATTCCCAAAGCAGGCGAAAGAAGGTGGTTAGGCTTTGGAGTGACAGCACTCGATACAATATTTGGAGATTCTATTTGAGGAGAAGATTGTGTGTTCTTTGAGGGTTGATTAACTTTTGGAGTGGAAGCTGAATGTGCTTCTTGTATGTTTGGTGAATTAATAGTAGTAGAAGGAGTAGAGTTGCCCTTTTTGCTTGATGTGCCAGCATGTTGAGGTGTCGATGATAATTTTGATGTGGTGTTGTTGATGCTAACCAGAGAAGGCTCTCCTTCATGCTTGGAAGAAAAAGAAGAAAATTGTGATGACGTAAAAGTCGTTTGAGAAGGATTAGGAGGTATCATCAACGACTCGGAATTGTTGAAGCCTTGAATTTCCATATTGTTGACTTGTTCTAACTGTGAAGCAGAAATCAAACAATTTTCTTCTTCGTTTTGAAAGAAGTCTCCTGTGTAAGCGGAGCGAGCAGTTGTTTGTTCTGAAGAGACACTCACGCTAATATCATTGCTAATTTTTTCCTCGCTTCCTTTCTGTTTTGAATTGTTGTCGGGTGTTTGTGATTTTGTTTCTTCCCGAGAGGCATTGTTGTTGGTAGAATTCATCATCATTGTAATGAAATGATCAATGGACCACAGTGTACTGTTATTGTTCTTTGTGTTGTTAAATTGCTGAATTATAATGCTGCTACTCGTATTAATGCCGTTAACGTTCGTCTTGTTGGTTTCCAAAATTTGTTGAGTGTCTTGTTCGTCTGTTGCCGTTTTTTGTTTGTTTGGATTTATATTTTTGGCGCCAATGAGCCTTAAGCTCTCGTTCTCGTCCGTTATTGACACAATTTCAGGAATAGAATTTAAGTTGTTTTGAACCGTTGTTATTGGAGAACAATGTGGAATGTGATGTTTATGTTGTTCATGATTGTTGCTGTTTGTTGTTTGATCATCACGCATCAATGCAAATGAAGAAATGAAAGAAGAGAGAATTTTGAGAGTGTTTTTGGGAGATCGGAATGTGGCAGAGGATGCAGATCCAATGTAATCAAAACGATTAAGAAGGAGAGAACATGGAGTTTGATTAGGTCCACCCATATTGAACGAATAAGAGTCCAAGCGAATGATGGCTCCTCTAAGTTTCGAGAGAGGACAATAGTCAGGATGAAGTCTGTTCATATAATTTGACAAAAACATTGATGATCGGTTATTGCGACGACCATTAGATGAACGAAAATGTAGGTGAAAAAGGAATTTAATTGCTTGATTGACATACCTATAGAATCGCTTCACAAATTTGGACGAAATCCTAGCAGTAACGAAGTGAAATCCATCGGAAATGTGTAAAACGTAAATATCGTTGTGTTGGACACGGCGAACCTCAAGGTTTTCGCTGTGGTCTATTATTTGAACTAGATTTCGGTGTTTTGCAGGACTTGGTTGACTCTCAGCCTTCTTCTCCAATATTGCTTGCAAATTATCCTGCATGAAAGTAAGCAGCCATGGCTTGGAGAGAAGAGAAGACATTTTTCTTTGAGCACTCGGGAAGTAAAAAATTATTGATAATATTTGATTTTTTACTTTGTGTTATTTACTTAGTCTCTGACTTCTTCTTCTTGAGACCAGCCTTCTTGGACTTCTTTACCAATTTCAATTGTCTCTTTCTATCTTCAATGACGTTCAACTTGAGACCCTTACCCTTTGGAAGAGTGATCATGGAGGTGTGACCTTGTCCGAGAACGAAGACGTTGTTGGCACGAGTGGTAAAGTTGTTTCCAGCAATATCCTTAATGTGGACAATTTCAAAGCTACCAGGGTGGAGTTCTCTGCTGACGATTTCACCAATACGTCCCTTGTTGTGTCCACCAGTGATCATACACAAGTTACCAGCAGCGAAGCTGACGAACTTGGTGACCTTACCAGTTGTAATGTCAACCTTGACGGTATCACTGACCTTAATAGCTGGATCTGGGAATCTAATGACTCTTCCGTCGTTGGTTTGGATGTATGGAACACCTTGAGATGCAGTTCCTCTCTTGGTAACCTTGGCGAGTTTATAGTTGGCTTCTCTGTCAGAGATTGGGTGAATAACGAAACGACCCTTGGTATCGAACAAAAGTCTGAAGTGTTCGTTGGTCTTTTCAATGGTAATGACATCGTTGAATCCAGTTGGGAATCCCTTGTCAGATCTGACCAAACCATCAACCTTGACCAATCTTTGCTTCAAGATAACGTTAACTTCCTTGGCGGTTGTGGCATACTTGAGTCTGTTTCTCAACAACAACAAGAGTGGCAAGCTTTCTCTGCTTGGGTGAGCTCCTGGCTTTGGCTTTGGTGCATAAACACCTCCCATCTTTGCCATCATCCAGTGTCTTGGAGCAGCAACTCTCTTCATGTGCTTTCTTGGTCCTCTGGCCTATAATATTGTGTAATACATGTAGCAATAGATTTACATGAAATGAACGTGCAAAGTTTGAATGAAAGAATTTTGGTGAGCGAACCTTCAACAATTCCACAGCGGTATACATACCATTTTGTGACTAGTTTCGACGTATTTTTTTTCAACAAATTTTATTAAAAAGTTGGTCAACTGATAGTAATTGTTTACAATGGCTGCGAATTTTTTTCCTCACCACAAGCCACAAGGAAAGGTTTTATCACAATACTGAAAGTCTCATGGTCATTCGCGTCATTGCCTGTCACTTATTAAACAACATTGTTATATAATTTTCGAAGTTGGTAAACATCACCTTCTGATCTGGCTCCAACAGCCGATCGCAAAAATCACAAAAATCAACATTGGAGCCCCACCAGTAAAAAATGTCGAACTATCACGTTGCCGATGACGATGAAGAGGAATATATTGCTCAAGGCACTCAAAACATGACTCCACAGGAGAGACAAACACAATATCTAAACCAAGCCAAAGATATTGTCGATGCCGAGGCTCATCGTATGATCAGATGTTTGGACAAAAATAATCTTGGTGAAGCTTTGGAACATGCCTCAAAAATGTTAAGTGAGTTGAGAACATCTCATCTCACTCCAAAGAATTATTATATTTTGTGTAGGTATTACTGCAATTTTAAATTGGTTCCGTATGGTTGTTAATCAGTAAGATTTTTGAAATTTGAAAAACAAATATTTGTGAATTTTTACAATTATAATCATGACATTCAAACTCATCACCACGTTCGGGGTCTTCAATCTCAACTTGATGACATATACTTACTCTCAAATCTCACTTCTCACATCGTTATTTATTGGTCTTTCACATCGACGCTTTGATTGCTATAAATGAATGAACCATCTACTCACACATTATTTTCTAAAACAGATATGCAAACATTTGATCACCTAGCTCGTTTGACAGCCTTTTTCCGAGGTGAGGAAAATATGCAAGAGCTCTATGAGCGTGTTCAACACACACCAAGTATTGTTCCCAGATTATATCTCATGGCCACTATCGGAGCAATATATATCAAGTCAAAACAAGCTCCTGCTAAAGATATTCTCAAAGATCTTGTAGAGATGTGTAAAGGAGTTCAACATCCCACTCGTGGCCTCTTCTTGAGAAATTATCTGAGTCAAATCACCAAAGATAAACTTCCTGACACTGGTGGTGACTATGAAGGTATTGGCGGAACTGTTCACGATTCTATTGCATATGTACTCCAGAATTTTCATGAAATGGTCTTTCTCTTCAGTCGTTTGAAGAATGAAGGTCCTGTCAAAGAAAGAAGTAAGAGAGAAAAGGAAAGAATGGAATTGAGAATTTTGATTGGGTTTAATCTTGTGAGGTTGAGTCAACTGGATGGAATCAAATTAGATATTTACAAAAATGATGTCTTACCAAAGGTTTTGAACATTATTATCAAATCCAATGACCAAATGGCTCAACAGTATCTCATGGAATGCCTTATTCAAGTATTTCCTGACGAGTTCCACCTCGAAACTCTTAATTTAATACTTTCAGCTTGCCAAGAACTGCAATCTGATGTAGACTTGAAAACAATTTATATTGCTCTTATGGATCGTCTTGCAAATTATGCTAGACAATTTCCTGAAAATATTCCTCATCGAGACAGCAGTGAGTCAGGGGTTCAAAATATTATTGACATTTTCTGTGTTTATATTGCAAAGATCTCTACTGAAAGAATGGAAATCGGCGACATTTTATCCGTCCAAATTTCCTTAATGAATCTTGCTCTTCAATCGTATCCAGAGAAAATAAGCTATGTAAATGATATTGTGACATTTTGCCATGGCAAATTGAAGTCAGTTGGTGATATTCTTTCATCCAATGTTTTGGTAAAGTTGATTAAGAGACTCCTTCTTGTTGCGATTGAATCATACAAGAACGTTTTGACAATTTTAAATTTGGATCATTATGGAGATATTTTATCATTGTTGTCCTTTAACGACAGAAGAGAAATTGCTATTGAGTTGTGTGGATCTGCCCTCAAACATAGACATAAGATTTCCACACCAGAGCAAGTAGCCAAATTTTTCGAGCTTATTAGACCTTTATTGAAAGATGAGGACAATATGAGCGATATTGAGGAGGAAGAGTTTGAAGATGATCAAAATCTGGTTGCACGTCTTGTTCATCTCTTGTATAATGAGGATACAGATACACTTTTCAGAGTTTATTCTACAGCAAGAAAGCACTTTGGTCAAGGAGGTCCAAAGAGAATATTATTCACTCTCACCCCTTTAGTGTTCGCATACTTACAATTGGCAAAGAGAATCAGAAATCATCCAGAAAGAGAACAAAAGGTTGTGAAGGAAGAAAAAGTTTTCCAATATGTTATTGAGATTTTAGACGTTCTCGCTCATCAACAATCTGACATGGCTCTCAGATTATATCTTCAAAGCGCCATTTGTGCTGATCAATGCAATCTCGAAACACTCGTTTATGAATTACTTTCTCAAGCATTCATGCTTTATGAAGAACAAGACAGCAAGAGTCAATTGGAATACTTTATATTAATTGTCAATTCTTTGAGGCAAATGAAGAACGTTGGAGAAGAGAATTATGACACTCTTTCCACAAAGACCTGCCAATATTCATCGAAGCTGTTACGTAAACCAGATCAATGCAAGGCAGCATTCCTATGCAGTAATTTATTTTGGCCCATGTCACACAATGAAAAATTACAAAACAGCGATAAGGCTCTTGAGTGTATGAAATGGTCTTTGAAAATTGTCAATTCATGCATGGCTGACCAACAAATACCACTCTTTGTAGAAATTTTAAACACATATCTGCATCAATTTTGTAGCGATAATGAGAAGGTTACTGTTGATTATTTGAATGGTTTGATTGAATTGATCAATTCCAACATTGGAGGAGCTGAAGAAGAATCATTTGGTAGCATGTCCAGTAATGATCACACCAGTGAAGCCACCAGATCAGCTCCAATCAAGGTTTTCTACAAAAACACTCTCGAGTACATGAAGACTGTCAAGAAGACAAATCCAAAACTTGAAGGAGTCAGCATATAAACTTGTTGGTATTTTGTTTTTTTAAGTTTGATGCTTAGAGACCAGATTGGGGTCTGTCCAGTTAATCGCGCCAAAAAAATGTTCACATTCCAACATGAATTAAATGGATCAAATACTCATCATCTACAGAATACATTCGAGAGTGAGGGATCCCGTATGGAATATCATCATCGGGATTTGCTCATTCCTTCAGGATGTCATCAGGACGTATCGGATTCTATTTACCTCACGAAAAGCTACATGTGTCGTATGGTTGAAATTGTTTGCGATTTACATGAAGTCATAGAAGGATCCTTGAAAAGAAGTGAACAAGTTCTTGAGCAAGCCTTTATTGATTTTGAGCAAGTGGTTTCCACCATACCTCACTACAACACTAATCTCCCCTTGGAGTCTGATATGAGTGTCTATTTTGATCCGAAGAAACTAAAGCAACGATTGAATATTTTGGCGGTAGAGAGGTTGAAGGCTTTGGAACAGATTCATACATCGTTTTTAGCTCCTCTTCTGAAATTAATTTCTTCTCAAAAGAATGGAGAGGAGAACAGTCCTGAACCAAATCTCAATCACAACAGCCATGTACAGCCACCACAATCATCTATCCAGAGTCCTCTCACTTCAAATTTTTCGAATATTTTACAAGTTCCCACAACACCAGTTAAAAACAATCGACTTTCGACAGTAAAAGAAAATAGGGAGCTGGTCGCATTGCAGAAAATTCTGGAACATCTCAAAACAAAACTGGACAACGAGAAAAATCCTTCTCAACAGAACGTATTGAGAGTGGATATCCAAAAGATTGAAAAAGAGATATTTATGTTGGAGTCAGGATGTTTTTTAAGCCCAATTGTAAAGCAGCAACATAATATGTACCACCATATTCAAGGAAAGAAGGTTAAACCTTTGTTTTTGGACGAGTATTCGCCGTCTACAACCCCATCTATTCCTCAGATAGACCTTGAACGGGTTAATTCATCTTCTGTAACATCTATCAAGAAACAAGAAGGGTCAAGGGATGTTTGTGATTCTCAGGATCATTCAGGTTACTGGTCGGTGACTTCTTCACTCACTGAGAAAAATCACCAGGCAGATTTGAATTCTCAATTGTTCGAAAGCATGATTTTTGAGGACACCCCATCGTTGGTTGTAACTGAAAAAGAGAAAGAGCAGCATTCTTTTATGAGCACACCACCTGGAGAGAACGCGATGGCATCTGATTCTGACTCTGATATGGAACATCAAGATTTTCTCACATCTCAATTTCTTTCTCCTGGTCGAGGTTCAACTGAAAAGACAACTCCACAGGAACTGATCAATGTGACAATCCCTAAGAATGCAAATGAAACCAAGAAAAACATCAGGACTCCAACCCATAAACAAAAGCAGCCGGATGTCACCCCCTCTCCTGTAAGAAAACCACCCACTCCCAATTTACCTTCAAAGCTACCATCTCGACCTAATTCCGCAAAAAGCAAGGCACCAGAGAAGCCCCAGTCTCCAAAGAACAGTACACAAGAAGAACGACACAAACCTCCCAAATCATTTAAGCACATGAAGGAAAATATCAAGATATTACCTAATCATACGGGACTCAGTGATTCCATTCGAATTGGGATAGGAACGACTGAAAAGAAAAAGGAGATCAAGCCTTGGTATTAATGAGTATGGCCCATAATTTATTGAGAATGTAAATGCGGTGTTGTTTCTCCATCCACAATAAGTCTAAAGTTATTCAGTTTCACTTCTCGGATGACCGAGTCAGAAATTTGCTGCATTTCTGGTGAGCGAGTTTGCAACAGAGAATATTCGCTCTTGGAGTTGGAGAAAAGAAGCTCGTCCACATACTTTGTCCTATGCATTCCAACCAACACGGTATCTAAATTGGGAGTGTCAACAAGACAGCGCATGCTTTTCTGAGCCAACGTCGTGTATTGGTCCAAATCTTCATGCGAAACTTTTGAAATTTTAGAATGCAAATCCTCACATTGGTGTTGATGCTTGATAGAGAGTAAGTCAGAATAAAGTTGATAAAACTTGTTGCATAGACGTTGATAGTGAGAAAGCCACCTATGACATTGTGCTTTGAAATTATTGAGCTGATTGGCATCTGTTCCTTCTTTTTTCATTCCAACTGCGTTGTAATCATTTTCATTGACCTTGGCCGATAGCTCAGCGAGTTTTGCAAAAACATATTTCTGTTCAGGTCTAATTCTATTTTGTAATACTTTTTTGAATGTGAAATAGGATTCCAATTGATCATAATTCGTCATGATAATATGTCCCCAAGAAATAGATGGTCTTATTTTGAGAATATTTTCCATAGAAAATTCTGGTCGAGTGCTTGATTGTACTTCTTTCGACAAAATCACAGAATCATCTAATAGGTTGACGTTGTACCATGGAGTGTTAAGTTCAGTGTAAGCAATTTCATTTGCTGCTTCTTGATATTCTTGGACAAGCTTTTCCATATGATCTTTCTTATTCTTATCGAACTGGTAATCAGCGAATCGAAATATTAAATAAGCATCAAGTTGAGTAGTAAGTGGTCTAAATCCCATGGTAGCAAGACCATAGCTTTTAGCAAAAGAGAGGAAATTGACATAAGAGTTTGATCGTTGATCATAGAAAATTTTGTCCGTGTGAACACTTGTCTCGTGAAGGTTATATGGCACTTGTACGACCTTAAAGTTGTGATTCAATCCTCCGTAGGCCTTCTCTGCAATCTTTAGACATTTTTCCAAGTCGATTGATAAAACACCAACGTTTGGAACTCGAGTAATTGCTTTTGAGGCAATACCATACGCCTGAATACGTCCACGTTCTACTTCATGTTCTAGCCATTTAAATGCTTTTTCGAGTTGATGATAAAATTCTTCATAGACAGCAAATTCATTACCATCAGTATTTTGCAATAACATTGCTTGTAAAAGCTTTTCTGGTTGATTTAAAACTAAAACATCGAGCGTTTCTACTTGATATTCTTGTAAACATCTTGTAATTTCATGAGATATAATGAGAGGGTCAAGAGAATAGTGATGCAAATTATCAGCTAATTTTGTAATTCGTTTGTCTAAATCTTGGACTTGACATTCATTGGCAAGTCGAGATAATACAGAATGATTTCGTTCATCAATATAATTATCTAATGGTCCAATCTTACTCATGACCACTAATTCTTCTCTATATATTTTAATATCATTTTCGGCATGCGTATGGCCATGATGGTGTGTGTGGTGAACTGGATGATGATGAGCACACATTCCATTAAGTACCATTCCAATCATCTGTTGACTTGTTCCATAATCCGCACTGCTGTCAATTAAATTAACTCCACCTTGAATAGCCTTTTGAATTGCAAATTGTTGATCTTGAATAACACTTTCACCTTCGGGATGATTTAAATTTAAATAATGACCACCAAAACCTAATTTTGAAAAATAAAAAGGAAGCTTGTGATTGTTTTGATGTTTAATGATGTCCTCTGCTGATGATGCAGACCTATCGGATGATGTAAGCCTCCAACCTTCCATCGGAGTGAATTTCTTGGCTAGAAATTCCAGAGTTGCCGAGTGGGTGGCTTTTCCTTTGAGAAGAGAACGCATTTTTTATGAATCCAAGTTGTGAATGCACCAAGTTTTGCAAGATGTTGTCTTGTGTGTAATGCACCAACACTATACCCACAACACGATCCAGCTGGAATTTTCTGCGGACGAAAGTTTATGTCAAATATTATGAGCATTTAATTACATTTGACGAAAATAATCATCCACTTCTTCTTCTTCCTCGTCGTCAGAATCTTGAAGATGGTTGACATTAATGGATTCCCTCAGATTAATATTGTGAAGAAATTGCTTTCGAAGCTCAAGTTCAGAGCTCTTTCGTTTGGGTTCATCTTCATCGTTGAAATAATCTTGATGAATAGATGACGAAAGACTAAAGTTCTCCGTCATTGGTTGGTTTTCATTTCCCGAAGAGCTATTAGCCGAGCTTGGAAGAAGGGTTGGAGGTGTTTTGTTTTTTGCATTGTCAAAGTAGTTATCCATATGAGAGAAGTATAATAAATTGTCTTCTCGCAAATCCTTATTGCTACGGAGTGGCTGTGTTGCTCGAGTTTGTGCTGGAACATTACTCAATCCAAATATGCTAGATGTTGGAAAATTTTGAGGAGGACTTTCAACTGTCTCCTCTTCATGTGAAGAAACTTCTTCAACTTCGTCTTCACTATCAATGTCGTTTGCAATAGAAGAATGTCTTTCCTCTAAATTCGAAATATTTGGTGATTTTCTTGGTGAAACCTTTGGGGAATTGTTTTTCTTCAAAACCAACGTGTTAGGTGCTTGCATTACATTAACTTGTGTCGATTCAATAGGAGCAGACATGGGTGTGGAAATGGCCTTCAGGATTGTTTTCGAATCAATAATCTCTTGCTTTGGAATGTTATTCTCATTTTCACTGTCGAACTTATGAATTGGAATTGGATCAGAGACTTTGATCATTAAGCTCTTGCTTATATCATTAATTTGATTATATCCGTTCTCAGTTATATCAAAAGCCGCGTTTTCCTTATTGTCAATTGTAGAAGTTGCGTTTGGCTTGATGGTTCGAAATTTAAAATGTCCAGTTGCCCACAAAGGATTTAGTGGTTGAGCATATGTTTCGAGCTCCACATTAGATATCCATTTAGAGAGGGTGTCTTGTTTCTCATCAACAAACCTAGAAACAGGAGTTGGTTCAATTTTGTCCAATACTGTTCCATACAGGGACGTCCAAGAAATGCTTTGTTGAATCCTATTGAAGTCAAATTGATTTCGTACGACATTTGGCACAGAGGTTGGTGAGTCTTGCAAATCATTTGAATCCACCTCAGGAAGAAAAATGTCAAACCGTGCTAATAACTCCACTGAAAGATTAAGTTCAAAATCTTCTGCTGATATCGGAGCTCTGTCCACATGTGACACCACAGAAACTCCAGAGGAGGCAGTGCCGATAGTAGTTTTGCTGAGGTTGTCAGTAGCCTTTTCTTTTTTCTTTAACTGCGGCTTCAACACATAGTAACTCAAAATTCCACTGTTTAACGTAACTAAAATATTCTCGTTATTGATATTCTGATGATCCCAGTAGCTTTCTAAATTTTCATCATTGCCGTTCAGTCTATTGAATGTTTTGAATTCTGAAAGAGTATAAATTTGAAAAACCGATCGTGTATGAATAAAGCTTTTTCCCAATAAGTTTTTCCTTGCACCAGAGGTTGGATCATGAATTCTTGCAACAACGTTCAAAACAATGCCTTCACTAGGACCGTTTGATTGAATGTGTTGCTCTCCATTGAAATGAAATCTTGGGTCGACAATCCCGCCTGTAGGATTAATAGCATAAATGTGAATCGTTCCTCTTGCTGAGCATGCAGCTACCCATTTGCTGTTCACGCTGAAATGTATATCTTGTATATGAGCTGTTGTAAATCCACGATAAAGCCTGTAAAGAAGTTTGATATTTCTCTCTCCAGCTAACATGTCTCCACCACTGTCCGGCAATATTTGGAAAACATTTAAATACTTTCCTGACAATGGAGCTGTGCAAAGAAGAGTACCCGTTCTATCAAATGCCATAGCAGCTATTGGCTCATTGTGAGCTCTAAAGTGAAGTAAAACCTTATTTGTTTTAAGATCTCGAACTTCAACAGTTCCAACAGTTTTCTCATATCCAGCCAATTCTGGAGGCAAATCTCCGCTCCAAAGAGTGCTGAGTGAAACTTCTTCCTCATTTTCTTCATCTTCATCCGTACTATCTTTTGATGAACTATCATTGCTGTCAGTATCAGAGCTATCAGAGTTATGATTTTTCTTTCCATTGTTGCCTTCGAACCAATACTTGGATGCCTTTTTAAATCCATAATCTCCAAGTTTGTAAATTCCTGTTGCTGCTTTCTTTGCTACTTCCCATGATTTTTCGGTAAAGGTCGAATTTACCTTAGTTGTGAAATCCAAGACCGGGTTCAGCACTTCTGTATTACTAGCAAACGCAACAAATCTCTTGCGGGCTGCAATCACTCCACCATACAAGCGTTCATAGGTTTTGTTGTTTTGTTGAGACTTCTTTTTCTTTGATTCGCTCTCTGCTGTTGTTTGCCTTTTACTTGCAGGCTGCAGGCAAGTGATTGATGGAAAGCAAATGGCTTGCGAAACAAGTTCAAATGTACACGGATCATAGAAATATATTTGTCCTGATGAGTCTGTTATAATAAAGGCCTCTTCAGAGGGTAAGATTTGGAATATAGTTGGTGGTAGTTCTACATTCTCATTTCTGCACGTTATTGAGATGTGATCATCTAAGAAGCAATGATACTTGAGTGAGTAAAAATGCACAGTATCTGGTTCTGACTCCACAACTAGTGACACCATTGGATAGTAGTTTAGCCACGATGCATTGTTGTTGGACAGCTTGGCTCTTTTTTCCGATCTCTTGATTGCCTTGTCAGAGGGCTTGGTAAGTAGCATTACCATTTTAACAGGACCTCTTGATGGTGGAAGTTGAACAGGAGTATATGTAATCACAGGCTCACTGACAGGATGAGGCATAGGAATTGGCAAATTATGATGATCTTCCTCAAGAATTAACTCTTTAGGAGGTAATGCAGTTGGCACAAATGATGCTCCATTGTATAAATTTGAAGATTCTGTCTGCGGAAGATTTTTGCTTTCCAGTAGATTATTATCTTCGTTTTCATATCTATTTGCAAGTTGTTCGTACCATTCATCCATATCGAAAGATTGTTTCTTATTTACATTTTTGGAATGATTTTCAGTTTTTACGTAGTCGAAATCAAATGAAGAAGTTTCATGGTTGATATGTTCGTCATTTGAGGCAACAGATTTTTCCACAGTTGATTGAATGTTGTCATTTTCCTCATGATCTGAGCTGTTACTATCTTCTGATGTGTTGTGTAACGGCGCAGTCAACGGTATTGGTTCCATCTGTACATGTTCTATTTTTTCAGGCTCAGTACCAGCATTGGCGTTTTCATCAACTTGATACGAAATGGTGGTTACCCAATCATCACACGTTTTTGTAATTATTTCTCTCACATTATTTGGCTCGTGAATATCAAAAATTTGAAATCCATTCGAAAATGCCAATACCATGAATAATCGTTCATCTGTTGTTGAGGTTGTGGATCCTTTCTGTTCAAAAACTACTGGTAAGAACATGAGCTCACAAGAAATAAGTTCGCCTAAATTAGAAAAGTAAGGGGTTAAAAGACCATTGGCAGATGGGGTAGCGCTCATGTCGCCATTCGAAATCGAAGCAATTCCATTTCCAATCGAAGAAACATAGGGCTGCAAAATATTTTCGTTAAATTGCTTGGCCAAATTACTCCATGGAATACTCTTCACATAATTTGATATTCCAGAAATCAGTTGCGCAGACGAGTCGTAGATAATTTTTGCTGAGGATTCCTGTTGTTGGTGCTTCTTCTTTTTCTTTTGAATGGTCTGATGGTTCGAGCTATTACCATTATAGCTATTATTAAAATTGCTATTATTGCTATTACTAGAAGAATTCCCGATCGGTAGAGATGAAGGATACTTTGACTGTTTTTGCGAAGGAATGTTATATAATTGCTGGTTAATTATTGGCTGATCGGTTGGTATTCTCGAATACAGTGATGAAGCAGGTTGCGGTTTTGGAAGAGTGGGATACAATGAGGAAGATGAGTTGCTACTATTTACAGAGGATGAAGGTACAGAAGGATACAAATTATTATTACTTGGAAGCGAAGAAAATGAAGAGGAGTTGGAAGATGTTTGCATGAGAGTAGCTGGAGGAGCAGAAGCAACATTTTGATAAAGGAAATTATTGTTATTACTATTGTTATGAAAATGATGACTACTTGGTGTGTGCCGATCGGACTGTGGTTGTTCTGTATTTGAGTTGTTCATAATCATGTTCCCAGTAAATGATGATGATGTTGCAGTATTGCTGTAATATGCAGAAGCAGTCGTGGTCAACGGAGTGTTTCCTCTTCCAACCGCTCTCTGGTTTGACATTTTTATTATCTAAAAATAAGGTGTTGTGTATGCCAATCAAGCACTGCGTGACAACGAATTCCATTCGAAAGTTAGTTGCTTGGATTTTGGCTTTGAAACTATCAGACTTTATTTGTTTAGGATCGTGGTTTTCTGTCGGTTCATCAGTGCAACAGCCAACCATCGACGAGAGATACACTATCAAAAGAATGATGAACATTGCTTGCAACATGAAGACTAACTGCATTTCAACAGCACAGTAAAAGCCTGAATGATGCACGTAGTGATCACGGTGAAAAATACAGAATTTTCCCTTAGACAATTTAAATAATTTACTGTCATTTCAAAATATCTAACGTTTTGAGGTTAAAAATTGTCATAGGTTGCTTGGCAATAACCTGGCATGACTGGACCGCAAGCAACACCTCTTCGAACCAATACATTACAGCGAGCATACTCCATTCTAACTCTTGCACTGGTGACATCGGTTACAGAGCTTGGACTCCATAATCTTTCAGCAATTGCAAGAGTACGAGGAAAGACACGTGAGTCAAAATTAGCATCGTCCACTTGCTCACTCCACATAGCTCCCTCACCTCCAAGTACAAGCTTCTTTTGAGATTCTGGCATACCGAACCCCTCAGTTGGATCCTATGAATTGTGAAATAAGAAGAATACGCATAAAGGTGCATAATATGCAATGTTAAATAATCATTAATGCTTTGAAAAAAACACATACATTGAGATAGAAATTAATCCAAGTATCCACCCATTCTGTTGAAAAAATTGAGGTAATATGTTTGAACCAATACAAATATGTGTATCGTCAAAATTACGTACCATAAAATGTTTGATTACGGTTTGGAATTTGTTGGTCAAGATACCACCCTCCGCTCAACAAGGTTTGATAACCCATTTTCACAACATCTAGTAGGGTTTTACGTTCTTTCCAAACATGCACGATCGTGTCTTTGGGAACTGAATAACCGTACTCGAGGGCAAGTTCTTCCCAACAAATCATTGTCTTATTCAATGGTAAATAAATGTTCCTTAACATGTCCTCAAAGTAGAAGAGTAATTGAACTGGTTGAGTAAATCCTTTTTGCTTCATAAAGTTTCTAATTGCAGGATCCTCTGTTTGATTTGTGAGAAGTTTTAGCATTCACTCCCATATCAATATGATAACAACATACCAAGCCAACAACCCATCACTAGTTCATCACCTCCAAAATGATAATACTGAAAATTAAGTTGCCACGAACAATAGCCAATAAAGTCATTCACACAACTTCGGTCATGTTGTTAACTTACCTTATCTGTAAATCCACTGAGGGTGAGCTGTTTGACAACTGCAGCTAACACGTCGTAAGTCTTTGGATTTGCTATGTTGAGAGGGATATTATTGATATTGTGTGCATAGCTTGGACAGTTGGCTGTAATTTCTGGATAGCCAAATCCCCAACTACCAGCATGACCTGGTACGTCAATTTCTGATATCCAATTGGAGATGTCAAACAAACATCACGATGAAATATGTCACACAAACGCAGCGCACTGAATACCTACCTGGAACAACTCTAACACCTCTTCTTCGACCATATTCAATGATGGCAAGAATATCTTCTCCACTATAGATCGCTTGTTTTTGGTATGCTCCCTTTCCACTTAAATCTGGATAGCCATTCACAACCAAAGGGAAGCTTTGAGCATCAACAATATGCCAATGGAATACATTCATCTTAATGTAGGCAAGAGAGTCAATAATTTGCAAGAGTTTCTTTACCGAATAATAGTGACGTGCAGTATCCACTAGAAAGCCTCTCCATTTAAAACGTGGTGAGTCCTTCACAACAATTGGCAACAACTCTCCAAAGGTATAGTATTTCTTGCCAAAGCTAATTCCATTCAAGTTATCGACTGGTGTAATTAATTGTGAAAAGGATTCCAAAGCACGCAAAGCGCCCCACACTGTATTTGCTGTTAATTGGGCATATCCTTGAGAGGGATTAATGTTAATTATATAGCTCTCATCCATTCCAAGATAAGGCTCTGGGATCATATCCTTGCTTGGATAATTGACAGTTAACACAGCCTGTGTTACACAAAAAACAGTCGTATGGTTGAAAGAGTCAGGACAATTCGATGAAGAATCTACATTCTCAGAGAAGAAAATCATTGACCCATATCTAGTCAAGGCATCAGAAATAATGTCATAATCACCTTGGCTCAGTGGATTTTCCTGAAACACAATATTAAAACTCTTCCAATTAGGAATAATTCCAATAATTGATCCAGTGGAATATTGCTCTGGAAGTGGCCAAATCTTGAATGTATTTGTCGTTTGTGATGAAACCTTCTCGGAAAAAACGACACTCATAAATACTGCCATCATCATGATGATAATCCACACGGAGCAGGATGAGGCATAGCCTTTTCTAGAGAGATGCATTTTTTTATGATGAAGAAGAAGCATAAACCGTTACAATTATTGGCAACACGATGAATTCGATATTGAGGCATGCATTGTAATTGTGGATAAAAAGAGATTGAAAATTCATTATGCGTCGCAGTGAATGACCGCAAAGAGCGATGGTTGAATAAATGGTTTAAAAAGTAGAAATCATTTTAAGCATGAAATTACTTGGTATCATTCTCGAAGGGGTTATGAAAGATCTGTGGCATATTTTATTAATATTATTACTTGTTATTAATGTTGCTTGTTGCGCCTCTCAAAATGTGTTGTTTCTATTTTTGACTCCGCATTTCAATTCAAAAAAAATATCAACACACAAACAACAATATTCAGGGTTACACGAAACGAATTTTATCAGAAAAAGAACAGGTTCTAATTCAATCCTAACAATATTTTTTGAGATCGGAATCATCAGAAGCTAGGAAACTAGGCGGTTGGGTGATCTTTTCATTGTAAATACTTTGAGTTGGATCCATCATCATATTGAAAAAGCTATTGATTATTTATTTTCGGAATTGTGTAACCTTTGCGGATATCACAAAAGAAGAGCATACGATTTTTTGTAGACCATCACGTTAATTTAAATTATTCAAAGTTCTCTTCACAATAATCTTTAACAACCAATGTCTACCGAAGATCATAATTCTACTTCCATCATGTTAGATGAAGGGTCGGCTATTCTTGATTCTGGTGGCGTTTTCCATGACGCACACAGCTTAACACATTCATCAGCAACTACTCCGGAAGCATCTTCAAACAGTACTTCCACGACCGAGTCAGCAAGAAGAAAACGAGCCACTTCATCAGCATCCTCGTCATCAACTCGTCGAACTTCTAAAGCAAAAAAGAAAAAGAGCCAAGAACAAGACGATGAGTCTTCTCCAGAAGAAGATGCTGCTTCGTCCAATGAAAACCAAGATTCTCTTTCTCATCATCGTGTTCTACTTCCAAATCAGAGAACTGCTTGTCCTATGGAGGAAGTTCCTGATAATCAACAAGGAAGGTATTGGATATTTGAAACACCTCAAAATGCAGAACCTCTTAATGATGTTGTCGTGAGAGTGACAATGAAAATTCGAGGAGAAGAAGCTAGAAATTATGTTCCAGAAAAATTGTACAGTTCACACAAATATGTTATCATGCATGAAATTTCAGGAAAGAGTCTCGTAGAAAAATATCCGCTTATTGTTTCCAAAATTCATGTCATTAATCCAACTACCAGAGAAGAGTTAAAGAATTCTAAAAATTCTAGCAAACTATGCTTAATGGGAACAATGGAAACAGCTCTCACTAAATTAGCTGGTACCAATGGAAAGAAAACAAAAGACACATCATCTGAAGATGTTGTGAAAGGACAAATGAAAGTACAATTCACAGATGTCAGTTATCATCATGAAAAAGGTCATTTTGGATTTATTATTCACTACTTTAATCCTGCAAATTTAGAGACTCCTCTCTTTTCTTTAATTGCTCCTCCTTTCAACGTTTTTGCTAGAAAGCCAACCAATGAAAATCAAACAGAAACCTTACAGCCAACAAAACCAAAACCATCCAAAAGAAAACGTAAATCTGATGTGGAGAATGAAGCTGATAATGTGAGCTCGTCTGCATTAGAAGCAACTTCTTCAACAGCAGCAACCACTGCTGAAGCTTCCAATCATGCAGGAGCTGATGCAACCACTCACGCTGCAACATCTCCTTCCAAGAAAAAAACAAGACGTCCTAAAAAGCAAACACAAAAGACAAGTGAAGAAGCAGCACAACAGCAAGTGCTGCCAACCTATACCGTCACTGTAACCTCCACTCAACCCTCACAACACATGATTGAATTTAACAAGAAATTAGAAGCACTTGTGAATATTAAGAAACAATTAGGTCAAGATGCAAGTAAAAGAGCATCCGAATTGGCCTTACAAAATCTCATCAATCTTGACACGTTTGCTACACAAGAGTTTGTACTCCAAAACAGCAACTCGACCATCACTCCACAAACAACAACCAATGATGGACAACAGATTCTGCAGAGTTCTGATGGTCCAATAAACCCCACTGCCACAAACAATAGTGGATTATAAGAATCATTTGCATTCTTGATTGGTTTAATTGGACAATAACTTCATTGTTGTTGAATAGAGAGATCTGCATTGTTTCCGTTCGCACTCCTCTGCCATTCAAAAAAGGATAATCGCAAATCAAATGTTCACACAAAAAATGGCCACAACAACTGCTGCTAGCACTGCCACCAGTACCTACCGATACAAGTCATTCAGTGAGTTCTATCCATTCTACATTTCGCAACACCAAAATCCTGTTTGTAGATTGTTGCATGTGATCGGAACATTCTCCGGAGCATGTGTGTTAGGATATTGCATTTCCATGAAAAAGTTCTGGCTCATGCCCACTGCTTTGCTCATTGGTTATGGATTGTAAGTGATTTTGAAATATTGATCGTTTTGTTTTGACATGTTATCGTTACGACATCATGATCGGAAAATAATTGATCTTTTGTGTGGACAAATCAAAGTGCTTGGATTGGTCACTTTGTTTTTGAGAAAAACAAACCAGCTACATTCACCTATCCATTATGGAGCTTTATGGGTGATTGGAAAATGATGTTTGAAGTATTGACATTTAGAAGAGGATTAAAAGATTAATTGTGTTATTGATGTTGGTTTTGATCATCTTTAAATCCTACCATCTTGTCAATAACAAGATAATAGAATGAGTAGCCAAATAATCTCTTGATTTTCATGTGTGTTTTGTTATCATTCCGAACTGCAATGTAAAACATGGTTGCAATGTCTTGTTGAGAGAGTTGACAAGAGGTGTGCTTTCTAATCAATTCTTCACTGCTTTGGTGATAGGCCTTGGTAAATTTATCGGCGAACATGTTGATTTCCATCTTGAGCTTGTAGTCTCGTTTTCCACACTTGTTTTCCAAATGCTTGGTATCAAAGAATCCTGAAAGAAATACTGCTTCTGATTCCATGTCATAGGCCTGAAGAAGTTTTTTAAGATCTTTCTTATACTTTTCATAGAGTACCAGTACTTGTTCATAACACATGACAATATCATCATCCATAAGATTCGTCACAGCCTCTTTTTGGAAATTAAGCAATTGCTTCAGTGGCTTGTATTGGATGAAAATCTGATCGAGAATCTTAAAATAGGGACTTAGTATCGACTCTGGTGAGGCATTCTCATCTTTTGTACAGTTTGGCAATTTCTCAAGTTTTTTCACTTGCTTTTCCTCTTTTAACACTGCATCATACATTTTCCCAAGAACCTTCTCTGAACGATACGTTTCTTTGGCAAAAGCTTTTGGCATGTAGTGAGGTCTCTTACTCGACATTAAATAGGGGTGAAGTGCCTTTCTCGTGCCTGTTTTGGCATAATCGACTTGATGGCTATGATGTTCTGCTAATTCAAGACAAACCTTACTCTTAGCTCCCAAACGCTCTTGATCGTAATGCTCCAAATGAAGAAAGGCAACAATTCCCAAATTATCATTCACAATATACTCTGTTAAAAACTCTCCAATGTCGTTAAAGGAACATCCTCCTTGTTTTGTTTTCGGTTCCAATGTTTCATGATCCATGGGAGGATGTTCCTCAAATTGTAATAGGCGTGGATCCCATAATACCATAAATAAATCTTTGATTAGAGTTTGAGTTGATAATAATCAAAAAATGGTTTCCATTCACTTTGTTCACACGTGATCGATAACTTACCTCCATCATAGTCTCCTCCTGACATTTTACTGGCTTGTGGTCGTTGTCCTTTTTGACTAAACACAATGACATCCTTCAAATGTGATAATATCTGAATTTTGTTTGGATCTGAAACAGCTTTCAACTTGCGAATGTCACCTGGATGCAAGCAGGGATTTCTCGTGACACACACAGTTCCAGAGACAATACCGCCATGAGGATAGGTACCTTCTTCTACTAGATCTGTATGTTCAAGTGCTGAAAGTTGAATAAACACTTCATCTTCTTCAAGAACTCCTGTAAAATCTGGAACTCCAATCAGCAAGGTTCCCTTCTCTACAGGAATTCTTGCTTGTTTAAGATCATTGAGTTTCATCTTTAGCATGGATTTGATGATGGTACAAAAGAACGGGTCTATTTGGAAAAAGTATTGAAAATTAGAAAATTTGTCTTTTGGCATAACTTGTCGTGTCATTTCATCCAACGTGTTCAACTTGAGTATTCGAGAAACATTGACGCCAATGGGATGATCTCTAATTTTTCTTAATAATCTCTTGATTTTCGTCTTGTCCTTAACTGCGTCACTCACATCTGACAATTCACGAGCGAGCATTTCGAGAAACACTTGATCTTTAACGCCATTCGTTGATAACAGTGCAATCACTTGTCGGTTCAAAGTGGCCACTCGAAATCTCTTCGAGTAGGTAATCATCTCAAAATCTGAAACTTCCTTAACATCAAACTTGATTTGACTTTTCGTTAAAACGAGATCCTTATCGGTATAGTAGGGCAAGTAGGGATCCACAACCACAACTCCTTTAGCCCCTCCCATTCTAAACTGAAACGCTGATGGAATGTAAGGTTTTCCTCCATAACTCAAGCCATTGGTGTTAGCGAGATCTGTAGCAAACGATTGTGAAATTTTGCCAGCACCATCCGTAAAGTCCCACTTGCCTCTTATCACTCCCTCTTCCACATCGTAGCATTTTGTGATACCTTCATACGTATGAGAAAAGCATAAACCAATTCTTGAAGCGTATTTGGCCACTACTCGGATCGATGAAAAATCTCCAAGACTTCCAAGAATGGAGTTCACAGTTAATTCATTGGTGGGACTAAGAAACCAGCAACTGTGTGCACGAAGTTGACTGTGTCATCATTTCAGAAAATTGATTCAGAGTGTTGAATGATTGATCCATACATTACTTGCACATACCTGTTGGAATACGCAAGTGCTTGAAAATTTCGATTCGCCACTTGGATTCCTTTCGACATGATGGCTAAAATTCGTGGATGCAAATTGGTAAACTTTTCTGCACTGAGCTTTTTTAAATCCTCATCACAAAAATTGACTCGTACAAAACGATCCAATTGCAAGGGAGAATATTTTCTCAACACTCGATTTCCTCCTTCCACGGTCTTGTCGTAAAATCTCATACCTGTTGGTGTGATGATGATCTTTCGAATTTGGAATAAGTTTTTTTCCTTATCTATAAAGGATTCGTCCATAGAATGTTGTCGTTTCTCAATGGCCCTTTCAAATAATTGTGGAAAGTCTACTGGATAGAAATGGCTGTCATCCAAGAGATCTCTCAAGGCTTGATCAATCCATTCAAATGCATAATCCTGATTCACAAAACGGACAATGGTGTTGTTAATTTGGTCATTCCTTTCGTGACATAGTAATAGACCTGGAACTTTGGTATTTAGGCATAGCAATAGGTAGAGTGTGTTAAACAAAAGCTCAGGAAATTCAATCTCAAATACTGGTCTCTCAATGTAACTCATCTCTGTGTTAACTTCAATCAAAGTATGATCTTTGTGAAGCACTTTCTCGACATCTCTCCAATCAGAGGGTGAGACGTGGTTGAATAAAATCGATCGGGTGAACTCCAACTGTGCTAACCAATTTGCATTTGAGGTGTCATTGTTGTCAGATGCTTCAGGAGCAGCAATACGTGTTTTTGGCTCTCTCTGTATTTCATACACACTGACTGTTTTCTGTCTGGTTACATAAGGTACAGTTTTCATTGCAATGATTATGAAAGATCCAAGTTGACTATACACAATTTTCTTTACATTTTTCCGTTTAATGTCCTGTGTTTTTTCATGTCATGTAAAAACAATCAATTGAGTTCATTGTATTTTACAAAATAAACGCACACTTACCATCCAAAATTTGTATCCCGACTTGGTATCTATGAAACATTCCAAATCCGACCAATCTTTGATGTAAACTCGGCCTGTTAACCCGCTATTCATAAACGTGGTTTTTTCTTTTCGGAATTGTTTGCATGCTTCATCTTCAAAATTTCCAAACTCAATACCAGAGAAAGAAAAGGATGGTTGTTTGGGGCGTTGCATTCTCTTCAGATCTAAAAGGTTATTTTTTGTTTCAGAATTTAAAGGACGTTCTTTGAAAATCTATTTGATCGTAATGAGAGAACATCTAAGAACCAATCAGATTCATGGCAACACGTGTTTTCATTTCAACCGGTTGAGAATTCCCAACTCTTGAAATGGAAGATAGTATCAATCGAAAAGATTTTCACACACAACGTCACAACACGACTCTACTGTTCATTAAATCTCATTTGAATGTACATGGCTCCAAGTCCAACAAGATAAGAAGCGACCATGTTCACAACCGTGTCATGATCCACCCTATTAAACTTGGCAAACACCACTAAAATTATCAGACCGCCAATCACAGGGAAGAGTTGTAATACTCGTTCTGAAAAACTATCAGCATCATTAGATTTTTCTCTTGTTGCTTCTGTGGGCTTCTTTTTGAGAATGGATTTTGGCATTTTACCTTCTCTGTCTTTTGAAGGTATTTCTAAATACATGTCTGGTGAATGCTTTTTTTTGTTTTTTCCTAATTGGAGAAAATCTTCTGATTCAGCAATTGAGCTACCTGATTCCATATTTTCTTCGACTGTTAGTTGTAGCTTATTTTCTGGAGATTGGCTGATGGATGGAACTGATATGGAAATGGCTGGTTGGGATGAAGATTGCTCAGGTTGTGGGTTGTACTGTCTTGACTTTTTGACGAAGGTTGGAAATGATTAACTTGTTTGGTGTTCACTGCATTCAGTAATGACGTTTCAAAGTGATTTTCTACAATTACAGGTTTGGTAAAATTACTTTTTGGATTCTCTGTTATTTCAGAAGACTCTGTTATTTCAATGACGGGATTCTTTTGGTTGTGGCACTTGCAGGTTGTGACTCAGTAACTTGTTGATTTGAGGGAGGAGATGGAGGTGATGTAGTTATCACCAATGGTTTGAATACAACCTTGATGGTTGATTTAATTGCTCTCATTGCCTCTTTCTTATCTAAGCTTCTTATATATTTCACTTGAAAGATATCTTCATATTGTTCTACCTCCTCCACATTTATATCTCTCACCTTCTTTACAAGCTCATTGAGGAAATCCGGTTTAATCCTCAACTTGCTGTTGCCATCAGTGTCACATTCAATAAATGATGGTTTGATTTTTTCCAAAATTCATGATGAATTTGTATCGTAAAGCATCAATTTTTGATGCATATGGTACATGATTAGTGTTGATAAAAACAACGAATAAATCATTCTTACATTTTCGTTTCGCACTTTGATTCTATTGTACCCTTGCTTGTTTTCAATGAATAGTGTCCAGGATTATTGCAAGAAATCACAAAATTAATACTATAACTATATGGATTAAACAAGGTGAGGGTGAGAGACATAACCGACTCTGAAGAAAATCCTTCGTATGCTCCCATATCGGAAGCAGAAGAAGTAACCGAATTCAAGAGTAATTGTCCCGACATTTCATTACTATTTGCTGATGATGAAGATATTATACTATACTCGAGTTTGGAGGGTTCAACTAAACAAACAAATTTATCATTCTCCATTTTCAATCTTTGAGTACCAAAATATATTATTTGATAATGATGATGACGACCAACAACAGTTAACTGCTTTTATCTACGCAAGGAGAGAAGTAAAAATAAGGAGTGGCTGATGAGAATCAAGAAGTACCTCCACGTATATCTCGGAATGTATACACGTGAGTTGGGATGATGGTTCAATTTTTTTAAGCCTGTTTTTTTAAGAAAATCTTGTGGACTTTGAAATCGAACAGCAAGGTGCAACCTTTGTTGAGTCGTGTTTCGAAGATGAACATGGTGAAAGGAATTGTTCATCTTCGAAACACGACTTCTAGATGGTCAAAAGATTATTTAATGATTAAACTTGTTTTTTACAAAAATTACCTCAACTCTTTTCAGTTAAGGACGAAATGTCATATTACAAACAACCACCACCCAAGCAGCTACTAGATATTGGGATGTCGATTCTGCTCCCTCGGTGCTCCCTTTCCCCATTCATACAACAATTCACAGCATGAAGTTTCCAAGACTCTCTCAGCTAAACACTCACATCCATCTCCGACACACAAACAACATGATTCTCCACAGCAGCATTCCCGACCTAATTGAATCCATCCGAAATAACATCCAAAACATCCACCACAGACTGCACATAGACCGAAAGTCATGACCACTCCGCCTCCAATCATGAGTCCTAATACACCCTGATACACATCAGCTGAGAAGAAGGAATAATATTTAACTTCAGCCCAAATGGTAATAGCTCCCAAAATTATACCAGCAAGTAAGGCTAAAAATCCAATGACAGACGCAATACTACCCACGAGGACTGTTATACTGGGACGCTTAAAGTTTTTGAGAAATGCAAGACATTGTTCTCGAGTGCCAGACATTTTTTGTGCAGATAGTATTGGGCTTAGTACAAGAGGCAACGCTGATGATTTTTTTAAACAAATTTGGAGGGTAGTAGAACGACGAGGAAATTGGGGAGCGATCCGAGATTCCACATTTGCAGTACAGCAAGCTTCGACTAAACCGTTGGGACGAACAAGTGTGGCGATTGACATTGGAGGTTTTGAACTCGTTGGAACGTTTAATGCATTTTGCCGTGGTCAGAGAATGGAAATTGTGAATGAACATTTCTCGAAAATAGACAACAATCGAAGAATCATTCTACGTTGTTGATGTGTGGTCTTGGTTCGATGATATCCAAATTCGTGATCTGATTGGTGTGCATGAACACCAAAAGTTTTTTTGACAAACAATCATTAATACATTGAAATTCAGAAAGTGCATCCTCAGACAATTGGTCCATCTCTAAACTTATTCAAATACGCACAACATGAGCTTTCTAGTACTTTCTCAGGTAAACATGCACATCCATCTCCAATACACAAACAACACTCTTCACCACAGCACATTCTAAATTGATGAACCCATCCAAAATAACATCCCAAGCAACCACCACATACAGCACATAGTCCAAAGCCCATGAGAATTGCTCCTGCAGTGGTCAAGCCGACCAACAATTCCCACCAGAATTTGGAATCATTGGCGTTGAAGGATTTAGAGCTGGAAGTGTCTGTCCAAATGGTGAGTGCTCCGAGAATGAGTCCAGCGAGTAATGTAAAGAAACCAACAACGGTAGAACAGATCCCAACAGCGACAGAGAGGCTTGGGCGTTTGAAGTCTTTGATGAATTGTTTCAACGCATCACATGACATTTTTTTTGTGATTACTGGTAGTGCGAGTGTGGCAGGTGATGGACGGATCCACAAAACTCATACCAAGTTCATTCATCGGTGTGAATTCAAAGATGCTTGTCGGTTCGTACTTTATTACATGCATGTTGTTGTGGTCGAATATTTTCACATGGTCACACAATTAATAGAAGACTCTACTGATGGTCACAGATCCATTGCCTGTGTTGTAACCTGCTTGTCCTTCTTGTTTGTCACCAGAATTGAATGAATAGGCCCCATAGTCGGGTCTTGCAACTCCATATTCATTAGAATGTAGAGATTTTCCTCCTATATAACCTCCTCCACCTTAAATGAAGAACATTACAATCATGGTTAAGATTTTAAAATTCGGTTAACGAACCTACCTCCACCTTCATGCTCAGCACCTGCTCCACCACCGAAGCCACCATCACCACCATATGAACCGCCAGTTGTTTTGCCAGCCAATAATCCCTCAAAGTATGATTTTCCTCCTCTGAATTATTCAGTATGGATTGTTGTGAACAAATAGTCCAACATGTACTTACGTGCAAGAGGATCCATCAGATCCATTGACAAAGAAGCTACCACCTCCACCACCTCTGTTTGCAGTTGATGGCGTATTTTTGAGACCTTCAGTAACCGTTGGATTTGGAAGTTGGCCGTCAGGTCTGTCAATCATCATGAACAAAAACAAGTGATGGTATGCAAATCCATACGGATGATGTTCCAGAATTTTCACTTACCCATTAACAGTGAAACTATACCAGTTTGCCCCATTACCACCTGCAGCAATAATTAGTGGTTGTTGAAGGTCAGCATCTACAACAAATGTACCTCCGCCACCTTAAATTACAAACAAATCAATGGTTAATATTGTCACAATATGAACACCCAAAGAAAATGAAACTCACCTCCTGCTGCACCTCCTCCTGTACCACCTTTAGCATCTTCACCCTTTTGGCCAACGATAATGCTAATATTCTGACCCTTCTTTAATTTAAACACTCCTGAAACCATGGCTCCTTTACCGCCTGTTAAAGTTGAATTTAATTCTCATTTCATCATGTGTTACTACGATAGGACTTACCTTTGGTTGTGGTACTGTACGAGTTTTCTCCACCTTAGAAGTAGCATGTCATAACAAAATCATTATTGAAATACAAAGTAACAACAAATCAAACATACCACTTGCACCAACAGCTACAATCTTATATTTGCCTGACGAATGAACCTTCCAATTCTGAAAACCATTCTTCAATGTTAACACTTTACAAAGCTCCTTAGGATAGTGTCCTTCGAACGTTGTAGGTATGGTTGATCCTGTACATCCAAGAGAGGTGAGTGTGAACACTTTCTTGTAAAATTTGGGTGTTGCTTCTTCTTCGTATGGCAGCTCTCTTTCCAAAAAGGAGAAATGTTTCCTTCTTTCTTCAGGAATTGATTCAGCATGCAGTTGAAATTTCATAGCCTCAAAAATTGTTGGTTGGAGTGTTTTCTGTTTGTCTACCAACAATGGGTGATATTCCATTTCAGTGAGTGTGCGAGGGTCCATTAATGGGAAGCGAATTAAGCTTAAAAACTCCTCAATGTACTTGCTACGTTCATCCCTGTTGTGGTCGACCCATTTCATAAGAGCATTGAAAAGAATGTCTTCTGGAATAACAATCAGATCAGATTTCAAAAAACGAAGAAGATACTCTGGTGTCATGTTGACGAAATCTGGTCTTTGTACAACGTCATCAAATTCACCACATATTTTGGCAACTACATTTCTTCTAATTTGTTCAATTTCGTCCAAATCGCAATACCTCTCACAAGCATCAATAAGCGAAAAAACATGCTCAGATAAACTTGATTCATGCAATGCTTCTCTAAACACAATTTTTCAATCTCTGGAATTTCAAATCTATTTGCAAAAGCATACAGATCAACGAAATTGTGGACTGGATATAAACCTGACTTGCCCGAATAAATCACACGCAAAAACATTTCAAACGCCACAGGATCAACGTCGTCAAGAGGAACTTCTTTGAGACCAGCTTCCATAAAGTCGCCACAGAGCATGGACTAGTATCCCCTTCAGTAGATCACAAAATAATAAAAACAACAACTCACCTTGAACACGGGACTCCATCCAACCACCAAAGCTTTTATGGCGTAAAACCTTTTTCTTCCAATCGTGAAAACAATATCAGAGAATTCTTCTTGATTGTAGAGAGAAGCTAACTTTTGTTGGGCAGCTTCGGGGTTTTCAATCTCGGAATGAGTGTCTTGAAGACCGATGAGCTCTGTAAAGTTTACAGAAGGTGTTTGGGGTGTGATCGGAGTTTGATCACCTTGTGGTTGGGTGTTTGATGATGATGATGGTGGCGTTGTTGTGTTGCCAGCAGGAACGTATTCGTCGAATGGTGATAAGGGGTCAAGAATATCCATTCTGGAGCTTTTTTTTAAATTATTGCGATCAAAAAAGTTCTCAAGTTCACCACTGTTCCAATCCATTGTTTTTTACTTTCGTTTTTGCTTTCTCTCTGCTGTTTTCTGAATAGCTTCATTGATTTGCATCCAGTCTTCAGAGCTCTCTTTCTTTCGAATCTTTTTCTTTTTACCTGCATCCAAAGCACGATCGTATTCGTCTCTCTTAAAAACTTTTGGAGCCAGAACTTTCTCATTGATGTATCGTTGTTGTTTTGCATTTTCTCTAGCCTCATCATTCTCCCAAATATCTACCTCTTCAGAATATTGGGCAGATGCAGAGGTGAATAGGTCCTTGGCAGATATTTTGGTACATGATGTGTTGCTCTGCTTTGAATCTTCTTGAAAAGTATTATTCGTGGTTTCATTCAATTCGTGTTGCTGCTCTTCTTCACTGATATCGTCCATCATCTTTCTCTTGGTGCCTTTCTTTTCAAAAACAGATGGTGACATTTGTGAGGTTGGTGAGAATAAAGGAGAATCGGAAACAAAGTTCTCGAGAGCAAACGGATTTTGGGGTGTGCCATCATTGGGATTTATAACTTTGAGAGGCGTGGAAGGTGTGTCAGTACGAAACAATCTTTCTCTTTTGAATATATCTTTTTTAAGAGTATCGAGATAGTTCTTATTGATCCACATAGTATTGATGTTGGTTGCATTAGTGAGAGAAATTGGACTAAATAACCCTCCTACACCTCGCAGATTGAGAACGCCAACAGAATTTGAAGGTCTTTGAGCTTTCAAGCAGTTGAGTTTTTGTGGTGTTAAATTTTGCAATACATCGATCTTAACTGGTGCATAAAATGGTGATGGCAGTTCAGGTGCTAAGACATGAGAGGATGGAATGGTAAGGTTTGTTGGTTTTTTGGAACTGGAAGATTTTTGAGGAGTGCCAACGGTGCCTGAAGTAGGAGTAGACGAGTCTGCAGTTTGGGAAGAGGATGTTCCATTCGTTTGAATGGCAAGGTTGGATACTTTTCTTCGGGATTTTTGGGTGGGTGTGACAGAGTGATGACCGTTTTCTTCGATTGATGGTTGACCATTACTTTGAGGTGTTGTTGGAATAATGTTGGAGGAAGAGACTGGAGGAGTTTGCAACTCAATGGTGTCTTCTACATCCTTATGTTGAGTCACAGATTGGGAGGAAATTCCGTTCTTGTTTTCTCGATATCGTTGAATAGACTCTTGGAAAATTGTAGATGATTCTATATGATTAAAGTCTTCCATGTTTCTCGAGTAAAATAAAATGTAGGCTTGTTGGGAAAGTGCTGTGCTTTGACTAACTTGAGTGACTGATGAGTCGTCCATTTTGTACCATATTCCATTACTATTCTTGACATAGGAGTAGTAATGTCCAGAGCATGATGAACCACCAGAATGCACTAAAACTCCATAGAGATGATATTTCGCCACAGAATTTTTGTTACTCATGTATGGGGATAGATCTAAAGTATCTTCATAGGATATCTTTTTGCTTACTTTCTTTCCAAAAATGTTAAAACGTTTAAGTTGAAGAATTAAATTAATTGGAGCCTCATGAATTGTCAGCTTTTTGGAGGCTGTGACATAGGTGTTTGTTTTAGGGCATTTGTACTTGTTTTTCCCATCTAAACGGTCAGGTGTAATGTAATTTTGAAGAGATTTTTCAATCGAACTACAATTATTCAATTGCAGTTCAACATCAATAAATGCATCGTACTTGTTTGAGATGTAGTTTGTCTCTTGAGTTTTGATTTGACTTCTTAGGTAGCCACCAAAAATCTGGTGAATTGGATTTGTTTCCAGAACCATGTTATTGAGCTTTCCTTTGTATTTTTCCACGATTGCATTCTCCATCTTGTCAAGAAGCTTGATAATGAATTCGTGAGAATCCTCTTGTCTGCCCAACACAAAACCACCAATCCCTTTCAAGTGTTTTGCAATGAAAGCAGGTGCTATTGATGAATAGGCTCTTGTTCTAGCCGATGTTGACTCAGACTTGTCGCTAGCAAACATCTCTCTAGCTAAAGCTGACATGGCATCAAGCGCGTTGAACTTTTTGGAAGGCTCTCCCATCTTTCTTGTGAGTAAAAAGTTACGCATACCTGGTGTATACATGATGCATTGCAAAGCTGCGTTCATAAAGCAAGTATTTCCTAGATTTTGCAAGCCAGGGCCAATCTTTTTGATCTCAGTCCATGTGTTAAGAGCAATGATCTTTTCTCTCGGAAATAGAAATGTTGATGGCGTCTCCAATTCCTTATTATGTTCAATGCCATTGTCTTGTATTGTTGATGATGAGGAGGTGGATGTTGTTGCTGTTCCGTTAGTGGACTTGGAAGTAGTTTTAGATGACGAATCAAAAACAAACACATTGTTGGACGTTCCATTGATTGGTTTCATATTCGAAAAAAGATTTTCATACTTGTCAGGGAGCTGAGCCTTTACAAACGGTATTCTTTGTTCAATTATTTGAGCGGAGCCTTTGAGATAGGAACTCAACTGGTCCGTGTTTTCAATGTCGTCATCACCTTGCTCTTCTTTTTGATATTTTTTGATATCTCTTTCGTCTTCACTGTCATCAGACACCTCTTCTTTTCGGCTTCCGTTTGTTCCAAAATTTCGCTTTTTTGTTGTGGTGTTTGTTCGGTTTGATGTGGATGATGAAAGAATACCTCCATTTTCGTCTTGCATCATGCTGCGGCTCTCTTCGTACGCATGATGACCATTATAGCCATTAGATGATGTTCTTTTTAAAAACTTGCGAGGTCGTCGAGGGGTGGCGTCTTCACCGTTTAATGGCACCGAAGCTTTTGTGCTCATTTTTTCTTTCAACAAAATCCTTGTCGGAGGTTGGTTGGTCTGACAATATTTTAATTGAATGGATTTTGTGAAAGATTGAAATCAGAAATACCAATTTTCTCAATATTGCGAATCGAACCATACAAATTAAAGAGCTGCTTTTTTCTTTCCATTAACTACTGATTTAAATTGGGAAAACACATCTTGCTCGCTTGTTAGGGAGATTGGTCCATGCCAAAAATAATGCTTTTTTCTTGAGGTACAACAAGCTTCAACAAAGACTTCCAAAAATCGGTCAACAGTAAGCTCTGATTTGGCCACAAGTTCATCTGCAGTCAAATATTCCTTTTCATTATTTGTATTCAAACTTTGCGAGAATGGAACTTGGTAATAACATACAACTAGCAATTTCTCTCCAGTGCTCTTCATATATTGGTGACCAATGGCTTGCATGGCTATTCTAACTTTTTCTGATGTGAGGTTTTTCTGATGGTTCTTCCAAGCCCAATAGAATTTGCTCCTTTGCTTCAAGTCAGGAATTGTGTTTGAGCCGTACATGAGCCTATAAACGTCATCCAACTTGGTCATGTATGGATCAAAGCTGTGAAAACGAATTAAAAATGGAATGGGATCTGTGGAGAAAGCATGGTCAAATAATTTAAAACTTCTATTTTCGATTATGTACTTGATTAAATCGTGTTTAACGAGACGAAATACTTCTTCGTGTGCAGTTTGTTTTAGAATGTCATCTTCTGCAGGTTTCTTATCAGAGTTAAAGAGATGTTTTAATCTTCTTGCTTTTCTATAAATGTATTGTTTTTTAAATACTTTGAAGGTTACCAAGCTTTTAGTACAATCATTGTTTGAATAATCACTCGAGATTGACTCAAAGTCTCTATTTTTGAAAATTGATGTGGGTTCTTTTGTGCTTGCAGCTTGATGATGTGGAACAGTATTACTTTGCTCCAGCGCTGTTTGCTCTTGATAGATGCTGTTTTCCAAGAGTAGTAAATGTTCCTTCCATAATTCATAACTGTCCATTAATAAGATCCGATGACTTTCTCTATTCAATAAACACAATTTCATTAGAACCGTTTCCACATCACAAAATGAAACAATCTCACGAGCCATGTCACGGGAAGAGCACCAAACGACATTTTTTTAAAGTCGAACTGTGTGAGACAGTGAGACGAGCTGCACTTGGAACTTGCACAATTTATTTACAAGGCTTTAAAGCTCTCACCGTATACCATAAAACTACTGTAGCATTCTGACAACAACAAACTCCCAGAATAATTTGATCACCAGCAGCAGCCTCCACCATACGAGTCAGTAGAGTTGGGTTCTGTATTGGAGATGTTGACATTGTCAGAGGATTGTGCTTTGTTGCGAACTGGTTCAGTGCTTTCAAGTAGATTACTCGTGTTCAGAATTTGGTAAACAACTTCCTCAAAGGCCTTATCTACGTTCTCTTTTGTTTTTGCGGATGTTTCAATGTAGACCATGTTATTTGATTTTGCAAAATTATGAGCTTGTTCGACAGTGACCTTTCTGTCATCCTTTCGTAACGGAATTAATATGGGTTCAATTAAGTGTTAGTAAATACGTGGGACAGGTATTGATAAACCAACCTTAAGATCAATCTTATTGCCTATTAATAATTTTACCTAAACGACGGAAATGTAAAACATGAATGTAAAGTCATACACAATCCAACATAATTTTTACATACACAATCCTCAAATGTTGAATACAAGTCGCATTCTTTCAACCAATTTTTTAGATTATCAAACGTCTCAGGTCTAGTGACATCATAAACGAGAATAATTCCGTGAGAATTTCCTGTGGTTTAGAATTTTGGTTTTTGAATTTGATTTTTGAATGCATTTAATAATTGCTAGTTATGAAACCTACTGTAATAACTAGAAGTTAGTGTTCCTAGAAATGTTGATGTAAACTCAAACAATTCAATACTGATATTAATACTTACTAAACCGTTCTTGTCCTGCTGTATCAAAGATCTTGTAAGAAATACTGTAATGCGGCAATCTTCATGAAGAATTTACATACTGTCAACTTCACTTTTTTCTTGTTTACAGTCATAAATTTTACTTTACTACAATGTGACAATATCCGATATTGAAAATCTAAAATAAATGTTCATGGTTGTTCTCCATGTGTAAACTTACAAATCAACTCCGATTGTAGGGGATATTTGTTCTTTGAACTCATCTTCCGTGAACTGTGTAATTATACTACTCTATTTTTACCAATTAAATAATTATCAATAATATCCATCGATCATTAATTATCAGGATTTTCGGAATATAGATGACTCACCTTTCCAGTGGCACTGTCGCCAACCATCTATTCCGATCACACAATATCAAGCGATTGTTGAGGTCATCATGATACAAACGATCATCAAAAACAATTAAAGAACAACGACATCATCGTTACTTACAACCAGCTTAAAATTGTGGTCAAAGGCTTTGTTGCTCATTTTTTAAATATTGTTCGAAATAAATAAATTATTCTATCATCATTTCCCTTAATTCCAAAATAGAGCATCTTTGGAATCGAGTCTATCGACCTTTGATCACATTTTGCGCTCACGTTTACCCTTGTAAGAAGACTCCGGGAAACAACCCCATCTTTTATCAGAAAAAAATTCAATTTTACACAAAGACCTCACCATCATCACACAAATGTCCAAAGCACAATCATCAAACAACAGTACTGGCAAGGGATCTACCTCCTTCCGTGCTTTTTCTCTCTTTAAAAACTTTGCAGAATATTTCATTGATGTACCCAAGGAATCTCACTTTTATGAGAGAGGTGTTTTGACCCCAGAGGAATTTGAAAAGGCTGGTGATTTACTCGTTTCCAAATGTCCAACATGGTCATGGAGCGCAGGTGAATCTTCCAAAAGAAAGGATTATCTTCCTGCCGAGAAGCAATTTCTGATCACGAGAAATGTTCCTTGTTTGAGACGTTGCAGCGAATTGATTGAGATGGCAAAGGATGAAGAAGCTGTGGAAGATGGCGAGTGGATTGCTACTCACGTGAATCAAACAAAGGAGAAGGAAGAAATTGGAGAAATTGAGAGTGGATCAGCATTGGCTCAAAATGATCTTGTAGTTCATACGGCCGATGATGAAGAAGATGATGACGAAGAAGCCATTGATATTAATAATTATTCTGATTCGGAACTTGAGGATACTATCAAAGATAAAGGAGCTCTCGAGGCCAACAGCGGAGATGATATTCTCAAGACGAGAACCTATGATTTGAGTATTACCTATGACAAGTATTATCAAACTCCACGAGTTTGGCTTTTTGGATATGATGAACGTGGTGCCAAATTGGAAACTGAAAAAATTCTCGAGGATATTCATGCCGATTACGGAAATAAGACTGTGACAATTGAACAACATCCACATTTGAATACTCAATGGGCCAGTATTCATCCATGCAGACATGCTGAGGTCATGAAAAAGATGGTTGATCGTTTGTCAGGAGGTGGAGATGGTGACAAACAATTTGTGAGAGTTGATTTGTATCTTTTCTTATTCTTGAAATTCATTTCTTCAGTGATACCAACCATTGAATATGATTTCACAACTCAAGTTGATTAAATCAGTTACGTTTCTAACAAATTCCAATTTTTGCAGAATCTAAAGTTCCCAAAGTCAAATTTAAGGTTCATTTCATCGTTTTTAGGTTGTTTTGTTTTATTAAGGATTATTCAATCATTGACTATTCAGCACCTCTGTCCATTCTTTGTGCAATTGTTCGAGCGAATCCAATATTTGTGAAAAATCAGGACGTTCAGTGTCATCATTTGCCCAACATGCTTTCATGATTGAAATAAACGAGTCAATTATTGGGACCAGTGACTCTGGTTTGGTTATTTCAGAGTTTTTCACAGTCTTGTTGCAATGTAAATACCATTCAAGCTTCAAAACATCTTCATCAATGATGGTAGGAGAATTGACATCGAGAATGGTGGAATCAAGATTTGTAGGAGAGGATTGAATTTGAAGAATTGGTCGAGCATGAGGTTGTTGCTGCAGTGAGGGAAGAGTATTCTCCCATGGAATCATTGGTCTCTTGCCATGAATCACATCGTTACCAATGGCAAAAATACTAATCATATCACTGGTGTTGTTGGTCGTGTCACCTGAATTGCCCGATCCAGAATATGAATCTGAAAGATGTGGCGAAGACGAGTCACTATTGGATGATGTCAAGAAAGCAAGGCTCTTCTTCGTGTGGTTCGAAACAGGACACTTTGGAAGATCGCTGTACGGATGAACCATAAAGAATAGTTCATACATGAGAATGGCAAAACTATAAACGTCACACTTGGTGGTATATCTTCTTGACTGTTTCAAAATCTCTGGAGAGGTATATTGAATAGTACCATAACAAACACCTGTCATGGTGAGAGAGGATAGTGGTTTTGAAACACCAAAATCGCAAACTTTTGCAAGTCCTGCTTCATCGAGTAAGACATTTTGTGGTTTCTGTTGTGTTAAAAAGAAAATTAGAGGAAGAGTTGCATTAATTTTCAATTCAAACTTACCAAGTCACGATGAATGATTGGTGGTCTCGTATTATGTAAATAAATTAAAGCTCTACAAATATCTTTGAGTATCTCTAATTTTCTTCCAAATGTAATAATTTCATTCTTTGCCTTCTTTTTGTTATAAATAAGCTTGTCCAAACTACCGCCTTTGACAAATTCAGTGATAATGTACTTGTTGTCTTCGTCAACACTAACACCCATCATCAAGACAACATTTGGATGTCTTAGTCCAATTAAAATACTAGCTTCGTGTTCAAATGTTTCATCGTCGTCACTACCAAATTGATTCGATTTGATTCGTTTGACAGCGACTTCAGTACCTTTCCAAGCTGCTCTAAATATCACACCTCCTGCTCCTTCAGAAACTCTTTCTTTAAATTCTAAATCTTCAATTGGTATAAGATTTGCAGTTTGATGCGTGGTTGTGTCCGTAGATGCATAAAACGACTTGGTATTATGTTCCAATAATTTAGAAAGCATTTCATCTTCTGCTCGTTTCTTTCTTTTCAAAGCCACTGCCTGTCGACGGAACATAAAACCAAATATTGAAAGTGGAATAGCAATGGCAATAATGACAATTAATGAAACAATGATAATGATTGGAACTACCATACATGCGGCCACAGATGTGTTTCTTTCTGTGAAAGTAGGTAAACTCAAAGGACATATCGAACATTGTATGGCGCCTTCAATGTCAGAATAGGTGGAAAATGGACATGTGGTGCACTGATGATCCTTGTTAAGGAAAAAACCTTTTTCACATGCAATGCATGCTGTTGAATTTAGAGAACCTGCAGATGATGTCGTTGAACCTGTTGGGCATGAAAAACAAAATGATGAGCCGCTCATGTTAGAATAGAAACCAATGGGACATAAAAGACAATCACTTTCACTGAAGGAGCCAGATTTTGACAAATACGTTCCAGCAGCACATTTGGTACATGATGCCTGTCCTTTTCTATTGCTGAACGTTCCAGGTGTACAAGGTAGGCAACTACTGGCATTTGAAGAACCAATGTTTTCGTTATAGGTTCCAACGTCACATTCTGTGCATTGTGACGACCCTTCTGCACTTGAATATTGTCCACTTGGACACTAATTTTGTAGAATTTTTAAGCACAACAATGTGTGAAAAGTCAAGAAATGTAAATTACACAAAAAGTCTTCTTACCTTAATGCAATCCAATGCAGTAGAACTTCCTGGATTGGGGTTGTAAAATCCAGCAGGGCACAACGTGCAATTACCATTACCAACTGAGGAAGAGAACGATCCAGGTAGACACTAATTTTACACAACAACACGACACATCATTAGCAAGATTACATGTAATGTAGTGTGTATATCGTTCAAAAAAATTAGTATTCTCAGTTCAACAATTCATCCAAATAAACATACCTTTAAACAGCTCTCTGAGCTATTTTGTCCATAGAGCGGTTGATAATGTCCAGTTGGACACGATTCACAAGCCCATTCTCCAGATTTATCTGAATATTGGCCAGGAGGACAAGGTAAGCAACTGGAAAGCCCATCCTTTGGGGCGTAGGTGCCTGGATCACAACTCAAGCATTCTCGTGCCCCTTTGGTTGGTGCATAAGTTCCAACATCGCACTTAAAGCAAGCAGATTGGCCTTCTTGATCATTAAAGTAGCCAGGATCACAATACAAGCAAGAATTGTTTGATGTCGATGCTTTCAAAGGATTGTACGTTGTGGCAGGACATGCTGTGCAATAGGGAGCTCCTTCCGTGTCGCTGTAATATCCTGGTTCGCATGGCAGACATGTATCATTAGATATTGCTGCAGTGTTAGGACTGAACGTTCCTATTGGACATTGACGACATTCTTCATCTTTGAACATGATGGTGTAAATAGTTGGAAGTGATGGAAGCGTCTTGTTCACAAAGGCGACAACATAGAGTCTGTCCATTTCACTGTAGGCAGAGTAAATGGAGGCATAAACTTCACGACTATCTAAAGGTCGTTCCTTGTACCATCTTTCATGATTTCTGACACAGTACTTTGCGGCAAAGAATCTTGGTTGTTTTTCATTGGGATCTCCAATGTTAGAACCTCCAGGCTATCATGATACCAATATAGATCATTTTCAATAAAAATTATGTTTTGGTATTGATTGTCACTTACCTTAATAACTCCTGTCACGTAGGTATATCCACTAGAATCGACATCAAAGGAAGTGTTGTAAACATTTTGAAAGGTCAGCATGCTCTGCAAAAATCCATTAGAATCTGTTTTGGTCAAGAAAAAGTTTCTATCGTACTGGCTGGTCACAGTGGTGTTTTGGAACGACACAAATGATCCAAACTCTCCAGAAAACAAAATATTACGATTTGGATCAAATTTGAGTACACTACTAAACTCTGAGGTAAAGAACTCATCTGATGTTTTCATATTGTCGTCAGAGCTAGAGTTTGTGGTAATCGATTGAATCCAAAGAACACGTCTATTGCCAGCTAAATCCATAGGGCTAAATTTCAAAATGTAATATGATAATACGGTTGGATCAGTGTTCAAAATTTGCTTATCTTCGAATCTAACGGCGCTTCTGAAAATTCCTGAAATTACAACATTGTCCACAGCATCTGGAAGCACTGAAAAACCTTTGGACATTCCTTCACTTGTTGTCATCCACAAACAAAAGAGTTCAAACGACGACAATTGAAATACGATGGTGTTGACAAGTGAAGATGAGGTAGCAGTACAACCAGAGTCAATCTCCACAGATCCTCTATATCCACCAGTGATAAATATCATGCTACTATCTGCAGAGAGACGTACGGACTCGGGAATGACGTTTCCAAATTCCTTAATATGCGAAATGGTTCCATCAGGCTTAATTTTTATCAATACTCCAATGAATTGAGTTAAGCCAAATACTTGCAATTGCTTCCAACCAACAATCCATGTGTTTGAATAATCGTCGGATGTCACGCTTGTCACAACAATGCCTTCTTGTAATGTGTTATTCTGATCAATAAGAAGAATTGAGGAATATAATTCTGAAGATGCGTTCAATACGCTTCCGAATTTGACAGAAATACCATTGCCTAAAGAATGTAACGTTGGAGAGATGCCATAGCCTGTGTATGATATTTGTCCATGGGCATCAAAGGAAATGTATAAAGATGGTGGAAATCCATAGAGCATGATGGGGCTTACAAATCGATCTGCACTGCTTTGATTATAAAGATAGTTTCCCACACCACAGTGGGTATATCCCTGTACGATTTCAAAGCTACACTGTTCCCCTGTGTAATTGTAAAAACATTTACAAATATCATTTGCAACACAATCTCCGTGAGAGGAACAAACAGAGTCATTGGTAGCATAGAGTCCAAAACATCTTGCAATCTCGCAGTTAGTTCCAGAATAGCCATCATTGCAGACACAATAGTCATGAAATGCACATCTACCATTACCTGAGCATACAGAAGTGTAGTTTTGAGGCACACCAAAGCATATAGGGTATTGACAGGTTTCTCCTGAGAAGGTAGAGAGTGAACAACTGCATGAATTTGGACTGTCGCATCGCCCTCTTCCAGAACAAGCTCTAGAATCATCCTGCGTATAGGGACCACACAAAGGAATAATGCATTCACTTTCACAGGTATCACAGCCTTCAATGATTGTGGATATAAGAGCGTTTGAAAAACCAACAGGATTGATTCTGGCGTTGGAGTCACCAATCACTTGGACACTACCACTAAAAGTGGTGGCTACATAGAATTTTCTAGGATTATAGGTGTCTGTAGTTAAAGTTATGGATTGTGTAGCAATGATAGAGCCCTTTAAAATTGGCTCTCTGTACACCTCTTCAAGAATGAGCTCGTCACTGTTTTGAATGGTATTAATTTTGAATTTTTGTGAAAACAGAGTAACCGAGCTAGGCACACCAAAAGTGATAAAACTATCCCAATCAATGTTTGCAAAAACATTTCCTTTCTTTCCAACTACCACCAAATCTTTGTCTGCATTTAGAGAGGTACGTACTCCAAAATATGGGCTATCATAAATGAGTAGAGCTGAAATAAATGCTCCATCTTGCGTCGAAATTTGAGTAACAACATTGCTAAAGTTTGCAAGTAAAACGTTGATGATGAGCTTTCCATTTAGACAGATAATATCATCAATGGACTTTGCTCCATCAATTCCAATAATGTGATTCCAGCGCAAAACTGGAGCAGAAGGTTGAGAAATGTCATAACTTGCAATGAATACTTTTTGAACAAATCCTACATCTTCCAGAAATGTTTGAACAGTACCTGTTATGTAAATTTCTTGATAATTCGATGATATTTCCATCAAGTTGACGTTCACCGAGTTATACTCAATAGCTAAGGTAGGTTCAATCTTGGTGATAAATACAACAGTTCCATTATTGGGATCTAGCACTCCAAAAAATACCGAACTCTCTTTCTTTGAATCTATAGTGGTCAGAATATCCAGAAATTGAATTTTAGTGTTGAAAACTCCAGTAAAATAAAGTGTAGCATCGTTACCGTAGACAATATCTTTGACGATGACAATGGGAACGCTGCCCATAATTGTAGGTATCGAAATTCTTGGAGGAACAAACAATGGAGGTGGTAGTTCTGCTATCTTATTGACAGTTGGTTGGGCATTAACTTGTGACACACTAAATTGAAATATCATCAAATGTTCATTGGGCTTGTAGTTGTTATCTGCAATAGAAATATAGGGAGCGGGAAGTTCGCCAGCAAATCCCACTCGTCTTAAGCCATGAATAAAGAAATAATCTAGTGTATACAAATAGAATTTGGTATTTCGTGAGACAGAACCAATTTTGATCATCCTTGAGATCTGTGACGATTGAGAATAAATGATCCAAAAGGCTTGGGTTATTCCAGAAGTAATATTAGAGACAACATTGTCTGCCACTAAAGTGTCAGATCCAGATGAGTGACCTATTAAATATCTATGGCTTTCATCAAGAACGAATTTTCTCAAGTCCACTTGCAATGTTGAGATTGTGTTGAACCATTCTCCTGTCTCTTCTTGCGTGGCCCCTCTTATAAAATTCATCTTCGTTGATGAAACAGTTCCATTCCGTATAATCATGGGATGCATAAAATCTTTACTACAATCCACTATCGTCACTTTGTCATCATTCCATTCTTGAGTGTTGTAATTGTAATATATGGTTGTGGCACTCATGAAATCCGTGCAGTAAATAAATAAAATCATTATTAGGATGATCATCACCACCCGCATGTTCGTTAAAAGGAGTTCCATAACATGAGATCCTGATGATGTTATTGTAGATGATGAAGATGCTCTTATCATATTATTATTGGAACAGCTTGGATGGCAGTTGGTTTCGGATAAAGACCGCCCCGATAAAGATGATACTCCAAGTTTCATCTTACCGTTCAAACGATCATGATGATGATTCAAGATCTTGTTGTTATGGACCATCCATGGTTGTTGTGTGTGTTGACACTTGTGCTGTGTGTCTGAGAAGAGCTGCTGCAGCGCACGTTTTGATGAGCAGAGAGAATCATGATGCAGACTTGAAAAAATCTCTCTCTTCATTTTTTGTGAGGATGTGAGCTTTGCTAATGATGAACAGTTTCGCAAGAGCCGAGTTTGCAACCATGGACTGGAGTGGTCCCTTTGAAAGGTTGGGTCATCATTCTGTTGAAGCCAGCTGAAGTAATTTAAGACCACGAGAAGAACAAAGGGTTGGTCAGAGTTAGTTGAATGAAAAAAATGTTATCACCACAACATCAAGCTTTATCTTCTTCCTTCACAACAACCACAGAGGCTTCATTGAGTAGTAGTACATTTGAACCTGTCGGTAATTTATTTGCCCTCAAGGGATTTGAAAAATGTAGATTAACAACAGCAGGAAGACCCATGTATGCTTCCGAACTGAAGGAAATTGAAAATATGATTGTTGTTGGAATTGCTCTGATCGATAATAACGGAAAGGAAATGAAAGATTTTAATCATGTATATTTATCGACACATAGAATATATTTTTTGAGTCATGCGGAATCATCTGGCAATAATGGAGTTTCTTATGATTACGGGCTTTCATGCTCATTATCAATCGTGGAAAGAGTTGAAAAAGAAGGTGGAGGATTATTCCGATCACCAAAAACCAAAATTCTAATCAAGTCCAAAGATGTCACCGGCGAAATAGTAATTTCATTTAGAAAGGGGAAGCGAGACGAGTTTGTGGAATGTATTAACGAGCAATTAAAGAAAAAGAAATGGTTAGAAAGTTTACCAACAGTAAGCTCAACTCCATTGTTTACGACACCAACAATAACGTCGTCTTCGCTTGGATCGATGGTGTCAGCATCTACGGACTCATTAGAAAGTATGAGCAAAAAACCAAAGAATTTTCAAACAAGCACTGCAGGTATTGCAGGTATCATGAAAAGAATTGACGAGGAGAATTTAGAAGAAAGAAAGGAGTTGGATGAAGCCTTTTCAGATCTGAAAAAGCTCATGGAAAAAGCAGAAGATATGGTTAATTTAGCGGAATCATTTAAAAACAAGATTGTACAACGAAATAAGAGCGTAACACATAACAATACGGCAGAAGAAAATGAAGAGGAAAATCAAATGTTAGATTTCTTACTGAACTTGGGTCTGTCTTCCCCAGTCACAAAACAATCCAGTGGAGCTCAATACCATCAACAACTAGCAAGACAACTAGTAGATTTTCTCGACAACATTGTCCAAGAGAGATATGGAGGAGTGATCACATTAACAGATGCCTTTTGTTTATACAACAGAGCCAGAGGAACTGCTTTAATTTCTCCTGAAGACATGCAAATTGCATGTTCTTTATTTGAAAAGCTAAAACTACCAATGAAGTTAAGGACTTTTGAAAGCGGCGTTGTAGTCATTCAATCCTCTCGATACTCGGACACTTTAATGGCCAACAAAATAGAATCATTTATTCGAGAGGGAAGAGAAAAGGATGCCATGTCCTATTGCTATATTACTGCTGTGACGTTGGCAAGATTGCTGAATATAAGCGCAATATTGGCAAAAGAATTACTGTTGTCAGCAGAGGCTGCCAAGAAACTATGTCGTGACGAAAATGAGGAGGGTATTCGATTTTATTTAGTCTCTGATGTTTTTGATCCTTTTGTTAATTATTAATGGTAATAATTATTAAAGTTAAGTCTCGTTCTCAAATCATCCACTACAATGCAAGCCATTTGTTAAACAAAATACAAAATTGTGCTTCATTTCGACAACTTACAGTGTTCATGAATGCCCCTAGAAAGGATGCTGTTAATGATGGTAAGCAACATTTTGAAACTTTTCTTGAACTCGTCCTCCATTTCAAGTAACTCTGATAAAAATATATCTTCTCTTTGTGTTTCCTTAAAGTTATTCAATTTTGTGCGAAGTGTTATGCAAATTTGCACAACTTTGAAAATGTGATTTTTCACAAATTGTGCTTTTTTGAGGAGAAATCGATCCTTAATCTTATTCATATAGTCCTGGTGATAATTTCGTAAATCATCAAGATCTTGTGACGATAGAACATTGTCACATAATTCATTCCACAAAGTATGTAATATTCTATTCATCATATAATACTGAACAGCGCTTATGAAATGTTTCAACTGGTTTAAGAGGCTATAAAATTTGAGATAGGCATTTCCTCTATGCACAAAGGCGTCGGTTTTCAAGCTCATGATTTCCAATACTTTGAAAATCGTTAGTTGACTAAATATTTTTAACCATTAACATACCTTGTTTTGCTTGTTTAAGTTTAAGATTAAAAATCAACACTTCATTGTAGTGCTGAACATGTTCTGTAGAGATAATAACGTTGAGAGGCCACTCTAATTCAAAGTTAAATACTAGCCCATCAAAAAAGTTTCCATCTTCGATCTTGATCTTGGTGTCATCGAAGATCACAGATATTTTATCTTCTAAAGTAAGAGATGAAAATACGTCGGTAGTATAAAAAGAGGTAGAATTGTTAGTTGCAAAAGAGTATCGTCTTGGATATTCTACTCCAAGACGCAAAGTATCTCTCAATATCATTTGGATGTCAAATGTGGTAATACCGCGAAAATCGAATGCAATGAATCGATCAGAAAGATGAAACAACTGCGTTGAAAAGTAGTCCATAATGTCACCTGCTTCCATTAGAAAAATAGCTCGAATAGCTGTGAGATGGTCAATGAGCTTCGATCTATAAACTATCAAATTGCACAAGTAGGGAGCTATGCGTGAATATTGTTCCTTAATATTCTTAAAAAGACCTAACTCAAAATTAATTTCAATAGGCTGTTCAAGTATCTTGCTTGAAGACATGTAATGATTGTCTGACACGCACTGAAAGTCAATCACTTCTGATAAACTCTTTTTCTTCAGCAAATTGAAAATATTGCTTGTTTGATCGTCTGACCTAAAGGGGTCTGTGGCGAGTGAGAAGAATGATTTATCCTTGTTATCGGTTGGATCTGAAATAGTATTGCTGTACAAGTCTTCAGTTTCTAAGAGGGATAACATTCGTTTTTTTTTTGGAGGTGATCTCATAAAATGGATTGAACCAATTGGAATAGATTCAGAACAAATAGAAATTGGAGATGATAGCTCTACAGTGTTAGAATTTTCGTTGGTGTTATCTTTTCTTGGTTTATGGATTGATCGTAACAGTGTCAGTGCTTTTGGAGATGTTTCCGTTTTAAAAGTCTCACATGCATGAAAATTTTCATGGTTTACATCACCATTTCTAGAATCCAAATCCAAGGCTGTTTCTAATAGTCTATAGAGAGAAGGTTTTTCTTTATCCAACATGTAGTCACCTATGGAGCTTGTGTCCAAAGTAATTTCGTGCTTGGTTTCAATGTCTTTCATCAAGATAATGGATTTTCCAATACTAATAATTTTATCCTTGGTGTTGGAAAAAATGTTTGGAATTTTGGATTGAATAAATCCTTCAGTCCAAAATAAAGGTGTTTCAACATTCAAATTGTCGTTTTTCGAGAGCATAAATTCTTGGAATTTGTCTTGAATAATTCCTTCGAATATCCAAGAATCCATTATTCCCAGGTAAGATTTAAGCATGGACATCAGTAGTCGATAAACCAAATCATATTCGTCATTGGTGTTGGTATGCATGTACTGTAGATGTGTGATTTTTTCGTAGAAGGAGGAAATAATATCTGATATTGCATCTCTTTGAGACATTACATTGTCAATGATATAATCAATTTGATGGTCTAATTTTTTAAGTATGTAAACTTTTTGTTCAGTTCTAAACAAAAGCGTGCGTAAACTTAGCAATGTCAATGATTGCAAGTTGTCCTTCATATTTCCTAATTGATTTTGTCGCTCCATCTCTGAAAGTTCGCTTCTGATTTCTAAAATAACTTCCAGTAGAGTTGAGTAATATGATTGAAGTATTATACTTTTTACCGAGTGTATATTTCGAATACACTTGACATTAATGGATTCTAAATCATTGGAAATTTGTATGAAAAATTTTAAAACTGTATGAAGTAAAGTACGTGATATAAAAGAAACGGAAATATTGGGATGGGATAGTTCAAAAGATCCATGATTGTTGATTTTGAATATAGACCCTTCATGACCCCTGAGCATTGAAAATATCTCTCTGATTAAATCATGTTGTTTTACCATGTGGTTGCAAGGAGTCACGACTCTATAATTTCCAAGAGGAGGTGTTTGTGATATTTTGTATATTGTGTAGTGTTCAAATAGTTGCTGATGTGGGAAGTGAGTAAAAGGGACATGAACAGTTATTAACTTGTTAGGATCAAAATTGAGAGAATAAAACAATTCTTTTTTGGCAAGGGGTATTGATTGAACGTTATTGATACATTCTGTGTCATGGTGATCATTTTCATCACCAAAAAGCGAGCTATAATATTTTGTGTCATCAATATTATGATCATGTAATGTTTCTCCTTCGTCTATTGTTCCAAAAAAACCCGAAATATTGGTTGATGATCCAGATATGAATTGATCTTCAATGTTCCGAAATGGGAATTTCTGTTTGGCGTTTTGATTTTTAAATTGTATTTCCGTTGATTCTCTTTCTTCGGCAGTGTCGTTCTCTTCCGACCAATCACTCAATTCATCATCAGATTTGCTATCAGCAAACGATTTCTTGTATTCTTCAAGCAAATCATCATCCCATGCCACCTGTGTCATCGTTTAGGGGGGAATTTTTTTGTTGGCCAATCCAATTCCTTTCAAAAAAAATTGTTTCATCGACGTATTCACAAAATATTCGTCAATCATCACTCTCAATCATTCCGATCATGTTATTTATCTGAACGCTAATATTAGGTCATATATTCAAGAACTTCAACATATAATTATTTAGAAATTATTTAATAATCCCAAATGTGGGCACAACAATCTCCGACTTCACCCACGCATCAGCAACACGAATTCATTATTTCCACAAATGATAATATTACTTCTAATTTAAATTCCAACGATGGTACATTGAACAACGATGGCATTGTAGATACTTCATATCATTACAACATGAGATCCAACACTGGCAATAATAATTCAAGTAGTAGGCCCATACATAATTCTCTGTACGCAGGAGCAGCTAGACATGTCTTTCTTCATTCTCATGACTATTCGTTGTTTAGAAAAACGGAGAGACTTGTTTGGCAATTAAATCATCTTCACGCCAATGTCAAGCAACTCATTCAAAAGAGTGAACACAGTATGAATTCATCTCATGTACCTTCTCCTTCATCACCCTCTCTAAGCACACGAAATATCCAAGTTATTGCATCATCCGTAAAGCATCAGAAGGAGCTTTCTATGCGAAAGAATAGGTTTTTACGAAATAACATCCACTTATTGGATATGCCATCATCACATTTTCATCATCACACTCATCCTTCCTTTGATGAATCGGTAGTTGGATTTACATCTTCTAGTATCATTTCATCAATTAATACACCTGAATACACTAATGAACGGATAAACTCTTCCATCCAAAATTCACCATCCATGTCCGAAGATTCTCTTATCAGCCAATATCATCATGGCATTACTCATCCATTTCCTGGAGAGTTATCACTTCCAAGAAGTATGAGCATAGACCAATTAAATCAAGCAACAAATAATGGAATTGTTAGAAGCATTAGTATTGACCAAATTCATTACAACGGTAGTAATAATAATCAAGGTGGAGTTGTAATATTACCCTCTCATCTTTATGGTGACCAAGGTGGGATATTTTCTTCATCTCCTAAAGGGGTTCATCATACTCTTCATGAATCTTTCAATAGCCTTGAAATTAGTTCAATAGCATCCAATGAAGAGTTGTTTGGCTCAGAGGAACATAACATGGAGCTCCTACCGAGCACTCTCGTTCATACTATTTATTCCAAGTACGGACTCGTGTTAACGATAGATGTTAGTCCTTCAATGCTTGCAATGGACCCAACAACAGGAGAAGTTCTGTTTGACAGGGTTTTTGTTGCCATATCTAACGTAATTACACATTTAATTCAGCCATTAACCATTCCTAATTATAATGGTGAGATCATTCCAGAGATTCACGTTACTTGTGTTGCAATCGGTATGGCAGGAAGGCCTGTTTTTTCTCTATTTCAAGATTGTCACATTACCACATATAACTTGAATGAAATGCTTGGGAAAATTTATCAACAATTGTGTGACCTGGAGAATTTAGCCTCTACATCTCTCAAAAATTCTAAGGCTAACGATAATTTGGCAACAAATTTAAAATTTAGTCAATATGTTAAGGATTCTCTTTTAGCATTGGAATTCCTTCCTCCTGACGCATGTCCAATATTAATGTTAGTTAGTGACAGCGTGTTCAACCTTTCAGACTTGAACTCAGACATTGTGTTTGATATCAATCAACGTGACGTCAGTATTGCTATTTTAAACATTACTTCCCAAAGCAATGGGCACGGGCATCTTTATAGTTATGTGCCTGACTCCGAATTGATCGAATCATTGGTAGCGTGTACAGATGGAGTTTACATAGATTTTGATTACATGTCAAACTCAGAAAACGAAATGAACGAAAAAAAAAAGACAAAAGCACTTCAATATGGGCTATTGCTGAAATCTCCGTCAATCTTGATTGCAGACAACGAAAGCTTGATTTTATCAGCTAGCGAGGGGAGTATTTTTCCTAGCATACCTTCGGATTCAATCAAGAAAGATATTCGAAAGAATTTCTTTGAGTATGACGTATTAACCTATAATCTGACCATGTCAAGCGTAGACCCAATTTTGAAAAAGCGAGCTATCCAAGGGTTTAGAATCACTGACATCAAATATACTAATCCAACAGACAAATTATCCAAGTTCAAAGCTGAAGATGAGAAGTTGGATTTAAAGTACGTCAAAATGAGTCTACTTTATCGAAGGAACCTAGAAATAATTTACAAGGTACATGTTGAACGATTTGGACCTGGTATGGAGGACCAAGATCTTGATGTACTTTCATCGAACAGTTTTTCAGGGTTTGGGATTTCTAAAGCCAATAAGGCTAAAATTTCAGTTACTATATCTGTGTTCATGCACAAAAACAATTTAGAAAAGTTTAAAGCCTTCCTTAAAAAACGAACGAAAGAACCATTTCTAAAACACTTGCAAGAATATATCCAGTCTATCAACATTGAAGACGTTCTCGTTGAGCAGTATTTTAACCTGTCAGAGAATTGTTCTGGGCTCAATCGATCTTCAATAAGAAAAATGGACATTCCCAATATTAATTTTGATCACGAGCGAGAATGCTTCTTTGAGACGCAAAAGCTAGCACTTTGTTTTAACTCTGATGAGAATATTCAAAAGTCAGATGTAACCATACAAAAAATACTCTCTCAGATCCAAACAGGAACAAGTGATGCTTCTCCTACTGTACAAAACAACCTCACTCTCTTCAAATCATTTTGTGAGAATGGTTGGTGCTCTACCAAGATTTCAGATGATATTTTTATTCTATTTATTTCCGAACAAGATCACACGTGCTACATGTACGACACCGTTCATGATACCACACTATTGACAATGGAAGAAAAAGATACCTCAGTTTCTTGTGGTTTTTGTTTATTGAAAATTGCAAAATCTTATACATCCGTCGTAGAACTTAAATTTCAATTTTTCAACGTTTCCTCTTTCACAATATTTAGAGTACTAAGACATTTTAAAGAACAAGCTCTAAAACTCTTTTATCAAAGAAATATTCACGCACATTTCATAGAGAACTCTGCGTTCTCAGAAATTGTAGCCAGACTTCCTATTTGTAAAGACGACGAATCTCAATATCAACAATCCTTATTCAGCCATTCACCACATTTTACTTCATATCTAAAGCACAGAAATTGGATATGGCCCATAGGAGGAAGGCTTAATATTGCAGCAATTCTATCATGTTTGCTCGCACAAAGGGTGAACGAGGGGTTTTCTCTAGTGATCACTCGGCAATCTGTAGTATTTTTCAAGGAGTTAGAAATAACGAAAACGAATTATTTCTCGAATAGTGACTTTTTATCTAAGCTTATTCTGTTTTATTGTATCCACATTTTGAAGAAAGAGAAAAAACTAGTGACAGAAGTGTGGGTTGAACCACAATCAGGCTACGTTACATACTCCAATGGCGTTCATGTGGATTCAAATCAATTTTGCACAGATTTATGTGATAATTGGTTTCATAATCTGGATTTGCAAGTTATCTCACTGTTTTCTACGTTTGAAAACATAGTGACTGCTTGTAAATCTGGTAAAGGTAATAATTCGATCACTGTTTTTCAGCCTGATAAACCTGGCAGCATTACACCTTTTAACTTGAAAGGCGTTTTTGAACGCTCCGAACACCAAAATTTGAAATTTTCCGTATTTAAATTTATTACTCATACCGACACTGATGTTGAAACAGCAAAGAAAAGCAATATAGCTTTATATGACAGACTTTTGAAAATTCTATGCAACATTAATGACGTAGAAATAAGTTTAGATAGGATACCTCTTAATTTAGATATGAAAGCTCGGTGCTTTGCACGAGTTTTTGAAAACATTGGCTCAGACAAGCAAAAAGATTTTCTTTTAACCATTGTTCCTTCTCATGTTACAGGAGAAGAAAAAGACTTTACCATCATTGTATGTGTTTGCACAGAGGATCAGCTGTTATTTGTGGATAAATTGAAACGAAACGAAAATATGGAACGAGTAGTTTGCTCTAAACATTCTCCTTCTATTCTACGTAACCCTGCACTAGCGCATGATGAGGAACATGCCCTCGCTTCATCAGCAACATATTGCGATTTCGTTACAAACTTACATGCATACAGCTTTACATATGGAGTTTACAAGTATCTGAACCAAAAATTAATGATAGACCGAGAAAGCATTGTCTCTGCTGTTGAATCCTGCTACGAATATAGAGAAGAAATTGATCTCACCGAATTCTTTGAGGCCATATTATTATCTAGAAACTATTTCTTTGATAAATCTGAAAATGACACGACTCCATGCGAGAACATGGTTAATTCATTCAAAACGATAATTGAAAAGTACTTTGAAGAAATCAAAGGAACCAAATTCCATTTTTATCTACGAGAAAGCTCCATTCCCAAATCTACCAAAACTGTTCCAAAGCCCATAAAGAAGAAAAATAGCGTGAAAAGCTTTGACCATCTCGAAGAAATTGATAACGAAGAAAACTACGATGAAGATGTATCAGATGATGAGATTCATAGTTTCCACAGTGGTGAAGATGAGACCACACATTCCCTTTCGAGCCTTTCTGCGGGAATGAGAGATGTACAAACATCTGATCACCAATCAGACTCTCTCACTGAAAGTTCTGGCTCCTCAGTTAGTGATGCCTTTAATTTAACAGAGCTGGAAAATTCCACTATTCCTGTATTCATGAGAATGGAGTGTGTGTTAACTCCAATTAAAAGAGGAAAAGAAGAATGGGAAGATTTAGATGATTTAGATGAATACGCAAATGATCTTAAACTTCCGATCAAAAATATCCCAATAGAGAGAATTTCAAAGAGTATCAGATCCAGTAATGGAGATTTTTCAAAGCTTTCTTCTTCATTTGGTGAGAAAGAAGAGGATAGCGAAGAGGATGATGAATCAGACTTTACCCCAAGCAAACTTAAAACAGAAATGGATTTTGACTGGATTAATTCTTTGAATACCGTAAAAACAACGTTGAGATTTTATTGCATTACGTTACCACCTGACAAATATTGCGCTTCGTTTAATGGATTTGAGCCCTCAAAGAAGGACGTTCTGGGAATGTTTAGAAGTCATGTGTCTGAAACCCAATCTGCTTATGCCAGAAGTAAATTTGAACTCGAAGACGATGTCTTTGATGGAGACACAACCGATGAAGCAGCTCCTTACTTAGACAAGGGCTACCTCCCGAGACATATCCGAAGAATAGTTTCCAGAACTAAAAAACGATTACAAGCATTGGTCTCCAAAGAAATACTGAATGCATTACTTAGGACGCACCCTATTACATCATATTCTATTAAGAAAGTTTTTGATAATGTTGAAAAGCTTCCCGCATCATGCTATCAAAAGCATACTATTCCTTTATTTTTTATTGATCCAGTTGAAGGTGCTAAACTCTTTCACCAGGAGCTATTGAAATGCAAAAATGTGGTCTTCAAAAGTATCGATAACCACTACGTTGTTTACTTTAGAAAAAGAAATTGCTGCCAAAAACATGCCATATTTGAAGAGTATGACAGAAAATGTGAGCATGAATTACCCCCTGGTGACACGCCAAACAAATTTAAAATTTTCAGCAAGGAGCTCGATGACTTGGACATGACAATGTTCGATAATGACACAGAAATGGAAAGAAGTTGTATTGAAGTACCATTTTGGATCATTCTGAAAGCAGAGAGCAAGAAATCAATGTCCATGCTGTTTTACTCTCCAAACTCACTTTCAATTTCACAGGCTAACGACGTGGTAAATATTGTTTTCAAAGCAGTTGGAGTAGTTTGTAAGAGAGTCAATACTCTACTTCTTCTCTCAAATTTGCATGATACAAGAATTTGCAGTTCATTACTTCTTCCTGTTAGAAGGGATAAAGATAAGAAGGCAGTCTCTGAAGTTAGTGTGCTTGACAAGAAGTTTTTACGTAAGGACAACGAGAAACCAAGCAGTGACAAGTTTAATGAGGGAGATTTTGCATGCAAAAAGACCTTTGAAATTTCTTTTCCTCTTCATAGTCGTCTATCAACAGCAATGGCGATTAACCACTTGAATCAAGTTGTTTTCAATCCCTTCGTTGTTGCCAATAGAAGTGAAATGTTTGTGTACAAGGAGAGGAGTGGTCGTGTTTTTTATCTTCAACTCACGGATGGTAACAAACAAAACTCTACTACCGTTCAAACTCCAAAGAGTGAAGAGTCTCCAACTCTTGTCTCCTCGGCTAGGGATGAGCAAGAACACAAAACCAAGCTTAAAGAATATTCAATTTCTCTCTCCAGTATGGGACAATACCTTTATGCTGAATTTGATATCAAGAATGACATTTCTTCTGTTATTTTGGAGGTTTACGGTGTATATCCACCAAGTATTGAGATTACAACCCAACTTAAGAATCTTATTGAAGCCAAGCTATCATCACTCACCATGAATATCATCTCCAATTTATTGTTGAGAAATAGGCAATTTAAAATCACAGTTGAAGATTTGCAGTTTATTAGACCGTTGCTCTCTCAACCTCACAAGAGCGTTGTCATTACTCTTCCAAAATTTATTAACAACAAGTTACTTTTCATGTTATTTGCCAGAAATAACATGTTGACTTACATGAATCAATTATATCTGACAAGTAGCGATGAATCTGCAGAGAGTCCTAGTACTATCTCGTATATGTCTTTCACGGAAGATGAAGAAGACGATATGGTTTTCAAAGCAGCTGATTTTTCATTCTTATATAACTCAGTTACTCAGAATACATACTCAAGAGCAATGACGTCTCAGGTCAATTGCAGAGGTATTGCTTGTGTACAAATGACGCTACTAAATCAAGATGGTGAGATGGTAACAGTTTTCCCGTCAATGAAAGAGCCATACACTTGCGATTTGACCGGAGTATCACAATTGGGTCTGCTTCAAGAGGAGCCATCAAACATTGCTTATACAGATTTTGGAGCTCCCATCCTTCGTAAAGAGGGAAGTAACTCAGATGATGAGGACGATGAAGAAAATGTCATTGAAAAGAGCGCTTCTGCAGCTCATCGAAGTGAAAACGGTAAAATACTTCTGGAAGTTTGGAAAAAAGGTGACATAGATTTAGCTTCTCTTATTGAAAAGCTTTGTCTCACTCTTAACCAAACATTGATAGATTATATTATTGAGTGTGGGCTTTTCACGTCTCCTGTAAACCTAGAAGGACTCAATCGTTATTTTCTCGTAAGACTACAAACTCAGGCCATTAAGGCATGTAGAATAAGCTCGCCAACATTGATGGAGCATAGAGCTTCTCTATTTTTACCGTTGTGGGAAATGAATAGATTTATTGGAGATTTGTACAATTTATTGTCCGCATACAGTTTTAAATTGCGACCAATTACGTTTGTAAGCAAAGATACCAGGCAAACATTTGTCAAATATTCAAGAAGCAATGATTTTATTGAACAATATCATCTGGTAGATTCAAGCAACATTTGTTTTGTTATGATGGCTGGTAATTTTTCTGTTTTAACTGATAAGGTTATTAATATTGGAGAAAATATCAAGATAGGCGATATCATCTCGTTGGATGGGTTCAGTTACAGAAATTCGATAAAATATACCAGAAAATGCTGTATTGTCATTATACTAACGAGTTCAGAATTGCAAGTAATAGCATACAATTGGAAGCCACAACAATTTGAAAAGTTCAAGTATCATTTGCACCAAACAGTGTCATGGTTGAGATGTCGAGCTCACTTACTAAACAGCATACTCCATCAAAAGTTGGGACTCTTTTACCATTCTCATTCAACCAACTTGGCAACAGTTCCAACCAACCTATTGATCCCTCTTGGGAAACCACAAAAAGAGGTTCAATTTGCATTTAACAACATTGATTTGCTCATTTACAATAAGCAGAGCGCTCCAAGCGATCCAAAGTCTTCCAATACTATGAGAAGAACAAATCCTGCCGTAACAACATCCACCACAACTAACAATCCAACAGGAAGTATGATTCCACCAAAACAACCAATTCTGGACGTGAGGGGAGGACAAATGTACAATCGTTTCAAAAATCCAGGCATGAATTCTACACTTGTTACTTCATCTGTAAATGATATTTCTGTAAAAACAGATATTCAAAAAGTAAGAAAAGAGAAGAAGCCTCCTTCAAGCAAAAATCAATTTGGATCCCTGTTGAAAGGAATATTTGATTTAGACAAGACACCTTGCAAACAATTGGCCAAGAAAACCATGAATGACAACAAACCACGTGATCCGCTTCTTATTCATGGGCTTCACTTTAAACACATCGTGCATCAGAACTACAAAAAGAAGGTTGAACAACAGCAAGTGTCAAAGATTTACGGATTTTGGAACAAATCTCAATCTACAAACTTAAAATCTAAGGACTTCCAACTCATCAAGAACACTTCAAGACTAATCCACTTTTGCAGGGTACCTCTCCTGTTTAACCCATTGAGAAGAATATTATTTAGCCCATCATCTTTTATTTCTTCGTCCTCTGCTGCTATTATTCAACATCTTGACAGTGAGGGAGTCACAGGCGTAGAAGAGCAACAAAATAACAACCTTCGTGAAATTGGTTATCACAGAAAGGTATTTGAATCATTCTTGAGCGAATATGTAGAGTATATCAAGTCATTGGATATTTCTGACGTTTTCTTGCATCCTTCAGATCAGCATGATTCATCACCATTATTAGCCTCAACTCCAAGTGACATGAATCCAATTACTACCTCAACGGACAACAAATCAAGACCACAGCCCACTCCACTTGTCCAAGTTGTGGGAAATCAAATTATTAAGCTCCAACCCACCACTATTTACTTCCATAAACAAATGGACGATGGAGTACTATTCTTAGAATTAGGTCTTGACAGTATTTATGTGTACCTAAATGTTTATATTTCTGACATTACGTCTCAAAGACCTTCCTTGCTGAATCCTCGAGCCTCTACCAGAGGAGAGTTCTTGAAAAAAGTGAGCCAATTCAAACACTCACTGCACATGAATTCATTTTCATATGATTTCCACTTGAGAAATTTTTTGAATTATCTTACAACCGATTACTCTGGATTTCCATCAACTTTGAGCTTTATGAGTTTATTGAAAGACTTTAATCAATTTTATCCAAACCCTCCACCCCATACAAGAAATATCTTACATTCACACACCATCACTTTTGAGAATGTTAAAGACATTGCAGAAATTATGCGAGAAAAGGCAACAACACCTAAAAGTAGCATGAAATCTCTTGAACGAGGTCGATCCTACAGTACTGAGAGACGAGAAATGTTGAATGATCCATTTCAATTTTTCTTTGAATATATTTGCAAACACTCTGACAAGTATAAGGTTAAATTCAGTCAAAAGAGCAAAGAGTGTTTCATTCTTGACACTTACATTTCTCATGAGGAAGCAGATTACTCGTACTGTGTATTGGTAACAAAGTCAGTTGTACATTCTGATTCACATACCACATTTTCATATCATGGAGCTTCATCAACTAATTCATCAAGGTCTCCAAGTCCTCAAGAAGAAGATAGCACAATGAATCTCACCATGTATATAGTGTTTGTAGATGCAACGAATAGACATCCTTATGATAGCGAGATTGAAGGCTCTAAAGACAACATGTACAAGGTGATTACACAAATGGCTCAACAATACGAAAGAAAGTTGGCAAATTTGCTACAAAGTGTCAAAAACTCATTCAAGCTGGACATTTTATGGGATATGGCTCTTAAATTCAGGATGAGCGAAAACTTATTCAACGAACTTGATGCTTTATGGACTAAGACTCAAATAACTGAGTATGACTTTACTCTCTCAATATTTGAGGCTACCTACGTGCCATGGAATGACGTGATTTCTGAGCTATGGAATATTTATGGAGGAGAGAGGGCAGGAAGTATATTCAAGAAGGATGGCACTGCTCAACATTTACTCATTACTCCAAGTAATAGAAGCACTGATTTCATGTTGCACATCCATTACAAGATTAAGGAAAACTCTGTAATCATCTATTTCTGTAAGAAGAAGCTTGCAAACGAGCCTGAATCTCTTCAAGATCAGACTCATTCTGCCTCCATGTTGAGATCACCAAATACCAACATGCCATCACCAGCCGTAAGAGTCGATCAAAAATCGGAAGGTGCCCAATCTCTGATCATTATTCCAAATCAAACAGAACGAGATTTTATTGGTTCCTTTGTTAATCACGTCTGCTATGTTCTGTATCGTCTTAGCTTTTAGCCATGAGATGTTAATTAATGAAGATATGAACGTTGCAGAAGAGAATATTTTTTAAAAATTAAAAAAAATAATCACTAAGCCTTCCCTTAATTCGGCATTGTTGAAGCTTATCATCGATTTCCCTCTTCCAAGAAACATACGCCATGGAAAAAGTGAATTCAATTTTGCACAAGTATCCCGATGCGATTGAGGTATCTTTGGACCATTGTGGATTAAGAACTCTGGATGAAGTTTTGGTGGATTTGTCCAAACTCAAATACCTCAAAGTATTGAGGCTATCGAACAACAACCTTCGGACATTGCCATCTGATATGAGCGGGCTTCAAAAGGTGGAATATCTAGATCTGAGAAACAATCTGTTTGAAAGCGCTCAATCCGTGTTAGCCGGGCTATTCTCGCTTCCAAATCTCAAACATTTGTACATTACCCTTGATGAAAAGGAAGAAGACGAAATCATTATTTCATTATCCAATTTGGAGTCTTTCAATGGTACTCGTAAGTAACTTTTTAAGGATTGGCTTGATTTACATCCATTCATCATCAGCCTTAACGGATCTTCCTGATGTTGATCCACCATTGTACTTCACCATGGCTGAGGGCAAGAGAGAGCCCTCTTCTGTGGTGGTTGAACAACCTAACGAAAATCAGTCTATGAATCAAGGCGAGCCTCAAACTGAGGATTCAGTATTACCGTTGCAAAAAGAGTCTCCCGCGAAGCCAAATGCGACCTCTTCAAACACTGCTGCAACACATACAGGAGAAGTATTATCTGTTGTAGACTCATCGAACGATGACTTGAAGGATCTCAAGAGACTCCATGACTCTATTGGACTCTATCTAGGACAAAGAACTCCGTTTGACGCAAGCACCACTCCAATCCTAAAACAACTCAACAGATCAAAAGAAACACCACAAGAGGCCCTGACCTACCAGATTGAGTTATTGAATTGCAAAAGGCAATTGTTTGACGTATATTTTGAGGAAGTCATCGACAAGATTTCTGAGGTTGATAAAAAAGCCTCCAGCATTCTCATGATTGTGAAGAACTCATACTCAGATATGTGCGAATCGTACTACTCAATGATCAAAACATTTTCCACTGATTGCTTTTCAAAGCTGGCAACTCTTCAGAAAGATTTGGATAGCGCTGATAAGGATATTGCCAATCTTCTAGAGGAAACTGAGTCGCTCCAACAAGTTGCATCTAAAAGCGAGGAAGCCAAGGCAAAATTGATTCGCCAACACGAAGTAGAGCGAGAGCAATTATCTGAAGAAATTGGAGTCTTAAAGCTAGAAATTGAAAGTAAGTACTGGTATTTGTTGAACCATTGCTGTTGAACTTGTTGTATAATGAAATAATTTGACTCCAACAGAATATAAAAATCGATTGGCTCAGGTACAAATCAACAGACAGCGTCTGTCAATGCAAGTATCACAAACTCCACAACAAATTCTTTCTCAAAGCATGGTAAAACCAAAAGATTCAAAACAGGTAAAGTTAAAACCTCTAAGCTTGAAACAACTAAAAGAAATTATTGAGGAAATTTATACCTCAAAGCACAAATTTGATCAGAAATGTCAAGAGAGTAAACTACCAAGAGAAACAATGGAACAGCATTTGTACACATTCCTCAATCAAAAGTATGGCCTTAAAACATTAATTTTTGAATGGGCTACTGCTATCAATTTTGGTGTGAAAAGATTCTCTAGAGAAGACAACGAAGTCAAAGTATTCGGCAAAATTCTTAAAAACGAAATTGATGAAGAATTCAGATATGTCCAAAAGCAGCTAAAGGACACTACTGCAGAATTGTTGAAGGTATTTTTGAGAGGAAAATATAGCAAGAAGGTTGATCATGAAATTCATCAAATCATTCAAAATAGGTTAAATGGTGATCTTAATGAAGATGAATGGGTAGATATTATCAAGTACATGTACAACAAGGAAGACTCACTCACTGTAATCATTCGTGTCAACGACGCCATTCTGGAGCATCAAAAACTTCAAATGACACTTGGATCACCTACCATGAATAAGAGCTTTGAAAAGGCCACTAGAGTTCCGTACAAGACGTTCTTAGAAGTGTTGCTAGACTTCCAACTGGAATCACACGAGAAGTTCTTGTCCAAGTTTGTCAAAATGTTTAGGGAGGTAGATAGTAACAAGGATGGAATTTTGAATCAACATGAATTGAAACAATTATTAACTACAATCAATCCGAACGGAACAGATGAAGAGTATCAAAATTTTGTTTCAATTATTGATCCAAACAACAATCAGCAAATTACTTTCTCCGAATGTGTGACGTATTTGAGTGCCGATTTGTTAAAGCTAGCTTCCGAAAGCTCTATGATTGTCATGTCAACAACTGCTTCAGCCAATCACAACAACAAATCACAACAACTGGGAGCTAGTTCTCTTTCCATTAACGATTTGTAGCCTGGAGAGAATCTTGAGTAAAGACTGTCATGCTGCTTCAACCTTGAACAAAGCAAAATTTTTGTTGAACAAAAAAATAATTGAACACAACAAATCTCCTCACAAACAATTTTGCTCTCATTCAACACACTCCGAGTCCCATCACTAGAATCCTTTTCATCACCATGCCAGCCCACATCAAATTCAACTCAAACGGGACCAAAACACTTAAAGATGCCAACGGAAACGTTTCAACCCTCTCGGCCTCATCAGCTGTTCAGCTGAGAAAGAAACAATCTGTTGAGACCATTTCACTCGCTGACACAACGCAATCCACAGGTGCTTTGGCAACATCACTTAAATTTTCGGACGTACCACAAATTCACCCACTGCTACTAAAAGCCATCAAGAAAGAATTCGGATTTGAAAGCATGACCCCAATTCAACAATTGACAATTCCAACTGCTCTCGGAGAGAAAGGAAAAGGTAAAGACTTTATTGCTCAAGCTGCAACTGGTCAGGGCAAAACACTTGCCTTCCTCGTTCCATCACTCTCCTGCATGTTAGAGAATGAAAAGAATGTTCAAGGCATTTATATCCTCGTTTTAGCTCCAACAAGAGAATTAGCCTTACAAATCCAACAAGTTGCTGATAAACTATTAAAACATACTGAATACAAGGCCGCTTGCGTCATTGGAGGAAACAAGGTCTCTGTAGAGCAAGCTGAGTTAGCCAATGAACAAGTAAGAGTATTGATCGCCTCTCCAGGTAAATGTTTAGATCACATTCAAAGAGAAAACTTCGATCCTTCCCACTTGAAATATTTCATTTTGGATGAAGCAGATCGATTACTGGATAGTGGTTTTGAAGAAACTTTGAAAAAGATTGTCATGCAACTTCCAAAAGAGCGTCAAACCTATCTCTTCTCTGCAACCATGACTGATAAAGTTGAAGATTTAGCTCACATCTCACTCAAGAATGATATTGTGAAACTTGGTTTGGATGATGCAAATTCAAAGAAGGTTTCTACCTTGGAACAAAAGTATTACGAAGTACCAAATGATAAGAAGCTTGCAGCATTGATTTCAGTATTGAGAAATAATGTTGATAAGAAAATTATTGTGTTCGTGAGCACCAAATTATCTGTTGAATTTGTGACTTGTGTTCTTGAAAACACTTCAAATATTGGAAAAGTTGTTCAACTCTCTGGTAACATGAACCAAAATAAGAGAAGTGAAATTTTCTTCCAATTTATGGAAGATAAGAATCCAGGAGTACTCGTTGCTACCAATGTTGCTGCCAGAGGTCTCGATTTCCCTAACGTTGATTTAATTGTTCAATTTGATATTCCTGAGCAACCTGCTGATTATTTCCATCGAGCTGGAAGAACTGCTAGAGCTGGTAAAAAAGGTGTATCTGTCTTGTTCTTGACTCCAAGAGAAAAAGAAGTTGCTCTTTCCTATTTCAACATGATGTTAAATAATGACAAAGAAGATGAGAAAGATTGGGAAAAACTTGAAGAGTTAGATAACAGTGTGACAGACAAGCAAATGAACGATATTCATAGAGAAGTGCAAAGTATTGTCTCGAATAATCAATTGAGTAGAGATGTTTTCAAGCTTGTAAATACTTATGGAAGTGTATTTAACATGTTTGCTCGAAAATTAGGTTTCAAAATGAATGATTTTGATGAAGAAGGGTTAAAATCTTCGTTTGGATTGGGTGGTAAAGGAGGTTCCAACTTTAAGAAGAGTTTTGATAAATCCTCATCCTACAATAAGGGTGGATCATACAATAATTATAATAACAACAACAACGGATATAACAAGTTCAACACTAAGGAAGAGGCTGATAATGAAGAAGATTCTGCTGAAACATCCACGAATGGCAATGGTAACAACAATGGACATCACTCCAACGGACGAGACTCCAATGAAGACGAGAATGGTGGGTCAAAGAAGAGAGGCTTGATGGAATTTCTCGAGTCCAAGAGCCCAAAGAATAATGGTGGTTTTAGGGGTGGAAGAGGACGAGGCGGTAGAGGAGGCAATTCCTTTGGTGGTTACAAGGGAGGAAGAAATAACAACTGGTCCAATAATAACAGATCATCCTCATCATGGTCCAGCAACAATAATGACAGTTCAGAGTCCTCTGTGAAACCTGCCCACAAGAAGCATAAAAAGTTCTAAATCTTATTGACTTCTCAACACATTGGTTCTTCAAAGCCCTCCTCTCCTTAATATACATGAGCTGAGTTTCGAAATTGCATTGACGTTTTCACTTTCAAAAAATGTCTTCATCACCCTCAGCCACATCTTCGGCAATCCGAAAGTTTTTTCAATTCGAAGTGTTGGGCATACTCGAATCGGTCTTCAAACAAAAAACTGGATGTCCTCGCCAATCACTCATCGTACCCAAAGCAAGAGGAAGACTAGCATTGAAGTTTGGCGGATTTACCAACAATACACAACACTTTGTAGAAGGATTGGAAGGGTTTTCTCATGTATGGCTGTTTTGGATATTCCATCAAAATAATAATTTAGCTGAAGAGACTACAATTATTGCCAATACTGATACTAGCTCTATGGAAGGCAACAATAATGGAATGATGTCATCATCGGAAGTCATTAAATTCAAAATGATGGAAAAGGCCAAAGTTCGGCCACCTAGGCTCGATGGAAAGAAGATTGGAGCACTCTCATGCCGCAGCCCATATCGACCAAATCCAATGGGTATGAGTGTCGTTAAGTTGGATAAAATTACCAGAGATGAAAACAATAATGCAGTTTTACACTTGTCGGGAATTGATTTAGTTGACCAGACACCCATTATTGATATTAAACCTTACATTCCTGAATATGATATGGTTTTACAAGATCCATTATCATTTCCAATTTTGAAGGATTTAATAATGACTTATTCGGATGAAATTAAGAAACGAAAATTGGAGAAGGAAACCACGGAAGAGCAAAACACTGCCTCGTCATCTTCTCAGGAAGATTCCACACAATGTAAATATTTTGCCAAAATTGCAGATTGGATGGAAAACATGCCAAGAAAGCAACGAGAAATTACTCAGGTACATTTTTCAGAAAAGTCTCTTCAAATGATTGACACGCTTATTGGTAAATCGACCTTCTACGACAACGTTGATGATGCGAAAGAATTATTTGAAGATTTAATCAAACTTGATCCAAGAAGTAAATACAGAAGAGAGAAGTGTCAAGATGAACTTTTTGGAATTCATGTGGATGTATTTAATTTATTGTGTCGAGTGACAGACAATGTGTGCACTGTTGAAGATATTGAGGATTGGAGTCAAGGTTGTCCCTATTCGAAAGAAGAATTAAAAGAAAGAACTCGCCAAGAACGAAATGCTGTAAAAGAGAAAAAGAAGAAGCACAAGCAGTCGCAAGAAAACTCGGAGAGTGACAATGATCCCACTGAATAAAAAGTTTTTAAGAGCTCATAGATGTTATCATCCACCTTCTAAATTTGTTCATCATTCTCTCCACCTTGATGCATTTCATTCTTGCATTTGAATATTATTAGCTTCTTCATTTCTCTAATTGCATGTGTGAACAAATCCTTTCTTTAGCAATGAATTGTAATACTCGTTCCACCTTCCTCGCATGTATAAATTTCTTCATTTGCCATTGAGACGAAAGTATTGAAAATCTCCACGAGCCACAGACCAGGAAAGGAATGAAAGCGAAAAAAAAATGTCTTCATCGTCATCCTCGCAAGAACAACAAACACCCACAGTTGAATCTGTAACCGAGAAATTGGAGCAAACCACTCTTGAATCAAGCAGCAGCAACAGCTCTCAACCAAACAATCCTATTACTGTGGAACTCAATGAAGAACAAGAGGCAAGATACAAGCTCATGAGAAGCGTCGGTGAGGAATGTATTCAAGAAGATGAATTACGTAATCTCATCAAGAATAAGAAGGAACAAATTATTTGCTATGACGGATTTGAACCATCAGGTCGTATCCATATTGCTCAAGGTGTTATGAAAGCCATCAACGTGAACAAACTCACCAAGGCTGGATGTAAATTTATCTTTTTAGTTGCCGATTGGTTTGCTTTGATGAACAACAAGATGGATGGAGATTTGGAGAAGATTCAAACTGTCGGTAAATACATGATTGAAGTTTGGAAGAGTATTGGTATGGATCTGAACAATGTTGAATTTGTTTGGAGTAGCGAAATTATCAACAAGGATCCAAACACTTATTGGTTAATGGTTCTCGACATTGCTCGTGAGAATAACTTGAAACGTATCGTTCGTTGCTCTCAAATTATGGGTCGTGATGAGGCAAGCGACTTGAGTGCTGCTCAAATCTTTTATCCTTGTATGCAATGTGCAGACATCTTTTATTTGAAAGCCGACATTTGTCAATTGGGTATGGACCAAAGAAAGGTGAACATGCTTGCTCGAGAGTATGCTGAAACAAAGAGAAAGGACAAGAAGACCAAGTCCAAGTTTAGATTTTCACCAGTTGTTCTCTCTCACCACATGTTGCCAGGTTTGGACGGAAGCACAAAGATGGCCAAATCAAACCCAGATGCTGCTATATTTATGGAAGATAGCGAAACTGAGGTGAGAAGAAAACTCAAGTCTGCATTTTGTGAACCAGGAAATCTTGAAAAGAACCCACCACTCGAGTACATTAAGCATATTGTTTTGCCAATGTTGGGACACTTCAAAGTTGAAAGAAAGGAAGAAAACGGAGGCAACAAGGACTATACTGATTATGCGGAAATTGAAAATGACTTTAAGGAATTACGTCTTCACCCTGGCGATCTGAAACCAGCTTTGGCAGAAGCTATTAATGAAATTCTTGCACCTGTTCGTGCTCACTTTAAGAATGACCAAAATGCCAAGAGCTTGTTGGACAAGGTTCAAAAGTTTAAGGTGACTAAGTAATAAAATAATCAAGTCAAGATTAATATTCCAAACCTCTGGTTAATATTTGCTTTTACCTAGCTGGTAGAAAACTCGTTTGTGGTAGCAAAGATAATTTTACTACACTGTACTCTATTTACAACTGTAAATTGCTAACACATGTAGAAAGTGTAATGATTTTAGGAGATATCTCGAATAAACTAAATTAACATTGACAACCAGATCCGCTACTTGGTCGTTGTTGTTCCGAAGGTTGAGGCTTGTTGTCAAATATAATTGTTGAGCTGTCTTTCTGTTCCTCTCCTTGTTGTTTGTGCATTTCAGCATGGTTTTCCAAAATCTTCTTCACTAAAAAGTTTGCAGCTTGATTAATGTTTTTGTCGTCTTTTGCGCTTGTTTCAAACCAACCAATAAAACCATTTTCTTGGCAATATTGATCCATTTCTTCCTTTGTCTTTGTGACAGCACTTGGAAGGTCACATTTGTTTGCCAGTAAAACACAAGGAATTGGACGTTCATCAGGAAGGAAGACCTTGTGCTCAATATCACTCTTCCATTTTTGAACTGCTTCAAAAGTTGGTGGACGTGTAATGTCATACACAACAAAAGCGCCTACAGCTTCCTTGTAGTACACTCTAGTCATAGATCCAAATCTTTCCTGTTTAACAGGACCATTGATTTAAAATCCGATCCGAATGAAAACACGACACACAAAGATAAAACTATCGTTAATGACATTGTCACAAAATAAATCCATACCTGTCCTGCAATATCCCACAATTGAAGCCTGATAATAGTATTATCATCCCAATTCAAAACTTTGAGAGCAAAATCAACTCCAATCTGTGTTGTGTCATACGGTAATATTTTTGATTGTACAATCACACAATGAGAAAAGATATTTTCAAAATGTTCAAAATAATGAATAATTTAAATAGCAAGGAATCACAACATATGTAGCGATGGTAGTGATGATCATTTGTAGATTCTTTTAGAACAAGTTTGCAACTAGGTTCAAAACTTACAGTTGACTTGTATGAATTGGAGAAAATATTATGTACATATCGTTTGATGATACTAGTCTTTCCTGTACCAATATCACCAACCACTAGAATTTTATACAAGTATTCTTGAACTTCGCCTCCGTTTGTGTTGTTTGCCATATTGTCTTAAGATTTTTTAGCTATTGTCCATAAATGTAATCATCATTTAAATACCACAGGACAAGGAGAAGGATTTCATCATCATGAATTACATTATTATTATCGGATCATCACCAATTTCAAATGAAATTCATTTTCAACAACAAGTAGCCATTATCATCACCAAATATCGTTATCAACAGAAACAATTATAAAGCCAAACAACAAAACAGCACCCGGGTTAAAATCATCATTCGTTAGAATTAAGACGCCCAGGATCATAGTACCTACCAAAAGCCCTTTTCAGATTTTGTTTTGAAAGAAAAAGAGGAGTTTGACGAGTGCTTTTTTTAACGGTCGCTAGTAACATTCCTGGTTCAGAACTCCGAGGAGCTGAAAACAAGAGCACGCTTTGAAGAATGTGGTACCACAAATTGGTTTGAAAGGAATGACCTTTTTACTTGTTCTTCATTTGAGCAAGTAGGTTGTCAATGCCGTTGTTGATGGTCGTCATGTATTTTTGTTGGTATTGAGCTTTCTGTTCTCGCTTCATCAATTGTCTCTCTTCATAACCTAACAAATCGAGTGAGGATTTCTTTGAATATTGATCAAATGTTTTTGCGTGTAATTTGTAGGCTTTCAAAATATTAATGGCCACTTCTACTCGATTCATCTTTTTGGTGTTGGTCAGACCTAACAGTCGTGAAATAAGGAGAGGAATGTTGGTCAGTGTGGTTGTGTCATATTTCTGCTCAGAGTTTGGATCTACTACACCAATATCTCGTAGTTTGGACTTGAATTCGTGGACGTTTCTGGGACCAAAAATTCCAATCAAGTTATGGAAAATGGTGTGTCCAACAACTACAAAGGCATTCCTTAAAATTTTGCTCACATGTTCTCGAATGGTCATGAGAGAGTATGTCACTTCTCCAAGGCCACTTAATTGAGATGTGGTATCAACAGAATCGTCCCCAGAATTCAACAAGTTCTTAACCTCCTCAGAAATACAGTGATAAATAACTTCATCTTTGTCGTTAATGATGACGATGTATTTAATCATCATACCCTTTGGAGTCTTTTCTCTCTCACAATGAAGACATATTGTCTTGGTAATGGGTGCCTTAATGAATGGTAATTCTTTATCACCTGTAAAAACTTGTTGAGCGTTTGACTGATGAGATGATTGCGACACTGAGGGTATAGAGAGTGTTGTCACTGGTTGGCTTTTGGTTTGATGAGATTGAGTGTGTGCTGTGTTCGCATTTGTTGAAGTTGTTGTGGAATTGGCAGATTCATACTTTTTTTTGAACTCGTCGTTCTTTTGTTTTTTCGAAAGAACCTTCTCCAAGATGGAGTGTTGTTGTTCACTGGTTTTTACAAGACTCTGTTCGTCAACGTTCTCTATGTCTTTTTTTGTGTTGCTCAAAGAACTGTTTTCATCATCATCGTCATCATCAAACATATCCAATCCCGATCGTTTGTTTGTTTTTTTCAATAAACCTCTCATCATATCAAACTGTCCTTCCACTGTTGCACCAGCATTTTCATCATTAATTTTACTCAGAAAATCGTTTCGTTCTTCCTCTTTATGCAATTTTTCCAATTCATATTCGTGCTGTAAAGCTTTTTCCATCTTTTTCTTTCGGATCGAGTTTACCAATTGAGTCTGAGCATTGACTCTCTTTTTCTTGATCCCTTCCACTCCAGAGAAAAGATTGGAGCTTTCCGATTTCTTGTGGCTTGTTGTCTTTGCAAAGGAAGCGTGATGGTTGTTTTTGGGCATTTTTTTTGTTGAACTTCAGCAAAACTGCAAACGTAACCTACAGAAAAACACACTGGTGTTTTCTCCAGTTAATCACTCACGAGCTCATCAATTCTGTATCACTCCATATTCGGTTTATACAATTCAGAGAAATTCTACATGTAGAACACACACGTGCTTGCAGAACAGGTATCACACTTTTTCATACCTCTACTCTGTTCGTAAAGTGATAATTCATACAATTTAAGGAGAAAAAAACAATGATGGAATGTGGATGTTTTCAAAAACGAATCACCTGTGTTGTAATCATTCATTTTCACAAAAGGACTTGATGAAATCTTTGATAAATTTGTAACGATGCGTATTCTCAAGCGTTGAACGCATTTGTCCTTGAATATAAAATTCATCTCCTCGAATATTCGTTCAACGTCGCTTAGTACCTGAAAAGACACTGACACTCATTTTCGACATTCCAAACCCGAATGAAGCTGTTTCTAAAAAGGTGTGTACTATTAATCTCGACATCTATTTCTACTTTTTGACAATTTCTTCAAAAAGGTTAACTAAATTGAAAAAAAAAGTTTCAAAACCTATTGTTGCGCTTCCGACAGTTCAAATCTTTTCCCAAAATGTAGAAATGCAATAGACTTGAGAACACGCAACAAGAATACAAAAAAGAGTCACGACATTACCCCTCGTTTGCTCAGGGATGTCTATTCTCCTCTTTCGTGTAAAGATTCCCCAAATTTAAATTAACATACGAGGTCGTTCACAATGCCCTTAAAAACAGTAATTGTGCAAATGTTCAATTACACAAATAAAACAACAACAACCCTTCGCTTCTTCAGCGCTGAGATGTTCAATCCTATTCCTCTAGATCGACATTCTGGTTTTCACCCCGACCTTGGATCATCAAACCTATCTTCTCAAAACATCCTCATGCAACTTACCAGTTCTAACAAAGGCAAGCTTTGTCAAGGGTTTGCTCATCCATCGATGGCTACACCCAATACAATGCACATGACTCACCTTCATAGTACAAAGGCAGAAGCATACATTTATCAGACGAACGTTGCCGCATCCTCAACACATCCTACCATAAATCACCACAATGACTCGATCACCTTGTTTAGAGAATACTCTCACGTACATAATTCGGTAATGACTCCTCCTCTCCATTACAACAACGTCCATACAAACTCAACTCAAGCCTTCATGATTCAAACACACAAACAAAGGGATCGAGCGAATAATACATGCTTGCCCTCGTTGTCAGCCATACACTCCTTATATAATAGTCCTCGTGAACATGTGTTGAGGGTCATTCAAACTCAATTCTGTTCTCAAAAATCGAAACCAACAGCAGAAACCACAACGGAACGTTTTGAACATTGTCAGAAACTCCCACAGGCCGCACTTCTGCAACCCAATCCTTGCCTCAAACAACTACACACTTCTGTAATTTCACAACCCTCTGGTATTAGAAAGCAAAATAAGATGATCCAAAATCATGATACGACCACCATTAAACGATCACCAAAAATCACAGTTCAGGAGAATCTAAATGTAGCCCACACCACGGACAGTTCTGTTGGAGAAAAAAAGATGGCTAAAGGGTTTAAATTCTTTGATTACAACACCAAGACAAAAAAGAGAACGAAAAGATGTTTACAAGTACAGCCATATGAAAACATCCTTCAATTACAACACATAAATGGCCAATCTCTTAACCATGGAGCAAGTTCGAGTGACAGCAGTTCTACTACTGATTCGAGTCTTTCCTTGTCATCATCAACGATGGAAGGCTCGTCAATGAACTCTTCGAGCAATGAATTTGAAATACGTGAAAGGGAGACTTGTAACGGATGTCCTCATGACGTGGTCGTTAAACGAGTTCCTCGTACCTCAATTTCAATAAAAGAATTGTTGAATTGAACCATGATTATCTCTCCCCAGGTGAAGTGACCCTTCTCCCATGTTCATTCATGATGATTTTCGTCTAGCTCGCACTAACGCCACTATACATTCTTCGAACACACCTTAAAAGTTTCAATCTAAAGCAAGAGATGCCAAATGAATTCGGATGACTCCTTGTGTGTAACATTTACTTTCATAGACAATTCTAAACCAGTGCTAAAATATACTATATTCATCCAAACGATAACCTTTTGCAATTGTGCGCTTGGGGTAGATCTCCCATCTCAAAATTTAACCGAATCCCAAAACAGTGAGACCTATGCCAAAATCCACCAAAGAAAAAAGCAACAACAACTATCCAAGCTCGGGATTACCTAAAGAACTCTATAGATGTCGATGACGTGGTCTTTGCAAAATGATATTCATCCTCGAAGTAGCATGTGTGGTGATCATTGCGCCAAAAACATTCATGCTCAACCGACAACAACAAGCTCCTCCAACAAGCCCACCTCAGAAACGAGCTCCATTGATTCCTCTGTATATTCGTCTCGTTGTCATTTCTCTCCTTTATCAACCATGAACAACCCATTGGTTGTGCATTCTGCTAGGTCTTCCAACTCAACTGATATGAAGTCATCTTCTTCTCACTCGTATACCTATCGTCATCATGAGATCAAGTCGAATCTTTGCGTAACAACCTCATCTCATCACACATGTTTCAAAGAGTGTCATCAAAGTACAACGAGTTCTGATATCAATGCTCTCACAGCAGCGACTGATACACACCAACGTTCGTCCTCTTTTCCTTTGCCCCAGTCACCTTCTCCGTTCAAGAAAAAGAACAAAAAGGCCTCTCAAAAAACATCTCCCGCAGAAGAACTGAGTACATGCTCCCCTTCTTTATCTTCTCAATCTCCCAAGTTACACTCAACAAGAGAAACCAACTCTCCTTCCACAGAAAAGAAATCACTCAAATTCTTTGATTATAACAAACGTAAAATCATAAAGAAGGTGAAACGAGTGGAACAAATCCAACCTTATGAAAATATCATTCAATTTCAAACATGTTCTTTTTTGTATCAACCTCCCAATGATCGTACAAGAACAAGCCATTGTGGTGTCACCCATCAAGCGTATACGAAAGATATGAGTAAAGGAACGACAGGGACTCAAAACCATGAACCAAAACCACAAGCAACAACAACCCCAGTGCAAGATCTTCATGGTATGGGACTCGTGAGTTGCCGGCACGAAATTCAACTGCAAGAGCAACAACAAGCGGATAGACCACAACTAGAGCACTGCTCTCCTTATATGTCCAATGAAGTGAAGACTGTAGTTGCCAAAGCAAGAACACCTCGATATTCAATATCCATAAAGGAACTGCTTAATTAACATAACATAGGTGTGATAGGTACAGTGTATCTACTTCAACTGTATGATGACTTTGGACTCAACGACACGAATAGTTTGAAGTTAAAATCATGTAGACACAAGATTCTCACCTTAGTTGAATAGATTTTAACTGTTACAGTATTTTTATCCATAATCAACAGACTTGAAACCGTGGAATTACGTTTTTCCATTCAACTGGATCTATTTTTGATCTACTGGACAGATTGTGTTGTTTTCAATACATGAAAAATAAAGCCAAGCCAACCTGCGACCAGTAAGGTACCCTATCAATCTTTATTATAATAGTAGTAGTCAATATCATTGACCAAGAAATCATCTAGTCCCCTCACCATATGGACGCTCTTTTAACTGCAAAAGTTGCAAGTACTCACAGTCTGATCTGAAACGACTACCGACGAAACGGCAAAAGTCAGTATTCGCCAACAAGAGTACGTTTCTAACCACTCCAGCAATCTTTTCCCATTAACAGAAACCTTACGAGTTTGTAGCCCCACGGGGATAACAAAGACTTTTGCAGAAGAACACCAAATTAAGTTACAACGATACTCCGTATCTATCGATACTGCCGAAGAATCTTGCATGAAAGCATTGAATATGAAGCCCTATTATCCTCCAAATCAAGAAGAAAGAAACAATTGTGGAATTCAAAACACAGAACAAATGTATACTTTTCCACCGAAGCATGACGCAAGCACTGATTCCTTTCATGATCATTTAAACAGCAGCGACGATGGTGGAGACTCTCATACGTCGTCGGTCGATAGTGTGAGTTCATCTTCACCTCCAATTAGTACTTGCAATGAGTATTGCAAATGTTCCTTAATGGATGGCATGTTTAGTCCTCCCAAAAATAAATTAAAGAAAACTGCAAATCATATATTCAAAGGAAATATAGCAGCAGTTACAACCTCCATGGACACACAGAAGCGAGAGATAAAGTTCTTTGACATTAAGAAGAAGGTACGAAAGAAGGTGAGAAGAGTCGATCAATTGATGCCGTACGAAACAATTCTTCGCTTTGAAACAGTGCCAGTGGACTCTAGAACAAACATGAATACTTCCAAGAGTAATCTTACCAACAACAATGTTCCTCTTGCCCCAATGATCCATGAGAGCTCTCCACCCGAAACGACAAAGACCAGTCGAAGGCCACCGAGATATTCCATCTCAATACAAGAGTTATTGAATTAAAGTTCACCAGTTCATAAAAAAACAAAAAACCAATGCATCCCAAACATGTTATCAAACTCTTCCCAAACTGCTTCCGCTTGATGACCCAGCTTTTAAAGACCAGCACTATGGACCAACGGATACTTCAAATTGGCTTATTCCTAATAGAGTTCTCATGAGTGTGAGTAGGAAAAGAATAACTATTTAATGTGTTCTAAAACATTTTCTAACAAACACCCCAATCTTAATTTACTTTCATAACCTGAGTAAAGGCATATCCCGGAGACTCCGATGCTGAATCTTCTAAAAAGAAGATTGAGAGCTTTATGAAAGCAGGTATTAATTTGATTTGGTTTGATTTTTGATTTCAATTGTTGCTGTCGAAGGGTCCTGAATGAAGACAACCTTGGTCGTTTTATTTATTGAGGTATTTCATTTTGACATTACTAAGCATCAATTTCTTCGTCTGAATATACAGAACAATTGAAATCAAAAATCAAACCAAATCATCCTGGTTTCTTCATTTGACACCCCTGTATAGTATTTTATAAAACAACAGTTATTGATTATGAACAGGGGCATAGTTCAATGGTAGAATGAAGGATTGTGGTTCCTTAGACGAGGGTTCGATTCCCTCTGCTCCTAAAGATTTTTACTTTATTTTTTGCTACGCAAACCCACTTTTACATTCAAAACCGAAATGCTCCTTGTTGTAAATAAATGAAACGGTTGAGTATTTTATTTTTGGATACACAACAAAAAAATTTCATTGTTATTACATTCGCTTCATTAAACAACAACAAGATGGGTAAACAACACGGTTCATTGGCACGTGCCGGCAAGGTCAAGAATCAAACTCCAAAGGTCGAACCTCAAAAGAAGACTGGAAAGGATATGACTGGTAGATCCAAGAAGAGATTCCTCTTCAACAAGAGATATGCTTCTTTGAAGACTGGTCAAGATCCTTTGAGAATGAAACTCAACTCGATCGAGATGCAGGTAGCAATGAAGGAGCAAAAGAAGCACCAAGCTGAAATCATTGCTGAAAAGAAGAAACTCTTGAACAAGGTCTAAACGGTATGGACCGTTCAAATCAGCCGAAAAGAGGAGAGTTGTGGTGTTAGTGGGCTGACTAGCTTGTATTGGAGCTTCTCCTCCTAATTTCTTCTGTTTCTGTGATACTCTTTGAAGTAATGATTCTGCGGAAGGCTGCTTGGTGTGTTTTACTCGTCTCCTTTGGATATTGCTTTGCAAACCTCTCATGTCTCGACGGATTTTGAAAATGTGTGAATCTAAACGAACGAATCCGCCGAAGGAATGATTGGAACTCTCTATTATTGAGAGATTACCAATTGTTCTTTAGCTACATGGCCATCACTAGAGATTGAAGAGAAAAAGAGGTGTGTGTGGTTGTTGTGGCTAGTCGTACTAGCCTCTCAACTCTCCCCTTTTACGAGCAACAATTCCGAACGCATTTGTAAATTGTGAATAAACATGTGTAGGTGTTGTTGAAATTCATGTTATTAGTGATGTCGTTGTTTTTTCTGACTGTGAGGACTGCCTGTAAAAATGTATCCACCTCCACTGACACCAATTTCACGCAGTCGGTGGAGCAGCAACAATCCATGTTCGGAATTTGGGCAAGAAGGCATGATATGCTTGGAAAAAGTGCAACAGTTACATGCATTTAAACATACGAATGATTTTGTGGATGCCAGTGAAGATCAGAGAAGAAAACATTCATCTGATTTTTTGGCTTGTCAGTACATGCTGGATATGTATCGGAAATGTATGTCTTCTGAGGATTTTGAAAAGAAGAAAATGTTGGATAGAGCAAGGACTGCAGACCAAACTATTCACACTGGCGGATTTTCAATGTTTACTTGGAGGTAATAATTGTGAAACAATTAATTTGGTAACTATGAGAAATGATGAAATCAAGGCATTCAGAACAGTTAAAACTTGTGTCAATTTGACAATCTCATTATTGATGGCTTCATACAGAGAAGGTGTACGATAAATTTCAAAATAAATTAAAATAATATTATTCAACAAAAGAAAAAATGATCAAACAGACGACACCGTCTTTCACACAATTACTATCATCTTACCATATCATTTTCTTCCTATTATTATTATTTATTATTTCCACTCATTGTACATTGGTAATGAGCAATACTGTCAATTCCGACGACTCAATAACCATTGAACAAGAATGTAAATATTCGGAACCAATTTTTCAAACGCAATTCTACAATCATACAATGAAATGGGGAACTTACCGTCCACAAGTCATTTTTGGAATGAAAACAAGAAGTCCCAAGCCTATTCTCACTGGCTTAATGTGGCACCGCGCAGATACTGTCGATGGTATTTCAAAATTAAGACATGATAGCAATATGGATTTCAATAACGTGCGATATGGATGGAATAGACATGATGGACAGTATTTTGCCATGCAAAACATTAGAGATTTTGAAAATTTAATTCAATTAGATACTAAATTATTGAAACATGTAGAAGAAAAGACTTTTATTCCAGCTTCTGAGGATGATGAGGTGAACACCAACTCGGCAGAACAACAACAAGGTGAATATCATTTCAATGAGAAGGGAGGGGATTGGACAGTAAGAATTATTGGAAAAGATTTAAAACAGTTGAAAAACAAACCAGTCTTGTCACTGTGTTTTTACATTGCATTGGAAAATGAGCAGGATGTATCACTTCGAATTTCCGGTGTTCAAGGATCTAAAAAACATGGTCTCGCCTCTAACACTCCAATCATTATCAGAGGAAAAAATCAAGACGTTGGCGAATTTTCAATTCATGTCACTGCGAATGAGGTCAATCCAGTGGACGACCACAATAACTTTTACTTTTATGGTGTGAAGAAAAATCCAGGCGACGTTTGGAAAATTCACCAAGACGTCAAACAAATGCTCTCCCACCAAATGATGACATCCATGAATAGCATTCAAGAGAAATTTCAAGAGCAACAAATGAAGGGCCAAAATGTTGGAACGTCACCATGGGATACAACTCCATTCCCAATTGCAACCTTACCGAATACCATCGACGATGATAGCAATGTTCTGGTTATTCAGAAAATTGTACGCTCACCATTCGACTTGAATGTGGTCTTTCTGTCTCATGAACAACATCCTGACATTTTCTCAAATTATCAAATCAAGGAGCATGCCTTACATCATCTTCATCATTTTGACGCTAACATCAAAAAGCTGAAAAGTTGCTTTGAAACCAAATTCGAAGAAACCTTTCATTTGAAAGACAAGATCTTCAATAGTGCAGGCCAGGATGAGAAGGAGATGGCCATGTATGCTCTCTCGAACCTTGTTGGTGGAATTGGCTACTATTATGGAGATTCCTATCATCAATATGGAAATGGTGAAATTCGTACCATTCCACCCTATTCACTGTTCACTGCATGTCCGTGTCGATCCTTCTTCCCACGTGGTTTCTTGTGGGATGAAGGATTCCACTCTCTTCTCATTCAACGATGGAACAAGCAAATTTCCAAAGACATTATTACCAATTGGTTCCATGTCATGGATAAGAGCACAGGTTGGATTCCAAGAGAGCAAATATTGGGTGAGGAGGCAAGAAGTCGTGTCCCAAGAGAATTTCAAGTACAACACGATACTCATGCCAATCCACCTGTGTTGTTTTTGGGTGTTTTTGAATTGTTACAACAATATTATTTGGCACTACAGTCCTTATCGGGAGAAGAGAAGCCAACGACAACAACAACTACTCAAGACACTCTGAAGACCATTGAATTGGATTTACATGGCACTCAACATTCATTCAACAATCATGATAGTAGTAGTGGCGACAAATCACTGATTTCCTCAGAGCGAGAGAGTATGATTTCCTTCTTGAAGCAAGTCTATCCCCTCATGAAGAAGAATTATGAATGGTACCTTTCGACACAAGCTGGTTCCGTACCCAACACATTCCGATGGAGAGGAAGAACTCCTGGACATACGCTCTCGTCTGGACTGGATGATTATCCGAGAGGAAATACTCAACCCAGTTCCGATGAAAGACATTTAGATTTATATTCCTGGATTTATATGATGACTGATACCATGAATCGAATTCATGAAATGGTGTTCAAGAAACAAGATCCAATTCTTGTGCAGAGACTTGAAACATTGAGAGCAAATATCATGACTTATCATTTCAATAAGGATATTCATTGGTTTAGTGACTATGCAGGAAAACCAGTTGGAAATGAGACAAGACCCGAATTCTCACCTCACATTGGATATGTTTCTTTGTTTCCATTCTTGTTGGATGTTGTGAACTTTGAAAAGCATCCCACTCTCTTGGATCATGTATTGAACACAATAATTCGAGAACGTTTGTGGACACCTTTTGGTTTATCTTCTTTGAGTCGAACAGATCCAATGTTTGGAACTAGGGAAAATTATTGGAGAGGCCCCATTTGGATTAACATTAATTATTTAACTCTTCGTGCTTTGAACAAGTGTAAGGACCGTTCTGAAAAGTGTCACGAAGTTTACACCTTGCTGAGGAAAAATATTATGAGCACACTTAGTAATGAATGGAAACGATCACGAACCATCTATGAACAATATAATGCTTTGAATGGAAATGGACAAGGAGCCCATCCTTTCACTGGATGGTCTTCTCTCATTACATTAATCATGGGAGAGATTTATTAGAACGAGGTATATGTTCATGACATGACTTTGAGTATTGCAATGATATATTTTCATGACAAAATCATTGCCAAATGGCTCTCAAAATTTTGAAAACAGTTCGAGTAAACGCAAGAAGTCTTGTGTTTGTGATAAATCCGAGGGATTCTCTCTGAAACGCAATATGTAACCAAAAAAAATGCCACAGGCCAAACTTCTACTCCCATATCTCACTTTCAGTGGTCAATGCGAAGAAGCTATGAAATTCTATCAATCCTGTCTCGGAGGCGAATTAGAAATTATCAAATACAAAGATTCTCAAAAGAAGGACCAGTACCCACACCTACAAGACAAGGTCATTCATTCCTCCTTGAAAACTAGCCAAGCTCCCATCTTGTTGGCTTGTGATGATCCTGTCGAGTGTGAAAAACCAAATGCTCCTTTCGTGAATCATAATGGTTATTCTCTTTCTGTGACTGCAGAAAATGTGGAAGAAGGTTTGGAGATTTTCAATTTGTTGGTGTCGGATGGAGAGGTTGTGATTCCTTTTGGAAAGACTCATTTCTCGGAAGGATTTGGAATGTTGAAGGATAAGTATGGAATTTCATGGATGATTTGTCAGTAGTGTAATTTTTTGTGTGTAAAAACTGTTGACCATTACAATAAATAGATGAACTTTCAGTGTTGGTAATGCCTTTGATAAACAAACTGTTTTCATGATACTTGCAAGCCAAGTAATCCACCATGTGCAAATTTTCCGGCAGTATTTGGGATGGTACAAAGGTAAATCCATGAATAGTCGTCTCGCTCAATAATTTCAATCCGAGATGGGAGTGTTCAGAAAAAATCGTTTTTTCAGGTTATAATATTGAGTTTTTTCAGCATTGTGTAGAGTCACCTTCTTATTCGTCTCCTAGATCAATAATTTCCTCCTTTCCTGTTTCTACTCTTGGAATGCTAGAACTACTGCCTTCCGCACGAGTCAGGCTTGGTAAGGAATTTGTGCTTGAATTTAAATTTCCAGAGCTCGAGTTCCGATCCAATGCTTTAGACTTACTGGATATGCTGAGGGTCTTTTGTTTGTTGACATCTGAATCTTTCTTTGCAGTAGTAAATTTACCCTTGTAAATTACAAATGGATAAGGAGTACTGTCGTCATGCTCCGAAGAATAAAATCTGAGAGCGCTTAACACATCTACTTCACGCTTCTTGGTAATGGAAGCGCTCTTCAATTCATCGTTGACATAGGGATATTTAAATGTAAGGAAATAACACTTATCAACAAGCTCAGTGATGGTTTTGAATTTTCCTGCCTTATCTGCATCACAGAGATAGTAACAAGCTCCTTCTTTGTCTGTCTTTGTTCTTCTCAATACAAAATGATAAACTTGTCGAGAGGAGAAGAATCCGTGGCCATTCTCTTCTGTGCTTCCAACTTCTTCTTGTACGCTTGAAAGACATAGAGTACCAGGCTCACATTCATTGAACCGAATGAGATAGGTGCCTGGCTCTTCGTTTCGAAGTAAATCTTGTGCGTCCTGTTGTTGATGAGAAAAAAAGTTCCATTTCATGTGTTGAAGTATTATTTGGTAACAAAGGTAAAAACGTAAATATGATTGAAATCGTTGCAACATACCATTCCTGTTAGAGATCCCCAAAAGTGAGGAAGGAAATTTAGTGGTGCATACTCTTCTTTTGCGGCAATGCTGCGAAGTTTCAGTTCGTCGCTTTGCCATCTGAAAATACTTCCAAACCACCGCACAACGTTTTTAAGATCAGTCACGCTCACTACTCCGTCACATGTTGGATCAGATATTTCCTCTAATAAATCAATATCCCATTTTGTTTTAAGGTGGGCAAAAGTTTCCTGTTATGAATATTGTTGCGTGGGAGGAAGATATAACACAGTTCATCAAAAGAATTATTTCACACACATGTTCAAAGCTACTTTGAAACCTACCTCAACAGCATCGATAAATCCCTTCTTCCTCACACTGAAATTTTGTAGCCCAATTTTTTGCTCCCACCACTGCTTTTCAAAATCAAATTCATTAAAAAGTGGCGCTACGTTAATGCTGTCTGAAATGGTAGAATTGGCTCCTAATGTTGCCTCGCTCTTTCGCTTTTGTTCAATGCATTCTCTCAAGTCTTTGATTTCTTCCAAAACATGAGTTAAAATTATCACCATTTCATTTCTCACTTCGTAATATCTCTGTTTGCTATCCATATCAACGACATAGCTAGGTCTTTGATTTGCTTGGGCTCCAACAAAAGAGGAAGCTCTTCTCAAACTATTTTGTGTTGATGAAGTTGACATCTGAACGTTAAATGAAATGTTTGGTTTTCTACCTGAATGATCTTTAAACTTTTCCAACTTTTTGATAAATCTTGGAATTTGACGATCTTTCAAAGCAGTCAGCCAAACCGTGTATGCGGAATTAGTGTTGTAGCTCACTCCGAGATCATCTTCGTCATCCAATCCTGATCCACCAAATGACCCACCACCAAACAAACCTCCACCTCCCCGATCTCCACCTCCCTCCAACCAATCACTTGCATATTTCGGTACATTTAAATATTTCTTTAAATTACCAAACTGTAATTCTCGATAATGACGAGAAATTTCATCCAACAAATTAATCAGTGGATCTTCATTGAATTGGGCAAGAATTTGAGCAAGATCATTGAGAGAGATGAGAAGAGGATCCGTTGGAGGAGGTGCTACAACGATCGGAGTGGGATTATTTCCTCCAGTGTTATTATTATAGGGAGTATTTGGAGAGGTTGTTGTAGGTGTAGTAGGTCCACCCAATTGGTTCGGGTTGTATTGAGAAGATGAATTGATATTTGGAACGGATGCTCCGAGCATACTTGCGAGACCACTCGTGTCCGCAACATGTTGGGAACGTCCTGGTGCGGATGGTTGTTGACCCATTATTTTTTGATATGATGATGCGTTTTGAAAGAGGTGAAAGGCCATTATTGGGGTGTGTGCACATGGTCACATTAAACACACTCAAGGATGAGTTTTATGATTCTCCATTTCACTGAATAAAGGACTCATTTTAAATCGAACAAACATGTCAGGTAACACGGTAGTCATTAATTCGTTCAAAATATTGTCAAAGAGTAAGGGAGCTTGCTCATTGAATTTGATTTGTTCTTCCCAAGGCATTAATTTCACTTCATTCTTATTGCTGTAGCAGAAGAGTCTCTTCAAATTGGATTTCACTTCTTCTCTCAACTTGTCTTTGGTGTTAATATACATTATGGAAGAAGAATCAAATAAAAATTGTTGACAAATGGCAAATGCAAGCTTTTTGACCTTTTCATACTTGCCAATGTAGGCATTGGGTTTGTAATTCACATACACTTCTTCCCAAAAGATTAAATTCTCCGAGTTGTATTCATAATGTGAAAACAACTTGAAATATCTTCTCTTTTTGGAATCATTCAATACACTAAACAAGTCAATAGTCGAATCAACATCCACAGAATCAAAAGAACAAATACATGAAATTCGAATAGGTCCGTGATTACAACGATGACGGCCATGACTATCGCTCGAAGAAGAACCATTATGGGATGGCACTCGTTGTTGAAGCATTCGTTTGGCCCTTTCAGTTTTTTCATATTCTTCTTGCTCTTTCATTTCAGCACTCATGACTTGAACGAGAGGAGTGGATGGGATTCTGCGATACTTGGGAACATCCTTAACCACGAAAATGTATTCACTCTGTATCAATGGAAGAGGGTCTACAATGGAGGAAGGAATGGCTTTTTCTGTTTGAGCTGGTTGCATGTGTAATGTTTCAGAGAGACTGCCCGAAGAAGATGGTTGTTCTTTGAGGTTTCCCTCAACAGAAGATTCATTGTTAGATGTTTGATGTGTAGAGGACGATGAGGGGGGCAGTTCTTGTACCTTTGATAACGTATTGTCCTCTACACATCGAGTAGTAGTTTCGTCGTCATGTAAAGTTACCAAAGCTTGTGATGATTCGTTGACATCTCTTGGCAACTTTGTCAATGTTTCTTCGGATGGTTTCAAACTGGTTTCCATGGACAGTGTTTCCTGTGTAATTGAAAGAGTCGACCTATTTTTCTCTTCATGATCCATGTCATTATTTTCTTCTTTCAAAATCTTTTCACTCACTCCATTATTTACATCTAACAACAATACAATATCGTTGATGATCTCTGTGCAGTGATCAGCATAGTTCAATCTCCACTCATACACAATCTTTCCTTCTCTCAATAAAAACAAGGTTGGTTTGATATCAAAACTCTTACCCTCATAGTGTTGTCGTTTGTGAATTTCCTGAGAAAATCCTTCGACCTTAGCAATGATTAATTGAGGCAGTAAATACGTGAGAATTTCTTTTTTTGAAAAAGGATCGGTGTGTACTTGAAACGAGGAGGCAAACTCACTGTCAGGGTCAGCCACTCGCAACATTTGTACAAGCTCAGGGACCTCTAACTGTGGTTATCACATACGTTGGACATGATCCATGGTATTGTCGAAATCCGATATCGTGTTTGCGCACGCAATATAATAATTAATAATTGCGTGTGAAATGAACATGTCAATACTTACACTCTGAAAGAATTTCTCACCCTTTTCCTTGGATTCAGGATAGACAACGACAGGAACAATATTCATCTGAGTGAGGGAACGATAAAATTGAAGTAATTCTAGAGTCCTTCTGTTACAAAAGGCACACCCACCATACGAAACAAATCTTCTAAAGATGAGCAATACATGATGCTGTTGGGAGAGTTGAAGAACGTTTCGAACGGGTTGATTGGTGTTCGATGTTTCCATTACGCTCATGATATTATTTTCACAGGTGGTCACTTGATTCTCGACAGTGGAAGGAAAGGTGCTGCTTTGAGCACTTGACAAAATGGTTGAGGAAGAGGTTGCAACTCTGAGTTCCATTGCTCCTTCTTCCAATTGTTTGTTGTTGTTTTGCTTGTTGTTTGTTGAGGAGGAAAGTGATTCTGAAGCGATCATTTTTCTTTTTATCTTCTCCTTTGTGTGGTTATTAATATTCACTTTCATTGTCAACGGTCATGACAAAAACGGAGTAATGAGCTTAGTCAATCAAATTAATGCTATTTCTTTTTCCGTTGTTGATGCATTATGCTCTGTGTCAACCGATTCAGTCAAAAGCCATTTTCTAATGTTCTTGCTTGGAAACTAGAAATAGTCGTAGCTGTAAACGAGTGCTTCAAAGAGACAATTTTCGAGGGCAAGTTTTTGTCTCCAAGATCTGTACAATCTTTCGCTGGTTCTAGACAATTTGGCATGAGGAACTTTTAAGGTGTGAATATTCTGAAAGCCGTGTTAGGCAGTTGGTTTCAAAGATTGAGTTAGAATCTATTAGTTGTCGCTTTTCTCTATACACTTCAGCATTTGATAGTACTTTGTGAGGAGGCTTATGCTCGATAGTCAGTACGCAATAAATAGTATAGGACTCGTGATCAGAGCTATTGATGCGCGAGCTTGCTATTGAAACAGGTGGCACTGGATTTAAAACATATGACAAATACAACAAGTCAGCATTGAAAAACACTTTGTAAATGGCAATGTTCTCTAGCTCTGGTTTGTTGGTGTTATTCTGCAGGAGATGCTTGTAAAGCAAGGATGGGATTGATTTCTCTGAAATTTGTAATACTTCCTCTTTGTTGTTTCCAATGTTGACAAACATGGTTGAATGATGTGTAGAAATGCTCACAACAGCTTGCTTAAACAAAAAATCCAAATTAAGGTTTGGAAAAAAGGGTTTGGTTGGTACGTCAATGCTGGAGCTTTGCATAATGAGATGGGTTAGATTGGTGAGTCTGGATATATCAAGTTTGGGGGCTATTTTTGTCAGAATGTCCATGTTTGAAAGGTTCAAGTATTTCAATGAAGTCATAGTTTCAATATATGACAATTTTTCAAAGTCGAAATCGTTGGTGCAACGCAAGTTGGTCAAATCTAAATGTTCCAAAATCAACCCATCTAAAGCTTGAAGGTCGAGCGCAGATTGAGTACCTGGCACTTGAATAACTGTCAAATTTCTTAAGTGAGTGAGATTATTATAGGGTAAATAGTTTGTACGATGCGTGAAAACACAACTGGCAAAATAGAGTATTCTCAAGCGTTCAGAAATGATGGCATGAGAGCGTACATCGATGGTCTTACAGTGAGTGCATTTAAAAATCTCCAAGTAGGGTAGAGCATTTGCTGCGTTTGGGCCAATACTACCAATGATGACATGGTTCAATTCAATTGTTGTTAGCGTTTTAAATTTGTTAAAGAAATCCATATCCATTGCAGCAAAATTCAAATGATTTCTTTGTTTGATGACAGTGATACCTGGTATAAATGTTAAACGTTTCATATTCGTTGGAAAGTCATTGATGACTGGATCATAGCGAGCATCTTCAACGTAAAATTCATTCACATTTTGCAATTGAATGGGAATGTGTGTACTCTTTTTCACACTCAGCAGTCGTATATTAAATTCTGCACATTTGGCCGAAAGGGTGTTGAGAGAATTAAGGAAATCGATATTGGCGAGCTCCATAAGTGTGAGCGTGATTTTGTTCATGGGTTGCAGCATGTTAGCAAAGTCAGAGAGCAGCTGCTCGCTGTTAAATTCACAATTCAAAGAAAATGACAATTCTCTCAATGTGTCCGTGGCTGGTTTTAACACACTCATAAATTGTTGTAATTGTTCTGAATTTCGAATCGTTGATGAACATTGAAATTGTCGAATACCAACGTTTTCAAACACTGGTTTGCAACATACAAATACTCTTTCCGAGTCAATACTATTTCCAATCAATAGAGTCAAACTTTGTAGCTTGCTGAATCGCATTAAATTTGAGCAGACCATCATGGCAAAATCCGCCTGTAATGAAATTTTGATCGACAAGTGTGTCAGCACATTTCCACAAATATTCACAATATTATTAAATAATTCTGTTTGGTTTCTATGAAAGACCAATTCCATGGCTGTGAGTGATTCCTTTTGTTCCGATATGAACTTGGTAAATTCTTGGATTCTTCTCTTTTCAATATTGGTTTCAGCAAATTTGAGAGAATCTTCCACTTCCAACTTTTTGACTTGGGAATAAAATTTTCGAGTTCGATCAAGACGATCCTGTTGATCTTTTGAAAAATTCCATACCAATCTCGTGTAATGATAGGGTTTATGAGCCAGAGTGTAGAATAATTTGGAACAAAATGCCAACCGATTTACTACATAATTTCTCTCCAAAAATTCAAAAATTGTTAGCAACGCGTCTTGGCTTTCGAGCAAGGCATGGAGTGGTGCGACGTCTTTCCATGATGACGGTTGTTGTAATGATGAGAGCACACGAGAATTATGTCGTTCCGATTTCGAGTCTGTATGCTCTTTCAAATTTGACATTTTTTGTGAATTGACTTTATGAAGTCAGCTTTCAGGAGAAAACATGACGGACCTCAAAAACATATACTTCATATACTTTCTACAGCATCTTCGACAATAAGTTTGTTTCGGAAATTGGACAAACCATCATCGAAACACAACATTTAATTTTCTTTGTGAACAACAAAACTGAGGTACAGGAAGGATGACAAGAACTGTTATCGTCTTCACCATAATAAGGACCTTAATAACCTGGTTCCAAGTTTGTTATGGTGCAAATTGTTGGCTTTCACTTTTGCAGCATGACATTTTCATTTTTACATGACAACAAGATTTCCTTTTCACATGACATTTTCGAAAAATAATTTTTCATTTAGATGTTGGTGCGACCCAGACACCGAGATGTTCTCGGTATGATTTTCTTTGACTGTTGAGTTATGGGATCGTCTTGAGACGATCAGACCAAAACAAACACACGAAATCAATATCCAATGTCAGGCTTGATCAATGGCCATTCACCATCATCCCCTTCTCAAAGATTTTGTTTGTTGTTGATATCTTTGTTGACCATTCATTGTGTTGTTGTGGTCAATATTCACTCACCGACATGGTACTATGTTTCCGCACAATATTTGGCTCACTTGGTGTATTGTTCAGTGGCCAACACGACTCTCATACCAGCCAGTACCATGATGACTCGACAACAACCTGGAATTTTGTGTCCTTTTGGTTACATCAAGCAAACCAATGTATCCTCAGGCACATTCATTTGTGTGAGTGTGAGAGATTTATTGACAGATTTAGTTGATCGAAAGGATTGTGTGCTTCCTCCGGGAAGAAATGAATTCTCACTGCCATACCTCGATCCGTTGAATTGTATCTTTAATTTTATGTATTGTGCAACAAGTACGAAAAAGTGTAGCTTGTTTAATACTCGAAAATTGGGAGATTCGTGTGTGGATCGACACAATTGTGTTGGGTCATTGCAAAAACCTTACATTAATTGCCATGAAGGAATTTGCACGACATTGAAACCTCTTCCTGTTCTCCCAGTAGGTTCCGTGTGTAGTGTGAATCCTACAGCCGAGAATTTGGCGTTCATCAGTTACCAGAATAATACCTTTGCCACATGTTCAGCTGACTCGTCATGTATGATTACTTTGTCTGGTTCCAGTAAGTGCGTCAAAAAACACTCACAAAAAGCACAGCCCTATGCCTCCTGTGGTCTCGTGTATGAAAATCAAGAAGGAGGACAAGTTGTAGAAAGTATCAAGGAATGCGTGGATGGTCATGTCTGCAACTCGAATTGTGTTCCCAACTATGGAGCCCCAGATTTTGGAGACGTTCTTCGCTTTCCCTTTCGTAGTGTGGTGCCTTTCACAAATGACCCAAAGAAGCTTATTTGGAGTTCGACCTTCATGTCGGGACGTAAAAAGTATGTCCCGAGAGGAAAAACCATGTGCACCAATACAGACTATGAGTGCAATGGAGCTTCTACGGACAATGCCATTCAAATCAAATCATCGTATTCGTACATGAGAAAAGAAGCCATTGCTGGATTTCAAGGACTGAGTAAGTGTGATCTCTCTCAGAAACAATGCCAACGAGCATTTAGCTTGCTGAATGGTCATGCTTGCAACTATCATTCCGAGTGCCGTTCTACCTATTGCTCACCAAAAAGCAATCAATGTGAAGACATTCCAAGTCATATACCTTGTGGTCCAAATTCTATCAACGCCTCTGTTTCAGAATGTCCTGGTTTGTCTCAATGTGTTTGTGCCAATCTTACGAGCGCTTATTGTGTGAATTTATGTTTTGCAGAATTGACAGATTTGCGTACCTGTGCTTATAATTTTGGAGTTTTTGGAATCAGTAATCCAATTTCGAAAATGGAAAGTACTCTTATACCATTCTTTGATTCGAAATCTTCAATATTCTCATTTGAAAATGGAACCTGTCGAGTACATTTGAGAAAGTATTATTCATGTATGCAAAATGCTCAACAAGAGCTTGGATTGAATATTCAACAAATTGTCCATGACGAAGAAACACCTCAAAACGTTCGCTCGGTGAAAGAACCGATAGACTCTGGTGCCAGTAGTGAAGGTTTTCTAGATGAACCTGACGACATGCTTCAAAATCTATACTTGCAAGGTCATACACAATGGTCAAGCTCATTGAATTATTTGGTTCTTGCTGAAATGAATTCGAGTTATGTTCCCAAACCCATTCATAACATTTCTGACATTTCACTTGCAACGATTGATTTATTCAACGACCCTTCTAATCGATTGAATCAAATTTCTCCAATTTATTCCAATGTCAATGTTTCCGAACAAGTAGTGGTCTATATTTTAGAAAGAATGGCTGGCTTAATTCCCCGATACAAGAGTAAGGCCATTAATTTTAATTCGACTTTGAATGTGTGTGGATGTTGCACACCTCAAGTCACTCAATTTTTACAATCTTCCCTAACTCGAGGTATCATTTTGAAAGGAAATGATTCGAATATTCTCACACAAGGTGCTGTGAATTTTCAAGACTTGTCTTTAAGCAACACAATCTCAGGATTTGAACCTATTATGGGTCATGATTCTTTTTTGAATAGAAATTGGTATGAAAAATGTGATATTATTTTGGTGCCACCTGAGGACATTGATGTCATTACACTTTCGATCAAGAATAACATGCTCATCTTTGATAACAATGAAACAAGTGGAGATATTGTCAAGGAATTGGAACAAAAAACCATGAAGGATTTGTTCCTGGTATTGATATCCAATTTACCATCCAAAATGCTTACATTATCGAGAGATGTTCGAGACGCAGCCATGACTGATGAACAAGTATTACGAACCGTATCGTCGCTGATTCAAGACACCATTATCCAAAGTATGACCAGAATTTCACAGATATTCAATCAAGTCCAAAACTCCAATTCTAGTGAATGTTCACTCTTCAATGCAACATTTGATGTAAAGACCTACCATCAAGCGATATTCTCGTTCTCTTCCGAATGGGATAGTACACTGTTTCCTCTTGCCTATTCCGAGTTCATCATTGAATTCGATAATTGGTTTTTTGCACATGGAATTTCTTTACCAAAATTTAATGTTACAAATGATTCCATGATTGCCATTCTGGACAAGTTAGCAAATCCAAAATGCTACAGTAGCTACAATTCATATTTAGGTGTTTTTCACTATAACGATGCATCTAAATACTGGGATTTAATCTTGAAAGATGCCATGTTATGGTGTGTTATTGCATGTTGTGTTATATTTTACATCATTGTGGCATTCACTTATAGAGCGAGCTTTGCCATGAAGAGAAGATTATTTGCACCATTCATTGGACCGTTTTGCATCTTGATTATTTGCTTGGTGTATATTGAACCGATTTTAATGTCTCTTTTTAAGAGCGTTGGAAAGAACATTGTGCCTTTCATTCCCATTCCAAACTTGTGCATGTCACTTTTGAGTGCTTCTTACATTGCAGTGTCTGTTCGATTTTATTATCTTCGAAATTTGTATCCAATTAGAAAGGGATTAGACGGAACCATGCAAAATAGAACAGCCAACTCGAGCATGAAATTGTACCGAATTATTGCTCAACCTTTTGTCACGTTCTTGATCACCATGATCATTATGGCAGCTCTTTTTGCAATTTGGTTTGGGATCTTTTATGGTATTTTGGACAGAATTATAATTAAGAGTTTTGGAAGATTTGAATGGACTCTTCAATTTGATGCCTCTCTTCTGGCAATTACCACTCAATTTGTCTTCTTGAGTGTGACTTCCATACTTTGTCTAACCGTTGATGCAATATTCAATTGGAAAAAGATTAAGAAAAATGTAAGTCGTTCTTTGATGATGGGAACACGTATGATCGCTAACATGTGACACCAATATGAATGGTATGAAAATAACATGATTAGGGAATTGGATATTATTTCATGTTTGATGATCCTTTTCACATGAGAATTGATATCATTTCACAATTACTCATCTTTATCATTTCAATTATTGTGATATTGGATATTTTCGTTTGGCATACTCTGATCGTTAATAGAATTGGAATTGCTCTCTATTTTCTATGTACCTTAATGATCTTTGGTGGAAATATTGTTGCGATTGAACTTGTAGCGCTTCTTCGGAAGAAGAGAGAAAGTACATTTTGTTTTGCTTGTTTTACTGATCGACCCGATGTTCTTGAAACAGAATGGATGTCCAATATGAAAGATGTTGAATTTAGAGGTTTACAACAGGTGAGTTGTTTTTCACATTTTAATTTCTTGAATGGTGGAGTCACATGTAAATTTTTCACTTCCCTGGTTACAGACCTATGCAAAGAATGAATTCTCTCTTGAAAACTTTATCATGTTCGAACACTTGGAATCACTCGAAAAGAAAAAGGAAATCAATGTGGATGACATGCAAAATTTGCAATCCACTTTTCTTCACACCTTGTCACCCTATGCTGTCAATTTACCTGCCTCATGTCACACTCGCTTTGATCAATTGTTGGAGAAACTAGTTCAAGAAAGTGTATCGACTCTACCCATTCGTGAGCTTGATTTCATCAAAAACGAAGTCATTGCTAATAATTTGGATACCTTTAGTCGTTTGACCAGCACCACAGAGTATCGACGATGGAAAGAAGTAGCATCCTTCCAAAAAGAAATGCATGTCAAATAATCCATCTCATGGTTTACTCGATCCCATTTTGGATTAAGGTTTTTTCTCAATCATCAAATTGGAGTGAATTCAATGACTCGCTTTAAAAGTCTTTGGAATCATTGTCTTTGATGTTCGATGGTTGTTCGACAATTCCAACGGCACTTCGGAGGCGCCAATAAAAAAATCTACGTCATCATCATCACAGCTTCTCTCTCAACTTTTGCAACAACAGATTTTATACATCATCAAACGGACTCACGGAATTCAAATACATTCAAGATTCTTGAAGTGGAATATTACAAATAAAATGTTGAGTGCGTTGAAATCCATTTTGGATTGGTTTAAATCCTTGTTCTGGAAACAAGAATTGGAGCTTACATTGGTAGGATTACAAAATGCGGGTAAAACAACACTAGTAAATACGATATCGTTTGGACAAATGAATGAAGATACAATTCCAACCATCGGATTTAATATGAGAAAGGTCTCTAAAGGAGGTGTGGAAATTAAATTGTGGGATATTGGAGGTAAGTGATTCCGATGGAACATATTGTTGAACGAAAGTATTGTTATGAAAATATTTAATAATTACAATTATTATTATTATTATTTGATGATGATGGCAATACATTATTAACACGTGATGATCTTGCATTGGATATTTTGTACTATTGCTTGATTTGAAATCCATACAAAAACAGGACAATCCAAGTTCAGAAACATGTGGGAGGTATGTGCGGAAATGATTGTTGTTCCTTGTTCTGACTAATTTTGCTGTCAACTTTTTACTCATACTCCATCAATTGATTATCATCATTTCTACCGCTTTTATTGGACCTCATACTCCATCAATTGATTATTGGACTACAATAATCCTATTAATGAATACGTCTTTATATTGTTGATTGAAAATGTCACAACAACAGAGGTACTGCAGAGGTGTAGGAGCTATCGTTTATGTCGTGGATTCAGCAAGCGATGAACAAACTTTAGAAGTTGCTAAAAAGGAGCTTCATGAACTTGTTTCAAAAGCATCTCTTTCCACTATACCATTACTAGTTTTAGGAAATAAGAACGATTTACCCAATGCAAGATCAGCACAAGAATTAATAGATAAATTAGACTTAAAGTTAATAACCGGAAGAGAAGTCAGTTGCTACTCAATCAGCGCTAAAAACTCTGTAAATATTGACAAGACATTGCAATGGCTCATAAAGAATGCCAAGAAGAGTGAAGATACGGATAAGAGTAATTAGTTGCCTACACTTGTGTTAAAAATTTAATTTCGTATTTATATGCCTGTGACAACACTTTTGTAAATTTATTCGTGAGACAACATTGTAAAGTAAATTGTGACATGAATTTTTGAGTTGTCATATTTGGATAGGTTTTACAATGATTGATGCTCTAAATAATATTGAATCAAAGCTTGCAAAATAGATCCATAACTTGGTTCGTTAACAAGATCTTGTTGAGCATCCGCATGTGATGGACAGTTTGAAGCAGGAAGAACCATTTGGCAATTACTCTGCGAATTGTCTGTTTGGTTCATTAACTCATGAGGCCACAAATTTGTCTCTGTTTTTTCTGGATTATTTTGAGAGGAATGATTGAGCGCGATTGGTGTCTCGCTAATGCTACTTGCTTTTGAGCTTTGCATGGAGGAAGATCCTATTGAATTTTTTCGTTGTCTTCTCTTTGGTGGATGTTGACTCTCCTTATGGGTCATCTTTTCTTGTTTAAAAGCATCATTGCCTTGTGCGTTGGATGATAAAGTTTGAGGGGTTAATACAAAGTAATTGTCTGCAAAAGCTCGGTTGTTCCTTAACATGGGTCTTTCGAAGGCATAAATTTTGACATCTTTGGAGGGTTGGTTATTGGTGGAGGTTGTGTTGTGAGCATTGTCTTTGTTCGATGCGTCATGTTGTTGGAGATTAGATTTTCTCGTTCGTTTGCAACTTCGCCTGACCTCACATGTTTCATCAATGAAATGAAAAGATGACGTTTGGTTTGGGGTTGGAGATTGCGGCTGTTGAGTGGTTTCTTCTAAGCAGTGTTTAGAATCCTTGGTTGGTGGATCAAACGCATGTGAATGTGCTTTTCGATGACGTTCCCCATTGCTGTGTTGGTTGTTGTTCGCCAATTCAAGCTTGTGGCCCTGAAGAGAAGTAGCATGTCTAGCAGGGAATGTAAAACCATTGGTTGCGTTGTTGTTACTACTTGTAGGTTGCAAAAAAACGTCTGGAGGATGTGAATGCGATGTTTCTTGGGTCTCCATCAAGTTTGGAGTATGTTGAGGTTGCTGTACCTGTTGTCCATGGCCACTGACGAGAACCATCATTGGATTCGCCATGGTGTTTGGAATCACCCAATAACATACTTGACTTGGGTTCCAAGTACCTCCTTGCACAGTCGATGTTCTAGCCTTTGGAGATTCGGTTTGGTTTTCTTGAACCCTTGCCACATGACTCCAAAAAGCGATTTGCTCTGAATTCCATAAAGGAAATGACCATTGATTCTCCATACTTTTTTTATTATTTCAATCTTCACGTGTGTGTATAATTTCAACCGTCGACAATAGTACAAGGCAGCATTGCTACTTCAATCTTTTCACTCTTATTTGATTTAACGATACAGCTTGAAATGGTTGTGTGGACTGGCTTTGGGAGAACTTTCTTTCCTAATTTTACCCTTACCAAGTGAACACCTTTATCCATTTCAAACAGTTGGATGACAGGTCAAATTCCAAATATACTTTAGGTATTAAACATTACGGTCATCGGAGTTTGAGGTGGACTTGTGACTACTGTTACTGGTACAAGTTATTCGTTGAGATTGAGGTGAATCAATCATGGTTGTTGACGGATCATGCACACATGCGTGCCTTATTCTTGGCTTTCAATTTTCCCACAAGTGTCATTTGTCAAAACAAAATAATTTTCAACAAATTCCTTATGTTGTCTTTTGAATTCCTTCTTCGTTTGGTAAGTTTCATCAACAAAATGTAAAACCATGTGTTGAGGATTTGTTACTAACAATAGTTTGCTGTATTACAGCTTGGGATGCTTGAATTTCATGCTCGAATGATTCTGGGAATTTTGTATTGACTCTTTCTTGTTGAAAATGATTCTCTTGTGTCAGAGGATCATGTTGTGAACACGTATGAATGAGTTGATGATGTTGCATGGTATTAACATGTTGGGGAGATCCATGCATGGGTTGATGATGGTACATGTGATGTGCATGTTATCACTATTTTCGAATAAAAGAACAGCTGATTGAGAATCAATGTTTGGTGGTGTATCATGTTTGCGGTAAGGGCAAGATGGTGCATCAACATTCACCTTGCACACGAAATTACTAATCGCCTGTTCGTGGTTTTCTAACGAACATGTGAGCTCGAGTGGTTTCGATGCATGATGATGCGAGGTGTTGAATGTTTTTTCGCGTGTCTCTAATACTCGTGGTGCCGGTTTGATTTACATCATCCTGTGGAATTTGGAAATGTTTACTAGGTTGAAGAGTCTAGGCATCTCATGAGCAAGCGCGACAGTAGCAGGCACTTTTCGAACACTTTCATGCATGCCATAAGTATGTTTGTTGAAGCATGGTTGAATACTTTTTTGAATTCAACTCAGGGATTCTTTGCGCAAAATGCTCTCCTCCACGTCACCGGGTTTGCCTTATCAGTAGAATACTTGTTTTGTTGACAATTGCAGATAGAGTTGAAGTAGTGCTTGAATACGCTCACTGCCATCACGCTGTTGTAGAGAACATGGTACCTGCTTGTTTTCTAAATGATGATGCATTGCATCTGCTTGGGGGCCACTAGAAGAAGGCTGTATATAATTATTGGGTTGGAATGAGCTGTTAGGCACCAAAGGTCCTTGTTTGTTGGCAGCAAATCGATCATGATAATCATGTTGTTCATGAATGTAAATGGATGAATAATGGTTGCACCCTGTAATGATCGGTCTGGACTGAATTTGTGACGAAGTGTTGTAGTCATGGATGTAAGCTGTTGTAGGAGATCTTGTAAATTTGTTACAATTCGATGTTGTATCCTGTTGAAGATCGTTTCCACCAGAGGAGGAGATCAAAAACGAGATGTTACCCGGTGTATGAATTGTTGAATATTGTTCCATCTGTTGGCCAACCCCAGCTCTTTTCAAGTGTCTTCGTTTTCTTCGTTGAGGAGGTTGTTGGTTTTCTTTGATTTTCATAGTTTCTTCTTGGAATGAAGCTGTATCGTTGTTAGTGGGTGTGAGGACAAAGTAGTTTTCTGCAAATTCTTTGTGCTGCCTTAACATTGGTCTTTCGAATGCATAAATTTTGACGTCACAAGAGTTGTTTGAGGGAAAAACGCCATTGGAAACATGTTTTTGGGGAAGAGTTTCGTATTGAAGCTTTCGTTTCTTGGTGTATTCCTGTTTAGTTTGGTTGGTTTCGTCAATAATGCTGATAACATTTGATGTGTTTGTCATTGTCTGTGTTGACCGTTCCTGATGGGTATTCTCTTCCTCAACATGCATTATTTTGATGTTTTCCTTCTTTGGTTTTAAATTTGGAGATACACGCATAGATTCATTTGATGATGGTATCACAACTGACATGTCGTTTTCTTGATAGGTACGGTTGATACTTTCATAATTCTCCAGCTGACCCACCATGCATGCAGCAGGAAAAACGAGTTGATGATGTACTTGTTGTATCATGCATGTAGCTGTGGGTGCATGCATGTGTTGATGGTGCGGTTCTTGATGTTGATTTGTATAGAACATGTTGGTGGTTTGCATTGTGTCTTGTGTTCCCTTTACATTGGGACAAGATGTTTGTGTTGGGGAACAGATGTCTGTTGTAGTGATGTTGAGATTGTTCCTCGATACTCTTGTATGGAAGGTTGGCACATGCGAGGTAAATGCTGTAAATACTGTAAAATCTCGACTGTAAGAAACGTTTGCCCGTAAGCAACCCCAAAAAAAATAGCCAACCCTCTCAACCGCCAACAGCGCACTAGCAGGTGTTAGGCATTGATTTGCCTCTGATGATCAGAGTATTTAAATAAAGCTTTATTAAATACAATTTCAACAATCAACTTCTTCATCAACTTGTTAGAGAATGTGTTTACGAATGAAAATCCGGGAAGCTCTCCTCCTGTGATGATCCAAACCACTCAAAACTTTCGCTAATTAAAAATAGCCGTTATGAAATGGTGGTATGATGTTGAGAAAATTGGCAGGGTGAACATAAGCACTTTTTTTTTGCCAAAACAATCATTTACCCTCGATTGTTGTTTACGGGCGAGATTTTACAGTATGCTCTTCATCTGCAGTAAATGTTCAATTTCTGCATCAAAATGTGCTTGTGTCACTTTGTCCATTTCAGAAAACTGTCGTTTTTTTTGACTTTGTTTTTCGTGGCTGATTGGAGGTTATTCCCTTTATAGTAAAAGTGTCGGATTAACAATACAAGGGCACTAGGGCAGGACAGCTCATGTCATTTTGCTCTAACGACTCGAGAATAATACCCCTCATTCCACAATGTCAACCCTCCTCAAGAAACATCATGCCTTGTCACAGAACCATGTCTATTTCATTGTAGAGCGTCATGCTGTCTTGAAACCATGTATAGTGTACAAGAATGGGATTTAGTGGCTCATCGGTGTCTTCTCTGGATGAGGTCATAACATAGATTAATAACGTTCTTTAGGTTTTCCGTTTCTTGAGTGTGAACGCTCGTTTTTTCAGGATTGGAAGGCAATAAGAAAAAACCAAATTGTTGAAGCTCCATCGACGTAAAGTGGGAGATGTCCAAAGGTGGTAAAAGAGTTGGATGGTGGGACTGGGTTGATGGTATTCTTTGAAAATTCGACAAATCTTCTTCAACACATACGAAGCTTTGCGAGTTTTTAAGAAAAGGATCCTCACTTGATTGTTGTGAGCTTTCGAGTTGATTGCTTGAATATTTTGTGTTGCATGTGCTGATCAAATTATTGGAATAACCTGTACGACTCGTGTCCTCATAACAAACATTCTTTTTCCCTTGGCTCATTGTTTTCTGTCTGTCTCGCTCAGTATTTGCAGGAAGTACATAATAATTTTCAATAAATTTGCAATTATCAGAAAACAAAGACTTTTCGAAGGCATAAATTTTCCCAAATGACGACATTTTCTCATGTCCACCATGACTGCTGGATTCATTCAATTGTTGAGAAGGAGGTGTTGTTTTAACTCTTTTAGTGGTTCTCTTTTGTGCTAGCGTAGATTCATCAACGATTTCAAAATGTTGAGCGAGCTTGTTTTGTGCAGCATAATGAGACTCCAAATGGGGTGATGCGGCCTGGGTTGCATTCAAGCCCGCAACTGTTCTGTTAGAAATATTTTCGCATGAAGGCGAAACTTGTGAATACATGGAGCCATATGCTTCTTTTGCACCACTTGTTGTTGGGTCAACATGCATGTGGTTTTCATGTTGGTGTGCTTCCACGCCAGATATTACATTATGACCACTTGTTGTTGCTGGATAAACATGCATGTGGTTTCCATGTTCTTGTATGTCCATTGATGCAGCTCGTATTGATGTGTTGAAACCGGTGGTCGGCTCTAGTTGATGAACTGATGAATCTTTTTGTGTCGTTATGGCGGCGCAATTGGTACTAGAAACCTGTCAGATATTCGTCAATCCCACGTCAGCTGATTTGAGTAAACTCCAAAGGAATCAAAAATAAAATGAGTGAGTCTCTTCCTGATTGGTTTGCAAGGGTTTGAAGAACCGAAGCAACTTGGGTTCTTACTGCAACAACAGACAAACTGAAACGAAATATAGAGGCCATAGGACGTTACACCATTATTCGCTTCAGCTGAAGCTTGTAAAACAACAGCGTGCCAACGAACAGCTCACGGAAGACAGATCCTTGCTAGCACCCTAAACCAGAACTATTACCAATTCTACTGCATGACATTCAACGAATAAATTTTTTTATGCTTTCATATTCATTTTTGACTTGACGAATATCTGACAGGTTTTTAGTGCGCTTCAACGTCGGATGCGCCGCCATACAATAGATGTGTCTTGGAACTGCTGATGAGGAGTTGTTGTTGTTGTTCTGCTGTTGACGTTACATGGATTGGGCTTCATAGTTCGTTTACCTTTCTTTGGATGTTTTCTTCCGTATGGCAAGCCACTAACATACCCAGTGAAGAAGACGGCATTGCACGATCTCGGCTTGTCCTTTTCGAGGGAGAACTTATACGGGTTTTCAACGAGTGAAACTGTTCAACGAAGGACTGAAGAACGCCTTTGTGATTTGTTTTTTTCGCTGGCTTTGATGTTCAGCGTGTTGAATCACAAAGAAGACTCAGACCTCGGAATACTTTTGTCATGATGGAAGAAATGGGCCTTTCTCACTTCACAACCATTGGCTGGCTACAACTATGGTTACGGTTTCCAGTGATGGGTAAAGGTGAGTGATACCGAATGTTTACACATGTTCTCGTTCTACAATTTTGAATCTGGTTGAAATCATTATGAGCTTGTTTTGAGAAATGTGGTGGGAAAATATCAAACATGTTGGTAGTCTTTACAGCTTCAATCACGTTGTATGTTGCAAAAGATGACAAGAACCCTGATGAAACCGACGAAAGATGATCAAGCTTAACGGTTGATCAAGTCGGCGAACAACAACTAATAACCGTACGACAATTGTGCAAAACATTTTTTTCGGACGAAAATGGAAAGCATCTTGCATGAATGGAAACAGATTTTCAGGCGTGTCCTGCCAAGCAGCTTGGTACGTTCGACATGTTGTGTGGTTGTAGATATTGATCCTTAATTGCTTTTATGTGTTTCCTTAATGGAATGTTTTGTTAGGAGTAGTGCTTAATTGAATCATTTCATAGCATCGATTAATGACTTGCTGTACATGTTGGTTGTCTAATTGCTCCAGATTGGAAAAGGAACTACTACCAGAGGTATGATTATTGCATGTCGTCTTTCTTGTGCAACTATCATCTTCCTCTCTATTATTATTTATATTTGAAATGTCATCGGTGGAGTGAAATGGAGCGTTCAAGCACAACGAAAGACAAGGGGTTGTGTAATCACTCTGGAACCGCCTTGTTGATGTTTCTAGAAGGGATTGAATAGGTTTTGATGGAAATGGCACTAGACTTGATAATTCCTCTTCCAAATAGAGAAACACCAAAGTTGAATTGGAAGGTGAGATATTACGATGACTCTCTGCATGATTGGGTGTGTTTGGTTTTTGAGTCTTACCGTCACATGTGTTGGGGACCACATGCTTCTCTTTGAAACTTGTTAGATTTTCCTTATGTACATTGTTAATATTCTTTTCAGGATGAAGGACATAATAATTCTTTACAAAATTACAACTCTTTGAAAACAACGGTCTTTCAAAAGCATAAATTTTTCCATGCAAATCACAACCAGTGGTTGTGTCTGAATATTGTTGTTGTGATTGCTCCAAACACTCACTGTTCCTCTTATTGTTACCATTTTTGTGAAATTGATAATTATTATTCTTCATATAAATTCCATTAGAACAAGCTAGAGTTGAGGTGAGCCTTTCTGATTTCAAATGTTGTTGTTCTTGTTGCTGAATGAACCAAGTTCGTTTTCTCTTTCGAATCTTGGAATCCTTACTTGCCATAACAGCAGTCATGCATGTCTCATCAATGATGGTCATTCTTGAATCAATTGGATCTCGAGATTTCTTTGTGTCAATGTCTTTTCTTGAATCATGCATGTTGATACGAGAAGAAGAAGAAGAGACACCCTCACAACCTCCACTCGTTGGAGAGGAACATGTTGCATGAGAAAGATCCTTCTCTTTTATCAAAGATGTGGTTCTTGTTGCATGATACATTGAGTTGTTGTTGTTGTAAGTATACAAGTCACTCATGCGTTGATGATGATAATCAAAGTTATGATGGTTCGAGTGATTCTGAGAATGCATTCCTGTTGGAGACAAGATGCATGCATGGAGGGTATTCGAAGAAGAAGTTGACGCTGTCAATGGTTGATCATGTACTTGAACATGCGCATGATCAATAAAACCACTATCGATGAAAGAATCCTGACTCTTGTGATGGGTACTACTCCTCATTCGAGAAGGTTGAAGTACACTATTACTCGGTGCCATAGTGTTGCTTGGTCTCGTTTTTTTCCTTTGCGTACGCTTCAGCTTTGATTTCACAGGAAAGAGCTAAAACTCCAAAAAACAAGAACACCAAATTTGAAAGCAAACAACAAGTTGGATTGAAAGAAGACAGAGTAAAGTTGGCAATAAGAGTTGGTGTTGCATTTTCCTCATGGATTCTCATCAATGAAGATCTTGAAAAAGAGTTTGTGCTTCGATGGATCAATTTTTTTGTTTGTGTGTCCTCAGGATTTGCGAAAGTGCGAAATGCACAATATAAACTTGTCATGGACAAAAGAAATACAAACTGCATCCAAGGAATCCGTCTTGAATCCTTGCATGGCGAGGAAAAGTTTGACTCGAAACGAATATCTAAGTCCATGAGATTATATTCCTAATACCAAATCCTGTTTTCGTCCCCACCCGGTGATACCAAATTTACAACAAATTTCCAAACAATCGTTTGTATACAGAGATATTTGGGATCAATCAATACATCACGAGAAAATGTACTCTTGGAGGTGTTTTCTTAATTTCGTGAAGACGGTTGTTGTATTCCTGAACGGAATTCTTCGTCTGATTTTTGAATCGTCAGCGGTGGATTTGCAGCCTCGAGTTGAATGAACAGTAATTTCAATTATCCTTTTCTTTGGCTCTACTACAGTTTGAAATCGATGGGAATTTTGAGTTGACAACGTAACTGGAACAAGATCGACGAACGGTTCTCATCGCGTTGTGATCGACATTCTCGATGAAACCCGTTTTGATCGCCTTAGATCAATCAAAACAATTGACAAATTTGAAGTCATGAAAACTCCTTTCCCTTACATGATTATTTATTCTTTTCTTGCTGCTGAACGATTGATAGACATTGCAAGAAGAGTCTCTTTAAAGGATCGTTGTCTGGAGCTTGTCGAAGCAATTGAAACATGTCCATGATATTCAGTGTGGGTGGGTTATGATGATATTGCCTCGATGTTTGTTCAAAAGGAAAGGATATGTTATAAACAGGATCGTTGGGAAAGTCACTAGGGTTTAGGGTGGTTGAGGAGCTTAATAATTGGGGAAGTTGTTGTGAATGAGAGGTTGATGGAAAGGTTTGCTGTGTTTTCCGTTGTTGTGTTACGAAATTGGCCAATGCTTCCATCAACAGTTGTTGAGTGTTACTGACAACGTTAACAGCATGCTGTTGTTGCTGTGATGGATTGTGATACTGCTCCTGTTGACGTGGTTGCCCAGAAGAAGATATCATACCAAAGTTTTGTGACTGTGGAAGGTCACCTTGTTGTGGTAAGGCAGTTCCAAAGAGTGTTGAGTCAGAAATCTTCTGTTCTTCCCAAGGATCGCCCTTATTAAGGTTAGAAAATGATAAATTAGAAATGTTGGTAGTGGTGTTGGAGGGTGTGAATGAATTTAACAAGTTACTGTCATGATGTGAAAAGGAAGGAGAGTGAATGAATGTTGATGATGTTGGTTGTTGAGAATCAGAGGAAGACTGTGGAACCATTGTTTCCTGATTGGATCGATTGGTCATTTCTCTGGATAAAATTGAATCAATTATAGAAATCAATGCATTCGGATCGACTTGTTGACCTCCAACTGGTAATGCTGGTGGAAGTGCAGTAGATGCTTGTTGATTGGTAGTGTTAAGCCCGCTCAACACATTCAACATGGGAGCTATTTGTTGTAAGAGTGGCTGCTGCACTTGTGGCTCCTGAAATGATGTAGATTGAGTTGATGCTTGTTGTGAAAGATTACTGCTACTTGCCCCCCGAGCTTGTAAAATCTGATTCTGAGCTGGCTGTGTGAAAATATTGTTCGTCGTTGAAGAAGTAAAATGCAAAAAACGTTTCAAAAACTCTCCCAATGCGGATTTTTGGGCTTCCAGTGATGATGATTGATTTTGGGAGTTTTCTGATGGAGTATCCAAATTATTGTTGCCTAGCGTGGTAATAGTTTCATTTGAGGGGGTGTTGAAATTGGAATTTAAGGTTTGTGCTTGTTGTGATGACATCTGTTCTTCATTGCTGCGAGTTGAGGGTGTTGGATTGGTTGTTGAGGAGGGTTTTTCGTTCATTGACGATTTTTTGGTCCTCTTTCTTGGCTGTACCAACTGCAAGTTTTGGGAAGGTTTAGAAAGAGCGTTAGTGGAACTTGCCTGTTGGGCTTGTTCATCACTACTACTACTTGCTGAAATCGATGACGTCGTCATTGAAGATATACTATTTCCACTACTACCACTGCTTGGCATGTTGCTTGTGTTTGTAATGGTTGGAGTTAACACAAAATAATTATCTGTGAAATTGACATTTTCATTCATCAACGGTCGCTCAAATGCATAAATCTTAATTTTTCCAGGTTTTTGCTCCGTTTCACCAGTGGTCATTAATTGATGATGTTTTTTCACTTTCTTTCTTGTTCTTGTGGTTTCATCTACAATGGCAAATGGCGATGGTGTACCACTTCCTGATGGAGTGCTGTTTTCTTCAGAGGATGAAGAGGGATGATGATGCATTTGCTGCAATGTAGATGATGTATTTGTATGTTGTTGAATCTTTGTTTTAGATGAAGACCTATTTCTTGATGATTTTGGCACCTTGACTTTGGCATGTTGCAATGTCACATGCGAATGATGATGTTGTTGATGCACAGAAGTCGAAGAAGAAGAACCTATTGTGGACTGATCCGCATGTGTCAATGTTGGAGATGATGTTTGCTGATCATTAGAATTGTCTAGCATGAACTCCCTATGATGTGATTCAGGATGATCATCATTCTCTATTTGTTGATGTTTCTCTTTCATCGTCGACAACTGCTGTTGTTGTTGTGAAACTTCCTTCCCGCGATTAGTAGTGGCGTCAATTTTTTCATTCCAATTTTGTGCGAAATGCGCACCTTCACAAGCATGTTGTTGTGGTGGCATAATAGTCCTCGTTGGCATATTGCCGCCTTGATGCATGTGTGTTGTATCTCCTGATGTGGTGGGCGGTTGAAGCAGCAACATGTGAGAGTTGCAACAAGCGGTATTACTCAACTCCTCATTAGCAGCTAATGACTCGACATGTCCACTACCCAGCATGCTTCTGTGGGTGGACATGGTTAATCTTCTACTACTGCGCATTTGGTCATTCTCATCCAATGATACCACACCTTCGGCTCGCTCTTCTTCGTTATCAATGCCTGGCTGCTGTTTCTCCACATGGACTTGATGCATGGCTGGGTGCATGGTTTGAATCACATCTTCATGAAAAGGAGCATGCTCTTTACGTGAAGATGATGGTTGTTGATTTCCATGTCTACTTTGCATCCTTTCAGCATGATGCTTTGAGTGTTGTTGTAATTTCAATGTTCGTTTGTTTTCGAGATGGCTCTGATTTTGAGAGGTCACGGCAGAGAAGAGTTGTTTTTTTTTGATGTTTCGACGAATTTAACCGGCAGCCGTAATGAGAGTGGAAGATTCTTTCGACTTGCCAGGCGTGGCAGTTTTGGTCTTCATATCGGTGTTAGCAGTGAGGATCAAATTCGTCGCACGTTGTGTGTTAACGCCATTTTCATCCATACTACATTCCATTAGCAGGACACAAGAGAAACCTGGCTTGGTGATGGATTCATGACAGTTGGTGCTGTTTTGTTTTTTTTCTCAAAGTTGTAAGTGTTGTGGCCAATGCGCACTTGTGGCTGTGTTCATGGTCCAGCTGGTGATGAGTGGGTAAATTGTGTCAATATCTCTCAAACTTTGGCTTTTTTTGAGGATCTCATCTTCATATATGGTCATACTTATTTCAATAACTACATTAGCCGTAATACTATGCAAAAGCCATCACAATAATTTAGGAACTTTCCAAAACACTCATTCACTGTTTTATTCCGATAATACATTTCGTCAGGGTAAAAGAATATTAGAGGTTTGCATCTTCGATACATACCCGCAAGCTACTATATTACTAGTAATATTATTATTCAAATTTCAATATGCTGAAATTATGAGCATTTTGAAAATATCCGAGGTTGATGAACGATAAATTGTCATAAAATTGTAACAATGCTGAAATCAATATTGATTCTTCACTCCTCTTCCACCTTCGTTGACTCCTCCAGCTTGCTAGTTCCTTTCAATCGGAATCGTCTATCAATCAATGATCGTTTACATAAATTCAAACGTTCGCGCACAGAGTTGCACTCTGGTGGAAATACGTCGTTTTTAATACAATCTTGAAAAGTAGTTCCTGGTTTTCTCACACATTCCGAATATTTCATTACACAATCAATGAAATCTTGACGAACACCAGCGCAAGGAGTATGTTTGTCGGGAGCCATGATGACGCCAAAATATTTTTTTTATTCTCGATAATGTAATTTTGGGATTCACAACAAGCTCACTCAAACTATAGCTTCCACTCGAGCTTGGTGGTTTTCGTTCATGTTCTGGGCTCAGAGATTTTTGGATTTAAACGCTGGAGAGATGAGAAATAACTTTCTAATTTACCTTCTAATTAATAATGCACTCGTAGTGTACCAGGAGCATATTTGTGAAGAGCAAGAGACCGGAACGCAAGGTCGAAGGTTCGACTCTCAGCGAAATCACGAAACGTTTGTTGGCAACACCAAAACCATAGTTCAACCGTCACACTATGTGAATAAAGTGGGTGAAAACAAGAAAGTCGAAGGTTCGATACCTGAAAGATGCAGCAATTTTACACCGAAAACATTGGCGGGAGAGGTGTGGCGGTCATCATGAATATTATTTATTAGGATTTGATGATTCTATTGGAATGTGAATTAGAAACGCATTTCTTATCTCTCAAGCTCGTTCATCCAAAAAATTCCCAGCCAAAATTTTTCGAAAAAGGGACGAAATTGTTGGCTCAGGCGTGGAAGGGGTAACTCAAACTGCTTGCCTGTACAGTGAATGGTGAAATGATACCGTAAACAATATCATAGAGAACATTAGGAAATGTCTATTTGTTGTACCCTTCGCTCAAAATACTATTTCAATACTTGAACCCTATTGTTTTGTGAATCACAAAAAAGCAATTCTCCTGTTTCCTCATTCAAGCATATTCTTGTAGGGTTTTCACAGTCTGTCATAGATTGGCCTTTTTTACCAAAGGTACAAATAAATGATCTATCTGTTTTGAAAACTTTTATTCTGTGGTTGCAGTAATCTGTTACGTATATATATTTGGAGGCCTTATCAAAAAGTACTGCATGTGGTGAATTAAAGTCACCTTTAAACACACCAAACGTTCCAATGGTTTTTATACTCTGCCATACTCCAGAGTCCTTATTAATTTTGATGAATTCTAGTCTGTGATAGGGATCACCTTCACAAACTATCAGAGTTTCATGATTAATAATATCGATTCCGATGACCTGAGTGTTGATATTAATTCTGTAAAGTAAATGACCAGTTTTGATATTTCTAACAGCGACTCCGTTTTGGTCACAAATAAAAAGATGCATGTTCTGAGACACCATTCTACGCATGCACTGCTGGGAAGAGCATTTCCATAGAGTCGTCAGTGAACTCAGTTCCAAATGGGACTTGATATTCGTAGAAGAAATTTCGTCCATTAATTCTTTTAAACTAAACTTCCCTGCCAAATACTCCCCCATTATTGACAATCAATGAATCATTGCCATTCATATCAAAATTCTCTTCTACACACAAAAACCATGGATGAAGAGCTAAGGAGACGATACTTGCTTTAAATTTCTTTGAATATAAATCAAACACTTGGATTCTATAACTATCATCAGTGATCAGTATACATTTGTGGGAGTATGATATCTTGACGTCGAGTGGACGAATGAATTCATTTTCGGAACTTCCAACCATACCTGTTTTTCCAATGGTGTGTACATGTTTAAATTGTAATGAGAATGGCATTGGTATTCGTATTCGTGTTCTCATTTTGTTTTTCAATTTGCAAAATTATATAGTAAATTCGGAATTGTCATTATTGGGAAACATTTCGTCCAAGCTTTTCAATATATCAAATGCATCAAAATTATGGAGCACAATTTTGACATTAATGCTGTCGTGATCATCATCATCACCATTCACGAGCATGGACGTTGGATCGAGTTGTTATTTTTTTTAAAATTGATAACTTTTTATTAAAATTTGAGATAATTTGAGAAAAAAATACAGAAATTGCTCAACGAATTATTCCCATTCATGGTGCAACATTATTCACAAGAAAGCACTAACATCAAGAGTTCCCTTTGCTTTTTCCAATATCAACTTGATACTTTCCTCCCACAATTCTCGTTGTTTCTCACGATCATGCGACTCCATGGTGGATTCTTTCAACGTATCTCCATCAAAATACTTTCCGGATACATGTTCCAGTGAAGGGTCTACGACGAGCCTCTTCAAATGCGAGCCAGAATCATGCAACGTTCGGATCTTGCTGGTTACATAACTTAGGAGAGGTAAAACATGATGTGCAATGAACACCAGAGCAGGATGGTAATCCCGAGCCAAGCTCGTCGTAGGGACAAAGCCTGGATTGAACATGTTGACTGTAAATGCAGGTTTTGATTGTGTACTACTGCTGGTACTCATGGAGTTCTGCAATCTCCGTTCAAGTTCATAGCCACACAAAAGATTGCAAAGTTTTGAGGTGGAATATCGGACACGACCCGTGTGGCCAGGGTTCTTCAACAATTCTAGAGATGCATTCTTGTCGTCTTGATAATCATCAAAAGGATAGGCCATTTTACGAGGATGTTGATAGTGTGGAGTGGGCATTCCTGTTTTTGCCTGTGGATCATGAACATCACTACTCACAATAATAATTCTTCTCTTTACAGAATTGTCATTAGATTCAAAGAGAGGAATCATTAAATTAATAAGCAAGAAGTGACCTAAATGATTCACTCCAAAAGTTGCCTCAAATCCATCCACAGTTTTAACATCATTTTGGAGTTGTAGACCTGCATTACATACTAGTGAATACAAAGGAGGAATTTCATGTGCTTTCACTTTTTGAGAGAGTTCATGAACAAATTGTTGAATGGATGTAATCGATGCTAAATCGAGAACGATAATCGAGACATGTCTGTGTAAAGAGTCGACATCGACCATGCTGCTTGCTCTTGATTGAGAATGCTTTTTCAACTGCTTTTCATGTTTTGAAAGAACATTGGAAATGGAGGAAAGAGCTTCTTGTGCCTTGATGGCACTTCTGCAAGCCATTACAATGTGATAAGATGGCAGCAAGGATGGTAAAGTTTCAGTTAAATAGATTTGGGTCCATTGATCGAAAAGAATTTGCTTGACACATTCAAGGCCGAGGCCACAGTTACATCCAGTAACGACAAGGGTTTGTGTTTGAGACATTTTGTTGTTGAATGGAGAACTGCTTGCAAATACATTAAGTTGTAAGCAAAATGGAGCTTTGTAAATTGTGCTGTTCTAAATCATGGAGTTTTTTGTGCGCAGCAGTAATTTATCGCTTAAAATCGTGCGATTCCGGATTACTACAGATAGTATTAACCAAATCAGGTCAGTTTCTGTTCTGCGTGAAGTGAACATTTGAGCTTGTTTCTTTTAAAACGATGTCTTTGGCTTTTCTATAGTGGAATCATTACGTGTTTGATTGAGTCTCAATTTATTGTGCAAATCATTGAATCTCCCATCCAATATTCTTCTCATCAACCTCACTTGTGATCACATTTATTGTTTCTTGTGGAATAATTGATGAGAAACCACGTTCAACAATGTAATTCATTATTGAATGTTTCAATAATGCATCATTGAATATTTCAATAATTGATTAAGCATTGACTTTAACTGTTTCTTCCTCCTTATATTTTCCTCCCAAAATCACTGCCTCATTATTCCTAAATGGTTCCATGGTAAGCATTTCTTTAGGTTTCAATCGTTGTTCTCTTAAGCATTTAACAACAGTGTCAAAGCAATGAGTTGCTGATGAACCCTCTTCCAATGCCTTTGTATGAAGTAGAAAGTCACCCTCTTCTTTAAGGAAGAGTTTTGCATTCTTAGCCAACATTTGACACATTGCACTTGCACTTGAAGAAATATCAAATATAATAGTGTCAATACTTGCAGGATCGATTAAATGTGAATAACTTTCAGGTTGAGAAGCATCTCCCAATATTGTAATAACATTAAATCTTGCAAAGTGTTGTTTCTTAATCATTTCAACACGTGTCGAATTAATGTCTATGGAATAAATGACACCACTTTCTCCAATAATATCAGAAATGTGTGAAATGGTTTCTTGTCCATTTCCTCCACTTCCAAGATACAAGACACGTTTTCCAGGTGCCAATGAAAAATTATCAATTCCACCCGAAATCCAACTTGCTAATTTACAATGAAATGGATTCCAAATTCTATATTCAATACCAGAAATTGTGTGAATAGAATCTCGATCGTCATTATGATGAAATGTTGGAATCAAGTTTTTAGTGGCAAGCCAAACAGGGATCAAGTTTGGAGAGTCTCGTAATACGAAAATGCCAGGAAATTTGTGATTTTCAACAGTAAAATGTGGAATTGGAGGAGTAGTAGTACTAGTAATTGTTGTTGTTGTTGTTACTTGTTCTTCGTTTGTTGGCAATGATACAGTATCCATCAACAAACTCGGAACATCATTGAGAAGGAATTCCTTGACAAAGTTCAAATCGGATCGTTCAGTAATAACATTTGGATTCGCTTTCACATACTACTTGGAAGATTATTGTTACAAAACAACAATACGCGTGATAAAGTCGTGATGAATACCTACCTGTATAAACTTTTTGAGATATTCAATATTGTGGGGAGCAAAAAGATCTTCTGTGTCCGTTGTGGTTGTGGTTGTTGCTGTTGGACAGGACCAAGATGATGACATTTTTTTATCTTGTGAATTGTAAGCTTTAAAACCCAATTGGATTTTGAACGATCAACATTTTTATTGCACTACAACGTGTTTGATAAAGTTGCGCGAGTCCTTGTCAGTCCTTACTCCTTTCTACAATTAAAAGGTTACAACAACCATACAGCAGAGCTTGTAACAACATTCGTTTCCGGAGTTTGTGACTGAACATGGAGCTGATCGCCAAAAAAAATCTTCTTCTCGCCTCACTGCCCCATGAATTTTACTGAACTTTTTACTAACCACTTGTTACATTATAAACCCATTAAAAAAAAACTGTCGAATGAACAACACCACTCTTAAAGATCACAACTCTCTGAATCACTAGGACCATATTTCATTCGTTTTTGATGGTCGTAATGGTCGTAATGGTTCTGACTCATCTCGTGAACATGATCTTCAACGATGGGAATTATTATTGAAAAGAAAATTCTCATTACAACAAGAAGGAAAAAAGAAATGGCTCGAGAATCGAGAATTGAAATATGAAAAGTTCTTTCCTGTGGAGTTTATGAATGACAAGGAATTTGTTTTGAATCATATCCAAAAGTATGGCTATGGATTGCAATTGGCATCCCATCACTTACAAGACGATCGAGAGTTTGTATTGAAAATAATTCAATTAGAGCCAATAGAATTCCGATTCGCAAGTTGTACCGTTCGACATGATAAGGAGGTGGTGTTGACTGCTGGCAAGAAGTTTCCCGAGGTATGGGGATGTATTTCAAAACCACCGGTTCTTCATGCTTTCGCTCCGGATATCGTTCAACAGAATGGATTGGCTTTACAAAAAGCACCGAAAGAGTTTAAGAGAGACAGAAATATTGTGTTGAAAGCTGTCAGGCAAAATTATGAAGCAGTGCAATGGGCAGACGACACTTTGAAATCTGACAAGGAAATTGTGATGGAAGCGTTCAAACAAAATAAGAAGGCTCTTCATCTCGTGGCCAATCAGTTACTATATGCGAAAAACTCATTGCTATTCGATCAGGAATTCATGTTGACAGTTCTCAAGAGACTGTTTCCTGAATTTTATCACCTAAAATCTTTTGACTATTCCAAGAAACATGTTATGGTCAAACTTGTTCAAGAATATGGATGGTTGCTTAAATTTGCAAGTGATCCACTCAAGAACGATCGAAACATTGTGTTGAATGCAGTCAACAATTATGGCTGCTCTCTGCAATTTGCTTCTCTTGATTTGAAGAATGACCGAGAAGTTGCTTTGGCTGCCGTTCAACAGGATGGCTACGCTTTGAAATATGTCTCTGATGAATTGAAGAGAGACAAAGAAATTGTGTTAACAGCTGTCCTTAAAGATAGATGTTCTCTTCAATTCGCATCAGAGGAAATGAAAAATGACAGAGAGCTTGTACTGACAGCTGTCAGACATGACGGCTACGCTCTTGCATTTGCACCAGATACATTTAAAAACGATCGAGAGATTGTGTTGACAGCTATAAGACAAAATGGCGATCATCTTCATTTAGCATCACAAGAATTGAGAAACGATCGACAAGTGGTTCTGGAAGCCGTCAGATCCAATGGTTGTGCTTTAAAGTATGCCGGTGAAATGATGAAATGCGACCAAGACATTGTTTTAGAAGCTATCCAACAAAAACTAGTACCGTTGGAGTACGCTTCTCAAGATCTTGTACGTGACCCACAATTTTTATTACAAGTTGTCAAGTGTGGACATGAAGGAGTTTTCCGTTATTTGCCCAAAAAACCATTCATCTTACCAACGAGTTTTTGTTACAAGCAATCAAAATCAACAGTCTTTCCATTGTTGCATTCTGCGTACCTTCTTATCGTTTATTCCCTAATTTAACTGGCTTTGAATATATTATAGAAGATAAGGAACTCATGTTAGAAGCAGTGAAGAATCATGGAATGGCATTACGTTATGCGAGCAAAGAATTACAAAAAGATCCAGAACTTGTGCAACAAGCTCTCAAATGCAATGGTTATGTCTTGGAGTATAGTGATGAATTATATCAAGCACGAATTCAACAATGTTATCCTGATATTAATTTGGGGAACAACGCCATTAAACAACAGCAACGTTGAATATATTGAGTAACAAGGAAATTGAAAAGCCAAAAATTAAAAAAATGATTTCACTTCTACACACACTCAGTGATTGCATGTTACAACTCGAGTGTATGTTGATATTCTTGCCGAATTCTTTTTGACATCAACCACTCTTCTGATAATACGAAGAAATATTCTCACAATCATCAACATTTCCAATCGGAATCCAATCGATCGTTCACCGCCCTCATAACATTCTCGGAAGACGTGCTCTGGTTACTCTCAATGATTTATTGAGAATGTTCTTTAAAATTATTATTAGGACAAAACAAATTCAAGTTAAATAGGAAATTAATTTCTGGAACAGATCACACCATCCAAGCAATTATTTGTGATTTGGAATAATTTTATGATATTACAGATCTAAATAGTACGCAACTTGGATACCCTGTTTTTTTCATTCCAAGAATACAAAATTGAATTTTGCAGAACCCAAGGCGGAGAAAACGCAACCTTAATAGTGAGGAAACTTTAAGCGATGCTAACGATCACACGTTAAAGCCATTCAGGGGTAAGCTATTGGAAAGAAAATTTTGCACAATTCAGATGGTGTTGGGACATTACATTTAATTAGAGAAAATAGTGATCTTTTAGAACATATTGTTGTTTGTAAAATTAGACAATTCACAAAATAACTCAAAACAAGACAACAGAAAAACCTCGAGATATATCGGTGATGATTATATCCCATCAATGGATGTTTGTAGAAGATACTGAAGTGGGTGGAGAGCTGTAAGATTTATTCTACAAACTTCCATGTTGAACTCACCACAACACTTTGGTCGATATTTCTTCATTATTGATGAACAAGACAATACATGTATTGAGGTGTTCAATAATTATCAATAGCTTTCTTCTTCTGCACTACTCTCTTCCTCTTCTTCCTTCCTCTTCTTGGATGTCTTAGCCTTGACAAGTTCGTATTCCTTCTTTAACTTGGCTGCCTTGTCATGATATGACTTCCTTTCTTCATCTTTCATTGCGTGCCAGAGACCAATTTTCTTAACAAGGCCAGTTTCTTGTTCCTTAGAGATGAGCATGTATGAAGTGGGTGGTTTTTTTGGAACTTCATTCTTGTCCTTCTTGATTCTCTTTCTCTGATTCTTTTCATCAGATTCTACACTCTCCTCTTCGTCACTGAATGATTCAAATTCTTCCATCTCTTCGTCGGATAAAGATGATTCTGAAGAATAGATTAGATCAATATTTTCAACAAAAAGTTTCTCGTTTTGTCTAACTAAAAGCCACCCAGGATCCCATTCACCACAATCAAGAGGCTGAACAGGCAATCCATTAAAATTGTTATCATCATACTCCAGTAAATATCCATCCAATTCATTCCTTGTAAAGTCTAATGACAAAATATGCAGAAAATCCCTCAAACACCAATCCTTTTCCAAAGGATGGTTGTTTGACGAGTTTCAAACTCATTAATTTTCCTCCAATTAATTCCAAACTCTTGTTGTTTACAATATTGAAACATGCGATTTTGTGATTAATTTCATGGCATGATGTGCATTATTATGACATCTTACAAACGTTTGAAGATTGTCATACTCTGAACGAAAATCTCCAGAAAATTAACTTCGACGAGTCACGGAACGGTGGACTTGCCAAAATGATAGCGTTTTGATTTATCTGACAATTTTTTGTTATTTCTTGTTGTGAACGTCATACTGAGCAGCTTGTTCAATTTCTTCACAAACACAATAGGAATTTTGTAACATGGCAATGGCATTGCTTTCATTTGGTGTAAAATTAAATACATTCACAAGGTAATCTCGTCCAAAGTTCGGTGATGATAAAAGGACTTTGAAATGATGAGAGGTTGAATGAATTTCCAGTCATAGGAACTGAATAGTAAGGTATTAGAAATAACAATGGCATTGTGTTGCAGAAAGCTCATTAAATCGTTACTTTGGTGGTATTTTTTTTATCTCTCTTCTTAATTTTGTAAGACGTTTGAGAAATTGATTATTACGAAATCATGGGTGAATTTACCCGCACTCGATCCCCCTCATTACTTTTATCAAACAAAAGAAGAAACACAATGGCTCCATCAACCAAGAAGACTGAAAAACACCACAAGCAGCAGGAAACCAAGAAGATCAAGATCTCAAAGGCCACAAAGACAGACATAGCTGAAGACGAAGCTGATTCCGACAAGAAAAAGAAAAAGTCTCGACATGAATCCTACAGCTCCTATATTTATAGGGTTTTAAAACAAGTCCACAACGAACTTGAAATCTCTTCAAAGACAATGTCTATCATGAACTCATTCGTTCAAGATGTCTTTGAAAGAATTGTCAAAGAAGCTGTCCAATTGTGTAGAGTCAATGGAAACAAGACTTTGTCAACAAGAGAGATTCAAACTGCAGCCAAATTAATCCTCCCTGGTGAATTGGCAATGAATGCTGTTTACGAAGGCACCAAGGCTGTTATTAAGTATAGACAATCCTTCCCTAGACCACTGATCAAGATGAAGAAGAACGACGAACTTATTGTGCCACCACTTGGCAGAAATAAGAGAGTTAAAACAAATTCGTTTTTTTTTTAATTGCCTGTTGTCAAGTGTTGACAGTTCTTGCCGAATGTTTCACATCTCAAAGTAATGTTCCTATTGAGATTATGTGGTTATTCATTATAAATAGTAATATTATTTTCATTGTAATGTGATGTTGATATGGAGAGAGAAATTCATGAAAAATTTAATGAAATTGCTCAAGTCTGTTAGTGTTTTTGCTAAATAATTAACGAAAAATATATTTGTCTGATGTGTTTTGACTACCATCTAAATATGTGTTGATTTCTTGTGGTGTGTCTCTGTACGTATTTTCAACAAACAACAAATCATTCAGTGCAAATTCATACAACACAACTTGAATACAATGAAGATCCATACTTCCATACAACTGAATTAAAAAATTGCAACATTGTCACGGATTATATGTTGTTGTCGTGTGTATATCTTAATATTATTATATTATTATATTATATTATAACATCAACAATTCGACAACAAATCCACTGGCCAGAATTAATCTTCAATCAAAAACTATTCAATTCAATAACTCAGTTGTTCTCAACAAACAAGAAGTCAGTGTCATTTAAATTACTATTGGGTCAAGTGTTACCATCGCTGCTCCAATCACAGTTTGTCAGCCCTGTAATAGTAAATCCATTCAGGGGAATTACAGGATGTGCATCATATTCAATGCAACTTTCAGAGTGTACACTCAGCAGTGAATCAACACTACAAGCCTCTCAATCAACAGAAAATCAATCATCTCTGCTAATGGGTAGTAATCCGAGAACGACATTTCAAGCCATGAAATTCGGAAAATGCACATTCAGCACAACAAGCATCAAAGAGTTGTCACACTCGTGTAACATCATGAACAAAACCGAATGATCGGCACAAAGCAATTCGAACAAAAACCAATTGTTTTGAATTTTCTGTGAATACACCTTCTACGGTAAGAGTTTGAAAAAGATTGGAATGATAATTACTGATGCCATCAGAATACTACGAATAACAAACGTAAGAGACAACAGAACCATACCTGCTAAAAAGCAAATAACTTCACAGAGGGTAGTGGCTGTATTTTTTAATGTTGTTGACGGTCCTGTTTTCTCGTCCACCAACAATTACCAACAACCAACAACAGTGAATGATTGAAAGCATCGTAGATAATTCTATTGAAGCTATCTCGTTTAATATTTATTAATTATTAAACCAAAAGCCTTTATAATTGTTTTACAAGTTTAAAAGTGAATAAACACACAACACCATCCGTCCAACAGCCAAGTTTTTTGTGTGAGATGTCTTGTGACCGCTCTCTCTGAACAGGATTGTGCAGAGAGAGTCCATCAACATGCTTATTTATAAAGTTCAAACACTAACATACTTGAGTGTTATCAGTTTTATTACATATATGGATGAGGGTGGAAGAGATAATCTTTCCTAGCACACAGCTAATAGCCCGGATGGGGATGATTGCTAAAATACTGCTTAATTGCAGCAACTCCAGCAACAACAGCCACCAAACAATCCCAAAATTATTGTATTCCAGTATTTTGTTACTTTAAACACACTCTAAAGTTCTGGCCAACGTTATTCATAAAATCATGGTGTAAAACAATGAGCAGCATATATTTAACTTTTCCTTGATGTCATTTATCCACTCACGTATATTATTCGAGATGTATGTTGATTTTGGAATTTGACGGGCCAACACCGAATTGGTTCCAAACCATGGTGAATAGTCCATTCACCTGTGGACATTACTCATGAGGCACATTAAAAACATTTGTGGTGGGAATCAATATATTCATTCCTCATCGAGTCGTCATCATCATGAAGATCAGCACGAACAAATTTATCACTACTTGCAAGTCAAGATTCACGGATATGGATCACTGGATCGAGATCTCCGAGCTTAAACAAGTAATCGGATTAATAATTGACTTGCTCCATCGATCCAACAGCGTAATTGCATCTCCTTTTTCCGTGTAAGGATGGATCACGAAACAAATCACCAAGTGAAAGCAATTCCCCTGTCATAAAAAAGTCGAACTGATTCGCAACCTCTCTTGCGTATTGCTCAACAAAGACCTGCGAAATTTTAAAAAATATTCTGTCCTTCAAGAATGAAACGAATAACAGCCCATCGCATTTTGCAAGGATTAAATTCCCACAACAGCAACACATTGAGCATCATCCAAAGCCATCATAATTTTGTGTTTAATTCTTCTTCATCCATGAAATCAAACACCATATTTTTTAATGTTCCGTATCAAAACAAATTGTTGTATTATCCAACAATAACATCCGCATTTGGCCAAATACGTTCTTACACCACCACAAATTGGTTGAAGGAAAAAGAAGCATCCACAAATGATAGTAATGATCCCTCACCTTCAACCTCCGAACAAATCAGTCTCGATTTGACTAATTACAAGAAATGGAATGAGCAACAAGTAGCATCACTGTTAACATCTCCTGAATCTTTGGGTGGTGCTGGTTTGTCGGTTGAAAAGATGAAGCCTTTGTATGAGGTTGGTTTTGATGGCTCATCTCTTTACATCATTGTTGAGAGTATCAAGATGGACGGTGTAAAGTATGCCATTGATCAACTCAAGAACACTTTAAAAGACCATGGTTTCCAAATGACTCTTCTACTCTCCGACACTTGTAAAATTATTGTTTTATGGGTTAACACGCAATTCCTGCACAAATTACAAACCAATGTACAATCAATCTCTGTCCCTTTACTCTCTGCATCTGATTTTCTAATACCTTCCCTTAATGCTTATAACGCACTTTCCTTAGTTGATGTAACAAACAACTATCAAGTTGATCAAAAGGACACTCTTATTTACAGACATCCACTACTGGATGGCATAGAGATATTTAATAATTTAGTAGAATTTAAAACTATACAAGATAGATTCAAGCTTATTTGTTCACTACACTCATTACGTGGAAGGCCAAGCTTTGAGATTCATGGAAACGCGAGAACAGGAAAAACACATTGTGCTAGGTTTATTGTACCATATTACATTACAAAAGCAATGAATGAACAAAGATTGGCTAATGGTGACCCAATACTTAAATTATGTCCTGTTATTTATACTCGATTTACGAATAAGGAAAATTGTAACCATTTAAAAGAAATTTATGATTCATTACAACCAATCAGAGAGGCTTTAAATATTGACGATCGTACATACATTAATCTAGATTACAAAACTCTAATTGCACGAGATATAACAAAGTTCGGAAAATATTCTCCAAATTGCCATCTATTTATAGTATTAGATGAAATACAATTCATAGACTCGACTATACTTGATACACTTAGAGAAATTGCAAAATCACAAGATCTACCATATCGTGGATCGACTTTTATTTTAACAGGATCAACTCAAGCACGATTTGTGAGAGTATTAGCCTCAACTGTTAAGAATGGATTAAGCTATAACGAAGCAACAATTCAGCATACTATCCCTTATGATCTACAAAACTCGACACAAATTGAAGAGTTATGCAGAATTCGCAACATACCAAAACCCTCAGATGAAGATCTTTGTTTATTACAAGAAAGATTTAGAGGACTTAATATTGCTTACCTTACTCAAATCCTTGCATTAGTATCACAAAACATATCCATCGACAAAGCTGCCTATATGTTCATCAATGAAATATTCGATATATACGATAGGGATATTTTTGTACCACTAACAAAAAAACCGTTAACAATTGACAGTAATTTAGAGCTAGTGATGAATCAGCTTTTGCCAATAGAAACCATTTCATCCCAACAAGATAATATTTTTCAATACGCATCAACATATTTAACAAAGGAAGCAAGAATTGTAAATGGTATTTCAGTTGACTTCTACAAGTTTAGAGATATCATGTTGGAATATTATTTGACAACAAGGTTGCATAAACGTGAAGATGGCACTTATTATCTTTCTAATATTGAATATAAACCCCATTCCTTGGACACCACTATGGATAAAATTGCATCATTAGGAGAAAAGATTGCAAGATGGAAACATTATAACCGCAACAATGATCATGTTGCTAAACAATTTTTTCAGAACAATTTTCAAATTATTCAAAATTTTTTACAAAAGGATCCAGCTTTGACAAAACTTAGCAACAGAAACATTAACAATTTATATCAAGAGCTAAATACCATTATCAACAAACATCATACACAAATCCAAAAGACATATAGCTCATTCAACACTTTACCAAAACAAGAAAAATTAGCTATAATATTTATACAAACCAGAAATATTATTAGACATGAACACGTAACTTCATCACCAGCAACAACAGCTGTTGCGAATGCATACCTCGCTCACTTTTTCAACGGAGATAGACATGATTTCCATAGATTCTCCATTAGAGTTTATCCTCTTCTTGGCTTGCCAATGTAATCAAACTTCAACATTGATTTTCTCGAAATCTTTTTTGCAATGTCGATGATTCATAATTTCACTCTTCCAAATGATCCATGAATTTACTACTTCTTGCGTATGTTGACAATCTTTGTTATAGCATTTAAAAAATCAATTCTTTCAAAGACGAATTGTCAACAAGAGAGATTCAAACTGCAGCCAAAGAGGATTAATCCTCCCTGGTGAATTGGCAAAGAATAACGATGGCTTTATTTTTGGGTCCATACCAAGATTTGGAGCTCTACGACAGGGCATGGAAAAGTGGAATTGTGGGATTTCCACATAGTCAAACATTGTCCATGGATATTATTTCCACAAACTCTACAAAATTTTGTTGATTTATGTTCACTTTCACTGAAACAAATTGGGCAATGAGCTTGATCATCAAATTTTCTTTTTTCTTGTTCTGAATCATCATCCTCAGTCTTTCCTTCCTCTAAATTTTTGTAGGTTTTCACAACACGTTGCGAGGAGCATTTTCAAATATTTCTCTCAACTCAGAGGAAAGGAGCCTTTTGATAAACTAGTTCAGATTTTGGATCAATACGAAGAACCTTTGTTTTCCTACAACAAGTCCCCACAAAAGGAAGAACAAAATTTTCACATAAAAAATGCCGCTAATCAAAGAAAGCAAGAAATCGATTCTTTCAGGTCATTCAAAGAGTCCTTCATTGTTGACTGCATCAACGTCGTTAGCTTCATCGTCAATGAAGGGCAAGTCATCATCATCATCACCTGTGAGGTCGGAAGTAAAAAATACAGTTGCTTCTTCTTCTCATCATTTCGATGATTTAATGTCGACGACGGAACAACATGTATCGGGCGATGAAGCTGATTCATCGGATCAAGAGAGTGATGATATGGAAATGGATACACAATCGGAACACTACATCCAGAGACAACAATATTTATCAAACATTTTGGATGAGATATCGAGCTCTAGTTCCGATGACGAGGACCATCCTCATGGCCGGCCAGGAAACCACCCTCATGCATCATCATCCACCCACCAAGCCTCATTACTACGAAAAATATTAAAAGATGATGATGATGGAGTTGATGATGATCGATCCAATGACGATGAAAATGATGATGATGAACATTTATTGTTGGATCAAATCATTCAGAATGAGAGTTCACTGAATGCTCCCTCTTCATCGAGGAAAAAATCAGAACCTCTCCTCACGAGCAGCTCCAACAACAAACCAAATGTATCACCTCTTGCATCCAAACCATCTTCCAGTATTTATTTTTCACCTTCTGCCATTTTGCTTGACATGAAATTGGACGACTCTGAGAAGTTTGAAATTCTCAAACAAGCCAGTGTGTTAGAGCAAACCAAGTATCAACTTGAGAAAATATTTATTCCCTATGATCCTTCGACGAAAAGACAGCAACATGTCACACCTGTGTCGTCAGGAAGTTCAAAAAATCAACTAGTAACAGTTTTGACCGTTCCTTCCGAAGAAGAATTGGAGAAGAAGAAAATTCTCTTGCGAACTCTTCGAGTGAAACAAACAGATCGAGTGATTGACAATATTCTTAGCTCTGCTCGTTCTTCATCCTCTTCTGAGGACGAAAATGAGCCATCACAGCGACATCATGCTGAAGATCAAGAACACAACAACGGAATTTCACAACTTGAAAATGACGAAAATATGTCGACTTCATCAACCTCTGAAGTGGGATCAGACTATCTGCACAATTTGATGAAAGAAGATGAAAATGATTCAGATCTTGATTCAGATGACACGGACTCTGTCAATGAACAAAAGAATTATAGCGCACCGTCAACGGAAGCATCGAACGAGGAAGCTCGAGCTTTACTCACAGCCATGCGAAAGAAAAACATCAAAGATTTAAAAGAGTTTAATTCTTTAGAGCATTCCAACTGGAAAGATTTTTATGGCGGAGTTCTCGCTCAAAATATGTCAATACTCAAGCTAGATTTAATGAAATCAGTGAATGACTATTTGGAAATTCATCGCCAAGAGATTGGAATTTGTAAAGTAATTAAGGTTTCCTCAACAATTTTGGCTGTCGGTACTTCGAATGGAACATGTGTCATATTTTCCAACAGCAGCAGCAAAGTCACTCATCTCAAACTTTCTGGAAAAGCTGGTACTCCTCAAAAGTCTGTACATCAACAAATTAACCAGTATAATGCTGTCACTTGCATGGATATCACCTCGACAGGAAATTTCCTTGTTTGTGGATATGAGTATGGAGATGTTGCATTTTGGAGCATTCAAAATAATGGAGAACTTGTAAAAAGAATTAACGGAAAGGGAGAGGAAAATACGAATTATGAATTTTCAACTCCTATTGACAATATTCAGTTTGTGAAAAATAATCCTTACAAAATTTTAGTTTCTTCGTACGGTGTTGTAAAACTCATTACCCTGAAAGAAAGACTCATTAGACTTGGAGGTAACTCGTTTGTTCATGAAGTATTGAGAGTCACCGATGAAAAATTTGAAAAAGTTGTCGACATGAAAATTTTACCCGAAGGTGAAGCTTATCATCCAAGTAATGATTATCTCATTGTCGCAATGGCGACACCTATTGGTATATTTGTAATGTGTCTGGAGCCTTTTGTGAAAATATTGTGCTTCCTCTCCAAGCCAGAGGAAGTCACTCACACTCAACTACCTTACTTGTGTTGGAGGCGAGCATTGGCACCTATTCAATTTATTACAACTCATGAAACTGCACTTTCCCAACAACTGAGAGTGCACAAGACCAAACCCCCGCTGTTAGCGATCGCTTGGGGGAACATTTTGAACATTTTCCAACTTGAAATAGAGCCTCAAACACTGCTTGGAGAAGTAGATTCTTCAATGCCACACAGTTACAACTCAAATGTAAATACTGAAATGTTCAGAGTTTCTTGCATGGAATTTAAAAACGATTTAATTGGAGGTGTGTGGTCTGGAGAACAGGTCATGTTGTTAGTGGATAGAGATCATCAAGTATTAGTCGTAGATCCATTTGCAACTAAAAATGTAGAGGAGAGAAAAATTACATTTGAAATTCCGACCAAAGCCACTCAAGAAAAAATTATATCCACACATCATTTGACATACCATTCAAGATTTGACATTAAGAACGACAGTGGCAAATTCACACTCCATCCAGTGCCGTCCTTCCATTCATCCCTCTGTACAAAATCTTCGTCCGTGGACGGTGTTGCCTATTTACTTTGTGACAATGATATGAATATTAATAATCAAGTGGTGATTACTGTAAAAGTGCTCAGTTGGAAGGAGCGTATCGATCAGCTCTTAGAAATGGGGTCATGGAATCATGCTCTTAAGCTAGCTCTCAATTTTTATCAAGGAAAAGGTATTGCAGTTATTGGACTTCCAACAGATTCAAGTCTTCGAAAGCAATTAGCAGGAGATATCATTAGCTCAATTTTGGAAGGATATGTAGAGTATTACACATCTCAGTTATCGTCTGATAATGACGATTCATATGAAAATTATGAATACTATGCTGAGGTAAGTTGGAATTCAGAACGAACCATACTAGTATTACCAAAATCTTTTAACATCATTAGCTGGCCAAAACATGTATTCGATATTCGATTGAAATTGAGAAATCTGAAAAAATTTTTACTACGTTTTATGAAATTTTTAAATCCAAAAACAATGACAAACTATTTTTATCAATCATCGAGGAATTTATTGTAAAAGGATTGTTGGCTTCTAGAGAATCTGAGATTGTTGTAATTCCTAATCAATTTATTGAGAAAACAATTAATCATCATTTCGAACAATATGATAGACGAAATTTACCTGCTCTTGAACATTTATTACTTTCTCTTGAATACAATGATCACATCAGTACTAAGGAATATAGCAATCCTGAATTTTGCAAGAAGCTTATTGAAAAGTGTAAACAATATAGACTCTTCAAAGCAATGACTCACATTTATAACAAAGGATTAGGTGACTTTGTAACTCCAGTGAAAGAAATTTTGAAAATAATTTTCGATCCCAGCAACAATAACTCCAGCGACAGACCACAATGCGTGTCACTCTTGTTTGATTATTTGGAAAACTGTTTCCTGAACGCCATGTCAATTTCCAATCAGAGGATTTCTACAAGCTTATTATACGACATCAAGTTGACGCTTTTGAACATGATCGTTCAAGAAACAAATGTCAGCCAGTACTCAACCAAACGATTTCACACACTCTCTCGCCTTGTTATTCTTGACTCTAAACGGCTCTTTAAATGGTTAGATGACGTGTTTTCTGACACTTCAACAACTAGCCTCTGGACTTCCGAACAACACGGTACTCAACCATCACACCCTTTATACGCACCAATCTCGAAACAAGCTGTTGTAGACGCTTTGACCTATGTATTTTGTTCCTCCTCAAGCCATGCATTTTCACCTTGGGAAATCAGAACAAAGAAGTTTTCGATTGAAGAAGAGCAACAACCACAATCTAATTGGATTCCCAATCTAGAAGACTGTGTGTACTTTTCGTTATTTATGGCTAAGCAGCTCTCTCTTTCGAGTCAGCAATTTCCTGACAGAAATTCTATTCATGTCTCCATCGATACGATTCACAGAATTTTTTCTACGCTGTGCTATGAAGGAAACCTATTTGATGATGATATAAGCACTACTCAACTGGAATTGGTTTCAATTTTAACTAATATTCTGAATGTCATTGTAAGAAATGATACCAAGGAAGTGCTTAATACGGAAGAGTTGATTACATGTTGCAGAAATGCTAGATTTCACAAAGTACTTATTTATTTATACTCTCTCAAAGGAGATTATGAGAAATTGTTAGACGCCTATCTTTCTGACAATGATTTGAGAGGTGGAGTTTTCACATTCATCAATAACTTGACCAAGCTAGAATCAAACATTATTAATCGTGAAATAAGTGAACTCTTCCAAATTAACGACAAGACCATTCTCAACAAGGATCAAATTTATGCAAGGATCAAAACTGCTACCATCAATCATTTATCACAACTGATAGAATGTGATAGTGATGCTACTGCACATTTAATCATCATGCACTTTACAAGTGAACATGAAAAAGTAATTTCTTCACTTAATAGGTATCCTAAATTACAATTCTTGTATCTTAAAAACATTATTGGAGTTGAGAACACAAGTGATTCAATGCACGAGCTATTGAAACGCAAAGGACTGACACTTGATAGAAATGTTCATCTCAAGTATTTCCAATTATTATGTGAATTCGAACCTCAGTCTGTTTATACTTATGTTGCCTCACAACGAGATTATCCCATAGATGAATGTCTTAAATTTTGTCGACAACATAATATCATTGATGCCACCTCATACTTGCTCGAAAGAGGAGGTGATGTTGTTGGAGCTGTCAAGTTATATCTTGAAAAAGTGGATGAAAAGACGAGAAGTCTTGCTGAACAATGCGTTTCCGAGGAAGATCGATTTATTCGAAGTATCAATTTTAATGATTATTTAGCTGTGACCAACAATTATGAAAACGACAGTGCAGACAATGGAGGAATTAATGGTCCACCACTTTCAGATCTTTTCTATTTATTGAAAGAGTTTGATGGTAAATATAAGGCCTTCCTACAATTCAAATGGGAGGAAGAACAACAGCAACGAAAGTTAAAACTGTCAACAGTCATGGATCCAAAAGCAAAAAACAAAGAAGAGGAAAAATTTGAGCTCAAGAGTTGGGCGAACAAAATGCTTTCCGTTGTCACTGCTTTTGCCAAGTCTTCAGCATCAGAAATGCAAGAAACAACAGCCACTCAAGATATGACTTCAATGATCACTAACCCTGAAAGCTTATCCAGAGGTAAAAGAAGACTACTTGAAGTTCAATTATATTCGAGCAGCGTCATGAACATTTTGCAATCGGAATCGTATGAAAAGTTCAAATCTCTCATCACAGATATTGTAAACATGTGCAAACGAAATATGGACAATGGAAGATTAACGGACAAAGATGTTAAAATATTATGGTTCCATTTGCTAGATAAGCTCATTGTACCATTGCGAGAATTGTTTGATTCATATGCAGCAGCTTCTCAAAATCATTTAGAGGGAGCGATCACAGCCGTCGCAGCAAAGTCATCAACTTCTGAAAATGCAACTATTACTCAGAAGAAAAAGAAGAAAAAATCATCAAATAGCGATGACGACGAAGAAGAAAATGAATCCAATGAAGAAGATAATGACATGACTTTTATGGATGATCTCAGCGACGACGAAGATATCACTATTGAAGACAACATTAATGACCACAAGGAAATGATTAATTCTGCCATTCGAGAAAAGGAAAAACTTCAAGAAAAAGTGAGATATGAATTTGATCCAGTTGTCACAAAAACAACCTACGAAAAGATTACCAAAATTGAAAAACGAATTACCGCACTTAAAAAGTATCTTGCTGATTTAGAGTATGAAAAAGCTCGAGAGGACGAACGAAAATTGAGAGAAGCAACAGATCCTCTTGCTCCTAAAAATTTGAAAAATCGACCCAGTAATCTATTTTTCCAAGTTTGTTTGCATCATTTACTGAAATTTATTTTTACAGAAATGTCAAATTCATCTTCGAGTATTCAAGATGAAGAACAACAAGATTTGCACATGATTCAAGCTCATGAAAAGAAATTTGAAAAGAAATTTGAAAAGAAATTTTCAGTTTTTGGATTGCTGCAAAGTGCCACTATGAATTACAAGAAAGATTTATATGGATATTTTAAGGAACCACTTTTAGACATGTATGACAAGTGTGGTTTCGAATTAATGCTCTATCATTCCATTAATCGATTATTATGCAATGATGTGAATTGGTTACAAAATCGATACATTCGAAGATTGAAGCGAGGTACCAAACCTCAAAGTTATACTTGTCGATTATGTGAATCTTCCATTTATGATCTTCAGGAAGATAATATGAAAGGAGGAAAATTGAGAGTGTTTTATTGTGGACATGCCATGCATGAACATTGTCTGGATGAAATTAATTGCACATCACATTGTCCAATTTGTAGCCATCAAGCAAGTGAAACATCATCAACTGACACAACGAATAGTAGTGTGAAACAAAAGAACTCGGCGGAAAAGAAAAAATCCATGTCTGGATCATCACTATTACATAATTATTCATTGGAGGCAGATGCTACTCAGGGACAGGTATTTGTGAGTGTGTACAAGAAGCAACGCTATCGATTGGTTGAAAATTCACTCATGAATGCATTTAAAGCAAGACGAAAATTATTTGACGAATTGGATGAAACAAGTGAAGATCATGTGGCAGTGGGAAATGAGGGCTCATCTTCAACTCATGATTCGCAACAACAACAACCATCTGACGAATACGGATTACCTGCTTCAGAAGAAGTGCCAAACACTGGCCGAAAAACTCGCTCACTTGTTGATTATGTGAAAAAAGATCAACCTCTCAAAGCCCTGAGATATGGCTCGTATTCCAAAGCACAAGTGAGCTACTCCACAATTTTGAAACGACAACGTGTAGTGGATGAGATCAAAGTGGATGACGACTATGAATCCACAAAGGTTCTACCAAAACCACGAGCAGCCATGAAGCAATCTCAACCCTCTGTTAAAAAGACATTGAAATTGGATTTACCAAAAAAAACTATGGCACCAAGGGATGCCGAGGAAGAACAATAAATGTGTGATTTACAATGGCGAAACCAGAATGAAATGTCGTTTAATTACAAATCCTCATTGAGATAGGGATTTACAACACTCTTCTTTTCATTCTTCTTGTAAGCTTCTGTTTTTTTAAATCTCCAATAAATACCCATGAGAGCATCAGTGGTTTCCACTTTGAGTATCGAAATTAAATCCTCCAATTCCTGAGCTGTAATGGCTTCATCTTGATCTTTTCTAATGTGGAACATTCTCATTGTCTTTCTATTGATTGGTACAGGGAATGGACTGTACTTTTTCAAAAATCGTTTGTAAATCTTTCTGACATGTTGCGATCGTTCAAACATGGAATGAGGTCCATCAAATGCACAAATATCTACCAATTGTTTGTACAAGTACACAAGCGGTAATGAAAATTCTTTCATGCAATACGATTCAAAGAGAGGACCCAATACTGGATCATTGACTACATCCAATAATTCACTATCTGAAGTGGTATCCGTATGTGAACCAGCGAGACAGCATAATGTATGTTTTCTAGCAGTCATGCAAGAAATAAATCCTCCGTATACCAATAACACCAAACACTTGATGATAAATAAAAGTATAATTGGTGCAATTTCTAGCATGTGAATATGTGCCTGTCGACTATAAAGTTGGAATGATACTGAACCTTCAGGAAATGTGTTGCTATAAAGATTCGGTACAAGAATATTCATAATGTCATAGCCCTCTGCGAGAACCAATAAACTGGCCATAAACATGTAGGCAAGCCATTCAAGTTTGAACAAGTAAACATCTCCATTGAAAGTACCTTCAAACTTTAAAAATCCATCGTTTTTCACATCATTAAAATTGAGCATCCTTTTCATGACCAGTTCAACAAAAATCATCAAGAAAAATGCTGACAACACACTTGCAGCAATTATTCCTCCTCGAATTAAACTAAAAATAGAAAATACTAATTTGAAATTTAAAATAGAGACAGAAGCCAGTACCAACAGAATGGTGTACGCCACTAATTGTGCTGTGTATAAAAGCAAGCATGGCATGACGAGATAGGACCGTGATGTAAATTTCACATATCTTCGAATTGAATATTTTTCATCCTTCTCTTGGTATTTTTTCATGAGATATTGGAATCGTTCCTTGTGATAGTATTGCCAGATGCTAACAGTATATGCAAAAATCATGGTACTAAATAATGGATCCACCACAGTTCTCAAGGTGCCATCGATGGTGTCCATATACGGTATTTGTACTCCTGTCAGGAAAATATTCATAATCATACCGTCTCTTATGAGAGTAAATATTGCCTCCAGTAAAAGAACACCTGTACCATAGAATGGTATTAAACCACGGAATTTGAGAGCAATATTGTGCTTGGTTTTGATCATGAGCATAAAGACAATCTGGAAAATGCAAAAGAAAATAATGAGCGAATTAGAGGTCAAATCTCCCCAAATCTTGTTGGTAAAGTTCTGAACTGTTGCAATATTGGAAGTATTGGTTTGCAACACTGCAAAGAGAGTCGTATGGTTGCAACTACAATAAATTCTGTTAAATGTGGGATTCAAATTGGAAGAAATCAAATTTCCAGATGGTTTTGCATTCCCAAAGATTGCATAGGAGGCAACTGTAGTGCATCCATCTTTAGACCACTGCTCTGTGGTTTCATTCCAATAATGACAACCTCCTCCAAGCCACAAATAATTCGGCAAGTAAATTGATGGATCTGCAAAGAATACCATTTCTATCGGAGATTTGAGTTGTCTTAATTTCAATGGTTGTTGATTGTACAAGAATTCTACACTGATCATTGCATTTCCAAGAAGATTTTGAGAATTGTTCGTGTCCAAATTCTTAAATGTTACAATCTTGAAACCAACAAATTGATCCGAAATATTTAGAGGTAATGGAGAAGTCACATCAAACGAAGTAACAACGTTTTGTGTTGAATCTCCGAGCGACAATTTTCGAGCTGTGTGTTGAGTGGTTGTCTCGGCATCGATATCAATATCAGAGATGAAAAGACTTTGCTGCTTAATTTCATCTGGAAGTTGAACCACAAGTAAATCTCCATTCACTTTCCACTCTCTGGTATCATTGAGGTAGTCCAATTTCATGGAGTTGTCATGCTCTACATCATTACCAAGCAACCGATTCAATAAATCTCTTCGGTATGCAATTTCCACATTCTTATTAATTAGAGAAAATGTTTCGGAAGGTTCTGACTCTTCTACTAATCTTAATGATAATAGATGAATCCATTTTTGACAAAAGCTCGACAATGTTTGGTCCTCCGTTGGCATTACAATATGACTAAGTGCTGCAGGTGTAGACAGCAAAGAATCAAGTACTGATAAAAATGTTTCAGAAATGGATTGAAGCTTATTTGAGAAACTGTTGGTGTTTAAGCCAGGTCGTTTGTCCACAATATTAATCTTGGATGTGATGAACTTGTTCATAGTTTTCATATTATGAACGAGCAATGGCTGCAGTAACTGAACAATCAATTCACTGATTGAGTCTAAGGACAAGTTGGATGATTGCTTCACTATTGAATTGATGAGTTGCAATAAATAGGTCATACTTCTAATTTTTGAGTCTTTGGACATGATGGAGACTTGTAATAATTTTTGTTTTGTAGAGAGCGCTACTTGTAAAATCTTTTTTCTAATGTCAGGTTCAATTGAGGAGAAAGCAACGGATCTCATTTCTGGTGTTTTTGCTAATTCATTCAAAGTTTCACAAAGCTTATCTAGAGTTAGGAAAAGATCTGTTAGCAAGGATGGATCGAAATATTGCAGACCATTTCTCGCCATTATCAACTCAATGTCAGGAAGTATTTGAGTTATATTCTGTTGAATGTTGTCAAGCATTGATGAAATGGTGTTTAGATATGCTAACCCATTAGTAAGAGTATTGTTGGCAATGAGAGTAGAATTGTTAGCAAGGTTGACACGTTCTGATGAGATCCAATAATAAAAGTTTTCTGACTCTAAACTTTCATCATATATCAATGCAAACACATGGATATCTAAGGCTGAAGTATGCGATAGCGGAAGGAAAGTAACAATTTCATTCGATCGAGTCTTACTTGCCAACAGTCGAAGTGTAGAATCTGAATTCTCGTCTGAAATTGAATAATAAACCTCATATTTCATGTTTCCACTAATATCGCTATTGACAGCGGGAATTCTAATTGAGAACTTGTCAATCAATGGTCTATTCATTCCAGGTACCACAGGACTAATTTTGACCCTGTCATATATTAGAGTACGAGACTGTACTGATGCTACCTTTCTAGTGAAAGAGGTACTAGTCCAATATTGATTATTGATTTTGGCTCTCACTGTGAATTCATAAATACTAGCTCCGCTATCAAGAGCGCTCTCATATGCAAGCATGGCTTTTGGTTCAATAAACAGAACTGAATTACTTGATTTCTTGAATAGAATTGGAGTGTTCAGAGGAGCTTTCTCCTTACCCCAATAGTTCACTGTCCATTCCCAAGTGAGGTTTGTAACTCCTGATAAAAACATTCCTCCAGGAACAATCTCTCCGCTTAATACTGTGCTTTTGGAGGCATCAAAAAATGGTCCTCTAATGGTTGGATACACTCGAACGGACCAGTTCTCATTTTGATTCAAAGTTCGTAACAATTTAAATGTAGAGCTAGTTCGGGTATTGATCGAGTAGTCCAATATGATAACATAGGTTGAATAATAGTCAAGTACATTAGTTGGAATGCGCAGTGAGGATTTAGATAAAACAACACTTGGTGTTAACGAGCATGGTGTGAGTAAGTTAGATTCTACATCGGTACGAACTTGACTCACACTTGGAGCGCTGTAGCCATGTCCAGCAATTTTGTAGCAGCTCCAGTTATATCTTTCGTAAAATTCTCCAAGTAAAGGTAAATCCTCAGGATCGAAACTTGTTGACGACAATTTGATGGTACCATCCGATTGTATTGAAGGGATGTAAATATTTTCGAATGAGTTAACAAATACTTGGTTCTGTAAGGAGGTTCTAATGGCGTACAGTGGTAAATATTCTTCAATGAGGCCTCCATCGATTTGGGCGACTAAACTCTTGCTTGCATTTTTCGATACTTGTATGGTTTGAGAGTTTTCTAATACCATATTGTATAATTGCTTTTGAGAGTTGAATATAGATCGTTTCTTTTCTCCAGCTTCTGGAAGGAATGTTTGAACGACAAATTCAAGGTCATATGAAACGGATGGAAGTAAATCTGTTCCATTCACGATCCATGCTAAACTCTCCTGTGTGATGTGAGCGATTTTGTTGTAAATGAGCTTATTCCAAAGAGTGCTATTGCTTGTGTTCACTGTTGCTCTCCAAAAATATTTCTGAACGCTTCCATGTTTGGATGGAGAGAAAATGGTGTTGCTTGCATCTAAGAAAAGCTTGTCTGAATCTTTGAATAATTTCGCCGTTGCGTGTTGACCAGTTGAAAAGCTTGGATCAAAAGTAAGTGAAATATTTGGCTCATAGAATGTAGCAGGTGTGCTGCACGTAGGTCCAAAGTAATTATTATAGCATGTACAAGCTCCTATCGAAATATTGCAAGTTCCTCCGATCATGTTTTGGCCACAATCTCCATCTTTGAAGCAATAAATACCAAATGAACTACAGTCAAGGTGTTCAATTAAGAAAAATACTGTTGTGCTTGCATTGTTCTTCAAATTCGAAACGGTCAAGGAAATGTTATAATTTTTCATAGTCGACAAGAGAGAAGAAGGCACGACCAATGTTGAATTCTTCAAGCTTATAATAGGAGTAGCAATTCTATCATTGCTGTACGAAGTTATTTCATAGGTAAATGAGAAGTTTGATGCCATTTGCAATGATAAGGTCGTTGAAATAACAAGCTGCATGTTGCAAATTTGTGACACTGCTGAATCAATGATTGAGCCCGACTGATTAATGCCATATTTTCCAGTATTAGTGATTGAGGAATCTCCTATGATCATGGTAGCAGATGGAGGTACGCTCAATTCACATTCATTGCCGCTAAACAATCCATTTTGGCATTGACATGTATCGGGTGCAACACAAACGCCTCGATCCAAGCCACCACATGCAATTTTCTGTGAACCAAAACTGGTCAAATTGTAACAAATAGGAATATTACAGCTAACTCCAGTGTAGCCGCTTTTACATAGACATTTGCCAAACCAACAATATGAAGATTGTTCAGTTTTTGGTGCCTTACCACCATTTGGAAGTGAAACAAACTGACTCTCAGCACAATAAAGCCCTTCGCTCTGAGCATCCATACAAGAACCCTCAATAGAGCAATCATTTCCAAAGTAGCCATCGGCACATTTGGAAGAATCAATAGTAAACAATGCGTCACCTCGTGAACATTTCATGGACACAACTTTTCTATTTCCAGTGAAAACAGGACTAAAGGTGCTGTAAACGGACTCTAGTAGATCTGTAGAGCATGATGAATGGTACTTTAAGAAAGGATCAAAAGGCCCAAAATAAGAAAATTTGAATAACTTGTCAGTACTGGTTAAAATGAGTAACGTAAAATCATCGCCATCAATATCTACAACAGAATATAGTTCAGTCTTGGGGAACGGAATCAGTAAGGATGAGTTGAAACCACTACTTGTTGTTGTAACATGGTGGTAATACTGTGCCCCTGATGGACATGAGCCAAAATAATTTCCAATGCTAACAGAACTATTTGCCAAAATATGGGGCAACAATAGTTGATAGTATAATTTGTTATCAGTTCCAAGACAAAAAGTGCTACTCATGAGCGAGACAATCTTCTTGCATACGGAAGGAGTGGACAATGTGGCAGTGTTGACGTATAATTCAAATGTCAAGTCTTTCCTGAAGGCTTCTGTGCCATAAAACACAAAAGGAGGCAATAAATTACTACCTGCACCGGTCAATAACTTTGAAGCCTTAAACATACTCATTCCAATATTGTAAATTCTATGGTCCATTCCAAAAATTGCAATGTGCCCAGTGCTTACACTAAATAGGTTGCATGGGATATTGAAGCGCACCAAGCTAATGTTGGTAAAAATCACATTGTATAGCGGATTTCCTTCAAGTGTTGGATTGAAATTAGCTACAACCATTCTTTTTAGTAAGCCGCCCCAGCAGAATAAATTTCCAAGTGAGGAGAGTGCACAATTAACGTCTGAATTATTGTTTTCTTTGAATGAGTATCCTGAAAATAGGTCAAATGACACTAGGCTTCCTCCATCAGGCAATCTAACAGTTTCATACTTATTGGTGGCTGTCTCCATGTAGAATGGTTGCTGTCCTTCCGTTGAGAAAACCATACTTTGATTGTTATGCTTTAGCAATGTCAATGAGTAGGTATCACTCAGTGTCACAGCAATCAAGTCGGTAAATTGAGTTAATTGCGAGGTGTTGACCAAAGTGTGAGCAGGCCCCCAAATTCTCCAGGATTTATCATCTTTTACCAGATATGAAGAACCAAAGGTGCCCTGGCTGTGGAAGCCACCACCTCTGATATCACCAATTTGCGAAATCGTGGAAAAGGTAAAAACTACGTTGAGAGGAAGTGACCCACATCCGCTGTTATAATAGCCTGTTCCAAAATTGTTAAAGTTGGTAACAGCGGTAATAAATCTTAGCACGCGTGAAGTTGAGGCTCCAATGAAGAACAACGCGCTTGGTACTGATATACTTGAGCTGTCAAACTGTGTTTGAACTAATTGGGGAATTTGCAAAATGTCATTCAAAACATCCAAATTTCTAAACTCAGGTAAAATTTCCTGATAAATACTAGAGCTTTCAAGTTGAGTTTGCATTTGTAAATTTAAATTCGTATTGAGCACCTTAATGTTGTAGTGCTCGCTGTCATTATCAAACTTGGCTACAAGGAAAATTCTTTTTTGATTGGTCAAGAATAGTGAAAAGCTATCCAGAACGTAATATTTCCACACTGATTCTTGAGCTGTAGGGAAATTAAAATCAACAGGTACAGGATATGGAGCGATTGATATAGAAGAAATGCCCAATTTTGAATTCTTGTTGTTGCCCCAAACTATTAATGTTCCCGAATTTAAGGTAACCACACATCCACCGCTATTATAGAAAATGTTAGTTACTCGCTTCCAATCAACCAATGGAGAGTATGTGAGCGAGTATGTATCAATAATTAGTTGATCGGAATCTCTGGAAAGACAGAATGCAGTATTGATTTGACAAAACTGGTTATTACCTTTCATATAAATGTAATCAATGTTGTTATATGTCACCAATAGCATGATCGAATCAATATCACGCGAAGTCTCATTAGAGTATGTCTTGTCGATGGCAAATGAAACAATGCGCAATTCTTCGCTTCCCTTGTTTTCAGGAGCCATACGATATTGATGAAGCAAACTTGTCGCATTGTCAACAGAGAAGTTGTCCTCGATTCTAAATAGAGTTCCATTTTGCTCCAAAGCATAAAGTCTTCGATAGGATGACTCAAGTTGAATAAAGTTTGAAGCACCATGGCTTGAAAGTTTCATTCCTTCTCTAAAATCGTCAAGCCATGTCAGTAATTGACCATTGTCAAACAAAATGGCTCCTAAAAAATGATACTTGTTGTCAGCGTCTTTGTAAATGCAGAACTTAAAGCTTCGTATGCTTGAGGCGCTTACAGAGAATTTTTCTGAAATATTGAAGCTACTTGTTGTTTCCACAAATTTTAAAAAGGGCAAAGGTACGCTGAGAGATCTAATGGATTGTAACCACTCTTTTGTATTGATACCATTTGAATGTGGCTCCAAAAAAGAGCCCGATTCTAGAGCAGCCATTTTCACATTGTTGTATGAGCAAAAATCTTCAATTCCTAACCATTTCTCATACCTCGAGAGCAATCCAGTTTTATACTGCTCCAGTACCGGAAGTACAAGAATTTGTTGTCCGTCACTTGAAACTGCACTAAATAAATACATGCCATCGTTGCCAGAATATGTTGATGTTCCAGCTTTGAGAGTCGTAGGCTTCAATTCTCGTTGACTTGAAAATAATACAGGATCGTGTAAAATAAAATGCATAGTATTGGTGGTATCATTCAACAGTTGTGAGGATGATGTAAACATGTTCTGTGTCTTGGAAAACATTACAGATAATAAATCATAATTTTCCTTTGTAAAATTTTTAAAAGCTTCTGATACTGGCAATTTGTTTGAATCATATATCTTGTTAGTATTGTTCTCAAAATAGGGAATGTTTTTCATAAATATTGAGGTTAATCCTGTCTCATTGCTCAGATCCATGAAGGGCCCATACAGTGAAGATTCCGTATATAATAGCTCCAAAGTCGTGGGAGGGAAAGAAAGAGAAGGCTCTTCTAAGGCTGTTTTGAGTGCTCTTGTTTGAGCAGCATTGACGAATAGGATAAGTCGAGTATTCGTGTCAAAATCTGATCGTGTGGCGCTCTTTGCAAAATCCTTCAAATGGACGTACAAGCTTTGAAGAAGCCAGTGAGGATGTTCGTTAATAGAAGACGCCGATGAAGAATGGTTATGAGTTAATAAATTAGTGGTCGTTTCTGTTGCATGAAAAGAGGCAACTGCATCTGCCAGAATAGAAGTTGTGTTCCAAAATTGATGTGAGCGAAAAGAAATGTCTTTCGTCAAGGATTCCAATAAAATTGAATTGGAATGAGGTGAAGGTTGTGAGGTGTTCACACTGTTATTAGATGAAGACGACAAACTGACAATACCCACAACATTTGACACACATAACATCATTGATAATATGACAAATGCATGGATCCATGATGCCAAACGACTCAAAATTTGCTGCGAGAACGTGAGGCTCCGCTTTCTGAAAATACTCTTTTCTGAATTGGAATAGCTGTAAGCAGCTGTACATGATGAGATTAAATTCGTTCGTTTCCGAATCATGGTTTTTCTGATAGAAAGGTTGTTATTATTAATGATGCTATTGGAATGATGATATGAATCAATATTGTTGTTTTGAAAGAATGGAGTAAAAGTAAAACCTTGTTCGGTGTGCTCCCGAATTAATAAATTATTGGTATGTTGTTGTTGTTGTAGTTGTTGATAGAATCTCTCTGGATTCAAATGGTCATTATCATTGATATCTTGCGAGCTGATGAGCGCCACTTCCGATGATGCTTTTAATTTTTTAATTATTGGTTGATGATGATTTTTAGTGCGGCAGCTATGCGGGCATTGGTTGTTTTCAATTTCCGTATTGTTGCATGTCACCCGTTCATACGAATGATGTCCTCCTTCTTGATGATGGAATGGTCGGTTTTCATTGGTTTGTAGTGGTTTGTGTTGTATTGAACAGGAAGACATGTTGTTGAAGCGAGACATGGAGTTTCGCTGCGTAATGATGAGATGATGAGTGTTGATACTGATGGTGTGTTGGTGTAGATGATGAGGTCGGAAGATGGTGATGTATTGGAACTGGGATACGTTGGCGATAACTTTTTTTGAACGGAGCCAGGACAGGTGGCGTTTCCCTCAGATGATGACCAAGACAGTTCAGAAGTTGAAACATCTAATTTGCATAATAAACGTTCAGGGTACAGCCACAATCAAAGACTACGGACCAGTTTGTTGAATTAAAAAAGAATAGAAGTACCAGCATGAGAGCGTTGGGCATGAGAAAAAATTGTCGAATGTGAGATCCAAGTCCATTATCCAACTGTATTTTGGTTGTATTACATTATTACAATGTAAAGGTGTTTTGTGTTTGTTCAATAGCAAATTCTCCTTCTGAAATTGATTGACTTGGTGTTTCTTGAGTAGTACTACTGATTTCAGAATTGATAACAATTGGCTCTGTGACTTCTGTTGTTTGAGTCACGACCACTGTGGATGTAGAAGTAAGTGGTTCAGCAAGTTGTTGTTCTTTCAAGCTCTCTTGTTCTAAAATCTTGTGACCTCTAAACACTTGTTTTGAAAATTCGATAATATCCTCTACCAATGGCTCGTATGCGTTTCCCATACTAGCACCAAGGCCAATGATTGTGAAATGGTTTGTGTGGCCTCCATACCGTTTGTATTTGACTTGTGGAGGTCTTTCAGAATTCCACAATGGATTTTCAGGGGACAAATCTTGATAAACTTGCTTCATTTTCTGTGCAAATTGTTCTCCTTGGTCCACAATGGAAAAGAATGAAAATAAGGTCAAATCATTCTCAGCATTTGAAATGAAAAATGAAGGTACAGATTTTAGGTCTTTGATGTGTTTGGTGAAAAATAGTCTCTCTTTTTCAACATAAAATATTGGAGAGCACTCTTCATAATTTTCAGCAACACCAAAAGCAGGTTCCACAATTAGTTTTCTAGGCAAGTTCATCACTCGATCTGCTACGTATTGCACATCAAAAACAGCTCCAACACAAATAACTCCCTTAATTTTTTCTATTAATTGTCTATCAAGAAGATCTCGCTGATTTTCGGTACCATCTTTGATTTGAGGTTCCTTAAGATTTTTCAAATTCATTCCATACTTTAACAAACACAGGCTAATTAGGTGGGCTCCAGCGCTGTGTCCAAATAGAACCATATTCGAAGAATCTCCTCCGTATTTTTCAATATTATCCACACAAAATTGGAATGAAGAAAGCACATCTTCACATTGATCTGGTACTGCTTTGACAGCAGGAGCCAGTCTGTAGCCAATCACTACAAATATGCAGGGGAAATCTTGACAAATTCTCATGGCTAATCTGCTATACGTGTCAAACCATCTGTGATTTCTGTCACCTCTACGCCAACTACCTCCGTGACAGAAAAACAGTACTGGCAACTTGGCATTTTCTTGAGTACCAGTTCGTTTCACTCTACTTCTAAAGATGTTTAGTTTGTGTTTTGGATCGTTGGATCCCTCAAAATATGGAACATCACGACACGACTCAACCTCATACAGGCCTTCTCTTACGGTCACTGAGATCATGCTTGTCGTCGTTTCTTTTTTATGTAATATACATTGTTTCTTTGGACTCTCAGATAAATTGCTCTGGGTAGAACTTCCACTTGTAGGATTGGAAGAAATGGCTACCGCTTCACTCTTTTTCTTTTTATAAATTTCCAAAGCCGTTGGAGTGGTTCTACAGAGTTTCCACTGGATCTTTCTTGATCCTTGCAACGTTGTATTATTTCCTGTTCCATTCATATTCACTTTTTCCAAATCTCCATTCGATTCCGATGAAGGTAAATTATTCAAATCTTCTTCCGATATCTGAAATGTCGTTTCATCCATCATGCTTGTTGTCATCATGGAAGAAGAAGAAGAGGATCCATCCACCTCATCATCAAACTCATCATATTCAATATGATCATTTGGAATATTTACAGTCTCTCCATCATCGTGATCGAGTCCGAGTACTTGTTGTTTGAGTCGCACCCACAAGGCATACATTTTTTTTTATCTTTTTTCTTTCCAATTTAGAATTCCTTTGTCCTGTTGTTGATGAAAACAGTGCGCATTGATGAAAAATTTGTGCTCTCGATCTTAATGATGCGCATTAATAGTTTTGAAATTGTTCGCAAAAGATTTTAAAGTCTATGAAAGTGTTGCTTGTAAACTGAAACAGACCTTTCAAGTGTCAAAAAAAAAATGGTTCACAAGAAATTGGATCCTGTGGTCGTCGATGATGATGAAGAAGAACCAATCCGGCACACACAACACAACGACTATTCGGACTCGCAAGATGACAACCATCATCATCTTTTGACCGAACAAGAACGAGTGACCAATGATTTGGACATTATTTTCGGATCTTCATCCTCGGAGCATACAACAACCAATGGACATCACAAATATAAATCAAAGAAAATACGAAAAAGTGGCTCTTATTTGAGTGCTAGTAAATTACCTCGATCACATTCGAAAAATTATATCATTCCTTCTGGATTTGGAAAATTTTCATTTAAATTTCGTCTGATGGTTGTATTTGTGATATTTTCAGTATTGTTTGGAGTGTATTTTCTGAGTGGTTCGTGGAGACATCCCTCCTCCTTGTCATCATCCACTCAGAAAATGGATAGCTCTGAATCTGTGTTTGTAGGAAAAATTGGAAATACATTTGGAAGACATTTGAAATTAATTTTGGAACAATATCAATCAGGAGGAGGAGTCATTGGTGACGATCATGATTCTAATTTAATTCTCTCGAAAATGGATGAATCTGTTGTGAAATTATTACACGATCCATCGTTGAACCAAGCTCCAAATTTTTACAGTAGAGTTCGACAAATACATCATTATGGAGTTGCCAAGTCACAACATGACGACATTTCAAAAACATCACTCGTTTTGGAAAATGTTTGTATGAATCATTATGGAGAAATTCTCTTTTACGTACCTTCACAAGAATTTTATGACAAATTTTACAAACCATTGCTTGGATTGAGTTCTAACAATCCATTTGCATTTGTTCAAACAGCACGTTTTGGAAAGAGAGGCGCCATTCGTATGAAATTTATTATTGGCCACAAAACTCCAAAATCCTCTCCCAAGAATTATGTTCGATGGTTAGATCGACCGACCATTGCCATGATGAGATTTTCAGCCAATCATCTTGGTCACCTATTTGCTGATAATCTAATTGCCTTAATTGAGTTGGCAACAAAATTTAACATTCCCTTACATGAATCTTTAATTTTATTTTTGGATGAAGTTTTTTACAGAACGAATAAGAATCAAGAAGACCATTCATGTTCTTCAGATCCTTCTCGACAGGTTCACCTTCCTACAGTAAATCCCATGACCAAGAAACATTTATGGTGTGAAGAGGAATTAGCTTCGCAATATGGAAAAAAACCTCAAGCTGTGAAAAATTCTCTCGTATGGACGCAAATACTTTCATCTCTGCCCGTCCTTCAAAAATGTTCATACGATGTGAAGAATACTGCTGATCAGCACACTTCTGAAGAAGACCTTCAATCCTCTACAAAGACAACAGAAGGTGATGCTTCTTCAAGTTCATTGTTTTATCGAATTGAGAAAGCTCCATGTCCAATGGATGATATATTTTCAAAAACAAGAGAGTCATCAAGTGCAACGAAAAGAAACACCATTCTTTCCATTCAAGAGATTGAAAAAGAGAGAAATTTGAAGTTGGAAAATATTCGAGATGGAATTGATACATGCTTTCGACAATTGGTACTTGGAGTGGGCGATAGAACCATCTTGTCACAACAACATCACAAAAAACAATCACAATTTAGCGAATTACCTATTCAACAGCTTCGAAACACAATTCTTTCAAATTTGGGAATTCATTCCAAGACCTCAAATGTGAACTCTGTGAACATTTTAATTGATTATCAGAGTATTGGAAATGCACATGAAATTGCAACCATTCTTGAAACTCATCTCAAAGAAGATGCCCTTTTATTGAATCATTTAAAAAACATTAACATTTACAAGGATATGAAATTGGAACAGTTGAATGAAATGGCACTTGTGGAACTCTTTTCACAAACACACCTATTCCTTTCCAATGCCACGAGTACTTATTCTTACCTTTCATTATTCATGCCTACGTCCTCATACCTCTTATTGTCACCAGAATGTGACAGCATGGTAGAGTCCTCTAAAAATCCTCAACCCAACATGTGTTCATTGGCTCGTTCTCCTTCACTCCATTTTCTGAATGCCATGTCCCATCTCACTCTCATTAACTTGTCAGACACTGTGGAGAAAATTCAACAACAATCCAACACGATACATGTCGAATTGAATGCTGAGAAAGTGAGTCAAATCGTGTTAATGATTTTGAAATTGAGAATTATTTGACATGTGTAGAATGGATGAGAATTACCCAGAGGAGTGCAACAAGTTCAATTGAGTCATGCACAATCAGGTAAAACGATGAAAATTAATGCGCACGTTGATTGTGGTTCGTTTGGGTGTCGTCGAATTTCCCTCAAATTTTCAAATTTGACAACAAAAAAATTCCTCAACTTCCGATAAAGCCGTTGTTGATACCTTCTTTTTCGTGAAAACTTCTTCTTGAAACCTTTTTGAAAGAATAGGTCAATTCCTCCTCTTTGATTGTTTTCATTGATTGTTTTTTAATTGCAAGTACACTTGGAAATGAGTTTTTACTTCTCGGACCATAATGTCGACGAAAACAACGATCAACATAATCATCTCTCGGGTGATGAAGTGATTTGGAGAATTATTCAACAACATCAAGCTGGTGTTTTTGATCTAGATGCTCATTCCGGAAAACCACCTGCCTCCAATTCGTTTCTCCGAGAGATGGAAGTGATTTGGTTTGATCCCGAAAATCCAGAGCTAGCCTCACATAAAGATGAAGATTGTCCAATTTGCGGAGAGGGTTATAAAAAAGACGATCAATGCCATCAATTGGAATGTAATCATTTCTTTCATTTGAATTGTTTAAAGACTTGGCTTCGAAAACATAATACTTGTCCAATTTGTAGGAAGGATACATTGACGGACTGTCCAGAGTATGAAGAGCAGAAATTAGATCCCAATAGAGGAAAGGATAATGTTCATAGCATGTACATGTAATTTGTATCCAACTAATTTGTTGAGGAAAATAATTGTAAATATCATCATTATTTTAGTGTATAATGACAAGACATGTTTTTATTGGTATTACGGTAGCTAACGGATTATAATAACTCTATCCACAAGAATAATTTACATCCAAAACACTCCAACAAGTCGAGGTTTTTCGAAAACTACAATACTCCAACAAGTCACGAAGAAAATCAAATACGTTTCACAACCCATTGAGGAGAACGAGTAAGGGAGAACTTGTGCAGCACTTTATTCACTGCTACAGATCTTTTTGACTCGACCTTATCCGTCACGTGTCACTCAAATTTTCCATCTCAAAAAAAATGAAAAACACTCTTGTCTGCGTGCTTGTCTTGGCTCTCATTGCTTTCATCTGTTTCAGTTCCTCCGAATCAGTGAATGCTTCTCTCAAACCACAATCTAGAATGCGTGGAGTGAAGGAATTGACTTCTCGTAATTTTAATTCATATATTAAGAAACATAAATATGTTCTTGTTGAATTTTATGCTCCAGTAGGTTTTTAATAGTATTACAGAGTGGTGGTTGGAAAGTATTGTATGCATGTGTCATCATTGGAAAATGTTGTATTTTGATCGCTGAATATCATGATGGCGTCAAACGTCATTTCACTATCTTTCAAAAATTATTTACAATAATCTACACCATCAATTCTTACAATATTCAAACTTTATAATCATCATTAGTGGTGCCCACACTCCATCGAAAATTCCCGCAACATCCAACGTCTTGGAAAGAGACTTTTGGACTCCAAGAATTTCAAAGTTGCCAAGATCAATGGTGATCGATACAACTCCATTGCTAAACAAGTGAATTTGGATGGATTCCCAACAGTTTATCTTTTTGTCGATGGAAAGAAGGTTGAGTATAAGGGTTATTCATTGGCTCCTCGTAAGGTCGTCAAATGGGCTCGTAAGCAAATTAAACAATAAAACTTTTGAATTCACACATACTGAAAATGTTCGCGAAATGAAAGGACATACTGAAAATGTTCAAAACATGCAGAATGATCTTTTCAACTTTTTGGACATGAAAGGTTGAGACCGTGTCAAATGTCTTTCCTGCGTTGCAATTTCTCGTATGGGAACATCAAAATTTTCGAAACATAAAAATATGACTGTATTTGAATCTCTTTCTAAACCACCACAACCACCAACCACTACTACTACTTCTACTTTAGAATCCCATAACAACCAAATTCCTTCTCCTACTTCTTCCAATGAAAGTGTAAGCCCTCTCTCCACAGAACCTCTTTTTACAACAACAAACCACACTCGAGATCCATTTTCAATTCCGTATCTTCCCATTAATAGTCGAGTAGGCACACAATTTTCACTACAAGGTGGAATAAGACCTCCCACACCGACAGCACCTGAAGAGTTTGTGCTGGAAAATGAATCATCGCCACCAATAATGTGTCATGAACATTCAAAGGATGAAATACAAGTTCCATTGGAAGCTGATGCATCTCAAGAAGAATCGATTGGGGCTCTTGTCGATTTTCCAATGTATGAAGTACCATCCAATGATCATTTGAAATATGTGACAAAGAAAAAAGGAAATACGTCTCGACTCCTCATTCCTTCATGTTGCATTCCATTTGCGAAATATTTCACAATCATTGGATCCGTATGTCTTTCAGTGTTGATTGCATTGGCTTGCCTGGCTTTCTTTGTGGCGAGTGTTTACGTTTATGTTCGAGTGGATGTTGGAAATTTTAATATTCCCAAAAGTGGAACCTTATTGGCTATTCAGTGCAACGAAACTACAGCTCTATGTAAGGGAGTGGTGCGAGTAGATCCATCATCCGCCAGTGATGAGCGACAGCCTCCACCTCCTGATATTAGCACTCAACGATCGAACGATCCAATGTTTGGAAAAATTCAAACTATCAATTCTGTTCTCGACAGTAAGACGTTGACCAGTGAAGATGAATATCCGTATGACTGCAATGTTTGGAACGACGCCAAACGAGGAATATATTCTATACCATGCTATTTCAATAAGAATCTTTCGAAAATGACCTTGTATCCAGTCGTGAATTTTGATGATCAAGCTCTGTTGATAAGTTCTTGTGTCATGATTGTGTTTATACCGATATTGTGTTTGTTACAGAACTTGTTTGTGATTCGATGGTTATGTTGTGGTAACATTCACGGAAAGAATAAACAAAATGTTTCTTCTTAATCATTACGAAAAGAGCTCAAATCATATTATTTACATCTATTATACATTCCGATCAATTCACATAATGCATCATATCATCACCTTCCAAATAATCAGAATCATGTTCTTGCAAGGAATCAGCATTCACGTGTTGCACTTTTGATGGTGCCACTGGTGAATAAGTCAATACTTCATCGTCCAAATCCACCTCGTCCACCTCATCATCTTTCCGTTCGGGTTCTTTAATTCCTAATTTTCTCCTCATATCAGCCAAGGCTTTTGTTATAAACTCCAAATCACTCTTCATTTCTTTCAACATGAATTGATGAATTTGAAAATCTTTTTGAATATTCGGTAACTCATTACTACACTTTAAATTGATCTGTTGAAGATCTTCATTGGTTTGCTTCATCACTTTAAAAGCCTCGGCTTGTTTTTGTTGAATGATTTCCATATCACTCGGATGAAGAGCAGCTTTCATAATATTTTCAATAAATAAATGACTCGTAGAGGGATGAGTACTTGTGGTTGGATTCAATGATGATGATGATGAGGCTTCTTCTTGTCGCTCTACGGGTGATGAAACTTGTGTTTCCATTTTTTGTTTTGAAGTTAATATTGTAAACGAGTGTATGTTTCTCTTCCTATTGATTCATGCTGCATTGAGATGGCTAATTTCAAAACAAATATTTCCAGGTTGGATTCAGAACCTGGTTCATTCAATTACCTCGTTGAAAAATCCATTGATGATTCAATGTCAACTGTCATTTAACCCTTGGCGCCTTCAGTTGTTGAAAAAAATTAATTGACAACAACAACGCCTTCTTCCTTCCCTAGATATTATCACAACACTTCCTAAATTTCACAGTTCTCTCCTCCAATATTGGCACATTTTCATTTTCATCCAATTCCAACATTTTTCCAACAACAACACGTTCAAATTCATTCATCCGACAAACAAATTCCAACACAACGTCCATCCACACATCAACACCATCATCATCAAACGTTTGTAATATTCAATATTTATCAATCGTACACTTCATGGGATCCAAAGTGAGTCGAAATTCCGGTGGCCATGCAACTGTTGCTGCATACACTCATGATTATTTACAGCAACAACAACAACAACAAAAAAATGGAATGACTCATTCGGCCGATTCATTACCGGGTTCTTCATCGGTTTCAACCACGGCAAGTTCTCATCAACAGGATACACATCAAACGACTGGTTCAGAAAATTCAATCATGATGGATGAGGAAATGTATGCTGCTTTGATTAATCATGCTAATTTGAGTGCTCCGATGCATTTACCACCTCCACAGAGAGTTGTTTATTCAAAAATTAAGCAATGTATATTATTTGAAGATATCCATAATGATGAATATATTATGGAACGATACTCGATGTGTTTGTCAGACCCAAAGGCCATGTTGGATACTTATTTAAATTTAGATAATACCATCACAAAGCAATGGGATGAACGTGTGAAATTATTGGAACAAGAACAATTTAGTAGTAACAATGATGTCATGACAAGCTCATTTGAAGGAGTCGCTCCACCAGAGACACCCATGAATGAACAACTTGTTCAAAAACCATCGACCAATGCAAAGAATATGCATTTATTTTCTCCTCAATTTTATGAGTTAATAACGAGTGCAAAAACTACGGTAAAAAATCAACCAATTTTAGAGCAAGGTCATGATCCAGAATTGGAGGAAGTGAAACAAGTTTTAAATTTTGATATTGGACTATCACAACTGTCTTTATCAACGACGGATGGAGGACATAACCAAGTGATTGCTCGAGTTTTTGAGGATTTAATTCAAGGCAATGATGACGACTTGAAATCAGCTCAATCGACACCACAACGTTTACCAACCTCAGTCATGATCACACCTCAAAGTAGCAAACCTAATGATGAAAAAATTCAACACTCCGCAGGTGTGACATCAGAAAAGAAGGAAGTCAAATGGAGAAGTGACATTGTTGTCACATCAGAGCCACCATCAATCACTCCGCACAAAAAATCAAACACTTCTTTGAATTCTCCAACGTTTGATAATCAGCATCATGAACATTCATCATCCATTTCAACACCCCAAAATGCTCTTCCAGCATTGTCTTCTACAACTGTCAACACCTATTCCACTCCACCACCTCCATCCAGTCAACCACACTCACAACAACCATTTCATTCCACTCCAACACCCAAGTCAACACTAACAAGAAGTAGTGCTGTCACTGACATTCCAATCATCAATACTTTTGAGGGAGCAAGTGCCATGGTTGGAACCTCCAATGCTGGTGTAGCAATTTCGAATTCCGAACTCGTCACAACCACCCAAAACTCTCTTACTGGTACTCTCACACAAGAAGATAGCTTGAGAGATTGGTGGGTCTCGAATCCAACATTGGAAAAATCGATCAAAATCAAACTCATTGTCACAGATATGCATCATCATAACAAGACGAAACAAACCATTCGTCAGATTATTAGCCCTTTATTGTCTCCTTCTGCAATTCTTCCTGCTTTTGGAATGTTCCATACGGCACTTGTCATTTCAGAATTTAAGCTCGAGTGGACAGATAGCTCACTTTGCATTCCTCGTAAATTAACTTCTCAATCTAGCTTTTTCTCTGCAGACATTGAGGAAATTACAACAGCCAATGATTTGGAAGACATTGTGAAAAAGATTTCCGAAGTCATTTGTAGATGGAATTCTACCATGATATACAGTGAAAGGAGAAGGAAAAAGAAAAAGAAAAAATCCACACTTTCCAAATCGACATCGCTCAAAAATTATCCAAATACTGGTAATTGTCAGGATTTTATTTTTGACATTTTAGAAAGCATTGGAAAGAAAGATGTATTGGAAAAATTAATGAGTAGTGACAGTCCAATGGGACAATACATGAGAGACATGCGAAAATATGGTCGTTGCTCCATGGAACTCAAAATGAATCACATTTTCCGAGACAAATTTGGAATCAAGGAAAAGGTAGTGAAATTTGCCACTCACAAAGATTTGGACCTCTTCGTAAAACAATTGGAACACATTGATCCCGATTTCAAACATACACACAAAAATGAATGGATTCTTCTCAAAGGTTTTGATCGAGCATTTTGGATTCGACATTTGGCGTACAAAGACAAGGAAGAGTTACGACCACTCTATGAAAAACAAGAAAATGTTTTTGACATGACCGATTTGGATATGAGTGCCGATGATTCTACCATGATGACTCATCAATATTGTGAAATTTTGGCATGTCCATTCGATGATCCAACAAAATCACTCTCCATCATTTTGAAACCTTAAAGAATCTTTATTGAATAGCAACCAAAATAATATTTTGATTAAAATAGGTCGTTTTTGTGACAATACTGAATTTGTGTCTATTTTGAGGGAACTTTGTATTACTATTTAAAGTATTTAATAATAATACAAAGTTCATAAAAGAAAATCTTTAATTTCGTTTTTTAGATTCACTAACGAGTAAAGCAAGCACAACTCGATCACCATATCTTTCAATCCATTGCTTTCTTAACAAGGAAATGGCAAAGAAAGTCACAAAATGTACAATGGCAGGCACAAGACATGCATATTTGAAAACATCTACAACCATTCGACTGTACACTTCGACGGGATCAAAAATAATTCTCCAAATCGTTGCAAAAACTAATTGCATTCCTAAATTATAAACAATATAGAGAAACGAATTGGAAGTGCAAAAGTTATAATTTTCATCAATGAATTCTCTGACATTTAACAAAACAAATGTCCAAATAAAGAATGGTGGAACAAAGTGAACAAAGACAAAACCAAAACTCCACTATGAGTGAGTGAATGAATGAATCATCACGCATCACGTTCATGGAAGTGTGTAAGTGATTCATATCTATTCAAATGAAAAAACTTACCGATGCCAAATGATAATACAAATATGAGAAATTTGAAATGAGCATAAAGCCAATAGCAGGACACAATACATAGAAGAGACAAAATCTTCTCAACCATCTCATTCTCTTGATAGTAGTTCCAACAATGAAGAATGTCATGACCACATAACTCCTATGAATCATCCAAATCCAAACGATGAGTTTTTAAATCTTTGAATATATATATATATTATTACATTGATACACTTACCAAAAACACATATACGTCCAATAACCTTCATAATTAACATAGGGAATGTACACCAGCAAGACCATTAATGAAACGAGATAGTGTAAAATTTCAAAAATCCTTCTCCACACATTTCTGGAATCTTCTTTTCGATACACTCGATAACTTGTATCGACAAATTTTCGATCAAATTTCACACTCCATACTGATTCTTCTTTTTCTGGATGATTGGAAGCGATTTTCTGACTCATTCGACGATTCAAAACAAAATTACTTGCAATATCCAACGTGTCATTGGAATCTCCAGAAATTTTCAAATTTTCTTGTTTTTCATTGACTTGTTCTTCCATACCAACAACATGTTGTTTCTTCAACACTCGTTGCAAATAAACTTTTTCATCCACTCTAAATAAATAATTGGTTAATGGTCTCAATACGAGATAATAAAGTGTGACCATGAGCATTAAAAAAGTCACAGTTCCAACAATGGCTTTACTTCCACTTTCTGAATGATCGGAAAAGAGAGATTTTTCAAAACAATTTAAATAAAATTTTGGAAGTGATGTGATGATTTTAAAAATTAAATTCGGAATGGAGGAGTGTGTTTCGAGACACAATTTGAGAGTTTCCATAAATGGTAAATTTATCATCTGTGTGAAATTGAGAGTTTCGGAATCCTGAAGAAAGGTTTCAAATATTCTTTCATTGAGAAATTGTGTGAGATTGGTCAAAATGACCTGAGTATCGAATCCGTGGTATCCGGGTGAATGTTGAGTGGATGACATTTTTTTTAAACATCACAAACTTCACTTGTCAATTTTTGTAATTTTTTTTATTGTGTGGTAAAGTTATTAAATCTCTTCATGATCGCTTGGCATTTCATGATAATTCGAGGAGGCTGATCCTTCTCCTAACTCAATTTCATGTCCAGTGTTCATAATTTCCATTTTTGGTGGTGTTCGTTTTGGTGGTGTGGAATTTGTTAATGTCGATGTTGTGAATTTTAAACCTTCCATTTCTTGTTTCATGTTGATTAACTTTCTATGAATGGTTTTAAAGGTAGGTCGATCCTGTACGTCTCCGCTCCAACACAGTTTCATTAAATCAATATATTCGTTGACAATTGACAGAATTTGACTTTTTCTTAATTCCAGTGACATGATGGATGTTTTTTGATTTTTAGGTGTTTGAGAATATTCTGGCATAAATTTTTCCAAATACATGCTGGTTTCGTCTGGTGTAGAAAATGGAATTAAAGGTCGTTCTCCACGCATGACTTTTGACAAGATTGTAAAAGGTGTCACTGGTGTTTGATTCGAATAGTTATTAGAACTAGCACTTCTATTTTTTCCATTCTGTGAACTCGGTGATGAATGATTATCCATCGATGAAGAACCTTCTTCTTTTTTCAATACTGTAAATAATTTCGATGTTTTTGGATAGACATAGGGATTTTCTTCAAAGAAAATTTCCCACATAATAATTGAGAAACTATACACATCAATGGCTGGAGAGATGGATGGATCTTCAGTATTCAATAATTCAGGAGCCTTTTGTGAAGAGTATTTGTACATTTTTGGAAATGTTAGGAAAAAAATGTCAATGAACACCCAAAAATGGGAAACGTCAAAAAAATCATTAATAATGAACACCACAAAATCACATCACGTACCATGTAAAATAAAGTTCCCACACACATGGTGGTTGTATCAATACAAGTATTGGTCATCATTCGAGAAAGTCCAAAATCACAAACTTTGGCCATTCCATTTGCATCTACAAATTCATTGTTAATCAAATTTTCATAAATTTCATAAATATTCATTGAAATACAAACCTAGTAAAATATTCGCTGGTTTTAAATCTCTAAATTCATTCCATGGAACGTGTGAAAAATTATATGTTGAATTATTTTGAAAAATCACATACCTATGAATGATTGGAGATGGTTTTAGAGAATGTAAATAATCCATGCCACATGCCACGTCAATTAAAATTCCAATTTTAGTACAAAAATCCATGGGTGTTGGAATTTCCTTTCTTCGAATTTCGGTAATTAATTTTTCAAGACTTCCTCTCTCTAAATATTCAACCACGAGATAGTGTTTTTGATGAGTAATTACAATTCCATAAAACAATAGAACATTCGGATGCCGTAGTCGACAAAGTAAGGAAGCTTCTTTTTCAATGTCATCGGAATGAGCAGTAGCAGAGTCCACTCTTAGACATTTGACAGCTACTGTGTTTTGGTGCCATTTTCCTAAATAGACAATTCCACATCCACCTTTTGAAAAAACAGTAATCAATCCACATATCATGTGGGTCAGTCCAAGATATATTATTCACTTACCTTCTCCAATTTTCTTGTCAATCAATATTTGATCCAATCCAATAATAAATCCTCTCTTTGATTTTGAAATACTGTTTGAACTTTCAAGAGCTTGACGATCTTCATCAGAATAAATGACTTGATTTTCCAGTAAACGTTTTTCCATGTCCTTTTCAGCTTGATCTCGTTTTCTCCAGTATTGCACTTTCTTTGCCACTTTGCAACTCATATAAACAATCACAATGACCACTGATAGGAAAATTGAAAATGAAGCAATGGTGGACGCTATGACAATGGCAACAATACTTCCAATTGAAATATGATCCTTACAAATAAATTCATAATCCGAGTTGTACGCTATAGGAACTAGCTCATATTGATAGGGACAATGAATTAAATCAAGAGGAATGACATTTGAAGTTTCAAAAAAATTCACAATGAACGACGAGGGAATGATGGACAATTCACTCGAATGATTCACAGAGAGATACATGTTTTCTAGAGATCTGCTTTTTCCATAAATTCCAATTCGAATGTCTTCCACCTTGATGGTAAATTCTTCGGTTAAGGCGTCAATCTTATTTCCAAAGACGTCCGCTGAAGTTGGTTTCAGTGAGAATATTTGACCAGGATATAATCGTACTCCTTGTTCGACCGAGTATATATCTTGAGAACCTTTGATTTGATAGATCCATTGAGTGCTCTTGATTGGAGAAGCCATATTGTGACCATACGTTCCAGCCACATTGTTATAAATATTTCTAAATTTGGGAATTTCATAAGGACGAAAACCAAAGTAGAAAACTCCTCCTCCTGCGTATAGAGCTTGATTATCGAAAATGGTCACATCTACCAATTCTTTAAAGGTACAATTATTAAGTCCAATGGCACCTCCTCTCACTGCTCGATTGTTATGAAATGTCACATTAATCATTTTGAATTCTTCTTCTACAGATGGAACATTGAGAAATAGTGCTCCACCTGTTCCCTCACAACTCTCTTTTCCACACAAGCTAATCGTTTTTGATAGTATTGAATTATTTCGTAATGTAGAATGAACGAGAGCCATCGTATTGGAACCATAAATTGCTCCTCCACCTCCAGAAATGGCTACATTTCCAGAAAATTCAGTGCTTTCAATATAAGTCACAGACGTTGTGTACATGGCTCCACCGCTACTCATTGCAGAGTTTTCGTAAAATTTAGAAAATAAAACATCAATGCTTGCCTTCTCTGCTCGAATTGCTCCTCCCTTGCCAAGTGCCTTATTTCTCACAAAGGCACATGAAGAAATTTGTGTCAATGCCGATCGATCTTCTGGAAATGTATAAGAGAGAGCACCTCCATCTGTGAAAGATTCATTTTCAATAAAGTCTGATTGAGTAATGGACCCTGATAATACACTATCTACTATGAGTGAAGATTCCATTGCAACATTTCTTTTAAATTGTGATCCCATTACAATCAAATTTCTACAATTTTTGAAATGAACAATTCCTCCATATTGTGGATTATAATTATTCGTAACTGTTAAATGATCCACTTGCACGTCAATGCATTGTTCAACTCGTAGAACCGATTTTCCATTACATCGATCGATGGTCATTGAATCAATGCTGACAAATCGTGAATATGAAATTGAGAGAAATGGATATGCATTCAACTTGTATCCGACTGAGCAAGACATGAAAGAATTAAGCATCACTACTTCTCCAGGTTCTTCAATATCCACAGAATCCAACATGTGAAATTGTGAATTTACAACCCATACTCGATCTTGCGAAGGAATAAAAAAGTTCGCCATTTGAATGGTTGAATTATGGAGAACCAAAGCTCTCGCTCTATACGAATAGGCATAGGTCACATGTGGTGTCAATGCTCGGTACTGACTTAAAAACACCAAATTTCCTTCAAATTCAATTTTTCCATTATTGGTCACATTGATCAGTGCGTTGAAATAGCTCTGTGCCAGTCTAAATTTTCCTGTAATTTCACAATCAATCACAGCAGCAGCTCCGTGAGGCATTTTGAAATCAATCACATGAAAGTTTTGAAGCGTAAAGGACAAATTTTGAACCGAGTGAAGAAACAAGCTTTCAAAACCACAATCGATAGTGTTTCTTTTCGGATTCTTTCCCACAAATTTCATGTGCATGTAAAGCTTTCGTGTCAAATTTTGATTCACAAAATCCAAAGGAAATTGAAAACAAGATTCTTTTGAAATATCTGAATAGACATGAATTTCAAACAGTACTACGACCTTATCTAAAATTCCTCCCAACTCATTTCTTCGAAATTGCATTTCTACATTAAAATCTTGATCAATTTTTTTCAAAAGGTCTCCCATTGTGGAATAATAAGGTTCTGGTGGTGGTGATGGTGTCAAAGATGATCCTATCGACTTGGATTCATTCCAATATCGATATTCAAACTTGATCTTGTCACACCATGGAAAACGAAGACAGTCGTTGTAATCATTCATTGCCATATTCACAGAAACATTTGTCAATAATTCAATTTGTTGTTCCACTTGACGTGAAACTGCAGAATAAGAGTCCAAAAAAGGAAAAGGTATTTGTTTGAATGGAACGACATAGGTCGGCTCTGTTAAATCTGGTTCTGGTTCCGTCAATGAAATATCATTTTGAAAAATGTATCGACTTGAGACTTGTTTCGATTTCCTTCGAAAGTGAAAGACATGATTCATGTCATGTGAAAAAGATGAGGTAGTTGGAATATTCGATGGAAATGCAAGGACCATCCAATGTGTCAAGTCACTGTGCGAAGAGATGGAATTTGTAAAATTATTGAAAAATGGATGGGACTCGTGATGATGATGACAATCGTGATGGTTCATTATTTGCAATGTCAGTGACCGCAATAAACAAGTTAATAATAAACTCGATAGAAAGAGAGTGAACACGGCTCGACATCGGGAAGAGTGAATGGAATGATTCTTTTGAAATGTTGTTAAATTTTGTTGTTGATGAATGAATTTTGTTGTTTCGTGATGACAATCATTCATCACTTCATGTTGTTGTTGTTGTTGTAATAGAGTCATTGGAATAGTACTTTTGTCTGGATGAATGAAAATGGTATTAAACCTCGATGTTATCCGTTCCGTAGGTGTGGAAAACATTGTGGCTTATTTTGAACTGGAGTGAAATTTTGATCTCGCCAATAGTAACCTCCAGTACGTGACTTTTTGTGCTTGAAATGACAAGAGACAATTTTTTAGAGGTCACAAAAAAAATCTCGTCATGACCATAATCCGTCAAGTTGCACACATGTTCATTGGTGATAAATCACACGCTCATGAGAAATCTGAAAAAGTGTTTATTCTTTTTTCACAACGTCATGACTCAATAGATTTGCTAAGTAAGGACATTTCAAAGGGACTGACACTATTCATCGGATGATGCTCCAGTGTCGAGAGATGAGAGTGGAGGAAAGTCTTCATCCGTAAATGACACTCTCTTTGGTTTTGAAGTTGGTGCTAAATGACTTGACGTCTCACTTGTAGGACTCAGATTTTTAGCATTCATGTTCTGATTCACTTTAGCTTCAATGTCATTGGTGTAATCCTTAGATCCTCGTTCGGCAAATTTTGAATCTAAACCTCTTCGTTTCATAAAATTACCACCAATGAGTTTTCGTGTGGGTTGGGCATTGCTGGTTGGTCCATTGGTTGGAACTGAGATGTGGGAAACGGGTGATGCTGGACTCGTGGTAGTTGTGGCAGTAGTGCTTGTCATTTCCCCATTAGGTGATGAAATGTTTGAAGAGTTGACAATATTTGGCGATACATTAACTTTCTTTCCGTGATAAATAATATCTTCTGCTTGTTCAGCATTTTCATCCTTTTCGAGTGTTGTGGATGGTTTGCTGCTGATGGCTTCTGCACCAGACAATACATGATCGTAATTGATGATATGTTGTAATGGCAAAAGACAAGTGTTAAACTCGTTGGAAATGAATTGTTTCACTCCCTGCACACGATCTTCCTGCTTTGAATCAATTTTTACAGGAATACCCAACACAACATCTCTAATGAAATGATAACAGATGCAAACAATTAAAAGGAATGAAACTAATTGAGGCAACATGGAACTTGCTTGAAATTGTGAAGAAATGAGTCCAACACTTGCATAATTTGATTGTTCCTTCACAATGGTTTCCAATATTTTGTTATCTAGAGTTGTTTTACGAATTGACATTTCAAGAGAATTCAAAAAACTAGGAATAAAATCAATCCAATCAAAAACTGCTTGTTTCAATGACACAAGGACGTTTGAGAAGAAGAGAAGCAATACACAATACCAATAGGTCAACATTCTTGTCTCTCTTCTATCTGCCTTGTTATACAACATGGAACCAAATGGTAACATGACAAGTGGCACATGAATGATCCATTGCATCAATGTAATGAGTTTGGAAGTAGAAATTGATACTATCGATGTCAATTGCGAATTATTTTCAAATCCTATTGAAAATGATATTACTAGTTGTTTAAAATCCCTAGCTTCAGTTAATGGTGATAATGATGGAGAATATGTAATGGATGCTATGAAAGCAGGTAACAATACAGGAAAAATCAGTTGACTGATGAAGGCAATCACCAAAGTATAATATACAAGTGTCCGAATCGTTACAGAAGTTGATGGAGTGCTAATTTTTGGTGATGTTGTGGTTTGTATCGTGGTAGCCGATGCTCCACCGCTCGTATTTGACAATGTAATGACCATGGTCTCTCTCAATAAATCAATCAATGAAAGAGAGAAGAGCCTTTTAATGATGATGTTCAATCTCCTAATTACTGTTTAGTGATGATGAATAATGACTATTTGACTTGATGATGGTGATGATGGTTGTAACAACAATCAAAGGCTATGGGCAGTCAGAATTTCGTATTTTTTTACAATTCGGTTGTAATAACGGTTTTCAAGATGACTTGGACTTAATTAATCAATTAACAATTTTGGTGTATTTACTAATCCAGAGCTGATGATGAAAACCCATGATGCAACCAAATACTAATATCTGGCATTGCCATCATCCAAAAGGTGATGACAGGATGTCTGATGAGTCGATCAAGAATTTGCAAAAAATTAAATTATCATAATTTAATAATAACAAAATTAGTGCCATGATGATATTCAGGATCCTACCTACTACTCTCCAAAGCCAATAAATTACTTGAAGCTCAATAATTCAATCTCAAAATTCAAAGTGGAGTTTGGTGGGATATCCGAACCAGCTCCTCGTGCTCCGTACGCATAGGCAGAGTCAATCTCAACGAGAGCCTTTTCACCAACTTTCATACTGGCAAGAGCAATATCCCATCCTCGGATCACATTACCAGCTCCCAAGGTGAAGGAAAAGGGAGTATTTCTGTCTCGCGAACTATCAAATTTCTTACCATTGCTTTTGAGAGTTCCAATGTAGTGCACCTCCACTGTTGATCCATTGGGTGGAACTTGTGCTTCTCCTTCAGCTTGTTTGAGAATTTGCTTTTTGACTTTTTCATCGGGAGTGAGAGAAATCCATTTCGCTGCTTTGGCTAGCTTTTTCTTAAGCTTACTTTCGTTTTTCTTGATCAAATCTTGCATGAATTTTTCATCCTCTTCAGCCGTAGACTTTTTGGTTTTATTGCTGGTCTTTGCGTTGCTTGGCATGTTGTGTGTGTTCTGGATGGATCAAAAAAGATTGTTGTTGCTCGGAGGTGGTGTATTTTTTCTTTAAAGTTCGAATAATATTATTATGGCTTGAATCTTGACACTCATTACTTATCGAAAAGTTCACAAGGATTCTATCCACGATACATGGAAGAAACAAGATTCGTCACGTGCTCTTCGTAGGAGCCAATAAAGTGCATAATCAAGAAACCTGCCAAAACACCACTAAGGGCATAGATAAATTTTCGAGCGAATTGTGGTTGTTGATAATCTTTGCCTTTTCTTTCAGAGTCAACCGAGTCAGAGTTGGTTATTCCTTCAACAATGCTCGGCCTAAAATCGTTATCACTTTGAACAAGCTCTTCCAACACAATTGGAATCATTGATGTGGCAATGTATAAAAAACTACCAGCACTCATTGCAATCAAATGATTCTTGTTAATAAATAACATCTGAAATCCATGATCAGAAGTCAACAAGAGTCCAAAAATACATCCCACTGCAGATATTCAAAACTCTTCAACATTGAAATCTATTGCACTGCATACTTACCTACACTCAGTACTCCACTAAGGAAATTGAAAAATAATGCATTTTTCACACTAAATCCAGCACTCAATAAGATACCATAATCTGACAATTCTTGTGGTATCTCATGCATACAAATACACAAAACATTTGCCACTCCAACAGGAATTGAAATTTGAAATGCTCCTGCAATACCTGCTCCATCCATAAAATTATGAATTGCGTCTCCAATTAAATTAAGCCAACCCACTGCCTTAATATGATGATGGTGATGGTGGTGATGTGACATAGTTTTCGATCGATTTCCATTATTATTGGTGCTATGGTGATGATGATCGTCATCGACAGTGGCACCATGTTTTACTTCTGCATTTCTTTCTTCTCGTTGTTGTTTCACTCTCAAATAAACTTCAATCAGTAAACATCCAAGAAAAGCCAATAATATGACAAAGGATGAAGAATTATTACCATGAATGTGTTGATGTGCAGCACCATCTGCATGATCATGTCCGTCTTCTTCGTCATGGCTCGTTGCAGCATACAAGATTGGCATCAAATGGAGAAAAACATCACCCAACAATGAACCAATAGCTACGCAACTCAAGATAAATTGTAAATTACCAGTACTAGGTGATCCATATTGTTGTTGTTGTTGCTCTCTATTTTCAGTAGTTGGATGATTGCTCTTTCCGTTTGTGGTTATTGTTGCTGAAGATGATGATGATGAATATCGAGAAGAAGATGAACATCCATAAAACAACAAGCTTGCCCCAACCAGAGAAAGTAATGAAACCCCGAACGAGCTTGCCAATGAATAAATCCATACCGAGAGAGTAGAACGTTTTGAAGAATCTGTTCCTTTTACTGTGGTTGTTGTTTTACTAATTGTTGATGGATGATCAAGAGGTTTGTTGTCCGATGATGATGATTTTACTGTGGTAGCCTCAATGGAGGAAAGTTGTCGATGATGTTGGAAATGATGATGATCATGTGCTTCTTCTTCTTCTTCATGATGATCATGATGATGGGAATGATGAACTCCGTGTGCATGTACATGGATTGATGATTCATGTTGTTGGAAAGTCATCAGAAAAAGCACCACGGCAATGAGAGAAATGAGAATCAACAAGCTTGTCCCAAGTCGCTTCATTTTCTTTTTAAAAAAGAGAATAAGTTTGTTTGTGGATTTTGAATGACAATGTCACGAATCAATATCTTGCAACATGTAATATCTGTATTTGAAGAATATATATTTCTAAATCAATAGAAACAACAATTGACAATTTATTAAAATAAAAATGGCATCACAATCATCTTCTGTGCATCATGGTGATGGCTGTTGTGGATACGGAACGTTATGTAAATGGGGAAAAGTTAAAAAACCAAATGATATACGATTAGATTATTTAAAAGTCAATTCGGATGTTCCGACACCTCATTACATGTTTTGGCCTGGAAACAATCCGATTGGATGTTCTGGAAAAATTATCAATGGGTACGTCGTTTGCAATATGAATGATGATTCAAATGAATGGATTGGAAAATAATTATTATGAAATTTAATCATGATGAAAATTATGATTTTAATTTTTCGCCGATCATGCATCTCCTCAAAAGACGTGATCGAATCAATTATGCAGTGTCATGGATATTAATTGTAGTACCTGCTTTGGCTTTCTTTGGATTTGTGTACGTTACATATATTCAAAATTCTTGTTGGAAACTCATATCAGAAATAATAATGTAACAATTCATTGATTCGATCAATCATGAACGAAAACAAATTCATGGATACCTTGACATTGAAAATTTATCAACCACAGTTGCACAGACTACTTTCGATTTATTAGTATTTTCGCAGGAATACCAATCACACTCATTGGACTTGTGTTGTTCTCTCTCATTATCTATACATTAATTATGGTCGGTTCTATCGATCCTGGATATTTACCAAAATCTAGTGCAATATATCAACAAAAATTCAAGAATGACAAGAAACTATTGAAACGTTTGCAAAAGAAATTTGGACATGCATCAGAGAATGATAAAACAGAGCATGTTTCTCCTGTCACAAGTCATCCTTATGAAATTGATGACAATGATGACACTGATAAAGATGTTGACAGCGACGACCATGATCATCATGATGACATGGAAGCACATCATGACGACCCACTTGGTGGAACAAGTCACGCAGCAAAACATAAGGAAACTACTTCCCATGACTTTTCAGGAGTTCCATTATTTAAAATATTTCAATATAATGGATGTCAAATTAAGCTGAAATTTTGTAAAACTTGTGGAATTTATCGATTACCAAGAACGAGTCATTGTCGAAGATGTAATAGCTGTGTTGAACGATTCGATCATCATTGTCCATGTGAGTTTTTAATGTTCCAAATTGTCATTGTTTATTTGAATTTCATTGAATTTTGATTATTTGAATTTTATATTATTAATTATAATTTTAATAATCATGAACCTATTGAAAGGGACTGGAACATGTATTGGAAAAAGAAATTACAAATACTTTTATTGGTTTTTAATTACTCTAACTTCAGGAATTATTTATGCAGGTCTTTGTAGCTTGATTGAAATTATAGTCTTTGTATATTTGGCAACCACAAATAATCCAAATAATCCCTCTGGTTACCATAACGATACAGTGCAAACAGCAATCTTACATAGCTTGATGTCATCACCAGTGTCGTAAGTAATGAAGTGGAATTGAATAATTTTTCACACTGGTTTAGATTTATTATCACATTATTTTCAGCAGTCATGTGTCTCTCCACAGGCTCACTCGCAGTCTTTCATAGCTTTCTTGTGGTTTCAAATTTAACTACTTATGAAAATGTATGTCGTCATTTTGACAAATTATTGTTACATCTATTTAATTCAATATCATTATTATCAAATCTAATTACTTCAATATTATTATTATTATATCCAATTAATTCAATATTATTGTATCTATTTTTTTCAATTTGTGCAATGTCAGATCAATAGAACGTATTACAAATCTGGAAATCCGTTCAGTAAGGGATTTTTTGGCAATATTAAGGAAGTTCTCTTTTACAAGATGCCTCCCAGTCTAATTTCCTTACAAAAGAAATATTCTCGAATTGAAATTGAATCCATGCTTCCAAATGAGCTGATCGGAGACCCTTCTCGAGAATTTATTGAATTACAAACACCTATGACTATCGATCTCGAACAAAACGCTCAACCAGAAGTGTCTACGAGTATTATTACATTTCCTGGAGAGGTCAATGATACCACTTCTCTTGGTGGAAATTATCCATTCTATTACTCTTCAAACAATCACAACAGAGAGATTAATAAATGAAAGATCTCTCTATGTGTGTGTTTTATATAAACTTTTTTATGTTGAAATGTTTAATGACTGAAGAGGTTTAATTTCGATTTGGCAGAAAGGATGTGAAGTATTTCTAGGAAAGAACGAACGAACATTTAATTTCCAAACAATGGAACTCCGAACAAATGGAATGGATCACACGTGCGCATAGTTTTTTCATTTTGCAACGCGTTAATAGCTTCCATCTCATCATTGTCCAATTCAAAATCAAACACTTGACCATTCTCAATAATTCGTTGTTCACGAATGGATTTTGGAATGACCACACATCCTCTCTGAATATTCCAACGAAGTAAAATTTGTGCAGGAGTTTTGAGATGTTTCTCTGCAATTTCGATAATTTTGGAATGATGGACTGGAGAACCTTCATGCATGTGTCCTAATGGACTATAGGCTACAAGAGCAATGTCTTTTAAGCCTTTCAATAAATGATTTTGTGCTAGGAAAGGATGACATTCCACTGTCAATGGTCAAATGCATTTTACAATAATTTGTATAATACATTCTCGACTCTATTTTCAGAAAAACTGGAAATACAAACCTTGATTGCATGCTGGTTTTATCTTGGCAAAAGACAAGATCTCATAAATAAGTCCAAGATCAAAATTAGAAACTCCAATGGACTATGAGTAGTGACATTCCCGTTACCAATCAACATGCATTTGTCTTGTCATGTTCAAAAAATAAGACTTACCTTCACCAATCCCTCTTGAACAAGTTTTTCCATCTCTTCCCATGTTTCTCTCAATGAAACAGGTTGCATTCTAATCATTCCTTGTTCATCCCGTGGTAAAGGAACTCCTTCCTTATGAAGATCGTCTCCTGCATAAGCAAATGCCAATGGCCAATGAATGAGATACATGTCAAGATAGTCCAAATTCAGATTTTGAAGGGTTTGAAGACACGCGTTTCTCACATGTTCTTTAGCATGAAAAGTATTCCACAATTTGGATGTCACAAACAATTCTTCTCTTTTCACTTTCTTTTCTTCATGAATGAGAGCAGTGAGCACTTGACCAATTTCCTTCTCGTTGCGATAAATGGCTGCCGAATCAATATGACGATAACCTATAGATACGGTTAGGGACATGATCATTGCAAGAGTATGAAAAACATTAACACAAATGAGAGGTCTTGAATTTTTGACACTTACCATTTTCGAGAGCAATCCGAATGGAATGTTCAATCTCTCCAGGTCTTAATGAAAGTATAAAAATTGACAACAAACAAATGCATCACGGGAAAAGCATGTCATGAAATTTTTCATGCAACACAATGCACTTCATGAAAAACTCTACATACTTGGAAAGCCATGTACCAATGCCTAACAATGGCATGGTTCTTCCATTGTTTAGGGTCTTGAAGAATTTTGCGTTGGTATTGCTCATTTGGAATGTGTTTGAACTCTTTTTTGAAATTGTTTGTTGAAAAAACTTTGGCATTGTGGCCAGAACGTTTAAATACGCTTGCTAACTCCAAAAGCGCATGTACTTCGGAGCTGGCAGGTTTGACTGGGTTGGCTGAGGTGATGACCATGTACTGGATAAGTTCCAGTACAGGAAAAATTTTTGCGCTCCCGCTGAAATTTGGTTGAAAAGATTCTTGAGTTCGGACTGTAACTTCCCTTTCGGTGTAACCTACGAGATTAAGGTATATGGAACTTTTTTTGAGCCTTAGATGAGTTTTCATTGTAGAACTTGCCTGAAATGAGCTGATCAGAATAAAACGGTTCCGTTTTCAGAAAAGATTGAAAAAAAAAGCCTCGATCCGAAATTTTGAACACTACCAACAATGAGTACAAACTCCTCCTGTACCACCATCTCAAGCACCTCTTCCATGTCGATTGAATCCACGATCAGATACTGTCCTCCTCCAAGTAATCCTCTTCACTCGTCATCATTCACCAATGCATTGAATGGCCATACAACAGATCATCGACAATCATATAATTCCAGTCCAACCCAACAAAAACAGTTCATCTTTCATTCCATTGATCCACGTGCTCAAGAGTCGAAACGAAAGAAGGATCGAGAGTTTATGGCTTCTCAAACGTTCCGAGGGCTTACGTTTCGGCCAAGCAAATATATGGGCATGATGAAACCATCCATCTCCACACCTTTCAATAATACCTTACATTTGAATATTGCAAATCATTCGGCAGTATCTCAAGCAGGAGGTTGTTCTAAAGAACAGTGTACGAATAATAGTTCTCTCAATTTCCTTAATTCCTCATTGACCAATACCAATGTCATGAATACAATCCAAACATGTGAAACATGCTGTAGTGGTATACGACAAAATTCCTCTGCATATCATTACTACATGTCACCTGAGAGTAAGGCGGTAGACTCTTGTTCTTCTCAATTGCCCATCATCAAACAAGTATTTTCATGTAGCTCAATCCCACCTCACTCACGACCGTCTCCAATGAGTTCTCGAACCACCATTCCTAGCAAGGTAACGAGTACTTCGCTTCATTTCCCAAGCTCCAAGACATCGTATCGAGTTGAAAAATCATACCACATGAAATCATCCAAGTTGCCAGCCACTAGTCCAACGACTGTGCACCGAATGGTTGAACAGGTCGTTCGTCTCAATTGTTGTTCAACTCTTCCAACGGTCATGACTGCTTCTACGAGTGCCATCTTATCAGCTCCAAGAAAAGTCAGAACATCCATTTCTATTAGTGAATTATTAAATTAAAAATTGTTATTAGGTTGTTATAAATAAATCTAGAGGTGGATTGTTGTGTCAATAACTGAGGAGAAAGGACTATCATTGTAGCACAATAGAGTTTTTTGAAAGAGTGATTGATATTTGGGAAACGAGCTTCTCTCATTCAATGCTAAACTGTGCCCTATGAGTTTGTTTTTGTTCCTCAATCAAGTCAATCACTGTCTTGACGTCTGTCGAGTACTCGAGGAGAACTCCTTCCACAGACTGTTCCTTTGCAGTCATGATATCTGCTAACAATTTTCCTTCCTTTTGATCTTCAAGTGTGACACGATTAGTTGGAAAATCTGTCTCAATCGAGCCATACCAAACACTGGAAATTTTGTCATGAGGAATCCAATAAATACGATAGCCTAAACCAAAGGTCCACAATTCAATAATAACCACACGACTGCTCGTGATCATGTAATGCAATCCGTTATAAATTGGAATCGTTGTGGTGAGGGTGGCATGAATTAAATATACACCCGCAATGATTCCAATCTCCCAGAAAAATACAGCTAAAAGTATTCTTTGTAAAGCAAAAAGGAAAATTAAGGAGACAACGAGCAGAAACACACACATGGCTATAGTAAGGAACCACCAAATTTTCAAATTACGAAGAGTAGTCTGTTTCGCCTTTTTCATATGATCAGTTGAAGTACGCTCATAGTACAATAATGTTTCGTGTTCTTGAATGGCAGTGCTTCTTAATAAAATAAATACAGGATGTTCCTTGCCCGAATGATCGTATGCATTGGGAAGATCGAGAGCCATTTCTTGCATTTGAGTGGATGACTCTTCTTGTTGTTCTGCACTACGATGTTCAGCCATGGAACGCTTGTCCAAATGTAGGAATACCTCCTTGTGACGTTCGGTAGCATCTTGCAAGACCACTTGTAAATTTGGACTCTCTTCCAATCTGTAGGTTGAAATTTCTCCATTCAATCTGAAAGGATCTGGAAAAACTTGTTTGAAAAATCGATCAATTGAAAATCTAGATCTACCATCCAAGTATTTAAACCCATAAACCACATAACACACAACGCAAAACGCAACAAACGCAATTCCCAATGGAATAATCCATGCAAGTTCTGAAGTAAATGCGCTCCACAATTCAGTTCTAATTTGAATTTCCATTTTGCCATCAACAGTTTGCTTCTTCTCGGCAAAGACTCTATCCACATTGCTCTCAATGGCAAAACACGTGAAATCATCGTCCATATCACCATCTCCAACATGTTCACGCAGACAACTTTTAGCACTCGCCTCCGAAGAGGATTTACAAAATTCCTTCCAAATGACGCTCTGGAGCAACACAGTCTTGTCGTTTGATAACGTTACATTGAGATTGTAGTAATAATCGGATCCCTGATTAATCAATATAACATCATCACTCCGATCTGTATTTCTCTTACAATCATAAGCCTTATAATATAATATGCCGGAAGTCTCCAAATTCAAAAACAATCCAACCAACAACACGTTCATGACAATCAACGAGAAGAATAGTAACGTCCAAAAAATTCTCGGAATCTTACTATATGATTTTGAGGAAAGGTATGATGCCGTTAATGATTGTGTATTTACATTGGCCCATCCGCTGAAGCACGGAATAGAAACAAGGAATGATTTGATGATGGAAATCAATCGGGACATTTTTTTGGAAGTTTGTTCGATTTGCCAAGCCAAATTTCTATTTGAGTTCAAAAAAGAGAAGTAGAATGACATTTGAACACACAAAGAGGTGTATGTTAAGTTAACCATGTCATCATCGTATGACTACTTTACACTTGGTTTGTACATGCTGTATTTCTTTGGATTTGATCGTTTCACAGACTATTGTTGGGAATGAAAGTAATGCAATTGTGCAAAACTCTGACGTGCCAATTTCACGTGTTTTTCATCAATGTTATTGTCAATAATACTTAATTCATGCAATTGTCGAGCCATCCATTCCTGAGCACTGTTACACAATATTAAAACTCCTGCATTTCCCAATTTGTTATTTCCAAGGAATAATCTTCGATTCCTTTAAATTCTTCAAGTTAGTACTGGTAACAATATAATTGACACCATCGTTTTGAATTTTGTTGTGACCCAAATCCAATTGTGTGATATTGTACACAAATTCACTTCGTGCCAGTATTCTTGCGCCTTCCGTGCGAATACTATTACACTGTAGATGGATGCTACGTAAATGGTTACAACGAGGGTTGGATACAATGGTTTGAAGTTCATTTGATTGAAATTTTAAATATCCCAAATGTAAGGTTGACAATTGAGTGATGAAGGGACTGTTCATGAGTGCTATTATACCGGAATGCTGAATTTTTGTATGTGAAAGGTTTAACTGTGTCACATTGCATAAAGTTTCACTCTCGGAAATCATTTTCATATCTACATCTGTAATGTCATTCGAAGAAAGGTTCAACGATTGTAATCTCTTCAACAAGGTACTCTTACAAATATACTCAACGGCTTCACTTTTAAGCTCAGTTTTTGTGAGCACCAAATTCTCCAAATTTTGCAAATTTTCGCAGGACAACAATCTTTTCACATTATGTGACAACAATGAACATTGTGAAATTTCTAGTTTTTTCAATTTCTTCCTAAATTTCAATTGAGTGATCATATGGATCACATTATTTTCACTCAGAGTATTCATATCCACACCGACAAAGCTCAGCTCGGTCATGTTCTCCAAAATTTTTCCAACCGTGTTCGTGGATTCGGTGCTCATCATGATAATATTGCTTCTGTTGATGGTGTTTGAAATTGACTTCTCATAACTTTGATAACAATGATCCACCATTGTTGTCCCATAAAATTTGTATGAGAGTGGAATTTCCAAAGCCTTCCTTAACCATTGTTTTGATATTCTCATACACACCCGAAGAATAAATAGGGATTCTGAAAATTCTAGAATTGAATAAATAATATCATCGGCCAATTCTTGAAAACATGAATCTCGCTGAGAATTGTGACATTCAGTGTTTGAAAGTATTGACATTTTTTTAGTGTTCGCGTCCGGTTTATTTCTTTTCACACTTACAAAATGTTTGATTGAAACAGTTTCTTCAAAATTAAAAATGCACCAAATGAAACAATTCATTGTCGATTGGGATATTAATCATACGGAAGAGCACACGCCTAGCTTTTTATTATCTTCTGAGCAGAACGAGAACGTATCAGAAGAATTACCAAATAGCTCGGAACAGTATTCAAACAAAACGAGGGAAAGATTGGATATTTTGATTCCTGGACAGAGTATTGAATCATCCTCCTCATCGTTGAAAATTGTTCATTTACTTTCAGATACTATTACCGATCATACAAAGAATGATCCAAATGATTATCAAACTCCAACAAATGAAAATTATCAACTCGATAGAATTGTTGAGAACCATGATCGTTGTTTTACAATCAGTTCAATCTTGTATCCCGAAGAATGTCATGAATTAATTGAAAGTACGGAACAAATTGGTTATCAAGATATTGATGATGAATATGTGAAGGAATATAGAAATAGTCAGCGAGTTCTTGTGAAGAGCAAAAAATTGGCAAATTTAATATGGAAACGAATCATGTAAGTCAAGTCGTTATTGATACCATCTTTTTGAATGGGATATGACATAACACAATGACAAGTCCATTCTTCAAAGTATCAGACATTGAAAAAGTTAAACCTTATGGTTTCAATAATAACGGCAGGTGGTTACCAGTTCGCTTGAATGAATGTATGAGATTTAGCAAGTATTCAGATCAGACATTCTTCAAGCCACATATGGATGCGCAATTTGTTGCAGATGAAAATGAAAAGAGCATTTTCACGGTATTGATTTATTTGAATAATTCGAGCTATGGACCAAGTCTTTTTAAAAAGGTGCAACTGTTGAAAAATCTCGACACCAACGATATTACTGTGACATTTTTGAAAATCGGTCATGTTATGCCAACGAAAGGTACTGTGGCAATTTTCAACCATGATTTATGGCATTCTGGTGAAATGGTTAACAATGAGACAAAGTATATCTTGAGAACAGAAATAATTTTTCAACGAATTGACTCTGAAAGTATTTATCGAGTGCCATTATGTGACAATGAATGCTTTTTAACAGTGAAACACCTTATGGATAAGAGTTATGAGTTAGAGCTACAAGGAAATGTCAAGGAGGCTACATGCAAATATATTCAAGCACTAGAATTGCATACTCAAGTGTCACATTCATTATCTTCCAACCCAAGTTGCCGCCTGAGCACCATGGAACAACTAATTCCTGAGGAAGTGTTTTCAATCATTTTTAACTATCTTCCAACTGCTGACTTGTGTAGAGGAATCCTTTGTGTGAACCGAAATATTAACTGCTATGCAAGAAATTCTATCATGTGGAAGCAACGGTATGATGCAACATGGAACTCGATACGTTATGGCTGGTCTGAAAAAGTGGCTGAAAAAACATTGCAAGAAAATTCCAAGATCATGTTCTTGCAAGAGATTCTTAACGGAAATTCGACCATGCATTTTCACGATTGGTATCATGCCTTTGTCAGTCGGGCGAATATGGAACGGTATTTTTGTCCTGTCATGGTTTCCATAGGAACACACTCGTATCGATATGGCATGGCCAATGACCACACGTTTTCGTCAAGTAGGATGTTATGTGGCAAACCCATTCATCCACATTTTTCTCTCGATGGTTACGGATTGAAAGATATTCTGACAGGACGACGAGCAAAAATTGAGTATGACTATTGCAAATCAGCTCCGCTCCTGTCGAATAATGGAATTGTTTCACATGAGGCGAATTTTATCACATTTATTAAGCAATTGTATTGGGATGATTTAGGAGTGGCTTTATCTGAACATCCATTGCTGTTGTGTGTACCAATGACTTGGAATGAGAGACACAAACGTCGTATTAAGCAAGTGTTGGTGAGTACAATAGTGAACATGTTCGTTGAGCTCAATGTCATACTTTGAAACAACTTAGTTTGGTATTGGTATTCCTGCTGTGTGCATTATTGATTCAGCACAAGCATTGTCTTTACATTATTTAGAGCCAAATTGTATTGTTTTAGATTTTGGAGTTTCTGGTGTGAAATGTGTTCCTGTATATGAAGGAGAGCATCAAACGCAATTAAGTACTTTTATCAATCAAAGACAATCCATCAAGTCCATCATTACTGAGATGTCATCCTATACCTATTATTCATATGCTCGCTCTTTTTTAGAGTTGTGTGTCTTACCTCCATTTTCAAGAGAAGAAAATGCTGTCAAGTATTCAGAATTTGTTCAACAAGTTGAGGAGTACAATTTAGGAAGTTATTATTTTCGCTCGGATATTGATGGAATATATCGAGTGGAATTGGCAGAAGAATATTTCGAAGAAATTATATACAATTTAATCCCATTTTTTAACAAGATTGTGAATATGAAAGATGAGGAGATGAGAAATCGAATATTGAGACGAATTATCGTGGTTGGAGGTTTTTCACACATATCCGGACTGCATGAGAGATTGAAGAGTGAAATTTTGCAAGTCTTACCTCCTCATTTGGGAGAACAAGTTGAATTTATTTTCCAACAGAAAAAAACGGAAGATGGTTATATTAATGTCGAAAAGCCATTTCCAAAATCTTATGGAATGCGAACAGACAAGGTTTCAAAACGAAAATTTGGACATGATATGGATGTCATGTTTGGTTGCAAAATTTTCACCTCCCTCAGTAATTTCAGAAACTTGTGTGACATGAATCCTTCACTTTTGAAATGACATTTTGATAACCTCTGATAGGATAACAGCTGACGACATTGTTAAATACTCTACTCAATTGTAATATAGAGAGAATAATAACATTTATTCTTTTTTAAGGAGTCTCCATCTTTTGTTTCTTATCTTGCCTTAATTGCTTGATAAATAAATTGGTCGAACAGCAACAGAACCAACACACACAACAAAATCCCACTAGTCCACAAACGGCGACTGTCAACACACACAATGCAAACATGAGCACAACCAACGCTGAAGGAATAAAATTGAATTGAGTCGTCAGCGCACTCATGTAATTTGTGAATCCAGGCTGAATTCTTTCAATCAAAACTTTGGTAGTATAACCTTCAAGTCCACCTCTCAGCATTAACAACATGATGAATATAATTCCAATGATGACAGTGATCATGGCAATCACAAATCGATTCTTAGTTTCCACTCTCGACAAGGAATTGTCACACATGGCAGAAGTTGCCATCAATGACGAAGCCACACAACACAAAATCACAGCAGCAAATGTGGCAATTTGTGCGACGAGAACCATTGAAAATATGGATGAATCTTCTGAAGTGGAGGTTGGATCTAAATTGTGTGTTGAAATATACTGAAACACAATAATGGCAATTAATTCAATAACTGAAAAACAACACAATAAGCAAAGCATTGGAGAAATGCAGAAAAGTCCACAGCAACCCCAAATGGTTTTTGATAACGTTGATTTGTCTTGAATTTTTCTGGGAGAGGTAGAATTTGCCAGCTTGTCAGGAATTTGTTCAGGAAGTGTGTTTTGATTATTATTCATTGCTGGAGAATTCACAAAATGAAAATTTGGAATGGGTGTCACAGCAGGTGGAGGTGAAAAGTCTGTTTTAAGGTCACTATTCGAAATAATGGGCTGTTGTCGATCTGAATTTGTGGTCGAACCTGTAGCAGCTTGATAAATATTTTTTGTAGCAGTTGCAGAGGTGTCATCGAAATGCGATTGAGAATAGGATGGTGGTTTCACTTTTTCTTCGATTGGAGGTGTTGGCAATGCCACTGAATTTCTATTCGAAGATAAATGACTTCTGACATCCTCTCGTGGTGAATGAGCTCTCAAAGGTTCCAATGCATCTCCAGCAATTTGCCATGAATGTCTATTATTCGAAGGAGGTGACGATGATGTTGGAATGACAACAGAATTTCGATTCGATGAGGGTGTCACTACTACAGATGTCGATGGAGGAGGGATGACGACAGAATTTCGATTCGAAGAAGGCGTCGAAGTTGTCGAAAGTGTCGATGGCACCAAAGGAGGAGGCACGACCATTGAATTTCGATTCGAAGAGACAGAACCAGGAGTGGAACATGTTTGTCCCAAAGTCATGGCAGCCATTTCAATGACATTTGGCACTCCTGTCATGATTGCTGGAGCATAAGATGGAGATAGACCCAAAGGAGTTATGGAAGGCATACCACTGATCGTTGGTTGAATGTCTTGAGGCGTCAAAGTAGTCGAAAGTCGATTGGATTGAGAAGTTGGAGAGGAAGCCGCAACATCATAGGAAGGAGGAGGTGAGTGGGACATTGGAAATGTTTATGTGACGTCAACACTTAATTTAGAAATTTTCTAAAATTCGAAAACGAATGAGTTGATGAAGATGGATATGAAGAGATGCAAGAACACGTTGAGAATGAGACTTGTTGTAGCGTATTCAATTGCTCTTCCAATAGTATTCCGAATAAATTTGCAATAACCACGGGTGTTGATTTTTTGTTGTATCAATATTCACGTCGGGTTGAAAGAAACTCCCTTGTTGTATTAAAAAGTACAATTACTAGTGAGAAAGAAGAAGATTTTGATGTTTTTTTTAAAGACACCTGACATGTTGATGTAAGGGTTTATTGGAAGAACAATTTACAACTCCTTTTTGTGAGAGCGGGATGGTTTCATATCTCTCTCTCGTGTGATGTCCAACATGACCCATTGTGTCATTTCTTCTTCAATGGTCAAACACATGACATGAAAGTCTTTTTAGAAATCGGTTCAAGTGGAAGCGAACTCGGAATCATGATGATGGTTTTTGTGAATAAATGTGTTTCAAACAGATTGGCAAGATTAATCCGTTGTTACTTTTGTTGATTACAAGTGTATGCGTTTTCTTCAATAAGTTTGTCTAATTCTTGTTGTATGAGTTCGGTTTGATTTTCTTCAACAAAGATGTGAGTCTCATCAAGATCAAATAATACAATTCCTATATAATGATGATTGAAATTCATGATGGAATGTTTTTATAATATTTTGTGAGTCATCATCCGAGCATAAATTTTAATCATTGAATAACGGAATCATTTCAAAAAGGACAGTTCGGACATGAGTCTTAATTCCAATCATCGTCTTCTTACTTACTATTTCCATGCTTTTTATTCAAAAACAAAATAAATTGCTTGATTGCCGGATCACATTCGATCAATACGCCACCAATAGCATTCACCATTTCAATTTTTTTTTAAAAAAATAATTGTTGTGTCTGTATCTTTACATTTTAACATTGTCGATTCTTCGGAAAAGTTATCGTCTTCTTCGTCATAATCATCGAGACCAATGTCGTCATCGTCATACTCATCATGACAAAAGGCGTCGTCATCATAGTAGCCAGCCTCGTCGTCACTGGATTCATAACTGTCAGGATTTACAAAAATTTTCCAGCTTGCATTTCCGAATAAATATTTCTTCCACTTGGTGTAAGCATCAAGCCTAGATTTGACAGGATATGATACATCTTCATCACATTCCAGCTCCAATAATTTGATTGGTGCTTTCAACAATCGAGAAGCAGGAATGTGACATCCTAAATATTCAAATTCCAATCTCTGATGGTTCCAAGTACGAAGCAACATTAAAACTTCACGTTTAAACTTGTTGTTGAAAAAGTCTCGACCAAAAAATTTGAATACACCATCCATGAAATCAGTCGTAATTATACCCCAACGCTTTACATGCTCTGATATATTTTCATAATTCATTTTCCTAGGGTCCAAAGCAATGCACGGATCACGAAAAACTGATGGTGATAATTTCACACATTCCAAAATAAAGTTTGCATCTTGGCTTAATGGTGTTCTGTTAAACCGTAGCTCCTCTACATAATTGTATCGAACTGCATCCAATAAAAACTCTCTTTCGTTTGTGAAATCATCAGAGAGATGTGTTGAAAATCTTCGCGTTTTGAAGCGAGTTCCTTATCCTCCAACCATACTTTTTCATAATCCATGTACATCCGTGTCCATACTTGTCGCACAATCTTTCCAAATGCTTGATCTTTTGTGAGAGCGGTATTGTGATAAAATCTGGCGTTCAGTGAGTCTTGAAATATTCCTTGTAATGGCAGACGGCGTGAATAATTCAAGTGTGCTCTATAATAGTCATCTGGTAATTGAAGAAGCATTTGAAATATGGATTTCACAACTTCCTCGTCCCTATCAGTTACCTCTCCATCTTTTAAAAACAATTGTTGATAAATGTACATTTTGAATTCTAATGATAATGCATGACGATCTTCTTTTCGTAACCAATAATATGGTTCGGGAGTGCATGTGTCAATCATGTCTTGTTGAATTTTTCCATCCGTAATGCTAATCTTTGACGTGTTCAGTAACTCCAAAATAAATTCCGTGTTATCACGAAATGCTGTTGGGAGACTTGATATTTTTGTTTCTTGATGAGCCTGTTAAAAGTGAAAACTGTTGAATTTTGGAGGCCTTTCAAAATTTCCGTACTGAGGCTCATCAAGAAACAAAAATATCAAGTCTTGAAATATATTCCAAACAATGGATCCTACAATCCAGTGTACTAGACAGTCTCGATCGTACAAGAATTCAATTTTCATTTCCGGTGTTTCATCCAGATGTTTCCGCAACCATTTCTCCTGTTCTAACAACCATTCCTCCTTTGCCTTCAACCATTTGACAAATCCTTTGGATTGATTTACAAATTTTCTTCTCATAAATTCAAACCTTTCGGAAATATCAAGAGTTAGGAATGAGGAGGATGAGGGAGTACTAGATGAAAATCAATTAAAATAATCTTTACTGCAACATCCGTTGAGATGTCGGATGATAATTTTTTTGAATTGGTTTCCAATGGATCGTTGTTATTGTGATGCAGAGAACGCTTTCGTTTCATTTTTTCGTTTGGGCACAATTCTCATGTTTGCATAGGCAAAATAAATGGCAATGTCACTCGATAGGAAAAATCAGACATTGGATGTCACATTCCTCGATTATGAACCAATCAAATTATTGGAGCTGGACAACATGTAGCAGATCATTTTCCACAAATTCTTGGAAATGCAACCTTAAAAAAACCTTTGATAGTTATCATGGCCATGAAGACGAAACTGATACCTTGACAACGACTTTCTCAAAACTTGAGACCATTGTGCTGGGAAGGACCAAACACATACCACTCTACATTCACTTATTCTTTTTTTCTTGAATACTCTCTTCCTCGTCATCATCTCGTTCTCTATGAAAATACAAATGATGTAAACGTTGAGAATGTTGTAATGCCTTTCCTCCCTCCACAGGTATCACATCCATGTCATTTTGAGGCTTCATTGGCATTCCATAACCACTCTCTGCAGCTCGTTGTTCCAATTCTTTCACTGCAAGACTCATGTCTTGTTCCTGTTTTCGTTCTAAACTTTCTTGTATTTCAATTTCTCGTTCCAAATTTTCAGGTCTCTGCAACCATAAGATACATCGATGAAAATTGCAATACATTTCACAAACATACCTGCAAATGTGGTGGAAGAATCATCTTTCCAGATGGAAATCCTCCACTACTGCTTTGTTTTCTATTTTCATCAATGAATGCATTCAATCGCTTGACATCAATGTCATTCAAATCATCATCTCCTCCCTGAGAATAAAAACTTAACGTCTTGATGGATGAAGGTGTTTCTTGAGTTGAATCTTCTTCATCCTTGTGAGACATGTCAGCAGTACCACTCTTCATGGTTGATGCTGTGGTCGACTCTTGATTCATGTCTTGACTAGTCTTGACGGTAGAAACAGCTGCATGGGAAGCAGCATGTGAAGAAGGAGATAATTTGATTAATTTCAAAGTATTGGGATTAAATTGAATATGAAATAAATACAAGGACATGTTCAATCCATAGACATAATCATTGGCAAGATGACGTGTTTGCTGTGTGAAAAAGTGTACCATTAAAAAGAAAACTAGTAGAAAGAATCCAACAGCTGATACAATATTATTCTTTCGTTGCTGTTCCAAAGCTGCAGGATCTGTTTCTGCTTCACTCTTGTCACTCTTGTAAGGATGAAATTTTACATAGTTTGAATTTTCATTGTAATTCGATCGATGTTTTGTTGAATCATCGTCATGATGAACAAGTTTGTTTTTTTCAACAGGTTGAATATTTTGTGAAGAAATGTTATCATTTGGATCTTGTTCCATCATGATGTGATGTTTTCCTCCTGGTGAAGAATTTCTTGAAAGAGGAACACTACTAGCATGGTAATGATAGGAATAATAATAAAATAGAAAAAAGCAAATGATGGTCACTATTAACACCAAATTGTAAATAACTAATTTTTGAAAGCAAATAATTATTATTATGATATTGTTAAAATATAATTATTATTATTTTGATGATGAAAGAGTTAAATTTCAAAAATTATGTGTGTTATCATACAGTACATCTCCACAATCGTTGAACTCGTAATTTATCCGAATAAAGATGAGCAATGTGCCGTTCAAATGTTCTCAAATCTAATAATATCATTACAGTCAAGTAAATAATTGTAAATAATGAAATCAATTTTAACAGGTCCGATCTTTGGCAATCAATGACAAAATACCTTTTTTGCGTTGTCTGTCCAACACGATAGTCATTTCGGCAGATGGGGTTTATGTGTTGCGAATATTTTTTTTAAAAAAACCAAAAAATTCTAACAACAAGTTTTGAAATAACAGCAGTTGTCGGATAAAGAATCACGGTTTTTCAACAACTCATTGTTTCTCTCGATCAAGAGAAGCAACAGTTTGAAAACTTTGTACAAGTTGGACGAGTATTTATTTTGCAACAATCTTTCAATATTTACATTTCTTGGAAAGATGTTGTAAAAAAGTCCATGGATTTTGCTCAATTATTTGTAAACGTCGACCTTTCTTGGCTTTCTTCTCTTACACACCTTCTTCTTCAATTTACAAATTCTCTTTCCAGGAGCACGTCTCTTACAAATCTTTCTTCCCTTGGTATATTTGTAATTTGTACACACTCTTCTTCCAACAGATCTTATTTTACAAATCTTGTAATACTTTTTGTGAACACACTTGGCAGGATAGGTCTTTTTACGATAACAATACTTCTTCTTCTTGCGGAGACAACACTTCTTCACATACTTGTGATGCTTGCAATATTTCTTATATCCATACTTGGCACAATACTTCTTGTACTTGTGTCTGACACATTTTGTACCGTACTTGTAGTGTTTACAGTAATGACGAGTCTTCTTCTTGATACACTTCTTCTTGTATCCAGTGATACGGCATTTACGAACATATCTGCATTTTCTTGGAGCATAGGAATCGACATACTTGTCACACTTCTTCTTCTTGTAACACTTCTTAATTGGGTATTTCTTGTAACATTTACAAATCTTCTTCTTACCCCAAGCAGTGCACTTCTTGTACTTTTTAGTGTAGGCACAATACTTTTTATGAGCATGTCTCTTACAGTATTTACGAGTTCCATAAGAATCACAGACTTTGTAAGATCTATGTTTGGCACAATACTTTTTGTACTTGTGTTTGACACAACGAGTGTATGGTTTGCTGTACTTGTCACACTTCCAATACTTTTTGTACTTTTTGCAACGACCCTTTCCAACAATTGCATACTTGTCACAATACTTTTTACGACCTACAACTCTGTGTTTGAGACATTTTCCACGCAAATACTTGTGCAAGATGCACTTTTTGCGACAATACTTTTTAGGACGAGGTTTGTAAGGGTCTGGCTTGTAAGAGTCAGCTCCTGCAACGTAGACAGCTGCGAAGAGGAGAAGAGCACACAGCAAGATTAGAGAAAGTTTTTTCATCTTGATGTTTTTTTTCTTGTTGATGTTGTAGTTGGAGTGTTATGAATGGTCATTTATAGCTTTTGACACCATGTCCTTAAATCAATCCATGAGTACATAAAGGTGTTGTTGATACCATGGTTAGTTTCCAAAACAAGCATTCATAAGGATAGTCTGGTGTCAAAATTGTCGTGGCGAGAATTTTATTTGGACTAAATATGGAAAGAAAGGTGAATCAATGTTCACATTCTTCATTCAAAAAGTACACACAGAATTCTTGGTGTTGCATCCTGTCGCTACTTTTTTGATTGCAGGCAAGAAGAGATCATGTCACTTCTTCTTCTTTGAATCCACATCTGACATTTTTCCATGTTAGAATGAGTCGATCGTTCAACGAGGGGCATACTGAGTTTCGGTGACTTTTGTGTTCGTTTCCTTTTTGTTATGTTCAATTTTCACTCGTTAGTTAATGGTAGACAACGATGATATCAACTGTTGTTTGGTTGGAGGTTTTAAGGTAAGGGGCAGGAGTCATCGAATATTTCAAGGTATTCGCAAGTGTCACAGTTACTAATCCCAATGATTCCTAATGGTCATCGATGCAAGTGTAATGCATTTGGCACATTGTACTTGATCCAAACTATGTAGTGTTTTGAGATGGAACGAAATGAATTTCCTTGAACTCGACACCAATACATTCCACAATAAAGACATGCAAGATTCTGAAGGGATATCCATGAACGGGACAGCGATCTTATTGAATGGCCTTAAGTTTTTACGAATCACTGTGAAAATACGACGGATTTTGTTGAAGTGAATTCATTGGAACATAGTAAAAAAACAACTTTCTTTAATTAAACAAAATTTATGGAGACACACGGCATCTATACAGAGAAATGAGTTCAAAAAATGAAAGCAAAACTGGGAGGCAGTGAGCCATCACAGTTGATCTGTTCTGAGATGTATCATGTTCAACAATATTATCGATGAACTTGCCGCAATCAGTTTCGAAAAAAGCCGGACCGCTTGTTTTAGTAAAAATTGGAAGGTGTTGAAAGAAAATCTTTTTTCACCTGTCTAACTGCATTTCTTACAGCATCAATCTCCTCTTGTGCTAGACCATAAACGGGATCTATTGGACCTTTTTTTTCTATTATGGTTTTTTCGAGTATTTGATTGATTGCCGTTCTCACTGCTGGAGTGGACCGAAAAACGTGTTCGGTGTTGTTTGTTGTATCGTTGTTTTTGGGGTTATTATGGTTGTTTGGTTTCAACTCTTCTATAGTGCGCTTTTTGGTTGTTGTTTTAATGTGTTGGATGTTTTTTGCGCAACGTTTCGAAATAAATGTCGCGATTTGACCACTTGGATTCCACTCGTTTCACTTGTAATTGTGCCTCCTCCTCCATTCTCAATTCACTAGAACCTGCATGATCAGTTGCATGTTGTTGATCTGTTGACCTTTAGAGGTCATTCAAAACGTTCCAATGTAAACTCTGGTTCATAAGGATTTGGAGTACATGGTGTCTCTTTTTTTAAGAAGTAAGTTGTAGTTGAATAAAACCTATGATTGGAAATTTATTCCAAATGGTGTTTGTGATAGTGCTAACTTGTTGTACTTCTAATTGCATTGAATTTGAATGGAATTTGTGGAGAGGGGTTCCTGAATTTGCAGAAATCATTAACCGTACGACAAATGCGCGTTGTTGAACGATTATATTGGAGACTAATAGTGACAGGAAACGGCTTTTTGGTCAGGAAGTTTAGATCTTTGCGAAATTAAGAGTGACATTTAGCGCGTTTAACACCAGCTAAAATTCGCAGGCCGTATGTCAATTTCCAAAGACGTAATGTTTTTAATAATTTCCCAAAAAAATGAAGAGACAAGAAGCAACGGAAGTAATGAAAATTTCGGAGAATGATGATGATCATCATGAACAAGCACTACGACCACACAAGCATACTTTAAGCAAAAACAATGCAAGTAAAATTAGAAAAATAGAGAAACAATTTTCCAGGATGGAATATTCTGAAAATTATGTATCAACAAGCCTTGTGCGAATAGAACTCGTTGAAGATCTGGAAACCACAAGAAATGATTTATTGATGCAATTATTCAAACAGAAAATGAGCAAACACATCTCCAAGTATTTCCGAAAGTCCTTTTCAACTAATTTTGATTATATGGGTTCATTATTCACCGTGGTAAATGGCTCTCCTTCTGGTTCATCATTTAAAAAAGAAGATCATCATTCAATCTCCAACGTTCGTCCTTGTAATATCACAATATCATATCAATGCCATTGTATTCTCGTGAGTGATTGTAGTGCAACAAAGCAAATTCTTGTATTTGATTTGGATTCAAAACTCTTAAAGAATTATATAACAACACCAGGAGCATATCCGATGAATTTATGTTTGGATGAAGAAGATTTTCTGGATCACAGTGACCGGGATGATACTAAAAAGTTGCATGGTTCTAATTATTCACATGTAATGTTTGATTGTAATGATGAAGATAATCCAGAGTTCAATGAAAAATTAGTATTTAAATATGACTTGAAATTGGTTTTACGAAACAAAGGTTGTCAACATACACAAGAAGTAGTAAATTCATGGATCATTTGGAAGAGTGACGTTGTGAATCATCCAAGAGCAATGACATTGCAAAAAAAATTTCTTTCAAATTCACAACATTCTGAAAACAGCCTCTTTATTTGTGACTCTGGAGATTGTTCAATCAAACAATTGAATGCAACAACAGGTAGGTTGGTTGTCATATTGATTCTTGATGGAACAAGATGGCAGGAGAGTATATTCAAAGATTTAACATGAATGGTGAAATACAGATCCCAAGTGGAATTGCATCCTTGAATGCTCTATTAATGGTTACAAGAGGCTATCCACATCATGACGTTGTCATTTTGAGAGAAAATACCAAGAATGGAGAATATACAAAATTTCAATCGTTTGAATTAGAACCCTATAGAACAGAACATTTGAGTCCATGTGTGGTAATTTATGATCAAATTTCAAAGAACATCATTGCAGGAAGTTGTAGCCGTCATCATCGAAACCATACACATGACAGCAGTAGAGGAGTGGTTCAAGTATTCGCAAAGAGAGGAAAAGAATTAATGAGGTCATTTTCAGGAAATAACAGTATTCGACTGACAGATTTGTATGGAATGTGTTTGAATGAGTGGAGTGGTGAGCTCTATATCTGTGACTCGAGTGGTGTCCATATTTTTCAATGAATGTAAGGTCTTGTTTGCTTTACCAAAACTTGAAACAGTTGGAGTTTTGTGTTTGCTCTGGGGCGAGGAATTGCTTTCACTTGGTGATTTGTTTCACATCTGAAAAGCGATCTTGGAAAGACACTATTTGTCCGTCCCATCTCTCCACATTCATTGATTCATCACCATGAATACTTAAAACACGTAACAGTTTCGAATACTTTTCTAAATATTCACATGATTGTGTAATCATATTCTTTTCCTCTTGACTGTCAATTCGATAAATGAATTGTTCTTGTCATGCCACTGTTGTTCAGTCACGAATGTATACGGTAAATGCACACGCAATAATTGGTAAGCCCATTACTTGTTCAGGCTCGGAGAGATCTCTGTCCAGATCCATATCCGTGAATCTTGACATGCAAGTATTAAATTTGTTCGTGTCGATCCTCACTATGATGATGACTCGATGAAGAGAATGAACATTTTGATCCTCGCAACACTTGTTCTTAACAATATGAATACTTTGTCACAATATGTTAGAATGCAATTAATTACAAAACCTTCAACATTTGGATTACATACCATTTAATGCTGAACAATTTTGTGTATGGTATGGACTTCCAATTGAAACGTTTAACCTCATCATTGGGTGTTTAAATAACAGTGTATGGTGTTTACGTGGTCAGTGTTTGGTGGTATGTCCAAATGCTTCTACACTTGGAAATTCAAATTAGCATATTTCAAGTATCCTGATCTTGGCATTTGGAAGTGGCGTTTGTTGTAAATCAACAGAAAGATGGTTGGTAAAACGGATTATTTATTCTTCGCCGCGTGTACGTGCGCATGTCTAATAGTTGAATAAATAAGATTTACATTACCTTTTCTATCCTGTAATTCAGCAAGAGTACAACACAAATAGATGCAACAAACATATGCATCAGTCTCATACAGGATGACACTATTAAGCGTGCGCTGATTAAACATCCCATGGTAAACCATGAGGCATCCTTTGGACTGAAATCAGTTCAAAGAGCATCCCACTAAAGTGAGGCATCCTATTGCGATGCAATAAGGCATCCCATGATTAAAATCATAAGGCATCCCAATGTATTGAGGCATCCCAGCTCAAATGGCCAAGGCATCCTTGGGACTGAATTCAGTTCAAAGAGCATCCCACTAAAGTGAGGCATCCTATTGCAATGCAATAAGGCATCCCAAGTTGAGACATGAGGCATCCCACCCAAAGGTGAGGGAGTTGTGGAAAGCCACAACTATGTTTGTTTATTTCAGAGGTGGATTGGGAGGAGGGTGGGTACTTTTCAATTCTTTGAGAGAAAGTGATTCTATCACCTTTCTCGAAGTAGATGATAATAATTGTTCCCTGTCACAAGTAATGTAAATTTTTTGAAAGTGAAAATTCAAAAAATTAGTCAACCAACCACTTTTATTGATTACAACAAACCTCAGTAAAACTCCCTTTTACTACCGAATTTGTTGTAAATCAACAGAAAGATGGTTGGTAAAACGGATAGATACCGCTAAAAACCCATCTGGCGAGATACATTCTTGTCAAATGCGAATCCAGCTCTGAAATAGGCATCTATCGCATTGGAGGACCAATCACCTAGAGCTTGGATTGCTGTGTGAGAGAAACCAGCAAATGCTGCCTCTGACGCTCCTCCAATTCTTAAGGAATGACTAGAAAAAGAACCCGAAATCTTAAGGCTGGTTGCTACAAATCTAAGAACGTCTGAAATTTTAGCCGTGGATAAGGGAAGGTCATCACCAAACAAATACTTTTGAGGGTTACACACTTTCCATAACCTAAGCCAGACGACAGGACATCTCCTGGAGTTAGTTGCCTCAATTTCGATGACTCTTCCTTTCTTGCTTCGTTTAAAATCATTCTTCACTTTTTCCACAACAATTCTGATTCCGTTAATGTTGTTCTTGTTAATTTCTACCACATTGGAGGTTAAAATACTACCCAACTCAGATCCTCGTAACATGGACCTGATGCCGATGATCATAAGGGTCGTATAAAAAACATAAGTTCTCCTGTCGACAAAGTTACACCCTTCGAGAATCCACATATCAATGTACATAATACGCCACTCGTTTCGTTCAATCTCGTATGAAACTGGTGCCATGTTGATCATGTAATCAACTAGAGATGAAATATGTTCACCCACCACGTCAATCCATTTGAACTGATTACATCGCTTCTTAATAGCAAACATTGCCAGTTTACAATTTTTTCCGGACCTACATTTAAGAAAAAGACACACCAGAAAATTGTAAACATCCATCTCTGTGGGTGGTATTGCAATATTTCTCTCACCGCACCATTTAACAAATCGATTCCAATAACTGTCATACGTAGTGTTTGTGGACTCACGACCCGCACTGGCCTTTTCAATTAGTCCACCAACTGATGTTAGTTGGTCATCCGAAAGTCGATTAGGGTCGCCTCTAATAGCCAAGAGCTTTTCTTTTGCGGTTCGCATTTCCCTGACCGAGAGGGTCTGAAATCTATTCCAGACATTGGTACTGACCGAACCTTGCCTTCCAGCAGTAGTGGCCACCAGGGTTTTGCCTTCCATACTGGGTGAACGAGTATCATTTGAGATTGACAAAGCTTGCAATGCTCTAGCACCTTCTGGATAATGCTGAACGGCACGCAGCACCAATTTAGCTCTTCCTTGGGCCAATAGCAACTGAATGCATCTGCGGGCTGTTCTCTCTTGGTCCTCTTCCACACCATGTATTGAGGAACCTTGAAGTTGTAATTGCTGGCGAAACGGTCGAACTGAACTTTCACCTGCAATTGATGTTGAACTCTTTCGAATGCCTCTGGGGTTACTTCCCAATCTCCGAAATCCATCTCTTCTGGTCATGATGATAGATTTCATTGAGCAGCCATTGGAAATAAAGTTCATACTTTTCAGCTTTCTATGGACCAAAGTTTTTGGGAGGAGTGAAACTGCCAACTCCAGGTGGTATTTTGGGCAATTGTTGGTATTGAGGAATTTCAGGTGCATTGACAAGTCGACTTGATTGGTATTTGTAAGGAGTATATGACTTGTCGTGAGAGAGGACCTTTGCTGCTGCTTGGGGAGTTCGTATTGCAGGTTTTCTTTTGGAAGGAGTGTTTGATGATGCTCTCACATCTTTTGGAGTTGTAAAGAGAGTCGTCATGGTTTGAGAAGAATGTTCTTCATCCGATTCAGACAAGGTATTTGAATCCATTAAAGGATTACCACCTTGAAATTGAGCTTGAAAAGTGGATGCATTTACAAGGATATTACAGTTCTTTGGGGTGGTGGTTGTGGTGTTTGGAGAGAGAAGCGAATGATTCTGATCAAGACTTGTAGTGGCATTGGATGAATTGGTGGATGGTGGATGGGATGATGCTGTTGAGGATGATGACACATTCAAGTCTTGCTCAATGGAATGACTATTGTGATTATTTCTACCACCACCACCACCACCATGCTCACGAATCAAGAAATTGTTGAGAGTGGTTTGAATCATTGAAGAAGTCTTCTTTTGCTTGTCCTTATTGGTGGAGGATGATGAAGAAGAAGATTGAGGCTTTCTCTTAGATGGACACATGGTGGTTTCATATGAAATTCGAGTACTAGTTGCTCAGCTGTTGTGGTGTTTTTTGTTTGAAAATTGTTGTAATTTCCACTTGTTGAGGCTTATTCAGAGGGCAGAATGTGAACAAGCCTTTGCATGTTGGAGAGTATTTGTATGAAAATGGGAGGGAAATGCACTACAATGTCGTTGTTGTTGTTTCCACATTTGATACTTTGGTATCACAAAGCTGTGATATTTTGGTATCACAAAGCTGTGCACTTATTGGTCATGCCTATAACTTGTGTCATCATGATGCAGCATAAAAAACCAGCAATCTTGAAATTGTTTCATTTTGAAATGGAACTGTTGTTGAATTTGATACGTCAAATCCACGGAACTGTTATTTTGATGATTGCTTGGGTAAAATTACATTTTCGGAATACAGTGAAAGGATGGTGTGGGTCTAGACGTCTAGAATATTTTTTTGAGATCAGAGTGCTGCTGACGCACGATTTGACTTTCAAATTATCTTCACCAGTCTCGATTGACAGGATTGACAGGTGAAAAAACTTTCATAAAGAGAATCGAAAAAACTTTCAAATGTACAACTATACTGTCAAGATACAACAACATTATAAAGTGAAAATTGATGAATAAACAAGAGTATGAGGCACCTATTCTGTCAACAAATTCTTGTCACGAAATCTTCACCAGTCTAGATGTCTAGAATTCTGGACAGGTTGAAAAATTCTGGATGCGGATTAGGAGAGAAATGAAAAAATTCTGGATGCGGATTAGGAGAGAATGAAAAAATTCTGGATGCGGATTAGGAGAATCGAACTCCTGACCTTAGGATTATGAGACCTACGCGCTGCCGACTGCGCTAAATCCGCTTTACATGAATAATGAAGGAGTGGTGATGATGGTAGTAAGGGTTCTTCTTATCGACCTTTTTTTGTCTTTACCGTGCATTTAGAGGACATTGTCTTTGGAAAACGGCCGAGACCAAAACGATTTTGAATTTAATTGGATCAAAATAGACACTCATATCAGACTCCAAGGGGAGATTTGTGTTGTCGTGAGGTATGGTGGAAACCACTTGCTCAAAATCGATAAAGGCTTGCTCTCGTTCAAGATTTTGAAAGATCATATTAATTTTGGAACCACATGCCAAGTGTCAAATTTCAACGAGATATTCACGTAATAAATGCATGCTTCATTTCCTACTAATGTATCTTCAACACTTGGAACAACAAATTCTATTTTGCTTTTGTCAAAACACAGTTCATACAGTCAAAGATAGTCGCCATACTCCTAGCAGGCATCCCGTCCATTTTAAAAAAGAGAAAATCTTCAAGATCCATAAAAAGAGAACTCAACTTGGTAAAAATTCAATGTTCCCAATTGAATATGCAGTTCGTGTTCGACTATTCTCGAAGTACCGTTTCGTGTGCAATTGAAAATTCTACAATACTACTTGTGAATTAGTAAGGTGGTATCAAGTTGCAAGATTGCATCCAAGTATGAGCATTTGAAACAACTGTACGATAAGGTGACCGTGGTTATAGCACAATTTCCTTCTTAATAACATGGTTTAAAAAGATTTTTGAAGAAGAACATACACGTACGATACGATTCACATGGGATTAGAGTTTTTTGGATAGCAATGCTTCAAATGACATGAACACAAGCATTCAGTGTGTGTTCAAAGGTTATCATTGTGTTAGTAAACCATAAATGATATGGGTTTGTGAATGCGCAAATGGACTCTCTTTAAACGAATGGAATGACACCTTCTTGGTTTCATCTAGAAAGCACTACACAAACCCTCTTCCACAACAATTCTCAATATCGCATTGAAATTGCTCTCGCAACACTGGATAAAATTCTCTTCAGGAATTGAAGATACTTACTCTCAGTGGTACAAATCAAACTCTGAAAGTTAGCGTTGACCACTTTTCCAGGTGTTAAATTGCTCAAGCCCGTCGTCTCCTTGGGTTGAAATTCACAGATGGTCGAAATATTTTCCTGATAACGAATGGTCATCAACATGGAAGAGGTGTGTTGAGGTATTACTTGTTCACCGTATAGCAATTCTCTCATTGGATAAACTAACACCCACGACAACACTTTCAACTTTCCGTAAAATTCTTTCACATGTTGATCATTTGTAAAGTCAAAAGATTATTACATTCAGAATTGAGATATTTCCTGCAAAGAATAAGCATAGACCCTTAGTTTAAAAGTTTTCTTTCGATCAACGTGTTGAGGAGTTTGTAAAATGAGAATTTAGTTTATTTCGTATCAATTGATGGATAAAGGGTTATAATATTTCGGGTGGAATTGTTCTCATTGGAAATTTCATCTCCAAAATGGTTGATGTGTAAAACCATTAACCATTCTCATTAAAAGGACATGAGATTGCAATTTTGAAATATTTGTTGATATTCCAACTTTCAACCTTTGGGGTCAGGATCTATCGAATACATGAGTTTGTGAATTACAAGCATCCACTCTTCCCAAATAGATTAAATGTTTCCAGGTTGGTATATAATGTTTCACAAGAATGAATATTTGTACTTTTCAAAGAGTACATGTTTTAACTCGAACGTAACGGTATTCGATTTGTATGTTTTTCATTTTCAAAATCTTTGCATTTCCAAACAAACGACTCTTCCAAAGTTGATCACAACCTTTGTAAAGTCGTGTCATGACTTGCTCAACAATATTCGCAAATTCCTCATCCTGTATCTGTTGGATCATATGATGGATGTGACATTTGTCGATTTTAATGAATATATCAAGCATCCTTGCTCCGTTCAATGACCCACAAGAACATTATTCCAACATGAATTTCAAGAAGGAACAAATACATATTGTCTCTTGTGTGAAATTCCCTCACTTCTTTCCTTTTCTTGATAATATTCACAAAAATCAGCTGAAATTTCCCAATATCTCACTTCTCCATTCTTTTCTCCATTTTGTCCAACATTATCAATTCTTGTAATTCGATCTGAACATGGCATGATACTTCTCTCATGAGGTTTTCTCAAATCTCGAATCAAAACTCCCAAAAAGTACAATTTATCAGTCTTGAAAATTGAATATTCAATAAAAGCATTCCAAAGTCTGTAAAAGAGTCTCAATGGAATACCACTTCCCCAAATGGCATGATATTGAGAGAGAAAGACTTGATGTGTGTCTTTCCATGTACATTGAAAATTTTCAGGTTTCATGTGAAAAGATTGACGTGGAGTCTTGATGGGAATGATGGAATGAGGTGGATGACCAAGGTCTGGAGTGGGATAGAGAGAGGTTGGACCTCGAGTGATTCTTGGAGGGGGTTGAGTTTGTTCCATCATATTTTCAGTATTGGTCGTTGAATTTTTCGTAGTAGTAGTAGTAGTTGATGTTGTTGATGTTGATGTATTGAATTGGAGAGGATTGTTTTTGGTTGAAGTTTCACTAGTAGTTGGTGTGGTAGTAGTAGTAGTAGGTGTGATGGTGGTCATTGTTGATTCTGAATTTGTTGCTGCTGAGAGAGTTTTACGTAAATGATGATGAGCATGTTGTGGTGTGAGAGATTCTTCATGATTCGAAGAAGTAACAAATTGTTCAGAAACCTTGTTTTCCACTTGTTGTTGTTGTGGTTGTTGCAGTTGTTGCTGAGGAGATGATTGTGTCTCGTGTTGATCTTGTTGTTTCGTCTTGTTCTTCTTTCTACTTGATAATGAAGGCTCATTCTTCTGAAGAACCTGTTGTAATGCTTTTTTCAATGATTGAAGGTCATCTTGTTGATGAATAAAGGTTTTAGAATCTAGTGTTGTGTGTGGTTCTGTAACCTCTTCTGGTTGATCTACTTCTTCTTCTTCGTCGTCATCGTTATCATCATCTTTTGGATGTTCCGTAGTGTCTTGTTCATCATTATCATCATCATTCGAAGAGGAGTTCAATTCAGAGTCATGATCGACTGATTCGTCTTCTTCTTCTTGGTTGAGATCTTGTTCATTCTCTTCTTTTTCATCATTGCCATGTTCTTCTTCCTTAATTGGCTTGACTGAGAGTGTTGTTGCAGATTTTTCACTTGTTTGTTCTTGGTTGTTTGGAGATGGTGGTGTGTCCTTGTGTTGGTTATTACTATTTTTGGATGAAATGGGTGGTTCCATTGAGGAGGATTTGAGTGAGTGTTGTGGTTCTTGTTCCTTAGTAACCTTGGTAGAATTGACAGATTTTGTTGATTCAATTTCACTCCTTGTTTGTGGATGTTCTGTCGTGGTTCGTGTCGTTGATTGTTGCAGTTGTTGCTGTTGTTGAGAAACTTGATGTTCTTCAACAATTTGAATTTTGTTTTGAGGTGTCGTCACAAGATGCTCCTTCTGCTGCTCGTTTGGATTCTTCTTGACATGGAGTTCTTGTTGAGTAGATAAAGAAGCAAGTGGAGATGATGGAGTGGGTGTCAATGATTGAACTGAACTCGTTGTTGTTTCAGTACGAGGTGCAGCCACGGAAGCATCCATGATCTTCATGTCACTTGGGACTACTAGCGAGGGTATGATGGCACTGTTTTCTGCTCGTATGGTACTGGAACTTGATGATGCTACTACTGGAGATGGTCGCAATGAAGGAGGAGTGTTTGAAACTTGGATCTGCTTCTTCTCTGTGGACATTTCAGCGGCTGCTTCTGAGATTTCCTTCTTCTTCAAGGTACCTGTAGTGACTGGAGAGTTGTTATATTTTGGCACCTTACACCTTACACTTAGTGTCAGTGCTGTTTGCATTTGACACTTGAGTGCCAAATGAATGAAGTGTGATTTGTATTTGACACTTGAGTGTAAGGTGCTATTTGTATTTGACACTTGAGTGTAAGGTGCGAAATGGATGTTGATTGAAATGGAGGTACTAGTTTGTGAACCTAACCATTCTACTTCGTGTTCATATAAAAAGGTCAATAACGAATCTATCAAACAAAAAAAAGGCATGATTTAATCTCATGCATCTACTTTCCTTACGTATGTTAGCTTGGACCTTCGTATGAAAGGAGTTAGGAGGCACAAAAGATGATATGTTCCTTTCATTCACGATGATAGACTCAGCCGTTAAGAAGTATGACTACGAAACAAAAAGTGATTCCAGTTCCCTTAATTGTACCCTTCTGATTGCTTCAGCTTGACTTTTGCTGTTACCGTCATTCCCAAATCACTCAAATTCGATTACATCAGCCAACAACAGTGTTGAGCACCATTCTCTTGTTCTTCTCACCGTTTTTGTAACAATTGAACAAAAGTACATGTCACTATGAAGAAAAGCTGGCAAGTTTCACTCCCCTGTTGAACCAAATGAAAATGTTTTCCTGTACTGCAAGTGTTTTTCCTCAACATAAATCGTCTCTCAAGTTCATTCAGCAAGCTCTGACATCCTGTTCGACAACTTCATCTCAATCTCTTTCAACGCCGTGTTGTATGGCGCAACATCAACTCAGAAAACAGGTGCTGAACGGTGGAACATTATTTGAACCACTGCCTCACAACGCTTCACCTTAGAAAATGAGCGTGAGTCTATTCTTCCCTCCATAAACTAAATTTCGTAGATGATCATTTGGTATTGTCGTTGTCAGACGAATTGTCCAAAAATTGCGTTCGTGATGCTGTTTCCTATACTCGATGATGATTGTGTAGTGAAGAGAATTTTGAGGCCCGTTGCTCACAACCGTGAAGAGGTTTGTAATTTCAAAATAATATTTAAAGTAAATAAATTAAAAAATATACAGGTGCTGATGACACTCGGCACTCAAGTGTCAGGTGCTGTTTGCATTTGGCACTCCAGTGTTAAGTGCTATTTGTATCTCCTTTTTGGGACTACCTGCCATTGCAAACGGCACTAAAGTGTAAGGTGTAAGGTGCTAAAAGGTATGTCCTCGTGACTGGATCATGGACACTACCGACTGGTGCAATTTCTTCATCAGGTTTAAGCTCTGACATGGTTGACGTGGTCGAGGTCGTGGTCGTGGTCGTGGTCGTGGCATCAACATCATTGAGAAAATTTTCAATTTCAAAAACAGGAAGTTCTCTTCGTGAACCAATCATGAAAGGTGCCAATTCCAAATCTCCCTCATTATCATTCAAATTATGACCATACGAAATGATTTTTTCATACATGTACTCATCAAAGGAATCTTCGTACGGTATTAATTGTTCAGAGACAAGAGTGGAATTAATGAAACGACAATGATGAGCCATTGAGTGAGCATGTGAACTCACTGCAATATAAATATTGGAAGGACTTGGATCTAGGGTTAAATGATACATGGAACGATGATAATTGTAAAAATCAGGTAAGGGTTTCAAATCATCTTCCAACGTAATGACATAGAGGTAATTGAACTTGACAAAGAGTAAATGGAGACCCCAGATGGCATGAGTGGACATTTTGGGAATTTTCAAATCGAGAAATGATGGATCGAAACGAGGTCCCAATAAATTTCGTAAATTCCTTTCAAAATTGTGAAAATAAATGTGCATTTTCACACAAGTCACTGTTGTTACGAGTTCCAAAATTTCATCAAATTCATTACCATCAATAGTCACGTAGAGAATACTCTTTTGAATGTCATGCACTCGACACACTGCTTTCAAAGTTTCAGAAAGTGGAAAGGTTCTCTTGTAACATCGTAACCATATGGGTAAATGTTCGTTATGATTTCCAAAAAGTGACATGTCAAATTTTTCACTATTTAGCACTAAATTTAAATTATTCATTTCATCTCTCCAATCCAATAGAGTCGTGTCATTGACTTGAAGTTGACTTGCTCTTCGAAACTTGTCACGGTGTGTGAAAAAATAATTTCTAAATTCTGTTTCTTTGATTTGAATGTATGTGGTTGAGGACGTTTCGGAAGCATTGTTAAATGAATTTTCTAAATGTTGTTTCTCGACTTGTGGTTTGTTTGTTTCTGCAGTTGTTGTTGTTCGTTCTGAAAATGATGTTTCCCGTGTCGTAGAATGATTGTGTGCATTCTTTTCACTGTTCGATTCAATAGTTCCATTAGAGAGAATCTGATGACCTTTTCCTTCCTCCTCCTCTTCCTTCACCACGTGGACAGGAATAAAATTATAAAATCCTCTCACTCTTCTCTTGAATGCAAACTTGGCTTCTGTTTTATCAGGTGTTGGATAGGTATAAGGTTGAAACAAGTGCACATGTTGTCGTGTTAAATAATATGGCACATGAAGAGGAGTACTATTTGGAAATTCCAACATGGAATCATTCTCCACTCGATCCTGAACCATGTTCGGATTCGATAACACGATAGGATCATACCATCGTTCAGCAAAGGTGAGTTTGGAACATTCCATATATTCCAAAGTAGCCAAATGATCTTCCAATGAAAGATTGAGTCGTGAGAATAAATTTCTACGAACAAGTTCTAAACGTTGATGAGATGGATCAAAGGCATGAATGACTCCATCGGTATCTTCCATGATATGATGATGATTGTCCGTTGTTGTTGTTGTTGTTTGGAATTTCAAGAGAGAACGAAGGAGAGAATTTTGTTCGGAATGTGAGTCTTGTTGTTGTTGTTGGTCGAGATTGGAATTACTACTACGAGGATGACGACGAAAGTAAAAGATTAAAAGACTCATCAAGATGAAATGCACAACGAGAATGACAAGCCATGATTTTCGGGTGAGTTTTAAATGATGAGAAAAGAAACGAACTGTTGAGGAGAATAATTTGGATGAGTTCTTTGTGGTCGTGTTGTTGTTGTTGGATGAGAATGGAGAGGATGAGGTAGATGATGGTGTGAACTGGTGTGGCATCTGACAGCAGTTTTTTTGAAAAGTGAAAAAATTCAACCCTTTGCTGCTTGCCTTTTCGAATCACGTCCTCATGGATGCAAGTTCGTTTTATACCTTCATGGTACTAAGTCACGACCAAACACAAAGAGTTGATCCACTCAACGGTTACAAACAAGACATGTTCCAAACGGTTTGACATTTGAATTGGTTTTTAAAAAAAAATACACATGGTCAATCACCCACCTAATTTGAAAGAGGCTCGATGAATCTCAAGTTGTTCATTGTTGGGTTGGAACTGAAAGGATTTGTTTCTCGTATGTGTGTGTGGATGAAATTTAGTTCCAAAATTATTATACACCAACATGATTTGGTTCGGTGGACGATTTTTTCAAGTTTGAGTTATTGTTGAGATTTAGCAGCTATCTTTCAAATTCACCCGATTTGGAAGATTCACATCCCGCCCAGAACTCAACAAAAACTCAAACTGAAAAAAAAACACCCATTCTCCCTCAATTTAGCACTTTGCGCCTTAATTGATAAGGCTAACCATAAGGCTTGCTGAGCAACAACGGTTTTCGCACGAAAAACAAATCCTTTCAGTTCCAACAACGAACAACATCTCATCGAGCCTACTTTATTTCGTATTATTTATTGAGTATCACAAACGTCGTAGAACCACCACCGAGACTCGCTAGAGGTACGTAGTTGATATGTTCAATCCCAATGATTGATGGACCTCATCATGAACAGAATTCGAATAGACTAATTGATGGTTAAACACTGATATACAAATAATATATTAATTGAAAAGAAGAAACTGATAATTTTGAGAGCATTCACCTTTCTATCCTTCCTTCATCACCACATCAACGAATTTAACCATCATTTCTTCATCATCATTTTAATACAACTTCTTTCAAATGGACCCAAATCATGAGGGCTCAGCACTCGGCTCAAGCGTTTCCAATGAAGCAAACGGAAATTCCTCTCTTTATGCTTCATTATGGATCCTCATTCAACAAGGCTTCACAAGGCTTGTAATATCCATGCAAGCCTCAGATCCAAAAGTATATGGATGGAAGCAAAAAACAATATATGGACTCTATTACTTGTACATATTCTGGATTACCATCTTTCTTCCAACTCTAGGTCGCTACAATTGGGGAGAATGGGGAAATTGGCTTTTTACAGTGGCCAATTATCCGATAACATTGTCTCTTGATCTTGTACCGTTTGTTGCCATTGTTCCGATTGCTGCAGCTTGCATCGTTTTGGTGTTGAGCGCCTTGGTGAGCTTTGCGCTTGCGATCCATGCAATTTTTAGGTCAAGCAAACATTTAGATCGCATCAAGAAGACAGCGTCTCTTTTGGGCAATGTCGTCCACATACTTAGCATGATTGTTACATTCATTTTCTCCAGTTTTATTGACTGCAAGTCAACAGAATTAGTTTCGATTGAAGGCTACGACGAGAAGGTCAGCCTGCTTACCAGATTTGACAATATTCCATGCTCTTCCGAAGGAAACATTGTACTAATTGTTTTGGGTGTTATTGCACTATTTTCCCTACTCGTTATTAATTTCCTTACTGTCATGATCAACCAAGAGTCTGAGCAAACAGTTGGTGGATTCCTTATTTCAGACAATGGGTTGACTATGGCGTTTCTAGCCGTTTTCAATCCATTCCAGCTCTATGTCATGTATGTCATTCCAGAGCCCTATATCTATGTTCGATCGATCGTGCATATTTTGTTCACAACAATGCTGATGGTCCTTGTTTTTTTTTATCTTCCATTCTATAGAAGAGTAGAAAATTCTTGTATTCTCGGATTGTTTGGAGCAAGAATGGGTGCAGCGATAGGAGCTCTTGTTACATCATTAGTGAATACTGGTAGAATGCCCGACTTAGGTATCGGTTTAGCTGGAATGACAATTGGGCTAATGGTGCTTGGAGCTCTTTTTTTCTTTTCAGCATTGGAAATTTATAGCCGAGTGATTTACAACAGGGTTAGAGGCCGTTTCATGGTCAGTATAAAGAGAGCAGAGGCACTTTCCTCAATTCTGAGAAGGAGTGAAGGTTTGCAGGAAAATGAAAAGCTTCCTTTGAAAATGCTCGAAAAAGAAGCTTCTTTAGTATATCAAGAATTTGAAGAGGATGGTCGTTTGCGTCATCTGAACATGTTTATGAAGTTTTCAATGAAATCCACCAACAAGACAGAGTCTGAGCAAATTACAGATGTGGAAATTGCCTTGAGTTTAATTAAGGGTGCTTCACTGCAAAAGAGTTTTAGTGATGCCCGTTTATTACTCACATGTAGTTTAATTGTTGCATATTATTGGAAGAACGAAGTGAACAGTCAGGTGTTTGCAACAAGCTTGTTGAAAAAGGCAATCAAGGCAAAGCCAAACTTTATTTACAAGTTTTTAATTGCTGAAAGAGAAAAAGAGTTTGAAATGATAGACAACTCCCATTCATTTGAGCTCAAGTTCTTTTTGGAGAGAATGGACAAGAATCAAACTGAACTTTTTGCCTTACATCGCTCTTTTTGGAAGGAAATGACAAACGATGTTCTCAACTTGGACAAGATTGAACAAACGAACAGAAGAGCTTCAGAATTGATGTCCGAATGCGAAAGTACTTTCAACAATTTAATGGCTAAACACAGAAACAACAAGACGGTCCTTCGATACTATGCATCCTACGTAGAAAAGTTTAAATTCAACAAGGATTTGTCACAAGAACTCTATCAAGAAGCAATGGCTATTGAGGACGAAGAAGCCAAATGGAAGACTCGACCTAACAAGAAGGGAGGAGGAAAAAAGAACAGAGTTGTTCCAAACTTCTCAATGAATTTTGAGGAAGCACCACCACCTCCTTCAACAAAATTTGCAGAATCCAACATCAAAAGTTTTTCATTTGGAAATCATCGAAAGAGTGCTGTGGGTGGATCAACTGATTTCAATGATAATTTTGATGACTTGGAGAATGATAATTTTGAGAGGCAATCTGAGATGGATCTTGGATCTCAAAGACTAGATGGAGTCGAAAATAATCCTCAACTCAAGAGGGAGAGTGTTTTACGATCGTCATTGGCGACACCTCAGCAGCATTCCTTCCAGCTATTCACCTTCTTTGTTTTTACCATTGTTTCATTCCTAATTGTTGCTGCGGGTATAATTTGGAACTCTATAATTTCGAAGCTTGTTCTCACAGATATTCAAGCTGTCCAGAGCGCATGTAAACCTCGAATGATACCTTTATATGCCTTGAAAGACTTACGTATTCTTCAAACTTTTGACTACCTTTATGGCTCAAATATGAACGTTGAAGAAAGAAACCGCTTTCTCAATCAAAGCGGTTACAATTCTGTCACAGATTTTGTTGTAACCCATCAGAATCGTTTAGGAGATGCCATATCATTTATTAATAAGGTCAGAGTAATGGGTCAGGCTGGCCTGTTCACAGCTGAAATGTATAGTGACTACACAAGTGAAACCAGGGAAATTATTGTTCCGTTTGTGAGCACACCCAATACAATTGGAATATACAATGAATCCTATTCCGCGTCAGTGTCAATATCCGAGATTGTGTATTCCATGATGAAGCATATTACGTACTTTCAGAATCTTGACCTCTCCCAATATTCCAAGACATTGTCATCATATCCTTTCATGTATCTATGGTTGAACCAAGATAGTCTTGAAAAAGCATTTGACAATTTCTGTTTGAGCTTTATTCAGAGAACTCAAGACAAGTCCGAGTTGTTATCGAATAGCTTTTTCTTGTTCTTTGTCATTTCCAATTCCATCTATGCATTCCTATCCCTTGTTTTTATCATTTATATTTCAGTCAATTTTTCAAACTTGAAAACCTATGTAAGACTTCTTGAGAAGAACGTTCCTAAAGACGTAGTAGGTAAAATTTATCACAACCTAGGAAAGCAAGCAGAAGACGAAACTTCGATTCACTTGCCTAAGAGCATTTTAAAGCCCTATATGAGCGCTGCTATATTAGGCGTTGTAGTGATTTGTATTACCGTACTCTGTTGTGGAATGTTTTATATGGAGTCATCGTATAATGCTAGTTCTACGTTCAGGACCATGCAGAATATTAGAGATGCAACTTCAGCTCTGTCTGCAATTCAGAGAATTGGATTTAATGTTGGAGAAATGTACACATACATCATGTTAAACCAATCGTCCATTAACGACCCAAGACTTTCTAAAGGTAGAAAGATTTCAGATCTCAACACAAATTTGGCATCTTTAAAATCAAATTTAGTTGTTAGTTGGAATAGTTTGGTGTATGGAAAAATTTCGGATAATAAGAAATCTAGCGTTGGTATCTCTCCAAAGATTGACAGCTTTATTCAGGACGTTGCAAATTGTACAAGCAACAACGGCACCTCTACGATAGCTTGCATTGGTCTTGAGCACTTGATTGAACTGTTCTCTCAAGATTCTTCCCAGAATTCTGCTGACATCTTTTCTGCAAAAGAAGATTTACATAGACTCTTCTTGGAACATGTTAGTACATATGTTTTGGGACATGGTATCACTCAAAAGTTACTACTTTTCTTAGATGCCATGGTGGCTGTTTTTTCTGTGTCTTCTGTGGCATATGTAATTTCCTTTTCCATTGTGGGATGCCTCTTGCTACTAGCTTGTTGCCTTGGTCTTTATAGTATATTTAACGCTCATTGGAATAACATCTTCCATGTGAGAATGATGTTCAATTACATTCCACTTGATCTTATGGACTCCGAAGAGTCAATGCGAAACTTTATCATGTATCACACCGTTCCTTCAAGAATATTTACAAAGAAGCGAGAATCAAAAGAAAATGCAAAGAATGATGACTCCAAAGTGAGAAATATTTTGAACGCTGCTGTTGTAAGTAGAATGAGTTGTGTTACATTGTTGTTTTCAATACTCAATTTTTGTACTTATCATTATTTTCCCCTTCCTCATTCGTACAGGACGGAGCTGTACTATGTAGCCATCGTGGTGATATTGAAATATTTAACCCTGCTGCACAAAGAATGTTCGGTTGTAAGCAGAGTGATTTTGTTGGTTTACCATTATTCCACCTATTCGATGCAAGTAATCGCGATAAGTTGAATAAGGTTATTGAAGACATCATTAAGGCAACTAAGGATACCTCAACGGACGCTCAAGGTGAGACGATTGAAGTGGAGTGTATTCGAAAGAACAATACCAAATTTCCTGCCAAAGTTAACTTGTTCTCGACCCTTTTTGATAACAAGCCAGTGGTGACATGCTTCATCAAGGATATTACTTCAGAAAAGAAACAGAATGCCTTACTTGCAGAAGAAAAGAAGAAATCAGAAAATCTCTTACGTTCCATTTTACCTGAAGCTGTTGCCAATAGGCTTAAGGCTGGTGAGACATTTATTGCAGAAAAGTTCAACGATATCACATGCTTCTTTAGTGACATGGTTGGCTTCACATCTATTAGCAGTGGCTTGAATCCAACTGAGCTGGTTATGATGTTGAATACAGTTGTGAATGGATTTGATTCTTTGACCGACAAGTATCAACTGGAGAAGATCAAGACCATTGGAGACGCCTATTTTTGTGTTGGAGGGTTAGTATTGATAATCTTAGTATGTCTTGATAACGACTGTTTTACTTTGAATCACATAGAATTGGTAACACTCAATCAGACCATCCTGAGAGAACGTTAAAATTTGCCATCGATATTTTCCATGTTTTGAGAGCTTACAATTTGGAAAATAGAAAAGAGTTTGGCCATCAAATTAACATTCGAGTTGGAATTAATACTGGTGGAGTTGTAGCAGGTGTTATCGGTACAAAGAAGGTATGCTGTTTAACTATTTCTGTTGATTTTGACCAGAGGTAATACTTGAATACTAATTACTTTACACAACATGATCATCTCGTGCGCTTGGCACAACAGTTTGCATATGGTATGTATTTTGTACAACAGTTTAAGTGAAACCTAACTGTTTAAAAGACCTTTGGGGTGACACCATTAACATGGCTTCCCGAATGGTGAGTATTCTTTGGTGATGCTGTTATTATTTTCAATGACACACATAATTTAAATTAGGAATCAACATCCTTGGCTGGAAGAATTCAGGTAAGTGAATGATGTTTATTATTTGGCTTACATTCTTTACATTCAATCATGTAAAGATATCGAGATCAACCTATGAAAGAGTTTATGATCTTGGTTTTGAATTTGAAGAGAGAAGTGTAGAAGTGAAAGGAAAAGGTAATTGCAACACCTACTTGCTTAAAGCCCACCATCATGTGAGTGCCTTAGTTACGGAGGAAGAAGCTGCCGCCGTGAGTCGTGTTTCTGCAAGTCAAAATGCTCCATCGTCGAACAATGATTATCAGGACTCAATCGGTTCCAAGGACAGCGAACAATTAGAGTATCAACTTATACAAAAGAGAGACTCTGAGTAAGGTCGAGAGTTTCATCATACCAGTATCTATAAACCAAATTTTATCAACCTTGAAAGTATCCGTTGTGACCTGTGTCGATTCATAACTCACTATATCTTTTGGTGTCACCATTCACACACAAACATGTTTCTTGGAAAATATAGAGATTCTGACTTGCCCGTTTGTGACCAACAATTCTAACAATTACAAATTTCACAATAACATGTCATCGATTAATCTCTCCTCCTTCCAATATCCAGCAATGATTGTTTTTCAGGATTGTTTACTGGAGGCGGATCATACATTCTTCGATCTTTTTGAATTCGATACTTTTCTCGGAGTAACTGCTCATATTCACGTTTTTCTCCGTCAACAAGCTCCCCTTTTCTTTTATCATTGACAAGCCCAAATGTGTAGTTGATGATCGTACCCACAAATGCACTTTAAAGTGTCATTAATTTAACAAAATATTTTCCAAATCAATCGGAATAGAATTATCATAAAATTGTAATATTATTAATTAATAATTGATATTATTATTTAATCCCAAAAAGTTTCGAATCAATTTTCAATGTGCTACGAACATGTGAAGCCAATTATTTTTCAAAAACTCCATTTTTTTTCACACATCTACAACAATTCTATTACAACGAAAAACACAAACTGACACTATTCTATTGTCGCAACAACTTCTCGAAAAGACACATCAAATATGATTGGTAAAATTCGGTGGTGCTCATTTCAATTTAAGAATTCTTCATCGAGTCAATCCAACAAGTCAAGAAGGAAGATGTTCAATCAAAATTCTGAAAAAGAACAGTTCAGGTCATGTCACGATCATGCAACACCATTTTCTTGGCCACAATACACGATTCAATTACTGTGATCAATATTATCACATGGAATATACGTGTGATAATATGAAGTATCTTGCCAAATTGTCATTGATTTCTTGTTTAATTATTAAGAGATTAATTGCTGAATGTGAGCTACCGAGCGATTGGCGCTGGATAGACTTGACCATCTTCTTAATGCAGTGTTCTGGAGCTTACCACTTGTCAATCCCAAACCAACCCTTCGGCCAATGTGAGAAATGAAAGCTTGATCCGCGCCATCATCACTTGGAAACACGTATTATACATCTTTTCATGATCGAGGTGTTTACCAAACATGCGTGGTTCTTGCAAAAATTGGATTGGTTCTTTCAACAATCAAGAATCAGGAATGTGACATGCAAAATATTCAAACTCCAGTCTCTGATTTTTCAAATTCTGAAATAATCTTATAGCTTCTTCAAATGTGATGCTCGTTGTATCTCGAATGTTAAAGCAGTTTTTGCATAAATAAGAGACAATGGTATCTGTTACAATTCCCCGTCTTGTCACTGCTTCTGAAATAATTTCATAATTCACAAAACCTTTCTCTGTTTCGATCAAGCAGTCTATTGTTTTTGGATACACTTTCATACAATCCAAAATGAAGTCCGTTTCTCATTCCAATTCTTTAGAAGCAACAAGTAATGGTGTTGCATAATTAGTGTCTCCAAGTAAGGACAATATTACATCTCGATCGTTCTTGAAATTATCAGGAAGGTATTTCATTAAAGAGTGGTCCTTGGATACGGCAGCAAAGACGATTTCTCGATCATTTGATATAATACATGGTACCAAAAAATCATTAATGGTGTCGAGAGATGATGACGTATTTCTAGTTGCTAACAGTAAGCAATCTTTATCGCCATGAAAGTGTTGTGGAATGTCATCAAGAGAGACCTCTTCTTCAAGAGCAGCCAAGACTATTTCTTTGTCTTCACGAAATTTTGGATACGAAATGTTTTTGTATACGTGTCCATTAGACCTCACAGCCTTCAAGTCTCTAACAAGTCCCAACAAATTTGTAAATATTTCATCATGACAGGCAAGTCAACACTTCCAAAAAATTCTTCATCTTCCAAGTCACGTTGATCAAAGAGCATGTAAATTCGTGTCATGACTTGTGCAAATAACACAGAAAATTTGACATCTTCTTCCAGCAATTCTGGCCAGTTGTCAAATACTGAGATAACACACTTGTTCTTGTAAACTTTGTTGATAATTCTTGTGAGCTCTGAAATGCTTATCTGGTAATTCAAAAAGTGTTTCTAGTGCTGAATAAAAAAATTCAGCACTCTAATTTCGTTCATATAGTGCATAAATCTCCATAAAACTTTGAATCCCTTCTTTCAACTGTTACAAGATGACGATTTTTTGTTCAAATTGTTGATTTAAATAAAGGCGTTACTAGATAACAATCAGCTGTTGTTTAAGAAGTTTCTTGTTCAAAATTATGTTGATATTTTTCAATTTTAAAAAATGCTTCAATATCTGGATAGCCTTCTCAAACTTTACGGTTTATTCAATTTTTATCAGCTTTGGATCGCCAAGTATATGGAGAAGGCTAATATTGATAGATATGTGAGTGGACAACTGATAAAATGTTTGCTAGGTTTGGGTTTATCCACTCTCTATTTTGCTTGGATCCGAAATGAGGATTTCATGGGCAAAGATATTTCCGATAAGAACTTTTTTGCTCGAGTACATCATGTACATGATCCTTTCTTTAATAATTTTTTTGGATTAAAGTCAACACCTCGAATGCTTCCCGAAGTTGGCATGACCTGGATGGATTGGTTTAATTGTGCAACACTGGGGTATTTTGGATTGTGGCTGAAAGGCCATTTTGTGAGCATGTTCAGTTTTCCTTTTCTATTTTCTTTTATTCCGTTTGAAATGTATTTGTTGTATGATTTAATTTCCACTGGAATGCATTGGCATGTAAATGGAGTCATATATTATTCATTGTGGGCCCTTGTGTTGTACCACACTTGGTACCGAGTCCGATATCCAACTCGTAAAGACTCTGCTAGACCAGTGGGTATTCCACTCTTTTTGTTGATTTCAGCATGTAGTGTTGTCTTTTTGATTGACTTTTGGTTTGAAATTGGCCTTATCAATAGATTCATTGGTAGTGGTGCTTTGGAAAAGAGATTGAATCAGCAGCACGCACAGGACCAACACGAGTTTCATCCCTTCATGACACAACCATCACAGGATGGTCAAGAGAAGTTTAGGAAAATGGCAAACTTTTTAAGGGAAGAAAATTATTGGCAACACCAATCTAAGGGTTCTCGATTGTTTAACATGCCAGCCTCAAGTCATAGATTTGTAGAAGTGTCAGATAGTGACGATGATGACGAACCACCCGGATTAGAAGATGTTTCTGATATTTCTGTCGAGTAATTATGATTTCCTACCAAACAATTCATATTCTTCATGATGATGATTTATTTGACATTGCACTCTCTTGCCAAAACGAAAATGGCAAAAAACCGTTAAGCATTCGAATTTTGAAAATTAAAAAAAAATGTCAATCGACAAGGATCTAAACAAACAAGTGCCAACCTCCTCATTCGAGCAAGCAAACTCTTCCCAACACACCTTATCAAAAAACATCGTCATCACCCCTCAACACCACTCGATTCGTCTTCCATCTCCTCCTTCTCTTACCACCAACCCACTTTTATTTGGTGCAGCTCTCCAGAAAGCGACGACTTGTCTCACCAATAATACATCACAACTAGTCTTAGATACAACGGTGCCATCCTCGGCCATGATTATTCCGTCAAACTCTGTCTTGTTGCAGAAACGACTTGAAATTTTGGCTCCTTCCGATGATCAGAGTAGTAGTAGCGATGATGAAGAAGAGCAGTTCGATGTGTTGACAAGTGGCAGCTCTGTTAGAAAACAACGAGAATCTTCAGAAAAAGAAGCAGCAAATGGTGATTCAAATACAACAGCTGCATCCACCAATAGAAGTAGACGTGCGGATTCATTCCTCTCATGGTTCAGTTGGCTCTCATGGTATTCCAATTCAAATAACTCTTCCAATAATTCCGATTTGAATGAAAATAATCAAGCAATCAAGACACTGAATCATCATGATGATATTCATGAAAGCACCCACCACATTTCAGCTCCTTTTGCATTCGAACATCGAATTCATATTGATAAGGATCCTTCATCCAATAGTAGTAGTGGTAATACATTGTTTCATTCCATGACGACACCAAGCACATGTGCCCAATGTTCTGCGGACGCAAACACAACGAACACTAATACCTCTAATTCTCTCATGACTGACATTTCTCTCACAGTTTTTGAGCAACGCGAACGTATTCATCAATTAGAACGTGAAAATGAACTCAAAAATGAATATATTTGTGAATTGGAAAAGAAAATTCGAGAAATGCATGAAAAGAAACTTCGTTCTCGTGAAAAGTATCACAAATTGAAAGACAAGTATGAAAAGTTGAGAGATTTTGCATTTGGAGGGAGTGGCGTGGTGACTGAAACCTCGTCGACCTCTCCACCCACATTACCTTATTTAACCACTGGTAGTAGTGCAACAACGATGACCATGAAACGAAATCATCAGGATGGTGTGTCATCAACACCAGAATTGGATGCATTATTAGAGAAGATGCAACTACAAGAGGATTGAGAATTTTATTGCCAAAATTTTTATTATTTCTATCACAATGTAAATAAGAAGAGTCTATTTATTTTTGCCAATGTTTGTACAACACCAGTTCGAACGTCCTCAACCATCGACAGTTCCATGTTCTGAAACAACCTCATTTTTTGATGTGATGGGTTTTTTTGAGGTTTTTCAACACCAACAATAAAAATGTAAAAGGGAATTGAGGGCACCTTGAATTTCTAAAGGAAAAAGTGTACGAATTCAATGGTGAAAGTATCCTTACACAATCATTGTAACTTGATCAAGATGCCATGTCGAGGAAATTCTCTTCATGAACAGCCCTTCCCGAGAACAGTTTGGAACCCAAGTAAGGATCGTCTGATAGTTTCCGAAGAAGAATGGTATGTAGATGAAGATGAGGAGGAGGATGAAATTGTAGACGAAGCAATTCATGAAATGATTGATGAAGAAGATTTTTCGGATCAAGAAGACTCAGATATTGAGGAACACATTCCAACACCTCGTGATCATGCTCTCCATACGGATCAACTCCGTTACCGAGCTGCCCTTAATGGTCATGTATTCTTTTCTCACATTCCGAAGCGTTTAGGAGAGGTGTTTAATGTGGAATGGTGGTATTATCAATCCGTCGTGAATCCAACTTCCATGCCCATGTTTGTTGGATTGCCTGTGAGGGATTTGAAGGAGCTAGATAATGAAGATCATCATGCAGGTCGTTTCGAATTGGGAAAGGCTATTCACTGCAGAGATTATCATTTGACTCTTATGAAACCCAACACTACATCTTCTTCGGAGATGACTATTTCCTATCATGACAAGCTTAGTAGGTTTTGGTCCAATTACTTTTTTGACAATTTCAGTGTGTTGAGCAGTGTAGGTGGATTGCAAGCTCAGCAGAATGAAGAGTGCATGAAAGACACCTCCAGCTTTCGTAACAAGATGAGTCTAAACGAGACTCAAGAATGGAAACATGGTGTGATCCAAACGTGGACCTTTCATTCAAGACCAGTCGGTAGACATGAGAAATCTCTACACAAAACGGTACCTCAGATGGTAGCCAACACTGCTGGAAATATGGAAACAAGATCTTTACACCGAATTTGTTCCACTCCTACTGAAGAAATAGCTCCCTCACAAGAACCTCATCTCAGCGACTTGCTAGACATGTCTCAACAGCAAGAGTTAAGGGTAGAGCAAGGGTGTTCTTCAGAAGATGGCAAATCTTTTAATTGTAATGGAGAACGTGACACGGGTTACAGCGAACTAAATAGTAATTCTTCAACAGAACCATCAGGTGAAGATATCAAAACTTCATTTCTATCGACTTCGTTCTTGAGGGATCAGTGGGAGAGCTTGGCCAAAGAATTTTTCTCTCATTAGCTCGACCGTTGTAAATAGATAAATTGTGAATCATTACTATTAACGAAATGGTCATGTTGATACTCATACTTTCTTGTATTGCAACAGATTGTCAGCTCCGTATGGATGACGATCATTCTACTCATCATTACATACATAATGACAACAACTTTCAATCCATCAGTATTAGTAGTATGGGGATTATCACCTTTAATAACACGACATGATGAAATTCAAAACAAAGATGATCAACAATCTCTAATACGTTATTTGCTTGCAACCAACACAACCAATACGACTCTTTCTTCATCATCCATTCCGAATCCCTATTTACAATATGTTTCAATAATCCCGATTGCTTTGATGGGAATTTTTGGTTTTTTAATATGTTCTCTATCGTTGTTATCGGTCGTTGTGTATTGTGCCAAAGAATATAGAAAACGAAATCGCAGAGAGAGTTCCATGAATGCTGATCCTCATCATTCTTCAAATTTTACATCACTGAGCAAAAACCTCGTTACTCCAGCAGCAGTAATGGAGGAGGATGAGGAAAATAGAATGGATTATGGAAATTCGGCGGAGCTTTATACGAGAAGACCTCAGCGATTGAATAGAGATTATGATAGTGATGAAGAGCAGGCACGATGAGAGACAATGTTTCAAATCAGCAGTAGCATAGGGACCCTATGGGATGATATAGCTCAATCACATTTTGTACATGTTGTACTGAACTCGATCGGAAAAAACGAGTCATAATTATTGTTTAACAACCTCAAAGCCTTTCGATGGACAGTAAACATTCTAGAGAAGACTGGACATTGCAGGTCACAAAGCAACGAAACGTTATTGCGTGAAATGAATTGTCCTGATTGAACGAATTCATCATCCATTGTAGTGAGTTGTTAATTAATACTACTGATGTCACATTTAGAAATCGATGTTGTTTATTGAGTAGCACAATTCGATTGTTGAGACTGAGCAATTTGTTTACATATCGACAACAACACTCGTAATCTTTCCTTAGTATTAGTAATGGCCAATAAATCTAGCTTGAGTTGAGTTGTGAGAGGCAACATGGCACTCACCCAAAAACTCAATTTTTCTGGTTCATTCTCTTTGGGATAAGGCCCAACTTTTTGAATAATGGTTTGTTTCGTCTCTGGTCCAACATCTTGCAGGAATATGTCTACGAGTTGATACAATTGTTCATTGAGTTGTTGCAAAGTCATTCTCTCTGCTGTGTGCCAAACATTGTCCAATCCATTCCAGAAGGAATTGGCAGTGGAGGTTGTCGATGATGAAGAAGGTACACCGTGTGAGGATGGATGCATGGCGTCATTACTGGTCATTCTCACTGAAGAAATGGGCGTGTCATGAGAATTTCCATTTCCACCCTGAGGCACAGAGGTCGTACGGTTGGTGTTGAATTGTCCAGTCTCCATGACATGAATTTCATTTTCAGTCTTGTCTTTGAGTAATTGAACTTTGGCACAAATATATCCATCCGTGTCCCACTTTTCCAAAATTTTGAATCGATCCGTACCCACTGTCTCAATAATACTTCGACCATCTGGCAATAATTTAAAACTGGTAATTTTTGCAATGCAACCATATTTGGCAATGTCACCATTACGATTCGGTCCACAACATACTAATCCAAAACATTTACTTCCACTCATGCATCGTCTCATCATTAATCGATAACGAGGTTCAAAGATGTGTAACGGCAGTAAGGTATGAGGATACAGTACAAAGTCCAATACAAAGATGGGAATGTGATTAATATTGAGTTGTCGAGAACCATTTTCTTCTTCCATTTCCTTCTTTCGTTGCTCATATTGTTGTTTACAATATTTTTGACATAGTTCATTAATGACTACGGTCACTGGATAATCATAGGGCACAACGTGAATGGTTTGTCGACAGAGTGGACACTTGTCACTATAATCATGCACTCGACAAATACAACTACGATCGAACGTGTGGCCACAACTCAGCGTCACAGGTTCATAGAAAACTCGATAACAAAGTGGACATTCCAATTCTTCAATATCTTCGTTGAAATCATAGAGAGTATTCGTTCGTTTTCGAGAGACGACACCATATCGTTCATGAAGAGTTCCGGAATCCAGATCAGACAAGAGGATTGTTTCGTCATTACGCCGCCGCCGTTGTAACTGTTCTAATTTTTCCTCTTCTTCTTGAATGGCCTTTTCTTGTAATTGTTGTTCCAAAATTGAAACGTATTGATTTGCCATTTCATTTTGTGGATCAAGATTGAAAATTATTTTCAAATCTCGTTCAGCTTCCTGTTCGAGTTGCATGGGAAGTAACATTTGTACTTTTTTCAACATTAATTCCACAAGTTGTTTCTTGACAGCGTCAATGGTCATGCTTAATTGATTCCATCGATGAAAATCAATCATTTGTGACTCTCCATCTTGATGATACACGATATTATTAATCCTATCAAAGTATTCAAGTCGTCGTCGTCGTACTTGTTCATATTCTCGATGTAAACTCTCTTGTTGATTCATTAAATCTTGTAAATGATCTTGTAAATTTTTTGCCTTATGAGCAAGTAAGGAAAGTGCTTCGTGTGGTCGTCTTTCTTGAACATATTGATCGACTCGAAGCATGAATTGATTCTTTTCATCGGGAGTCATGACGAAAAAGAATACTTCATTGTTGGATGCTATGGCTTGTTGATCTTCCGAATGATGAAATGTTCTTGTTGTTGATTCGGAATGATGATGATTTACAGGGGAAAGACAACTCTCTTTGGAGACAATGGTCGAGTGAGAGTGATTCAAGGGCACATTGTTGTTGGTGTTATGGAGTGAATAATTGTTGTTGCTGTTGGGTGAGGAAGGTATGGAAAGCCCTGTCGCACTTGTCGTGGTATTGACAGTTGGCATTCCTGGAGAAGAGTGATGGTTGTGGCTCTGAGATGAGTGAGGATTGATCATTTTGCAGTATGTATGTGTGTATGAATAATAATGTATGGATATGAAATGTTTGTTGTTGCTTGGTCAAGTCCGTACACTCGAGTGGATCATTAATTTCAAAAATCCACACACGAGAATTGTTCTGTCTACTCTGAAACTGTTTAAATGGATAGTAGTAGTGACTCTATTACGATCCGAAATCAAAGCTTCATCATATGGATCCACGCCGTGGTCTCGGAAAAGCCGTTCTCTTGGTTCGAATCGGAAGTGTTGTAGGATTTTGTTTTTTTGAAATAAAAAATTTTGTTTTGATTCAAACCCGCAACACAAGTTGATCTCTCTCCCCATTAACATTCACATGGTCAGTGCTGATGTTCAAGTATGAGTATGGATGATGTTCAAGTATAGCAATACAAATACAGTCGGGTGGTGGATTTTTGATGCACAAGAGAGAATACAGAGAGATCATGATGAAGGCTAATTGCTCAAGTTGGTGTTTGGACCGTATTTAATGAACAAGTAGATTTACTAGAGATGGAAATTATAGAATTTGTTCAATCTCGAGCCCGGATTTGGTTTGGTGTTTTACACATGATGTACATTTGAAGCAACAATTATAATTCTTGAAGATGATGAGAAACCTTGTGGATAACCCGATCATGATCGTGAAGAATTCATCAAAAAATTTAAAGCGACAATACGTGGATCGTTTGGTTTCCATTAATTATTGCTGTTGTTGTTGCTCATATTCATACAGTACTTCGATTATTACGAAAATATCAAAACCAAATGGCTGGAGGATTTATGAGCGCTTCTCAAGAGGAGAAACAACGAGTTTTAGAGATGATCAAGCCACTCATTTCCGAAAAACTGAATATGAAACATTGCTCCGATTGTTTCAAGGTTGTATCTCATGAGGTGCAAGTGGTGGCAGGTGTGAATCATAAATTGAGAATTCAAGTGAGTGATTCGGAATGTATTCATGTGAAAGCTTTTGAGTCTTTGGACGGAGAATTTACCATTCAACAATTATTGGAAGGCAAGTCATTGGACGAAACATTTTGAACCGAATTTCAATAAAATCAGACCTGGATTTGGTTCGCCTTACTGTAATGCCATAAGTTAATTGTTGGTCATTGAACCATAATTTCCACATCATAAAAGTTCGACCATGGGAACGTAAAAACCAATGAAGGTCGAAGAATAGACGGAGGAAGCTTGATTTCATAAAATCCCAAATTTTGGATCAAGTGTAAATCAGCATAGAAAGCTGAAATGAATCTTCTTGTTCCTCCAAAATAGATGAGCTTATTGCTAGGCTTCAAATAAAATAGCTTGCCATTCAATCTCAATACTCGTATCAATTCTTCATGCTCGTCTTCTGAATAAATACCGGTCAATCGATCTTGAGCTGGTTCTAACACTCCTACCCACGTTTGAAGATCACAATCGAAAAGACACAAATTACGAGTCTCCACTTTCATGGCCTTGTATGTACCTCCAAGACTTACAAGATATTGTCCTCCAATCAAACCCACTGCATTCCATTGAGCTGCTGGAGGGCTAAAAGAGAGTACATTAATCCAATTTTCAAATGGCAAACAAGCGACTTGATAGGAAATACCTTGTGTGTCCGTTTCTTTCTGGAAATCGACCCTAACAATATTATCGCTTGCAATACACTTCATACGACCGTCACATTGAAATTGTGCCAATCCACCATATGAAACAATGCATCCACACTGTTCTTTTTCATTGTAGGCCCATAAAAGAGAACCATTGATGGTAGGCATTGAATGTCCATACACTTTCATATAATCTATAGAAAGATCTGTACATGTAATTTTCTCAACATGTTTCACATTACATTTTGTAGCTCTTCCGAGATTAAACAAGGTAGAATGGACTCTTATAAAATCACTATAAGCAGCGTTACAATGACCATGGTGATGTATATCCACTTGTACTCGTTTGTAAGGTGTGATTGTTTTCGAAACAAAATCAATCTCAAATATTTCACCCCGTATACCGGAATTATCTGAAGAGTGAAGAAGTAAAAAGTAAGGAGAATTATTTTCAAAAAAGAAAATTCCAAATACAGGCTCGTCAACAACATTTAGCATTAGTTTAGACTTCGATTGATCTATCCAACATTCTTTCCAAAGATCAAAAAGCAATAAATAATACTCATCCATTATTTGCACAATATTAATGATAAATCTTTCTTGAAAATCTCCATGCAACTTTGGAGGAATCATTTCCGAATATTCAACCCCACAACGGAATGAACCACCAAGTCCAGGAGGACGTTTTGATTTATGAAAAGAGTCCAAACATTCGTCCTCTAATTTCATTCCTTGATTGGTTTTCTTAAATTCCAACTTATATTTTCCAAAGCAAATATATGTAGGCAATGACTCATTTTGTTTTGGAATATCGTGCAACCCTTTACCATGTTCTTCGATCCGTTTGAGTTCCTTGCGACAGTTTGTAGTTTCAAGCTGGTTCAATCGTTTCATTTTTTTTTTAATCTAAGCCTTTCTTACAAATTTTCGGCATCAGAGAACTTATAATATTCCGGTTTTTCTGAAAACATTTCCCCCAATCAAAAATGCCTTTGTTTCCCCCTTCCTTTCCGCATAAACCGGAATCTTATCAGTTCTCCATTAACCCTAATACTCTAGAGTAATTAGTAATTTATTTTCAGATCTTTCATCAGCATTAGATAAGTTATGATATATAAGGGCTTGTAGCTCACATGGTAGAGCGCTTCTTTAGCATGGAAGAGGTACCGGGATCGATACCCGGCAAGTCCAAACTTTTTAACGGTTTTTTATTGTAGAGCTGCAAGTTTTGCGATTCGGAGAGAGAAAGAATACGGTGGTCAAGAAGTGGATTAATGTCGGTAGCTCTTTTGTCTCAAACAAGAACTTTGTTATGTACACAGCTTTAATGATAATTGGTATCCTCTTCAGAAATGAATACAGTGGAAGTTTCATGGATTTTGAAACAGATTGCAATTTGGATCGGAGAAGATGGAAAATATTCATCTCACTCACTGCGTATTGGTGGAGCAACCGAAGCTAGTTTCGCCAAATTCTCAGAAGCGGCAATTAAGGCCATAGGTGACTGGTCTTCTAATGCTGTTGACAGATATTTTCGTTCAGAATTCTCAGGAGAAAGAAATGTCTCCCAACAGCTGGGTCTTTAGATTTAGTAAGACTCAAGCTTCTGAACGAGTAGCTGTTGTTTAATTAAATTGTAGTAAGGACTGACAAGGACTTACGAAAGTTTATATTGTAAACAAAGAAGCTAATATTAATATTTTTTACCGAATTTTCTTTAGTCAAATACCAAAGCGAAAGTCAACAGTTTAAAATAATTTTTAACTAGTATGTGCGTATTCTTGAATCACTCGAAATAAATGTTCCTTCCACCAATCAAATGCATAATCAATTTCATCATCTACTTCAATTAACTTAATTGGTTCTTTCAATAAATAAGATTCAGGAATGTAACATCCAAAATATGCAAATTCCATTCTCCGATTTAGAAAATTCTGAAATAATTTTACACCTTCATCAAATGAAACATTACGCACATCGAGTCCATTAAAACATTTTTCGGATAGATGATCTATAACATCGTCTGTGATTATTCCACACCGTTTCATATATTCAGAAATTATTTCAGAATTCAAAATAACATGGTTATATGAAAATATATTCTCTAAATATCGTGGGTTCTGTTTCACAGTTTTCAAAATAAAGTTGGCATCTTGTTTCAAATGTTGTGATGCATTATGAAGTGCATGTACTCGTATTGCCAGCAAGCAATCACTGTCATCTTGAAGGTATTGTGGGATGTCATCAAAAAGGCAAGGATTTGGACTATGGAGAGCAGCCAACACTACTTCTTTGTCATCACGAAGTTCAGCGGTAACTACAAAGTGCGAAGGATCTAGTAATTGATACAATAAATATCCTCTGTTGCGAACTGCTTCCAACACAATTTGTCGATCATTTCTAAACTCAGGCAACACGTAATATAGATTACATGCATCTCGTTTCACAACTTGAAAAACAAAATTTCTGTTCTTTCTCAAAGCTAGTGGACCATATTCCAAAATGATCGCCAAATCTTTACGACGCAAAAACACTTCTTCATCTTCCATCCAAAGTTGATCAAAATTTTTGTAAAATCTTGTCATAGCTTGCTCAACAATGCTCGCAAATTCCTCGTCTTGTTGGAGAGTGTGACGATATCGAAACAAGCGAAATGTTGTATCTATAAACCAGCCTTGGTGTGATGGATGGCGTTGACAATTCTTATGTGCTTCAAAATATTGGTCATCTGATAATTCGTGTAGCGTTCGAAACGCTTGTTTCATGATTGCGTCTTGAATATGAATATAATCAATCGTTACATCTTTGAGAAATAACTGTTGATAAACCTTCATTTTGATTTCTATTGGTATCTCATCTCTCATGCTTTCCGGTGCCAGTATATAAACTTCAGGAGTATATGTTTGAATTAAATCTTGTTCAATTTTTCCATCAAGAATCGTGATAGGAGTATCTAGTAATTCAAGAACAAACTCCTTGTCATTCTTAAATTCTTCTGGAATTGTTAGAAATGCGAGGGGATTTGATCGAACTGTATCCATACAAAATTTTCTGTCATGTTTTAATCGTCCAGAAGCGTGTAACATGTTGTATGAGTTAGTGTTAACAGCATGTTTCACAATTTCTTCATGGTCTCTTAACATGGCTGAGAGTTGAGATAAGCAACACCCTTCAGAAAGTGCTTTTTTTGCTTCATCAATATAACGTATGAAACTGAATCTAAAGTACTTGTTAAATATTGATGACAAGTCATCAATCCACTCAAATAACATCTCTTTTGGAATATGTTGCAACACTTGCAATTTTTTGTTCTTTAAGAGATTCATGATGCCCGTTTTGAACGGTCTCCAAAATTCAACATGTTCAATCCATTCGTGATTTTTTTCACACAATTCTGATAGGTTGATGTGTTGTACCATCCAGCGAACCGGGAAATGAAAGTCATCATAATGATTTAGAAATTTCGTTGCACACTCTCGATCATTCATGAATTCAATGCTGATATCACAATAACTATCATCGATACCCAAATCTTTCAACCATTTCTCTCTGGCTTGTAACCATTTGGAAAAGCCTTTGCCTTGATTTTCAAATTTTCTTTTCAACAATTCGAATAATCGGTATATCAAAGATAAATTTCCAACATTTAAAGAATCATCCAAGGCATTCAAGGAGAGTGGTGATTCATGATGATGAAAATCCATTAAAATAATTTTCAAATTTCCGAGATTGGATTCTGAAACGGAATGTGGTTGCTTCATTTTTTTGAGTTCCAAAAGATCAGTAAATCAAAAAAATTGAACCATGCAGCATGACCCATAAACCTCGAGCTCGTAGAAAACACGTGTTAGAACAACCACAATGTTTTGATCCAAACATCTACCTCCATGAAAGCATGACCATAACGACCACCAACACAACCACTCACATTACTTCTCTCCCCAATGAACTACTCTTTGAAATCTTTCAATTCGGAGGTATCAGTCCGTTTCATTTGGTTCAATACTCTCATGTTTGTAAACAATGGGCTCATGTCTTGAATGAGGAGCCTTCTTGTTGGTATGTTTGGTTCCAAGTCTCTCCTGCTTTTCTGATCCAACAACATTTGAATCCCATGATTCGGAAAAAGAAGATTGGCCTAATTCAATCATCCTCACACAATCCACAAATTTGTTCATCATCATCATCATGGAATCATGGATTGGGGTTTCTTCTATGTAAATATTTTGACCATACCTCTCCATTGCATGTTTCGAGAGGACGATCCAGCTATTCGTTGGCGTATCAGTGTTCGGAAAAGTCCTTCACGCAGAAACAACAACAGACGGCTTTAATGATGACGGATAAGGTACACACAGCAGATTCCATCCAATCTCCTCATCAAGGTGCATATAATCTTGTGAAGTTAATGAAACGACCCATTCTCGTTTGTAAACAACAATTTATGGACTATTTACAATATTCAAAAAAGCAACAAGAAAATATTCGAAGAAACCAGTTGATTAAGCAGTATTTGACTCAAAAGAAATTCCAATTTTACCAATATTCCACACACCTCTATATGGCGGTGATAGTTTTGATTGTACTAGCTCTGAATATTGGAATTGGATGGTACGGAAGCATACCCTCTGAGGATCAGTACTTGGAGAGTGGTTTATGGTGGATGCCGTATTTCTTGTCAACTCCTTTTATGTTGATTGGTGTTGCCATGATGAATGTGTTTATTGAAATGGTGGATTCAAAAATTAATGGAAGGGGAGCGCCTGAACTGTTGCTTGCACTACTGCTACTGTTATGGATTTCATCCTCATGGATTGGATTTAGAAACATGTTATACCTTTCCTTTTCCAAAGATGAAATCTCAGTACCGAAATGGCAATTTCTTTTTCCCACTCGTATTTTCATTCAATTAATGCCCATTCATGTCATTGCAGCTTTTTTACTGGTGGTCATCTCATGTTTCGACTCATATTCAGACACTGACCCCATCATGCAGCGGAGTAGTATAGCTTATTGCAGTAGTGTGGCCATGTACGCTTTTTTAGGTTTCACGAACAAGGTGATGATTGTCTTGCCGTTGGTGCTTGACGGAGTTTACGAATCCATTGCATTTATGATATGGAATGCTTGGCCATTACGAAAGTATGAACCGCAGAGATTTCAATCGAATTTATTTGCAAGTTTTATCCCAATTTCAATGGCTGCTTCACTTGTCATGATTGCACTTGAATATTACTCGTTTGTGACCACTCTACCGTTGACTCTATCAACGCTGCTGTTTGTTGGTCACGAGCTTGGGTGGTTTCCAGAGTGCACCGTTCAGCCTATTCCGGTGAGTAAAAAGAAGAAGAGGAAGAAACAAAAGAAGTGAGCTGGTGGACTCTTAGTACTTCTTGAAAAATATTTCCCAAGTTGCATTTCCCAACAAATATTCCTTCCACTTATCGTAAGCTCGCGTGAATGAGCACTCTAATAAATTTCCTTCATCCTCCACTTCCAATAACGTGATTGGTTCTTTCATCAATCGAGACTCAGGAATGTAGCATCCCAAATATTCATATTCCATCCTCTGATTCTGTAAACTAGTCATCCATTGTATAAAATCATCATCATTAGACTCTTCATGCTCGTCAAAAAAGGTTTTACAAACATGACCCATAATCCTCCTTGATAAAATTCCACATCGTTTCATGTATTCAGAAATAATTTCTGAATTCAAAACAAGCAACTCGATCGAAAACAAAGAAAACAAAAACTCCAAATTTGGTGGATTCTGCTTCACACATTCCAAAATGAAATTGGCATCTTGTTTCAATTCCTCTGATATAAAATCTAATACAAACACACCACCGGGGTAGTGTAGCGATTTCAATACAAAATCTCTATTGCTTTTGAAATCGTCGGGGAGAAACGCCATCCATATTTCACTTCTCTTCAGACCAGCATTGATCACTTCTACATCCTTTCTCTTGATGAATGTTTGAATAGGCACACGGACATTGGGTATTTTTGTATTTGAGAGTGCTGCCAACGCGCAATCTCTATCATCTTGGAGGTGTGCTGGAAGTTTTGAAAATGCACATGGATGTTCACTTTTGAGTGCAGTCAACACCATTTCTTTGTCATGCAACATTTGAGGAATAAAAAAATCCTGCAATTCGTTCAATAGATCTCCTCTATTGTGGAGTACTGTCAAAATAATTTGTCGATCGTGTTGGAACTCAGATAAAGCATTTTTGAAGCTCTTTACATTTTTTGTGGCAGCTTGTACGACAAAATTTCTATTCTTTCTCAAAGTAAGCGGTCCATATTTCATGATGAGTTCCAAATCTTTGCGTTTCCAAACAAACGCCTCTTCTTGTTCTATCCAAATTTGATCATAACCTTTGTAAAGTCGTGTCATGACTTGTTCAACAATATTCGCAAATTCCTCATCCTGTTGGATGATATGATGGATGTGACATTTGTCGAATAATGAATGTACAAAGCATCCTTGCTCTGTTAAATTTCGTTGATACTTTTGGTGTGCTTGATAATATTCATCTGGTAATTCGCACAGCATTTGTATCACTGATCTCAACAGTTCGTTTTTCATAAAATCACCTGCTTCATCTTTGAGAAATAATTGTTGATAAACCTTCATTATAATCTCCATTGGTATTTCGTCACGAACGCTTTGCGGCACCCAAACGTAAACTTCTGGAATACATGTTTGAATTAAATCTTGCTCAATTGTTCCATCAAGACTCGTCATTGAAGTGTTGAGTAACTCAAGAACAAACTCCTTATCATTCCTAAATTCTTGTGGAATTTTTGAAAATGTCTCAGGATTTGATCGAACGACACTGAGTAAGAAGGCAAAATCATGCTGCAGTCGTTCAGAGGCCATGTATAAATTGACATGCTTTGCATTAATAGCATGTTTCACAATTTCTTCATTGTCTCTTAACCTGTCTGAAAGTTGAAATAAATAGCAACCATCCTCACAAAGTACTTTCTTTGCTTCATCTGCATCATCAACTTCAAATATGAAGCTAAAGTTATAGTGTTTGATAAATATTGGTTTCAAGTCGTCCATCCATTCAAATAAAATCTCTTTTGGAATGTATTTCAATACTTGAAATTTTTTGTTCTTTAAGAGATTCAAGATGCCCATTTTGAAAGGTCTCCAAAATTCGACAGTTCCAATCAATTCTTGATTTTGTTCGCATAATTCGGAAACATCAATGGGTTGCATCATCCAGATCATCGGAAAACATTCCATGTCATCACAATGATGTAGCAATTGCATTACACAGTACGGGTCATTCATGAATTCAATCATTGTTTCAAGATCATTCTTATCGTCATTGGTATATATGCATAACAGAGAATTATCTATCATCCGTTCCAACTTTGCTTGTAACCATTTGGAGTATCCTTTGGATTGATTTTCAAATTTTCTTTTCAAGTGTTCAAACAGCTGATGAACATGAGAAGAGTAGCTTTCAATCATTGGCACTGCATCGGATACAGATCCATGAAAATCAATTAAAATGATTTTCACTACTTGGGTGGTTTTGGATTGTTTCGAGTATTTGGTTACTGGAGCAAGAGGGCAATGGTGATCAACATGATGATGAGAAAGCTTTCGTTTCATTTTTTTGAGTTGTTACAAGAACGAATTTCCAGTTGCAACTAGATTTGTTATTCACAGTCAAAACCTGATTGCAGTTCAGAACCAATCGCACTGTTAAAATGATATAACCAAATAACTCAAACATCCAAAATCATAAAATCGTTCCAACACTTGAGGTTGAACGGAGGACGATATGGAAGGTGGTTCTAAACGCTTCGTCGTTGCTTCCTCGAATTCTCCACTAAATCCCATTCCCATAGGCACAAATAAGGGAACAAAATGATCCTCCGATGGAACAGCATCCCTTGCATTGGGCGCTAGCTTCTCATAGTCAAACAAATTCTTCACGTTTCGTTGTTGCAACAATTGATCGATCAACCACTGATCAAAATCAAAGACCCATTTCTGTACGTGTTGTTTTTCGCCTCCTTTCCAATTCATCTTTCTTAAATTATGAACAGTAACTCCCGAACCAATGACCAATACATTTTCATGAGCTAATGGAGCTACTGCTTGTCCAATACGGAAATGATGCTCGACAGAGCTTTGATGTCCATCAATGGAACATTGAACGACAGGAATATTGGCCTCGGGGAACAGGGAATTAAGAATGACCCATGTTCCATGATCTAGACCTCGGTGGAATTCTCTTCCGGTTGGAATGGAATGTTGTTGAAGTAATTGTTCAATTCGGAGAGCAACTTCGGGAGATCCTTTCGCTTTGTAATGAATCATACCTTAAAGAGGATATCACAGCAACATTCGTATGTTGGGATTAAGCGTACCATTGTTATTCGTCATGATACATGTTAAGGATTCTTCATGATGATCTGTAGCACTTACATTTCACTTGGAAATCCAAAAAAGTCATGAATTGTTTCGTACGTTGTATTGGAATCATGAAAACTAATAGCCACATGAGGATGAACATCCCAATGAGCAGTAAACACCACAACTGCCTTTGGAGGCTTCTCTTGATAACGAGGAGCTAACTTCTCTCTCAGAAAAACGTTCATGGCATGTTTTGGTTGAATACACAGAGTGGGAGCTCCATGAGATATAAACAATGGAGCAATCCTGGGTTGTTGTAGTTGTTGTTCATGCTGATTTATGTTCTCAGAGCAAGAATTGGTTGACATGTGTTCAAAAGCAAAGAATTTTTTTAGCAGTTGAAATGCAGGTTCTTTGCTGGTCGGATTTGATTTTAAAGTGAAACAAGGACGCCATGCGGGCGTTCTATTTGGACGCTAGAAAACAATAAGCGTTTGTGTTGCTTTGTGTCATAGTTGGACGACAAAGGAGCTCCAAGAGAATTACACTGTTCGTTGTACTCATCTACAAAGACAAGGACAACTGTTTCAGAAACAAACCCGCCAAAAATTTGCAACTTGTAATTTTAAAAAAAAAATTGTTGTTGAAAAGAGCCTCGAAGTCATGCCATCTTCGGAGAACATGCTTGGATCGAGTCGAGAGACCACTCCCACTCATGACTATCAAGATGAAGATGTGGCCGTTATGAAAAGCTCTTCAAATTCCTCGCCCTTTGTTCAACCTTCTCCGATCAACATTTCCAATAACCTATCATCACCAAAGAACATCGCATCCGATGAACAAAACACAACCAACAATTCATCCCTAAATCTAGGTTTAAAATCTAATTTAATGAATAATAGAGAAAATTTTTCAAAATATCCCGATCTGCCAAATTTTGAGCTCTATGAGTTTGATGAGATGGAGGACGTTCTCGAACGAATTATTAAGGAAAATGAATTTGTTGAAGAGGAATTGTACATTTATGAAGCATTCTTGAAGAAAATGTCGGAGCGATCGGGTGTTCCAGCTGCAAGTGCTTCTAACAATGAAAAAGACAATCATAATACATCCTCAGCATTCATCAATACTAGTAACGTTCGAGCATCAACAGATACCCAAAACAATAGTAACCTTATTCAGGCCTCGCAAGATAAAAGCAAGCACGAGTCTTCGAAAATGAACAATCAAAAGTCACAACAACAACTAAACAATGGTGGCGCTCTTACCTCAGAATCTATACAAGATGTTTCGGGCTCTCTTGAGAACCGCCTCGTTCGAAAGAAATCCATGGATAATATTTCAGTGTCTTCATTTGATGATGCAAGTGATGATGCGAGCAGTGTTGTGAGCAGCGGAACCACAAATACAGCTGGTAAGAAGAAGAAAAAACGAAGACAGGCTGTTCAAGAGTATCAATTAACATATGAAAACAAAATTGAAATTGCCCTTAAAGCAATAGACATTCTCAGAAACACAATAGAGAAGGAAAACAAAATTTATGAGAAGGAAATTGAAACCATGCGAGCTCGAGTACAGGAAGCAGACTTGGAAATTGAGGAAGTGGACAAGGAACATTTGGAATTTAGAAAAGAGGTGGTAGAACCAAGAGACAATGGAAAGAACACCAAAGATGGAGGCCTCTATTCGCAATACATTGCAGCAGAAAAAATTGTACAGTATTTCAAAAATAAGCAACAACAAAAGGATACCCTTATTCACAAATTGAAATTGAAAATAAGTGAAATACGAGCGATTGTAAACAAATCGAAAGGTCAACTCGAGTCAAGAGAGCAATCTGGCGATCAGCTTACGAAAACTGACTTTGATCAGCTCAAAATTGAGAATGGTCTAATGAACAACAAAATCGATGAGAGGAATAATGAACTAGTCGAGTTGAAACTCAACACTGGAGCTCTTCTCCAAAAACTCTCTGCGCTCACTGAAAAACTCAACAAACTCACACAAGATTCCAAATGGTACCAAAAAGAAATTGAAAAGAACCGAAAGGACTTGGAATCACTGAAGGAAGAAATTGAATTCGTACTCAAGGACAAGGACATTGAATCAGGAAGAAATCAGAAAATGGTGATCCAGCACGAACAAGTCAAAGTTCCCGAAATTCTCACCTACATTAAAATGAAAGCAGAACTCGATGAAGTCCGTAAAGAGGTCACCAATTGGCAACGAAAAGTTGAAATCCAATCCATGAATGAGAGTAACACTCGGAAGAAACTTCAAGGACTCTTAATCAGCAATGGAAATCAAAGAATTGCCTCTGCAGGATCCTCTAAAAGTGACTCGAGCTTGAGTGGTATACTGACAACCAACAATCAGCTCTCAAATAAACAACTTTTCAAATAGTTGTTATGAAAGCTGAGCAAGTCCAAAAAGTTCCATATTTGGAAGGAATGGAAACAAGCATTGGTCCATTAAAATCATAAAACTATTTTTTAAGGGATTCCATTCATAGTCTTCCTTCTCTCAACGCTTGTGATCACCCCTCCCAATTATAACAATTTGCAATTTTAATTTCTTTCCCCCATCATTACTAATTCTAAAATTTGGTGTTTGAGAGCAAGAACAGAGACATGTTGAGCGTTGGAGCTTATTGAACGAATGTGCATTTCAAGGCAACACAGCAACAATCACGACTTGACAATTATTCATCGAAAAAAACCGTTGTTGAGTGAGAGCGTGCTTGCAGTGGTTTTTTAGAATAAATTGTTCAACAAGCTTGTTTGATCATCAGGGTAGTAGCCAAACGACAATATATTCACATTATATTATTGAATTCATAACGAAATACTTTACAACTGCACTACTACAGTTTCTGATACTACGATTCACACTTCAAGAACAACAAATACATATATTGCATTCCAATTGGAATTTGCTTCTAACTGAAATTCCCTTCTCACCCCTACCACCTCAATACACACATTTTCAAACCACGTGAAGTGTGTAAATTCATATTCATACGACAGTACCGACCCTCCCATTTCTAACCTCCTATCCATCCTTCACTCCTTTTTATACTCTTTTCATACTATATTCATCACACATTGTTGATTGACGAGATCAAATACCAAACTTCCAACCAATCCAAATAATTACCGAGAATTTTGTAATTTGCTGCATTTGATTGGATCACCTATTCATCTCTCCATTTACTATCATCATCATCGAATTACCATTCTTGTTCTCTAACACAGTGTGTGTTCAACATTATCCATTTTCTGCATCCATATCATCTTGACTTATCGATTTTTGGACAACAACAATTTCCAAATTCATCTCAGTCATCATTGACAACACAGAGTTTGACTCATTCATCTCTCGTGAAGGTCATATTCATCGTTGTTTCACTCATCCTTCTTCTGTCAATTTTACATTTTCTCTCTTCGCACACACGATATTGTAACCTCCTTGTAAATTCATACAACATAGACAACGCATCCATTTACTTACTCTCTCCAGCACACACGGTCATCATCTCATTGACTTTTTGTATCGTTTAAAACTCAACTCGCCACATCGTGTCACACCCTCTTGCTACTCATATTGAAAAAAGTTACAAACAACCACCGCAACCAAACCACTCATCCGCACCCATTAAACCTTTGATATCCACAAAATGCCTTCCATTCATCCATCCTTCTTCTTCCCATTGTGTTGGCTTCCCTCTCCTCAACACGATCATTACTTTTCCACTTCATATAAATGTAATTCCAATGTGAGAATAAGGCTTCATGAATTATATACACATCAATTGAGAGAACAACGAGAGAAGAAGAGGAAATCCTTGTTGGAACAGCATCAACCTTCCAATGCTGCTGCTGTTGCACATTTGTGTTATAATCCTCATGCCATGTGTGTGTCTTCTCAAGATGTGACCATGAAACATACGAACATGATGACAGATCATCATTCTCATCATTTGCATCATTCACAGCAATCCAATGCTCATCCAAAACGAAATCATCATCCTCATCAACATTTTCATGAGAAGAAACAACCTTCGTTTGGAGATGAGGACACGATGGAAATGATTTCCAAGAATCTTCAAATGTTACAAGATCAAGATGGTGATTTAGAAATGCACGATTGCAGTACCATGACAAAAATTCATGAATCTACAATGATGCAACAACAACAACAACAGCAGCAACAACTGTCATTGTCAATTCTTGCTCCATCCTCCACCTCAACTTTTTCTCAAAGTGAGAATGGTGCTGCTCATAGCAAGACTGGCCAGCGAAAGTGAACTCCGGGCTTCAGGGACACGATTTATGTCCCTCGAAAAAAAAAAAGTTTCTGTAGAGAACCGGCTTAACGCTGGCAAAGAAAAATCTTGAAATTGAAGCTTCCAAGTTCACTGTTCTGTCAATAGAGAGCCCAGCGACAGGAGTTGGCGACCAAATCCATCCAGCAACCCGCTCTGTTGGCTTGTCTTACTATGTCTAACATGGGTGATCACCAAAATGGAAATTCTCCTCAAATGGTTTCGAATGAAATGTCGTCAAAGAATGGTCACAAACGAAAATCATCGTTGCATTACCTGCCGATTGAAAGAGGTGAATGGATCAAGTTAGATACCATGTTATTGAAAGAACGTGAAATGAATACGAATATCATTACTGAGAGTCGAGCGAAACAACAACCTCCATCGACAAGTTCTGACCACAAGAATGTTTCAACAACTCCTCCATCCCATACAAATTCTCGACTAGAAGAACTCCAAATTGCCATCAAATTGGTCGAAAGTGAAAATGAATTGGCAGTGGATCAATTTGATTTGGTCGTTCAGCTCTGCACCAAAATGATCTTCTCGGTCGTGACAAGTTCCTTCTTGTGTTGTTCCATGTGGGAACTCGAGAATGAAATGAATCGATTGCATCAATCGAGAAATCAACTCTTGTGTAAGGACATGAAAGGAAGTATCTATTCTCCTCGTTCTCAACACAATCATCCTAACCATAGCAAGCTGAGTCAGCAACATCATTTGAATGGAATCATTTTGAGGAAACATGAAGAGATCTATTGGAGAAAATTCGTAGAAGTGATCTTCTTGAAACTCATTGTCGATCCAAAAGTCATTGTGGTTGGTTTGGCATATTTTGAAAAGGTCATTCGTTTGTTGGAAAATGAACGAATGAGTAATAGTCCACTCTTACGGCAGCATCAAATGAATAGCTCTGAAAAGGGTTATGAATCGGCTTTCAATCGAAATGAGTTGAAAACGATCATGTGTATTTGTATCATGTTGGCCAGCAAGATGTATGATGAAGACAATTACTGGAAGAGTAAGACGTATTTCAAATTATTCAGTAGTTTGTGTCGAAAGCGAGAGGATAATCGAAGAATTACCTTTAAGGAATTCAATCAATTAGAAGTTGAAATTCTAAATGTGTTGCAATTCCATCTCGTTCTCAATATGGACGAGTTTAGTCGGGAAATTGTTCAGAAATTCATGAAGGTGAATTTTGAAGATCATGATGCATTGCTGATGATTTGACCTTGTTGCAGTTTTTAGACATACTCTGTTTCATATACACAGCTGGTAAATTTTTCACAATCCATTGTATGATCTCTGTCTGTACATTACTTCATTTCTTTGAGAATAAAACTCGATACGAGCTTTTTCTCTTTTTCATTTGAAAAAAAACCAAGTTTTCCAATCTCAGAGTTGAAAATTCATTGTCGTTGTTTCATGTCCATGGTCATCAAATAAGATGAAAATAATTTAAGAAGACGAGAATGTTATTATTGAAATATCACTCAGTTGATTTCGATCTATAATATTGCCTAGCTTTGATTGAAATTCGAGTTCATTCAAAGTGGGAAATGTTATTGTCCACATTGCGTTGATATCCATTTCTCCAGTCTGATGAGTTGTGTATTCGTTCCATGTGAGTGTTGTTTAAACAAGGTGTGACCAAATTTGAAATGATTCAACTTACCCATCCACCGAATGCCAGCATTTCGCTTCGAATGTCATCAAAAACTGCAACATGGCTACTGAAACCATGCTGGAATATTTTCAGGCTATTCTCTGAGAGATGTTTTGTAAAGAGATTAACCTTTGTCCACTTGTTCAAAGTAAAATCAAATATCCAACAATCATTAAGCCAATCGTCTCCATCGTATCCTCCAAACATCACCATCTGTTGTAATTTCTCAATCATGATACAGGAATGGGAACTTCTTGGTGAAGGTATATTCAGAAGAGTTTCTTTCGGCACTGTAGTTTTCTTTGGAGAGTCAATCTTCTTTCTAGGTCCCCCTTGATGGAGTCGGTACCACTTCTTGGTCACTAGTGAAAATTCATGCATATCATTATACCTATAATCTTCATCTTTTCCTCCAAAAAATACAATGGATTGACGTTGCTCGTTCAACACCATGGAAAAGACTTCTCTTGGAGATAAACGATTCGAATTCCCGTCATCATGACACTCTTCCATCAGTGACCACATATTTTCCTTAATATCATAGACAAAAAAATCATCCAAGTGATAGCCTGCATATCCACCGAATATGACAATTTTGTGTTGGCTCTTTAGATAGACACTCCGGTGTCCCTGACGTCCACACGGTGGCTTGCAGAGTTGAGTGCTTCCCATAGCAAGACAAGCCAACAGAGCGGGTTGCTGGATGGATTTGGTCGCCAACTCCTGTCGCTGGGCTCTCTATTGACAGAACAGTGAACTTGGAAGCTTCAATTTCAAGATTTTTCTTTGCCAGCGTTAAGCCGGTTCTCTACAGAAACTTTTTTTTTTTCGAGGGACATAAATCGTGTCCCTGAAGCCCGGAGTTCACTTTCGCTGGCCAGTCTTGCTATGTATGGGAGATGTGTTGTCATTGAATTCACACTCATTCCTTGTACGTCTCCATTTCCAACGACAGTCTTTTAAAGAAAATTCCATAAGCCTGTCATTTTGGAAATCATTGTCTTGAGCTCCACCAAAAACATATAGACTCTTAGTGAGAGGAGAATAGCAAGCACAGTGTCCCCAAGTTTGGACTGGAGTTTCTTCTTCTTCAAACTCATAATCTTCATTTTCATCACTAATGTTGTCAGCTCCATCATCATCAGTATCTTCTCCGTTAAAACGAAATATTTCGAGCCATGTCCTTGTGTCCAAATCAAACACTTGTACGGCCACAAGATGATCACTCATTTGAATGCAGCCAGATACATAAACGAACCAATTCATTTGTGAATTTTGCACCAAGCAACCACTGTGAAAACTTGTGGGAATTGGTTTTAGTATCTTTCGATATTTATGAGATTTTGTGATGACTGACTGGTCCTGATCACGTTTGCATTCATACATTATTGAATTTGTATTGTTGTTATTACTATTGATGATATTGTTTTTTGAAACATTGTTAATTGTGCTTTTAAAGATATCGTTCGTACAATTTTCAAAGCTGTTGTTATCATGATGTTTTTTCTCTAAAAGCCAAGAAGAATAAGAGGTTGCAGCCGAGAGGTGAAGCAACTGAAAAGCCTCATAGCATTCATCTTCTTCCTTCTGTTCGGCAGCATCACAAAGATTTTCAATTCTCAAATATAACATTTTTTCTCTTGAGCCATGATTCAATCGTTGAGGACGAAGCTCTCGGAGTTGTACTATGAAATTACATTCTGTATTTGATGATCCTAATAATTAAGAGGTTGTTGTGAAGAAGGTGAACCACAAGCAATCAACCAATCGGTTCTTTCAGCACAACAGCAACCTGTGCGTGAAGAAGATGAAGTATCTAGCCACGGGATCAGTTAAAAAAAACGAAAATAAATGACCACCAAATTTTTTCATCAAAAAAATATTCCAACATCATCGCCTTTTTTTATCACTTTTGATTGAGAAGCCTTGTTGTTGTAGTGTTTTCGAAAACAGCATCATCATCAATACTACTCCTATTATTTATATTCCCCAACAATATATTGTATAATCAATGTCCCTATTTACATTTTCTCCAATTGAATTGGCTAGAGTGGACCGAATTCAATTCGGTATCTTGAATCCAGAAGTGACTGAGAAGATGAGTGTATGTGAAGTACTCCATGCGGAAACATTTGAAAAAGGAAAACCAAAGGAAGGAGGATTAATGGATCTTCGTATGGGTACCATTGATCCCTCTCTTACTTGTCTAACGTAAGTACATTCAACTTTTCCTTGTGCGAACTTACCAATCGGCGAACATTTGCTCTTGCTGTTATCAATCTCCGACAACAAACACCATGACTTTGATCATCACTACACTCTCTTTTCTCGCATCTCGTCATCATAACCATACACACCACTTTATCCTTTTTTTCAAACTCTCAAAGATGTGGAGGTAATTCGACAGAATGTCCTGGTCACTTTGGACATGTGAGAATCCATCCTGTGTTCAATGTACTCTTTCTCAACACAACTATCAAAGTGCTGCAAAGTGTTTGTTATCACTGTGGTAAACTTTTGGCAGACAAGAATACACATGCCTTCAAAAAGGCCTCCAAATATCAAAATAGACGTAAAAGATTCAAGGAAGTGATAGATTTATGTCGAAAGGATAAGTGCGTTGTAGGCACAGTTGGACCTACTGACGCAAATCAACAAGCTCAAGGAGGTGATGGACTTGTACAAGATCCTACCACTGCCGAATTGACATTCCAACCTCGAAATGGTTGTGGAGGCATTCAACCTAAGATATCTAGAGATGGCTTGAAAATTTTTGCAGAATTCAAGAAGGATTCTGCCGAGGGACCAAACAAACAAGAACTTACAAAGCAAGAACTCACTGCCGAACGTGTACTTCAAATCTTTAAGAGAATATCTAATGAGGATTTGGAATTATTGGGATTTGACAGAGACAATTCTCGTCCTGAGTGGATGATTATTACGTGTCTCCCAGTTCCACCACCACAAGTTCGTCCTAGCGTGCACCACGGTTCAGGAGATCGTTCTGAAGACGATCTTACTCACAAACTTGCTGATATCATCAAGGCAAATGCAGCACTTCAAAGAAGTGAAAAATCTGGTACACCACAACATCAAATGGAAGAAATGGTTAGAATGCTGCAATATCATTGTGCTACATATGCAAATAACGAATTTCCTGGTATTCCAACTTCGACCACTAAAAGTGGAAGACCTTTGAAATCAATCAGACAAAGATTGAAGGGAAAGGAAGGTCGTGTTAGAGGAAATTTGATGGGTAAACGTGTAGACTTTAGCGCCAGAACCGTCATTACCCCAGATCCAACAATTGATATTGATCAAGTCGGTGTTCCTCGTTCTGTTGCTTCAAACATGACCGTTCCAGAAATTGTTACACCATTCAATTTTGAGAGATTGAATGAATTGGTGATTAATGGTCCTTTGACTTACCCTGGAGCAAAATATGTCATTCGTGAAGACGGTACACGAATTGACTTGAGATTTGCCTCAGGAAAAGCAAACGATCAAATTCAGTTGGAATATGGTTACAAAGTTGAGCGTCACTTGCAAGATGGTGACGTTATTCTCTTCAACAGACAGCCATCCCTTCACAAAATGTCTATGATGGGTCACAGAATTAAGGTCATGCCTTACAGTACTTTCAGAATGAATTTGTCTGTCACTACACCATACAACGCTGACTTTGACGGTGATGAAATGAACTTGCACGTACCTCAATCATTGCAAACCAAAGCCGAATTACTCGAGTTGATGATGGTCCCAAGAAATATCATTACACCACAAAGTAACAGACCAGTCATTGCTCTTGTGCAAGATACATTGTTGGCTTCTTCAAAACTTACTCGTCGTGATGTTTTTATTGAAAAGGATGTCATGATGAATTGTCTCATGCACTTGTTAGACTTTGATGGTAAATTACCAGTTCCAGCTATCATGAAACCAAAACAATTGTGGACAGGTAAACAATTGTTCAGTTTATTGTTGCCAAAGGTCAACTTGGAAAATACTTCATCCACACACGAAGACCTTACTGAAGGAAAAGATCACTTGGATTCAGACTTGCCAGAATTCGACACAAAAGTGTTGATTGACAGAGGTGAATTGGTTTCTGGTATTCTCGATAAAAAGTCTTTGGGTTCCTCCCATGGTTCTTTGATTCACATCATTGTGAATGAAAAGGGTCACAATGAAGGAAGAAAGTTTTTGGGTGCTTGTCAAAGAGTCATTAACCACTGGTTATTGCAACGTGGTTTCAGTATTGGTATTGGAGATACCATTGCCGACAAAGCAACCATGGAACAAATCGAAGAAACCATTAGAAAGGCCGAAAAAGACGTCAAGAATATTGTTAAAGATGCACAAGAAGGAAAACTCAGAGCAGAAGCAGGTAGAACCATTCAACAATCTTTCGAAAATCAAGTTAACAAGGTTTTGAACAAGGCTCGTGAAGATGCCGGTAACAAGGCTAAAAAGTCTCTCAAGGACGACAACAACATCAAGTCCATGGTGACTGCTGGTTCAAAGGGTTCTTACATTAACATTTCACAAATTATTGCTTGTGTTGGTCAGCAAAACGTTGAGGGTAAACGTATTCCATACGGTTTCCGTAATAGAACATTGCCTCACTTCTCACAAGACGATCATGGCCCAGAAAGTCGTGGTTTCGTTGCCAACTCATATCTCAGAGGTCTTACTCCTCAAGAATTCTTCTTCCACACTATGGGAGGTCGTGAGGGTTTGATCGATACTGCTGTCAAGACATCAGAAACTGGTTATATTCAAAGAAGATTAATCAAGGCTATGGAAGACATTATGGTCAAATATGATGGTACAGTTCGTGACGCTCAAGGAAATGTCGTCCAATTCTTGTACGGAGAAGACGGAATGGATGCTCACAAGGTTGAATCACAGAGCATTGACATGATGAACTTGAGTGATAACAAATTTGTTGACAAGTTTTGGTACCCATCTCTTGGTCCAGCTCCAACTTACACTCCTGGCTCCGAATCATTGGCATCGTCAGCAATTACAATGCCATTAGGTGGTATCAATAAGGAACCTTTTGTTTCTCAAAAGATTTATGAAGAGATTTTGAGAGAACCAGAACAATTTTTGAAAGAAATTCGTGATGAGTACAAACAATTGTTGTTGGATAGAGCTGTTTTGAGAACTGAAATTTTCCCATCAGGTGAAACCAAGGTTGTCATGCCTGTAAACTTGAGACGTCTCATTAAGAATGCTCAAAAAGAATTTGGTATTCACCCAAGTGCTGGAAAAGTTAGCGACTTGAACCCAATTTACGTTGCTAAAAGTATCAGAAAGCTATGCGAAGAATTGGTGGTCATTAAGGGTACTGATAAGCTTTCCAAAGAGGCTCAGGAAAATGCAACTCTGCTTTTCAGCATTTTAGTTAGATGTACATTTGCTTCAAAGATTGTTTTGAAAGAGTTGTGCCTCAATAAGGAAGCTTTTGACTTCATTCTTGGTGAAATTAAGATGAGATTCCACAATTGTCTTGCTCAGCCTGGTGAAATGGTGGGATCTGTTGCTGCTCAATCTATCGGTGAACCTGCAACTCAAATGACTTTGAACACTTTCCACTTTGCTGGTGTGTCTTCAAAGAACGTTACATTGGGTGTTCCTCGTTTGAAGGAATTGTTGAACGTTGCAAAGAATATCAAAACTCCAGGTTTAACAATTTATTTAAAGTCAGATATTCTTCACGATATGGAGCAAGCCAAACATGTAAAGGATGACTTGGAATATACAACATTGGGTCATGTCACTTCATCTACACAAATTGTCTATGATCCAGAACCATATGAATCAGTCATTGAAGAAGATAGAGAATTTATCAGAGAATTGATCGATGAAAATAAGGATCAAAAATTAGATTCCACCACACTCAATCCATGGGCTCTCAGATTTGAATTGGACAAGATGATGATGAGTGAAATGACCATGTCACAAGTTGCAAGAAAAATCAAGGAAGAATTCCAAAACGACATTACATGCTTCTACTCTGACGATAACGCTGATCACTTGATTTTGATTGTTCGTATTCACAAGGATGAAAAGGAAAGAGAGAAGGATGAACAACTCAAGAATCCAACTGCAGAGACGATTCAAAAAATTGAAGAGGAGGACATGGAAAATAGCACAGTTGACTTTTTGAGAAGCTTGGAATCTAACATGTTAAACGAATTGGCACTCAAGGGCTATAAAGATATCAAGAAGGTCTTCCTTAGAGAAGAAACTGACAAGATGACTTTCACCTCTGAAGGTCGTACCAAGACAAGTCAATGGGTTTTGGATACAGAAGGTTGTAATTTATTGGCTGTATTGGCTCATCCAAAAGTTGATCATACTACCACCGTATCTAACGATGTCAATGAAATTCTTGATGTTTTGGGTATTGAGGCATGCAGAAATGCATTGATGAGGGAAATGAGAAAGGTCATTGAGTTCGACGGTTCATATGTCAACTACCGTCACTTGGCCATTTTGTGTGACGTCATGACTCACAGAGGTAGTTTGATGGCTATCACTCGTCACGGTATTAATCGTAGCGACACTGGTCCATTGATGAGATGTTCATTCGAGGAGACTGTTGAAATCCTTATTGAAGCTGCTACATTTGCTGACATTGATACCCTCAAGGGTGTAAGTGCTAACGTGATGGTTGGTCAATTGGCTCCAATCGGTACAGGATGTTTTGGCTTGTTTTTGGACGAAGAGTTGTTGAAGCAAGCTGTTGCAGTCAAACCAATGTATGTCATGGAAACCACAGCCAAATCTACCATGTTTGGTTCTATTGGTGTCTCAACACCTTATCACACTGGAATGGCAACACCTTATCACTCAGTTTCAACACCTGGTTATCATGGAGTATCAAGCCCTTGGACTTCAACTCCTGTGAGTAGAACTCCATCTCCAGAGCACGGTGGCTTTAGCCCTTCACCTTACAACTCAGCATTCTCTCCAATTGCTGGTTCACCAACATCACCTGGTCATCATGGATATTCACCAACTAGTCCAAGTGGTGGTTATAGCCCTTCATCTCCTGCTTATTCACCAACATCACCAAATACTGGAGGCTATTCACCATCCTCACCTGCTTACTCACCAACAAGTCCAAGTTACTCGCCAACATCACCAGCCTATTCACCAACGAGTCCTGCTTATTCTCCAACAAGTCCAAACTATTCTCCTACGTCACCAGCATATTCGCCAACAAGTCCAAATTATTCTCCATCGTCACCTGCTTATTCACCAACAAGTCCTCGTGTGACCAGCCCAAGTTATTCACCATCGTCACCAGCATACTCGCCAACAAGTCCAAGCTACTCACCTACAAGTCCAAACTATTCACCAACGAGTCCAGCTTACTCACCAACAAGTCCAAGTTATTCACCATCATCACCTGCTTATTCACCAACGAGTCCAAGCTATTCACCAACTAGCCCAAGTTATTCACCAACGAGTCCTAGCTATTCTCCATCTTCACCTGCTTACTCACCAAATCGTGATGACAATCAATAACAGGAATTCAAGTAGTAATAAGGAGAGGGTCTTGTAACTGCTGGCAGCAATTGTGTAAATAAAAAGCAACTTTCCTTGAATTGTTGTTGCTCAAGTCTTAATGAACTAGGAACATGGAACTGTGATGGTGTAATTGAAAAGTCCAACTTTTTTTCTGTTTAACAACAAAAGAAAATACACCCACATGTTGCCGTCCAAAATAACAAATGCACAAGCCGAGTTCATGCTCAATTCACTCCTAATACAACCATCAAGTACCACCACTGCCGCTGTTTCCTCCGATGCAACTTCATCATCAACTCAACAACAAGAATCTTCGGAAGAACCCCTCTCCATCTCGGTACAATGCTGTGGTCATTATTTAACCACTGAAATTGTCTTGGAAATATTATGTCATTTGGATACGGCCAATCTTGCTCGACTTGGTATTCTCTCTCGTGATTGGTATCGATTCATTACATGTTGTTCATCATTATCATCAGCAGCAGCTTCTTCATTGGGCGTTCATGATCTTGTAGATCCGCAACAAACTCTTTCAGAATTTTATCAATCCTCGCCATGTTCTTCATTATGGGATCAACTGCTACGCACTCAATTCCATATCTTGTATTTTCCTTTTGAACAATTTGACAAGTTGAAAAAACTAAATCTCGAATTTTCCAATTCCTTTCAACTGTGCATGTATCTTGCGAAACATGTTGGAAAATTCAAAGAAATTACCAAATTGCAATATCAAATTTTAAATCCAAATGAAAGTTCTGAAGATGGAAAATCATTATTCATTCGAACACATTTCAAAGGAAATTGTAAAGTTGGAAAATCAAGAATGGCTCAAATTATTTCACATGGAATTTCAGCAACTTCGAGTGAAAATCAAAGTTATGAACCTACAAGTGCTTTCAAGTTATTAACTCGATCGTATCAGTTACATTTTGATGAACATTCTTATGCATTAATTAAGGGATCACTTTTTGATAATTCTGGAACCAAGACGGAATTTTCGAGAAGATCCATCTTTTCACCAAATGTGTATGCTGGTAAGACAAGTGTATTGTATATATTTAATGATGAAATGGAATCATTGGAGAGTATTCCAGAATGGGTTAAAGAAACAGCTGTCAATTTGACAGGTGGCATTCGTGTGAAATCCAACTCTGTCATTGGATCCAGAGATAATTCAGTTTCTGACGACAATCAAAAGCCACCATTGGAATTAATGGTCCTCAATACCTTCTCATTGACATCTGACAGCGCTCAAACACCAAAATCCTGGAAACGACCATCTCTCTACACTCGAGTCTGTCATTCTCAAACCTTTCAACATGCACTCAATAAGGCGAAAGAACTTTCTCTACCATTCATCTACTGTAGTGCCTCTACAGAAGATTTTGAAAGTGTAAAATTTGTGAATTTAGTGTCGCATGTGCTACTGTGTAAGATGTACGACATCATTTTGGAGAAATAAACGTTGAAATACCAATCGTTGCCGTTTAAACGGATAAAAGAACCTTAAGGTGTTGAGGTTTTTTTTTGTATTTCAGACATGACATCTGACAGTGGTTACGACGCGTCTTCAAGTATGTTTGGAAAGATCGGAGGTTCATCAGAAAGAAAAAGTACTCATCAACAAACATCAAAAAAACACCTTTTCGACATCACCTTCTGAACATACTGTTTCTTAAATTTTGTTTTCGAATCCTTCTCGAGTTCATCATTCGAAACAATTATAACAACAACAAGCATCTTTAGTCCACATTGAATTTGCACAACACGAGACTTTCGCATTTCCGTAAGAGCTTTTCATTACATTCAATACAATATTTGAAATGATGCACTTGACTAAATTATTCCTCTCTTCCATCATGACAACAATGAAAACTCGTGTTGAACCCACAAGAAAAATGATTCCAGGTTCATCATCGTTTCGCCAAAGACATTGGTCATGTTTGATTCTATTACTAATAGTAGCAGTAGTAGGAATCATTGTGTGGACAACCACAACTTGTGTGTCTGGTTCGATATTGGAATGGAATGAAAGGAATGAAAAATTTCAACACAACCATGAATGTCATCATCATCAAGAAGAAGAAATGGAACGATTGCATGTCAAGGGCATGGAATTGAAGGATGGCCATGATGAACCTGACCGACATGATCATCACAAGAATGGTATGGTCTCTAGGATGTGGACGGTTTTGGCATGGCGTAAGACATTGGACTTTTTGGGAAGAAAAATGTGGTTGGCAAGTGACATGCAAGGGATGGATCACAACAACAACCAACATGAAACGTCTTCTTCTCTCCATTCCACGTTCACATCCAATGTCATCAACACCATCAACACCATCAACAGCAACAACAACAATACTCATTCTCCTCTTCAACCTCCTGCTGATGTCCTTCTCTACTATTACAATGCTTCCGATTTTGAATTTCTCGTTTCCAATCTCACCAATAACACTCAAGCAGCTCAAGGATTAATCGTCTTGACTGCCTCTTCAACCTTACAGAGTTGGATTATTATTCCTTTGAGAATGATGGTCATTGTCATGGATGTCATTCTTTTCTTTGGACTTGTCATTTTTCGAAATAAGGAACCTGTGAAATCCAAATTCATACCAAGCATGTTATTGTTATTCGTGAATTTTATTGGTAATTTACAGAGTATTGTTGACAGGATTCCTGTCGTGAAATTATTATTTCAAACGTATTGGAATGAATACTTGTTAGAGAAATTGGCAAATCCATTGTTGGATGCGAGTTTGTATTTTTCTGAACATTTATTTGAACCTTATCAGTTACCGAGATGGTTTATCGATTGGGCTGTGTTTACCAATGTGTATTGCTATCTTGTGGCGTATGGATTGTATACCATTTCTATTTTGGGAGTTGTCATTTATAATATTCAATTATCTCGATTCTTGTTGTTAACATTTTTGAAAGAACGAAAAGACCAATTTCGAAATGCCATGATTGCATTTAAGGAAAAACAATTGGAAAAGTGGAAAAATGTGAAAATGCAGAAATTACAAGAAAAGGAACGTCAAAAAAACACTGAAACTGGTGGTGTGAATTTATCTTCGTTAGAAAAACGAAAATCTGTCAAATCTCTGTCACGTGCCTCCGTGTCCTCACTCTCGAGTTCATCCGTGGATGTCACAAGTCAAACGCATTTAGTGCCAACGATCAACTTGGCAGCTGTTCAATCCGTGTCGAGTTCAACTTCGACAGATTCTCTTCCAGCCGTGACCCCTCGATCTTCAATGATTTACAACACCATGCAAGGAACGGATGAAGCATTGACCGATGACAGCTTTGACACTGAAGATATGGTGGTCGATTTGACAAGCGATGACGATGCCGTGTCCACTTCCTTAGAAGAAATTTCCAAGTTTGGAAAGGGTGTGAAAATTTTGAAATTCCTTGAACGTTATCGATTGATCGACATCGGAATTTACACCATGTGGCTTGTCATTTGGTGGATTCTAGTCTCGATTGCAATTTTTACAGTTTCCACAGATACGACTGGAGCTATTTTCCCAAAATGGAATTTAATCCGAGGATATTGTTCTGGAAATGCCTATCTGAACGTCATCACCTTTGCTCTCATCATGTTTTCAGTGATCTTTTTAGTGGCCATGATTTCCTGGTTTTTCGATTTATTTGTATCCATTTACAAGTATGTCAAACGTCGAAAAGCTGACCAACTCAACTCTGTGAAAACTTCCAATTTTTTATTTTACCACTTTGTTGAGACAGATCCATTTGTCTACAGAGCAACCTTTCTCATGAATATGATATTCTCATTTATTGGTGCTGTGATTGCATTGTTTTTTTGGAATTCCACAAATTTTGTTGGATCTCTCATTATTGATTTATGTTTCACATTATTTGTGAACTTTTTAGGAGGATGTGTCGCAAATCCAGGAATTACAGTAGCACGAGCATTGTATGATTATGTGAAAACTTCTTCTCATAGAAGTAAGAAAACAAATTCCACACAAGATCAACCTTCGAAATCGACAACGATTAAGAATTTGAAAGAATTGGTACATGCGCCTTCTTCGTCTGATTGTTTGAATTATATTATTGCTCATGCGAAGGAAAGAGAATTGTTTTATAGTCATCTCAGAGAGGAATTTTCTTCTGAGAATTTATTGTTTACCGAAGCATTGACGAGTTTGAAAAAGATTAATGACAAGTTTATGAGAAGAAAAATGATGAAACTGAAAGAAATTGTCAAGTTGTACTTGTCAGAGTCGGAATCTGTGTTTGAGGTGAATTTGCCCTCTGTGTTGGTGAGAAATCAATTGAAGCCGTATTTTGTTGTCACTAAATTTATGGATGAACAGAACATGTCCGTGAATGATTTACCAAAAATGTTGAAAGATGTTGCTGCTCAAATGTTTCCCAATGTCACTCAAGATGTGGAAACAAAGGTCAGAAATGCTTACACTGAAATTTGTCATCCACAATTTTTAAGTGGAGTTCAAACTGAGGTTTACAAGAATTTATTGGATTCGTATTTCCGATTCATGGGCTCGAGAAAATGGTTGAATTTTGTGAAGGAGAATAATGTGTGAATGATTGACTGATCAAAGTTTCCTCAACGCTTCTTCGCTATTATTATATACTATTAATTGTATCAAGTTTTTTGCTTGACATACCTCGATCGCAAGAAAAGCTAAACCCTTCTTGCAACCTCCCATTCTTTTCAAACAAAACCACTAGGTGATGTATTTTTGAATACAAAAAACAAACGTTTACCATTTAATTTGTGTACAATGGACTTGTTGCTCAAAGTTTGTCGTCATTTAGGAGTATTGAAGCCTTAAATTGTTGTCAAAATATTGCAAATCAACGTGCAGAAATATTGATCTATCGGCCATGAGAGGAGTTTCTTGTGATGTCAAAAGTGGTGTTGTGTACTTGAAGACACAAACCACTCTTGCCACAAGAAGGTGATTGTAACTCCCAACATGCGTCATCCTCAATACTTTCTATCCGCTGACATTCTTGTAATTCACACTGTGGTGTGTATATTAACAATTATCAATCAACACCAACACCACATGACAATATTCCATAGTGGTGACAAACTTTGGTTACGGGGCTAACAACATTACCCCTTTAACATCATCCTCCTCCTTGGCTACTCAAATCAACACCAATGTCTTTGAAGGTTTTCTTGGAATTGGATTCAGGTTTTTTTGTTTTCTTTGAACTCACACCTGAGGGCAAGTACTTTCTTTCTTCCTTATCTGCATTCAGTTGTTGTTTGATTTTATCCTTCTCAGCTTGAATTTTCTTCTTTTCTTCTAATAATTTTCTTCGTCTTTCTTCCATTTCTTGATCAGTGCTACAGCATGAAGAAGAGGTGGGTTGAGAAGGGTGGAGTGTGTTTGATTTGGTGGTTGACGTTGATGATTTAATAGTGATATAGTCCTGAATCACGTGGACTAGAGCTTGCAAGTCATTCATGTTTAAATTTCCTGGCTTGATAATTAGATATTCATTTTGATCATCAATTTCAAATCCGCATAAAAACAATAAATTTATGGCTCCCGGTACATTCATCACAAATTCATTAAATTTTGGATTTGCCAATCTGATTTTTCGAAACTTTTCTTCATTCGGATGAGAGATAATATTACTACAAATACTATTTATAATTTGCAGAGTGGATGGAGAATTCAAGAGAGAATCTCTATTGCTCTCAATAAATTCCGAGGCTTGCTGATGCACAAGCTCCCATTCGGGTGGAAGTGTTTTCATTTTTTCTGATGTTTTTAAAATAGAATTGATGAACTTGAGTGAGGTTTGCAAAGGGAAAAGAGATTGGTGATTCAACTTTTCCTTAATACAATAATAAATTTAGTAAATAAGAAAATTTGTTATGTTGACATGCCTCTGTTGAGTTGTTGTGTTCTTTTTTGGAATTTTTTTGTTTCATCCTTTTTGAAACGAACGAAAAAAATTGCTCCAAGACATGATGATGCTCACGCACAAGCGTAAACTCCTTTCATTCGCTCCGTTACTGACGAATACCCCGAAACACAATGTGTTGCAATGCCGGCTTATAAAGAAGAGGCTGTTACCATCATTCCGAGAACGAGGTACTGACCCTAGCTCATTATTTCAACAAGAACAACAACAAACAGCAAACTATGGCAGTGTGAATGGACCATTTGATGCCCGAGTGATGAGTGCTAAAGAGGCTCTCACTCAATATATTAAAGGAGGTAATCGGGTATTCCTTCAAACGGGTAGGTATTCGGATGATGATGTTGTATATTTGGAAAAATTTACAACTGTTGTGGAAAATCATTGAATTGGCCAATATTGTATACAACCAATATATTGGATTGGTTGTATGAAATCATTGCACTGTTGTTGTATGAATGCTCGTACTCAACATTGTTTCCGAAACATTGTTCAGGATGTAACGTACCAAAATATTTGATATCAAATTTGGAGTCTCTTGTGGAAAATAAGGAATTAGTATTCGGGGAAGGCCACAAGGACAAGGTTGAATTTGTGGGACTCCATATCAATTACTATCCAGGCCAGCAACCGCCTCATCTGTTGCCAAAGAATAGGGACTTTTTCCATACCAATGCCATGTTTCATGGAGCTAATGAAAGAGCTGCCATGAAGGACAGAAAGGAAGATGAGGAACCTCTTGTGGATTATCTTCCAATTTTCTTGAGTGAGGCTCCACTTCTTTTCAAGAGTTGTAAATTTCCAATTGATGTGGCCTTGATTCAAGTCTCACCTCCTGATGCTCATGGTTATTGGTAAGTGCCAGACTTCGAGTTTCCCTTAACTTTGTTTGTCACTTGTATTCACATTGGTGATGGTTTTCTCACACCGTGCCACCGTATGAAAATGTACAACAGCTCACTTGGTGTTTCAGTGGATATTTCTCTGGCAGCTGTTGAATCAGCCAAATTCGTGATTGCTCAAGTGAATAGAAATGTTCCTAGAACTCACGGCGACGGTTTTATTCACGTCTCTCAAATCAATGCATTTATTTATCACGATGAGCCATTGTCTGAAATTCCGTGCGACATTAATTGCTTGGAGGAAACCGATAGAAAAATTGGAGAACATGTCGCTTCCTTAATTCCAGATCGAGCTTGTCTTCAATTAGGCGTTGGAAGTTTGCCAAACGCTGTATGTGCTGCATTGACCAATCACAAAGATATCGGAATTCACACAGAATTAATGTCTGATGGAGTTTTAGAGTTGTTCAAAAAGGGTGTGATTACCAATAGATACAAGGGATTGCACCAACATGAGATTTTGTGTACATTTGTGATGGGAACTAAGAATATCTATGATTTTGTAAATGACAATCCACAAGTCATTTTCAGAGGTGCTGATTATGTGAATGGTAAGTGTTAGATTGTGTAGAATATAATTTATATTCCTTAGATGTGCTCAACGTCAAATTCAATCCATTCTCCCATATGCGCCCTACGGATATTACTATCATCAACATTACTCTGTTTTGATCACTTACACTCAGACATTTCCAATATCAAGCAAAATAAGAACATGATCGCAGTGAACAGTGCTATTGAAATTGATTTATCTGGACAAGTCTGTGCTGATTCCATTGGTACAAGAATGTACAGTGGAGTTGGAGGACAAATGGATTTCATGGTTGGTTCTGCTAAGAGCAAGGGCGGTAAACCAATCATTGCCATTCCTTCAGTGACTGCTAATGGAGAATCTAAAATTGTGAATACTCTCAAACAAGGTGCAGGTGTTGTGACCACAAGAGCCCATGTTCATTATGTTTGTACTGAATACGGTGTTGCAGAATTGTATGGTAAGAATGTTCGAGAGAGAGCTAAGGCATTGATTTCAATTGGTAAGTGTTTGGTAATGATTGGGGTTGACTTTTTGTCAACAAATCATGACCCATAACAATCTGAATTTACATCCCATGTGTACAAATTAGCACATCCAATGCATAGAGACAGATTAACTCATGAAGCAAAGCAGCGTTTTGGATACTTTTAAGCTGCTTAATTTTTGAAAACCTTCCTAATTTGAGATTTCATAGAGTATGGTGAAATATTCCAAACGTCAATACAAGACATGTAATTTTTGTCACGCCAAACCTGTACTACTTACTTGATACACTTTTTCTCGTTTTGAACTCTTTCACTCCCAATCAACTGACTGAACTACTAAGGATTTTGTAATCAAGATCCCTCGCCATTACTTGTCGATTGTCACAATATTTCAGTTCACACTTGTGCCTTTTGAAAAAATATCTTCATCAAGAGCTTGTGTGGGTCAATCTGATTTGATGCATTCATTATGTCTTCCTCCAAAACCCCACTCACACCTACTTCTGTCAAAACACCCACGCACTCCCCAACAACTTCAGGAGGAGGTCTTTTCCGAGTGCTTTCTAATTTATCACAGCAACATGCACAGGGATCATTACACAACACTCAACCCTCCCAAAAACCTCCTCTTCAAGTTGCATCCTCAAGCATACATGTAGCCACAACACAACCAACGAGACGAAACAGTGATGATTCCGATGATGATGCATCCAACAAGAATCAATGGAAGAAATCTCTCACAACATTGATCATCACACTTTTAATTATTTTAGGTGCATTGATGATGATTTTCGCAACACTTGGAATGTCTTTCAGTGTCTATGGCTTGTATCCATCACAATGTGCGAAATGTCAAAATGCTCTCTATGCCATTTTCATTACTCTAAGTATTGGTGTTGTCGGAGCTTTGACAGCTCTCATTGGCTATTTGATTGTGAGTCGAGGATTATTGACCATTTGCTCCTCTTCGACGTCTTCGTCATCATCGTCAAACTCCAACAACACATCCAATGAAGATCCTCTGGTACATTTAGTGAAAACAAAATTTCGAAACATTCGTGCTTGTCCATGTTCGAGTTTGGGTTTTCGAATTGCAGAATCCATTCTGTTGATTTCAATGATTGTCATTGGTGTGTTTCTGTTTGTGGTATTTTTGGCAATTTATATTGCATTTATGGTCATTGTGGATAGTTCAATGGTGCGAAAGAGTGGATCCATTCAATTATCGAATATGGTCATTTTGGAAACGAGTGCACTGAAAACAATTCCATCGTATCTGACACCAAATTCACAAATTCAAATCAAACGAGATGCTCATGGATTAATTTACGTGACAGGAGAAACAGAATATGATATCATGTTTGGACAAGGATATGCATCAGCTCAGGATCGATTATTTGAAATGGATCTCGTTCGAAGAGCAGCTCAAGGACGTTTATCAGAATTGGCTGGAAGTGCCACTTTGGAAGATGACAAACTTGCTCGTTATATTGGTTATGGAAGATTGGCAAAAAAAGAATTACAATATTTGGATGAAAGAGCGAACAATACACTTCAAGCATATGCAGACGGAGTGAATGCTTATTTACAAAGTGGTAATTCAATGCCATTGGAAGTGACGTTATTGGGATACACGTTAGAACCTTGGACACCATATGATTCACTCACTGTTGTGAAATATATGGAATCCATCATGTCTGCAAATTGGCATGACGAGGAGTTGAGATACACTGCCATGTCACAAAACAACGTGACATTAGCAAGAATGGAAGTGTTGGACCCTCCAATTCCATTCGACGCTGCTACTGTACTCTCGAAACAAGAGTTGGGGTTGAATACCACTCTCGAACAAGATTTGCAATTGGAATGGAAACTCACTCGAAATAATACTGGTGCTTTTATTCCAAAAACTAGTGCTACCAACCGACGAAGAAATAGACACATCATGAAAAGTATTCATTTTGCATCGTCGCAAAGTCATTTTGAAGCTTTTGACGAGAAGGACAATCAAAATGCTGATCAAAATTATGCTTTCATGTACAAAACGTTGAATGATCTGTTGAGAAAAACAAAGAGAGCCATTGGATCCAATAATTGGGCAGTTCACAAAAATTTCACTGATAGCGTGAATGGATATCTTGCCAATGATCCACATCTCTTTGTGCAAACACCGAATCAGTTCTATCTTGTGAATATGAAATATGTGAGACCATATGTCAGTACTAATTCACAACAACCCAAGGAATTACTTGGTGCTGCTTTTCCTGGAGTTCCAGGAATTGTTCTTGGAAGAAATGAATATATTGCTTGGGGAATTACACTTGCATATACAGATGTTCAAGATATTTACATGTTAAAAGCTGATTCTACGAAGGAGGATCATTACGTGGTCGATGGTGTTTCATTGCCATTCAAAACATCCACCGAAACGATCAAATCCTCAGATTCTGCATCTGTGACCATCAAAATTCGAGAATCCATTTTTGGTACAATTGTTGGTTCAAGTTCTACCGAGCTTTTTGCCTATCGATGGGTTGCCCAACAAGACAATGACAAGTCCTTCAATTCTCTGATCAATCTCATGTTCAGTAAGAATTGGAATGAATTTCGCACGAGTGTGAATGGAATGACCTCCATTATTTTCAATTTTGCTTACTCGGATGTATACGGAAATATTGGTTACAAATTATCTGGATTAATTCCAATACGTAGAGAAGGTCATACTGGTCGATATATTGTCCGAGGAGATACCATGGCATGGGACTATTCAGGTTATTTACCAACGAGTCAAAATCCTGAATTGTTGAATCCAGCTAAGGGTTATGTGAGCTCTGCCAATAACAGAATAGTTCCTCCTGGTTATCCAATTTTGGTGAGCACAAATTACTTTTTCTCTTATCGACAACAACGAATTCAAGAATTGATGGATGCATTAATTGCAAATGTTAAAACATCTGGAACTAAAGTTACACTACAAAATATGATAGATATTCAATTGGATACATATAGTATGTTGTATCGAGAATATCGATTCATGTTTGTGAACATGACAAGTGACGTTGCACGACGTGCCTCCACTAGTTCATATGCTTCCAAACGCAAATACTCACAACATCTTCAAGCTCTGCTGTCATGGGACGGTTACATGAAACGTACCTCTACTGAGGCCTCACTTTTTGAAGGATTTTTAAGATACTTGAGTACACTTGTTTCCAAAGAATTTGGTGACACTACAGAAACTAAGAAAATGGCTCTCTTCTACTTTTACAAGGATGCCATGCTAAGAAACAATGACTCGGCATGTCTCGCCAAGAATTTCACATCATGCACAGACTATGGAGCTGCTACTTTCATCCGAGTGGTTGATTTATTTTACAATCAATATGAAAAAATTCCAACATGGGGAGAAATTCACACGAGTCCCATTCATCACATCTCTCGAAAAGATACTCCAATTTTGGGATGTCTCTCAAAAATTACACTCGCTACAGATGGAGGAACAGAAACCATTCTTTTGAATAATATGAATGAAAATTATGAAACCATCGAAGCTCCAGTGTATAGAGAAATTATTTCATTCAATTCGGTGAATTTGGATCGTTTCATCATTCCAACTGGAAATGATGGAAATTTATTTAGCAAAACGTATGATAATATGGGAAATTTATATGCCAAAGGTCAATATTTAAGTTTTGTTGCCAATGCAAGTCAAGTGACTGCTACAGATACCTATGTCATTCATGTCAAGTAAAATATATTGTTCAGATCTATTGTGATTTTTGTGTGCTCGGGTTCATACTGGAAGGACAAATCAAAATATTGGACCGTTCAGAAAAAAATATCCATTAATAACATGATTAACAGATGTCATCTTGTCATAACCATGACGGACACATTGAGAATAATGATCATCATGTGCTGTACTCTATGGTCTTTATCAATGGTCATGACATTGTCGACGCCACCTCTCCATCACACCCGAGACGAAAACCAAGTTCAATACGAAATGGTCAAGACTGAAATAACCATGTCCACAAAATGGGATCCCATGCAAGAACAACTTTTCGGAAGAGACGCCTTGAACAAGCACATGACCAAAGTATCGGATTCTCAAACTCGAAACGTGTTATCATCGATGAAATGGTTGCAAAATTTGGTTGTCTACGATCCAGGAGAAGCAACTTCGTTCTCAAGGAGAGCGTTCAATACCGAGTTAGGCGAACGACAAAATATTTCATTCACATTCTATGTTACAAATAATATGAGTCAATATGGAATGACTAATGTTTGGTGTGAACATGTTCATTCGCCTTGTGTAACGATGGCACAAATTTTCACACGATTGGATGAATTGATAAAAGTGTTCATGAATAATGATACAATTTCGAACAGCAGCAGCAACAGTAGATATAATGTTCATGTATCCATTGTACTCTTGACAGATACGAATCCGTATTTATTTTGCGATCATCATCGATTAGTGACACCTCAGTCGCCCAAGTTCAATTATTTATTTGAATTTTATTCATTCAGATATTATTCGAATGTGATCATTCTTCAAAAATTACAATGTTTTCTACCTCTAATGAATTTTCGATCCGATATTACTAGAATCTATTTTCATGAACTCGAAATGACAATTCCAATTCTCTCACCTCCTGGTCTTAGTTTGGAATTGTATAATTGTTTTATTACGAATTCAGTTATTAATGTTGGATATAACACAGATTTGGAAGATACCTCAAAGGAAAATGTAACCAGAGCAAAAGATTTGATTTTTGAATATGTCGTATCTCAAGAACAAATGCCTAGCTCGTACTATTTTGGAAATTTTGAAAATGCCCATTTTGGAAACTTGACATTGATGAATGTTATTTCCTTTGGTTTCAGAAATGTCCATCATATGAAGATGACTGATGCCATCATGCTTAAAGGAAGTTATTATTTCTTCAATTCACTCACCTTACAATTCGATAATCTCAAAGCTAGAAATATTGCATTCCAAATAAGCAAAGTCGATTCATGTGTCTTTTCAAACTCTTTATTTACAGTTTCAGGATACTTTTTACCAATCATTTTAGCTGAATTTGGAAGAGAATTTATAATGCATAACGTGGCCGCTTGGAAAGTAGATCAATTTCTCGCTGTGAATGCCTACGAAACCGTGTGGTTGAGAGAATTGAATGTTTTTAATTGTTCGGTCGAACGAAATGCACCTAGAATTCAACGATCGATCATAGATGTGATTGCAACTTCTACAGTCACGATTGAAGATTCTCAATTTTCACAAAATTCGGGACAATTTGGAGGAGGTAAGTAATCCATAATCATTTGGTTCTTGCAGATACAATAATCTTAAAAATAGCCTGTTATTTCGAAACTCTTGCAACCTTAACCATCAACAATACTCTCTTCACCGAGTGCAAATCTTCTGGTAGCGGTGGTTCCATATTCATTGAAAGTTTTTCAGAAAATTCCTTCATGCAACCCTCCTCTTTCATTCGAAATTCCAAATTTATCAAAAATTTTGCACAAATTTATGGAGGAGCTCTGTACTTGAATGGAGCCAAACGATTTTCCTTGTTAAATAATGAATTTTCAGAAAATACGGCACAACTTTCTGGTGGTGCTCTATTCATTGCACGTGATTCTTTAACCGTTGCCTTAAATGGATGCCTCTTTGTGAAAAATCAAGTCTTGTTTGATGTGGCTTCTTCCATCGAAAAGAACATCCTCTACAAGTTATATGAAGGAGCTGGTGGAGCAGTGACGATTGTGTTTAATTCAAGAATTTCTCCAGCTTCTTATGATGATGCTCGATTTATTGAGAATAGAGCTTCACGAGGAGGAGCGTTTTATTTAGGAGATCGATATTCTTCTGAATTGCGACTGTTTGGAGGAAATTTGAAATTTGAAAAGAATTATGCAAGTGTTGCTGGTGGAGCAATATATATTGGAATGTCAAGGGGGCTTCCATCATCTTCATTTATTAATTCAGGAGTTGTGTTTAAGGACAATAACGCTGGAATGGTAGGAAATGATTATTCGACGAGCTGTCAAAATTTGACATTTGACAGCAAGAGCTCTCAAGTCAACGAAATAGCGATTGGAGAATCGTCTGTGCTTGGCTTGAACATGATTGCCTCCTTCAACCAAACTGTTCCTCTTCGATTTGAAAAATTTATTCTCTATCATCCCTCTCTACTTTTAAAGATCGACAAGTTGGAATTTAACAAGTTAATGTTCACGCCCTATTTACAAACTAATAACCACAGTTCATTGTCTCTACCACTCACCATCCTCATTGCAACAGAAACAGATAAGGTAGCTCAATTTAATTTAACTCTTCAGCCTTGTGGACAAGGATTTCAGCTCGCTGATCAAGTAGTGGATGGTAAGGTTGTGTACAGTTGTAAACCTTATGTAGACACTGTGACATTGATCATTGCAATCGTGGTGCCTTTGTCCATTGTCATGTTCCTGACTGGAATCTTGTTAGGCGTTGCACTGATCTATGGAGTTGTGTTTATTGTTGCCAAACTTCGAATCTTGAAAAGAAAGGAGAAAGCAGAGCGAGAGTTGGAAAGAAAGCTCATGGATAAAAGAATGGTGTTTAATTTGGGAGATGATGAAATTCAGAGTCAAGCACAGATGGAGATCGAATCGTCTTCCAACATGAACCATTCAAAGAGTAGTCGTGCAAAAAGTCAAGCGTCAGGATTAGGCTTGGATGCACCACTGTTGGAAAAATCCTTCTTACTTGAACCCATAGAGTATCTGAATAGGAAAAATCAACCTTCTTTCATCATTCCTATAGAGAAGTTGACAGTTGTTAAGAAAATTGGTGAGGGTGGAAACGGTGTCATCTACCTTGCTAAATGGTTGAATCTGGATGTTGCGATAAAATCATTGAAGACTTCAGACGATCAAGAATTTGAAAAAGAAGCCTTAATATTGAGCAATTTGAGGCATCCCAATGTGGTTCCATTCTACGGTTTGTGTATTACTGAGCACAGTCGATACATTGTGACTCAATATTTGGCCAAAGGAAGTTTGGATAAGGTGTTGTATCAATGTAGAATCGGCAAAGAGTCCTTGACTCTGAAACAACGAATTGAAATCTTGCTTGGTACGAGTCACGGCATGGAATATTTGCATTCTTTGAGACCTGTCATTGTTCACAGAGATTTGGTAAGTGTTGGCTTTAACATGAGAGTGTGTATATTCTTGACCTTTCTGTGACTGATTGTGATTAATTTTTCAATTCCCCAATCATCATCGTGTATCCTACACAATTCGTATTGCATTGATTATGGGTTATACTCAAAAGAAACCTGCCAATGTTCTTCTGGATGAACACAACACGAGCAAGGTGTGTGACTTTGGTCTTGTGAAACTTTTGGGCAATACTTTTCAAACCACCATGACCACTAACATTGGAACCATCTTTTATCTCTCTCCTGAGAATTTTGGCAGCAGCAGTAGTACCACTTCAAGCAAAATTACTCACAAGACGGATGTGTATAGCTTTGGAATTATGATGTACGAAGTATTATTCTTGGAAAATCCCTACCTCAATGGCTCGTCCAAACGTATTCATTATTTCAAAATGAAAGATGAAAATTACTCGGCTACGGATGAAGATCATCATGCCTTTACCATTCCAACACGAGTTTGGAGAGGAGAGAGACCCTTCATTCCGTTCCAAACAGACGAAGAGTTTGAATGGTGGATGGAAGAATTTGCAGTTGGTGTTTTCTTTGAAGGAAATTCGGAACGGTTGAGATCTGTGGTCAAGTCGTACGTTGCATTGATGAAACAATGTTGGGATCAAGAGGCCCAAAAGAGACCCGAATTTTCGGAAATTACTCAACACTTGCAGCAATTGTTGGAGTTATAATTTTCTTCTCATGATGATGCCATTCTCAATACAACAAGGAGGGACTTTTGAAACCACCTCTAAAACCAGTGCCCCTCACACTGTGTTCATGAATGATGATTTGAGGGTTATTGCAAATTGTAATTTTTCATTTTGGAACCCTTATGTCATAACCTCGCGCGCTGTCCATTACAGGAAATTATTGCCAATTTTTTTTTTTGTATTTTCTCAACATCCCATAACCTAAAGCAATTTTTCTCAAATTTTTCGAGAATGTTAAATTCATTCAGAACCAGCAAGAGAATATATCTTCAGCAAAAAAACTCAAACATGACTCTTCTTGATTCTCTCTCAAGAACAGTCCCCAAACATTTGGCAACAAGAAAGATTAGTCTTGTTTCCAACTTTAACAACCAATCGAAAGCAGCATCTTCATCGTCGTCGAACCAACTCCATCACAAACAACATTCTTCAAACTCATATCAACTACTTTCTAACTCGATACAGAATAACAGTAAGAAATTTGCATCTTCCTCATTGAAAACCTACTTTTCAAAATCTTCTGCTCTCATTCAGACTGCTGCTGACAATGATTCAAACATGAACAACAACACTTCGAGATTCAATCATTACAGCATTGGGACGGTGTATGAAATTGCTGATCTTCCTCTTTCGCCGATCACACTCAAGGTAAGTTTCCTTTTTTGTCTTGTTATTGAGCATGGAATCCAAACTTATGATCATTGAAAATCCATGATCCTGCATCAATGTCATCCAATTTTAACATGAACCCCAATACAAACACACTTTCAGATGATCATGTCCTTTGGTAAAACCATTAATCAACAAACACTTGTTGGAGCTTCGTATTGGTTGAAAGACGAACTGCCGAAACGTTTAGCTCGTCAAGTCAAACAATTAGATACATTACCTCATGGATTGAATTTAATGCCGTCCATACGAAAAGTGAGAGAATTGTACTTGTCGAGTTTTAATGATGTCATGATGTATAATGAATTGTTGTCGAAAGGAAGAGATGAAGGATTGCAATTTACTAGAAAGTTGCAAGATATTTATGAAAGACATCAATCGACGATTATTAATGTGGCAAAGGTATGTTTTGAGTTGTTGAATTCAACAACATTTCGCTCCTAAATGTTGTTACCTTTCATCATTCACACACTAACATCATTCAAATTCACCAAATTAGGGAGTGTATGAACTGAAAACCAAAATGAAAGAATCCATCTTTAAGAACTCTCCAACCTTTGATTTCTCAGAATATTCAGATCTTCATGCTTCTCTCGACAGTTTCCACATCAACAGAATCGGTATGCGAACCATCATTGGACAACACTTGTGTCTTCACGAACAAGCTCATCAACCAAGAAAAGGTTTCATTGGTCTCGTTCAAATGGAAACCAATCCTGCCCATGTAGCGCAACAAGCCATTGAACATGCCTCTGATTTATGTCGAATGACATATGGAACTGCACCAAAAGTGATCATAAAAGGAGACACAAGTATTGTCTTTCCCTATGTTCCAAGTTATTTGTATTACATCTTGTTTGAATTGCTGAAAAATTCAATGAGGGCCACTGTGGAAAATCACAACCATGCTGATTTACCACCCATTGTCATTACCATCTCTGCTGCGAATGATGTCAAGCTTCGAGAACATGTATGTGTGAAAATTTCGGATGAAGGGAAAGGAATTCCAAGAAGGGATTTACATAAAATTTGGACTCACTTGTATACAACTGCAGGTAAGTAGTAGTTATGAATGTTTTTGAAATGACGGCAAACTGAACTCTGTTTATGGATATAGCCAACAATGTGGACATGTTGAATGACGATAGTTATTCAGAGTTGAACGGTCCTTTCTGTGGATTTGGCTATGGGTTACCACTCTCTAGATTGTTTGCTCAATATTGGGGAGGTGATTTACAGTTGATGACCATGGAAGGAAATGGAACAGATTGCTACTTGTATTTGCATTGCTTGGGAGAGACTGAAGAAGTCATCCATTAAGCAACTCAATGTATCAATAATTGTAACATAATTTCAATGTAAATTACAAAACTTGTCTTTACAAAAGCGCAGTGAATTATCAATGATTTTTTTAATAGGAAGTGAGATTGACACTTCTCCAATTGGTACAAAATCTTTCATTTACTTCTTCAATCTCTGGGCAGACATGCTCTTAATAATCTCGTAAAGTGGGTACACTCTCTCAATGGTGTTGGTTCCAGAAGAAGCTTTCACCATAATTGCATATCCTTTATGGTAAAATTCTGGATCGCACAACAAGTGGAATTCAGCATTACAAAATGCTCCATTTGCAGTCCACAACAAGATTGAATTTTGTCTACGTTTCTCATATTGGAATTTAAGATCGAGAAGTGTGAATTTTTGTGGATTTGGAGCCTTAGTTCCAGAATTGAACAATACAAGGCCATCTCCATCCAACTTGACACCAACATAGGCTTGTTCTCTGTTGACATTGTCACTGCATTCCACAAAGAAGTCTTCATCTCTAAGTCTCATACTTTGTTTGAATTGTTCAGGAGTTTGATGTGGAATATTTGGAGTTGCGTAAACAAGTTTGAGGCTTCTCTTTTGCATTAATGAATCAGTAATAGTGAGTCTGACGGTGAATGGATAAGGCATTGAGATTGGAAGCATTCTTACGCTTCGGTCAGAATGTGCCACTTCACCAATCAATGGGAAGGATGCGGCAACTTTGTATTCACAAGAGGTGGCTCCTGCAGCAACATTGAAATTATTGCAATACACATATTTGCCATGAGAATCACTCTTCTCAATGACAAGTTCTCTACCAAAATTGACAGCTCTTGCCACAGTAGCTGCTTGCCAATAGGCGGCTTGAGTTTCCTGCATTGGTTTCCAGGTTTGGTCATGATCTAAATACTCCATTTGCAAATTTGTAACAGACATTGGTGTTGAAGATGTGTTTGTAAAGGTTAAAAAGTAGGCTTCGAAAGCAACAGATTTAGCTCCTTGGTTCACTACAAAAGTGTTGCATCGTTCCTCAAAAGTTTTCATTGCTGGACCATTAATTCTCACACATGAAGTACCTTCATCTGTATAATTAACCAATAAATTGGGATCGTTATTAAGCTGTTGAAGTGGTCCCATTCCAGTTGTGATTGGTGTGAATTTGTCAGCAACAACTTTGGCATAATAGGAAATCAAATTTTGTAAGTCCTTGGTGCTTGTTGGTTTTGTGACAGAAGATTCTTGTTGTGATGGTTGAGGAGTGGCGGATGGTTCTTCCAAAGGTACAACCACTCGTTCAATAACTTCATGTGATGGATTCTTCTTCTTGTGAACTTTGGCATCTCGTTCACACAAACCAATTTCACAAGTAGCACATTCCATCACGGAGTCTACTTCCTCCTCTAAATCTTCATGACAAGTTTTACAGTGCTTGGTTGCGTTTTGTTTCTCCAGTAATTTCAAACGAGCTTGAAGTTTGTACTTCTCGACATCACCGTCTTGTGGAAGTACAGTTCCAGTTCTTGTTGGAATTGGTTCATACGAAGCATAACCATAAATTCTCAATGTACCTAACAATAAGGAAGATGAATCAGCCACCAATTTCCAATATCTTGCCTTGAATCCAGTTGAAGAGTTGTCAATTTCAAAACGATTCAAATAAGGATAGCGTTTAGAATTCTCAATCTTTTTGTGGAATGGAATCCAAGGTTCATTTGGTCGAATCTTGTAAAATACGCTCACAAAGCTAGAGTAATATTCTTGATCTTCACCATCGTACAAACAATGGGTATAATATTCAAGATATTTGAAAAAGTGAATGTGTTCAAAGTTCATAATGAGAGTAGATCCTTTGCAACAAACACCATACTCAGCAGTATCATCCATTAATCCTTCTAAAGTGTTTTCTGCCATGCTGTTGTCATAGGTTGGAAGTAACTTGTTATTAATGGTTTCATCATATTCATTAGAAATAGAAATACTGCTTGGAAGAATGGCATTGACTTCACTTCCCTTGTATGGTGCAAGGTGTGGGGCCTCTTGTTGAGCTCGTGAAAGCAATAAACCCTTGGTGGTTGTGTATGGAACAAATGGTGCAACACCAAAGAATTGAAGCATTCCAAATGAAATATCTCCACAGAGTCTTTCAAACTTCCAATATTTTGCTTTGATTCCTGCACTCTTAAATTGCATGACGTTCAATTTTGGATGGTTGTAATATTTCTTGTCAAAAGTTTCGCAGCGTGTCCAAGGATCACTTTCTTTCACTTTGTAAGACAAAGTCAAAGCACTTTGAACGGAGTCTGTGAAAGAAATTTGTTGATGTTTCATAAATTCCAAGTACTTGAATAAGAACACGGCTTCAAATTCAAGCACAATATAGGAATGGACTTGATGGGTAGTAGAATAACCTTTAGAGCCACTATCATCAATGACACCTTCAATTGAATTTTCAGATTGCTTGCCATGTTTGGAACTAATAATTCGAATTGGAGCAATTACATTCACTTCACTGCATGACGATTCATTGTAGTATGGCTCTTCATCACTTGTTGGAACAATTTTTGGAATTTCAGCATGATCTTTTCGTTCAATTTTCATGATAGTCTCCGAATGTTCCTTATTCTTAATGTTAAACTGTAACAGTGGAGCATAGGCATAGCATCTCAACATTCCAAAACCAATTCTGGAGGTCAATCCTGATTGTGGAGTTTTCGTAAAACGGAAATATCTAGCTTCAAGTCCTTCCATGAATACCATATACACATTTTGCACGTTGGTTTCCAACTTGGTAAATCTGATGCTCGACGTTTTCCAAGGATCTCTACTACGCAATTTGTATTCAATTTTAACTCCGTCAAGAGAGGAAGTTTCCTTTCTTCCACGTCCATCTTCTATGATATATTCCTTATGCTTGGGATGTTCTCTCCATGTGAACAGTGTAAATTTGTAAATTCCATCGAAACAAACTTCACATTGTGGAAGGGAAGAGTTGTCAGTGACAAATCCATTTCCACTTCCTTGTAAAATCTCATCAATAACTCCCTCTTCAACCTTTTTATGCTCAGTGGTATAAAGTGTCACAGGTTTGATGAGATTAATTTGATCACAATCAGGGAATTTAAGCTTTGATTGTTCTGCAACTTCTTCCATGCTTGGAACAATTCCACTCTTGGTTTGGATGGGAACATAGGGAGTGTAACCAAATATTCTGAGCATACCAATTTCAATACATTGACCTTTTGTGAACAATCTCCATTGTTTGGCCTTAATGGGTTTGTCAAATGTAATTGTGTTCACCAATGGTGTGAACTTGATATCTTTTTGTTCAATGGTTTTCAATAATGTCCAAGAGTCTGATTCTTTCAATCGATATTCAATATTCACATCTTTCAAGTAGTAATCTTTGTTGTTGGTAGTAGTCAATGTCATGTATTCCAAATAAGTGAATAAATAAACGTGTGCATAATTCAAAATAATCGAGGTATGATGGGAAGCAGTAACATAACCATAATCTCCAGAATCATCCAACAATCCTTCTAAGGTATTTTCACGTCTCGATTCTCCTTTGGATTCAAGAGATTGAACAGGAACTAGATTCACGTCTGGACCAGTATATTTTGGTTCCCACATGGCTAAAGTCTCCTTTAGAGAGAGTACAACACCACTAATAGTCTTAATTGGAACATAGGGACAATGACCAAACAATCTAAGCATACCCAAGAATAGATGGTCAGATTTGGCTCTAAAGACTCTCCAATATCTTGCCTTGATGGGTGTATCAAATTTGATGCTGTTGAATTGTGGATTGAGTTTGATTTGACTCCTCTCAATAGTAGTCAATGTGGTCCATTCATCAGTTGCCTTGAGTTTGTACTGAACATTGGCACCATCCAATGATGAAAGTTGCATACTTTCTCCCAATCTACTTGCTTTGAATTCCAAGAATGTGAAAATATAAACTGCATCATACATCAATTCAATGAATGAGTTTGCACTATTTCCTGTGCAGCATCCATGTTGGCCAGAATCATCTAAAAGGCCTTCAATGTTGTTTTTACCCCAACTGTCTTTGGAGGACATTTTCAATTCAGTGGGTGGAACTACATTCACTTCCTCACTATCTGGGTACTTGGGTTCAAGGCTGTCTTGTTGAGGTGTGCTGACTGGAACGTTGCTGCTCACACTAGATTGAACGACAACGTTCGAAGCAACCACTGGAACTGTTTGAGGAACCACCACAACAGGTTGTTGTCGTTGAGGTTGGGATTGAGGAACCACAACAGGTTGTTGAACAGTGGTTGTTGTCGTTACCACCACTGTTGCAGCAGAAGTTTGAGATGGTGGTGGTGTGGCAACGTAGGGTTGAACAACTCCACTCTTTGTTTTGATGGCAACATAGGGAGAATAACCAAACAATCTAAGCATTCCAAAGAAGACTCCTGCAGTGTCTAATTTGAGTAATCTCCAATATCTGGCCTTAACAGGCTGTGGGAAATAAATGAACATGCTTTCTGGATGGGTTTTGACATCTGACTTTTCAATAGTATCCAAAACTGTCCATTCATCATCCACATGGACCTTGTATTGAACTTGAGTATCTTTCAAGAATTGCCATTGAACGCTCTCACCCAATCGACATGCCTTATATTCCAAAAATGTAAATAGATGAACCCGATCATAGGTCAAGACAATATTTTGATTATTTCCTGTACCGGTACAAGCACCAAACTTTCCAGTGTCGTCCAAAAGTCCTTCAATGGTATTATCTCCCCAACTATCTTTTGAAGACAATTTCATTTCAGTGGGTGCAATAACATTCATCTCACCACTGGTGTAAAGTGGTTCATTGATATCTACAGCTGCTGTATCGGAACTTGAGGAGCCAGCAGTGGTTTCTTGAATAATCATTCCGGCTTTGGTTTTAATATTCACAGCTGGAGCATCAAAAGCATACATTCTCAGTTTACCAAAAGCAATCTCCTTGTTTCCAAAACAATCAAATTTCCAATACCTTGCTTGGACATTTAGGTTTACTTTCTGGAGGCCATAACCATCTCTGAAAGAAAAAATCTCTTTCCAAGAATCAGTTTCATTGACTCTATAGCTCACATCGGTTCCTCTCACACGTTGCTGATCGTTGCCATATCTCTTGTTTTCATTGCATTCGAGATGAGAAAAATGATATACTTTATCAAATTTTAACTCAATGCAAGGCTTGTTCACAAAAGTAGTGGAGCATCCGAAATCACCGCTTTCATCAAGCAAACCTTCGATGGTGTTATCTGATTTGTCGCAAGGAGGACGGATAATCAATTCTGTAGGGGCTACAACGAGTGGAATTTGCATGATGATGATGGTGTTGTTTCTCTGAGATGTTTTTTTTTTTGAAAGATTCGTGGTTCTTTGAACTTTTATGGAGAAATGAGAGATGCTTGTGTGAATTTGATCATCGTGGATGGCTCTTGAACTAGGGGGTAACTTTGAAGAAAATGTTACACCCAAGACAGTGTTCAAATCTGCAATTTTATGGAATGTTAAACGCCACACCGAGTTCTTACCTTGTTCTCACTGATACGAATTAGATCACGATGTCCTTCCGACACTTGCTATTTATTTATTTTACAGTGCTCATACCTCAAAAAAGGCTGCAAGGAACGGTATTGAAAAGCGGCTCAACAACTTCAAAACCTTGCATTGGATTCATGTATGTTCAAGGGGTTGGAAGCTCAAAATCGGTTCTTGGTTTGAATGGAGCTCGTCAGAAAGAAATCAAAGAAACAAACCAATGCTCTGAATGCTGGGCTTCAGGAATTGGAAACAAAAATACACGCACCACAACAACAACGGCTCAATCACACCGCACCATCACTGCCCACTAGTGAAGGTCTTTGCTAGGAGATTGGAATTTGGATTTCGAACAATTTCAACTACAATATTCTCACATTGTACAACAAGTCTCCGAGCTCGCAATGTATACTTGACCTGAGAATCATGAATCGGCAATTTACGGCGATGTGTAATACGGAAATGAGAGCTGGTGATAATGAGTTGAAATGATGGACACAATGCAAGTTCACTGATGTTAATTGATGGTTTCTGAATCTTATCGAGTCCTTCAGTTCATATTTGAGAAAGACATTCTGCCGGCGGTGGGAGATACATTTCTGCATTTTACAAATTCGTGAAGATTGCAACTACAATAACCGCCATCCCACGACCGATGCATCCACAAATTATTGTCAGTGTTTTCAATCTACAAAAAACAAAAAGTGCTCCACCTTTACTTTCAAAACAATCATGACCTTACATACCATATTATCGACCCGTAACAAGGTAATGCCATTCGAGGAGACTGCACAAACCGACCAACTACATCAAGAATATGAGAAAGTGAGCCAACACAGCGAATTGGAGAGAAGTCGTTTTTCCATTTCCATCAAGTGTCTCATTATTGTATTGCTTGTTTCAGCAATTGTGGTCTCCGTTCTTTTCCTAACAACTGTTTGGGTCACTAGTTTCAGCTCGAGTGTTTCCATTATGAGCGATTCGTTAATGATGGAACAATTTACAAAAATTATCAACTACACCGATGAGACAATCACAAAAGTAGTGGTAACTTCTCAAACTACTAAAAACATTTTATGGCATACTTTTAATTACTCGGATATCGTCACCAATGATTTGATAAGTTACAAATTGTTCAAGTCTGCTCATGATTATTTGGGTGACGTTTTGGTTACAGTTTATTTTGGTGATACTAAGGGTGGTAATATTGGCATGTTTGTTTATAATGGAACTCCCATGATTATTTATTTAAATACGACTGGTCAATACTTTTCCTATTGTAAACAAACACTGGCATTGGAATATTGTATTACAAATTCACAGTATCCAGATGTTGTATTGCCACCATTTGATTTGGGCCCCATCATGGATGTTGCTCAAAATTATCCCAATCAACCGACTTATACTCTCTCATATACTGATGTTACTTTACCTTCTGTCACCTTTATGAGCTTGATTAATTCAAAACCTACTCTAAATGTCACAAGAAATGATGGATTTAGCTATGATTGGTATTTGGGAATTGATATGAGTGTGTCTTCAATTTCTCAATACTTAAAGAAAGCGATTGATAACATTCCCGGGTCGTTCGTCTTTACAATTGAGGTGAAAACTGATTTTATTATTGCTTGTAAGTTTGAATTGACGATAATTTGTTTTCGCTCAAACATGTTGTTGTGATATTGAACTCATCCCGTGTTTAGCAAGTTTTCCAACGTTACCAGTTTCAATTTGGGATAGTCAAGGAAAAGAGACTCGTAAAACAGCATTGACTTTTGATTCTCCTCTTGTCAATGATATTGGGCGACTGGTTTATTCTCATTTCAACAATCAACTTACTGCTCTTCCTTGTGGAAATTACACTCTCCTTAACTATGGTGTTTCATTCATTAATATTTACAGATATTGTAACCCAGAAGGAGTGGATTGGTTGTTTGTATATTCAGTTCCTCAATGGTTCTATTTGGAAAACATGATCGTGGCAGTGATAGTGGCTCTTTTTTCGAGTCTCGCCATTGTAGTTGGCGGTGTAGCACTGGGAGTTTGGTTTTCAATGAAAATGATCCAACCCATTCAAAATTTGGTTGTGCTCTTTGCATCAGTTTCAAACATGGATCTGGATTCTATTGATATCACATCTTCATCATTGTCTGAAGTATTTTTATTGCAGCAACATTTCAAGTTCATGGTCAATAAGATGCGACAGTATCGTTGTTTTATTCCTCCCCATCTTTTAGCACAAATTGAATCGAGCGAACCAACCAAACCAAAGCAAGTGAAAGATTCCACTCAAGAATCTTCAAAGAATTTGCGAGAAAGTAACTCAATCTCTGGTACCAATACATCAGCAGCAAGCTCCTCAAATAAGGTCCAGGATTCTCAATCTTCTGGAAAGCGTGTTACTAATTCAATGTTCAAGCTGGGTCTAGAGAAGAGAAAATTTACTTCCTCAGCCATTCATTTTGTTGGATTGGACAGAGCATTGGAGTCCCTATCTTCCAAAGAAGTTACCATGCTTTTGCATGACTTTTTTGAAGTGGTTCAAAAAACGAGCTCTCAATCTTCAAGTTACTTGGGTAACTTTGAACAAAACACTGTGAACATTTCCTGGAATTTAACAAGTGACGTTTCCAATCATGAAGAAAAAAGTATTGCTATTACTTCATTCATTCTTGAAAAACTTCAAGCCCTACCTCAAACAAAATGGAGCAAATATGAAAACCTTCAAATGAAATTCATAGCTGCTACCGTGAGTCAAGAATGTGTGTGTGGCAATATTGGTACTAACCAATGCAAGAGTTTCTCTGTGTTCGGAAGCTACCAGTTTAACTTGAAGAAGTTAATCAAACATGCCTCCAAGCTACAATTGTCGTTGGTTACAACTCGGAACGTTTCTGAGAGGATTAAGCATTCACGATTGGTTAGATTTATTGGTCACAAAAAACTATTGCCCAATGAAGAGAATATTCCCTTCGTTTCTAGAAAAACCAGTGAAAAAACTGAAATTTATGAAGTCGGTGAGAGCACTGAATGTGACATGGATGGTAAGTATCAAATGGATGTGCGTTTTCGTGATTAATCATCATAATTATTAATTTCAGAGTGGATGTATGAATTAGAACAGAAGAAACGAAAAGAGAAATGGAATCAATACCACAGTGCTTGTGAGAAGTTTCTTTCGCAAGAATATGAAACAGCAAAGGAGCTTTTCCAAACTTATTTTAAGGAAAATCAAAGTGATCTCGCCGCATCTTATATGATACATCAATGTTCTTCTAAGGGTTTGGTTTGATGATCATAGAGATTTGGTTTTTGAATCTTTTCTTTCATTAACGATTCCTGTGAAGAGTTGTTCCATAATTTCGAAGTTCTAGACTTTAAAAAAATTTTTTTAATCATCACGTGTAAAATATTTAACTGCCGTTTTTACTGTTTAATTATTCAAAACTACTGCAGGTCAACATTTGAATCCCATGATTCGAAAAAGATGATTGGCCTAATTCAATCATCTTCACAATCCACAACACCTTTGTTCATCATCATCATATTAAACTCAATTTAAGTTTCTTTTCGTTCGATCCCGAACTCGATATTTGCTCCCATACAAGTTGTGATTATTTATTTGGACCAATAACATATTTCACTGCGAATTTTAGATTGAAACGACCGTAAATGTATTACAAGAAGCAATTGTTGTTGTTTACTTTGCAAGATAATAATGATTCGTTATATGCGTCCAATAACTGTTTCAGAATAACTTGGGGTCGAAATTGTTGAGTCTTTCTTCGACTATTGTCTCCCATCCAAACTCTCATTTCCGCATTTAAATACAATTCATATAATTGTTGAGCCAGTTGTTGATCATCATGGGCATCAACCATGAAGCCATTTTGACACAACCAAGGTTGTAATTCTTGTGCATAGCTAGATTTGAAGCTCAAAGAAGTGGTAGAATCCAATTTGTCGAGAAGTTCCAAACAAGAAACAATCTGTTGAGAAACGATGACAGGTTTTGAAAATGACATGGCTTCCATTGCTGCTAGTCCTTGTGTTTCTACAAAAGAAGGCAGTACAAACACGTCGCATGCCTTATAGTACGTGGAAAGAGATGAACTCTCAAGGAAACCGAGAAATTTAACATGCATCTCAATGTGCAGACGTTCACAAAGTTTGACAAGCTTTTTCTCGTCACTTCCACTTCCTGCAATCCATAGGACTGCATTTTCATTTGTATCGGTTTGAAGTGAAAACATCTTTAAGAAGCTGGCAAAACCTCTTAACAGTAATGGAAGATTCTTTTCTGGATTCAATCTTCCTACAAAGAGGACTTGAAATTTAGCTTGTCTTGCAACGGGGATGACTTGATCAACGTTAAACATCAAACTGTCGACAGGGTTGCTAATCCACTTGATTGGAATTCTTGAATGAACTTGAGCTTGAGTTGGAATTTCTTGCACAAGATTTTTGGAAACAGAAATGATCATATCTACAGAATTACAGAGCTTGGATATTTGTCCACGTATCCAAGGTTTGAACATTTTCATTAAGAAAGGTTGTGTTAAATGATCCAACGTCATATGATAGGTATAAATGTGGGAGAGGTTCGAGGATGGAACGTTAATCATGGAAGAGCATCTATTTCTTAATTTGTGAACCACCTTGATTGCACGTTTACACATAAATCCCAAATAGTGGTGGTGTACAACATGTGGTTGGAAGTCCAACAAGAATTGCTCGATCCATTCCTCTGAAGGTAATGCTTGGTAGAAACCGAATATTTTCTTTGATGGTACTCTATAGATTGAAATGTCATGTAGGGTGTTGTTGTCTCCTTTCACCTGCCAATTCTCAACTTTGTGGGTAGTTGTGGTGGTGTATTTGTCGGTACTACTAATGTGAGCTTCATGTTGACATGTCACTACAGAAACACAATGTCCCAAGCATACCAAATGTCTACAAATGATTTGACAATGTATTCCAACACCTGTTGCAGCTGGAAGAAAGTCATCTGAAAACATAACTATCCTCAATGCGTCCTGTTTTTGGTTGGATGATTCAGCTTTGCAATGGTTTTGTGTGCAAGAAGTGATGCTATTTACTTCTGACATTGGTAATTTCTTTGGAATGAATCCAGTGTTGATCTGGTTCCATTTAGCAACCTTTTCAACTCATCATGGATCTGGATCTATTCTATTACATCCTTTTCCATCTATTCTAGTTTAGAAAGATCAGTTCTGTAGGAATTGTTTTAAAAAGTAACCGCCTGTGATTTGATGTTAACAACTATAACTATTGATCAGATTTTCATTGCAACTTGTTAACATCAAATCACGCATGTTATAGGCAGTTGACCAAAAAAAAGTAAGCCTATAACATGCGCGATTTCATAGCAGCCAAACTTCTTGTCTCTCCTGCTATTCGTCGTAAAGAAGGAGATTTGTCATTGCTTCCTGATTGTTGTACCGTTCACAAAGTCACACCAGTCCCACCAGAATCAGAAACAGAGATTGAGTTTTACACTGCCGCTAAGGTGACTGTATTGGCTCCAGTTGACATGTATACAATTTTCAACACGTCTGCCATACTATACTCACTTGCCTATGATTGCAGTATTGATGACAACATGTTAATCAGGTCCCTCTCCAATGTACTTTTCTATTTTCCATGTATTGGTGCTAAATTCAGAGAACTAAATACAAACAACGATCAAGATATGAAGATGTTAACTGATCAAGAACGAGACTTGATACAAAATCGAAGAAAGAAGGTTGCAGTTCTTGATCACACCAATCGTTTCATGAATGTGATTGTGTGCCGAAAGGACAGTAAAACCTTCCTCAAAAACTGCATTTCTTCACATACCATGGATATTGCCTCTATTATTGATCATCCTCAATTCCTTGACGAATTTATTGTTGAGAATGAAGTGGCTATACCTTACTCCAAAAAAGAATTATCTCGTATTCAAATCACCTATCTCGAGGATTGTAACAAAATGGTTATTTCTTTGTCTCTGAACCATTCTGCTGGAGGAGCAGAGCTTGGTCACTACTTTTTGCAGTGTTGGTCAGAAATGGTGAGATGTGGCAAAATATCAGAGAAGCCCACAGTGAGCAGATTGGAGCTAATTTTGGCAAAGAACAAGTTGGAGTAAGTTCACAATACTTGATTCCTTGTTAGTGACACTAATTACATTATGAATCAGTCATATCTTTCAATATACACACCCAGAAGTCAAGTCTATTTTTCATGAATATGTATTCAACATGGCCAAAACAATGCTTACATGTCGATTCAAGGTAAGAAAAGTTGTACTTGGTAAGGAGAAAATAGATTCGTTTAAAGATCAAATCAGAAATAAGCTTGGCGAGAGGGCACCAAAAATTTTGTCAGCCAATGATATTATTTGTGGAATTCTATTTAAGATGATGGCTCATGGAAATTCTAACCTCTCTGATGATACTATTTTGAATTTGAGAATTGTATCCAATTACAAGTATATTTATCCTCCCATCATGTTCGACACGCTCTCTAAGATTTTTGTTGGCAATTCTCAAATGCCAATATGGATTGCAAAATCAAAGTCTGAGTTGTGTAAAATGTCTCTTGAAGAATGTATTGCATTGGTGAGAAGTCAAGTCCAAGAGCAATATTCGGAGACCAATGTTCGAAAATTCATTGAAGAAACAAGCAAATCCTATCATGATGAAAGGAGATCGGACTGGTATAGACCAATAATGACCAATCAACGAACAACATTGTCATTTTCTAATTGGTCCATTTTCAAATTTTTGGATATTGATTTCGGTCAAGGAAAACCTTCAAGACTCCTGAATTTGAAAGATATCGAGGCCGTTCATATTGCATTTTGTATGCAACAAACAGAGAATACGTTTACTCTGAGTTGTGGATTAACAGATGAAGAGTGGACTTACATGAGTTCCTTGATTTCTCTGTTCTTATTCTGAAAGAGCAAAATAAAAACATAAATGGATGTCTTTACAAAATTAAAATGACACTCGTAATTTCGCAAAGATATTAAAAAATTGAGACAAAAATGTTTGGACCTGCTTCAGTTCCTTGCTGTTCCGCGGCATCATTGAAGGCACTTCCGACAATAGTGAAAGGATAGCAGAGTTTGGGAAATATAATTTATAGAGAATAATCTTTATCATATTTCTCGTAAATTAAAATTATTCGGTTCTACACCTCATCAAATCAAAGCAGACAATGGGAGGGAAATTGTTAACAAACACACTCAAATTTCTCCAAAGTGGCAAGATTTTTGCTGATATTCGTGAAATTATACGTTCAATAATGGTGAACAGTTATTTTTGCAATACATGATGATTTCCTTTGCCACATCAACACCGGTAGCCATTTCAAATCCTTCAAACCCAGGGGAAGAATTCACTTCACAGATTTTATATGAATTGTCTCCATCAAACAGAATATCCACTCCCGCAACATCTAATCCACATGCCAGAGCACACTCAACTGCAAGCAATTCCAGCTCCTGAGTCAACGGTACTTGTTCGACTTTTCCTCCCTGATGGAAATTTGATTTAAATCCCTTAGTGGCGATTCGTTTCATGGCTCCAATAGCTCTTCCACCAACTACGATAACTCGGATATCTTTTCCTGAAGAATCCTTAATGAATTCTTGAATTAATAATGGATTACTGGGATCTACAAGTTCAGCAATGTCCACTAATTGACCTTGATCTTGAATGAGCAAGACACCATTTCCTTGAGATCCTGATACTTTCTTGAGAATTAATGGAAACGTAAAGTTTTCTTCAATTTTTTGCACATCCAGAGGAAATTTTGCAACAATGGTACGTGGAACTGGAATATTCTTGGCAGCTAACCGTTGCATGGTAAAGAATTTATCCCTTGAAACTTCAATCGACGAAGAATTATTGAGTATGAGGGGCTTATTTGCAGAAAGTCCCTCTAGAAAACGAAGAACTGCCAGTCCATAATAGTTAATCTTTGCGCCCAATCTTGGAATGACTACTTGTGGAATTTCAACGGGAACGCCATCATACAACAACTTGGAACAGCCTTTGAGTACCACAAATTCAAATCTTCCAATTTCCATCAATTTCAGTTGGATGTTTGCATGCCATGCACATTCGAATAATCGCTTTTGAGAGTACAGATATTTTACCTCTCGACAGAGAAGCCAAATGGTGAATTGAGGGTTTTCGAGATTCATTTGGTAGAAGGTTGGATCCTGAGCATTGTAAAACACAATTTCCTTTTCGCCAATGAGGGATGGTTGCAGATTGTGTAGGATGAAATTTCTAGGAACAAGAATGGAGGTTTGCTCCTCTTCTTGAGTTGAGCTTGAGGTCTTTCGAGCAGCAAGAGCTTCAGTGTAGTGTTGATAGATGGATGCAGACATTTTTGTTGTTGTATTGGCATTCGGAGTATGTGCCGTACTGATTTTTAACTGAATTTGCAATACCATAGATCTTGTCTTCTGTCATACCTTTTGCATAAGTGTTTCTTCCCAGTTGAATGGAAAGGAAAAGGGGAAAGCTTTGCTTCTAAATCAAAGTAATCCAGTTGGAATTAAACTAATATACAATTTCAAATCGGAGAAGGAAAAAGCTACAACTTGAATTGGCGATCGACATACGGAAATGGTTCACCAAGCATGCCGTATTCACTACAACTGTAGAGCCTCAATATTCTCGTCAGATATCAAGCAAACGTTACTATTTGAAATACACACATTATTTATAATTCATTA